AAGAGCTTGCACATCGATTTAGTGACTTTAGACTTGTGGCCAAGGATGGCAGATCGTAGCCGAGTGCGTCGCAGTGCCAAAGAACCTATTTCCTTATATTTGGTGTTGCAATTTCTTGGGGTCGTCTCTGTAATGCCGCAATCGGCTGCTATAGCTCTCCTAGAGCGGACACCACGATCACACCGCATTGCGTCAAAATATCGACACTTCCTTGTAGTCGTAGCTTCTTTATTGGCAAGGGGTTCGGGGGACGGAGTCTTGAAGGGATTGGATCGCGTTGGTGGTGCCATTCTGTTAAGTGATGTGTATTGTTGATATTATTGTTGATCGCGAAAATTTAATTTCGGTGTTTTTGGTCCGTGCGTAGAGAGTAGTGTCAACCACTGTTGTGCACGTGGTCGTGACAGGTAATTAGCTCGAGACGCTTTTTGCGCGCGGAATGCGAGTTAGAAAGTTAACCGTCCCTCCTTTTTTGCCCCTAAATGCGAGGGGTGATTGGCCCGGGGCGCCTTTTGCGCGCGGAATGCGGGTGGCCTCTTTACGATTGATTGGATTAGGCGAACCCGTGCACAGCCGCATGCTCGTGGCTTGCAATAATCCCAGCCACACCAAGCTAGTTAACTCTTCGAGGTTTTTGTCGAAGCCGCCTTCGGGAGAATACTTAAATGGATCATGAAGGGAAGGCTATGGCTATGTATAGACAGGTTCCCGAGCCCAGCTCCAGATTGTATGAGACTTGCACTACTATCGAAATCCACCTGCTGCATGTGCATGATACATCCACCTTCTGAAAAGCATCACCCATTTACTTTTTTTAAACTCTTCTTCTCACTCATCCTTTTGACCCTCCTTTCACCCTTCCTTTCCCGCCGCTCTCTGGTCCACCGCTTTTGTTGATGTCTGTCAGCAAAGGGTTATTTGTTGCAAGTCCGATATACTGGATTTTCCCTAGCTCCCAAGAGACAAGATCTTTGGTCTTTGACTTCAATTCTCCATTAACAACTCCTAGCCATGTCATTAGAAACAGTCGTGTCAATATTGACAGAGCTCTAACATCCAGAACATGGCCTCCAAAGCTATTCTTGAATGGGACTGTGAACATTGTCTCAAATTGTCCCTTTGAACCCAGACCAAGGTCCTTGATTTTGCACTTCAGTGCCTCGTCGTGCGGTTCGGCCGACCGTCACAGCATATAGCGTTTCCTTAATAGTGCAGCATTTCTCGCTGGAAATGATAAATTCCATCAAGTGGATGTTTCAAAGTGATCGACACGCTCTGAGATGCTCTAGTTGTGTTGTTGTTTAGAAACATTGATGGACTGAGAAGTACCACTCATTCTCTCTTTGACTTTTGACGCTCCTTGTTTAGCTCACGATTTTGGAATAGTAGTTGCAACCATCGTAACAAGAGACTCATAGCCTGAAATGCTGCGTGGATTTGCTAAAACCTACCTCCAGTTCTTTCCAAACGAGGTCCTTCTTGTACAGATAGTTGCGCATGTAAGCAATATATTGGGTGCAGAGATCATGAAAAGCAGCCAGGGACATGGGTGAACAGTTGAAAAGCAGGCTGAACCGCTTGAGCACAAAATCATTTTATCTTATTCAACATCAATTTCGCAGGAGCACTCGTGAACATCATTATTCCTTGGGTATCGATTTGCAGAAACAACTCTATCAGAATCTACAAACCACCAGCTGGTGGAACATAGGGATGGATGAGCATCTCACTGAACTTTTCCAACTTCTCCTTGCCTCTCACTTCCTCTACCAAAAGTGGCATCTTCACCACGTTGAACTCATCATACAACTCCTCGATCTGTTCCAAGTATTTCTTCTGCATCTTTCTTCTTGCGTTGCATTGTTCGCATTCACTACCAGCCTTGGGAAACAGCAGCTGATTTACCACGATGCAATGGGTGTCAATGCCATAGCTCGCAAGCTCCTGGATCATACGCTCTGTCTCGTAAAGGGAAAGGAACTCTGGTATGCAAACGCAAACGAATGTCGTGAGATTCTCGTCCTTGAACTGCGTGTTGACTTCGCTGATTGTTTCTCGCAGGCCCTCCAGCTTCTCCATCATCTCGTTCAGATTCGCACCATTTGGCAGCGCTCCATTTGCACCCAAAAGACCGTTCAGCATGGGCCCGAATTGTGTAGATAATTGGGAGATCTTCACGAGTGCTTTCTCAAGGACTGTCGGGAACTGAAGGAATCGAAGAGTGTGGCCAGTGGGCGCCGTGTCGAAGATGATGGTTTCGTAGGAAAGAGATTTGACCTGCTTGAGAACTTCTGCAAAGGACATGGCTTCATCGATACCTGGAATCTGTGGAGCGTTAGGATGTACAAGGTATCAAGTTCTTGACAGACTTACAGCAAATGCCAAATCCTGCATCATGCCTCCCATTCCTGCAGCAGGACCTTCTCCCTCTTCAGCTTGTCCCATCAGCTCCTGTATGCTTCCGTTCGGGTCGATCTCCATGGCGCTCAAGTTTGTGAAACCATTAACAAGTCGAGCTTCTTTGCCAAACTTCTGCGAGAACGCATCCGAAAGATTGTGTGCCGGGTCGGTGGAGATGAGCAGAACGGAGCGTCGAACTTTGGCAAGCTGGATAGCCAGTGAGCATGATGTCGTAGTCTTTCCCACTCCTCCTTTGCCGCCAACGAAGATCCATCGCAAGGTCTTCTGGTCGAGGATAGACTGAAGGGTCGGCTCGAGTTGATCGTCGTCAGTGTTTATCACGGCGGTAGACATGGTGACGTGGCGATGCGCTGAAAGGAACCAGAGGTGAATGGTAAGAGGGACCGGGAAAGAAGAGAGATCAAGAACTTGCGATTTCGAGGTTGTATGGAGGCGAAAGAAGTTGGTGCTGGGGAAGAGCTTCTACCTTACTCCGTCTATCCAAATTCCAAGCTCCGGCACACTAGTCCGAGAGTGGTTAATGCGGGGCAGAGGACAATCAGAACGAGAATGGATGAGTGCTCTCAGCCTCTTCGAAAGTTGATATTTTGGCATCCAAGGATTAGAGAAACGCCCAAGGCCTGGCTATGAATCGGACTATTGATTCAGGGTGTATCTTCAAGGTCGAGGCTGAGAAAGATGCGGTCTCGCCGCAAGGCTGAATCACAAGGCGGAGATCTCCGATCTGCGCAGGAAGATTGGAACCCTCGAAGATCATATTTTCTGTCACAACTCAATTGAGGACTTATAAACTTTTGATTGTCCATCAAAGTCAGATCTCATCTCAGGACCAACATCACGACCTTGTAGGTACAGTCTCCCAACATTATCAGCTGCTTCTAATACTAGCAAGATGACCTCGAACCCCGCCATCGAACGCCTCCAGACCCTATCTTTGCATCTCCCCGCCTTCTCTTCACAAGCTTCAACAATGAGTACCCAAACCAGAGATCCAATTACATGCCATGTCCTCGACACTACAACTGGTCGGCCAGCCGCCAACATGGCAGTAAAGCTGTTATGCTGCACGATTCCTGACATCGTCTTCGAGTGTAAGACCAACGCCGATGGTAGAATAGGCAATTGGAGTAATATGCAAGGGGCAAATGGGGAAGAAGGAGCATTCGTGGCCGATCGAGGAGGAGTCCCAGCTACCTTACATTATATGATAAAGCACTATGCAGAGCAGGGAGCAGGATCAAGCTGTAAGTTGTCTGCAGAGTCCACCTCCCATTGAGCTCGAGGCTACTTGATCTTCACACATTACTGACAATCTCAGGTCCAGCAGGATCCAGTCTTTGGAAGTTGCAATTCGATACAGGAGCGCATTATGGAACGGAAAATACATTCTTCCCGGTGGGATAATCTGTCCAGCTCCTTGAGTTCCAAGCTGATCTGCCCAGGTTGTCGAATTGACATTTCTGGTCAAGGAGGGCGAGCATTTCCATGTCCCATTGTTGCTAGGCCCATACAGCTTCACCACGTACAGAGGTAGCTAGATGCGATCTAATCAAGTTCCATTTCGTCCGTATAAAGCTCTGGCGTATTCTGAACTTCTCCAGAACTAGCATGTAGTTCCTCTAATGATACAGCATTCGGTGTCCAATCCATATCGTCCATAGGTCTCTCACTGATCTCTCGCAAAGCCCTTTCCAATCTTGTCCTCGCCCCCAATGCATCGTCCTTGGAATTCCAGACGTTCAGCTCCGCCCAAAGTTGGTGAAATTTGTTCTGCCGAGTGGTATCTGAAAACATGGACATCAAGTCTTGAGCTTGCAAAGTCATCTGCCGTATCTCGTTGTTATCGCACAGGTGACGGTGAACGGCTCTATTCCGAGTTCGAACGGCATCAGCTAGAGCAGCTTCCAGAGTATAATTCGACAGTGGCTTGATCGCGTTCGGAGGAAGCGCGTTTGGGAGGAAGGATTTCCATATAGACAACTCTACAGCTTCTGGACAATCCCATCCCTTCTCGTTCAGGACTTGTGGGAGCCACCTTGCTGCAAAATCATAGCAACCCTCCTCCAAGATTCGTTGGACCAAGGCCAGAATGTAATGTTGGACTTGGTACGGAAACCCCAAGTCCGGAGAGACAGACTTGTTCGCAAATGATTTTGAGGGCGAGCAAGGTCTCGTAGGTTTCGCAGATGATACTGTCTATTTAAATTAGCAAAGGTCTCTTCTAGTCGAGGATGGCATACTCTGGTCCAAACTTGAAGTGGCTCGCCGTGACTTTGTCTGCGAGGTGCCCATCGACTTGTTGCTAATCCATGCTCTACAGGCTTAAAAGATGGCTGCTTTGGTGTGGGATTAAGACCATGAAGAAGAGATGATTTGACAGCTGGTTCTTTCTCCCAATTTTGTGGCAGGTCTGGAGAGATCGAGATGGGCAGGCCGTTTGTCGTAGGAACATGCGCTCCTTGTCCCTTGGGAGTTGAGCAACGGAAACACTTCTTGCGCCACTGGAAATTCGAAAAGCTGCACGAAAGACACCTCCAGTCATCTGCAAACTCGCGATTGCTAGAACTCGTCTGAAATTGGTTCTTAGGGGCCCATCTGCTGCTTTGCAAGCTGCGGTCTCCCATCGTTAAGTATCCAGCTCAAGGTTCGAGGTGGAGGATTTGCTCGTCTTTCGGCAAACAGGCTGCGGTGTTGGTTGCATTGCGCATGATTGTAGAAGCGCCGGCCAGGTCTAAATGTGAAAGAGAGTCAACGCCTCGTAAAGGTGAACATGTTGGTCAAAGGTAGGTACTTTGATTATCAACAGCGCTAGGCTTAAAGCTTCGCTGAAGAAAGCAGAGTGTCGGCATCGGAAAAAGTACTTTCCGCTGAAGAACAAGAACACTCCCTTCTCCAACTACAACCCTTTCCTCCTCTCTATATTGCAACGTCTCTTGTTCGGATGATCATCACAGCCCTTTCAAATTAGTAACACTACACAGATCGTAGCTCGCTTGTAAAGAGATTCTCCCCAGACATCGGTACCGGATGCAAAACACCGCTCGAGCACACAGCGTCGCATGTTGATGGCGGCTTTCTCCATGATCAACTTTCAGCCGAAACGAAAAGCTTCAAAAGATCGTGTTACTCGATCGAATGATTATAGAGGCCAACCTGGTTGGGACCAAGCTTAATCTTGAGATGAACAGTGTGTCAATGGTTCATGCCGTCCGACATTCCGAGAGAAGTCTCTCATGCTTTAAGAGGACGTCAAGCAGAAGACATTTCCTGATTTCTTGTTCCTTCTTTTCTTCTCTCTATGCTGGCCATATTACACGTTTAATTCTTCTTTCGTCCTTCTGTTTCTATTCGTTCATTTATCAACTCTCCTTTCCGCTATCACAATGCAGATTAATCAAGCTTTGAAACTGTCGTTTCTCCTTCCCTCGGTTTATGCTCAGCTTCACGGTGCTGCCAAAACTGCTGTACGTCTACCAAGCGGCTACATGAGGCCTACTAAATTCTGTAGGGCCTTCTTTACTTCGGTACAGAGACTGAAAGTGTCTCTTTCGGCGATGCTGCATATCAAGCTGCTCTCAAAGGGAACGATGATTTCGGCCAAATCACACCAGGAAATTCGATGAAATGGGATGCGATCCAGCCGGCTCCAAACACCTTTACCTTCACGGCAGGAGATGCCATTGCCGATCTTGCTGCGACTAATAATCAACTCCTTCGCTGCCACAATCTTGTATGTCGAAGTCGCTCCTTTTATTTTTGGGGACTCCTTGGGACTCAAACTTTCGGGAAACTCTTGCTGCAGAGTTTGACTCCTAGGATCATTGCCATTCTACCTTGAATTCATACTAATCTTTCAAGGTGTGGCATGAGCAGTTACCTGATTGGGTCAGTGGAGGGAATTGGACGGCGGCAAGCTTGACCCAGGTTCTACAGAATCACATCACTACCGAAGTCACCCACTACAAAGGGAAATGCTATGCATGGGATGTGGTAAACGAAGCACTCAATGACAATGGCACATTTGGGAATGATGTCTTTTTCAACGTTCTTGGTTCGGATTACATCAAGATTGCCTTTCAAGCTGCCGCGGCAGCAGATCCAGCTGCGAAGCTTTACTACAACGATTTTGGTACAGAGTTTCCTGGAGTCAAAAGCACAGCAGCTCAAGGTATCGTAAAGATGCTAAAGGACGCCAACATCAAGATCGATGGCGTAGGATTTCAAGGCCATTTCACTGTGGGTGGCACCCCGTCAGTGGCCACGCAAGTGACCAACATGGAAGCCTTCACTGCTTTGGGTGTTGAGGTCGCGATCACGGAACTTGATATCCGTATGACGCTTCCACAGACAGATGCTATGCTGGCTCAGCAGAAGACAGATTATCAGACGACTGCCGCTGCTTGTCTTGCAACCAAAAACTGTGTCGGTGTCACCGTATGGGACTTTGATGACAAGGTGAGTTTGTTGAAACCGGATTCTAAATCCAACTAAAGAGATGTTAGTATTCATGGGTTCCATCAACATTCCCAGGAACTGGCTCGGCCGATATAATGACCGCGAATGTTACCAAAAAGCCGGCATATTTCGGTGTTCTGCAAGCGTTCACTGGAACGGCTGCCAACTCAACCACTACCATGCCGTCAATGCCCAATATGACGGTCACCGCACCATCCTTAAGGGCGTCATCCTCAGGAGCGTCTGCTCTTGATAAGCCTGGAATGATATTGGGGATGTTGCTATCACTGATTTTCGCGATGTTTATTGTGAGTTGAAATGGAGTGACGGCTTCCATTTTTCCGAGTGTTCAATCAATGAAAAAGAATATCAGTAATCTCAGTCTCCGTTACTACCAAATCTGAGTGATGAATACTCCAGCCAGGCTCGGAGCATAGTGCCACGCCGTGAAAGTGTAGTTGTTGAAAATTTCTTATTTTTGACTTTTGTTTTTCCATCTTTTTTTGGATAGTTGAATATCTTGAACGCAACTCCACATCTCCTCCTTTGCTGAGCTAATTACGGCTGGCCCTTCCAGACGTCGTCGGCAATAGATCTGACAAGTGCCAACTTGTTCTTCATGTCCTCCCACCCAAGCAGATTCCCCTCTTCGTGGCTTGCAAACCCACACTGTGGACTGACACCCATCCTGTCCAAAGCTTGCTCTCTGCTCTGGCCAGCTCCTTTCGCGATAACATCGGCAGCAGCATAGAGTCTTTCCTTCATCTTCTCCTTGTCCTCAAGTTCCGGGAACTTGGAAGTGATGACACCAAGAATCACATTCTTGTGGGCGGGGAGGTGCAATAACGGCTCGAATCCGCCAGCCCTGGGTGTATCGTACTCAAGGTAGTAAGACTTTTTGATAAAATTGAATTAGATACACCTAGGTACGGTTCCAATTGGGTTATTTACTCACATCGACATTGAGGGTTTGGAACAGCTTCGTAGCAATGCGGTCGTAGCCACCTTCCGAGAAATGACGGGATCCCATGAAGTTGCCTCTGCAAATGTGCAATCCAAAGTGCATCTTCTCTGAGTGATCTTTAATACTGTCATTGTAGCATTGGATATAAGCATCGAGGAGTTCGTCTGGTGTCTTGGTATTCGACTTATCCTCCGCCCACCCAGCAAGCATCTTCTCGGAGCAGAAATCTGAAAATCAGCACGAGATCTAAAGCCTGAAGAAGAGCACTTACAAGCAAAGTTAGGGTCATCAAATTGAATGTTCCTGACACCAGCAGCGTAAAGAATATCAAGTTCAGTTCGAACAGCCTGCGCAATATCTGCAAAGTATTCTGCGTCGCTTGGGTAGACGTCCTTGGGGAAAGCCAAGCCATCTTTGTATCTGAGATGATACCATGGAGGGGCAATCATAGTCAACTTGATGTCGCCCCATTTCTCTTCGGGGATTAGAGTCTTAAGGTACTCAAATTGACCGACCAATGTACTCTTGCCCTTATGTCTGATTTTGCCAGTGCAAAGACATGATTGGCCAGGTTTGTGACCCTTCTCAATGAAGCCAGCAATATCAGGGACATAGGGACGGAAGATATCCATGGAAGGGTTTCTGATTTCAGTCATACCCTCAAGTTCCTCGAAGAAAGTGCCCCAGAAGACCGCGCGACTGCAGTGATCAGCGTCAATAGCACAGAAAAGGAGGGTCTACTTACCGGTATTCTCCGTCTGATACGGCACGGAAGCCAGCATCGGTCTGGACTTTTACGACAGCATCGACAGCTTCATCTTCGGCCTTTGTGACCTTTTCCTGGGAGAGTTCATTCTTCTCGAAAGCGGCATGTGCTTGAAGCAGTTCCTTTGGTCGCAGGAGAGAGCCAAGATGTTCGGCTCGGAAAGGAGGGTTTCGATGGATCTTTGCCATATTGAGGGTGTTCACCTTGTGAGCTGTTATCTGAGAAATAATCAAGTTTCGGGAGAGTGGGAGGAAGCTTCGGGGAGGAAAGATTTTGACTGCCCCGCCTCAAGTACAGCCCCGCAATGTGACATGCACTGAGGACGCCATCCCGGTTATTTTTATTAACCGTGTTGCATTGTTTTGCATGGCATTCTATGACCCTAGTCGATCAAATATAATGTGAGGATCGCTGGGTATGTTGAAATCTATCATCACAATTATCATTAGCATTCAAATGCTGCTCAAGTTGAGGGAGAGATGAAGTTCTCACGGTGTGGGGCATTCTTGTGGGGCTTGAGCAACATTGAGGAGGAAATGAAAAGGACTCAACAGAGCCGACGCAAACAAGAAGCAAATAACTCAAGATCTGTTATCAATGCATCAACTTGTCTACCATAGTGCGTGCTTTAGGGTCTTGAGGATCGCTGAAATGTCGAGTCAGCCTCCATGAGAAAAGCATCTGCAAATGTGGAAATCTGGTTACGGTTCCATAAGTTAAGGTTTACTGATTGGCATAGAGTTTCCAAGGTATCGATAGCTTCTCCTATCATTCTGTACATCTGATGTTGTTCTCACAATATTTCCCCAGGAGCTATATTTCCCTAGAGCTCCTTCTATTCCGGGCATCTGACTGATACATCTTCCTGTTTCACAAATCTCATGCTTTCGACATTTAGTGCAAATGCTTAGTAACGAGACCATTCTCTCTTTGCTCATTCAATTTCACTTCTTTCTTCTTTATAATAACTCGAGCTATTGAATCAAATGTATTATAATAAAGTTTAATCCTCAAGTTAGATCAATGATATCATCCGCCCCGGATGTGTTTCTCACGGGATCTGGGTCACGAACAGGCGCAGTTGATTGACCCGGGTTGTCAAAAATCCAATCTGCTTGCTCGATCGAGCTAATGTACTTCTCCTTTCCTTGCTGTCTCCATATCCTAAATTTCTCGTACCTCTCGGTATATTGTCCTGCGTCCAAATCTTCAGAATTTCTAGCACTACAATGTGCGTCCAACTCGACCATAGTCAACCCATCGTGAATTCCTGTCCTGGCTCGTACTTCAAAGTCTAGCCAATTCATCATGTGATTGGTAAGCGGTATGAACCCGTCATTGATACGATTGCTTGGAGTTCTTCCAGTTGAGCCATAAAAATAAGGGCTGTTCGGATTCTCCTCAAATCTCGCTTTAGCGAGCTCTATTGCAAATCTTTCCCTACGTAGTTTCCAATCTCTGCCGCTGAAATCCAAATCGTAACCCATAGCAACAGCTAGAGCATTTGTTGCGGATATAACGACACAGTCCCTGGAGTTGAGGGGTTGAGTTGTACTTTCATCCTCTCTCATGCGCCATTCAGAAGGTATAAAGTCGCGACCTAGATGATGAGATATTAAACGAAAGGTATTACCTACAACCTCAGGATGCGGATATAAATACTGAAGACTATCGAGATGGTCGACAGTCTGTGCACGTGGCGAAATTACTAATAGACTTTGGTGCCCAAATATCTTCTGTGGATCAGACGGGTCTGGGGCGAACGAAGAATTAATAGGTACTAGTATATGTTGTACGTTGTTGAAGTTGCTAGACATGGGGAAAGATGGATCTCCTGGTGAGTGCGAAAGCATAAGCTCGTCTAGACCTTTCGAGCTCCTTTCAACGTCGAGTAGCGAGGAAACTTGCATTCTAGCAATATTTGCGCCCAGATTCATTCTTCCCACCGCTACAAATGGGACTTTATGTATCGATGCATGTCCGCGGCCGACCCGTGTGTTGAGATATGAGCATATCATGTTTAGATACAAGAGCAGATTGGCTGTGCTGATGTTGCCAGTCCCAGGAATGCTTCGAAAATCAGCGCCTAGGTAAAATGAATCTTCTTCCCTAAGGCTGAGGAGATTGTTGTGAAGAGATACTTGGGAGATGACATTCTTCCAAGTAGGATAGCCATTTTCAACTGTTTTTGCTGATTTAGTGGCAGCAATAAGTTTTTTAAAGGTTGCTCGCTCAGAAATAGATAATGGACGAAACATTCTCTGACTTGCCTCATTGTCTAATGCTGCAGCCCGAGCTGGATCGTATGGGATAGTAGGGAACCCCATAATGAAAGTAGTATAGGAGAATTGATACTCGTTAACAAGAACATACACTGCAAAGGAATAACCTACTTTTAATACACTGCATGAATAAAGACATTTTTATGCTTTATTAACTTATAAATGATGAACAACTGAACGAAAAGTCGTGTGGACATGAAAGCGAAACTCTTCATGAAAAGGACTTGAATGAAGACTTGCCATCGTTTTGTTGGTTGTCAAGAAAGGATTACTACTTCTTGAAAGTAATAAGTCCACGTTATAAAAGCAGGGACAAAGAAATTTTCCGCATTTGGTCAAGATCACACGGGACCTCGAGAGAGGGTACACTCTGCTCTTTGTTGTTGAGCTCGCAATCGAATGAATGAATACTTCCCGCTGGAGAGGTACTACATATGGCTGCTGACAATTTCAACGACTCTTGCAACATGAGCTTGAGCTAAATGATGTGAGTAATTTAGCAGTAGTTGGTTTTGGGACCCCCCTTTCTTAGACTTTGACTTGGCGCAAAACCGATACAACAAGGTTGGCCGCCAAAGGAGAACAAGCAATTCAGCTATTTCTACTAATTCCACGGGACTTTCCACTAGTGCTCAAGCTCGAGTCAAAAATTGAAGCAGGAATGATGCCTCCTGAGAAGGCATGCCGGATTATCGATCGCATCAGGAGATCCTTCATCTATATCAGCTTCTTCGACGGGCAGGCCACTGTACATGCCTGGTCTAGGTTCATGCCGTGACTCTACGGTCTTTGGTGGCCGCAGACCCAAAAATCATGCACCGACAACAGTGAAAGTGGCGGGTACTGCTCGGCTTTACCCAGAAGGAATCTAATCAGGTAATATATTGCAAGAGAAGGGGACCAAAACGCATGGAAGATGACCGTATGAAAGCATGCTTGGTCATGTTGAACATATTTTCCTCGATCTTGGATCTAGGATAATGCACCCCATTGGCGAAGAAAGTGAATCTCTGCTCGCAGTTCTCTAGATAAATCGAGGACAGTGACGACATGGTTCGAAAGATTTAATTGTTGTATGCCACCCTGAGCAGGATGAAAGAACACATTCAGATACCAAGATTTGGGCCAAGAACTACTTCGTACCAACCCACAGAAAGATGCAAATAGCTGTGCTGCTGCAGAGTAGATGGATACCATTGATTGCACCGTAGGACTGGCAAAGCGAAATCGAAGCCAATTCACTATGGCTAGACTCGAATGCAAAATAGTCAGAGCGAGGATAAAGTGAATCAAAAGACAAAGTACTGTATTGTATAAGCCAGATACGTACCTGATGCTAGGAAGAGAAGACAGTGAGGTGATCAGGGAATTAGAATATCCGGCGAGCAGTGACAGTGTCATCACATCACCACAGTTTCAACCGGAAATCAGTACCGAGAATGGTTTGAATTATTTTGAGTTGACTGAAACTTTGGAACAATCCTGATCTCCCCATTTCGTGGATCCAGTTTGAGGTCTTCGACAACTCGAACTCGATTGTCGAAGCATAGCTTTCCACCCACGTACAACTGGCCACCAAACGCCCCGTGTATTGACCCGAGCAGCTCATTGAGACCACTTGGATCTAACAACATCTCTTTCAGCCATCTCTGTTTGCCCCAATGCGAGAATCTAGGCCATCCTGTATTAATAACCATTCGTGTCCACGTACTCGATTCTTGATACAGTCGACCATCCAAACATTCCCCGTACTTTCTCAAGCTCAGGATCTCTTTGAACTCTTCGATGCCTCTTGGCTTGTCCCATTCCGTCGACAGTGTAATTGATTCCAATCTGCCAACCCGGCACCACTCTTCAAGTCCTGCAGCAGCGCTCGCCACCCACTCTAGCTCATCGCGATCAAGCAATTCGAGGCACACTTTTAATTGTCGAATGCGTCGAGCAGGACGCTGTTTTGAAAGGGTGAGAAACTTGCGGTGGAGGTGAGTGGGTTGGCGAATGTCGAGTCGATTATGGTACCAGATGATGTCTTTGCACTCTCTATGAATCTGCTTGCAGGTTCGGAGGAGGGACAACGACCTCGCGATCTCGACGGTCCATGGCGAGAGTGTCACCGCACCGGATGGCGAAGCCAAGACATACGTGTAGATCTGATCGCGAATCTCTCGTGGAAAGACTTCGAGAAAAGGCAGAGGCATGTTGTGCCGTATCGTCGTTGAAGGGGAAAGATAAATGGATGCAAGGATACAAGGATGTCTGGTTAAGCTCTGGGACAATTTTGTTCCACTTTACACGAAGTTGTCGCGTCGCGTGAAGTCGCGACTCCCAACCTCTTCCATACTTCAACGCATATTTGAGACAGCCTCATGGTCGGTCAAGAGCAACCCTCGACCTCCACCTTCCATACAATTATCGGTGTAGACCTACAGCATAGCTCCTACTGCCATTGTATACTTTCACGATGCCGGGTGCAATTAAGAGGAGGAAGCTGGCCACCGACCGCCATGCGGCTTCCGTGAAACAGACTCGAGGTCTGCAAACTTTCACCACCACCTCAAAGGCAGTCAGCGTCGAGAAGTCGGTCATCGAGAAGGCATCGCATGTCGAGACCATCGCAATTACCTCCAAATCATCCACTACCACCAAGAGAAAGCTTGTCGACAGCGATGAGGAAAGCACGCCGGAGCAGTCTCCAGTCTCGAGCCAGACCAGCGTACGAGAGATCAGATCTCTACCTTCGCGACGATCGAATGACGTTCAATCTCTCCATACCCCTGAAAGACCAATACTTAGCCAAGACTCCGCAACATCGATTGAGACTCCAACGAAAGGAGCACGAAGTTTATTAGACCGGTTTCGCATATCAACTACAACCCCAACTCGATCGCCGTTGAATTCGAGCAGCTCAAGTCCATCCATTCTCGAAGTGAGCCCGGAAAAGATATATCTTGATACTCCCCACGACCTCCCTACCGAATTACTCGACCTCATCAATCTACACGCAGCATTCCTCACTGCATTATCGATACATTATGCCCATAATGGGACCCATGCGCCAGCAGATCTACGCAACCTCTGTCCAGATGTTGCTCGAGCGTGGGGAAAACGTACCGTCACCCTGGAAGATATTCGCAGAACCCTTGGCATCCTGAATACAAACATACCTGAGAAGTACGATCACAGAATATCACAATTGAGCCTCTCAGATTATGGCCATGGTAAGATCTGCATCGAGGTCAAGACGAATGCTGGAAAGCCAGGAAGAATTGCTCGACCTGTCAATGAAGATCTTCTCAATAACATATTCGCAAAGGGCCTAGTTACAACTTGGGAAGGGAAGATAGTTCAAAAGTCAGTGGTAGCTTTCATTGAAGATCTGCCGCTCCAGCCTATCGCCATTTGCCCTTCTTTGATCAAGATGTCACCATTGCTTGCAAAAGGACAACGCAGGCTAGACGATCTGAGAGCTGGTATGGCAAGCAAGGACACGAAGGAGAGGAAGTTAGCAATAACATCAACCGCGAATGGAACAAAGCCCAGCCTTCTCGAGCGTCTCCGAGCGAAGCAATTGCATCAATCGACACTGGCACCGCTTCCTTCGAAGGCAGAGCTAGCCAGAAAAGCAGCGTTGGGAAGGATTGACGAGGTCGTTGCTGTCCTCACGATCCTCAGCACGTCCAACTCTGTTGGTCAGCAACGTATATCCTTCACTCTTCCCACGGTCATTGGCAAGCTGAAGGATTCGTTCAAAACTCCCATGTCTAGAGAGGAAGCAGATACCTGTGTCAGGTTACTAGCTGCAGAGATCGCTCCGGATTGGGTCAAAATTGTGAAGATGGGGAAGATTGAAGCCTTGGTAGTGAACAGAGACGAGAGGCCGCAGGAAACGGATATCAAGGCGCGTGTTCAGCGGGTGATTTGAGATGTTCGGGATTTTGGAATTGCTGAGCTGAAGATGATCACTGTTGGAAGGATGATACCCGATCATGAGTTTTGGATGAGCACCGAACAACTGCAGACGCAGTGATGTAAAAGGCGGAAACAGTAGACACAATCATGAAATGCATGAATGATAAATCAACGTACTTCTCTATTCCTGGTTTTCCTGACTTCTATGGTGGCAAAGCGCAAGAATGCTTCAACGTCAGACCATCCCCTTTCCCGAAAGTAGACAATTAAACCACTCCATCGTGCCCATCATCAGAATATGCATATTGTTCGTCTTATCATTCTCCCAGTATCCAAGACTGCTCACTTCTTCTTCGGTCCGAATCGTGGAGCCCCAATATCACTACCCCGTAGCTTAATACCCAGAATCTTCTCCATGCTTGCTAACAGCTTCTGGTCTGGAGCAGCAGAACCCCGCTCGAAGTCCGCCACGATGCTCTGTGTGGTATTGCACTTGGTCGCCAGATCCTTTTGCGTCATCTTCGGGACCATCTTTTGTCTCTGTTCGGAAATAGCGTTGCCAACTTCCTTTCCTACAGCTGTGGGCTTGACAATATCATCGCTTCGGTCGACTTTGGTGAGATGTTGGCCTTCGACGCCGGGTTTGGAAGCCTGTCACGAGGGGTTAGTGGGGTTGAATCAACAGGAAAATGGACGTAAGGAGCGGCAAGAGAACATACAGAGTTTCCAGCGCCAAACTTCTTCTCTGTACCGATGACTGCACCGCTTCTTTGAGCTGCGTTGAGTGCAGACTTGCCCTTTACGACGGTCTCTCGTTGTGCGCCTGCAGCACCGCGGGCTCGGCTTCCGATCTTCGTGACAGTGTCCCAGTCATCCATTGTGAGAGATGTGTGCAGCGAAGATGATCAGAAGGTAGTTATTAATGTTTGAGGAAAGAGTGGGTGGTTTGCGCGGGTCGGGAAAGTTGTTTGTTGTGGTATGAAGAAGGGAGGAAGTCAGATTGTTGACGGAATATCACAGAAATGTCAATGAGGCTGTGGTGGCTCGAGTGGCACTGCTTTCTCATGCTTTGCCGGGTGAATCATGCGCTAAACTCTTTGTGGTTGAGAATCCTGGTTAGATCTCGGACATTCACAACATGGGATTTTGTGATTTGACACCCGACTCTCAGATGAGTTGAAACTCGGAAATAATATCGTATGTTTTTGCCATTGATTTTTTCTGCAAATAGTCGCATCCAAGCCTTCATAATGCCATCAACGTTCAACTCATAACCCGACTGTTCGTCTCTGTTCAGCACACAAGCCCTGCACCGCCACCGCCAACCGAGCCATTGGAGATGGAGGGGTTCGTCTCAGTACTTCCTCCACTTCTTGCCATATCGCTGGTACTTTCAGCTGGGAGCTCTCTAGACATTATTCTGCTCGCCATCCTTGAAATCTACAAGCATTGGCAGTTTATTATCGAATTCGTCCAAGCAAACATAAACCCGGTCATCGTCATCGATATCTCAAAGTATGTAGTTGCGGTCTTCACCACTCTCCAAATTGCACGCTTCGCTATTGCACTCTCCCGCTCTGAGTTTTGCAGCGATGAGTTTCCAGTGAAGCCCATGCTATTTCCTTGCCAGACAAGTCATGTACGAATGTTTCCCAAGAAGCATGGCTTTTCGTATTCATACTTGCTGGTCGGTATCCCAGTCGGCTGGAAAGGAAATTCTAGAGGCATGATCTCAGCAGAGGAGGAAGACAGTCGTCCATGGTACATTAGATGGCTTTCGATGAAGCCGAGCCTGGGGTGGTGGACAGTCAATAGCGACGACTACCTAGCCCGAGGTCATGTGCATGATGGGTTAACAGGAAAACTTCGAGGGTATCTGGAGAGCCAGGTTCGTAGAAGTCACCACTCAGGAATGATCGAAGCTCACAATTTCAGGGTGTTGATCACAAGAAGTACGCATTTGCATACTTGCTCACTGCAGCAAAATTCCTTGGCTATGCTTCAAATCCTGTCTCTGTCTGGCATTTGTACTCAGCAAAGAGAGAACTGCAGGCTTTGGTGCTAGAAGTCAACAACACTTCTGATGAACGTCACACTTATTTCCTCGAACCTTCTTCGGCGAAACTGGTCTCAAGAGGTGCAGATATTCCTGATTCTATACGGTATTCGGGAAGCTTGAATAAAGATTTCTACGTCTCGACCTTCAATGACCGAGCTGGAAAATATTCTGTCGCTGCATACGACCCGCTATTTCCGTTCATGAGTGGAGCTGGACCTGTGAATACTACCATCACCCTGAGTTCTGCAAATTCACGTGCCATGCTCATTGCCAGAGTTTATTCGGCAGGCCAAGCTCTTGATCCATCATCCATGTCCGTCTGGGCAAAGACAAAATTCTTGGCCTCTTGGTGGTGGGTTGGATATCTGACGTTCTTTCCGAGAACTGTGTATGAAGCGTTCAGGCTCCTTTTTCGAAGAGGTGTGCCTTGGGTGTCTCGACCTGAACCGAGAAAGAATACCCTTTCACGCCATGCAGATCCCACAGAAATTCACATTGAGAAGCATTTTTGGGAATATCTGGAAGATAGAGTCATGAGTTCTGAAAATGATATCACATTACAATATATTTCAGCAGGACTCCTTGGTCCTTCATCAGAAGGGCGTACAGCACGTTCTCACACATCTGGAGAACGTACACTCGAAATTCGGGTCCTGACCCCCATTTTCTATTCTCGCATCGTCCAATATGCAGATATATATGCGGGACTTCTCCAGGAAATTCAAAGCAAGACCATCACAATTTCAGATCTGACCCTACTCAAGCTTCTCAGCTTCGAGTACTCACCAATACTGAATCCGAAGATCTCACGAGCCGGGATTTGTTTTGCCCTCATCAAGAAGATGCGTTCAGAAGTTCCACCAATTCCTCTGCTGGAAAAGCCAGATCCTGGATCAGAAGTTTTTCAAATACCTTCGCATTCTGTTCACGGCCTCTCTGCTCTCGACCATTACGTTTCCGCCACCGCTTCACCTTCTGAAGTGTATAACTATGTGAGAGGAGTGCTGAAGCTGTTATTTGCGGAGCGGATTGCTCATGGTTGGATGGAGATCTTGAATTTTGAGATATTCATCGTGAGGCTGATGGCTATTTGGGCGGTTGTGAAGTTTGTGCTACCCTGATTGTGTACATCTGTACTGGAGTCGAGCATCCTTGGCTGGAGCCTCCGAATGTCGAATTGTTGGGAATTGTATTTGGAGCATTAAGCGTTGCTTGGGATAGAACGGCGAGCGTAGAGAAATAGACTTTATCTTAGAATGAAAGCTTGCTCTCACCAATTACATGATTTCTGCTATCCTTCCGTTACCTCAGTTCAACCGCACCGTAGAGCATACTCACATAGCATTCTACGCCCTTTCTAAATCAAGCCTACTCCTCCTGAATAGACGATCATAGTGCTTAGCCTTCCTTGAGGAAGATTCATCCTTGAATATGTCACAACATGCCGAACTGTCACAAATCATGGTTGAGTCTCAATCCTTGAATGTATGTATGTTCATTACTATCTAACCCACGCCGCAACTCCACCCTATCACTCCAGAGAAAACAAACAACGTAGACCAGCTGGTGAAACAGCTCCTCTGAAAATGGAAAGAGGAGGATCAACCAGATCGCAATGCATGAAAAACACCGAATCCCGCTCCATAAAAGACATTACTATAACATGAATGCTGGTATTTAAACGTTCCGCTCTACTCTTGAGCATCCCTTCTATAAGCTCATCCATCCAAACATGCCGGTAGCACCAACAAGTACTATGGTTGTCAGAATACCTGCGCCCACTCGGTCTCCTTCTGTTGCAGGCTTGATCGCTTCCGGGTTGGCCACCGATTGAGATCCAGCATTAGGATTACCAACGGACGTACCACCCGTTGTATTCGTGAGGGGTGCACCAACGGCTTGAAGCGGGAGGAGATTGACAAAGATAACGCTCATGGCTGCCATCTGCTGGCCAACACCTGAAGTGCCATCCCACGCTGGAGCTTTTGACCAAGAAAGACCGCATGTTCGACCATTGGTGCCTCCCACACATTGTGCTGCAGCTGCCTTGGCGGATGCTTGAAGTTTGGGCATGATGAGGTCATGAGTAAAAGGGGCGACGAATGTCGTTGCCGCGAGCCAGCGGGAGAGGTATGCTTTGAAGGAATACATGTCGGTTGTACAGGTCAATTTGGGTTCGCAGGCCACTTCGTAGGCGATGTCGTCTGGGAAGAATGTATTGAAGGTCGAATTGAGAAGCAGGTTGACCCGTGATTCCCAGATTGCACTGCCATTTGTCTGCTTCTTGTCAGTGCCGTATGGAAAATTCAAGTGGGTCAACTCACAAAGTTATACATATTCGCTGCCCCAAGTAGCCAAACTCCCATGTTGTAGGAGAACTGGACCTTGTTGATATCCGTGCAATTAGTTTCGATATGAGCACCATCATAGATGTTGTAATTGGCGTCCATTAAACCAACACTCTGAATCCAATCCCAGGTCTTTTCCGCATACTGAGCGTATGTAGCATTGTTGGTATAGCGTGCTAACCTCGATCCAAGATTGAAAAAGCAGCCATTGGCAATGGAGTTCTTGTAGTCGTATCCGGTCAAGTAAGGGTACACCTGCCACCGGAGGCTGTGGAAAGTCAGTCAAAGATCCCAAATCTTTCGAAACGCTACTCACCCTCCGCCGCAAGTAGCATCCGGTCTGACTGCCTGTGTATTGAAGACTGCTTGTGCCAAAGAAAGCCACGATGGCTGATTTGAAGCTGGGTTCTGGAAATTCGTCTCTGCCGCAGACATGGCCGTCATTCCCCAAAAGCCTTGATCATCATTTCCCATAGACTGCGACCAATTCGAGGGCATCATGTCGTCGTTCTCTCCCACCTGCCATTGAATACCCGCCGCAGTCACATCGTTGTACGAAGTATCGCCAGTATAATGCCAATAATCGATCATAGTACCCCACATAGCCCCAGATTCCCACCAGTAATCTGCCCAAGTCAGCTATTGATATCCGTCCGGGATTATCGTCAACACTCACATCCCCAAGTGGGATTAGGCGGAGGACCAGGTAAAACTCCAATGATGCCTCCACTTGTGTTTCCCTTGTAGTATGTCATCATGTCGTAGGCTATTGTGGCAGCCGTGTCTTTGATCGATTCTATCAACAATATCAGCCATGCGCGTAAACAATCCTCAAGGCTGGCGTACGTGTAGAAGTCAGATCCAAATCGAGAGCGTGCACCAAGCTACTCCCTAACAGGAGTGCGCCGGTCGCGCGAGACACGAGTGTAGGAAACATGACGAGGGGAGGTTGTTGTGGTATTCAGGGGATGTGTTGATTCTGGAGGGTCGAGGCGATCTTCACAAGGAACGAGTGGACGTCAAACACTTCTTCGATCGCGCAATGATGGTGATGGACATCGATGGCGAAGAGGGAGAAGTCGAGACAAGAGACCAGAGGACGGCGGAGGAGGCAAAGGGGGGCGAGTCCACAATCGAGGATGCGGTCGGTGTCGATGATGGATTGGACGAGAGGAGGCAGATCGCACGACGGAGCTTGGGTTGGTTGCTGTTGGGGCAGGCCTAAAGAGGGAACACTAAAGTGCTGACTTGTACCAAGATTGGGTGCAACTTTAAATCAAGCTGAAAATGCTAGCCGCTGTTGATTGGGCAATTGATGAATCACGATTCGATAAAAACAATAAAAGAATCAAGAGGGAGCATAGAATGAACGTATATTATTCTACCGTTAAAGAGTTTCTCTCCTCCTTCTACGCACAAGAATAGATTCACTCGTTGCGCATTCGATTTCCTCTCCCCTCAGTTCTCATCCCATCTTCTCAGGGGTCTTCCAGGTTTCGCCACTTTTCGCGATCACAACGCTGATCATTGGTCCCACGGCGCCATCGAAACCGGGATTACAGTGGATCCAAACAAATCTTTTTCAGGGGTTGAGAGCTTAATCGATGTATTTATATTCAGATTTAAATCCCCATCGTCTGGAGTAATTCTGGGTCTGGCGGGCTCTCACAAGAACTTCCACTCTGGTGAAGGAGGTGTGATTTCATAAACAGTAATGGATGGTGTTGTTATTGTTCGTGTCCTTGAGCCCGCTCACCATGACAACACTCTGCATCCAATGCATAACAGCAGATCATAAAATGCTGCAGGTACGGGCAAATCTTGATTTCATCAGCCACACCTTTGTGTCGACTGACGATGAGTGGCTATCGATTAGCAATCTCTGCAAATGCTGTCTTCTCGACCTGAAGAGCTCAATTGCCGCTGACTGGATCGTCTTGAGTATGCATCTTGACCTTTTCTCCACTCACAAGTTCCATGCAAGAGGACGAGTTACGAATCTGAATACAAACAGTATTGAAATTTATGATTTATGGCTAGGTGCAGCCTTGCCGCAACCTAATCTGAGGTACGCAAGTCTTCACGAATGAGACAGCATTCTTGTCTCATCACCACTAGTAACAGCTTGCGTGTTCCCCAGAATTCCATTCCCAAGAAGCCTTTTGTCTCCACATTCTCGAATCGTTTCAAAGGAGAACTTGTTTGATTACCTCAGAACATCAACGTCACATCCCGCAACCTCATCAAGAAGAAATCTGTAATGAGAATCGGATTCATTAACTTTTGTGCCCTCTAAGACACTCTATGTATGTGTGAGAAGGGCCAGTGATGTATAACTCCATCATCTCCTTGTCATAAGACTGGTCCCAAAGAGAAATTGACCGCCAATGCAAATACCCTTGATACGCTCCGCCCAATGCAGCCCGGGGAATGACACCATATCAATAACAGTACATCATCTGTCTACAAGGCCGCAGCGGCGACGATCAGGGCACCCATAGCACCAACGAACGAGCCAGACAAGATGTTGGCAGCATTGGTCGAGACGGTGGTTGAGCCAGTGGTGGTGGCTGATCCAGTTGGCTTGAGACTAGTGCTCAAGCCGGTAGCATTGCTGCTTGATCCAGAAGATCCAGTGGCAGTTGCGCTTGAGCCACTTCCGGTCTGGGTAGCGTTCGTTCCTGATCCTCCCATGCCGCTTGGTGAAAGACCTGAACCGGAGCTGGCAATGTTACCTCCAGTTGCAGCCGTGGATGCAGAGGATGCAGCACTCGAGAATGAAGATGCGGTGGTCGCAGAGCCTGTAGCACTCGATACTGCAGAGCTGCTCGTGCTCGAGGAAACGTTGGCGCATGAGAGATCGAAGAGTGGGGTGCTGCTGAGAGGCGTACCGGAGGCAATACCGAAGCTTGGGTTGGGAGTAGCACTGTCGTCAGTGTCTTCCAGAGTGTACCACCAGGTGTTAACGACGCCAAAGTTGGGGCATCCGACTTGGTCCCAGTAGGTCTTAGCATTGTCTGCACTAGGGATGGCGAGGTTCTCAGTCTTTCCAGTAACGGGCCATCCGGTCTCGGTGATCCAAACAGGCTTGCTGCCAACAGCGCCCTTGGTGTTGTCGAAAGCTTCGTTGAAGAGAGAAGCACCTTGGTCAATGCCGTTGGTCTCAGTGTTCTGGAAGTATGGGTATGCGTCAACTCCAACCCAATCACAAGCACTGATAACAGCGTCGTTGGATCCGTTGACCCAGGCGGTCCAGGTATCAACGTGACCTACACCGACACTGCTCAAAGCGGTGCCTGCAATTGCAGTTCGTACTTGGCTAATGTAATCGACAATCGTAGCTGGATCAGCTCCGATGGTAGAACCAGCTGCAATACCAGTTGGAGAGTTTCTGTAGAGATCCTCACTGCCGACCGAGATACCAGCAACCTTTCCTGAGAGCTGAGAACCGTATGTGGAGATAGCACTCTTGAGAGCAGCGAGCTCATCGGTGAAGGTGGTGCCGGAGGCCCAGAGTGTGAGGAGAAGGGAAGTATCCTGGGCAATTGCTGCGGGAATGGCAGAAGTTGGCGTGTTGGTGGTTCCTCCTTGCTATAGAAACATTAGCACGCAATTCGAAAAATGTGTTATCCACCGCGTAAGATAATAAATGAGGGTGTGCAGAGAGAGATCGATGTTATAAGAGAGCGTGCCACGTACGATCATGGTGTACAGACGAGCACTGGTGAATCCTGATGCCCCAACCAGGCTCTTGGCGGTGGAGAAAAGGGATTCGAAATCAGCTTGAGCTCGCACAGTGTAGCCATCACTCTTGGTAGCACCATAGTTGAAGCCCTGATATACGGCCGAGGAGGTTGCGAGCGATGCCGCAAAGGCGAGAAGACCGGACGAACGCATTTTCGAAGAAGAGATCCGAGATTCTCAGCGATAGTGGTTTGGTAATTAGAAGAGAATACTAAAAGTGGTTGTTGGAGAAGAAGAAATCGATTTGCTGTTGTTGTTGTTGTTGGTGAAGAAAGAAAAAAAAGAAGTGTCGTGGGGATTGACGTTGACGAAAGTTGGATGAAGAGAGAAGAAGGAGGAAGGAGGGAAGAAGCAGGTCTGTTATGTTGGGGAAAGAACTATTTAAAGCGCGTACGAGTATTTCCCTGCGAGCGACCTGCCCAAGTGCCACTGCCCAGTGCTCTTCCCTGTGCCGATAAAGAGCCTTTATCTGTTTGTGGCGTAGCGCCAAGAGTTTTCCGAGCCTGGTCAGGCCAGCCAGGAGCCACTCCGACCCACTTCCCAGCGGACATCGAATGAAATCTGGGGGTGACGACACGAATGAGAGTTTTTCCCCTGAGCCTTCCCTGTTTAGGCGGCACTCAACTCTGGTTCCTGCATTGGGGCGTTTCTCTTCGAGCCCTGCTCAACGTTCTCCTCGACTCTCATTGCTCCTCCACGAGCAGAACAGTTGATCTCCTTCGTCACTTCAACTTGCGAGCATGAATTACTCCTGCATCGCGAAAAGAAATCACATGTTACATATTGTCTTGCCGCTGCCAACAATCTTCCAGCACCTGGTCTCACAATTATCTCGTGTTCTGGCTCTTCGGGTGGCGTTGCCTTGATCTGAATACGAACATGGGCAGGGATGACACGGATTGCCCGGGAGAATGCCAAAACTGTGTTCGCGGTCCATGGATCGATGAACAATCTTTCTCGTTTGGGTATAGATAGATTGCCAAGAACGAAATGAAAAGTGGACAGCACGTGCTTGGGCTTCTATTCTTGCTTTGAGGAATGAGGAGTCATTTCCGCTGCCCGAGACACATATTCTATTATAACTTTCTCGGGTCCGAACAAACCTTTCACTCTGTCATGATTCTTCAAGTGAAAAGCATCACGGCGATGCGTTGTCAAGCAAAACATGTGTTCAGCCGTTGTCTTGTTGAGATGCACAAGCGAGGGGTTTCGAGGTTTCGAAAAAGTTTTTATCCCCTCGGATGATCTCATTGCGGCGCATCAGCCAATGAACCAGTCCAGTCATGTGAAGGAGAAATGAACTGTACTCAATTTATATTCATGTTACTGCTCCATGGAAAAGATTTCTCGGAGCTCATTGAGGCAAACGTTTCCTGCTAACTGAAGTATCACCACTGAGGCATCATTTCAGTGCTCCTACAATCAAGTCACGAAAACTTGGCTTGTGCTGCAAGTGATGGTCCATGTCTCGCAGCATCACCAGCGTCTGCTCGAAGAACGCCTGTCTTTTGGCATGTTCTGCAAAGTCGCCTCTCGTATATGCAACGCGCTTGGGTATTTCCTCTTGCATTTCAATCTGGTTCTGACTGTGTATCGCGTTGTGCTTTTTTCGTCTCCCCACTTCCCTCGAGGATGTCATGCTGAAGAAACCACGATATTGATAATTGAAATACAAGACTACCTACCTTCGTACCTTTACTGCTGCTGATCGACTTTCACGATTAGAGTCGGTTAGGGTTCTCATAGTTCATGGATATTCACCGGAAACCAGGTCCAGGGTAGCTCTTGGCACTGTAACGAGCATTGGTATCGAGATTGCCGATACTTGGCACCTCGCGCTTCCGCCCAGACTCCCACTCACACGAGCCTGAGACTTTGGGTAAGTCTCTACTTAGAGGTATTAAGGCAAGTAGGTTGCAAACATTTGATTATTTCCAGCGGCTACTGAAAGGCAAGATTTCCACGTGATCATATGGCCCGAGCGTTCCTTGCTTTGATACCCCGCCTTCTTGCATGAAAACACAGATCTCGGGCAACTCCTAGCAATCACTCTCTCATGCGCATTGGACAAAAGATATACGGAAGTCTTACTCCATGCCATTATCATGTCCCAACGGCCGGATCTTGCTGTACTACACCCGGTCGCTGGTAGCTACCTGCCCAGAACAGCAATGCTCGGCAGACAAGGCCCAATGCTAGACCCCTAATTGCCGAATTCCATGCTTATCACTTGACTCTCCTCTTCATGATGGGGTCCGCGATAGCGGAACTGTGCTCCTCGCACGTTGTTCTCGATTATGACCTTCCTAATCAAGTCTCCTTTCGCCGCAAAGCTTATCTCTACATGATGCGTTGATGACAGCAGTGACAAGCGTGGCAGTCTCCTTCCGAGCGAGAAATAGAGAAATATACAGCTTGACGAAGCTCCTCTCGCCTTCCGCACTGTCGCTTGATTCCAAACCATCAAGATGTCCGGCATACTCAAGCGACTGCGATTGCAACATTCGGATGCAATTGATGGAGTTGATGTTCAGCAAAATGTCAGTCCTAGCTCAGGCATGTTCGAAAAGGACACCGGAAAGTCAAGCTCTCGAGACGTTCAAGAAGCGGAGGCAAATCGAAAGCTTGCTATATTCGAGAGGGCCCACAGATGGGATCCGAATCTGGAAGACAGTCAACTAGATGACATTGATGATGCAGTCAATACTCGAGATCCAAATGCAGAGGGCAAGATATACGATGAAGTGTTTGAGAATTCTCCGTATCCAGAAGTGCGTTTCCGACTCCACTTCACATTTTCCTGGTCCTATCTTGTCTTTCCTTCTGCGGTACTCAATTGGAAGATTGAGGACGTACATATCACAAGTGGTGAGACTGTCGTAGAACTGGAGGCTTGAACTGGAAATACGCCGTACAGCTTCCACTAACCAGTCACGCAGGTCCGAGCTGCTGTCAGGAATTACGATGTAGACCTACCTGCCAACACTGTGCGTGCCTGGGTTATTGGTATGCTGCTAAATACAATCGCTTCTGGGCTCAACGCATTATTCTCGATGAGAGCTCCAACCCTCACGATCACCTCCATCGTTGCCCAGCTTGTTGCGTACCCACTCGGTGTTGGATGGTCAAAGGTCATGCCGTCACGAACATTCAACACGTGTGGCCTCAGGTGGAGCCTTAATCCTGGCCCGTTCAACCTCAAAGAGCATGGCTTGATTGTCATTATGGCCAACGCTGCATTCGGATCAGGTGTTGCCTATTTCACAGATACACTTGTGGCACAGCGAGGTTTCTATGGCCAAAACTTTGGCTGGGGTTTCAACATTCTATTCGCTGTCACAACCCAATGTATCGGATTCGGTATCGCAGGACTGATGCGCAGATACCTTGTCGAGCCAGCTTCGATGATTTGGCCTCAGACTCTTGTCAATACTGCATTCATATATGCTCTACACGATCATAGCAAAACAGACCCAGCGAAATCCAATGGGTGGTCGATTGCTAGATATCGTTGGTTCTTCTATGTCTTCATTGGGTCTTTCACGTGGTACTGGTTTCCTGGATATAGTAAGCACGAAATTCATCTTCCTTGAGATATCCCTGAAGCTAACTGGAACAGTCGCAAAGTTCTTGAGTGTCTTCGCTTTTGTGACGTGGATCCGACCGAAAAGTCCTACTATCAATCAAATCTTTGGAGGCTGGACTGGCATTTCTCTCATCCCTATCACTTTCGATGTATGCTTTCGCCCAAACCGTCTTTACCACTCCATCTAATCAAGCTGACGTTTTCATAGTGGACCCAGATCACTGGCTACAATCTGAAGTCACCTCTGATTCCGCCATGGTTCGCCATCGCCAACACTTTGGTGGGAACAATCTTTTGGTTTTGGATTGTCACATCGGCACTACATTTCAGCGGTCACTGGTATGCGGAGTATCTTCCCATCAGTGATTCCAACAGCTATGACAACACGGGCAAAGCGTATAATGTAACTAGAATATTAACACCAGAGTACACATTAGACGTAGCGAAGTACCAGGTAAGCTGAGACTTCACTCCCACTTCCATCGAGCTTGACTCATTCTCTCAGAAATACTCGCCACTTTTCCTCTCGACCACTTTCTCGCTGTCTTACGGCCTAGCATTTGCATCCATAGCTGCTGTCCTATTCCACACCATTCTCTTCCATGGCCAGGAAATCTGGATTCAAGCCCGGTCTGTAAGAGGTGCCCTGGACGACAACCACACTAAGATGATGCGGAAGTATAAGCCTGTTCCTGGCTGGTGGTATGGAGCATTGTTCCTCGTGATGATTGGTCTGAGCTTCGCGACGGCTCTGGCCTGGCCGACTCATCTCTCCTGGTGGGCTCTAGTTATAGGTCTACTGATCTCTATCGTTTGGACAATACCAATTGGGGTTATATACGCCACCACAAACATTCACCTTGGATTGAACGTTTTCACAGAATACATCATAGGATACATGCAACCAGGACGTCCAGTGGCAATGATGTTATTCAAAACCTACGGATACATAACCATGAACCAAGCGCATGCTTTCTTGGCCGACCTCAAACTAGGACATTACCTCAAGATCCCCCAGCGTGTTACATTCTTTGGTCAAGTCATTGGCGCAGTCTGGTCCTGCTTCGTTCAACTAGCTGTAATGGAGTGGGCTTTGGGGCATATCAGCGACATCTGCAAGTCCGGCCAAGCAAACAACTTCACCTGCCCAAACGCCCGCGTATTTTTCAACGCATCTGTGATCTTCGGGCTCATAGGACCCAAGAGAATCTTCTCTGGAGATGCAACCTATGCTGGTCTGCAATGGTTCTGGCTTGCTGGCTCCGTAACACCATTTCTGATATATTTTGGAGCGAGAATGTTCCCTCGGTCGAAGATACGATTCTTCAGCGCACCTATCTTCTTTGGAGGAATGCTGCAACTGCCTCCGGCTACTCCATTATCATATCTTTCGTGGTGCATCGTTGGATTCGTATTTCAGAAATTAATCCGGAACAGATTCAGGGGATGGTGGATGCGATTCAACTACATCACGAGTGCCGGGATGGATGTAGGGTTGGCGATATGCACGATTCTGATAATTGCTGCTTTAAATTTGACTACGACGACATTTCCAGATTGGTGGGGAAATAGGGCGCCGGCCGGGACGCTAGATTATCTTGAGACGGCATTTCAGAAGAAGGTTGCCAAGGGCAGTACGTTTGGGCCTGCAACGTGGAGTTGATGGATACATTGCCAGTTGGAAGCGATGTACATGTTCGAGGATGTGAAGATCACTGATAACCCGACGATTTGTTTGCGGGTGGTAGTATAGGCTTGAAGGAAGCAATGATCCTCGAAAGCCAGTCCGGCTCGTTGACTCCTGAGATCGCTCTCTTATACCGTGCCCATATGGGATGAGGATTTTCTTCTCGTTTTCCCCTCTCAACGCACATGATTCTGCACATAAATGCCATCTTCCTCATGATGAATGGCGTTACTTTGCTAGCAAGTGCTAGATTGGAGAGAAACGTGTTGAAGTTCTGATAGATCTGGCTGTCTATTGCTTGCTTGAATAGTTCGACGTCCGTGAAAGTCTGTGGAGGTAGAGAAAGATCCTGTAGTTCTTGCACAGTCTCTGGGAGTTGAGGATCTTTACTGTCGGAGAATCCAAGAACTTTGAGTATCGTTGTATCGAGGAGGATGAGATATATGCTATCCTTGCAGCATATGATTGGCGCAAATTCTTCCTCGTCTTTCTCTGCCATTTCCGTGACTTGATCCAGTGCTGTCTTAATCGTCCGCCTCAATCCCCAAAGCTGCTTGATGATCTCTCGAATTCCTTTCTGGCTTAGATTGTGCAGCTTCCTCGCCTCAAGTAGCAGGGTGGATAGTTGAGCGAGAATCTTGTTCGAGACGGTAAGTGGTGCTGTCTGTGGCAGACCTACGACCATGTTCTGGTCATCGAGGATTTCGCACCATGCAGGATCGTCCAGGAAACAAGGTTGGAAGGTCGCCATTGCTTCACCGGACTAGTTGATGTCAGCATATTCCATATCTGGTCTGGAAAGACTTACTATAAGACCTTCTTGGGCTTTGAGTAGTGCCAATCCAAATCCCGAGCGGTGGCGTGCTGGACCTCGAAGCTTGATGATATGAGACGTACCACTGATATGAGTGAACCAAGATTCATCCAGATTATCAGCCAATACCTTCCAATATCAGTTCTTTCTCAACAGTCCCGAAAAGGTGTGCAACACATACCTCATACCAAGAAAGCAACACAGCAGCACAAAGCGTCTCGTCACTCAACGCCTCTTTCTCATCCGCACAGGCAATCCTCAAACTTTTCACAGCTTGATAATACTCTTCACGATCCTGCCTCAGCACCACTGCGTCTCGTCGGAGCAAGGCCGTGTATGCTGTCAGAATACATCTTACTGAATCATCAAGTGCTTTGCTCAACCCTAGTCGAGAAGGTATGAAGTCAAAGAAATAGCCTAGGTTTCTGATATGTATTCCTGCTGGCTTTGAGTCCTCCAGATGTGCGATTACTTCTTTGGAGAGCTGGGTAGCTGGGTCGAGAGTGGTCTGGTGAGTACGGGTAAGAGACACCTTTGAGTGTCCTTCATGGTTGATAACGATGCGAGTATTGCGAGGTGTTGAAAGTTTTTCTTTAAGCTCCGAGGTTGGAAGCCATTGTTGCTCGTCTAAAATTTCAGAATGTCAGAATTAATGAGGCTTTTCTTTGAGACCCTCGCTCACATTGCTGAATTGTGGCAGTCTTTTCTCGTCTTTTCCATATCTTTACGTAACCTGGACAATCCCATCCATCTCTATTACATTGAGAGCAAGCTGGCTGAGCTTTATCACACTGAACATTCTTAGAACCGAAAGTATTTCAAAGTGGGGCAAGCAAAGACCTTTATTTTTCGAGTTTGGCATGTAGCACATGATTTTGACCTTGATTGGACAAGCATTTCCTCGGCTCCGTGAGAGGCTCGATCGGATTTTGAGTCTTGAATGGGTTTGCGTGGAGTGATAAATAGAATTCTGATGAATAATGTACCAAATGGCACTCGTCTCACACGAGCGGGGTTAATGCAAAATCCGAAGCGAGAAAAGGGGGAAAGGCTTAACCATATTTGAACCAGAAGTCCGTCACGGCCAATCAGAGAAATTGTTGTCACGTGTGTCAGGACTCATATATATTTATCACTAGTCGTAGGAGCTGAGCCGCCAAAACAAAGCAGAGCATCTTCAAGTTGAAAATAGTCATATGTCTTGTTTCGGAAATGTCAAAAGGTCATTCAGGCACAACGGCGGGCACGGCTAGACTATCATTCCGTACGCATGTGTGTCCCACCTATTTTATCCGGCTCGACTATTGGGGACGAGATATAAAATGGTATAAACATCGCTCCGGGCATTGAGAGAGCTATATAAACAAATTTCGTATTCTCTTCACATTTCTTCTACAATAAGAACTTCGACAATGCCAATATCCGATCTTACCCTTGATATATCCAAGTTTAAGAAAGAGAACATCCCACTAAATACTCAAGCTATCAACACATACCTTCTCAACGTAGGTTCAAAAAAACCTGGAGAGCCAAAATGGTGGGAGGTAAGGTATTCAAATAAAAATGCTGAATGTTTACTCACTTCAGTCCTAGATCGGCGCGCAGGCATATCGAGATCTTCAAGATGGAGGAAAGACTGGATGGCCGGCACCAACGTATAGATCACCTCATGGCAATGACATTGCGATTCCTTCCATGGAGCCTGGTCGCCCCATTAAGTGTCGTCTTGTACTTCCCGAGAATAAGAAGCCGGAAGGGGTATTTCTCTACTTTCATGGAGGTGGGCATGTCCTGGGACATTGTGATTGGTAAGTGACAAGTCATCTTTTTTCACCCAGGTTATCGCTCACGGTTCCAGGTTCGATGATCTTCTGGATATCATTGCCAAGGATACGAAACTTGCTGTCATCTCACCAGAGTATCGACTCGCCCCTGAGAATCCGTTCCCAGCTGGATCCGAAGACGTCTACGATGTAGCTGAACATATAGTTGATCACGCGGAGCAAGAGTATGGCGGTCCACTCAAGTTCGTTGGAGGCGAATCAGCTGGCGCTACTCTCACTGCGCTGACAGTACTCCATCTTCTCGAACACAAGCCCGACTTTGCACTGTCTGCTGCTATCATGATTTACGGGCTGTACGACTGGTCTTTGTTGCCAAGTGCTCGGACATGGACCAACCCGCTTGTCATGAGTTCAGAAAACGTGAAGCGTTTTGGTGATGCTCATCTGAGTGGCAGGACACCAGAACAACGACGAAATCCTTCCATTTCACCTATCTATCATCCCTTTCTCCAGATTCCGGGCTCACAGATGGTGAAGAACGGAGAGACGAAGAAGGAAGTGAAGTTGCCTCCCGCTCTGTTTCTGTCGGGCACGCAAGATGCGACCTTGGATGATACAGTGTTGATGAGTTTCCAATGGCAGCTTGCAGATGGCGAAGCAACAGTGAAATTTGTGGAAGGGGCTCCTCATGCGTTCATGTTGTTTGGTGCGGAGAGATGTGAGATGACGGGCACAGGGCATGCTATATTAACAGCTTTTCTGAAGGAGAAGTTGTGATATAAAATACAACGAACTTAGCCCTCTTTGGTTCTCAATGGAGGAATTTTTAGATACAACGCGAATTTTATACAAGAAGGAAGGCGGTTGTCACACAAAGAGTCTGATATTATCTCAAGTGCATCGCCTCGTATTACCCCGCTTGACCCCGCCATTTTCGCTTCCCCCTTTTAAGCGAGAGGGAGCAAAAGATCTACAGGCTGACTGCTGACTTCCTTTACTCTTCATTCTGCTGCCTAGAAGGAGCCAAGAAATCTATGCTATGAACGACACAATCTACTAAATTTCGAAATGCAATTCAATTCTGACTGATTTTCAAATCAGCGTTGTGTCTTGTTGAATAGTCCGTACAGAACCTTGTTTTCGTTAACACGAAAAAGGGTAACGATTGGTGAACATGAAGGTCTTACTTGGCGCAACACAACTCGCGAAGAGATCCGATGTCACCGAGGAACACGGGAGGAGAGATCTAAGAGACAATCTCGAGTCCGACTTCAAGAAAGGTGATAGCCCTGCAGAATGGGCACCAGGTCATCCTGTAGCTTGGGGCCATGAACAATGGAAGTTTTCCTCTGGAGAAGAGAAGAGTGTTACTTCCGTATCGGCAACATCGGACGAAAAATACTTTGCTATTGCAATCGATGACACTCTCGTAATCTTCGAGGTTGATGGGTACAAGCTGGCGTCTGTGCTAAAAACTGGCGACGGACCGATCAAGAGTATCGAATTTGCCAGGAAGCCAAGCGAGGATACTTATGTACTTGCCTGTCAATACGGCGATCAGTATGGAAGAGCCACAAATGTCAAGATCTGGCTCCTAGACCAGGACTGCAGAGAAATTGATCCGGACAAGAAAATTGTGGTGGAGGGTTACTTGCCAACTTTCGCCCCTTCGGTTTTCAGCAGTGATTGCAAAACTCTTCTTTTACTGGCCACCACCACGGATGAATGGGGCAGTCATCTTGCTATTGTTGCACTGGACGTGCAGACAGGGAAAGAGAAGTTTCGAATGACAGGCCACACGGATTCAATTATGTGGACAGGCTTCAGCCCAGATGATAAATTTATTGCTTCAGCTGCTTGGGATAGGTACATGAAACTGTGGTCGGGCGAAGATGGAAAATTCATCAGGGACTATGGGCCTACAGGTGCTCAAAATTGGGCATGCGCTTTTGACCCAGAAGGAGTCAACTTGGCGGTTACAACTGGGGCCCACAGAGCACTTATGTGGAGAATAGACGATCCTCAGTCTTTCCCCATCGCACTTGCGGGAAAGGTTGGATGGGAGCGAGTCATTTCTAATTCTCCCGATGGCACGAAACTTGCGATCGGGTCTGCAGACGGAAGATTGATGGTCCACGAAACCAAAGCTATGACTTTGATTCAAGTTTGGCAACTTGGAGCCGAAATTGGAGGGTCAAGATGGTTGAAAGAGGTGACCGAGATCAAGTGGCTCGACAACGGAAATAGAATTTCTTGGACCCCTAGTGATGGCAGCTTACAGATGTATGATTTTGAGACCAATATGAAGTGGAAATGGGCAGCTGGAAAAGAAGACAAATGGAGACGTGGAGCTTGGTTTAATACAGTCGTCTTGTTAGAAAGGAAAGGCTTGATTGGGAGTAGAGACCAAGATGGAGCTTTCAGGATGTGGAAAATCCCAGAGAAGTAGGCATAGTCTGTCATGGGAGTAGCTATGTTTCACCAATTGTCAACTTAATCAGGGGACTGCCCTCAGAACATATATTGACGGGCATAAAATTCGAGATTATTGACAAGTACCGATCGGCAATCTTATAGTATTCATGATCTCAGCTGGCCATAGCCTCAGATATTCTAGACTTCCTGGAATATTGAATTTGTAGTCAAGTATCTACAAAGAACCGCCAACTCCGTGCCGGGCCAGTCGCTCTATGCAATGCAAATTAAATCAAGCTGCTCTTCTAGCAGTAGTACTCATCAGCGTGATCTTCTTCGCTTTCTTCTTCTTTCCTTGTCCACCGCTCGGGCGGACATCACTCTCCACCGCCTGTCCGTTGGCACTTCCCTGACCATGAAGAGAGGCCGCTTGGACTTGTGCGACAAGCGCTTCATTCTCGGCAAGCAGTTCTTGCTCCCAAGAGTGTAGCCATCCGTCATCAACATCAGGTGCCATTTGAGGTCGGACTTCAGGAGACGGTGCCGAAACCAATGCTGCAGTACCCCAGACTGTCTTTGGAGCACTGGGACTGGTGGAGGGCGACGCAAGGGTGGCGAACGACGAACCTTGCCTGGCACCCCATGGAGGGGAAGCATTACTGGCATCTAAAGAAGAAGGAGCCAAAGGGTGGAAGTCGTCGCCAGAGAAGTTCTCCGATGGAATACTAGGTCGTCTCCGTCTCGCCATTGCCCATCGGGCATCATCCTCAGCTTTCTCAGCACGAACCCGATCCCGCTCTTCTCGAGTCTCCTTCTCCCTATTTCGCTTTCTTCTCTTCTCGATCTCCTCTTTGAATTGTTCCAAAATCTCAGGGACAACAACATCTGTCCAATTGCATTCAAGAAAGCCAACTTCACATCCATAAGGCAGATGCGAAAGGTATTTAGTTCTTCTGCGAAGGTCATCGTCCATGATATGCCCAGTCGACACGCGCTCAACACGTGGTAGAAGAGTTGAAGGGAAAGAAGCAAAGCTGCCGAAGGCTGATTTCAGAATTCGGATGTCGAGCGGTGCAAGATAATAGTGTAAAAGTGCCTGGTAGAAGAAGTATGGAGCATCGGGGTGATGTCCTTCGTTTTGTATATGGCGTGGAGTGTGAGACTTGGGATGAGAAGGAATTGGCTTTGGGTCGCTGGCCTGAGGTGTTTGAGACTGTGACCCTTCAGTCTTGCCTTCGCCAATGACATTCGTCGAAACACGCTCGTTCGAGATGCCCAGACCCGATTTGGAGGCGTTCTGAATGAAATACATCTCTGGGGCATCTTCGCTCATCGTGGTGAATTGAATTGGCTGCCTCTTGATGGGTTTCTCTGCTGGTTGTTTAGCAGCAGCTGGAGGATCGCCAATTCCCTTCATTTTATCCTTCGCCTCTTGAACAGCATTGACAGCTTTTCTCGTCCACTCTGGTTCTTCGCCAAACATAAGCTCATCCTCGTTCTCTTGTCGATGTAGATCCGCGATTTCTGCATCATATTGCTCTGTCATATATTCTTCGCTGCCCTTCATAATCCGTGCATAATCTGTCACCTCTGCCGCAAAATACCACGGTAAATGCTCATTCTTTCCGAGCACATCAGCGCCATCTCGTGGCAGTGCGAGCGTGCTCCCCGGTTGGCGCATGACAAGTCTCAGCACAACATCGTCGCCTTCCCGAGGCGGAGCGCTTTCTTGTCCAGTATACCACCTCACTGGTCTGGTTTCCGACATGTACACCGAGTCCCAGCAGATCGGGCACTTCTTCCAGCGCGCCTTCTTCTCAGGAACTGGGTTGGTATCGTCTGTAGAGTGCATATACCGAATTAAACAAGGGAGGCAGAAGATGTGACCACATTTGGCCATTCGCGGGGCAACTGGATGAGAGAGACATATTGGACAAGAGGCATTTTGTGAGACGGAAGAGGCAAGAATCTGCAACACGTCATTCCAATCGAGGGGTTGGTCAGCATCAACGGCTTGAGTCCTGTGGTTGGAAGTAAGTAGTCATCCATTGGAAGAATAGAGGGGAATATCTGGAGTAATGTGCTTCCGCGAGCTAATTTATGAATAGAGCCACAAGCAATATCATGCTTACGAACAGCTAGGAAGGAGCAGAATCTTGTGGAGCTGGTGGGAGCTCAATCCAACTTACTTGTATTCTCCATAGGGCTTCACAATGAATCTGTAATTCGCATGGATATACCTGAAAACGTCAGCTAAATCCTACTCTTCAACTAGTCCAACTCTGTGACATTGAAAGAGCACATCATGATATTCATACCTCGCCTTATCACTCGAGTGGTGACCGGATCCAATACCATAGATATTGCCCCTCCGAGTGCCGCGTTGCATTGTGTTCCGGTAATCTTGGGGTCGAGGAGGGAGGGAGAAGTTCATGAGATGGGTGATTGAGGTCTGACCTCGGCGACTGTTCGCATTCCTCATGACCCCCTATATTTATTAGTTGCAAGATCACTCAAAGAGGGATCAAGCTCACGGATTCCGCCATCGCATCTTCAGTCGCAAGTCTTGGTCTCCTTGAATTCTTGTGCTGTTTCCGCTGACCCTGATTGTTTCTTGGGGACGCGTTGGGTTGGCTTGAGCTACTGGCAGAGCGTCGAGAGCCGAATTCGAAGCTTGGAGAGGTAACCTGACTCTGTTGCTGCTGTACGGGAGAGTGGGAGGAGGATGTGTTGAGATATTTGCCCCCAGTGATTACCGAAGTTGGAGGAGCAGAAGTCATTGTCGTCAACCGCCCTTCTCCTGCTTCTATGAGGTCTGCAGAGAAAGAGACGACAAAGCTCTCCTAAGATGCGTCTCGAGTTGGGATCGTCGAGTTTGCTTGGGACTTGAGTCAATGGAGAGCGCGGAAGGAGAACGCGATAGAGAACCGTGCTGCTTTCGAATCTGGTGGTGTTCCGGATAGACTGACACAGTAGTTGTCTAATGTTCCAGAACGAGTCGGACAATCGCCACCATGAAGAATAAAATAACCACCCGCCACAAATGAAATGGAATCGAGAGGAAGTTGTTGATGTTGACAGACGCCAGAGGCGCTGAGAAAGGTAGTGGGGGGAGTCACAGCTTTGCTTTGATGAGGTGCGGGGCGGGATCATGTGGAGAGAGACAATAGAGAGAGAGAGAGAGAGGCCAAGCTGCAGTATGGATACGGCAACCATAGAGACCACATGTGCAGCCAGAATGCAATGCGGCCTGTGCTTCTCTGCTCTGCTTTGGTATTATGTCATCGAGCACCAAAAAGAGGCTGTTTCGTTTGATACCTAGAAAAGAAGAGCTGCAAGCTGTAGGTAGGTAGGCTGCACTGGCTGGAGCTGGATAATTAGAACGGCCACTACAACCACCACTGCATCATAATCATAATCATAACAACAAATAATATTCTACAGCTTTCAATGCAGAGCGTGACTTCCAATAAGTCTCATCCATCAATGTGCATCATTGTTTGGCATTGATCTTTTTTCTGTTTTACGGTGCATGGGAACATTTGGGGTTTTGTCTTCCTTCCTTTGCTGCCCCGGACTCCTAACCTCGTTTGGGCGCTGGCGCAATTCTTCATCGGCTCAATTTCAGTCACCCTCTTCCCGATTCCATAATTTTGGTGGAATTTATCGACAACCACACATCCAACTGCAACTGCTCATGCGACACCTCCAAACCTCCACATCCACCTGCGAATCCCCTAACAAACACTCGCGGCGATATCAAGACGCCAATTCCTGATGCGCTGACTGTCCAAAGGTCCCATCAATCCGTTCAGCGCTCACACAGGCTTGATCTCCGAGACGCGCAACGACGCTTCAACCTTCGACCCTGAACGCGGTCGGTTTGCAAGCAGAATCACCCACGCCGGCATGATGAATGGCCGTCATCTGCCGGCAGGGCAAGGCATGCCACCAGACATAGGACGACGAAGACCCTATAATCAGCATCAGCAGCAGCAACAACAGCAGCAGCATCATCAGTATCCGCAGCAGATGTACAACAGCTATATGCAGCCATACGCCGCCAGCTTTTACCCACAACCCAATGTTCCTCTTCCACAACATTACCAACACAATGCTCCCCTTCCTCAGCAATATGTGCCATACCATCCTCCTCCTCAGCCATATGTCCGGTCTCCCCCACCGCAGATGCCACACTATCCTCCACCTTCAATGCCGCAGAGACCACAATCATTCTCCCAACCACAAGCATCTCCGATAGTCTCCTCTGATTACCGAACACCTGCACCTGTACCACAAGCTCCATCTTCTACACAATCTTCGCATACAGTTCCTGTCCCTGCCACACCTACAACTCCACCGGTAGCACCACAACCCGCTCTCAGCAGCATGCCACCGTCCTCACCTCCCCGAGAAGAACCACCACAACCGCCTTTCAGAGCTCCTGTAGGTTGAATGCCCAGCCATTAATAGATGTCAGCTAACAGAAACTAGTTGCCATGGTTTTCAAGACCAGACCTTTCTTGGCCCGCGAGGAAAGCAAGAAGAAAGCGAAAAGCCGTCCCCCAGATCATGGCCGAGCCCGTCGAATTACCGAACATCTCACAAGGGATAGACAATGAAGCAGAGATGGACAAGCACGCCGAAGTTGAGGTTGCTCAGGAAGTCACTAGTGCGCAAGAAAATACGGTTACAGACGAGCCAGTCGTTGAAACTGTTCCTCGCCCAGAGACTCCTACCACCAGCCAACCTCCTTCTGAAGACATCGATTCTACAGCCCCAACCACACCTTCATCTTCGAACCAAACAAACACACTTGCTGCCGGAGACGCAACACCAATCGCAACTATGCCCAAGCAGCGCGTACCCAAGCCAGTCGTGCCTATTGTCCCCGCACTCCCAAAGACTATCCCACGCGATACGAGTAGGAAAGTTTCAGGAAAGTCTGCGGATGAACAACAAGCACAGTCAATACAAGCTACGACTCCGAGCACGAATGGCAACGATGAAGCAATCACACAAAAATCCGAGCAAGGAGAAGTGGAAGAGTCGACGGAAGCTACACCGACGCCCAAAGCATGGACCACCCCAAAGCTTTGGACTGGTCTCTTCAATCCTGCCACTGCTACATCCACCGCTTCGAGCGAGTCTGGCGCGGCGACTGCTGCTTCTGGTCTGGGCAAGCCTAATTCCGAGTCTTTGGGAGACGCGCTACGATCATTCAATGCTGTATCGAGTGACTCTAAAATTGCCTTTATTGAGCCTCGAGGTTTGGTTAATACAGGCAATATGTGTTATATGAATTCAGTAAGTTATCCTCTAATTGCATCCCATTCATTTCTAACCCATCGCAGGTTCTTCAAGTCCTTATATTCTGCACCCCTTTTTATAGTTTCCTCGATCAAGTTAGCAAGCGCGCGGCATACAGCTTCAAAAGTGAAACTCCATTGATCGATGCCATGTAAGATCTCATTTTTCAAGCTCGGACTTGTTCTAACACTTTTAGGATCTTGTTCATGCGTGAATTTCCGATTATTGACTACGCTGGGAACGTTGATCAGTTAAAGCTCCGTCTGAAAGAAGGAGAATTGGAGCAATACGGGGAGTCATTCACCCCCGACTTCGTGTACAACGTTATCAACCGCCTGCCACGATTCTCATCTATGAGAGTAAGTCTCGCAGCCAAAAATTTAAAGTAGTCCTGCTAAATGATTATCAGCGTGGCCACCAACAAGATGCAGAGGAGTTTCTTGGGTTCTTGCTTGAAGGGCTCCATGATGAGTGCGTGCAGGTGATGCGAAACAGCTCATCTACTGCGACCTCTGCCGTTGCAACACCGCAGAATGGCCCGTCATCTCCAATCAGTGAACATGGTAGCGTCCAAGGTTCTGTTTCTGGCAAGGAGAATGGGTGGCTGGAGGTTGGGCCAAAGCAAAAGGCCGCAGTCACACGGTCTTCCGGTACCATTACCACCGGATCACCAATCACAAAGATCTTTGGTGGCAACCTGAGATCCGAGCTTAGAGTTCCTGGCCTGAAAGACTCCGTCACCCTTGAGCCATATCAACCTCTACAACTTGACATTGGTGCGACAAATGTCAATAACATCATTGATGCGTTGAAGGGCTTGACCCGCTCTGAAGCATTACACGGCGACTTCAAATCTCCTAAAGGTCCCAATGTGACCGCCATGAAGCAAGTCTTCATTGAAACCCTGCCACCGGTCCTTATCCTTCACCTGAAGCGCTTCCAGTACGATAACGCTGGTGGGACTCAAAAGATTTGGAAGAAGGTTGGCTACCCACTTGAATTGGAGATCCCAAAGGAGGTATTCCCTCGGCAAAAGAGAGGTACCTATGCTCACAGTGGTCTGCCCAAATACCGCCTGATTGCTGTTGTCTATCATCACGGCAAGAATGCTAGCGGTGGTCACTACACTGTTGATGTCAGACGTCAGGATGGCAAAGAATGGATCAGACTCGATGACACTGTCATTCGACGAGTGAGAAGCGAGGAAGTAGCCGAGGGTGGTAGTGAAGAAGACCCCAAGGTTCTTGCTGCCGCTTTGGAAGCTCATAAGAAAGATGGTACTTCGGGTAATGGATTTGCAGCCATCGAAGGTGTTGAGGATGAAGGCGAGGAGGATGGGTGGAAGAAGGCAACTGGTGGATCTGGCAAGAAGTGGTCGAGTGTGGTTAATGGTTCGTCCACACCAAAAGCCAAGACGGACAAGTTTTCGGTGAAGGATAACAAGGTCGCGTACCTTCTATTCTACCAGAAGATCTGAAGTCACCGCTATGTTGGATGGTTTGCATGAGAGAACAAGGAGCGTGGTTGTTTGCATGATGATATTCCTATGCTTCATGGGATCTAGGGGATTCGTGCTTCTGGCATGAGACTTTGGAATCTTCGGCATCCTCTGTGTCTATGTCTGTATTGGACAAAAGGTGATGCCGGAAATTCTTGTACACTTGATCTCCTTCCACATCATTCTAGAGCATGAGCGCAACGGCGCAAAGGAAAGACGGGTGTCTAAAATGGGCATCTGGGTGGCAAGCTGTTTGATGTATAATAAAGTGACCATGAGGGTCCGCCACTATGCTGCGACTGGATGAGCTAATAAAAGTGACAACATCAAATTGAAAGGAATGGATGATGCATCTGTGTGAAGACTGTGAAGTTTGTGCACTGCTTTGAACTATCCAGATCTGGTTTCAGCTAATTTTGATCTACACGGAGATTTACACCCATTGTAACCTCCTATCACACGCTGACTTAATGGGCGGCGCTGGTTAGTAACGAAAACGCGACTACCGGCTAATCTCCGATGTGGTTTTCGCGCCAGGAAAAGTCAAAACACAACAAAGGAGAGCGAACGAGCGACCGACGGAGACACACCTCACACTGATCCGCCTCACTTCGCAAGAGTACAAGCCAGAAGAGTTGCTGCGCTGGATGCACCGCCATGTACATTTGATTCAAAGCCTGTACACTTCCACTCCTTCAGATTGTTCACCTATAATTGCTTCTTTGCTTTCGCTCCTTAACCACAATGTCTGAAAGATATTCTCTGCGCCAAACTCCCAAGTAACACAATCAGATCCTCCAATTGACTCTAAACCGTGCTGATGCCCCCATAGGAAGACGGAACATCTTGGTTACGTCCCAACTCCTGGTACTGCAGGTGCCCGAAAGGCCTATAATCGCCGCAAGTCGCAGTTCGCGGAAGAAGACGGTGACGATTCCTCCTCTGCCACCGACACCTCCACCACTAAAACCGCATCTCGACGAGCCTCGAGCCGGAAAGTCAGTATGGTGAAGGAGGTACTCACAAATGGGCACGCCGATGAGGAGGTGGCTACCAATGGACATGCCAATGGCTACACAGATGGAGGAGCGGTCAATGGAAATGGATACGGTACCATGAGCCCAAAGGATGTCCCTGTCGCAGAAGCTCGGAAAGTGGTGGAAGGTTGGGAGCCTGGGAAGGATCCGAAGATTGACTACTCCGGCCATTTCGACTTTGGAGGTTCGATTGGTGTAACCTGCATGATGATTGGCTTTCCTACCCTCATGTACTACATGTGGATCGGAGCCACGTTTTATGATGGAAAATTCCCTACGCCTACACATGGAGAAACGTTCCTCGAGTTTGTGAAACATTGTGGTAACTTGGTCTACAATTTCGCTTTCCCGAGCTTGTTCGCGTGGGAGATTTACTGGGGATACCTTATTCTCGAGGGCGCTTTCTATTGCTTGCTTCCAGGAGTCTATGGGTACGGAAAGCCATTGCCACATGAGGGAGGAAAGCAATTGAAGTACTACTGCTCCGGGGTTTGGTCATTCTATACGACTATCGCGCTCATGGCTGGCTTGCACTGCACTGGAGTCTTTCCTCTTTACACTTTGATCGACGAGTTTGGGCCCATCATGTCCGTGGCAATCATTTCTGGCTTTGGTGTCTCAATCGTGGCCTACTTCTCTGCCCTACTTCGAGGGAAGCAACATCGCATGACGGGATACCCTCTGTATGATTTTTTCATGGGTGCCGAGTTAAATCCACGCATGTTCGGTATTCTGGATTTCAAGATGTTCTTCGAAGTTCGTCTTCCATGGTACATCCTACTTGGACTCTCCTGTGCCACCGCTGCCAGACAATACGAGCAATATGGATACGTCTCTGGAGAAGTTTGGTTTGTTGTCATGGCTCACTTCTTGTACGCGAACGCATGCTCCAAGGGCGAAGAGCTAATTATCACCACCTGGTAAGCCTAAGAAAATACATGAATGGTACAGCAGCTAATCATGACTAGGGACATGTATTTCGAGAAATGGGGCTTCATGTTGATCTTCTGGAACCTTGCCGGTGTCCCATTGAGTTACTGCCACTGCACAATTTACCTCGCCAACCACCTTGACAGCATTACCGACTACCCATTCCGTATTCCCTTCCTAGTCACTCTCTTTGGATCTTACCTCTTCGTCTACTGGGTCTGGGATACCACCAACTCTCAAAAGAACCGTTTCCGTGCTGCTGAAAGAGGAACCCTCGTGCCCCGGAAATCGTTCCCTCAGCTTCCGTGGCAAGAAATCAAGAACCCTCGCACGATCAATACCAAGACCGGCGATTGCATTCTGGCCGATGGGTGGTACGGAAAGGCGAGAAAGATTCATTACACTTGTGATTTCTTCTTTGCATTCACCTGGGGGTTAATCACTGGGTTCAACAGTCCATTTCCCTGGTTCTACCCAGTATTCTTTGCTTGCATGATCGTTCATCGTGCATACAGAGATATTCAAAAGTGTAGATTGAAGTATGGTGAGGCGTGGACCGAGTATGAGAAGATGGTTCCGTACCTTTTCATTCCGGTAACTAACCTTCTTCCCACTGCCAAACCTACTTACTAATGCATTGCAGTATGTATTTTAATCCTAGTTTGTACCTTGCTCGAAGTTGGACATAAGTGATGGTCGATCCGCGGTGGAGCTGTACAGGTTCGGAGTTTGCCTGTTGTCTGGATAGTCAGTCGTCTTTAGGATGATAGACGAGTAGAATATGTTGTATAAGGTTCAGTGCTGGGAAAATGGCATGGTTGTAGCATTACCGGTGTCTTGCATAGTTGAGTGGGCGGAACGGGAAGGGGAGGTTTTCTTGTGTACAGTACCGACCGTATCATGCATGATGCGCTACCTATAATGAATCGTAATACATACCTAATGCCTCACTTTAATTTGCCATTTTGGAAGTTTTGATATCACTGGCGTGAAGAAAGCTTCATGGAAATCACAAAAATCAGTATTTGGACGAGCCATCTGCATACGCTCTCAACGAGAGCCGCTTTGCAACGAAGTTCGCATCGTCGTGCCTAGTTGAGATTTAAAACTCGACAAAGTCACAAAGGGCGAAGATATCATCTCGAAGCTGGGAACCAATAGGAGTACTCAGCCTCATGTTGGAAGTTCCATTGATAGGTAGTTGTTGGGTCAAGGCCTTGTTGAGCTATCGTGGACAATTGGAGTGAATTTCTTTCTGCAGAATCTCGAAGTCTCAAGAATGTAACTCTCCAAACAAGGCGGCACCAGCCGAGTTCTGCTCGTGGAGGAAGTTTTCTGTTAATGATGGTTTGGTCGGAAGCTATTCTCATCGACCTCGATCAATTATCTGGGCAATTAGCTTCAGAAATGTAAAGTCGAGTGACTCTTGCTGGATACCGATTTTTCTTTGACAATTTATCCGCACCGCTGAATTGCATGTCGTTGTATCCCAGGGTTTGGAACGAGTGATTAATGTAAGCTTTGACCGACTCTTGAAGGGGTCTGAAAGATGCTAAACTTGCAATTCTCAATTTCAAGTTGAACATGCGAGTAGGACAATTAGGGCAATCTCGGTCTAGCAAAGTTGAAGATATTTTGGCTTGAGCGACAGCGCCTTGATTTGGACGACGAAGAACTGCGGATTTAGTTCAGATGGATTTGTTCTATATGAATGATCGACGAATATACTAAGTTGAAGAGTAGCATCGATGAAGGTTCCACCAGATGTGCAAAGGAAGAAAGCAGAGTTCTCAGGCTTCACAGGCATCAGGCTCGTACTAGTCTTCGGGGAAAGAGACTAGAACCTTTATACTGCTATCATAGGAGATTAAGAATGTCCTGCAGATGTAAAGGATTTTGATCTCGTATTCAGCACTGGAAGTGCGGAGGAAAAGACGTTGGTTGGAGAAAGATATCCAGAACACGAATTTGAATCCTCGTTTCTCGCTGGCCTTTTTCGAACACATGTTCCATGCGCAGTCATGCCTACAAGTAGATAAGTTGATTGGAAGCTTTGAAGACGATTGCATAAGATGAAAGTGGAGGATTTCGAATGCCAGGTCCTTGATATGCGAATAAACAGGACCACATGAGGTTGAGTAGGAGGAAGAGACTTGGTAGCTAGAGATACAACCACCCTTTAAAGTACCAGTAGCCAATGGAATAACTCATTAAATTGCGCACAATTATGAAGTTGATACAGGATGCAATGTTCTCGACTTTACACCAAGGGAGCTGTAGCCTAGACAATTTGTGCTGCGAAAGGGGATAAAAGTCACTAGAAAATTGAAGTTCTGATCTATACCGTACCATGAATCACCAAGCCGGTTGTAACAAAATCGAATTCGAACCCTTGAGTTGACAAAGGTGAATTCACCGATGATGTCGTCCTCGTTTATTTGCCCCTTGAAGACGTCGGCGATAAGATCCTCCGTTAGCGCGAAATCTACCTAGAAACCTCTCAGCGCGAAATTTATACGCATCGCGTCTCCTCTCGATCAACCTCTACTTCCCCACCTTCAAAAACACCCTCTGCCATCACCAACAATCCTCAACGATCATGGCAGAGATCAAAATCGACAAAAACCTCTTCCAAGAGCGATTATCGCGCTTCGTATCGGCATGGAAGACCGACAAACGAAGTGGTGACACGCTCTTCAACGGAGCCTCCTCCATCGTGGTGCTGATGGGCAAGACCGAGGAAGCAGCGCAATTTCAAAAGAATAATGCGATTCATGTATGTTGCCACAAAGGCGCATTGTCCTGGGACATGAGAGCTAACTAGTAGAATAGTTCTGGTTGCTTGGTTACGAGTTTCCTGCTACCCTCTTCCTCTTCACCCTCGATGGGCTCTATATTGTCACAACCGCAAAGAAGGGTATGCACTGCTCTCGGGTGAGATGGAATCAAGGCACCATGGCTGACATCATCTAGCAAAGCACCTGGAGCATCTCAAGGGCGGAAAGATACCTCTACATGTTCTGGTCCGAGGCAAGGATAACGAGGCCAACGAGAAGCTGTTCGTTGATATCAACAATCATATCAAGGCGGCAGGCGTGAGTGATGTGAAATCCAGATCGAGGACGAGCATTTGCTAATGGGCCTGATTTTGTAGAAGAAAGTTGGTATATTGCCAAAAGATACTTCGAGTGGCCCCTTCATCGATGAATGGAAGAAGGTCTACAGCAACATCTCCAAGGAAGTCGAGGAGGTAGATATCGCCCCGGCATTGTCTGCGGCTGCCTTGGCGGTCAAAGATGAGAATGAATTGGTAGGTAGGTCTCTTGATGTACATGGCATGCTGCTAACCGTACGCAGAGAGCAATGCGAAATGCCTCGAAGGCCTGCATCGCCTTGATGAACCCGTTCTTCCTCGAGGAAATGTCAAATGTTTTGGATGAAGAGAAGAAGGTCAAACACAGTGCTCTGGCGAACAAGGTTGATGGTCAGTTGGACAATACCAAATTCTGGAACACCGTCGAGTTGCCCAATAAGCAGAAGATGCCTTCAGATTTCGACCCTTCACAGCTCGACTGGACTCACGGCCCGATCATTCAGAGTGGTGGCAAATTTGACCTCAAGATGACTGCTCAGGTTGACGACGAATTGTTGCATGCTGGGATCATCATCGCTTCGATGGGCCTTCGGTACAAGTCATACTGCTCTTTGATTGCACGAACCTACTTGGTCGATCCCAATAAGTCGCAAGAGAGTAATTACAAGTTGCTCCTCCAGGTTCATGGTCTTGTGATGAAGGAGATCCGAGATGGCGCTAACGTCAAGGATATCTACGCCAAAGCCCTACAAATGATCAGAACTCGAAAGCCCGAGCTCGAGAAGCATTTCCTCAAGAACGTTGGCGCCGGTGTTGGTATCGAAACTCGCGATAGCACTTTGATCCTCAATGGCAAAAGCACTCGGTCTTTGAAAGATGGAATGACTCTTTGCGTCACAACCGGCTTCAGTGACATTGAAAACCCGAACCCTCAAGACAAGAAGAGCAAAACATATTCTATGGTTCTTTCAGATACTGTCCGCGTTTCTCCCAACGAATCAGTGGTATTCACAGGCGATGCTCCCTCGGACTTGGATGCAACTTCATTTTTCTTCAAAGACGATGAGGAGCATGAACCAACACCAAAAAAGGCCAACAAAAAGGATTCTTCTGTGGGCGCTGTAGCCGCGAAGAACATCACCAAGACCAAGTTGCGTGCCGAGCGAACAACTCAGAGCGATGAAGGTGCTGAGGCGAAGAGACGTGAGCACCAAAAGGAATTGGCCAAGAAAAAGCAAGAGGAAGGCCTCGAACGATTCTCTGAGGCTACAGGTGATTCGAATGCCACGGCTGTCAAGAAGTTCAAGCGCTTCGAGTCATACAAGCGCGACAACCAATTTCCCAATAAGGTCAGAGATCTGGCTATTGTTGTGGACCAGAAGAATGCCACTGTGGTCCTTCCTATCATGGGTCGGCCAGTCCCATTTCACATTCAGACCATCAAGAATGCGAGCAAGAGTGACGAGGGAGAGTTTGCCTACCTCCGAATCAACTTCCTATCGCCTGGCCAGGGTGTTGGCCGAAAGGATGATCAGCCATTCGAAGATGCTTCTGCACACTTCGTACGAAGCTTGACGTTCAGATCTCATGACGGAGACCGCCTTCAAGAAATCTCTAATCAGATCGGTAATATGAAGAAGGATGCCGTCAAGCGAGAGCAAGAGAAGAAGGAGATGGAAGACGTTGTTGAGCAGGACAAATTGGTGGAGATTCGAAGTGAGTAGTTTCTTCAATGACCAGTGCTTTTGACTAACAAACTTCCCTAGACCGTCGACCGGCTGTCATGGATAATGTATTTATCCGCCCTGCTATGGATGGGAAGCGAGTGCCAGGAAAGGTGGAGATCCATCAGAATGGTCTCCGGTATCAATCACCTCTCAATACGCAACACCGAGTCGACATCCTCTTTAGCAACGTCAAGCATCTCTTCTTCCAACCATGTCAACATGAACTGATCGTCATTATTCATGTCCACCTCAAGGATCCAATTTTGATCGGAAAGAAGAAGACTAAGGATGTTCAATTCTACCGTGAAGCTACAGACATCCAATTCGACGAGACTGGAAACAGGAAGCGAAGATACAGATACGGTGACGAGGAAGAGTTCGAGCAAGAACAAGAAGAGCGCAGACGTCGAGCTGCTTTGGACCGAGAATTCAAGGCATTTGCCGAGAAGATTGCTGAAGCTGGCAAGAATGAGAATGTAGATGTCGACGTTCCATTTCGAGAGCTTGGCTTCAGTGGTGTGCCATTCCGGTCCAGTGTCTTCTGTCAACCTTCAACGGATTGCTTGGTTCAACTCACCGAGCCGCCATTCATGGTTATCACTCTCGAGGACATTGAAATTGCACATCTCGAGCGTGTCCAATTTGGTCTCAAAAACTTCGATATGGTCTTCGTTTTCAAGGACTTCCACCGTCAACCGTATCACATCAACACCATTCCCGTCGAGTCTCTCGAAAATGTCAAGGAATGGCTGGACTCCGTCAACATCCCGTTCTCTGACGGCCCCTTAAATTTGAACTGGCCCACAATCATGAAGACTGTAACAGCAGATACTCATCAGTTCTTCGTTGACGGCGGTTGGTCATTCTTGCAGACTGAGACTGATGACGAGGACAACGAGGCGGAGAGCGAGGAGAGTGCCTTCGAGATGAGCGATAGCGAACTTGCCGCCTCAGAAGAGTCGAGCGAAGACGACAGCGATTTCGACAGCAATGCTTCTGCTGATGCCAGTGAAGAGGGTAGCGACGACGATGCCAGTGGCGAGGACTGGGACGAGCTTGAGAAGAAGGCCAAGCGAAAGGATAGGGAGAGCGGTTTGGAAGATGAAGATGAAGCACCAAAGAAGAAGAGAAAGCATTGAGTGAACTTCTCCGATTTCAAAGCGAACAAGGTCTAGAAGATGAATATATGCGTATGGGAGGGAGAATGCCAAGGTTTGCTCTGCTTTCACGGCAACTGTAAGATTTGACTTTGAGGTTCGTGAGGGGGGCAGGGCTCCAGATCCGATGCATGGCGTATGGGATGAGCAAAATGGGTTACGTTGATTTTGAGTTTTTTCTCGGTGGCAAGCAGTGGTTTATTATGAGCATGCAAATACTTTCCGTATTGCGTTTCATCTCATACGCATCCATAATAATAAATGACGACCATAGAAAATACTGTTCTTTCTCACAAAGTGGTGATTTTTTGCTAGATTGGATTTTGTGTAGTCATTCTGCAACATGAGCCTTGACCACAATCCGTTACAATCATTGAATAAACGTGGAGAACTCTGCCAGGTCAGCCGAATCACATCACCACAAAGAAAAAATACAAGGACGACGCATCATTCATTCAATTCTAAGTACCGAGAAATATCAGACCCAGATCCTCCAATCCAACCTCGCATTTAGCAGGTGTAAGAGGAAGACCACAACGCGCCAGAAACCGCTTTGCCTCCCTATCAAACAATGAAACCCGAGACCACGGACAAAAAGGAAAACCTCATGATTGCATATTATACAGCTACTCTTCTCTTCATGTGCTCTCATCTTTGCCGCTCAGCCAAGCCCTTTTCAAATTGGTTCCTCTCCTATCAGTTTGCTATCTAAGCATGACTGCCTTCACCGCCAAGTCCCATTCCGCCATCTCTTCCACTCGTTGTCGCCGTGCTTGGACCCTCGTTGTTCCAACTGAGATAGGTATGATCGCCCAATTTCCTTGGCTTGATGAGATGCGTGACAGTGAAGAGAGCTCCAAGGACAATGCAAATGCCGCCTACGACAACGTATGCAATGCCTAAGAAAGGATTCTTTCCTCCCATCACGGTACGAGTGGAGATGATGATTGACTTTGTGCCACCATATTCTGTGACATTGAAATCTGCTTCGTGTTAGAGCAGACGACAAAAGAGAGGTTAGAAAGCTCACTGTGGTTGATGTCGACGGTATAGGTTCCAGCTACCATAATATCGTCATCGTTCCTCTGCGCCAACTTGCTGAAAGTGGGGAGACCAGCAAGACGCATCCAGACTTGGAAAGCTTCGTCATCCACAAGATTTGGGTGATAATCCGTACTGTAGCCATTTGGATATCTGACGACCCAGTTTGGTGGGACAGCAACTTGGGACCAGTTGTATTTACTCTCGCCATACAACGCCTTATCGCTGCTCCACGAAATATCGGTGTTGTTTTGCATAACATAGGTTCTGTTGTCGCTGGAAGATCCACCTGGAACGTTCAAAAGGACAGGGCTATAGAATGTGTCGTTGAACTGAGAGTTGGCTGCAAGACCACAAGGGTAATAAGGCACTTTGACACCATCAACTTCAGTGGTTGTAAGAGGTGTGCAATCGCTTCCATCAATACTGCTTGCAGACACGGCTTTCCCGGATAACTGGTCGTTGTTGAAGGACTTCGCATAACGTCTGTGATTCTGGTAGAAGTTTGTGAGGCGGTAGTAGAAGAGCACCGGAGGTTTCATGTCGTTCGGAATGGAGAAATTGAGGGTGCATTGCACAGTCGGAACCACAACGCCTTCATGGTAGGTGTAGTTAATGGTCTTCTTCGTCCAAGATGGAGGATCGGCCTGGAATTGATTCGAAGAGTTCTTGTTGAATGAGAGATGGACAAGATTTGAGGGCATAGGAGCTGTCGCTGGATAGTCTGGCGCCTCGGTATAGCACTTCGTATAATCCAATATGATCTCTTGCACCTGGAACCTGTCAGCAACCCGTCTCTCCTCATTATGAATACTGACTTGTGCACTAGCATAAAGCAATCCGCCTCCAATTGGCGCGAATATAATACCTATGGCAAAGAACAGCGGGAGGACAGTTTTGGGGGTGAGGATCGGTCTGAGTGCACTCGGTCAGCTCGAGATGCGCGGGGTTGACTGGTGCAACTCACTGCCATGCTTTTAATCGCTGCTGTCGAAAAGCAGTGTCTGCGGATGAAAATACAATCGTCAGCCATCTATCTCGATCCTCCAAGGCCGTTTGGGGGAATGCTCACTCGCTGGCCTCCTACTCTTCGTCTTCGTATTCTCGCCGTGTTGATTGGGGTCCTGCGAGTTGATGGAGTCCTCGTGGACCATCGCTGGTTGTTCATCCGCCATACTGTAGTGATTCCGAGATCATGGACCGGCTCTATCCGGACTTGGAGCTCGTTATTGTGTTGTTGTGAGGTTGAAGGAGATTCGGGGTCGTTGTCGCGATGAGGTGCCGCTGATGCCGTAAATCTTAGCTTCCTTTTCTGCACAGCCACAGACCGAAATATCTTTCAGCCTCAAACACGATCAGTCAGCACCGAATGTTGATTCCTCATGAATGCTCCGTTAAGCACATGTGCGTATTGTTTTCTTTGAAATGAGCATTTGTTTTGATGGCAAATGTAATGGAGATTCAATATTCATCAATTTACTCCCAGCAAGGGAGACTTCTATGCCAACAGGCTCGATTCGTTCGGGCTCATGACATTGCTTGCTAGATAAAACTCATCAAACACGGAGCCCCAAGCACAAGCAAAGAATAGATCATGCTTCTCACACCTCCAGCTCAAAATTCCACGCTTTAAGATAATACCTTCTTCACTCTTCACTCTCAGCCCAAAACCAATTACCAAATCCAGAGCCCACATAATGAGTACAATCACTCGTCCCTAAAGATATATCGTCCACCCGGCCTCATTGCCTCCCTATAGCGCTCAGCTATTAATTCCTTCTCGTTCTCCTTGACCTTTTCAAGATCAGCTCTCTGCTCCTGCGTGGTTGGAAAATCGTTTCTCCAATAACCTGGAGGGCTAACAGGTCTTGCATAAGCGTGTCGATGTCTTCCATGCTCATTGGATATTTCTCTTGTCTTGGCTTGCAACAAAAGCTCGTTTCTGTCTACTATGCTCATGTTGCGGAGCTTGTATGCATTATCGCCCATGTACTCATGCAAGAGCTTGTCGTCCCTTTCCTCTTGTGATGCCGTCGGAGATTTCGCTGTGTTTATTTCAGCCAGAGCACGGAATTGATGCCCGCAACACTCGGGTTTCGTGCAGCCTTCTAGCGAGTGTCGTGCATTACCTCGCACCACTTGCCGGAAGGCGTAGTCATAGCCTTGGTTGTATTCTGGATTGACTTTGAAATCTTGAAGACGCAGTGTCTCAATGGGGCGATTTCGAAAAGGTTCCTGCTCAGGGTCCTTTTCCCAATCTGTGAGTGTCATGTTGGCAATTTTTTCTCGGCGAGGCTTTGTAGCTGACGCAACACTGCTCTTGGACTTGCGAGCAGAATCAACCTGTTGGATATTGAGAAGGCGTGGCTTCGGTGAGAATGATCCTTCTGGGTCTCTTCGAGATGGTAGAGGTCTAGCTAGCAAAGGAGGTAGAGGCGGAGAATGTGTTGGTGTATTTGATGCTCTTGCAACTAGTTCTTTAGATCTTGGAGAGGCTTTGGACGATGTTTTCGCTTCAAGTGATTTCTTTGCTCCTCTGGAAACTGGTCTGGGAGGCTCAACAGAAGTTCGTGATGTGCCTCTTGACGACGGCCGGGAGGATTCCAATTGGCCGATGGCAGAGCCCTTGGACGATGGCCGTGAAGAGGTCGCAGAACGACCATCAAAGTCTTTCGTCTCAAGTGGCAATCTTGTAATCTCACGAGCTAGACCTGATGTTGTAGTAGGCCGATGCGACCATGTTGGCTGCTGGTTTGTAGCATGTTCACCAACTGGACTGATGGGTTGCCTTGGTGGAGATGGTTTGGACAGAAGATCAATCAAGCGTTCACCACCATCAGAAGTCCGTTTGCTTCCTCGTACCGGCGTGACGAGCTCTCCATCCTCCATCAGAGTTTCCACATCCTTGTCACTAGCGATGCGGCGCTTTTTGGGTCCCCTGCTGTCTGAGGTTCTTGGTAAGATCTGCTCGTTTGTGCTCCTAGACTGTAGTACAGAACCTGCAGCGCGAATTGGCGTACTCTTTGTAGTGATCCTGGTGTCATTAAAGTCTGGATCTTCGCTCCGACGTCGAGTGAGAGATTCTAGTGATTGCAGAGGACCTCTGGAAGCCTGCCGAGAAAACTCCTGCTGTAAGCGGCGGTGCTTTCTTGGAGTATCAACCTTCTCGCCAATGTCGTCCAGGTCCAGGCTTTCATTGACAGAGAAGAAGTTTGCCAATCCCATTGGGCTACTGAGAATCACCTCTGATTTGATTTTGGAGGCTGGGGTTTGCTGAGACAATTCGTGACGGGTTTTCCGTTTCTTGACGCTCCGGGACGAAATGACAACTGGTGTCTCGGGTGACGGTGATCTGCGAATCAAGAGTTCAGGCGTTTCTTCGTCCATACCTCTGGAGCCAGACATCGGGTCAGTGTCTTCTGTTGAACTGGTATGGTGTGCTTCGAGTCCGACATATTGTGTCTCCTCAACTTGGATGGTGTTTTCACGATGTTTGGGCAAGACTGGTTCCTCCTCGAGAGCAATTCCAGTATCCACGTCAAAGGCACCACATCCAACTCCCCTAGTATCAGCCAATGGATCTTCCTGGTCACTGATCGGACTACTTCGGGGTATCTCGGCATCAACTTCTTCCAGAGAGGACTGCTTGGCCAGTTGAGCAGGAAGAGATGACGCAGGACGTCGATCGGTTGGTATGCTGGTTTCTAGTCCTCGAATCTCGCGCTGTGTGTGCTTGAATACCTGCAACTCGGCTTCCAGTCTCTTGATTTTGGCTTCCTTTTTAGCCATAGACTTTTCCACCTCTTCCTTGAAAGCGTTCCATCCCTTCCCTGTGTCTTTCTCAGCTCTATATGCATCTTCCAACGTCTTCCGTGCATCCTTGACTTTCTTGTATTCATCACATAGTTTATTATACTTCAAAGCCAATGCTTGGTACTTTTCCGGCGCAACAGGTTTGGTCTCGTCGCACTCAATTCTAGCCGCTGAAGACGGAGGATTGGTGGCTGCTGGAGTCGTGTTCAGACTCTCCTTGGGACCGAGGCGAATTTTGGGTGTTGCGAGACCTTCTTGTCGTGTCTGTAGATGTTGCTGCAGCTCTGCCGCGAGGCGTTTATTCTCCGTCTCGAGTCCGTCGACTCGAGCCGCGATCGCTCTGTACTTTTCAATTTGCTCCCCAAGACGGTGATTCTGCTCGTTTACTGGACCTACGCTCGCGGAATTCGTGCGGAGTAAGTCGAGCTCTTCTCGACTGATCGTCGTAAACTTCTCGTCATCAAGCTCTAATGTCCCTTGTCAGTAAAGTTTGGAGGAAATCATGATATCATGTACCAGTCCGTAGGTTGCTCCCAATTTGGTTGCAAACTGTTGTGAGTTGCTCGAGTAGCTGCTCGCGACCATTCTTCCAGCTCTCCATTGCTCGCAGGTTGTTGTGGTGTTTTCATGCCATGACTTTCTTCTGTGATGTTGGAAGACGCGATAGAAATCACGAGCGCGTCACCCAATTCCGAGCTCGGCTCCGAGGTTCATCCGAATGTCCCACCTCAGCTGAAATATTACAGCACGACGAAATGCAGGTTTTGTTTCTCCCAACCATTTCATGCCGTGGTCCTTTACCAAGACTGACGTTACCATTTCGATTTCATGCGACCTGCTTCCCTAAAACATGCCTTTGCAAATCTTACCCGGTAAGGAGAATGACAGCTCGGGACAAATCTTACTCAGCGACCTTGCATCGACGTTGTATGGATATATGAATCGCTTTCAGCTGGAAAGCTCAATCTCAAATGGCAGCGGCCGAACCTTGAAGCTTCATTGCCGTCGAAAGGCCTCTTGGCACTGAGAGGCTTACACCGGCTGAAGTCGTCAGCACTTTCCTTCTTAGAAATCATGTATTTAAACTCTAGAGGCCTTTCGTCTCCTCCATCGAAGCGGAATTGTTTCCAGATCAGACAACTCCTCACATTGTTCTTACTACTCTCCTACAATGCTATTCTACCAACGCGCTCTTCTCATCTCATTTCCTGTATTTGTCCTTGCTTCTGTCGTCTCCTCTGATCAGCGTCTCCTCGCTACAAAAGCTTCACAATTTGCGCCTGCGAAATGGCAGCATCCGGGCTATGTTGTTGATAAAGCGCAACTCAATATCGTCAAAGGCCAAGTTGCCAACAAGGCTCAGCCTTGGTCCAATGCCTACATCCAGATGTTAAAGGATGGGGACAAGTATGGCAAATATGTCTCTGGAACAAGGACTTCCGAGGCAGCTTCTACTGTTTCTTGTGGACCGACGACAAATCCAGATATAAAGTGTACAGATGAACGCGGAGATGCATTGGCAGCTTGGGCGAATGCGTTGGCCTGGTATGTCAGTGGAGACACTGCTTACGCCAAGAATGCAATCGGCCTAATGAATAAGTGGTCATACAAAATCAAAGGTAAAACTGTGTTGTTAGTTTGTTGAATCGAGCTGACATTTCAGGCCATGCTTTGAGCAATGCAGTCTTACAGACGGCGTGGGCTGGAGCCTCTTGGGCACGGGCAGGCGAATTGATCAGACATACGTCCAACTTATGGGCTTCCAAAGATATCACTCAGTTCGAGAACATGCTTCGCAATGTATATCTTCCCCCTTGCCAGAATGGAGATACTCGTGCTTCGAATTGGGATGTCGGTAAGTAATTCAAACAATTTCAGCGGACCAGCTAACACTTTCAGCTTGTCTGAACACGGCAATTGGAATAGCAGTGTTTCTCGAAGACAGTGATTTATATGACCATGCTATGGGGTTGTTTCAGGAGACAGTCCCTTCCGTCATCTATCTCGAGTCCGATGGGTCTCTGCCCCATGCTGCCCGTGGCTTGGACTCTAGCACCGCCGCCTTGAAATCACGGTGGTTCAATCAACAAAGTTGGGGACATTCTGGACAAAGCGGACAAATTCAAGTGAGTGCTAGAACATATCTCCCAGCCGAAATGTTCGTTGGTTGTAATTCATGGGCCCCAGCTAATCAAGCCAGGAAACTTGCCGAGATCTTACTCATACCGGATATAGCATCAGCAGCATCTCGCACGTACTCGAGACCTCCCGTATTCAAGGTCATGATCAATACAGTGGAGATCTCGGGACCAGACTTCGATTTGCGCTCGGTTTCCATACTCAATTTGAGCAAGGAGTTACACCACCTTCGTGGTTGTGCCAGAACAAAGGCTTGACTAGGGAGCTATCTAGCGTCACCGAAATTGGGTTCAATGCTTTATCTTTTCGCATGGGAAATCCCATGCCTAAGACTCAGACCTATACTGAGAAAATTCGACCCCAAGGCACAAATGGACTCTTTTATGGTTGGGAGACGTTGACACATGCTGGAAACAAGGTTTGAAGGGGTGAACACCCTACTACGCGCATGATAGTATACCTAGAATGAACAATACAAGTTATCTCCTCCTCGTCCTCATTAGGAAGCACCGTTCACCACAAGCATTGAGCATCTGACTCCCGAGGTCCGGAGCGATTTACCAAGGCACGTGATATCCAGACCGCTTCATTCTGGCTTTTCGGCTTTTCGGTGGAGCTTCCAAATAATGCAAGTCAAAGTTATTGAATTATTACTCATCTCTGCAAACAGTGACACAAACCACCCGTTTCCTATCATTTCGGCTTCCTCATCGCCTCACAAAATGCCATCCACAATCCTCCAACGAAGGTTGACGCTCATTTGCTGCGGAATTCTGGCGGTCAGCCTTCATCTCCTCTTCCAGCTCGTCACGCTTTCCATGGACCATTCGATATTCCTCAATTTAGGAGCAGCGATAATCATCAGCTATATATGGATCAAAGTCTACTTGTTCGTCACTCGTGAGACTGGAATTGATCCATTCATCAATACTGCAATCACGCTTGGATCGCCGTTTGTTGCTGCATTGCTCAGAGACAATGCTATCAAGAATGGGGACTGGGTGAGGGTTTAGGCTTGAGCTTCAAATTATCTGTCATGTAGGGGGTCATTTTGGTGGTTTGATACGACATTTGTGATCGTGCTTCGGAAATTGAAGCAACAATCGGGCAACCCTTCTCGCCTCTCACACATGAGGGAAATATTGTATCATCATACAATTTTCTTGCATCCATTTTCTTGTCCATTAAAGTCCCACCTCAACCAACAAAAGCCAAGGCGTTGAGGCCATAGGCAACCATGATTCTCTGTGATAGTACGGAGAACATTTAGAATACAACCAGTACCCTCACTCTACCACCATTTGAGTGTCGTTCAGTGATGAAAGCGTTTAAACGCACATTCCAGCTCCAATACCGGCACAGACGAATCCAGCACAGCAGTCGTTTTTGCTAGTGGAGCAGATGCCTGTAATCAAGCAAGTCAGAGACGAAGATTTATTACATAGATCGCGGGACAATACGTACCTCCTCCACTGATGCAAGTGGCGTAAACATCGTCTGCACCCTGGGCATAAAAGTATTGCTCCAAGTAACCCTACACCTTAGAATAAAATTGAATGGAACCTTTTCATGGAGTAACTGCTCCGCTCTGTAGAGATTGAGTTCATTAGCTTTTGCACACTCGGGTTGATCATAAAAGGAGAGAAGCTTACGGGGAGTTTGATTTTGATGCTGATGTCCGGTTGTGGTTGAGGTGCAGCGATGACCATTGAGGCAGAAAGGATGGCCATGGCCGTGGCGAATGAGGTGATGAATTGCATTTTGACGAAGATTGATGGAGATCAGTTGTTGTCGATTATGTGTGAATTGGAACAAATGAAGGAGTGTGATTGTCTATGAAAAAAAGATAAAAGTGGTTGAGGAGGCCATATATATACTTTTTGGGTTGTTCATGTAGTTCCACCATCGGGATGAATTAAAACAAGTCCAAAGTCCTACAAGACATCCAGAGAAAGTAGATTTAATTTGAGGCTTGAGAGACAGGTGCTGAACTTTCGGGATGTCGTACATTTGGCATGAAATTTCACATTGATTGCTTGTGCTTTTTGGTGACATCTTGTCAGAGCTGTACCAAGTCACAAGAGCAACAAGAGCACCGCATTACTCTGTGGGATCATTGTTGATGATTGAGACGAGCTCATGGCATCAATCACGGAGGTAGTATAATAGATGGAACAATTACAGTGTGCACTATTGAGAGGTCAAAATTAAACATGTTTCTAGGATCATGCTTGCCAGCGGGGCTTAGATATTCCTCATGCCCAGTTTTTGAGGATCGCCAGTGCGGATACACTTGCACCAATTCGAGTAACAACAACACAGATGCAATAAAGTATGTCACTCAAGCGGACATTTCTATCCAGAACAACATAAACGAGACTCATATGTGGAGAGAAAAGGTATGTGCCATGATACTTGAAACTTTCGAGCATCCAATCAACAAGCAAGAGCAGTAACACGGGAGCGGGAAACACAGACGCGGGACCTTGTAACGCTGTATCGCGAACAACAATCTGGTTATCTCCTCAACTACTACATTTCGTGTTGGTTTCATTTGCGTCAAGTCGCAAGCAAATAGGACGAAGCTCATTCATCTTACAGGACGGAGGGCTCTGCAAAAAGTCAGGAGCAAGCTCAAGAGGGAACATGGAATATATCACTTCGCAACATTCGTGCTTGAAAGTTGTACGGACATCGCAAGCAGTTGAGACGCGAAGAACAATACAGATACATTTGAAGCTTGTCTCGGAGCCGAGGTTACCAGTCGGCTCCGAAATTTATTTTGGCCCATACTAAATTTTGACCGCACTTCACTCTCCTTTCACCATCTCCTCCACTTTTGTTGCAGAAGAAAACTACCAGCTCTGCTTGTTTTGCAGGAAATTTATTTTGAGACTGTATTGAGCTGGATCTTTTTAGTCACAAGCAGAGTTGTACGAGTGTTCTTTTTGACCCTATTACTGCATACATTCCCTCAGAGTTATGACCAGAATCAATTTCATGTATATTTGCTACCCAAGTCTTTGAGACTGGATTGTATTTCATTGTTTTACTTCGCATCTGTTCTACGAATCCCTTGATTTTCTCGAGCTGAAATATTATCTTCGTACATGACCATCCTCCCCCGCGGTTCACTTTGCTTGTCTAGGCGTCCAGAATAGCACTCAAAGTTGGCAGCGCCGCTTTTTATCATGTCTTCGCTACGTGGCTACTTCATAACTCCATGTTCTTCCCTCGAGATGAACGCGCAAATGGTGAGTTTATTAGCCCATGGAGTGCTTTGATTGTGCGACTTGGTGCATGGTGAATGAAGGATGTTCTGATATCCTTAACTCCATGACTCATCGTTTTTAAACCATTTGACTCAATATGCTCTCCTTTATTTGCCCCCGTGCTCAGAAGCTAGAATTGCCCTCTCGAGTCTTGATTCGTCTCAACGATTTATTATCTTTCCATGCAGCCTCAAATCCATCTTTTTCCATCTCTAACATCCAGTATCACAACTACCCCTAAACACCATATGAAACAAAGCTGGATCGAATCTCAAAATGGGTATTCCAGCCCCTCTTTACTATTTACATATGCCGACTTCAGAGCCTACGACATCGAAGTGGACATGGCACGGTCACTCATCACCGCCGATGCCAACGCTCGACCCAAGCACTTCCGCAACTTCTTTGAAGAATTTGTTTTCGTGTTTACTGTTATGATGGCCACTGCTTGCACAGTAAGTCCTCGACGAGCATGTTCACATCACCCTTTGCCCCCAGCTCATTGGACAGGTCCTACCAATCTCCCAGCGTTTTAAGGACTATCAGATTCAACTAACAGATCAGTAGACCTTCATACAAGGCGTCATCAACATAAACACCGTAACCATAGGCCGAGACCTCATCATGACCCCGGCACAAATAACCTGGATAGCCGCCGCCATCGGGTACGCCCCAACTCCCTTATGTCACCCCTATAAGTGTCGTTAACAAACCAACAGACTCGCCAACGGCTCCTTCATGCTTTTCTTCGGCAAAACAGCCGACTTCTTCGGCCGAAAAATCCAAATCGTATTCGGCCTCGCCTTCCTTAGCCTGAGCTCCCTCCTCACAGCCTTCGCCCCCACACCAACGATATTCAACATCCTCTGCGGCTTCCTCGGTCTCGGAACAGCTGTCGTAGCACCTCCTGCCATCGGCCTCCTTTTCGCCACCTATCCCGAAGGAAAGCGTCGACATCGAGTAACAGGTGCTCTGGGAGCCGGAAACCCGATCGGCTTCCTGCTGGGTAGTATATCGTCTGGGACAGCCACCAAGTATTCGAGTTGGCGAGCCTCATTCCATGTTCTTGCCGGCTTCTTTTTGGTGATGATGTTGATGGCGGTTTGGATTATGCCTACGATTCCGAGAGCGGGGAATGCGAGGGTGGAGGTTTGATTATGGGGGGACGGTGATGGTGGCGGTGGGGATGGCGTTAGTTTCAGCTGCCCTCACGTATGTGTTCACTTACCGCATACACTTGTCCGACTTTGGATGGTACTGCTGATGTCTCGGGACTTGAAGGACAATGAGATATTTCAAATGGAGGTTTCATTGGCCTTGGAATCGTGGGACATTGACAGCGCTATACAAAAGCACATTGTACTGCTCACTTCACCTCCTTTCCTGTCACATCTACTAATAGGACTGTCAATAGTCAAGCATCAGAACTGGGCTGGAAGTCCCCGAAAACAATTTCGTTCCTCCTCCTGGGCATCCTTCTCCTCCTTCTCTTTGCTTTCTGGCAAACAATCCACCCATACCCACTCCTCTCTCCATCCATCTGGAAGAACACCAATTTCACCCTCTGCATCGTCTCCGTAGGTCTTGGCTACATGGCCTTCATTACCAATTCCTTCTGGATCATGCTATACATGCAAGACGTGCAGTCGATATTGCCGCTCAATATTGCCGTACGGTTGATGCCGCAGGTCTTTGCAGGCATTTTGTGGAGTTATCTTGCGCAGTATCTGGTAAGCAGGTGGAGTGGGAAGGTTATCATAGGGATTGGAGGTATAGCTTATGTAGTGGGTGCTATCTTGGTGAATTTCATTAGAGAGGATACGAGTTACTGGACGTTTCTGTTTCCGGCACTGTGTATTACTGTTGTCGGAGCAGACTTTCAGTTTGTTGTTGCTAACGTAAGTCCCATATATTCTTGGGACAATGAAATCGGGAATGCTAATGAGGTTATAGTTGTACATCTCACAAGAAATGCCAACTCAGTCATCGCTTGGAGCAGGGTTTCTCCAGACATCGATGCGTCTTTCAATCTCTGTCGGTCTTTCGATCACTTCTGCAGCGTATGGCTCCGTCGCTTCTACACTGGCAGGGAAGGAGAATCGTACCCTACCTTACGAACGAGCATACTTATGCTCCATCATATTTGCAGTCCTTGGCTTAAGTGCCGTACCATTCATGAAGATCGGCAGACAAGGAACGAAAGCTCAACCTCTAAGGTACGACGGGATGATTGGGATACCGAAGAATATGAGCAGACTTAGCAAATTGTCAAATGACAGTTTGGAAAATTCAGATTCGGATGTGAGGAGCAGTTTGCGCTACAAGCCAACAAACGCGAATCGAGCAAGTGTTTCGACAATAATGAGTATGGTTTCAGTTGGAAGTGCTGATACCTGGAACCCGAGATGGAGTTTCGAAGCTGAAGAAGCGCGATCCACTCAAAACGACCAGTCTTTTCTGTATGAGGTGTGCACTAAATGTATGGAAGAACGAAGGAGAATTATGCATACGAACGAGAATGGACTCAACTTCTTCGGTGGTCTTTGGGAAGGTGTCTTCGGTTATGAAAACAAGCCAGACGCAGTGTGGAAGGGGCATCACCGCCACACGTGGTCTGGCAATCGCGGGTTTATTGCCTTGGACAAGCCTCTTGCGGTATGGGATGAGAAGGGTGCAAGGTCCGTCGAGCGGACGAGTGGTCGTGTTCAAGCACACGAAGGAGGATGGATGTAGTCGTGGCTATCATCCTCGTAGAAGATGTTGCTCCATCTTCTCTTTCCCTCATTCAAAGTGCTTCGGAATAATGGGAGAGGCTTAGCTCGAATTCGAGCTACTGAGAAGCTGTTGTCTGCGGCTCGAAGGCTGGCCGAGGAGAGGAGGGTATTGATTATCGGCGGGGAACTTGGCGGAAATGTGCGTTGACATTTTGGATGGCTACATTTGCATTTTCTTTCAGTCGCTCCTTGGCAGTGTCCAAGCATATAAATGGGTTTGGGATTGCCGTTATTAGCATATCTTTGATCGACTTAGTTCCTGGTTGTAATGGGTGGTAAACGTATACATAGCTGCGAAGAAAGTACTCGATGTTTGAATTGTTGCAGGGAAGATCTCTGTTCAATTGTGTTGATGTCTGCGATCGATAGACTTTGTCTCCAAAGAAGAACAAGACCAGCCTGGTGTTGTTGCTGCTGGAATCGATTGAAATTGCTCGACTATCGAAAAAGAAAAGCTAAGTGTAGCTGGAAGAGACTCGATGCGAAGCCAGCAAAGCGTAATGACCGAGAGTCCTAGAGTAGGCTGCGAAGCGTGGTGGTGTTGAATGGTGAAATTTGGAGCTGATAGATCCATCAAAAAGAGGACTCCTCTACAATCTTGCTTTCCAGAGGCAGGAATGGCCATCTTGTAGTCGTCTTTAAGTTCTCGCTGCTTGCAGAAGGAAGGAAGTACTTATCTGCAGTTCAAACTCTGCTAGGTGTAAATGCCAAGCTAGAAGACGACGTTTACTTCTGTAGAAGGACAATTCTCTTCATTTGTTGTATGATAGCCACGGGAAAGCCTGTGAAGAACACTTCATCGTGGCCGACTATGCAGAGAGCCGAATGTTGTATTGTTTCGAAACTGACATCTAGGTCGAGGGAAGTGATTCTGATGGAAGTACTAGCAGACTTCGGATCAAGCTGAGACGACTAGAGAGTTGTTGTTGGCGTTGTTTCGATAAGTTGCTTGTTCGAAGTAAGAGGATGTTTCGTAATTAGGAAGTAAACAAGAAGCTCTGACAGAACCTGCAGTCGAGGAACACAAGACGTAAGCCCGGTCTGGCTAGAAGGAAGCTTCCTCGCAGATGCTGTACTAGTTGAATCTAGCTATTGTTCTTGGTAGAGGGTAGAGTAGAGTGATGTCTTTCACAAAGGCTCTTCTGTGACTGCTTGGATTTGGGCGCAGGACGGTAGCGTCAAGATTCGTTTGCGCGAGAGCTTATAATCTGCCAGATAGTACCAAGACATACGGAGGGAGGGAGAGTTGACCAGGCAGATTGTAAAGTGCTGCTCTTGGATATAGAAGTATTGCATAGTACAGGAGAAGATGCGTTTGGTCTACGATAAAACAAACGAAACAAAATAGTGTTACGCTCGGTAGACGACAGACGCTACCTAACATCGGGATACCACTTCTGCCTGGATTTGAAGGGTAGAGCACTGCTAAAAATTTGCTCAATCACAAGTTGCTCTCCATCAAGCTGATATCGAGTTGTTATCCGTTGACGAGAGCATCTAAGAAGATTGTTGATAGGGAAAGTACAGTACATATTGTACTATAGTTTCTATACTCGGTACCATTGGCCAACAAGTTCGCCGCACAATCCATCCCCTTCCATGATCTACGTTTAGAATCCGTTACAGGGGAGCTAGCTAAGTCGATCCGGCGCTCCTCGACCAGACTTTGAAGAGCATGGACGTTTTCGACTTCGTATCTTGCATTTCTCATCTTTCTCCTTCCAAAAAACGGGTTTCTCAAAGATTCAGGATAATTGGTCCGCATAAACACACTCTCACGATATGTTGGAGCAACCTGTCTTCGAACAGATCGATGGTCCGCCTGACATCTAGCGAATCATGTTAGATGAGGAAGGACTAGAGATGCAGTATTTACCCTCACGAGCTTCCGTTCTTGGTTTGGCATTACGGAACCATTTGTAATGATATAGCATGCCTCTTGAATAGGATATCCGTATTCCATCGCATTGCACAGTATACTATGATATCTCCCCCAATATACTGTACAAAGCGCTCAACTCAACCCCCACTCCACGTGCGTGATATCACATGATTCTCGGATTGATATTGCGTAGGGTTGATGATTGGTTTCAGGGTTGCCAACGAAGCGCCGTGACTTCACGTTGAAGTTATAGGCTTTAACAGTGAGTCCATGGAAACATTGTGTGACTTGGTTGCTTGGTTGAAGAAACGGGACGCATATCAATTGATGGTGTTTCCCCTCATCAGAAGTGATTGCTCAGCAACCGGCAAGCACGGCAAAGATCTCCATAATCCACACACACGCTGGAGTTGCATGCGAGCGTCTATCTTTTTCAAGTGTCTTCGTTGGCATGGGTAATGTAAGTGCGCTATTATATCAGTACTGGGAAAGAAAAGATCACAGCGGAAGGTTACTTTTATGATGCTTCAGGTTGGACTGTAACAAGAGACAACAATGGAGCCATCTCCGCATGGAGATCGTCACTTCGACCTCGACTTGGAATTTGAGTCTTGCTCGAATGAGGCTGATGAAAGGACCAACTAGCAGGGATAGTGGACGCGGGGATGACTTTGCCGCTGTCCTTGAACCTGGGCCAGACGACCCTCAAACGAATATGGAAATTGAGTCCCCTCTTATCGTAGATCAGGTCATCGTCAGCGCAATATGAAGAAGATATCAGATTCGGGTCCAGGTGCATCCAGAGAGGATGGAACAGTGGCTCAGCGTTTAGACAGCACGCAAGCAGACAGAGCCGAAAAGAGGCTGCTCTGTGAAATCTGCAAGATGAAGTGGTACGAGAGTATCAAGTATCAAGATCCTCGTCAATACCGAACTTCTGCTGGCTATGGAAATTGGTCTGCGAATGCGGTAACAGGTGACACGACGTTAATCCCTGTTCTTATGATAATAGAGAGGCATTAGAACTATATCAGAGGGCTGCTATAGCCACTTGCCTGCACTCGCTGGCATAATGCGACGCTGATAAGTGAGGTGACGGGTGACATGCGTGGGATCCCGTTGTGCCGGACGATGAAACACTTCTAGATGGCTTCGGTGGTGTGCATGGTGGGATTGGGGGGATTGGGGAGGGGGAGTGGACGGGACGGGGTTCGCATTGGTGGCATTCGGTGGACGGCCTCGGATGGGTGTTGGGTTGGTGGTGTTGGTCTTGGCCCAGCAGGCGGCCAAATCGATCTCGTACCTTACCTGTTCCTAACTGGAGTTGAGACCCTGACCGCCTCTTATTGCAACCACCATCGACATGCGCTCGGATGGCCGAAACTGTGCTGGGCTGGGTGCCAACAAGAGGGTTGGGTGTCGGTCGGATATATGTCTGGGTGAGAAAGTCTAGTATCTGGATCAGTAAGTCGGTACGTCAATTCCTGCACATGCCTAATAAGAGTTCTTACCTAGATCATGTCTGGCGTATACTGAGCTACCCACCTTAGGTCTCGCGGTACAGAGGTACCGAGATCATGTCTGGCCGTAGACTCATCATACTGTACTGTACTGAATTGAATCATACTGACCAGAACGGAACCATACTGAGCTCTACCGTATTTCTTTCCGAACACTTCACACTTTCATACCCAGGTCTCTTGTTTGAGCTGGCGGGCTTCTTCCGAGTTACCCCACCACTGTAATACTTTCCTTAGGGCTTTGCCACTCTGGCATTCCTGCCGTAACTGTTGCCGCCACCCCAGTTTCCGGTCAGCACACCAAATTCGAGATTCGAGATTGGGAGGGCAAAATGATTTGCAGCAGGTTTGTGAGGTGTGCAGGTAATAGGTGCTGTAAGAGAGAGCGGGAGCGACAGCAGCAGCCCAAGCCCCAAACCGAGAAATGATCCGGGGCCAGCTCGGGTGCGCTAGTGTGGAAGGGGAAGGGACTTAGCACAGGGCCGACGCCAGTGGTCAGGTCAGGATATCCATTAGCGAACGAGGCCCACGCTAAAAAGTCCTTCCACAAGAACCAGAGCCGAACTTTTCGAACTTTCTTTCTCCTCCACATTCGAACATCTTCAAGTCCGATCTCCATCTTCCGAAAGCCTTCGATCTCCAGAATCAGCCTCCCTTGTGCTGCTTCTATCTTCTTTTCGCTCTCTTACTTCTGTGCTTCCCGCGCAGTTGCTCCTTTACAAGCTCCCTTTAGACCAAAAGTAAGCCCTTTCAAGCTCTTCACCGTCCCTCTTTTGACCCCACCATACCGTCAACAACAGCGATCGAGCACCAGCACGTCGCTATTGTTCCCGTTGTCTTTGCAGGATTAAATACTAACAGACGTCTGCAGACAACACTCCTTCTTCGAAAGAATGGATTCCTACGGTGGTGCTGCTCAAGGCCGTGGTTGCTACAACTGTGAGTGCCACATCCGATTTTCACCTTCATTCCACACGAGCGCCAGCAATCCAAAACTCTGCCGAAGCTTCCCCTCCTGTTCCCTCCGATTATGCACTCGAGTACGGGCCATATACACCGGATTGCTCCCTTGGGAAATTTCCAATGTATCTGCTACCATCGATCTTGGCCAATAGCCGTCGTTTCTGCAATCTCCAAAGCAGGCAGACCGAGGTCTTTTGGGTGGACAGAGGGGAACAATTCAATCTGCGACATTCGCTTCGCGGTCCTCCGTCCGCCGAATAACACTCGGCTCCTCGTTTTTTCCCATATGACATAGTCGAACGATTGGTGACCAGAGCTGACTTTCACTTTAGGTGGCGATGCCTCTCACCAAGTATGGAAAACCAATCGCAACTCTAACCAGCTCTTACTAACGCAAATATAGGCCCGTGACTGCCCTACCCGTGGCCCAGCCAAGTGGTAAGACTTCTTACCGTCCTGTTATACTTCCTTGCTGACTGGTGATAGCTACAACTGCGGTGGTGAGCTCCCTCAATCAAAATTTTCATGCGGTTTATACTAACCACATTATCCCTTGATAGGTGAAGGACACATGAGTAAGTCGGGCTTAGCTATACCTTGGAACCTGTGCTGATAACTGGTTAGGCCGTGAATGCCCCGAGGGTCCCAAGGACAAGACCTGCTACAAGTGCGGTCAATCCGGCCATATCTCCCGTGATTGCACTAACCCATCTGCTGATGGAGGTGCTGGTCGTGGTGGTTTCTCTTCTGGTGGTGGTGGATCCGGTCAAGAGTGCTACAAGGTATGCTTCATTCTATCTGCATTATGTTCCTGTGGCTTACCCTTTTTGCAGTGCTCCAAGGTCGGCCACATTGCCCGTAACTGCCCTGAAGCTGCTGGCTACGGTGGTGGTGGATATGGCGGTCAACAAGGCGGTTATGGTGGCGGCGGCGGGTTCGGTGGACGTCAAGGCGGTCAAACTTGCTACTCTTGCGGTGGCTACGGCCACATGTCTCGTAAGCATTCCCCCTTACATGTTCCAACATTATCCAACACAAATAGGTGACTGCACCCAAGGCCAAAAGTGCTACAACTGTGGCGAAGTTGGTCATCTCTCCCGTGATTGCCCATCTGAGACCAGCTCTGAGCGTACTTGCTACAAGTGCAAGCAACCTGGCCACGTTCAGGCTCAATGCCCAAACTAGGCCTTCACAATGTTCACGGCAATTGACACTGAGAGGACCGACGTATACGAGCGCGAACGATTGATTCTACACTTCCGAGAAGACGACTTGCATGCAACTTGATCGAACGAGAATACGATACCCCGAGCATTTGGAAAGGGTGGCTTGCAGACACAATTGATTTGAGGATTTGCCGATTGAAAGCTTTCAACCAACAACGGCCGGCCTTCTTTGTACACTTCTACTTTTGCCTTTACACTTTGCCCTTTCTGTTTTCCCCATTTCACGACAACAAAACTAAAATCCACGACTCTTCTAGAGTTTTGGAACTGATTTCTTTGGTTCATTACATGTTTCGTTATCGTTGGTGGCTCTCTTGGGCTATCTAGACGGTCTGGGATCTTCCACGGAACAAAACAAAAACAAAAGCACTCGTCATTTGCTTGTTGGTCTCTCAGTTGGACGACGACTGAGATCTGGTGCGACGATCAGTGGATGGGAGTTGAGGATGAATGATGGGACGTCTTCTTTCTTCACGCGATAGAGGGAAAAAATCTTATTCATGCAGATACGACGAACGGAATGGTCAGACGGATGCTTTCCAGCAGCTATGACAACGACAGAAAATTCGATGACTTCAACCTATTGCTTTTCGCCGATGTATGGCGATGCTTTTCGCTGGTCTTTCTGTGATGCTTTTCGCTGGTGTGTTGTGAAGGGACGTGCATGTTCCTGATGGTGGGGTCCCAAGTTCCGGCGCACTGCTGCATATCCTCCCTTTCCATTACTCCCCGTCTAACAATGGTTGTTGCGTTAAGCAATCCTTTCATGAACTGTGAGACCCCGGTGATTGTTAACTTGGAATTATCTGGTCTGGGAAAATATCCATCTGCGGTTCCAAATGTCGGACTAGGTACCTCGAACAAGTTGCCTGCAATCTCACCGACTCAGCCTCCTCCTTAATCTTTCCACCGAATCTCCTCCAAGACCCCAACAACATTACCAAAGAAGAACTGCCTAAATAATGGTATCATTGACTACCTTGATCTTCTTGGCACGAAGACTGTGAATGCTTTTAACAACGAGGTTCAAATTGACAGTTTGAGGCTTTCAACGTTCCTCTAATCTTCCAATCTTCCTCTCATGGGCCCGTCTCGGATCCAGTGCCGCCATGGATTCCTCCACAACCGCCTCTCTCCATGCTCTTAATCTATTATGATCGCTGGGGTGCAATACTTTTGAGCCAGATTCCATAACCTAGCATAACTTACCTACTGATCTTGAAGTCGGAACTCGGCCAGCAACCCAGAACCAAGTTCTTGAACTTCTAATTCTGAGCTCGACTTGTGGCTCTACTTCAGTTCTCCAGTGCTCATTCATTTATTCAGCTCATCAGATGATGATCAAAGGTACCTAGGTATCGAAGGCTGCAGAGCCAATTCCCAATAATTTGGAGCATTCACCAAGAGAAACAAGGGGAAGTGGCACCAGTGAAAATTCATGGGCCGAGGCATTTGATTCACTTTTCATGCTCTTCTCGCTAGATTATTCAAGATTGCATTAGAAAAATGATTTGATTATATCAAGTCGAACGCATATTTCAACGATTCTTTTCCACGAAAAAGAAAAACCCACCTCCTATTGCCACTCACGTGACTGTTCCACCATCCATCTCGCTAAATCAAGCCCACCCCGATATCAATCGATTCACACCCCACTTGCATGAAGAACGACAAGGATGTGTAATTTCGAAGCTCGGAAGAACACTGAATGTTGACCTTGAACGCGAACAACGACGCGACGATATTATTCCAACAATCAAACCAAACATCCACCTCGACATTTATCGCCTTTTCCATATCACCATTTGTTTGACAGTATTCGAAACGAACTTCAACATTTACGATTTGCTAACTGCCACTTTGACGACTCGCGGTATCCCGGACATTAATTGCGAAATTTGTCGAGTTCTTGGATCATTCCCTGCTTGGAGGACACGAAACATATGTGATGACGGGTACGGACTGAGGTAGAGACAGAAGTCTTCCGATGGTCTGCACACCGGCATCCGAAGCCGTACCGTCGTGGAATCGAAGCCTGGGATACGAACACATATCAAGAACGACGACCTCGAGAGGGGTTATAGGGGGGACAACTATTGGGGCCAGGCGGGCATCGAATATACGCAAAGATGGCGCCGGCAGGTGGAGGAAACATTAAGGTCGTGGTGCGATGTCGTCCTTTCAATGGACGAGGTAGGATTTCCTGCTTACGATACCTGGCACGATATTGACATGTGAATTAGAACTCGATCGAGGGGCAAAATGTATTGTGCAGATGGATGGAGCCCAAACGGTCCTCATACCTCCCCCCGAAGCCGAAGAACGATCGCGGACTGGCAAAGGAGGCGCAAAGGATAATGGGCAGAAAGTCTTCGCATTTGACAAATCGTATTGGTCTTTCGATCGAAATGCCCCGAATTTTGCTGGACAAGATGATCTACATACTGATCTTGGAAAACCGCTTCTGGACAACGCTTTTCAGGGATACAATAATTGTATTTTCGCATATGGACAAACTGGTTCTGGAAAATCTTACTCGATGATGGGATATGGGAAGGAAGCAGGTGTCATTCCCAAGATTTGCCAGGATATGTTTGAGAGGATTGGAGAGTTGCAACAAGATAAGAATCTGCGATGTACGGTGGAGGTGTCATATTTGGAAATCTACAACGAGCGAGTTAGGGATTTGCTGAATCCTTCTACGAAAGGCAATCTCAAGGTCAGAGAACATCCATCTACAGGGCCATATGTTGAAGATCTGGCGAAATTGGTGGTCAGCAGCTTCAATGAGATTGAGCATTTGATGGACGAGGGAAATAAGGCGAGAACAGTTGCGGCTACGAATATGAACGAGACGTCCAGTCGAAGTCATGCTGTTTTTACTCTTACCCTTACACAGAAACGTCACGATGTCGAAACCAACATGTCTATGGAGAAGGTGGCAAAGATCAGCTTGGTGGATTTAGCAGGTTCCGAAAGAGCTACATCTACTGGTGCAACGGGTGCTCGTCTGAAGGAAGGTGCTGAAATCAATCGTTCGCTTTCTACACTCGGTCGAGTTATCGCTGCTCTGGCAGATCTCTCCGAAGGCAAGAAGAAGAAAACAGGGAAAGGAGCTGGCCAGGTACCATATCGAGACAGTGTTCTGACATGGCTACTGAAGGATTCTTTGGGTGGAAATAGCATGACAGCTATGATTGCAGCCATCAGTCCAGCAGACATCAATTTTGACGAGACACTCAGTACGCTACGGTACGCCGATAGTGCCAAGAGGATCAAGAATCATGCTGTGGTCAATGAAGATGCGAATGCCAGGATGATTCGGGAGCTCAAGGAAGAGCTGGCAACTCTTCGAAGCAAACTCAGTGGTGGCGGTGGTGCTCCAGCTGAAGAAACATATGCTGAAGGTACACCGCTGGAGAAGCAGATCGTCAGTATTGTTCAGGCAGATGGCACCGTGAAGAAGGTTTCGAAGGCCGAGATTGCAGAGCAACTGAATCAGAGCGAGAAGCTATACTCGGATCTCAATCAGACCTGGGAACAGAAACTGCAGAAGACTGAAGAAATCCACAAGGAACGAGAAGCTGCACTGGAAGAGCTGGGTATCAGTATCGAAAAGGGTTTTGTCGGATTGCACACGCCGAAGAAGATGCCGCATCTGGTCAATTTGTCTGACGATCCATTGCTAGCCGAATGTTTGGTGTACAATCTCAAGCCTGGTACCACCACAGTGGGCAATGTGGACACAAATGTTGGCGCCCATCAGTCTGAAATTCGATTGAATGGCAGTCGTATTCTCCACGAGCACTGCACGTTCGAAAACGTCGACAATGCCGTTACACTTGTACCAAGAGAAGGCGCTGCCGTCATGGTAAATGGAAAGCGTATCACGGAGCCGAAACGGTTACGCAGTGGTTATCGTGTCATTCTTGGAGACTTTCACATCTTCCGCTTCAATCATCCTATGGAAGCTAGGGCAGAACGCGCCGAACAGAGCTCATTACGGCATTCAATCCTGGCAAGTAATCTAGGCGACTACGAGAAAGGATCCCCGTCCCCAAGTCCACGCCCTGGACACGAAAGAACTTTCAGCAAAGCTGGCTCGGAAGCAGATTGGGATGCGAGTCGCCCTGAGTCGCCTATGCCATTTGGACGGAGTCGTGACTCAGATTGGTCGTTTGCAAGAAGAGAAGCTGCTGGTGCTATTCTTGGACCAGACAAGCAGATTGCTGGTCTGACTGATGAGGAGTTGAATCTTCTTTTCGAAGACGTCCAGAAGGCACGTGCTGAACGTGCTGGCCAGAATATGGATGATGATCTGGATTCAAATACTTCGTACCCGATACGAGAGAAGTATATGTCGAACGGTACTTTGGATAACTTCTCGTTAGACACAGCATTGACTATGCCTTCGACGCCTAAGCAAGGTGAGGTGGAAGACAAGTTGCGTGAAGTCAGAGAAGAAATGCAAGTCCAATTGGACAAGCAGAAAGAAGAGTACCAGGATCAGCTGAAGAGTGCCGAGGCTGCTAATGTCGAGGTCGAAGAGATCAAGAAAGAGAAAGCGCGGATGGAGGATGATCTTCGACAGTTGAAAGAGGAAATGCTCACGCAACTTGAAACACAGAGGAAGGAATTCGAAGAGAAACTGCAGCAAATGCTGCCCACTCCACCAAAAATTGACGATGGTCTCCCACCATTGTCAGACGCCGAGATGGAGATCGCGGAGAAAGTTATCGAGCATTGGAAACGCCGGAGATATGTTCGAATGGCTGAAGCTGTCTTGCAATCCGCTGCGAACCTGAAAGAAGCCCAAATCATGAGCCAAGAAATGGATGAAAGTGTCAGCTTCCAGTTTACAATCGTGGACGTTGGACATGATCGGTGCTCATCGTACGATATGGTTCTGAATGGCATTTCTGGAGAGGGCGAAGACGTTTTCCTTGAGGAGGCGCCGAAACCTTGTGTTGCTGTCCGAGTCATCGACTACAAGAACAGCGTTGTTCATCTCTGGAGCTTGGAAAAGCTTCAGGAACGAGTCAGGCTGATGAGACAAATGCATCAGTACATGGATCGACCTGAGTATCTGCAGCATTTCCGTCTTGATAACCCTTTCACGGAGACCTGCATGCCACAATATAGTCATATCGGCGATGTCGATGTTCCATTAGCTGCTGTGTTTGAGAGCCGAGTTCAAGACTTCAGCCTCGACGTACTTTCGCCTTATACGTCGCATGCTATTGGCATGATCAAACTCTCACTAGAACCATCATCTGCGAGGGCGCCATCTTCCACGCTGAAGTTCAATGTGGTCATGCACGATCTTGTCGGATTCGCTGAGCGAGAAGGCACAGAGGTTCATGCTCAACTCTTTATTCCTGGTGTATCTGAGGATGGTGGTGTAACGACAACTCAGATGATCAAGGACTTTGATGAGGGGCCAGTCAGATTCGAAAGTGTCCATAGTATGAGCGTGCCCATGTTTAGACCAAGCGATGTCTCATTACGTGTGGCCATCTTTGCAAAGGTTTCTTCGATGCACCTAGACAAGCTGCTGAGTTGGGACGACATGAGAGACAACGTGCCTCGACCGAAACAGAAGCGGAAGAACGCTCGAATATCAGAGTCACAGTTCTATATGGAAGAGAAGCATGATGTCTTTGCCAGGATCCAGATCCTTGAGCTCGCTGAAAATGGAGAGTACTTGCCTGTGGAGGTCATTCAAACGAGTGACCTCGATAAGGGTTCATTTCAGCTTCATCAAGGACTTCAACGTCGGATAGTTGTCAATCTTACGCATAGCTCTGGCGATGCTTTGCCCTGGCAGGATGTCTCTAGTCTTCGAGTTGGACGAATCCAGCTTGTAGATCACGTGGGTAAGACGCCAGATCTCAGCTCGCCAACTCCTGAGATCCCTCTAAAGCTCATCTCGAAGCCCACTGTCAAGCAGAATGCGAATGGTACGAGCAATGTCACCCTCATGGGCCAATGGGACTCGAGCGTCCACGAATCTTTACTCCTCGATCGAGTTACTGCCGACAAGTACAAGGTCCAGATGTCGCTGCTCTGGGACGTTACTTCGCCAAAGCTTGCAGATCTCATGACGTTCTCTATTGATGTTTGCTCTCAAGTCCTCTCACGAGCGTATGTCCGCTCAACGTCCATGTTCGCATCTTTATGGCAGAGTGTTCGAATTGTCCATTCGACTAGTGGGATCTTCTCAGTCGCCGTTCGGCCAACACCTGTCAAACGTGCCGGAGATCTTTGGCGCATGAACACCCAGAATGACTATGTGAAGGGTGAAGAAGGACTTACGGACTGGACTCCGAGGGGTGTCAGCTTAATTCGAGATCACATTGCTGCGAGGCGGCGTAAGCTGAGGCACGCAGAAATCGAAGCTGCTCAGCCGCTATTGAGCCGCATCTCCTATCCTGTCGCCGCTCCGAGTCCATCCACTCCTCCTACCACCAACGGCTCCGCTCCCAATCCCGAAGAAGAAGCCATGGAATTCCCCATCTCTGACCACGATAAAGAACTACTCGAAAAATACCTGAAGCTCTGGAAACTTTGCCACGATCCCATCTCCAGCATCCTCACACCTACTAATGTCGAACCTCCATCGAATGGGGCTCCAGCCTCGCCACCTAATGCTCCCACTTCACCGAACCTCCTTGCCACCATCTCCATTGTCAATAGGAACCCCACTATCCTCAAAGGCGGCTACCTTCTCACCCCCTCCGCCGATTCTTCACGTTGGATACGGCGCTTCGTCGAGTTAAGACGGCCATATATGCACATCCACTCAGTCCCTGACGGAGAAGAAGTCTGCGTAGTTTCATTACGGAACTCACGAATAGACCACCAGCCTCAAATTGCCAGGCTTCTCAGACGCGAAGGCGAGAGTCCAGCAGGTGGCAGGATGAACGGTGCAAGAGGCAGAGCAGGAGATAGAGAAGACGAAGGCAAAGTCTTTGCCGTTTACGGTACAGATAATACGTGGCTATTCAAAGCTAGGAATGAACGAGAGAAAGTGGACTGGATCTTCAAGATTGATCAGAGCTATTTTAGTTCTGGTAGCGGAACGGGGAATGGAAGTGAGGAAGATGAGTTATCGTGATACTCCAGTCCTGGTTGGAGATGAGGCTGGTCAATGAGGTACATACCATACCCAAGGAGAATAATTTTTGCCCAGCGAGCGTGTGTTAAGTATATGTATGAAATGATGTGTATGTATGTCAGTGTATGATACCCATGTTTTTGGATAATGCTAGTGCGAGATATATCTTATACCATAGTTTCCTTTTGTCTTTGGGTGGGGATGGGTAGGATAGATTGGTGCTGAGTGAGAAATGAAAGCTTCTTTGAGAATTGTGCTTTAGTCGTAAGTGATATGTTAATTCGGGTTGAATGATGCAGCGGCAAGTGCCTTGACAAGATTAGGGGTCGAAGGAGCCGACCTGTGAGTTTGCTCTTGATGGAGAAAGTCTACTCTTGGGGTTAAGGCATACTTGTTGAGTGTGGCTCCGCATTCATCAGCATCGAATAGAAGAACCGCTATTCAGGTTCATGCCTCCCATCTCCTTTCATGTTGCCATTTGCCATTAGCTTTGAAATGTGGTTCGAATAGCCCTTACACGATAATCTGTTGATATATCAGGCAACAAGACAATCTCATTTTGGTCTCTTCAAAGCTTCAGAGCACTAGGCGTAAGTCAGAGCACTTTCCTCGTATGGTGGTCTAAGGAATGATGCCGCTATAGCATTCACGGGCTCTTCTACGAGTGTAACACTAGTGTTCAGAAGTGGTGCCACTTTTGTGACTTGCTATATTCTTTCTGTAAAGCCACCCAAGCGACAATTGTAATTCAGACAAAACTTCCTCAACCTTACACTTTACAAACAACTTTGATCCATTTCAAGCCTCAAGTTTCCGCATACTCTTCTCGACTTTCAGTCAACTCTCATAATGCCATCCTATCTCTTCAAGATGATCATCATCCTCCTCATCCTTGTTCCTTTGGTCTGCTCCCGAGAACCTCAAAACCTGCAATACTAATACCCAATAGATCCCCGCTGCTCGCGATTCTGGCCGCACTGCTCTGAAACCTTCCAACTTCGGTGTTTTGAACTACCAAGGCACTCTGCAAGGCATTGATGTTGATCTCAATGGCACTATTGAAGTACGCACCGTGACACATCTCATGCTTGACGAGTCTTTGCTAAGGTGCGCAGATCATCTGTCGCCAATTTCAGGAGCTGTATCCAGAGGTCACTCTTGATATCCGTGCTCCCACTACACTGTAACTTGAGGATAGAGACACTGTGCGTACTTCTCCATTTCACCATACATCAGAGCTGATGAAATTCCAGTCCAAGACCCAATGCTGCACTGGTTCCTCAACTGCTCCCAGCCCCGCCGCTATCTTGAAGGCTATCAACTGGCTCCTCGGTGTTCCAGGTGACTGCTGGGCCCCTGCCAACAGCTGTGTCCAACTCTCTTGCACTTCGGACTCTGCCATCGTGCTCTGCAACACCGTGAGTATATCTCTAGGATTGTTGGCGATTTGATGCTGACCCATAATCCAGAACTCGAACTCCGTCGACCCTAGTTGCCCCTCCCTCGGAAGCCTTGCTCAGGACGTCTACAGCTCATGCACAAATGGTGCAGGTATCTGTGGCTCTCAGGTCGACAGTAATTGCTACGAGATTACCAACGAACGTGGCTCATGTTAGCTCGGTAAGTGGACAATTCTTTTCGGATATTGCATTGGATTTTGGAAAGCGGGCTGGGCGGGATGTTAGGTCTATTCTTTAGGACGCGTTCCTGGTGTGCTACAACTAGGTATTTTGCATTTTGAAAAGTAGACTTGATTCTACTATGACCCTGCGATGACTTGCCTGCTGTGAGCTTCGGTGACCCTGCTGCGAATACGAGCTCTGAATGAGAGATTGGTGCATGACAAATCTTGGTAATTATATGAATATTGTGCTCTTTGATGGGCTGATGGAAAAGGAGAGCTGTTTTCAAAAACGAGAGCTAGGCCGAGATTTTCCTATACAAGATGGCAGATGATCTTTTTGTCTGTTATCTATTGATTCTATCAGCAGATTTGTCGCGTGACGAAGAGTCAGTCAAGGCATGGCTCGCGACTGCCGTCTGAGAAGGCTGTCTCCCTCATTTTCTGAAGCCGCAACTAGCGTCGCGTTCGCTTTCAACCTTTCTTTCACTTCTCAACAACAGTTCACTTCTCCAGTCGCGACAAGGTGAAACTTCCTACATTGAACTTCAAGCACTTCATTCGAACCATACTTCAATTGAACGTCGACAAACGAAACGCGTCGTGATGGCCTCCTCTACTCCTTTCAAGACCATCACCCTCCTCCTGCTCACCCTACTTCTATTGGTAAGGATTGCAATTCACTGGTAATCTGAGTTCATTCTGATGGTGTGACATGCAGACTGCGGAAGTCAGTGCTACGGCTCCCTTCGGTATGGAACAATATGAAGGTTACAGCGAAGGAGTCATGATGTTCCAGGGCTCCATTTACGGACATGCCATGGAGATGAATGGAACCATCGAGGTATAGCTCACGTCTCCCTGAGATTATTTTGTCTTTTGAGTCATCGAAACTGACCATACAGGAAATCTTCGATCGATTCACTCTCGAGCATCCCGAAGTTGAACTCGATTTCAAGTCCAATGCTACTGCCGCCGGATTCCAAGCTGAGCGCCGTGATCTTCAAGGTAGCGAAGCTCACAACAAGGTAGCCCGCAGCAAGGCTAGTCTCCAATATTTACGGTTTTCTAGGACGTTCTAGCTGATTTTTAAAACAGTTTGGTCTGCAATGTTGCCCGATCGCAGCGTATGTCAAAGTCTCCTTTACGCTTTGGGAATCAATGCTTATCCTTCTGTAGTTGGGGCTGGACCGGAGCCATTCAAGTGATCATCGAGGATGGGATTGATTATCTAAACCATGTTCAGGCACGATGCGGCGTAGGTGCTCGTTCTTGCGTCCGAGTCAGCTGTTCTTGGAATGCTGGTATTTATCTTTGCAACGATGTATGTCCGGAATTTGTCGTCTTCTAATTTGAGAAAGCTAATTGTCTCCCAACAGAACTACTACGGCATTTTCCCTTCTTGCCCCTACATCGGCTCGTACGCTCAAGACATCTCCAACGTCTGCTGGGGATTTTCACGAGGCATGGAAGTATGCTGTGGCCAGGAATTCGATACTGATAGCTACAACGTCATCGTCAGATATGCGAATGAAGGCTGCTGAGCTTGTTCTCCAACATGGAATTGCATGGACAAAATGGGATCTTACTAGAGAATGATGCTAGTGATTGCACATTTGGGACTCCAAAAGTCGAAGGATTGCTTTATTGCCTCTATGAAATGAACATCTGAGGCGCATTATGCGAATTTCTCTGCTTTCCCTGTTTTCTATGTGACATGAATCATTCTCTCTGAGAGCCTAGTGGCACTACCTCGCATGGTTTAGGGTATCCCTGTATGTGGCAAGTGACCACAAGAGTCTTCCCAAGTCATGCAATCAAGGCTTAGCATTTTCATGAGAAAATTTGTACTATACTTGGGCACAGTTCGAAGTCAGAGAAGCTCGTTATCAGGCAAGACACATGTAACATGCGCATTACAGCGACCTGATATGTACAACTTCTCCGCTGCCGAAAGCAAGAAGCTTCAAAATCTTCAACCACACAAGCACAGCACTTGAACTTAAGGATCTGGAAGCCGACAGATTAACTCTGGATGCAACCTGCATCATAGTCTTTCCCTGGGCGTTGAACTGCACCTAGGCTTCATAATACCCAGATCACGTGAATGAGCCCCTGAGATGAGTCGCCAAGCGAGTCCTCGACGACGGATTAGTCAATGGCGGATTATTCGACATGAGAGTAGGTTTTTGCGATTCATGAGAAGGCGGCCCGAGGCCTGGCGCTACAGTACAGAGACCTAGCGCGAGCACGGGCTTTATTTGTCGTGAGCCTCTCTCGGCAATTAAAATACCTACATCTACACATACACCTATAGAGATAGACATAGACATCGACATCGACATGAGTCGCAGCTTTCAAGTCGCAGCATCTCTTTTAACGTCATGGAGGATGCCGTCCGTCCAAATGAGCAGGCGTTTAGGGCCATGTACAAGAGAGGTTATTGCACTTGGTTTAGTCTTTACGAGATGACAATTGCAGATACCAAAACCCAGCTCCCATCGTGGGATTGTCTATTTCAACTTGAGAATGCATTTCTCAACTACCCTTCTTTCCCAGAAAATCCTGCGGTAGACGCATCATTTTCGAATACTGTCATTGCAACGGGGATATCTACATGGAGAACCGCGCAGGGACCGTGCGATTTACCGTCCTTTGATCAAGAATTCTTCATTCCAGTCGCGTCAGATCGTCCTACGATTCTCTCTATCTCGGGTCCGCAACAGTCTACATTCGTGTTCCCGCGAAGCTTCAGTGAGGACGACGACCATATTACTTTGCTCATACTTGCCTGGACCTACATACTTTCTGCACGATGGGCCGAGATCATTCCCGGAGCGTCTGGGCCTGAATACAGCAATTGCGAGGCCGAATGGGATGACAAAAACATCCCACTTGAAAACGCCCCGACTGATGCCACGACAGCGGTTATAGACTTGGGCGATATTGATGATGACAACGCTCGATGGTGGTCAGCGGTCCTCGCCCTGGAAGGAGGTTGGAATGCGTCTATTCCAAGTGATAAAGGTCCCATCCTCCACTCACCCTGGTATACGAAGCTTGTGTCAGAAAAACGCTTCATTCTTTCACGCGGCACGAAATCTCGCCCCCTTCCATTTCAGCATCGTGCGGCATCATTCGCTACCGCTTTGCGCTATCTTTCTAGCTACTGCGAATTTCACAAAGTGGCTGAGCAAAACCATGCTGCTTTGGCGGCGACATTGCTTCTCCCTGTGGCCAGATTCGACAAAAGTAGAGTTCAGTTACCGACCCCTCGAGTTCGCCGTAAAGTACGACTCAACAAGGAGTCGATCTGCAAAACTCCAGCATGGAGCGAAAATCTCAACCAACTAGACAGGCTCCTCTCTCTAAGCTGCAACGCAGTGGGAACCAAAGCGCTTCTAAACAGCGTCTTCTTTGAACCAGGTGTGGCATGTAATATCTGTGGGGCATGGTTGCAAGGGACCTTCGCATTTCTCGACTCGGATATCGTGCAGGATCAGCATATCCTACTTCGTGTCTTGATGAAGCGGGATCCTAGCCTGGGATTTCTCTGGCTTGGTGCTTTCATCATCGGAGCACAAACACGTTCCCTGCAAGAGGCTCGTCAGGCGTGGTGGAAAATCGATCTTCATGTGGCAGCATGGACCGGAACGCTTAAGTCTTTTATACAAGAGCCTGTCTCAACACTGCCCCCTGGGACAGAAGAAATTTCGCGTGCTGACGAATGTCGACTGATGTACTTGTCCCACGACCAATACTATACTGTCCCCCCGCTCTTTCCATTCGCTCCGTTCGGTTCTACAGCGATAACAGACACCAACATCGACGTTCGTCAACATGCACGATGTGAGACAAGTCACGGCCTCGAATACGAAGGCTTGACCTGGCGCTGTCGTGGTGGCCAGAGCACAGTTACAGCTGTCCCTAGAATTCTCTTGCGCGCCAAAGGTGGGCAGCCAACAGACGGCAATATCTCCGTCACTTACGACAATCTCGACCACGAGGATGATGACTGTTCGGAAATGGTGACTAGGAACATTTTCACTTGGCTGCGCGATGAGGACGGCTTTCCTGTCACGGAGAGGGCTATTCGTGAACACGAGTGGATAGACAATTTGGACTCGGACGATGACTGTCCGATTACAGGCGACGCTCAATCCACTGTGGGAGGCAATCTGCACGGATGGCTGTTGAAGACCATGACCAGACGGTCCAATTCGCTCTAATGGGTGACGGAGAAGTGCGAGGTGGTAGTGGAAGGGCGTAATGTTCATTGTCTCATATATATTAACTTCTAGATTAATGTTAAATATACTAGACAAACGACAAGGCCACTCTCTATGTACGTATGGCGGGGTCGAGTCTTGCCTGGGAATTAGTGGAAGATACACTCCTAAGATTTCACAAATGGCACTTCTTTATGTACTCTGCCAACTCTCCCGGAATACTCACCTGCGGAAAATGCTTGCTGTTCAACACCTCCAACTTAACTCCAGTCTCCGTCGCCAATACTACATTCTCCCAGAACCAACTTAGTGGCATCAAGCCCCCCACACTCCAAAAGATCCTCTCCTTCTTCTTCTTCAACTCTTCCTTATCCCAAAGTAGTTTCTCTACAACTGGCGAATAGTTCCTGTACCAGGTAACATAATTCGTATGTAGCCTCTTATGATACTCAGCTCCCAATCCTTCCCAAGCCGCCAAATCCTCATTCATAGCATGAGCGAAGATGTGCTGACACGTAGCGACCGTCTTAGGATCCTCAGATGTGGGTTGATCAACCCAAGATTTAAGATCTCCCAAAACATGCAAAGGAACTTCATGCACGAGCAATTTCTCCACTCTCTGATCGTATTTCTGTAGCATCGCGAACCCGATGTTACCGCCTGAGCTACTTCCGAAGACAGATGCGGTAGAGATGGAGAGTTTGTCCATTAAAGACACGATTTGGTCGGCGATTTTGTAGGGCGTGAGGGTTTCGGCTGCGACGGCGGAGTGAGGAGCAATTGTGCGGGAGAAGCAGGGGAGGTCAAAGGTTGTAACTGTGAAGTGGGAAGAGAGGTGAGAGGCGGCTTTGGCGTAGACGGAGCAATCGCCTTCGCCGGAGGGGACGAGGAGGATGTGTGGGCCGGTGCCGGATTGTTCGACGTACCAGGAGATGCCGTCGTCTGTTTCGACTTGGAAGATGTGAGCCATGATGGAGGTTCTGATAACTCAGTAGATGAATCTTGTTGTCGAGTTAAGATGTCGAGGTAAGTTGTAGTCCCGTGGTGGTGGTCGCCGTCCTGACGAAGTGGGCTTGGTGGTGCGTCAGCACAGACACCGTGAGGTACTGGTGATATATAGCAATTTGCTGTAGCCCACTGGAACAAATATCATTCGGCAGCTCGAGTAATTCAAGCCTCAGTTTAAGTATAGGTTCCTCCTCTGCCATTTGTAAGTTCTGACTATATGAACAGCGGGGTAACTGCAGAGTGCAGACTCGCCAAAGCACGATAAGAATCCTTGCATGCGGAGAACAGATGCATGAACCCCACATGTAAGCTTGCGCGGGTATGCATCATATAATCCAGCGTCAGAAAGACACATTGAAGACTGATGCCATGTCCTCCTATTCTGACTTCGCTTGGGCTCGCTTCCCCTATTCCTTAGCTCGAAGCTAACCTCCCACTAGGCTACACAGCTGCTCTCCTGTAAGCTTTTCGGGTCAGATCCGCAAGCCCTTGATCCTATGTGCCTCCAAGGCCCAAGAATGTCGTCCTTCTCGGTTAGTTGTGAGATAGTGTTTTAACATGTAGACTGGTGCCTTCTGATGTCTGTCTCTACATCTTGCTTTTGTTCATAAGTCTGGTATTATCCCACCGCCACCAGGTATTTACATAGAGAAACTGTCTCCATCATCGAAGCTCATATTATCATTGCCATCGTCGAATGAATCATCCGGGTCGCTCTGCACGTCCACGTCCGACCCCGCACCTGTATCATCTACCCCGCTATCACTCATACCGTCCATTCCATCATCACCTCCAAAACTACTTGGCGTCGCAGGCCCATATGAATCATCGAAGCCCGGAGGATCAGAATCGTATCCCGTATCGCCGTCGGCAGAATCTGATGCCAGAGAATACGAGTCCGGATCTGTTGGAGTCGCTGGTAGAAAACTGTCGTCGTAGGAAGGTAAGGATGATGGAGCGAACATGACGGGTTGAGCCTGCATTGCGTATGCATTTTGTTGATTCTGGTATGCTTGGTTTTGTTGTTGTTGTTGTTGCTGCTGCTGCTGCTGCTGTTGCTGATTGTGCAATTGATTATGAACTTGGTGTTTGACACCTTGTTGGATCTGATGCGAGAGGTGATTTAGTTGCTGGTCAGATTGGTATTGCTGATATCCTAGAGGTTGAGATGGGGCATGTTGGTGAGTTTGATAGCTCTGTGGTCTTTGTGTGTGGGGAGCAGCTGTATGTTGCTGATACTGATGACCTTGAGGTTGGTAGGGCTGCTGAGGATGGGTTTGTGGGTTATGTGCTTGAGCACCAAATTGTCCTTGCTGATTGTATGCCTGATATGCTGCAGAAAATTGAGACTGTTGCTTCTGGGCAAATGTCTGTAGCTTATCTCCAGCTTTTAAAGTATGTTTCGTTGTGACCTTTGCGGCTTTCTGCATCGCAGGCATTAGATTGTCCATTTTCAACTTCCCCATACCGAAACTGCTTGACTTCGATGGTTTATAGTTTCTGGATTCGTCCATGGTGGGCTTTAATCGAATGCGTAATTACTTGGCGGGGTGTTCAAGATGTTGAGGTTGTGAAGTCAAACAACAATGCACCCGCACCCGTACAAAGTACACTACTCACTCTTCACAGAGCCTCGTGGCATTAATAAGTAGGATTCGTGGTGTCATTCCGATTTCTGTCCGGAAAGCCTTGCGTCAAAGGACGCTATTGAAAATGCGCTGAGTGGTCAAGTTTTACCTTTTGTTTTCTCAGCCGCAGCAGATTGCCCGCCTTGATTGGGACACCATGAACGCCATCTCGCTTGACAACCAATTTTCAAGCATCAATTCCAGCCATATTTCTTTTTCTGGCCAAGACCATATGCAATGGTACGCCCCAAACAAGGGGGTTCAATGAAAAGTCTCAAGTTCTGTACAACTCTATCGTCATGTGTGCCGCCTTGGTCTTGTTGTTGGACAAATCTAGACCAGTGGGCCCTCGAGCCTGTAGTAGCAGCCGGATCAAGCCTCAATATGCTATTATTGTCTTTTGTCGCATGAGTCCTGTTTGAAGTCTTTCCTCGAGGCTGAACTTCCTCACGACAAAGACCACGACCCGAGTACTCCCACAAGCCTCGGACCCCGACTTCTGTTTGACTGTCGCACACAATTTGAGGTTCTACCCGGGCGCATAAAGGAGTCTCTGACGACCACGATCATGTCTGTTCATAGTCGCTCGTCCGTTTCCAGGAGACCCGTTGGCGCTCAGGTGAATTCGAACTCTGGACAGCCTTCTTCTCCTGTGCCAAGCCACGTATCGAGGAGTTCTGTGTCGAGCGATCCTATTCCGTACGACATCTGGGTTGGTCCCGATATTCCTTTTCGACCTGCTAACACCGCTGCCCCGCCATCTGCTCCCCCAAACGACCCTTCAGTCTTGGCCCAGCAAAATCAATCCGTGATGGAGAATATGCCTCCACCTCAATTTAGCCAAGCCCAAACTGGAGGCGCCGAGTTCTCAAGTACCGAACCCACACAGTCTACCAATGCAGCACCTTGGCAGCCGGCCCCCACTGAAGAATCGTATATGAGCCATTCTACCTTGGAGGTAGTCCCAGAGGCCTACTTCAACAACTTCTGGAGCCCGGAACCAAAAGTTGCTCCTGAGCCCGCACCAGGTATCCAGGCCCAACCTCAGATTAAACCAGTCAGCACTGGTTGGGCGGTTGCTTCGCATGAACCTCTCCAGAACCAGTCACCATCTCAACCTAGCCAAAACGCTCAAACCCACTCACAGAATAACTTGTCTAGCACTGGCTGGGCAGTTGCTTCACCAGAACCTTTTCAAAGCCCATCTTCATCTCAACCTCCACCAAATGTTCAAGCTCATCCGGAAAGCACTGTATCCAGTACGGGATGGTCTGTTGCTTCACAGGAGCAAAGTCAATATCAGGCACCGTCGGTATCTCCAACGATTGTTCAACCTCAACCTCAAAGTCATGTATCTAGTACTGGTTGGGCGGTTGCGGCGGAGAATTTCCAAAGTCAAAACCAGCAAGCATCGCACTCTCCAACAAACGTTCAAACCCGACCGCAGAGTACCGTATCTAGCACAGGCTGGGCCATAGCTACCCCAGAGCCTTTTCCCAACCAAGCTTCTTCAGCTCACTATCCACCAGCTGAAGACCTTTCTCCACTCAGCATGCCAGGAATGACCGCAACTGCTGTTCCACCACCTCAGTTCTCTGGTGGACGCGCACCATCCGTAGCTTCCTCCCATATGACCACCCCGTCAGTAAATGGAGTGGAACCAATTCGACGTCAGTCTGTGGCTACACATGCACCTTCAAGAATGCCATCCAACGCTCGCCCACCAGTCTTAAACTATAATCAACCTCGAAGCCTAGAGACAGCGTCATTCGCAAGTGTCTGTTGTCAATGTTCGAATGGTAAGTACCATGTTCTGCTCTAGGATGAAAGCTAATCTATGCAGCTATCCTTTACAACACTTACTACTACAACTGCACTTACTGCAAGCTTGATATCTGCGGCACTTGTTTCCAAGCTGGAACACATCCCTGGACTCATCTACCATCTATGGTCAGACTCAATGCCCAAGAGACCAAAGCTGGAGATAGACGTCAAGACAAACAATGTCAGTCTTGCAAAGCTATGAAGCATCGGAGAATGGATTGTGATGAATGCCCCTATTCAATCTGCTTGTCTTGTTACAGCAACGCCGCCGTTCCAGCTCATCAGCACAAGTCGTTCCAGCTGAAAGCTACACCGGGTCTTACTCTTTGTGTAAGAAGAGGCGATGGATCGCCGTGCTGCACAAAACCTTCTTTCGGACATTGTGGACGTTGTTATACTCGTAAGTTTTTAATGCGTTGTGTTGATCATGATGCTGACTTTCGCAGCTTGGAAGCCGGAAGAGTGGATGGTGCAATGCAAGACCTGTTTATTTGAGTTCGAGGAAGTCGTGGCATTGTGTCTTCATTGCGACTCGGAGATCATGTCTGCATGTAGACAAAGCAGACATCAAATGGTATCGATGAAGTGCCGGCAGAAATTGAGAAGTGAACAAGGAGGGCAGACTCATGCATCTGTTGAATGTACAGAATGTGCTATACGTAAGGGAAACCCCGAGGCTGTCGACCAACTGCTGATCAATCTTTAGAGTTCCAATCCATGACGGACATATCATTTCTGAGACATCCTCATGCCAACTATGACTTCCTATTCTTCACTGAAGATAGAGAACAACTGTTCGCCGCTGTCTACAGAAGCTGCAAGAAAAAGACCCCTAGAAAGGACACTCCTCTTCCACCTAGTGCCACTACCACTAAGTGCAGCTATTGTCATCACAGTAAGTGTTGTCCTAGTCTTCGTGTAACTAATCTAACACCTTTTCAGACGTCCCGAATAACATCGTTCAATCATGTCTCCCCTGCAACACTGTAAAATACTGCCCACACTGCTATCCTATCGCCTCACCGACCCATCACCACGGTCCCTCAAACTTCGTCTCGCAGAAAGATCTTTTGCAGACCCAACTTGGGGGAGGTTGGACACAACGCAAGAACTCTGCTGGAAGAATCTGGTATCACCACACCTCAACCAACACGCGCTCTTTCGAGTTTCCCCAATCGGCCATCGGTCAAGCACCAGAGCCCACAGCACAAATTCCCACCAAGCCAGGAAATCCTCGCCGCGCAACAACCGGTGGAATCCCTTCACGACCAACAGGGCCCTTGCCTCCAGGATGGGAAGCTAGAAAGACACCTGACGGGAGGAGATACTACGCAAACCACTCTACGAAGCAGACGAGTTGGACAAGGCCTGCTTCAATGCCTCGACGACCGAATGCAGGGCAGACTAGGCATGGTTCGATACCATTGCAGAACCAGCCTGGAGGGATCCCGTGGGAGCAAGAAGGAACTTCGACGCCGGCGGCTGCTGCTCCGGTTCGTTTGACGGCTGAACAGAGAGCGGCTGCCAAGGCTGAGGCGAAGAAGAAGGCGGAGAGGCATAAGATTATGACGAAGATTGGGACCAGTGTTTTGAAAGGAGTCATTAGCGGAGCTATCAGTTAGTCGTTGGTCTAGAGCAATATATTATATCTGTGATTTTATTGAGAGGGTGTTGGTTCAATAGAAGATGAGTTAATGAATGGAACGCTTCAGATCATGTGATACCTGAATGAATAGATATGGGATTCTTTCAAGAAGTCGCACAGTAGGGTGCGGGCAAGTGTGTTCGCGTATGTTACCAGATACCAAGGCTATCTCTAATAACTCTGCTCTGGAAAGATTGCTGATTAGCTGTGACTGAAAGGAGGACGTACTTCGGAAGTGGTTCCGACGGAAGAGAAAGGAGACTTCCGATCCGAAAGGGAACAAGCGAGAATTGCTATCCCACCCCTGAGACTATCTCTGAGGTGTATGCGGACCTCGAACTGCAGCTGTCTAGAGCCCGTTCTGCAATGGAGGGGAAGCCGAGATACTGTTGCCGGGGGAAAGCTGTGTTGATGGTGGGGTTCTCGTTTGTTCAAAACTTCGAAGTTGAAGCTGAAAAGCTCCCCTCAACTGATCTGCTCCTTTGATTGTCGAGTCTTCGACTATCCCTTGGAAATCACACATAGAAGCTGCTCAATATGGGTTCACTAAACCCCACTCGCCCAGTGCGTATAATGAACATCAGCGGTTCGCCCTGCGACAAGCGCGATGCAATTGCCAAAGCCGCTGCTATGGACGAGCATGTCGACGTTCTAGTCGGTGATTGGATGAGCGAGCTCAACATGCCAACCAAAGCTTGGAACCTCTCCCAAGGTGTCGGCATCGGCTACGAAGAAACGTTCGTCGAAGCTTTAGAACCGGCGTTGGAAGATATGGCAAAGAAAGGAATCAAGCTTGCGGCGAACGCGGGTACTGTGGCTACGAAAGATTTATATGAGGTTGTTGTAAAGATGATCAAAGATGAAGGGCTCGACTTGACCGTTGCGTGGATTGAGGGCGATGTGGTGATGGATCTTGTAAGAGGGGGTTTGGAGAAAGAGCCAGAGAAGTTCGTGCACATTAGTACGGGGAAGTCCTTGGAGGAATGGGGCTTCGAGCCTGTGTTTGCACAGTGCTACTTGGGTGGTATGGGAATAGCGACCGCGTTCAAGGCAGGAGCGGATGTTGTGATTTGTGGTCGAGTGGCTGATGCTTCTCCAATTATTGGAGCTGCTGCTTGGTGGCATGGTTGGTCGAGAACAGACTATAACCAGCTTGCCCAGTCTCTCATCGCTGGACACCTGATTGAATGCTCAGTGTACGTCACTGGCGGGAACTTTACTGGCTTCAAGACTTTGGACTGGGAACAGATCAATAGCATTGGATATCCAATTGCCGAGATAGCATACGATGGAGATGTGGTTATCACCAAAGTCGAGAACACTGGCGGGCTGGTCTCTAAAGAAACCTGCAAAGAACAACTGCTTTACGAAATCCAAGGGATGTACTATCTCAATTGCGATGTGACAGCCGTCATCGACAAGGCGTCCTTGACGGATATTGCACCAAATCGAGTTCGACTTTCAGGTATTATCGGAAGACCCCCACCTGCAACGACCAAGATGGGCTTGACAGCATTTGGTGGTTATCAAGCTGAGCTTCATTGGGCTATGATTGGACTTGACATCGAAGAAAGAGTCAAGCTGCTCGAGACCAAAGTAAAACACAGCTTTGGCAAAGCACGACTTGCGAAGTTTAGTCTTTTGGACATATCGGTGTATGGATCTGTGCCAGAAAATCCACGAACTCAGAATTCCGCCATCGTTGATGTGCGATTGTTCGCGCAAGCTCGGAACGCACAAGACTTGTCTGAAACTAATTTTATCAGGCCAGCATTGGATATCAACATGCGTAAGTTTTGACCTTGCTCTGAAAGACCAGATCCACTGACATTTGCCAAAGACACTTATCCAGCGGCGACTTTCCATACCGACTTAAGAACGGCCGTGCCAAAGCCAGTGAGTAGCACACCCACTACAGAAATTCATACTAATAACGACCAAGTACACCGAATACTTCCCAACTCTGATACCACAGCCGACTCAAACAATCCACTTCTCCAGCGGGCAGTCCTCGATGAAGCTGGAACCGCCAACAGATACGATCGTTCACCCCGCAACTCAACCATCATATGAACCTACTGATCCTGTGGACTTTAGATCTTTCGGATCTACAAAGCGCATGCCACTTGGACGCGTGGTGTATTCCCGGGCTGGCGATAAAGGCTCAAACTGCAACGTAGGATTGTTCGCACGAAATGCAGAAGAATGGCCTTGGCTTTGCACCCTACTTAGTACTGAGAAGTTCATTGAGCTTATGGCGGATGAGTTCAAGGGACAGAAGATAGACTGCATGGAGTTCTCCAATCTTGGGCAGTTCATTTTCTCCTCCATGATCATCTTGATCGTGGAGTGACTGCGAATGCGACGTATGACGTGCTTGGAAAGTTTATTGCCGAGTTCCTGCGCTTGAAACATGTAGATGTACCTGTAGCTTTCCTTGAGAGAAGCGTTTTGTAGAACTTCCTGAATAGAATATCCCTGCGAGTCATGCAGAAAGTGCAGGAGTTCGCTGAAAAATCAATGTCAAGGTGAGGTGTGCCTTGAATAGCTAGGCCCATAGGGCTTTGGACACTAATTTCAAGCCCAACCAGCCCCTGCGGAAACTTCCTCATTTCTTATCTCCCTACCGCAATCCCCATCGACCCCATTTTCGATAAGCACAACGACATGGAGAACCCCGAATATATACAGCGTCCAGTGGGCCATCCTATGGGAATGGCACACAAATCTCTGCCGTATCCTATTCCCGTCGAGCACCTTCTACATAGACATGCCTTCGATCACGTCTGACCAGCTCTCGCGAGGCACCTCATTCTCCCAATACACTCTATCAAGTTATCAAGATGACCAGAATGCGGAAGACAATGCTGATGATCACACACCGCGACCCTCAAAGCGTGCTCGAGTCGCACTAGCATGCCAGAGGTGCAAGAAGAGGAAACAGAAATGTGATGGGCAGACCCCATCTTGTTCCAACTGCTCGAGCTTCAACGCTGTATGCCAGTACATCAAACCGCCCCTAGCGACGTCTCGAAGCCGTGACCCATACCTCAAGGCTGCTGAAGCGAGAATGGCAGAGTTGGAGCGTATATTATCGAGAGAAGGGATCGCAGATGAGGGACAGAACCGATGGAGGGAACTTCAAGTTGGGCTGCAATCAGATGCGTCTGATCACAATGAGATGGAAGTCCGTGATCGAGCACAACGTCCCTCAAAGCGGCCGTGTCGGGAAGCTCAAGGCAACATGGAAATGGAGCTCAGCAACGACGTGCAAAAGAAGGAGGTCAACACCGTTGTGGACATCCTGAGAGACCTCTCGTTGGAGGCTAGTGGAGGCTATATTGGAGCTTCGTCAAGCATAACAATGAGTCGTATGGTCGGATCGCTTGTGAAGGCGCGGGTTGAACCGAATCTCCTGACGAACGGTATTGCTGATGGCGAACATCTCAGCCCAAAATCCGCCTCTGACGTTTTGGAAGAAGGTTCTTCAGAGCTGGCCAGAATGCCACAAGAAATTGCCGACAAGCTTTTAAGAGGATATTTGAAACACATCTCTACACGGTGGCCGATCTTACACTCGACATACATTCGTGAGCTTCACTCGAGGAGGGCAACCTTGGTCAATTGCTACGAGACCACTGTTTTACATCTAGTGTATGCTTGTGGAGCACGTTTCCTAGAGACTACAGGAGAGACAGGTGCTTTCTTTCCAGATCGCCACCATTCAGCAGGCATGCAGAATTTGGATGCGATACTCCAGTATCATGACATTCGGTCTGTCCAAATGTTGATCTTGCTTGCAATATATAGCTTAAGAGACCCACGTGGTCCTGGTGCTTGGTGACTGGCTTTGACTTGGTTACCTCTGGATCGCTAACCAGAAGCAGGACATACATTGGACTTGCCATGAGAACGTGCATCGATCTGGGTCTTCATCGTCGGACCCCAGCAAAGAGATACCCGCTCCTCAACGTGGAAATGCGAAAGCGTATCTTCTGGACCTGTTATTGTCTCGATCGCCAAATTTCGATCATCTTAGGCAGACCATTTGCCATCTCGGACAGGGACATTGATGTCGAGGTAAGCAGACGTTATGACTGCCGTTTTTGCTCTTTGGCCATGCTAAGTTCCTCAGCTCCCACTTGAGGTAGATGAGTCTGTCCAAGATGTTTCCGTCTTCGAAGCAGCCCTTCTGGCAGCTAAATCTTCGCCGGAAGATCAAGCACCAGCTGTTTCTACATCTTTGAGTTGTTTCATACATGTATGCAGATTGAGGCGAATCGAGTCAGAAATTCAGCAGACCATCTATCGGGTCGATAACTCGTCACCAACTTCGGAAGATGTAGTTGAGAGCTTTATTCAGAAACTAGAAGACTGGAGAGAGCATATTCCTCGTGACGCCAGACAACTCGTAGGTGACAAGCCGACGACGAAGACAGACACTTTGGTGATTGATGGATATGGGTACTATGTAAGACATTTCCCCAACATGAAATTTCATCTGCTAATTTCAGTTCAAAGATGGTGTATTATTACAAATGCATCAGGTTTCTACTTCATCCACTGTTATCGGCGCCAGACACCAACGTCCACTTCCTGAAGAAATGCGCCGAAGCATGCGGTGATGTCTGTCAGACATACAAGAAGCTCCATCAAAGCATACCTGTAGGCTTCTCACTCATGGCCTTGCACTCAGTCTTTCTCGCAGGTATGTTCCCAGCTTCTCCATTCTGCTATTTAGCTAACATCATAGGCCTAACTCTTGTGTACTGCACCTGGATTTCGCCACAAGAGGTGTTCAGCATCAAAACATCGAGTGACATGAATGCCTGCAGTATCGTCTTATATATCATTACTGAACGCTGGCCTGGCGCGAAGAAGTACAGAGACACATAGGAAGCTATCAAGCAATCCCTTCTCGAGTCCGTCGAAGAAAGCCACTATGAACTACGTCGTACCATCAAAAGCCTGTACCCGAGTCTCATACCGCCGATGGCTAGGAACGAAGAAGGTAGCACCGAAGTCACTCAGATCGTCGCAGACATGGCTGGTGAGACCGTGCCGTTCAACAGTGCCTACTTCACACCCTCGCCCGTCATGTCCCATTCTCATATGAACACAAACCCTACGCAAAGCTCAGCACAAGATTATTCTTTGCCAATTGACTTTCAGCAGCATCCAGCCTTTGATGATCCTGCGTTTTCATTTGATGGATTAGACATAATTAATGGCTTTGATATTGGAGACTTCGATATCAGTCGTACGAGCTTCTGAATGTATGATTCAAATTTCATGCTAGTCTTTGCCTGTGTGCCAACTCCTTTATTTGTCATTATATGCAGAATCTGTTGGCTCACTTGTGCCAAAATTCATTTTTGGTTTGAGTTATGTAATTCAGTTTCTCTCCTTTCGACAGCTATTGTGTCGAGCAAGAGGAATCAGTCAACGAATTCAGACAAAGAGGAACGATAGAATGAATTTATACAACAAATCATCTGCAATTTGATTGCGCAGGTTGGATCTTTTCAATCAATTCGCCTGAATCTTACGTTTGCGCGGAAAGTTGTTTTGTTTCGCGCATGCCTTCATTTCGCAGACTCGATCCGAATTATATACATTTGATTCTTGACAAAGAGCATTATGCTGACTCTACTGGTACTGCTCTTTGCTCAACTGTCATATCACCACTTTTCAGGGGGACGACCCGGAATTTTCCGAAGCTCTATTCTCTCCACCGTTCACCACCACCTCATGCCCATTCGTCTTCGGGTTTTCATCTACACCATTAACGACCTCTTCTCCATTCTTGAAGTTCACAATGGTATCCCCTTCAAAGTCACTTCCATACCTGAACTTGTGGCCGTAGTGATCATCCCTCAGATACTTCTGTCCCTCCACTCCATACAGATTCTCTCTCAGAGTACCACCAGGGACATCGTAATCGTTCCACATTAGGCCTCGTTTGACAAGTTCTGGACGAAGGAGATACACCACATCCTCGAAGGTTCCTGGACTTGTCACATACGCAATGTTGAATCCATCGACATCTGCTTCATTAATCCATTGTTCAAAGACATCAGCAACCATCTCTGGAGTACCGACAGGAGCAGGATGGAAATCTCCAAGAGCCATTGTCTCGCCTAATCTTCTCGGCGTCCACGGGTCAGTGTTTCCTGTCGCCTTGTTGAAGTTCTTTAGTAATGTATGCGTGGCCGCATCTCCAGGTGCATCTTTCAGCTCGAACACTTCATCGAGGGGGAAGCGGCTGAGATCAATGCCAGTGTAGCCTGAAAATTGAGCCAGCCCACCAACGATATCCGCATTTTGTCGAGCTCGTTCGTATTTAGTTTGAGCTTCTTCAAGCGTCTTCCCAACAATTGGAGTTATGCCAACGAAGAACTTTATGGACTGCGGATCTCGACCTTGTGCTGCTGCATCCGCGCGGATTTGTGCTATTGAGCCTGCTGTTTGCGAGGGTACGAGACCACCCACATAGATGGCTTCTGCGTGTTTTGATCCAAATGCTCGTCCCATTTTGGAGGTGCCTGCTTGGAACAGAACTGGTGTTCTTTGAGGTGATGGATGAGTTTGATGTGCAGAGGATGATTTCAGGTATTTCCCTGCTCTACCATAAGCTTCCCCAATGCTCACAGGACATCAATCACCCACCTTTATGGTCTATTCTCTTCACCTTGTCAGGATTATACGCCATCCTATTCTCCCGATCCCAAACCTTCGCATCATCTTCCCACGAGCTCTCCCAGAATTTATACACCAAGTCCATATACTCATGCGCAACATTATACCTCTCATCATGGGGCACTACATCATCAGCTCCCAGCGCCAACGCCGCGCTTTTACTCCAACTCGTCACCACATTCCAAGCCACCCTCCCCTCCGTCAAATGATCCAACGCACTAAACGTCCTCGCCAGAATAAACGGCGTCAAATAACTCGTACTCCCCGTAACCCCAAAACCCAAACTCTTCGTCACAGACGCCATAGCAGGAATGATGATCATGGGGTCTAGAGCTGCACAATGGGCGCCGGCTCGGAGAATGGGAGCAGTGGACGATTGGTAGATGTCGAAGAGGGAATACGAGTCTGCGAAGAAGATGAAGCTTATTTTGCCCTCCTCAGCTAGACGAGCGAGGTTCAGCCAGTATGGGAGACGGTCTTTACCGTAGGTTTTGTCGTCTGGGTCGCGCCATTGTCCGGGAGACATGTGGGAGCCTGTGCAGGCGTTTTCGAAGAAGTTGAGGTGGATGCGCTTTCTGGGCTTAGGAGGAGTAGTCTCTGAAGGCATTTTGAGGTTTGGTGGAAAGGATATTGAGAAAGAAAGTTGACAATTTATCAGAAGATTTTGGTGAAAGTTTTGACTTTAGAGGTGGAAGATTCGTATATGAAGTAGAGTTTAGCATACAAACATGAGTTTTCGAAAGGTAAAAATCAGGACATCACCAGAAATCCATCTCAGGTTCCCCTCTCGATAGCTCCCTTGTCGATTTCGGGAGCTTCCCTGTACCCCAAGCTCCCAGCATAAACACACGAGCTAGGGATTCTCGGAGTCTGGGACAGATGCAAGGCTGAGAACCCGTCGGAAGTCTTCCGATGGAGAAGTCCCGAAGTGGGGTTCATGCGGGACTGCATATTGACGCAGGGTCTCGACGCTGGTAGATGAGATTGTTGATATCTTATCGAACATGGCGTTGGACTTGTCGGAGATCCGCAACTGGAGACTGGTTCAGTCATCGAATTTTAAGGGGGCTCGTCCGGTACCACGTGACTGAGACCTGCTCCTGTCTCCTGGTCTCGTAGCAAACCATGGCGGGGAATCATTTAGAGTCACATCCTCAGTAGGTCCGCGTATAGCATGTGCAAGATTAACGAGGCTTGTGGATAGTGATGTACTAAAAGGGTATTATTGTTGAAACCCGTTGAACACTTTGAGATTATAGAGCTAAGACCACTTCAATCGAACAATTCATTCAAAAGAACCCTCCAAGAACTCAATCCAATACTTCTCAATCCCTTCGACATCTCTATCCAACTCAAAATTCCCACCAGCAACTTCCACAGCCCTAACATCACTCCTCAGATCTTTCACATGATCGAAATACTTCCAAAGCACATCATCCCTCGCGCACATCAGCAGTACTTTACACTTGACATCTGCATATAGTATCTCAGCATCCTGGTCCCACACCGCGCCATAAACCAAATTCCTGCCCTTCCACGCTCGGATATGATCCACCGCTTCTCGTTGCCAAAGATTGATATCCTCTCCGACTCCCATATTCTTCAGGTAATGCCAGTCTTGGTCAGATGAGAGCCGTCGGGAACTCGTTCGTTGAAAGGAGAGAAGTATATCTCTTTCATTACTGCACGTTCTTCTGCGCTCATGACAGCTGGACCGACGAGGCAGATTGAGAGGATCAGGTCAGGATAGAGTACTGCTAGTTCGAGGGCCAGACAAGCGCCGGAATGATGGCCTATTATGTGAACTTTTTGATTTTCTTGTTGGAAGAGTCCCATTCAACGGAAAGTCTCCATGAAGGTCTCGCAATACCATCGAGTACCTTTGGATTGGATGAGAGAAATGGCTTCTGGCGATTGGTCGAATGAGCCTCCGAAGCCGGGCATGTCGGGTGCGTAGCATATGTAGCCTCGTGAGGCATAGATTATCATTAATGATGTGTGGCTTGCTGATGACGAGGCGGATTTGTGAAGGAAGAGAAGAGGAGTTGGTTTTGGTGCAACATTTTGAGGTGGATGAGCGTAGCGGTAGTGGATTTGGCCATGTGTTGTATCGGCGTATGCCTTTCTGATAAGTGGTACGGGTGATGAGGACATAATGATTACTACCTTACGTCTGGAAGGGGGAGACAGGACGATGAAATGTATGTATACAAATGAAGAAGCGGGCATATAAGAAGAACTGAGCTATGAACTGCATTTGCAGGGATCGGAAGCACTCCCGAAGGACTGCCACGGGCCTGGGAATCTTTTGTTTGTATGTCCAAATCCAAACTGGGATTAAATTGTCTAAGATCTCTTAATGATGCGGAAGTGTAATGTGTACAAAAATTGTCTTATCCGTGTATCGACTTCAATGAAGGGTTGACAGCCGTTTTCTCTACATCGCGAGGAGTTTCCGAACCACTGTCCGAGACGCCATTGATGATATCGTGCCCTTCGTTTCCGAAAGCTTCTCGGACATACGGCTTACCAGGTGGTGGAGAAATGAGGCAGATGACGAGGTACACCAAGCCACCACCTAGAAATCCGATGAACCAAGCTGCTTGAAACATTTCAACCACGCAGGAGCCAGTGTAGCACCACCAGTTGCATCGACAAAGCCGGCTAGAAATGATCAGCATGTCTTCCCTAAGTTCCGTAAGTGAGCTTACGAAAAGAAGGCCAAATTCCCAACGTCCAAGCTGCAAAAGCTCGCCAATGCAAGCCGAATTGGTACCAATATATCGACGTCGAATTTCCAACATAGAGATCGGGGACTTTCCAATTTCTTCTTCTGATTATCCAACTAGCTAAAGTTAGCAGAGTCAACAACTTTTTGGCTGAGACGAGCATACAAATCAACCGCGTTGATAGCAGCAAGCGGTGAGATGAACATTCCGAAGGAGTTCAAGACGGTGATGAAGGTGCCTGGCGAGTTGACAAATCGCCACGGGTTAATGATGTATCCAACGACACACATGATCAAGCTTCCTCGTTTGACATCAATCCATCGAGGAGCGATCGAAGCAAGGTCCATACCAGCTGCTACGGAATTTTGAACAAGGTTGACCTGTGTGATAATGAGCTCTGACCAGAAAAATTAAAAGGAGAAGGCAGTTTTACAGAGATTTGACTCCAGAAAAATCCCATTCCAGCAAAGAAACATCCAGCTCTTGTTGCCGCATTGTAATTATCCGTCAACAGAAACTCGAGGAGTTGGATAGGTTGCCAAATTTCCTTTCCGTACATGTTCTTCACTGCACTCGTTGCGAAGACCCCGAGCATAGCTGTGATCGTGATAGAAAGAGGGACTGTGATCAGTTGATTGAGTACCGGAGCCCGTTTGGTGTGAGAGTATCGTGTCCAATCTGCTTGGCGGATACTGCTTCCAGTCCAAGCTCCGGCCACAGAGCTGACTGCCTGTAAAATTCGGAAGCTTCTTTCGCTTGCAGATCGTCAGTCTTTGTTTTACCCAAGAGAGTGGTAGAAGTTCTTACGCGCTTGAGATTGACTTTGCGGGCCCCAGAACAGAAGCCCCTCCATTGGCAGCGACAGCCCAAATGAAAAGTCCTCCCATTGTCGCGATAGACGCTCCAAATGCTCAGTACAGTAGCTTATGGTACTTGGTGGGGTGTACCAACATCAATGGTGTGAAAATGATGATGTAGATGACGAATCCAATCAACTCGTTCGTGGTGATGGCTGCTGACTCGAGAAGAGTATTCGCCATATGTTGGAAGGAGGGGAATATGCTCGAAAGCACGACCTTGACCGCAAGGCCTCCCCAGTAAGCTTGAATACCGAAACTACTCGCAGTCAGTAAAGGTCCATAGGGGAGGCGGATGAAACTCACTAGATGAAGTTCACGAAACATTTTAGCATGACTACAAAGTAGGATCCGTACATGCCAAAGGCTGCTCTACTCATCATCGGGAAGCCAAGATGATATTGCACCTGCACGTAAGTTAGAATTGGCATTGTTGCTTGAAAGAAAATGTCTTACGCCTGGCTCTCCACAAACAAAGGCAATGAGACCAGCGATGAACGATCCCACGAACACCATCCCAATCGCCTCACCTGCTGTCAATCCATTTGCTAGATTACTAGATCCTAATGACCATGCCGAGGGATTGACAGCAGCAGCAATCCTGTATAACGTCAGAACACAATTCTCGTTCAAGAGTGCAACAACTTACCAGAAACCAAAGTACCCCTTCGCAGTGTAGCGTCGCTCTTCTGGTGGTGCAGGAATGATGTGTCGATTCGTCCATCTATTGAAGCTCTTGTCATCTTGGCCGTCTTCTTTCACTTCCCAAGAAGTGAAGGTCTTTGGTACATGAGCCCTATGGCCTCTCCAGGTAAGTGAAACCATGATGACTTGACGTGATGGTACGTATGCAGGTTATTTCTCGGTTCTTGGCACACTTGCAAAGTCACAAACCAATGTAGGGAATCGAATGCATTACTTTATAGACTTGCATCATTCATGCTTGTCGCAAACTGACACAGAGGTTGCCAAAGACCTGCGGACCAGAATCGCAACAACGGAACTTGTTATCGTGGCCGTTCTTGTTCATGGAAGCGTGAGATGCAGATGGCAAGGGGAAAACTCCCATGTAAGAGCTGGGTATCTTTACATCGGATGAGCTTCCGATGCTGATTGCTTTGGACTTTTGGCTGGGAGAGTGCCATTGAATGGGCCAGGATCCACAGTGGAGATAACATTGATAGGGAGACTAAAGTGGGGGTGAGCTAGAACCAAACCCGGATCCGAGTTATTGGGACCCAAGCCAAGATAGGAACCATTCCTAGCCAAATCGATCATGATGGAAGTAGCGGTTGTCGAGCTTCGATTGTGCAGTAGTTTGAGTTGTGATAGATTTCGCCTCTTGGGATCTCGTTGCATCCCCTCGTTCAACCAAATCCCCTCGAAAATGACATTAGACGGCGACACAGTAGAAGCCTATGACAAGGAAGCACTTGTAAAGCGAAACCCTCATGTTGATTTTCCAGCTGTCGAAGCTTCGAGACCAGATTATGATGGCTTACGATCCTGGATACCAAGCAAGACACCGAATCCCAAATGGCAACCCGGCGATGGAGCTTCACGTTCTGGCTGGGAACAGCACCGAATGATTGCCATTGACCCAGATTCGCACGATCGAACAGTGAATCAGAATTACAAACTCATGATCTCGTCCACAGTTCCGCGACCAATTGCCTTGGTCAGCACCGTGTCTGCTGATGGCTTATGTCGAAATCTCGCTCCATTTTCGTACTTCAACAACGTCTCGAACGATCCACCACTTTACAGCTTGGCATTTCATGGAGCGGAAGCAAATGATAGTTTGCGAAATCTACTGGAAACTGGGGAGTGTTGCATTAGCATCGTGAGCGACTGGTTTTTAGAAGCTGCCAACTTTACGTCTGTGAACTCCCCACCTAAGATCTCAGAGTGGGAGCTTTCCGGCTTGCATCCGAAAGCCAGTGACATAGTCAAGGTTTCGTATGTGGGTGAGGCTGCAGTGAGTATGGAGTGCCAGCTACATAGTACGCAAACTATCTGGTCCAAAACGGTGGTCGATGATGACGGAAAGCCGATACGGACGGCAACTCTTGTGCTGGTGGAAGCAGTGATGTTTCACGTTCGGGAGGACGCCATCGACGAGAAACGAGAGACTGTCGATACAAAGGTCCTGAGGCCTGTTTGGAGAGGTGGAGGGATCATGTATGGTACTTGCTTCGATGGATGGGAGACTCCAAGACCAGATGCGTTTCGTGTGCTGAGAGGGACACAGAGAGTTCTAGAGATTCTTGCGACGTCTTCACATGTATCCAATGGTGTAAAGGACACAAATGATTATCAGGAAATCGAGTAGGATCTCATGGCTCGTTTGATGAAGTTTCTCGGGCCTTCTCTCTGTGAAAGCAAGGTAGCCATACATCCAGTGCTCTGCTGAAGAGCTCGAAGCCTTTGTCCACGGGCCCTGGAGGATCTTCCCTCCTCTTTCTTAAATCACCCACGTGAACTGAATCCTTATGCACAAGACCAAAGACTTCGTTTCTTGGAGGTGGTGAGTTACACGCCGGCACAACTTGCGTAGTTTTCCTATCCGGCGCATTCGGGTGGATATTCTTAGACGATTGTATACTCAATGCTCTCCACGGATCTATCTCGCCGTTTGTAAACATAACGTTGCTCGGTCGCATATTCCAGCCTCTATATCTCAAGATTTCCAAAACTTTTGGTTGATCAGGGGTATATGGGAATGTACCGTGACAGAAATTCTCGAGAAATGAGGTAATGTTGTTGTAGCGAGATATGATCGATGTTGGTGAAGGATATTGCGAGACTGGGAACTGTCCAAACTGATTGCATAACATCCAAGTCCACGAGACTCTATCTGATATGCTACCAATTTGGCGAGAAGGGGATCCTGGCAAAGTCTTCGAAACTTGAATCGTTGCACTAATGAAAGCGTAGAATGCAGATTTGGGACCATGCTTGGCTTTCACTCCGTCTGTGGTGGGTTTTGCATCGAATGAGTTGTCTGCCAAGATTGAGAGGGGAGATTTGAAAGAGAATTCAGGGGCGTTATTAGGATTCCAGGTTTCGAGGTAGTCGCAAAACCTCGATAAACTTCGATGTCCAACCATCTGGAAAGTAGGGAATGTGTGAAGGGGAGTTGAGAGAATGGTTGCAGCATCGTAATAGGTGATGTCTTCAGACTTTCGATCTGCAGGGACATTTACCATGTCTTGGGACGACCCAACACTGGCATTGTTCGTGAGGAAAAGTGCTCGTTTGAGGAGAGCAATTTCATCCTCTGTTCCGCGAAAGAGGATTTCGTCTGCATACGTGATAGCAGCATGCATATCAGTTGAGCAGTTCTTGGAAATCGTTTCCACAATGGTATTGTAATACTCCGAGTTCTCCACTTGAGTCTGCACTGGTGCACTGGAAGGCCAACTTGCAAAGAAGATCTCGGGATTGCGTGATCTGAGCATTGCTGCTCGAATGCCAGCATAGCTTCCGCCGATAGCAATCCAAGGAGTTGAATTCGAAGACATATCGTCCTTTTCATGGCCTATTGGTCGGAAATGTTGAGCGAAGTATGCTGCGTCTTCCAAGGCCTGTTCGTTGTTCAAGAATTTATAGGCGTTATATCCGGCATTGGCAATACCAGTTGTTTGGTTTGAGGGAAATGGCATACTTCCTCCAAAGAAACGATGTTCCCAAATAATAGCAACTCCATGGTACTTTCGTGCAAGCTCCAACGGTGCAAATACGACATCTCCACCAAGCATTTGAGCGGCTCCTCGATCGTTAAGACCAGCTTCGCCTCCATCGAAGAAGAACACAGGCCCACCTCTCCGGTAGTAGGTATCGTTCATCCAATATCGATTCGTGAATGTCCGAGTGTCTGATTGGTTGAAATGGTCAATGGGTAGGTCGATAGTTTTTGCAAATGGTGCATCCGAGAGGGGTCGAAAGTCATCCCGGCCACCTGTGAATCTGGGAATAGAAGCCTTGTAGGGAAAGTAGAACCAAACGAACAGAGAGAGCAGAAGTAAAGAGCTTGTAAAGTATATCTTGTTCCTTGAAATTCGTCCATCGGCTTTGCACAAGCTTGCGGACCGCAACCGCTTCAAGTCAGTGGAGGCAGCCATCACCGGTATCCACTTGTCTTGCAGCCTTGTCCGAGCATACCACTACTGAGCACAAAGTTTATTGTCAAGTTGTATTGAAGTCATCACCTTGAATGACTCTCTAGGACGGGTTGTGCATGAGGGGAACTTGAAAGTAAAGTGGCTGACAGCGCCGCTCGAGCTAGTTTAGGCGGCCGAGTCAAGCGAAGCGGCCGCCTGCATGTTCCTACCTAGCTAGCGGCCGCGTAACAATGTCTTCACTTCACTTCACGAGTCATGACTGCAAGAGCATATCATGCCAGCACCTTTGTTGAAGGCTAAGCGGTTCCTGGCTCTGTACATGCGGACGGTAGAGCAAGTTTGCAGTCCAGATGTCTGTTGCCAATTCCAAATATGCTCTTGCCTAATAAATGTCTCCAACGCGCAAAATGGCTTACTTCGGCCGCTTCGTGCAAGACCGCCGCATTCGGCCGCCCTGGCTTAGCCATGTCAATCTTCATTACTATTCGTCAATTCATTATTGCCATTTCTCCATGGTAATACTGCTTATAGACAGAAACCCACCAACAACCAGAACGTGTCTCGGTATATAAACTCTTTTCCTGCTCCCTTCGTACTCTCTTGAAAGCATCATCTTTCTTAACTTTTCGCAACAAACTTTCAACAGTTCAATCATTCACAGTCAATATGTCGAAAGTCTGGTTCATCACTGGCTCTTCTCGAGGATTGGGACTCGCTCTCACAGAAGCAGCCCTCGAAACTGGCGCGTCTGTCATTGCGACCGCTCGGAACCCCGCATCACTCGACCATTTGGTCCAGAAGTACGGCGCAAAAATTTACCCTCTACCTCTCAATGTTACCATGAACGACCAAGTTCTTGCAGCAGTGAAACGAGGACACGAACATTTCGGGCACATTGACGTTATTGTCAACAATGCTGGGTATGCAGACCTCGCATCCGTTGAAGATACCACTATCGAATCGTTCCGTGAGCAGTTCGAGACAAACTACCTCGGTGTGGTATATGTCACCAAAGCAGTCCTTCCAATCCTCCGAGCACAAGGCTCGGGACATATCATCAACGTTTCTTCGGTCGGAGGTCGTATGGGAACGCCAGGACTTTCCGCATATCAAAGTGCCAAGTGGGCAGTGGGTGGGTTTTCAACTGTGCTGGCGCAAGAAGTCGGAGCATTGGGAATCAAAGTCACCGTCTTGGAGCCCGGGGGAATGAATACTGATTGGGCAGGCTCGTCGATGAGCACTCCTCCTATCAGTGAGCCATACAAACAAAGTGTTGGTGCATTCGCCGAGATACTCAGGAAGTATGCAGGTCAAGCCCCTTCGTCACTTCAGAAGATAGCTAGCGTCGTGGTCAAGCTGTCAGGTATGGAAGAGGTTCCTTTGAGATTGATGGTTGGTTCAGATGCCGTTCATTTCGGCGGTCAAGCAGGAGAGGCCTTGAAAGCCGAAGATGAGAAATGGAAAGATCTGAGCTTATCAGTTGCTGAGCAGGAATTCACAGGACTGCCTGGAGTTGCCAAAGATTAATTGACATAGAAGCTTCAAGTGGCACTTATTGTCATGAATCTTTCATGATCTGTAAATGCGTTCCAATACCAACTGGAGTGTTGACTGTCCGAAACATGTGCCTCATTATCAAAACACGATGTGGTTAATGAAATCCGACGAACGCAAAACGCGCAAGATGCGCAGAATGCGCAAATGGCGCATATCCCGCGAAAAGCTCCAATACTACCTCCCAAAACAGAGTCTTTCAACTTAGAAGAAAGGTTGGAACCAGTTTCCGAGAAAGTTCTCAGTTCATGAACTCTGTGACAATTCCCCGATTATTATTCGAATTTCTCTGGCTAATTGTTTACCCAAGTACATTGGTCAACAGAATTCAAGCAGTGCCGTGAGCCTTTAAGGAGCCCACGTGTTCTAACCGAACCCACTGTAACCTTAAGCGAGGCAGTGCTGTACCTCCGTATCTTCACGGTCTCCATTCCTTTCCATCAATTGATTGGGATTCGCTTTGTTCAAAGAAAAGAAGCAGCTCCAGACCCTCCGATGAAAAGCAAAACTTTTCAGTTCTCGACTAGTTCTCGATTGTCTTTTACTCGCATTGCATTCTTCCACTCCTCAACGGGAGAAAGCCGACATTTGTGGCCGCCGTACAGCTGGATATGCCTGTTCTGACCACTGTCCGTCAATCACCGGCATATCTATACGTGAAGACCTACTGCCTCTGTGCTATAATCACACTCTTTCAAGCAGCTCCCCTCTCTTCGCAGCTCCTCAAATCAAGCGAGCTCGCCTCAAAAAGAACAGAATTTCTACCCCGCGTCTTGCTCGCCGTTCCAGTTCAGATACCTTGGCACAAGAAAATGAAAAATACTTCAGTAAGTAATGTTTCTTTATTCTTCGTTGCTCTTACTAAACTTATCAGTATCAAATTCGCCTGTGAAGCAGTCTGGAACGGCAACAATTCTAAAGAGATGGCTTCAAAGAGCTGTGGACTTGACCCAGATCAAGAATCAGCTTCGACACGACGATCAAGATCTCAGAACATACCCAGAACTCAAGCGGGACGCAGCCGTCCGCTCTTCATCTTCATTGCATCATGAGGAGTTGCGTTTCATAGAATTGCGGAAAGTGAAAATCTCATCCAAAGGCGTCAACTCCCTTCATGCTTTTCTCGGCTTACCTAAAGATGAGCAAGTCGATGCTAAAGACGTTCCTCTAATTGCTCTTGGAAGCTCCGGTGGAGGGTATAGGGCCATGTATGGCTTCGCTGCGTTCATGTCTGCATCCAAGAAACTCGGTCTCTGGGACTGCATCACGTGGACTGCTGGTGTCAGTGGCAGTTGCTGGACGTTGGCTGCATATTACACAATCGCCAATCACAATGTTTCCAGTCTGATCAGACATTATCTTTCGGTTGCCGAGGAACTAGCTCATCCCATGAGTTTACATGCTTTTGATACTGTCGTTCGGAGCAGCAGAGGAGTCTACTTTCTCCTTGGACCGCTGATCCGAAAGGTTCGAAGCGGCATAATCGGCTTGGGGATTATGCATTTGTATGGCACACTGACAACGACATATCAGCTTCTGTCTCGCGAGCCGACCGCTAGGTTGAGCAGAGCCACCTTCCAATTTTCGAAGGTTTGGAGTCGCTCTGGGATCGACAGAGGACTTGAGCCGATGCCGATCTTAACAGCAGTTCGAAGAGCTCCAAAAGATTCATCTGGAGTGATACCACATACAGACTCTTCACTCAGCAAGGGACAGCCTCCCAAGCGAGCATTGACATAACATCAAACAAGAACTCCTTATGTAATAGCTTGTCTTCAGCGTCAAAAGTCGGAAGCTGTGGTCTGGAAGAAAATCGCGCCTCGAAGTGGTGGCGGGACGATCAACTGGATAGCTCTCTTTCAAATGGATTCTTCCAATGGTTCGAGATCACGCCTCTTGAGATAGGTAGCCCAGATGTAAATCGCTACATCCCAACATGGTCTTGGGGCCGCTCTTTTGTATCTAGAAATTCAGTGGGACGTCCTCCTGAGCAGTCTCTTGCTCTTTTGCTTGGACAATGCACCAGTGCGCCAGCAGGACCATTGACAGGGTATATATCGGCACTTTTGGCATCGATACCCAAAGGAACGATCATGTCTCGACTTCTGCTCTTGTTGAACGACTTCGTGCGGATGAAGAATTGGGAGCGATTGTGGGGGAATCCGATCCGAGCTGGACATGACCCAAATCCGTTCTACGGCCATAACAATCTGCCCAAGCTTCAGGAAAGAAGTATAGTGAGCACGGAAGTTAGTACTTCTTACCCAGAGAGTAGCAATTCGACACCAATCAGAGTTCCTGTCTCAAGCGGGAACTCATCCGAGCGTGGTCATCTTCGAATGGAATTTACTGACAAATTCATGTCCCTGGAAAAGAAATTCCCGTCCAATTGTGGCTCCTCTAAATCATCTACAGGCAAATCAACATTGGAAAGGAATGATAAACTCTCTCTAAGCCTCGCTGCTAAGCCGACTAGCAGGTCGAAATGGGAGCATGAGGGTCGAATCAGGCTCATGGACACTGGAATGTCAAACAATCTTCCCAGCCACGTCTTGGCCCGCCCTGAGCGTGGCGCTGACATAATCATGGCATTTGATGCCTCCTCAGATGTTCAGAAGGGGTCTGCCATTCAACGCATCCAAAACTTTGCGGAAGACTGTCATTTGGTATTGGACGACGTGACAACCATGTTCGATGCTGCACAACCACGATTCAGTGAGAGTGCAGATGGGACCAGAAGCGATGGAATGGAGGTAGCGGCCAAATTCTTGCACAAGTACGCAAGAGTGTTTCTAGGTAAGCGACGAAACGGAGAGGAGATGTATTTTATCTACTGTCCACTCCTGCCGAATGGCAAGAATCCGGACTTTGATCCTTCCGTAAGTATTCCCTTCCGCCAATGAGGTTCGAAGAATGAAATCTAACTCCCTTTACATCAATCAGACAGCCTCGTTTTCCAATTCTTACAACCTTGTCTGGACTCCGGAGCAAATTCAGACTCTCTTCAGTACTTATGAAACTAATCTTTCCCATTATGCAATCGAGACCATTAGACAAGTCATTAGAAAGGTGTATACTACAAAGAAAAAGCGTAGATTAGCATCGATGATACCCAATACAGGCAGTTATTTGTAAAAGACCATTCATGTTCCTCGAAGGAAGAAGTTTTGACAAGATCTCCTATAATCTCCCAAGCTGAAAGATTGACCCAAAAACTCTAGGAAAATATTATCTCTCTCCCCATTGTGATTGCAGCCGTTGCTTGAAAGCGGGATTAGTGTCTCTTTACACAAAAACATTGGCATCCCAAACCTCACAACTAGAGCTTGAAAATTCTGAAAATATTTGAAACTATGATTGCCCAGACCCTGTTGTAGTGCCTCGTCATACATCAAACTGCCGAAAAGAACGGTCTTCTGGTCGAACTTTATGGGCTATACATATACTGAGGTGTAGTGGAGCTGAGGAAATTGGAGATGAGTGAATGAGAAACCGTGACTCAAGATACTGACATATAGTAAGGCCGCAGGGAGATGTGAGTGAATAAAGAGAGTGAATCATGAGTGTCACTCACAAATGTTGAGCGTGAGTCAATGCCACTTCTCACAGGTATATATACCTCTCCCACAACCTAACGCTTTTAGGCAAAGCTACTTCTCGAAGTTCTTTTACTGGGCTCGGTCCTGGGTCTTGCTTTTGGTATGGGCCAGATTTTGTTTCATACTTCGTGAAGAGATGTTCAGTATAGGTAGTAGAACAAAGAAGTTTATTGGTAGGGGAATTGCCTCTAGATGAATTGTTGCCAGCAGGAGGTAAGTAGTCTGGGATTTATTATTTTTTGTCATTTAGCCCGCTTTTGCTGTCAACGCACTCACCGTTACGGGTGACAATTCTCACGGCCATTGCATTGAAGTATTGCGGATTTGGTTCTGCGTTGCGGACTAGAACCATGGTTGCGGATTGCTTTGTTCGTTGCGGATGTCACAACACATGCCTTCTTATGCTCGCTATCACAATTAAAATTGGGAAGACACTAAAAGCCGAACGTGGTTCGACATCTCTTGCGTGCGTCAACGCACCCGGGAGGGGAGACGTATAGCCATTTCGGCCGGGTGGTAGGTGGTATGCCAAGAGGTTTGAGGTTTGTGCACGATGCGCAGGTGCTTGTCTCGTTGGTGGGAGGTTTGGGTGTATGTGAAGGTTTGATGGTTTGATGGTTTATATATCTGCAGAGAAGAGAGATCTGGGGTGGTAAGAGTACGATAGTGTGAAGCGAATTGAAGTACAGGTAGACGCAAGGAGAACAAACCTGACCTTACTGGAGAATCTGAAGCTACTTCACTGCTCAATCACATTCAGTCTGTTGTACTCCGATTATCGGAACCTGCTTCTAGGGAGTTTTCGTGGAACTATTTCTATGGAATTTTCAGTGTGACTTTTTCAAGTCGTTTTTCAATTAACATTAGAAATTAGGCACCATTAGTTTCTTGCCCTTCGATTCTTATAATAGCTTGAAAAGGTGAGATCTTGTTGCGCATTAATGTACCTAGTTACTGGCGGACTTTGTAATTTTATACAATGTGGTTCATGCATTTTCTCTCCACTAAAGCCTCATGTTTCCATATTTGTGGCTAATTAACACCTACCGGGCCTTCACAACGTAACAATCCGATAAAGTTATTCAAAGCGTATCTAAACTCATGCTCATCGTGACATCCATTGTCACTCCTCTACCTCCCAGCTGACAGTATTTCTGTGCTTGACAACAAACTTTCCATTCCTCCTTCGCGAAGAAACAAAGCTTGTTTATCAAATCCATATCTTCACACGTTCCTCCATCACGTAGATTGGGTCCTTCAGTACCACTCCTCAGCGTAGGAAGCTGTGGTGGCAAAGCTGAAACTTTCCGTCTTGTGTATTTTGGTAAGAAGTTCGTCTTATATATAGTACCTAAGTAAGCAGGTAATCGCCTTCACCCGGTCCGTGTTTGTCAGCGAAGAAGGTGAAAGACACACGATGGAGTGAATCTGGAGACTCTTGTGTGTTAGGACCGAGATTTGGGGTTTCTTCAACCTTGTGTATCAGTGAATATTAAATCAATTACAAAAACCTGTCTAGAGAGTCAATTTACAAATCACTCCCCTCTCAAATCCCATGTATAAATAAATGGAACGGGCCGACCATTTTTACTTCTAACGCTTTGCTGGAAAGAAGTTAACCCTACATGTGATCGGTGTTGTGGCTCTGGTTTGTGGTGGCAGTATCACTTTTGTGGTACTTGGGGTTAGATTTCTTTCATGGTGTATATTGAATCCCTGATGGAAAAAGCTGCTGTTGTTATTATTGTCTCAATTAGCAACAACAAACACACCATAAGTTGACAACAGAGACGCTCTTGAGGAGAATCTGCAAGAGTCATTGCCGTCCGCAAAAGCACATAATAATCACAACGAACCCCACGTCTCTCGGCACGCCATTGCACCAAGGCCTCAGGTTGTTCTGGCGTTCGTTTGTTGGTTTGTATGGAATAATTGTCAACCGAGAAGCTGGTTATATAGGCGGGTCGAAAGCCAGGTTTCAGTTAAAACTTAAGAAACGGAAGTGAAGTAAAACAGCTTTGAACTTTCTGGGTGAATAATAGTTCGGCCATTCAGCCTTGCTTTTGAAGTTCTGATTGGTTATAAAAGGAACCATTCTTTCTTGAAGTATCATGTGCGACAAAAAGAAAGTTGCTTCAAGACGCACGCTTCTCGGTGCCCATAACGTTATTTCAAGGTTGCCTCAAGAATTATTGTGCTCTCAATAATGCAAATAGGCAGATTGTTTGAGGGTTCTATCAGTGTTTGAATCACTGGATGAAGCAACTCTTAGTCATCCGGCTATCGTTTCTTAGCATTTTATCAAAAAATATTGATAGTAAATATTGGTTGACAACAAAGACCCTCTTGGAAGAAAATCTGCAACGGCTACCACCATCCGTGACAAAACACAGTACTCGTAACAAGACTATTATCACTTGTGACGCTTTACCACTTCCTCCCAAGCACACCTAGACGCCAAGCCATGGAGTGCTTTCAAGATACACAAGGTGCGCTCCCGATGGACAGGCAGTTTTAGCGTGTCCGACAGGAACTATCCGTTTAGCTTGTTTACAAACATAGTTTTTTTTAAATATTTGTTATCTTATTGGACGAGCACGGTTATTAACTCAGAAAAACTAATATCCGATTACTCGTTTCTTTTATGGATAAAAGAACTTCAATAAGATAGCCTGAGGTAGACGTGATTCAAAGGGCAATTTTTATTTTAGTAGTTAAACCATCTAAAACTATGGAGGATCTTGATAGTAATAAACATTAGTCCGTCCGAATCCGTACTAGTACGGATGATAATGGTTCAGGGCCAAACAATGTCCGACCTTCCCTTTGGGGACGCTGTACCCAAGCACTCTTCTTTCTTGGCGGCAGAGCTTCTTCTTGGCAGCAGAACTTCTTTCTTGGCGACAAAACTTCTACTTGTCGCGAGTCTGCTCTGCTTGATCAGGTCCCCCATACTGACCTCCACAATTCCAAGAAAACGGAACAAGGCGTGTCCGAGAAGCCGTTTATATAGACGGAAAATGCGAAATTTGGCCGCCCGAAATTAGTGAATCGGAAGTGGTGTGTCAGCAGACTGCCTGATTTCACAATCTATGACTCGAACCTCGAAACAGGATTGATTCACTTTACACTGAGTTTGTATTTCCCTCAGCCTTCTCCAAGTCAACTGCTTAGCCAGAGAAGTATATAAACCCTCAAGACTCCCATCACCAATCGTTAATTCAAGGAACTCAAACCCAGGATCACGCAAGGGGAAAAGTGCTGCGAGCCGATTTTTACTGGATCATATGCACCTACTCCCAAGCGCCGTGACCCGGAAGGCTTCCCTCTAAAATAAGAATCTACACAAGCTTAACAGCAGGAAGAAGTTGTTAACAACGATAACCAGATCTCGAAGAATATTTCCCCTTTCTCCCGGGTCCAGACGGCATACTGATGTATAGCTTGAGAAGAACCTTCAAACTATCTGGAAGAGTCCCCAAGAACCTTACAATAGGACCTTCATACGATTCATAGTGGTCTCTTGAGTTCAAGTAAGTGGAAGAGTATAGCTTTTTATACTCCCTCTCACTCATTTCCAGCTCTTCAAAATCAAGCCTCGGCCTTCGAGCTTAATTCACCTCTCTTCTAAATCTTCACGTCAAAATTCAATTCCATTCACTTCAACACAATATCGTACCGACCACAGCTGAGCCTGCAAGTATATAAACCCGTCTTCCAGCTCCTTGGTCACCTCCACACAAATCTATAGCACCATGCTAAGGGTGCTGGGCCGGGCCTGGTGGAAGTTGGAGTGGAAAGTGGCAACTCCTATCGAAGCTCCTGATGAGAAGATTGGGTATAACTGAGTGAGCTGAATTAGATTCAGTCATGCGACTAAAACGGGAACAGTTGACAGCAGCTCGTGGAAGATGACAACGAATACTGAAACGAGTAAGCAAACTGTTTTGGGGGCATAGAATAACAACTTTCAATCTCTCATTGGCTCTAATAATGACCCCGCATTGAACACCGTGAACAATCCACGCCCGACAACCAGGATGTTTTTCATACTCGAGTGCTGACTTCTATAATGTAGAGGAAGAAGAGGTAAACTTGCGCTGTTTTTATACTTCTCGCCATCCTGCAAAGGAGTCACGAATTTAGAGTCTCTCCAAATTCACTTACTCGGAACAGGTTTTGGAGTTCGAGAAAGACGCCCAACTCGGTCAATCTCCCCTCACGCTCGAAATTCACCCTCCTCTCCAGCTCAGTCTTTGCCTTTCTCTCCCTCAACACTCTTCTACCCAAGTATATATAAACCACGAAACAGCGTACGAGCCGCTGGTCTAGATCTACATTCCTACGACGTCGAGCGAGGAACGCCATTACGCTTTCTCGAAAGACGCCATTGAAATGACAAGTTAATATGATTAATCATATATCGAGTTGGCAGCAGATAGGTAAATGACAACAAGTAAAACTCCCGCTCCCAAAAGCCCTAGAACAGGAACCCAAAACTCAACACGTTCAGCCCCCCAAAAACGCCTGGCAACTTCATCTTCCCAGTCCACATCCCATAACTTCGAAAGAAACCCTTCGCGCAGCTCTGAGGTGCTCTTCAGGGAGATGGAGGTTGTATTTATACTTAATCTACACCTTGGAGGGAGTGGGAAGAGTTGCTGCTAGCTTGATTGGGTGAATAAGAAAGAGGAGAGGGCAATAATTTCATTCACTTCTTCAGAGTTAGAAGACACGCCCTGGAAGCAACACCGCGCCTGAGGAGAACAATTCCATATAAGTGAAGCTAGCTGCTTGATTGAGGATATCCCCCAGCCGTTCATGCTCCGGACTTCTCTACTTTGAGCATGAGGAAAACTACGTCACGTAGGAACGTGAAATTAGACTATTATAGCAATAAAATATACGTATATTCATCTCTGTACTCGGGTATCTATACTTCCTTCCTCTGTCTCCACCCTAACTACACCTAGTAGCCATCTAAATAGACAGATTCGCACAGCTAAACGCAGGTCTCGTTGACCCACTATAATCAGCAATAATCGCCTCAACAGCAGCATACAACCCCGGCCCAAGCAAAAACAGCCCCACCGCCATAACAAAAACATGAATAACCGTCATCACACTCCTTCCCACGCCCCTAAACAGTCTCCCTGAATAAAGCTGCCAATACGCCACCGCGAAGAAGATGAAGCCAAAGAAACTATCAAAAGCAGCTCCTAGCAACGACAAGAAATCGCCCATGGAGGGTACCACTTCGGAGAAAATAAACGCAATGGCCCAGATACCGGCCATGACTGCTGCCCAGACACCCCAGCCGATGACAGTGTTGCTGTGTGCGTGGCGGGATTTACCCATGATGCGGAAATAGATGAATTTCGCGGAGACATTGGCGTAGATGACTCCAATGACAAGCGTAGGCACGATGACAAAAGCGAATGAACCCTTTTTATATGCCGTTACGCCGAGGGAACCAAAGGCAGGGGCAGTGGAGTATTGGCCTAGGTAGCGGAACCCGATGGCGGGGGGAACGATGAAGAGGAATGCGGAGACGGCTGCCAAGACGGCGAGGGACTTGGGGAAGTCCTGCGGACGCTCCATCTCGGAGATGAAGGTTGGGAAGAGGATTTGCGGGACCCAGAGGAAGGTGATGTTGAGGACGGCGTTCATGCAGCCGACCCAGGTGGTGCCGGGGAGGGGGAAGGCGTAGGTTTTCACGGGGCCGTCGGTCGGGTAGTCGCCGTTGTAGCCGTAGAGGGGGGCGGCTTCGATGCCGGAGAAGATGAGGAAGAGGAGGATTGCTATGGCCATTGCGGCGGCTGGTCGAGTGATCAGTACTTATGTTATGGGAAGATAACAGAGGACATACCAGAGAACATAGACATGAAAGAGACATGCTTCAACGTTCTAGGCATGGACATCACAATACCCATCAACGTAGCAATAACCGAGAAAACAACCGTGCATTGGGAGTGATCCGACAAAGTATTCAGAACCTTGGCACCAGTGAGGACGTGGAAACCGATGAGAAGGATGTTGTTCGCCAGCAACATAAATCCGGTGAACTCATAGGCAATTCGACTCTTTCCAAAAGCGTAGTATCCAAAATCACCTGTTTCGGTCATTAGCAGTTGAAGGATGATGATGATGATAATGCTGGGACGTACAGATATCTTTAATCTGAGGATGCTTCATGATGAACTTGTGCATGGTGATAGAAGTAATCCAGAACAGGATACCAGCAACGACCATGGTAATGAGACCGGGAACCCATCCAAGGACACTATCTCTGTCAGCCTTGAACATGGATCTCATCCACAGTTGAACTCACGAAAGCGACCAGGTCTGAGCCATGATAGCAAGACAAACTTGATCACCACACAACAACCAAGCAGCTTTCTGCCAAGACATAGTTCGCAATTGAATCTCATGAGTATGATCTATGTTACCCTGTCAGTCAACCTTCATCACCGCAAGACCAAGTAGGAATCGCTCACCTTCCTGAACCAAAGCCGTGATAAGGTACTCCGGACTCGAACCATCGGATTCATGGGGATCGACACCCACATTCTCCTCCTGCTCCCTCTTCTTCTCATCCGGGTAGAGAGTCGTCATTTTGCCTGTCTATCGTCGATTATATCAATAACCTCTCTTTTCTGTACTCGGAGCTCAGACAAAAAGCAGCAGCACCAAACAAGTTTATATCTCCCTCCGCACGGCAACCCCAGCTGCAGCACTTACCAGGATGTGCTCTAGCCTCCAAAATCCTTCCCTCACTATCGCAAAGTCCTGAATGGTGTGATAGCCAGCCCAAAAGTCGTTATCTCTCCAGCGGCTTCCAGGGCCTGCTGAACAGTGGAAACCTTGCCTGGTTGCAGCTTAGTTCTGACCGCTAGGCATGCGGGTGGTGCGTGTGGAGCCGGGAACGCCGAGTCTGGACCGGGGCCCGGATGCTTGGGATCTCGCTGGTGTGCAGTATCGTATCTTACAGTACCAAGATCACTGGGCAGTGAAGGGTATTTGTGAATAATCGGATCGAGTCGAATCGTGTGGGGGTGTAAGAGAGCCCCGGAGTTTGGGTTGGTCTGATGAGGTGCTTCGTTGGAGCTAGGTTTGTAGGTTTCTAGAAGGCGGGACGATCCATCGATAGGCAAGGGTGGAGGCTCACGTTGTACAGGAGGTTTGTCGTGCTATTCTACTGTATGCATCTTAAATCCATTCTTGGAATTTGTTCTCGATGTAGAAGTGAAATTTTGAGTTCTCTGCAAACCGATTAGAAACGACGAGCTGAGTTCGAGGTTCAAGCCCAGCCCTAGCCCAAGCCTCCATGGCCGTGGTTCGAGACGGGTGGTTCCACGGCTCCTTGCAACCATTACCTTTCTCCAATCATATCTTCATCCTTTCAGATGCATGCTCCGAGTATTAAGTTAGCGGCATAGGAACCTATCTCCGAGAAAGAAAGTAGCACAAGAAGTAGAAGTCGTTCTGTGGCGGACATCTATTTGATACTCTGCTACCTATCTTACTTCTTCTTATACCCTTCCTCTAAGATGAGATGAGATCTTAACTCGCTATGTCTCTGTATATATGTCTCCCACATCCCAATGAAATCCCACAAACGAGAAGAAAAATTCCCATGCTAACAATGCCGCTATTAGATCCAAACGCCCATGCCACCATCGTCTTGTCTCATATATTCATAATCATACACCATTCACCTTCTACAATCTATATCAAACCTCGCCCCAACTCCCCATCCCACCTGTACTAGCAATCAAACTTCCACTCCCCACACTCTGGCTCCCACCTGGTCCAAAATCCCAATAATGTCTAGAGCTTCCGCTCACGGTCCTGCTACTCCGCTTCAGTCCACCGATTCTATCACTTGCACAACTGCTGCTTCCTCTTCGTACATTCAGGATCGCTCCTGGACTTGATGGTCCTCCACCTGGGACTGAAGGTTTCCATGTTCGTTTCTCGATGCTGCGTCTACGTTCTTTCGTGGTGTTGGATTGGCGTGTGACAAGAGGGTGATGTTGGCGTACACGAGCAGCACGTGCGGCTGTATCTGCCGTGCTAGCTGTTGCCAGGTGTGACGTTCCTGCGGTTGAAAATGGAGGTTGAGGATAGGTGGATTCGGAGTATGGAGAGAACTTGGCAGTGAAGCGCGAACGCAGATACCTAAACACCATCTTGATGTCGAGGTCTCGTTCCCATTCTTCACGAGTCAGAGGTTGAGAAAGAGGGTTCGAGGGACGAGGTGTCGAGTCTGCTTCTTCGAGTGGAGAAGGGGAGAGGGATGTCGAGATTGGGATTGCGGGTGTGGCGGTTTGGATCGTAGGGAGGAATTGTGGGTCTGCAGGTGAGGTAAGTATCGACGATGAAGGTTGAGGCTGTGCGGGAATGTCTCGAGATGTCTCAGGGATCACGGGTAGCCCTGCGTATGGTAGAGGCATCTGCTGAGACTGAAGGTAAGTAGAGAATGCACCTGGGTGGTCGGAGATCTGGTTGACCAGTATCCCCAACTCCCGAGCTATTCTTTCGAGTAGTCGGTGCTCCCACGAGTCTTGCTTGTACTCGTTTGCAGGCACTATTCCCCGATTTGCGTCGAGCGGACTAACAGCGGGAGGCGTAGTCGAAAGGTCGTCGTCTTCTGGTAAGCTTTCGCCAAATATGATCTCGAGTAGGTCGTCATCGATTCCAATCAGATCTCGAATAACTCTCCTCGTGATCCTGTTCCAGAAACTCTCATTTTCCTCATCTGCCACTTGTTCCTCGACATTTTCGGAATCCACATTGCTCATTGTAGCCACATCTTCCTGCTCCCTATCCACGACCACACTCCTTCTATCCGTCGACATCGATTGCTTTCGCCGCCTCGTCTCCTTCTGTATCTCATCCACCAACAATCGACTCTGCTCCATCCTCCACTTCTCAATCCTCCTCGTCCTCTCCGCCTCTGCAGCCCTTTCATTCTCTAACTCCAGCATACCCAACTCTAAACTCTCCCGCCTCCTCTTCACTCTCCTCGGATTGAACCTCTCAAACGCATACAAATGCTCCTGTACCTCCTCCCCCATCACCGTCTGATCTAACCTAAAGCTCCCCAACCCATCATGAGTCGGCAGAACAGTCCCACTCGCCTCACCACTTTGCCCTTGCCCATAAACACTAGGCTCTGCTCTAAACTCATGCAAATGACTATCCAAACTATCCAACTCCCCATCCTCCTCTTCCTCCTCTATAGCCCCCTCGTCCTGCGACGCTTCATCATAATCATAGCTCCGCGCAGCCGTATCCAAGCTCCCGAAATCACTTATCCGCGACCGACCCGCTGTCTGCGTTCGCGCCGTCGAGGTCGTGTATCCGCGATCGGTGGTCGATGCCGCAGAGGGCGAGAACAGGATCCATTCCTGGGAATCGGCGAGGTGTTGCGGTTGTGCGGAGGACGGCTGTGCTTGTGTCTGTGTCTCGTCGGGAGGAGCAGCGTAGACTCGTTGCGGGGCATGGTACGTTGTTGGTTGGCGGAATGCCATGATTCGTCCTTATTTCAGTACGGAGGATAGGACAAAGAGGTCGCAGATTCTCGAGGGAATCTTTGACGTATGTATGTATGGTGAGGTGTGAGGTAGGGTACAGATGATTTTCCGGACCCTGGACGAGAAACAGGCTATTTCGAGAGCGTGATCCAGATGTCGATGTCAGAGGTCGTGCGACCTGTACAATGCGCCCTTACCGCTGGTACGATTGTGGGGGCAGGAATAAGACGAATGAGTTGTGAACGACACCACCTTTCCTTCTGGATGCGAGAGAGGAGGAACAAAGGAATCGAATGATGGTTGAAGTGAGGGGAGAAGACGTGTTCGAGGATATCAAAAGTCACCCTATTCTATCTAGCTTAGGGATCAACATTCCGGGTTGTCTTGACTCGACCCGCCCAAGATATAAGGACCACGTGGATGAGACCTGGGGGTGGCGTTGAAACAAAAAAGAAATATGACAGAACGACAATGGACGATGGAGATAAAAGGAGAAAAGATGGAGTTCTGTCGGCGTGTCAGTAATCAAACGATGATTATTCACAGTCATCTCATCAAATTGTTGAGCCCAGAGTGATATTGCGGCGTTTGAAGCAGGTAATCGCCTTATCGCAGCCCGATGACGAGACCGGATTAGGGGAGAATCGTAGTGGATTTCTCAGCGGGAGTGCCGCAGTAATGCCACCCAAGCATTGACAGACATGTCTATATTTGACTTGACTCGAGCAATAAGAAATAAGAAAATGATGGGGGCCAAGGCGAGTGAGCGGTGATATTTCGCATCTGTTGGACAAACACGGAGATTTTGCTCCTGCTGCTGCGACGCAAATCGCAAACTAATGCGAGAGCGGGTACAGTCAGCGTCTGCCATCCAACTCCCCTTTTCGGGAATGCATGCAGGTCACAGCCTCATGTATTGATATCGTCATACGGAAGCACCAATCATCAGCAGATATCTCATGTTCCAGTGCGAAAAAAGACGTGCAATTCCTTAAGTACAATGTCATGAAGTCCAGATGCCCTAAGACATCGTGCAATCCAGCCATTGCCATGTACGCCTGTCTTCCCCATGTTCATTCATCCCATGCAAAGACCTCATCCTCTATGCCTCTTGGAAAGCAGCTGGGAATCTTCGGACGTTGTCGGCCAATTTGCCGTGGTTGCTCAAGAATTGGACATATGCACCATCAACCAAGACCTTGCCTCCAGCCTTCTTCTCCATGTACTCTTCACGGCGGAGAGGAGTGAAACCCCAGTTCTTGGAAACGATGATCTTTTGGCGACCAGGGAACTTGTATTGTGATCGACGGAGAGCCTCGAGAGCGGTGGCACGGTCTGATGAATGTTAGAGCGCTATTTTGAAGTAGATGCTGCTGGACTTACGGGAATCACGAGTTCGGACACTCAAGATGATTTGACCAATGTTGACACGGGCAACGGTTCCGTTTGGCTTACCCCAAGCACCACGCATTCCAGTTTGCAGTCTATCGGCACCAGCGCAAGACAACATCTTGTTGATACGGACAACATGGTATGGGTGAGCGCGGACGCGGAGATGGAAACCTTCCTTTCCGGCGATCTTGACCAAATACCTATAGACCATTAGTCTTTATTCCTATGTCCTCCTTGTATATCGTGATGTTCGGTTTCGTATTTGTAATCCTCCTCTCCGTACCCCGCAATTGTAATGGGTGAACTCACTTGTTGGCGCAAATACGGGCAGCCTCGAGAGCCTCGGAGCTCAATTGTTCGTACTCGTTGGAGACCAAGTGGATGCAGAGAGGGAACTCATCGACGTTCGCACGCTTTCGGCCAAGGTCGAAGATACGAATCTTGGGGCTTCATAGATTGTCAGCGAAGTTCTCTACCAGGGAGATCTCTTAAGATCGGGAGTATCAACTTACTCGGGGACACCACGGTTGAATCGAGACTTTGGGTAGGGCTGGAAATAAAGAATCAGCATTTGCTCTCTGGGTCTTCTGAATGTGCGGCGATTCGATCATAGCCGATGGGACAGAGACGACGATCGCAGAGACGGATTTCTCTGCAATAGAAGCTCGAGATGCCCTCAGCTTCCTCGTCGAATCTGTCAAGACCTCGTCGTGGCGATCGTCATCTCCATCCCACTCGCGAACGAAATCGTCATCAACACGCAGAAACTGTCGCACGCACCTTGTTCTTGCAGTAACGGTAACATCTCGCAGGACGACGTGCCATCTTGACGGTATTTCGAGGCGGACTTGAGTTGATAATTTGTTGTTGCGAGGAAGAGAACCTCTGGTCGGTGTCGAGGTTTTGCTTGATGATCGGAGTTGATTGTTCAGCAGAATTCCGGTCTAAAACGGCTAAGCGAGCGTGGCAATTTTTGCCCACACATTGGTAATTTTCGGGAATGTAGGCGCAGCAGGTATTGAAGGAGTCACATTACGGTAAGACAAGAATCACGAAGAGATTGGAAATACGATTGCAGTCAATGAGCTCAAGTTTGTGGTTTTTAATTCTTCTGATTGGCCCTGAAGTGCTGGGGAATTGAGGATGTTAGATGAAGGACCTAGAGGAGAAAGTACACGGAGTTGACTCTGGCACCGAGATACCGAATGTGAGGTGAATCTTGATTCTCTGCACGGAGTAGGCCATATTTCGTCCTGCTTACAGCGAGGAATTGAACTCCGTGCCATGAGCCAAGAGACTCCGACAGATTGAGGGATATTATTATGCCGGATCCAGCCAGCTCTGGAGTTTAATGGGAGACAAAGGTTGTATGGCTCATTATGACCAAAGATGAGCCATGCAAAGAAGTAGCTCCAGACCTGCTTTGTCCTCACATTGAAATCCGAGACCAAAGGACTTAGCCTCAACTCAATCTGGGACTGGCAGGCCTTTTCGCTGGTGATTACCATCAGCAATCCAAAGCCGCTCAGGTGAGACTGGTGCAGCTCAGCCATTGCCCCCGCATCCACCTTCGCCGTTCCATCACATAATCTCATGTCTTCCTCCTAGAACCAAACCATAGATCCAAATAGTCAATTCAAGTACTCAACATCACCAACCATTCAAATCAATGACACAACTTCAAATTGTGGAGAATGTAGACTTTCATTCGTAGACTCGCCGTAGCCAGAAGTGCTTAGCTAGAGGTCCATCCACAACGCCCTCATCGACGATGATCCCCTTCACCGGCCCTGTGCATCTAAGCAGTTTGTCCGCTCAAGATATCCGAATCACCAGCATCCAATACAGCCATAGTTGAGCACCTGAAAAGCTTTCCGCATGCAGTTCCCAATTCGATCTGTATCAAAGAAAAAAGAAGTAAGCAAATGAATGTACCCTCCAAAGTCAAAAGACTTTATCGCTGGGCGCACCCTCGCAAACCCGAGGTTTGGTCGTTGGGCAGTGAGCAATGTGACAGAGGAGATATAGACTTACGTTGTTTCCGGCGAAGTGGTGGACGTTGGTCTTGGACAGCATGGAGACTTTCACTCTTGCGGAGAGGAGGGGTATTGCCAGCTATGATCACCAGCTTGGCCTTTCCGGAGCTGAGGGTCTTGCTAGGGAAGCGTTAGCATTTTTTCATCTTTGTTGTTTCAGGAAAAGGATAAGACAATGTCTAGGGAAAAATAAATGGAAAATGGGGCTTCTGCAATACTTACAGGGTAATCCGAGGGTGACTGCAGATTGTATGTTAGCAATTGCAATTGCTTGATTGTGGTCTCTGGCAGAAGCTGGAATGAGGTGGGATCAATCGCATACCTTTACCAGACTTCATAACAAGCGCAAGGCGCGAGTTGATGGAGTCGGAAGTCTTCTTGGCTTTCTTTGTTGGTGCCATCGTTGCTGATCAAGATTTGAATGTAATCTTGAAGGTGGTGCTCCGGCAGGTGTTGTTGACGTTGAAGAAAATTTGGAAGGGTAAAAGTTCGCAGAGAATCATGTGTGGGATGAGCTAGGACTAATTCATGCTAGCGTGGTGAGTATCATCAGTCATGTGATAGGCATCACGAGATCAGCTTTGAAGCAGTTTCACCAGACGAATCTCACACTCCTCTTACCTCCTGAGAGAGTTTGATCGATTAATCTTATCTATGAAATGAGAAGCTTCATCTAGAAGGCTGTCTTATTTTCATGTTGTGACCTCCAAAATCCCGACCCTCTTCCGACCTTGTCCCCAAACCTCCATGCATAAACGCTGGAGGAGAAGCAATTAATGATCTGATATCGCCTTAATATGAAAGGTCCATCAAGCTGCGGAACATGTAGTTCCTCAAAACCAAATTCATCTGGACATTGAGTTCAAACCGACTCTGTGAACGATCACTTTATGAACCGTCTCCTGTCCGTTGATTGGGATGATCCATCAATACGTGATTCAGATAATGCTTTGTAAAGCTTCCGCGCCCCTTCTTCGCGCCGATTAGCTCGCAAAAAGTCAAGCATAACCTGGCTAGAAGTGTTTCAATCTGCATGAAACCGGGAGATCAAATGTTGACTTCCCTGCTCGTGGTATTTGTCGTGATGGGACTGACGCGAAGCTATTATGCACTGGGGGACTGGGATAACTAGGGGCAAGTCGCGAAGAGAGAGCAATTTATTACCTGCTTTGAAAATGTCAACACGTCGAAAGGACACATGATTGCTACCGACAATAACAACAACAACACGCCTCGCAAAGTTGTTTCGTCGTTCTTGATGATTAAAAGACACCGAATCTCCAAGATTCCAGCCTCATAAGGCCGTTATTCCAATTATAGCTACGGCATTTGTTGCGCGATCTTTAAACCGTTTTCTGACGACAGACAACAACACAACCTTAGAAACCTTGTACAACAGCCACTTTTCCTCCCAGCTATGTCTGCAGCGACGAAGAAACCTCCGGCTAGTACTGGACCTCCAGGACGAAGACCTTCAACAGATCCTACTTCAACATCGCCATCGCGAACCAGCACTCCGGCGCGTTCACCGACACCCTCATCGGCAACAGCCAATGGTGTCGCACGAGCGCGATCAGTACGGGGAGGGACTCCAGTATCTGCTCGCGCAGCAATGCAACGACCTGGCGCCGGCGCTTCGAATCTCAGCTCGACGAGTACAGCTTCTGATGCGGAGGATGACGCTCGGGCAGAGACGGTCGCTTTACTAGATGATCTGAAAGAGCGTTTGAGGAAGACCGAGAATGCATCCGAGCAATTCCAGAAACAAGCCCAGGTTCTACAATCGAGATTGGATGAAGCTCTAGCTGAACAGGGAAAGCTGGAAGAGAAGCTCCATGAGAATGAGGAACGATTGGAGACGCTCGAGAATGACAAGCGCGATGCTCTTAGACAGAAGCGGGAGATGGAGTCGATTTACGAGGCTGAAAGAAGCTCAATGACAAAGGAGAGGGAGGAGATGGCCAATAGGGAAGAGGAGATGCAGACTATTATACAAAGATTAAAGGATTCTTTGAACCAGAGGTCGAATGTGGACGAGGAGTCACGTCTTTCAAGGCGATGTAAGTGGTGCGATCATTTTGGAGTTTTGTCATTAATATCTGCCAGCAAACAACTCTTCACCTAGCATTGAAGGCGGCCAATTCGCACCTCCCTCTGGCTTGAGTCGCAGCGACTCTCGCAATAACTCGAAACTCGTGCTACAAAAAGACCGATTGATCGAATCTCTACGTTTGGAATTGGCCGAAGCACAAATCAAGTTGGTTGAGTCGGAGAATATGGGCGGTGGCCGAATGCGAGAGGTAGAACGATTATTACTCGAAGCACGAATGACAAACGCACGATTGATGGAGGACAACGAAAGTTACCAGCTTCTGCTGTCAGAGAAGACTTTAACTGGAGATTTCGCAAAGAGCGATTTTATGGGAAGCGCTTCCCACAATGCCGATGCGCTCAATGCCCTTGAAGGAAGATCATCTGCACCAAGTCTGGCGGACGAGCTATCGGAGGCAGGAGAAGGAGAGAGTGAGAATTATAGACGTTTGGAAGCGGAATTGAAGTCTGCAAAGGACCAGAATAAGGCATTGACCCTGTATATCAATAAGATCATTGAGCGCCTGTTACAACACCAGGATTTCGAAGCTATCTTGGACCAATCCTCGGATTTCAAACCTGGTGGAGCCGCGAATATTGACAAAGAGCTGCCACCACCCCCACCAAAGGAAGCCAGCGGTGCCTCAATCTTGCAGCGTGCCAAGTCAGTCGCAATGGGAGCTGGCCGGCGCCCACGTCCTCAATCTCAGATGCCAGCTTCTCATTCTGCTTTGAATGATCCAGATACAGCTCCAAGCATCCCAATTGGTCTAGGCAGATCGTCCAGCTTCCGCCATGGACGACCAAAGAGCGAGCAGTACACTGGTGGAGCAGCAAATGTGGTAAACCAGATGTATAGAGGTGGGCAAACCTCACCGACTCTCACTGGCCCGCAGACACCACGTCACTCGCAATCATTTTTCGCCCCTCCACTCCAAGCTGGGAATCCAAATGCAGCTCATCGCGTGCCAAGTACGGGACAGGTGCCCACAGCTGGTAACTTCCCAGGTATGAAGAGCGAAACGAGCAGCACGAGTGGTGACAGTGGGGATGTATCGACCCCGCCGAGCAACAGTCCGCCAAGAGCAGAGAAGGCAACCACTTTCGCGGGTAACAAGCCGAGACCGTTGAGGTTAGTGCAGGATCAACAGGACAGCAGGAGAACGAGTGGGGAGGATGCTGCGAACAAGAGAGCTAGCTGGATGGGCTGGATGGGCGGTGCATTTAGTAAGAAAGATGATGTGGGTGCAGTCGAAGAGAGCATTCATGAGTAGATCTCTTGGGAGCTTCTTGGACGAAGATGCATGGAAGGTAGAATGGGATTGCATATATGGAGTGGTTGACCAGCATTTGAAGGACGTACGAAGCAACGAATGGAAAGGAGCATAATTCTGGGGCTTTTACCTGGCACGTACGATAATTAGACCTTTCCTTTCTGTTGGACGGATAGGTTGGTTGGATCTACCTGGGTGCATGATGGATTCGCTTGGTTGGATGTCTACCTACTACTGTTCATGTTCGATATTACTAATACCCTGCATGGCGGGACGATTATGTTTCCCATCCATCTTCAACAACGGCTGCAGATCCTAGGGGAGTTTAAACCGGATGTTTGAGATAGCTGGTCAAGATAGTCTAATTTCCTCATCTCCAATTGGTCCATTGCTCTCAAATTTATGAGTGGTAGCTTCGCTTCTGATACATGTCGGCCGGTTTCTGCATGGGGAGAATCGGCTTTGATATCCAACCGGCTGATGGAGGATGGTGTTCTCGTATTCCACGTACCGGTACTCCACATCGAAATCCCATCACTAAACCGCTCTTCGGATGTACTAAAGTACATCGCACTCAAACATCAAATCAGGATTCACCTTCTCTTTAAATCCCATACCAAGATCCATTTCAAGACAAGATATTCACACCTCAAACCTCAAACCCGTACCAAAATGCTCCTTTTGTGGAACCGAGAACCTTGTGCCATCTTCATCAACTCGCTGTGGCGGAGCAGCCCAACCCTTCCCATCTGATTTGATTTGGCAATCCATCGCATGTCACTGCTTCTCTTGGTATTCCAGGCTTCCATTTCCAGTCCCTGTCTCCCCGAGCTCAACCAGTGATCTCCCACACGTGTCATTCCCGTAAGCTAAAAAGTGGATTCACTGGCGCAACGCTAGGAAAAGCTTGTGTCATTAGCGCAGGCTGGTTCGGGGTTTTTGTTCAGGGGCGGAGAAATCGGAAATCTCCTTTCTTTTTTCTCTCTCTTCTACTGTAATCTCTTTTTTTCAGCCTCGATTTATTATCGAATTTGCAAATTTGCGCCTCGAAATCACGAAATGTAACAGCAGAAAAGGGGAGAAATGTACCGCGTGTAAGGTTCCTTATTGGTGTGTGAGGGACGGGGAATTTCCACTCAACCCTGGCCTCGTCCCTGTCCGCTGAGCCTCACGCATTAGCAGTAGCACCAACCTCGCCTCACGTAAGGAAGTGAGACATTTTCCTTTACTGCAAAGCAAGCAAGCGAGCGAGCGAATCTTGTCCCTTTTATGCGCAACGAAACTCAGACTCTGCCACACACACATACCGTAACATCACACACAGCTCAGCACAGATGCTTATTTCCACCACCACCACCACCACCTCCTCCTGCATGGTCTGACCCAAATCTTATTTTAGGCAGCCGCCCGAGGTTTGACTTGAATTTCCAGTTCGTGGGATTGGGGGATACGGGGCCAGGTTAGGCTAATTACCTATGCTGGCCATAGTGTTGCTTGCTGGCTGGTAAAGGCGTCTTGTTGGTTCACTCGTTCTTCCTTTTGCATCATTTGCCCTGCCCTGTCCTGCCCGTCAAGTGCCGGCCGCCGCCATGTTGGCTTCGTCTTATTCTTCCTGCTGATTTCTCACGTTCGCTCTTCTTGTCTTGTAAACATATTTTTTTTTTCCTTTTCTTCGTTTTGGGAAATTCATATATATGAGCGATGGCGGCGTTTGGGTTGGCAAGAGACAGATCGGGAAAGGGTGGTGGTATGAGAGTCGCCTTGTCTCCGCGCAATTGCTTCAAGGCGAGCTTCACCCTCGTCATCTTCTCCTTCCTGGTGTTTTTCTTCCGGGAAAATCTCTCGTATGGAGGACACAAACACGCGATCGGGACCTCGGATCTGGACCTCGAGGAGGATCATTTGCGCTCCAACTCGCCGTGGATCGATTCGAACGGGTTTATGAATCCCGCTGAGGCCCCGGGTTATTGCAGTCGGCATGGCTGGAAGGAATACCCTCACCGGCAATCCCGGCGCAAGATTTACGATCTGTTTATGATTAATTCGGAGCTCGATTGGTTGGAGATCAGACTCAACGAGCTGCAGAATCACGTTGATTACTTCGTCATCCTCGAATCAGCCACGACCTTCACGGGACTCCCTAAACCCCTCGTCCTGAACGACAGCTGGGACAACTTCACCCAATTCCGAGACAAGATCATCTACCACGTCCTACAGGACCCGGACCCGGCACTGGTCAAGGAGCAAAAATGGACACAATGGGACCACGAGAAGTTCCAACGCAACGCCATGTTCGAACAGGTGCTCCCGCGTCTAACAGACGCCCAGGCCCCCAACCACGGAGACGTCATCCTCGTCTCCGACATCGACGAGATCCCGCGCCCCGCCGCCCTGACCGTGCTCCGCAACTGCGAGTTCCCCAGACGGCTCACGCTCCGCAGCCGCTTCTACTACTACAGCTTCCAGTGGCTGCACCGCGGCTCCGAGTGGGCTCACCCGCAAGCTACGACGTACTCGACGCCTAACACTACCATCCTGCCGCAGGACCTGCGCGGCGGCCACGGCGCGGGCTTCTTCTCAGACGAGAAGGCGGATCTGTATAACGCGGCGTGGCACTGCAGTTCCTGCTTCGCGACTATCGACGAGATGTTGCTGAAGATGCAGAGTTTCTCGCACGTCGAGTACAACGAGAAGAAGTTCCGCAAGAAGGCGTGGATCGTGGATCATATCCGCAAGGGTAGGGATCTGTGGGATCGCTGGGGTCAGTGGTATCTAAGGATCGAGGGGAATAGGGATGTGCCGGCGTATGTGGCGGAGAAGAGGGAGAGGTTTGGGTATTTGCTTGATAGGGATGGGGAGAGTGCTGGGTTTGTGGATTATGTTCCTGGGGAGGAGGTGTGATTATACCCTGCTGTTGTTTTGGTTTTTTGGAGGTTTGGATGCATAGCGTTTGGTTGGGTGGGATAGTGCCATATATATTGTTCGGCGTCGTTGTAATTAGCAGCATCGGTTCAAAATGTACTATAAAAGTTTTCTAGTCTGTAGATGCAAGGATGGTTGAAAATCCAGTAATCCTGCCTAGCTTATCAAATTCTTCAAAGATCTCAGCTCTTGATAGTGCCGCAACATATTCATCTCGATAGCTCTACTCTAGCCAGCTAGCTGTAGCTCCATCGCCCACCACAACCGACCAACATCTCACCCCTTCCCCCCACTCCCACCCGAGAACGGACAACCACCCCTCCCCACCATCTCCCTCTCCTCCCCAGGCACAACCCTCAAATCCCACCCCGCCAAACTCCCCCCCCTCCAGCCACCCACACCACCTCTCAATGAACACCCTCCCCCAACCTCTCAATCCCCCCATCCTCACCCATCTCCCACCTCACCCATCTCCCACCTCTGCCCTGGATCCATATCATACTCCAACGCATACGGCAGCGTCAACCCACCCAAACTCATCCAACGGCAGCGGACGGAAGGTGCGTTGTCTACTCTCTGCCAGTTTGAGGTACTCGTTGACGGTTTGTAGTTTTTTGTCTACGGAATGGAGATATGTCTGGATTCGAGCGCGATGGGAATATAGGGGCGGTGAGCAGGGACAGGAAGGTTTGTTCTGGGGTTCCTTTTTCGGCTGCGAATTTCGTCCTCTTCACATTCTCAACGAACCGCTCACCGAGATCATAGCACCCTTTTTCGTTATCGTAAGTAGTGGTTTCGGGTACGTACAACATTAACACGCCGCGCCGCTAGCTGTAAATCGGGTTCCAGAAGTCGAGCATGGGGAGTGCGGTTAGGAGGGCGGGCGAGAGAAGATGCAGAGATATCGGGCGAGATGGGAGGCAACCAATTGACTCAATTCTTCAATGGCACAAAGCCCGCTTACGACGACAATCAAAAGGGTATCGCGATCACTTAGATAGGATTCCCCAACAAGGTTTGTACTTGAACCTTTCCGTGGGCCAATGCTCATGTATGCCAGATCACCGTGGAAATCTCGGATGATGAGGAAAGATGGAAAGCAGCAGATGCATCTCGGGATGTTCAGGATGAATACTTAGAGTGGTCTGTTCTTCGAGATGGAGAGGGCAGGATCATTCGAGCTGTCTTCACTCGCGAAACTCCCGAGGTGAGTAGCATGGATTACCCAGTGAGTATACACTGATTAGATATGCAGTACTGGGACTTCCTCGCATACAAGCAGCAACAGACAGCCATCGATAAGATTTGTGAACTCAATGCCCCTCTTCTCGACGACGTCGATCAAAAGGAATTCTTCCACGTTCACACCTCAGATCCAGGAAATCGAGATACATGGTTTTATAATCTGATCAACGAATATAACAACTCCACGACAAATGAAACAATTACACATCTTATTCAAAAAGACAACAACTTACAAATGGAAGTTGATATAGTTGCTCAAACGACTGTCCTTCGGAAAGACAAGAACGGGAAGCTCATCACGGATTCCGATCAGCTGATTCGCTGCTCGAAAGTGGGAAATCCTCTCAGAAACTCTGATCCTAGGGCGAGCACTTCTCTGCTTCAAATTCATGGTATTGGTGCTGACTTTCTTGATAGATTGGATGCGTCAACCAACTCGCAACAACAGGAGCATCAGTCTCCATAGCTGATCCCGTAGCAATCTACATCAATAAATTCAGTCGGGGAAGCTTCAAGCTAGATTCCACTGGAGACCAAACATCAATACGGAAAGAAGTTCATTGCCTCTTCAATAGTGTCCCCCGAGGAGGAAAGACAAAGGACTGATTCTCTGTCCACCTGTTCTGTGTCGTAGGAGTATTGGTACAGAGGAGTTGAAGCACAAGAGCGCTGATAAATATCTTGAATGGCAGGATAGCTGAGCCAGGACGGGACAATGAAATCCTGTTTGGAATTCCAATGACCCGTTTTGCGTGACGAATTTGAAGGGATTGAGATGCAAAGCTCCATATTGAGATCGAGGAATGGCGAAGAAGGAGAAATGAAGCAACTTTTCGCGTGCATTGCGGGCGGCACGCTCAGTGGATGACCCCTGAGAACGAAGGCCACGCCAGGCCATTTTAAGCCTAAAGTGGGCTCCGTGCAGCCCACTAGACCGCACTATTTTGCGGGCCAAAGTTTAAGCCAACAACACTCTCTTCCACTCCCATCCAAAGCATCACAGTCAAAAGCAAGAATGAACACGATATAAGACATCTATGAATCATGGAGACACCTATATATTGGATTTCTCCATCCAGGTCCCGACCAGAAGCAACAAGCGTCGTGGTGTCTACGGATCGCATACTATTGATCAATCCCATTGAGGCTTCTGCCTTTCGGATGATCGTCCGGGCAGATCCTGGGGTTACGAGAAGCCAAGACTTGGAAAGTCATGGCGTCCCTGAGCATTTCATGATGGCGTGCATGTTCGACTCTATTAAGGGACACTAAACTCTCCCCACAGACAAGTCGGTCTGCATCTTGGTCCTATGTGTCGCCGGCACTTGGCCCATCACGAAAGAGAGCCAAAGCGGACGCCAAGGAGGTTTTCTTCTCGGTCTATCGCCTGATGTGTTGTCAAGTCGAGACATTGAGGTTTAGTTGAGGCTTTAAAGGTAGAGGATCCCTCGTGGATCCCGACGGTCTTTCTGTTCTCCATGTCATACAGACACCAGTGTGACTGTCTTGCTTTATTTCGTGCGACACCTTCATTTGTGTCCACGTCCCCTCGTTCTCCACACTCGTTCAAGAATGAATCTTCTTACCACGGGACTGCTTGCTCTCTCTTGGGCCAGTACTGCTCGAGCTACTTGCTCCGGTAATCTGCTAATCGATAATTACGCCAACTATGCCAATAACCTCAATTCCCTTGGTCAATGGACAAGCGGTGAGTATTCCCGAAGAAGACTTGAAGTACTTGACTGACATTCCTAGATGACGGTACTACGATCGGCCTCAAAGCGGACACAGTCAACAAGGACATTACCTTCACTTCTCAAGTCAGTAGTTACTTCTATACGACTTTTGCCTGCGAGCAAGCGACGGTTGGCGGATACAATGCCTTTACATTCCCTATCAAAGGACCTGCGGGGTCTACCTTCACGATCGAATTGCAGACTTCAAGTTCCTGCTCGACCACTGCATACACAAGCTACTATACCACATTGACAGGAGTGACGGGGTCGTTGCATACATATACCGTACCATTGAGCTCGTTCATGGGTGCGAATCTGAATGCTATTCAGAGCGTCTTGTTCGAATCATTCAGTATCAACGGAGCTTGGGAAATTGGTCAAACGCAGCTGGTATGTGCAGCAGGGGGGAGCACTGTTGGAAGCTCGAAGACATCAAGTAGCTCTAGGAGCTCCTCTACAACTGCCGCTACGTCTAAGGGTTCGACAACACTAGTTACCAGCGCCAAGTCTGTTGCATCCACCAGCCCAAAATCAAGTACTATTTCGACAAGCAAATCATCAAGCACCAGCAGCGTGGTCAAAGTTGTCAGCACCTCTACCTCATCTGCTAAAACGGCTGGCACTTGTACCCCTCTCCTTATCGACGACTTTGCTTCCCAGTCTCGACTGACATTCTTGTTCTATAACGCAATGCTACAACCTTCATCCGATGATGGAACTATGAAAGCGGTCGCGGGAAGAGTCGACACGAGCACTTCGGTCATTGTTGCGAACAACCATGTAATCTTAACTCCCGCAAATTCTGGATCATATTGGTACACCATGCTGGGTTGTCTGAAAGCTACAAACGTCTATAATGGTATCGGTCTCACTATCACTGCTCCAGCAGGTACTACGATGACCATCGAGCTTCAGACAGAAGCCGATTGTCTCACCGATAATCCTATCTTGAATGATCTCACTTCAACGAATCTCGGCTGGACTTTCGATGGAACCGAACACTATTACACGATTCCCTTCTCAGCGTATGCTGGTTTAGATACTAACCATCTGATCGCTGTCTTATTTTCGAGTATCAGCAAACCAGTCACATTCGGGCCTATAGCTCTTTACTGCGGGACCGGTTCAGCCTATCCAGTTCCCACCACAGTATCAGTCATTGAGCCATCATCCACAATCCCAGCTACTACGGGTCCATCCGCGATGGTCATTGACACCTTCGGGAATTCTGACACTAACAACCTTGGCTTCTGGCACGGCGGTGACGATACCACGACTTACACCTATTCTGGAAACAAGATGACCATCAACATGAAAGGCAATTCTGACCTCTCATGGTACACTCAGATTACGAACGGCTGCGTAGACTTTACGGCAAATGACAACAGCTACATCCACATTTCATATACCGGCAGCTCAGCGTTCACCGTCGCACTGCAGCAGCACAATCCCACCTGTAATGAAAACATCAATCCCTACCCCTACACCTGGGACTCTGTCGAAGCTTCTCGCTACTCGAACACCGCTAAAACGGATCTCTATGTCCCTCTATCGCACTTCCAAATAAATCGTACCCTCAGCATCGGCTTCGCTCTGAAAGGCTTCTACACTACAACGACCACCGTCTTTTCTCTAATCGAAATCGTGAAGACCGTCCCACCAGGATTTCTCGTTCCGAGTAAACTTCCTACAGCACCACTAATATTCGCATGCACCCGACCCAACTCATTCGCTTTTGCCATCGATGACGGAGATCCAACTCTGGCCCAACAAGTGGTTACCAGCGTTGCAGCAGCGGGAATTCATGTCACCTTCTTCACCGTCGGAGCAGCACTCCTGGACCAAAGTACCAATTTGACAAACGTGTATAAAAGCATGATGGCAGCAGGTCATCAAGTCGCATATCACTCCTATACTCATCCTCCGATGGAAGGTCTCCCCACCCTTGCCGCCATAGACTGGGAACTCAACAACGACATCGCAGCCGTAAATTCGCAACTTGGCTTCCGATCCCAATACTTCCGCCCACCCTTTGGCACCGAAGGTGCTCGCATTCGTCAACGACTTGCCGCCCTGGTTCCTAATGCCAAGTTCGTCGAATGGAGCGTTGATGTCCAGGATTGGCTGTGGGCATTGAGCTCTACGCCGCAGAATCAGATCACGAATTTTCAGTCCGATGTTAATAAAGGTGGGAATCTGGTGGTGATGCATTATCTCTACCAAACAACCGTGGATTATTTACCGCAGTTTATTTCCATCGCGAAGGCGACGGGGAAGCAGTTGATGAGGGTTGATCAATGTCTGGAGGACCCAAATGCCCCGCCTTTGTAGGCTACTTCCGTGAATCGAGGGAGAACGAGGTAGGTTTGGTTTGGTGTTAGGCAGGGGTTTCAGACGTGCCGTCTGGGAAGGAGTCAAATGGGTTGGAAGGGATAGGGAAAGTACTGGAATTGGCATGGGAACCAGAGCTAAGACCATCCCGACGACCCTGACCTGATTCACTCTGCTGTAGGCAAGCCCATGAATCGGCTCTTCAGAAGGGGTGAATTGACTCTCGATATATATCATAGATGTTACTTCTCAAGTATAAAATACCACTTCTTAGCTATGAAGCTGTTTCCACAGACTTACTGAACGTCCAAAGCAGGTTCAGAGAAGCTTGTCCGGGAGGCGCGTCATTGAAGACATCGCACTCTTTCCACAGTTGAAACACGAGGAAATTCTTTCCCTTCTCGAACAACACAGTTCAAGAATTTTCTGCTGCCAATCTTCTTCTTGTTGCCAAGTCTCCCCTCTTTCATCCTACATCCTCACATCTCCTTCTCCAGCATTGCTTCCTCCAGACAGATCTCATCACCAATATGTATCACACATGTATCTTATACCCCTTGGCAAAGTTCCTATGTCAATCTTCTTGCGCGGATCATAGATTTTCTCTCGGAAGAAGCCCGACCTGGCGCCGGATATCCAGACCACTATCCGCAGCAAAACATCTTCGCCAAATTCCTGCATACAGCGTACAGTAGCCTTGCACCAGCATCTTAGACTGATGGCAAATAGACACGGCATTGATGATGTTACATTAGTTTGCCCTCTACTCAGAATTTCGAATGTCTGACAACCTCCTAAATGTCGTCGACCGGTAACTCCTCGAGAAACGAAACACGCTTCACGTCATTCGCGCTCTTGCCATCGATTGCACTCCTTTCATCAATGGCACTCTTTCCCTCAACGGTAGAACTAGCCTCAGGCCCATGATTCGGATCTTGGTCAGCAAGTGAAGTCCCCAACGCTGATCGAGCAGAAACGCTTTTCCCATCGATAGTAGAATCATACTTTGGCCTATGACTCGGATCCCTCATCGCAGACGACGCCGCAAACCCCGAGCGAGTGGAAAAACTGTATCCATCAGCGGTAGAATAGACTCTAGCCCTATGACTCGGATCTCTGTGACTTGGACTAGTATAATGATGCGGTGTCTGCTCCGCCTGTATAGCTTGCATCTTCCAGGCGGGTACTGGTGGTACTATTCGGTGGTATCGATCCACTGCCGGTTCTTCGAAGTCTTCAGCCCAATCTGCAGACTCATACATTTGTCTTTTGGACTTGATGCAGAATCTCCAAACAATATAGGTGATCACAGAAATGAAGCAGATGCCTCCAATTAGTCCTCCTGCTATTGCGCCAACATTGGTTCCCTCTCCAGAGTATGTGGAGCCGGCCGGAGGTGTTTGGATTTGTGGAATGATGATTTCGGAATCAGTTCCACAGCAAATGGGGTTATTTGCCCCACAACAGTAACCTCCTTCTCCTTGACAGAATGTCACTGGCGTGTTATTAGATTGATCCTAATGCATCTCGATATTAGGTCTCATTGTTAAAGCGAGCAGGAAGTCCTTTGAGAGGATTAGATGAAGAGAGTCATATCTACATACGAGGGGGCACACATCAAATGCATTCAAACAATAGGGACTGGTCCATGTTGGATCTGTGCAGCTTTCTCGCCAGTACGTTGCTGTAGAGCCCACTGTGTTCATGCATAATCCATTCGTGCTACAACTGTCTCCTTCGGTCCGACAGCACATTGAAACTTTTTGAGTAGCTGTGACAGAGTCAGCACCGACCAAATTGAGCGGGCCAAGAAATGCTGACGGTAGCAGGACGTATAGTTCCCATCTTGCGCTGTGCCTGATTGGCCTGGGCTTTTGGGAGGGCTGTAGCATGTCATCCCGAGGATGGTGTTTACACTCGCGGGGAAATAAATGCTTAGTTTATATGGGACAAAAAGAGTTTGGTTCGATTGATTGCTAGTTGTTATTGTGCTGAAGATGATGTCTTTCTTAATAACAGATTTGACTTATGGGGAGGGGAGATCTGAAGATGTGCAATCCTCGCGATAGTGTCTCAGCCTCCCCTCCTTGGTTCCCTATAATTGGACAGAGAGAAGCCGTGCCGCCGCTTCACCATCCTATCACATGTACCATCTTCGGTGTGCACATTTTGCCGAGTAATCTGCAACGAACGTTCATTGGCTATGCTGAGTAGTGGGGGCGCAGCGAGGTCTCAGCCTCCACAATTGGAGGAACAAAGCCAAGCTAAACAGGCTCAGCTTCCAGTCTTGATCCATTTTCCTTGCTTCTCATTTTTCCAGACATTGGTCCTCAGTAACAATTCTCCAAAGTCGGTCAATTTTCTCTTTTTTGGCCAGCGTCATGTTCGCTGCTGTATAGCGGAATTTCGAGAGGGATGTGAGGAAGTCAGAAATGTCCCGATTTTCACCTGGGGCAGAGGGGGTAAGGAATGTGGAAAGCATTATGGTCCACATTTAGATCCGGCATATCGAGCGAAAGTTTGGGATTACATCTGCATGAGAGTAAGAGGACACCAATAAAAATATGAAGGTTTCAACACAGATTTTGAGTCGAAGATAAACAGAATTTAGATGGCACGCTCGGCCGCTTGAGACTTGCCTTCTACGTTTGAAGGAAACCATGAGTGGGCTCGAAGAGGTAGAATGAAGAAATGCGCGAAACATATACAACCAATCTTCTATCTGGCATTTCACGATTAGAGCCTTTGTCTGGAATTTTCGCATGAAGAAAGTTTCATGCTCTCTCATTTAAGTAGAATTGTCTGCTGCATTTACACTCGGATGTGGGAAACCGTGTGAGGCGCAAAAACCACACCGCAGACTGAACCTTGAGACTATTGTTTCAGAACCTTGGATAACTCAAGAAAACAGATCTATAACCAACACTTCTTACCGAACAGCTTGCAGAAGTGACATTGCTCATCATGGAACCATTCTTAGCAATTGGTTGGATTCACTCCAAAACACCAGTTCCATCCCATTAGCCAGTCAGTAGGAACTGGAGTCGTCATTCCCAGTACCGCAAATTGACCGTCCAGATAACCATTTGCTTCGTAGTTGAAAGCATGTCCAAGCATTGCAAAATTTTGCGTGAAGGGTATGAGGTCGTTTAGGACGCTCACTCCAGTGTCCGGATTCAACGAGTATAACCATCCCGCGACATCGTTCCACAAGCACACTGGGTCGGAGTTACCCTCTATATACACTCCGCCAGTGTAAAGATAGTTGTATCCATTTATACCGTTCCTGGCAGACAGTGTGTCATTGCCATCGATCAGGGAAATGCCACCAATTTCTGCACTGTGGCCATCTGTTGCGAAAAATATTGGAAAGGTTGTGATGCCGTCCGACGAGTTGTGATGCATGATAAAGGTGAACGAACGGCATGCTGCCATTATAGTAAACGTCGATGGGGGCCTCTCGAGCATGAAGCTCTCTGCGTCTGTGGCTTGGGCTAGAGGTATTCGCAATGATGGGTTCCCAAAACACTTTCATATCAGTGATCTTGATGTAATTCGGTATCCGATCTAGTATAGTATCGGCATTTATTGTGTCCCGCTTAGTCCAAGCTGCAATTGTTTCATATGACATGGCTGCGAGTCCGCAGCTGAAGAGAGATACGATGACAGAGTGGGCACAATCGAGACCATCCACTGGGGTTCCATCTTGCTGCTTACAGTTCTTGATGATATCGTATATGTGGGTCCAGACACCAAGTCCAGCAGTCAATAAGGATGTCCCTTTGTTGCCCCATTTATTGGAAACACGAAGGGGTACGTTCCAAATCACAGTCCAAGCAGCAGGAAAGTAATTCAAAGCGTTAATTGTCCGTAGAAGGCTCAGGATGGTGAGGACGGTGAGGATCCGCACAGATGAAGCCATCCTTGCAAATTGAATAGGCGCTAAAGAGCTGGACGATGACACCGGCAGCAAAGAGGTATACGAACATGGCGATCAAGTCGGGCTGAGGGATCGGTGATCTTGAGAATATTTTCGAGAGAGCATGAATGTAGATCAAGACTATGGTGACAAGTTGGAGCCAGGTTCCCATGAGAAAGAGAGTAATCAGAAAGTGAAGATAATCTCGCCGAGGCCAGTTGGAAGGCATGGTTATGTATAGAGCTGGACAAGTACTGCACTTTCGTAAGATTCAGACTTCAAAGTCCACGATAAAAGTTGTCTGTGAGAGTGTCAAGGCGCTTATGTTAACCGGCCTGGGCCGCGTCTGTCGCATTCAATATTACAAGGGTAGCGGATGAACCTGGCACATCCTCACCACAAAGCTGCATATTTGCAACAAACCAATGAGCATCAAGAGGACAATCCTAGATGTGGTATATCTCATAATCTTTTTGAGACCCAGACTGCCCCTTCTCCCGTGAAATGGACGCACGTTTGCTTTTAATGTCACCAAGTCTGCCAAGGACCCACGCCGTAGCGAACTTACTTCTATGGCATTGGTTGATGTAGCCTCTCTGTTGGAATATTGGCTACTCCATATTGGACATGTTGGAGACTAATACTTGGATGTCGTACTGGTGCCAATAGTCCTCGGGAAGTAGTCTACTTTAGGAAGCCGATAAAAACTGCATCTCTTGGCAACATTCATCGGTGGGATCACATGGTGGGAAAAGGTTGCAAGAGTATGTGACACTGATCTCTCGGAACCATGAAGTCACGTTATTATGCCAAGTGCTGGTGATACACTGTGTAGCTCTGCGGACCATTGGTCTTGGGGGATGACCTTTAACCATCACAGCTCAGGTTGAGGTAAAAACTGGAGGACGTGGAACTAAAACAAGGAAGTAACGCTCCAATGAAGCACGTCATCAAACAGGGTCTGAAAAATGAGAAATGATCATGTGCATCAAATTAGAGACGAAGACAGCTTGCACTACGAAAAATTGAAGGTGAAAAGTCCAGCGCAAAAGGATACATAGTAATGGAATTGATAGCTAGAGAGCAAACATAGGACATAAATAGGGCTGGGAATTGAGTCCCCCAAAAAGAACGACACGAGTTGATCGACATAGTATTAAGTTTACAAGGGTTTAGAAAGGTAATGGTTTTCACAAATGAAGAATGCCTTGTTGCGAGTCTTTCATAACTCTTAAGATTGGAACATGAAGTAATATTGCTGCACAGCTTGTGGGCGCGATCTAAGAGTGGAAGCAGATTCTTTGAGATAGAACGGAATTCAACTCGTGTTCTTTAAGCGGTTCTTACACCACTCTATCCTCAAATCTTTGTTCACAATTTGGACTTGATCCACGGAAGTTGTCCCATAAAGTCTGGATTATTCATGATCCCAATTCTACGACATTCAGACATTCAGCCTTTCCTCTCTCTTGGTTGGAGATCCAGGTGCTTGCGACATTAGTGGAGTCAGGTTCTCAAATGCGGTAGTAAGCTGCTTTATGTAAAGGAGAGTACTGTTCGCAGATTGTATTCACTGACACTGGTCGCGGTCAGAGAGGGTTGAGGTGATCGCCTCTGATTCTCAGAGGACGAAGGACCTATATAGCACCGGCACTTCTGCCATAACTCATTCGTACCTTTAATTGTAACATTTTGTATTCCATTGCAAGATCATGTGCTTATTCATACTTCATTTCTGATCACCGGCTGGATCACCAACCAACGTACTTAGGTACAGACCGACGAAGGTTTACATTACTGCATGTAGGAACATTTAAAAGATGTGAAAGAAAACGTTGGCCCTGGTCATTAATAACCTCAATTCTACACCATAGTGCGCAGGCTGAGTCAGGGCGTGCTTAGGATGCTTAAGCTTTGTTCAGGCTTTGCTCAGGCTCTGCTCAGGCTCTGCTTAGGCTCTGCTCAGGCTCTGCTTAGGCTCTACTCAAACTCTACTTAAGCTCTGCTCAAGCTTCATTCAAATTCTACTCAAACTCTACTCAGGCTCTACTCAGGCTCTACTCAGGCTCTACTCAGGCTCTACTCAGGCTCTACTCAGGCTCTACTCAGGCTCTACTCAGGCGTGCTCACCTCGGCTCAAGTTTGCTCACCCTCAGCTCAGGTTAAAGCAGCAGTTGCTCACGTCCGCAGACTAAAGACGGAACAAGCGAAAGGAAAAGTCAATCTTGAGTCTAGGGGTATCGGGGCAAATCACGGATCTCCCGCCGAACTTTGTCTATAAAAGCTTAACACTTCCTTCGACCTTGGACCTTTGTAACATGAAACAGGATATACAAGAGAGGAACTAGGAGTCGGCGTGTTCTTTTGGAGGAGACGAGATTATGATCTATTCCAGAGTCTTCGATATTTGTAGATAGAGCTTACTGTCAGCTCTTACGAGTGCCACTGCCAAGTTTCTGGAGATTATTGTTGTCAACGATTTATTTTCAGCTCATTTCTATTAGTTCCCAGACAATATTTTAGACCAATCAAGATTTCTATTCTCTTCTTTCAGAGTTGAGTAGTCAATAGTCCCAAAAGTCTTCTCCATAGTCACCGGCGTCCCATATTGGTTCAAGATATCTGTGGAAACCAGAACTCAGGAGGGAGGGGGGGGTTTATATAGAAAACAAGCCCCAGAAGAATCGAAAACCAAGATGACTCTTTGGTGGTAAGGCTGAAGGAAATAAGAAGTGAATCTTCCTACTAGTCACAAATTCAAGGTTTCGAAATTGGGAGCTTCAGTATAAATTACCCTCCACTAATCCTTCATTCTACTCTCAAACAGTAACACAATTGGAGGGCAGGGTAGGAAATCTTTCCGGTCCTGGATCCACACTCGTAAGTCCCGGAAAGAGGCTTTCTATTAAACAAAATCTGTGGAGAGTTCTTCTTTCGAAATAAGAATACTATTCACCGTCCCGAGTTTCTGTTGTCAACAACAACTATTTCTCTTTTTGCCCATCTTCCTTACTTCTTCATCATCCCGACCCACTTGCCAGGCTCATGAGGAGACTTTATTGCGCTTCACCGCCCGGGTCCAGCAGTTCTTCACCCCGAGCGCACGCGACCCACGGTGGATCGGCGACTGCTGCAGCTGTTTGTGTCGAGGTGGAGAGGGAAGGTTTCTGGTGAGGAGTGGGGTTTATATAGACTTACCAACTGGGTGGATAAGCAGGTCGGCAGGCAATTAATTCACTTTTACATGAGGAAATCTAAGAAAGAAATAGAGTGAATCTAGCCAGCTCTCGAGATCCAAGATTTTGCAGATCTTGGGAAGGTTTCCGAGGTAACTATATAAGAACCACTCCTCATTCACGATCTAGAGGGTAGAACAAGATGGTAGAAGAAAAGCAAAGCATGACTTGGGAGTGTCACGCCCCGGCTCCGCGGAAGATTCACTGTACGTTTGACGTCTGTTCTTGTGATGTATCTCTGCAAAATGTTTACAAGTACGAGTAGCGGTCATGGGAGAAGAATTTTATCCAGCTCTAGAAATAACTGTTGTTGTCAATTCATTCCTCATCGTCAACCCATCCTTGCAACTTGGCAACAAACATGAAACCATACTTTTCAAAGCACCGAAATCTCCGTCAAAAATAAGTCTCCCCGAAGTGCAAGAAATTGAGTGCACACCCATTCTCCTTCTTCGCCCATCGTAGTCTGCAAGCTTTGTTGATGAGAAAAAAGAAAAAAAAAGAAACGGAGGAGGCGGCCGCGTGTATTTATAGGCAAGGAACAAGAGAAGATTTCCAGGGCCTGTGATTCACTTACATCACTTGTGCACGACTTCCAAACCCCGTGATTCACCTGTGCACCATTTGGAATATTTGTCCGTCATTGCCAGCAGAATTCACTAGTTTGTATATAGCAATAGCAGATCCTCTGCTTCGATTTTTTTCGACTTAACTCACTTGTGCACGATTTCGGAATGTTTGTCCGTCATTGGAAAATCCACTGGTTTGTATATAGCAGTAGCAGATCTTCTCTTCGATATTCTTTCAACCCGCAAGTTTATCATAAGGAGTTGGATAATAGCGCTTCAGTCGAGACAAGCTGTGTAGAGGTAGATAGTGATATTGATTTATATTTTTGTATCCTGGTTGCTACTCTACTTTTGCAAAATCTTCATCCACTTGTCCAAATTGTGTATCAACTTCCCCAGAAACAAAAAATCCCACCAATCCCCGATGATGGATCGGCCTTGTTGCTTTTAAGTTGGGACATATTTCCACAACTCATTGAACCTCGAGCTATGTCACCCAAGGATTCCAGGCCCAAAAGCCAGAGGATATAGAATTTCCAAACATCCACCCATCTTTCAAGCCTCTGGTTTCCGTCCCCGAACGAAAAAGAATCTAACGTATAGATGATTTCCCTTATTCCGAACATCTTGCAACGCCTTGGCGGTTAGGACTCGACATTCGTTGTCCTCCCATTTCAGAATCTTTCCTACGAATCCAAATGTATATGGTTCTATGCCCAAGGTTACGTGGAGCAATTGATACCGACCTACCTCCTTTAGCTTGGGGTCTTTGGGCCATGGACCTATGGGGACCTGAAAGTAACATATTCAGCGTTTATGATTTGGCGGGGAGGGAGGGTCGAAAACACACTTTATAAATCTCCTCCTTCACATCCACAAACCCCGCATCAATCATCCTCTGCGCATGCGAAGGCGCCAAATCAATCTCCTTCCCAAACTTCCTCGCCGCCTCATTCACCAACGTCTGCCACTGATTCAACCCATGCACCCTCTCCTTCGACTCATCATCACTCGTCATCCACGCCTCGGGCTCCTGAAACTCCAACCACCCGCCGGGCTTCAGATGCTCGTACGCCTGCCCGCACAACCTATCCCAGTCCTGCACGCTGCCGCCCATGCCGCGGCAGTGGATGTAGTCGAACGCCTCGTCCGCCCGGTACACCCACTCGCTCTCCACGTCGTCGATGTAGAAGTTCGCGTTGGGCGGCACCCACGCCGGCTGGATGGGCGAGATGTCCGTCCCGATGACGTGCGCGGACGGGTACTCGTCCGCGAAATCGATGGCCCAGATGCCCGTCCCGGTCCCGATGTCCAGCACGCGCTGCGGGTTGGCGCCGATGGGCGCGGACACCAGGCCGCCGTCTAGCAGTAGTCGGAAGATGTGGTGTAGCAGGTCGAGGCGGTCTTGCTCTTCTTCGTCGTTGGGGAGCGGGTACGCGCCGCTGCGGAAACCGTTGTAGCGCCGCCCGTTGGCGTACTCGTAGCGGTAGATGGAGGAGGTGAGGGAGGTGGAGGCGGCGGAGGCGGAGGAGGGGTCGGCGTAGCCTTCGTCGAGAGGGTCGTTTTCGTTGTCCGGGTCGGCTTCGAGGATTGGGTTGGGGGTGGGTTGTGGTGGGTGTGAGGAGGGGTCAGCTCCTTGAGGTTCTGTTTCTTTTGCTGGAGATTCTGGTTTTGAAGGCACTGAGGGTTCTGGGGCTTGAGTTTGAGTTTGAGTTTGAGTTTGAGTTTGGTGTTGCTCGGCGGGTGGCGCCGTCTCGGCTGGGCTTGTGGCTTGTTCGCTCATGAGTGAAGACTGAATTGGGCTGATGTAGCTGATGTTGATATAATATAATATACTTTGCTTTTTCTTGTTCCTGCAGAGAAAACTTACTTGAAGTATATTTTGCGTGCGACCCACTCCCAAATTGACACCGTCTCGCCCTTATGAACATTAGTGAGGGGCCACGCCAGCAACTGGCCACGGGTGCAGCCGCCGCACTGCCGAAATGACCAAGTCTCCACTGGGGTACCTCGTCTATGCGGGGACAACGGCGGTCAGTGCAAGTACCCGGGCCCATTATCTCCGAACCGGGCAAGATCCTCAGGGTAAATGTCACCTGGTACCGGTATGGGCGCGTCTCCCGCGAAAGATAACCTGATAGGGTTAAGGGGGTGAATAATAACGAAACTAAGTGAATCCTTCAAGCAAGCGACGTCGGCAGTCTTCTTGTCCCCTTCCCATGACTCAAGTTACTGTACAGTATTATTTTCGTTGACGGGTAATATCCAGTATCCACGCGAGCATGACTTCACACCACAGCAACAGCAGCACAACCAACATGTCAGGGCACCTCGTGCCTGTGGTGGCGGCCGTTGGACTGCTGGCATTGGTCGCGCTTGCTGTCTATCGCCTGCACTTCAGCCCCCTCGCTCGCTTCCCGGGACCGAAACTCGCTGCTCTCACCAGGTGGTACGAAGCCTACTATGAGATCTGGTGCCAGGGCCACTACTACCGTGAGATCGATCGCATGCACGACATTTACGGTAGGTATGCTTGACTTATGCCAGACTGCCCCTGGAATTGAATTTTGAGCTTATCTGTCTGCAGGCCCCGTGGTCCGAGTCGCTCCCGATGAGCTCCATATCAGGGATAGCAAGTTCTTCAACAGCGTGTACATGAACCCCAAGGTCAACAAGCATGGCTGGGACAAGAGATTCGGGGCCCAGACCTCGACCTTCACTACGGTGGAGAGTGCTCCGCACCGGCGGAGGCGTGCGGCGCTCAGCCCAATGTACGTGTAACCACACCTGGAAGGGCCAATGAAGAGGTCATCCACTACGCTGGGCTGGAACGCCTTGTGCTGACACCCATAGGTTCTCGAAACGAGCCATTCAAGGATTCGAACCGTTTATTCGTCGCCATGTTGAGCTCTTCTCTCAGAGAATCGGGAAGTTCAGCCTCAGCAAGAAACCTTTGGTTGTGACGGATGCTTTCCCTGCTTTTACTGGTGATATCATTATGGAGTATTCGTTTGGGTTTATGTATAACCAACTCGAGGCTCCTAATTTCGCATCTTTTCATGAAGCGTTTATGGCTATTGGTTCTTCGGGACATATTGCTGCTCAGTTTCCTTGGTTTCTCTCAGTGAGTTTTGTATTTGAATTTTGGACCAAGATAAAGGCTAATGCTGATAGTTGATGAACTCAATCCCAGACGCCATCGTAGCCAGCCTCCAACCAGCACTAGGAAGCTTACTCCGCCTAAAAAAAGTCACTCCTTTTCCTCCTACCCCTAATCTCATCAACTAACACCCCCAAGGACCAATGGGACCTCGTAACCCTCACCATCCGCGGCGGCAAAGAACAAGCCGAAAAAGCCTCCCACCGCACCATCTTCCACGAGATCCTCCAGAGCAACCAGCTCCCCCCCTCAGACAAAACCCAACAACGCCTCGCCGACGAAGCCCAGACCGTCGTCGGCGCCGGCGTCGAAACAACCTCCTTCACCCTCTCCGTCGCCCTCTTCCACATCGTCAACACACCCCACATCAACGCCCGCTTACACACCGAACTCCGCGCCGCGTCCCCTAACAAAGATACCCTTCCCTCTTTACAGGACCTAGAGCGGCTTCCCTATCTCAAAGCCTGTATCCAGGAAGCGCTCCGCCTGTCCTACGGCCTCACGGCTCGGAATCCGCGCACGCATGACAAGGAATTGCGGTATGGGGACTGGATCATCCCCGCGGGGACGGTGGTCGGGATGACGATTGTGGATGTGCATCATGATGAGAGCATATTTCCGGATTCGGAAATGTATAGGCCGGAGAGGTGGTTGGGGGATCCGAGGACGGGGGATGGAGATGGGGATGGGGTGCCGTTGGAGCATTATTTGGTTTCTTTTGGGAGGGGGCCGAGGAGTTGTTTGGGGAATAAGTGGGTTTTTTTCCCTTCTATTTCTTTCATCCCTCTTTTCTTCTCTATTCTTGGCATGGATGAAAGCTAATGAGATACCGGTAACAGCATGGCCTGGGCAGAACTCTACCTAGTCCTAGCAATGATGTTCCGCAGATACAAGTTCTCGCTGTACGACACGGACGTCAGTGACGTGAGGCTGGAGCACGATTTCTTCATCCCGAATGTGAAGCTGAGTAGTAAGGGGGTTAGGGTCTTGGTGGAGGAGGTTGAGGATTGAGGTGAGGAGAGGGGATGAGACACTTGGTTAGCTATGATAGGGTCGGGTGGTTGGTTGTGGTTGTATAGCCAGCGAGGTCTGTAGATTTGGATATCTTAGCGAGAGTCTCTATCGATGCCTTCTTAATTTCGACTTGTCAAATGCACTGCGAGTGCTGAAACATGGAAGGGTATTTCGAGGCTCCCAGCGACTGAGCGGAGTTTTCAGATTTAGGGAGACATGATTTGGTGAATATCAGAGTGAGGGAATTTCCTGGGCTCCTAGAAGATGGAAGTGGTTATTTCGAGGATTGCTTTCCAAGATGTGATTCCTGAATAAAGGCATAAGCTTTATGAAAAATAATCCCGCCTAGCCTTTTCAAGGAACAACATGGATTAAAGCATGTAACTCGTAAGATAGAACGTCTTATGGTAGGATACCTTCCCTATTAAACCGAATAACGTCCTTCTATTTCCCTCCGCCATCTCGTGTCCTACATTGCCGCTCTGTAATACTATTTTTGTTCTTTGCTATTCTTGTAATACTTCAAGACATCGTGGAAATCAGACTTGAAGTATTAAATTTTTATATGACACATAGTCTTCCAATGGTCTGAGTAAGTAAATAGAGATAAGATGACATTTTAGAAAACGACTAATACGGAATGTAGAGTAGAGAGAAGAACAGCGAGGAGAGGAGAGGCTGGAGGTGAAGGAGGAGGGGAAATAGTGGGGTATGCTTAGTCACGAGTAGCCTCCGAATCATAGTGGGGTGGGGTGGCTTCAGGCTTATTTTCGAACCTGCAGGCTTGAAATCTCCACCACATCAACGAACACAACATCGCAGTTCACCTCATTTGCGCCATCACCTTCTGATGTATCGATCGATGGTTAGCATTGTCTGGGGTTGTTACTGAACATGGATCACTACCTATGAACGATCTCCTCCCAGCGGACCGCCTTTGTTGCGCCGCGTCTCCTCTCCTCACCACGAACCAATGTTAGGACGATTCCTCATGCCTGGCTTCCCTGTGTGACAGGCTTGACCTCAATTCGAAACCAGCTTGGGAAGAGAGGGGTTCGCTTCTATGTTTGCGATGATAAATAAGGAGGCGGAGATAAATGCGGGAAGCGCTCGCAGGTGTGTATGCACGGAGTACACCATCTCCAGTGATTCTGCCGGCTATCGCAGAGTTTGACAACTCGAGTGTCGGGAAGGCTTATTCTACGAAATGGTCATAACAGCAGGGGCTTGGAGAGAATCAAACTGTCTTATGTATAGGCTGGCGTGAGGGATTACCTTCCCGACACCTTGAGTGATCTGTTCTGCAACTTGCCCCCGTTGAGATTTGTTTGCAGAAGCTTTCGAATGCGCGATAAGTGTACTGGCCTTGAAGATTGTGGAGAGGAATGGAAATCGAGTTCGCTATACCCTTCGATGGAGCATTATATGGAGAACAAAGTCTGGGAAGAGCCTCTTCAAAAGGGGCGTGGACTGGGTATCAAAACTTGAGATTATGATTACGGGTGAGGAATTATCTCTCTGGCCTCGGAGAGGAGAGAAGAGCTTGTTTGAAGTTGGTGGGGCCAGTCTCTAGAAGGAGGCAAGCAAGTGCGTTGACTTGAGTGGAAAGATATTTGGCCGCTGCGGATTGAGTCCAGGGATTGGTCTGGCATGAGGGTACTTGACGAGTGTCTTTCAAATCCTGAATGTCCAACTTGGTTAAGTTCTTCGCATCAAACAACTTTTTTATTCTTGTCGTCCTATTGTCAATCATCTGTGCGAGCTCCTGTATTGGTTGCTTCCTTGTCATTTATGCATGCCACATTCATGACGTTAGCGTCGGCGTTGTTTCTTGTCAAGTGCTCTTTTACAGATTTGGAGAGGGAAGACTGCTCAAAAGGTGCCAAAGCGATAGACGCAAGCGAGCAATAGTAGCTTATCTCTTAGCATTCTTCTTTTGTCCAAAGAAAAAATCAAACAGTATTCAAACTTGCATGTCGATATGCAAGTACTAGCGCTATGCAAATACTAGTGGTATGCAAGTAGTCTCTCACTAGTCTTCATTCATCAAATTCGATATTTTATTCCCTCTTGCGAGCTCACTTCTATCCGTATCTACTCATACAATTTCATACACATGATCTTACACAAATTCTTACACATCACCTCGTCAGCCATCTCATCACGTCGTTGCGCCACAGCGTACCATCGCGCCCGTCACCTGCGCTTACCCCGCATTCCAATCCCTCTCATCAGCAGGTCCAACTCGTCGCCAAATTAGCATTATTCCCATTCCAAGTCGGAAGCTTGGGATACGGACACACAGGCCTCTGTCTGTATATTGGGTAATTCGCCTCATTCTCTACCCATGCAGTGGTGATCAGACTCGTCGGCGCAGTCGCCTGCTCAACCCAATTCACGAGCGCGCGCAGGCCGTCGTGCTGCGTGGTGTTGATCCCTACAGAGTCGGGCACGTACGTCGAGTAGATGGATTGAGCTTGGCCTGCTCCGCCCATGTAGTAGGGTGCTGGTTTGCCAGTGGGAGGGTTCAGTCCTGTTGTGTCTTGCGTACAGTGTTGCATGCCTGGAATCTCGAAGTAGCGGAACCAAGAGTCGGAATTGGAGAACATCTGTCCTGTCTGGTTGAACAGGTACTCAGACGACCGAGTGGGGATGTATCCATCTGCTGTTCCATGGTAGAGGATGATCTTGCCGCCGTAATTGAGCTTTGACAGGTCGCTCACGGTCCAGTTGTCTGGTTGTTCGATTGCTTGGACTATTTTCTGTGCATCATTCTTCCATGTCACGGCTCCCATACCGAGAAAGTCTGCTTCGTATGATTCGGACCATGCCAATGTGACTGGAGGTGCAAGATACGTGCCCCATTGCAGCGAAGACCCAGGAAAGTACCCGGGGAAGAGAAGTCCGCCCCTGTTGGTGGTGTAGCTCGTGTATGCGTCAAAAGTGAGTTTCTTCGCAACAGCGATCTTGTTGTCATCTAGACAATTCTGCTGTCCAGTGCTCGCACACCTGATCAGCGAACTGTTCCAGTTGAGTGTAGTATTGCACACATTCGAGTTGATAATGATGCCGTCATTGGTAGGATACCCCTGAGTGTCTTGGCAAGATGCCATGACGAAGGAATCAATAAGCTGAAAATCAGCTGTAGTAAGGGTGTCCGCCCCAGCCTCATAGTCCGCATCCGTGATCATCGTGATCCACCCCATCAAATGCTTTTCATCCCAAGCTGGGGCCCCGATCAGAATCCCATCAAATGACTCCGGGTTGACCGAGACCTGCTTGAGGCCCTGTCGTCCTCCGGTACTACATCCACTGTAGTACGAATAGTTGATAGTCGAACCACCATAGTACGCCGAAACCATCACTTTAGCAAGGTCAATCGATCGGTCCATAGCTCGGTACGCCCAATCAAGCCTCTTATCCGCGTTCGTGGCCCAGCTCTCGTCGCCTTGGTCGGTGCTACTCCCATGTCCAGTATCGGTCCCCATACTAGCATACCCATTCGCCAGCCCGTTCGCGACATGATATCGATTGATAGCTCCAGAAAAAGCAGAGTTCCCGAGCGTCAAGAAACGGTGATTCCATTGCGAGAGTTGGGGGAGCATGAGCTCAAAGTTAAACGTGTTGGTGGAGTCGGAAGGCTTGACGTTGACGGAGAAACTGCAGAGGTTTGTTCGGACGGGTGTTACGCTCGCGAGGACGGCGTCGGTGGTTTCGGTGACGGCGGTGCGGTTAAAGGTTATGGTCCAGTTGGGGTGCGTGGTGAGGTATTTGGTGAGAGTGGATTGCATGAATGTGTTGCTGCATGTTACTGCTTGTGTGTCTCTTTCGGAGAGACTTTGAGTTGAAGTTGGTGCTGCATCGATGAGGATGAGGATGGAAAGTAGCAAGAAGCAAAATAGGTTGATAGCCATTGTGATTGATTTAGTTTAAGCTTGACTTAGACTGATGGATGAATGGAACGGAATAGGATCAATCTAAAGACAATTACTCGATATTAAATAGCATTCGAAAAACAGCACTTGACGTCTTCACGTAGAGCAAGCCTTGCATGCATCAAGTGTGGTCATTATCTGGATGTGCCACCGCATGCATCTTACCATTACGAGCGCTCGAGAGGATGCTCATGCACTCTTGCATCGTCACTTTCTCGGCCTTTCCTGACTAACTAGCAATTGGATGGCAGGTGAGAGAGATCTAGGCACAGCAGACCTTATTCTCAATGCATCGATTGGTAATAGTCCCATCTCTCATGCAGCTTACACCTGTACGAACGGCACGGGCGTCAGCCCTGCTTATATTACACGAGCCGCGCTGGCTGTGTGCCGAGGGAGGTGCATGAAACCATGGATCAAACGTTTTTCGCTCTCTCAGCCACAGCTGCCTGGCGGTGGGAATTCTCCATGGAGTGTATTCAAACCTTGCCTCGCCTCGTCTACCGAATGTCCATCTCAACTTGCTGACGAAGAGGCACCGACAACCAGGGACTCGTTTGCGTTCTAGAACCTTAAGAGGAAGGTTATGTTAACGTCGCGGCGGCGCCGGGACGTGGTGGGTTATTTTTGGGGTCGTGGTCAGGAGGTTTTTTGGAGAAGAGCGCATGGAGAGGTCTAGGCAGCGTCGGTGCACGGTTTGGAGACCGAGAAGGGATTGTTGTTTTGATGAAAGCTGGACGAGATAGTGGTATACTGGTTGCAGCTCGCTTGGTGGATAGTGAAGCGATTGTTGGATATGCTTGAGTGTTTGTAAATTATCATGGAATGCTAATAGTTATGGAATTGAGTCATTTATTTCTTTGAAATATAGAAAAAATCTATAATATACATGATATATTTTATAATATTTATAAAATTAAAGAAATGTCGTTAAAAACCTATATTTATTAATTTTTAATATCGTTAAATTTATTAAAATTTTATATTATAATAAAATAATTTTTTTAAGAAAAACTTTTAATATTAAATATATTAAAAAATAATATTTAAAAATAATACATTTGTTAATAATTTTCGGAAAATATTTTATCTAAAGAAATTAATAGAAAACTGCTTTTTCTATGTTATCAGCAAATTTCTAACTTTGTTTTCTAAAACTATTTTCAAACAATCGACGACTCGCGAGAACAAGAAATGGACGACCTCATTAAAGCATTGAGATCCTGGGCCAATAATATCTCCGCAAAACTCGAAGCCAGCTATCACGGCCATGACATTGGCGAAAAGATGTGGGACATGGGCAGACGCCAAGGCATCGATATGAGTGATGTATTTGAGGAGTTGGAGAATACTGTTGTTACTTTGGGTGCGCAAAGGGATAAAGGAAATGAGCACCAGGCTAGAGAGATGGACTGGGAGGGTCCTTGTGAGTGTTTTGAGCAATCTCAATGGGCATTTGCCAGCCGAGAGTGAGGAGAATGGTGGAAAGAAGGAGATTCAGGGTGTTCGCGCTCCAATTGTGTTTATAATTTCACAAGTTATGATAAAATGTTCGTGAGGGAAGTACTGTTTGCCATTTTATTCTTGTTCTCGATGACACTCCAAACAATTATTCATCCTCTTCGTTTGCTTCATCCTCTTCGTCTGCGTCATCCTCGCTATTCTCCTCCTCCGATACAAGATCATCCATGTCTCCAGCCGTATCGTGTTGTTCTAAGACATCGTACAGTCGGGAAAGCACCTCGAACTCAACTCTACTAAGCAAAAGACCAACTCCTGGTGGCGGAACGAGTATGCTGAGGATGATGTTGTCTAACGCTTCATAAACACGACGCAGAACAGTCCCTTGTCTCCTGCCAATATCCCACATGAGATCTCCCATTGCTGCACCCTGAGCTACAGCTTCGCCAAATGTGGTGACATTAACGGCCAATGCTTGGAAGGCCAGCATGAGCAAGTAGAGCTCTGGTTCTCTAGGGCCACCGAAGAAGGAGTTTAGGTCCTATAAGTAGTCTTAGGACGTGATCGATGATTAACCAGAGTGGATAGGAGAATATTTACCCAGGCAAAGTGTAGTTCAATGATGATCTGGATGGCTTCAGCGTATGTGTAGGCCATTCTGGCTGTTCTCGCGGATTGCGGACGTGTCTGTGTTTTTTTATGAAGTATTTGTTTATTGCATTGCAAGAAAATTTCGTTGCAATGTGTACATAGACTTTACTTTCTGCCTCGTGGCCTGGCTCTATCGACCCGACGATTTTGGTCGACATTATTCAAGACGTTCTCAAGACTGCATAGCCAAAGTTCGTCTTGCCTCATTAACCTTTATTGATATCATAAATATGAGCTCGGACAACAAGTCTAGCATTCAATGTGGTTGTTCTTTGTTGTTCCACTCATTGAGAACACGAAGTGTGTTACAAGTCACAGCCCAAGCAGCAAGAAAATCATTCTGAATACTAATTTTACTTTGAGAGCTTAAAGTAATAAGGACGGTGAGGATTCGTATAAAGAAAACTATAATTATAAATCGAATAAGCGCTAAAAAAGAGATTAAATGAGAAATGATCGTGTACATTAATTTAGGGATAAAGACAGCTCACACTACATTAAAGGTGAAAAGTTTAGCGCAATAAGATACATATAATAGAAGTGATAGCTAGGGAGCAAATATAGGATACAAATAAGGGCTGGGAGTTGAGTTCCCCTAAAAGAACGACATGAGTTGATCGATATAATATTTCATGAAGATCGAATAATTGGAGAGTAGGACGAAAGTACTTGAATTGATGTTAAAAGAAGTGTTCGAATTCTATATTGGAGTTAGCTTCCAAAACTTTCATACAAAATTCTTAACGGTCACTGGCGCTCTTCAGATCCCAAGCCCGTCTGGTGACGCTTTTGACTTCCTTTTACAGACTCCCGAGAAGTCTACACCTCGTCCAATCATATCCAATTAGTCGGATTATACCCTGAATAGTCTGGGCCCTAAGCCATGATTCCACCAGTCAGTTCATTTTGCTCTCATAGACTTGGGGAGAACTTCAGTCACCACTTCCACAACTTGGAATGGGCAAAGCCCCCTCGCTTGAAGGTGTATCCAAATTGCCTCATATCTCCGAGCCTCTCAGGAATTCGATCCACATTTGGAACGAAAGAAAAACTTACAGTACAAGCCAAACACTCAAACATATGATCACCCTGAATACACGGCGTCATCAACTGATGATACGCCGACCCATTCCCCCAACAAACCCTCCCCATCTGATACTGCGGAGCCGACACAATCTCCAACCCCGTCAAATGCCGACACCACCAGAACCCATCCTCCAAAAGACACTGCCCCTGACACGCAGTATCCAACCCCAACGCAACGCATGTAGGGTCAGCCTTCCATCCCGCTGGCGCACATGGACCGCACGGGACATTGTTCAGTGTTATCCCGGCGGCCATATCCGTTGGCTGGGGTTGGTACACGAAATATGTCGTGGAGCTGAGATACGTACTCGTCCAACTACTCGACTGCCCCGGACCGGTGGTTGGTAGAACGCGCTCGAAATAATCGACGGTGGTGGTTCCGTGATCGATGACGGTCGTTGGATACGATAGAAATGTTCCTCGAGAGGAGGTTTGCCTGATGTATTGGGTGGTGATGTAGTCGATGCGGGACCAGGGGCCAAAGGGCTGGTATTCAATGGATGTACTGCTTGTTGACCAAGTGGATGTGGCTGTTGTTAGAAGGTTGGCGGAGACTGTGGCTGTAATGATTGTGTCGGCGACACCGTCGTATCCAGAGACGGGGATAAGTATCTGATGCAGACTTAACACGAAGGTGGTCCATTGATAGAATTTCATCTCGTGTGTCGTTTCCTGGAATATCTAGGAAACGTAACCTCTCAAGTGCAGAGCGCCACAGACGACAGGAGAGAAATGACAGCTTCTTTATTCTCGAGATGAATATCGAAATAGGTTAAATGAGCTACTCCGGAAGTTTAGCCGCTTTCTAAATCTGTACGTGGAGTTCGGCATAGGCTAAATATTGCAATATTTCGCACGGCGCAGTATTTAGATGTTTGATCCAGTAAAATGTCGATTATTCAACGAAATTTGGAGACTAAAACTTTATTTCTCTAGACAGAGAAACCATTGATGTCTCCATTAGCTCTAGTCCATTGTCAGTTCAACACAAGGAGGTCGTGGGCGTAGGATGCCCCTGAAATTAAGCGAGCCCCACAATTGGTGGATGTTGCTAGAGCATCCACTATTTAATTTCTTTTACATGACCCCGCCTTTGACCATCTTGTACATTTGAGGTCTATATCTTGAATCACTACGAAGCGCAGAACCGTGACTGGACATGTGCCTCACCGTCGATGAGAATTCGTAGCGTCTCCAAAAGCAGTCAAGTAGGCTACAAAGCATATTTTCTCTGGCCCAGAAAGGCAGAATGGAATTGGGCTCCAGCTAACGTGGTATGGCATGAATTCATGACATCGAAAACCAGGAGTTCGAGCATGTGGAGAGAGAAATTGAAAGAGACATTGAGTGTGAGAGGTCCTCAAATACAGTGAAGAATTGAGTTTGGTGAGGTTTTGAAGAACAATCTGGGGTAATGGGTTTGCAGCCCCGACGGAGAGTCATGAGTCTTTAATCGCGCGAACATTGAAAGCTAGAGAAACTGCTACCTCAGGCTGATTATGTACAAATTCCTCGCCTGCTGGCCGCAAATCCTGTGCCTATCCAAAGAATAACTGGTAGGTGCTTGTGGTTTCTGGGAAGCATCGCATGTTCATATCGTATTCTGACTTCTGAACCAGTGTTACTATTATTTTTCATCTCTTCCCTCCCCCTTTCACTCCTTGTCCTTTATCTCTACTGCCACGAGTATGTTCTTGAGTCTTCGCCCTCCCACCAACTCTTATGTCATCCCCTTTTCCACTCTTCTTGTCCAGCCTATCCATAACTGCGCCGGCTGCCGCACTTGCTGCCAAGCCTCCCACCGCAGCTCCAAGTAAAGTCAACATAACTTTTTCGGTCTTGTTCTGACCTCCACCATTCCCATTTCCTCCAGATGGCCCCCTATCACGTCTTCGCTCATCACTGAAACTCCTCCGTCTTCTCCTCTCCCTTTGGCCTCTCTCTCTTTCGCTTCCCTCTCCTCTCTTCCTCCTGTCGCTCTCCCTGAGTGATCCTGGCTGGGAACTACTTCTTCTAACCAAAGCTTCTCTCCTCGGCCTTTGTCTAATATCCTGACGGCTTGGATCCGAGTTTGGTGGAGGTGGAGGAACGAGATACTCGTAGCCCCTGCTTGAATATATTGACGGATCCTGAAGTGATCTTGGCTCCGGCGGCCGATTAGGATAATACGATTCTCTTGGGTCTCGTGGATCTCTTGAATTCCCTGGATATCCCGGGTCTCTTATGTCTTTTGGGTCCGTAATATATGCAGCATCGTTATAGGGAGGACCAGTATCCTTTTCTTGTTCATCTACAACCCTTGTCGATTCCTCGTCGCTCTCTTCGCCAGACCCGCGCCTGCGACTAAGCTTTCTGCGAGGATCATACGTATGTGGATTCGTATACTTGTCTGGCAGCTTATGGAAATGCTTGTCGACCAATTTATCAATCCCCTCAATGCCAAGCTCGATGAAATCTTCCGCCATAACTCAACCTCGCGCTGTTCGCTCGACTTCGGTCTTTTAAAGTTCGATTATGAGTTTCGCTCTTGTCGGCGCAGCGATGAGAAGCATGGATAACCTATCTAAAAAGGCATGAGCAAAGTTTTCTCCATCTTGGGGTTGCCTTTTGAGTAGGTTGCTCACCCGCGATTTTGCTTGGCTCGTTTGCTTGGCTGCTGTCATCGCGCGTTAGTCTTTGGTAGGACGAATAAGCGCAAGAAGTGACGAAAATTCCCCACGAAAATGGTTGCAACATACTTATTGGGCAGCAAACCGATGTTGCACATGTGTCTTAAATTTCACCATGAGTGGTCGAGGCAAGGCTGAAGACGACAAAATTAAGAGTAGGTACCTAAGTAGGTACCTAGGTAGGTCTTTGTGATTGAGTCACGTGTGTGTTGATGCTCCTGTCCTGCAAGATTGGTAAATCAGGTCAATGTGGATTTGGCATGGAGATAGTCTCGACTTCATGTTTTTTTGAAATCGTCTCCAGCCTTGAGTTTACGAGGCTATGCTTGTAAGTTGAATTCTATGTACATAATTATCCATAACTCACTTTTGTCTTTGATCACATTGATTTGTCTATCTTTTGCGAGAACATCTGCTCAGCTTTCCTAATGTCCCCTTCTAGATCATACCACCAGAGCTCTGGAAGTCGTTTATTGGCATCGTCCGTTATCTTTTGCAAATCGGTTCCCAATTTTGGGTGTCCGAGGAAGTACTCCAATCCAACTTCTCGACTCGCTTGCACAACACCTTGAGCTCGTGGTCGACGGATAACATCATACACCTCAAAAGCAGCATCCAGTTGTGACGCATCCTTTATCAAGCCAAGAAGCCTTGATAGTATTAATGCATCTTCCAGTCCCTGCCCAGCACCAGCTGCTTGACTGGGACTGGACGCATGCGCTGAATCGCCAAGGAGACACACTCTTCCATTAATATACGTTGGAGTGTCAGGATGATCGAACAACGGCCACTTCATAGGCTTCAAGTACTACAAAAGAATCAGCTATGAGGATTTAAAGATTCTGTTGATTGATGATTTAGGCTTACTACTAACAGGCCTTTGAGTCGGCTATCGAATCCCTCAAACTCAGCTTCCATTTCCTCTCTGGTAACTTCCCTCGCTGCTTGTTCTCCATTCCATTGGTTCTCATCCTGCATAAACGCAACAATGTTTGCTTCTCTACCTTGAGAGATTGGGTACATGGCCCATCCTGTTCCAATTCCCATCCACCACCTTGCATCTTCCGCATAAGAGCCGATAATCTTTTTCGCTTCTTCCATCGGAGCAATGCCTCTGTAGACATAGGTGTTGCAGTATTTGGCAGGCACTTCCTCTGGCCATCTATCACCAAGCACTGCTTCTCTTGTCATTCCCTTGATACCATCACATCCAACTACAGCATCCACTATTACTCTCTCACCATCGCCAAACACCAGCTCCACCTTCTCCGACTTGCCATTTTGCAGAACCTTAACAACTCTCTTGTTAAACTTGACACTACCCTCAGGAATCAAACTTTTCATAACCTCCAACAACGCTCTCCGATGCGCACTACTCCTCTCAAATTTTTCATGACCAACACTTCCCCCCTTCCAGCCCTACTTACTCCCAAATCCCTCTTCCACGCTCAAAATCTCAATCTGTTCATGCTGACGTTCGGGACTCGTATTCCCTACTTTGATCTCGTCATACAGGCGTGCGAATTTCGGGTCCATGAGTTCCATTGCTTTCAGTGCATTGGGTCCGAGACCGATGCCTGCGCCTACGGCATCAAACTTTGGAGCCGCTTCGTAGATTGTTACTGGGACTTTCTGGGCGAGGAGACCAATTGCGAGGGCGAGTCCGCCGATTCCTGAGCCGACGATGGCAAGGGAAAAGGGATGGTGACTGCTGCTCGTTACGGGAGCTTGCTCGATGGATCCCATTGTGATGTTTCTTACGTCTGAAAGAACGTGTGCGAAGCTGAAGAGGCGTCGACGACGGAGACTGAAGATACTTTTCGCAAATCTAGAGTGTTGCAAGGGCATCCAATACTGCATTAGACCACGTACACACTGCTTGCCACGCCTATCGCCGAGCAAATTGTCAGCCAGGGCTTGGCAATCGGGGTAAATTTCACACTCGGGAGAACCAATCTTGGTCAATTTTTGTCGAATCAACTTTGCTCTTTCTTGAGTGCGATCAAGCACCATTACAAACATGACGACGGAAATCACTCGTGTGACTATGATCAAGATCCCAGAGCAATATCTAGACATCGCGTTGAAAGGCTTTGAGACATTTACCAAGAATCAGAAGAAGGTAAACGTTTCTGTCCATTCAAGACAAATCAAAGCTCACAATTCCCGAAGGATGGAGAACCATATATCCTTTCCATGGCCGCAGGTCTAGCACAAGGCCATGTCAAAGAACAAGGCTATACTTTTGTAACGAAGTCAGTATTCAAGAGTAAGGATGACATGGAGTATTATGAGAAGAAGTGTGAGGGGCATTTGGAGTACAAGAAGTTTTTGAAGGAGAATGCGTCTGTGGAGGGGTTGATGACTTGTTATTTCACATCAGGTGTGAGTTGGGAGATAAGCTAAAACGACACATCAAGAACAGCTCTTGGTTCCATGTTATGGATTTTGTAAAGTTCCATAGTGAGGAGGGCATGCCGACCTGGGTACATCGAGCACTTGCTATTGAAGAATCACGGGCCAAACGGCACGACCAATCCGCGCAATCCGCGTGATATGCGCGATACCTGATACATGATTTACCACCTAATGCTCACTCAATAGACTTCCCCATCCCTCAAACTTATCCATAATCCCGTTATTCCTATAAGCATGCCAGACAGTTGCTGTGTTGATAGCAATCACCGGCTTTCCCAACTCTTTCTCCAGCTCAGCAGCTGCCTTCCCAGCAAGCAAATTCGTCCCGGCCTGAATCAACAGCTCTACATCCTCAGAATCCACTTTTCTGAACGAATCTTTGATCTCTTCCCCAGTCACATCTGCAATACTAGTTGCAGTCGCACATTTCAGCCCATGAATAGCTTTAACCTCACATCCAATCTGCTCAAAGAAATCGACGACCTGTTGATCGCCAACTGGCTGATACGGCGTAATAATCCCAATCTTCTTCACACCATAAGCTTTTATGACAGCTTCGCAAGCAGCAGCTCCAGTCGTGATGCCTAACCCGCCAGATAGTTCTCCCATGAATTTCACAAATTCCGCTGCGCCATCTTTGCCACCCCAAAATGTCTCGGCAGACATCCCCATCACGAGGTAGTCAACTTTGGCGTGGCAGACGGACTGGACTGCTGTTTTGATTTGGACTCGAAGTTCTTCGAGGAAGGAGACCATTGCTTCGCTGCTGCTCAGATCTGGGTTTGCGGCAAATATTCGACCGCTGTGCCATGAGACGCCTAAGCTGGCATGTTAGTGACTTGATATCTGCGATGTTTGTGGTACGATTGGGAAAAAGAGTCACACATACCGGGTACGAGCATTCGATTGAACTCAGCTTCCACACTGGTGTTTGTAGAAGGCAGGATAAGCCCGAACTGGGCACGATTCGCTAAGTGTCCGACCATGTTTGCATGAAAGTCTGAATGCTGAAACTTGTTGCTGGCAAAGCTCGAACCATCAGAAATGAAGGTGAGGTTCAACTACAACGGGTTCGGATTCGAATCCGAACAATGCGGCGCTAAACGGATAGTGCAAATCATTGCATGATATTTATGGATTATTCGAAAGTCACTTGTAATTCTGGTTGGAACCGAAGTTGTTGAAGATATACAAAAGTGGGATGCCAGCCAAATGTGGGCCACGGGAGCATGCAAGCGCGGCAATCCTAGGCCAAGGCTATGCTTGAGATACCGAAAGCTCTTATCAGGCACTCGTCCTTGGTTGTTGACATTGCAAGCGGAAGGCTCAACAAGCGCTGGCCATTCATCCTTCCTGCCATTTCTTGCTCGATTGTGGGCTGGATAATACATCCGAAGTAAGTTCAGCCGCCGAGTATCCAATATTTCGCCCAGTTCTTGATATCATTTTGAACATACAGAGCAATGCTGTTGTACATTGGGCTACTGACTACGAACCTCAGAGGACATGCGCATAAATCATTTGGTACTGCTATATAGCTTGGGTTGGGAACTGTGCCAACTTTGTCTCCTCTGATATTTTCATTACTAGGCAGGCACTAAAGTATCCTGTCGGATTTAGCGTAGGACCTGGAACCACTGTCTTCAGCTTTCCATTGATGTTGTTTGTGATGTACATCTTAACCACACAACCAAAGAATAGATGGGAAACCAGCTGCACTTGCGCCTGGTGAAGCGTTGGATGTTCAGAAAGACTACAAACATGTATTTTGACAAGACAAGATGGTATACGACGGAGCAGTGAAAGCAGACTCATGGTTTCCATACCAGTCGCGCTACAAATATAAGAAACCTCTGATGCGGTTCTCTGAGGATCTAACGAGAGTCAAGTGAAGTAAAATCAAAGTAGCGGATAAGATATAAGGGTTGGACCAGGAAATGATTCATATTCATATTGGTCAAGGTATATGGCGCCGCGTGTCATTCTGTTGCTCAGATCCTCTGAGAATCGCATCAATGTCATCCCAACTCCAATCTTGTGATTGCTCATTGAGATCGTCCATAAAAGATAGTTCAGCCCAGAATTGTTGAGCCTCTTCTCGGCCTGGAGCGGGAGTCTCGTACGAGAATCCATCAGTGGGACTTGAGTACGGAAACGGAATCGCGAGACCTGTATCATTGATGCCAATCGTTTGATCTGATTCGTGTTGGGGTATATGTTGAATAGGTTCAATTGATCCTATAGCTGCAGGTGCTAGAACATCCTGGAGACGAGCGCTACGTTGCATTGTAGGCGTAGTCATCAGCTCTTCAGCAGTCGCATTCACGTCGACTACAATAGTTGCCCATTTCGCCATCGAGCCCGGAACATTCCAGTCCCGAAGCTGCCTTGACATTAGACATGCTAGTTTTTGCAGAATGTCTTTGGATGCTGCCCCAGAGGACAAGCGATTCTGCTTCGCAGAGCAACTGATGTCCAAAACGAGGATCAACGCGGATGCAACGGTGTAGAAAATATCCCACCAAGTAAAGGCGTTGAATTTATTGATTGAATCCAGCTTCAGTAGAAGTCGGCCTAGCGCTCGACCGGAATCGATGCAGGTCTTGGAAATGACAAGTAATGCCTCCGACGGAGGGTCATCGATGTTGGTTGACAGGACTGTGGCACGCCGAAGTAGAGTTGATCTCGACATGAGTAACACGGTATAATGGAATTGAGCATGTAATAGGAGGATGGGTCTCCGTGAAGATGGCGCGAGAGAATCAGTAACATCTAATCGTAAATGGGAAGGAAGTTCCTTCTGCCATTTGATGAGATCGCGAAGGACTCCAGCAGCAGGAGAAAGAGGTCTACTGTATGCATCATCTGGAATGTTATGGTTGTTGCCGACAGTGTTCAGGACTCTGCATGCTGTTCCGAAGAGGATAACCAACTTTTGGGACCACTTCATGTAATCTTGTGGGCAATGTCCAGCGACGCCCACAATTCTTTCGTTGGGACAACTGACAAGGCTGACATTGTGCTCGATAACACTCGGTCGATCGTATGAAGAGACCTGCATCTGCTCGAATGCGTAAAGAGTCCACCACAATTGCTTCCTTAGCTCTCTGCCTAAAGGACTTTGGGCATGTTTCACGTCGTCACGATGCAATCCAATTGCGTGGGCAATCCGAACAGCAGTTCCAGTCAAATTCCAGCAAGCGTCACGGTGACTGGTATTGTGGAGATGAAGTGCAGCAAGAAGAAGTGCCTGCACAGCAAAGATGTTTGAGGCAAAAAATACAGTGGGAAGAAGAGTCTGCACGTATCGCCACCAGTGTCGTTCAGCTTCTTGTGGAATACTAACTGATGCCACGCGACGTGCGAGAAGGAGAACACAAAACAGGCCGCATAACCATACCGGATTGGCAGCAGATGTCGCGTCCGAAACAGTCCAAAGCTCATACGTCTCTCGAAACGAGGCATCGTGGAGGACCGGAAAATCCGAATGAACGACGTCGAAGTAAGAATCAATCAGAGATTCCAATGTAGTGGGGTCGATCTCACGCATTGCTTCTGAAGGGGAACCACAATCGCTTGATGCGTTGCTTAAAGTTCTCTGGCCCCCGGGATCCTTTTCATAGGCTGCTCCAGAGGCATTTGGGAAAGCCAAGGTAATGTCTGGATCGGCGGCATTCTTACCAAACATGGAGAACTGGAAGTCGGTGTAATTGCCAATAAGCCTTCGAAGCTTGAGATGAAAGCCAAACGAACTCGCAGGTCCAATATATTGGACCTGACCTTGCTGATCAGGTAGTAGGGGGAGGGTGATCTCTTCTTCCTCTTTGTTCTTTTGTGCGTTGATTGTATTGTCTTCGAGAGGCGGAAGGGGAATTCCTAAGGACTTTCCCAGCTGCTGCATCTCGTCGTTACTGGACAGGTTTGCCTCTGGCAGAAGACCCTTGACCAGTGACTCTAAAAGAGCAAGTCTGGTTCCCAATCCTTCAACGTTTCCATATACACGCTTCTTCCGCGGCTGAGTGCTAGTACACTCTATCCCATGTAGTTCGCAGTATCGGCATTGTGTTTGTCCATGTATTCGATCGCATTTCTGCTTTCGCGATTTGCATTTGTCGCAGCTCGTCTCCGTCCTCTTTCGCTTGTCCAACGGTACACGTCGTCGACTATGCGTTTCCATGCTCGAGGGTCGTTGCTTGTTCAGTGGGTTTCTATGGAGGCCAAGTAAGGTCTTGCGAGATATCCTGCAGACAGAATTTCAAGATGAGGAACGGCATGATGATATCTGCCAAGGACGTCTCCAGGATCTCTTATATGGACGATAAGATTGTCAATGCACGAGGGCAAGATACCAGCAGGTTGGTAAGGTGGGAGAGGTGGAGTTGGAGGAAAGTCCAGATAAGCCTTGATTGCACTAGACCCGATCTGGTCAATATCCCGACGTCCCCCATTCTTTCGGACTTCCACCTGTCTCAAAAATGCATCACAGAGCTGGACAATCGTAAAGCTCAGCACCGTGTTCATTGACAGTCGAATTCGTCTTGACCGTGTCATCAAATAGACCGCTTGATATATCTACAGCATGGCATACGGCAATGTTTCATCCAGATCATATTCCGCAATCATTTTTTCAGCAGCGATCTCCCCTACCACATATGCGGTCGATTGAGTGTGGTTGCTGCACGAAGTCAGTGTCTGATGAAGTATCCCTTTGATCTCGAGAGCGAGAATGGTAAACTCACTTTGGAACGAACGGACAAATGCTCAAATCGACAAGGCGCAAACCAGCAAGACCGAAAACTCGAAAGTTCGAATCAACGCATGCAGAGTTAGCGTCAGTGCCCATTCTAGCAGTGCAAGACATATGCCATGAGCTGCCAGTATTGCAACGAATGTGCTCCCAAATTCCTTCTTCCGAGTCGTCTTTTGGTCCAAGTCTATGAACGATCCTGGATGCAAATACTGGCGCTGCTAGTATACGTTGGACCTGCCGCACTCCTTCTATCATTACTCTGCGATCATACTCGTGTGTCATGAATCTTGGATCAATCAATGGTGCTTTCTTCGGGTCTGGTGACTGTAGTGTTACGGTCTACACTGAGTCAGATCTTGGTTTGGATAGAGATGAGGATGATTACCCCGCGACTCTGTGGGTTCATGACCAAACACATTGCACCAAGGAAGGTAGTCCCAGGTGAAATAGTATGGTTCAAAAACGTCGGAGGAATATGCTGTATTTCTGTTAGCCTCTTCTAGCACAAAAAGGATTCTGATCCGTACTGTTGCTATTTCCATACTGGGCACTGTAGGTGCTGGCAAGAAGTCTTGCTGCTGTCGAGGCAGTGCCTTATACTCCTTCGATGCAAAAACAGAATCGAGCTTCGCCCAACCCATTGGCGTAGGGCTCTGTTTTTTCCCTTCATGCGGGGATCTTCCATCTTCTTCCATCACAATACCGACGGAAGAAAAACAGTGGTCCTGTAGGTTCCTACCTAATTGAGGCAGATCATGCTGTAGCTTGATTCCGTGCTTCTCCAATTCTTCTCGTGGTCCAATACCAGAGAGCATAAGTATCTGCGGTGTGTTCAGAGCGCCAGCAGACAAAATCACTTCTCTTCTGGCATAAAATCTGCGGCTGTCTAGAGTCTCTACACCTACGGCTCTCTTGCCGTCAAGCAGAACAGAAGCAACTCCGGCATCAGACAGAATTCTCAGATTCATTGGGGGATCTGACAGGTATGCAATCGAGGAAGTCAACCTCTGTCCTTTGTAGATGCAGACACTTCCCATTCCCATCCCAATTGGATTGCCAGAATTTACGTCAGAATTAGACTTCAACCCTGCTTGCTCAGCAGCCATGAATATGTCTTCAAGATCGGAAACCCAAGAGTCGCCATAGGTCAGATGTAATGGTCCAGCCGTGCTGTGGTCTTCACTACCGTTAGCATCCAACCTCTTTCAATAGCATTCACGTTGAGATCTGTACCTTCTGGTCTTGCGCAAACATATTTGCTAAGTTTTGGTTGCGGGATCTCAGAGTGAAGATGCCCGATTCTGCCAAGGCAACTTTTTGCATTCTGCCAACAGAAGCTTTTGTCTTCCACCAACTCCGCCCATTCATCATAGTCATCTCTTGGCCCAACAACCCATCCGCAGAAGTTGATTGCGGTACTGCCTCCAAGACCTTTACCTCGAGAATAGTCAATTTCTTGTCCGTTCAACTGAGTCTGAAGCACAGTCTTGTAGTTCCAATTCAGTGGGGAGTCCGGACTGAAGGCTACATTGAATCTCTCTGTAGCAGGCAGATGTTGAATACTATCATTGGATCCACCGGCTTCGAGAAGAAGAACGGATGGCCTCGACGATGATTTGGCTAGACGTGAAGCAACAACGGCGCCAGATGCACCAGCTAGCATGAAATTTCAGCAAAACTTTGGAGACCTGGAAATCGATAAATACCACCAACGACAACGAAATCGTATGCATCCATCTTAACAGGGGTTGCCGTCACGTGGCGAACGGTCTGCGGTCAAGAGGAGGAGCATAGAAAAGAGCAAGAAAGGAATTATCCTAGTTTCGCAACTGGCACCGCTACTCGAGCATGCAGCCGCAGGCATACTATCTCTTTGGTGATCTATCTCGAACCTTAAATGCAATGTTCTGGATCAGGAAATCGTGGACCGTTATCATCGGGAGCATGCCAAATGCGTCGGCTAACAGCTATCCGCAACCCCTGTCGGATGTTCGAGTTCAACGACAACCAATTAACACTTTGCGATCCACTCAGCTTTCTGCTTTCTGGTACCGAGTCGTGCCAAAGGACAAGTTCTTATCGAGAAGCAATTCCACAGGCTCGAACGCCACCGTCAACAGCCCAATGGTTTTGATATCAATTACAGAACAGGTACCGCAAGGAAGTCTTAAGGATGATGTGCTCCCCTTGATATTTTCATGCATTTGGAATTCATCGACAGAAAATTTGACAAGATGTCATTCTCTAGCTTTGCGAGAAAGTTAGAGATCAAGCCCACCGACGACGAGTATGAAGCAATTGAGACCAGTCGATGGGGTAACAGGGACGTGTATCCAATTCCTCACGACAAGCGTACATATGGCGTCTATGCTTTTGTCAGCTATTGGGGTAAGTTGACCCCACACAAGACGAAAAGTTACTGACCAAGAATAGGAACCTGTGGAGTCTGCTTATCTTCATGGACAATTGGCAGCAGTCTAATTGGCATCGGTCTCACAGCTGGTCAAGCAATGGCATCTGTGGTATGTCTCTGGCCTACACTAAATCTTGAATTACACTAAGCGACTTCAACAGACAGTGGGGATGTTTCTTGCCAGCATCAATGCTTACTTAAATGGGACTCCTGGTGCAAAGCATCACCTGGGATATGGTATGCTTGCACGTGCAGCTTTCGGATTATGGGGATCGTACTTCTGTGTTATGCTCAACGTCTTTCAATCGTTCGTCTTCTACGTAAGTAAAACTCAAATCGTCGAAGATCAATGCTAATGGATAGGAACAGGGAACACAGATGTATTTTGGAGGTCAAGCGTTCGTGATCATCTTGAACTCCCTCTCGCCAGGCTTTTTACATATGAAGAACACCTTACCTGAAAGGTAAAAACACTCTCAGCGCTGTGCTGCTTAGCTCTCACCTTTACTAACTCAACGAAGTGCGGGCATTACAACTCCTGGGTTGATAGGATTCGTTCTCTTCATCATACTTTACTTTCCCATCATCTACTTCATCCCCGCCTACAAGATCCAAAAACTCTTGGAGGTCCAAGTCGTCATTGCAACAGCGACACTGCTAGGAATTATGGCCTGGGCTGTTCATGTAAGTTATCTGTCTTAGGACGGTGTACTTGAAGCGTATTGACTTCTACCCAGGAAAATGGAGGGAGCCCCGGAAACTTAATAACCTCATCTCTCAAACTCAGCAAGGCAGAAGCAGGTTTCCGCGTCATCCAAGGCATCACTTCCGTCGCGGGGACGTATACTGGAGGCACTGATCGAGTTTCAGACTGGACGCGATACGGGAAGAAAAGACACACATCTACACCTGCCATCATCACCCTCGCCGTGACGGTCATCCTCACTGCCCTCATTGGAATTATCTCGACTTCTGCATTGGCCGAACGATACGGCGAAGTCCAATGGAACCCTCTCATCATGCTCCAGTCCGTGCAAGCAATGAACTACACTGCAACTTGCAGAGCTGGCACCTTCTTCGCAGGTGTTGGCCTTCTTTCTGTCACCGTGTTCGTAAACTATACACAGAACTGCGTGTCTTCGGGAATGGACGTGGCCATGCTTGTCCCAAAATACGTCTCACAGCGTCGCGGAGCCATCATTTTCAGCATTCTCGGTGTTCTCGCTCAACCGTGGAGATTCTTAACTCAAGCAACGACATTCATAACTGTCCTCAGCAGTTTCGGGGTCTTCATGTCTCCAGCAGCAGCGATCTTGATTGTCGACTTCTGGCTGATCCGAAAGACGAAGTGGAATATTCCCGAACTCTACAAACCAGGCGGGATCTACTGGTTCACGGGCGGAGTCAACTGGCGAGCATTCGTTGCATACTTTCTTGGGATGTGGCCTGCTCTACCAGGTTTTGTGAATGCAGTGTCTGGGATTGAAGTCGCAATCACTTGGAGGAGATTCTATCAGATTAGTTTCTTCTTTGGATATGCTGTCTCGGCGACTTTGTACTTTTTGTTCTGCAAATTGAGTCCACCACCAGGACTTGGTGTGCAGGTCAATTTCGATGTCGATGGGACCGTGGTTGTCGAGGGCGTGGAGAGGACGAGTGAAAAGAGCGACGTAGACGACTCGAAGATGGTGGGGTCTGTTGAAACTAAGGATCTTGCTTGACCTAAATTTGTCGACATAGATATTCATAATTATACTTATTTCACTTCAAATACATTGAATTATATATCCATTGAGTGGTCCTTCTTGCCACCTCACTTTGAATTTATTCCCTCAAATAAACCACATGTAATCTTATCACGAACTCTTCTCGTCCACTTAGTCTCTTTAGAAATTCAAGAAAATTAAGCTCAGGATCTGACAACCCCATGCCTCACTGGAGAGTTCTGGAATTGTAATTGCCGAGGCACTAAAACATGCCCCACCATGGCTCCAGGCCCAGCTCCAGGCGCCTGCAGACAGCCTGGAAATTGCCGGCGGAACTCCGATGCGCTGCCCTGGTCCCTAAGTACCGCAGCTCCCCTGAAAGCGCTAACGAAGATAAGACCACAGACCCTTTCTTCACTTCACAACATCAAAGATGCCGTCGCTTGCTTACAGCCGTTCTGCATTCGACAACATGTGTGCGATCCAAAGTGGGGGACGAGGCTGATCACAAATCTAGCCAAGGCTAGGTGAGCTGTTGCTGCGTCATGTGTAACGAAACTCTATATGAGTTTCTGGAAGCATCATGGGTCTTTTCTTGCATACAGCTCTAATCGAGCTTTGAGTTGAGAGATGGCGCCAATTGAGACACAGTTGTTCATCAACAATGAGGTATGTGGTGATTCATCTAGTGATCGCCACGTTGTCAACTCACCAACGGACAGTTCGTTCCAGCATCTACTGGGGAAACATTTGACCTCTACTCCCCTCAATACTGGTGAAGTTGTAGCCAAAGGTATCTTCCAGCTTCCCCTCAATGTCTCGTGTCTGGCTAACCGTCAAAAGTTGCAGAAGCATCTGTTGAAGATGTCGACACGGCCGTCTCAGCTGCCCTCGCAGCGTTCCCTTCCTGGTCATCTCTTTCTCCCATTCAACGCGGCAAACCTCTCAAGAAAATGGCCGAAAAGATCCTCTCGTCCACCCCAGAACTTGCCGAACTAGACGCGATCTCCATGGGTCGTCCCGTATCATCGTTCTTCGACGCAGATTATGCTGCCGTGCATTTCAATTATTTTGGGGAGGCGGCATATGCGCAAGGACACACGAGTTTGAATACACCAGGATTTATAAATATGAGTCTGAGACAACCGTTTGGGGTCGTGGGGATTATAATCCCATGGAACGCTCCACTGGTGTTTTTCAGTAAGAAGGTTGCGCCTGCTGTTGCGGCGGGAAATTGTGTCGTGTTGAAGAGCAGTGAGAAAGCGCCCTTGACAGTGAGTGGAATCTATTCATCTTTCATGATCATAACCTTGCTCCGGACTGCATGTTAATTTCAAGATGGAGTGTGAGCTGACATGAGCTACAGTCATGGAAAGTCTCTCAATGGATCAAAGAATGCGGGTTTCCACCAGGTGTAATCAACGTCCTCTCAGGACACGGACATATCTCTGGTTCTGCCATTTCTTCTCACATGTCGATTAGAGCGATCTCTTTTACTGGGAGCACTCGAACCGGAAGAGCTATTCAGATCGCATCTGCAAACTCGAATCTCAAGAAAGTGGTCTTCGAATTAGGCGGGAAAGGCCCAGCCCTGATATTCGATGATGCAGACCTAGAACAAGCGGCAAAAGATACAGAGAATTCTATCTTCTGGAACAGTGGACAGACATGCATGGCGAATAGCAGGATATACGTCCAGGATACTGCAACAGAGAAATTCGTCGAGGTCTTCAAGAAGCTAGCGAGCGCGAGAAAGATGGGTGATCCTACAAAAGGAGAAATCAATCACGGCCCCCAAGCCGACAAAGTGCAATTTGAGGCTGTGAACAAGTATATCGACGCTGGGAAGGAAAGTGGGGGGAAGTTGGCTCTCGGCGGCGAAGAAGCCAAGACTAACGGCGAAACAAAATCTCTTCTTATCCATCCCACCATCTTCCTCAATGCCGACGAATCTTCCCGGATTATGAAAGAAGTGATCTTCGGGCCAGTAGTGGTCATTAACACATTCTCTACGGAAGCCGAAGTCATCGCCAAAGCCAACCATACCGAATTTGGGCTTTATGCCTGTCTATATACCAAGGATCTCGAGCGAGCATTGAGAGTGAGCAAAAAGTTGGAAAGTGGGATGGTGGGCGTGAATTGTGCTGCACCGACTGGGTGCTGGGATTTGCCGTTTGGCGGATGGAAAGGGAGTGGAACTGGGAGAGAGAGCTTATTAGAGAGTATGGATCACTTTTTGGAAGTGAGGAGTATTTATTTCAAATGTCCAGGTATTGGTGGATGAATGAAAAACAGTTACTAGCAATTGAGTGCAAAACACCAGCCCAGAAAAGGGTCTTGCTAGTCGCGGCACGGCCCGTAACTTATCTTCATCAATGTGCTGGAAAAATGGTACACTATACATAAAGTGTGACTTAGTCTATTCCGACCCTTTTCGCAAGGTGTCATTTCGACAAGTGCCGGTATGACAACACATCTACTCAATTCCTCCAAAAAATTTATCCATCACTCCCATCACAACAACATTTCAAAATGCCACAGCATTGCAATACCTGCAGTCATCGCTGCCGCTGCAGCCCGTATAATTCAACTCTGCACTTCCTGCTCTACGACAATAATCCCGAAATGGAAAGGTACGTATTGGCCCTCCTCTCATCTTTGGGTGAAATTACTTACATCAAAACGTACAGATATTGTTACGACGATCCTGACTGGCCAAGTACCGACTCCGACAGAATTTTCTTCTTTGTTCTGGTTATATTGAAGATTCTGAAACTCATTTGTGCAGTTGTGATTTTGGTGCAGAAAGAAATAGAAGAGGATGAGAGAAGGTCGAATGTTGAAACCAGATACGAATATTTGTTAGAAGATCTAGGTAGGGTGGAGAGGAGAAGGAAGAAGAAGAAGAACAAGCCGGAAAGTGGAAAAACGAAGAGTGTACAGAAAAACGATATAGTGGATCGGGGAATCAAGAGAAGACCGATAGGAATCCTGAAGACGAGGAAGAGGATGAGGAAGATAAAAGTGGAGTCGTGGATGCAGAGATGCCGAAGCCAGCAGGATCATGTCACTAAAAGACTTTGAGTCGAAATCATATTGATATTGAAGCAGAAATACTGGCTCGAAACAAAGACCATCTCGGTTGACCCTGAAGAAAGGTGACATCGTACGTCTCAAGGGAATCCGGTACAGGACTCAAATTAGGAGCTCTTCATGCCCATTTCCGTTGTGGACTCCATTGCCATTGTAAGTTCCATACCCGTTCAGCACAGGCTTCAAAGCAAACTCCTCCCTCAGAGCAGAAATGCTCGGCAAGAAGAAGTATTCTCCGCCTTTGCTGATGACCCACTCGACCGGCAGCTTGAAGCTGTTCGGGTTATTGGTATCACCGTTGATATCCATAGCACGTGGACCTCCATTTGCTGCTTGGCCGATGATAGCATCGAAGCCTGGGACAGTCACATTCTTGCGCGCGAGAAAGTTGGGGTTATTTGCCCAAGCTATGAAACACAGTTAGCCACAGTGCGCATTTTAGGAAGGATAGTAGACTGACTCTTCTGCAGAAATTGGAATCCAACAGCAATTTGGCTTTGATAGCACTTGAACAAGAGGCCACGATCAAGAATAGTCTTGTTGTTCTGCTTCTCAATTGGGGAGACCTCGGGTCCGAATGGGATTCCACGGCGAAGAATGCGTCGTTTCTGGGATATGGTTGGATCGGTGAAGTCACCGCGAGGATTGGTTTTGCGGATGTGTGCTGCGAAAGGGCAGCGGTCTTGGGAGGTAGGGTCGAAGAGGAAATGATTGTTCTTGGCGGGGTCGGCGCCGAGAGTAGGATTATCGTGGAGGGGAGTAATGTCGACGGGCGCACCTGCGGCGGTCAGCTTGTCGTTGAATCATTAAGAGTTGAGGAGAATAGAAACTTACCACTCTTCCATCTGCCAACAAGACGGGCACCTAGGAGGTCCTTGGGAGCGTTTGGGGGATTGTTGGCATCGACGAATGCTTGGAACTCGGGCACGTTCTGGGAAAGATAGCGAAAAGCCATGAAGCTTCCATCCAAAGCCCAAGCGGGACGAGGTGTCGGAGTGCCGCTGGATGACTCATCACCAGGCCTTCCAGTGAGAATCAATCCTTGTGGAATTGGTGCTTGAACGGGGTTGGGATCAGCACTTTTGTCGATGCCTTCGATATTTGGCTGAGAAACTCCGTCGAGGTAGCCGAAGCTGCGACAAGTCAATAACGTATACTTCTATGAAAAGATATGTAGGATGACAAACTGTTCATGGCCAAATTCCTTTCCCGGGCGAGCATTGCCAACTGTGAGCTTGACTTCATTAATGGTGGGATCAAGAATCCACTTAAGCTCAGCATATCTTTCGTGGACTGTAGCTAGACTTTCACCAGTGATGAATATCAAGCAATGGATCTCTTGTTTGAAATCAGGAAGCCATTTCTCAACTTGATCATCGAGATTAGCGATGTCGTTGAACATTCCAGTTTGGAATGGGTCAGTGGTCGTGTCATTAACAGGATCAGCGATACCCATCTGTTGAAACATTAGTACGATACACATCATGAGTCTGGAAGGCGAAGTAGTATACTTTGACGAGCCCCTTATGGGAGAATGAAATATTGACACCACTTAGTTTGAGTAGCTGCCCTTCAGGAGGCGAAGACCTCTTCCAGTGATCAATTTGATCTTGGTCTCTCATAGCCTGAGCCGCGGAGGTGATAAGAGGAAGAAGTTTATATAGATTGCATCGGAACTCTTTGACTCGATCATCGCGGATTTGCAAGAACCAGTATGCTTCGAACTTTTTTGGTAGACCAGGCCTACGACACTTAGCTTCATTTGAAACATTGGCATTGAGACTACTCACAAGATATCGCCTTGAATGTTGTGGAGATCAACGGGAGGTAGGGTAATGGCGGTAGCCGATGTAGTAGGAGAGGCTGATGTGGTAGTTTCCACAGGAGGAAGAGGTGCAACCGCAGACAAAGAGGAAGACATTTTGTGATGAGACGAGACTTATCACACAAGTTTTGCTTGCTTTAACAATTTCACAAGGAGAAATATAGATTCGGGAAGTAGATTATGGAGAAAACCTGTGAAGTAAAACAGAACGCGATCGAAGCAGCAACGGGACACTTTAAGGAACTCCTGACAGTGTCATCCGTTGGCCCAGCACTGTAGATAGACGATAGCGAAGATGGCTAATAGCCAGATATTGGCCTCTAAGAACAGAGCAGCTGACAAAATGGCGCAAAGCCTCTCTGTCAGCAATTGCAAGGCAACTGTTTCCTGGTAAGAACGAAAAGATCTCAGCTGCAATACGAGATAGATTGACTTTTGCCTCACTTATCGTACACTGACTAATTCCACGCCTCTCCAGGGGATATTTGACAGATAGGCATTGACGTCGAGCTCTCCAAAAAGCCTCTCGAGCTCTCTTCACATATTGCACAGCTCATGACCACACGTTATGCTTCTTGCGCAAGCCACGAAGAGAACTGAAACTTTCATCACTTCACATCAAACGGGAACAAGTGCAGACTTGCGATCAAATCAGCCAATAACAAAAATAGGTCTGTAGTACAGAGCGCGAAAATGTCACGATCAGCTTGTTGGAAACGGGAAAGATGCGATGAGACGACGTTCATTTGCTCAACAGATATCAACGAGGCTGGAGCTGAATGTCAGCGAAGGCGTGATGTGGAAGAGGGTTCTGACAATCAGCCCTATCCGATGCCCCGAGTGCTTTGATTGGTTGATTCGGGACGATAAATTGAAGGAAACAAACGTGTGGTAACACAAAGCTGACATTACTTGCCGCAACGCCATCTCTCGCCATGGATACCACGCAAACGGCATGTAGATCTTTCTCGAGCAATATGTATGCAGCAACTCAGCCTGAAGATGGCCATAAGCAAGCCCAATGTAATGCAGGGAAGAGTTGATACCTCTTTCCTAAGGGTTAGAAAAATAGGGAAGAAGCAAGCACCAGTCTTACCAACTCACTGTATTATACGAGCTCTTGGTGTTAAGCCATGTTTGAGGTAAACCGAGGTGAGTAATATCACGGACTTTGCCCACCGAGGAGAGTCATGAATACCACGCATCACAATCGGCACACAAGTTATGTTGGCCTTGAGGCTGAAACTTTTCAGCTCATACTATCCATCAGGCGTATTAGAATTTATGATCATTTGACGGTAATCTGCCGTGCCGCTTGGTCGTTGGAGGATCAGCTGGGGAGAAATCAGAGCTGCACCTCCTTCGCTTATCTTTAAAAGATAGATGCTAGCCACTCCGAGACTTGAAACAGGTTGCGATTCTTGCGATTCTAGCTGATCGCAAGTACTTATAACGATACAAAAGAATATCTCATTAACAGAATCATCTGCACAAAGTATAGAAGTTAAAACCAAAAGTGTCGTCCAACAGGTCCAAAGGTTCGGTCCCATAACCATACATGCAGAGACTGTGCTCCTACTTCGCGTCCCTATGTGCAGCAATAGCATCTTTAGCTTGGAAGAACAACCAGGAGAGTGGCCCCTTGAATTTTCTCTGTGGCTTTCTTGTTCGTTGCCCACCATCTTCTAGCAGGGCATCACTCCTAGACAAGTCATTCGAGTCGACGGGGACATGACCACGTATCATCTCCACCGCTTCAAGGTTTCGTTCTTCTTTGGGAATTACGCGCAGAGTGAACCCTGCAATCTCGCAGATAAAAATGACCACAAATTCTGTCAAAACAGCCATGCAAAGATAGTATGTTGCGTTGCCGAAGAAAGAATTGAAGCGAGTGTCTTGTGCGAAGTCGGCCAGAAGTGCGTATGTATATCGTATGACAAGGAAAGGTAACGATAATGTAACCGCGACGAGGAGTCTCTTCTCTCCATCAGGTACGTGTGACACTTTCGTGGCCAAGACCAGGAACATGAGGCACACAACAACGAAAATAACGGTAAATATGATAACGGCTGCCTTGCTGTAGGAGTTGAGATGAGTGTAATTCGTAGCTCCCGTTTGATCTGCAAGTTGAATCCCACCATAGATACCCAAGATGAGAGCGGCTAAAGAAACCGTGCTGATGAGCTGAAAAATCAGGCGTGGAAGAATAACTCCAGCAGATTGATTATGAAAATTATTAGAGACGGCCATGCATCAGAGAAGGGGCAACGTACACTCTTGCCAGTAATCCAAGACAAATGAGAGTCAATGGCGAGATACCAATGGAAATACAGACGATAGCTCCCGTAATGACGGACTTTGAAGGGTGTTGAGTACCGATAATCTCCCGAACTGCACCGATCAAACGGAGGAGAGAGAAGGTGATCAGAAGAACCCAACCTGAGCTTTTGGAGAATCCAAGTCGTATGGCTAAGAAGATGCCCCCGACAAGTGCAGGGACAAAGAAGATGACCTGCGCGATTGCGATCGCCTCGCGGTATGTGATCCTCATAATCTTGTTTAAAAACTTTCCACAAAGAAATGTCCGTGTTTTGAGACTGTGCTCTGGTGTATATTGGCGATGTTGGGAAGCGTGGACAAGGCAAGCAGTCGACAAAAGAAAGCTTGAAGATGGAAACTAAAGGACAAAGGGCGAGGGTCTTTCAAATTGGAATGCTGTCTTTTATGATCTAGAGGAAGATCAGAAAAGAGAGAATATATGGCAAGATTAATCTCATCATATACGTGACGTTGGATGATCATCGTTTATTTTGATATCCTCCACCACTACATCGAGCATACCAAATAGAGGACCAATGACAACAATTACAACACTTTTGAAATGCGGCAAAGAGGCAGAGCATCATTTCACAGTCGGAGTGGATAGCATCTTGGTTACTCCTTTAAGCCTAGCAAGCATTACTAGAGGCCAAGCGGGTTCAACTCGCTTAGCTGCCCCAAAGGTTTGCATGTTGTATCTGATTTTGGCCAGGCAGAGATGACTCGTCTGCGGCTTCGTACCATACTCATTGGCAGCAGCTCCTGGTGCAAGACCACACATGCTAGATGAACCAATAATGGAACGAGCAAACAGAACGTCGATCGAAAATCTTGACCCCCCTTAATTGACGCTAAAATAAGCGAGCATCTTGCATACCCCATTCAGAAAGTACCTGGCTACTGGCTATCTCTCCAGCCGCGCTCGAAATGCAGGTGGACGGTCATAATATTAACTCTCTCAGGGAAGAGCAGACTGCGATTTATGCTTAACAGATCCTCTACATCGTCCATACTATAATGAGAGATGGACAAGGATAGTCCCAATCCAACAGGCATTTCCTGATTGGACAACACGTTCACCTTCTTGTCAAACTCAATGTACAGCATTGTCTATACTTTAATGAGCACTGGCCCGCAGGACGGCCTCAGATTTGCTACTATGCCTCGATTGCACGAAACGTTTGCTCTATCAAAAGTTGGAAAAATGAAGCTGCAATTCTCCCCGAACTGTTACTGTTCACCGATCGTATCCTTCAATTACGGTAAATTGGAGAACAAAATCAAGAATGGAGGTTCATAGATGAATGAATGTATATACATGAAAATGAAAAGTATGTACAAATCCCCAGATCGTATTTACAACTGCACTCACCAATAGTGTCGCACGAATTCTTAGCTCCTTCCCAGCAGCGCCGACACTAGTTAACCGTTCGAGCCCTCTTACGACGGCACACATTGACTATAGTAGTCTCCGCTTGCCTTACAAGTTGCACCGCTCACGCAGGCAGTTGCACCAGTCCAGCCAATGCCCCCGCACTGTCCATAGAGTGCCACTGTGCCGGCAGCTGATGAAGTTGCCGCTGCAGCGCTGGAGGTTGTCATTGTTACCAAAGTGCTAGGAGCCGCACTCGTAGCAGCTGGCGCAGTGGAAGCCGGTGATGAAGGAGATGAAGAATTCGAACTAGTAGCACCACATCCAACACGAGTTGACTGGACGGAGATATCGTCGTACCAGAAAGTGTTGACATCACCACCATACGACTCCCATCCAAAATAGACACCTGTAACCTTCGGGATGATAGTACTCTTCGCCCATCCGTTGTCGTTTGCATTACCCTTGGTAGTAAGTCCTGGAATGGCCGCACTATTCAACCAAGTTTCGATGCTGCCATCAGTTCCTAGATGATACTCAAAGCATTCCCAAGCACCGGTGGGAAGCGCTTCAGAGGTTGCAGTGCCTTGTGGAGACATGTCGGGAAGAGTAGCGTCGTCGCTCTCGCGATTGTACATCAGGACTTGATCTTGGCCGCCAATTCGAAGGTGCTTGCCAGTACCTTGAGCCGAATCGGGCATAGTAATGAAAGAAACGTGGTTGGCGGTAAGGGCATTGGTGGCTTTCCTAAAAGACGATGGCTGTTAGCATTGAATTTTTGAGTGTCTTTGATTCTTGAGATCAAGAGTACGGTACGGGAACTTACAGCCAAACTCGAACATAAACATCACCGGTAGGGACTGCTGTAGTGCCAAAGAAAATGTGTCCACAATAGCCGCCAGGACTTGTAACCTTCATGGAACTAGTTCCACTATGTCCAGTGGTGGTATCAAGAGTGACTGTGCCACCCTAAATATTAAAGTTAGCGAGTGTATATTTGATCCTGAAGAGAACATCGCTGCTACTGAGAGCTGTGTTGAGACTTAGGAGACAAAAACCCGGGTAAATAAATGTGTGGTATCTCAGGATAGGCTTTGGTGCAAGTCCTAGATCCCGAGCTCTCCTGCAAGAAATGACATTTTGGCATTAAAAAACATACCTGGTTGCAGTCAGGCGCATAGATGGGCCATAAAGTTTGATCCCATCCATTGTCAAAATTGGCGCTTATCTGCGCCAGGGAGGTTGGGAGAACCGCAAGGGCGGCGAGCAGAGCGATTTGGCGGAATCCCATGGCGGAAAGATTGATGACCGTAAAAGCAAACAAAGACTCACGAAGCTGGAAAGGTACAAGTGTTTATATATGTTAATCCAGAGCCCATGTCCGTTTCGGTTTCCGGGCCCGAAATGGATGTATGAGTGTACTTCCGCATGATCATTTTCTTTGTCTGCGGTCCTCTATCGGGAGATGCGTCCAGAATGCCGTAGTTCGTCGTGAATATATTAAGTTGTTGTTACGTTCTTAGCGTTGGAGGTAGACTGGGGGTGGGTTAGGGGCGGCTCCGGTGGGAACTCGGCCGCCATCCGACATTCGGGGGCAGATGCTCCATTTATCCACCCCCGATACAGAAGGGTTATAAGCGAGGTTAATATGATAACCTCTCTTGTTTGGCTGACTGCTTTTTGCCGTGATGAAATCTCTGGAGGCGTGGTGATCTGTTCGAAAAGGCATTTAATTTCCATTCGGAACCATTTCCATTTAACCAGAAACAAGCTTCATTTCCCCGCGCCGCCACTCGCTATTTACGTACGCCTTGAAATGGGTCGTTCTATGAGAACATTCGTCTCAAACTTGTAATATGTATATGAAATCGAACATGAAGATGAAAAGTAGTCTTGAGTTGAGAGGAACCCAATTAATTTGATAAGAGGATGTTGTAGAGGGGGTAAGAACATGAACCAGCAGTACGCGAAAACAACCAAAACAACAACAAGTAGGCACTGCGCGAAGCAGACCACTATTCGCAGTAGTAGAATAGGTTTAAAACATCATAAAAAGCATTCGAAAGCATATCACTGTAAAAACTAAGAGTGGGAGAAGAGTTGTTGTTATTCTAAGAGTGCGCGACCACAATATATGGGAAGCGTCACATGATAAACTAGACCCAGTTGAGTATAGTGCTAGGGAAGACTAGCGTTCCCGGGCTGGCCTCCTCCTCAACCACACGTGCCGGTCAGCGCCAAAAGGACCAAAAAGAGCTAGCCCTGCCACAATGTCTTGTCAATAGTTGTGAGGTAACTCCGACTGCTCGACTACCACCATCCTCGTTCGCCCTTCGTCATTTAAGTACATAGGTAGGTACCCAAGAGATCTCGAGGCCCAAACTCTCTTTATTCTCAGTGAAAAGTTTCTATGAAAGAGTATTCATTTATAGGACTGCAAGTACACCAACGAAATGCAAAATTCGGAATCAGAACAGCTGTCATTGATGGATCGACAGCGGGCTCGTCACATCTATTACTCTTTGCGGGCATTTTACTCGTCAGCGTTGCATATGAAGCAGGAGCCCGAAGCGTGGTGTGAACATTGACATTAAACGTGTAGTTTCTGTTTGAAGGAATTTCAAGAAGATCTAATTATTTCGTCAAGCCGTCTTATGTTGCTCTGCGGTCAACCTGCCATAACCACAGCGTTTCGGATGAAGAGACCTTTGACGGCAACATTGACCAGGAAACTCGCCATACTAGCAACACTCACACTGTCAAAAAAGCTCATCCCCTCGCCTTTACTACCCAACAATTTCACCTCCGTTTTTGCGTCAGCCAGCTTCTGATCGTCGAATCGCAGCCGTACAGCCCTCACAAGAGTCCAATCCATATTCGTCAACCGAATCTCCTTATCTACAAGGTCGTGATCCTCGAGCGCATACTTGACGTTGGTCCACCCCAAGAATACCTTACTCAACCACGGTAGGTTATCCCATGAGTTCCCGACACTATGACGCGATGACAGCCAGCTTGCTCCAGAACCTCGCAGAGATTGGCGCACGAGTCGGCTAGGAAGCGAGGAGGTGAGATCTGAGCTGCGAAAGGGCTGTCTAACTTGCGGACTGTGTTTAATGTGATGATGGTTGCAGAAGGTGACAGAGGAGAAGTCGCGAGGAAAGCGTTGCGTATGTCGGACTTCGATAGTGGCGAGCCAGTGACGACGGTAAGGCCGGGTCGAGGAGCGAGGCTGCTAGAGGTACGCACGAGGGCTACCGCTGTATGACCCGGAGATAGTAACTCAGACACGACATGCTGGCCTGTCCGTCCACTGGCGCCGAGGAGGAGGAAATGCATAACTCTCGATGATGACGGGTGCCGTTGAGTGTTTGCTTCTTTGAGCTTTTGGAAGGACGAAGGGGCTTCGTTACAAAAGGGCAACGAGGCTGTATCTATATATAAGGTTGACCAATCCATTAGAGAAGACAACCATGATCGATGAGGCCAGCCAGCCCCGAGACAAAGTCAGCCGCTGATTGGTTTGTTCGGTCTCTATACTGCAATTGAAATTAGTATGCCAGCTTAGCACGCACGCTGATCAGCGCAGTGTGGAGCGCTCTCCTCGACCACTACTGGTCCCAATACACCTTATATAAGCCTTCACTCTTTCACCCACGTTGTTGGCTATGTTTTGGAATCGATCATTCTCGGGCCGCAGTCTGTCATAAAGATCTGGTGAGGATTCTAATGCCCCCAAGAGAACAATTTTCAGTACCAGATGAAAGAGGCGCAAGAAAGCCACCGAGAGAGGCTCAGAAGCAGGATATTCGATCGTCGTCAGAACTATTTCAAGATCATTGAGCCACGATTCTAAGGATTTTAGCAAAGTTGCTTTCTCTAATAGCAGGCGAAGAGCGGTGTCCGTCGTATCGACTTGTGACACCTTGCTGAGGAATTCAATCGTCAAGGTAGCGATACTTGTAAGTTTTGTTCGCATGTCAGGCGCAATCGTGCGGAGGCCGTGAGATCCAAGAGGCTGTTGAAGCAGTGAGATCAAACCCGCAGATAACGTGGTCCCGTTTACTGTGGCTGTTGCTGGAGGTTCTGCAAATTTACATGGTGCAGCAAACAATTTGATGATGAAAATGTCCAGGGAAGGCAGTTGCCTATGATATGCTGGGACTAGTTTGTTCGGGGTGACAAAAGTTGGCCTTGCCCGGTACTCATGCATGATCCTTAGCCCTCGAATGATATGCTGGGCCATTGCACCATGATTCTTCTGCACTTGCTCAATGCTGATGAAGACTTGACAGCAAAGCAATGCCGACTTCAACCCGCTAGAGCTTGGAGATGACAGGTTAAACGCAAGACTCCTTAATGCTATATTGTATTGTTGGAGGCCGTATTGAAAGCTTGAGGTCTGCTGTACGACAGACTCTGGGCCGTCTCCGGACGTTTCGAGATCTTCCCGAAGAGCTTTGAGAGACAAGACTGCGTGTCGTAAGGGCGAATCAGTCAAGCTGGCCAGGAGGACTTGCCTGGCTTCTTCGTTATAGCCTAGCTTCACCTCGAACAAGGTTTTGGTTGAGAAATAACGGCTAAGAAGGTCGATGTCCTGAGGAGCAATCCCAAGGAAGGTGGGCCGGATAGGTGGTAAAACATCGTTCGACTTTATGCCGTCATTTGGAGCTCTAATGATGCGTTGACTGATGAAATATTTAAAGGGGGACTGGTAGCCGTCGCAAGTACGGCCGGTGTTGATACACTTCTGACAAAATGGCTTCTTCTCGTCGCATTTGACCTTTCTAACCCTACTAGCGAGTGAGCACAACTTCTATAGAGCTGAGGTCCTATCTATGGCCTGAATATGTAGATGAGTGGTGTCCTCTATAACTCACCTGCAGGTTGTACAGCCAGTTTTCACCTTGGGTCTAGATGCGATCTTCTCTTTGCGGGCGAAAACGCTTCCGGCCATCGTTGTAGACATTCATGCATGTCCCGCAACACGCTTCAGAGAAGAGGAAAAATCGTAATAAGTATGAAATCCGAGCAGACAAATCAAAAGGCGCAGTATGATTTATCCCCGGAACTGCGAAGAAGGCGTTGGACTTTGTTTGGAATACGGAGATAGTATGAACCGAGTCCGAGAAGCTGGCGTCCGCACTAGCCCAATTGGGCAGAAACAGCGAACCCACCAATCATGGAACACTGCTAGCTACATTCCGAGTCGCAATTGTCTCAATTGTCTCAATAGAGGCATAGACATGTCCGTATAGGTACGTTGAAATGTCTTCGACTTATAAGTATATATATCATGGAATTGGCCCTCAAAAAATGAGTCGTCGCTCACCCAATGTCGAAGCTCACAAATAGCCCCTCATTCGCGTCGAAAGTACTTTCCAGCTCGAAAATGCCAGCTTTTACTCTGTATGGGGCTCGCGGCTCGACCAACACCGATCGTGTCCGCCTGACTCTCGCTGAAGGGGGCTTTACAGACTATGAAATCGTTACTCTCAACCTTCAAAAGGGAGAGCAAAAGGTTGGTACCCCGTTTCACTAATTTACATGGCGATGTGGGAACTCAGCTAACACCGTTGCACCGTAGTCAGAAGAGCACAAGAAACGTCACCCCTGGGGTAAAGTGCCCGCAATAACTACTGCTGAGGGGTTCACGCTCTGCGAGAGTCGCGTGATTTGCAAATACCTTGCAACGAAGTACGGCTTTTCACTTCTACCCCCTGCCTCTGAGGTCGAAGCTGCGGCGCTGTTCGACCAGGCGCAGACGGCAGAAATGCTCTACTTCGCAGAGCCTGCAGGTAGAATCGCATTCGAGAAATTCGTCAAGAGGCTCATGGGGCTGCCTCCCAATGACGCTGTTGTCATAGAGGCGCTGCGGTCCATCGAGATCTTTTTCGACATTGCAGAACGTCACCTGCAACAGAAAGACTATATGGCCGGAAACGACTTCACTCTCGTGGACATTTACTACATTCCACTGATACAAAGACTTTTCGCATGCGGGTACAAAGAGGTCATCAGTCGCGAAGCTGTAAAGGCTTGGTGGGACCGCTGCTTGAATCGACCAGCCATACAGAAGTTGATGGCCGCTGACAAGGAAGCTGCGCTTGCTGCTGGCAGATAGGATGAGAAGCTGGTATAGTAATAAATCTACTTAGAAGAAATACATTGAAAGTAGGAAATCACTGCTATCCCCACTTTTACAAATGTAACATTTTCCTGTATCATTAGCTAGGACTTCCGTAATATGCGGAAGTCGTGGAAACTATCTGCTTCTCCTCGCCTTAACAAAATAGTCCTTCTTAAAAGCAAAACGAACCCCTTTTCAGGCAATAGGTAATTATCATTTGACCTGTAGTACGTAAATACTTAGTCATTTGTACCAACGCTAAAATAACCGAGTGATGCAAAGTGTGTCGGATTTCACACTTTCGCAAATACTTTTAGTATCATACAACTTACTTAGTGGTACAAGTCAAGAGACCAACGGGAGACACGGTTATTACATCCACTTTCACTATGGACGACCTATCCTCTCATGCATCGCAATTGGGCATCTCAGATTCCAATTCCCCTCAGGAGCCATTTGATCCTCGCCAAATCGCTCGTCTCCTGTCAGAGTACTACGAACTCATGGCCCGCATGCGATACTTCTCTCCAGACTTGATCAAGTATCCACCTCACGATCCCCCAATCGACGTTGCTTTCGCTCAATCTCTGGGTCTAGAGCCTCAAGTCATCGAATTGTTGCAGGTCCTACCGTATGTCGAGGGCTTACACAATGAGGACGAGTTCATTTTAGGTGGAAGCTTTGCCGATTTCAGGAAGAATAGGGTTCTGGAGCAGTCACGAGACCCAGACTTCGCGTGTCCGCAAGGTGACTACGAGGAAGAGAATGGAAAGTATGTGATGCCATGGGTCTTGGTACTGAACGAGTGTGGAAATCATGGGAGTATCATGTATTTCGATACTAGAAACGGTGAGTTTTCTTAACTCAATTGGTGGGATTGGCGCTAATTGTACCAGGCCATATAACCACAATCTGGCAAGGTGGTGCCGGAGGTGGAAATGCTGATCCTTACTTCTATGGCAAATTTGGCTGGAGTACAGCTCTGGAACATGAACACCCCGTCAACAAGAACCGGATTGAGCACTTTCCCAGCAGACCGGCTAAGGATCTTTTCGCCGACTACACCAACCGTCTGATGACTTTAGAATGGATACCATTTAACACTTATGGACCAAGGGTATGTTGTTCTTATTTCTACATCGAATCATCTCAGCTTCTTGAGCAATTTCGTTCATCTTGTCATGGATCATCCCGAGGTGGAGGAAACTATCTCATCTAAAAAGTTATCTGAAATATCCGAAAGTCTTCTCCGCAATCTCTTTGATGTTCGAGTGATCCAACTATGAAAAACGCCGCTGACTTGGAGACAGATCTTCGAGAAAAGTGCTAAAGAAGAGTACGTTGATCTCAAATTATTATTTGAGACGTATGGTAAGTCTTTATTCCCGCCAGTTGATCTTCTACTCCCTGCAAGAGTTTGCTGTTCTTCGTTGAAAGTGCCTTCACGTTGCCCTCACGTTAGAAATTGAGTCTTTCATTGTTCGAAGTAGTTGCACATGCTGATCTGAGCTATGGATAGGATGGCCTGGAGAATTGGATGCCAAGGGCTTCGATGCTGCGAGCAGAAGATGGAAGGAGTTCAACCGAATCAGAAGAGAAGCTACGAAACTAATGACCGAGGTCCAAGATCTGGAGAAACAAAGCCTTAAGCTCCAAAAGCACATCGAAAAGACACTACAGAGCAAAGACGAAGATGTGACCAGAACTCCAGAAGAGATTGCAACAATGGAACAACACTTACAAGCGTGGCGAAGAAACCTGGAATGGGTTGCAATACAAAAGCAAGAGGCTGTGGAAGAGGCAGAAGGTGTCAATAGCGAAGATTCTGCCCTCGAAAAGGCTTGGGAGAAGCATATTCAGAACGGGATTGAGCGAAAGATGAGGGATCTGAGTTGGTTTCGGAATGATGGATCGAAATATGCGACGGAGGAGAAGATGCGAGATCTTGAGGTAGGCATTGCAGCTCTGGAGGAACGGATGAAGGACCTCAAATCTTTACCGAAGATTGCCTTTGATGCCATCAAGTCACAGGAAGATGAAGGGCAATGGCTATGCTGTAGATAAGACTAACTGGCAATGTGTATGTACATTCTTGCAGAATGAATGTCAGACGAACCGTTCGGATTCAGAAGTTTGCAAAATGTCTGAGAATGAAAATTCGATGAAATCATTGTCTGGTTATGAATGGTTTTATAGACAATAATACATCAGTAAAGGAAAGAACAGATATATGAGCGTTCTTGTCCAAAAAAGCAATCACAAGATACATTTAGCTATTACTGATACATTGAAAGCAAAAAGGTCTAACAATACAAATCAAACAGTCCATTATATCATGACACCAGAACCATCACTTCCGGTTGGCGACGACGGTGGAGTTGGTTCCTCCGTCTTCAACCATGTAGACATATATTCATCCCTGAAAGCCTGGATCGGAGTTCTCAACCTAACAATATTCTTTGGACCAAGTCTGCAAGACCCCGACATTAGTAAGTATCCCATTCCTCTACGCACGTCTCAAGAAGGAGTACTCACGTCAAAATAGCAGGATCTCTAATCGCCATCTCATGAAGGATGAGCGGGAGTTCGTCACGCAGTATACTTTCTTCTTCTGCTGGTAAATACGAATTCGCCAGATCACCCAAATCTCCGATTGGCATGTCGCGGAACTCACCACGAGTTCCGTACATGGTATCTTGGAATTCGTTGTCGAGGAGTACTTTTTTGATTTTGTCGTAGTTGGCTTGGTCTGGGGTTTGCATGGCTCGTATTGGTTTGGGTGGGGCTGCTGGCCAGCCTGCGGGGATTCTGGTCACCATTCCTAGATGGGAAGATAGGGTAAGTATATATTTAAGTAAATTCCTGGGACAACAAAAGAGGTTGAACGACTTCAGTCAAAAATGGAAAGCTTACCAGTGCCAGGGAATGGTCTGTAATTGAACAACTCCTTCTTGACATTACAGCAGTGAAGGAAAGATCTCAGATCCTCCGCATCGAGAGAAATACCGCCACGGTCTTGAATGTATCGAAGCAGAGTCGGTTCCGGGATATCAAATTCCATGGAGTCGAAGGCCAATTCCTGAGGTCCGCGATTACCCAGAAAGTGTTTCTTGATGGCATCATATCGAGGACATTTGCAAGTGTACACCTCCATCGGCTCAATCACAGGAGCGCCAGCTCCAGCAGCTCTTTCCTCATCGCTCATGAACTACGTCGCTTGTCAGTGTGTTCTTCCCCCAAAAAATTCGGGACAAATGAACGGGCCAAGACAATCAGTAAAGTATGTGGGAGCGAGTAATACCTCCGACTTCACGCTATACAGCGCCCTCATCTGCTTCAAAATTTCAAGAGCTTTCTCGCGTCTTTGGTTCTCTGTTGCCGCAGCCACTTTTTCGTCGGGATTCAGAGCTGCCCTTTGAGCTGGAAACATAAATCGTTCGTTGAAATTGGAGTCGCTATTCTTCTTTTGTTTCAGGTTGCGTGGATCTCTATCGTTGCTCCGAAATTCGCTCCCAAGGGTCATAGGACCCATCTCCAGGCTGTCTGCACCAAATTTCCGGACCAGGTGTTCCCATTTGTCTTTCTTGTGCATGTCCTTGAACCACGTCGTGGGGATTGGCCAGCTGTACAGGTGGATGTTAGCAACATGTTTTTAGGAGGTACTGTAGCACAAACTCTTGCGGAGGAGCGTGAAATGGAAGGGTACATAGCACATGATGGGAAAAGGGATATGATGACAGCAGGGAGCTCCGAAGGATCGGTCCTACTTACTATCTAATATAGTAGAATGGATTGGAGCCTCTTGCAAGGTTGTATGGTCCCTTCACTTCGTCGAGTGGGACCATGTCCTTGACTCCGTGTGCTGTGCTGCATTCATTGAACCAGTAGGATCTAACAACTCCCACTGCAAAATATCAGCACATTTCTATGAAACGTATGATATAGCTAGTCAGATAGCTTCTAGCAATGTAACCAGAAACGTATGCAGAAAGAGGGTGACTCACTGCTAGGAAGTCCGGGACCACCAGCGAAATAAGTTGGGTGATTAAGATCCTTGGGCTCTCCGCCCCAAATCTAATGTCCCTCCGTCAGTACAATTCGCCTCCGGAAGGTTTGCATAATCTCGTACATGATTCTCGAGGGACCAGCCCATCTCAGGGAGAGTTTCGTCTTCAAAGTAGGGCTCTTTGTATACATCATATGTAACGTCATAATATCTGTGCTCCCACAGTGCGTGCTGTTGAATTAGCTTAAATCAATCAAGCTCAATAGAAAGACTCACACCAGTCTCGTGCAGAATCGTAGTTGCGACCTGAAATTGTGCTAGCATCCTGTCCCACATATCAGTGAACACGAATATTGCAAGTATTGACGCTGACTTCGCTCACCTCTCATCGTAATTCAGTTCGCCAGTCAGCAAGGGTTGCAGAAGCTCAGTGGCAATATCTACAGTAAAACTTGGTTGTCTCTTCATAAAATTCTTCCTGGTCATTCCGTAAGAGACTGTGTGGTTTTGTGCAGCTCCGGTATAAGGGTTACAGTATCCACTGGACAGCCTGAACATGAGAGTACCTGCGGCAGCTTTCAGTTTGTCCTTCGTTTTCTGGATCTGCAGTGGTTCGTTTCTTTCAGCTGGCGGGCGCATATGGATGGAATACAGTTCCTTAGTTACATGGGCGGACGGAACGCGAGTCGGGTCAACCTCTCGGATCTCGCCATGAAGGATAGCATCGAACCTGTAAGTGTTAGACTTCGAAATTTGAATCTGAGTCCAGTCAGAAGGGGATCAGGTACACACCAAGGGAACCAGTTGGCGTTATCTAAGAGCAGTGAAACCAGTTGTAGGCAAGGCTCTAAGACGGCCCAAATATTGTCATTTGAAACCTGAAGGACAGCTTGTCAGTTTGCCTCTCACCGCAGACATGTGATCTTCAAATTGGTCTCACCAACCAATACCCCGTATCCTCACCCCTAACAGGTATAGGACCGTTATCCAACCCTATGTCCGATTCCTTCTCCCAATTCTGCCTCGCATAAAGCGGATGAATAGGATTATCTAAATCTCTCCGGTAAGTCCTCCCAATTATGTTTCCAGTCATAACGTCGACGTAAGTCTCGTCATACGGATCGTCTCCTACACCCGCAAGAACGCCCAACTCCTGAAGTTCAACTGCACTGAAGCCATAGAAACGGCGTTTCTGATGATTGAATATCCTTCGCTTCTTGTATGGCCCCGCTACGCCAGAGAAGAAGGGCGACGTGGGCGTAAAGCCTGATTTGAAGGTTCCGGCGAGAGGGCTTGAGGTGATGTCTTTTGCGGGATAGTTGTTTGTTGAAGGGTGGGAGTATTTTTCCGCGAGATCGGTTAGACGCTGATTCTTCAGGTCGCGTGGTCCTATAAATTTGTGTTAGTGAGTAGGAAATGTTAAGATATGTGTAAAACTACCTTTTTTAAGCAGCTGCCCTGTTTTATCTACGTACTCGTACTTTGGAGGCATCGTACTGACGCACGTCGTTTTCGATCGCAAATGATATGGAAAGTTAGGATGCTAGATGACTTCTTTTCGTTGCACCAATATTTAATAAATGGCCGAGACATGAATCTGCACAAAGGACCCGAGAGCACAACAAAGGCTAGCAAAAGGAGTTCCGGCTGTGAAAATCCGGATGAAGATTAGAAACAGTGAAAGGAAGTCATTATTTGATAAAGACAATGAATGGAATTACTATGCAATTGAGAAATTGCTTTGAAGAAGTTCATTCCAAGGATCGCAAATCTGTCAAGACGAAGCGCCTCGTCAATGCTTTTGGGCATGGGCAAAAACCCTAGCTACCTATCGTCATGATACAATGTCTGACTCGACCCCCTTACTCCAGTCTAGTCACAACAATATTGAGAATTTCTTCCAGAGTCTTGCCGGCATTCTTGGGATCTTTTGCCACACTCTGCCAAACCTCCCCATGTCTCGGCTCGCTTAACGTGCATTTAGCAACGACATCTGCTCGCTTCTCCTGCAATACTTTGTTAGTTTGCGCTGTGCGGAGGAGTGTTATATTGCTTACTTCAGTGCCATGTTGAAGCAAGAACTTGTAATACCAAGCCCACGTATCGCCAAGGTCACTATCTAACAAGATTGCTTTCTCGAACCAATTTTGGGCCTTCTCCAATCTTCGCTCACCCCAGAAAATCCGTGCAATGGTAACGAACAATATCGGGTCGTTGTCGACTTTCTTGATGGCTTCCAATGCTCGAGGCTTTCGTTGTGTTCGGGCTTCAAGATTCCAGATTGATTCGGTATATAACAGCCCGCTACTGGGAACTTGTTGTAATGCTTGGGCCATAAGATTCTTTGCTTGACTAATGTTGTTACCTCGTCGTTCCAGTCTAACAGACTCGGTCCAGAGCTCCGGTGACTTCGGAACGGCTAGTCGAGCACGATCAAGAATGCCGCGAGCTTTGACAACATTGCCTGCTTTCTCCTCAAGTCTCGAGTAAAGGAGCCAGAGTGGAACAGACTTTGGGCATGCCTTGGTACCAGTACCATATGCTTCACGAGCTTGTGGTAACTTGCCTTCGCCCTCGTATATTTGGCCTTTCATCATCCATAATTTAGCAGCGCCAGGGAACAATTGAAGAGCCTGATTGACCAAGTCAAGAGCTGCATCTGGGTTCCCAAGTTGTCTTTCATATGCCACGCTCTTCATCCAGACACGATCAGTGGGTGCTTCCTGTCTTGCCGTTTTCAGTAGCTCCCGGGCCTGATCTGGTTCTTGGTTCTCAGCTTCCAGCTTCACAGCCGCAAGCCAGATATCTTCGTTGTTTGGATTTTGATTGAAAGCGCGGCCCAACACTCTTCTCGCGTTGTCAATCTCTCCAGCTTGCCACTTCTCTTTAGCCAGCATCATCCACAAGACTTCGCTCTGCGGACATGCTTCAACAGCCTTCTCAAGAAGCTGCCATAATGCTTCCTTCGTTCCGTGATTCTTCTCCAGATCTGCAGCGGCAAGCCACAACTTCCTACTGTTGACAAACACTCGCAACGCATAAGCATAAATGGCGCGTGCAGTTTCGTACTTGCCACGACCAATACTTGAGCGAGCGTCTTCCATCCAGATATCCTTGCGGTCGTCATCTTCGTCGAGACCCCAGCCAAGAGTTTCGCGAATGATGTTTCCGCAGGTCAGAATAGCATCTTCCTCTTCACACTTCTCAGCTTCGGTGATCCATTCTTCTCGCTTCAACATCGCCGATTCTTTGGCAAGAGCCTGTACTGCACGCTTCATAACATTGACCTTGGCTGCATTGCCCATTTGTTCTTGTAGCCGAGCAGCTGCAATCCAAATCTCATGTGACGTAGGAATAGCCTTTCGAGCCTTGTTTAGTACCTTCTGAGCATTCTCCGAAGTCTCTAATCGGGCCAAAGCCAGCCAGAGTTCAACAGAAAGGGGGATAAGTTCAGTTGCCTTCGCAAGTAGTAGTTTGGCATCATCGGGATCCTCTTCCAAGTTGACTGCTTCCTTCCACAACATAACTGATTGGGGGATGTGATCCAAAGCATGTCGAATAACTCGCTTTTTGTCCCTTGGGTCCGATTCCAACTTCATGGCTTCGGTCCAAAGTCGCACAGAGGTATCATTGGCCTTGATGGCAGTGGCAGCAATGATCCTGGCATTCCGGCCTTCGTTCAGTCTAATGTTTTCCAGCCAAGCATCTTCACTTTTTGGACAATGCTCACAGCCTCGGGCAATAACATTGCGGGCAGCTACAGTCTTTCCAGCAAGCTCTTCAAGTCTGGCAGCAGCAATCCAACCTGGAGCGTGCTTTGGATTTGTCTTGATGACAGACTCTAGCAATACTCGAGCTCGATTGATGTCACCAACTTGTGCTTCGCCTTCGTTGATCTGTGATTTTGCCAAGCTCGTGAGGTAGCCTTTGGGATCGATGTTCGTAGCACTTCCGGCAACAGAGTCGCTGCCTGTAGACGCTTGATCCAGCCTAACCTTCAGCACCTTGTCTCGAGCAGCTCCTATATCCGCAAAGTTGGTCATCGTTCCATCTGCTCCATCTCCACCAGCTGGCGCATCATCTGCAACCGTTGTGCCAAGCTCTGTAGAATCTCGGGCGCCGGCGAGAACACTATCAGGTACAGCATAAAACCGTTGTCGCAAAGCTTGCTTGCTTCTTCGATTCTTGCCCGTCAAGTCTCCAACCTCTGGCAGATTTGCCCAATCGTCATCGCTAACGGTACTCAGTGCTCGTTTCAAGTCTGCAAATTGCTGCTGGATCTTGGGATTGTTCCGTTCGTATTCTTCTCGTTCGGCCTTTTCTCGTGCTTCCCTGTAAGTAGAATCGTCGGTAATCTGCTCATCTATTTGCTTATATGATAAACAATCTGTCTTGAGGGCGGATGCGGGGTGTAAATGGAATGGGAGGACCAACCTTCTAGCTTTCCGCCGCCTGTCCATCTTCTCATCTACCTCTTGGTAAATGCGATCTGCCTCGTCGTCATCTTTGTCGTACGCGCCTCCTGCAAACAAGCCAACCTCGTTCTCAGGGTCTTGAAATCGCTCATCGTCATCATCCTCTTCTTTCTTTTCTGGGGCGCCATATGCTGTAGGTGCTGCCGCTCCGAGTTGAGCTGCACGCTTTGCGAGAGCTTCTTTGATTTGGTCTTCGCTGGGACCTTCTCGCGCTGGTCCAAGATCTGAACGTGTTGTAAATCCAGTCGCACCACGACCAAGACCTGCGACGTAGTTCTCTGGCGCAGGTTGGTTTAAGAAGTCTCTTCGACCAGACATGGCTGCGGTGGTGTTTGGAGTTGTGGTGAACTTCTGGAGGCATCAACAGCATAAATTTCGAGATCGGCAAGGCTGAATCACGTGCCAGTTAATCCAATTAGGGCCTAGCGCCAATCGCAGTGTCCTTCCAAAAAGTGTTTTCATACCATTCTCACTTTCTAATGATCCAAGTACGAAACCCTTTTCATCTCAACCTCACTCCTCGGGGCTCCTGGTGACCGTGACTATTTCAAATGCGGTATTATTACAGTATAAGGCAGCCATTGCTGTATCACGGTGCCTTCGGGAGGCCTGAGGCTTGAATCTGGAAATGCACTTTTGAAATCCGTCGGCATTGTTTGTGGCGCTTTTTTGACAAGGATCACGAAATGCACTTCTGTCAGCTGTGTTGAGTGGTTCGCTTCGCAGTACGCCCGCCTGACCACGGCAGCCTCGTTGTGAGATATCAAGATATATAATTGTTGGGCACCGCTTCCTCCGGTCCTCTTTCTTGGGTTCCTCATTCATTTTCACGCTCTTAAGCTAAAGTCATGGGCTCGTCGATCAATCCCACAACACCACCTGGGTCACCACGAGTGTCTTCGGACCCGTACACCTCACTCGGAACTCTCCTGAGAAACACATCGCCGGTTCGGGCCTCCAAACGAGGAAAAACTCTAGTCCGAAATGATGCTCTTTGGGAAACGATAAGGGACGACATATTCCAGATTTATATGGCGCAAGACAATACACTTCCACTGACTATGTTGCTGATTGAGACTAGATACAATTTCAAGCGATCGTAAGTAGCCTCCCCTCCTTCCGGATCAGCCCATTACTAAAATCTAAATGCAGCGAGCGCAAATGGAAAGCGAAATTAAAAGAATGGAATTTTGTGAAGAACGTCACCAAAGCCGAGATGAAAGTAGTGGTCGCCAAAGCAGAGAAACGGGCCACAGAAGACGGCAAAGACACTCTTTTTCTTCACCACGGAAATATAATTCCACCAGAGAAAGTCGCCAATTGGAAACGTAGATTGACAACAATGGCAGCTACTCCGGCTAATCCATATGCTAGTAAGTGCTCTCTTCCAACCAAACCTTCAGACATTGATGACAGGAAGAAACTCCCGCAACCATTGCCTATTTCACACCCATTTACCACAGTCAACCAAATCTCGAAGAGCTACAAGTCTTCCGCTCCACATTTTCACGCGTTACAATTGGTGGAGAGGTCAAGCCGAAATCACTGTTTCTTCCTGCCAGATATTCAGTGCGGGCAACCGGGCAGGGACCAGAAGAGGTTGTTAACGCAAAGCCAGTGCCACCCTCTGGACGGAATCGTCGCGAAGTAGAAAACTTTGACTATATGGACAACAGCACTACAACATTTAGTGTGTCAACGCGAGGTGCATGGAGATCAGAAATTACCCGTGAAGACCTTTCTACGTTTCCTTCGGGGTCTGTACTGTCGATTACAGAGTATTTTGCTTACACACTAGGTCTGTAGATCTGAGCATTTTGATCTGTGAGTGGCTGACGTGGAGCCTAGACTCGGTTCAACTTGGATCTGGCAAACTTGAATCTATACTTGCCTCTTGGAGTATCCCAGAGATCAAAAGTCGATACCACGCCCTTGAATACTTGCAACTGCAAGTCAAACGAGATGGGCGAATCCTCCGCTTCAGGCCTGGTTTTATCCGAGACTTTATCACCTGTCATACAGACGATATTAATTCCCCAAATATTCCTCGCGACTTTACGCCATCTGATCGACTACCGTTTCACCATGCCGAACTTCAAGACTCAGTGTATGCAGCCCTACTTGAAGAACTTGGTCTAGCATTAGTCAGGAACGATGACTCGCCAAGAGCTATCATTATAGCCAGCATTATGGTTCAATCCCTGGACATAGTGTCACGGGGTGGGACTCCTGATAGCCTTGTTGGAAGGTGGCATCACGACCAAGATTTCTTCGAAACATCCATCCCGTACCTCCAAAACGCTTTGAGGAACTCTCTCTACCACATTCGTCAAGCTTTTGGATGGGACTTTGCTCTGGCAAGACTACTCGGAGATATGCTGGACAAATCATATCAGCAGCTCGGGTGGACGTCCGCTTGGGACTGGAGACAAGATATTGACGTATCAGAACATGGACTTGGAAAAACTATTTGCGAATTAAGTGAAGAACGCGTTGCATTAGTCGAGAATGACTTCGAGACAGACGATCTATATTTCCAGTTTATCCAGCCACTACTCCGCAGCATTGCAGTCCATATCATGACGCCCTTGCAAATTGCTCGCATATATAACAACATTTACATTCACATCTTGCGTCGAGAGGCAGACGATAGAGGCGGATGCGGATTTTGCCAACTCGAAACTCCAGTCGTTGTCTATTTCAAAGATGCAAACGGATCGAGGAAAGGTACTAGTTCAAAGACTGTGTGTGATAGGTGCGAGCTCCTTATGAAGAATAGCATTCAGCACCTTGAAGTGCTCATGACTACTACCTCTAAACAACCCATACCAGATGAAGCTCTCGAATTATATGTCAACACCAAAAGACGCCTGATCGCAGAGCTAAATGGCTTACCTGGAAGCCAGCCATCTTGAAGAGGAGAGGTGGAGGGGTACTAGTGGAGTCATTCCGGATGGTCATGGCGTTTGACATAATTTACATCTTTTTTGCTGCTTCTAGTTCTATCTGCACATGCGTGGTGTTTTAGATCACTCGATTTGCTTCACATACCAATCACATTTCTTCTTCTCTGAAAAGCATGACCATCTCATATCTTCTCCTTTACTTCACAATATCTTGCTCAAGCACCTCGACGGTACCTCACTTCTTTCTTCCTCATCTGAATACCGATTATCGTCTTTTATAGTACTTCCTAGCTTTGCACCACACGTTTGCTCCCTGCTTACCTTCCTTCCACTGTCTCCCTTGGAACCCATTTCAATTGACAGCTTCGCACCACACCTGTGCTTCCTACTGGACTTCCTTCCACCCTTTCCCAACCCATCTCAATAGATAAATACGTCCCTTCTATCGATAAGCATCCATCCACTACACCCTCCGTCTATACAGCCAGGATCTCATAAACCACAAACATGACCAAATTTCATCAAAAGCCTCTCAATCTCATTCCTTCCTTCCAATTCACAAGTCCCATGCTGAAGAAAGGATCCGCGGACCCCCTTCTAGTCGACAGTGGATATCTTTACAACACAACACAAATCGCAAAGCCCCAGGCTAAAGTCAGAGTCAATATGCTACATTAAGATAGAACCAAAAGTCATGGAAAAATGCCTAATTTTGGTGGAAAGATAGCGTTGTATTCAAAATAGCTTCACCTCTCCACTCTAGTCTCCGAATTTTACCTTCCCACGAGGTCTATTATCTACTCATCCACACGATCATTCCCCAAATCTCAAAGCCATCCCTCTATTCCCCTTCAGGACGTCGTTCTCTACACCAAGATACCCACCACACTCACCTATCATCTGCCATCTACCATCTATCCACCCATACCTACCTATCTACCAGAAACCTAGAAACCCAGGAACCCAGGACACTACAAACCTCGAGACCGCTTTCCCCCAGAGCATAGCTCAGGCGCTACCCCATATGGGAAAAAAGCGGAGGGAAGCTTTTACGAAAGTGAAAGGAGGCACAGAGAGAGAGAGAGAGAGAGAGATTTCATGAGATCACGAACATTCTTTGGATTTATTAAGAATCTATGCTACGCAACGTAACCCATCTCGTGAACTCATCAGGAAACTCAATGCAGAAGAAGGCAAAAAAAAAGTCTCTCATTCATCATCATAACTCATTAAAAGCGCATGCATCACCCCCATCACCATCACCATCATCATCATCATTAAAACCAGAAAAAGAGAATTCGTAATCCAACACACGCGCATCCATGTCCCTCATCTCTCCCAAAAAATTGCATGCCATGCCATGCCACCCAACCCAACCAACGCCTTTCCAAACCAACTCAAACAACAGAAAAAGAAAAAGAAAATCAATACCGATCCGTATCCCTCCTACTCCTCCTTCTCCTCTCCCTAGCACCATCATCAATTGACTCTCGACTCCCAGCAGCAGAACCACCCAAACTCCCCGCCTCCTCAACAAAGCCTCTCAGGAGATCCTTCCACGATTTCTTGCCCTCAAACACGTCCCCGAAGTCTTTTGCCCATTTCTCGACCATTTCTTGGGGTTTACCTCCTTCTCCTTCTTCCTCTTCACTGTCATCTTGATTCCTGCCTCGCCGTCTATGATCTCTCGCAAGCGATCGATCGTCGTAATCCGTCCGGGAAGATTGTCCGCCTGATCCGAATGTTCTTGCACCACCTCTAAATCCTCGCTGAGAATCCCCGTGCAGCCAACTGACCCCTCCTCTCCAGTTCGAGTTGCGAGGTCGATACGCGTTCCCATCCCTGTCTAACGGCCGCCCTTCCGCATCAAAGCGATCGGGCAGCGTCTCGACCTCGCCAGACGATTCGTCTGAGGACGGGCTAGGGCTCCGACTCGCGGTTCGTTGGCTGCGGCGGTAATTTGGTCGATTGCTACTTGGGTCTGAGTTTCTGCGTCGACGGCGGGCGCGGTGCCGAGTCAGGTCTTGCGAGTCGAACGTTGAAGACGGGGATGATTCGCGGGGATGGGTCCGGCCGGCGCGGGCTTTGACGAGGGAGTTTGAGGGTGAGGGGGCGATGTCGTGGTCCGAGGTGTGGTCGTGGGGTGTAGATTGATGGATGCGGGCTAGTGAGCGGGAAGAGGTTGGGGAGAGGGGACTGAAGGAGACGGATTTTGCTGGTCTTTCTGGGGAGTTTGAGCGGGAGGGAAGAGGTGAGGGTGTTGCTGTTGATGGTGGGGTGTAGGTTACACCGCCTGGAGATCATTGTTAGTTTGTGGTTCAAAAAACAAAGTGAGAGAAAGAAAGGAGATGTGACGAGCAAAGCTAAGACGCACCCTCCTCAGCGCTCTCCAAGGGATCGCGACTACGTCTCTGCTGATGCTGATCATGTTCCTCTTCAATGGGAACAGTAGGAGGCGGAGGGAAATACGGCGCTGCCGGTATTGACGAAGCAGTAGCAGGATTGATATTAGGAGGGACATAAGGAGTCTGACGAGATGTAGTGTCATTACTCACATTGTCACCTGTTCGAGGAGGGTAACCATATGGATCATGATTAGGGGGTTGTTGACCTGCATAGTCTGCTGGGTTATAAGGTGGGATATTCGTCTCATTCACATGAGGTGTACTTTGATTGTTGTGATGAGTGAACCCTGCTGGTGCTTGAGGAGGTGGTGCGAATTGGTTGGTTTCTGGGTAGTATGAACCGCCTGATGCGTGAGGAGGTGATGGAGAGTAACCATCATCGGGATAGTTTCGTGCATAGTAATTCTCAGGTGGGGCCTCTTCTTCATATCCTGATCTCATTTGTTAGTATTACAAGAGAAATGAGATACATGACTTTGATAAACATGGTATATATAAGGAAAACATCATCTCTTCGGAATCAGGTTCGACAAACGTCTTGCCAAACTGGTCCTAATAGATGATGCGGAGCGAGAACGAGATCTTGAGTGCTGGGGGTCCTCACGTCTTCGTTCCCTCTCGCGTTCCGCCTCCTTCTTTTCCTTCCTCTTCTTATACTGATTGATACCGATTGCCGCCGCAGCTGTTCCGGCAGCGGCACCCGCGATGTCTCTTACTCGACTATGACTTCGTGAGCGTCTTCGCGAAGGTCTTCGTTCGGCCGAGTCAGAGGACGAGTCTCTGCGGCGTGATCGACTGCCTCTGGTTGCACCGTATGCCGCACCAGCCGCGACGGCAGCAGGATCATAATCGTAGCCTTGCTGGTAGGCTGGAGTGTGGGTGTATACGGGTTCAGTACCGTACTGAACCATTCCTAATTCGGGGTCAACACCAGGATCAGAATACGCTCCAACAGATCTGGCTCTCGACCTGCTTCTCCTCCGCTCCCTTCTGTCTTCTTCTACTTCCTCTCTGACGTCCTCCTTCGCCTTTCTGTTCTCGTATAACCCTGCAACAGCAGCGCCTGCGAGTCCAGCACCTGCGATTTCGGCTCCAGTTCTTATCCTAGATTTAGATCTTGATCCATTGCGTTGACGAGATTTGTTCCGGAAATGCTCTACAACACCAGCAACGGCTGCTGTGGCCGCTCCAGCCTTTGCGATTGTTGATGCACGGTGCTTGGGATCCGCGTGAACACTTCTGCTTCTTGTACGAGCTCGGCGATCATCGTAATCGTCATAGTCATCATCATAAGAGCGACGTCTTGACAAACTTCGAGTCCGACTGCGACCTCTGCGTATTTCCTCGTTATTTGCTTTGCGGTTGGAGACATATTTCGCAGCGGCTGCAGCGGCAAGACCAGCTGCTGCCAAACCGATTGCAGTCTTGATCTTTCTGTGCGAATGTCGACTGCTGGATCTTGATCGTGATCGACTCCCGTCTTCTCTGCTCTCACGATAACGACTTCTGGCTCTCGTAATGACTTCAGCGCCAATGGCACCAAGAGCTGCACCTCCAATCATCTTTCTGCCACGATGGTCGCCACCTGTTCCTTGCTTAGATGCATGATTCGCAAGTAAAGCAGCTGCACCTGCGCCAGCCAAAGCACCTTCTGCGAGATGTCTCTTGTGATGTGGACTGTGGGATCGACTGCGTTCTCTTCGAATGATCTTCTTTCTTACGACATAGTCCTCGTCACTGTATTCATCACCACTGACTGAGTCCCGAGGTCGAACGTCTCTGCGATCGTATCTCTCAAGTGCAAAATCCTCGTCGCTTCGTCTAGCATCCCCACCTCGGACTTCTCGGACATCGCGACGGTAGTAGTATTCATCTTCTTGTCTTCTCGGTTCGGGTCGTGGTTCAGAGCGTTCCTCTCTTATTTCTTGTCTCACAATCTGCACTTCTTCTCTTGGTGGAGGCAGGACGATGGGAGGTGGTTGTGGCGCTTCCTGCACGATAATCTGCTGCGGTTCTGGCGCTCTCTGGCGAATGATGATGGGTTGTGGCGGCGGTTCAGGGCGGTCATAATATTCTGTCTCTCGTTGATATCTCTCGAGCTCATATGGTTCTTCCCGTCGTTCAGTTGTTCTTTTCTCAACTCTGACGACATCAGTCTCGCGAACGTCCCGTTCCGACTCCCATGGTCTAGCCGCCCGTTCCCAAGGTCTCATCGGTTCTGGTTCGCGGGTATCCCGCTCGTAGACGACTGTTCTTGTGCGCTCCCGTTCAGGTTCTCGAGCTGGTTCTGGCTCGCGATCCCTTTCGTAGACGACAGTTCTTGTGCGTTCACGCTCTGGTTCGCGGGCTGGTTCACGCTCGATGTATCGTTCGCGTTCGACGACGGTGGATCGTGGACGGATATCGATGGCCGAACGGGGTCGCTCAGGTTCCCAGCGCTCAACGCGACGGTCGACCTCGATGTGCTCTGCTCGTGGAGCAACGTCCAATCGTGAACTGCGGCGATCAACTTCGACTTCTTCGACTCGACTCGGGGTCACTCGGTAGCGTTGGACAGTGCGATAGGATCCGTCACCTTTGGCTCTGCGGCTGAAGGTCGATCGAGTATCGTCGTCGGACTCGTAGTCGTCGCGATAACTGCGCACCACTCTCGTAACTTCGGGCATCGTGACGTTGTATATTTTGGTGTATTGTGCGACGGTAGCAACTGTGCCCGGAGGCGGGTGTGATGAATTTATTGCTGAGCTTGCAACGATACGAGAGGTGTTGTGATCAGGTTTTGTGAGGTTGTGGGTGTTGTGTTCTCGTTGGGAAGAGGGGAGTGGTAAGTGATGGTGGGGTCGAGGAGTGGTTTGTAGTGAATGGACAGGATGCGTCGTAAATTTGGGTGCGAGCCTTGTCTGCTGTTGCACAGGCCAGTTGCAAGCCTCTTCTCTTCTTTGCCCCTCACACCGGCTGAAGTAGGACCCACGTTGCAGAAGGCGCAGAAGGAGAGAAGATGGGAGATGCGAGAGAGAGAGGGCAGGGTATTGACTGGAAGGAGGGATAAAGGTGGTGAGGTGAGAATCTGTGGTCGGTGTCTGCTGCGTTCTCTTCCCAGCCTTATGCCAAGATAATCATGAGATGAGCCAGTGATACTGTAGTAGGGCGCCGAGAGTGCGAGCAGAAGGAAGAAGGGAACGCAAGCGGATGCACTTTGGCTGTCGGGGAGTGACAAAGCAGCAATTGGATGATTGTCTTGCTTCTCTTGCTTCTCTTGCTGCTCTCGAGCTGCACGTCCAGGGAATCTTTGCAGTGGTGATTGGCAGAGGCCGGAGTTCGGGATGCAGGTGATGCTGGTGTTGTTACGTGCGTCAGACGGCAATACCTCGTGAACCAGAGCACAGCACTCGAGTTCAGAAGCAGAGTCCGACTCAGACTCGAACTCGGTGACAGCGGCAACCGTTGGGCGAGAAAATAGTGTCTTGGAGACGGCGGCCGGTGGAGACTCCCAGTGGCTGCAGGAAAGTAAAAGAATAGAGTCGAGTAAGTTCGGAATTTGGAGCCGGAGGTAAGTAAGTAATAGTAGTGGCGATTGAATAGACTTCGGCTTCTGTGTAACTCTGGTCGAAGTTTGCGATGAGTCGTCTCTTCTCTTTGCCTGTGAAGATTCCGGAAAATTCCAAAAGCAGGTTCCCGCGTCGAGTCCTCTCTGGTTCCAAGGTTTCGCTCTTCCCACCAGAATTTATCGTCACGAACGGGATTGTTTATGTACGGACACGTCGACCACCACACAAACCAAGGAATATTGAAAGCAACGAGTTGGACAGACGACAGTAAACAGTTATTTTATTATGGAGCAAATGGAGAGTAATTGCCCAGTATTGATACCTTAAGTGAGGTTTGCTATACCCAACCTCCCCTTTTCTGTTGGCGCAATTCCAAGCTGGAGAGGGAACCCCGGTCCATGATTATGTACTTGGTACGTCATAGCTAGCCATGATTCACGTTGTGAGAAAATGGAAATTCAGAAGCCTTGAGTGCCGTGCGAACATTTCTCTCTGGTGGTCGGAGGTCTGAGAGTAAGAAGATGTGTTCTGTGAGAGATATTGTGGCTGCGCCCCGCGGTCGATGAACTCCTGACCTTCCCCAGTAAATTATAGCCACTTTGACGGTGTGAGAAAGAGAAGAGAAGAGAAGAGAAGAGAAGAGGAAGACACACATGAAAATCTTGATTAGTCACTTGGCGGAAAACTTTGATTGGTCCCATGCTGAGTCGGATGTCGCCGGCGGGAGCAGCAACGATCTCCACACAACAGGGGAGGAAAGACACATGGAAGCGAGGGGGCATCTTCAACTCAGCCTCCACAAGCTTAACTTCCGACAACCACACCTCTTTTAACCTCACTCCTCTCTAACACACCACTGTTGCCTCACATCCACAGCCTCACTCTCCTGCATACGTTTCAACTTGTTACCTGTCTCTACTGCTGTGTCAGTCCAATCATCTCATCACCATGCACCACAACGGTCACTCAATCCAGTCCCGGGCTGTGGAAATGGTGTGCATTAATGCAAAGTTAACTGAAAACCCTGGGGTATCTGTCTGCCTTCCTTAACGCCTTACCATACAATGTATGCTGTCCGACCTCAGTCAAGGATCAGCCTCGAATTCTTAATGACAAACGCCGTTTTCAGTTAGGAAAAAGGAAAGAATCCCAGAACGAAACCACAGTAAGGCTGCCCAATGAATCTATCAGTCCACCCCACCGATCATCCCTCCCGCCGCTTCGTTCCAGAATACCCATCCATGCAACTTTCCCTCCCATCTACTCGGTGATCCCTCCAACGAATGAACGCCAGAAGAAACACATCGCTAGTTATCAGGCAGCCAGATGTCGAAAGAAGCACAGCCTTACGCCCCGAAGATTAACAGACGAGGAACCGAGATGAGGAGAAGAACGTGGCCTAACGACGAGCTCGCTGAGCCGCAATCTTGCGGGACTTGGTAGTCTTCTTCTTGGGAGCCTTTGGAGGTGGAGCCTTCGGAGCCTCCTCCTTCTTCTCGAATTGTCCGTATCCATTGAGGACGAACTCAAGTAGATGGTTAGCCCACTCCATCATCTCAACGTGGTACGTCAAATTCTCAACCTCGGGAACGACAACTTGACCTGGCTGACGAATCTTGGCGAAGGCCTTTGCAATCTCAGGGAGAAGGAAGTTCTTGTGGAAATGAGCAGCAAGAGCAGCGCTTCCACCACAGAGAATGATGAGAGTGTTGGCGAGTTCGTAAAAGGGGACACCCCAGCTCATAACATAGTCGACATCATCCTTTGTGGCATCAGCAACGACAATCTTATCCTTCCAAACCTTGAGAACAATCCCATCGAGCTTGCGGAATAGTGGATCGCGCTCCATAATTGGAAGTCCAGGAATTTCTTCTTCATTTACAGGTTCCTCCTCCGAGTTGCTATCATCGTCCATTTCCTCATCCTCAGGTCGAATCTCGAACTTCTGGAACATGTGCAAGATCTCGAGGACGTTGGGATCAACAGGTTGAGAGTGATCAATCGTAAATTCCTCGTCAGTTTCGGTAGCTCTCTCCTTGCCTTTGCCCTTATAATCATGTTGGCCTTGAGAAGTAGAGTGCTCCAAGCCGATGTACTTATCGAAAGATTGGCTGTTGCCGTCAGCCTTGGCGAGGTACTGGGCATGATAGCTCTGGGTTTCGATGGGGTCATGGTTGAAAGCTCGGACTTTGCCCTTGGTATCAGCGTAGTGTTGAGCATCAGCGTAGGGTTGAGCATCAGTGTAGGGTTGAGCATCAGAGCTGGCTACCCCGAAGTCATGAGTCTCCTCGTCCTCGACAGTCGTATGATACTTCGGGACCGATCGACTGCCAGTGGCTTCAGGAATAGCGGTTGTCTCATCAGCAGCTCGACCCTTTCCTTTGTCTTGACTGTTTACTACTGCTTCGTTCTTTCTTCGTTCTTGCTCTCGGATAGCGACTGCTTGGGCGTATTCCTCATCTGCAGCTCGAGCCTCCGCGGTCTCTTCCTTTCTATAATCAACCAGAACATCCCAGTAGTGCTTTGCCAAAGCTGGTGCATCGATTTCTTCGCAGAGGGGAAACAGTGGAATGCGAGGTCCTGGCTTGTACTCAATATCGCTGATAGTAGACATGACAGATCCTCTGTAGACAGTGGCACCAAGAGACTTGTACAAGCTGTTATGACCCTCAGCAGCGTCGATATGCTCCTGGAAAGCTTTGTTCAAGTCACAGACACCCTCGTCGTCGTGAATCCTAGCCAGATACTCCTCTTGGACCTTGGTGTCTCCGTTTGCCATCTTAATTCTGCGAATTTGGCTGTCAAGAGCTCGAACATAATCCATCTTTGCAAAGCTTTGCCTATCAGATTGCTCCTTGTACATGATGGCCCAAGCTTCAAAGTCAGCCTCGATATACTCGCGAGTGGGGTCCATTTGGTGCTTGAAAGCTTCGACGAATTCGTAGGAATCTTGTCCCATCATCTCCCAGCCTAGCTTCACAGCCTGAAACTCTCCGACAACATCGAAATCCACGTCGTAGGTGTGGACACTCATGACACGCTTCTGCTTGTCGTCATCCCAGAAGCCAGACTTGATGGTGATGGTTTCACGAGCGCTGCTGCTGCCACTCGATTCTCCGTTGTTTGACATAGTTGAGGCATAGACTTGGTCGTCTTCTGAAGCGGCCGTGACTGTGATGATAGGAATTGCTGAAGTAGCTGACTGGTTGGCCTTAGCGGCTGCCTCTCGTTCTACCTTCTTCTTGGCGAGTTCTTGGAGTTCATTGCGTGCCTTCTCTCTTACGAGCTTCTCTTCGGGTGTTTGGTCGGCAGTGTGAATCTCAACGATCTTGTGTCCATCAGCCAAGGTAGTAGTTCTGACGTTGGTGACAGGAGCACGAGCGGGAGCATCAGGATCGGTGTAGTGTGTGCGTCGATAGCAAGATCCGACTCCTCCAGTCAATCGTGAATGCATACCGGGCTTGGCATTCTCATCCTCCCAAGCTTCCATACACTTCTCAATCTCAGCCTCACTCAAGTCCTTGTCCTGCTTGATGATCTTCCAGTGCTTTGCTCGAGCCTCGCGGTACTCCTTCTCGCCTTCGTGGACGCTCTTGGCGTAATCTTCACCGTCCTTCCGAGCGGTCTTGCTCTTCGACTTGAGACCAAACAACTTCTTCCAAGAATTAGGTTCCGTAGACAACAAAGCCGCCTCCTCGTACTCCAACGCCTCGATAATCGCATCTCGGGTGTCGATGAACTTGCCAGCCGTATCCTCTCCGCGCGCACGGTACATCTCGATGACCTGGTAAGCGGCGATGCGTTCGTAAGGGACGGAAACGCGACCGGTCTCGTGAAGGGTCTTCTCGCGGAAGTCGATCTCCTTCTTGATGCATGCGATGGCCGGAACGATTTTATTGCCGTTCTCGGCGAGGATGGAAGAGGCGTAGCCAGGTCGGACTGGGTAGCCGTCCGCGGCACACTTCTTCAGGACGATTTCGAGCAGTTTGATGTCCACGGAGACCGGGCTGGAGGGTTGTTAGCGTTGTTTTGATGGATGGAGGAAGGGCGCGAGATTGGGGAGGGGAGAGTGGTTGTAAGGAGGAGAGGGATTCAAAAAGGAGAGTGGTCTCGGAGAAGAGAGTGAGTGCCAGGAGGAGCGTTGCCCGCAAAAGGAGGGTGATTCAAGAAAGAGCTCGATCCCCAAGAGGATCGCAATCTCCAAGAAGGAGCGCGATCTCCCAGAAGAGCGCAATTTCTTGAAAGAAGATGGTCTTTAAGCTAGAGGACGATCTTCAAGAGAATCGCGGTCTCCAAGAAGGAGTGCGGTCTTCAAGAAGGAGGCTTGTTCCCAAGGAGAAGAGCGCTTCTCAAAGGGAGACTTCTCCCCTCAAAGAAGAGATCTCCACCTCAAGAAAGAGAATAAAGGCAGGAGAATGCTGGGCAAGAGAAGAAGAAGGGATACATACACAGAACCACTCCCACCCACCGCGTACCGGTGGTCGCAAAGTGCGTTGTCGCACTTTCCCACCCCGCCGCAAGCCTTCTGGTATGACTTCTTGCCGTGCCTCTTGTTGAGTTTCTTAAACTCTTCGGCCAGGCTGCGCTCCCAGAGCGCAGCCTGACCGACGGACGACAGTTGCTCGAGACGAGCCTTGACTTGCTCCTCTGCGGAAGCCATTTCTGCGCGTTGGAGATTGTTGTTAGTTGGTTGTTGGGAGAAGAGGAGACGAGGAGAAGAAAGAGATCGAGGGAGGGAAGCGCGGGGTTTGGCGCTAAGGAAATTTTTAGGGTGTTGATGGACGGTTGGATGGACAAGAACTGACATCGGTTGGCCGCTTGGCTTGTATTGTGTTGTGTTGTTGTCGATAAGCGGTAGGGGATAGGCGGAGCGAGTTGGCAATACAAGCTAGCCTGCCTCTAAGCTCTTGACAACAACACAATACAATGACTTCAGTTGTCCGCAACGTATGAGGACAATCTCCGTGCAAGACAGTAGGGAAGTGGGGTAAGGGATGGAACAGGGATAGGGAGAGAAAGAAGAAAGGTTCACGTACGCAGCGGACCATCTCTCACCTGGGCCGGAGCCCGGCGATTTTGGGTGTCTGTAAGGAAGTTAGTAACTGGTTCTTTTTGGTTTCTTTTGTAGTTTGGGGGTTGGTTCTGGAAGACGGAGAAGGGGGGTGAACGAGATTCGGACAGAGACCAGAGAAGGAGAGTGGAGCAAGAGAAGGAGTGAAGAAGCAAATTGAGTAGAGGAGCAGGACAAGGTTGAAGAGCAGATTCTCTGACGGTGAACAGGTTTGGTTCTTTGCTTTTCTTTGCCAAGGGAGATTATTTAATGTCCCTGGCTTGTTGGGAGACGCAGAATGGTTTGAATACTTGGAATACAGGACAAGGAGATAGATGCTTGGAAATATTAAAGGCTCTATCTCTGGGTCTGGGGCTTGCAGTACCTGAAGGCATTCGATTGTCCAGGAGGTATCCGAGACAACGGGAAGAAGAATGCTTGAAAGCTGTGTTTGAAGACTTGGTATGTTCCTTGATCATGCTAACATTGAGCTACAGAGTACACTCCGGTATTATCCCACCAGGGGTTGGACAACAAGGTGTGTCTTTGAAGAGCAAGATGAAGGCACTTGAAGAGGAAGGTCATTGTCTAAAGGAAAGAAGCAAGTGTTCAAGCGCAAGACATTGCTCCTTGACAACCGAAGGAATGGAAAGGAAACATCTCCGTCTTCGAAGACATCACAAGTGTGGACTGGAATCTTGAGATATGTGGCAAGTACCATTGCACTGGGAAAGAGGTGCATTGAGGATTACTTTGTATCGTTTGCAAGAGGAGAGGCTCTGTCTCAAGTACTCATCAAGTGAGGTCTCGGCTGTCGATAACAGCAAAGCATGAGCTTGATAGAAATGTACATTGGCTTGGTGAAGAAGTATCCTCATCAGGCATGAGGCTTTGCCTTGGAAGTCCAAGCTCGAGGCAAGGTTGGAAAGCAGATGCAGTACGGTGAATGCAAAGTTACAGGAACATACTGAAGCAATACTTGTAGTCAATGATGACTTGTTCCTTCTAGGGAGAGCAAGTGGACTACTTGATACCGTGAAGCTTGATGAAGTGTCTTCACGTGACAATGTCTCAGTAGAAGAGTGCTTCACCTCGAAGCTCAAGCTTGAGATGGGAGTTTGAAGGCAGATACAGAAAGAAAAGGCAGAACAGTGAAGGCAAAACAAAATTGCAGAAGCAGGATGAAGCAAAGCAGTGAGAAATGGGCTCCCTTCCTGAAAGATCAAGTGAACTACTTGATCTCATGGAGCTTGATAAGAGGTGCCTTCAAGCCTGGGGGCTCGGGTGAATGGAGGCTAGCATGAAGCTTGGGGTATAAGAAGGGGCATTGCACCTGGTTCAGCATGTAAATCTAAAACCCGCCTGAAGAAGCTTCTGAAGCAGCCCAGTTCCGCGCTGGTGGGCCAGGCTTTACAGCTTCTTGTTGAAAGGTGTTGAGAGCTCTAACTTGAAGCCGTGATTTCTTGCTAGCTTTGCTAAAGGCCAGCCACTGATAGCTGTATGACCGCATTCCCATCTCATGGAGACTTGGCAATGGACGGTAGTTGACAACAGTTGCTGTCATCTTATCCCAGTCCACGGATCTTTGATATCGACTCAAGTGAAGCGCGCAATTGTAATTGACAAGACAAAGCACCTTGACAACGAGGCTCCATCTCGGAACCCTCCTGTGTTGGTGTGCCGTAATATGAATAATAAACAAAGCTCTCGGAGTGTGTAAAGCGCGCGCAAGTGTAGAGGGGTAGGTAGGGAGGTAAGTGAAGCAAAGGAATATCTGTACGTACAGTAAGGAAACTCCTGTTATTCAATATCACGTTAGCCATTGCTCTAAAGTCGTGGAAGAGAGTGAGTACGTACAGCCAACTCCTCCTTTGACGCCATCTTGGAAGATCCTGTATTCAACGTTAGTCAATACTCCTTACTCTCTCTTGTTACCGCTTCGAGTCTTCTTCTGCTACCCAAGCTAGGCTTGGATCGAGGATCGAGGCCGCGCAGCTCTGTAAACAGATCGAGGACAAACCGCACAGCAAGTATCTCCTGCTCTTTGAAAGAAACAAAGATCGCAAGAAGGTCCTCTATCTGCGAAAGGGGGGGGCTGAATGAATAAAGAAAGTTGTTGTGACGTACCGACGCTGCTGAGGAGAGAAAGAGGGGAAGAGAAAGCTGAAGAGAGGAGGGAGGTATCTTGGAAAATTTACGTGGGATACACCTTTCCCGTTTGGGACGCTGTGCGGTTGTGATACTGGTGCGGTTTGGGTACTGTACTGGGCCGTGGAGGAGCGTAGAGACCGATGCGGCAGTCTTGGTTTTGCTGCGAGATCTGGGAGGAACTTTCGGGAATGGTAAAGTGCTTTGTGAGGGTATATCTAAAGTCTTGAGAGACGTAATTGGGAATACTGTGAGGAGGAGACTTTGTTATTGCGTTCTATTCTACATTTATAGATCCGCTAACTTTTATACTGAGCTGGGATCTTTGGGAGGTTCGAGGGGACTGGACCTGAGGATATGTTCAATACTCAGTCAAAAGTATATGGTTACAACCCATCAATTGAACCTGGCTGATACTTCACAGCTACACAAACGTCTTGCAGATATCATATAATCTTACCCGATGGAAGTTCATTCAAGCTATCGAACCAGAATACACCAAGAGCGAGCTCCTAGCTCTAGCATTTCCCGACCACCAGCAGGAGAGATATGATCAAGGCGGCACCTCAGAGTATTCAAAGGGGGCTGTAAATCGTCGGGTATTAACAAGCTTCGACAAGGAGTCTCCAGGGACAGTGATGGATCACTGCTGTTATTCTTGTGGTAAGTCAAGACTTGTTCTACTTGTTATGTCGAGGCTTCAACCTACTGTACCACGAGGAGCAAATTCTCACAAAGAGTTATGCTGACGGTTGGTGCCTACAACAGATACAGATCAACAGCATATGGGAAGTCATCAGGAGGCACGTGGTGGTTAGGAAAGGCGCGAAAATACGATTGGATTCACGTCGAAGCTGAGGTTTCGGCGCCGAGAGGGATGACACATATATCTGGTTATTTCTACGAAGGCATACCATCCCTGACACTTAATAACATCCATCTACGAGTCAAAGGAGCGAATACCTGGAGCTTCATGACGAAATAGGGGTAAGGGACGAAGCGAGGGCACGGACTATGTATTTCAAGATGCTATAGTGGATCCCGTTCCTGAGATGGAGACAACATGGCTTGGATACCAGACCCTTAATATCTCCGCCAAAAGAGACGGCACATACCCGATGATAAGGACAGAAAGAGAGATAATAGTTGGAAGAGAGCGAAGTATCAGAAGAAGCTCAAGGAGTCCAAAACTCATGTAGTCAGGGGACGATTGATCACACAAGAGAGGGAGCTCTGAAATCAAGCGCTATCGTTCAGTAGAGCTGCAGTCATCACTTTGGGTGTGGATCTGGGGCAGCGTTTTCGGTTCTGAGCAGAAGTACATTGTGCGTAAGGAGTCGTGCTGTCTTGGAAGGGTCAAGGTATGGCCCAGTGGCTTCCAACACCCTATGCCAGAGAAAGGAATCTTCCATTGACTTCTTTGGTTCTTTATACAGATCTTCTACCTCTTCCTTTCACTGAACAGCGACGCTGTACGGACAGCCATTCACTCACAATGCCATCCACCTCCCATCTAGCACCAGATCTACCCAAAGAAAGGATCTAGATGGATATATTGGACTGAAACTCCACAGTTGGGAACAGCGCAGAGTCCAGCTTACCCCAAACTATGATCTATGAAAGAGTATAGGTGCTGAGTGGACACTATGGACCAGGCTGAGATACTTAGTACCATATTTGTAGTTCGTGCCAACGAGGATATAATAAGAGACGTGACTGCGTTGTTTGAACCTCCATTGTCGACATATGCTTTTGCTATAGGTAAACAATCATCGCGACCTCAATTATCCACCACCCCACCAGAAGACAGAACTCTGCCAGCTTCTCAAATTATTTTCTCACCTTGTGTAAATTCTTTCCATCCCATTAGCGCTTCTCATCTGCCAAGCTGCCTTTCGACATTGGATTTCTCTGTCTCTATCACTTGATCTTCACTCATCAGTTGCGCGAGGATATATTGTGCAAAGACTCGAATTGTAAATCATTGAAACAGCAATTCATGCTGCCAACACACAAGATAATCAGCTAGATATAGCTTCTATACAATAGGAAGTAGTCCAAACCACACGGAACTCTCAGCACTTTCAGCCAAACGCTACAGCTTATCTCAAATTATCTTTCTAGGCTGAGCAACTCTTGTTGGCATTTTCAAATTACCACTATAATCTCAGACGACAAGTGACCTTACCAAGTCCATTTTCGTCTTTGGGCCTGAGCAGTCGCTGCTCTAACCTGAGCTGAGCCCTGAGTCTTGAGCACCCTAATGAGTCAGCTGGGTTATGCTCAGGGGGATTCTCTTCTGGCTCCCCTCGCGATTCGGTTACAGTTCCTATGTTATTTATGCATAGAATTTTGCAGGTTCCGTTGCCTATAACACAGCCACCTCTTTGAGCCTATCAAGTTGTCGTGATGGTATCCGTTCTCGCTCCCCTGTCACACTTATCACGGGTCCTTGGAGCCGATTTGGATCCCCAGCAGTCCGTCGCACATAACTCGGTGAGTTTAACTGGGTAGTCCTCTATGACCAGTCTCCGCGTAGCCCTCTGCATTCGCTTATCTCCCTACACGCGAAGTAAAAATTTCCTGTCTTAGAATTTTTCACACGCCGTCAGCTATCAGCGTCATTTTTGCTACATCACGTGAGGGTTGTTGATATTGTGCCTCAGGATCGTATTGGCATTATTGAACGTTGAAGGATCTTTAAGAAACGACTGAAGTGGGAAGGACAAGCACTTCTCCAGGTCCCCTACAGCTCAGAACAAACAATCACTGAGCACTACAAACGAATACCGTACACGTACTCGAGTAGACACACTTGGAGCTGCTGTTTGAGATTTGGTTCCACCTCAAATCCGAGGATGACAATAATAAATAGGATTTGATGATCGCTAGCTAGTTCAGACAGTCAGCAGTGAATAATGTTTGAGTGCATGCCAGTGATTGAATTTGTCCCAACAATTCAAAACGTCCTTGAGCACAGTTTCTTTTGCAAAGCCTGGAAGCGGAAATCGTTATTCCTACTCTTGACACCGCCAATAGCTTTGATTTGTCCCTGGTAGGAATGCTCCAACTTTGGCATCCTTCCCTTGAGAGCCCAGGTAGGTTGCTTCTTCATCTCTGCGATGTCCTCCTGATACAGAACTTGAGAGACTTGAAGATATATATATAGGGTGCGGAGTCGAAAGTAGCACAGACTGGCTTCCTGGTGAATGAATCATGCGAAATACCAAGGAATGAAAGTCCTGATGGTTTATTCACTTCTATGAAAATGAATAGGAGGAAATGGATGGAGTAAAAGTATAGAATTGAATTTTAATGCTCAATCTTTTACACAAAGAACATTTGTTCGAGGAGTTCAAGGACTTGGGTAAATGTCGTGTTTTTGGAGATTGAACGAATTTTTAGCACGTACTTCTCCAAAGTCCTTTTGATACTTGGAAATCATTTATGATAATTTTTGTGAATTGTGATAGAGCCGAACTCTGGAAATCCCAGGTCCTTTGCATTTCTAAGACAATGGAGGGGTAAAGATGAGATAGAAGATGATCTTGGCCTCGCTCATGATTCGGATTCGGTATTATAGACAGAAAAGGACTCATGCTCTGAGTACAAGTACAAGCTACCGGTTTCTGTCTAGAGAGACGTATTGAGGGTTGTCACCTCTTGCTGCGTTATCCGACTCGTGCACCGACTTCTCCTTCAGTTAATGTGGTTAATTAAGTATCAACCTCTGCTTCATGCCACTGACTAACATGTCATTCGACTTCAGATGTGACATCAAACCAGGGAAATCCAGATATACTAAATGGTCTGACCTGTAAAATAACCACTCCAAAGCATCAGCGACGGCATTGACCACTAACCCCCCACGCGAAAAACGAACTTTCTCATTAAAGCGAGCGAAGAGACACCCGCTGCGGAGATGAATACTTATGCCCCTACCTGTACGTAGGGACAACCATCTGATCTTGATGCTTTCAGCCAGAGAGAGTGACAGTGCTGGTATCTTCGATGTCGGCAAATTTGGAAATAGGCGAGCTCTCTAGCAGAGACACAACATCCATGGAATTTATCGTCAACCCCTTCTACTAAGGTCTGTAGCTACTCTCAACGATATACGAGGTCGTAAAATGAAATGTGCCTGGGTCCGCGATATACTCATAAGCCCAATTCTTCAAGTCTCACACTTCTGAACTTTATTCCAAGAGAAATAAATTTAAGATAGTAAGAGATTCATTAATTAAGCACCAATGTGTATGAAAGGACACCACGATATAAATCTCTCAGTTTTCCTTCCTCTCCGCCAATTCTTTACTGCGTCGTCTAACGCATACGCTATTGCATCGTTATTATTCTCACCAGCTTGAAGATGCTTGGCCAAAGACTCATAGAACTTCGGTGCCACTATCTCAGCAATCTTATTACTCACCGGCCATAAGCTCCCAATGACATGCGGAAAACCGACAAGTTGAAATGCACTTGCGACATGAATTGATTCCTCCACCAGTTGATCATCCACACTGTTGTCGGCGGTTGAGCATGCAGAGAGATATGCGATTTGAGCTTGATCGAGGGACATTGCTGCAAGATCGCGAACTCTGAGAAGATCCTTACCAGCAAGTCGAAGTCCACTGCAGGAAGGATTCAAAGCATTAGACTCGCCATGGCATGCAAAATGTACGATGCTAGCTGACTGAAGTTTCGAACGGACCTCTTTTTGGAGCGGAATTTCAAGGGATGATACAGTGTTACCCTGCGACTCGAGGTGCTTTTGCACGGCTTTAACCTCTTTCGCAACATCTAGGGAAAACAGGCCTTCCGTCTCAGGCATGCTTACGATAAGGCATTCACGACTTGGCTCAAGTAACGATTTAAACATCTTCTGTCGAGCATACGCTAGAGCCCTGAACGTCGGCACGTAACTGGATACGACGTGACTTGCTGTGTTCTCTCGAGAATTTCCCCAGTTCGAACCTGCAGCATGAAGAGGTAATAGTCCCATGGGTCCGCTAGTAACCCACCATATACGGGGCAATTTTGCGGGTGGGTCATTCGATATCAACCCTAAACAACTCAGAACAGGTTCCACAGCAAGTTTCCATAGCTCTGCCAAAATCTCGCGTAGCCTCTGGTTCCTTTCGCTCGTCTGACTTTGGTTCCCAGAAGCAAAGATCTCTTTCTTTCGAACGAGCTCAATAACGAATTCTTGAATCTTGTCATATTGAGCAGATAACTCCAAGCATTGGATGCCATTGCGAGTGACGAGAAAAGCATCACATCTTTGCGATGTGGTGTTGAAGCATACAATAGGACCAAACTCCGCTAGACTAACAAGCTCGGCATGTGGCAGTGGTTGTTGAAAGTGCTCAAAACCCTCCAATGACCGGATCTCTTCTGCAAGCTTGTCAAATTCACGAACCTTGCGGTTTCGCTGAGAGATGGCAACAGTTGTAGATTCCTCCGCAGATTTCTCCGGCTCACTACCCAATGAAATATTTGACGAGATTTCATCTTGCAATGTCATGTACCGCTTGTACAAGTCCGCATGTTGTTCTTTCAAGGCAGAGACGTCGGATCTTGAATCGATTGTCAGACTCGCCATCAGTCCTCGGCCAGATTCCAAAGCGACAAGGGCATCTGACGCAGATTTTCCGCTTTTCATAACACTGACCGCTGCCAGGGAACTTAAACCTGATAGGTGCCGAATGACAAACTCCATGTCGTCTCTTGACAAAGTCCGAGGATTTAGTCGCGGCCACACCACCTTGATTACGTGCGTATATATTCGCGCAGCATTAATGCAAGCAATGCGCTCACGCGAAAACCTCATCGAATACTCGGCGATCTTCTTAGCTATGCGAATAGTCGTTAGAGGCGGTCCATTTTTCACCTGGATAGCCTCCGCGTACTTATCAATCCCCTTGTCACAATATCTGTGATCTATGCCATAGTTGTAGTTGTGTTTCGCCATGATCGCATCACCTAGGCGTTCTAACGCTTCCATCTCCAATGGGTCCCCTTCTGGGAGTTTAGGTCCGTGTCTGGTGGCGCTGATCGCCGTCGCGATATTAACGCGATTTGGGAAGTCTTGAGCTCGAATAACATACTTGCACACCATACTGCACCAAGGCTTTCCACGATCAGGATCCCGAGCCTCCCTTATATCATGCGATTTGCGTGATATCTTTATAGATTTCTCCAAGTCTTCCTTGCCGTGGAGCCTTTGGTACCGATCCAAATATCGGTCTCCTAAATCGCATAGTAAATGGCTCTTGTTGGGATGATGTTTCGGTAATAGCGCCAGCGCGGACTCCATCTTCTCGATCGCCTCATCCAAGTCGGTGGTGATTTCCTTCGTCCTCCGAAACCGACTTGCTTTCATGTTGCCGAGTTCGCCGTTGAAAAGGGCCCAGTCAGGATTATCTTCATTCACCAACGTTATCGCTGTGCCCATCATTGAAATCGCAGCGTTTAGGTCGCGAATACTCGAGAGTCTCTGGTCGCGCATCTCGAGCTTAATAGCGACATTCCGCATCAGCCGTCCTTTCAGATAAGCTTTTTCCTCAACATTCATAGTCTCAGAACATTTCAAAGCTTTTTCAGCATACTCGATTGCCCGGTCAATGTCGTCGCCGTAGCCACTTCGCTCAAATCTCTTGGCACACATATTGCCTAGGTTGGTCAGGCGGTGTGGTAGGCTTGGATGGCCTTCAGGAGTGTCACGCAGCACACGCACAGCGAGTGAGATAGCGAACTCCAGAAGCCCGATATCTCCAACACGTGCGAATTTATACTCTTGTAAAATGCTCCACTTGCTCCAACGTCGCAACAATGCTGGGCTCCCTTCCTCTGACGTGAAACCCGGGCCCATCGTTCTAGCAATTTCGACGAGGGCAGCCTCGGAATCCAAAAAAAGCCGTCCGGGTCGTTCATTCCACCTCCCAAAAAGTCTGAATCTTCGACATCTTGCCATGTACAAGTCACTCAGTTTCTCTGCGAACTCTGCTGAATTGGGATTATTGCGCGCAGCTCTCTTGGCGTCGTCCAATCTATAATCGTCCATAAATGTCCATGGAGCGAATGGCTTCTCCAATTCAAAATGCACATTGGTAAGCTCTATGTCAATTGGCTCTTCGGGGGGGTCTAAGGGATTCGTTTGCGTTATCGATTTGAAAAATGATATCATGTTGGAAGTTGTTTGTCAAGGTGCTTGTTGTCTTCGTATTGTCGATCTAGCACAGCTGCTTGTGAAAGGAATGTCTCTGTACCAATATTCTTCTTTCTGCTACCTGGAATTTTTGAGAAGAGTCTCAATAATCTCTTCGAATATCTTGAACAAATGAAATGCGTTTGTGGAAGCAGCGTGCAATTAATGTCACGTTGTGGCATCAGCTCGATGTTTGGTGTCACAATGTTGTAATTTGAGCTGCAGTAAGGTTCCAATCACAAAAATAGAACATATCTCACGAGAAGCGGGAACGCTCGCTGGCATCTACCCATTGGTCTAGGTAATAAATAAAACCGCCACATTATTACTATTGGATATATTTTCAGCTGAACCAAGGACAAGTGACAGTTTGTGCTGCTCTCGCATTGCTTGACCTTTCCTTCCGAGTTGTGGCATTTGCTCATTTGCTTTAGGAAGCCTTATGGCTTTATCAATAATGCGCCTCTTCAGGGCCGCCTTAAGAATCACGAATGATGTTGTGAGCGCTCAGATGCAGACGCCCCGCCGGAAGCCATGCTATGATGCATCGAGCCTTGTTAGGTCGGGGCTAAGAAATACATCGAAATTTGAGAAGAGAATCTAAAGACTCAACACTAGCTGTCGACCATCCCGGGCGGTATTTCCATCAGATCATCGATCTCCACAGTACAGCGGCAAGAATCTCGATGCTCTCAAGGGTCTACTTGCATTTTTTATTCCTTACCTGCTATCGCAGAATCAATAAGCAATAGAAAAACTGCTTCATGTCCCAAGTCTCCCTACCACCATCCAAAAAACCCACTTGACACCAGGCTAGCAATCCATCGATAGCCGAAGACATAATCTAGCTTTGGCATTTTCATAATGGCAAACAAATACTTCCTCCCAAACATCGCTCCCTTGCACACGACCATTCGTCTCGGTAGTCTCATCCCCAACATTAGTCAACCAGACCAAGACGCCTTCACCGGCCTAACCCTCGAACCCGGCACTGATTACTTCATACACCCACAAGCCAACCTCGGAAAACTTATAAAAACGACCACGAACAAATCCTTCGCGTTACAAGTCATACAACTCCTCACCAGCTCATTTTCTAAATCAAACAGCGATAGCCAGTGGTTGGAAGAGTGCGAAGTTCGTCATTACCAACTTAGACAACCGAAAGCCTTGTTTAAGAAGACGTGTGAAAGTGACGAGGCTAAGGAGTGGCTACAGAATGAGGTTGAGTACGGAAGTCGAGCTGTGTATTTTACTGTCGGGTATTATACTGCGGTCGATGCGACAGTTGGCCGGTCGTCGTCTTACACTTCTCAAACTTCCCTTGGGGTCCAAGTCCCCATTGCGGATATCGCGAGCATGGGAGCAACTCTCCCGCTGGGTGGTTTTGCGGATTTAAACGTTGGCGGTGAGGTAGGATATGGCAGGGCCAATATACTAATGGATAAAGCGCGTATGGAGGGGGAGAGGATATATGCTATTTGCTATAGGAAAGTGCGGTTTAGTTTTTGGCCCTGGAAGGATAAGCTTGAGAGTCGGAAATTAGAGGAGGGGAATTTTTGGCGTATGACTTCGGATAATAGGGGAGATGATGATGGGGAGAACGATGAAGCTTTGGAAGTTGTAATGGAGGATTTAGATGAGGAGGATGAGGACAACGTGAAGGGGTTTGAGGTTTGATGGTGGTGTAAGGCAAGAAATCTAGCTCCGCACAACTTGGATGCAAGGGTGCTAATTGAAGCCCCTCATTATGTAAAATCCCAGGTTACTCGCAATCTCCTTTTCTCGCGAGATACTCAGATGGCGCGTTTAGCCTACTTCGGGGAGCAGGGTTCTCGCTTGGCGCCTCAGGTGCTCATCTAGCTTCTAGAGATGCCTGATCGTTTGCTGTAATTGCTCGCGGGTAATCGCACCTCCCCACACCGTTGCTTCTTCCATGACCTCTCCTTCTCAGGGACCTACCTCGTTGCCAAGAGGTATGGTCAGGTTATAGTAGGTATGGTGCGAGTGGTTACGAAAGACAAGGCCGTTGGAGAGAGGTACGAGGAGGGTAGAGGTGATCATGAAGTGTTGTTGAAGAGAGGGGGAGCAAAGCGAAGGCGTGCTAAGCGCTGCTCATAGTAGACGTTAGTGCCTGGAGAGTCTAGAAGGTAAGGGGCCAGTAGCGATCTAATAGTAGCCACGGCTCTCCGCCAAGTCGCTCCTCTCTTAATCATAACTCATCAAACATAACCCCGGAACGCATATTCCCAGGTGGAAGTGGCATTCAAGGCTTGGAGCTGTATCCTTCCTTGATAAAACTTTCTTATTAACACTCCGAACTTCGATAAGACTCCTACGGCTGCAGTAGCTCTCGTTACAAACTGGTTTCCTAGAGGAAAAATGCTTGCAGAATAGTGACAGATCGGCCGTATCTTCAAACAATTGCGAGGGAGTGACGTCGGAGGTCTAATCCGTGAACTTGTCTCGCAACAGTATGCGTCTCTCTATCCAGGGACGAACAATATATCACAAAATAAATCTGCCTTAAGATTAAAACGATAGATTTTTAGGGGGTTCTTGTTTGGTTGCCTAAGAGCCGACTTGGTCACCCTAAACATAGTCGTGTAAAGTTGCCAACTTTCGCACGGCAGAACCGAATAGTAAGTATATTATGATTAGTCACTAGAAGCGAGAGAAGGAACGTGATTGAGCAGCCTGAGTAGAGGGTGAGGTGATGGTGAGTAGCGCCTGAGCAGAGCGGCGACGCCAACTAACCGTGTTAAAAGCGAATGTGAACAAATGTCGTCTGATATTTCCATAGAAATCAAGAATAGCACAATTAGTGACACAACTACTGGCATCGATACAGTATGTGATGCCGCTGATCCTGGACCAGTCCGTATATTATTCGTAGCAGCCCCACCCAGATACCAACTCCCGATGCTAGTCAAAAGCCCACCCGTTGTTAACATCGCAGCATTCAGACCAACATTGCTTCCATAACTTCGAAAAGCCTCAAAATAGGAATATCGCTCGATAAAGCTGGTGCCATCGAGGTACTTGGCAGAAATATTGAAGAAATCTTGGGTGGTTTGGAGTGATTGGTGATCGTAGGTGTACTCGGTGATCCAGATTGGTGTATTAGGATACCTGGGCTTTTGTTAGCTTTACCAAGCCGCAAGACCGCGGAGAGTGAAGCTTACGCAAAGACCACGCTTCCAACATAGGTTGTGAAGTCCTTGTAATCACCGTAGAAGTGCAGCGGGATGAAGTCTGGATTGCAACTCGTACAGTTTCCGTAGAAGTTCGCCAGCCAGGGCAAGCTCCTCTGTGTGACTGCTGGGGCCACAGCCTTAATTCCCATTTGCTGTAGAGGTACAATCTCTCTTTTCCAGGTTTGTGCTGCTAAAGAAGCATCCATGCGTAAACGGTCCATCTGGCTCATTGAAGGTAAGAACATGCTGTATATCCATCCCATTGAAGATCAGGGACTGAACCGTGTCAGAAAATGTGTTGTCTGAGGTGTTTGTTGGTGCGCCCCACATCATCGGAATGAATTCGAACTTCGATTGGGAGATGTTGGCATATTGAGGTGACGGCTGTGCCATGTAATTGTAATACCAGGTCAAATCGCTACTTGGCTGAATCCAGTACTGATCGTCTGCAGGGAAAGGCTTCGCTGGGGTGAAGACAAGACCTCGTTTTGAGGATCTTTCGAATGTTGTGGCAGGGAGAGCTGCCAGCAGCAACTGCAGGAATATGCGCATCGCGACGATAAGTATCTGGCAAACGTTCAGCAGATCCGGCAACCAGTCAATGGGGGAAATAGTACCTCGATTTAAGAAGGAGATAGTATCTCCAAACCTGCTCAAGCTCTACAGTGCAATTCGAGATCTGGACGGAAAGGAAGTGAAATAGAACTGGTAGCAAGGGAAAACATACATCAAACGGCAACTAGGGGACTAATCTCCACCCATGACACACCAAGGAGAGATAACAAGCAAACATTTAACTTTTTCTATACTGTGGCGTTCAGAGACACAAAGCTGCGTGCTTTTTGCGGAGGTTTTCATAAGGCTTGCCGAATTCGTAGCTGGTTCGGTAAATAACCGAGTCTACCCCTGCGGAAATAGGGGGCTTAATGTGGCTTGCACAATCACTTTTCAGGGGAAAGTCATCGAATTGTGGCTCTCGTGTCTCTCTGTAATTTTGAAATCTCTGCGTGTTTTTCATTTCTCTTTTTTTGTGTGAGTAGACAGGAATCGTGTTGAACAATATAAGCTCAGACCATCAAATAACCACCCTGAACGCTCACACCCGCAGCTTATCCAAGAATGCCAAGTTGCACATCACCAGGAGCAGGCCGTGGAAGATTGTTTGGGTCCAAATTGGCAGCCGCATCCTTTGCCACAGCAACATCAATACCCAGCCTGATGAACAGAGGTTCAAGTTCCGCGTATCTCTTCATCGCAAGTCCAACATACTTGGAACTGAATTCAGCCCTTCTAGCCTTTATGGTTTCACGGAAGCGTCCTTCAAGCCATCGTAGGTCAGCCGAGTCATGGAACTTAGCACGAGTTGCTGCTGCACGAAGCTTTCCTTTGAAGAGATAGACGGGATCGAGGAATGGCGCTGTCCCATTCCCAAGACTCGCACCGTTGATGGCGACCGCGTTTGGTTGGACGTTGCTCATGGAGTAGCGAGCCCCTATACATTTTCGATCTCATTAGAACACAGGCCATGAGAATAGGCTTTAGACTGACACATATCGCTGTGTAGGAATAAAGAACTGACCAGGAAACTGTTCACAGAATATTTCCACTAGTACTGCATTGCTTCGATTTGGGGTGTTCGACCACAGGAATGCTACATAGTCCTCGCGCGTCTGAGGGACCGCAACAAATCCAAGTTTCCCATCGAACAGGCTTATGACCGCCTGTTTCGAGAGCGCAGCAACACAATCAATGTCCTTGCTTTCACGTTGGCCACCAAGGACAGCAATGGCATATCCGCCAAAGATCCCAAATTTGATTCTTGCGTCGCTCAAGACCCGAGATAAAGCAATTGCGGCGTCATTGAGGCGATCTTGAAGCATTGTTGTCTTCAGGTGTCTACTCTGTCGTGGGAATAAAGTTTCGAGTTCCTGTTTGACACAGAAAAATAATATATAGGGAGTATGTGCGTTGAGCTAGATCTGTCTATGAGATTGAAGAAATGTTCAGGTTAATTTCTAGAATTGCTCCAAGCAGAGTCTCCTTCTTATTTGTACCGCACCAGCCATTTTGGTACATCTTTGTGCCTCGCAGAAGTTCTCCAACAATGATGTTGGTGTTCGGGTTGTTGGTGTTTGGGCCACTAGTGTTTCGACCTGTTTCTAGATTGCCGCGCGCAACGACCCCGACGAAGGACACACGAGGCCCAAATTTGCCGCTGAGTAGGCGGCTAGCTGGAAGGCATGAATTCCGCCAGCTTGTAAAGGTTGCAGGCAAACCTGAAAGCCTGACCGTCTATCGAAGCCGCGCCATCGGATGTTCTATATGGCGGGTGTATCGATGTTGCTGACCTGAATCACCAAGTAAGGTGGGCCACATGGTCGCATTCAAGACAGACGACAATTTTGGTTGAAGAACCAAAGATAGTAGCGCATGCCTTAGCAACTAATCTTCTGCATGTTCGAAAGCACACTACGCTATTTGCTAAACAATAAAAAATGTTGGAATAAAAGATTTTGGGTTGTAATGCGAGCAAAGTGTCCCGGCATACAACAAAGGATTACCACTGGTTCTTGATTAAATGGTGATGTAATGATGAAATTCAGACAGTGCGATCTTTCATAGAAACAGAAGACAGAGATCCAGATCAGACCGCCCTTTCCAAGCACTACTCGTATCCAGGAATCCGTCGAACTCTCTCCACTTCGTCCTCATTTGCAATGAAACAAGTAATCGTGTTCTCCGAGAAATCGTCCAACCGTGAGGTCTTCCCAGCAACTAGCCTGCTTGACATTTCGAGCACTGCGGAGCTGACACCGCTCAGATTCCTGTCGCACCAGCCATCATCCAGATCCATCCCATCCACCAACTGCTCTGCGGCAATCATGGCAACATCGTCATGCGACTCCAGAAATCTCCGGCAAAGTCCAACCAGTAGTACCGGTAGTCTAGGTATTGGGAGCTGATTAATTTCCGCTGGTGGGATGAGATCCATGATTTGGCTGCTGTACGATGGGTTTGACGGAACTTTGTCTCGGGAAAGTACGTTCTTGGAGATTGGATTGAGACCATAGATCTTATCTCCAAGAATTACAAGGGCACTGGATGGAGATATCCACGATGAAGATCGTAATCGGGGGCAGCCTCGTTTGTACTCATTGTACAGATCAAACTCCTCGATCTCGTCGGGCTCGAAGAGACCTGTCCCGCGGAGAAGTGATGCGGCCTTCAGCACCATGTTCTCTGGCACACATATCTCGATATCCTAAAGTAATGTCAGTGGCAGGATTGCAATAGTGTCGGAGCTGGATTGCTTCTTTACGTGGAGGACTCGAGGCACATTATAGTAGTTGAGTGCTAGCTCTCCTACAAGACATGTAGGTATGCCGGCATGTCCGAGTATTCGAAGAGCAACTTTCAGTTGTAAGGCTTCCATTGTTCCATCAAAATCCAGATGTAACATAGAACACGGCCAGCGTCCAGGACAAAAGATAAAATGGGAAGAGAAGGACAGGTCGAATGTCGGCGCTTGAAATGTTGCGAGCCCTCTAACCGAGCCTATGAGGCTAAGCGCATCGCGTGGCGCTAAAACGTGGCGCGTACATACCTACCTCGTAGCTTCATTCGTCTATCTTTCAACCCAAATCATCCCCTGAAAGCCTGCTGAGTGGTGGCAGGGTAGGAAAAGATAAATCTATCTATGCTGAAGTGTTCACTATTTCTGTACACTTTAACACAGATTCCACACACGCCGGACTCACAGCTCAAAATCTCCTGTCATGAACAAGATCCGCTCGTTCCTCAGCAAATCCTCCCTCTCAGCCTTCCAGATCTTATCCGACCTACACCTAGAGGTCGGCCAGCAATACACATCTTTCGTAATTCCCCCGTCAGCTCCATACCTCATTCTTGCAGGTGATATTGGTCGTCTCATTGACTACGACTCGTACCTGGCATTCCTCGCCAAACAGGCTGCACAATTCGAACAAGTTTTCCTCGTCCTTGGAAACCATGAATTCTACGGTCTCTCTTTCCTTGCAGGATTAGAAAGGGCGCAAAAGCTAGAAAATGAAGTAGTCTTGGATGGAAAGTTAGTATTGCTGCATCAAAGGCGTTACAACACCCCAAACTCCGAGGTCACGATTCTGGGCTGTACGCTCTGGTCCAGAGTACCTGAGAATGCGAAAGAAGTGGTTCGTGGAAAGGTCAAGGACTTTGAAAAGATTGAGGGATGGACCGTGGACGATCATAATGCTTCCCACGAGGCTGATCTCACGTGGTTGCGCCATCAAGCTCTAGAGATTCAGCTGCAGAATAAATCGAGAGTGAAGGGTGAGCGGGGTAGGAATATACTTGTTGTCACGCACCATGCGCCTTCGATGCAAGATACATCCAGCCCGAGGAATGTTAGCAACCCATGGAGCTCTGCATTTGCGACTGACTTGCTCGAGGACCCAAGTTGGGGTGAAGTGAAAGCGTGGGTGTTTGGACATACTCATTTCACGACACAATTTGTGAGGAATGGAATCAAAATTTTAAGTAACCAGAGGGGATATGTACTTCTTGGCAGTAGAGAAAGGGAAAGCGTGGAGAAGGATGGAATGAGGGTGTTTGATGTGAGAAGGGTGGTACATGTGTGATGTTAAACCTAAGCCAAGTATCGATATTCAAGACACGAAGCATATGCAGCTTCATTTCCATTACCTCCATGCCCTTAGTGCGGTTCAGATTCTCAAAATTTTCAATCTGTTTAGTTCAAAATATTGGAGACAGGATTGTAGGATTACAGTTTGAACTACTCTAGCTTCAAGAATAGATAAAGGACGTGTGTCAGCCTGGATCACATTCAAATAAAGATCACGTCCTGACTAAAGTGGTCAGCTGGAGTTAACTCAGAGCTTGGACTCTTGGAGAGCCAGAATAGGGGATACAAATACCATTTAGAGTGACGTGTCCCTCTGGCTCCTTTGGCTACTCACCCTGGCTACTTGTAACAATAGATAAGGTGCTCAATGATTGAGTTGAACGGCCACCCTGATTAAGTGTGTGAAAAGTGAAGTTGGAGATTGTCCTCTAAGATTATCACAAAGATGCATGATTATCTAGCTCCCTATAGCATTTGTTTTTAAAGCAAGAAGTGTTTTCACCTAACCTATGTTGGATAAATACAAACAGTATGCCAAACACACAAAAGTCAGGGCAACTCAAAATATTGGAGTCCTTTTGGATACCCCGAAGAAGTAAAATTTTCTCCGTTTGATGTTCAAGGCAAACATGCCTCTGCAAGTGCCTGCAATTCGGACTGTTGAACTGTAATTGCAGACTTGGAAATTCTCGGTCCTTGACTTGTTGTAAATTTTCTGGAACTGGAGAAAGACAGTGTGAGCGCCAGATACATATTGATATGGTTCCTATGAACGGTTTAATGGTTGTTTTCTAGGAGTCATTCATAGTTAGATGCTTGACCGCTCAAATCGTTTGATTGCTCGTGCCAAAGTGAGAAACCTTTAGGGGACTCATAGCTTCGCATGTATTGTTCTAGGAAATGAACAAAGCTTCTATGCCTGTAGAATTGATCTTGAGCGAAAAACCTCAAAGGGTAGAAACTTGGTCCTATGTAGATCAGACCAGCTTCAATCTGTAAAGTACGAAGTGACAGGACTTTCAGAGACGAGTGTGCACCATTGAAATCGATTAATTACTTGAGGTGAGTGACGTAGGTCTAACTTCAAGACTAAAGCAACGGGTATAAGCAAGAATCTATCTTTGAGAAGATTCACGTTTGAAAACAGATAGGTAGTGTCACCATTGTGATTCTCGGTACAAGCCGAACCTATTCACCTCTCAATACATCAGACGACTTCCAAAAACAGCGAGATAGTATTGAGCTAGTCCTCTTTTCGTTAGACCTATCTGATCTCTTGTTTAGCACACCAGAAGGCACCTATATAACAATCCTCTTTCTCAACAATCTCGACCTTCCAAAAACATCTCCGACACTGGACTTCAAAACTTGGGAAAACCTTTGGCAAGTCACCGCTATTGCCCTTCAGTAAAGAAAAGACTCCTCAAGCCATACATCATTCCGACAAACATCATGGCTCGTTTGACTCTTGCACTTGCTTTGGTTGCGCTGCTTTTCGCTTTTGCGACCGGCGAAATCACAACCGGCATCACCACCTTGAGCGATGATCACCACAGCCACTCTGCACATCGTACACGCCCACACCATACCGAGACTGAGGTTACTCACACTGGCACCGACATTCATCCACCAACTCCTTCGGCACGATGGTCAACTCTTGTTGCCCTCGACCCACCTCTTCGCTCGACGAGTACTATTGACGATCCATGGGTCCGGACCTTCACCTACACCTTTACTTTAGCTTCTGAGACTACTGTCATGACCAAGACTCGTACTCTAGGTGGAATCCCAAGACCAACTCCCCAAAAGGATGCTCGTTCTATCATCGATCCGCTGCCTTCTGCTCGTCAGTCGCCCAGTATTCAAGATCCAAATGTCCGGACCTACACCTTCACATTCACTGAAGCATTGGAAACCACGGTCCTCACCGAGACTCGTTTTCTAGGTCAACCCCCAAGACCTACAGCTCATGAGGATGCCCGCTCTATTATCGACCCATTTCCCTCCCACTGGCACATGTCGAGTGTGTTAACTAGTGCTGATCCCATCAGAACTCTGGATGCCCAAAATGATGCTCGATCTGTTCCCGACCCCTTCCCCTCACACTGGCACATGTCAAGTGTGTTGACTAGTGCTGATCCCATCAGAACACTGGCCACCCAAAAGGATGTTCGATCTATTATCGACCCATTGCCTGGTTACCACTCAACTGGTGTCCATGATCTACAAGTCCAGACCTTCACCCAGACATTCACTTTGGTATCAGAGACCATTGTCATCACCGAGACTCGTTACCTAGGTCAACCACCAAGACGAACCGTTCATGAGGATGTCCCATCAGGTGTTGATCCGACCCCTTCACCATGGACTTGTAAGTATCATATTTACTCACCAGAAAACCCCATACTAATTGGCCGCAGCATCTTCTCCAGATCCCAGATTTCCCACTTTGACGGCTCGTGAAGATATCTTCCCAATTACACCAACCAATATGCGACCTACACCTACGTCGATCCCATGTGTCAGCACTATGGTCGTGTTGCAGTCCCCTGCCAATTACGGCCGCACCAAGACTGTCTACACCTCAACTGCTACAGAGCTGGCTCTGTATGATTGCCATGGATGCCATAGCATGTCTGTTCAGACCATTCCTGAGGGACATTCCTCGGGACATCATTTCAGAAAGACAATCACAAGCAGCAGTGTCATTACTCAGATGACACAAGGTTGCCTCCCTTCTCCAACCACCTCAGCTTAGAATAACAATGCTTGCGTGTTTCTAGAATCTTGGAGAATCTTTGGACAGCGGCCTTTGGCGGTTGTTGGAAAACACACCGGGATTTAGGAAACTTTAGATGGCATTGTTTCTAGAGAGGCGTTATTGATATTAAAGAATAAAACTGGCGGAGCGCGGCATGAATGATAGACGTGCAATACAATGCAATGGATTTTACAAAAACAAACATCTCTTTGACGGTGACATGCAAGGGAATAGTATTATTTTGCAGTGGTAGGTACTTACTTTTCTGATGCGAGGGACTAAAAGTTGAAGCCTCGAATATCTTGCCATGGATAGCAAGAGATTTATGTCGGAGAACTTCCGGTTATCATTGCAGAATGCATTCCTTCTCCTATCAAGTAATCAAGGATATTGTTTATCACAAGAATATACTCCTCCCAATGCAGGCTTTTTGTCCCCAAACTCCATGTAATGCCGTGATCCCAGCCAGATAGAAACACCGATCCAGCCACTCCTTCGAAACAAGCACAAGTATTTTTCTGGCCCATTCTCAAAGCAAATCGAAGTCGTCCAACTTCTCTCTATACTTGAGAATGTTCCTCTTGATCTTACTACCATCCACCCAAGTGACGAAATCTTCCATACTTCTTGTCACCAGAAATGCTGTGTCCGTAATCGTCTCTGTACCAACTCTCACATGTCCCTGCTCTATCATCTTGGTCGCAGCTTGTACCGTTTCCGCCATTCGCAGTCTCGTCATCACGACCGGTAATCTCCTTCTACAGAATGCTGATACAGAAACATGGCGCTCAACTTCTGAGAGCTTTGCAGAAGATGCGGTCGAGGGCAGAAGTCCAATATCATTGAGTTTGGCAAGGAGGAGAGTCTCGTGCTTGTGTCTGAACGCTGAATCGGGAGGGAGAGCGGCAAGGCGGTGGGCCAATTGTTTGAGGTTCTATACGAATAATTAGCATAATTGAATCTTGATGTGATGTTTAAGGGACTGAACGTACCCCGCATATCCTAGAATACTTCTGATAATCTGCCGGCTTTTGAATGTTGTACCTTCGAAGTACAGCGGCTTCTCGGTGGTTATTGTCGCTCTTGTAAGTGGTGAAGTCGACCTTCTTGAGGAGCTTCTGCTCGTGATGCTTCAATTTTCTGACCATCCTGACCAAATTGGGCTGCTGTTCAAGTGGAAACAATTTTTGAATGAAGTCAAAATAAATTTGGACATCTGCGCCGGAAGCGGAGAAACGTCTTCCCGGCGCTAAGAATTCCAGGATTGCAGCTTCGAGCAACATGGACAATTTGAAGACGGCGAGAACATCATAGCAATGATGGCACCTCCACGATTTCAATGCCTCAATGCGGTGACGCAAGTCTCAAGACAAGCTCCAAGCTTGCGAGCTGCATTTTCGAGTTCGCGTGTCGTCCAAGCTGGTTTGTTGAAATCAGTCTACCTCCTCGACCAAGAGCTCACATTAAGCAGATCAACCTCCTCGCCCTTCAGCGACCAGCGACCTCCTCAGTGCTGGTGACGGCGCTCAGCCTCCATATCCTAGCATCAGACCAAACTTTTCGAATCCCATACAAGAACCTGCCAATCGATCACAACCAACTGGTAGCAACGTGCAACGTCTCCTTGCTTCACAGGCCCGTCGAGTAGCTCAGAGAGCACAAGATACGACAAGAATGTCGACTGCTGTGGAAGCAGGGCAGTATGGGAATGGTGTTGCCTTGACCAGGCAGATTACGAGAAGGTTTAAGCCGGGAGATGTTTATGCGCCGCATGATTTGAGTGAGGTTGAGATGGCCAAGTGGAAGAAGAGGGCGAAACCACAACATGATGTGTTCGACGTATTAGACTTTAAGCCACTGGATAACTACAGGGTACCTAATCTGGCATATTCGCATATGAAGTAAGAGGCTGACGAAGACTTTGCTGTAGAACTTTTCGATCATGTCAGAATATATGACGCCGATGGGACGAATAATCCATTCTAAGGAGACAGGGTTGAGACCTGTGAACCAGAGGAGGATTTCAAAGGCTATCCGGAGGTGTATTGGGATGGGGTTGATGCCCAGTGTCCATAGACATCCGGAGCTTCTATATAACACCCCGGAGAGAAGATCGCAGGTGCAGACCCCCTCGAGAACCGATGTGCCTTCAGTATATTAGCTATTCTAGGTCGAAGACTGGGGGACATAAGCTGGCCGATGTACATTATATGTATTGAATATGATCTATCAACTTAGAAGCATGGATCACATGAAGAAATCACTCGATAAAAATATAACTTCCCTGAGGACAATATTCAGTGAGACATAGTTGTGACCTCCACCGCTCAGCATCTCCAATAATCAATAAACCACATCTTCTTAAAGAGACGAGTAGTCCCTGGAGACTTGAATGATTGGGTCAAAATCAAAATCCATTTTCAGGCTGATCAGTTCTATGTGTAATACATTGTCTTCATATGATCCATGATCTACACCTTTAAGCCTTGAATTCTCTCTTCATGTTGAACAGCATGTGGCCCTCTTCTTGCTCTGTTCGACCCAGCTTCTCAAGCTCCTTCCAAGCTTCAGGGTACTTGCCCTTCGCCCACTCCTCAACCAAGTCTTTGCGGTTCTGACCTGGGATGGCGTTGTAGAATGTGCCCAGTCTGCAAGCAAAGGTCAATTGAAAAGCTCTCTAATTGTTTGGGATCGAGAGGAAAGTATCTATCATCAATCTGGAAAAAAGAAGACTCACGTGAGAACATCAACACTTAGCCCCAGCTCTCCAGGTACCTGCTCACAGACCTCTCTGGCCTCATCCAATTTGCCTTGCCCTGCTAATGCTCCAACATAAGCCGAAAACACCTTCCCCGTGACCTCAATCTCCATTTTCCTCATCTTTCCCCAGATCTCCCTTGCCCTCACATCCCCAAAGGGCTTCTGTGAACAAGCCCAGAACACGATTTCCAAGCTTCGATAACTTGGGCCTTCGTTTGAATTTGTGATGTCGTCCCAGAAATCGAGTGCCTTGTCTGCATCCTCGCACGCAGTGTATGCTAGCATTAGACTGTTATAAAGGGCAGTGGTAGGCTCGATATTTGAGTCCATTTTAAGCATATTGTGAACCATATCTAAGGCTTCTTGATCGGCACAAGAAGCGATACCTAAGAAACACTTGACGTATGTATCCAGTACTGGACGGCGGTCTGGCATATTATGGGCTCGCATATGTCCAAATACGTACGACGCCATGTCACAACGGCCTCGAGAAAAGAACTCGCTCATGAGAAGGGTACGCTCGGCCACAGTAGTCTCATCGAATAAAGGATGTAGAAGGGTATACGCAGTCCAAGAACGCATCGTGCTCGTCTCAGGCGAGAGACAGAAATCCAGGAATACCTCTTTGATTGAAGCCCGCTCTTCAGCAGTATAGTGGTACGATTCTGATTGGATCAAGTCAATAAGATCATCCTTTTCGTCTCGTGACAGATACAGTTTCGCGAGAGCACGCACTGTGTCGGCTTCGAGGCGTTTTTCACGCTCCGATAGATCAGACGTGATGGATACGATCCGGTGATAATCTACATTCTTGGCGGAACAGAGTGCGCGAATGTACTTGTTGATAGCAGGCAGGTCTTCATTGTTGATGATTTCTTCTCCTTGCAATAACTCATATGCAGCTTGAGCACCTCGAAAATCATTCGCATCAGCCCTGTAGCTCATTTGTAGAGCATACGTCTTGGCGTTTGGACGAATGCCAAATTTAAGCCCGACACTTATGTATCGCTCGGCGAGATAAGCATCGTTGAAAGACATTGCAAGTTCAACCAGGCCATTGATAGTTTCAGCATCGGGCTGAGTGGCTTCATCGTCTGGGTTTCGTCGAATCATTACTTCCATCATTCCTTCAACGTCTTCAACACCTTTTCCCCAGACGCCAGCTGCCCATTGGAGGACAACGTCCCATATCTGCTTTGTTGGTTCCTTCGCGAGAAGATCTCGAAAAATGTCCTTGCACCAGCTTAACTCGTCATTCCGAATGCAAAGCCTTCGAATCGTCTCCAGTGTTGGTACAGACGGAGCTGCACGATCGCCTGTTGGCATTAGTTTCTCGTACCATTGCTTGGTAGTTGCAATATCATCCTTTGCCGCATAAAACGAGACCATGATGTCCTGAAATCGATGGTTGTCGGCCAATCCGGCCTCCGTGGCTAGTTTATACGTTTCCAACAATTCCACTTCGTTATCTTCATTGGCGAAGCCGCGAAGGATCCGGTGCCAGAATTGCCATGGACTCGGTCCCTCGATGGCTTCTCTACCTTCTCGACCGGATTCTTCTCGAGACTGTGTTTGCCGACCCACCACCCGCTTTCTGGCCTCGGAAGAATTCCCAGTCTGAGTCAAAACTTCAACGAAGCATAGGAGCTCTATGTTTGTCTCGAAAGTCGAGTTCCCAGCACTGGCGTTTTCTGACAGACAGTCTTCATACAAGAGTCTTGCGAGCTCTACGTGAAAGGTCTTGTCATCTTTCGGCATGATCCGAAGCGCTTGGAGGGCTTTTCTCAAGTTCCCAGATCGCAGCCTCCTCTCCCCATCTTGGGCAGTTCGCAGATATTTATAGGTCCTGAGAGCATGTCCAGCCTGTACATGGTTGACCGCTTCCTTGTTCCTAGCCTTGTAATCAAAGAATGATCCCCACGCCTTGATCATAGCCTCCCTAGCTGGTAGCTGGGCTTTGATTCTTTCCCTTATGCTGAACTGCACCATCGCACTCAGTCCGGGGGCAAGCTGTGCATCTTTCGTCTCTCTGGCTGGCTTCTGAGAAAAGCCGAATAGTGTTCTTCGTGGGGGGGATCTTGTGATGGAGGTAGGAATGCATCGTTGGCGGACTCGAGGTAGGGAGCACTGAGATGGACAGCGGATTATGAGACCTTCATTCGAGAGAAGTTGTCGAAAAATACTTCGAGTCAATTGGGAGCGCATGGCCAAAAAGAAGGAATATTATGTACAATAACTATATCAATGATATCAACAGAATTTCAAAAGAGGCGATCGAACAGAGCGGCTTACGGAATCATGTCTTGAATTGCAAAAGACAGGAGCTTGGAGCTGTTGACACTTTTTCCCGATGAGCTGGAAGCTCCGCAGCTAAGTGGAGTACAGCAGCGTAGACTAACCTATTTGGAAACTGAGAGTCACGTGTTGATCAAGATATCTAAAACTCCCGTCCCTTTGGATTTTGGACATCACGAGTGGCGATCATAGAATGAATGGAAGGCAAAGTAAATTCAACTACATCTAGACAACATGTCAAGGAAGAAACCTCCGCTCCTTTCCAGATGAGTACCATTTCTCATCGCACACCTCCATGCTCCCTGATATGCCCGACCGCAAGACGCCTGTTGTAGTTCCAACCTCCCATAGCATTCGTTAATTCATTCATATCTGAAGATATCAGAGAAGTTCTCCGTCTTCATCGTCGCCACCTGCTCCTGGTTCACTGTCCCAATCAAGATCGTCAGCAGCAGCTTCGGCAGCTCTCTGAACTTCAGCTAGTCCACTGAGTTCCGTGATATAATCTTTCTCAGTCAAAGCTCGCTTGATGAATTCCCAGCCAGATCGCTTATACTCATCCACAATTTTGGGAGAACATGCAGAACAGCAGTCATAAGATTGACCACTGATCAACATGTTCTGGAAATTTGCGCCAAAGCCACGGATCTGATGTGGAATCAAGCCAAGCGGATGATTTGGAGGATCGCGTTCATAATCAACTCGACCCGAGGAACTTAGACTGGTAGCTATCTTGGGGGCAGGGGCTCGAGCTCCATCTGGGTGCTGTTGAATTGATGCAAGGAGCTCAACCAGCTGTGCTGACGCCATTGGAGCAACTCCCGGACGAGTCACGGTACACTGCTGGTCAAGTGTTTGATCTTTGACAGACTATATTTCGTTAGCAGCTTTCAAGATATTCAAAGGTGAGTTACTGACATCAGAAGGTGCCACAACATCGTTACAAAAGTAACAACCAAGAGCCGCAGCTCCTCCATCAGCGGCGAATACGCCATGTCTCATCACAACCCACGTGTCAAATCCTAGAGCAGCATTCAGAACGATCTTGTCTTTAGCCTTGCCCATGACGGTAGGAAGCCATCGGCTTTCACGTGTGTCCATGAGGAGGAATATAGCATCGTGGTCGTCCATCAACTTTTCAAGAGTCTCAAAATCGAGTCTCGTGCTCTGCTCATCAGTAATGGGATGACCAAGCATCGGAACTGACATAACAAATCCGGTGCTGTCTACGCCGGGGTAAACCTCTTGCAACGCTTCAGCAGCTCTATAAGCTTTCTTTGATCCACCATCGAGGCAATCTTTGAAATCGAACAAAGGCTGTCGAACAGGATTTGAAAACGACACAGTAGCATTGTCGATGAATGTAATCTTTTTTACTCCCCAACCCATGAGCAGGCGGCTAACATAAGTTCCCAAGGTTCCCGCGCCGAGGAGAAGGCACTTGGTCTCTTTGATCTTGTTGAGATCGAGATCTGGAGCAATGCGCCACTTCATGAGCTTCAGGTTCAAATCAACAGCCTGATGAGCTATTTGTGTAGGATCCATGTACTGTGCCAGATTGATGACCTTGTAAGTAAGCTTGTTCGCACTGTTCCGTTCCCATCCTGTAACCCTGGGCATTACATCTGTCTGTGGACCATCCTCGTCGGTTTCTAGTTTTAGAATGATGCTTCTTGCTTCATGTCTCTTTGCTTGAATGTCTCGGTAACATAAGATCTGGACTTTACTGAGCTTGTATCGTCTTCTGATCAATACTAAAAGATTCCGTAGCATCCAGCCGGGATTCTCGGCATAAGTTGACGGATCAACAAATGCGACATATCGATCCTCCTCGGGTATACCGCGGAAGAAGCCACTTTCGAATTGGCGAAGGGATCCAATGGTCCATGTGTATCCTAGTTCATCTCCTGGGGTGCCTGGTGTGGTAGATTGATCGTGAGAATGGGGAATAGAGCGGACTTTCTTAGCCAGAAAGAATCCGTGCTCTCGATTGTCAGTGCCATATCGCCAAGTGCCCACCTCGTCGACGAGAGCAACCGACTCCTGAGAAGTCAGCTGACTCGGATCCTCTAAATCTATTCGCCTCCAAACCGGTTCTGAATGAATGGCTGGAAATGCAAACCAGTACGTGAAGGTGTACTTCTTGAGATTCGCAAATGAAAGAATTGTGAAGGATGAAAGAAGGGAGGGGATTGAGTAGATGGTGCCATCGTTAATAGCATCCCATATCTATATTTGTCAGCTTTCCCAGTTTTATTTTGTCTATAATTATTGTTCACACGTACTTGTTTTCCGGCAGTGTGTAACATGGCCGCCAAATCGACGTTCTTGAAATCCTCAATTGTGTTCACATTTTTGATCTTGCCCTCAGCTCGAATATAGCCTGCGGGGACACTTTGACAGTCAGCAGTGAAGTGGTAGTCCCCAATATCTGACTTACTCTTTACTCGTCAGAGCATTCCCGAGGACTTGCATGCGACAGCTCTCAGCAGGCAGCTTGGTCGCTCGCGCCTCGTACAGGCCGAGTACAGGTCGGGCGGAATCGTCGAGCTTATCGACATCGATCTTGAAGTTGGAGAGGGAGGTATAAAAGGGCAATTCTATGTCTGACCCAAAAGGGGCAAATTTGAGAGCCATCTTGGAATATGCGCCGATGTTCTTGATACTTTGGCGGGGCACACAACCCTTTCCCGAGGAAGAGATAGCTTCAGTTCCGAAGATGCGACTTGTGATTTTCAGATGAGAGGATTGAACGTTACAAGAAGCAAATGTAAAGAAGCAAATGATTCCCAGAAATTGTGTTGCCTTGTGGAGATCGAAACAGTCATGGGATGTAAGGATCAAGTGAGATGGTCTCACGTGCGGGAAGTGGGAGGCTGAAGTCGAAATGCTGGCTAAACCTCGGCGTGATGCGGCATGACGCGGGAAACGCGTCTCTTTTCACTGTAACCGCGACGCGTTCTTATACTTCATTTCTCTTTGATATTCGACATTGACAGAACATTCACACCGCAATCAATTCTGAAAAATGCTGATCGGACTCTGCGGAGGTATTACTTGCGTCTCATATGGTTGCTAAAAGCAATAGCTAATCACTCTCCAGGCATATGTGCCGGCAAACGGACAGTTGCCAACTACCTCGTCCAACATCACGGATTCACACATCTTTACCTGCGACAAGACACAGAAAATGCGGATATCCTGAAAGCACTAACTATCAACGGACATACCAAGCAAAACTCTGATGTATCTTCGAGAACCCTACCAGATCAGCCGACAGCAATTGAGGACCAAAGCACATTTCGAAATTCGGAAGAGCTGCTAGACTTTGTAACAAAGCGATGGCGTGAACGATGGGTCACAACTGATATCCACACCGAATCAATTCTCGACAAGCTTCTGCGGCGGCCGTTCTTCATCCTGGTCAGCATTGATGCCCCGGTCAGTATCAGATGGAAACGTTTCCAAGAACGACTACAACGGACACATTCCTCGTCTGAAAGTCTCACTCTTGAAGAATTCCTCCTCAAATCCGACGAACATCTGTACAATCCAAACTCGGGCCTATTACCTCTAATTTCTCGGGCTACCGTTCGGCTGCTCAATACTTCTTCAGATCTTGCACATCTGTATGCGACGTTGGGCAAATTGGACTTGACGAATGAAGATAGGCTACGACCGAGCTGGGACCAATACTTTATGCAACTGGCATCGCTTGCGGCACACAGAAGTAACTGCATGAAGCGAAGGGTGGGTTGTGTGCTTGTCCGGGAGAAGCGTGTGATCAGCACTGGATACAATGGAACACCACGAGGGCTGAAGAATTGCGGAGAGGGTGGTTGTCCAAGATGCAACGAAGGCCAAGGATCTGGCGTTGGACTCGGCACATGTCTGTGTATTCATGCCGAAGAGAATGCTCTTTTAGAGGCTGGCCGCGAGCGGATCAGAGAGGGTGCGATTCTGTACTGTGATACCTGTCCCTGCTTGACGTGCAGTATCAAAATCGCCCAAGTAGGGATCAGTGAGGTAGTCTATAGCCAAGGTTATAGCATGGATACTGAGACTGCTGCTGTGTTCAAGGAAGCGGGCGTTCACCTCCGGCAATTCGTCCCTGTAAGTGACTTATTGCTATTTCTCACACTCATGATCGCTGACACACTGCATCTAGCCGCCAAATGGCATGATCCATCTAGAGAAGCAAAGCTTGTATTAGTCAGCACACACAATGATACCCATGAAGGTCTTCAGCCTCAGATCCCGTATTCCAAGTGTCAATGGACCGTTGTCTTGTTCGCATAAGATCACGTATTCCGATATTCCATTACGAGGAAGAATCTCGGTTTTCAATCTGCCATATTCAGCCTTGACTACGATCCACTCTACTTGAGCAGCTTGACGATAGCTAGAGCAGCTTCTAGCCGACCGAAGTCGATCCTTCGTCGTTCCCTGCTTGCTTGATAATCTTTCCAACCATGTATGACAATTATTGCAACCACCCAAAGCTCTCCCCCAAATAAGTGTTTGCTCGAATGTCCCCAGATCTTGCATGACCCTCAAAATTCTCTGCTCTTGCAGCTCGGCCACAAAGCACTCCCAACTCACCACTTTCCTGAGCTGAAGTGACTTCTTGATAAGTCACAGTTTTTAGATACTTTCCGACCCACAGTCCCCCAGTAAAGCGAGCGGCTTTCTTCGTGGGCAGAACATGGTTCGTGCCAATCACCTAGAATGATCATTAGCCATTGTGCTCAAGTATAGCACAATCGTAACTTACCTTGTCACCATATGAGACACAAGTTTTCTCTCCAAGAAACAATGCACCATAATTCGACATCTTCTCCAATGCCTCTCGTGGATGTTCAGTTAAAATCTGGACATGCTCACTAGCATACTTGTCCGCAAGCTCATAAGCTTCATTCAGAGAGTCGACCACAATGACCTCTCCGAATGTATCCCACGATACCCCAGCAAGCGCTGCAGTAGGCAGAATCTTCAGCAATCTATCAACCTCCTTGATACTCTTCTCCCCCACTTCCCGAGAAGTAGTGATCAGTACCGCAGGTGTATCGGGACCATGTTCCGCTTGAGAAAGCAGATCCACAGCCACGGTCGTCGGATCAGCCTTGTGATCAGCAACGATCAAGACCTCTGTTGGACCTGCAGGTAAGTCGATACCGATTTCTCCAAAAAGTTGACGCTTCGCTTCTGCTACGAAAGGATTCCCGGGACCGGCAATGAAGTCGACCTTATCCATGGTCTCGGTTCCAATGGCCATTGCTGCAACGGCCTGCACTCCTCCGAGAATATAGATCTCGTCGGCGCCCGCAAGGTGCATGGCTGCAATTGTCGAGGAAGGTATCTCGCCATTGATGGGGGGTGTGCAAGCCACCACTCGACGTACGCCTGCGGCCTTTGCAGTCACAATTGTCATATGAGCTGACGCCAACAATGGGTACCGGCCACCTGGGATATATCTAATGAATTATCACTATAAATGTCTGGAGTACAGTGCTGGGTAACGACTCACGCTCCAACAGCTGAAATGGGAATATTCTTCTGTCCAAGATGAACGCCAGGCCTGATCTCCAACTCAAAGTCCTTGAGAGATTCTCGCTGTGCCAAAGCAAAAGTACGGACATTGTGTTGAACTGTCTTGATATCTTCAATGGTTTGCTTCGGTACTTTGGAAATGATGTTTTCGATTTCTTGAAATGAGAGTTTGAACGATGATGGAGACCACCTGTCGAATTTCTCGGAATAAGAACGCACTGCGGAATCTCCTTTGGTGCGAATGTCGTTGATGACTCCTTGTACGATGCTCGGAACGTCAATTTTTGGGCTGGAGCTCGTGCCGTTTGCGTGGGGTTTGCTTTTCAGGTAGACGACCATGATGAGGATTTAAGATTCAATTTGGGTATGTGGTGAATATCAAATTAGTTGAGCAATATTGTCTCTCTGGTGATCGAAGATATCAGGCAAGGGGATGTTGCCTCCTTTAATTACATTCGTGCCGAAGAAATGGCTTCCGGAGGCATGAAGATGAGAAACTTTAGAACTTCCCCGCATTGTCATGTCTCAGGAATATTATTGGATATCAACGAGATGCAAAAACATCTAGTATCAGGAGATTCCTGTTCTGTGGAGAAAGGTGTCCGTCTGGAGTCGGAAGAGGGGGATGAACTTAGGTGGGGCCGATCCGAGAATCATCCCCCACCACGAGATAGAGACGACCAGTTTCTGGGCCACCGACTATCCCTAAGCTATGGTAACACACTCTTCTAGGTCTGAGGTACCTGGCATCGCTAAATGTTTAGAACCTCGTGCTCTGAATGCGCTATAATTGGGGCCTGTAAGAACTCGCTTAGGAGGCACCAGAGCCTGAAGATTTGTTTTTGAAACACAGATGCTCCGAATATTAGGCAGTGGTAATCTCATGGTTGACAATATTACAAACGACTAGAGTAACGTCCATCCCTGCGTAGCGGAAAACCCTACGTGCCGGAAAAATTAGCCGGTACATTGACTTCAAGTATTATAAAATTTATGCACAACGCAATATCTCTTATAATTTTTCGTAAATTATATTCCGTGGCCACTTTAATATACTTTAAATGCCTTTAACTAAAAAAATTATATTTATGTCGTCGCCCCACGCCTGATTTGCGAAGAGTCTCCTTTTATAGCGTAACAGCCCCTACAAAACCTCAGCGACGGACTCAGTACCACGCCAGCTCTTATTTTTGCACTTTTCTTCGGAAATGCCAGGCACTTTTGAGTGAGAGCAGGGGTAAAAACAAGGATTATGAGGAGAGTTTTGAGGATTCCACTTTAATGCAGGGTTTCTAAGAGCTGGTGCAAGGGAAAAGGAAGGGGTCAGTCTCATGGTCTTCTCCCCTGACCAGGGCTAAGAGCACTTACTAGGAGCCAGTCTCCACTCGCCAGGGGCTGGTGTCAATGTCGTCAGCACTTAACATGGGCTTGAGACCACTTGGTGACTTAAGGTCAAAGCTCTTAGTCTCTCTCCCTTGTTAGCTTAAAAAACTAAGTCTTTTGATGTTCTCCAAAGCTCGATATGAGAGCCATTTAAAGAACTTCCACACCATAAAAGTGCACTCAAAAGCATTGGAATCAGTACTAAAAGCTTACTTTTGGTACAGCCATATTCCACAAGTTAACAGGCGTGGAGAGAGAGAGAGAGAGAGAGAAAGAGAAGAAGGATGATGGAAGAGGGTGATAAAGGGAAGGGCAAAGATGCTCCACATCTTATCTCTTGAGAGCACGGCAAACCGGCACATTATACTCGCTTAAGGTGTGCCATTTTGTCCCCTGCTACTACCTAGTCGAATTGAGTTAGCTTGGGCGTGGTACTGAGTCCGTCGCTGAGGTTTTGTAGGGAGCCCTTCTCTACTATAGCTATATCGCCAAGCTTATACTATCCCTCAAATATGTGAAAACGTTTTACCTGAGCTCTAAGTCTCTCTTAATATATAGGAAATTGTTAACAGCCCTGTGGCGACTGTGGCGTCCAAATTCATCTAGGGTCGCAACGCGGATCTGTACCTCAAATCCAGCGAACCCGCACAGCACATGACTACCACACCAACTGATTGAATTTCACTTATGTAATCATTGCCAAGCATAACTTACCTATAAATTTGCTCCTCACAATATTTATATATACATTCAAGGATAAATTAAATGAATGAAAATCTTATTTAATATAGATACATGGAGAAAAGAACAATTATACATGAAATATTGGCTGTAGAGCCAGTGGTTAAGGACGAAACCTTAGGCCAAGCTTTCGAAACTGTCACGGGTTGGATGCAATGAGTCAAAGCAAGAACCTGATTGTATTACAAGAAGAATTAACTAAAGAGAGAAGAGTTCTATCTTGTACGAGGAGCTCTTTTAAAAGGGGCTCTCGCTGGTTCGTAGAATGGCCCGCGCGCTTTGGCGTCGCGCAGTCATGTGCAGGCCCGCGTAGTCACGTGCAGGCTGCACTACGTAGTAGTGCAGCCAAATATCGGGTTCAACCCGTCACAGAAACAGCTGTGCCGTTTCGATATTGAGGGAGGCTTTTTGATACCAAAATGCGACGATCCTACTTGTAAGTGGTCCGCACGCTCTTCTATTTGAATTGAGGCTTCGTTCTCTACCCCGACATCTAAATCATATAAGTAATCTCGCAAATTTTCGGACTTAGCATGATCAGGTCCGAAAACTTGCTCATACCCATGTAACGCCTCTGAAAACATAGTCCTTGCCTTCGCTAAATCAGCTTGACGTTCGAAGAGAAGGCCTAGGTTTAAGATCGTTTTTAGCGATGGGACGTAAGTAGTGATATTATCTGGACCGATCGCCTTCTCGTAGCCTTGTAGTGCCCGCTGGTACATCTGCTCGGCCTCGACTAGCTTGCCTTGCTTTTTGTAGAGGAGACCTAAGTTATTAATTGTATCGAGCGTCGACGTGTGCTCTAAACCCCATGCCTTCTCGTAGCCTTGCAGTGCCCGCTGGTACATCTGCTCGGCCTCGACTAGCTTGCCCTGGACGGAGTAGAGGATACCCAAATTGTGATATTCATCTGCCAGCCCATCGTCTACTACTAAGCTGTTTAAAGCCAGATGTGAACACCTCGCTGCATGCTGAAGAAGTCGACGTTGCATTAACTATGGCTGGATATCCTTCCTTCCAGGGACATGTGCCCCTACAAACTTCACAGCTATCCTAGCTAGATCGTGGTCCCACTCTTGGTTCAGAGCGTGAATAGTCCAGGAGTGAACACATCTATGAATGCTATACCCTTTGGACTCGATCCATTCTTGTGAAGAAGTGGCTACCTCCACTAGTCCATGGGTACTCAACACCCGCACCGCACTATCGAAGCTTAACTCGTCTTTAGTGAGCTCTCGTAGCCATTCGGGGTCCTCGGAGTCGCCATGTCGAAGAAGCTCAAACTAAAGATCCTGATTATTAAAATACGCCCATAGGCGAAGTAGATCTGCCGAGAGGGGGTTCCGCTGTCTAATGTTATCAAATGAGATTTGCCATGTCGAATACAGCGTTCGGTCTTCGTACGAGCTCAGCCCAGGACTTGTCTCCTTAAGCCTCGCCCAGGAATTTTTATACAAACGAAGATAGTATAAGAAACTCCTTGCTGTTTGATCGAGGTATGCTCCAGCAGTAGCTAATGCAAGTGGAAGCCCATCTAATTCTTTTGCAAGCTTCACAGTATCAAGATCTAGCGTGAAGGTTAGAGGAGTAATATTAAATTTGGAATGTCTTTACCTATAATCAGTCCTTCTCATCTCGACACAGTCGACAAAATCTCTAAGCTATTACGCACATCGCTAAGTTTCCGAATCTGGATAGATTAACCAATTCTGACTTCTGATGACCGCGTTGTGATGATAATTGACCCTTAATATGATTCGGGAATATACTTCCTGATATCCACAGCCACAGGATCCGTCCCACTAGATAGTTTAGGATTATCGTAGTTGTCGTAGATGATCAGCCATCGTGTGTTATTAGGTAGACTTAGCCACGCCTTAACAGACTCAACCACTTCGTCAAGGTTTTGATTCGTGTCTAGGTTGCTGACCGGAATGGCGGACGGGTATTCTCTTGATATCTGCTTAGCTAGCTTAGTAAAGCTCTGCCTTAGAGAATCCTTGTCCTTGATATTCAGCCAGAATATTGCTGAGAAATTCTCCTTGTACCGCTTCGCATACGCAATACTAAGCTGTGTCTTGCCGATTCCGCCTAGACCGTGAAGAACAACTGCTCGGCGGGACCCATCGCCTATGAGTGTCTTGTGTATTTTCGAGAGCTCATCTTCCCTGGCCACGAAGTGTTTGACGTCGGAAACATCAAAAAGGCTGAAGGTGACCGAGAAGTCCGCACGCTTGTGGCCTAGTCTAGTCAGCAGCTTCCTGTTCCTATAACAAAAGAAAAAAATGTACCTTTAGAAGCCTTTTTAATCTCTTCTCGAAGTCGTTGCACCGCCCTATCCTTCCCCTCACCGTAGATGAGTGGCATATAAACGTTGAAAATTCCTAGCAGCGAATATGCCTTGTCTTCTTTATAGGTTGTCTCACGACGTTTAGTCCACGACATTCGCTCAGTAATACTGAAACCTGACAACAGCCTCCCTCGAAGGGCCGTGGCTAGAATTCCTGTTATCTCGCAGATATCCTGTTCTAAGGAGACCTTATTGCCTAGTAGCTCCCCCTCTCTGGAGAAGAAGTCGATAGCTACCGGCGCTATAAGCTCTTGTAGAGTCCAGCCTCGTCTGAACCATTCACTTTCCCGAAATGTCGATTCCCATGCCACATTAGACCTACTAGCCGAATCGGAGCGAGGGAACGAGACATCGGGCAGATATACATAGCACTTGGTCGCATCTCGGTACCAGCGAAACATCAAGTTGATCGCGTGTTGATACTCGACGGCATTGGATTTGTCGATACAGCAGGTGTCCACCCAAAAGTATTGTAAGCCGTCACGCCTTGCTTGTTTTCCGCAGAACTGTATCTTGCCATAACCAGCCTTATCTTTACTCATGCCGTTTGTCAAATCCTTGAAGGTGATCTCCTCCGCTCCCCATCTATGTGAAAGTATAGCATACTTAGGCACGTTGTCTTCCAAGAACTCGGTTAGGCTGAGGTTGCCATCACCATCTGACTGTAGCAGACGCATTATTCCACTAGGCTCGAGGATTGCAGGTAGAAGGGTATTCGGGAGCCGATGAGCTGTTGAAATAACATATATGGAGAGTGAGGTTGGGGAAGACGTCGTGTTGAGGCTGTCGGACTCAGCTGAGTGGCAGCCTCGGGGCGATTACATCGTCGTACATCACTAGAAGCGCACAAGACTAGCCAGTCGCTTAGGCTGGTATTCTGGGAGCTATAGGCATAGGATACTCGAAACCACTTTCGATTGAGCATGGTTTTTTCTTGTCGGTGAAAAGGAAGCTACAGGATTGGAGAGCGGTTGATAGAAACACCAAACTGGGAAGTTTACGTTACCTTCTCCAGCGTTGGAGCCTCTCGCCTTCAATCTAAGGCAGAAATTTGTTCAATTCAAACTTAAGCTAGATGTGGCGTCAGCCGCTCCAGTCAGTGTTGGCCTTCATGCCTAAGGCGTCATTATTGAAATTCCAAAGGAAATACTATGGGGCATAAGGAGCTGTTCCCCACCAAGGATCATCACTCGCTTCGATCCGAGGTACCGATCCGCGTGGCGATCCTACAGAATCTGCACGCTACAGCCGCCACAACGCTATATAGTAGTATTGACGATCTCCCCCATAGTGGGGAGACCTAGGAATTTGGCTTGGACCCTTCTATAAGTTTTAGAGGTAGTACAAGCTCAGTAGTGTAGCTGTGGTAGAGGAAGTCTGTTATAGTATAAAAGGAGACTCTTTGCAAATCAGGCGTGGGGCGCCGACGTGGACATAGTTTTTTCAGTCAGAGGCATTTAAGGTGTGCAGGAGTGGCCACAGAATATGACTCGCAAAAAAAAGTATGAGATAATGCGGTGTGCTTATATTTTTATGATACTTGAAGTCAATGTACCGGTTAAATTATCCGGCACGGGGGGGTTTCCGGCACGTAGGGATGCACGTTACAACATAATTGCTCGTAAATGTTTCCACAATGTGAAAGACGACCAAAATCTCCAAGAAGTAACAATATCATGAGTCGCAGGTTCGATCGTCTAAAGAACACATGCTGAACGTACCACATCGCTATGCATTTCTCTGCCAGTTCTCTCACTCACGATTTTGTTGTCATGAAGTGCAAGTGAACCTTTGAGGTCTATTCCCACAAAAATGATGTCGGAAAAATATGGGCAGTAGCCTGCCAAGGACAGGGAGACTTCAGGGGCTCGCTTAACGCAAACCCTGTACTTCGATGACTTGAATCAAGATGTAAATGTATTTATATAAAAATGTGGATATGTAGAGGTTGAAAGTTGAAATCCAACTAAGTTTGCATATGAAATGGTTCTTACGCTAATCTCTATACATTATAGTGCGGATAGGTCTTGCAGCATTGAAGAATCACAAGTTAATACCATATCTTTGTTCCTTACACGCTTCACTGCACTTTCTTGAACGATTGTCTCTCTCCAGAATTCCGAAGAAAAGAAAATTTAATAAGTAGGTAGGAAGTACAGTAGCCCGAGGATGATAAAATATATCTCCTCCACTCTTCGGAGAGCATGACTATGGTCGCGACAAGGGTTATTCCCCATGCAGGAAAGTTAGCAAGTTTCTCGACATAGAAATCGCTCTTCATGGAATGTAAGTTGAGACTTCTAGGTTCTGACTGGCATCATTTGACAAGAAAGAACCCGCTGCTTTCGCATAAAGGCCGGGGGACCAATCGTGGAAGACTTGTAGCAAGAATTAGGTCCATTGAGAGGGTGGCGGCTCGGAATCGTATATTACGCTAGGCTCGATATTCATGTTTGTAAGATGAGTAAGACTTGGGCTTATGAGTTAAGTTTTGAATATCAAAAGTCTGTGTCAAGGGTTTCATTGAAACCCTATGAGCGATCTCCAACGACTCTAAAACAAAAACTATGCAATGCTTACATGAATAGAAAGTCCCAATAACCCAAGCCAGATTGCCAGTAAATACGTCTCACAACACCGTTCCTTTAAGGGTACCAGCTGCGAGAAAATATTGGCAGCAACATATCCTGATGTCTCCATATTCGCGATCTCCTGGCCGCGCTGGCTCTAACCAAATAGCTACTGCTTCCTTACGAATTCTTTCATCTAGCTCGTAGTATGGTCCATTTCTCAACCTCTCTAGGATGCCCCTGGCTGTTAAGTACTCAACGAGGAGCCCCAGGGCGATTTGAACAACAGCCACGCCGAAAACGATCCAGATGATCATCCATGCCGGTAACGGAGGGTAGTTGTGCATATCATATTTGGGCCAATACGGGTGGCAGACCATAGATGGACTAGGCGTCGCAGTGGTGGCTGTACTGGCAATGAAGGTTGGTACAGACATTGTGGTGGTTGCCGCTGAGACTATGCTTGTCGTCATGACTTGGAATGTCCTTTGTAAATAAGATCCTGTTGGATTATGTCGTAGTTGTCGGTTTTCGAACTTAAACTCGAAGGTATATAGTTGTGAGGGAAGAATGAATCAGATTCTGTGTTGGTTGTTGGAGTGAAGACAATTGCAGAGATTTGTGAACAAGGAAAGAATGGATGTTAATTGGTCTGCCATGTCATTTTTGACCTGTGCGATGATTTATGGTTTATTAGATTATCTGTAAGGGTACCGTGAATTCTCACGGGAATGATGTATTCTTCTTTGAAAAGCGAGCTGTGATTGGGGCAGGCGCTACGCTATCCAGATACATACTATACTAGGTACATCGTGTGATGCTAGCATACCGTTATAGCATCACACTAGTCGTTTCAGATGACCCAGCTTAGTTTGCATTGAGCCATTCGGAAGACGGTCTGATTATGGCCCTGAAAACATACATCCATTCCGCTGCAAAGTTTCACAAACATAAACGCACGAAAGGAGTCTCATTGTCTAGATCTGAAATGCGGGATTTTCTACTGTTCCTCTATATGATCCCTTAGGCTAATGAAGCTACTCATCAGGAATAAGTTGAGTGGCCTTCATCATCTTCTCGCAGTATGCGGCGAAAGTGATAGGTTCATAAACTCGCTGCCCATGAGAAGCAACAAGAGAAGGCTGAGGCTCAACAAGTCCCTCTGGGAATGGCGCCACGAAGAAGGGTATCGAGTATCTCGCTGGTGTCACCTCTCCGGTATCCTTTCCTGCAATCACGACTCGATGGATGGCGGATGGATAAAATCCTGATGACTGATGAGTGTATAATCAGGTATTGGAGTATGAAAAGAACTTACCGTTGGAAATACGTTGCCCCATGTCGCCAATGTTCATGTACACCACTCCTTCTTTTGCGATCGCAGGCATGAAGTCGCCAGTTTCTCGGTCGCCGAATTCCAAGCCACTTTGCACATCTTGCCAGAGGAGTGTGAAGGTACTATTCAACAATCAATTTCCAAACCACGCAATGAAGATTTGGAAGACTTCCTACCTGAAATCTGTATGAGCTCCCAGGCGTCCAATCGCCTCGTTTTTCAGCATTTCAGGTGAAATGGGTGGATAGTGCAAAAGGCGCAGTTGATTATCATGACCTGTGTGGATTTTGCTCATACTCTCAGCTTCCTCTTCCGTCAAGTCCAAGCTCATCATGATAGCTTCTAGAATAGCATTTGCGGCTTTGTTCAAAGACCAGTAGAAATCTGTCATGAATGTGCGGAAACCGGGCAACACATCTTCAGACATCCAGATATTGTATTGTACTTTGTTCTCCTCGCTGCCAATTTCGTAGCTTTCCTAGCACATTTTTAGAAGGCATGAAAGTTACTTGAAATTTTGCTTACTTTGTAATCGGATGCTTTCATGATTGCGGCCTTCTGCGCCTCGTCGTCAGTCTCGAGCGCGGTCTTCGCGGCTCCTTGCTCTTTAGCAATCCCTGAGTAACCTCTGTGAGGAACGTAACCGTCTGGATGAGGAGCCTTCATCCTATCAAGCAGTGTGTCAGCGATATCTCATTAATTACTCTCCTGGAGCGACATAGTGCACAAAAGTGAAGTGAGCAAATCAGATACTTCACGAGACGAAAACAACTTGAAATAGAGTGGTTCAAATGAAAGGATCTACTGCTCTTACTTGTCCTCATACGGAAGATCGAAAAGCTTCTCTGTGATTTGAAAGGCCTTTTCATGTATGTCTGACGGAACTCCATGGCCAGAGATTCCCACACTTCCATTTTTGTGGCCCTTTTCAGCTAATTCGCGAGCTGCTCGTTTGCGAGATTCTAGGTCTCCTCCAGATGTGAAAGGGGATAGATCAACGATGGGTACTGAAAGAAGTTTGCTCGACATGGTGTCTCGGATTCAATGCTCTAGTGTATGGCTTGTGAAGTATGTCGAAAAGGTGTGCCGTTCAGTGGAGACTCTAGACAGGAAAGATTAACGGCGGAGGGGTAGCGGGAGTTTTGCATGCTTCAAGTATGCGAGGGGTGTGTAGAGAAATTGGGCGTTGTGTGGTAAGCGTATGGACTCATTGGTCGTATGACCAAGCTCTGGAAAGATTCCAACATCGCACAAGATAACGACCCGGTACGGTGGAACCAATAATACCCGGAAACCCGTCCTTCCTGTTTCGTTGATGCGAGCCATCTCTCTGCAGCGACGGCATTTGCAATGCGGCGCAGTGACTTCGCACATGTACGAAGTAATATGTTTAATCTTGGGAGGATTGCATGCACTTTACAAGGTACTGCATCACCGATTCACCGTACCGTGAACAACATTTCCATTAGCAAACGTGCTATGGGATATTGAACTAGATCGGAAGTTTGAATAGAATTTCCTCTGAACCAAAACGTAATGGTTACCATCAAAAATTCTATTACCTGATAACAAACAAATTATTTTCATATTACATGACCTATGCATGACCAAGTCGTGACCTACTCAGCATAAAGCCCGGATAAATGACGGAGCGCATTAGTCAGCAATGTCAGTTAACACAAATAGTCTTTTGCAATTCGAAAACCTTCGCTGTAAAGAAAGTTTTCAGCTGCTCTGTGGTCTCGATGGTTTAGCGAGTTCCACGCTGAATCTTGTCCTGAATGTACATAGATATCGACTTCTTGATCAGACCTCCGTTCATAATTCTGTTGCCGTGGAGCAATGCAGGCCATTAGTACGAAATTCTGTGAACTACCAAGAAGCTTTCAGAACAGCTCAGGCATTAGCGTATGTTATGAAGCAAGAGGGGACTTCAGGGGCTCGCTTATTCCACCCCTTTAGTTCGATGCTTTGAGTCAAATGGAGTCAAATGAACGTGAAGGCTCGATCCTCGGAAATGGAATTCTGCACTGCATGAATTTCCAACATCCTCTTGAACACTGATTTTTATTATCCCCTCAACGGCCAGTTCGCTTATGAATTTTAGTGTCGCCAATCACATCTTTGGGATGACCCCACTCCTCGAATGGGAGGAGCCCGTACACTTTGATTCTACGCTAAAATTCACTCTGGCCGTTGAGGGGATATATCCCGAAGCAAATGCTAGCGTGAATACCATAAGAATTGGGATATAAGATAATATTGTTCCAGACTTTGGGAGACTATATATCAATGGGCTAAGTTCCACCAAGCTTTGAAGGATAAATAGCGGAAAATAAATAACTTCGAAGCTCGACATGAACCTCGCGCTTTTTTTATTCTGCTTTTTTTATTCTGCTTTTTTTTTATTCTGTTTCAAGAAATTTCGCATTTGCTTTTATATCACCCCACAAGCTCTGGCATAATATGACTAGGGATTAGCAAGCTTTTTCCATTTTTCGAGGCCTACCCACGCCTAGATTGATACACAGTCCCACCTATTCTTCAGAGCCAACGGTGGCATAAATAGCAGAACCATCTGATTCTCCGTTCGGTTGGATGCCAACGATCGAAACAGAAGATGCTCTTGCATGCCACCTGATCGACTTGCCAGCTGACAATCCTCCGCTTAAAGAAGTAGTTCACGTGGCTGTGGTCCATAAACTCGGGAATAGCAGCTGCTGTTTCGAATACCATTGTAACGGGCTTGTGTATCAGCATGTTAGTCAAGACTGTTATGAATTCTGCACAAGACTCCTGTGATTGCCTTTAGCATGTACGTGGCATAGAGTTGGAAGAACGAGCCAAATTTTCTTATATATCTAAAATTGCTCAGCGGTGAGCACATGTCATTGTTTCTAGTTGAAGAGCTGACCTGGTGCTCCCATTTTTGCCGTTACAACTATCAGCTTTGTTTTTGGATGTTTACTTTTAGTTAATCATGGTCCAACTCCTGAAGATTGAGGTCTGGTGTATATACTTCAATTCCATATTCCTATTTGGATAGAAAAGCTAAGGAGCAGTCAACGTTCAAGTTCACGAAAACTGATAGTTTACTCTATCTAATATTAATGGATATGTTTCTTACCGCTAACCAAGACTTCCCTCCTTTCTACAAACAAGCGAGCTGATGAACCGAATTACGTTTGTGAAACCTCAAGACGAACAAGGTATAGCTTAAGCCACACCTCGGCTAAATAGCTTCATCGTATGACTCTACATCATGGCTCCAGGATCTCCTGGTTGACGACCATCAACTGAAAGCAAGCCTTGGTATCGCCGAAAAGTTTCATATTGCGGAAAAACAATTCCTCAGGGTTAGAATCATAGACAGAATACCCATCCTTCAAAATGACTTTCCGCATTGAACCTGTCAAATACGAAGACATTGACATCCTCTACGATCTCTACGTCCACGCTCATGTCACTGATCCTCTACAACCCTTTCTCTATCCCAGTCTCTCGTGGGCCGAACAAATTCAATTCGAATCTACAGGACCGAAAGAAGTCTTCCTCAAGCATCCATGGGTTCACTACCACAAAATCGTTGACGCTGAAACAGGGTGAGCACGTGTTTCCTCGCATATTTTCATCCGCCTAGGTACGATGGAGACAGCAACTGATAGGAAGGAAGAAGAATTGCAGCTTGGTCGCGATGGCATTTTCCCCGAGTACTGAAAGATCATGAGAAGGAAGAGAAAACGGACAAAGATTACTTCCCGGAAAAGATCCCGGAAGGAGCGAATCAAGAATTGATGCAGGAGTTCTTCGACAAGATCTTGAAAGTGGAGGAGGAGTATATCGATCGCGAGAAGAGATACTGTAAGTTTACTTCTCGGTCATCGCGACAGAAAATCAAGGTTGATGAAAATAAAGTCATCAACTATCTCGCGGTCCATCCTGATTATCAACGCAAAGGTCTTGGCTCTATGCTAATGCGCATCGGTCTCGACGCCGCTGATCGAGACGGTGCGGAGACTTTCTTAGTCGCTACAGCAAAAGGTGCTTCTCTATACGCCAAGATCGGGTTCAAGGAGGTTGACAAGTCCGAGCTCGATACAAAGCCTCACGGCGGGGAAGGAATAGTAACCTTTTTGTGTATGATTAGAAAGCCAAAGTCTGGTTAAATAATGTAGATTCAGGCCTAGATCGAAGCAAGATTGAACACTAAATAAATGATTACATGCCGAAACTCTCAGCGTGAAGATAAATCCCTCTCGTACCCGTCTCGAGCCCCGCAACCGCACAGCGTGTGACAGCAACCATTCCGAGCGGTCCACAGACCGCAACACCTATCTCGCCATCTGCTGCTCCTTGCGCTTGAGCAATGATGCCGCGGATACCAGGGCGTCCTGCCTGTACTGAAGTAATATGGCTACGAGACTTAGTCGTATACACAGGAGGCTTGGCTTTGTCTTCATCGATCCCGATGGAGGCTGCTGACCCTGGTTGCTCTGTGGCTCCGTCTTTGATTTTCTCGCCCACCGAGGAAGTCGAGTCATCAGTCCGTTGCTTTACGACTTTCGCAGCGCAGACGCATTCTCCAGAGCTCAAGTCACACTGGCATCCATTATCCCCAACATTCTCTGTCTCCGACTCATCAACAAACCCTTCATCTGCAGTAACGAATAGTCGAACGATGAGCTTGATTCCAACGCTTCGCAGCGCCTCACTTCCCTGCTGTAGCTCAGAAGTAACCCAGGACATGCAGGCAGATGTCTTTATAGCCCAAACAAGCACCACCTCTTTCACAGGCAACGTGGTCTTCGGAGCTCTGAAAGCAATATCGAGAAGAATAGGTAAAATGAAAGTAATTCCCGTTGATCCAGCTATCAGAACGACCTGGCTGAAAGAAGCGAAATCAAGATGTGTCCCTCCGTAAGGACCATCGATAAGCGCGAGATGAGTCTGCTCTCCTGTTCGATCTGAACCCGTAATCGAAATATCGGACGCTTCCTTGTAGATGTGAGAAGTGAATCCACGGTGGGCTCGCAGGAAGAAAATTAATTCTCCGTTGTTGGAAGTGGGAACGGAAGCAATGGTCGCGGGGTGGGATTGCATGATTCCGAATCTAGGGATCGACAACAAGACGAAAGATCCTGGAGTCCAGCTTTTGAGTTGTCTTGATCTTACAAGCACTTTCGTTACATCGCCATGTTGGCGAATCAGTGTTGCTCTTCCTGGACGAATGTTGTTCCATGCATAACGAATAGAACGAAGAAGGCGATCGAGGAAGTAGAGACCGATGGGAATCCAGATATAGACGCGGGTGTATAAGGCTGTGGTTGGGAGGTGGAGCATGATGAACGTTACGAAGCAGATAAAAGATAGAATGTGTTGGATGACGAAGAATTCGTAGAAACGATTGCGAATTGGGGCCAGGGTACTAAGATTGAGCCAGACGAGGAAGGCGTAAGCTTTCATGCCTGTATCACTGTTAATACTTGATCAAAGATGGAGCGGATGCGGAGTGTACCTGAGGGGGGACAAGTATCGGTGTCCCACTCCAGCTGTAAAATACCCAACTTGTTCCACAGTGCTTGTTGATATCCCATGTGTAGCGTAGCAGTCAACAACATAGTCCTTGCTACCCATCTATGGAATACATTCAACCTTTCATAGCTCACTCCAGATAGAAGCCCGATAAGGTTAACCTTTCCCGAGAGGAGTATCAAGAGAGGCATTTGAGTGATCGTGAGCCAACCTGCTCGAACTCCAATAGCTTGATTGTGCTGCTCGCCTGGAACATCTTGCTTGACGTATTCAAGACCGAGTACAAAGCATAGGTATGCTACGAGCATGATGATAGTTCCCAAAGGAGGAACTTTGAGGAGCCGCGGGTGATGTGTAGGTGAGACGTGAGGGTAGGATATCTTTCGAAGGAAAGATGCGCTAAGTCCGAAATCACCCTTCCCAGATCCGGCATTTCCTACTGGGACGGCTTTGTTTGACGCAGCATTTCTTAATCTGGATCGTCACTTCTTTAGTCTGTTACTATAGCAGATTTGATGGGATTTATATACCTTGACCAAGATCTCAGGCGAAGGAAAATGTTTGACAATGTTGCAAGACCGATAACAACGACTATTCCGTACCAAAATATCGTAGCGAAGTGATTCGAAGTGACTTGGAGCTCGGTATCATCGAGAAGCTGGCCCAAAAAGTCCATCGCAACGGTCATGTTTGTCATGTCCAGACCATCCGTCGACAATGCATCAGAGGAACTATCGGTGGTATTTGGCATACTCATGCCAGCCATACTTGACATAGCCAATGTACTGGTGGCTGCTGGCATAGACATTCCTGGCATACTCGACATAGCAGCAGTGCTTGAAGCTGCTGACATAGACATACCCGACATACTTGACATACTCGATGTCGCCATGATCATAGAATTTGAAGGTTGAGACTGAAGGACAGCGGGGAATCGATATGTTGGAGTTCAGCCTGTTTCAATTTGAGTGCAAATTGACGTCAGAGTAAACGAACTTCAGAATAAAGTATACTCACTTCTATTCAATACAGGTGAAGTTTTAAAGCAAGTGGGATGAAATTTCGACAAGTGTACAAGAAATGGTGAATCAACATGAGGGTTGTGAGGAAATCCCCTACATAGCCTCCACCAAATTGTGGTCGACACAAACCTCCACTGGAGAAAGAAGCATAAGTATAGCTTCTTGGTCACGTTCACAAACAAGAATGGATCGGTCATCGGAGGAAATCAACGCGTGGACATCAAACTCTGACTGTAAACCGCCAGCAGTGCCATTTTCGAGCTTGTTCCATAAACAGTAAGATCGTGAGAAGATCGGTACACCGTTCCAGGACGCGTGTTAACAGCAACAACATGCAGAGTGTCGGGCCTTAATACCTTGTCTTATTCCGCGTGTTACAATGACAAGGTCCTTACGAGAAATTGGATTTAGAGTTGCGGGGTCCAGATGCGGTATGCTTCTCGTCTCGTGTAGCTATCTATCCGGAACGTCTACCGGGGACCACTCACAGCCCGGTAAAATGACACTTGACGTCGTTGATTTAGGCTTCTATCGAAAAGCCCTGCTACCATGCTTTCTTTTGGGGTATTGGTGGTACTACTGCTGGAAATTGTGATATATTGTGGCAGTCCTCCATATTGACTGTCCCGCATCTCCGAAATCAACAGCAAAATGTTTTCTAAACATTCTCAAGGATTCATGTTTGCGATTTTGTTCATATTTTTTGCAGCTGCGAACGCAAATCCGGGTAAGCGATTCTCAAACAGCATTGTGGAGGGTATGTATCTATCCCTTGGACTCTGGATTCAGTTGGTGGAGCTGCTGTTGACATTAGATCCAGATGGAGCAGTTAGTACCTCAAACTTCACCAACCTGACTGCCCAATTCTTCCCTGCTCAAGGTTCGAAGCGAGTCAAAGTCACCTATGGACCTTTCAATGTCCCAAATATGAACATTGAGAATGGAATGAAAGACTTTACAATACTCCCCTCCACAGTAGGATGCAGCGACTGCCTCATCACATACATCGAAGCGGGGCTTGAATTCCCGAATGGGACATATGCCAATGCGAATACAAGCCTGTGGCTGCACCACACTGTTTTGTACAATTTCAACAATCTTGACACAGTCTGCGGAGCTACTGAGCCAGGAGAGAGGTTCTTTGCTTCTGGAAACGAACGAAGTCCAGCTGATATTAGTATGAATGGGTAAGTCTCGAAGACACCAGTTCCCTTTTAGCTGCTGATGGCCCACAAGAACCAACACGGTTGGATATTATGTTGGCCCAGAAGACAAAATTGGATTTTTGGCAGAGCTCATGAACACGGAAATGGTGAACCAGTCAGCCGTCGTAACCATAACCTTTGAGTATATTCCGGGTTTGCCAGCTTCCTTCAACAAAGCAACACCAATTTGGCTCGACATCAGTGGTTGCGGTGGCGGTTCGGACATGCCAGCCAAGAACGACACTGCATTCCAATACACATCTCCAGTCTGGACCGCCAACGCAACTGGTCGAGTGACTTGCGCAATTGGACATCTTCATGATGGCGGTGTTAATCTAGACATAACCAAGAATAACCAAACTGCATGCGACTGCACCAGCGCTTATGGCCAGACACCAGGGTATATGGACCCCATGGGGAGTAGCGGCATGATGAGTATGCCTGGAATGACGATGGGAACGCACATATCGTCCATTACAGAGTGTTCAACGGGACAGGTGAACCTGGGAGACAATATGATGGTTACAGCATACTACAATACATCAGAGTATGAGCCAATGACCAACACTGATGGAACTTTGGCGCCAATCATGGGCATCGGACTCTTGTATCTGGCACAGAATGAGGCATCGAGTTCTGGCTCTAGTTCAACGTCGAGTGCATCCACAACTGCAACAGGAGTGGCGAGCTCGACGTCCAAAGCTGCGGGTCCTATTATGACCGTCGCTGGCGGACCTGTTCTATTCGTAGGGGCTCTGGGCGGTATGGCAGTACTGGGATTTGCTTGACTTCTTGTCTAGCAAGGGAGAAACTCTAAGTCGAGAAGGTGGAGAGCTTAATGCAAGAGTATTGGTCGCTGTATGGATGAAGGAATCGGAACCTTGTCCGCATAACCCTAATCATGAATGAAATGCTTATCCTCAAGATTTAAGGAGGCTGTGATCTTCTCGTACAAGGTCTAGGATGGGATTTTGCCGGTCAATATGGCTGCCTGAACGAACGAACGAACGAGCAAATGAAAACGATTCCAGTATCAAAGGATGCTGACTAAGAGCAGGAAGATCAAATGAGACGAGATTAAATGCAGGTCGAGTGCTACGTCGGAGGTACTCAATATCCGATCTGTGAGGCAGTGTTGTGGGGATGATGTGTCGTTGATGGAAGCTTTTCGGAGGTAAGCAACAAGACGTATGCGGGGTAATCTTGATATTCTCTAGTGCTGAGATATACAGACATGTGGTTTGGGATGTGAATGTCTCAGAATGAGCATAGAAGAAAGACCCCAATAACGAGCCACAGACTTGCCGCTGTTCCACTGTACCTTGTCCACCTTGCAGCACTAGCATCGTTTGTTATGACGGAAGATGTTGCGGTGGGCGTCGTAACACTCGCATTCCTTCCGGCCGTCGCCGTTGCATTGAGACCTCCGATGAGACTCGTCGAATTCAAATTCTGGACCAAAGCCCCCAACAGCTTCGTCTCGTCAACCACATTGTTTCCAAAATTCGGTGCGTCATAGTCCACCGTAAAGACGCTGACGGAGGAATAGCATCCCTTAGCGATGAGAGCGGTCTCTCCAATCAGTGTACAATCTCCATTGATGCAGACATTGATGCCAGTTGCGTCGTTTCCAACTTTCAATCCAGCAGTGAAGAGTCCGGTGGAAGCATTAAATTTAACTCCATAGCTCCATGCGTCTCCAGTGAGTCTCGTATGAATGAGAGGCGGATCAACACAAGAGCTATTGTCGAAGGAAGTAATGTAGGGCATATTGACGTTCAACCCATATCCCAATGGCAAAATTCTGCTTCCGTTGGCTTTCGCAACTAAGCTCTGTACCAAGTTCGCTGCCAATTCTGCAGCAATAGTAGCTGGGTCCTTCAGTCCTGCTTTGGTCGTCGTATTGACTTCATAGTACGGGGTAGTGGTGGGGTAATTGGCCGAGAAAGCAATAGCGGGAATCCCACGACCGATTGAGAAATACGTTGCTCCAATAGTTCCAGATCCCGTGTATGCAAAGTCTCCGAGATTGTCTCCATAGTTGGGGCCTGACAGAACTAAATCAGGAGTACTGAAGTTGGCGAATGTGGAAAGGATGTAGTCTAGTGCTACCATCACACAAACACTTGGTGTACCGTTGTAATACCAGATATGAGAATCGTTTGGGTCAGCGCCAACTGATGGAGCACCTGCTTTGACAATGCCTGCACAAAATATTGTTTAATTGATTTCTATAACACCGGGGAGGAATCTCTACCATATTGTGTATCAGCCGTCAAATTAGCAGTGGTCGCAAACGATAACGATCCCCCAGTGCCACTTTTGTCACTCGCGCTGGCTACTATATAAGCATTGTGGCCGAGTGCTTTGACAGCTTTGTAAAGTTCACGTATGTTGGAGACCCCAAATCCATCGTCATTCTGCAAGTTGTGTCAATTGAAGTGTACGAAGTATATTTTGTGCTTGACTTTGTGTTCAAGAGCGGCTTGAAAGACAGCTGGGTCAACCATACGGTGATGAGGATGTTCAATGCGTTGATTTGAAAAAGATTTGCTATAGCTGCAAGTGCAGCATAGAATTTAGCGAGGCGCATCTTGGATGAATATTTTCTTCTGGACTATGACACAGTTACACTTTTGAGGATATTGTTTCATGGTCAGAGGATGTTGATCTTTTGTACCTGGGAAAGTTGTGCTGCAGGTCCCAAGATTCCGGTCCGGATCTCATTGGCATGATCGTGGTTGCTTTGGTGTTCTTGATTGGTCCTTGGATTAGTTCCGAGCTTTTAGGTACACCTGTCGGGACACGCCACACCTTTTATGTGATAGTGTTGACATCCCAAACATATGCCAAGGCGATCCCATCAGAAGTGGGATGTCAAACTCCCACGTGGTGTCTCGGTAGGAGAACCTTTCCCTCCAAGGTTGGGGAGAACAAATAAACGACGCACCAGGTCCAGACTCACTCTTCAAAACATTACTCGCCTTTTAGCTCTTCTTAATCATCAACGACTTTGATGCATGGACGATGGGCTACCCACATTGCAATAATCATCACTGAATGAAATTTATTCTTATTATTCCTCCATTCAAAAATTGCCGTAGCCAGCTACATATTCTCTGTAAGAGTCTATAAGCATTTCACAATGCTCCTTAGACACATGATCATTGTATACGAGTTCGATGTGCGGACAAACAGCATCTCTCACCTCGTCCATAAGATCCCACGGCCAAAAGTCCTGCATTTGCGCCCGAATAACATCCCCCATTCCTATTTCGTCTGAAGGAGTAAAGACGATATCTATTTTCCGTAGTGTCGCCCCACGTTCAATTGCAAGCTTTGCGAATTTCAGGAGCCAGTCTCTTTGGTCCTTACCGAAAGCGTGCCAAGGTTCTCGCTCTAGGAGGGTGAAATCCCAGATGAAGTGCCGAAGATTGGAAGCGAAGCCATGTGCGATTTCGGGAGTGACATTGGCATCCATGTCCCGTGGGGAGATGGTCAGCTTCTCTAGCTTTGGGAAACCATGGAAGTTGCTCGAAGTATTGAAGGGGCTGATGGATTTCTCTTTGGATAATGCACTGATTCCAATGCTTTTCAGAGAGTGACAGTGATCGTAGAGGAGAGTTCGAAGAGTTTCAAGTGACCAGAGCTTAGAAGCGCGGTTAGCGTTGCTAATGTGGAAGGCGAAATGCTCCAAGGCTTTTGGCCCTCGTAGAAGGGTCCTTAGGGCTTTGGGTGTTTCGCCAAAGTCCTCGAGAGAAATATTGATGATAGGGGAGGTTCTCACCAGCTCCTGTATTCCGAGTGTCAGTAACAACTGTGAATAATAAGGAGACTGTCGTTGCATTTTATTGGTTGTCGACTGACCTTTGACATATTCCAAAGGCTTATGTTGTGCTCGGATCGTATCCCATCGAGCTCCAAACTCCGCAAATCCAAATCCTGGACACATCTCCAAACATCGGGCAGGTACAAATCGCGTTGCTCTGTGGGAGGGAAGGCTCGAGTAGCGAGTTTGACGAAACCAAATTTGAGGCTCTTGAGGTGGCTCATGGAGCGGAGCAACTGGCTTATTTCTAGCCAAGAGGGTCGATACCCGAATCCACCATGGATTTCGATCATTTGGACTTGTGGCAGCGACGTCAGAAGTCTGTTTGCTAAAAGCCAGTCCGGATTTGTTTCTGCGCGGCCTAACTCTGGAGCTGTACATGGTAGGCTGAACTTGAGACTCTTACAACCTTTCGCGAGACCAGGATTAGTGTTAATAAGGCTGAAGAGATTCTCAATCTGTTTGCAAGCTAGAACCAGACTGTGGTAGTGACCATTACCTTGAGAAAGGGAAACATCCTTGAAGAGGACCGATGAGGAATGCTCGTGGAAGGCTTTGCAGACGAGGGAAATATTGTGAATCGCAAACATCCCATCTCTCCAATTATCGCCTGCCATAGATAACCTCAATATCTGGTCAAAAAGCTCTAGCGGGAGCTATAGTATTGGAGAACCATGATTCGAGTTCGAAAGGGAGAGCGGAGGAGTCTACTTTCCAGGTTTGTACTGGGCTACTCTTGATAGGGCTTGAAAGCCATAGTGCTTTTTCCGATTGCATGCAGAGCAGGCAAGATGATCTGTCAACATTTTGGTGGGAGTAAATCTCAATATTCGAATATGAGACAATTCGATAATGTTTTGATAGGTCGTGTTGATGTCGAAAAGATTGATGCGCTCCAGATCGTTTTTTGTTTGGCGCACAAATGACCCCAATTCTCGGAAGATGGTAGTGGCGCTAGACTACTCCTAGAGTCTGTGTAGTTTATCGTTTTGAGATCCTAACCGGATGGAGTTGGCGGTGACAGCTCTTTGTATAGCGAAGTTGTCCTACATTCAAGGCGACTTTCATCAAAATGTACGGGGCTTCCGCTTCGTTTGTATGTCTCAAACATTCACCTTGGCACTGTGCACACAGCTCTATCATAGCTCACTATCTTTGACATGTACTCGTCCTGGGCCTGTCGAAGCTTGAGATACTCTAAGTGAACATCATGTGCATCTTGAGTGAAGAAAGTGTATTCCTGTTCCAGAGTAAGTTGAATTGCATAATGAATACTATCAAGCCTCACAAGGTCAGTGCAAAGACTGTGTGTTATAGTAATGGCTGGACGTATGGGAAACTCGTCCCTTTGATTCCCACGTGAATGATTGTTAGAGAATCGCGACAATAATCCTGATGTACCGTATAGAAATCTGAATATGAGGTAATGTTGTTCCAGAGTCTGTACGCCAATATAAGTTTAAAACGCAGGTTCTTCGACGTAGAAAGGAATTCGCGTCATTCTTACACTACTGTGTCCCTTAAATATTCCTTAGATAGGCTACAATTGGGCTTTAACTTACTCATATTGTCTTACAAGCTCTGGAACAATATTATCTTATAGCTTAATTTCAATGGTAGTCTGAATTATACTAATCGTACACGTGTAGACGAGTTCAAGAGCACACTTCACTGTGCTTCTGAAGCCAAGGTGGAAGTGACTGTTGGAACGAAGCATAGACGTCTTCGTAGAGTGCAAAATTCCTCTTGTCCTTACTGTGAAAGAATCATTGATGAATCAAACCAAATATTGGCACTAAGAGAGGCAATCATCCCCGAACTCTCGTCATGTGAGAAGAATATTCTCTCACCCTTGCTAGTATTATGCTGTTGTTGGAAGCTCCTAGAATGATGCCTTGGAAGAATTTCTGTTGACGAAAAACCGGTGGGGCTGGAAATAGCGATGAAGGATCTGATCTTCCACAACCTTTACCTGCTGATGGCGACATACCGACTGCTGCAGTGTACATATGAAACTCACCAAATATGAAATCAATATTTATCGTATTTGCAGTATTGCTTGAGTAATACCAGACGAAAATGATAAACCATAGCTAGAAAACCTCCAAGACTCCTCTGAAATTAAGTTTTAGAAGCCACTAAACTAGTGAAATAGGGAGTTTCGCGGACGGGTTGCCCGGACGGACTTCTTACCGGCGCTGTGGATTCTAGCGGGGTTGCCATGAACCGCCACTTTTCACTCGGTTGAGCTCCCTGCGAAGCAGTACTATCAAGAATTATGCTTGGAAATATCTCATGTACCAACATTATGTTATAATTGCAGACTTGTCTTGCAGGATCTGATTGATATCTTCATTTCATAGCCACGTTCTCATACATTCAAAATGCAGAAATCAACCATCCCACCCAAAGAGAAACCCCTCCCTCGTGGCGTATACTGTCCCGTGATCAGTCTCTACAAGCCCACCGCCCGGCAAGAGATCGATCTCGACGCCATGTACAAACACTGTCAATTCCTCGTGCGAGGTGGCCAACACGGCCTCGTGTACCAAGGCACCAACGGCGAAGCTGTCCTCCTCTCACCAGAAGAGAAGATCTCCGTCATCAAAACAGTGCGAAAGGCAGTCACGGACCTGGGTGTCCCTGATTATCCCATTGTTGCGGGCATCTCGGGCCAAAGTACGAATGAGAGTATCCAACTCGCGGAGGACGCTGCGAAGGCAGGGGCAAGTTTTGCTCTGTTGTTGCCGCCGAGCTTCTGGGCGAAGAGCGTCACGGAAGAGGCGCTGTTGGGGTTTTATAGGGATGTGGCGGATGCGAGTCCGTTGCCTGTGGTTATTTACAATGTATGCTCAATTCTCTCGAAGACCTCTGTTCCATTAAAATGCTAAAATTCACAATAACAGTTCCCCGGCGTCACTTCAGGAATTGACCTGAACAGTGATGATCTGTCTGCTCTGGCCTCCCACCCAAACATTGTGGGTGTCAAGCTCACATGTGGAAATGTTGGCAAAGCAGTCCGATTGACGTCTAAATTCACTCCAGCGCAGTTTAGTGTCTATGGTGGCTCATCAGACTTCCTTTTCCCCACTCTGGAAGCAGGCGGGGTAGGATGTGTGACTGGAATGGCAAATGTGTTCCCAAAATCAACCTCTCGTGTCTATGACTTGTGGATTGCAGGCAAGAAGGAGGAATCCAAGAGGCTACAAGATATTGTGGCCAACGCGGAGTGGGCTTGCAAGAAGAGTTTGGCGCTGACCAAATTTGCTGCTGGATACTTTGCTGGAAAGAAGCTTGGCTTGACGGATCCGAAGACTTTCTTTCCAAGGAAACCATATTTGCCTGCAAATGAGAAGATGCAAAAATGGACAATTGAGACGATGGGCGTGCTTTTGGAGGAAGAGGAGAAGATCCCGGACAAGGTGTTTGGGAAAGTCGTGAATGGGACGCATTAGACAAACCAATAGAATTAATCATCCAGACTTCAATCTTGTCTTACTTCAATCCTGATCGTTTGATTGCTGGCTCACGAGTTCAGACTTCCCTAGACCAACCTCTGCCATATGAGACTCAACATTTCCTCCGGTCTTCTCCCCGTGGCCGGTACCCCGCATTTCTCCCACCTCCAGTGGGCCCGTGGCCTTCTAGAAGAGTATTCTAAACCGTATGTATTGTGTTTAAAGGGCCGCCTGCACTCCACAGAATTGACAACAGCGCAGCAATAGCAACCAAAAGGACAATGACGACGCCACAGAAAAGATTCACTTTGAACACAGGTGCAGAAATACCTGCTGTGGTATGTAATGGCCTGACAAATATTCAAACCTGTTTCCACTGACAAAGCATTTCCTAGGGTTTTGGTACATGGCAAGCCCCAGCAGGCGAAGCTGGAAGAGCAGTAAAGACTGCCCTGAAGTGTGGCTACAAACACCTCGACTGTGCGCCATTATACTGGAACGAGAAGGAAATCGGGGAGGCACTCCAAGCTAGCTTCAATGATACAACGGTGTCACGATCAGACTTGTTCATCACGACTAAGTTGTGGTCTTCCCAACATTCTCAAGTTGAATCTGCGCTTCGAAAATCCCTAGCAGATCTACAACTCGACTACGTCGACTTATATCTTATGCACTGGCCGGTATCATTGCCCCCAAACGATCCCTCTGCCCCGAACTTTGGAAAGGAGGATCGAACGAAGCATGCGCAGGGTTGGGACTTCACCAAAACTTGGGCAGAAATGGAGAAGCTGCTGGGCACTGGCCTCGCACACGCCATTGGCGTTGCCAACTTCTCGACCGTCAATCTTGATAAGCTTCTCAGAACCGCTAAGATTGTACCAGCTGTGAACCAGACCGAATTGCATCCTTTGTTGCCCCAAAACAAGCTCAACGAGTATTGTCGGAAACACGGTATTCACCAGACGGCATTTGGGCCACTCGGAGGCAAGGGAAGCACGCTGCACACGCATTCAGTGGTCAATCGGATCGCGAAGAAATGGAAAGGATCGTCCGCGCAGGTTCTATTGTCGTGGGGCGTGAGTCGAGGTTGGAGTGTGATTCCGAAGAGTGTCACAGAGGAACGTATCAAGGCGAATCTGCAAATATTTGAATTGGACAAAGAGGATGTCGAGCAGCTCAACCAGCTGGCTAAGACTGAGGGAAGGAGATTCAACCGGCCGAATTGGGGAACTGTGATATTCCATGATGATGATGAAGGTCTTCCTTGAAGTTAAGCTGAAAATGAAATGATATTGTTGCCTGAGGCATCAAGGTGCACCCACACTGTACCAATGTAGTGTAGTTCCAAGCATCCCTTTTCTTGCTTTGCTCCTTACCCCGCCTCCCCACAATTCTCCAACTATGAAGCTGTCAAATGGAGAATAGCACGAGCACAAAGTAGCGACTATCAGAAAAGCTAGTCGTGTTTATATAAGCATGTTGAATCCAGCCCAGCCCAGCTCTGGCGAGCAGTTGTTGCTCACAACTCATCCCACTCCTCGGAGGACACACTTGCATGGCTAAAGAGCGAGGCTATTAAGACCGTCTTTACTCGATTCTCCATCTCACGACGACATGTATTCCAATGGAACGAAAAGAACATGGTCTCAAACAGTCGATCCTGCCAATCCTCGTGATGCCTCACCTAGGAACCAGCCCCAGTGTCCTGCAGAACCCACGTCGGACTTCCATCCTGCATCTCAACCTTCCATTTCGAGAAAGGTGAAAGCTTGTGCAGCATGCCGCAAATTAAAGGTTGTTGTGATACTCTTCCTGTCTGAACCAAGACAGCTACTAACCATGGCCCTTACGTAGGTCAAATGTCTTATGGATGAGAGTGGACCACCGTGTCGACGCTGTGCAGAAAGAGGTCTCTCGTGTACATTGAACAAAAGTCTCCAAACTCTCATCGAGGAAAGATCCCAGTAAGACATGTCTGCGCTACCCTCGATGTTTCTTTTCGCACTTGAAATGTTTTCCTCGCCATGCTGCTCGAAGCGGCCCAGAAAGTTCGGGTTTTGTGCAATGCAAGACAAATTTGGCATATCAGATTATCTCCAATTGTCTTTTCCATCATCCAAATCCGTCCCAGTTTAGTCTCCATGGACGCTAACTTCTTGGAGGTGGAAGACCACAGTATCGGGAGATTTGGAGCATATCCATTCTGCCCTGCAAGAACTTTTGAACAGACTCTCTCTCCCATTACTGCCTCCGCTTCAGACAACCTCTCAAGACCCACCAGCTTTCTCGTTGGAAGAAGAGCTGGCACCACGGGATGATCCAGGGCCGTCATGCGATGCCTCACCACGAGTTTCACCCAAAGACGATGAATTATCGCATGTCCCTATTGAATCTTTATATCAGATCACCAGACTACGAGCTCTTCGCTCAGACGATCCGACAGATAACCCTCAAGCTCCTACGAGTAACGGCAACAGAGAAGTTATCAATGACTTCATTTCAAATGGTCAACTCGGCGTTCAAGATTCTGAGCGACTTGTGCAACTATATCTCAACAGGCTAGATCACTTCATGTACATGATTGGAGGGGTATGCAGAGATCTCGAGAGCCTCCACAGCAGGTCACAAACTCTCACAGCCTGCATCTGCACAGTCGCGGCGTTACATGACCCAAACAGTAACCACCTTTACGCTAGTTGCAACCGAGAGTTCAGACGTCTTATGGCAGCATCAATGTTCGACCGCCGTATCGATCGAGACCATCTTCGGGCCATGTGCATTGGGTCTTATTGGTTGAGTGATATTTCATGGACGTTGTCTGGCTATGCCATACGACGCGCCACGGAAGCAAATCTCAATGCCAACTATCACCGCGTCATTTCGGAAAACAATGAGGATGCTGCAGATTGTCTCAGGCTATGGTACATTCTCTACATCTGCGACCATCATTTGTCTATACTCTATGGACGACCCTCCATCATTCGGGAAGACTTCGCCATCGTGGGATGGGAAGCGTTTCTTAAGGCTCCTATATCGACAGAGTCTGACAAACGACTCATCAGTCAGGTAGCTCTGATCGTAATTCTCAGTAATGTGCGGGAGTTGTTTGGGCCCGACACTGGTGAACCCATTCCCCGTGGCTTTGGAACTCAGTTGGCCGTTTTTAATCGCCAGATAAATCAGTGGATGGGCACAAGGAGCAGCGAATTACAGCGTACTTAAATTCAAGCTCTCGCTGGTGTATCACTTCTCATACTAACTTCGTTGTATAGGACAACACCATGTCATTGGAGAGTTTCCCGCCAAGGGTGTCATTCTGCATCACCATTTCGCCAAACTTCACCTCCATAGCCACGTCTTTCGTGGCCTCAAAGACGCACCTGTGCCACCACATTTCCTCGAGAATGCGTCGGCGGCAGTTTCTGCTGCGACTTCGATCGTGGAATCACTTCTTATGGATTCTGATCTACGTGAAGGGCTTGTTGGCATACCTCATTATCTTCACACCATGACAGCTTTCGCATGCGTGTTCCTCCTCAAAGTAGTAGCACAATATCCTGGACAATTCATTGAAGATTTGGTAGTTCTGGACCTCACTTCTCAACTAGTGTAGCAATTTCGATCCACCGCAGTGGGAAAATGGCATCTGGTGCATCTGATGGCTGACGGTCTCGAGAAGCTAGCTGCCAAGAAAATCACCAGCCCTGGAGGTTACCGAAATCTTCTTACGCCAACAGCAACTACTCCAGCCGGCATGGCTTATATGAACGGATCGACCCATCTTCAAATGAACGAATATGCAGCGGAACCTCTATTCGGGCAGACTCTCGGGAACACGTTTGCCGACAATGACGCGCAGCTTGGGTCTACGCCGTTCTTACATTTTGAGAATGGGCAATTCGATTTTAATTATCCTGGCTTTGGTCTTCTATGATACAGTCGCTTTCCCAGATGCTAATCCCTTTGCAAATGACTCAACTTCATCTTTGAGGGAGATGTCCTCAAACATGCCAAGTTTCCGTGCAAGCCTTGTGTCGAATCTCGCTGGCCAGCTAGCCACAATAGCCTCAACCTTCACATCTTTCTTTTCCTCGACGAGGCTCCGCTTTTCCTTCCCCCCGACTGCCTCCAGCGCCTCAAGTATATCTCGAACAGTTACAGTCTGTCCAGGCAAATTGACTGCCCTCCCTTGCGCGACACCAAATTTCTCTTTTGGCACGTCCTTAATGGCCACCAAGTTCTTCACCACAGTCTTCGGCGATGCCACCCACATTTCCAAGTCCTGCCAAACCGGTAGAATGCTCTTCTCACCCTTCAATGGTCCCCTTACAATACCCGAGGCGAATGAGGATGCCGCTGCTGACGGTGCGCCGGGTCGAACGATCACTGTTGGAAGTCGACAGATTCGCCCATCTATCAAGCCTCTTCTTGATAAATCGTTTATCAAAGTCTCGACAATCAATTTCTGCGCGCCATAAGACGACTGCAGGATCGGGATGGTCTTTTCATCGGTAACTTGACCAGGCTGAGATGGACCATAAATAGCAAGGGACTAAGGGAAAATGACCTTGATGCCAGGTTGATTCTGTCTCAGATTGTCCAGGATGAGGCGGAAGGAGTCAAGATTCACCTTGAGCCCCAAGTCCAGATTTGTTTCGGCTCCACCCGACATTATACCATGCAAGAGATAGCACACTGCAAATGTCGGTTGAAGAAGTGAAGCAACTGCTTCGGCAGATGTAAGATCTGCTTGGGTCGCGGTGATTCTGTTCGTACAGTTTGGCCATGGTGTTTTGGGCGTGACGACATCGGCTAGAATGAGATGCGCTGTGGGCTCGGATTCGAGGAGAGCTGCTGTCAATTCTTGTCCCAAGAATCCTCCCGCTCCGGTAATCAGAATATTCATGTTTTGATTTTCTGTTGAACCCATACTTAGTCGTGTGTTAGATGACGAGAAAATTAAACGTCCCTCTTCCAGGAAGTTTCTGAGGAGGAAACTGGAAATACACCGTTGCGAAATCACAAAAAATGTTTGAAGTCTTATACAAAGTTGTGGAGCTCACGCAAGTTCGACGATATCAATTTCCTAGCACGTTGGAGGAGCTAGAACCAATAAAGCAACGACCCGTTTCTTCTCTGTTACCAATAGTTTCGTTGCATCCGCATTCAACTGAGTCCCTTGACCATCGGGATAGCTTCCTTTTCCGCGTCCACCAGGTGAATGTGGACAAATGCGGGGGCCCACACAAAGTTGCGGAAACGCGGCGAGAAAAGTAAGGGCTAAAGTGGGGTGAGGTGGAAAAGCGGATAGAAGGCCGAGCCGCACTCGCCAGTCTTGCACGGAGAGAAGAGCGAGACGAGATGGCGCATCATGGCTCGCTGTCGATGGGGCTGGCCACTCCATTGATTCATCGGTGGAGCTCAGCCGAGCGTGGGGTGCTTGCTGTGTGTGAGTAGTTCTTGCAATCACATGCTGGAAACAATTCTCCTTTCCAACAGAGCGCTTACGATTGCCAATTGCTTGTCCCTCATGGCTCGCGATGTTTTTTACTTCAATTCATTTTATCGAGACCAAGGTCCAGATCCCTCCTTTCTGGGGCCTAGATGACTTTAAAGCAGAAGCTACCACGTGCATTTTATTCATTTCTTCGAACAAATTTTCAATTTCGATTGTTGGGTTTGATTCTATCCAGGTGATCTATCTATTCTATGAGTATCAAATCTTTACAATCTCGATCTTGGCTTCCACTTGATATGTGGATGTGTATCACCATTAGACACAAGGTGGTCAATATCCCGCGTGTTGAGGAGACCGGGATGTGCTTCGTCAATGCTCGTAATCCCACATAACTTCATTGCTGTCTCGAGCTCGTCCTTCAAAACTGTGCAAACATATAAGCCATGAATACGCTCGTATAGATTTCTTTTACTTACTTTGTGTAAGATGCTCCACACCGTCTGTAGAATACATCAGAGAGTACAAATATGGTCTTCCCACGCCGACAGCCGTAGCTCCAAGGGCAAGTGCCTTAAGAATATCAGACCCTCGCTCGAAGCCGCCGTCAACGAAAACCTCCAACTTGTCCAAGACCTCGGGACAAATCTGGTGGATCTCGAGAAGTACCAATATAGATGGCTGTGCTCTGCAGATGACAGTCAGTAACTGATCTTCATGTCAAGGGAGACCATGTACCCATCCAGAGTCCTTCCTCCATGATTGCTGACCATGATCCCCTTGCATCCATACTTGACAGCTAGCTGAGCATCTGCAGCGCTTTGGACACCTTTCAACACAACTGGCAGTCCAGACACCTGCTTAATCCAACTGATGTCCTCCCAAACCAGTTCCTTATCCACATACTGCGCCATGAGTCTCCCCATACCTCCACCCTTCTTGTCATTACCCGCGACCGCACCACTGACAGCCGATGCCACATTCTCAGCAGCTAGTCGCTCATCTGCTTCTCGCTTCCCAGCAACGGGTGCATCGACAGTCACAAAAATGGCCTTGATACCCAAATCTCGGGCCTTGCGCAGCAGCTCGGCCGTTTTCTCCCGCTCTGAATTGACGTACAGTTGCAGAAAGAACGATTGACCTTTGTGCCCAGCTCCAACAATACTCCCTAGTGGATACGAGGCATTGCTCGAGATACACTGAATGATCCCCTCTTTCGAAGCTCCTCGCGCAAGTGCCAGCTCTCCATCCTTATGTGCTAGTCTTGCCATCGCTGCAGGCGAGATGAAAAACGGTGCTGAAGAGTCGTGCCCAAGAACTTTGCGCTTGATGGAGACGCTTTTGACGTTCCGCAGAATTCTCGGCCGCATCATGATCCGTCGGACAAGGGCTTTGTTTAGGCGATGGGTGATGAGGTCTGTTGCTGCTGAGGAGTAGAATGCCCATGCTTTTGGCGTGAGAGCTTGTTCTGCTACGGCGGTGAAGTCGGGCGCTGAGATGAGGGTGAAGAGTGGTGGTTTTTGATACGGTGTAGTCTCAACTTTGACCGACTCTCGTATCGGCTCAGGAATCTCTTCATTCTGAACGTTTTCTGTGGCTTTTGGAACTGTGGCTGCTTGAGGGATGTCGATTGAAGCCGCAAGATTGCCAATGAACTTGGACTGGTCGAGTGTTTCTTCGAGAATTCCTGGTGCGTGGATTTCCTCATACGCTTCTGTCGCATCTCCTCCGGCATATTTCAGGATGACTATACAACGTCAGCAAGTTCATCCAGAACAATGAATAACGCCAAGTTCATTACCTGCAGGGCCTCCTAGATGTATGCTCAAGAAGTCGGTAACATCCCATACCTTCGAGCTCACAGCAATCCAGCAATCCTGCTCCGTGCTGTGTTTCTGATGTGGCTAGTACGGACATGAAGCCGGGGCGACCCATAATTCGGATGCACAGTGCTCCAGGATTGCGGAGTGATGGGGCATGGCTTGTTGGATCGATTCTAGTGTTCACAAGCGAGCTTGAGTTCACAATTTCAGACTGCGAAGAGAATGGAGAGCGAATCTCACTTGGTATCAGTGTTCAAGAACACCAGAATTTCAGTTGGAAAAAGATAAACATGGTGCCACATGGTACCATTGTATCACACCAGCATCAACACTCTATCATAAAATGAGACCCATTGGTCGAGCCACACCACGCAATCGTCTCGAGTCGCAAACTCAAAGCAGAAAGGACCTCAACCAGCAACACTCAATGAACATATCTAAAGCTAACAACAGCTTCACCATCACTCTTACTGGCCTTGATAGTCCTAGCCGGAACTTCACCGCCCATCTCTTCTCGTTCAAATCGAGCATTTTCGCGCTTTAAATGGTACTTGATACCAATAGCCATGAGAGCGCAGACCAAAGATGCAGCACACATCATAGACCCACCACCATAGTACCTGGGTTTTTGCGAGTCCGGAAATGCGTAAGAGGTATAGAAGTGGGCGACTCCTGCCCCCATCAGATTAATGATGGCAAGAGAGGCGGCTCGCTTAGATGCTGGGCGGGGAAGTGATGCGCTGAGCCAGGAAACGCAGAGGTTGTATGGCGAGTACGAGCCTGCGCACATGAGGAACATTGAGAAGTAACGGCCCCCGAGGGTGGGTACGAACATGGCCTAAATCTTTAAGTTAGAGTATGGTAAATGAGGGAATGGTTGAGCATACCATCAAGTTTCCTAGGAGAGCGAATAGCATGGGGATGGCAATATGCCACCCACGCTCATATTTATGCGCAGCATGGAATGAGATTGCGAGAGACGTGATGAACGCAAGGAGATAAGGAGGTGCCGTAAGTAGAAGCGTGATCGTGGTGTTATATCCAAGTGTACCGACGATGCTAGGAAAGAAATTGGTGAATGATTGTGCGGTGATCAAAGACATCTGAAGGATGATGAACATGTACAACTTGGGATCGAACAAAGCTTGTTTCAAGCCCCATAAGATGGACTCTGGATCCTCGTCGCGGATACCGGCGTTTTCTTTGCGGATTCGCCATTCCGCGAAGAGTTGTTGTTCGTGGGAGATAATTTTGCTGGCTTTCTGGAGAGGATAGTCTGGTAGGATGGGCATAACTAGTAGTGCGATCACAACAGTCATTGAGCCCTCGATAATGAAGAGCCACTCCTGGTCAAAGTCAAAGATGGTTCATGTTTGAAAAGTCGGAGAACAACTCACCCATGCTGGTCTGCCTAGTTTGCCTTCCATTCTGGCTATGATTCCAGCAGCAATGAGCCCACCAAATGCACTGGCAAGCATGTTGGCACCATACAAGAAAGCGATTCTAGGTGGCAGCTCGGTTCGTTTATACCAGCAGCTCATCAAGAAGACTCCAGGCAAGAATGGTGCTATGAGCGATGAGCATCTGGGAGAGTCTCTTAGCTTTGGAGTTTACCTTCAACAAGACCGAGAATGAATCGACTAGCGAACAGTCCAGCAAAGTTTTTGGTGAAACCTTGAGACATGGAGATGATTCCCCAAGCAGAAGTAATGCCGCAAATATAGATTGACGGGCGGACTTTTCGGATGATGAGATTCGAAGGGACTTGTGTGAGGACATCTTCAAGTTGTCAGAGGACTTTAGCTTTAATGGCCAGGGGTGGATGAGGATTCTTACATCCGACGTAAAAAATCATCAGACAAGTGTTATATTGAGAATCCGAGATTCCCAGGGTCTTGGGCAAGCCAGCAACCTTTGCATTTGCGATATTGTTCCGGTCCAGAATATTGAGAAGAAACAGGAGCACGACAACTGGCATCAAAGTCCAGTCTAGCCGCTTTACCAACCCTTTTTCAAGTTTCTGGATGCCTTCATCGTCAAGGTGTAGGAGCTCGTCTGGGAGCGGAAGTTGGTTGATGGGCTTGATGATGGCCTCAACAAGTTCAACATCGTTTTTGGCGTGAATTTCGTCCATGGTCAAGTTGTATTCAGGGCAAGTGGAGACAGGATGGTGGTCATTTTCCGAAGATCTGGAACATCTGATATATCTCAAAAAGCGAAGCAGAAAGACACAAGCTTGAGCCTTGTTACCCCAGAAATCAAGACCCCGGAACGGAGGGATGTGCGGCGGGGTTTTTTGCGGGGAGACGCCCCATTTTCATCTCATCCGTTGCTTGGCGCGTCCCAACATCTGAGAGAGATCTCAATCCCTGAGTGGTGGGAAACTTATCACGAGCATAGTCACAATCTTGCAATCTTGCAAAGTATACTGAACGAAGCTCATTTGTATGCAGAACAGTTTGTTATTAAACTTCTTTGAATGCTCTCGCATTGACTGGAGTTAAGGGCTCGCCAATAAACTCCCCATCCGGTCCCACAACTGCAAGAATGTTCTTCATAGCATTGAGCTCGAAGTTGATGCGAGTGTTCAGAGCACCTCCACCAATGTGCGTTGTCAAAGTGACGTTCTCCATCTTAGCCAACTTTGGAGATACTTGGGGCTCATGGTAATGCACATCCAAGCCCGCAGCGCTGATATGGCCACTTTCTAAAGCCGCAATCAGTGCATCTTCATTGACCACTTCTCCTCTAGCCGTGTTCACTACTCGTGATCCGGGCTTCATTAAACTCAGCGCTCTGGGGTTGATTAGATCTTGAGTATGTCTGTTCAAGGGAGTGTGCAACGAGATGCAATCTGCGACTTTCAGCAACGAATCCAACGACTTGTGAAATGTGACAGCAAGTTGCTTTTCCTCTTCCTCGGTAGCTCTCACAACATCATAATAGTGGATTTCCATGCCGAGAGCGACGCCAGCTTTGTAGGCTAGTTTCTTGCTGATGTTGCCAAGGCCGATGATGCCCAGGATGTGTCCTCTTGGGTTGGCTGAGATTGTCGCAATGAGCTTGTGCGTTGTGTTGAAGATTTCGGGATCTGCAGTTCGAGCAGCCAGTTGAGCACGTGTGAAGTTGCGAAAGACGGAAAGAATCATGTACAATGCTGTATCTGAGACTGCTTCGTCTGATGCTCCAGCTCCGTTGGCATACCTAGGGTAAAATCGTTTAGACTGCTTCTGATACCGGAGAGTCTGTGTACTTTTACATACCATATCTTCCTCCTTCCGAGGGTATCAACATCTGCCCAGTTGAATCCTGCTCCAGCACTAGCGAATATTCGCACAGAAGATGGGAGGAGAGAAATCAATTCATCGTCCCATTGCCCCATCTCTCCTCCAGTCTGAAAGTGCGGACGGTAAATAGCTGAGAATTTGCCATATCTGTTTGAAAGTTAGTTTCAGTCTGAGCTGTTCTTGAATGCATAATTACTTTTCGGCCTTGAGGGCATTGATGAATGACTCTCTGTCCAAATCTTCATTCCGTACGACGTCGAAGTGAGAGAGGAATTCCTCCTCATAGAACTTCTGATTGTACTTGATCGGCTCCCCGATATGCAGTACAATTGGTTTCGGCATGGTTGATTGCTGGTGCTGAATCCAGAGTAAGAGTGGCTTACTTTACTGTCGGTGCAAGTTTGGGTGCGGCGGCATTCTCTCCGTGAAAGATGGGGTGCTGAAATTCCCCGCATTCTGGCCCACCTTCCCTGAATCGCGTTAAAGAACGACGCGGCTCATCGTCCTACCTGCTCATCGAAGATCAAATATATATAACATTCCCATGGCTATGGACTCGGGTCGATCTAATGCTTTGGTCAGCTTGGCATCTCACAAATTGCAAACAGCAAAAGTCATTAGCATCCATATTCGGCAGCCATGGAAGACTTGAAGCATAACAGCGCCTCGTCCGAGCATGTTGAATCTTATGAACTATCAAACTCGAAGAATCCCAACCAAGATCAAGATGCAGACTTACAAGCATATGCTACCGACTTTGCTCAGCGAGACCCTGAATGGCATTCGTATAAGACCAAGCATCTTCTGAAGAAGATCGATCTTCATTTATTGCCATGGATAGTTTTGATGTGTTAGTAGACATCTCATCGATATTTGTGGGATTTTGATTGACATCGCGGAAGATCTCACGAACTTCCTCGACCGCACGGCCTTGGCTCAAGCCCGTCTTGGAACTCTCGTGCAAGATCTTGGCCTCAAAGGAACATAATTCGACACTATTACGTCCATCCTCTTCATCGGATATATCCTATTTCAGCTTCCTTCCAACCTTTTTCTTACCAAGGTTCGACCTTCGCTTTATCTTTGCAGCATGATGGCCATCTGGGGTATGATCAGTGCCTTGCAAGCAACAACTCATTCCTTTGTGGGAGAACTTCTCTGCCGCTTGTTCCTGGGTGCTGCAGAAGCGCCGTTCTTCTCGTAAGTTTGGCTCCTAAGGCTGTTCAGTTCGTAGCTAACCTCTCACAGCGGCTGCATTTTTTTGATGTCAAGTTGGTACAGAGCAGATGAGCTCGCTCATCGTATTGCAATCTTGTACACTGGTGTTGCAATGGCAAACATGTTAGTTCACAGGTTCCAAATATGGCATTGTGCTTACTGTGTTTAGGTTCGGCGGTCTCATCGCAGCTGGTGTGCTGTCCGACTTGAATCCTGCCCACGGTATTGCTGGTTGGCGATGGCTCTTTATCATCGAGGGTGCCGCAACCTCCGGAATTGCTATCATTGCTGTTTTCTTCATGCCCGACTACCCAGCCACAACCCGATGGCTCAAGACCGAAGAAAAGCATTACGCCCAGTGGAGGCTTGCTCAAGACGTTGCTGGGGAGCAAGATGACCGCAATGCGATCACGTGGAAACAAGCACTCAAGATGGCATTCTCAGACTGGAGACTTTATCTCTTCGTAAGTAAAACACCACAAAGACACATGAAAATAGCGGATGCTGATTTCTCTAGATGCTAATGCATCACTCAAACCTTCTGGCTCAGTCTTTCACCTATTTCTTCCCCACGATCGTTAACAGCTTGGGCTACGGAAAGATCGAAACCCCATTTCTAACCGTGCCCGTCTGGTTCGCAACACTCCTTGCAACTCTTCTCGTCTCTTACCACAGCTCCAAAACTCGAGAGCGGAGCTTCCACATTGCGGCGTGTATGCTTGTTGGTGCACTCGGCAACATACTCGTCATCACAACTCATGGCGTTGGTCCCCGGATGTTTGCGATGTACTTGATGCCTATCGGTATCCTTCCTCCATTTCAAATGATTCTCGCTTGGATCACTTCGTCCTTTCCACGTCCGCTGGGCAAGAGAGCTGTGGTTGTAGCTACTTGTGGTATGTTCGGAAACGCTGCAGGGATCTATGGCTCCTACATGTACCCTCCGAGTGATGGCCCTCAGTATGTACCAGCTGGTATTGGATTGGCGGTTGTCTGTTGCTTTTGTGCGACCATGGCTATTGTGATCAGATTCGTATTGAAGAGGGAGAACAAAAAGCTCGAGAAGCAGGAGCAAGAGCAAGGATTAAGGGCCGGTTTTCGATACATCCTTTGAAAATGGATTCACGCTAGTATTTGGACTCGCTCACTCTGACGAAGTTTCGCGGATACTCCTAATCTGCACTGCCAACAACCTTTTTCTCCATATCATCAAATGCTTTGGTTGCTACTCCTTACCTTTCCCACAATCCAGCCTGATATCTCTCTACCAACTTCTCCACGAACTCATCCTCCCTCCACCGGCCTCCAACCGAGTCCTCAAATGTCTCACCTTCTCCCCTCTCCACTGCCGCTCCCAGAGCACATGTATTTTCACTAACATCAAGTCTGTAAACACCTTCGACACTCACTCCATGTACAATATGGCGTGGAGCCATGTACTGATCCAGTGTGTGGGATTCCAGAAAATCGTGACCGTACGAAATAGGAAGCTAATTTCGCATGATTATTTGCTTTTTTTTTATGATACTCGGTTGCACCACATGGATGCGAGGGCGCAATAGCGTTCAACACGGTAGGATTTGATTTCTGCAGGAGTGAATGAGGTAATGGAATTGACATAGTCATTAGGCTTTGCTAGGAGCGCGCTCTTAGAAGTCAGAAATGCAATTGCCATTAACACCAGACCTTGATAATTGCTCGCGCCCCTTCGCCTTCAATGCGTCATCTGCCATTCCTGATGAAAATTACTCTTTTTAAACTACAACCCCGACCCTGGAATATCAACCCCTGGTACTGCACTTAGATATTCCCCACCAAATGTCTACCAACTTCAGTTGGGAAGAGCGTTCTCAACTTCATCGATACCTAGATGCCCCACAGAATTTTGAGAGTAATTCGCTACATAACGAATGCCAAATTGCATCATAAAATTATCTAGCTCGATATCAGCTTAAAGTCCGGTATATATTTTACAAGCATAGTGTAACCTACCATATGTAGTCGCAGGCTTATTCCTCGCAAATCCGCAAATGATTTTGGACACACCTGATGCAAGATCAAGTCTGGGAAATGCTGCCTTGACCTGGTAGTAATCGTTCCAAGTTATTAAGCCTGACAAGTCGCTTTCAGGACCGTGAAAATCGGCGTTTATGCCAGCTGCCGTCAGGAATACCAGGGGCTGCTTGTACGCGAAAATCGTGGGTGTTGTGTGTAGTGCAATGGCATCCCAAACAAGCCATTTTCGGTCGTCATCCCAGTCATGGCTATGAATAGTCCCATTGTGCACGGAGGACTCAATGAAGTTCCAAGCGGCAAGTGCACCGTCAACTTCGAAGCGCTTGTCAGGTGACACGAGTTCACCGGTGTTATCCCAGCCTAAATCGTGGAGAAGAGCGGCGACAGCGTGGACTTCTGGGTCTATGGCTACGCTGTCTTTCGATCTGCTGATTATTATTGCGCCGAAGAGCCAAGAGCGCATGACGTGGTTGTAGGTCATGTCGTCGGCGTGAGCGCGAGCATAAGCTTGTGCGGCACGTACAACAGGCGTGTCCGGAATAGTTACGCCTGCAATAACCCGAGTCTGACTATGATCTCGACCTAGTAACTGAATAGGTCCAGGGCTAGCGTTCGAATATGAAGACCCTAAAAGAACAACGAGCGCTCCCGCCCACAAGCGGTTTAGAAAATGCATCATGAGGCAAGACGAGAGATGATGGAAGCGATACATGAGACATTTTGGACAGACAACACTGTCATTTTATTGAAAGTAGAGAGGACAGTGACACATATTGGCTTATAAATCTCGACGGTGAAACACAAAGTTGCGGATAGAGAGTTCACCCGTCTATATCCGGGAAAGAGAACACTAGCTGTACAATCAGTGCCTTTGCTCTGATAATGCGGATATCAAGAACATAATGCTTTGGCAATATGCCTTATGCTTAGAAATAGAAAATATGAGTACTGTTGCTTATAAATCTTTTTGATTTGTAACTTAAAGATCTCATACAAAGGGATTGCATTAAAATCCCATGTGACGCAACGATTGGTCCAAGAAAATAGTAGATCGCGGCGCGGGCATCTCAAATACCATTATCTTTAGGTTCTCCTGCCGTTGCTACTTGCAATGGCTATTATATATCTGCCAACAAGTTCCGGACGGTAAGATGCCAGCGTCTGTCCCGAAGTGCAGAACCAAGTGAAGGCGGTGAAGGGGTATCAAGCTGGTATGTCAACACTTACAGTAGTTGCAGGTAAGGCGTGATGGACCGTGCGATGGTTCTCGATATGTATAGCTGGAGTTCCATAGGTGAGATTCTGAGTGGTCACATCAGTACGCGTAATGATTCAGTGGAGCAGTCCAACGTCTCGGATGCCCAACAATCAAGGCAGGTATTCGGCGAGGATTATTCACAGCGTCGGAAGGGTGACTTAGATATTAGACAAGATTATTATTGACAGCTATGGTAAATGCGCAAATGCCTGCCTCGGAGTGGTATCTGATCACTGGGAGAACCAAGTATGAGGGCAACTCACGTGAATAGCTACACTAACATCAAATGGCACCATACAAGTCCGCTTTCAAAAACAACTTCTGGTACATTGTGATGATGTTCTCCGGCATTGCAGTAATTTTCCGAGTCGGCTGAGTAGGCATTCTGCGACAGCAAGCTTTGCGCGATAAATGTATAATCAAATACAAAAGTAAAGACTAGCTCTCCAAGGTCACAACACCCGTCTCCGCTGGTATACCTATGTAACAGAGTAGAGGGCAAGGAATTTCAACTTCAGAGCCCTCTGCCCCCTTCCCTCCGTCCAAATGAAGTTGTTTACCTAACACGAAGGCACTTTTTGTGAAATATGCAGATGGAAATATGTCATTTGAAAGGGTGAATCACCAAGATTTGATGGTAAAAATAACAGCATATGATCGATAGTTATATCGCATGACTACGCTGAAGCTCGCTCCATCACTAGTGAAAGAGTGGCGGAAGTTCCAGCTATCCTGTCTAGGAGTATCCACCGAGAGACTGGGTATGGTACTTGAAGACATGCGTAGAGATTTGCTTCCCGCTCGCGTCGTATCTTTTCGGGATTACATTGAACAATCCATCACTGTCTCGAGGCTCATAGTCGAGACCCAAAGCACCCTCTATGAGTACATCCAAGCCATAGTTCTCTTTCAGCCAGTGAGAGAACATGTCCATCCCTGCAACGGCACCACTCGCGGTCCAAATATTTCCATCGACGATCCACTTCTTATCCCTCGTCCATTTCACCTTTGGGTATTTGTCCTTCACCCACATATACTCAACATTGTTGACTGTTGCTTTTCTGCCATCAAGAACACCAGTAGCTGCAGCGACAGATGCGCCGGTACAGTTGGTAAACAGCAATTTCCCGGCGGCGACATGACGACGAGTGAAGTCAACAAACTTAGGGTGAAGTTCGAAGTCTCCTAGGTCGGGCCCGGGAATCAAGAGGCAGTCTAGCTCGGGGCAATCATCGACAGTGTCCGTGGGTAAAATGGTGATAGAGCTAGTGAGGAGATGTACTGGGTCTCGCGTGACGCCAATATGGTGAAAAACAAATTGCGGTGCGCGGGCAATTGTGCTCTCGTCAATGGGACCGTAAAAACTGATCGCTTCCAGAAGGCCTTTACTAGCGGAATTGAGAAGATCGGTAGGCCCGATTACGTCAATGGCTTGGTAGTTGAAAACAAGGCAGCCGAAATGGATGGGTGCCATTTTATTTGCTATGCTGTGCAAAAGTCCTTTCGCTTGAATGTGCAGTTGGGGATGAATGTTTATAAGTAATGATGATGGGAGTTATGCAGTAGATGGAAGTAAAGAGTAACCTTTTAAATATATAACGTTTGCGTTGTGGATCACCTTCGTCTTCCAATTGTCAGCATCACGGAGCTGATCAGTAAGAGGTACAGCGGAAACTAGAAGATGCTCTATTCCGATACTTAGAGATGTTCTATATCCGGTTTAAGAGACATTTTCTATATCCGATATGAGAGATGTTTCGCTGTATAGCCGTATCCGGAGAAACAGCGCGGACACACTGGTCACAAGATACACCGATCACTATCACCTTGTGACGTCAACATTTCAGTTATGTTGTGGGTCTGCTCGATAGTGGGTACGTCCATCCTGGCCACGCAGTCCATGATTACAAACAGCACAGTCACAGCTTTCAGACTGGTAGCTGAGCCCATCGACTCAAGGATGGTGTGCAATCTATCAAGAAAAGTGATGCTCTTGTCATAATGAAAATGCAGATCCCAGAGGATCCTGTTTAGTACCTAGAGAATTGCCATATGATATCGTGACTATCTTGTTGTGTGTTACTTTTATGCGACTATAGCTATTGTGATTAGATTCGTTTTGCAAAAGGAGAATAAAAGGCTCGAGAAGTTGGAGCAAAAGCAAGGATTAAGGGCCGGCTTTCGCTACATTCTTTGAAATGAATTCTTCGGTATGAGCAGAAGAAATGATTACAATAGACAAAATTTCAAAGATTAGGCTCTGCATGTCAGCCTCCGTCGGCGCAATGCAAACTTTCCACTTCTAAGCGAATCAACCTATTGCAGGCTTGTGGAACCAATTTTGCAGGTTCGAACCAGTAATGTGTATTAAAGCACATCTCGAGGGTGATACCTCTTTAAGCACAGTAAGGCAGAAAGTTTTGTCGACGGTGAAAGCGATTCTGGAAGAGCTGAGTTCTTGGTCGGCGAAATTGCTCCTGCGCGAGACTAGTTTTGAGCTCGACAATATTTGAAATTAATACTTAGGCTTTTATTGGACATTTGTTAATCTTGGTACCAGAGATCCCACAACCATGCGTTGTCGACCTTACAATGCCCAGGTACTTCTCTTGCGCACAAGGAATTGGGCCCATCTAATGCGCTTTTTAGGATTCTGAATTGATAGACATTAATTGAGCTGGAATAAAGAGACAGTCTACTCTACCCAAGAATTTAGATTTTATATTGCAGCCTGACTCTTGGCTTTACTCCCTATACTCTTGGCTGTTTCTACTTTGCAAGTGCGAGCACACTTGCTAAGTGCAGAACAATGTTGATATTGTGTCCTTTCTGGGTAAACAACAGAAGCTTGGTATGCTGCATTTATACTATAAGCGTGTATTATAAACTATTGGATCTGATACCAGAGTCTTTCTCGGATAAAGCAAATTGTGTTTGCGACCTTTCATGTGAAAGCTAAACAATACTGTAACTACATCCGAGCTCAGAACCTCTGACAAAACTATGGCACAACATGTCGGGACAAGGATGGTTGGTCTGCCCAATGCAACCATCTCACACACTCGCCCGCGCCCGACGTCAAATTCACTAAAACATATGAAACGAAATAAGCATTTCTTGCCTAATAAGCGTAAAGGGTCTCTTGGTGTAGTGGTAGCATGTCAGCTTCATTGTATCATGAAGGTTTCGGCGGCGGTTCGATTCCGTCAGGGATCATGACTTCTTTTTCTTTTTGTGCTGTTTTGCCTTTGTGTTTTTGAGGATTAGCCTGTGTTTGTGGTCGATTTGTACGTGGTATTTGTGTGTAGGTGTGAAGGCTCAAACTGCAGAGCAAGAGAGAGCGAGAGAGAGCGAGAGAGCATGAGGTGCCGAGATGCACGCTCATCTTTTCGCCTTGTATTTGGTTGTTCAATATTCATGTTGTTTTCTAGCGTTCGTATGTTGAGGGAATAGCTTGAGGTCTGCGAGAAGAGAATCTTCTTAAGGATTCCGCTAATGCAGCTCGGAACTTAACGGCATGATACCTCAGCTTGCAAGAACTCCAAGAGCCACAGTCTCCATTCCATTGAAATCTTTTGGAATGTCTATGAGTGATTCCAGCCAAACTCAAGCGAACCAATCTGAGGCTGTCCCCGGCTTTCCGGCCCTCATCACTGTCCGGCATTGTTCATATATCCGGGGTATAGTTTTAATATTGCCAACTGCACTTTATCCATAGTTCAGGAAGTCATTATACTGCGGCGCAGAAAATGGCAGCCTTCACAGCCTCATCATTAATGAATCACGCTTCTCACAGCTAACTCCACATCAAGCTCAGCTGCTGGTGTTGAGTTTTCGCAATGCCACATCGTCCGCAAGACTTGGGCAGGATGATAACCGCTAGTCTGGCTTACAGTAACAATGATTTGGAGCTGCGTTATTGTTCAGTTGACCCTCGCTTGCATGAGTCAAGGGCTCGGCAGACGAGCTACTGTTCTGCCAGCTCCGGTGGTGGTATCCCCAAGCCAATTCTTGTGAGTGCTTCACATACAAGACATGCACCCAAGTTTCTGACTTTGCGATAGTGAAGGAAGTGATGGCCCGTGGTCTTCCTTTGAGTTGAGAATTGGCAGTCCCTCCCAAAATGTTCGGTTCTTCCCAGGCTCATCGTCCACTTCGACCGTAGTGGTTGTGCCAGAGGGCTGCCAAAATGAGGGAAGTGACTGTGCATCTACAAGAGGAGGAATCTTCACCCCCAATTCGTCAACGAGTTGGAGCTCTATTGGTAGTTATGGGTTAGAGTTCGAGCAAAGTCTTGGCTACTCGGATTCTGCAGAATTTGGATTCGACTCAGGCAAGTTTGGTTCTTCAGCACTTATATATATCATATTATCTAACGCGACATAGTTGGACTTGGGTACCAAGGAAGTGGAGGTCCAACAGTCAATCACTCAGTCGTAGCAGGCGTTGCTGGGGTAGACTTCTGGATTGGACTGCTGGGACTAAATCCGCAACCCACCAACTTTACAACTTTCAATGACCCCCAGCCAAGCCTCATCAGATTGCTAAAGCAGCAGAATCAGATTCCAAGCCTATCATAGAGTTATACTGCAGGCGCTCTATATCGTTTAAAACAAGTCCTCGGAAGCTTGACCCTCGGAGGATATGATAGTTCGAGATTTGCTGCTTTAAATTCGAATCTGTCTTTTGGTTTCGGAAGCGACCAGACTCGTGACTTAACTGTTGGCTTGCAATCTATCACGACCAATGCAACAGGAAATGATATAGAGCTATTAGCTAGTGGGATCAACATTTTTATTGATACCTCAGTCGCCCAACTCTATCTTCCGTCGGCCGCCTGCCAAGCTTTCGAGTTGGCCTTCGGACTGACATACAACACCACAGTGGGATTATACCTCATCAACGAGACACTGCATAACTTATTAGTTTCTCAGAACCCGATAGTAAGTTTCACAATTGGGAACACAGCCAGTGGAGGACCAACAACAAGCATCACACTACCATACGCAAGCTTTGATCTCCAAGCTACTTATCCGCTCGTGGACGGCAACTCCTCACGATATTTTCCTCTTCAACGAGCTGCAAATGAGACACAGTATACTCTCGGAAGAATATTTATGCAAGAAGCATATCTGACAGTTGATTATGAAAGGGGCAATTTCTCTGTTAGCCCATGCGTTTGGGACGCCAATTTTGGGGAGCATATTATTACTATCTTTTCCTCTAATACAACTTTGAGCAATGGCACGTCACTCGGAGGAACAATATCTGTCACAGGTTTCGGCGGAGGAGCAATAGCTGGTGCAGTCATTGGATCTTTGATATGTGTGGCATTGATTGCAGGAGGCTTTTGGTATTTCATCATCAGACCTCGAGCGAGCCACAATATATCGCAAGAAGAAGACCTGGACTCTCGAAAAGAAGGTGCGGCTGAAGTCGGTGGGACAGAGAAACCTATAGTTGGGGAAGTTGAAGGACAGAACGAATTCACGCATCATGAAGCGGAAGGAGATTCAGCTTTTAATATGGAAAAGTCGACGTTTGGCAAAGCAGAATTGCATTCTCCTGGAGAAATTTCGGAATTGAGAAGTCCGATGTCAGAGACTTCCGAGTTAATGGGTACTCCGATCCACGAAATGCCCGGAAGTGATGTGCCGGAAATGATGGCAGCATGAGAAAGCCCATTTCAAGTCTCGTCAGAACTACAATTATCCTAACATATTGAAGGAGTATCTGAAAAAGAAAAGCATAGAGGGATCAGCCGTACATGCATCGAAAAGTCCATGGGTTGACACGGATTTGAAATGCCTTAGACGATTCCAGCTTGACAATGAATACCAAAATATGATTCCTAAAGATACAGAACCACGTTTACGAATGCGCCTCAATGTCAATCTGGAAGACTTCCCCAATACAGACTGCCGCACAATCTATACAGCAGAGATCCAGATTGCCATACCCAAAGTGCCGCCCCGCAATTCATTTATTGCGCCACAATAGGATCTTTGTAGCCGTACAAGAGGTTAGTGCTCACCATACCGCCTGCCGATTGGTGTTGTGATTTATTGAATCTCCAAGGTGTGGAAAATAGACATTTCAGAAGGCCTACTTCAAGAGTATCAGGCAACGACGTGGCTTTGAGTCGATACGAAACCCCGTCCAAGCTCCACGGCTCTCTCTTCTCGATATGGTTCGTTGTTTGGATTCAAAGCATTGATAAATCTCAATTTAATCATGTTTCCAATCTGGTTGTTTGCCGCCATTGTGGATGGCGCCGTGTTTTTTCCCAATTCAACAACTTCGGCCAGGTCATCTATCACGACATCTATCACGACTGCATCTGGAGTTGGCTCCAAAATCGATATTTATTCAAGTTTTACTACAAGTGCACCTTCCATTACTACTAATTCCAGCGCCCTCTCAAATCATTCAACGAGCTATCCCAGATCACCATGGTAAGGATGTTCTCGTGACGGGGATGCCCACTACTACTTTACTTGTCGAGCAGAAGCTTGGATACTTTGACTTCTATCCAAGAAGCTATAGCGAAGTGACTAACACATCGTCAGCGCCGGGGCACCACTGGCAAGTCACTTCTTGAGCTGGAGACCAAGCCAATATTGTTTTCGGACAGAGGAGCCCTACATTGATCCAAGCAAAACCGCATACCTGAACCCATACTACCTCGGAGAATGGGAAGCTCACGACGAAAGAATGTTCAGACTAGCATATTGTGCACAAAGATGGAACGACGCATTAGACACCTGGCTAGCAACAGCTCCACTAACATTTGGCTCACCTATTCCTGTCTGGACCGAGTCATTCGGCACTTCGATACCCTCATCCGAATACACTACCATGTTATTTACATATGGGGTTGGATCAAGGACTTGGAGTACGCGCCATACGCTCTTTACCCTCGATACTGGAGATGTTGTTACGTATTATATCTCTTCTGAAAGCGATAGCTATACCATGACCACAGGGACCGCTATAAAAACTTTTGGAGGGGCAATAAATGTTTGGGGAGCGTACACACCTGCATATTATGCCTCAGACTTTACATGGATCGCTTCGTCGCCGTGTTGTAGCACTTGTAGTGTTTATGGGGGCGATGTCCAGGTTTACTACTGGCCTACACCTCCTCCTGAGCCACCCACATCCACTTTGGTCGATGCAGCGGGTTTTACATTGTACGTTTGACTTAATCATAAAAGTTGTACAAGCTGATCAAGCACCAGCGTTTCTCCTTCAGTTTACGTAGCATTTCAGTCTCTTTATGCCTCAAACTTGTGCGGAATGGTTGGAGAAATGTACAACGCTACTACAGTCGCCTTTGCCCAGGATGCTCTCTCAACGGGACCAGCTTCCTTTCATTACAACCCGACTTTCGTACTTGGAACTTTGCCAACGTTTCCGCCATATTTCAGACAGGCGACATGGGGAGATCAGTGAGTTCCAATGATCGAATAAGCGAGTTATTGAAGCTAAGATCCATAAGCACAGTTTGTACGGACACTGTTGAGAGTTATTGGAAAGTAAATCCTGTTGAAACGACCACTATTCCAGGCAGTCTTTGGAGCGACGAGTATGCGCTCACAACTGAGCTTTTGGAAGGGGTAAGCGTCTGCGATCTAAGTTACTGTTTTATATTTCCGAGAACTCACTCAAGAACTCATTGTTCCATAATCTCAACATTCGAGAAAGTTTCCATGTTGAGATGTTCATTGAGGATACAACTTGATACCAGGCTAATGGACCAATAGATCCACTACACTATCACATACAACCCTTACTTCCCCATGCTCTCCGTCCCACAACAGCTATATCAATTGAACCCACTTTGGAAAACTTGCAACCCAGGAATATGAGCCTTCTACGATCCACCGTACGTGCTGAGCACAGCCAACGGGCTTACAATGCCAACTAAGACACATATTTCGGCTTCCACGGCGTTGGCCGTATCTGCTCCTGCAGTCGTCAGACCGACAATTGTTCCAGCAACGGCGACTTCAACAAGCGCAACAAGTATAAATCCATCGAAGACGATCAATAACGGTCAGCCTGTCCAAACAGCGGGGAATGACGACCCTCCGGGCAGCGCAGATCCGCCAGTTGGCTTCACCATCGACGGGACGACTTTGACGCCCAACTCAGAGTCCGGCTTGGTCTTCGCAACACAGACATTGAGACCAGGGAGCCAAATCACATATTCAGGAACCGTTCTGTCAATGGCAGCCGACGGATCATCTCTCATCTTCGGCGGAACAAGTACCCAAGTTCTCGCCCAGTCCACAGCTCCTGCTGGATATATCGTGGGCTCGCAAGTCCTGGTAGCAGGTGCTCCCGCCATCACCGTATCAGGAACACTCGTAAGTTTAGAGCAAGGAGGCTCAAGTGTTGTGATAGGAGGCACGAAAACAGAGGCATTGAGTGACTTCCTCGGCTCAGACCCAACTGTTGCGGCAGAGTATCGGATTGGAGATCAGATTTTGCAGGCTGGTGGACCGGCTATCACGATCTTGGGCACGAGAGTGAGTCTTGATGCTGATGGTTCAACTGTTGTGGTGGGAACGGAGACTGAGGCTTTGAGTGAGTTTACCGGGTCGAGTGGGTGTGGAATTGGTGGGGCTATCTTGTCTGTTGGCGGGTTTGGGTCTGGAGATCCGGAGGCGGCGATTTCGTCGAGTGCTCAGTATAGCGGGCAAGGTGGATTCAATGGAACTGCATTTACTGGCGCCGCTGTCAGACGAAATTGGGGGTTTGGGACATCTGGTGTGGCATTGGTGGTGATAGCGTTCGTGGGTTGGTGGTTATAATAGTGCGGACCGCCCTAAAGATCCTTTCGTTTAGAGACTTGCATCGAACCATAATGTCAAAAAGGTACTGCTCTTATCTGTGCAAGTCTAGAGTCGTAGCTTGAGTTTGGGTGGTTGGGAGTTACCTTGAGACTTCAAGGCTCTCAGACTTGCAGCTAGACAAGATATGAAAAGCGTTACTTTGCAACATAAAGCAACGCGATTGGGAACACAAATCGATGAGGAGCGTAAGCCTGAACGCAAAATATAATAGACAAGCATCACGTGATTCAACAGCCACTGGGTTCACTAACACCATTTTGGTCTCCGGACGCATTTGAAGCCTTCCAAATGTATCAGGATATAAGAAAGATTTATCGTGCGATTTCTCGAGAAAACATCTGCTTCTTGGCCTAGCGCAAATACCCACGTGATGTCTACGTAGCGTCTCAGCCACACTCTCTGCCTCAACCGAATGAGTGATTACCGGTATCATGACATCAAGTCTAAGATCCAGGGAATTGGCAGTGAAGATCCCCAACTCGAGACCAACGTCATCCCAGTCTCTGCCAAATTCGCTGGAGCATTTCACGGCTGGCCCTCCGAACCACCAATGATGCCCTGGAAAACTTTCCACAGAAGGAATTTGTCAGATGCTCGCAGTCGCAAAAAGGATGTTTCGGGAATCTCAGCTGAAAAGGACTTCTGAAAAGCTTGGCAAACAGTCCAGTCAGCAAAACGATTTGCGGTCGGGAGCTCGGATTAGGCTTACTTATCTGATCTTGGACGTCCAAGCCACAATAATTCCATAAAGCTCCCGAGCAGCCAATGCTTGGCGGGAGGCAGTGTTCTTGTATGCGATGTGCGCCGTTTAATGCTAGGGCTGTGATAACTGGGAACTGGGTTCTTAGTGTTCGATCCGCATCATACATAGAGCTCGATTCCCCGCGTGCTGATTCTCGTGAACTTCATTCTTCTTTACTTGACCATCACTCGAGTGTATTGAATAAGACACGCAAAAATGATACTCCCAAGATCTGAAGATTTACAGCAGTTGGCTGCTCGTTATTATAACAATAATTGGTCAGCACCAGAGACGGATCTCGGATTGGCAGCATACTGATGACATCGCAGTTATTACAACAATACCTCCAGCTATTGCCACTCGTCATGGTATCGTTGGGGACGTTGGGTACTTGCAGGCATCTTGATCTTCATCGGACTCATCCTCGTCCTCCTCTTCCTGTATGTTGAAACCCACTTCTGTCTGCATGAACCGCACTAACATTCGCAGATGTCTCGCCCGACGTCGTCGTAGCAGAGCACGAAGATACCAGACCACGCAAACACCGATGACTGCCCCAGCGAACGGAGGATATTACAATAACAACCAGGGCTACAATGCTCCGCCGGGTCCACCTCCACCAACCTATGGTCAACCACAATATGAGAATAATGGATACTATGGACAGCAGACTGGCGTCGCGCAGCCTCAGGGTGCGTACGTGAAATAGAGAGGGCGGTAATGCACTGAGAGATGGAATGGGAGGTAGGAGATTGTACAAATATTGATGAAGGCGGATAGAGTGGTCTGGGTTCTCGTGGGACAGGCGTATTCGGCGTCTCAATACCGATATGTAACATTCTAGTTATATTTATTCTGTCAATGTAATGCGCAAAGCAGAGAATGGAATGATATTACGAAATAACTCCAATCTTCATCTTGGCCGCCATACATGTGCTAGCGCCGCAAAATCCTGGCTACCGTACCTCAACCTCATCGCCTCGCTTCCATCTTTCAAGAAAATCATAAAACAAATACAATACCGACTTCTTGAGCTCCCCAGAGAGCAGTATGGGTATCGCGCTACGTCTCCTTGTTGCGCTTCATAAGGCGCTCTCATACTCAAGCGGGTCTTGAGTCTCTTGAGTCTACTGCCGCTCTTTATGCTGATACTCTTCCCCGAGTGGGGATTTGACGGCTCGATCCACAACTTGGCTCGAGGAACATCATAGAAGCAGAAGATATAAGACGGTAGATGGCCTTCATTGCAGAATATTCAGGGAGAGAATTATGCCTTCTCAAGTTTGCAGACAGATTTACTTCGAAGTAAAAGGCTCAAACACCGCTTAGGCGCGACTCTCTCCAATGTTATCTGCCAAATTTTAGAGGTGCCGAACCTAGGATTATCTACATCGACCGTTGTTTCCCACGCAGGAATAGTATCGCTCGCTATCAACGATGAAGTATTTCATTGGCAAGGGTTTGCGAGCCGGTCTGTCATTCACGTGGATGAGCACTGGTCAGGGTTTAATAGGCAAGAATGAGGCACAAATGCACACATTTGGATTTCCACTTTCGTTTGTCCCTATCGCACTTTCCTGACAGCTTTCACGCATCCCAATACGGAGAGTTTGTCTCGTATACCCTTCCAAGAAGGCGAGTGAAGAGTATGCATACGTATCTACCCTTGCGGAAGCACCCCGCATGACTCACTGGCCGTTTTCAATACATACTGATAACAGTGCACGAAGTTGCGGTCACTGAACAGTAAGTCACGCTTTGCACGTGGTCTCTGAATGCAGTTGATGGCAAGCCATAAAGCTGACATTCCCACAGCAAACTCTATGATCTAGCATGATCTAGAACTTCCACTTGCAACAATGTCTCAACCCAACACCATTTACCTCACTACAGAGGAGGACGAACGGATGCGAAAAACGCTCAAAGGCAGACTGACAAAATGCCAAGAAGTTTCTGGCCAGCCAAGAGTGCCTGGCGACCCCAATACGCGGCAGAATCAAGTAGCAATGGCATCTCTGCTGTCGGACTTTGCTGCCCCTCCTGAGCCTGGATTGAAAGCGGGGAAAGGTCGACCAGACGCGATTGTCGCTTTTGCTGTCGGTAATCCATATCCGCCATGCACTGTCTCGGTCCAAGATCTGAAGCCTATGAATCTTTCTGATCTTCGCATGGAGACGCATCATCGTGGTCATGTGCTCACTGTTCGTCGTGTGGCTCCCGTGGTGAAGCTTGTGGCTTCCTCTTGGACAGTGGTTGAAGAAGAATCATCCGGAGAGACGGAGCGACTCGAAATTTCGTTGCACAAGTCAAATCATGGGCAAGAGATCCTGGATTTGGGGTCTTTATTCCAGATCAAGGAACCATATTTCACTCTTAACGATGAAGGAGGGCCGACAATCCGAATCGATCACCCGTCAGATCTTTTTTGTACAGATACACTTCCTACAGGTAGTTCGGGATCTTCTCCCGAGGGACATGGCGAGTCCGGATATTCTGAGAGTGGGCAAAAGACAGCTAGGGACTTCAAAGAAGAAGGAAATGCTGCTCTCAAAGAAAAGGCTCTGCTTCTAGCACATACGAAATACACCCACGGACTACAATTGCTCACGACGGAAGGTTCAGCAAAAGAAGAGTTAGCATACGATCTCTTCCGAAATCGTGCCCATGTTAACCTTGCCCTCAATCGCCTCGACGAAGCGAAAACAGACGGACTCGCAGCTGTCACCGGCCTAGAAGACCAGAAATACAAAGAGCTCGACAGCAAAGCGTACTTTCGCGCTGGCTGCGCAGCGTACAACCTTGGCGAATTCGACGAAGCCAAGCATTTCTTCGAGGAACAGCAGAGGCTTATGCCTTCTCACAAAGATGCTGCAGTCCATATTCGGAAGACTGAAGTACGTCTCAAAGAGAAAACCATTGGCGTGTACGATTTCAAGAAAATCAAAGCAGGTCTGTTAACAAATCGGCTAAGAGTTGACGTCACAACCTTTTCCGGCAACGTCGAAATCAAAGAAAGTCCTGGACATGGCCGTGGTCTTTTCCCGACTTGTGCCATTAAATCTGGTGAAATTGTCTTGGCTGAGAAAGCTTTCTGCGTCATATGGGGCCATGAAGACGAAGCATTGACAGCAATGACCTACGATAACCGCGACGACAGAATCAGAGTTTGTCCAGTTGGGCTCTGTAAAGCTATTGTGCAGAAGCTTTCAGACAACCCTTCGCAAGTTGAGAAAGTCATGGCTCTCTTTAGCGACTACAAGGGTCTTGACAAGCAGCTCATTGTGAAGGACTCCAAGCCAGTCATTGATACCTTCCAAATCCATGATATTGTTGCACGGAATGCTTTTGGTCCGGATTCGGTGTACTCCAGTGGTAGGAATCAAGAAGACGCGGACGGAACAACTGCCAGCGCTGGTCTTTGGGTCTTGGCCGCGTATATCAATCATTCGTGTATCCACAACGCGAAAAAGGAGTCCATGGGTGATTTTATGGTTCTACGTGCTACTCGAGCAATTGCTGCTGGGGAAGAAATAACACACAGCTACGATTCATCCAGCGATTACGACGCCAGAAGTGCAGAATTGATGAAAACATGGGGTTTCACATGTGACTGCGCCCTTTGCACTGCTGAGAAGAACGATAGTCCAGCTGTAAGGAAAAAGCGTCGAGAGTTGGAAAACGACGCGAATTTGCTGGTTGAAAGGAACGCACCGGTTGGCGCAAAGACACTCTCCATTGTGAAGGCACGGCGTCTTGTTAAGTTGATCAATGATACATACGACGTGGAGAGATACAAAGGATTACCTCGCCTGGCACTATCAAGGATTCAGAAATGGCTCAACGAAGCTAGTAACAATCGATAGCAATACAAAATTTCCCATTCCTTCATTGCGCCAACCAGAAATTAAACCACTCCACAATCCCCCTATAACTCTGCTCCTTCACAAACCTCTCATACGGATCCTCCAAATCGCACCTGACAGCAAACCCGTGACTAACCCCCTGAAAAAGCTGGAACTGATACTTCTTGCCTCCTTCTTGCAGAATCTTCTGTGCTCTGATCCGTTTCTCGACCGGGAACGCGTGGTCGTTCTCCGCGCAGGAGAGCAGGAGTGGTTTTCCTAGATTTTGAAATTGCTCGTCGGTCAACGAGCCGGGGTGCGCGAAGGCGCCCGCGGAGATGAAGCTAGAGGCTGTGAGGGAGTCCATGGAGTAGGGGGCCCCGAAGCAGTAGCCTACGCAGCAGTATTTGGTGGTGGAGGTGCCGTAGGTCTCAGCAATGGCTTTGGTCCATTTGGGGACCGTGGCCTTGGCGAAGGTTGAGTGTTTGGTGCGCCAAGCAGCGTGGTCGAAGTCGGGGTCTGTCGTTGTGTCGTCTTTGTCTTTTCTGTGTTTCCAGACTGGATCCTGTCGTTCATCAGACTTCTGAACGCGAAAGAAAATGATAAATCATAAATACGTCTCTGAAGTAATCGATGCCAAAGACGGTGTACCCAGCATCGGCAAAGGCGTCCATCAATAACATAGCATTGTTATAAAAGCCATGAACGTCCGGGTAGTAAAAGAGGATATTCCCATTTCCTTTTCCGGGGTGAGGACTCGTGATGTAGGTTGGTGCTTCTTCGATGGTCTCTATTTTCCCGCGGGTCTCGCCTGTGTGGATGTTTCCTGAGAGGCAGTGATCGCCTGGTGGGATGGCTAGGTAGGAGCTTGCTGGCTTTGACATTTTAAATTTTGGATGCGATTATATGAAGAGAAATGAAGGTATTCACAGATTTTTACAAAGAAGAAAAGAAGAAGAAGAGGTGGTTACGCGGCTTGGGTTTAAGGGGGGTATCAGGTATAAAGGAGGGGTAAATGGATTACGCGAGCCGAGGATCTACCGATGACGACTTAAACTTTCAATATGATATTAGAAGATATTTGTTTTTATCAAGATGAGCAAGATCTTTCTTGAACTTTGATTTCCAAACTTCATTTTGATGTTCAGATATCCGAGCTTGGCCAAGCTCCCGGATTAAGGCGTCATGGAGCGGAGCGCCACTGGGGGGCGAGGATGCGGCGTAGCAGAAAGCCAAGCGGTGAACTGTTGAGGGGTCTCGGGAGCTTTAACAGCGAGTCAAGTGATGAATGTAACCTCTGGACCATAATGCGGGGGCGGAAGAGGCGCTATAAATCGTAGGAACGTTGCAGATCCGGGACAGGTACAGATCTGGTGCGGTGATAACTCAATCCAGGTTCCTGTTCCTGTCAGCTCTTCTTTTAGCTGTTGAGTATGGTTGGTCGCTTCGTGTACCATTGTACCGAGGAGGATGATCTGCGAGGCTTAATCTCCTTGCTTATTCTGGTTCATGACGCTTCTTTGTTGAAAATTTCTTTTGAGGATGTTCTTGTTGGTTTTCTCTTTGCGAGACTTGATAATATCACTTCTGCTAGTTCTGGAAGAGTTCCATGACCAGTAGAGTAGGGCAGTTACATTACGTCGAGCTGAACTATCGTCTTGCAGCGTACAATGATTGACAGATCGCTATCAATTTGCCTTCGAAGCGTCTTTACGTTGGGCCTTGGAATACCAAGTGTTGTAGCGGCTGTCACAAGATCTGGACTCAATGCTCGAAGCCAAACTTCCTACACCCCGGTAGCATTCGGTGTTGGAACGACACCAATTACTGATGGCCTCCAGACTTATTCAGCAAATGAGGTGACGCTCACTCCCTCGAGTCCGATATTGACTCTCGACTATGGAGCGGATGTTGCAGGTCTTCCATATTTTGAAGTCACCCCACTCAATGGTTCTGCAGTCCAGATAGAATTGAAATACTCAGAACAGTTTCAAGGATTGAACTTGAGTACTGGAGATGGACCTTTGTACTTTTCCCTTTTTGTACTCCGAGCGCATAATGGAGGCTAACATACATTTTAGCCTCTATACCAACGGTCTTATGAATAATTTTCGGACTGAGACATTCAATATTACCAATGCTAGTACGACGGAATCTTTCTTCATTCAAGGTGGACAACGATGGCAAACCTTGACATTGTTGTCAAATACTTCCGTCACCATTGGCAATATTGGATTCCGAGCTTCCGTCGACATAGAACCAGTAACTTCTTTGATCGGAAGTTTCTCGTCTTCCAACACCGTTTATGATGGACTTTGGGGTCTTGGCGCTCGATCTGTTCAGGCAGCTTGTGTTGAAGCCAATTCACAACCTTCAACTTGGGAGATTTCCGGCGATGGAGCGCTGATTCGTGGGCAGTATCCTGGAGTCTCCGCTCTGGGTACAGAGTATGGCAATTATACCATGTCATTCTCTACCAAGATCACAAGAAGTGGCACTGGCTGGAGAGTTGCTGCTGGTCCCAATGCCGGATACGGAGCCTACTTCGTACTTACTAGCGATGGTCCTCAATACTTGAGTACGAACACCACTGTTGTCCCACCAAACAGTGTGATTGCAACCTATGGATTCAGCATAGTTGACTTTTATCTGTCATCTGCTCCGCCTCTTTATTATTCGAATCCATTCCCGATTTCAGATAATGAGTGGTATCGCGTCAGCACTACTATTACCTCATCGGGATATAACATCTCGGTCAACGGCACGCAGTTTGCCTTCGTTCCTTACACAACCTTTCAGCCGTATGTCGATGCGGGTTTTGGAGGCACGAATCTCATCACAACTGGCTCTTGGGGATTTGGCCCATTTATGGATCAGATGGCGTATGTCAAGGATGTCGAAGTCGTTGCTCAAAATGGCACTGTACTGTATACCAATTCACTTACTTCAACTGATATCCTGCAAGAATATTTGGTCGCTTCCAACGAATACGCCGTGTGCTTGGATGGAGCCAAGAGAGACCGCGAGATCTGGATTGGGGATTTTGCGCACACAGCCAGAGAGCTTGCAGCTAGTACAGGACGATACGACTTCATCCAAAGCATGATCGAATTCGAATTCCTGGGTCAATTTACTTCGGGACCAGCGGCCGGTATTGTCCCTATTCAAGACTCGATGGGATCTGGTCCTCAGTACCAGTCGACCTACTATCCGTCCCAGTACGGCGAAACAGATTATCAGCTTTTCTTCCTTCTCACTCTTGGGGATTACTTCGTGTTAACATCAGACACTAGCCTTCTGTCGAAATATTGGAGCGGGACTAAACTGCTGGTCGATGCTATGGTCTCAACATACCTAGATACCTCAACAGGTCTCCTCGCCAACTCTTCCGCATCATGGTTTACTGCTCAAGGCTATCAGAATGCCACCGCACCAACAGCATTATTCGCCATCGGCCTAAAGCAACTTGCTGTAGTCGCCACAACACTAAACGACACGACAACAGCCGACCATTATACTGCCCTCTACACAAACCTCAGCACAGCCATCAATACCCAATTATGGAATCCGACCCTTGGAGCTTACTCCATAGCCCTCGGCAGTCCGACCGATACATCCATCCTAGCTACCGCCTTCACCATCCGAGCAGGAATCGCCAACAGCAGTCAAGCAACAAGCAGTATTCAATCCCTAAACTCACTCTTCTACCTAATCGGCTACAAAGACTCCACAGCAATCGGAAACAGCGCCACCACACAACTATCACCTAACGTACAGGGCTTCCTCCTCGAATCGCTTTTCCTCGCTTACACGCAACTGAACGTCATAGCCGACGTCGTGGTACCCGCCCTACAGAATTTGTTAGATACATACTGGCCCAAGATGCTAAATCAGAACGAATACTACACTGGTGCTGCTTGGGAGTACGTATACGCAGACGGATCTCCTGGGATCGGGATCTTTACCAGTTTGTGCCATCCGTGGGGCGGAGCTCCGACGTATATCTTGACGGACTACGTGCTTGGCGTGAGGAGGGAGTTGAATGGGACGACGGGAGAATATGGGTGGGTTTTTGATCCGGTGCTGGAAGTTGCGCAGGGATTGGGTTTGAGTTGGGTGAATGGGACGGTGCCGCTTGTTGGTGGTGGGTGGATAGAGGCGGGGTGGGCGGTCACGGAGGGGAATGTTACCTGGAGTCTGGAGGTGAAGGAGGCAACGGGGGTTAGTGTGGATGTGAGGATTTAGGGTGAGGTATGATTTACTGGTGTTGTGGGGTCTATCAGATTTATCACAGCTGCACTTTTCTAGGCGGTGCGGCAACCCTAAGCGAAATTTCCAGGCCTTAAATTATAGCGTATGTAGCGCGTCCGGCGCATAGCGGACAGCGCATCCAGCGGATTCAGCGCCATCCAGGCCAGTGTAACCCAGCGCACAGCAGTACCTCCAATCTGAAATTGTGTGTCAATAACTGGCCAAATAACCTATTGGCCAAAAATTTGGCCCATCGCGCAAACATTCGTTGTTCCATACATGAGTTGGATGATTGACAATTTTAATTATATGGCCAGAAATTGGTGGGCCCGCCATCACAGTCCCAGGCATTGGAATAGGCCTTGATGCTAATGGCTTAAGAGCGTTATTGTTAGACTAGAAACAGAGGGCCTTAGTGAGCTCGCAAAATTAAGTAGAATTAAAACTACTGCAGGCATTCTCCTGGTTCATGGATATTGAATGGATTTGGTAGCGAAATAGAAAAGGGGGGCAATTAAGGCTAAGCGAGAGATCGCTGTCAAACTCGACTCGATATCAGTTGATTCACCTATCCCTGTACAATCGGTCAAATAAATGTTGTACTTGGCCACAATGACCAAGGGAGCATGTGGTGCGCGGTCCAGTACAGATCAAACATGTGAGTTATTGATACTCAGCCACGCCACTGAACTACACTCGCTTTTCACACTTGAGAATCACTTGCTCTGGGTGCATCAACTGCAGCAACAATTTCATCCCTGCATCCTTCTGAACCATCCTACGCAGTCTTTTCCTGGCCGCCTCGTCATCTTCCTCGTCTAGCGGCACTGGTCGTATCTTATGCTGGCGAAACAACGCCACCAGCACGCCCACAAACTCGACTTGTGAAAATTTGCGGCCCGGACAAACTCTTGCACCTTCAGACCATGCCACAAAAGGGTTTGCCCCTTTAGGGAACTCAAAGAAGGTTTCTGACTCGAGTCTGTCTTCTGCTGAAGCTTTTTTTGCAGGATCCGAAATTATCCAACGCGACGGCTCCCATTCCAAGGAGTTGTTACCCCAATGACGAGGATGGGTATGTAAAGCTGAATAACTCGGGATAATCATCATATCAGCAGGAAGGGTGTAAGTTTTGTCGCGTATCTGGATGGATCGTGGTTCTGAACCTGTCGTCTTAACGATAGCTACAGGTGTGTAAAGGCGAACAGTTTCATACTAGAGAAACAGTCATTAGTAATGTACTTGGCAAGAATCAAGAGTTTCTTGCAACATACCATGACAGCTAAACACCGTTTCAGGTGAGGGAATATCGTTGCGTATGATGATATTCTTGGATCTTGATCTCCTAATACAGCGTTGATTTCCTCTGATACCTAGTCTTGCACGTCCGGCCGTGTTGCAATAAGAACCAGTCCAAAGGCAAGAGAGTTTGCAGTAGTATCGTGGCCGGCGAAGTTGAACACAAACATGTTTCCATAGATTTCTTGCTCTGTTAAGCCGCCGTGATCCTGCTGGGGATTCGTTGTGAAACCCTCGGACTTAGCCTGAGATGCACGGACAAGGGAAGTCATGAGATTATCTCCGCCTTTCCTCCCACTGGATATAGCGTGTTTCTCTTCTTCGTAAGTAGTTGTCATGTAGGTCCTAAACGTAACGGTCGCTTGATGAAGCTCCTTCCAGCTCTTAGGTAGCCACCACTTGTTAAGATTGCTAGGCCCGAGGGCGACAAGTGGAATGCAGTTATCCAGGATCAACTTCAACGAGTCTCTAATGCTCGACAAGTCGTTGGTAGTCGAGACCTCCTCTGCTCCTTGGAAGGCATATGATTTGCCAAACGCAGCGCTTGACATAACGTGTAGGGACAATGTTCGAGAATCGTTCGCAAGACTGTTGACTGATCGTTTCGATGACCAATAGTGAACCATTCCAGCAGCTTGAGCCAAACTTTCGGACCATACCAACTCGTTGTTGCGCTCATTGAAACAAGTTGCCGTTATCTTGCGATGGCGTTGCCATTGTGGTCCCTCAGTCGTTCCAAGGTTCGGCCCAAACACATTGAGCATTTCGAGCATCTCTGTGGGTCTAGTAAATTCCGCCTTTCTGGCAAATATTTCAGAGATGGTCTCGGCGTTACAGATTTGCAGCCAGTTCTTGCCTGGTGTAACGAAAATGAATGCATCGCCTAGTTCTTGGTGTGCTCTATAACGGTCCTGGATTTCCCATCCCCGCCAATTGAAGCGAGTGAAATTATTTGTTCCAAAAGGGAGGCGTCTGAAATACGGTAGAACTCTTGTGTCGATGCTCATCCAAAGAGGGTTACCGCAATCGATTGGGAGGATTACAAGAGGTAGGCCGGTTTTCTTGGCTTTGATGAAGTTGACCGTCAGGCAATACAGTACGTAAATTATCCATGCCAGTAAGGGAAGGAAGGTCAGCAGATAAGAAGAACTCGCCATGACTTAGGAGCTCTATTGCCGTGGAATACGACCCGACACGTTGCAGACGGGTGGCGAAGTGTTTCGCCGACAGACTGCAGCGAGGGATTTGATTACACTCGAAAGTTACTATTTATAACTTCAGAACGGCAACCTTTTCTCAGTAAAACCTTTTTATTATGTTGGACGATCAGAGTTGGATGATCCAAGGCTAGGTTATAAGGGGCGGAGATTTCGAACGGCCATGCGATGCTTTCAGCCTATGCAACCGTCGGTAAACACTCACGAGAATCCAACAAGCACACCGAGTTTCGAGATGTTGGATCTCTGACTATCCAACCGAGTGATAGCCACGTCTCCGCCTGGGCCTATCACGTATTGACTTGAGTTGAACTTGGATTGATACCGGGAATAAGGACATCAAAACAAGGTACGACAATCGTGCACGTGTTCGGTCTCCGAGCTTCCTAGAATTGGCCAGGTAAGAGAGTATAGACGTATCTAGACTGCAAGTGAAAATATGATAGTAAATAGGAGAAATTACGAAATTCATGGGATGACGTATGTGTCTTCACGAGGTAGGTACCCCTGATTCTGCACGTGATGATGTTCCGACCTCCGCGATGGCTCTTCTCCTTCTCATTCCTCATTTCTCATCGCCCCTCTACCTTTACTTCAAATGTGCCCTAAATCATTGTGTCTCCGCCTCTGTGTTTTCTTGCTCCTTTCGTTTCATGTCCATGTTCATTGTTCAAGGCCCTGTCCGAATGGCTGAATTGTTCCGCAGTTGGCCTTGCCAGCAGTCGTCTCGTGCGCAAAATCTGCCTTGCAAGCTGCAAGGCCGAGGATCGCGTGATGATGGCTTTTATGGCGACAATGTAACTGAGAAACGCGTCCTCGATACGCTGAGAAGTGCCGGGGAGATCCTGGATGGGTTTTGATCAGCCTTGTCTCATTTCCACTTGCCTTGACTCGGATGATCAATTGCGTATACGTCTCATCGATGTCTTCTTTGCTTTGAAGACCCCGATTGCAAACTTGCATATGAGAAGATCATGAGTCTGAACGCATAGAAAGGACAACAACATCACTTAGCAAAGTTGTCACGTGTGTGTTAATCGATGGCCACTTTTCTATCTGCAGACGAGTATCGATCAAGACTAATTGGAGTGTGTTGCCCTTTTTGTTTCACTTTGTCTCATTTCGTGGCCCTATAGCAATAGCAGGAACAATCCACTAGCCTTGTAATATGCGGGCTGTATGTGTGGCGGAGGCTTAGCTTTCAAGGCTTGCCTCGTTATCATCGAAAGCACCTTGTGATAACAGACAAGGCTGGGGGAAGATGAGTGTACTATAATCTATAAGATGGGGAGAAAGGGTCCTAGTGATCGGGTTTTACATCATTCTTTCTTGTTTCCACGTCTTGTCTATCGGCATCGCAGAGTGTATCAAGAGCCATGCGTATGGCCCCCAAAGTGGCTGGTGTCGTCTGCTTTGCGACATTGTCAACTGCAGTCAAAGTAGACGATTACCAATTATTTTGTAGCTGCGTCATCCTCAACTCATTCAACGGCACCATCTACGCGACCCCTGCACATCAAATGCTCCAAAATATCTCTGCGTCCCTGAGCATCTCTGACCAGGAGCTCTGAACTTCTTGGACTGCATATCCAGAATACAAAATTGAAACTTTTGCAGATCAATTTGGCAACCCGACGACCAACATTTCGAATTCTGTTGGGGTTTTTACTCCTGCTATTTATGATTTCTGTGCGGCTCCTGAAATTGGAGAAGTACGTATATATGGACGTCACGAGAGGTCAATCTCTCTGTGTATAGCTCGTGAAGCTAATAAATTCAGGAGTTCTCATTTCCAGATTTCTCGGCATCCACTGCTGGCCTTTTACTTCCCTGGATTGCCTTTTTTGCGCAACTTCCTCGACAAACTGGGAGCAGTTATAATGATATCTTAAGCATATTCATATCAGTTGGCAGCCTTGCTTGGATATCGTCATCCGTCTTCCTTGCTGTCTTCTTCCGTCGTGCGGTCAGCACAAGATTCAACCAACTTCAAGCAAAATTTATCTCTGGTGCCAACAAATCTATTTATCTGCACCTTGCGAAGAGATGCGAAGCTGCAAAGATCATTCTGCAAGCCGGTATTCAAGCTTCCATGCGACTGAATCCAAGGCCTGGGTTCTTGAGCAGCTTGATAATATCTCCAGAAAATCACTGGTGGTGGATTGCTGCAGCGGCGGATATTAAAGCGTTGTGGCGACGAATAGATGCCGTATTCATTGCACAAACATTCATTGCCGCATTGGCGTGGCTCCTTGCCATCATTACCAACTTCTCGGGTCTTCCTGGGTCGGTGTCATCTTCCAATAGTGCCGAATGGCAGATCTGCATGGGCACATTGTGGCTGTGGTTGGTAAGTCAACTCCTTTTTGTTCCAATTCGTTGAGCATCCCTCGCTTTTGAATTATGGTGTACTAATCGTGGCGTGGATCAGTTCACGGCAACGTATGGTCCAATAGCCATCGAATCACTTTACAAAGCTAAGGTCCTACGTCATGCTTTGTCTTCACCGGGCGAAACGTACGATAGGTTTCACTTCGCTCTTATCAATGGAAAGGTTGCGGAACAACACGAACAAACAGCGATAGTGCAGAGGTCAGCCCTGGTTCCCAAGTACCTGATTAATCGTCGAGGGTCTACCCAAGTGTACGGGATCATGAATGAAGATAGAGAAGCTTCCAGTAATGTTCGTATTCCGGATATGTGGGGATTATCTATTGAGGGGGCTGGGAGAAAGGAGGGTTTGAATACCTTTCCATGCAAATTCTTTCCTTCTGAGCAGCTTGTCGACCACGTTGTTCGACCTTTTGAGTCGTTCCACCAACGCTTGGAACACGACCAAGCACCAGTTTCCAACAAAGACGACAACTTATTCTCTCCAAAGTACGGGTCCTTTGACCTAGCATCAAGATTAGACTCTAAGTTACTTGATCTTGAAGCTGCCTCACCCACGACAGGACGTCTGAGACCTGTGAAGACATGGGATTCGACGAAATCTCCAACTTTGAATCTCAAAGGCTCATCTCAAGCACTAGACGAATATCTTGGAATCGAAGTTTCTCGCTTCACCGCATATCCCAAGTGGTCCGAAGTCGTACGCGGTACATGGATGCGATTCATTATGGCAAATATCCTTGGACTCGTGGTACAATGGGGAACCAGTGGACCAGGAATTTATGTGATGTACTACACACCACCTGTCGTAAGTTCCCATAATATTGTGAAAAATTGGATACTGATGAAATTACCAGGGACTAGGATGCGACTCGGGAGGGCTGCTCATATATGCTGTTGGTGCAACTTTATCGTGGGCATTGTTGAATCTTGGTAGCCTTCTCTCCCATACGGCTCTTCTTCATTATCAACGTTATCACGACAAATTCCCCAGCCAGCCAATACTTGATTGCTACAAGCGGACCTATTCTCATACCTTTCTCTGCGGAGCCGCGGTGATCACTCGTGTCTTAGGGAAATTGGTTGCCGTCATCAATGCCTGCTGGATCCTGGTTTGGTCGTTCCTAACGTATACCAATGTTATGCAGACGCCGTACTGTACTACTGCTTATTTTTCCCTTCGGAATCGCGGCTGGATGCGATTATGGAATTTCGAATCTCAACAATATATGGCTATCAGAATACAAGAGCTTCAATGTCTCGTGTTCGGCACCTTTATTGCTTACTTCGCTTGTGTTTTAATCTCTGCTCTAACTTCAAACGAAAAGAAGCGACAATGTCGATGGACAGTTACTGCTGTGCTTAGCCTTGCCTTCCCAACCATTGCAATTTTGTTGTATTCGCGAGGTGTGAGGAGCGTGATGGACTCAGATGGAGGCTTCATGATTTAGCCTTCGACCAAAGTCTTGGCCATCCAATTATGTGGATCTCTAGGAGCTGAGACAGAAGAAACATAAGAGCATCTACGTTCTGCTCGCTCAGACTATCTGATACCTTGAAACATGTTTCTATAGCTGGTTTCAGGAGACAGTATCACGTGTATCGTCCGATCACCCCAGTTCCATGGAAGCTGGAGATTCCGAGTCATTTCTGCGCATGAAGAGGAATACACACCTGCAGCACGGAAGAATTTGCGACTCTGGTTGGATCTTTGCTCTCATGCAGGGTCCAAGAGCCACCACAGACCTCTCACAGCCAAAGTGTCAAAGCTAGTCACATGACGTCAAGACTTCTGACCATTTATATTTGCGGTTTAGTCTGGGATTCCCGGGACTGTTGATAAAACCACTTCCCCCACGATCTGAGTTCGAGACTCTGCTTGCAGTCGACACATATATTCGCCAACATAATCTCTCACTAAGTGACCGCTATGAAGTCCATTAATATCGTCAACGCTATCACCGATGCATTACTCTTTCAAGCCAAGTTGATTACCACCAGCGGCGTGCTCATGGTCGCTTTCTCGGCTTTCTGGGTCCTCATAATGTCGAAGCACCACAAATCCCTAAAGGCTTGAGCTCGACCTCTACCTTCGTGGATACCCTCGCCAACATGCTGGTCCGCTCTCTCTTTGTGCTCCCGATTCTCGACATACATCGATCTATATGTCGAACTCATTGCTGGACTATGTTCTTCTTGGATTTCTGTCTGAATACTACTTCATTTCTATACCAAATTCTATTCTCGGTTACCTTCGAAACATCGAACTAACCGATTCGGTCAGTCTACCTGAAGTACATCTATCCTCCGCCCTACAAATGCTGAAACCGTCAAAGTCTCTACGCAACACGACCCATGGAGAGTTTTATGAGGAAACGCCCTTGTTTCGATGGATGTTGACATTGTGCTGGCCAGGATTACCAGGAGTTCTGATCTGATCTGGTCCAATCAAGTTGGCCGAGTTCTATATAGTAATGGGTTTGAGACCGACGAGGAGGTTTTGAGGCTCGAAACGGGCGTCACTACTGGTCTTGATGACGGAGACACGTTAGATCGTGGATTCAGATCGCGGAAGTACTCAGATGAGAACTTCCGAGACAAACGCCTCGATGTGGCTTCGATATGTCCTGTGTCAACCTTCGAATCAAAGAATGTTGTTCTCGCCAACTCGTCGTAGCTTGACAATATTTTGGTCTCGAATATCTTTCTGTTAGGAGTGGACCATTTCATGTTAAGACTACGGTCTGCCGTGGGATATCCAACACGCATGTTTCCATGGTGCAAAAGGGGCACTCTGCTCATAATGGATGATGTATTGCGCTATACCAAGAGACAAGATAGCCTAATGAAGCTTCATATCCCCACTCTGATTTTTGATGAAATAATCTGAAGTCTTCAGACCCAATACTTGTCTCCATGATGCGACAAAAACTTTCCACTATCCTCCAAAGTCAACTTATCGATGACCTCGAGCTGCATCTTGACTGAGTCCTCAGTAGAGATCTGTCCTTTCAACTCCGGGTACGCTTTCTGGAAAGCTTGGAGCATAAATCCCGCCTGCATTTCGGATTCTGGGCCTGTTGTTCCGTTAGTTTCTCTCTGTGACATGGCGCTGTGACATGGCGCTGTGCCTGCTTCTCCTCAAGAAGAGTATTTCCAGCGCCCTCAGAGCCCACCCTCTTTCTTCCAGTAATGGGATAATAAGGAATGAAACTCACCGAACTTAGTCTTAACCCACCCTGGGCTGAGCGCCAAGAATTTCACTCCATCCTTTTTGTAATCGATGGCAAACTTAGCGACCAAAGTATTCAGTGCAGATTTACTAGCCGCGTATCCAAGTGCGAACGGAATATCGGTCTTGAGGGACATGTCGTCATCCGCCATTCCAGTCGAGATGCAGATGATCTTCTTCTGCTCCCCGGCTTGGATGAGAGGCATGAAAGAGCTCGTGGTGAAAACAGCAGAGAAGAAGTTGGGCTCCATACTAGCGAGGATGGCGTTTTTCAAATCTTGGGGGTTTCCCTCGCTAGGTTGTTTCGTTAGCTCTGTGTGATCGATCAGAGTAGAGGAAATGGTACTAGTCTCGAGGTGCTTTTGCATCATCCACACTTCCACCTCCAACGTTGTTGATCAATGCATCAAGTTTTCCTCCAGTGACTTTGCCAACTTCTTCAGCTGCACGATCCATGTCTTCTTTGCTGGTAGCCTCGCCGACTATGATACGGACATTTGGATGAGAATCGGCGAAAGTTTGAAGATCAGTCGCGGTTGCGGGGTTGCGAATGATGGCGAACACTTTATTGTCTTTGTTCGCAGCCAAGGCTTTTACGAAGCCAAGCTGAGCATTGTTGTCAGTGGAATGATCACAGTTTGAGATAAGAAAGTTTAGTGCTTACACCAATGCCTGTAGAGGTTCCGGTCACCACGTAGCTAGCCATGATTACTATGTTGAATAAGTAGTAGACAATGAGAATTATAGAGTGAGTGCTTGAGTTCAGAGAAGAGTGAGGTGAAGGACTAGGAAGGCAGTCGAGATTCTTTGCAGCAGCCTTATATCTCTTGTTACACGAGCTAGTATTGGCGAACACCGATCGAACGCCGACTTCAGATGGCCCCTTAAAACACACGAATATTGAGAGGGCCCTCGACGTATTTGTAAGTCGTGCCGGAGTAGAATGTTGCAAGTCTGTGGTTAAACCAACAGTTTCAAACACTGTGTCTATAGCATGATTAGCATCGGATAATCTCGAATCGAATTCCACATGCAGGTTGGCTGCCTAGTTGGTATTGACCAATGACCTAACGTACCGCCGAACTAAGCGCGCTGTCATTACGCGGTGAAGGATTGGAAGGATGACACATTATGAGAGGTATGCAGGCGCATGTCAGACTTTCCATTTGGAGTAAGGTCCGTAAGTGGAGCGTGTCACGTGGGTGCATTGAAGAAGAAAGCAGCTTGTCTAGAAGCTTCTCAGGCCGTGACTAAAGCTTAGGCTATATTCAAGCGAAACTTGTGATATTTTCATATCACCTCAACTAGCCCAAGAAAGGAAAACGGAAAACAAAGGCCCTAGGAAGTTGCAGGAGTAGAACACTAGGAGCTGTCCCTTACAATACTAATCCATTGATATCAATTCTTTTTTCAATCTAAATCAGTGACACAATTCCACAGACTGGAGTACAGCGGTTGGATAGGGAGAGTGTGAAACAAAGGAAGTCACCCAGGCCTTCACGAGCTTGAATTCTTCGTCGAGGGTTCAGGTTGCCGGTTATCCATCAAATGTTTTCGCAAATATAATAAAGCGTAAACCCCAGTCGAACACCTTCCATTGAGCAGGAGTACTGTACTTTGAGTAACTCCCAAGCTCGTGCATGCTACAGATAAACTTGACTTCAGATTTGATTGACAACCATGGAAAGCAAAGATCACAACGCAAAAGAGTAGTACAAAATTTCCTGAAGAGCGTGACCTAAGTCTATTAGTATGGAGCAAGCCAGAACTAATAAACATGCTGAGCCTCAAAATCGCATCAAGAGCATCAAGCTTCCGCGGCTCTCCGCTGTTTTCCACTAATCAAATACAGAGCCGCTCTCATCTCCAAAAGGGGATCATCTGATGGTTCCACTCCCTGAACACGTGGGATGGGATCAAAGATGATGTACTTCGTCTTTGCTGCAGAGTCCGCCTCAATGGTATCCACCTTGAAGGAACCCAGCTCAACCACGGGACGAGTATCAGGCCAGTGGACAGTATTGTCGTCCGTTACATCATCCTCAGCAGCAATCTGAGCCAAGATTTTGAATGAGACTGGCCCTCCTGCAAGACGAGTCTCCAGCTCTTCTTGCAGATAATTCGCGCCCTTCTCTTTCACGACTTCTTCATCGAGGATCTGAACACCAGCTTCCGGGACCACGTGGTATCTGATGAAGGTAGCTTTACCAGCCGAGTCAATAAGTTTGAAAGCTGTAACACCGTAGTATTGCTGTGTTGCAAAGCTCGCTGGAGGCGGCTTGGGATATTGGACGAAGGCGAGTGCCTTTGGGTGGGTGCCGAGGAAATCGCCAACAGTTCCGGCAGCCAGATGCTGTAACATTTCCAGAAACTCGGCCCCGGTACGAGTTGGAAAGGCAGGAACCGAGTGGGCAATGATATCAGTGTGCTTTCGTTCGCCAATCATGAATCGGATAGCAATACCCCGAGGATCAGCATTTGGATCGGTATCGGGGATGTTGGGGATCCCGGTCGAGTTGGAGAATCGGACCAATACTGGAGTTTCTGCGTTGGTGAAATGAGGGGCAATAGATAGCTCCTTGACTTTCGCGGATGGTGTGAAGGTTCCACTGTAGAGTTTTCCCTTGGCGTGTGCTACCTCCATCTTAGATGCTATTGAAGCAACGTTCTGCTGGAGCTATCTTACCTGGGCGAAAGCCTGGGTGCTTCCCAAAGATAGCTTGCAATTGTTCCACCAGCCCTCCGGCCGTCTTCATGATTTCTTCGTCATTGGAAAAAGGCATGATTTGAAAATAGAATTAAACTTTGTACCGAAAGCGTGAGCAGAGCCGACTGTTGAGATGTAGAAACAGACTCAACGATTACGCTGCCTTCTTTATATACTTCCATGCCGCAAGGCTGCAACATCTGCTTTCCAAATAACAAGATGCGGAGCAAGGCAGCGGCTGAATTGAAATAAACCGAATGGTCAACGGATTCATGGTGATTAGTTTTCCCGCTTTCAAAAAGATGTGAATGGACGGAATAAAGCCAGGGCGGCAGCATTATTAATCTTCTTCGCATACATATCGAACTGAATAAGCACGAGACCCTATCGCGTCGAGCTGTCAATATGCATCCTTGCTATCTCGATCGAATCAGATACGACTGATTACCGTCTCTGCAAAAACTCCAAATGCAGGTAATGCAAATTGGTGGCACATTGCTTCATTTGGGATTCGATAGCCTACTGCTTGCCAGGTACCCGAGACTACGATATCATTGAATCTATCTGCAGCTTTGAGGGAACTATTCGAGTTGTGTTCGCCGCACTGCAGCACTTCGCCATAACGATTCAGTGGCTCAAGACTACGAAGTTTGAACCAACCCGCTGCAATGAAGGATAGAGTGGCTGGGGAAACTTGACATATTCAGCACTGGCCGTAACATTCAGCTGCTGCATCCGACTTGCAACTTTGTTTGAATAAATATCTTTCCAAGCAAGCTTCATTAGACCTTTTCTCGACTGCCTTCACGGTCTACTAGAATGCAAATAATGTGTAGCTTTCTGTCTTGTGTGGAATATGCCTCTACGTTGTCGGCCCTTGGCACACCCAGGGCATCTTTATGCTAGACTTGCAAATGATAAATTGTCTCTTGACTCCCGCACTCGCAGATATCCTAGCCTAGGCCGGTGCTAGTGGAAGCACTACGGTATATATCCATTCGAATCCCACCTTATTCAAACAGTTGGCTTCGCATTGTCCTCGGACGAGTTGTCGATTGTTCGAGAGTCTGATCGGCAGAGATGGTTCAGGAGCGATATGCTTTGGGGAATGTCGTCGCGGAAAGGTCAAGTAGAAGTGTATAGGATCATTGGTTCAGCATGGTTCTGGGCTCTGTCAACTGTGAAGATCTGTCGCGGGAACGTAATTCAGACAGGACAACTTAGGCCCAGCTTATGTCGGCCAAGACCAGCGCAATTAAGCTCACTCGAGCCTGCTTGTGAGCAGCAGAGACAAGATACACTTGTCGCGTTCTCTAGAAGTGTATAGACAAGATGATGTAGGTGTCGGGGTCTTTGGTGGTAGAGAATCACTGGCAACGCTATGCAGGAAATTTCGAGTCTGATCTCAGCTCGGAAGAATGTTCTTCCGGACAAAATCCTCCATTCCTCAAATCCTCACTCCCTGCTTAACTTATTCTCGACGCCTTTAAAAATATCTTAAATCATTTTGCAGCGTATTTCCTATAACTTATAATGCGAGTTCGCAGCCTGATACTCGAGCAAGGCACGCTTAAACTTGGAGCGTCACCACATGTCCACCCCAATCCAGTTTTCCCCTTTCCTTGTTCTCTCCTCTTCATCGTCTTCTCTCTGCACCATTCGCTCGCCGATTCATTTCATATCCCCTAAACTGCCGTTCGCACCTCTCCCAAAGCATGGACTTCTGATTGGCCCAACCTGCGAAGCCTGATGGTCTGACTGGCTCGCTCAGCAAAAACTAGCGGCCGCACCAAAAGGTGTTCCGAATGGCAGCTGAAGGGATAGAGTGCTTTGCAGCCTTCTCTTTGCGATTCAGATGACAAGTTTGGTTTTTTTACTTTATTATTTTATTGATCGTTTTTTATGACTCGAAGTCTTCATCAACCAGGCAAGGTCTGTCGTGGTGGACAAATAATAACACCAACAAATGCTTCGCTTTTCATACCAGAATGTTCGAATCTACAGTATTTCCCTTTCTATGCGCCAAGTTATGACAAAGGGCGACGCAACACGTAGAACAAGGAAATCCTTTTTCCAACTTGAAGTAAATTCGATCATCTTCGAAGTAAGTTCTCTTGATTATTCGATGGGAATCTATTGGTCGATAAGAAGCAGAACGCGCTTTGGAATCACGGTGCCTGTGCCCCTCATCGTGCAGCTCGCCGAGACGGGCGTCAGCAGAAAGTTACCCCGCACTAGCGACCATCGGCTGGCACTGGGTATATGTGGACTTGATACATCCACATAATCATCAGTTTCATCTCACTACCTCTCGCGGTGACAAGTATTCGGTTGACCATAAGATTTATCGGTTCCGTATCTCAAATAAGTCACTTCCAAGCTTCATATCTCGATCTTGCTACACAACTATGGCAGCTCCTACTTCATCACAAACTCTACCCAACGGTCTACGCGACGTTCAGAGACTCATCACTGATCACAATTCAGAGGGAAAAGCCATCTTCTCGAAGGATATCCCCTCGACATCATCCTGGCAAGAGATATCTCCTGCATTCAGCTTCTTCCTTGGGTACACGACCAAAGGCTTCCCAGTCGATCTTAACGCGTCCAAAGCTGGCGAATTGCCAGCCGATGTCCAAAAGTACGAGATCGACCTGAAAAGTCCTCCGGGCGGACTAAGCCTCGGAAACGGTGCGTTCTCCTACCCCACCTCCATCATTCAGCTCGGATTCTCACATTGATGCACACAGGTACTGTTCTCCGCTTCGTCGACTTTGCGCCGGATAAAGAGGCGTATATGCATAGGACCGAGTCGATTGATTATGGTGTCGTCCTCGAAGGCTCGCTTGAGCTGCTTCTTGATTCGGGCGAGACTAGGATCATGAATAGAGGAGATGTTTGCGTGCAGAGAGCTACCATGCATGCGTGGAAGAACGTAACTGAGAACGGTGGATGGGCACGGATGATATTCGTTCTCATTTCTTCGGAGAAGGTGGTAGTTGGTGGGCAGGAATTGGGCGAGGACTTGCCAGGTAAAATTGGAGACAAGGATGCAACGAATTAGTGAAATGTTCAAGTCCAAAGTATATGAACCAATTCTTGCTCGGGCGACAAAGAACATGAGAGCATTTGAAACAGATTTTAACATCGAAATGAATGCACTTGTTGTTGTCTGCGTGTTCTCCTGAGGAATCTCCAGGATGCTCTGTCTGATTGCAATGTCACTTCATTTGTTCACTTTGCAAGAAGGGATCGTGATGAGAGACTGTGTGCTAGGTAGCTCAGTGAAGGCTGGCCTTCATGATAGTCAGTATAAAATTCCAGGAGGCCGCGGTCCTGAAAGCTCCTCCTCTTTTCTCTTGCTCTCTTCCTCTACTGCATCAAGCTGCTCCTGTGTTAGAAGGTTCCTCCACGCCTCGTAAAATGGCTTTCCAACTCCCGCCGCATACCACGATGTAGGCATTAGAAGCCCGTATCCTGCCATCCGTGAAGTGCTCCAGATTGCGAATCCGAAGGGGCGCCACAGTTCGAATTTAGCATGCTGTAGTGGTGACCGAAAATAATAATCGTGCACTTGACAACTTCCCGCCAGAAGCTGGAAGAAATACCACATGTCAGAACGGTGAGTGTTATCTAGGATCTCCCATTGCTGGTCTGTTAGTGTAGAACAAATTGCCCAGTCTTTCTTGAATCGCCAATATTTAGACTCGGCGATCAGATCTGCGGCATCTTGCCTGTATTGCGTCGCTGATTCGAGCAACTCCTGCTCGAGGATTGTCTCGGAGTCATTGATACTGCGAGTGTCCAACAGCAGCTCACTGATTTCGCAATCTTCTGTTGGATGGTATCCCAATTGGATTGGAACGTCACATAATTCTGCCGGACTTGTGCGTTGTGCGTTCAATCCTTCCCATCCGTCTGTCAGGACAATACGCGCAGCTTCCAGGGCGACGTTAAGATCGTGAGATAGCTGAATGCGCCAGAAAGCTCGAAGAACACGCTGCTGCTCAAGCCAAGAAGGTGGGCCAACGTCGTGGACGGGGTAGTAGTAAATGGTATCGGCTGCTTTGTCGTCCCATGGCCCTATGCCATCGTCGCTGAATCTCGTGCTGTCAAACGAGAACGCTGCTGAGTTGAAAGGTTTCAGAGGCGTGAACCGGTCCAAGTAATACTCGAGGCAACCAAAAGTAAGGCGTTGAATGTTTCGATTCACGGCGAGAAGCTCACGTATGATGGCTGTTGGTAGGTCCAATGGCAAGCTCGTAGGTGGATGGACCCATCGTGGCGGGGTCCAACGATGCGGGGATGTCTCGTGTCTGATGAGATCTTTCAAGGTGATCAGATCGTGGACCGTAGACGGTAACGCGTTGGCTCGTATGAGAGCAATGATGCGAATCAGTGCGCAGGTGTATGTGTGGGTGCTGCCGGAGGATAAGACCGTCGTGAAGATTTGCATACTCTGGGTGTCGAAAACTCGGTATGCGGCTGGCGATGCTCTAAGAAAGCTGTCGAGCGACTCAAGGTCTGGTAGGTGAGTCAAGATGGGAATGAGCAGTTCGGGTGGAAGACGATTTTCGAGGTAGCAGGAAAAGTTCGTCATCATCGGAAAATCGTTGAGAAGAAGGGTTCAATTGGGTTCCTCGTTCAAGATGACCAGTAGTAATATGTAGATACGTGCGCTGACGGGGAAGGATGTGTGTGTGTGCATACCATATATGTTGAGCTGCTGAGATGGACAACTATTCTCCTCGGCGGGTGACTCGAATACCAGGTAACCTTACCTACCTGCCTGTTCTAATTATCCTTGCAACATCACTGTCACTCCATCTCGGGGAATCGGCGAATGGTAAGGCGGACCGGCCTGTACTTTACATGGGTGTTAGCGAACCCCCTTAACAGCATTCGTTACTGGCGAGAGGCCTATAACTTTAGCGCTACTACACTGACCGACGTAGCGATCAACAGCTTGAGGTTTCCAGGACTTTGAAAGCAACTCCATCATTTTCAGGTATTTCGTTTTGATTCGACTGCTAGATTGAATAGAATCGAAATCGATGATCAATTAAACATAATCTAAGCAAAATCTCTCTAGGCCAAGAAAAGATTTCTCGGAAACGAGCTAAGTACAAGGACAAAGTCAGACGAGAACCTGCACTATACTGCAGACCTTCCCGTGTATTTGAGTATCTAGGGAAGTTTCTTCACCAGTGACTTCATCATGTCATTCGTCTCTTAGCTCTTTCAAGCGCTGAGTGCGCCCATATCCATCCTCACGAGAGAACTCGATGGCTGTTCTGCAAGAACCACATTCATCTGCTTGAATTTGACTGGCATCGGTACAAGGTGACTCGAATACCTGTTCCCAATCTGTGATCCAGTTGCTTCCGGTGTCCCGTCTTCTTCTTGCTCCGAATAAAGCAGATCACGCTTCTTCCCCACCGTCGCAGCTGCAGCCAAGGCGCATTTAGGTCTGTTATCCGTGATATAATTTCTAGCTTGCTGGAAAGCTTGAATCACATCATTGTGGATCTTCAATCTTGTTGTGGTCGCGTAATTCTTCTGATAGTACCTCTTGAGACCATTTTTCTGTGGCCCATTCGCACCGTTTCTCGATCCATCTGGATTCAAATCGATGGTTTTGTCCCAATCGAGTTCACCGGTGTAAGAGGCAATGCTAGGAGCCTGATAACCCGCTGGAGGGGGAATGACCGTCGTAGGTTTGAGCTGGAGAGTAAAGGGATTGGGTTCAGTGTGGATATATAGGCCTTTACAGTTTGAGCAGGGTATTTTACCCCTAGAGAATCAGAGATTGGCATGTCAGTACGGTTGCTCAACATTGTTTTGATCTTTGAAGAATGTCTGGTTTGAGGTTTCTCGAGTAGTTCGACTAACTCGGGTCCCAGTTGTGAGGGGGAAATGAAATTGAATCACATACCATCTCCCACTCGAAGTTGCATTGCTATTCTGGTATATTCCATTGCGTAACCCGCTTGCGCCTCCACTGCTGTTGCACCAGCTACCGCTGCTCGAGCCGAGTACAATGCATCTGCGGCCATCTTGATGGCAGGTGGGAATTCTTCCTTGAGGCCGACAAAGCCAGCCTTGGGCAGGAGCTTTTGCAGATCGTCTTCATATCCTCCTGGTATCTTGAACTCTTCAAACTTCTTCATAAGTGTGGACCAGTATTGATCAACGTTCCACATGTTGCCTTCCAATGTGTATCGTTACCTCGCAAATGTAGTAGAAGTTCCAACAAATTTGACGAAATCGTCGAAGGAACACATGCCCGTTACACCAGCCAATGCAGCCTGAGTGTCGAAATCGCTGGCTGGAAAAGGGTGTGTGGTACTGCGTACGCAATTGGTAGCTAACTGTCTCTGGGATTTGGTGAAAGCTGCCAACCACTCTGCCTTGTAAACAGAATAGAAATACATCATCTCCCACGGTGCAGCTACGCCCAGAGCAAGGACTTCGAGGCTGGCGAAAAGGCTCAAGAGGAGGAAATGTAATCGCATCGTGTAGATATAATACAAGATTGGTAAAGCTGAGTTGCAAAGATCGAGGAAAGTTTGCCAGAGAGAAAGGTTGGAGATACCGGCCTAGATACCCATCAAGGACTAGAGAGGATGAAGGACTCAGGATTCCAGCAAAAGTAACAAGAACACCGCGGAGTGGGAGTATATGGGGAACGGAATGTTACTTTTCGGAAAGAGAATACAAGGCGAGAGTGCGAGATGAGCTGAGTTCATTGAAACTGCTCCATATCGTCCTCCCTTGTAGATGAACAATCCCCTCCACCTGCCAACGCTTGTTATTGCAGATTACAGAACTTGATTGGAAATTTCAGGCTTGCGGCACTGCTAGGCCCACCAAGCCCCGGTGGTAGCAAGCGGCGAATGTTTGCCTCTGTTCAGCTGCCAGTTTGAGCAACGTCACACCGTCACAATATCGGGGGGCATGGATACTACTGCAAGCGCGTGATTGATGCTCGCATGGGACCCTGACCTTTTAAAGCTTACCGTAATGTTTATTCTGCGGTTCTGTGGTGCCGTTCTCTGCAGTGGGCCGAATGGTGACTGGATCGGGTGCAATATCTAAAACGAGACAACTCCAGTATGAAGGACGACTTTCCTAATCTCTCTAGCCGCGCCCGACTGTATCTGTATCCATTTTCGGAGCCATCCGAATTCCGATCTTGAAGTCTTACTCACGTCTAAATGTAGAAGGTGCCTTTACCAGATACTCGGGTTGGTGTGCATCATCCCCCTGAGGGTAGACCGCTTTAGGATGCAGCGATGACAAGTAGCAAAGACGTCAACGGTTAATCTCACAGGTATGAATCAAGCCAACGGAGATTTAAAAAAAAAATTTATTCGTTCCACATCAATATCCCTTTCCGAATCGGAGAATAGACCAAAGCTCAAGCGAGTGTAACACAGGGGCAAAGGCCACTTTCCCAGAATACTTGCCTCTGAAATTCGAAATAAAAGATTTTTCTGAGCGCCACTTGGCGCCTGCGAAAGCTCTGTCCCATCAAGGAAGTCCTGGGAAAAGCGGCCTGCTAAATTGTTCACATCGATTTGTGTGGAGAAGGGTCAGGCCGTGTGATGTCTCCTCTACCTCTAGATGGAGGCCTGGAGAATTTACACAGGTATGATACTGTAGCGGGGTAAAAGACTGACAAATTTCGTCTGTGCTCTGCCGTCCCAAATTCGACCCCTCCAAAGTATGTCGGAAGCAAAATTTGATTTGAGGTGAAATGAATCATGGCTTGAAATTGCCAGGAACAGGACATGCTTAGAATTATTTATTCGTCTACCAAGATGGTTTTGGATACAACTAGACATTTGATTCGAAAGTACAAATGCTAAAGTACAAATATCATCAATGAGATCACGCTTGCCTCAATTCCTGCACAAATAGACAAACCCCAGGATAAAAGGCTAAGCTTTAATTGACGTGGTGGCCGTAGTTGATGCAGAGGACTTTGTGAACGAAGACGACTTTGTCGATGAAGAAGTGATCAGAAGCGTGGAAGTAGTTGCTGGGGCTGTAATGCCATCAAAGGCGTCTGCAAATACAACTGTGCCAGCTGTAGCCGTTACGGGTATAACGGTCCAATACGCAGTGGAATTATATGATGAAACATCATACACCTGTCCGAATCCTATGTTTGATGTGCATAATGCTCCAGAAAATGGCCGAGCCGAGTTGCTTGCGTAATTTGGAGCGATAAGGCCAAACCCGCTAGAGCACTGTATCAGCAGATGATCAAGTAGAAGATGAGAACACAACTTAAGGTCAGAGCCAAGGACTTACTTTGGACAACAAGCAATGTAAGATGCGTTGTAGGGAATCGTGTCCCATTCATATGGACATACCAATGCGCTGAAAGCCGGCAGAGTCACATTATTGAGAATCCCTATGACGCTCGAGTAGAATTGAGGTGGATAGCAAGTTGTCATGGTGGAAGTTGGAAGTGGATTGACCGAATTATCCCATAGATATGGCCCCCAGGCAGCCATTTCGGTAATGGCTCCTGTCGTGCACTGCGGTGATTGTGTATATGTTGTTGTAAGCGCCATATTGTACAAGGCAGGATTTGTCTGTACAGAGGTCCATGTCCATGAGGCGGTCGTAGTGGGAGTCGTGGATGATTCCGACGATATTGGCGTTATCGACGAAGTCACAGAAGTAGTGACTGAACTCGTTGACGACACTGTTGATGACTGTGCAGTTGACAATATGGATGTTTGCGTTGACGTTGATGATGAGGACGAAGAATAAATTACATCTTGGCATGTGAAGCAGCTCAAATCGTAGAATGTGTAGGGTGAAGAGGAAGATGCCAAATTGGTTGGTGGTCCGGAGTGCAGATTACAGTACGCTCCTGCTTCAAAGCTACATTTGAAAGTCAGCGATTGCTACTTCGACATGTTTCTGTAAATATGCAATACTGAACCCACTTGCTTGATAACCTGTTTAGGGCTTTTTTTTTTTTGGAAAATTCAACACCGCAAATGCAAACAAGAATGCTTCGCAATAAGTTGAGAGAGAGAGAAAGAAGATCCCAGGATCCTTACTAGACATTTGTGCAGCCTGTAGTTGCCAAACAAATTTGGCCACAGGTTGCAGCGTTTTCTGTGTAGACACCATTTGTGTAGTCAATAATGGTGCCTGAGCCATTAGAGAATGCGAGAACACCGCATGTTGTGTTTGCTGGCTGAGGTTTAGCAAATCCGGACACTACTGAGCATGTTTGCAGTGCTGTGCAGCTAAAGCAGGTTGCAGAGTAGAAGCGGTAAGTCGACGCTGAATTTTTTATCGGTGTTGTTGTGTTTTATATGTAAGTTGCATGCTATGCCTTGCGTGAAGTAGACATTGGTACATGTCGACGTAGAGAGACAAATTTGCTCACAAGCAGCCTGTTTCAAAATTCATACAAAGGGACGTAATCCATTGCTGAAGAGGATAGAACAGACTCACAAGGCTTGCAACATATGGTGATCCCGCGACGTAAGATATGAGGTAGCCAGTCCCATCCGAATTTGCAAGCTCACCACATACCGCACCCGAGGGTTGAGGTGATGCAAGACCTGATACTGTCGAGCAACTGGCCAAACTGGCAGACGAGAATTGCCTTCCAGCAAGAACGGCTGTTTTGGATGGTGAAGCCGTGATAAGAGTTGCAGAAATGGAAGAGACTGATCTCAGAGCGAGGAGAGCGAGCACCGAAAGAGAGAGCTTCATCGTGGTTGTATAACCAAGGGACTGAACTGTATGTTGATTAAATTCACACAATAAATACAGAATTGGAAGTGCAAACTCTACCTCGTCCAGTACGTCTAGAACGATAGCAGGAGAACAATTCTACTCCTCAAACTCAATCCTCCCCTTCTTAGCTTCTGTGCTATACCGTAGTGCGTACACGTAATCTTAAACTAATCCACACCAAAAGGCGTTGGAAATGGGACTCATGGTTCAATGATACTGAGAACCCCTGGATACCGCAACGAAAGCGTCAGAGGTACTGACGAACCTCTAGCCGATGGTACCTAGGTATGCAGGTTTCGATACTCTGAAGCTCAAGCTGATGTACGCCGGTGATCATAATAGCACAGACGCACCCGCATGAGCAGGGCTCGTTCAAACCCCTCCAAGACCCCACACCCCAGGTCGCACGGGGAGGCCAGAGGCCCCCGGCGGCCGGCATAGAAATGGCACGATGATGGGCGTACCGATGCAGTGGATATTGGTTGTAGTTGCGTCGGTATGGCTCGAATTAGATGCGCGCCTCGTTGCACCCGGTTCATCGGACCGATTCACTCACTACCATTACTAGCTTTGTTGCATTTATTGGCTTTACTACATTCACTTGCCCTCACTTGTAGTACAGCGCGCCAGCACAGCGCAGCACAAAGCAGCAGAGCGTAGTACAGTGCAGTACAGTGCAGTATAATATAGTACAGTGTAATACAGTATGTTACAGTGTACTGGTGCGGTATGCTACAATGGTGTAATAGTGCCTAATTTTCATTTTTTATTAAGATACGATTTAAAAATTTACATTAAAAATTCTATGGAAAAAGATTTATGAAAACTCTTTAATTCCATGGACTAATCGTGTCCCACTGGCCTTTGGTCGTAGTCTAGTTCAATACACAGACCACCTTCGAGAGTGTCACTGACCTGCCACTACATGTGGCAGGTCAGCCGGTGAAACTCTCGGAGCCTGTACAGCCTCCCCTCTCCAACCTCACAAATCTCCAACATCACAGTTCCCTTTTCAACACTGACCGATTACCCGCTAAATAGGGGTGACAAAAAACATCTCCTTCCACTCGGCCCCTCCTACATGAGTTCGGGCTCAGACAACCCACTACTGCATGCTCTCCAATTCTTTGTGCTTCCCGGATTCCGGGCCATGCATGCCCTGGTCACGATGCAATGGAAGTAACGTTCTTTCAGATTGACTGGTAGTCTCCAGCAATAGAGCTCGGTATCACTTTCACTCTTTCAAATTCTGATTATCGCAGAACAGCGTGGGAATGTCCACAGTGCAATTTCCCAGGCTTTCCGAAATAAGCCAGCCACTAGTTCGTACTTTAGCAGCACAGTGTCTACTTTACTAGGGGAAAAAAGATACATCATTCGAATCTTTGCTCATACGCCGCTACATTCATTTTATCATTCTATGCAAACCATGGTATCTTTTCATGGACGGAGTGTGTTGCTTCAAGCTTTATCTTTCTATGCCCTTCTAGCTTTTCTCGCTGCGTCTGCCTCATCAACTCAATTTTTATATTCTGTGGTCGAGAGTTCGCATCATCATCAGAAACGTCAGGGTGTCTCGATAGCTCAGAATGCTTCAATAGCTCAGAATGCTTCGACATCGGCTCTTGCACAAGCCCAAAAGATTGTGGCGGAAGCAGTCCGTCAGCAAGGCGAGTAAGTAGTGCCTTTCACCCTTCTTGGTTACCATTCGATGCACATACGTCACAAACGATAAATATTTCGTTGAGCATGATATCGGGCTGATACCTGGGAAATAGGTACAATACCTATCGTGTCGCAAATCCAAGACTCAACAAGTATTATGCCAGTAACTCGGCAGAAGCTAGAGCCTACAGAAAGCAAAAGCGGGACACAGAGCCACTTCCACCAACGCTTAACGCTACCATCCGAGCTGCTGCAGCTTTGCTTGCCGAGGATGATGCTGCGGCCAAGGCTGCAAATGGCACTCTCAATCGTGTCTACCCAAAACCGACTTTCGATAGCAATTCTGATTCTGAGGACACGAAACGCGCTACCTCAAGCTACTAGGTTGCCAATATAGAGCATAATGGTTTAGCTCCGATGTGAGCACCTTCAATGCCCCTCTCGTCTGTTCTCTCGAGTGCAGATGTCATGCCGAACAAATAGGCTAATAACTGAACTTTGTGTAGGGGAGTCAATGCCTCATGGCTGGTATGTGGCGCTCTGAGATTCATTTTCCCACACGCTAAGATGTATATATAGGTTTATCGTGACGTTACCAATCCCATGTTTGCTGGGGGTGCCGTATGTTATTCTTTCTATTATGAACATCCTCGCGCTTCTGCCAAGAAATGGATACTAGCAGCTATGCTCTCATCGCTTAGTCCCATAAGCTGCATTTGCTCGCTCGAGAAGATGCCGAACAGGCACTAACGTGCTTTTCAGAAAGGTGATGGAAAAACGGACGATACTGCTGCCATCAATGCTGCTATCGCGTACGGCGGGAACTGCGGGTCGAACTGCTTGTCGTCTTCGGTGAAAGGAACATTCATATTTTTCCCTCCGTGAGTTTTGACTCTTGATACAACAGCTCGTCGGGATCTATTTATCTCAGTGTTGGTCAATGAGCGAAGGCGCCTCCAGGACGCAACATGCGCGTTCTTATTCCTACCCATCGGACTCATGCTAACTTTGGGGAAGAGGCACCTACCTTGTTTCAACGCCTATTGAAGCTTACTACTACTCGCAAATCGTGGGAGATGCACTTTCGCCGCCCACCCTCAAAGCTTCTGCTAACTTCGTCGGCCTGTAAGTTTCCACTCACAGCTGAAACTTTCTCGTACGAGCTGTATATCTGGCGTTGTCCATCGTAACGTCGTGCTAACCACGCTGCTATAGTGGAGTTATCGAAAGTGGTCGGTCCATATTATCCCTCTAGATGAGACATTTATCTGATGCTGGCAGATGTTTACATCCCCATTGACAATGGAGACGAATGGTTTTGCCCCCCTTTTCTCTCTTACTCTCTCTTTCCCTCCCTTACCCTGGGACATCACTCTCCTTCAGCTTTTGTCTGCGAATCTAACTGCAATAGGTACATAAATCAATCAAATTTCTATCGCCAAGTTCGTAACAGTTAGTCTCACGCCCTTCAATGTTCTCTTGTCGACAATTTCACTCGCTTACTTCTGTGTAAATAGTGAACATCGACATTATAGACACCACTACTGCTAGTGTGGCGGGCGTTCACGTCCGTATATCCTTTCATTCCTTCCATAGCTACTGAGAAGCGGACGCTCCTGATGTCACGAGCTTCAACTTCCCTAAGATTACTACCAGAAGAATCTCGGATAGTATAAAGCTTAGCAAAAACCACAACGCTAACAGTATGATTAGTGGCAAGTCGCTCAGGCAACCTCTATTACGAACTGTCGTGTCTATGCCCCAACGACGGCTGGTACGACCGCGATGGGCATGTTCACAGAGAATGGAAGCTCGGGGTCTATGAGTGACTGTTTCTTTTTTGGTGGTCAATACGGAATATGTAGGTGTTTTCTTCTCGCATCGATCTCTTTCTAGTTGTTTGCAAGTTCTCTTCTAACAAAATCCCCGCAGATGGTGGCAACCAACAGTACACCGTTAGGAACTTTGAACAAAGTTCACAAACCACGGCTAGTATTTGTTTGATCTGGGATTGGGGTTGGACATGGTCCCAGCTTGTGATCACAAACTCTCCCATTGGTATCAAATTGATCAATCCACAGGATACCACAGGTCAGCAAGCAGGATCAAGTAAGTCGTATTTCCATGACACGAAGCTGCTATCATTGTGAAAGTTCCGTCTGCCGAGGCTGTCTCCGGTCTCTAGACAGTTCCACCCTCGCAAATACTTCTTTCAATCTGGACCTCTTCGTCGCTAACTAAACAAATAGTATATGTCCTCGACAGCTTATTTGAAAATGTTGAAACTGCAATTTTCGCCAATCAACTACCAGCAGCAGTACTCGAATCTAGCGTCATCACGCTGGACAACATTGGTGTTCTCAATGTTGGATCTATGATCGGCTTTGTCGATGGGAATGTTCTTGACATTGATCCAATTGATCTCAATTTCCTTATCATCGGCAATATACAAGACACCGGCTCATATTATGGAATGTACTACTTCAACGCCAATACACCAGATCCAAGCATGCTTGATAGCTCAACGTCCGGTTACTTTCGTCAACAATACTTCTCAAAAAGTCGACCGCAGTATGAAAGCCTGACTACTGCTGATATTATCAATGTCAAGGATCGCGGTGTCAAGGGAGATGGGTCTACTGATGATACGGCGGCAATTCAGGCAGTACTTGCAATGGCTACGACCGACAACTTGATTTATTTCCCAGCTGGGTCTTACATCATCACGAGTAAGTCGTATCAATGTTATCTTTTTGCTTCACTGCTGCTAGGCTTTCTGAAGAAGTGGTGCTGAGGTGTCCAATTGGTTCGAGTTTGATCCACCGTCCACCTCATAATGAAGAATTGGCAATGCTGACTTCGGCTCCTACCGGCAGGCACTCTGATACTCCAATCCGGATCTCGAATCACTGGTCAAGTCTGGTCTCAACTTGTTGCTTCCGGCACCTACTTCGCCGACATGACCAAACCTCAGGTGATGCTGAAGGTTGGAAATTATGGAGACGTAGGAACTGTCGAAATTTCCGACATGCTCTTCACTTCGAAGGGAGCGCTTCCTGGTCTAGTGATGGTAGAGTGGAATATGGCAGCCGACAGCCAAGGATCTGTAGGTGATCACCTCCCGTACCTTGTGGTTGGAAAGTTCAATGACTGAGAGAACATCCGGCTGACTGTAAAATTTTCACAAATAGGTCGGCTTATGGGACTCTCACTTCAGAGTAGGTGGTGCTTTTGGAACGGAGCTTCAAGTCGCCCAATGCCCAAAGACAATCCCTCAGATTCAGACCGGGTGCATAGCTGCTACGATGATGTTGCACCTTACGAGCAGCTCGAACGGTTATTTTGAGAATATGTGGGCATGGGCTGCAGATCATGATCTTGATGTAAGAATTGATCTCCGGGGACAACAATCATCCAGGCTGGAAAAGTGTTATAGACGAGATAGATTTGCTAATAACCCCATAGGACCCAACCAACACTATGGTCTCGGTCGGTGTGGCTCGAGGTATACTTGTTGAATCACAAGGTCCGACGTGGATGCTTGGTACTGCCAGCGAGCATTCCATTCTTTACCAATACAACTTCTACGGCACCACCAATACACTTGCAGGTATGATCCAAACAGAGTCGCCTTATTATCAGTACGCTGCAGCTACGGAATCACCTGGCCCGTTCAACGCTTCTGTCGGTCTCTTCTCGAATGATCCAGTTTTTCCAGATGCTAGCTGTGATGCATCGAGTCTACTATGTAGCTTTTCGTGGGCCGTGGTGATTGAAGCGACTACAAATCTTTCGATCCCTGGTGCTGGTCTCTATTCTTGGTAAACAAATTCATTTTATTTTATTTCACCTACGACTCGACCCATACTTTCGACATATGATATAACTTCATTTTGTTCTACCGTATACTGATTACTACCCAGGTTTGACAACTATGATCAATCGGTCTGTGTGGATGCACAGAATTGCCAGCAACGCCTTGTAAATAACCAAGGGTCGAACGATCAATTATTGATCTGGAACCTTGTAACAATGTATGTCCTCTTATGATTTATCTTGAAACAGTTTCTCGCTAACGTGATTTGCAAAGTGGTGCTGTCGAGATGCTTTCCGACACAAACACTGACACCATCATATATGCCAAAAACAACACTCAGGCAAACATTCATCCGTTTTGGAGTGTACTCGGGGCTTACGCCGATGACTTTGCAACCGAGCCCTCAACCTGCGCGGATAACGACACCTCCGCCGCATGCGACACCGCTGAAACTTGCGACTTCACGCTTGAATTCGACACTCTTGATGAACTTTCAGCAGCGACAGGCACATTCCCCCAGATCTGCACTGAGTACTATGCACTCGGAACACTTGGATTCTTGTTAGATGCAGCCATAGACAACTACACAGCAGCAGATGATGGCTACGATGGCGTGTTTGGTGACTATGTAAGCTTTATCTTTTTTTCTTCTCATATTCTCAAGACCTGGAAGAAATTAGTCTGAGTGCCTGCCAATGGGGAAGGCTTTGGCTGACTTGTCTTTTCACAGGTTACATTCACCAAACAAATGATTCCTACTGCGCTTCAGACGTTCATGGGTCCTCCGAATTCATCCAGTCCAGCAGGAGGACCTGGAAATAAGTATTTCACTTGTGAGCTGAGCGAAGGAGGTGTTGTCAAAATACCCAACCAACCGTGTCCGGTATGTATTCTCTCACTGTCTTCCTAAGTCAGCACAAGTGTCAAGTACGATATAGCCTTGGTGGCATCAAAAGCAATTCGTGTATCTCAGTAGTTCCAGGAAACAAAATACTGACGTTGTACAGACCTAACAGCCAATATGACTTCTTTACCGTTTTTACTATGACTTACACGCTAGAAAACTCAACTGGGTTCTTGTACGTTATTTTATTCTTCAAGTTGCACCGTTTCGGATGTACTTCAAGAGCTGAACCCCAAAACCTGCCTTCAAAAAAGTTCCTATCAGACGGTGGACTATGCTAAAGTTTCTAGTGACGAACTTGCCGATACCTACGGAATCGAAGAAAGCTGGGTGGACTTCACCACAGTCAAAACAGTTGTCGACTGCAGTGCTGGTAGTGGACGCGCGTGCGCGCCAATCAACATTGCACAAGTCGGGTTTCCAACGGATTCTGGGAACGTTACTGTCAGCAACCCAAAGGATGTCATCTCCGATGCTTTACCAACAGTAGCGAATCTTTCAGTAACAATCATTGCTAGGCAATTAGAGTTGGTCACTGGAGCTTGGTATGGTCCCACCGATGACCTTGTCCAGGTCAGTATTCAAAGATGCGCCGAAGCAAATGCATCTCAGTCTGCTTCTTCACAATTCCTAAGATAGAGGTTGTTCTTGGCTAATGGTAGATAGGTCATCTCCATGCCTGTTTTCCTTATTGTTCAAGCTATCAGCGACATGAATGAAGTGAAGACTGTCGGCCAGCAAGAGGAGAAAGAGCTCAAGCAGCAACTCACGTGGGAAATCCTCGGCATTATATTTGCCTTCATACCGTTCCTTGACGATCTCACGCCCGAAATTGAAGGTCTGGATCTCGTTCTGTCATTTGTCGACGCCGGAGCCAATACTGCTCTGGCAATTGCAGATATTGTAGCAAATCCCATGTCTGCGCCCATGGAGATATTCGGACTTCTCACAGGAGGCGGCGTGAGAGACGAGGATGATTTTGCCAGTATGGCGGCTACTCGAAAGGAGGAAGTCACCGAGGCTGACATAGGAAAGATTGGCACTACCTTTGAAAAGCTTGATACAGCCCTCCAGAGCCTCATTACAAAAGGTTGCAAAGCCTAGCTTCTTGGGTCATATGTTTTCTCTAGATTTTGAATGGTTGGATAGAACTTAATATACATAATTTGGTCATGATGTCTCTGGTGTTTACATTGTCTAGCGCTGCTAAGATATTTTCTTTGCTCTCCCATCGCTCCTTTCTCTGGGCGGCCGGTCACATGACTGGAGAAGAAAAGAAGAATTGACGATTATAGATTGAGTTACAACCCTTTACAACAAATTCCCAAGCATCGAAATAACATCCCTCTGTACTGCTTGAGGGAATTGTGTGGATTATCAGATTGCACGTGCCCGCCATAATAAGTTTAGCGTTGTCTTTGTAAGGCGACCTTTGTTTTGGTGACTGCACTCCTTCACGAAACAAACCTCAAACACCACCTACCCGACAACACAGCGCCCTCCTCACAATATTCTATGCCTGTCGGATATGATACCTTCCGATTCATGCAAAGCGCTGTATATCAACACTCACAATCCGCCTGTTCTTCGACCGATTCACGTCAATTGATCTCTTCCACGGCTCTTCCGGACCGGAGTTTGCAAGCGCATCAGAAGGGGTGTTTTCACTTCTTGTTTCTTCGAACGTGTATGAATAGCAGTGGCATTCTTGATGGACCAAGAAAGATTCAGCTGGCCATGATATCACGTGTAGGTACCTTGAAATCAGAATATTCTCAGCCTCGTTTCTCAAACACAGCTGAGCGCGCCCTCTCATGCGACAAGTCTGAATCTCACCAAGCAGTGTGACTCCCATGTCAACAAAACACCTCGCCCTGCACTAGGAGTCGTGGCTATAAGCTGAGGTTCTTAATGTAGTGCATACATGAGCCGCCGCCTTTCCATCTTTTGAGTTTCCGTATCTTCTTTCATCGCATATACACTCGTTTCGTTTTTGTCGTTGACTTTGGAACCCGGCTGGTCCATCTTTTTAGCATTAATCATCCTCCATTTTATTACACCGCCAACTTTTGAGATGAATCGACAGAACAGGCAGGGCTGGGATTTTTATGAGCAGAGCGCTGGCGCTCTCAATGCTACTCCTACGGCTCTAGGGTTCTCAGCTCATGCTTCTCTGCCGAATCAATCGCTTCAATTGCAAGAGCATGGTCTTGCACATGACTCGGGAGGACTTGCAAGAAATACTATCACTAGTTCGGCTGCACAGTTCACCGCAGCATTCAGCAGCGATCACGAAGAAAGCAAGTCAGATCTTCAGTCTGAAGTCCTAGCTCTCATCCCCAAGGCGAGTTTGTCTGTACTCAAGGAAATCAGGAATTGGCTCAAGAGTAAGAATTCTTTTGACCTCTGAGAGGTTTTTAGCTGCTAAATGATGTCCACAGCCTCGACACCACCTACATCGACCAACATTGTTCCGCACTTTACAAATTCACAGGAGTCGTTGATGCATTCGATACTGCCTCTACAATCTCAACACATTCCTCCAGATTCAAGAACGTCTAATACGTGTCAATCGTGGGCATCAAATCACGACCCGCTCCATGATGCCGAAAATCGATGGATGCCCTTGGTGGAACCTGACATTGTGGTTGCCAAAGAACCATTTGCCACATCTAGTCTCGATTTAGAGCACGTTGCGCGACATTCGGAATCCATGAGCTGGGAAACCACTGAGATGGACTTGTTGCCTCAACACCATCGATCTTCTGACGCATCCAGCACGCATGGGACTCGGTATTCCGTCGCAAGCTCACGAAGCTCCTTACCCGCTTGCGAGTCAATTTATATTGCCCAGTCCAGTGCTGTCGCGATGGCCTCTTCTCTCATCTACCCGAAAAGATTCGATAGCACTCGGGAATCCGTGCAATCTTCGAGCTCCTATGACTCAACCTACACGGATCGAAGTGCTTCCTCAAAGCATTCCTCTTCCACATCTATTCAATCGTTTCAATCCGCCAGAGGGCTTTCACCTATGACGACGATGTCCTCCGGCAGAGGGAGGGGACATCGTCGAAGTACCTCAAGTGGTGGATCTTCGACTAGGCAATCGAGTTCAACAAGACAATCAATGATCCCTTGCACAGAGGCCAATTGTACAACTACCTTCACGAGAGAATCGGATCGAGAGCGACATATTGAGACACAACATGACATTGTTCAGTACAAGTGTTTGCTCCATACGTGCACGTCCAAGTGCGAGAAAGATTGTCAGGATCCTCAACACAGCTGCTCGTTTCCCCGGGCCCGACGAGACAAAGTCAGAAAACATCTCGAACTCATTCACGGATGGAGAATCGCTTCCAAAGACGTGCCAGAATCTTGGCTTTGGTCATATATCAAGCAGAGGAATGGCTGGAGTTGCAGTTCTTGTGGAGCATTTTTGGGAAACTGGGTTGATAGTTCAGATGTGATTGCTGGCCACTCAAAAGTCTGTACGGACGGTCTATCCAACCTTGTCAGAAGGTTGAGTGTGGAAAAAGCTGCCGGAGGAAACCATGGAAACTCGGACGATGAGCATGCGCACGTGCGTGTTACAATGGCTCCTGCCAGTAATGGTGTGCATGAAGATAATTGCAATTCGCTATTTGAATAAGTTGGTCTTGGAGTTCCAACACTGATTTTATGTTCTTTGTACCAACTTCGCGAAGATAATCTCTTCTCCTATAGACGTTCGTGTTTTTTTTCGCCTTAATACCCACATACACCGTTTCGTTCTACGGCAGCCCCAAATGGGCTTGTCGAGTGTCAATAGCAATAGCATACAAATATCAATAATCACATTTGGTGCATTCGATACTTTCATTTTGAGTCACACTCCATATCCATTCGATGTGCCGTCTTTTCACTTTTTTCAAAGAGTGTGGGGTTTGCAGGGGTCCTACATTTGGACGCCGGTACACCACTAGCGACGTTTCATAATTCGTGAGAGCGCTTCCGTTGATCCCCATTTTCGAGGCTGCTGCCTGATCAACCTCATACCGAGGAAATACCAAGTTTTTGTCTTACTTTTATTGATTTTCCCATCATAATTGGTCGACTTAGCCCCAACGAGGCACGAGGCAGGCGCAGTTCAAATCAACCGGAACGATGGAGCGAATCCACAAACGAGAAGACAGTGCATTAAGCTCGAAGATTACAAGCAATTCCAAAGATGATAGCGACTCGCTAGGTTACGCCAGTTCAAATTCCACCCCGCCTCCAACACTCGCCGACATTGATCGATGGCGTTATCACATGGAATTTGAGAATTTTAGGAAGCGTCTTCAAGATGCAGCCAATATCGTCTTTCCAAACGACACCAATTCACGATATGCGAAAGTTTCAGTGTTGATACTGAGTTGGGAAGACGAGGACCCTCAGCTTCCTGTCTCTCAAGAGATCAACCAGTTGCACGGCGTGTTTCGCGATGACTACGGATATGAGACCGAAATCTGGAACATACCAGTCGAACACAGCCATTGGAAGCTTACTGAGAAAGTAATGGACTTTGTGAAGCCTGATGAAGAGGCCAAGACACATTTGAAAATTGTGTACTACGCTGGCCATGCAAAACTGACGGAAACTCGACTGCTTGTCTGGACGAGGTTTGTGTTTGCGAAAATCTAAAGAAATGTTTCGAATACTATGCTAATATTGGTTCAGTTGGAGGAATAATAAGAAACTCAAATGTCCGATGGTCAAGTGGGGAGGAATTCAAACCATTCTTGAGGAATCAATCAGCGATGTTCTCATTCTGCTAGACTGTTGCGCATCTGGAACAGCAAATGCCAGCGATGGCAACGGTGTCAACGAACTAATTTCGGCCTGCGCCTTCAACGAAATCGCGAATGGTGTTGGTCCTTACTCGTTCACAAGTGCTCTAGTGACAGAGCTCCGACTACTCAGCAACAAGCCCTCATTTAGTGTTGGAGAACTGTACAAGAAAATATTCTTCAGAACACAGTGTCGTATGCCAGAAGAAAGGTACCTAGACGGTACTCAAAAAGAACGACATCCTGCGCCGATACATCTTGTGCTTAGTCAGGGCGAGTCAGGTCCCAGGGGTATCCAGTTACCTACGAACCTAGGCCAACGAAAGTCACGCAGAGATCTTGATTCTCGAAGTAGAACGCCCCTCGATTTTGCTTCACCAATACACTCCCAGAGGCCTACTACTGATGGTATTCAATCCTTCGAGGATAAAGACTCATTTTCATCTCTTGTGGACGGGACTTCAAAAGAACCCTTTGATGAGAACCCCACTGTCAAGTATTCAACGCCAAGCATTGGCTCTCCAAGATTACTTTTCTCTGTTCGATTAAGAGAAACCTTTCGACCTGACGAATGTATGACTGATCTGTTCACTGAGTGGATTAGGAACTTCCCCACTATTGCTGATCACATGAGTGTTGAAGCATTGTTCGATAGTCATTCTACTCTTGTCATCATGTCTCTACCTGTCGATATATCGGCGTATATGCCGCAAGATCTATCAATTATATGCCTCGGCCCAGTTACTTCGCGAAACAGGATGATCTCACCTGCTGATCGCAACGAAGTCCACAAGTTTATGACAGAAGACCAAGTGATGAAATCCTCCCGAGCTCAGAATATTCGAAACTTTCTCATGCAGCAGCCAGTTGATAACTCTGAGGCAGCGAAACCCTCAGAAGGTAAGGACCAAGCGTTGCGCAACGTTGTTCATAGCTAACTGGAGAGTGAATAGGCCACCACCATTACAGATCCATAAGCCTGCCAGATAATGCAGAGGATCTACACAGTCGTGATTCCATTCAATCCACCAGCTCAAACTCATCCTCGCTTCGCGAATCTGGCTTCACAAGCCCCCGCTCCTCGATGAACACAACATATAGTCGGTCAAGTCGTACACTTGAATCACTATCTGAAGCTGCAGATTCAATGCTCAGTCGGCTTTCTAAAGTCACGTCTCCCAACAGCAGGCCACAAAGGAGGCCCGGTTTCGATCCGATTCACCAAAACACCATATCTGCCGTAACCAGACTTCTCGGTACACAAACGAGCTTAGAGTCGCGGAAGCATTCAAAGTCCATCGGAAAAGCAAATAGGAAAAACAAGAGCGAAGATACCAAAGACGACTTCCAACTCAAGACGTTCACATGTCTCCTTGGCACATGCACATCTACTTGTAGCTTCCCTTGCTTTAGCACCCATCATTTTCAAGTATTCCAAACAAATCATCTAGAGATACTAACAAGCCATCTTGCCGATGTTCACTCGAACTCGCATATCAAGATACCTGATTACTGGACGGATACCTATGTTCACAGTAAAGATGGTTGGTCCTGCCCGCGTTGTTTGGAATTCCTGGGAACTTGGCCTACAAACCATGAGAAGTTTGAAGCGCACTTCAACAGGTGCTCTCATGAGAGCCCAGGAACGCTGCTGGACTTGGAACTTGCTTCAGACTCCATGAAGCATCATTGAGTCCTTCAATTAGTTCTAGCCAAAGTGCGTCGCTTTCACAATAGTGGTTGACTAGAATTGTTGGGAGAGATGATCGTGACGACTTTCTGGTCGATATCATTCGTGCCAAGAGCTTTCAATGAGCTTGTAACATCAAACTTCCAAGATATGAAGCAAGATACATCTTGAGAAGCCCCATATCTCAACAATACCCTGGTCAAGAGTGACACAGCCCCCACATTGCCCGAGTCCCCACAACTTAAGCGAAACACGCTAGATTTGAAACCTTAAATCGAGGTCTACATCCTAAAAGCTTCTTTGTACAACCTCATATTACACACTGCCTCGCGAAACAATAGCTCGAGGTGACACAAACTATTGAATCAGCTACCGATCTCACTGCCGTCGTTTCCAACGTCATATATTGCAACGTCTAAGCGGCCACCCTCACCTTTCCACCTGATTCCGCTGGCTGAATGGCAGACAGGGTGGACTATTTATCCTTCCTGCCCAACGGCTTTATATCAAAGAATCAAAGATGGCACCACTGGCCCCAACGATCCTCACTGAGGGCGTAGACTTTGTGGTGCAGTCCACGCTGTCGAGTCGATTGATCGATGACTTCCTCACGCCAGTGTTCGTGCAAGCAGCTCCTTATGTGATCTCTTTTATGACTGCGCTTGTTGTACAGTCCTCTGCATCATGTTGGCGGGATACAATTTGCGTTTCCAGGACAGCTTCGTTTCCTGGTCCTTGGGAGAAATACATCTACGCCCCTGACTCGCGGCTGGTCTCCCCCGCCAAGATCTTGAATCCGGACCATTCCTTGATATCAATGTATCCGGAGACGGTCAACTTATCTTCAAATGAATCATTGGTCATTTATGACTTCGGGAAAGAGGTAGGAGGAATTGCTACTTTGAGTTATCAGTCACGTGGTTCCGGTCAACTCGGTTTATCATTTTCCGAGGCCAGGAACTGGACTGGGTATGTTTCTGACGACTCGAATGGCAAATACCAGACTGGGGCAGATGGAGCTCTATTTGTGCCTGTCACGAATACTAGCCGTGGCAACTTTACGATGTCAGACTCGAGTCTGCGTGGTGGATTTCGCTATCTTTCCTTGTTCACGACCAGCAACTCGACATTCGAGGTGAACATCACTGCAATATCACTTGAGCTTTCTTTTCAACCAACTTGGTCGGACTTGAGAGCATATGGAGGATACTTTTCCTCGAATGATGATCTACTCAACCGCATCTGGTATGCCGGTGCATATACGTTGCAGACGAACGCTATCTCACCAAACACTGGAAGGGCTTATCCACTACTTGACAACGGATGGGCGAACAATGCGAGTCTAGGGACTTCGGGTGCGAGTATATTTACAGATGGCGCGAAAAGAGACAGAGCCACATGGTCAGGCGACCTTGGTATTGCTCTTCCAAGCGCTTTTGTAAGCACCGGTGACTTTGAGAGCGCCAAAAATGCACTCCAGCTGCAATTCGATCTGCAGGTGAGTTGTTTTCAAGAATTCTGATAAATTCGCTGAATATTAGACAGAAATTCAATGGAGAACTCCCAATGGCGGGCCCGCCTCTCAGCTTCTATGGCTCTGATACATATCATATGTCATCAATTATTGGAACATATGAGTACATTGTCTATAGTGGTGACACTGAGTTCTTGACACGGAATTGGAGAAAGATCAAGCTAGCTATTCAATTCGTCACTGCGAAGATCGATAGCACGGGCATACTGTATGTGACAGGGAGCAATGACTGGGAAGATTCGCCCAAGGTGGTCACAATACTCAAGCAAATGCGTTGATGTATAAAACTTTGACAGCTGGAAGTGCTCTTGCCAACTGGACCGGTGACAATAATTTAGCGCGCAGGTGGAAAAGTCAAGCAGCCGTATTGAAGAATAAAATTAATGCGCCAGGTTCCAATATCTGGGACTCAAGCAAAGGGTAATCAACTATAATTCCTCAATTTCATGTACTAACGTGTAGCAGAGCTTTCAGAGACAGTGGCAGTCTACTCACTCAGTTCAATGCTGGGGGCAACGGAGATTCATACAGGTACCCGCAAGATGGCAACAGCCTAGCACTCTACTACGACATGGCAAACTCTTCGAGCTACAAAAACATTAGCGACTATCTTTTCTCAAATTGGGGTCTAATTGGAGCCAGTTGTCCTGAAATGGAGTTCAATATCGTACCTTTCATCGAAAGCATGGAAATCAAAGGTCACTTCGCTGCTCATCAAACTACTCGAGCCTTAGATCTCATCCGTCGCAGCTGGGGATGGTACCTCAACAATCCTTATGGGACAGAAAGCACATTCATTGAAGGATATCTGGAAGATGGGACATTCGGGTATCGTGCGAATGCGGGATACCAGAATACATATTCATACGTCTCACATTCTCATGGTTGGAGCACCGGACCAACACATGCTTTGTCGACCTTTGTGGTGGGACTGCAACTTACCTCGCCTGGGGGCAAGACTTGGATCATTGCGCCTCAATTTGGGGATCTCAAGTCTGTTGAAGGGGGATTCACGACTAACTTGGGGAAGTTCTCGGTGAAATGGATTCTGGTAGATGACGGATTCGTTCTGGAGTACAATGTTCCGAGCACAACTTCTGGAAAGTTGATCTTGCCTGCGTCGGTCGGTAAGACACCCAAAGTCAGAGTGAATGGCGGGTTGTCTACTCAAACAACGTACGATGTTTCAAGTGGAGTTGTCACAATTGAGAAACAACCCGGTGGTGAGAGCCGGATCCAAGTCTGGACTTGAAGGCTTTTCAAAATGCCAAACTAAGTCCACAGACTGTGAATGGCGTGTTGGGGATCAGTGAATGTCTGAATCTCTCTACTCTCGGCCAACGATTCCTCCCTGCGATACTATTTTCCGGGATGTCTCGCATTCACATCTTGCACATTCAGGTAAACTCGACCGGCACTTTCAACAACATACAAAAGAAGGCTGGACAAGGAGACTGCATGTTCAGAGACCTTCATCTCAACATATTCAACTTGAAGTTTATCATTCACAGGACCTGACAATGTGCTTTGGTACAGAAAGATGTTCAAGGTGCAGGGAGCGGGACTGTGCTGGCTGCGGTCGTTCTCCGCCCCTTGCTCCGCGACAGGCTCCGAGCTCGCGTTCCAAGCCAAAGAGCGTTGGCCTCGGGGCTCGTACGGATCACACTCTATCAAAAGAGACCTCTCATAAATCAGCACTACTGCATGGTTCGAAGACAAATCGACCTTTGAACGCTTCTCGCACTCGCCGGGGCTCGGATCACAGAACAACAGCAGCCTCCAAGCTTGAGAGAGGCAGTCGTCGACCCGACTCAGATCAAAGCCAACATGATGCATCGAGCCAACCCTCGCAGTCATCATCCCCTTCAGTGTCACCTGCAAGCCTGGATGCAACTGAAGTTGTACGTGGTGGGATCTCTGCGAAATCTCTTTTCACGTCACAACATGACATAGTAATGGCTACCCGACAAACAATATTTGATTCTCTTCCCCCACTCAAGAAGGAAAAACAAGATCAATGGGCACAAACTCAGCTTGCAAAGAACGCGAGCTCAAACTGTCCAGTCGGTTTCATCTGGGCTCGATATCAAAAAGGATATAGATGTCTTGGAGGAGGCCACTTTGTTTCGATCGGATGCACTTATCGCTGAAGGAAAGGGCGGCTGGTATCACTGGCACAAGAAGATGAAGCCAGGTCGACGGATACCAAAGGAGCTGGGCCCATTTTATGGTGCAGATCCCCAGTATGGGCCACTTTCTCCAAAAGAAGCTACGAAAATTCGCGTTGGGCTTATGGCAAGGAAAATCCTACAAATGAAGACAAGCGGTGGTAGACGATGATGGCATGATGATTTACTATTTAAATAGGAAATCAACCTTCTATGCCAAGATGCATTTGGGACTGAGTTTTACCTGCAGTTTTAAAAAGCCAAGGAACACTCTTGCCTATCGTCACAATGAGAGAAGGGATGCTCATACATGGACAAATTGGGAGAGCGGATTCTGGGACAGATCGAAAGATCCGCTGGTAGGAAGGACGATCAGAATTGACAGACGGCCGCGCATTGTCAAGTTCATTACCTAGCCAGAATTAATGTAATTCTAGAATCAATGCTACCAGAGTAAGTGCCCAATCTTCGAAGTAACAACCCATGCAGCAGCTTCGGTCCTTGCTCCGCACAATGCCCATCGGCTCATCAACCGACAAACCCGACGGAGCCGACAACCACTTCATCACAATCACCGATTGCACCAGATAAGGAACCGTACTCAATACAAAGCAGTATATCTCACTGTCCTGACCCTAAATCATACACAGTAACCAAACAGCTCAAAGCCCATCATCATGCCCAGCACAGTCTCACCCCCAGACACCCCCACCAAAAATGGCCCCCTCTTCCCTGACTACCTTCGTTTGTCCCTCCCCACTCCTGAACTCAAAGCAAATGACTAACATGCCACAAGCACATTATGACCCTCTTGAAAAAGTCGAGATGGTCGGCTCCTTTGAATTCTCGGATCCCGGCCTCCGCGCCGACCCCTCAAAGCAAACCCTCTTGTCTCAAGCAACGTCCATCAACGACCTCGGTCCCTACTGCGGCACCGAACGTAAATATCCGTTCCTCTGTTTATTTCTGCTTTCTAATTCTTTCATGCATGCCACGTTCAAGCTCTTGAATAATCATCTTTTTCGAAGACTCGGCTCCTAGTTCTTCTATAAAAGCAAATACTAACTCCCTCTAGTCCTAGGCGTCGACCTAACAAACCTCTCCCCGGCCGCCCTCGACGAACTCGCCCTCCTTACCGCCCAACGCGGCTGCGTCGTCTTCAGAAACCAAGATGCCTTCCTCGCCGCCGGCTTCGACGCCCAAAAAGCCATCGCCTCGCACTTCGGCCCCTTGCACGTCCACGGCTGGATGCCTCATCCCCAGAACGGGCCCCCGGAATTCGTCATCGTTTATGACAGTGATCAAGATCTTAGGATCCGCAAGTCGTGGGCGAGGAAAAATCCTATCCAGTTCCACGTCGATCAATCGCCTGAAGCGCAACCGCCCGGAATGACGCTCTTTGCTATGCTGGAGAGCCCGCCGGGGGTTGGTGGTGATACGATTATCTGTAGCACAGTGAGGGCGTTTCAGAAATTGAGTCCGAAATTTAGGGCTAGGTTGGAGGGTTTGATGGCCGTTCACACGACGCAAGCTGCTTTGTCGCGGGAGATCCGCGATAATGGGGATAAATCGGTCGTTCGGCGTCCAGTGACGAGATCGGTGCATCCAGTGGTAATAGTGCACCCTGTGACGGGCCAGAAAGCGCTATTTGTGAACTCGAGTTATACGCAGAGTATAGTGGGGTTTGATGATGATGAAAGTGATTACTTGTTGAAGTTTCTGTTTGATCATATTAATCGGGGCCATGATTTTAGTTGTCGGGTGAGGTATGAGCCGGGGACGGTGGTGTTGTGGGATCAGAGGGTTACGCAGCATAGTCAGACGTTGGATTATCCGGCTGGGGCGAGAAGGCATGCGTTTCGGTTGACGCCGTTGGCGAATGTGCCGATTCCGAGTAAGGTGGATGAAGATGATGATGGGTGTAAGCTGGAGGAAGATAGGGAGATGTTGGGGTTGTGTTGATTTGGAAGATGAGAAGGGAATTTGCAACACTATCTGAGTTACTCGGAGTGTGTTGGATGTCTGAAAGTTGAAGGGAGAATTTGCAACGCAGGTACATAATCAAATGTCTGACTGAAGTATAATAATTAGACCATTAAGTGTGTTCTGTAATATTCTAAGATCTTGAAGATACAATCCTCTTACCTCCAACCTTTAGGCGGTACTAGCAATTCCTAGCATCAATAGCAAAGATGGTAGTGTTGCTATTCATGCAATTGCCCAGAGGCGGGAATAGTGTGCACTTGCAGCTTGTCGGGCATGTCAGTCCATATGCGATATCTGGTGGATGAGAATGCAAGGCAGCGGCCGAAAAAAATCGAAAGACTTGGGACTGAAGTATATAGTCTTGAATGAACTCATTATTTTGATGTGCCTAAGCTCTTCTCAAACTCCACCAGTTCTTTTAGGACACCTTCCGCCATAATTAAGTCTCTTTTCTCAGCCGTTATTGGCATCAAAGGCCGTCTCGGATTCTTGCCATACCCAAACATTCTATTTAGCAGCATCTTCATACCAGGAATCTGCACGGCGTCAGCCAAACTTCCAGAATTATAAGGGAAAAGACTTGCGCCAATTTTGATGGCAACACCATCAGCATTCGCAATCAGATTCTGCACCTTCTGCGCCTCAGCATAAGATCCAGAGCCTGGAACAGCCAAGCACAGTTCCCACAACTTGACACAGGCACTCGGTGCAAAGTTCGCGAGTCCAGTGATAGCACCCGAAGATCCTGCCGCCATTGAGGGAAGCAGAATATCGATGAAACCATCTATCACCAAGAATGGTGCTGCTGATACTTTTCGTGGGTATTTTACTTTGAATTCTGGGTCATTGACGACTGCTGTGATTCTGGTAAGCTTGCCAACTGCAGCACAAGTGAGCTTTACCCCGCAGATATTTGGGGCGGATTTCGCAATGTCGATTATGAGGTCGCTGTCCATGTCGATGCCACTCGTGACGCCTGGGAAATTGTACATCATTCTTGGTAATGTCAGTATGGAACGAGTTGTTAACTCAATCTACTGACACTGGAATGGGAGATGCTTCCGCAATATCCACAAAGAAGCTCTTAATCGCTGTGACGTCGGCCTTCAGAACTCCAGCGTAATATCCTGGTGGGATTGCAATTGCAAAGTCCGCTCCTGCCGCTGCTGCCTCTTTTGCTAATTGTATCGATTCGCGAGTGCTGGTAGCACCAATACCTGCCACGATGGGGATTGAAGTAAGATTAATCTCATCGAGTGCTTCGCGTCCAATTATTATCAAAGCTGTCCTTTCTGCTGCACTCTACCAATTCTATCAGCTGTGCCATTCCATGGTTCTGGCTTCGCCTCACCAGATGTGGTGCCTCTCCCATGGTTCCAGATATGACTGGAATTGTACCTGCACTTGCCGTGACTTTGTGTGGTCAGAATTGTGATGATTTCGGTGGTCACACGACATACACTGGATATGTTTCTTGAACGCCGCCAGGTCCAAATCTTCACTTCCATCTTGAAAGAAGGTTGGTAGCGGGGTATAGATTCCCCGAGGAAGAGTTCGAACCATTATGACTGAATATGCAACGAATGTTTGAAGAATTTACCAACAATCTCAAAGAAAAGCAGAGTACAGTAACATCTAGACAGAGAACCAGGGTCCAAACTATGGACACTAGTACCTGCATGTTGACTTTGCAAGGCTAGAGATCAATAAACTTATCGGCAGAGAGACCGCTATCGCGATGCATAATATTCGAAACCGCGTCTCGAAAGTGGGATTTGCAGATTTGTATTCAGAGACGGGTCAGTGGCCGACAAAGCCGACGAAATTTCCGCGGGGAACTAACCTTACCGAACAAGGATGTGTTGGCGGCAACCATCGAAAAGCTCAAGATTGCAATCGCAGGAATATGAGTGGTTTTCGGATTGAGTGCTCATTTTGAAGTTCGAGAAATGGATTTAAGGATGATAGAAACAGAAGAGCAAGAAGAGGTTCCTGAGGTGAGACCTCGCCTCAACACGCGCCGCGGCAATTTCCTAGCGAGTTTGACTTTGCCTCACCGCGTCAAACTCAACCTCAACCTGCTTTATCCCACTCTTATATCATCGACATCTCAGCTCAGCTCCAGCTCAATTATTTCCGGCAAGTTGTGATTGTGTCCAGGGTAGATGTGGTCTGCAGCCGAATGTTCCCTGCATCGGCTCCATACCGACCCTCCCGAACCACGATTCAGTCGTCTCTTATCTTACCGAATCCCAGGATCTATGGGCCAGCTAGAGATGCACTTCTCAACAAGAACGCCGTCTAAGTCCCAGCCACTTGGGACCGGTCCTTGTTGCGGGGAGATAAGAAATAATATGTAAGGAAGAGATGTTCACGACTGCATTAGCTTTTTCACATCTCATATTCTCAATCACATTTGAATTTCTCTCCTCAAGACAAACATTGAGTGTCAATCATGTCAGCAGCTGGTCAAGAGAAGAAAGCTCCGGGCGATGACATTGCCTTCGCTCCAGAGTTGGAAGCTGTTGAGGCTTTGAAGGCCGTCAAGGCTGGTCACGCTAATGATGTCGATATTGCTGCTCAGATCTTGGCAAATAATATTGATATTGTTGGCAACGAGAGTTGGTCATTGGAGGAAGACAAGAGTCTTATGCGCAAGGTCGATTGGCGACTCATTCCTATTGTAAGCAATCCCCTCGATGTCCTGACATAAGCTGATAATCTGTAGCTCTTCGTTTGTGCCACTCTTTCAGGTCTTGACAAATCTGCCATCTCGGCTGCAGCCATCTATGACTTAAAAAAGGATCTCAACCTGGTTGGCCAAGAATACTCCTGGGTTGGCTCTGCTCCATTCTTCGGTGGATTGGCCTTCATGGGACCATCCGCATATTGCTTGCAGAAGTATGTTTCCCTTAAACATGCCAAAAAACTCACTAATTCGTGTCCGAAGATTTCCACCTGTTACCTATTTCGCATTTAATGTTCTTTGCTGGGGCATTCTTGAGATGTGCATGGCTGCCTGTACCAATTTTGGTGGACTCTTCGTGTGTCGTTTTCTGCTTGGAGGTTTCGAGGCTCTTCTCATTCCAGCCGTCACTCTAGTGGTAGCTATGTGGTACAAGCCGTCAGAACAACCTCAACGCAACGCTATCATTCTTAACGTTGTGGCACCGATCTTTAATGGACTGGTTGCCTGGGCTGTTGGTAAGTACTGCTTACGAGAATTCTGAAACACTAGCTGACATCACACAGGCTATCACAAAGGCACTTTTGCACCATGGAAGATTATCTTCTTGACCCTTGGAGCCTTCACTATTCTCTGGTCCTTGGTTGTCTTCTTCTTTTTGTAAGCAGCTCAAGAGACTTTCGAGGCGCACAATTGCTAATTTGCATTAGGCCAAATAACCCACTTGAAGCAAAGTGGCTGTCTGAGCGTGAGAAGTATATGCTGATCCAACGCAAAGCCATCGACAACACAGGTCTAGAATCAAAATCCTTCAAGATCGAACAAATCTGGGAAGCGCTTCTCGACATCAAGACATGGCTCATCTGGTTCGCCATCATCGCCCTCCAAGTCCCCAACGGCGGCCTCACCACCTTCAACACCCTTATCATCTCCGGTCTTGGATTCGATGCCGAGAAAACTGCACTTCTAGCCATGCCGCCAGGAGCAATGAGTACAATTTCCGGAATCGTACTCTCCTACATCGCAGCCACAACTCGACGATACCGAACCCTGATCGTCGCTGTCGCCGTCCTCCTCCCTCTCGTAGGAGCAATCATCTGCTATACCCTCCCACGGACCAACCTCGCAGGCCAGCTCATCGGTCTTTACATCCTCTACACATACTGGGCACCATACGTAACGCTCGTCTCTATCTACCAAGCCAACATCGCCGGGCACACTAAGAAGGTATTTTTGTTCGCTTGGTTCTACGTCTCTTGGGCCACGGGAAATATCATCGGTCCGCAGACTTTCCTTGCGTATCAGGCGCCGGCTTATACTGGGGGCACGATTGCGATGATTGTGTGCTATGTTGTAGCGATTATCTGTATTTTGACCTATGGATTGCTGTGTCATCGTAGTAACCAGAGTCGTGCGGGGGAGATTAGTGAGAATAGGGGCGATATGGACTGGCTTGATTTGACGGACAAGCAGAATACTTCTTTTAAGTATACGACTTAGAATTCGGATCGAGGAGCATCGGATGGAGTTCGGGGATACCTTTGAGCATCAGGTGCGACTATTTTATTTATGTCAAGGAGGCATAGAAAGCAATCTTGGTACATGTTCGCTTGCATCATTCCTACCCAAGTTTCAGCCATTGCTTCTTCTGCCATCTTCGCGCAAGTGCGAAACCATCTTACCATATAAACACTTGTCCATGCCTTCATCAAATTCCCATGCATTAAAAAATCAGCGCCAGTCCTGTTCCTTAGTAGCAAGCTTTTCATATTCAACCTTGATGCTTAGCACATTTGACTTTCATTCATTCATTCACAGTGAAAAGGATTCATTGCGTATCAGGTACTGAAGTTGAGTGCCAAGCCAAGAAATGAGATTACTATGATTGCAAAATGAGGTGAATCACTAAGGTTGATGAATTTTGAACTATTAGGACATTAGGTTACTAGTTTGTATACGCAACAAGAAATTATCAACAAGTTCCTAGGGAAGATGTCTAGTGGTTGAGTCTTCGAGGAGATGAATAACATTTGATTTTGGCACTTTGTTGATATTATGCTTGTACCCCTACGTATGCGAGCGCATAAAAAAGAGTCATTGCCATCGCTATCGATACCTACGTAGTTTTAACAGCCCGAAAACAAACTAGCGCCTTCCAATACAATTCTATCAAAACAAACCCAAAATCTCCACCCCGCACTTTCCCAAAAAACCAAACTCCAAAGAAACGACGCCACGATGCCACCAAAACTCAGACGCCAAGCACCCGGTGCATCCGCTCTCGGAATCTCTTCCCGAATGCAAACTGCCCTCGAATACGGAGAGCAATCTGCCTGGCAAAGACCAACCCAAAAGCCCCGCACAACCCGCAACTCCAGCGCGCGCTTCTTCATCATGCCCCCACCACCCTTCAAATTCAAGCCCACGTACGACCTCGGCGACGCGCATTCCGCGCAAGCCCGTCAATGGAGCCGTCCCCTTCCTCCCGGCGGCCGTCCCCACATTGCCTGTCTCCCGCAAGAGCTGCATGACAAGATTCAGGAGCTTGCTGATCCCATCAGCCTTGCGATCTTGTCTGTTACTTGCAAGGCTCTTCGGATCAGACTGCCTCATACTCTGCATACCAAGAAGGGCCATGGGGTTCTGGAGATGGAGGTCTGTGTGGGACATGGGAAGTCGAAGAAGTTGTGGGAGCTGTTGGAGCAGTTTATGAAGAACGGTATCATGGGTCAGAGGTTGTACTGTGGGCATTATGAGATTCATAAGTTTGTGGGTGATGCGGCTTATAGAGCTGCTAGGGATGTTTATTGGAGAAAGGTATGTGAATATCACTTTCATTCTTTTTGACAAGCGCGGGCTCGAGGCTGTGAGGTGCGCGGTTAAAACATATCCTAACTTACCAGTAGTACCCGCAATTGCCGTACAACTACGTAGAGCTGGTGGAGCAGTTCAACAAGGACGAGGAGGAGGCTAAGTTGAAAGCTATAACCCGTCAACCCCAGAAGGTGCCTGAGCTGCCTGAGCTATCACCTTACCAGGGAGACCCAGCAAATGGAATGATAGGTACCTTTTCCCAAGTGAGTGGGCCACTTCCATCGCGGATGAACTATGGATCTGTACCTTCAAATGCATATACACCTACAGGACAGCATCCAACTCATGCTTATTCGTATACTCCGACACCTGGATTTCAAGGATATGGAACTCTGCAACTGGGGCCCATCACAAATTCTCCTCAAACCTCGTCGACTCTTCCAGCACTCTCAACGACAACAACCACATCTCAAGCATCTTCATATGTAACTCTACCATCTACATATGTATCTCAAGCAGCTACACATGCATCTCTGTCAGCACGTACACCAGCTCCGGGTCTTCGAGGTCAAGGTTATATAGGCCATGCAGCATATCCATCTCAAGCATCCACATATACGTCCGTATCAGAATATGCACCTTAAATAGCTGGACGTGTGCGCACCACCCCTCGTAGATCTAGAGTACTCCCTTCTCTTCTGGATTGAATGCAGAGTGGCCGGGTTCCCATTCATTGTCAACGTTTCCTGCGAACCAAGTTTACCTTTAAAGCATGAAGAGGCGTTTGGGATGGGGTTTTGCTCTCTCTGACACATTTGGTGGATAGCGTTTACTGATATTTGGAATTACCGACAGCGTGAGAGCGATAATATGGAATGACAACGATGATACAGGGCAACGCGTTGAGCGGTTGATTATCTGTATTATTGTCGCGATCTTCCTTTCTTTACGTTTCTTTTCTTTTCGATATTTTCTGTCAGTGTACGGGGCTGGACTTTTCTGAAGATCCGTCCATGGTGATGCATATTGGAGGAGTTCATCGGAAACCATGTATCCAGCGTCCCAAGCGTAACGAAACCAAAAGAGAACCATAGCAAGATTTTGAAACCACGAAGTGTACTCAATTCACTTTCTGTGCAAACATCTACTCCATTCGAACTCCATGCTATCCCTTCCCCTCGCATCTATTCTCTCCCCGATCTCTCTCTCAGCCAAACCATTAATTCCCATACCTTCTCTCAAACCCATCACTCCCCTTCTTCTCCCTAATAAACCTCCCCAACTCTTCCATATACGGCCCCGTCACCTTACTATCCACAAACTCCAAACTCCTCACAATTTTCTCACCCCTCTCATCAAAGAAAAACATCAACATGTACTCTATCAATTCCCCTCATTAGCCATTTCGCCTTTCCCCCTCTCCCCTCCAACTCCAATAATTGCAAGACTTACCATTAGCATACTCCCCTATCTCCGTCATCGCGGTACTCCGCGCCCAGACGACGACTTTGTTCTGCTCGGCGTCGACGAGGAGGTCGTTTATTGTGACGGTGAAATTCCAGAAGTAGGGCATGATGGCGCTAAAGTAGGAGCGGTAGGTGTTGTTGTTCATTATGGGTCGGTTGAGGGATTCTGTTTGGGTTAGAGGGAGGGATGAGGGATGAGGGGAGGGGGAGGGGCAGGACGTACTGGGCAGGATTTCGTGGGTTGCTGTCTCGTGGCGGGGGGCTAGGATTGTTTCGACTGGGAGAGGTTAGTATGTGGTTTTGATAAGATAGAGATTTGTGAGCCGAGGAGTTGAAATGTTATCTTCTTTGATGAGTAGCTCCCGAAGCTCTCGAGTCGTAGGGTGAAATCAAAAGAAGCGCCGGATTTGACGTACTGTTCCAAGAGTTGTAGGACTCCACGGCTGCTGTTGCATTTTTGCGGAGGAGGGCTGCTTTTGAGGGAGCGGCTGATCCTGGTGGTATTGAACCCATTTTGCAATTTTACTTTCTGAACTTTCTGCCAAGGAAAATCAAGTTGGACGAGAAGAATTCCTAGTATTTAGTCGCAAGGTAAATTTTGGAGATCTTATGGTTGAATGTTTCAGGGACGAACATACGTAGTTGACTTTTCTAGAAAAGTGAACAGAAAAAAAGGAAGAACAAACGAAGAAGTCAACAAGTACCCTACCTACCCCACCAAGGAAGTCCACTAAAGCCGAACCGCGGAGCTAGCTCGCGGTCCTCCAATCGACGTCCCGTTTCAAGTAGCGAGTTCTGATGTGCAGAGGGGGAAAGATCGGATCGCGGCAAGCATGGGGGATGAACATTAGACGTTACCGAGGGAGCGAGTTAGGGGGATGGAAATTTGGGGGCGGGGCTTTCTCGCTTATTTCTTGGGTGCGTGTGCGGGAGCGGATGCGGGAATGGGACGATGCCGTGGGAGGGAGCGAATTGGATATGTTTCAGGATAGGTTGAGCATTGTTGGATACGGGGTACGAATGTATGTTGAATTATGAGAAAGAATGGCATCAGGTAAGTGGGTTTTGATTCACGTGATGAAGATTTGGATTTGGGACCTGGAGGGTTGAGATATTCCTTTGCGGACGAGTACAATGAAGATACTGTAGATGGAAGACATCTTTGAAAAGAAATTTTGACACAATGCTCGAACTTTATCGTCCCTACCCTGTCAGATGAAGTGCAAGCTATGAAAGGAGACTAGTAATCGGTAAAAATTGATATGACACCCCCACGTCCTCGCTGACAGAAAGATCATCACCTTAGCTCGATACAGACCTTCCTCCTACGAAGTATTTCTCCTTCACAGCACTACTCCCTCTGATAACTAAATATTCTTCGAAATACCCGGCTGAATCCCCTCCAAGATATCCAACAACTCTTTCCAAATCCGATCACCAGTCTTCTTCCCCTCCTCACTTAATACCAAATCACTTGGCGGCGCCACAACACAGTTACTCATATACTTACCATGACTCTCCTCTCCAGCCGCAACCGCCGCAACAATAGTGCGGCTCCCCATCTCAGTCGAGCGGGCCATGAACATCTTCATCATAGAGAATATCACGAACATCATTCCCTTGGCGTCGCGCGCTAGAGAAGATTTGCAGAATCCCGGGTTGACGGTGTTGACGATGACTTTCTGGTTGGCGTGAGGACCGGCTGCCATCTTTTCGACGAGAGAACGAGCACCGAAGACTTCGAGTAGTTTCGTGACTGGATAGCGCTCTTTCTCCCACTCTGGTTGGTCGGTTCTCTTCAAAGCTTCGAAGATCGAGGGTTCGTTCCTCTCTTCAAATTTGGCCTATTCACCAATCAGTTTCCAACATCATAGAGTATCAGATTGGAATACATACCCATTTATGCGTCTCCGAAGAAGTGATCTCCAACCTCGGAACCATATTATACTTAACCCCCGACCTCCTCAGCACAGGCAACAAATTCAACGCCAACAAAAACGTGCCCACAACATTCACAGCAACACTAGCATCCCATCCGGACGGATGGCTCTTGAACGTAAACCCCGCCAGCCCAGCATTCTCGCACACGGCATCGACACGCTCGAGACCCTCGACTCGCGTCGCAAACGCCTTCACCGAGTCCCAGTCCCCCATATCGACTTCCCAGACCTCGCACACACCCTTGCGACCAGTGGTGCGCTCGATGTCGGCGCGCGCTTCTTCGCCTTTGGAGAGGGAGCGGCAGGCTAGGATTACTTTCTGGGCGCCGAGGCGGACGAAGTGGCGGGATGCTTCGAAGCCGAGACCTACGTTCGCGCCTGTGACGATGATGGTTTGGCCGGTGAAGGATGTCGTGGGGTAAGGGAGGGGTGTCCATTGGACGATGAGGTTTTTGATGAATTTAGACATTGTGAGGGAGTTTGATACTGTATTTGTGGATTTGCTTATATGGAAAGCTGAGGGAAAGTCTCCTTATATGAGTTGAAAGGAAATGAGGAGACATCGGAGTCGGGGGTTTCAATGAAAGATCAATGCGATGGATTGCACTTGAAATAACTGCCATTGTGGTGTAGTGGTCATGATTTAAGACCTGTTTTGATGGTAAGGCCATTATCTCCGAGTGTTTTCGAGATGACAGGGGCTGGACTTTGAAAGTCCGCTGCAAGTCAGGACGCCACAAAATGTTATCCCCAGACCACGTGATGTAATGTCCTCAAACGGCTGCGTCAGATTGATATCAAACAGGTGTGGAACTGCGTGTCTGAATTTCAACCAGTTGAATTGTCAACTTTAATGCTCGCGATGAGTAGTTTGAGACGTTTTGTACAAGAGTTTGGAAAGTCCGAGACGGCCAGGTGTGGCTGATAGAGCAGTCACGCCCCAATTCTTTGTCACTTCTTCGCAACTACAGTTCCCACTTACCTAGGTACTTCTCAAAGAGTTCAAGCATCAGGAAATGCTGTGTCAATATTGGCAATAAATTTGGGCAAGCCACTGGAGTGGACTTTTCCGATCACGGATCTCATTCCTCGACTACAGGCAATTAAACACGTAACCATCACTTCGCAACATCATAACCCATCTTCATGGCTAGAAAGATGGAATGCACGTTGTGAAAGACTTCGTATTAAGTGACTTGACTGAAGCCAAGAAACATCTTGAGGTGAGGAAATCTCAAGTTTTGAAGCTACCAGACAGAGACTTGACACTCATTCCTCTATTTGCGACAAGACATCTCCCAACCGATTGTGGTGATCTTTTTCAGATCAAGTGTAAGGGGAGGGGTGGTACAGAAGAAACGCAGCATATTCAATTACGAAAACTTCAGCTTTCCTTGGCTACAAGCGGGCTTGAACGCTTATTAGCACCGACAGGAATCCTTCAACGCAGACCTTCCTCTCAAGCCCAGTGGTGAAAACCTTTACACCTCAGCTTCTACGAAATGTGTCGTCCTCCCACACGTAGGACAGTAGCCGGACAGTGCTTTTCACTTCATCGTCGCTGATCCTCTGTCTCATCGTGTGGAAGGCTCCGGAGCTTATTCCCTGGAACATAAGTGCATCGTACCGCTCAGCACGACAAACACGCTAGAAGGTTGGACAATTAGTCAACTCAGATTCAATGGTACACCTTGACTAAGCGTAGGGCTATGGGCAACATACTTTAGCTAGATCCCAACGCTGCAGGCTTGTGCTCAGGCTCGTGCAAAATCCTGGTCCGAAGGGATCGGGTGTCGGAAGGGCTAGAAATTCGTTGAAGAAATTCCACGCTGAAGAGTCGTGCCGATATGAAAGGGTATCAACGTGCTTTCTGGAGTTACACCAATCGACTTCGTCCATAAATGCAGGCCAATTTATGACACCGACGCCAGGCTGCTCGTGACCATTCCGCTGAATGGCACTACAGATTATAGACTTCCAGAACTCAAAGAGTAGTTGAGCTCCGGCATCAAGCACATGGCGTCCGGCACTTATGGCATCTGGCGGAATAGAAGAGTGACTTGACGAAGTCGGATACTGACGAGTAACAGGTCGAAGACGATCCAAATAATGGGTTTGAGAAAAGTCTGCAATTTTCTCAAAACAGTGTACGTGGTAGAACGCTACTCGGCAATCAGCACTGTTGATGATCGACAATTAGAGCGTCTCAATCTACTCACAGACGTGTGTCGTCCCCCGAAACCGAGCCATATTGGGCATACCAGGTCGAACAGAGATACGATATGTTTTGCTAGCGATGGTAGGCGTATCACAGTCCAGTCGGCAAAGGCTCGGGGTGTGAGATAATTTCAGCCAAAACCCAACCTGTGCAACTGTTGAAGTCCGGGTTCTTCCTGGTTCCAAACCAATGTGTTGTCGAAGCGCGGTTCTGGCCTGTTCGATAGTTTGTCTGCGAGCATCTTGCGGGAGTTCGACATTGGACAGCTGGGGGTTCATCCTGATATCGACAGTCTCCAGTAATGTTAGACTAATAGTGAATGTGAATGATGATGATTGGTGAAGAGGAAAGGAAGGCCAAGGCACGGAATTTGCTAAAAGTACGCTGGGAAACCAGATGAAGAGGGTAGGAGCAGACGACATGATTAAGATTAGATATGGAAGGAGCACCGAACATGAAGATTGAAGAATAGAAGCGAGAGAAGAAAATAATGATATTAAAGAGAACACTTTGATGCCATGGTTGATGACATTCGAGAAGTCTTAACGCAAAAGACTTGGGATATTTGTGCGGCTTAAGAAGGTTTCAAATCACTTTATGCGTGCCACTTCATGCGGCTGCAAGCAAGTAGACTGAACGAGATCGTGGAACTACACGATTTAGCATTAACATAAATTGAGGATCTACCAAGACTGCTGTGGCATGCAATTGGATCTTTCAATATGACATCGTAAGAAGTTCATCGATCCTGAGATCCGGGAGCTGTCGAAAATGCGTACATTTAGCTTAAATCAGCTCATTAGACCTATTAAGATGCTGTAGTAGAAAGGTACCAGATATTAAATTGGAACTAGTTGACAACATCAAGCAAGGAAGAAAAATGCGTTGATCAAGTTTCTTAGAGGCATTGGCGGTCACAGATGGCAGTATATTTCTTTGGGACTAGTGCGGGGTAACTTTTGTTGTGATATTTTGAGTCACAGAATTCTACGATCACATTGACAACATTCAGCAAGAAATTGTGGCAGACATGCCAAAAGTATACTTGCTCGACTATGTGGCGGGCAACGTCCGAAGTCTAGTCAATGCCATTGAGAAAGTTGGCTACACTATTGAATGGGTCAAATCACCAGAAGATGTCGAGAAAGCAGATGTGAGTTTGGAAACACATCCTCCTGGAGGCTCTCGTGGCTGCTGAGATACTAAAATATTTTGGGATCCTACTGACACCGTCTGCTAGAAATTGATCCTCCCTGGCGTCGGCCATTTTGGTCATTGCATGACCCAATTCTCCTCTGCCGGCTACCTCCCCTCGATACGAAAGCACATCGAATCTGGGAAACCATTCATGGCCATATGTGTTGGTTTACAGGTATTATTCGAAGGCTCGTCTGAGAGCCCCGCTGTGCCAGGTCTTGGTGTGATCAAGGGCCACCTCAATCGATTCGATGACACCTCCAAATCAGTACCTCACATTGGTTGGAATAGCGCGAACCCTCGAGGCAAGCAAGCATACGATCTGCGTTCGAGCTCCAAATACTACTATGTTCACTCGTATAAAGTTCCATATCGAGAAGGAGAGCTGGAAAGCCAGGGATGGACTGTCGCCACAGCAAGATATGGTGATGAGGAATTTGTTGGAGCCATTGCGAAGGGAAATATCCTGGCAACACAATTCCACCCCGAGAAGAGTGGTTCTGCAGGTCTGCGGGTCCTCAAAGCGTTCTTAGATGGGGCAGAAGGCAGAGGAGCACCTGCTGGCATAAACGCAGTGAATGAAGGCTTGACGAGACGAGTTATCGCTTGTTTAGACGTACGGACGAACGATCAGGGCGACCTGGTCGTAACGAAAGGCGATCAATACGATGTGCGAGAAAAGACAGATGGTGGCAATGTTAGGAATCTTGGCAAGCCAGTGGAAATGGCCAAGAAATATTACGAGCAGGGCGCTGACGAGGTTACATTCTTGAACATCACCAGCTTTCGAGATTGCCCACTGGCAGATTTGCCTATGCTGGAGATTCTGCGGAGAACCTCGGAAACTGTCTTTGTTCCTTTGACAATTGGTGGAGGCATTCGAGATACCACGGATACAGATGGGACAAAAGTATCAGCGTTGGAGATTGCGACGATGTATTTCAAGAGTGGAGCGGACAAAGTGTCGATAGGGTCCGATGCTGTCACAGCTGCTGAGGAATATTATCGTGAGGGGAAGAAGCTTTTTGGCAATACCGCTATTGAGCAGATCTCGGGGGCATATGGAGCTCAAGCCGTGGTTGTAAGCGTTGATCCCAAGCGGGTATACATCTCGAAGCCATCGGAGACAAAACACAACACTATCGACACAAAGTATCCTGGACCCAACGGCGAAGAGGCTTGCTGGTATGCATGCACAATCAAAGGCGGCCGAGAGACTCGAGACATGGACGTGGTGGAGTTAGTTACGGCCGTTGAGGCAATGGGTACCGGGGAAATCCTCCTCAACTGCATTGACAAGGACGGTACGAACAGTGGCTTTGACTTGGAGCTTATTGATCAAGTCAAGAGTGCTGTCAAGATACCCGTCATTGCGTCAAGTGGAGCAGGTGTTCCAGCTCATTTCGAGGAAGTGTTCTCAAAGACCAAGACAGATGCCGCTCTTGGCGCAGGAATGTTCCACAGAGGCGAATACACTGTGAAAAATGTCAAGGACTTCCTTTCAGAAAAGGGCCTGATGGTCAGACAATTTGAAAGCGAGCTATAGAATGTCGTAAGCGTTCGAAATCAAAGCCTTGGAGCCAAGAGTGATATTGACACGTGATGTCTGGATTTGTAATCTCGACGGTTTTTGGACTATATCCGTGCCAAGAGATACTATAAGCTCCTATATAGAGCGAGAATGGAAGTACAGTAGCCTATTTCTCTCTCCTCAGATTCAATTGCACCTAATTTGCTCAACCAATGGCTACCAACAAAATCCTCGTCCTCGGAGCAGGTGAACTCGGCACAGCAGTCCTGAGCCCCCTCGCCAAACTAGCACCCCCAGGAACATCAATATCAGTCCTCCTTCGTCCAAACACTATATCCTCTTCCAATCCTGCAAAGATCGCTGAACTTTCAAATCTCAAATCACTCGGGATCTCCTTTCCTGCGGGAGACACTGCAACCCAAACCATTCCAGAACTCGTCTCCTTATTTTCTCCATACGATCTCATCATTTCCTGCTTAGGTTTCGCATCAGGTCCTGGCTCTCAGATCAAAATCGCAAGAGCAGTACTAGAAGCCAAAGTGAAGCGCTTCGTTCCTTGGCAATTTGGCGTCGATTATGATGTTGTCGGAAGAGGAAGTGCCCAGGATTTGTTTGACGAGCAGTCGGATGTTCGAGACTTGTTGAGAAATCAAAAAGGAACGGAATGGATTATTGTCAGTACGGGAATGTTTACAAGTTTCTTGTTCGAGGCATACTTTGGTGTTGTTGATTTTCAGAGTTCGAGCGGGGATGAAATGGTTGTGAGGGCCCTTGGTGATTGGGAGAATAAGGTTACTGTTACGACGCCTGAGGATATTGGGAAGTTGACTGCGATGGTCGTTTTTGAGGAGCCGAAGATTAAGAATAGGGTTGTTTACACGGCGGGAGAGACTGTGAGTTATGGGAGGGTGGCGGAGATTGTGGAGAGTGTTTTGGGGAAGAAGGTCAAGAGAGAGGTCTGGAGTGTGGAGAAGTTGAAGGAGGATTTGAAAAGTGATCCAAACGATTCTTTGAAGAAGTATAGGGTTGTATTCGCTCAGGGAAAGGGGGTCAGCTGGGATATGGAGAAGACGTTTAATGTGCAGAGAGGTATTGAGGTGCAGGATGTGGAGAGCTTTGCAAGAGAGAAATTGGCATCACTCAATCGATAGTGAGGAGGGGAAAGCACGGTCACGTAGCCCATCCATTTGTCACCATAGAACCTTTGAACTCAGCGAGGGTATTCCAACCTTTGTAGTGAACCTCGACACAGAACCAACGCTTCATACCTAAACGAGCTCCCAGTCAGACTCTGCTGATTCCAAGTCTGAGTCTATGAGACTTGGAGAAGACGTTGCAACAGAGATTGGTCGTGAGGTTGTAGATGGGCGAGAACGATCCACCAATATCGCGGTCATTTCCAAGTCCTCAGCTTCTTTGTAGCTTTCAACATCCCTACTCTCCTCGACATCCTTGCCTTCACTCCTTACGTCAATCTCTTTCCCCTTAGAATCAATACCTTCGCTCTTCTCTTCATACTGAGGGGGCGGAGATGCGGCTCTTGCTGTCCCAGCAGATTCGCCTTCAACCTTCTTGCTTGCAGCATTCGTTTCATCTCCATCTGCTAGACTCTCCCGGGCCATGATATCAGTGAGTGCGGGTTCATTTTCCAGTACCCATATCATCAGTTGCTTAGTCCTCGCATCATGCCGTTCTACCTCGGCAGGATCAATTCCCTCGTCTCTTAAATAGCGTTGGATCTGACTGAAACTACCAATTCCATTACCCGCCCTCGTAACACCATAGTTGGCAGCCTTAGCTCTCTCTTGCCTCACCGCTTGGACCAGAAGCTTCTCGATTTGACCCAAACTGTAGTCCTTCCGACCTGCAGGCGAGAGTCCAAGGCTGTCGACGAAGGTATCAACAGCGTCATACCCAACCATCACTTCGCTTCTCAAATTGTTGAAGTGACGTTGTGCATCATCGGCCTGGAGCCAAATGTCCGCACCCACTTCGTAGTAAGTGGAGATATGCTCTTGGAGTTCACACAATGCGTAAGTCAACGACTCAAGGATGTGAAGCCAATCCTTGCGACGATCTTGGCATCTTTGCATGAGGAGTGAGTCGGGATTGTTGGCTTGCTTGATGAGGTGTTCTAGAAAGCGATGAATGCCATTGAGGTCCTCGCTGAGGTCTTCGAAGACTGAGGCTGCGGCTTTGCAGCTGTTTGAAAGCTGTTGGACAAGCTCATTCAATGGCACGAAGTCGTCCTCCGTGAATCCGGTCGCCATGATGGTCGTGGATGTCGAGCTTTCTCCTGCTACAACAATGTTGAAGATGTGAGGAGACTGAAAAGCCCGGAGGAGGGATGAGAGTCATCCAGGAATTTGAGGTCGTGGTGCGTGAGGCTGAAGACGTAGATCTGCAGCATGGCTGCCTGGCAGAGGCAACAAAAGCTCCCATAGGTGACGCAAGCGAAGTGTACTATTCGAAACATATCTTATATCATGGTCGTAAAGAAACAGCTTGTTGGTCCTTGATCTATCCCTTGCATGATCAAGAACAACGTATCAGTCAAAGATGTCAGCCGAGGTGCAAAGGGGTCATGTATGTATCACGTGATACACTCGCTCTCCTTTAGAAATCATACTAAGACATCAGCAAGTGCACCCTCATACTTATCAATCGACCTGCTTGATCGAATGCACACACTATTCCTACAGTGCCGGAAGCTTGGAATGGTAGATGCTAATATGCACGTGATATCTGTCAACCTTCCAGCCACCGCTCTGAATCGTGGCTGTGCTGCCAAACGACAGCCCCCCAACTCTGAGCCGTCATCGAACACAATTACACTTTACAAATATGCAGAAAGTGGTCTCTGCGGCACGCAAAGTAGGACACAGGAAGAAAGCTTCAAAAATGAAGTACCCTCCAGTACTCTCTGAGGAAGCCTTGGAGACCCTCATTTCTGATGTTAAAGATTGGCAAATCACTCACGGATCACTGCTTAAGCTTGTTCGAACCGAGGATGAACACACAGTATTGTCTCAGCCGGTCGGATGCACTTTGTTCCCGACACTGTTTCCTAGAAACTTATTCCAAGAGGCTCTCTCTTTGCAAGCAATTTACAACAAGCTATACGCTGCTGTGGCCGAGGATGAAGAGTGGCTTTATGAGACATTGAAAGACTTGATTGATGTCGATCCATTGGCGAACGCACTGTGGTCAATTTATCAAGAGGTAAAACGAGAAGGAGTCCTGCAAAATATTACCCTTGGCATCTTCCGTTCAGACTACATGCTTCACAACGATGCTCAAGACACATCAAACGGCCTAGGACTGAAGCAAGTCGAGTTTAATACAGTCTCATGTGCTGGTGGGGTTCATGGAAACAGAATATCAGAAATGCATCGGCATCTTTACAGAACTGGCATGTACCAGCAGCATTCGGACTCGACCTCTGGAAGTCCCTCAACGGTCCCCCTAGATACATCGTCACTTCCACGGAATTCAACATTACCAATGCTCGTTTCTGGTCTCAAAAGCGCGCATGACGCATATAGACCAGCCTTAAGTCGGGGAAATAGTAGGAAAACATGCATCATCTTCATCGTCCAGCCATACAACTTCAACATCGCAGACGAACGCCCAATCGAGTACGCATTGTGGGACGAGTCCATAGCTAACTTCCGAGTTACATGGGGACATGAAGTCTTATCGCAAACATCTTTGACACCCAGCGGCGAACTGATCTATTCTCCGCCAGAACGATCTATCTCTTATGAAGTTAGTGTTGTCTATTTTCGAGCCGGCTTCGAGGTTCACGAATTCAATGACATCGGCCATATGGCTCGTTTCCAACTCGAAAAGTCTAGAGCTATCAAGTGTCCGTCTTTACTTTCACATCTCACTACTTTCAAGAAAGTACAACAAGCACTAGCACTTCCCAATGCCCTGGACCGTTTCTTGAATTCAGAAGAAGCTGCACTAGTATCGAAGACATTCGCGCCGCAGTATCCTCTTGATACTTCTGCCTTTGGACAGCATGCAAGGAAACTTGCAACAGACCCTAAAACAGCAAAGAGCTTCATTCTGAAACCATCACTTGAAGGTGGTGGCCACAACTTCTATGGGGAAGACATTGTGGCCTTCCTCAAAGCGACTCCCAAAGAGATGTGGCATCAATACGTTCTCATGGAGAAGATCACGCCACCGCTGGTCAAGAACTTTCTGATGTCATCTCGTGGACTCTATGAAGGGCCAGTCATTTCCGAGCTGGGAGTTTTTAGAATCTGCCTCTGGGAGAGGAAGACTGAGAGCGGAGGCAAGATCAAAGCAGAAATGCTTGACGTCCAGGAACCTTGCTGGTCTTTCAAGACGAAAGATGCAAGTGTGAATGAGATGAGTGTGGTGAAAGGCTATGGGTGCTTTGACAGTCCTGCATTAGTGGATTCCGACGTTTTTTTGTCTCTGCTTGAGAGGAAATGAAAGCTAGAGATGATACTGGTCATTACGAAGGAATTCGATCAAAGCACTGGCAGTGGAAAGAACCTTGCAATGCTTATTTCATACAAGAGACTCGCCAGATATAAAAGCCCTTGTCCGATTTACGAGCCTCATTTTTGGATGCATGCTTACTCTTGGGGAGGGGTGGTTGTGGTCGGAGTTAACGGGATCTGCGGTGCTAAGCCCTGAGTTGCACTTTTTGTTTGCTCCTAATACTCGCATACTTTTCATCTTGGATTTCGATTCTTTCGAGTTGGGAGTGATACAGAAAGTGGATATGGACTAGGAATGATTCGTCCATATGGCTTTGATAGCGGAAGTCGCACAACAGCTCGGATTCCGGCCCCTGTGCATCTCGAAGTAACATCACAACTGCTTTGTTACTTTGGTGCCTTGCAAATGAAGATGGGACGATTACGGGGGTGCGAAGCGTATTTGTTCAAGACGTTCTTGGCTTGAGCATCCTAGACTCTCCCGTGTAGCTAATGTAAGCGGGGCATTTTCTAGAGAAAACAACGTCCTGGAATACAGGAGTAGTTCAATTTCAGCAAGTAATGTATCATTCTACATCAATACTTATATAATCTCCTCACTTCTCCTGCCCCACCACCTCTCAAAATTGCTCTGTTCAGCATACGGTAGTATATCAATAAACCCAAACACCCCGCAGCCACGAAGAACAACAACCCCGCATTCACCCAATGTCCAGTCAGATATCCCTTCTTCGCCTGGTCAGCTTTATAGATCCAGACACCTGCAATCTGGCCCGGTGCTCCAACTGACACATTTAGTGCGATAGCTAGACCGACGGCGCCTGTGCTAAAGACGTTGCAGGAGAGCCAACCTAGAAGTGGTGGAATACAGGAAAATGCTCCAGATGCGGCGACAATGAGACAGCCGTAGCGGGCGGTGTAAGAATCTGCAGGCAGGAGAGCTGAAGCCATGAAGCCTATGGCGCCGATTGTGGCGAAGATTGCGGAGTGGAGAGCACGCCTGGAAGTGACATTAATGTGTGAATCCTTGTTATGAGTACAATGGAGGATGCAGCTTACGCGTTGAAGTGATCTGCGGAGAACGCGACTGCGAGGGTCACGACATCTGTGGTGATGTTAGCATTCTGATCATTTCGAGGGAATGGGAGGCTTACATGCTACCGCATAAGGGGGAACAGTCATAAGCTGTGCTTCGAGGTTCTTGTATCCAAGACCTGCTGTGATGCTGGGTGTGAAGAGTGATAGCCTTGGTAAGAGAGTTAGTAACCGAAGCCGGCCAGGCCAATGTCCCTGACTTACGAGGAGAACGGAGTTGAGATGCCGAAGTATACCTGAGAGCACATTAATTGAAAAATTTCCATACCGCAACCTTTAAACTTACAGTATAATGAGCATATAGTCGCCAGTCCGTCAGCGTGTCTTTGGCTTGAACCCAAGTTAAGCTTTCTCCGTGGCCGTGAGAACCATCCACTCTCAAGCGAGCAGCCGCAAGCGCTTTCTCTTCGGTAGTCAACCATTTTGCTGTCTCGGGCCAATCTGGGAGAAAGAAGAACACAAGGATGGACGAAAGGCACGATGGGATGCCCTCGATGATGAAGAGCCACCTCCACGCGGAGAGGCCGTTGGTCTGGTTCATGTGTCCAATGGCGAAAGCCAAAGCTCCACCAAATGCACCCGCAAGTGTGGCAGATGCAAGGATACAGGCAACACGGATTGATCTCTCCTCAGTTCGATACCAGAAGGTTAGGTAGTACACAAGACCTGGGAAGAGTCCTAGATACACAGTCAGACATGTTTCCACGACTGGTCAGTCGAATTGTGCTCACCTGCTTCGAAGACACCGAGCAGGAAACGAACAACAGTGACACTTGCAAACCTGTGAGCGCCACCAAGACCGATCGTGATCGCGCCCCAACAGAACATCAGGAATGAAATCCAGGTGCTAGGGCTAAGTTTCTTGAGGAAGTAGTTGGATGGGACTTCGAAAATAGCATATGCGATCAAGAAAACCATGAGAGCAATTCTTTTGAACATGTTAGAGAGTTTCCGCAGGGAGGAAGTCCAATCACTTACGTATATTGATAACTTGTCATATGTGTATCTGATAGCAAATCGTCGTGAGTATTGGCATTGAGTGTCTTAGCATTTCCTGCTTGATGGTCAGTTACGAATCATCGATTTGGGATGGCATGATACTGACCAATGTTTGACCGATCAAGATAGCAAAGCAGATAGATAGCTGCACAGAGTGGAACGATACGCAGGTCTTGTTTCCACACGAGAGACCTGTCTGCTGCGGTCCATTCATGGGTATCGACAGTCGTTTCGTCCACAACCTGACTATGTTAGCTGATGTTTGAGTAACACGATATTACAAGGAATTTCTACCTCTTTAGATACATTCTCGACATCTTCAACATATCTTTGAGTCGGCATTTTGGGTTGTTCTGACCGAGTCTCGCTCGCTGCCATCTTAAAGACTGGGTTGCTTTCCTCGTGCAGAAAGTCTTTCGAGGAAATAGATTCCCCAGATTCTGATCAGGGAGATTTTGCAGATCCGATAGATGCTATATATGCATCTCCAGTCCCCGGAATGATGGTAGAATGTGGGGTGAGGAGAGGTTGGGGTTGCAATGCATGTCCCAAGAAAGAATTCGGCGTGGCAGGCCGACGCCGACGCCTGTTTCTGTCAACATACAGTAGTCGGAAGTGTTCATCCCATCTTTGAGCAATGAGGAGGCCTCGAGTGTGCTGAGAGCGGGGGAATTGGTGGAGAAAATGGTTGTTCAGGCGGTGAGATGGCTTCGGACTTGGAGAGCCGAGGGAGGCCCTGGAGAGAACACTACCTAGGTACGTACAGCACTGATCGACGCTTCTTCCCTTGTCCTTCTCCCCGAACCAACTTCGGTACTGTACCACCAGCTTCACCTCACCGCGCACTCACTCTCCCTGTATAAGTGAAAACCTGTATAAGACTGGGGAGTTTCCTTCTCGGTCGTCGGTAGCGGGGCCGAAGCACCCTCCTTCAATTCACAAACTCATCACCGCTGGAGATCCCACCGATGCGGACGCCGGCAATGCCACGAAATGCAGTCCCAAGCTTGCGATGTGTGTCACCGACGGAAGTCACGATGCGACAAGAGACATCCATGTGGATATTGTCAGAAAGCCGGGGTAGAATGCAAATACACAGACAGAAGCAGAGAGCCCACATTCCGGCGAGACCATGTGGAGGCCATTGAACGACGACTACGCCAAGCGGAAGCAAAGAACAAAGCACTGTCAGACGAGCTTGCCAAAGCCAAGAGAAATGAGAACTCGATCCTCAGCAGCCGTGAAGTCTCGGGTGTTAGATCAACACCATCATCTAGAGATGAAAACACTCAAGTCAGTCTTTCTGCTACGGGTCACGTGTACATGCCTATTAACTTCCTCAGTCCTCTACCCCTGTACAAGCAAATGGGACAGGACACACTATTATCAACGAGGTTTCATTCCTCGCCTCGACCGCAGCTGGAGAACGGCATTACCTTGGTTCGACAAGCGGCGTTTTGTTTGCGAATCTGGTGAGAGCTAGTGTTGACATCTCCAATGGCCAACACTCCTCTAGAGCTGAGAACGAGCATTCTCAGCAGCTGAGCACTTTGGCGAAAAGCTCTGTATCGACTACATACAGTCAATCCTTGCCTCCTCATGAGCTGGCGAGTAAGCTCGTCTCAAGCTACCTAGCTCACGACCATTTGTGCTACCCTTTTCTGCCGCCAGCTGAACTTCTCAGCATGACGGATGCCATCTATGGCGATCCATCTTTCTACTCCAATAATGCATATGAAGCATTCGTGTTCGATCTCGTCTTAGCCATTGCAACGGCAAATGTCTACAAATTCGACTGGCAGATGCTTCCAAGTGCAGAGACGCACCACTCTCGTGCAATGTCAAGGATCACGGAAGTCTTCCAATGTGGAGGTATCAAGAGCCTTCGAGTAATTCTTCTTCTGTGTCAATACCGTACTGGGAGCTCGATGCAAGATACTTCTGCAAGTATGTGGCATCTGGTAGGCATTGCTGTCCGGATTTGCTATGAGCTGGGTCTACATCGGGAGTCTACGTACACTTCCAAAACACAGCGCGACGAGCATGAAAGGCAATTAGCTGAGCGGAGAGAGCAAGAGATCAAGCGTCGTTCTTTTTGGTGCGTCTTTGCTATGGACAGGTATGTGTCTCCCTTTTTTCTCTTCACCAATTTCGCTCCTGTCCCGCGTCTTGAAAAACGAAATCGTTATGAATCTACATGCTGATTCTTGAAGAATTGTTGGCATAACGCTAGGTCGACCTCTGGCCATCCACTTAGACGACATCGAAGTTGCACTACCTTCTCCTCAAAGCGATCAGATATTTGCTACTCAATTCCAGGAACAACCAAGTGCACACCAGGCTAGCCGCACGTCGATTTTCGTCCACATCACCCAATATCGCCACCTATGTGGCAGGATTATGACACACCTTCACGGCCTCAAGCGACCAGAGCATACCGAGGAACGAGTGTCTACTCTCAGAGATACGCTTGTGGCTGAGCTTGACGAGTGGAGAGCGAATACAAATAATCTCGTCCTACCAGACAACGACAACGGACCCGATTTTCCCCCAGATCGCACGAGCTTCCGATCCAGAGAGTGGTATGAGGTCTTGTACAGTAATGCGAGACTGCTCCTATTCCGACCCTGTCCGATGCTGGCGGACATTTCCAAGGATTCGAAGTCACTGCAAAACATTTTCTCGTCCTCGAAGCAAGCTATCACTATATATGCCTATCTTCACAAATCTCGGAGAATTAATTACTCGTGGATCACTTTGCACGCTGTATTCATGGCGGGGTTGTCTTACATTTACGCAGTATCACGCCACTTCAGAGAGAGGCGACGCGGACCGTCGTCGGGGGCGTGTCTGCTGTCAGATCCAACGACGATAGAGATTGTCAACGATACTAGAGCTTGCTCGAACGTTCTTGTCGCCGTCTCAGAACGTTGGAATGCGCTTCGTCATTGCCATGAGGTGTTTGACAGGTTGAGCGATGCGGTTCTAGCAGACGCTATCAAGCTACAATGTGCTCCCAATCTCGTTCAGCAATATGCCACATCGATACTTCCACCAGACGCAGAGAACAGACGATTACAAGAGATCAATTATCAGCCGTTCATGAGTTCAGCCTCTGCCAGTCTCCACCCCAACTCTTCTGCAACAGTCCCAATGAACGACGCATGCTACACCAGCACATCCCCGTTAGCAGTTGATTCAGCATTTCGTAGCTGCTACGATGACCTACAGAATCTTTATGATCAGTCCTTCATTGATGATCCTGTCATGCAACTATCTCACGACTGGCTCGGGTATCTCGATGATTTCAGTGGCAACTACCAATGGTCAAATGATACCTGAACTCCATGTATTCTAGCCAGTCTTGACGCCCATCTATTCCGACACCATATCACTTACATTTTCCTCTTGCCTGGGTTTTCATAATGGCTGAAATCTATCTATATTCTTCCACGTTCAAGGAATTTTACTGGGATGTCGACAAATCTGCTTCGGAGAAACTCCCCAATGCCCTTTCCTAGGCCGTCTACTCGAGAGCTGCTTGCAATCCCTCCATCCAAGAAATCAAGTATGCGACTACGATACGTCAGTCACGCAGCGCGGCCGGTGTACGTCGCGGACTTACAAGTGAACGGCCAACAGATTAGGAAACTCGCAACGTTCGACCCTTCTCGAAGTATCGCCCCCCTCCCAATCGTCGCCGAAAAGCGACTTCAATTTGTCAACGGATAGGAGATTTTGCAGCCAGGAGTACTCATCCTCGTGGCGAACAAAGAATCCGACATTGGAATTGTTAGCTTTGTCACCAGACCGAGCATGAACGATGCTTCCCAGAGGTGCAGAGACCGTAGGCCCAAAAGATGAAACATCTTGCAGGTTCTTGGTTTCATACGACGGACGAAGAACTGGATATGAGGCAGTATCGGAAACTTGAGGAACACGGATGATCTTCGATCGTACGACAGCTCTATGATCCAGAGGCGAGGAAGGAATTGTCACTGGGAATATTTCCATGAAAGGTTTCGGTTCCATCGTTCGAAAGTCTAGGTTCATATGGTAGCCTTGGTGGGGTCAGATCATTTCACTTCGTTCTCTAACACACATACCTGGATAGCTTTGCATCCGCAATGCGTAAACTCGCTTTCGAAATTTGGACGCCGCAATGTCTTCCTTTGTACGAGCTTGGGCGAAGATACGCAAGAACACAGTGCCAGCTTGCTGAGATGATGGATTCACTGCTTGTGTTCCGTATAGCTCTATCGAAAGCTTGCTGAAGTTACAGTCTTTGAACATATGTCCAAGTTGGTTCTTGATCATCTCAGCTTTCTCAGCAACATCAAGTCCGTTAATATAGAATGTCGTTTCAGCCTGATATCCTCCGGTTGCGGCTATCATTGCTTTCGTAGTGTTTGGAGGTGGAAGCCCTCTCATCCCAGAGATGTATACAGCATTTGTTGCGGTGTCTTCGATTTTCACTTCCGACAGGTCCGCCGTGACGTCGGGATTAAGGTACAATTCTCCTTGGAGTTCGTACAGCAATTGACCAGTGATATTGAACCTGTTCACGACACCATTACTGACTTCTGGCTTGGTCATGAAGAAGTTGCCATCTGGTTGAATTTCGGCTATACCAAAACCAAGGTCCACGAGTTCGGGAAGAAATTCTTTAAATCCGGAGAAGTTTGCTCCTGTAGCATATGGTCCGCACTCGATCAGATCCACTGTATGTTAGCCTTTTCCATTGGGTCAACATTACGAGGTACTTACGTCCAGCTACGAGCGCTCCAGCTAGTTGGTCGAAGGAACCTCGTTTCCAATCATACCACCAAGCAGCGGCTGCAATCACAGGACTTGCATCTGTGACTCGGCCACAAATCACAATATCTGCACCGGTATCTAGAGCTTCTACGATTCCCCAAGCACCAATATATGCAACAGCACTCTGAATGTCGTCCTTCAAATCCCAGTCTTCGAAGCTCTGTGCCTCGTGATCGAGGTGCCGCAAATCCAGCTTCCTTCTTTTCTCCTTGTCTTTCAACAACTCCGTAATATCATCACCCAAAACGTGCGCTACCACCACTTGACCATGTCCTCTTTCACGGCACAGCCCTTCAACTTTGGATGCCAATGCTTCAACGTTGAGCGCTCCGGCATTGGTGATAACTTTCAGGCCTTTCGCGACGATGGAATCTATGCATTGAAACAATTGGTCCAGAAACCCAATTTCGTAGCCTAGGGTTGGATCTGAAGCTTTGGTGATGGCGTTCCATGCTATGTTCATTTCGCTGAGCCAGTCACCGGTGACGATATCAACATTTCCATTTTCGACCATGCGGGACATGGCTTCCCAGTGGTCGCCAGTCCTGGTGGGATGTTAGCATGCTAATTATCTTGCTCGATGAAGCTTCTTCGAGGGGCACTGTATGGAAACTCAGAATACTAACGCTCCGGAGACATTTCCGATCCTAATATTTCGTTTCGAAGGCATTCCTCGTTCCGTATTGGACAATTGTTCTCACAGAAACCAGTGTGAAGGGAGGTTCGAGGGATGAAGAAGTCTAGAAGTCCTACCCATCTCCCGTGACTGCAAGAAAGTCAGATCGTCCTCTCCAGCATGACGCTAGAACAAGCGTCCGTTTATGTTCACCGGTGCTCATCGCCGAGCGGGGTTGGTTGCTCGGTCATCTGCGCCGACGACCATTCTTCGCCCTTGCCCCACCGCACAAAAAATGCACTCTATCCCAAGCCGAAGTCTCTCCGCAAGTTCATAAATTTGCGGGGAGACAAGAATCACAATGAAAAATCGCGGTTCGATTGTACCTGAATGCGGGGTTCACGATGGATCGTTGCTGGTTTATGTGGGGTCGGTGGATCGCCGGGACTAAGAGAACAGACATGTCTATTTCTCATAATAAATTGCAATTCTTTCTGTTTATATCGTCTTCCAGAAAATTCCAGCCCCTTCCCATACATCTCAGTTCTTTATTTGAGAACTTCAGCACGATGAGGTCCCTAGCCCTCATAACATTTGTTGCTCTTCTTGCCACACATGCAAAATCATTAGTCCTCTCCCTCCCTTCTCGAAACTGCTCAACCTTCGCTCAGGACTTCGCACAATCCGTAACACATCAAAATACAACAATCATCAACTCTACACTCGTCCCTGCGGACTCTGCAGCTGGAAACAATTACACTTTCTGCAAGGTATTTGGACAAGTTGCTTACGCAGGGAATGATACGTTGAACTTTCAGCTTTATCTTCCTGAGGCTGAGATGTGGAGTGGGAGGTTTATGGCTGTTGGTTAGTATTTGTTTAACTGTGGGCCGGGTGGAGGGTGAAGAGGACTAATGGGGACTTAGGGAATGGTGGGATGGCGGGGATGATTGATACGGTGAATATGATTAAGCAGTTGAATTTGGGGTTTGCTGTTGCTGGGTACGATACTTCCAGAACTGGGACGGAGACATGACTGATATACCGCAGAGGCGATTCAGGACATCTCGCTGCTGAGAACAACGACGGAAGCGGTGCTCCTGGGGTTTACCTCCCATACATGCACTCCCAACCACAACTCACGACCTGGATCCACAACGCAATCTCAACATTCACACCTCCAGCCCGCTCCCTTGTTTCATCCTACTATGGAAAAGCAGCACGTTATAGCTACTACAACGGCTGCTCAACGGGCGGAGCTCAAGGATTCGCATTAGCACAATTCTATCCTGAATTGTTTGATGGGATCTATGCGGGCAGCCCCGGGAACTGGTATTCCCATCTCGCTTTATCGTTTCTCTGGAATGCAAAAAAGACGTTGAATGAGAGTTTTATTCCGCAAGTTACGTTGGATGCTATCACCGCTGCGGTATTGGAAGAGTGCGATGGACTTGATGGGGTTGAGGATGGGTTAGTTGAGAATCCGTTGAAGTGTGGGTTTGATATCAACACCATGGCTTGCAATGCGAGTTCAACAAATACTAGTCAGTGTCTTACGGAGGCGCAGTTGGAAGCTGCGAAAGAGATTTATGCAGGTCCAACATCGACAAATGGATCGGAGATCTACCCCGGTTTCTCGTTAGGATCGGAAAGCAGTTGGTTACAACAAGAAGGTTCCCTTGCGGACGCATTCTCGATTCCGATTTTGCAGAATGTCGTATTTGATAATCTGACATATGATTTTAGAGGGTTTGATTGGGATAGGGATGTTGAAGCAGTGGATGAGCGAGTTGGACAGTACATCGACGAAATTTCCCCAGACCTTTCGACTTTCAAGAATGGTGGCGGGAAATTGCTAGTAACGCAAGGGTGGGCGGATGCGTTTAATGCTGCAATATGGCCGATTCAACATCTGCAGGATATCGAAAGTTTCTTCGGCGAAGATGTTTCTGATTTCTTTAACCTGTTTATGGTGCCTGGTGGTGGACATTGTGGACAAGCGGAAGCGTTTCCGCAAGCTCCGGGGACTTATCATGTTGTTGATGCCCTGATTAAGTGGGTGGAGAGGGGGGAGAAGCCGGGGAGTGTGGTGAGTACTGATGGTGATGGTGGGAGTAGGTTGCTTTGTCCGTGGCCGCAGACGGCGACTTGGTTAGGAGGTGAGGTTGGCAGGGCGGGGAGTTATGTTTGTGAGAATTCGTGAGCAGGACTGTAGATCTGTAATTAAAATGACACGAGAACTTACCAATTCAACGTAAAGTTCTCTTAGCTTTTCTTTGTCTGAAGGGGCTACTTGATTCTGACAAAGATAAGAGAGTGTTGTATGACAAAGTACGCCCCCTTTCCTAAGCGAGGCAAGTAAGCTCAAGCCCAGCTCAACCAGCTTCAGCCAAGCTCGAATCGGGCTCAATGCAGGCTTAAGTCAGCCTTGAACGATTAGCAGAATGTGATGTGCAACAAAAGTTCTTGTAGCCTATCATGTTGCTGGGAATGTGGGGATCATATTCCAGAGTCTGGGGAAGCTCCTTGACAATCTCAGAGACAAGACAATCGATCAATGAAATGCTTCTATTTCTATAACAGAGAATTTAGTCTGCAACCGTGTGATTAAACAATTGTGGAAATGAATATTATGATCATAGAGGGCGTATTGGTGGTGAGGCTTGGCATTCTGCCACATCGTGGCTTGACCCCGTTTTCAAACACCGGCTTTCCCTCAACGTCCCTCCTCTTCAGTGCCAAACCACGACCAATCTTCAAACGCCGGCGAAAGCCATGGATTTCGATACAACATTCACGATGTAGACCGGCATCTGTGAGACACCCTGTCTTGTACTGGCCATACGACCATCCTTCCTCCATCCCTTCAGATTGCGACGCGTTCTGCCGTCCAGCAGCATAATCGCAGCAAGCACGGTCTTCGACCGCTTTCAAAACTCGGGGGGCATAATATAGAGAGGTCCAGACACTTGATCCGAAATGTCATGTCGCCCCTACATATCGGGCAGCATTAAAGAAGCTACACGAAGCAGAAGATATGTATTTGAAGGATAATGTTGAGACCAAATGCGATGGACTTCTGAAATTAAAGCGAGGGGTTGAAAAGTTTAGGCGTGAAGATCGATGAGATAGGTATGAATTAGACAGTAGAGTAGATCCGTCAATGTCATCACTTTGACACTTTGTTACGTGCTTCAAGCGAGCTTCATTCACTATGCTACCCACTTCAAATACACTTTTCGGGGCAGTATCGTACATCGTTATGTTTTACAGCAGTGCCCAGGTTATCGGCCCAACTAGTCCTACCATCACAGCCATGCTCATACTTTTAATCCCAACAGGAGTACCGGCGCTCTTACTAACAGTTGCCGCAGGTCCACTCGTCGTCGTGGAACTCGAGTTGGCCCCTCCCGTCGAAGTAACCGTCCCATTACTTCCTCCAGTACTCTGCGTAACCACATCCGAAGCCTGGCCAACAAGCAAACCCTGCACATAACTCAACGCACTCAACTGCTCTCCCAACCCTGTCTCGTTCCCAGCACTCGAGCTTCCCCACGTAAACCCACATTCTGTCCCAGACAAGCCCGCAGAACACGCATTCGCAGCACCCACAGCAGACGTCGTCAACTTAGGCATAATGACGGAAGATGTGTAAGGCGCCATTTGGATTGTGTTGATAAGTTGTTGTGCAAGGATGCCTTTGAATGCGTACATATCCGTAATACAAGTACTGTGGCTTTCGCATGCCACTTCGGTCGCGATTCCATCTGGGAAGAAGATCGATATTGTCTGATTGAGGAGGCCATCTAGTGTTGATTTCCATTGAGAACTGCCACTAGTGGAATTATACATATATGCCGCACCGGATATGTATGTTCCCGCATAAGACGAGAATTGAAGTCTGTTGATCGAGGTACAGTTCGTGGTAACATCAGTCCCATCATAGACGTTGAATTTTTCGTCTACAAATCCGATTTCAGAGCTCCAGTCGTAGGCCTTGTTTGCCCAGTCGGAGTAAGTAGAATTGCCGGTATATCGTCCGAGGCGAGATGCGAGTTGGAAGAAGAATCCGTTGGAGTCGCTGTTCTTGTAATCGTACCCGGTGTTAAAGCTGAAAACCTGCCACCGAAGACCACCATTGCAGGTACTCGTATCCCAGCGACTGGCTTGATCATTGAATACTGCTTCTGCTAACGAAATCCAAGTCGTACCGGCCGGGTCAGGGAACTTGAGCTCAGCGGCTGTCATGGCAGCTAAGGCCCAAGTTGATTGGTCGTCGTTTCCTTCACTTTTTGTTTGATTGGGAGGCATGAAGTCGCCATTTGGTCCTTGTTGAAAAACTAGAGCTTGGGAAACGAGGGCGTTGTATTGGGAATCGCCGGTTAGATGCCAGTACTGGAGAAGAGTATCAAGAAACGCTCCACCCTCCCACCAGTAGTAAGGTGAAGGCAGAACTCCTGGGATATTCGTCGTTTCATTGCCACTATAGTATGTTACCATACCACTTGCAATAGAGGATGCCGCTGATTTGATAGACTCTATTTCCATTAGCACTATAGTAATATATTGAAACACCATGCGCTTGTAGAAGTTCATACCAGTACTGGTGACATCCAACGAGATACCTTCGACCTGAACGAATGGAAGGGCCAAAAGGGCAGCGAGTGTCTTGTGTTGCATCGCGGCGAGTGTAGGGTAGGAGTGAGCCCTTACTACCAACGCAGCCTAGAGGTTGGTCGTGAAAGAAAAGAAGGCGTAGCTAATAGCTAAACGCCTAATGGTGCAAGTCTCACAATGGAGTGAAGGTGGAAGAGATGCAGAAGCTTGGGATTATGTTCACCGAATCTCTAGCAGAACAATAAGATAAAACGAACGTTTCTACACAAAGAAGGAAATCTGAGAGTGCAAGGAAATGTACAAATTTAGACAATGACGAGGGAAATTAAGCTTATATGCTTGGTGTTGCCACAATTCGGTACCAGTACGTGATGAAATAGGCGGATACGATCTTGGCACCCTGCTGGTGCTTGGGCGGAGCATGACTGGCGCTCGCTGTATTTGGGCCTTGACCAATTTCGAAACATCTCGTCCATCTTGAATCAATCTGACAAGTTAAAAGCGGTCTCAATCAAAACTAGAGAACTTATGAGAGTTCTGAAAGGAAGGAAAGAAGGTTGGGTTCCACTGAGCAGATCAGGGGAAATGTGGGCTGTCAAGCGCCGCCCAGACACTCACTAATGGAGCCCCACAATATTTGGAGGACCAGCCTCTTCCGTTATCCGAGAGCAATTTGAGAGCTCTGTGCAAAGACCTCTCTCGTACCTTGAATTCAAAATTCTCTACAGTAGTATCACTCTCGATATCAGAGCAGAAAACTTGTGTAGGAAGACTTCTAAGCAAGCGCATCGTGGGGGGTGACTATCCGAGGCCTCGGCCATGGGCCCCTTGTTAATCCTCCCCGCATTTGGCGCAGAACTCTCTCAGCTGTCAGCTTAATATATAAGCTTCTCGCCTTCTTTTGATCCTCTTCGGATGTTGAACTTACCCTAGGTACCGTCCTTTTTGTTCTCAAGTCGGAACTCAATATGGTAAGCCTGCCAAACAAGCCCAAAGAATTAACATTGAACTCTGTAGGAACAACGAACAGGACTCTACCACAACACACCTTACCAGCATACGCCCACGATCTACGATCGAATTCAGATAGGCAAAGGCACGACAATTCTGCCAGGCAAAAAAGACCCCGCAGTCGCTCATCTCATCGATCATGTTCTCGAGCATGGATATGTGATCCTACCGAATCTCTTCACACCTACCGAAGTCTCCGCCGCCAATGCAGAGCTCGCACGTCTCGAAGCTCTCGAATCCTCCGGTCCAGCTTCACAGGGAGGTCGTAACCCATTCGAAGGTTTCCAAACAAAGAGAATATATGCGTTGGTAGATAAAAGTCGAGTGTTTGACACCTTTGCGATCAATGAAACGGTCATGAAGTTAAATGACTATTTCTTGCAGCCAAATTTCCTGATGACGAGCTTCCATACAGTAAATATTGGGCCGGGATCAAAAGCACAAGAGATTCATACAGATGATGGGTTGATTGCACTGCCTCGCCCAAGACCCTTAATGGGAATTGTAAGTCTGAACGGAATACCTCTCCTCGTCGAGTTATGGGAGGCATTTGTTAATAGATGTATATTGGCAGGGCACAATGGTAGCTATCGATGATTTTACTGCTGAAAACGGCGCGACGACACTTATACCAGGTTCACATTTATGGGACGACGAAAGGAATCCGAAACGAGAAGAAATGATACCAGCCATAATGCCAGCAGGGTCAATGGTATACTTTCTGAATACATTATGGCATTCTGGGGGAGCGAATACAAGTCAGACGTGGAGGAGAAGCATGACTGTACAATATTGCCAACCATGGATCAGACCTTATGAGAATTTTACAGTTGCTATGGGTTGGGAGGATCTGGATCAAGTCCCACAAAGACTGATGCGCTTGATGGGCTTTAGCACTCATGACTTTATGGGATATGTTGATGGCAGATCTCCTAGAGCTGGCGTGGAAATGCGAAAGAAAAGGTTGATTGAGTGGGCCTTCAAGGAGAAGGAGAAAGGGAAGATGTCGAAGCTCTGAATAAGAATGCATATTGTCCGTATTGTTGGAGTCATACGCCCAGTAGCATCTGCGATTTTAATGACAATTATTTTTTAGGTACCAATAGCAGCAATGAACAAGTTGATTTGTCTAACAGAAATACATTCGATGAACGAAATAAATGGTGCCCACGGCTTACTTACAATCTCGTGCTTAATGTCAGCAGGTCACATCACCTGGTAAGCGCCCAAGAAACTTCTTCTTCAAGCCTCACCGATCCCTAACCACACCATTGGATATGAAATACAGCGTCGGTTTGGGGCTTTCGTGTACCCATGCAGGCAGCTGCGACAAGGTTGCAGCCCCGCTGAAGGCCTTCAATAGCCTCGCCGCGATGAGACTTCAGCCCTACCCTCTTGCCTGGAACAACATCCTCGTCATACAACAATACAGAAACTTTTCCAGTTTTTGCCGCATCACTACAAATATAGATTGCGCTGTATATAAACTATCTTGTGTTTGTAACCTTGTACCTCACCTCTTGCTTCAGTAGCAAAAAGCATCGTTCTCGCAGTATCAGGCTGTCGCGCATATCGCGCCGGCGGCGGTCCACACACCATGTCCCTTTCACGAGCAATGACCATGTCGATGTCGTCTTCTCGTCCGCCCGCGAAGATACGAAAGGAGCCTTCTCCGGAGCGTGAAAGACCGACCCAAGAACTCATACAAGAAATTCTAGAGGAGCTCGATTCGGTCATGAAGATGAAGCGCCCCGACAAGCCAGCGAAAGCCTATGCCTGTCACGATGACTTAAAAATTATCTGGAAGAGAAAGAGAATCAAAGCTCTCATTGGACCCAGCAACCCGTCTGATGCTCAGGTCGACTTTATTCAGAAGAATATGATTATTATTCTGTCAACTCTGGTGTGGATCGGAGCCTCCAAATGTCTCACTCAGTTCAGGTCGAGATTCTTCGAGCCTATTGCTAGCTGTGAAGCTCGTTTCACGGACAAGCAAATGCCATGTTTCGACAAAGACAAGCTTTATTTTCTGGACTCTGAACCTGCTTTGAAAGGACGATTCCATGAAAACCACTTCCATTTCTGCCCTGTCAAAATCAATATCGAAAACCGTCAAACTACACAGGAAATAGACCCGAACGAAAAACTTCCATTCGAGCGTATTGAGAAGGGGGTTGGATCTGGCGGATTCGGTAAAGTCGACAAAGTGGCTATTTCGCCGAAATATTATTACCACAAGAAAGCAGGCCAAGATACCATTTTCGTCTCTGAAGAGGTACGTCTGATCAAGGATCGAAGGATCGTCCTAACCGCGTCATAGGTTTATGTGGTCGCTTGCAAGAAGATCAAACTCAAAGATGATTTTGACAAAGAGAAAGACAATCTTCAAATCTTGAAGGAAAGCTTGACGAAACATGTCAGAATTATGTTGCATCTTACCACCATCGAACATGGTTTGAGTCGCTATATCTTGCTACCATATGCAGCTTATGGTGACCTTGAAGTGTTTCTCCATGGCGGTTACGCACCTGGCGAGAAAACTCCAAAATACGATTTCGATAACCGTTTCAAACGTTTGAACGGGCGGGATATGATTCTTCCCCTATTTGCTGAATGTCTAGTACTTGCTGATGCGCTCAAATGGCTTCACAACCAGATCAGGATCGAGAAAACGTCTGACACTGTTTTCTGTGCCCACATGGATTTGAAGCCTGCAAATATTCTAATCCAACCAGATGACAAATCAGTTGTTGGAAAATGGATGATCTCAGACTTTGGCATCTCGGTATTCAAAGAAGACACTGAACAACATGATCCTGATTATGGTTCAATTGGAGATTATATCTCACAGGTGACCATGAACACGCGGCCTAAACGGCAAGAGGGGACTTATCAAGCACCGGAAGTCAAGCTTGCTGAAATAGGTTTCAACCAGTCCTCCCATTTGACACCAGATCAACGCGGAATTGGTCGCAAAAGTGATGTGTGGTCTTTCGGTTGCATTCTCAGCGAGATCTTGGCATTTTCTCAAGGCAGAGCAGCCCTGGTGAAGGAATTTTCCATGGCACGGAAAAAGAACTCTAAAGACGACTACTTCTACGCAACAGCAACGAGCGAGTCCCTCGGGCTTACCAAAAGTTACGAAGTCAGACCAACAGTCATCTCTTGGCTGGATGATTTGAGCAAGAAGGCTGCAAGTCCACAGAGATGGTTGGATTGCTATGTCGGCACAATCAAAAAGATCCTCATCGTGGACACCACGCTTCGGCCGAGCGCAGAACAATTATTGATGCTTATGCAGCATGTCAAGGATCACATCAAGCACTCTTTAGAAGGCGGTCAAGTCGCATGTCGGGTGCTCAGTTTGCAAGAGGAGCTGAAACCCAAGACGATCCCGCGCAAACCAGTCAGATCTTCAACCCAATCTCCATATTCACACCAAAGTCCAGCTCCACGAAGATATTCCAACCCTCCAGTCTCGAAACCGAGAGATAGTGCAACAAACAACCTGACACCTATCATGTTTCGTTCGACGACATTCGAACAGGAGCGCATTCACCCAGAAGGCCACGAAGAAGACCATGGAGTTGAGCTGATGGAAACAGTCGCTGAAATGGATTCAGATACTGAAATTCCCAGTATTGACAGCACCATGCCAACTGCAGAAGCTGTAATATCGGACCCTACTTCAGATCTTGCGAGAATTCCTGGCACACTGTCGACGACTGAATCTCCTCGGGTACCGTTCCCAGACCAAAACCAAGACCATGAACCTGTTCGACCGGAGCCTCATCCGATTCAACAAGGATCTGATCAGCCAGAGCCTAACTCAGGCCAAAGATCCTCGCTCTTCACGTCGTACGCTAGGCCTGCACATGCTCATGGTATCAAGATAGACCGAAATCCACCTCCCATGATTCAACCATTTCCCTACATTTCTTTGCCACCACCAGCTGGTTCGACCTTCAAGATTACTTCGATGGCACTAACAAGATCAATTTATGGAGCTCGACTTGCGTGTCTCTCAAAGTCATCAATATTTATCTACACTTTAATGACGAAGAATCTATCAGGAATTTTGGATTGCAAAGTTGATCTTCCGGCATCGAACGGCTGGACTGGTATTGCTTTTGCTGGTAACTTTCTTGCTGCATGGGGCTACGATTCTGGCAAACTGGTAAGTCCTTCACAGCATTATGATATCGTGGTTTATGATTCTGTAACGCTGACCTACATGTAGGTCTATTTTTGCGACCTCAGGCTTGAAGACTCGAGGTCACTTCCTACGAGCGAAACAGGAATGCTTGAGAAAGTGGCTGTCTCTGAGCAGGGAGTAGCGGCATTGGTGTGCAGAAAAAAGATAGTAATTGTCACGATGGGGTATGCTCCTTGAAATACATCGTGAGACGTCTACTAACTAAAAGTAGCAGTTCTAAAGAAACAATCTCACTGTATGCGTCAGGCGATCAAAACTTCACCCATGCTGCTTTCAACGATACTGGAGATCTTCTATTTGCATGGGCATACGGGCAGACAGACAAACTCTATTGTTGGCGTTGTCAAGATAGTGTGTTCCAACGAGCAACTGAGTCCGAAAGCCCATACGAGACAGTGAGTCATTTCCCTGCATTCCATCCAGTGTCACTCGGCTGATGATCCCAAGGTCAAAATCGGAAAACCAGATCTCACGACAGTCATTCCCTACAATTCTTACCAAGGCTGCATAATCGAGAAGCCGGATAAAACACTTTTCCCAGCACAAATCCGCTCCACTCTCAGAGAAAACAAGAATCCGTTCCCCCGCAATGAAGTCAAACTTTCAAACCTACAAGCAGCATGCATATTCAATGATCATTCCTTGATTACTGTGGAGAAAGGGAAAATGCACAGACGGCTCAGGGAGTATAAGATCAGCTACTCCAGTACGCATGTCTTAGAAACTCCTGGTGTTGAGATCTGTGGAAATCTGAAGTCAAGCACAGACTCAGCATCGCGGATGTTGGCAGTCAAAGACGGCGAAAATATCGTAATTATAATCTGCAATAAGAACGCTACCGTCGAGTTTGTCAAGGTCGTTCAACCGGCAGCGAGACCGATCAGGTGAATTGGTACAGAGGAATTCTGAGAACAGATAATATTACACGATCTACATTGAGACTCTCAAGAAGTCCCACCAGACAGGCTCTTATTCATACACTCCATCCCACGATATCTACTGGATCTTTCCAGGTAACGGACGAGGCGGCTTCAGACTCCAAGGCCACAGAAACTGCTTCCCCTTCCGCCGAGCATCAAACCACAACACTGCAATATACAATGCGCCAGTGATGAACGTCAAGGGTAGCCAGGTTGCAATGAATATCCAGAAATCATGCGCAATCGTTATCTGGTATGCATTTTGGTCGAAAACGAAGAAGTTCGTACCGTACACGGACTTTGGATGTCAGCTGTCTCCATATACATTATAGGAGGTGAATGAACTTACGGCGACGAAACTTCCTGGGAGATAGATAGCTGAGACATACGTAATGATCTTCACTGTCGTACTGTCGTCGACTGTGTCCTGCTGAAGATTTCTCAACTGCTCCGTCACGTCTCGGAGCTCCTTTGTCATGTCTCGAAGCTCGTTGTCAACCTTTGCAGTCTCGAGTTGATTATGCAAAGTCAACGTGTAGCCAACCTGCTGCAATTAGCAATCATCAAAAATGTTTGTCGAATCAACTCACCAAATCAATTGCATTCCTGATCCTCCCCTCCAAGACAGTGGAGCTCTCAACGTGGCCTCGAAGAATCGTCTTCTGTGACTCGAGACTGCTGGCGTCTTTCAGAGGCGTAAGGTCACAGCCTTTCAATTTCTCCACCAGGTCGAGATCGCTGGAGCAACACGCTTTCGCGAAGAGGGCGAAGTCATTCATGTTTCTCAGACTCTTCACACGAGCGAAGCTCTCTTGCGCCCTCGCTGTTTCGGGCTTGATCACCATAGCTGAATTGTTCTGTGATCGTTAGTTGTGTTTTATGGGGTTGTAGATGCGAGTTGGAGACACATACTTCTGCAGCGAATGTTTCTCCAAGATTCCTGAAATACCATCTCCAGTTGTCAAAAAACGATGACATGACCAAAAGATGAAGACGATACGGATCTTTACAGAAAGCCGGTATCTGAGACACCTTTGGCTTGACAGATTGATCCACCTCAAGCATCTTCAACAGTCGGTCTTCGAGAACACTGTTGTTGATAGGATGAAGCAGGATGAATAAGTCGAAATCTGGGGTATGGTGATGATAGACACCTGTGTGTCGAAAGGACCATGGATCTTTTCCTTTCCTGAGATTTTCTTCTACGTAGTTTACTTGATATGTAATGTCTACTATTAATCAGCTCGAAGAATCTGTAAAACGTTGTCTTTACCACGTACACGTTTCTCCAGCCCGTGGAGAGTGAATGGCTAGGTTGTTACTGCTCGCCTCGGCGATGTGGGGTTCTTCTCCAAAACTGAAGAGGACACGAAGGAAGTCGGGATGGACCTTATATTTGTGCAGTATTTTGCGCGTCAAGATTGAAGTTATTTGAAGTGGCTCGATGGTTCGTTCCGAGTATATCGATCTTGTTTTCACGTCAGAAAGGTCTCGATCCCTAATACCAAGACGACGTACATTATCCGTATCCTACTCTTACCCTGAGGTTTCTGGTCCACAGCAGCCCTCAACTTGTTTGCATCATCATAAACTTCCGAGAAGGCACTTTCTACAAGATTGTCAGCTGACGAATTTGTGTACTCCATCGATCAACCAAGACATACCCTCATTAATATCTGTTATCCTCACATTGACATCCTCATCATCTTCCTCAAGAAAATAAATCCCCTCCGGATCCTCCAGTCTTCTTGACGACTCCGTCGCATTCAACTCATCCCGTGACCAATTCGCAGGATATTCCTCCCATGCTTCAACAATAGCAGCCATACGATTTAGCGCAAAAAGGGTGACAAATTGTCCTTTTCGATTCTGCACTCGTTCGATATATGCGACACGACGTATTTGCGAGCAGGTCCCGATGCCCTAAATCTCTCTGAATAGCTCACCGAGCTGCCTTGTGAGGTGGCCTCGAGTGGGGGCTGAGTCGGCACAGCCTGGAAAGCGTCAGGTGTGCAACAGAACAGAGCCTCATGGTGGATATGTGGCGAAGTTTTGGGACTGTTTGAGACAAGTTTGCATGCATACAACTTCTTTGAGAATAGGCCATGTCATACGGTAGGACTTTTATTGGTTGGAGGGAATGGATATTGTATTGTTCTCGCTAAGTTGTCCGTTTTCAGTCACCGAGACTTTCAGCTCGAAGCCTCATTTTGTTTCTCTTTCTCCTTCTTTTCTCTCTTGGTCATGATATCGCTGGTCAAAGTTCTGGGGACTGTGGTCAGATCATACTCTATGGGTACTGGAACAGTAGTATCCTTACTTGACTTCTTTCTTCGTCAATTTCTGTGGGGTAACGAAAGACCATCTGTCGCTTTCATGCTAATTTGTTGTTAGAGAGGCTAAAGAAAATGAAATGATCAGGAAAGGCTGACGTACAAAAACTTTGAAGTCTATTCCTTCTCCGTATTTCTCGGTGAGATATGCCTCGAGCTCTTCCCTTAGATTGATGTAGCGACTGTACTGCGGGTCTAGTACATTTTCGAATTCTACTGTAGCCATGTTGACATGAACCGAGTCTTTCAACGAGGCAGACAATTACAGACATCATCGGTTTGCTATATATCATGAACACGAACCGGTGGTGACGCTGCGGCTCAACAGACCGAACCAGTCACCCACTGCGTGGCACTGCATGGTGAGATTTCGTGGGTGGCCCTCTCAATAGTCAGAAGCGCTGCCACACTCATTCCCAGGGGTTTCACAAGGGCATGGTGGTGGCGCAACCCACCCCTCGAGACCTGCATGCTCGCCCACGGCCCGCCCCTGGATCGCATCGTAGGCTTTAAGTATCGCATGCATCGTAAATCTGCCATCCTACCAAGTTCCCGGAACCAAGGATTCCTTCCCTTCTGAATAATGGAGGAACAGCCCAAGTTGAAGTAAGGCTCCTCAAGTGACCTGTGTGTAGGGCTTTACTGACTTTCTTTTTCGTACAGACAGACACTTCGGTCTTTTCAGATCTTTGTAAGACCCCGGAGCAAAAATATTGGAATGTGGACACTGCTTCTAACCCCGCGATCTGCAGTTCATCGTTATTAGTGCTATTATTGGCGGTGGAATTTTCAACAATAATGGAGGTTCGTTGTTCAAACATTGCAAGTAGATCAGCATAGCTCACCCGTTGTAGAAGCGCTCGAAGTCGCTGGTCCTGCAGGATTAATTCTTTCCGTCGTCGTGATTGGAATCATCGCGATCTTCGTCAGCGAAGGCATCAGCGAGCTTTCCCAGCAATTTCCGGCTCCGAACGCCATCGTCGAATATGTCAAAACTTTCGTAGATGAGGATCTTGGTTGGGTCGTTGGTATTGCGTATTGGTATGCCTTTGCATCGGTCTTCGCAGTTCAGAACTTGGCTGCGGCACAACTTTCGACTTATTGGGGACTTACCCAGACGTGGCAGGTATGTTGCACCTTTTACTCATTCAACCATCTTCTTAGGAAGTCCAGATCTAGCCCTCAAAACTTCGAGAACTGAAGCACTTGACTGACTTTGACGTTAGACACTAGCATTTTACGTTCTCGCCCCAGTGTTCATCGTCGTACTGAATTTCTTCGGAGTTTTCTGGTACGGCATCGTCGAGACAGTTGGCGGAGCCCTGAAAGTCGTCCTCGTCCTGGGAGTATCGATACTGTTATACGTCTTCGCAGCACAGCAACACGATGCAGGCGCCAGCGGTCCAATCAACGACGGCTTCAAGAACGATGCAAAGTTTGCAGCAAACCATAGCCAAGCAGTATGTTATGCCATCCCGCTCGTAGCATACAGCTTCCTCGGAATCGAAATTGTCGCCGTTACAGCTTTCGAGGCCCGCTATTCCACTTCGCTCAAATGGCCGTCGAGGGTTATCGCTTATGCTGTGTTCCTCCTCTATTTCTTGTGCACGATTGGCGAGACTTTGACAGTGCAATGGAGGGATGATCATCTCCCAACGATATACGGAGGAGGCAAGAACAGTAATGGAACTGCTCTTTCGCCACCAAGTTCCACGAGTCTGGTCGTGAACGCGGCTTGGGAGGCTGGTCATCACGCCCTGGCCGGATTCCTCAATGGATGCCTCATCTTCAGTGCTCTATCGGCATCCAATACGTCGTTGTATGTGTCTTCGAGGACACTTTATGGTCTGGCTCGAGAGATTCCTGACACGAATTGGGTGGGGAAAAGGTTGAACAAGTTGAGTCTTGTTGTTCGACAGACTGGTGTCCCTGCTGCAGCGCTATTGTTCTCTGCTATTTCGTTCTTTTGGTTGCCATTTTTGCAACTCAAAGCTGGATATGCTATTCAGGATGTAAGAATTGCCTATTGTGGGAGCGTAGTCGAAGGCTAACATATTCTAGTTGATCGAGATCATGTCTGTTTCTGCAAGTGTATCTTGCCTTGTCGTGTGGGCTGCACTATGCTTGTCATTTATCCGATATGACCGATGGTAAGCCTCCCCCTTGATTTGTCTTTAGTCTAAGCTCCCACTGACGAATACCAGGCAGAGTATTTGTGACGCTGGTTTGAAAGCCGAGCCACAATACGAGAGCTGGAGAAGGAAATCTCCAGACTATAAGTCCTACACTTTCCTCGCTTTCGCCCAACCATATATCGCATGGTTAGGCTTGATAGGGTGCCTTCTCGTTTTTGGTTTCGCGAGCGCGACGTGGTGGCATACTTCGCCTGATCTAACCAAAGTGGCTGTTGCATACGCTGCTGTAAGTCCAACTCGAATCATTGTTGCTTTGCCCACTCGGCTAATATAGAAACAGCATGTTATATTCCTTCTTCTTTTTGTGGTGTTCAAAATTGTTAATAGGCGGTGGTGGGTGAAATTGGATACTGATGTGACTGTTTTGATTGCGGCACTAGACAGGTTGAGGTGGTTGAAACAAGATCAGCTGCCAACGGATCATGATATATAATCGTCTCGCAGTAGACGGGATCGAGAGATTTGCTGTACAAATTGTTAATAACGAAGTAAAAGAAGACCATATTTTACTTCAACTCTTAGCACGCCTTCAGGCAGGAGTATGAGACGCCGCAGTGGATTGCCACATCACCAAGAAGCTTGACTTACTTTCTTTTCTAACCAAGACTCACCTTGTCAACTTGTCAATAGATTAACGTGGCGAGCTTTTCAGAGCCAGGGTAAAGATGCAAACAAAATAGGGCTGCTTAGCGCACTGTTCCGACCACATCAAAGTAGTCATCGATTCATTAATGCTCCAACTTCAAACTATGTTCCACATCGAGCCAGTATATTGAGTATATCTGTCAGACCTGCGACATCTGAGACAATGAACCCCTCGTTCAAAACAAGGAAAGAATACGCCAGACAGTCATCCTCAGCTTCTTTTCGTTCCTGCTAATCCTAACGTGCCGTCTACGGACTATCCGTATCGTTGCTTTTAGTGGACAATGTTCCCGTAAAATATAGCCAACACAGCAGCATAAGCAGCCGTAATGGTAACGACGTCCTTAGTGCTTGACTGTAGTCCCACAACCACCGCCGCGAATCCCCCAAAGGAAACAATAGCAATTGACATGGTCGAAAGATCCCACGCTCTGCTTATAGTCTTTGGAATTGTCATGAGGACGATAGGTACGATGATCCAAGATGATGACGCTTGCAAGGAAGCGTGTCTCGGTCGAGTACTCCAACGGCTTGCCGTCGTGATTGTACTCCTCTGAGCGCCGTCTCCTCTCTGAGCGGGACCAGGCGAGCTTTTTAGGCAGACGATTGCTGATAAAGGCCAGAAGAAGGTCGGAGTTTAAGGAGACGGGTTTGACGAAAGCTCTGTATGTGTTTGGGAAGCCTTGCTCTCGAAGATGGTTCCTGAATTTTGCAACCCTGTCCTGCTTTTCCTCAGTTTGGATGGCTTCATTGGGTTCTCTGTGGCGAAGGATAAAGTCAAAATCTCTTATTGCCTGGCCTGGCTTTAACGTCAACCACCGCTTTGCACGACTTAATACTGGAGAGCTAGCTTACAATATTCTTTGAATGTGGTCTGAAGGTCGGTCAAGTCATCTGCGCCCAATTCTGTTGCTTTGTATTTGGCCCACAGTTTGACCAGTCGTGTCTCGATATTCAACAAATTCATCTGTTGGAGGATAGGATAGTACCCGAATCGAGGCTCGCTCACGTCATGTTGCTTAGCAAAAGTTGCAATGCGATCGAGTACTGGCTGGGTTTCAACGAAGTGATACCCTTCTTTCTCATGCAATTCAGACGCGGTCATGGCAGATGGTGTAAAGCAGACGACAAGCAAAACTAGACTACACCGAAAATGATGTGGAAATCGCGCTACATATGGGATCCACGAGGAGTCTGGTGCAAGGCTTAGCCTCGAATGTCGAGGGGGATATTGTGCAACCACTATTGCAGAGAGAAATTAAGTTACTTGATAAAGCTAGTGGTACTGAGTGGGCAGATTTCATGCCGTGTTCGATGATCCGACATTCAGAGGACAGAATGCGAGGTGGCTATCCGGCGACCAGTAGTCGAGAGGAGGTATCTGCACCGCGAGGAAATCGGCCTCACCGACCAGAGCTCCAAGCTCACTTCTGCTCATTCATATAAGCAGTGTAACAATAGCTTGCAGGCCAAGTCACCCGCTCCAAGATCGCGTAGGCCAGTTGGAGGCTACCCACAATTGTGTGACCATACTACACAGAACAGTTCATGTTGTAAGGATGATGTGAGGATGTCCTTGAATTTCCATGAGCAATCTTCGCAAGGGAAATGGACTTCTGAGACAACAACTTTGCTTTCGTATTCTTGGATTTGGCTCCATCCCTGCTTGCAGTTCTCCCGGCATCGCTTCCACAGCTCCCAATCCATCCAACTACACATGGCAATCAATAATTCCCAAGTCGAACAACCAGAACTAGTACTCTACATGTGGTGGATGTGCATCAGGAGGAATCAGTTTAAGACTATCCACCCCAAGGTTGTGTGATACTTCATGGCATTGGTGTTTCGACCAAGTACACGCAGGGCTGTGTCGCAAAATCTTGGCCGCCCGCCCAGCTTGGGCCATGGCACTGTGCAAAAAGTGGTTCATGTTTCGGTAAAGTGCTGCCATATCAGCGTGTCTAAATGCCTTCGCCCCGAGTTGAGAATCAGCTCTCTTCTTGTAATCCTGAATGACCACGCAGATACGTGATTTGAGATAATTTAGAGCGTTGTAGAGCCCATCGATGGCGAGGTTTCGTTGATCTTGGTAATTCTGTTAGACCACTGAGGGGAGAACATAAATATCAAAACTTGGGAGGGTCCTCACCATCGGGAACCAGATGCAGCTTATTACCGCCTGGTTCTAGGAGGTCAAATTGTAGCCATTTCATTCTCTCAACTTCACGGTCCAGAGCGTCCCTGAGGCATTTCGCTTCGTGAACTTGACCGGTCTTCCTCCGCCCGCCGGGATTGACGAACAAGGATGGCAATGGTCCAAATTCACTCTCGAGGCTCTGTAAGTCGGTGCTGCAATTGCTAAGCATTTGGCAGATGCTTGCCATCAAAGCCCTGGGCTCCATTAGCGTCGCCATAGGTGAAGCGTAGATGAGGTTTGCGAGAAAGAGTAAGAGAAGAATAACATAAAACAAGGAAATAGAAGGAAATATTTCATAAGGCATCGTATCAGTCGATTATGACGTTGTCTGCAGCTGGCTGCAGATGTAGATGAGGTGCGATATACAAGCGAAACAAATGGTTGCAGAGCTACAAAGGTACATTGTACAACTTGTGAAACGCTGCATGCTCGGTCGGTAGGCGGCATCATGGTGTTTTGCTACCGTGAGGAGCACGGAGGCTGCATGCGCTGGCGATGAGGCTGAGCCGAGAACTGCTTGAAGTCAAAAACAGAGTAATAAAGAGACTCAACGCTTTGATACTGGATCTGTTGGAAGTCACAACTTTATTTCGATGCCTTGAAGTTGAAGGTCGGGAACAGAATGCTTTGCGTCACGCCAGCGAGTTTCGCAAAGTAGAAGAAAAGCTTGGACTCGCTGAGCTCGACTTCTTCCACATAGATAGGTACATGTAGGGTGTCTTGATTTTGACAAGATATCTGACATACAGTGAGGGATCATCAGGAGGATGTCTCGGACTTCTTTCTGCCCACGCAGTTCAGGTGCAATTGACAATCTCTTCTGCGACCTGTTCAACTCCAGATCTGCTATCAAAGTGATCATCGTTATGTTTACTTATCTTTGTTCTCGTCAGTCCACTATAATCCACTTGGATCTTTTCTTATCCAATATTGTAGTTTGAGCATGGGAAGTATGAAACTGACTAGGCTCACTGGTCAAATGTATCATTGATTAACACTGGTTCCAACAGAAGAATAGTGAACTGAATCACTATGATAAGGTTTCTGTGGGACTTTCCGCAGAACAACATTGAAACTTTTTCTCACCAAGGGACTGGATCATGAAGCTCTCAGACAGACATGTCTCAGTTCACTTCAAATCATCCGGGTATCGAGAATGTCGCACAGAAAAAAGTCCTGGGACATCTGGCCCACGGTTTTCTCACAAACCATGTCTTGAAGTCCTCGGCGAAGCACCAACTTGGAACTATCACCACCCCACACTCTCAAGACCGCCCCCACACCTGATACACGTGCTCCACGTGGCTCAGCGAGACGTGTGCCAAGACCCTGTCTATCTCCCGCTGGCGCACCTCAGAAAAAAAAAAACAGCAGCTCAAACATCGCACCAAATATATTTACTCTCCCCAATCGCTTAACATCGTGTTCCACCTAGCTGGAATTTCCGACTGAAAAAATCTCCAACGGACGGAACACGAAAGGAGAAAAGCCCCCAAAGAAGAAGGAGACGAGGTTCTGGAAAAACGTGAAACCGCCGACACTCGACACTTGACAGCGGCTGGTAGCGCGAGGAGAGAGAGGTCTCAGTCGAGATCTTGCAGAGTGGATCAAGTTCAACCTCTCCTTTTTGCACCTGAGCACACACATTTCAGCAGAAAAGCCAAGTAATGATTTGACAGCTGCGGCAACGCACCAGTAAGGAGAAAACCGATGATCATCCATCCTCTCCATAAACGATCCCGTCCGTCATGAGTAGTAGTAGTAGTCGTATTTTTAAAGTTCGAGCACACACACACACACACACACAAACACCAGCTGCAGGGACCCTTTTTTTCATCTAAAAGAAGCTTGAGCTGAAATGCTTGGCATCTACGGCCTGCGAGATTCACCCGCCCGTTCGTTCCCGCTGCGGTGTGTGCTCAGGGACGCGCTCATCACGATGGATGGTGAACTCTCAGACACTTGTTTCCCCTCTTTTGCAATCTTCGCACAGAGCAAAACGAAGAGGATCGTTCCTCGGCCGTACGTTCCTCAACCAGGCTTCGAAACTCCGCGGCGCGATAATAATAATAATAGCAATAATAATGAACGATAGATTTCTCGAGGGTCTTTTTAATATAGGGAAGAATGGTCTGGGATCGTACCCGGACTCCGGCTTCGTCCGGGGAAGGCTTGGATAAATATAGGTAGGTTTGTGACAGGAACAGCGGGTTTGTTTGATTATTGTGAGACACGGTGGGTGATAGTGACGGAAAACCTTCTTTTGAAACTTGGGATTTTCTCTTGGTGGTGGATGGAGGAAGGAAACATCCTTCGACTTCTGGCTGGACCGCCCCGAATCCTCGCTTCTTGAAATCGAGGAGAGAGAAGAGACGAACCTTGGGTCTGTACTGTAGAGGATCCTTCTAGCTGTGATGATAAAACAATCATCTCCGACGAAGACCCACCAGTGGTAGAAAACCAGTCACGTTTGTGGGAAGGGATGAACAGCAGCTGGAAATGAAGCATTGACGATAATTTCGTAGCTCTCGAAGCCTAGAGTCAAGTCAACCCGCACGGCTTCAAGCCACCACAGACCTACTGAGATTCATCTCCCCCTCAATCAGGAAGGAAGGGAGTCACTCTCCTTCCTTCAACTTGCTTCCATTCAGCATGAAAGAGCTGAAATTTAGCAATCACAATTGCTTCCTTCCAAGTCAGTCAGCCAGTCAGTCAGTCACAATTCCAAGGCAAGAAGAGACAAAGGGACTCCCCTAATCTCCAATCCATAAATAATCCCTCTCCCTCTCTCATGCCGGCAGATCCAAAAATGTGAAGCAATCCCCATCACCATCAAATCACCCACCAAACCCGTTTCAATTCAATCCCTCTGCTTCGTTTCGAACCCCCCGGTCCTCATCCCCGCCCCGCCTAAGCTTTTTCCACTACTCTACTTACTGTAGACGATCAATCTCAGACCTCGCTTGCGGGTATCCTAGCCCTATATCTGAGTCGCGATATCGGTCGGGATCGAGAACCAGGGTTGCTTAAAGCTATTATGGATCTGGTGGGGGTTCTTTTTGGTCTTTCGGGGCAGGACAGGGCAGGGCACAGGGGATTTTTGTCACAGTGGGGACGGACGACGGACGGGTATTCTTGCTTGTAAGCGAGGAGTGAGGGAGGGAGTGACGGTGCTTGCTGCAAGATGGTGCAGGAATCGTCAACGGGCAGGCAGGCGGGGCGGTTGTGCTCCGGCGTGCAGGATTTTTAATCAAGATAAAGATTCAAGGTAGATAGATGTACTGTAGAGGGAAGGGGATTGTGATGGCTAGCTAGCTAGCTAGCTGCTTCAGCGGAGACGAACGAACGGTGATCTACGAGGTTGTTTGTTTCTTATTTTCCTATTGTTCCGTGGAGGAGGGAGGAGGTGGTGGTAGTACGGTACCGCATGAATGATCGTGGTGGACGAGCTACGGGGATTTATGTTGCTCCGGAATTTGGGTTGCAGGTTTCCTACCGACCTGAATGGCGGGTGGGCGAGGAATGAAGAAACACACACACAGGTCCAGACCGGAGATCTTGGAGCTGCTAGAGAAAAAAAATACCTCGTGGGCTCAGGGTTGCGGATCAAGTTCCGGTGGTTGGTAACTTTAGGTATCGGTTGGAAATAGGAACGAACCCGTGAAAGAGAGAAAGAAAGAAAGGTCATGGCGACTGCGGCCGCAACGATCTTTTGTGGCACAGGAATTCTATCAGTAATAAGAATACAGTTGTGGCTCACGAAAGTAATCTTAAAGAAGTCGAGCGGTGGCCAGAAGAGGGTGCTGAGCCGCTACACAGGTTCCTAATCCGTATATCACAACTCTCATCACCGACCTCTTTGATCAGATGGCGTTGCATCGCTCTCTAGCGGTCAACCTGGATAAAAGGGAGGATAATAGAGAAAAGGTCGTCGTGCAGGTTGAAAAGATTGGAGATCGATCGCTGCATATGAAGACACAGGCAAGTTCTGGCGACGAGATCAATGCGTTGAAAATGTGGAGTACCGCCACTTTGACGCATGAACTTTGATGAGAGATGCACGCTCAACCACCTTCGAAAAAAGATTGCAGCATCGCAGCAGTAGCTTTTTGTCATTTCATGTCATGCACAAAATCATATCCCGCTCAATCAGGACCTTTCGTCGTAGAATTTATGCATAATTCTCCGCCGGACATGTGCGCTGCAGCAATCAATATAAGTTCGAGGACGACCCCGTGGACTCGCGCAGATTTTCTTTGCAACTCCGCTCGCTGGAGAAGGAAGTGCTTTGATGAATTGGATTGGATTGAATCATGAAAAGCACGACCATCTTTGCGTGCAGGAAGAGATTAACATCTTGACTCGAGATCTTGAGGTTGCCCCTCCTGCCCCTCCCTCTGAAGCAGAACAGATGATCGGGCATTTGAGGGTTTATGCTTGTACCCATTGCTGAAGCTTTGAGAGAAGGGCGTCGATGAGCCCATCCATGAGCATCATTGCTTATCAGTGCTATCACGGCTGTCGGGTTGATGCTTGTCGTTAAGAGGAGCTTTTAAACTCGACAAACAAGCTTACTTTGCCCCATCCCCGTGAAACCGAAAGGTCGGTGATACCCTGATGATTAAGAAAGAGACCATGACCATGAGTAGCAAAAGGCTTGGCATCTATCATAGCGGGTGGCCCTTCCTCTGGATCAATATCGGCGTTATCAGCGGGCTGCGGGCGATGGGCGATTCAGATTGCTTTGCTTGCCTTGACTTGCGTTGCGGTGGGTGAAAGTTTCTCCCCTCTCTAAAATCTTTAGCCTGCTGTCACAGCGAATTTCTTGCATCTGGCTCTATTTCGTGCCTGCTCTGCCGCTGTCGTCTTGAGTGATGGCCTCGACACTTGCCCACTTGATAGTAGTCGATACGGCCGATTTGTTTGGCCATCGTTTCTACTGCCTCTAAGGTTACCGAGCTGCACGTTGCGGTGCGAGAGCTCTGGGTCCGAACCGCATGGTACCCTAGAAGCAGAAGCAGGATCTTCAGGAAAGGAGCCGGATGAACGACAAGGAGGCTTGTTGGCGGAACAGCCGGTCGAGTGAGAAAGGCTTGTACTTACTGTTGAAGCTGTGATGGATCCTGTGGAACGGGATGGGAGGGCATCGATACGAGCCCTAGGGAGCTCTCAGGGCGCCAGGGTCAGGGCTACTTCCTCCGTAGTGCCTGTCTAGTACGAGTCCTGTAGGCACTGCAGCACAGAATCATAGCTGGTCTGAAAAGTTCTCGTGGAAGTCTGAGATGTGCGGTGCAACCCGAGGAACCCAAGCGGGTTGAGACCATCACTGTTTGAGAATGGTCGGGGCAGGTCGGTCACCTTGCACAGACAGCCACGGCTTTCATCCTCAGAATGGCTAGTACCCCGCCCTTGAGCAGGGCGATGGCCCGCCATCCACAGCATGAACAGAGAATCTCTCCGGTAATGATATGTTTCGACGAGATTTCGTTTCTCAGGGTCGGTAGCAAAGAAGTATGGAAGCGTGGGAGGGGGAGTACGAACGCAAGGCAAAGAGAGGACGACGACATTGTTCTTAAGGATCGCATTCGGTCGCGAAGGATGCAAAAGCGTGGCGAGAGATACGACGAGCATTCGTACCAAGTTACCTCAGGATGCGAATGTGACCGGTAGCAAAGGAGTACAGGAGTACGTGCGAAGACCAGAATAGCAAGGCAAAATCATTTGTGCCGCTACACAACGTCAACCCGCGGGCGGTGTTGCGTGTGGTTCAGTTCAACGTGCGTCCAGTGTAGATTGACACCATGTTTGACTTTAGCGGGGTGATATGAAAGAATGACGGACTCGAAACTTCTCATGTTTGCACATGGCATGGCATCCCGTAGGATGTTCAGACCTCAGAGTTCAGAGTAGATGACTTGCTTTAGCCAAAAAGCTTACTTTTTTGCTTCTTGATGGCCGCCACGATGGCAAGAGGATTGCTTGGAATGCTTGAATAATTATAGTTTCCGTCACACCTTAAACCTAATTTCGAGTCAGGAGAACGCGTGGGAGTCGTCCAGATTGAAAAAAGCAAGGTTCAGATGTCATCATCAGAGTCAGGCATCGTTCAATCGTGCGATGAGGCAAAAGGAAGCAGAGCACCAGAGCACCATACACAGCCAGGTGAGGCAAGAATGGGGAGCTTCATCAGAATGAATGGAATGGCCCCCCGCACACGCCCAATCTTGAATCCACCGGCACTTGATGTTCGTTCACCACGTTTCGGCATCTTCGGGGAGATACTGTAATAATATGCTCGCTCTCGTACTCCTTTCGGTATTTGGTCTGGTGCTGCTCGTGGCAGTGGCATGATCTGCCTGTTTCTCATCCCAAGTCAACCAAGTGTTGTGCAAAAGAAATGCATCGTCGATTTGGAGATGCATTTACAGTAGTACTGTACAGTCGAGGAAACTTGGGAGTCTGTAGCCGAGGCGGCGTCCAGACCTCCAGTTGGAACCTGGCATAGCGTGTGCCCCCGCCTATCTTTAGTCCTGCTAGACGGGCTCTGGTCTGGCTACAACCCAATTTCAACGTCCGTGCCAACATTCGACTTACAGTACCCTCCAAAACTCCTCCTCCTCCTCCTCCTCCTCTCCCCTATCCAATAACAGAACTCCAAACCGACGGGATTTGCAAGTGCAGACGCTCCCGCACGCAAGCAAGAGAGAAAAAGCAAAAAGCACCCAAGAGCACGACGTTGGATTTAACCGAGCTCTCTTCCCTTCCCATGGGCCAGTTGGTCACTGAACTGAACAAAAGTGAAGAAAGTGCTCGAGTGCTGCATACACATCCATACAAGTCGCATGCAGGAGGAAGTCCGACTGCCCTGGTCACCCAACCCAGAAGCACGCAGAAGCACGGTTCACCCGGACCCTGGCTGATCTCGGAGCAAGCTTCCTGTCATGGGCTCAAGCGGTTTCATTTTCGATCCAGGCCACCCCACCCAGCACCTGCATCCAGGAGGAACGTCCTCACTGGCCTTGCTGACTGACTGACTGCCAAAAATCCAAATCCGCCTGGGGCCCTGGCCAGCTGCAGTGGCGTTGCAAAGGGTCAAGTGCGGTGTCTCAGACGCCACAGCGTTCACGTCGCTCTGCCATGGGGTCCCGGTCCGGCACCATCGTTGGAGCTTCAATTCGAGGGGACTAGTCATCCCCGGTGTATCCTTTCTTATGTGCGCCGGGGTAGGTCTATTAAGATTCCTGATCGCCTCCGCGCTCACCAGGGTTCGGTCCAAGTGTCTGGCACGCCTCCATAAGTATATCTTCCGCCAGCCTGCATCTCCTATGATTGAGCCAGTGGAGAGGAGTTTGAGTTCAGTTATTATATCTGACTCTATATCCCATTCCCTTCCCTTCCCTCGTCTGTGGAGCAGTCGCGTCAGATCTCGAAAGGGTTGTTCGTCTTATATCATTCTATTCGAGTCGTCAGATCGAGCAGGTATCCTTGACGAAACGACCTAATGGCTCACATTGCCAACTTAATGGCGGACGCACCAGCCAGTCTGGCTTTTGGTATGAACAATTATATGGCCAGGGAGCTATCGCCACATTCCCCTCATGATTCAGTACGTATCCCCCAGGCTTTGACGGTCCATTTGCTAAAAAGTATATAGGCAACAGAAGCTTCCCACACGGGCGAGAAGGAGAAGTATGTCTGGAGGATGCATCAACCAACGGAACCACGCAAATACCAACTGTTCCCAACCAAGGACAAGTTATCGATAGCAGGGGGACACAAGAATGCAGAGACAGAGCCCGCACAGTCAACGGCAGTGGGGGAGAATGGGACAAACGAGAAGGACCGATCGTTAATCAGCAGTGCTCTTCGACTAAAGTCCAAGGACCAACCTATTGTTCGACGGAGAAAGGCCAGTATCTCAGATCTAGGACCAATGACGACGGTTCAGGAGATAGCCATGGATTCTCGTGAGTATCCTTCCCCAGCTTCTGTAACATCAAAACTGATTAGATCTTTTCCCAGCTACAATACCCGGCCGTCCTCCTCTGCACGAACGATCCATCAGTGCACCCGGGAATAGCTGGCGGCAGCACGTCTTTGGAGAAAGCATGCTCTCCTGCATATCCGGCCCGCTATTGGATGAAAACGCTGAGTTGGCTATATCGCTGGATAGTAAAACAGGGGTCCAAGCGAGTCTTCCAGGAGACGTCCTCCCGCCTCTACCTCACCTCACACAAAGCCGATCCACATCACCCAAACAGCCTCTCTCTCCAAAGTCACTCGCTCCCCTGGTGATCCCTTCCTCGACACATCGTCTCGCGCGGCAAAACTCACATACCCGCCTGCGATCCGTGAGCGAATCTACTCCCCCAGACGTCCCTCCTAAGTCGGCGAGAATGAAAGAAAGCTCCCCCCATCCACGTGCCTCCCCTTATACACCCATGTCCTCCTCTTCAACTAGCCTATTATCAGCCTCAACCGCTCCAACCTCCACATCCACCACCCCCAACTCCGCCCTTCCCATGCCCTCCTTCCCCGCCGAAGGCCGCTCCTCGCCCAAACCCTCAACCTCAGCTCCAACATCGAGTCCCATGGGCCATCTGAGAGGCCAATCCGACGCCCCCCGCACCCTCACCCATCAACGTTCATTCCCGCTTCACAACCCCGGCCACCGCCGCCACGAATCCGAATCCAGCGCCTCGATCATGGACCGCGGGCGTCCCAAAAAGCGCTCCCAAACCCCCATTGACGGCTCCCCCATCAAACGCTCCCTCTCGAAACGCTCTCCTACCTCCTCCCCCATCATCACAAACACAACCGAGAGGGTAGAAAAAGAGAAATCCGAAGAACAAAAAGCCTTCGAGCACCTCCCCTCCGGCATCCGCGCCACAGACGCAACCACGCACCTCCCGGCCCCCGAGATCCTGACCCTCCGCAAACAAGCCATCGGCCAAGCCTCCCGCTTCGAAGTCCTCGCCGCCAAGGACGTCGAAGCGCTCTCCCGCGAACTCCGCGCCCTGGACGAGCGCTGCGAGTACCTCCGCAAAACGCACCGCTCGCTGCGTTCCGGACGCCGAAATCTGCATGATCGCATCTGCACGTACCTGCGGTCTCCGCGCGTGGCGAGGTTTAGTCACGAGAGTATGCTGAAGCAAGAAGAGGCGCTGAGTGAGCTGGATAGCAGTATTGATGATTGGGTGAGCAAGCTGGAAGTCGCGGAGAATCGACGCACGAGGGTTAGGCAGAAGCTGCTGGAGCACGTGGCGGCGGCGCTGATTATGGAGCCGGCTGTGGTGCCGGAGTTTAACGTCGATGCGGAGCGGGAATTGGTTAAGCGGCATGTGATGAATATGGTGTCGACGGGGGCACAGGACCCTAATACGCCGCCGCGGAGCCCGACGAAGGCGAGTTCGCCGGAGCGGCTGCAGAGGGTTGTCGAGGAGGTAAGGGTTGCGAGTCCGGAGGCGACGGCGCGGAGGGGCGGGAGGGATGTGGAGAGTATTCGGATTTATGCCGATAGTGATGTTTATGCGTTGATGGCGGATCTGGATGAGGAGATCAATCGCATGGGGGAGCAGGAGAAGAGTGATGCAAGGGAGAGGGAACGGGAACAGGTGGAGCAAAAGAGGGAGGATACGATTGCGGCGGGGTTGACGCTCAATGCTGTTACGTTTGAGGGGATGGCGCTCCATCATCAGCGCTCCAATGGGAGAATGCGGACGCCTGATATTTGAATGGAGAGGGGGATGTGGATGTGGATTATGATGATGTTATGGCTTGACGCTTTTGTTCAACGCTTGTTGTTTTTTCTTACGAAGATCCGGACGATGAAGAAGAAGAGATGCCGTTTATGATGCATTGCGCTTGCAGTTGCTGTTGTTATTGTTGTTGTCTTTCATTCGCTATTGTTGTTTGTTGATACCAACATTTTCAGGAGTTACATCTTTGGCAGCCAGACGAAACCACGAAACGTCTTGGGCGAAAACTGTTGTTTGTTCATGCAGATACTTCTGCCATTCTCTTGTACGGTTATATACATTCTTGCGCAGCTGGCGCTCATATTCAAAACTTCATTCTTTTGTAGGGTCTAGATGGATGGGAGGAAGGAAAATGGTCAGAACAGAATGAAACCAGAACTCAAATCAACCCTCATCTTTCACTTGAGCAAAACGTGCCGAGCAAAGTAAAAATGTATTGGTATTTCCATCTATCGCCCAAACTCCCTTCTCAATCACTTACACATGATTAAAACCCGGCTAACCGCCTCTGAGCAACATTATTCAGCGTCCTCCCCTCCCCACTAACACCCTCATCTTTCTCCGGAAACGCCTTCCCCTCCCCCAACGCTAGTTCCGTCAACACCTTCCCCAACTCCCTCGTCGGGCTCATCATCCTCGGCATCAGGACCCTCAACGGCGGCAACAGTGTCGCTTCCACGAGTTTCATCATGCCCTTCTGCTTCGGGATATATTCATGGATCTCCGTATGCTCTTTCGGATCCACGCCTCCGGGTCTCAAACTAATGGCTCGGAGGTTGGAGGTCTTGGATAGGGCGAGCAACTCGGATTCAGTGCGTCCTTTGATGCCGGCCCAGTGGGGCGTCATCATGCCGGGCGTGGTGGTCGCACCCTCGCCCGAGACGTAGATGAAGGTAACGGGATTGGGGGATGTAGTTGCAGCGATAGCTTTCGCGAACGCAAGGGGGTATTCGTGGGTAATCCTCTCATACTCCCTAAAATACCCAAACGATCAGTTGCAATTCCAATTCCAATTCCCAACATCCGAAAAAGAAAATAAAAAGGTAAAGCAGGGGAAAAAATAAATCAAACGAACGTCTTATCAACCTGCGTAGACGATATGCCCAACGCCCACACAACGCCATGCGCGTCCTTCAACTCCTCCAGGACGCCCTTCTCGTAAACAGAGAAGTCTTTCTGGATAATGACCTGCGCTTTCTCGTGGCCCTCGGCCTGGGTAACGGGGCGGCGGGACAGGATCGAGATCTTGGAGACGGAGGGCGTGGTGAGCATGGTGTGCAGGACGGCGGAGCCGACGAGGCCGGTTGCGCCGGTGAGGATTAGATGCATGGTGGGATCAAGTTGGGTATCAATCTGGTGCTTTGCAGAGGGGGAAGATGTTGGGGGGAGGAAACATGAGGTGCTGGTGAGAGGTTGATATATAGTGACGATTGAATTCACCAAAGTTATTGTCCGCCGTCAGCGGTTGGGCGGCCGCTTGTGGATTAGGGGTCTTTTTGCAGGGTAGGGGTAGGGAGCTTTCTTAACTCCATTTATTCTTCGCTGACGGTCAGCAAGTTGCATGACGCGAATCTTGCAAGGTGTTGAACTTTTAATGGGCTTCGAAATCTTGACTCCTGGTTGTCTGGGGGTCGCCGAAGTGCCTTGTATAGCCTTCGTCGTCGTTTTCTATTGCGGGACGGACTTATTATTAGTAGGCTGGACTTCACATCGGGTTCTTGTTCGATTTGTATCCTCCAGCTTCCAAGTTGTCGACAGTGCTCAAGTGCCTCGTGATATCTGATGGGAAAGAGAAGGCTTCTCTCGTGTTATCTACGAAGTCGTTGCACATGAATTTTCGATTCGTTTGCCGTCTGCACTCAGTTGACGAAACATCGGCATTTATAACCAAGGTAGTTCAAAATGAGGCTCGAGTACATCACTAGGTAGCTAATAGCAAGGCGATTGAGTTTAGATGTGTAACCTTTGACATGTGAATCGGAGGACACTCCACCTGCGACCACGGTAAAGTCTTGTATGATCGGGCAATAAGGCAAGAAATCGCTGCTTTGTCGATGGCGAATGTAAAACAGTAGAAGTCAGTATCGGATGAGATGGTCCAACTCGAGACGGGGATGAAAAGGAGGGTAGATACACGTGACCCGAGCTCCGAGCTCCGATGATCTAGCCTGAATAGGAAACTACAATCAAGCCTCCACGAAATCTCTAAGACACGATCAATCCTTCAATACGAAGCTCTGATTTGCCCAGAGCATTCTTTGTATGAACCAAATCCTCCTGTTTGCTCGGACGGTACTCAGACCAGCACAATTCACTGGAAAATCCCTTGTCCGCACCATGGCTACAACCATCAACATGCCACGTGATCCTTGCACTCTCAGCAACTACAACAACTGGAGGACAAAGCATACCGTTGCCGAATTCGCCATCGACTTCAAGAAACAAAGGTTGACTGGCTCAGTCACCCTTCAGCTAGAGTCCATCACCGAGAAGGAGTCAGAAGAGATCATCCTCGATACCAGCTACCTCGATATCACCGAGATCAGTGTCAATGGCAGCAAGACCAAGGATTGGGTTGTCAAAGACCGCCTCGAACCCTATGGATCTCCCTTGTCCGTAAAGTTGCCAGGAGGAGCAGCAAAGTGTTCGACTGTCGATGTCAAGATTGCATTGTCCACCACCGAGAAATGTACTTCTCTGCAATGGCTACCTCCAGCGCAGACCTCCAACAAGAAGTTCCCTTACATGTTCTCTCAAAGTCAGGCGAATCACAATAGGTCTATCTTCCCATGTCAAGATACTCCGGACGTCAAGAGCACGTACGATTTCCGCATCAGATCTCCTCTCCCTGTCATTGCAAGTGGATTATCCACAGGTGCAACCAAGTATGAGCATGGGAAAGATGGGGCATCCGGAAGCTTGCTGTACTCTTTCCACCAAGAGATCCCGATCCCGTCGTACCTATTTGCTCTCGCTTCGGGAGATATTGCTACTGCGTCCATTGGTTCTCGATCCCTTGTTTCTACCGGACCTGAAGAGTTGTTGGCTGCGAAGTGGGAACTCGAGGAAGACATGGAGAAATTCCTTGACATTGCTGAGAAGCTGGTTTTCCCGTACCAATGGACGCAATACAACGTCTTGATTCTCCCACCGTCTTTTCCATATGGGGGAATGGAGAATCCGATATTCACTTTTGCAACGCCCACGATTATCAGTGGTGACAGGCAAAATATAGATGTGATTGCTCATGAATTGAGCCACAGTTGGAGTGGCAATCTTGTGACAAATGCAAGCTGGGAGCATATGTAAGTTCCGTTCCTCGTCCGAGCTCCAACGCAGCCAGACTGACTGTTGCAGGTGGGTAAATGAGGGGTGGACAACATATCTGGAACGCCGGATCCAAGCTGAGCTTCACGGTGAACCACATCGAGATTTTTCCGCCATCATTGGATGGAAGGCTCTTGGTAATTAGTATTTCTCTTGGTACGAGCTATCGGTTCTGACTTGACGTAGAGGATTCCGTCAATTCATATGGCCATGATCATGAATTCACTAAGCTGGTCCTGGATCTCAAAGGCAAAGACCCTGATGATTCTTTCAGCAGCATCCCATACGAAAAGGTTCGACAGAATATCCGTACCTGATAGATCGTCTTACTGATATGTTGCAGGGATTCCATCTTCTGTACTATCTCGAGAAGGTGGTTGGCAAGCCAGCATTCGACAAGTTCATCCCTCACTACTTCAAGAAATGGTCTCGCAAATCTCTTGACTCGTATGACTTCAAGGCCACCTTCCTAGACTTCTTTTCATCAGACAAAGAAGCCTCCAAAGCTCTTGAGGAAGTAGACTGGAACTCTTGGTTTTATAAGCCCGGCTTACCTCCGAAACCAAAGTTCGACACAAGCATGGCAGATGTCTGCTATGCTCTGGCTGACAAATGGGAAACTAAGGTATGTCAACGAGGCTGCAAAAACCTGGTCGCAAGTCACTGATAGTCATTCAGGACTACTCGCCAAGCGCATCAGATATCAAAGGCTGGACCTCGAATCAAGTCGTCGTCTTTCTTGAGAAGATCCAAAGTTGGAAGACTCCTCTCGCTGCCACCCAATCTCAAGCAATGGGTAAGACCTACTCATTCGCCACATCCAAAAACGTAGAAATCAGCTCGAGGTATTTCGGGGTCGGCCTAGCAGCCAAGGACGAGACGGTCTATCAACCAACAGCAGATCTTCTCGGTAAGGTTGGACGAATGAAGTTCGTGAGGCCGTTGTATAAGCAGCTGAACAAGGTGAATCGGGAGTTGGCTCTGGAGACTTTTGAGAAGGATAAGGACTTCTATCATCCGATTTGCCGACAGTTGTTGGAGAAGGATTTGAAGGTGTGAGACGGACCCACGGTTCTACAAAATGAGAAACGAAAGAATTGAACGCTACTTTATCCGTCACCTATGTAGCCAATCTCCATCTCCTATGAGATAAGCAAAGAAGACAAATAGCAAAATTAATAAAAGTTGTTGGTTCCACGTGACTGAGCTTCCAAACAAATCCCACCTTGGAACTTTCGCGTTCTTCGCGATGTTTCCTCCTCCAACAATACACACACACATGCACAACAACCACGCTCGCAACCTACGCAGGCTCCGCCACGTATGGACGAACATGTTTACCTCGATGCAGTCCACGAATGCTCCATTGACGTAATTCTCCGAGACTCGACACCAGATGTGAGCATTTGACAACAAAAGGACAGCCCGAACTATTAGGATCGCGGCGCGATTCGAATATTATACAACAGTCCAGCTTGGTCTACCGTAGCGGAATGTAATATTGGGTGGAGACTGGCATCTGCGGAGTATTTGATGGCGATTTACGTGGTCTACTGGACTGGCTCTTCGAGATGGAGTTCGAACGGGTTCTCGATTGAAGGTTGAATACCTGCTTGACACAACGGCTGGAGTGCCGATTCCGAGCAGCATGAGGTACAAATGGGGAATATGCACCGGGAAACCTGTTGGAGTAACTGCTACAAAGCTCAATTGAACAGTTGGCAGTCGAGGTAGTGTAGTTGTGAATCGATGGGGCGCGTGGGATAAGGAAGAACCCTTCAGCCTTGACAGCCATACATCGTCACCCTCCTCCACATTACTAACGAGAGAGCACTACAACCTACCGGTCGTCGATTCTACGGGCAGATAGAGTAAGCCCTACAGGACTATTATCGTAGAAGTGTGTAACAGGCTTTGAGCAAGCCGGAGTACGCTGATAATGATTTGCTGTCGCATTGCCTCCGCACACCAGACTGGCAATTCCGTATTCTATGGTCCCCAAGGACAGGCACACAGTATAAAAATTTGTTCACCAGTTTGATTGCATAGGGATTGATTTCTCGAAGAAGAGTATTTGATGTTATCAACCAGTTATCAACCAATTAAAAGGAATTGTGGACAATAGCGATCTCGACTACATACATGTCAAGATAACTTTATCTTACATTGTGATATTTCACATTACCTCGGCAGTATTATCCATTCATCTACTACTTATGTTCTCTGAACAATCAACTACCCAATTATTCTCCAATGTTGTCTCAGCAGTCTCATCTGTGACAATAGTCGTAAAATACGCCGAGGCGCTTACCAAATGCGGGCACTTCCCATTAGACAACGTTGGTTTGGTACCCCACCTTCACCGGATCTTGATCGGCCAACTCAACGGGCATCGTGTGATCCTGCATTGTTTCTCACCGTCATAGTCTTCCGGTGGCTGCGAAATGTCTAGCGATGTCTAGCGACAAACCACGCCGTAAGATCAAAATAGATACCAGATTCGGGAATGCGAGGGAATCCCGAAGCCGGAAGGACCGTCCCTGTGATGCTTGCAGGTTGAGAAGTACGTCAATTCCTGCCTTTGTTCCAAGGACATTCAATGAGTTCACTTCTCGGTTTACTCTCCCGGAAGAGCTCGGGTCCTATTCTATTGTATAATTTAATGAAACCTATACTGATGTTTCCACAGAATCTGCTTGCGTGATAGCCGTCAAGCCTCCATGTTTGCTTCCCTCCTCGTTCCCATCATGTCTCTCGCTGACATGAAGACCAGGCCGTTTCTGCGAGTTAAGAGCCTTACCATGCACTTTTACATCGAAACCACGTCCAAGACGGCGTGAAGATGCAGTTTCTCCAGATCAAGATGAGGCCGCACCCAATGATAATGCAAGTCCATCTGAGCAGTTAGCATCTGTACCTCAAGCATCTAGATTTCCTGTTCCGTTGGTACCACCTAGACGAGGCTCGGATGAACTATTTGTAAGCTCGCCATTCGCTTCGGCAGAACCGAGTAGCGCTACAAGACCATACAGCCGACAGTATCTATCATTACAGCAGCTTACTTCGGCGGTTGAGGTACCTTCACCCTTTTATGCCGTTACACCTGCTCGACCTCCAGGCCAGGATCCGGTTCCTCACTCGAACCATGAATGGGAAGAGATTCGACTGAAGAATTCCCTCGAGCGAGGAAAAAACATTACAGCACACTTTGTGGGCATTTCCGGAGAACAAGATACCAATCTCTTCGCCTCTATCAGATACAACGTCATAAATGAGACCAGATTCGTAGACTTCAACATTAGGATGGTGTTTGAAGGAGATCCAGAGCAAGGCAAACCGCCCGCTCACTTCTCTATTGTCAACGATACTTTCTCAGAACGAGACCAGAGGGCAAACAGACTTGCTTCGGATGCGATCGAAGCACATGTCAGAGGTTACGGGGATGCTTTGCTACGACTTTACTTCCGTTTCGTGCATCCTATATTCCCAGTTCTCTCCAAAGTACATATCTTGAGTGAGTACGCAAGGGACAAGCTCAGCATCCCCGCGTCTCTACGAGGTGTTATATACGGCCTTGGTTGTGCCATGTGGAGTCAAGATTCTGCTCTGAAGCATCATCCACCTGTCTCTCAGCCAGAACTGTTCGAGCATGCTCATGCAGCACTAAACCGCGAATTAGACTCACCTAAATTGGCTACGCTGCAAACGTGTCTTTTGATTCTTCACGAGCAGGCAGATGCTAGTGGGACGACGGAGAGTCCTAGGATATGGACTCTTGCTTGCCAAGCAACTGCTTGTGCTCAGAGCTTAGGACTACATCAAGATCCTACGAACTGGAAAATCCCGCTCTGGGAGAAGAAACTTCGGAAAAAGTTGTGGTGGGCAACGTATGTGACTGATTTGTGGACATCCATCTGCCATGGTCAGACGCCACATATTGTTGAAGGGACGTATGATACGTCTGAGCTGGATATGGACGATCTTGCGTCCGATGAAGATGTCTCGGGTCTTTTGGGAGAGAAGCTACTCGCAGATCAAGATCGCTGGTTTGATCCTGATAGTGGATTTAGATTTTTAGAGCTTATTAGAGCAACTAAGACGTTGAGTGGCGTTGTTGGAAATGCTTTGTGAGTTGCGTGCGAAGTTTGGTGGTCTATGCACATGCTGACACTGACTGTAGTACACTCTCAGGATACAAACAAGCTATCCAGAAACTAGATATCCCTGCAAGAGAAGCAATGATCTGGAAATACAAGGTTGCGGTTGATCAATCTTTGTTGTTGATCCCGCGATCACTAACAATAGACCATCCTGGCACAAGTCATTCTCCGAACATGAATGGTAAGTCGTTCCTCACGCTTCGAGAATCAATATTGACTTTAACTTGAACAGCACATCTCCATCTAGGCATTTTTACAATTAAGTTTCTCATCTATCGTGCATTGATGGCACCAGCAACATCAGAGTCGAAGACGAACCCCACTTCGAGGTTACGTCACCACTACTCAGGAGCTTTGGCAGAAGGAGAAGCTTTGATGACATTCATGGAGAAATTGTCTACCATGGACTTACATACATTCTGGCCTCGTCGTACGCGGTTCCCCTTTCACCATAGTACCATTCAATGCTGACCTCAGAGCAGACAGCCGCACAAATTTGATAGTGGCCGGGAACCATCTCATATATCTTTTCTTCTGTGCATCAACACAAGAGCAAGGCACCAAGTCGTATGGCATGCTAGAGAAGTATAGAGATATATTGCGAAACATGGCGAAAGCTGCGGACTGGAGTACGATTGGATTAATTCGACCGTCGCTCTTAAGAACAGAATCTTTCTTTCATGGCGCGGCGGAGGGAATACGATTAGCTGGCCGGACATGACTTTCACCGCAAGGATCACATGGATGTGTGATAGATGCAAATCCAATGCTTGATATTATTATTTACATACTTTGGTCCCATGCCATGTTCATCCAGTGGCAGGAGCAGCAGCAGCTGTCGGTCCCGTCTCTCTGTACTGCAGCTTGGCTCTCATGAGTCTGTACTCTCCCTGGATAACCGATTCATATTTCACAGGGTTACCCTGTCCCGCACACTCCTTCATGCATTCGATGACGGCATCGATATCTGGGCTCACGAAATAGGGTATCGAATAACGGGCTCGAGTCATTCGCTCCTCGCCCGTGAACCGATCTCTGGCTGGTGGAAGTGTAACTCTGTGAAGTGTTGACTTGAGATAGTCTTCTCATTGTTAGCATCTCGTATCTTCCAATTGGGAAACAATAGAAAGTAGACAAGAAGGGGCGGAAATACCGTTACTCCATCTCATCAACAGGTCTCCCACATTCATAACACATGCTCCACTCCTCGGAGTAACTTTCATAAACTCTCCCTCCTTCTTCTGATTCTCGACCTCCAAGCCTCCGCAATCGTCCTGGAACAACATGGTGATAGATCCCCAATCACTATGCGCCGGCATTCTGGCAGCTTGCTCGGTTTCCAACATAGCTGCTGGGATAGGAGGGTAGTGAAGTAGACGAAGTTGATTGTTATGTCCCGAGTGGAACTTAACCAAGAACGATGGGTCGGAAAGTCCCATTCCGAGACCGAGAGCCTCGAGGATGGAGAGAGAAGCTGTATTGCAGGTCCAGTAGAAGTGGGTCATGAATTCGCGGAAGCCGGGAAGGGTAGAGGGTGGGAGCCAGACGTTGGGTTGTTCTGGGTTGTCTTCGGAGCCAATCTCGTAGCTTTCCTATTGTTGCTTTTAGTGCTTGATACATGAAATAAGAATAGAGGCTTTACCTTGCAATCTGTGACGGCTCGCAATTGCTCTCCAACTTCGACATCGGAACTAATGACTTGACTAACTTTCTCCAAGCCAGGCCATGAGTATCCTCTATGTACAGTTGGTCCATCAGGATGAGGAGCCAGCATCTTCTCTTCCGTCTTCAGATCAAATAACTTCTTGGACCAAGCAAACGCCTCCTCGAGAAGTTCCAGTGGGACACCATGATTGATGATAGATACGAAACCGACGTTGTGACAGGCATCCGCGAGCTCCTTCGCAACTGCAAGACGAGCTTCTAGTGTTGCGTCTGGAGTCCAAGCGGAGAAGTCGACGACGGGGATACTGACTTGCGGTGTTTCTTGCTCGATAGAACCCATTTTCATGTTTCTGATATCGAGTTCTTTCTTTTTGTTTTGTACTCTCAAGGGTTTTGGTAAAGTTCAGCAACGTTGATCCAAACTTGATATCCCCTCCACTAGCGTTCTTGTCATCGGAGCTCGTGACCTTTGGTCACGAGAAGATTAGTCATCTCCTTCGGAGCCTACCTCTGAGTCTTCGACTTCGTCGGAGACTCAGAATTAAGCCCTTTGCAACCTCTGAATCATATCACATTCCCTTTGGATAGTAATCCGCTGATATCTCCTCCTCCTCCTCCTCTTTGATCGGCCGCACTCCGTCGTGGTCTCGTACTAGTTTAATTCCTTAGCGTGACAGCCCCCGACTTGGGCGATCGTTGGGGTGTCGCTTCCCAAGTTTTCACGTTTTGCCACCCAAATTCCAACATCTTTTCATCCCACTTTTGGATCGATCGCCCAACCACCTCGTTGTCGAAGCTTTCAAAGCGTTCTAAGGTATCTTCAAGCTTGGAACACTTCCATATGAGGCTCTTCTGTCGTCAAGTAATAGTGTCCCCCTGACCTTTGGTCGTGGTCTGTTGGCTTTGTGAAGCACAAACCACTCCCTGCGGGAGTGGTCCTGATAGTGACCTGCCACAACGCTAAACGGCTTGCGGGTATTTATTAGAATGTGATACTTAGTAGTAGTAGCAGCTTATCCTTCGCTAATTTTAAGCGTTGTGGCAGGCTCGCAGGTCAGTCAGTGACACCCCCAAAGGTCAGGGGGACACTACAGTATTACTTGAGCCAGCTGAACAGTGACACAGCCGATCGCCCCGCTTTAACCCCACTCTGCAACTGTTAGGGGCCCCATCTGGACCTTGTATTGGTTTAATCCCGTACTTCTCTGTCCTACTTGCCTATCAAGGCAGGACTTTATCTGATCCTGTATCTCCCTGCTCATAAAGGGCATCTCGCACGTTGATTTCTGCTCTTCACGTAAGATTTTACCCCTCACGAACAGATTTTGACGTCTGAGTCATCTTTGCACCGAAAAATGGTGTCTCAGAAGACGAAAGAGAGGGTCGCGTATTGGGCTGCGAAGTTGGAGTGTCCGGTTGATGATGATGCGAATTATGAGAATACTTATGTTTGTTTCTCTTCAGCATGATGATTGTGTATGAGCAGGAATTAAACACGAACAGTGGTGCAATCGAGACTTGATCCCTATTCCACAAGATCGGAGGACCTGGACGTGGCAGGGTTTCGCAGGATATTGGATCATTACTGGTATGTCTTTTGGATGCTTCGGCGTCGTGGATATCAAGCAACTGACGATGAGAAGGTGCCAACAACTCAGCATGGACAGCAGGCTCGACGATGCTCGCACTTGGCTTGAGTGTACCACAAGCTATGGGAGTCATTGTGGGATCTTCACTGATTATCTCAATGATTGCTGTTGTTGCTGGATGGATGGGCTCTCATGACCATCTGGGGTTTACTGTCATGTCCAGAGCGTGAGTGACATGCTTTTCACCTTCTGCATTATACTCACCAGATATAGATCCTGGGGTATGATTGGTGGTTTCTGGCCAGTTTTGAATAGAATTGTGACTGCATGTATCTGGATGGGCGTGCAGACCTATTGGGGAGGCCAAGCCGTCAAGATCATCCTCGGAGCTGTCATTGGACCCAAGTATGCATCCATGAAGAATACCCTACCACTTTCTGCGAATGTGGATACTTGCAGTCTTGTCAGCTTCTTCATCTTCTTGGCGATCTTTGCTCCAATGCTTATGATTCCACCTGAGAAGCTTCAGCTTCCTTTGAAGGTACCTTTTGGAGGCTCAAGAAGTGCTTCGAAATTCTAATTATTATAGATTGCGTTTGTCATGATCGTATGCAATATCTTTGGCATGCTCATCTGGTCTGTGAGAACTGCACACGGTGCAGGGGAGCTATTTCATTCGCCTGCAACTGAATCAGGTAGCACATTGAGCTGGAATGTGGTGTATGGCATCCAAGCTATACTTGGACTTTGGAGTGGGGGCATTGTTGGTCAATCAGGTATAGCTTGACCTCCCGCGACAATAAGTACGGCCGAGCTGACCTTGACGATAGACTGGACACGTTATGCTAAGACACAGAATGCCTCCATTTTCGGTCAAGGTGTCACTTGTCCCCTTACTATTATAGTCACTGCTCTCTGTGGTGTCATCATCACCTCAGCTTCCGCGACTATATATGGAGAATACTTCTGGAACCCCTTCGAACTACTTCTCCAAATTCAGTTAGTCTCAATGACACCAGCAGCACGTGCTGGCACCTTCTTCGCTGGACTTTGCTTCCTAGCATCTCAAATGGCGTTGTGCATTGTACTCAATGCAATGTCGACAGGTATGGACATGGCGGCTCTCTGTCCACGATGGATCAATATCAGAAGAGGATGCTATATCCTCACTGTCATAGCTGTGGCCATCTGTCCTTGGAACTTCGTCAACACTGTAACGACATTCATCAATGTGCTTTCTGGTTGGTCTATCTTCCTTTCGGGAATGACTGGAATTCTTATTTTCGACTATTTCCTGGTGAGAGGAAGGCAGCTGCACACGGGTGACATGTATAGAGGAAACAAGACGTCTGCATATTGGTATACTTCTGGATTCAATTGGAGAGCCATTGTTGCTTGGATCATGGGGATTTGGCCTCTTCTACGTAAGTAAATTCTCAAATCGCTCTTGAAACCTACTAATATACCCTCAGCTGGCTTCATTCGTCGCATCCGACAGGTAAGCGATGGCAATGGATGGGACCATGTCTATGATCTCAGCTACTTCTTTGGTTTCTTCGTATCAGGAACGATTCATTGGGCGTTACACACTGCCTTTCCAGCGAAGAAGCAGACAGGATCATCGCCTTTCGAGATGGAATTGCACAGAACTAGGCCTGCACAGGTTCATGGTGTTCGACCTAGAGCATATGCGGAAAGCACAACCAGTCAGGAGTACGAGACTGTCACGATGGGAAGAGAGAAAGAATCTAATGTCTGATGAAACGGGGCGGAGACCATCATTCTTCTTGCGTTTGAGCTATGGACCAATCTATTAGGTTTTTCTCGGACTCACACCTTGTCTCCTTTCACAACCTTGTCATACCTCGAATACATCTCCTTCTCAAACATACGCTGCATCTCCCCGCTCTTGTAATCCCCAAACGGAATCACATTACTAGCGTACATGCAGTTCAATCCCGTTGTTCTGTCAATTGTCCACAACAAATTCGGAAGCCCACTCCAACTCAAAGTTCCCTTCTTCTTTCCCGTCTCAACATCTTGATCTGTCAAAGAACCTCCAATACCCCACTGCATCTTTGTCCCCGGTTTCTCGCGCGAGAATGCACCCTCGAGTAAGAGAAACCCTTGGAAATCGTTCCAAAACTTCAAACTCCCACCCTTGAGTTGTGGTGTGAACATCTCGTCAATAGTGGAAGACTTGAGGATTTTACCATCATCCAAAAGAATGGATTGCATGATTTTCATGTACTCGACCGGACTCCCGCATGCCCCTCCACCTCCACATTCCTCTTTGGTCGGAACTTCGTATATGACCTCGTCCGTCCATTCAACCTTCCCAGCCTCCTTTCTTGGCATCGAAAATCTCGCTAACTCATGCCCATTCTTGCTTGTCATTTTGACCAAGTTCTTCCTCACATCAGACTTTAGCTCTTGGTGGAACGTCAAGTTCTTGATTCCCAGCGGAGTCCAGAGGTTCTTCTCCATGAATTCCTCGAGAGAGCAGTTGTTTAGACGCGCGACGAGGACTCCGGCCCAGTCGAGAGACACGCCGTAGGACCAGGAGGTTCCTGGTTCGTACATGAGTGGGATGTTTATATTGTGGATGAGGGACTGTGTCATTTCACTCTCGTAGGGAGGGTCACCGCGGGCTTTTCGCCAGGTTGCATAGATGGGGTTCATCATGTCGTGACCAAGTCCTGAGGTGTGCGTGAGGAGATGTCTAAAGTCCTGTTAGACGACGATTGAGCAATGAAATAGAGTGAAGCATGAGGTACCGGAGGGTGATCTGAGTAGCAGAGGCCTTGTAAATAGGGCCCCCACTATCACCATTTGCGAACCCGGTCAGGATCTGAGGGTCCTTGAGCTCGTGAAGAACATTTCCCACTTCCTCGTCGAGAGCGATAAGTCCTCGCTCCACACATTGCATCGCTGAGATAGTGGTCATCAACTTCGTGCAAGATGCTAAAATCATGGTTGCGTTGAGATCCATTGGCCTGGTGGGAGTTGCTGGACCGAACGCCTTTTGATACTGGAATTTGCCTGCTCTTCTTGTTAGGGAAACTCTAGTGAAAGGTGATGAGAGAATGAATACCTTTAGCATCACATGCAAGAAGAATGACACCTGGGATCTCTCGATCTCTGCATGCTTTCTCGAACTGTTCTTCGAATGAAGACATAGTTGCTGTTTGACAAGAATCGAATGATGTTTCGGTGCGGGGTAATTCCAAATCTTCGTCAAGTTCCAATGTAGAAATGTATTACTTCAAATGTCTTCCAGCTTGGCCTACGGAATAGCTGAAGGACATGACAAGCTTGCGTTTATATAAGGGGATAGATGCGGGAGCCGGGTATAGTGGAGGTGTCAGACGTTTGTGCCTTCTGGGCGCAGAAGGCCGGCCTCCTTGCATTAAGCGAGACCGAGGTGGAATTAGGAGAAAGGCCAGCTGTTTGCTCAACTTTTTCGGGAACAATTTCGGAGGAATCAAATAAAGTCTCACTGAAATTAACAACAGTCATTGGTACCAGGGCCAAGGTCAAGCCAAAATGCGGGAGTTGTTGGTCCAAACTTCTTTCTTACACTGGCACCTAGGGGCTTTTTTCTACAACTCTTTCTCGGCTGATGCTCATAGTACAGTGGACTCCCCCTTTCTTTAAAATCCGTTGCAGGGAATCTACAGCGTCAAGAATTCCCACTTGGGATATATGCGCCACCTTCACCGCAGAAAGCCCCATAATTTGCCATAGCGGCAGCGGAGATGCGGCCGCTTTCCCCAAGATTCACGGAATTGATTGCTAAGCTGATGTATCTTGCTTCCTCTTTCTACAAAGCCGAGGTTGCAGTCATTCCTTGATAATATTGGCTCTTTGTTGCGAGAAGCTTTGCGGCGTTGTCTTGGCTTAGCGACGACTTGCATATTTACAAGGACATGGTTGGAGACCAGTACTATCCGGATGATACATCACCAACATTGTGTACATCAAGTGAAAGCAACATCTGGAAATTCGGATTCCGAGTGATCCGAGCCCTGTATGAAGCCTGTGCAACATATATGGATAAGCTCTGTAACGGCGAATGGTTCTCAACTGCACAGTCGATCTTACTTGTTCTACACAAGTTCCTGGACTCAGAAAAGTGGCATCGAAGCTTCGCGAAGTGTCGCTATAGACGAAAATCAGCTACTGCCGACAGGAAATTTTGGATTCGAGCTCCATTAGTTGCTCAGAGATACAACGACCGGCTTCTTGAAGATCTAACATTGCTCTAAGATCATCGTCAGGGCTCATCAGTTGGTTCTCTTTCTATACTCCTCCACATTCTCCCGTAAACTTCTCAAATACACGCCGCAACGGACCTCCAAATTCTCGTTCAAGTATAAATCCTGCGCCTCATACAACTTATCACGAACCTCATCAAGTTTCACCTGTATCTTCTCATGTATCCGCCATGGTTCCAAACCGTCCACCTCTTCCAACTTCTCCACCACATATTTCGAGTAAGTATGCTTCTCGTTGGGAGTTTTCTCACTAGGTACATAACGGCAGTCCTCATATGTAAGATTGTAAGTCCATCTGTCGAGAGCCCATCTGTGCATGCGTGTCCACACCTCTGTGTGCCTTGCATCTCGATCAGCTACATCGACTTCACTACACGTCTGATAGAATTTGGAAAGCGTTAGGGTGTAGAGCGTATACCGTTGTCTAGGTACGTACACGAAGCTTTCTGAGGAAGATGACGATTCTCTCCCGGCGTTTGAAGTTCGTTGAGTCCCCTGCTTGAGCTTTCCCTCTGATCGTAACGATGTGTTCCCTCAGCCCACTTAACCCTTTGCATTTGGAACCTGCATCTGCTTGCAGATAGAGATCTTCGAGATGCTCAAATCCAATTCGTAGGTCTTCCACCGAAATTTTCTCTAATTCCTCTGCCCGTTTGACCTTTCGATCGGTATTCGACTTTAAAAATTCGTTCCACTTTTGATTTCTATTTATATCTGTAGGATGATCCTCAAATTCCATCTCTTCTTTTCCGTCACACTCCGGATATCCGAGGTTCCTTTCTAGAGTGATCTTGGCAGTATAGTACATGGCATTCCAGTCCCTCTGCATCTCAGTTCTGATGCTGCTCCTTTCCCTTCTGGTGCGTCCGGTAATTTTGAGCCGAGCAAGAGAGAGCTCGAATGGGTCAAGTGAAAAGTGGTATGCTTGGTAGTGTGAGAATGTGGCTAGCTCTTGGGATGGAGATAGCGGCTTTTTGCTAGGAGCCGCGATTTCTGTTGCGTTGTTTTCCTTCGGTGTCATGGTGACTCCGGGTGAGTAAAGAATCCTGGTAGAGTATTCTACATTTATATGCTTGGGGGAAAGTTGGACCACGAGAGAAACAGTCTAGAGATTACCAGAACCTCTGGTTGTCAATTTGAATGAATCTCATTAACATGTTCTAGATGTTGTGAGACAATATAAGTAGGAAAAGTAAGTCCTTTGAAATGGAAAATGATCCATACTATTCTTGCGCTATTTCGTCCTTTAGATCTTATTCTACACTGGAGACTTGACCTGGTTATATTGTCCCACATACTAAACAATATTATCTTACAATCCGAGTTCTATTCCACATCTTTGAAGACAATGAATATCAGAGTGTGAAAGTGTCTTCCAGCAACAGACAATAGGAAGCAACAAAGTTCATTCCAAGCTTTGAATGAATGAGAGCCCTAGCTCCAGACTAAAGCAAGTCAATGAATAGATTCACTTCAAACTTTTTTCCTGTGCGTCAAGTTAATTGCCATTGCAAACACATTTCTTAACGTCAGTCTTATTGCTGTTGTCAACATCGATAATTCGCGTAAATGAACAAGTTGATAACTTACCAACATTCTTAGATTACACACTGAGTAACCTGCAAACCACATGAAGACTTCGCAGTTACCCGGCTTACACCAGCTCAGCAATAAAACTAACTTGTTCTTGTGTAGATGCATCAAGGCAATTATACTATTAACACATTTCTTGCCATCAACCTCATTACTATTGACAACATCGACAACTCACACAAATCAATAAATTAACCTGCCAACTTCCTCATATCATGCATAAAGTAACCTTCCAACCACATGAAGCCGTCCCAACTACCCGGCTCACACCACCTCAACAATAACGGGAACTCGTTCTTGTGCAGATACGGAAGAGAAAGTTCTTGGGGATGCTGCGACGTTTATATGCCCAGTGAATGTTCGCCTTAGGCGCTAAGGCGCTAAGGCGACATTTCAACGTGAGATTGTTTGCCCTTGTCCAAAGCGCCAGTATTCGCCTAAGGCGCCAATGTCATGATACGACTCTCCGGACTAACAATTTTTTTTAAAAAACCCGATATATAGTGAATTTATTTAAAACTAATTGGACGGATTTTATTAGCGTGAAGACGGAGGGTATATAATCCGGCCTCCGGCCTCCGTCCTCCGTCTTCCTTAGATAACTTTCAAAAGACTCCATGGAGTCACATTGGGGTGTTGGTGTGTGGAGTCAGGTGTGTGGAGCCGGGTGTGTGGAGCCGGGGACGTGGAGCCAGGGACGTGGAGTAAAGTATAGAATTCTAAAGTGTATTAGATTGTGGTGTTAAAGTTGCTTAGATGTAATTACAAGTTGTTGATAGCAAAAGATTTAATAATAATAAAAAGTTTATTAATAATAAGATTATTTGCCCTTGTCTAAAGCGCTGAATCTTCGCCTAAGGCGCCAATGCCATAATACGACTTTCTAGAGTCAAATTGTTTGCCTTTGTCTAAAGCGTTGAATGTCCGCCTTAGGCGCCAAGGCGATGAGACGACTTTTCGACGTGAGATTGTTTACCATTCTCTAAATGCTGGATGTTCGCCTGAGGTGCTAAGGCGGTTCGACTTTCCACACGAAGATTCTTCATCACTATATAAACCCTCGACATAGCAGAGAAATCTTAACATTACAAAACGGTTTCGACAGAACGCGAATATTTCGTGGTGTGCCGGGAGAACGATTCTGTACGGGTTTGAGATCATTAAGTTGGGAAATCAAGCACAGAGGAGTCTTCGTTCTAAATCAAAAGCTAGCGATAAAGCACCGGGCTTAGTTCTACTGTTTCTATCAACGCGTTGGAGAGGAGTTGATGGAAGAAAGAAATTGGAGCGAGAAGGGCGACGATTTATCGTTTTTCGGAGGGTGCTATTGAGAGGAAACATAGACCATCAGTCGTTGAGAAGGAGTGTATAGGAGGTGAAACTCGTTTCAGAAAGTGAATAGAAGAATTTTCCTTTAACATGCTTTGGTGGGCTCAAGAGGTGAATTAACCAGCTCAAAGATTTGATACATTATTAAGAAAAAGGTATATAAAGCAATAATGTGGTTTTGGTTTTCAGAACTGTAGATAATTATTAAGTAACTGCTACTAGCACTCTTTAGAGCATGAATTGTGATATAACAGATAAAGACACCCAGAACACTATATTGTGAACACAGAAAGTGCAAATAGTCTTTCAGGGCGAAATCTGGTCTAGGATAACATAGTAGTTGACAACAAACAAAAAGTCAACAATAACAAAAGTTATACAATATTCGATACGGCCAAGGTCTAAATAGGTTTTAAATTCTTTAACGTAGTTAAATAAAAAAAAAAGGAAAATAATTGACGAGCCCCGATTTTATAGCTAAAACTGCCCCAATTCGGGAAAAAAAAATATAGTGATTAACAACAAACAAAAAATCAACAACAAAAGTTGTGCAACATTCGTCACACACGGCCAAAGTCTAAATATTCTTTAATTCTTCAATATAATTAAATAAGAATAGTTAACGAGCTCCGATTTTATAGCTAGAGCTGCCCCACTTCGGGCGAGAAAGGCATGTCGTCCGAAACAGTGAATCGAGAATATAGTCACGGATCTCACTTGGAAATATGAGGTGTGGAAAAGCACGGAAATTCACTGACTATTTTAAGAATTCACCATAGAGCGTGTAGCCTTAGCTAGGAATTGTCCAACTAATTATCGAACACTAGATAAGAAAGGTGACTGAGCGTAATGCCGGTCAATTACTGGAGCTTGAGAAATATCCGAGCATGACATGGAACAATAGTGTTGCAAGCCGAGTGGTACGGATCGAACGTTTGAATATTCTAAAGAAAATACCGTACCAAATGCATGCCCAAAATCTCACTTAAGCATATGCCACATCACAGCAAACAGCTGAACACCAAGTACCTCGGTGCCCATCCACCTCAACTCCGGAGACGAATCAACACCCAATCGCAACTACACTCGTTGTACCTACCTACCAGCTTCCATCCTCCCCACACCACATCGTCTGATACACGACAGTACCTGCACGACAACACCTCACCCCTCGTCCAGTCCCTGCATACCACCCACCAAGCTCGGCTCTTCAGTTTCACCGAATCCTGCATACTGTGCTCCTTCTGGAAAATCTTCCCCAGATTCCTTCCTTCCATTCCATTCCATTCCGCGCTCCTGCCTTGAGCTTACTTCGAAAAGGTACACCACAGCACAGCACAATTTAGCACATCGGCATATCTCCCCACAAGGGCCGTCGGAAATCCCCTCTTTCGGCGATATACCTCTTCCTGGTAAATACCGCGATTACATTCTTGTCTTCCTTCCACACTAGACTAAGAAAAACCAGATGCGGATTTCCGAGCGAGCGAGCGAGCGGTACGCGATCTACCCGCCGTGGCGATCTCTTGACTCGGCCGAAATGGAGTTTGAGATTTTTTTATTTATCAAAAGAGTCATTATTCTGGAATTGGGGACGGGAGGTTTGGGTCCGAGAGGTAGGTAGACGAGAGGAAGCAGCAGCAGCACCACGTTGCGAATTGCGGGGGAAGGACCAGCTAGCTAAGTCGCTAGCTGGGATGGGTTCGGTTTCATGGGAGATGCGAGGTGAGATGCGAGGAGAGAGGAGACGAGACGAGGGTAATTTCAGCATTTAGATTCCCATGTCAGGAGGGCAGGGCAGGGCGTTCCGGTGGGGGGAGATGCGAGATACATATAGATGAAAAAAGAGTGGAAATTGCCGAGGTTTAAGGTTGTGCGCCATCGTGGACAGTACCGTTGTTGGAAAAGGGAGCAATTTACTTGGTACTTATATGAGAGGGATTGTTTAATGCGACTTCGTTGTTGTGGGAGAGAGGATGCGATTTGCTGTTGGTGATGGGCAATGTGGACGACGCGTTTGAGGTGTCTTTTCTAGAAGAGTGATGGAAGGTTCTGAGGGATATTCTAGGGGTGAGTGCGGGGAGGGGTGTTCACTTCTCGCTTATTTTTGAGTGTTTAGGGGTGAGACTAGAGCAGAGTGAGGAACCTCGAACGAACATCGTCCGTCATCATCTTCGAGGAGGAACGGTGTTTGGGGTTTAAAATTCAGGGTCTACACGACGTGTTTTCGAACCCTAATTGATCGCTGCTTATTCGCTCGATCGGGAAGTTCATGTGGATGATGATGGAAGTGGGAAGTGGGAAGAGAGGTGAGATGTGAGAAAAAGGTTATCTCTGTTTTCTCCTCATTGTAACCTTCCTGTTCGTGATACCGCGTCGGCGTCGAGTCCGGCATTTGCGGACATGCGCGCCAATCAAGGTATACTGAACTACTCTTTGTACAGATACATACAGGTTTGCTCACGAAAACATGGACCTGTCAGGCTGATTACGGCGTCCTGGACGGTCGACGATCGAGGTGAACCATGTTCGGATGCCTCTAGATTCAGCTCCCTTTGCCATGCGGTGGAGGTGAGCAGGGTGAAGCCACAGCGGCTCCTCTCTCTTGTGACTTGCAAATTGGCCAGCGGCGGCGCCGGTAGGGGTTTATATTAACTGTCGCCGCACACCTCATCACTCGATGTACATGTACAGGAACCTGGACCTGTCACAGGCGCTTGTTGTTCGGATCGCAGGCACGATAGGGTACAGTACGAGTGGGTCGGTCGCCTACAGTAGTGAGTGAGTCTTGAAATCTTCCCTTCCTCAGCGGTCAGGACGGTCAGCAAAACATCCTTACCTGTCGCGTGCATCAACGGATTGCTGCTGCTGCTGAGTTTTGATACAGTATTTTTCTGGCTTCTGCGATCCCAGTTCCCAGCTTTCCAGACCGTCTTCAACCATGGTTTCGGAGACTCGGTTCAGATTAGGCATGTCCCCCGCAAGGTACACACCTTGCATGGTGGTGAGCATGATTGATTAATTATTTCTTTTCAGGTTTTATCAATCATAATCTGATGTTTGCGTCTGGTCTGGTCTGGTCTGGTCTCCTCTCCATCATCCGCGGACTGTATGTCAAATCTTACGCTGTGTCAGCATCACTTTACCTCTGAAGTGGACTAACCTACTGTCCTGCGGACCCACGAGCTGGTGAGGAAGACGATCAACCGCTGGATCGATGCTCCCTAATCCTAGCCTTGCATGCCAAAGCACTCACAACCCACTCCACTACTGTCTCCCCGCAATCTCGAATCGAACAAATTCAGCGTTTCTTCTGACTCTTCTGGCACTTTGCCGCCTCCGTCTATTTCTTCTCCCAAGATCGAATCTTGTTGTTAATATCTATCTACCTACCGACGGTACTGTACATCTCAACTACAGAAAATTGCCTAAGGGTCTACGCATCATTGAAACACTGCTTCGCTTCAGTCAACTTACCCTACGAACCGAGGTACTTTTGTACATACATGTCGAACCACCGAACGGCACCCAGATTTTCAACCGCCATTTCTGTCAACTGATCAGTGGAGCAGAAAAAAAAGCTGGGGCAGGAGTTCCAGTTCGGTGCAGGACGGTCCGGCGATTGGTGTCTATCACGTCCACTTCGACCCCAAAAATCCACCACTTTGCTCCAGACTGCAGCTCTCATTTGATCTCCCGCACGCCTCTCTCTCTATCTTCACGATATCGGCACAGGTACAGTACAGCAGCAGCAGCTCCTGGTCCAATATCTTATTGCAAAGCCAAAGAAGCAGCAGCAGCAGCAGCATCCGCGATTCTGGCCGACGGAATGCGCCCGGCGCTCTCATTCGTCTTTATGATGTGACGATCCTATTTGCTCGATACACCCCTCACTCTCCCGCCGCCATCGACGTTTGGTTTTTCCTCTCGCGCTCGCCTGCTGGAGTCCGAACATCATGTCCGCGAGGCTCCCGCAAGTTGGCATCGAACGACTTCCCGCACGTCGCATGAGCAACGAACCGCGAGAATCAATGAATTGCAAATCCTGTCGCAAACGGAAGGTCAGTTGGCCCGCCCACGGAGTTCTTCCGCGCCTCTGATAATTTTTCCTAGATCAAGTGCAATCGGTTGCGACCGACTTGTGAGGCCTGTCAGGTCTTCCAGTGCCCGTGTATATATGGTATGCTGTAATGATCGCTGGGGGGCGCCAATGACTGATTTTTGGGCGTAGATGCGGTGCCGAAGAAGAGAGGGCCCAAGACGGATGTGTTGGAAGCGTTGTTGAAGAGGGTTGATGGGTTGGAGAGGAGGTTGAAGGATGAGAAGAAGTCGCATTCGTCGAATAATGAGGGGGAGTCGGCTGCAGACAAAGAAAGTTCAAATGGCGATGCGAAACCAAAACGACCTCAACTCGACACAACAACAGTGGCTTCTGAGACAGCTGTCTATTCTCCCACTCCTATAAGGTAGATATTTTACTTTTCTGCAAGGCTAAGTAAATACTGATGCTTGTAGTGAACCTTCTCCGCCGGCTGTCCAGCCTGATGTTCTACTCGATACATACTTCACCCGGTGCCATAGTAAGCCATATCATATCCTCGACGAAACGAGTACGCGACAACGAATCCAATTGAATCAAATACCAACGTATCTTCTGTTTGCGATCTATGCCGTCAGCGCCAGGTACATTGAAGCGAATATAGGTTGGAGATCTTAGCTGATGTTTGCAGGTATACGGCGCATCCCAATGGATATCATGCAGCGGTACGGCTGAGTGAGGATTATGCTCTGAGGGCGAGGACAGAATTGGATATCGATGACCCATCCATTGAATGCTTGCAAGCATTGCTTCTACTCAGAATTGCATTTACGGCGGCAGGGAAGGGAAAGAAGGCTTATATGATGCTAGGTAGATCAAGCCATTCTTTGGAAGTGCAATTGCTAACTTTTCACAGCAAGTGGAATTGGAATGGCAGTAGCTCTCGAATTACATCGAGAATTCGACCTCAACACTAGGGTAACACCAGTAGAAAGGGAAATGCGAAGACGGTTATTCTGGACTTGCTATCTCATGGATCGATTTACAGCATGCGGATCAAAACGCCCATCATTAATAGCCGACAAATCGATATTATTACGCCTCCCATCATGGTCACCGAATCCAGCAGCATTGCCTATTGAAGGAGAGTTCTTCCAAAACGGATCGAACCTACAATACCATTCTGGAACGGGCAAGAAAAGCCAAGGAAGTAGCGGCATGCTCATTGATATTGTACGAATCCTGGGCATCACAAATCGATACCTAGCAGCTGGAGGTGTAAAAGGGGATAGTCATTTCCCTTGGCACTCATTATCGAATCTTTCCAAGATCAGACAGGATCTCGATATTTGGGCGTCTGGGACACAGGATGTCTTTTCTTCCGTTGATGCTCTGTTTGGCCAACCAGATAGCACGACTCTTGTTTTGAGCAAGCTCATTTATCATCTGATCCATTGTCTGATCTACAGACCCTTTCTTCCTATCGATTTGGCAGAGCTTGCTGGGACGGGTCAACACCAATCATGGCAAATCGAAGCCACGAATCTCTGTTTCCTACACGCCAACGCCATTGCAGAATTAGTCGAACTAGGTACTTCCCTCCATCCCTCTCCTTTTCCTCACTCACTTACTTACAATATCTTCCTCACAGGCAAACAATCCGCCTCAATAGAATGGCCCGCCTTCGTCGGCTACTGCATCTGCACCGCCGGCACCGTCCACGTCCACGGCACACACTACAAACCCATCACCTCGCCCTCCTCCCCCACCGAAGTATTCTCCACCTCCTCCGAATTCCTGTCCCGCGAGATGCAGCAGCTCTCCGAGCTCCGGTACGCGTGGTCCTCGGTACAGCACCAGCGCGAAACTTTACAGACCATCTACAGTTGTCATTCCGAGCTCGTCAAGAACCTCGCTTCGAACCCGATGCGCTACTCCCCTGTTTTCCATCTCGAGGATTTCTTCGATCGGTATGCGGAGTTGGGCATCGGCGGCATCGATGGTGCGAATGTAAGTTTTTGCGACGTGAGGATGGAGGGTTTGACGGAGGGGTTTATGGGGCATGATCTCTATGCTCCTAGGGGCAGTAATGCATCCTCTGGGGACTCTGTCGCGAGTAAACGCAAACCATCAACGACATCAGCTGCTCGAAAAAAACACATCGATCTCAAACTCTCGCACCGGATTCCGGCGACAGATCAAGGGCTGGGACAGCAGCAACAGTTAATGGACCCCACGACGCCGTTCCCTGTGAATGGAAACGGAGGCATGCCGGATCTAGCGCATACCCCGTTCTCGCCGCCGTCGTCGGCGTCGTATCATCATCAGTTTCCCGGGATGGGCCAGCAGCAACAGCCGGCGGATAGCTATGATCCGATGTTTGGCATGCCCCAGATGGGGTTCTCGTACTCGACGACGCCGAATCCTAATGGGATGAATGGGGGAGGGGGACCGGGGGAGGGAATGACGCCTGGGGGAGAGAGTACGGGGACGGGCGGGACGGAGGGGGAGAAGGATCCGTTTTTGAGTTTGTTGGAGCAGTTGGCGGAGAATGAACATTCGAGGGGTGGGCCGAGTGAGTTGGATTTCTTTTTGAGTGGGGGGAATGGGTAGGGAGGGAGGGAGGGAGTGGGTGAAGGAGGGGGCTGTAAAATGTGGAAGGAGAGGAAGGCATTTGGAATGTAGGAGTTTTTGTTTGGGTGGTTATGATGGTATGATTGTTTGTTGTTGTTGATATATGTTCATAGCAGCAGGGCATGGTGTTTTGGAGGCTTGGATGGATCACGGGAAGGGATTTGCTTAGGTAGGTAGGCATTTATTGTATAAAATTTACTGTGGATGAGGATTGATACCTAAGTCTTCTTCATTTCTGGGTGTATCACTTTTAGGTTCTTTCTCTCATCAATGTATCTCTCATCCCAATTCGACCCTGGAATTATTCTCCTCCCTTCTTCACACTCTTTTCATCCCTGCAACTCATTCACCACCCTCCAATCCCATCGTTTACACTATCCCATTATTTTTCCACCCTTCCCCAATCCTCGCATTCGACCCTACTCACTTTTCCATACTTACACAAACGAATGCCTAAACTTCAAGGACATTCCATCACATCCCCAGGCACAAAAAAAAGCCTCAACCACGTGAGCGGCATAAACGCGGGACAGCCCTCGAAGGATTCGAGCCAACCCCGCATGACGAAAAGGTGGGTGAAAATGGGGAGTAAGGTTAAGTCGGCCCGAGAATTGACGCCTCGCCGTATCGCTCTGCAGAGAAGATCTGTGAGTGATAGGAATGATAGGTTACATGGTGAATATCTCGCTGTTACGTCGCACACTGTCTTTCTTTCCTTTTTTGGGGTTTTGGTTGACGGTGGGAGAGGGCATAAGGATGCGAGATGAGTAGGGAGGGATTGATTGATTGATTGCGTAGTTAAGGGAAATGAACAGCGTTTTACATTCTTGACGTCGCTTATCTTCGGGTTCGGACCCATTACGAGCACGACACTCGAGTCGAGACCCCTTTTCTATCCCTACCTATCCAAGTATAGTTCCTCTCTCTCATCTCATTACAGAAACTCAGAAGTGATTACCTCACACACCCCTTTTTACCGAGAACAACCGACTCGTGCTGCAGAATAATTAAGCGAATGACGTCCAGACCTGCATCTCGAGTCAGGATTTGACTTTTTTTTGCCTCCACTATAGGCCAAGGGAGCGAATGGGCTTCCTTACCTTCAGATACCGACCCCGGATCCGACGATTTATTCGCGCCAAGGATGGGCTGGGCTAGCCAGTTTGTTGGGTCGAGTCGGGGTAGCACGCTAGCTAGGTTTGCTTGATGGTATGGTGAAGAAGATTCTTTCTTTCGTTGCTGCGTCCCGTTCCCCGTGTTTGAAATCGTGCACGCTTCAGATGTTCTTTGACTGAGTGAGAGTGAGGGAGATTCCGAAACGAACGCAAAAGCTGAGGATCGGATCTTGAGGCATTCGGGGTCTGATCTGGCTAGGGTTGGGTTGGTGCTCGCACGGTTCATTCATTGTCTAGGGGAAGGAACGAGCGAGGAAGAAAGGAAGGAAGGAAGGACTCGAGACGAAGAGAGTGCTGTGCCTGATTCTTCTAACCTGAGCCTTTCGAGACAGAAAGTCTCAGACGCATACGATTAACTTTCGAGCCATTGGACACATTTCACCCTATTGTTCTCCCAGGCCCATCGACGATACAGCTTTATATTCTACCCTGCAACCACGATTCTTTTGGATTCTCCTTGATGGCGACTTGGATAAGGAGACAACCATGAATATTACCTCGACCATAGGAGAAAATTGAAGTGAAGTAGGACGATAAAACTTCCGATGTCTACGACGGTCAATGGACATGCCTCCCGTGGCGAGGCGGTCCTCGTCGTTACGACCACGACCTTCGTTCTCGCGACTGTATTTGTGGTTTCTAGACTCGTGAGTCGGTTTGGGATCTTGAGGACCAGAACGGCGGACGATTGGGTTATGATCTTGGCTTGGGTTCGTGTGCTCCCTCTGCAGCCTGCAGACATGCGCTGATTGATTCACAGTTCATTGCTTTCGGATTATCGTTTACGATCGATTATGCGACTTCGAAAGGACTGGGTAGACATGATGTCGATATACCAGCATCATGGCAGTCTGCGTTGAGGAGAAGCGAATATGCCTTTACGATTCTATATAACCCTGCATTGATGGCAACCAAGACATCGATCCTGATATTCTACCTCCGCTTGTCGAAGAATACGCAGAATGTCCTTCGAATCGCTTCGTATGTTACACTTGCAGTGGTCAATGTCGCGGGCGTGGTTCTCACATTCATGAATGCGTTTCAATGCAGTCCGGTGAGTGCTGCATACGATCCAGCGCAGACGAGCAATCAGTGCATCTCTATTACGACTCTATACCTCTGTTCAGCACCCGTCAATATCATTACCGACCTTGCGATTTTGGTTCTCCCGATCCCAGTCCTCACCGGCGTGCGATTGCCTCAACGGCAGAAGACGATTTTGGTGTTCACGTTCGCGTTGGGTGTTTTCGTCACTATTGTTGATGTCATTCGCATTTACTATCTCCAGCAAGCTGTGGATAATCAAGTAGTGGCACACCAACAGCTTGGAACTGGGACGGACTTCGCCTGGAATGCAAGTACGGCTTTGATGTGGTCTGCTGTCGAGGTAAATGTGGGGATCATTTGTGCCTGTATCCCGACATTGAAGCCGCTCATAAAACGTATCTTGCCATCACTGATCACGGATCGCATCGGCTCTGGGACAGCGACAGATAAAACTATATCATTTTCGTCGCAAGTTCAAGGAGGATCCGGAAATAGTCATCAAATGGACCCTGTTGCCGCTCCGGTTCCATCTCTACCACCTGCTCATGAAGGTGCAGATCCAGAAGCTGAAATGGACATGATGGATTTCCTCACTACTCCTGGAATGCAGCCCGGTACGATGAACCGTTCGGAAACTGTGCATACTCAGAACACTGACAATACCGTCTATTTCGGCTTTGTCAACATGAGACGACCGAAGAGTATGCTCAAGACGAAGGATATGGAATCTTTCAAATACTGCACTATTGTTACGATCCTCTTCTTCCTTTGGGGCTTCTCATACGGACTTTTGAATACACTGAACGATGAAATCGCAAATATTGCTGGCGAGAGCACTGCAGAAAGACTAGGGCTCTCTACCGCTTATTTCGGGGCATACTTGTTTGGTGGGTTGACGATTGGCCAGTGGGTTCTTCGAAAAGCTGGATTCAAGGCGACTTTTATTGTTGGCCTTTGTATCTACGGTACAGGAACATTAATGTTCTGGCCTTCGGCAGTTTTGACATCTTTCCCTGGATTTATATTGTCTAACTTTGTGGCTGGACTCGGACTATCCATTCTGGAAGCGGCGGCAAACCCTTTCATTGCACTCTGTGGACCTAGCTATCATTCCGAATTTCGACTTCTACTTGCTCAGGGAGTGCAAGCTATTGCTTCGATCTTGAGTCAACTTCTAGCCCAGGACGTCCTCTTCGCGGCTATTGGACCTGACAATGTTGGACTCCTCGATGTTCAATGGGCTTATCTCGCAATCGCACTCTTCACTGTGATCTTAGCCTTATTCTTCTACTACATGCCTCTGCCAGAAGCCACAGATGCCGACCTCCAACAACAATCTGAGGACCTAGGTATTTACAAGGCGCAAACAATTCTCAGAGGCAAACTTCCCCTAATCTACACTACGCTCGCCCTTGCCATCTTCACAAACTTCGTCTATGTTGGTGGTCAAGAAGCACTGTCTGTTTGGTTCGGCGCTCTTCTGGATTCTGTCGAAGTAAAAGATGGAGGAGGTCTTACCCTATCAGTTGACAACTATACACTTGTCGGCCATGCAACATTCGCCTTCGGTCGCTTCTTCTTCGCTTTCCTCTGCCTCATCATTGCTCCTCGCATTCTTCTTCTAGTCAGCTTTATAGGCTGCATAATATTCGCCTGTCTTACCATGTCCCTCTCGTCAGGCGCCAATTCCGTCGCAGGTCCGGCACTTGTGTTCTTCTTCTTCGAAGGTCCGATCTTTCCACTCGTGTATGCCATCGGTCTGAGAGGTCTGGGGAGTTTCACGAAGTGGGGTGCGTCAATTCTCACTGCTGCGACGTCTGGAGGCGCTGTTTTCACTTGGGTTATGTTCGCAGTTCAGAACCTGGACAAGAAGAGTGTGGAGCACAGTTATTGTGTGATTGTTGCTCTGTACGCTTTCGGGATATTATATCCTATATACCTCAATTTCGTCCCGATGGCTAGACACCAAGTCGATCCTTCCAAAGACGACCACGGATTACCCATCGGGGATCGGAGAAGGAGTAGCAGTGGACGGGATTCACCGATCAGGAGATTCAGTCGGAGGTTTAGTACTATTTTCGAGATGATCAAGGTTCCCAAGGGAGGAAGGGAGAGCGAAGATGGGTTCGTGGAACATAGGGAGAGGAGGGGGAGCAAGAACTGATCTCTCTTCTTTCACCGTCTAGCGATTTAGCGAGCATTGGGTCGGTTGGCGTTTCAAGGCGTCGGGTATCCAGGCTTGGGGATTGCTTTTGGACTCTTTTTTTGTATATTTTATCGGGATTGGATATATGGGATGGGAAAATCACAGTCTCGGTCGAACAGTACTGTTGGTTTGGTTAATCGGCGTATGCGGTTTGTATCTTTTTGGGGAATGGGAATATGTTTATAGGAATCGGATGGACGGAGTGAATGGTGTATATATTTTATTATGAGCAACCTCGTCTGGTTTTCCATGTATTATCCAGACAATTCCCAGCTGAGGTTACATGTGTGATTGAACTCTAAATCATCGCCTATCTCATCTCTCTTATTGTTCTTCTTTTCTATATCCGAACACCTCCCCAAATCAAAATCATTAGTTAAACTTGAGCCATAGTTTGTCTCTAATCTTCATCGCCCCTCTCTCTCCTTTCCTTTTGACATCCCTCGATTCCAAAGTCCTATACCGGTATTCTGCCTCTTTTCTGTAGTCTATGTACTTTTTATCTTACATCTACATATTCCCCAAGCCTGCGCTAGGCGCTCAATCAAGTCAGACGCTCATCATCTAAAGAGGATCTTTTCTCTGATTGTCCTATCTTTCTTTTATTAGGATGTTTCGCAAGCTAGAGTCTGGCATTAGTATCAGCAATTCTTTTTTTTTTCTCACTACTACACTCCTTGTTCTGAAATTTTCCTTCTTTAAACGTTAAGTTCCGGTTGGGTTTCGGCTCAGCTAATTAATGATTAGTGATGGAAATGGTTCATGTGTTTTTGATATTGTCATGCATGGGTTCGATTTTGAGGATGAGTTTTGTTTCCTGGAAGAGTTCTCGCCAAAGTTATGACATGTTGTCAATATGTAAATGTGTGGGCGCTATGTATCCTCATCGAGATCAATGTAATGTAATGTAATGTCAGTTAGGTATTTACGGACCATTCTGCACTCTTTCTTGATTCCGTGCCGCTGAATCAGCGCTGACCAGTTTGATACAGGTGCTGTGCGACGACGAGTCAATGAGTGGACAGGAGGGGAATTCGAGGAATGGGCAAACCCCAGCGAGAGAGAACGACGAGGACTAGCGAAGAAAAAGGAGAAGAAGTGGGAGATGCATTTTCTGATCTGCTCAATGAGAGTGAGCGTTATTCCCTGTGAAGTCCGTGCTCGGAATAACAGACTCGTTGATGTGAGACTATTCGAAAGTCGTCAACTGCTTCTACCCCAAACCCTAGAAATCACATCATTGATGTGCATGTTCTTCCAAGCCAGAGACAACATCAAGTCTTTCCTCAATCCAATACTCTAGCGGCGCCGGAAAGCATCACGAACGGCCCGACACTGATATCCTCAACCTCGACAAATACTCACCTAACCTCTCTCTAACCCCAACCCCATTCCACCTCTCCTCCCTCACCCTATCTTCCCCAACCCCAAGCGCAGGAAGACCAATCTGCTCCAACGCCAAACTCGCAGCAACAGCCCCATAACACGACGCCAGAACATCATCTCCCGTCTCCATCAATCCAACCGCAAACCCGCCCAAAAACGCATTCCCTGCCCCTGTCGGATCGATCACTTGACTCGAGTTATTATGAACATAGTACGGTGGCAACCAGATGAATTCTCCCCGCTGTCGACTGTAGACATAACATCCCTCCTGTCCAGCGCGAATTATCACAGTCCCTTGCCCCCGAGGCCCGATACCGCTTTCTAGACACTTGCTCGCCAGATGCTCGATGGTGGAGTGATCGAATTCATCCTCGGAGCGTAGATTTATGCTGAATAAAGCCGCTAGCTCGATATGATTCGGTGAGAATATATCAATCATTTTCATGGCCTCGAGAAAAGAAGCTAGGTTCTCTGGTACGCAGGACGGAGGTGCCGGTTCCCAGATAATTGTCGGCTGTTCTCCGATCCCGGACGAGCGGCGAAGATTGAGTAGGTCTTGAATTTGTGATTTTGTGTCGTTGGGACTAGATAATAGGTGTAGGAACGGGGTTGCCAGTAATGGTACGCTGCTCAGGAAATGGATCGGCTGAATATTCAGCGGTGAGGTTGTGTATCGGAATTTCTTCGCTGTGCAGAGTTTTACATTAGTCTATATAGCTTGGGGAAGAGAGAGGGAGAGAGACGTACGTCCAAACGTCGTATCGGCGTAAACCAGCTCTCCGCGCGTGGATCTCTGGCCCGTGACCGCAGTCTCGTGAAGCTGTATATCCCAGCTCTGAAGGAGCGCTCGGACTGAGGAGGGGAAGTCGGAGCCGGTTCGGATCAGCCATCCTAGTTGGTGTGAGAGCGGTGGTGCGAGGAAGAGGCGGGCGCCGAGGATACCTGGATTTCGAGGTTAGGGAGGTGGTTAGGGGGTGGAGGAGGAAGCGCTTACACCATGCTCCTGAGCCGCCGATTATGTCGGTTCTTGGGGGTTGGTTGGGGAGATGGATTGCGTCTAAGACGAGCATGCCGAGGGTTGTGAAGAGTGGGTGTGGTTCCATTGTTAGGTGGGCTAGGTAGTGGAAGGAAGGAATGCAGAGATCTTGATCACGATCATATGCCCAGGTGGTGATATGCCTGGATCGGATGAGTCAGAACCTGGGGTTAGAAAATAAATTCGATTCACGGAATGCACAGTTTTCAAAATTCAATTTCGTGGTGCTAGTCACCTTGAACAGATATCGGTACTGGTACTCAGTCGTATCAAGAGAATCCTCCACCGAATGTTCTTAGATATTTTGCTTCTTTTCAACCTGAAGACCCGAAACTACCCCTGAAAGTTTAGCGAGCTTCCTAAACCTTTTTCTATTTGCACAACGACCTCTCCATCGGTGAAATTCGTGGCTGATTTTGCAACAAATTAAATCTATACCTAATATATTTCAATGAGAAAGAAGAATAGCTTTTTAATAAGTTAGGACTTTAATTTAATTAGAAACAAACTATGCAATAGTATGCAATGCTGTGATACAAGCCATTTTGGTGATCTCGAGTGCCAAAATCGGCCAGGAATTTCACAGATGGAGAGAACGATTATCATCGACTTCATCGTTCCCTGAACAACTCATTCAACAAATACAAATCTTTTCGGAAATAAAAATGTGTAATTTCCATTTTCCCTCCCATGAAAACTTTGGCAAAAAGGAACTTACAAAGCGAAATGCGTTCGTGAAGGGGGTGGTCGCTCTTCCGGCTTGGCAACACATCATTGGAGTAACCTTATTTTGACATCCCGATCGTTTTCAACATTGATGTAGCATTGGTGTTTCGAGACTGTCGGCACCCATGCGATTTGTGAGCCTGGGGCTTTTTTATGCTCGCACAGACTGGAGAAAAGTTTATCGGCCTTTCGAAACGGAAAGTCGAAGCTTAATTCCGAGGACTGGAGAAGTAATGGTTGGGAACGAGTTCTTGTCGAACGTAGAGCAGTCCGTATTCTTTTGTCGATTGAGTGATGGACGAATACTGTTGGCTACTTTGAGTTTCACATCGAGAAGTCTTGATTTGGAGAACATCTGGCTTGCCCATCACTTCTTGGGAACTTTCTTAGTCGTAACAAGCATTCGAGCACCTGCATTAGTGTTGCACAATCTCTGCATCCGTCCTCTTGTTCTCTTTCATACCCAACCACGAACCCAAATCTCGCAAGGCCATCGTGATTGGACCCACCTCTCAAAAAGAGTTCATCACTTCACACACCACACTCCAAAGGTATGTTCTTGCCGAAAGTATCTTCATCACTGCCCTCTGAATTCCTTCTGAGATCCTTAAGATTGGACGCTTCCCCGCCAAGCAGGAATAGAGTTGTCTTCGAACCACCACCTCTCCAGCACCGTCTCAACCTCACTCCTGTAGAGTAACTTTATCCTCTTCATGCATACACAATAACCTTTCTCGGCATTCTCTTGAGGAAAAGGCTTGTACTTAATATTCTGTATCCCGTCTTCTGGTGCGCCCTTGCTGCTCTTCCAGTCCCGTTCTCTAGATTGGTTGATCCATTCAGATCCACTCCTTCATTTCTAGTTTTCTATCTACTATCTCATTCTTTACGAGAACTTCACAACTTTGTATATACTATCCTGAAGAAGTCGGCATCATGCACGCCCCCACACTCCTTCTCCTACTCTTCACCATCCTCTCCCTCTCCGCGCCAACCCTCCCCATCATCGAAGCCGACCAACTGGCCGCAACACCCACGACAGAAGAAGGCGCCTCCCCCGCCCAACCAGCCGCTTCATCAACCTCCACCAAACCCTCTGCCTCAGGCGGAAAAGGCAGCGGCTCCTCAAACTCCACCTCCTCAACCGGAGCAACTTGCGACTCCGCCGTAATGGCCCTGGCCTCCGGCATCCAATCCAACATCGACGACCAAAACAACGAACTCACGACCGTCACGGCCCTGGGCAACGTGCTAGCCCAGAACCCGCTCGACTCGACGCTTTACTCCGCCACGCAATCTAGTCTTCTCGGATTCGTGACCAAGGGGATTGCGATCCGGCAAAACAATCAGAAGATTGCGCCGGCGGGGAACCCAGCTATCGCGGGACTGGCGACGGTGGCGATAGCGCAGATGACGGAGTTGAACCTTACGATGAGTTTGGCGGTGCCGGCGAGTGGGAGTGTAGATGTGGGGACGGCGAATAAGACGGTTGAGGCGCTGAAGGGTGACTTTAAGGGCGGGATTGTGCAGAATATGAAGAATTTGGCGGCGGTAAGTTCTCTTTTCACTTTTTATTGATAGAAGAGAACATGACTGATGTGTGAATGTAGGCTATGACTAATTGTACTGCTCCGGCGACGGGGGCGGGGAAGAATGTAGTGATGTCGTTGTTGTGAAGAGAATGAGAAGGGGTGGTGGGGAATGAAGTGTGTGGTGCTGTGCATCGCCGCTTCGGGGGTTGTATATATAATGCATGGAGCAGGTTAGAGACTTTTATGTCTTAATGAATTTTGTAAATCACGAGTCACATTGCATGGGTACTTTTGATATTGCAGTGCAAGAGATTGCTATTCGGAAATCAACGCAAGGTACAGACAGGTTCGAGACTTTGGGCCGTCACAGATAGAATGTTAGCCCTGTAAAACTCAGGGTACATAGCCCATCTCTTCTTGACGAGACTTTTGCGGAACCTTTTCCTTCTCCGGAAGCTCATTACCGTCTTCATAGACAGTATTCCAGTCCTTCCACTCCAAGGCACCCTCTTCACCCAATGGCCGAGTCTTGAACTTCGAAGGAGGACACAATGTCTTCAGCAGCTCATCCTTGATCTCCTCGAGCTTCAAAGCGAGCGGGATTCCTGGACCCTCCTTCTGAGTTTGCCTCAAACACCCAAACTTCGGATATTTAAAGCCCCGTAGTGCAAGACATCTAATGAAATCTCGTCGATACATTGATTTCTCTGGGTTCGGATTGTCGGCTGGAGAGCCAGTCCAAAGCAGATTTGAGTCCAGCTGCAAGCATCGGCCCATCGGAGACCAGATGCAGGAGACGCATGATATGCTTGGCTTCTCCTCGTCGTTGTGCAGCATGGCTCCGGAAACGAGATCAAAGCTCTTGTTCCAAGCATTACAAATCTCCTCTACCGAACATTAGCTTCTTCCTCTGCATCAAGCATATATACACAACGTACCCATGATCGAAGTCGACAACGGCCAATGCTCCGGAATTCAGGAAATTCCGCACTCTGAAATAACATCCAAGAAGCCCCGGCAGCAAAGCACTCCGTCAAATCAGGATGCTCTCTGAAGATCCACCCCACCAACATCATAAGCTGGCTCTCGTAGGTCGACGTAGGCTTGTACATCTTCTTCCGAAGGGATTGATCCAAACGCTTGCAAATCACCTCCACCTTCCCACCGCAATGCCTGTCGACCCAACCCGCAATCCAAGGATACAACAAGTCCCCACACACGTACTTATTGCACAGAATGGCCAAGTCGACCAGGAGATCCTTCGAAGGCGCAAACTCTTCGATGCCCTTGAGCTTGAGGTGCGCAATGCGCAGCAGAACGAGCAAAGCTGCGGGGTCGTCGTCGCTGAAGTCGTGCTCGAGTACCTTCTCTGTGGATGTGGACCAGGGGGGAAAGAGGAAGTTCTTCCAGACGGGGCTGGCGAGGACGAGGGCGTGAGAGGAGACGTGGGCATAGGCAAGCGTGTCGTCGGGGGTGTTGATGAGGAGGCGGACGTCGGAGGGTGTGAATGTGAATTCGGGGGGTGATGGGAGGGGATAGTCGTCGTCGTCGTTTTCTGAGCAGAAAGACATGATTGAGAAGTTGAGAATGAGGTTGTTGGGTGCGTTCGAGATTGTATTTGGTTGCGGTTGATGAAGAGGTTGTGGGGTTGCGGAAGAAGATTGATTTTTGATGGCGGAAAATGGAGGTGGAAGAAGATGGAAAAAGATCTGTGGGATTACGATCCTACGTACTCGCGCTCAAGCCAGGATTAACACGCCAATGAAGATGCGTTAGCGGCTAGACAAGTGCTAAAAGAATGTTGGCCGCGTGATGCCAGGTCATTACGCTTGCTGATATACGTATACTGGGGAAGCCGCCGCTAGTATTTCATTTTTTCAACAACATTTAGCACCTCTCGACATTACTTAACAGATTGCCAGAGACTAGTCTCCATGCTCATACTTCTCACTAACGAGTAAGATCAGGGGCCTCCCTCTATCAAAACGAACCGCAGATCTCAACCCCATACGCCCAAGCCGTAAGGCAAAGATCCTGCCGAACATCGAAACCCAAAACTTGGATTAAAGATTCCAACCTATACGTCTTTACAACTCATACAAAATGAACTCAATAAAACAATCCATGTTCTCATTCGCCATCACCAACTCCTCGCTCAACCCTCCTATTCCCCTGCTCTCTAGGACAAAACTCCAAGAGAATAAATAGAGGACTTCGACTATATCGTCCTCACGCGCCAAGAACAAACCCTGTCGACACATACCTGTTCCGAAGCACCTCTATGAATCTGAGGTGGATGATTGAAAATAGAGTACATATTGCATATCTATTTGTAGCCAGCCACAGCTCTCCAAACTCATGACTGCAACTTATAGTATTGCAGTCTTGAGTATGGCTTCTTATTATCAGTTTTGAGAGCTTTGAAGTGCAATACACCTAGCTAGAGTTATAGTTGAGGAACGGAAAGGGTTTTGATTAGTTGCTCAGTGGGTGGAGTTGAGGGGAAACATTAGACCAGTGAAGCTGAATCCGATTATTCGAGCTATAACTGTTTTGGGAACTATGATACTACCATTGCTTGCTACTGCAGACTACGTGGAATATATGTCATCTCTCAATCCATGCTTTAAAAAATATTCCAAGGCCATATGTCTCCAGCTAGGTGATTTACTTATTTTACACACGAAGTAAAAGAACCCCTAAATTTTAACCCCTCAATCTACATCTAAACTACTGCCCCTCTAGGAGGTCGGCCGCTTGTATGTACAGACAGAGGAGAACAATGCAAAAGAGCTCTGTCCGGTTTCGCTTAAATTAACAATCTTCGATAACAAACAAAACAAACAAGCGGCCGCACACGGACACGCTAGTTTGTGGGACATTAGCAGATTTTCAGAGCTAAAATTGTTTGCTTCCTTTTAGATAGACAAGTCAACTACAATAATTTCCCCCACAACTCTACTCTACGAGCATTGACTTTGCTGAAACCTCCGGACTCGTGCACCAGCGAATCACAGTTTAATCCCAGCTCCCCCAATAACGGACAAAGAGTACCAAATCCTCGCTAGCAGCTTTCCAGCCGTGAAACCATTAGCGACCACCAACTCTAATGCTACGATATTATTATCAAATAAGGAGTCTGGCTCTATAAGATGTAAGCCTTCACTAAAGGCAAACATTGAATAGTATATGTAAAATAGAGTGCTCTAGAGTGAAGTGATTTGCTATTGTATAGAATATGGCTTGGAAATATCACAGGGTTTAAACAATTTAGATAGGAATAAGACATGGTCCCCCAACGAAATTCCTACCTCCATTTGCCTATAACATGATATCTTAGAAACCAATTAATACGGTACGTCAATTATTAACAGCGTCCCAGCCATACCACTCCTCAACAGTTATGCCCATTTCCACACCAATCTATTTGTTCTTAAATATATAACTAAACAAATATCAAGAATCCCTAATACTTCCCTACCTTCCATCCTCTACAACACAACCCAAGCTACCCAACAACCGACCACTACGACCAATCCTTTCCCTCCATCCTCCGCCATCATCAAAATCCCTCCTACCATCCATAAATCCACACACTTTCCTCCAGAGACGCACTTCAGTAAATCACACTCTCCACTTCTATCCTCTGTCAAACCTCAATTACCGAAACGACCGCGTATATCGCAAGGATCTTTGATCGCTGATGGACGAAATCTCCTAACTCGTGCACCGGTGAATTACGGGCTCTGGAATCCGTTTCTATTTCTAAGGATCTTGGCGTAGAAATACACCTCGCCGACCCGCACGCTTTTTCCTTTCTTCTCTTTTTTAACAAAGATTCTGCTATTTCTGCGAAGAGAATTATCGTGTATTGCCTTCTTGTTCGTTTGAAGTTCATGCTAAGCTGAAAAATCAAAATATAAAGAGCAAATTCTAAAGTTGAGATTTAGTTCCAATGTAAATAGAGAAAAAGAGGTGGTTAGTTACTATTTTTTTTATATCCCTATCATCAATTTTGCAGCTCTGGCTCCTAATCATTATCTCCACCCTCACCTCACCTCAACTCTCGATATCTAAGGATTCAGCACAAGACCACTATGCTTCAGTAAACACACAGCCAGGATCCAGAACGAAGAAGAGTCAATGAGTCGCCGTATTTTGGAGATCGAGATATGTGTTAAAACAAAACAGATAGACATTCTTTGCGGGTTCAGAGGTAGACGCCGTCAAGAAATATAGCAACCATTTTACTACTATACTGTCGAGTATTAATCCCTGACATCAAAACTTAACCCCTAAAGATGAGAAGAACTCCAATTCCAGGCAGGCTCCAGACACAACAAAGCTCTCAATCTCCCTCTCTCCAGCACAAGTGGATTAAGCTGAGAGTATTGTGCGACTAGGAGAAACACGAGATCCAGCAATTTGAAACTGTTTCATTCCACACTTCAAGTTACCACCACACAAATAAGGGACCATACCGAGCTAGGAATTAGATGGACTTTACCTAGCCATCCAAAAAATTCTAATGCAAGCCATCTACGTATCACCCACCCAGCCACCAAGCTTGACATCAACAAATGGACCCCTCGAACACAAACAGACAAACAAACACCACACCAAACGCCATCACCATGCGGTTAAGCCCTCTCTTTCCTCCTCCCTGCCCCGCTTCCCCTCACCTCTTTCCAGCCAAACCCCAAAATAACAAGAAGAAGCCTCCCTCCCTAATACAACCCCCTCCCACTCGCCAACCTAACAAAACTATACGGCACATTCTGCCCCACCAACAACCGCAACGTCTCCACCGTCGTAAACGCACTCGTATCCGCCGTCCCATACGCCATCCACCCACTCTGCTCCGCCACCGCCAGGGGATCCCCCTTCCTTGGCCCATTCGCCAAATCCACAAAGACCTTCCCCTTGCCTCCATCCCTGCTGAAATGCCGCAGCAGCGGCTGCACCAGGTGGGACTTCTCGGGTGGGAGGGCAGAGATGATGGCAAACGGCTGATCGACGCGCTGCACGCTCTCGATGGATGTAAACGGCTCGACGCCCGCGGCGAAGGCGGGCGATTTGAAGCCCACCGTGTAGATGGTGCCGATGTTCAGGGAGCGCAGCGCGAAGATGGCGGACGCGGCGTCCTCGCCCGAGGAGCTGAGGATGATAGCCGCGCGATTCGCGTAGGCGGAGGGCGCGAAGTCGCGGGTGAGCGTCGCGCGGATGCCTTTCCAGGTCGCGTTGTCGCCGACGAAGGAGTCGCCGCGGACGACGATGGTGTCGACGGCGCCGATGGTGCGGGCGGCGTCCGAGAGGAGCGGGATGTAGGACTGTGTGGCGGCGTTGAGCGGCGGGTTGATGTAGGCGCCGCCGAAGTTGGGTTGCAGGATGAAGGCTTCGACGGAGCCGCGGACACCGCGGTCGAGGGATTGGAAGTTGTGGGGGAGGCCGAGTTCGTTGAAACATTTCTCGAAGAAGGTTGCTTGGGGCGTGGAGCGGAAGGAGCCGATGGCGTAGATGTTCTTCTTGGGGAGTTGGCCCATGGTTGAGAGAGCGCCGTTGATCTCTGCTGCGGACATTTGACCGGGTGCTGCGACGATGGGGAGAAGTGGATGAGTGATGGGACTGAAGACTGTGTTGAGAGCTCGGGAAAGTTGACCAAGCTGGCCCATATTGACAGCTGATAAAGGAGGACCATCAGGATTATTTGCTTTAATTTGTGAACGGAAATATTCCAGTTCGTAATTCTCGGACATGGAATTGATGATGGTAATCATCTTAACGATATCTCCATACTTGCGAGACTCGGCAAAGATGGACTGAGCCTGAGGTGAAGGCCACTTGAAAGTGCCGGAAAAATCATGGAAGGCAGAAATGATGCGACTGTTTCCTTTCTGCTCCCAGAGCCGCCGTCGAATGTCTTCTGGTAACCATACCTCGACATCGATGTACTCACATCCCCATTGTATTGCTCGGTAGAGGTACTGGTAGTAGAGATCTGGGTTGTCCATGGGGAAGCGACCATTCTCACGTGTACAACGTGTGGTAAAAATGATGGGTAACTCAGTCCTTTGCCGTAATAACATGACTTGCTCTCCAACATAGCTCAAGCTTGGCACAGAACTAAATGACCCGTCCGGTAATGTCTCCTTCAGGAGATCAACTCTTATTTCCACAGCATCCGAACCAACAGATAAAATATCCAAATTTGATAGTGCTGTCCGTACATCTGGAAACGTGGTAGAAATGAAATATGTTCTTGGTTTGGTGATCAGAGCCTCATGGTGACTGATCTGCCCCAATGTAAATGCGATGAACCGCGAAAGATCTCTCCGGAAAAATGGTTGCTCTGTATATAAGAACTCGTAGTCAGAGGCTGACGACAAGTCGACATCTGGTGGCATTCCCAAGTTCACACAATGTGCGTTGATGGCCACCATAAGGACCTTGTTCCTCGATTTAATATTCGTCTTCGCATCGCTTGCCTGAATTCCAATGACCGTTCCGTGGTCCTCACTTCCTACTTCGGTGAAACTTGAAGCCAGACGATATGGCTTCCCTAACACATCTGCAAACACAGACACAATCTTCTCTTGTCCTTGTCCATAGATGATCACCACTATCCGGGTGTCGCCCACGCCCGCTTTCGTCCCATTGATAACTCCATTTGTGCTTTTTGGTCTCGTAGGAGTCGGCGCAGACTGCGCAGACTGAAGTTGCTTGGTTGCCATGTATGCGGCGCGAGGGTCAGCCTCAAGAGTTGGAGAAATGTCCCTTGGCTTTCGAGGCGGCGTCGCAAAGAGGAGCAGGAGCTGTGTCTATCGAGGGAGGTACCGGCAGTGGAGGGAGAAAGTCCAGCAGCTCCCTAGCATGGCAATGCAGCAGGCACGTTCGCGTTCTCGGAGGATATATCGTCCCGTCGTGGGGAGGAGTAGGAGGGGCGGCGCAAAGCAGTCTTTGACACTGTACTTCGCAGAAATTCACAACGTATAACACGACCGCTATGAGAGGGTTACTTAGAAGCAGGAATTAAGGTCAGGGTCGAATCTGGGTCTGGATGATACTCGAGACGGCTGTCCTACATGGCAGCCTGTAATCCCGCGAACTTGGTCCAGTGGCAGACATCCGTTGGTGGGACGGGGGAATCTGCAACTGAGGATCGCTGAGGCAGAGGCAGAGGGGTCGTTCCGTGACGTGAATGTGAATGTGAATGTGCTTGTGCTGCAGTAGAGAGAGGGATGGCGATGTTGCAAGCAGGAGACACATTTGGTTCCGGCGGAAGTTTTGTTTCAATCGACAGCCAGGGCCGATGGGAGGCAGGACAGGGGGAGAAGAGGAGGCAGGGTTCTGATTGAGGGACCAGAAGAGAAGCTGGCTGATTCGACGAGAGGAGGAAGATTGTACCGTGGACGGGCTCAAGTCAAGTCGTGGGTTGCTGCATTTTCCCAGCCAATCCGGGGATGTAGGAGGAGAGACGGGTACGAAGGGACGTATGGAAAAATACAAGAGACACGGAAGAGACGTCGGTGCAGATTGTTCCTTCCAGCGAGACTAGGCGGGTTCATCCAAAATATGCGTACGGTAAGTATGCGCAACGGAGTATTCTGTGTGGAATCTGTGGAGGCAAAGGCGAGCGGGAAGCTGGGAAGAGCTCTGGATGCGACATGGGGTTGGGGCGTCGGAAGGTCCAGAAGATGGGGGAGCTGGCTTTTGTGGGGAGACCGATCGGCTCGAGGGGTCAGAACTTCCACCAATGGCACCCGATATAATTCCACGAATATACATGAAAAGACTGAAAAGACTGACAAAAACAGCCTCTTTGCATGCATGACTGGCCAGCACCGGGTTGGAGAAGGCCAAGCATGTCTGGTATGCCCTTGGTTGGGCGAATGGTGACACGCCCACGACGGCATTTCTCTATATTACACTTCTCCTTTTAATATCAGCATGCCAGATGGTCTGGTACCACTACTTGTCCACCATATACACAAAGCAAAGTACCTTGGTACCTTCATCTACTGCCACGGAGTATTTATCCTGTTCAGGCTGATCTGAGGATAAATTCGAATCTCGCTTTAGAGTTAATCTTGAAGATGCAAGACATCTCCAATAATTCTCAATGAGGCAGTCCAGCAGCATTCACGACATTTTTCCATTCGGCCATGCTGCACGAGCTGCTATCCTCTTAACGGGGCATCTTATGTCCGAATCAACATTTTCTCATGTTTGAAGGTGCTCTGAATTTGATCCCGCAACAAGGTTGTCATCAATCTTGATACTCTTGATCTCCGGGAAAATTGTTTCGTGTTTTGTGTTTCGTTTCATGGCTATTTGTGGTGATCCCCACGCTCCAAAATAGATGAACCCCCATATCAATCTCCGTCGAGTGACGATGGATTAGATCCACAGCCACGGGGGAACGGAGGGTTCAGTAGTAAGAGCATTTCTTCACCTGCTTTTCAATTGCGTGGCGATGTTTCTGTCTAATTGTTGAGTGTTTGGATTGAGAAGGCCTTGAGGTTTAAACAGGCTTTTGCTTCAAGCAGGACTTTCGTGCTGAAGTCAAACTGCAGAACTTTGACGTTATATAACTACTTGTCGGCATCGACATCATCATTCTTCTGTTCTTGTCGTATGCATGCTTCGCTGCACCTCCCTCTCTGTCGTTCGGATAACGGCTCAGTAGTCACGTCAATCGATCTGTCAACCCCGATTCCCCAGATCCGCGAATATAGTCAAGATCGTAAGGTGAACGGTCATGCAACTATCCTCTGGTTGACAGGACTAATTCTTCTCGAGGAAAGTCCACGTTGGGGCTTCTTCTTTCATGCAAGTCAATTTTCATTTCCCAAGTTTATATTGGGTGGAATTCTTTCTCCGCCACATCCGATCCCCGACTCTCTTGCCGAGTCATGAAGGCTTCCCAAGAAGTCTAGAAGACAAGTCGCCTTCAAAACCTTCATCGCGATGCTTAGCAACCATAGCTATTCGCAATTAACCTCGGCGCAGCTTTTCCAGTCGTATGACTTCCAAACCCAATGCACTTTTCCTTCTCCCCACGACGATATCCACAACATCGTCATCGCTCCATGATCGGGCATTGCGGACGCATAACGCCTCTCCCATACCTACCCGCACCTCCAGAACAACAGTCGCTGAAAGACCCCATGGGCTTCCAACACGCGTTCCGATCAACCGTTTCATTAACCCATTCCAGGATAGAATTTTGGAGACGGTTGTCTGAAGTCTCCAAAATGGCACCGAAAAACGACCGTCTATTGTTCCTGGCATCGATACCAGACCCGCATCCAAGATCCGTCATTCGATTCGCCTGTTCCTGAGAAAGACTGGGTCTCACGTGCAGATGTTGAGGCTGATGGGCACGGGTCAACGTCGGCTCGGCAGTCGGTGAGCCTTGGCACAGGCAACATTTCGCGTGGTACGAAAACTTTCCTTCTCTCTCTCTCTCTCTCTCTCTCTCAAAACACGACGTCATCAATTCAACATCCCACAATTTTTCCACTTTCCTCAACCTCGACGGCTTGCCGCTGTGCCCTTGGGGACTCCGATACTCTCCAATCCGGGGCCTTGGCTGATCGTGTTTGCTTTTCCTGAGCGAGGAAAGCGTCACACGATGGGCAGGATGATGGCACTTGTGCTTTCCAGTAGTCTGGTTCTAGCCACCACTTCGTCACTACCCGCCAGCAACTTCCTGCTTGGATATCCGAGACCGACAGATGCCGTGTCAAAGATGTAGCTTTGCTCGAGTAAGTTGGATTGAGCATTCTGTCCCGTCTCCACTGCTATGACTCTGTAGGAGACATATATTTCCCCTTTATCCCGTCCCCATCCTTTTCCTCTCAAGTCCCTTCTGTCTTCAACCCCCCTCAACAATCATGGTAGGCTTGAACTTCCGACGAAACCGCAATGCGGACAATAGCGGTGTCACAACAGCCGTCCCTTCGACTGCCAATTCTCTCGATAATCCAAGAGCTCCAATGGAGCCCGTCACTGGTGATGTTCACCGCAATCTCCAATCCCCTGAGAAGGGCGATCACAGCCTGAAAGCTATTCCAATTACACTACGAACAGTCGTTATGGCTATGCTCGTTGCAATGGGAGGATTTATCTTTGGGTACGACACTGGACAAATTTCTGGCTTCTTGGAAATGAACGTGTTCTTGGAGAGATTCGGTCAAAGAAGTAATGATTTAGTTACCAACCCTTCTGGTTATTACTTCTCTAATGTACGATCTGGATTGATCGTTGGCTTGGTAAGTAATTCTGCTCTTAGAAACAGGAGTATGCTAATGGAAATAGCTGTCAATCGGTACTCTCATCGGCTGCCTAATCGCTGGACCAATGGCCAACCGATTCGGACGAAAATGGTGCGTGCCAGTAATGTGTCTCGTATTCTGCGTCGGTGTCGTGGCACAAATAGCAGTCGGAACGGGAGATTGGGTTGGAATTGCCATGGGACGCTGGACAGCTGGTCTTGGAGTTGGAGGTCTCTCCGTTCTCGTCCCAATGTATATGTCTGAGACTGCTCCCGTCCCAGTCCGAGGTGCTGTCGTCTCGTAAGTCACCTTTCCTATTAACATAACATCTGCTAATATATCTCAGCTGCTATCAACTCTTCATCACAATCGGCATCTTCACCGCAGACTGCATCAACTACGGCACCGAACACTACACCGACACAGCCTCCTACCGCATCCCCATGGGCGTCGGCTTCATCTGGGCCCTCATGCTCGGAATCGGCATCCTCTGGCTACCCGAGACTCCTCGACACGACTGGAACCACGGCCGTTCAGACCGTGCACGCACAACCATGGCCAAATTCTACGGCCTCCCCGAATACCACATCATGATCGAGACCGAGACTGCAGAAATCGAAAAAGTAATGCAAGCTACCAAAGGCGACCACCCCTGGTATGAAGCCATCACCGGTCCGCGGATGTTCTACCGCGTCGCCCTCGCCATGTCACTGCAAATGCTGCAACAGCTCACGGGAGCAAACTACTATTTCTATTACGGTACCACGATCTTCAAAGGCGTCGGCCTCTCCAACTCCTACGTCACAGCCATGATCCTCGGCGGCGTCAACGTCGGCGCGACCTTCTTCGGCGTCTGGATGGCCAACCACTTCCGCCGCCGCGAATCCCTCTACATCGCCGCGCTGTGGCAATGCATGTGCTTCCTAATCTTCGCCTCCGTCGGCCAATTCATGTTCAAAGACGCGCCCGAGGGCTCCGCGACCGCCAAGACCGCGGGCTCGGTAATGATCGTCTTCGCCTGTCTCTTCATCGTCGGCTTCGCCACTACCTGGGGCCCGCTCGTCTGGGCTTGTATTGGAGAGATGTTCCCGTATCGCTATAGAGCGGTGGGCATGGGTCTCGCGACGTCGGCGAATTGGTTCTGGAACTTCATGCTCGCGTTCTTTACGCCCTTCATCACGGGCGACATCGAGTACGCGTACGGATACGTGTTCGCGGGCTGCAACCTGGCGGCCTTCTTCGTGGTGTTCTTCTTCCTGATTGAGAGTTCGGGGAAGACGCTCGAGGAGGTGGATGCCATGTATCTATTTCACGTTAATCCGATCAAGAGCGCGGGGTTTACGTTTGATGAGGAGACGAGGAAGAGTATTGGAGGCGGACAGCTGGGGACTGATGCTATGCATCTGGAGGGGCGGGGCAGGAAGATGAGGAAGGTCGCGGAGGCGGGGCAGGGGGGCGTTTTCCATGATGAGGGGAAGGTGTCGCCGGTGGAGGGGGCGAGTCATGCGACGGATCATACGAATGGAGGACTGCCGGTTGCGTCGACGGGCGGGAATGGGTTTAAGCAGGAGTTGTAGGGTTTTGAGCTTGCTTTTTGGGGGAGTTCTAATAGGAGGGTATGGTGGTGAAATGTATATATTATGGATTTGTATAAATATATTTCACAGGCTACCTATATTTGCCCATTCAAGCCGCATTTCATCATTCATGTGATCACCTCGATGGCATATCATCTCCTAACGCTAGCACAGCACCAAAATCTCTCAACCTGTATCTCAATCTCAGCATCAAGCCAGTATCCCGGTCATCAAAAAAAGTCATGCATGGGGCGGCGAGGCGAGAATCTATATAGTACCTACTCGGCCCAAGCAAGCTATTAAACTCACGTCTCCCGTCCCCAGTTCCAAGTCCTTTTAATTGTAGCTAGCTAGCTACCTAGGTCTCCTACGACCTAATCAAGCTCAGCACAAATCTGAAATCAAATCAACAGCAATCTCACACGCCGCCCATCAAACACGGGATAATTCGATTCGCGTTAATAATTAGCAAGCTTCTTACTAGGGAAAAGAAAAGGATAGAAGAAGTGGGCGGGCCGGGGGGGGGGGAGAAAGAGGCCCTGATTTATAAGTGCAGGAGAGAGGAGATTTTGTGTGGGATTGAGGGGTTTTGGGGAGATGGGGTGTTTTGGTGATTCATCGGTGTAGGAGTTTGGGGATTTTGTTTGGGGTTGAGGGGGTTGGGATTAGGTTGTGAGTAAGTTGTGATTTCTCATTACTTTACGAGTTTGGAGATGTCCGTGATTGAGGCTTCTTGCAATATATGTGGCCGTTTCGGTGATTTACGGGTGGCACGATTTCGGAGATTTTGCCTGGCTTTGAGGGAGCTAAGAGTAGTATATGAGTTTTCGTTAGTGCATGAGCTGGGAAATTTCGTTTGTTTTTGAAAATTGTTGCTCTGAGTGAATTTAAATAGAGGATTTGTGTATTTTTCTCTTTTGTTTGTATATATAGGCGGCCGAGCGCCCGCTTTTCCCTTTTTTTCTTCCTCGTTTTCCTCTTATACAAATAGTTTTATTATTGCCGCAAGAAGAATGTTCTTTGTTCAGTAATACTCTAGTTGCGCTATTGCTTGAAGCTTTGTGTTTGACTAAGAATATAAAATTAAAATAGAGAAAAGTGAAAGATATTGTCTATATTATTGTCAAGAATTTGCTCACTGTCAACTATCCACTATTGACTGAACAGGAGAACAGCCACTTTAGAAAATGAAAGAAAATACTAAATCCTCCCTAATAGCTTCAGCACCCACCAAAGACAATAAACCACTTAATCTTTCTCCGGTGTAAGTTTGCGAAAATATGTTTAGAATTATGAAAGAAAAATGTGCAAAATGAGAAAAAATTAAAGTTTATATACTTACAATACAAGCGCCGGCCGAGTACCCCGCTGGGTCCGTGATTCACTTGGTGCACGATTTCGGAAAAATCGTCCGTGATTAAGGGATTTGAGGATTCCTTTCTAGGTGAATCCAGAGCCTTACATAGGATTCCACAACTTTGGTCCGTGATTGAGAATACTATGACTCACGATTCCGGAAATCTGGTCCGTCACTGAGGATTTTTCTAGGTGAATCCAGAGCCTTGTACACGATTTCGCACCTTTTGTCCGTGATTGAGGATTTCTCTTTGAGTGAATTTAGAGCCTTGTGCACTAGTTCAGTCCACCCTCCCCTCCTCCTCTGTCTATAAATACATGCGGCCGCTCCATCCGCTGTCTTCTTCTTCTTCTTTTCTTTTCAACAAACTAGAGCTGGAACGAGCGAAGTTGACGGCTTCACTAGAGCCACCCTTGTGTGTGGATTTGGGCATCAAGGACCGGATTTGCATTTCTCACTTGCTACTTTATTTCTGGAAAATTAATATGCCTTTATGTTACGTTGAAGTACATGGTTGCCTTACGGAATAGTGTACAGTTTCGGAGTTGTCGTTTGTCTTTGAGGATTTCTCTGAGTAGGTTCAGGACTTTGTGCTTTGAGTCCAGGTACTTTTTCTGGCTTAGCACGAAAGTGTCACCTCTGCACATCATTTGTGGCTGTTGACTGTCGTGGAAAGAGGGCGTATACGGATGTGATAAAATTATCCCACTAGATGGGTACTGGATGACTTTTGAACAACTATGGTCTACCTGGTCCTTCATGAAAGTGTATTTAAACCGATCGTATGTTGCCGGTGGCAGTCTTCAATGTTATCTTTGTGCATCAAAGTCTTAAATATTCGGGTGATTTCTCTCCATTTCTAGCTGCATTTAATCTCTCACTCTTTAGGTCCTAAGTAATGGTAAAATGAAATTCCCAGACTTAGTGAATCTTAGGAGTCGTCATTCGAGGAGAAATTGAACCCGTCAATGTTTCCAAAAGAAGGTATCTGCATTTCTATATTGTGGGGATTGGTGGAGAAACTGATCCCGTATCAGAATTTCAGTATCGTGAGCTGCATTGCGGTACGTGAGAATGACATGGGGTACGTGGGGGCATTGATACTCCGACCCAAGATTGTGACTTGTGTGAAAAAGACGTGCACTCCAGATGATAGATAGTGGTCTATGTTGATTGTGTAGCATCAAAAGAGAAGTCAACTAGAAGTGATTGTTCGGCCGGTTTTTGGACAACCAATCAAAAATCATGGAGACATAATATCTGGGACCTACGCTATACCATATAGTGAGCGCACTTAGAGTGAATTGATGTTCTGCTGCTTTGCCGGACTTTGAGTTCCATTACTTCCACATTCGGTCAAGAGATCAAGGAAGTAAATGTCTTTGAGATGCACCACAGCACACTTGTAGCATCAAACGAGTTGAATCTATTCACACATGATTCGGCTAGAACAACATTCCTCGCAAAGTTTGAACAAAGTGAATGCACTTTGATTCACTCTAAGTCCGGCCGCACGGCCGCATCCAGATTTTTTGAGGACTATATACATAGTCATCGCCTCAGATTTAAGGCGGCAAACCACCAAGCTGCTAATGGAACATTCCCTCAGAAGTGCTCTGCTTGTGATGTTGCCACGGTCAGGGATCGGATTTGCTGGGGTACGTCTGCTGAACTGTTCGGTTTGTTGACTTTGAGTTAAATGGCACCGAACAGAATTTTTCGCAGCAGAAATAGGATTGACAACAAGAAGAAAGTGGTTGACGGTACTTACCCCAGTATATCTCGAGAGACTGATTGCAAATCGCCTCATATTATGAACAATAAAAAGAGTGCCTTTTATGAAACATGAACCTACCAAGATCAAGAAAGGTATCTGGTGATGAATTGAAGAAGTTCCTAACTCGAAGTCGGATTTTGAGAACTTGAGAGATATAAAGATAGCCAGTAATGACGTCTGTCCCACTCCACCAAAAACAGTAAACATACCTATCTATCCACCCTTTGCGCCTCACCTTCAGCCTCACCTTCAGCCTACCCAAAGACCGCAAGGCTCCAACCCAAGCCAGCCAATCAAAACCAACTCTTAGCCTCTGCCAAACCCGTCTATATAAATTCAAATAAGCAATTCTTCCACCACAGCCCGGTTAGGCCGCTCAGGAAGCGGCCAAACGACTGACCGGGTCTGTTTGTGACTCGCCACGTTCCTCCTAACTACGCCATTCCCTCCGCCACCGCGAACAAGCTATGCGCTTGGGCGCCCGGGCACGCAGTACTTCGGTACTGTGTGCCCGGGCGTTTTGTTTTTATTTTCTATGAAGCTTTTTTTCCCAACTAAAACTTTGGTTTGGGCTTATGTTTTTCTATATTTTTTCCGTTTTAGTGGTAAGCGAGACTTGAAATTAAGCGAGGAGTCGAAGTCGTATACATATGATAGGATTCTCCGTACCATGTCTATGTATTAACCTAATCATCTGACGCGTCATTACACTAAGCCTTCTCTTGAAGATCTCCCTGAAAGCGCACGACGGTATTAGTCCTCGACTTCTGACCCGCCTTCTCCACAACAACATCCTCCTGAATCTTATCTTCAGCCTTCTTTCTCTCTTGCCATCTAAGTCCAAACCAAGTCCCCACAAATATGAACACAGCCATGACCACAAAAGCGAGGTACAGCTTCGCGCCAATCCGCCAATGCGGTGCTTCGGAAGCTGGATAGGCTGCGATAGGGAGAAAAGCGCTTTGGAGGTAGGACATAATTATACCGGTTGCAAAAAAGACAGTTCGAACTTCGGGTTCATCTTCGTGGTATGTGGAGGCCCAAGCGCAGATGAGCATTGTTGAGACACTGTAGTTCAAGTGTCAGAAGGTGAAATGATGGCCGAGGTTGTGACTCACGATCCAATGTAGTTCATATACCAACCTGCCATGTATGTATGTTGGTTGCTTGGGCGAATGACCAAGATCACGAGCGATGAGATGTTGATAGCCTGGAGATGATGTCAAATTAAGCACTATAGTGGTTGCTTACGAATACTTACGGCATGAAGGAGGAGGAATGGTAATCGAGAGCCGAAGTAATCGCTGAAACCACTGAACAAGAGTTCGCAAACAAGCGCAATAGCCTGTCCAACGATGGGTAGGTAGTTGAGCATGGGGACCGAGCTAGATGTTGTTCCAATGTTAGGCTCATCGACTTGAACTGCTCGACTTACTATTTTAGTGTTCCATTAGAAGTTTTCAGAGATTTGAGCTACAGATTGAAGTAGCTGGTCGGAGTTGTGTTGCCGCCGAAAGCCCACCCGACTGCAAATTATTAGCCTTGTCATTGACGTGAAACCCTAGAAATAGGAAGTGGATGTGCATACTAGCAAAAGCCCATAATTGCCAAAATGTAAAGGCTCTGAAGAAAGTTTTAGGGGTGATGCCAACTTGAGGTTTCCGTCCCACGCGGCAAGAACGTGCTAGAGCGATCTCTAATCCAAGCTCAGCTCAATTCTGAGCCGCAATCCAAAGTGGCATCTACTTACCGATGTGTCGAGGCTTGAGGTAGAATTGGATAAAGGATTTTGGCGCTCGGGCTATTCGTTGTCAGTACTTAATCGCGTCTGATCTTGACACCCTGCGAGACATACGAAACCTGGCAGGATGAAAAAAGCAACCAATGCAATAAAGATTGTGCATACACCCTAAGCCGCCAGTCAACATAATAGCGTAGCATAATAAGCATAATGATAGCGCACGTTGATGATGAAGGCCCAGCGCCAGCCAGATCGACCTAGAGAGCCATCAAGGTTGGTAGAAAGCGCACCCTGCAAGGCCCCTGATAACATCGCGCCAACAGGCTGTGCGATGTTGTATATGCTCATTCGCAAAGCCATCTCATGAGGTAAGTACCATTGACTATAACCCGTTTACTGAAGCTCCATATATGGAGAGGAGGAGCTTACCTGATAATGGTGAAGTACCCAGGCCAGGTACAGCTTTCGAAGAAACCGATGAGGAAACGGAGACCGTAAACCTAGAGTAATGATTAGTGAGTCTGTAGGGATAGCTTCCCGGCTGAGAAATGTACACGTTTCTTCCCTGTTCGTAGTTGTCAACGGTGGATAAGCAGCATGTCAAGATACCCCACATGACCTGTTCATGCTGTTAGTCCATCATTTACCGAACATAGTCAGGAGTGAGACTAACTTCGCAAGCCGGTAGTCAGATTGAAGGGCCGATGTGCGAGATAGTAATGCATGAGATGTATAGCATAACCATATATCCGATGCTACAAGGCGTCAACGTCGGGCTCAGAATCGTGCCCATGGAAGGAAGGACTTCGCAGTTGGTGACTCACTTGAAGTATGTGGTAAAGTAGTTGAGTTGATTGCCATAAAGTGAAAGATCTTCTTTCATATCGGAGACGTATGCATTGCTCTAAGAAGCGCGTTAGCAAGAGAATCGATTTTCAGCAAGCAAAGGTACGCACGATATTTGTCTGATCAAGGTACTTGAATGTGTACCCCAGGGAACCTATTGTGAGAAAAAATAGGTCAAGTCTCCACACCTAGTCACTGGATCAGATTTGGTCATGAGATAGAAGTGGTGAGGCAAACAAATGCTCTTTCTTCCTTCGGGTCGATGTCGTCCACAGGTTCAGAATCGAGAGATACAAGTCCGAAAGCATGAACTTTTTCGCCAGGGGTTCCCGGATCTCCCGATGTGGCAGTCGAAATCTCCTTAGAAGCCATTGTCCGCAATCCGTCGTGAGAGACACTTTCACTAACTGAAAAGAGGGCGGATAGAGTTGGTGAGAACAAAATGGCTATGACTGAATAAACACATAGCACCCAAGGAGAAAGTTGAGATGGTATTTATAGACCACTCATCTCGTTTCCTCTCCATTATTCTGGTTTGTGCTCCAAAAATTACAGATGGGTGGATAAGATGTCGCCCCTTGCCATTCATCATCTGCAAAGATAAAAACGTGCTTCCCATTACCCCACTTCCGCATTCTACACAGGCACACAAGAGGAATGACATCAAATGAGGCTGTTTGAACGTGATCCTCTACACATACTTGACAACGAAAAACTAAACGTGTGGAGCAGAGAAATATACTTTGACTTCAAATTGAGTGGGTTCATTGAATTAGGTTTCTTTGTACTTCAGCGGTGGAGCGCGTGCTTCCCGCATGTTTGCCTTGGACTCTAAAGAAAAAAGTCTTTTGTTGCACATCGCGCGCTAGTACTTTTTTCTTATCAGTAATTCAGAGCTAGTACCTTTTTCTTATCTCTTATATTAAGAAGCATCTAAAGGCCGGTTCCAAAACGGATATTGACTTGATTGTGGTCCACTAGATTTGAGTAATCCGAAGGCACTCATTTTAGAAGAGATAGATCTATTGAGGGTGTTCGAGGTCAAGGTTAGGAAATCGAGAGGGGCAGACCCACTAAACTATTGAGTCTTTCACCAAAACGTCCGTTGAGGCATCAGACAAGTGCAGTTCCAGGTTCATGGGTTCATAGATTCAAATGAATTCTTTGTAATGAGCGGCGAAGCTCAACTACTGACGTCTAAAAGACAAATCCACCTCGAAGGGCCGCGAGGCAAAATCCGCGCTCAAACTTTTTCTATGTCCAACAAATCAGGCCGCAGCTCTTGCGTGCCTATGGATGGTATCCTCAATCGCCAAGCAAATATCCTACAAACGGCTTCGAAGGATGCCGAATCATCGCCAAAACCGCCAAAGAAAAGAAATGTGCCTATTCGCACCTAAGTCTGACCTGTTTGGCCTACGTCAGATCAATGACCTGCGCGCGCTTCTTCTTCGGCGCTGGCCGCTCCAACTTCTCCCAATTGGTCTCATTATAGAATTGCATCACATCCATATCCATAGGCAACTGCTCCCTCTTGAAGCCAGTCACTCGTAAACCATTCAGATGTGTAGCTCTCGATAACGCTACGTAAAGCTGTCCCGTCTCGAAGATGTCCTTCGACAACACCTCAACGTACTCCAATGTCATGCCCTGACTCTTGTGAATCGACAGAGCCCAAGCAAGAGTGAGTGGCAATTGCGTGCGAGCAAGGACATACTGTTCGTGAGGATCCAAAACATCGCCTCTTACAGAAGCCTGGGCGACAGTGGTAATCAATGCCGTTTGCCCATTAGCAAAGCGGACTAGAGGTCGCATTTCGACATTGCCAGCCTGGAAAGCTCTCACTGACTTTGCTCGAAATGCTTGGTGGGGACCAGCACACTCTAAATTCTTTGTTCCTTCGGTCTGTGATGGTGCGAAACCAATGACCACACCTTGGGAGCCGTTGACCAGTCCTTTGTCATGAGCGAGATTTTGCAAGAGGACCACTCGGGCCCCGACCTTTAATGTTAACTCCTCCGGAAGACGATGATCTTTAAGCGAGTCCTTGTATTCTTTGACTTTGTAGTTGTTTGAGGCGAGTGGGGCGATGAGTTTCTCGGCAGAATCGTGGGCTCTCCAGGTCTTCGGCTGCGATGTAAGCTCTGCCAGCTTTTGCTCGTTGAACGATTTGACTTGAGCCAATCTCGACATCAGTCGTACGGCATATGCGTCTTTTGGGAGTACTTTGGGGCGTTCCAGCTGATGCCATTCATCGACCGATAGTGTTACACCATTGCGTATCTTGTTCAAGATATCCTGAAAGCTGGTGTCCTTCTGACGATGAATTTGTTCAAGCTTGATATGTCGCAGCTTCAATTGGCTCCATATGGATGATTTGAAGGCCCATTTGTCACCCCAGGTGAATTCATTTTGCGGTGCTGGTTTAATGTCTGCGTCCCCCGTGTCTTGTTTCAGGTTGCATTTGGGGGATGGGCATTTTGGTACTTCTTTTCTGGGAATTTCCTGCCCACATTGCATGCAGTTTTTGAAAGGTTGAACCGGGGGCAATTGATGGAAATCTCCAAGGAATATGACTTGCTTTCCGCCAAAAGGAAGGGTATTCTTTAAGACTGTTTGGAAGAGCAAATTCAGCCGTTCCAGGAATTGATTTTCAACCATAGAGATCTCCTAAAAGCTATGATATTAGTCTAACTCTCTTGAATGAGTTGATTTCTGCAGAGGATGCAGTACTGACCTCAATAACAAGAGTGTCCAATTCTGTGATGGCTTTCCGGACCCCTGGTCTTTGCTTCAAATCATCCAACAACTCTGCGATTCCTTTTCGAAAAGAATCCGGGTGCCACTGGCAACAAATTATTAGCATAACAAGCTTAGTTGTGTGTAGATATCATAACTTACTCCTGCAAAAGAGTATGTAGTCTTCCCACCCAAAGGTAGTGCAGCAATCCCAGTAGGCGCAATCACCTCCACCTTTCCTCCCTTCTTCCTCTTTCTAATACGTCTCAAGATTTCCTTCAGAGTCACCGTCTTTCCAGACCCAGCAGCACCAGTAAGAAAGATATTATTCTTTCGCAAAGCAAGATCAACCACTTTGTCTTGTTCGGGGGTGAGTTTGATCTTATCCTCTTCGACGAGAGGTTTCTCTGGTGCCTTATTTTTCTCCAATTGATCCAACTCAAAACGCTCTTCTCGACTCAGGACAGGGATTGGGGTCTCGATATAGTCGTTCTTGGGTTTCTTCGGCATGTACCCAAATCCCGTGTCCTTTTTGTATTTCGTTGGCCTGGGACCCCATTCCTCATCCGAATCAACCCCGCCGTTGTAGCTTGCGGGCCGTTTGGAACCTGCTCTGAAGTTTGGCGGAGACGAAGATGGCGGGGTAATGCGGATCGGACCTCGTGCTGCAGAGGGCATGTATTGCGACGTGATAGGAGAAGAGGAGTCAGGATGGTTGCTGCTCATTTGGGGGCGAGGTACGGTTAAAGGCGGGAGATTGGCTGTTGTGGGCGCTTCTCGGGTGGGCAAAGCTGTACCTGCATGAGCTGGAACATCCTTGGGTTTCGCTGCAGCTTGTTGTAGGAACGTCGAAGCACCAAGTTTGACTGCCAATTTGCGCTGCCAATCTGCCCAAGCCCTATAGCGAGTTAGTACCGGGTTTTGATGAAGAGTCCGCAGCTTACCATTGCGCATAATACATATTTTCGTAACCAGAATACTTGCTCTTGGGATAGCTGCACGTTTGTTCTTGACACTCTTCAAAAGTTTCGTAAACCCCTGGCTTCCTTCCCCGGAAGACCGTATACGCTGCGTATGGTCAATTATTCGCCATATCGGATATGTTCGTTCTGGACGATCAAGTTGCAGGAATTACCAGAAATGTAAACATGATTTGGGCGACGCGCCGCAACGCGACGAAAACACGCTAGTGCTCCCATAAACTTTAACTCTATTTACCTAGGCACTTTCAACCCGAGCACAATTCAACAACTTCAACCACGACCACGAATACCGGAGCAAATCGAGCAGGATGCCACCAAGTCCGGTCCGCAAGCCTTTGGGTGCGATCACCACAAATCCAACTGTCCCTACATCGGATCCCACCACGATGAAGAAGCATGTAATTTCCCCTAATTCTCTTCGAGCAAACAGACCCTAATAGCCTGACAGGAACCTGCCAGTAAGAAGCGCAAAGCTTCCGAACCAGCTGTTCAATATGATATCGACGACGAAATCTGCCAAACAGTTGACATCAATTGCAATGCCGTACGAGCCAAAATCCGACGCTTCCTTGAGTCTGGAGAGATGAAAGTGGGCGAATTCCAGCGCGCTATTGGGACTAACAGTAAATCATACCATACTTTCATGAATCAGAGTGGTCCCTACAAAGGAAACGGTTCTTCTGTCTACGGAAATGCTTTCGCGTTCTTCAAGCACAGGGAATTGAATGGGGTCAAGATCGCGAAGAAGGCGAAGGTTGTGGAAGCTGCCACTGCTAAGGGTGGAAAGGCAGACACGGATTTTGAAGGCATTATGCTGGAGGGAGAAGAGGAGAACGAAGTTCCGGTCTACGATTCCTGCGATGAGATTCGAAAGAAGATCCGCAAATACCTCAGAGAGACTAATATGTCACAAGCTGCTTTCTCGCGAGAGATTGCAAAGTCGTTCCATCCTGAGAAGAAGGTCAGCGGGTTGGCTGCATTCATGGCGAAGAAGGGACCAGCAGCAGGAAACACCAGTTCTGCATTCTATGGCAGCTACGTGTTCTTCGAGAAGATGAGAGTCAGGGACCGGAAGCCAAAGACCGAGCATCGTTTGGGCATGGAGGATGCTTGGGATGGCTGCGAGCCCTTTGGTAGTGGGAAGCCTGGTATGGACACCAAGAAGATGATCGACCGGGAATCATACATTTTTCATTCAACAAGACAATCTACCAGAATGAATTTGGGAAGGCCACTGTGGGCTGGTAAGCTTGGATGCTGTCGTGGTAATCGAGACTATGATCATTGGAGTTGGAGGCCTATAGGTTGCGTTGGCGAATTTTGTGGAGTTTTATACCTTCTCTTTTGTGGCAAGACTTTGTACAAAACCTCCTAGAGATGTTGCATTAGACTTGTAATAACACTGTCACCTTAGGGTTTCGGTGCGGCACTTGAGCCCAGATGTCGAAGCTGACATCTCCACTCATTTGAAACATGATGTGCTACAGGCATCTTTCCTTGGCCCCGAAATTTGATGAGTCCCGGTATATTCCCAACAACCCCGCGATATCGTCGTCATAGATGCGAGATGAGACCGATGGCAACAAAGGCAAAACCCATGACAGACACCAGCGATAAACAAGACTTCATGTCCAGACGGTTGTACTCCAGACGACGTTGGAGTGTCAGAGTGTAGCTGCATTTCCATTCTGCGGAGAGCGGAGTTGCATTTGGAGCGAGGAGCAAGGGGATATGTTGCGTATCCCTAAACAGGAAAGACATTGTGTTCAGCGGGATGATATCAGTTTCTCTTTGCTAATACGAGGTAATAGAATCGAATGGTCTCTCATGGGAATTCGCTCACACGCCTTTGCATGACTTTTAAATTATGTATTGTATTGCGGCTGCTTGTTTCCTCAATATATAAGCTTCCTTCCTAATAGAGCAAGGGGCTCATTCTTGCGATTGGGCCGCGGCGTTTGTAAGCGAGTGCCCCTGAACGGCCGCTTGTGAGAGTTAATTTCCCCGCGCCAGATCTCACCTCACATCACTGCAACCTCATTTCCTGCTCAGACCAACAAAAATGCTTTCACCTCGAGATATTTATACACCTTACTGCATCAAATGTCTGAGCACGGATGGAATGCAGGAGTGTTGCTTCCGAAAACCACGAGCCAAATGTTTGCATTGTTCAGATGATCCCTCGCTAATGCCCCAGAAGCAGACGATAACCAATGCCTCGTAACCTCATTTGGCAGGTGCTGATCCCGCTTTGGCCATTCTACAACCATCACGACTAGGCTGACTGCAGGCCAAGACCCATGGTAACTGGAAACCCAGGACATCACGTACTTGACACAGCCTTGACTGAGCCAATCTTGTGCGGAGACGAGCAAGGTTACCTACCTAAATAATCTTATCTGCAAGCTCCGGGCGGGAAGCTCGTCGCTAATATGCCCTAGTATCTAGGTACAGCATCTAGGTACAGCAAGAAGACCTGTTGGGTCAGCCTCGCCGTTGGTCGCGACTGCTGCGCAATTTTAAGATGTCGACATAGTACTTATACGGGGAGGACCCCTCACTTCTTTTCCAGTCCCTCATCCCATCATGTTGTTCAATTCTCTGGTGGTAGCTCTCGCCAGCGGCCTCGTCCTTGAGACGTTGGCCAGTCCCCTCTCCCTCGTTGGAGCCAAGGCAAAGCGTGAAGTTCCTTTTACGCATAGCCTTCATGAGCGTCATTTGTCCCACTTGTCAAATCAGTGGACAAAGAAGTCCAAGGTGCCTGATACTCAGATCTTGCCTATGCGTATAGGTCTGAAGCAGTCCAACCTTGAGGCTGGTCATGATAAACTCATGGACATGTAAGTATAGATCTCAACACTTCAAGACTAAAGTTGCTGACTCTTTGAAAGTTCCACTCCAGGGTCTGAGAATTACGGCAAGCACATGAGCCCAGAAGAGATTGTTGACTTCTTCGCCCCGGAAGAGTCCACAATCGATGCTGTCACGGCATGGCTTGCCGAATCCGGAATTGGCTCCGACCGTTTTGCATTGTCTGTCAACAAACAGGTACTTTCCTCCCTTGGAATTTGTGAAAGTCCCCAACGCTGACAGCGGTTTCCAGTGGATTCAATTCGACGCAACAACTGGTGAAGCAGAAGATTTACTCATTGCTGAGTTCTTCGTCTGGGAGCACGTCTCCGGCACCAATGACATCTCGACTGAGGAGTATCATATCCCAACCCACATCCGGGAGCACATCGACTATGTCACTCCCGGTACTAGACTGCGACAAAGGGCCGCGAAGCGACACGTCAACAAGGCAATCAGAGCTGATGGGCTCGAAAAGCGTGTACCCGATACCGTGAAACCATTGATTACACAGCTCCCAGGTTTCCCCCACCCGAACTCGAGCGTTTGTGACATCTACGTTACAGCCGAATGTACAAGAGGTACGTGGCGGTCCGACGTTTACTTGTACTACGTGATTCTAACCGCTTTGATTTAGTGCAGTACAGTATTCCGAACGCTACCACAGCAGAATCAGGAAACCAACTTGGAATCTTTGAGAGTTTGGATGTGCACTATTCTAGAAAGGATCTTGACATTTATTTCAGCACTCTTTACCCGTAAGGTACCACTAGCCGAAGTCATAGGACCAGCTCTAATTTTCAATAGGAACATTCCCAACGGCACTTACCCTGAGGAAGATCTGATCGATGGTGCCATTGGAGCCATTGAAGATACAACCGAGTTTGTGCCGATCGATCTTGAAGCTCCCTTGGACTTCGACTCTTCGCAGCCTCTCATTTACCCCCAGAAGCTCGTTCTTTTCCAAGAAGACGATGAGTACTATGAGTCCACTGGTGATTTCAATGGCTTCTGGAACAGTGAGTAATCACGTGTGTTTATTTGAAAAGCTTAACTGACATTCCAAGCTTTCCTCGATGCTATTGACGGCAGCTACTGCACCTACAGCGCATTTGGCGAGACCGGTGACTGCACCATCGAGGCTTGCCTTGATCCCGCCTATCCTGACCCCAACCCCGGCGGATACAAGGGTCAATTGCAATGCGGTGTCTACAAGCCGACGAACGTCATCTCCATCTCATATGGTGGCGACGAAGCTGGGTTTCCCGACTTCTACATGAAGCGTCAATGCAACGAATGGATGAAGCTTGCACTTCAAGGAACCACCATTGTTATGTCATCTGGCGATTCGGGTGTCGGTGGCCCTGCAGGAACTTGCAACGGCGCAGAAGGTAACATCTTGGAAGTTGACTTCGCCAGCACATGCCCGTATGTGCTGTCTGTCGGCAGCACAGAATGGGACCGCTTCAGCAACACAACCCTTCCAGTTCCAGGCGAGAAGCTATTGGAAGTCGCCACCAAGCGATTCCCATCCGGTGGTGGATTTTCCAACGTCTTTGGTGTCCAGGACTACCAGAGAGATGCCGTTTCTGCTTACTTTGACCAAGTCGAGTCTAGCTTGGGTTTCAGCGGTTATCATCATTATATCAACAACAGCGACTTCAGCAGTGTTACTGGTGGTATTTACCATCACGGTGGACGTGGATACCCAGATGTTGGAGCTGTTGGAGATCGTCAAGTCGTTTACTCGAACGGTTCTTGGTGGTTGGTCGGCGGTACATCGTTGTCTTCACCTGTGTTCGCCTCGGTCTTGACTTTGATCAATGAAGCGCGTCTTGCTGCTGGCAAGAGCACTGTTGGTTTCATTCATCCTGTTATCGTAAGTCAATTACCTGTTGATGTGGAAAGAAAATTACTAACAAATATCTGCAGTATCAACACCCCGAAGCTTTCAACGACATCACCAGCGGCAGCAATCCTGGATGTGGCACACCTGGTTTCCCCGCAGCCAAGGGATGGGATCCCGTTACTGGACTTGGGTAAGTGTTTCAAACTCTTTTTAATCATCGAAACAAGACTAATGAATTTTAGTTCACCAAATTTCCCTGTATTGATGGAGGTTCTGATGGGTATATGACCTTACAAGCTAGTATAGACCATCATAGTGGGCCTCTCTTCTATGGGGATTATCATCCTTCAAAGATAGACAGACATAAGATAATACATAATGGCATATCTTAGTATTCCGAAGTTTACTCATTATCTCTATTGCGTTGCTCGAAGAAGTGAAGCACTAAGCGAAGCCCCTGAACCTAGCAAAGCCGTCTGAAGGTTGATTTCGACAATTCAAATTCTTCTCCCGCCAGTCTAGATCTCCCAATTCCTCGAGCATACCCAAATACCAACTCTGATCCAAAAAGTCCTCATCCACAACAGAAAACCCATCACACGATCAAAGAAGCAGCAAGCATAACAAGCCCCCCAAACCCATCCATCCCCGAACACCAATCCTCCCACATGGCACCCCTCCTCTCCGGCACCCTCGCATCCAACGACTTATACAACAACACCGCATCACTACAATACATCTGCCCCTCATCCAACTCCACCAGCTCCCCATTCGCCGCCAACCCAAAATCGCTCTTCGACCGCGGATCCCGCTCCCGCTCCGCCCGCCACGTAAACTCGTCGCTTGCTTCCCACAGCTGTTTCTTCGCGGGGAGGGGCGCGAGGACCAGGTCTTTTTGCAGGGCGCACATTCCCGCTGGGTCGAAGTGGACGAGCATGCCGACGACGCGGTAGACGACTGATAATCTGGGAGGCTGTTAGTATGGGTTGGTGTTTGAGGGGAGGGGAGGGGGAAAGATCTGACCGTCGTCGCGATTCTTCGTAGATCCAGTCTTTCCAGGTTATGTCGCGGTTGTAGCTGCAGAGTGCTGACGGTGTGTTGCATGTCTTCAGGCTGCAGGTGATGCGTTTGGCTATTACCTATGTGATTCCATTAGAGTTAATGTCCTAGGGGCAGAGGTGGAGGGGTGGGACTTACGGTTACAGTTGTGACTAGCAGGACATCGAAATTATTATAATCCGTCTCGGTTTCCTCTAGTCTTATGAGGATGTAAATGGACAGGGCTTGCATGGCAGCTAGTAATTCCCATCTAGTCAATTTCATATGCTAGATTAATCATCAGCTTATTGTTACACCTCTTCAGGCTTTGACGTACATCGGCACACAAGCGTTCGCATTCAACGCGGACATTCTTCCAAAATAATTTTCGACTCCCTTGCACCCTGCTACTAATCATGTGCACCAAACTGATGCAATTCGTCAGTGGCTCCATATAGTTGTCCTCCTCGTTGGAAGATATCAATGCCGGGTGGATGAAAGGTGGAAGGGCGTCGTGGCGGAGCATCATCAGGGGATAAGATCTGAGGTTGTGGAGTATGAGGGTAGCGATTCTCGACGCCCCGAAACCTACTGTCGGCTTGAGGACGAGGGAGCGGAAGAACGGATCCGGTACTGGTGGTATTGATATATTGGAGGAGGAGAACTGGTGTTCATGAAATCGGTGTTCATGAAATCGGTGTTCATGAAATCGGTGTTCATGAAATATTTGAGCAGTGGATGGTGGGGGTGTCGACTGACGGAGTAAGGATGATGACCTGAAGGAGGGGTACTGAACATTCTCCTCGTTCGTCGGGGAGTTCAGAAATTCGGCAAAATCGATGTTTGTGTAGTCCCAATCAAGGAGCTGCTCTCCTGCATTTGCGAAATTTGGCTCTAACGTGACAAGCGCATTTTGGGAAGTCATGTCTCCATTCCTCGAATCTTGCGGGGTGTCGATGCTAGGAACAGCTTCCACCAATGAAGATCCAATCCTCCTCCGCTCCGTGTGAGCCTCAGCATTGTGTTGAGTCTTGAGTCCCGTACCTCTGGGCGCGGCATGTGGATAGTGACATCCAATGGCCTTGGATACACACCTCGAGCATTCGGGTCGCTTATTATCACAACGAGCTTTCCCTTTGGCACAAGAGATACATGATCGAGATCGAGGGGTACTACCGACTCTTCGAGACCGACAGTAGTATCCATGTCTTTTCAACGTAGAGTCTAGAGCACCACACCGTCAGTGGGCTCAGTGTCACGAGGCGATGTCTTGGCAAGATGTAACTCACGCTTGTCGAACGGCTTATTGCACTGCTCACACCTCAAAACGGACTGACCATCTGCTGTCTCCATTTTGAATTGCCGGTAGACTGCAGCAGATCATGGGTGTGTGGATTTTTACCTATATCAATTTTGTTGCATTTGTCAGCGCCGATGTCTTGGTCAGCAGAGTCCGACGGGCGGAACATTTTGTACATGCGAGCTGGTGCGAGCGGTGCGAAGTGTTTCACCACAAATAACTTGCCACCATCCTTGTCTGGGAATAGCCACGTTGGAGGAACACTGTGAAATATTAATGCTCAATAATGGTCGTCTATAACACAAACTTGGCCTTTCCTCATTCTTTGCTGTGGTACACTCACATACAACGGGTCTCAAGAGCGTCAAGAGCATGCCGTCTGGAACGCGAGTAGACAGATAAGAATTTTGAAGTCACCCTTTTTGTCAACCAAGATGTTGGTTCGAACATACGACCATCCAATCTTTCTCATTAAGCTGGGCTTCACAAATTGAACAACTCCGAAGGTACTCCATTAGAAATGTCACCTCGACCGTATATAAAGATGGACATTGTCTGCTCAACAATGTCCTTCTCAATCAGCAATCGATCGCTTTCTTCCAATCCTCTGTACAACTTACAATCATTATGGCTGCTCCTTTTCCATCCCCAACCTCAAAGTGGCACACTGAAACATATCAATCCATATCTCCTTCCCGGCCCGAGCTTTCTGCCAAAGGTAAAACCGTCTTAATCACTGGAGGCGGTACTGGCATTGGTGCCGAAACAGCTCGCTCCTTTGCCGAAGCCGGCGCCTCTCGAATCGCCCTCCTCGGCCGCAGAGAACAACCTCTCTTCGACACCAAAGCCCTCATCAAGGGCAAGTACCCCAGTGTCGAAGTCTTTGTGGCCTCCACCGATGTCACAAACAAGAAGGAAGTAGACGCAGCCTTCGCCAAGTTCGTCGGCGACGGAAAACTCCACATCTTGGTTAGCAACGCAGCCATGATCGGGCCCCAGGAGGCCGTTCAAGATGTTGACAGCGATAAATTCCTCGAAGCCGTTCATCTGAACCTCAAAGGATCGTTGAACGTTGCGAAAGCGTTCCTTCACTACGCATCAACTAACGCCGTCGTGATCGAGATAAACTCAGCCGCTGCACATTTCAACCTTGCCGATAGATTTGCTTGTTACAGCACCGCCAAGCTTGCAGTATATCGGCTTTGGGATTCTCTGGCCTTTGGACACCCGGAATTAAGCGTCTTTCACGTCCAGCCTGGCGTTGTGGACACGGATATGAACAGAGAATCTGGTGGCATCAAGGCTGTCGGCTTCGAAGATAATGGTAAGTCGAATGGAATGACTAAGTGAAGGATCATCAAGCTAAATTTCGATAGTTTCCCTGCCAGCAAGCTTCAGTGTTTGGCTCGCAAGCCCTGAAGCCCAGTTCTTGAAGGGCAAGTTTCTGTATGCAAATTGGGATGTAGATGAACTCAAGGCCAGAGCAAAAGAGCTCGAGTCCACTACGCTACTTAACATTGGTGTTGGTGGATGGCCATTTGAGGCTACCAACTGGAAAGGGGCTTGGAAATTTGAGACGACTTAGACTGTGAGAAATTGGCTAGAGAGTGTATCTCAAACAGCAATACGACAATAAGATTGGAAGCCGGTAGTAGATTTTCTAAGCTACAATGCAACACGTTCAGAGATGTATGGAAAGTCTTCCTCATTACCGCACACGTCCATCGCCGGATTGAAACGAGACTTTGTCGAGAATCTACTTGAAATCCAAGACCAAAATGGTGCAGTTTGCACTCAGGCCTCAAGCGAGCCCCTGAAACATTACCGAGGATTATTGTAGTCGACATCGACAACATATCCTATTTTTTCTGGAATCGAGGGTTTGTGATCTTTTGATAACATGGCAAAATATTGTTTTCTTTGTATCTGTGCAAGTATTTTGATCTAACGATGGCGAGCCCTTTGTATGGATGTGCCAAGGCATGGCTTCATGCGGGTACTTTAAGTCGCTCAGGCCTAGTGCTCAGTAACAACTTCTTTGGCAAACAGTCATAAGAACACTTATTCATTCGATCCAGCTATCTGAGGCATTGGCGTCGTTATGTATTGTATGGCTGTTTTCACGACGTCTGAACAACAGCAGACAGTGAAAGTATGAAGGTGGGGTTTCGTGAGCACCCCTCCATTCCCGTTTCAATGCCCAATCATCGACGTGAAACTATGCAGGCAGCGTATCGAACATCAATGGGAAGCTAACATGATTATCATGCAGCTCAACCATGATAGGCAGGGAAGCTGCATTGCAGGCCAATTTACCATTCGCTTGCTTGTTCATCTGCCAAGGCACAAACAAGGGACAAATGTCAAGAAAGCTCGTCATCCTCAGCATCTGTTTCCATCTCGATATCCAACATTCTGCAACCACGCCGTACCACTTCGATCTCCGTGCAACATGGCAGGTATTGGAGCAATCGCATCCCTGTCTGGCATCCTGGCGGCAGGGATCCTAACGTATCTCTTCTACAACTGGTACCGCTTATCGCACATCCCAGGTCCATTCTGGCCCTCGCTGTCGAAGTACTGGCTGGTTCAGCAATCATTGAAAGGCCAGATGCACAGTGCATTGAAAGAAGTCACAGATGAATACGGTGAGAAAAAATGATTGCAGTACATCAACGGATTGCTGAAAGATGCAGGTTCTTTGGCACGAGTTGGGCCAAATGATTTGGTCACGAATGACCCTGATATATTGCGCAAGATGATGGCGGTTCGTTCGCCGTATACTCGAGGTCCTTGGTACGATGCCATGAGGTTGGACCCAGCAAGAAATAATCTCCTGTCTTTGCGCGACGAGGAAGCGCATACTAATCTGAGGAACAAAATGGCTGCAGGAGTAAGTGTCGTCATTCAAAAACGCCAAATTATATTGACCTGTTGTAGTACTCAGGAAAAGAAAACAGTTCAATGGAGGGAACCATCGACAAGCAAATTCAGAACTTGATAAATTTGATTGAGCGGAAATACCTATCAACTAACAAAAAATCCGAACCCATGGATCTCGGGCAGAAAGGGCAGTTCTTTACATTGGATGTCATCAGTGATCTGGCGTTCGGAAAAGCACTCGGATTTTTGGATAAGGACGAAGACGTCTTTGAGTATATCAAGATCACGGAGCAGTATATTCCTGCGATGCTGGTGATGGCAAACATTCCATGGCTGGCGAGACTCACCCATACTCGTCTGTTCCGAAGTTTGTTGCCGAATGAGGCCGATAAATTGGGCTTTGGAGCTTTCATCGGGTGAGTGTTACCCAAAGACTCAGAAAGTCAATGTTAATTTTGCGTAGAGTTGCAAAACAGATCACGAGGGATCGGTTCCAACCTGGTGCCGAGCCACAGAAAGACATGATGGGATCATTTATCCGACACGGCCTCACTCAAGAGGAAGTGGCAGGCGAAACCCTCCTTCAAGTCATTGCCGGAAGCGATACATCGGCGGCAACAATTCGAGTAGTACTACTCAATTTAATGAGTTCTCCTCCATGCTACCGAAAGTTACAAGAAGAGATAGACAGCGCAATAAAGACTGGCAAGATCTCTTCACCAATCACGGATAGTGAAGCGAAACAGCTACCATTTCTGCAAGCAGTGATCAAAGAGGGTCTTCGAATCACACCACCAGCGACGGGGATCTTCAACAAGACAGTACCAAAAGGTGGTGATGTGTTGAATGGTATATTTGTCCCTGAAGGGACGCAGATCGGATCCTCATTTTATGGAGTTCATCACTCGAAGAAAATCTTCGGAGAAGACGCAGATTTGTTCAGGCCGGAGAGGTGGCTCGAAGCCGAGGGAGATACACTCGCTACCATGATGAGCACTAGTGATTTGATATTTCATTACGGGAAGTACCAATGTCTTGGAAAGCCTGTTGCTCTTATGGAACTGAATAAGATATACGTTGAGGTGAGCAATTGGTCAATGTGGCCTTGGTTGGTTTACTAATTAAGCTAGCTACTGCGATCATTTGACTTTGCGATCGTGAATGTCAATCAGCCTGCGAAGTTCCTCAATGCGGGCATATGGATCATCACTGACTTTTGGGTAAGGGTCACTAGGAGAGAGGAGTCTCCGTGACACGGTCCTGATGGAACGGATGGCCTTCAACCTTGCAGAGCCGACCTAGAGCCCGAGAGCCTAGCTTCATTTTGGAATTGAGGGAGTATTTTGCATCGCTTTAGAGACGTATGAAAATATGCAATGTAAGAAAATTTTGAAATGTTGAGGACAATGATCTAGATTTCTGGTGCATAGACTTTGATATAGAAAGGCTCCCGTTTTCGGTAAGCGCTAAAATGCAATAAGGTAAAACATTCCGAGGCAGGTTGACTCTTTTCTTGGCGGAGACTTTTTCTGTTCCAAGATGACTCGGGAATCTGATACGCTGGAAAATGTCCAGCCTTTGCGTCATCTGGCGGGCAAGCAAAGTATATAAACATGGTCGTCATCTCCAGTGTAAAGAAGCAAAAAGAACAGGATTGATCTCAGCACCTCATACTCTGCTTTTCACAATTGCTACAGCTGCCACAATTGCTTGACCATGGGTTCTATTTCGACACCTCCGGCATATGACCAACCCCTCCCAAGCGGGGATGGCATACTTCCATATGCTCTCAAGTCTTCTGCTGGCTCAATCGAGTCTTCATGTCTTGCTCAGCTAAAATCAACTTCACTGGATACGCCACTTGAAGAAATGAAAGCACGATACGAGAGAGATGGCTATCTCTTTGTCAAAGGCGTTCTGCCACCGGAAGATGTCATCGAAGCACGAAGACAATACTTCAACTACCTCGGTCCCACAGGCCTCACAAAGGAAGCCTCGGATCCGGCAGCAGGAATCTACTGCGGAAGCGATCCCAGACTCGTATCTAATCCTCTCCAATATACCCAATCTTAAACTGATGGTCAAACAGTGGCTAGCACCAGGAAAGCTACGCACAGCATTCGGACTCGAAGGCCACAATCCCGAGTACGTGGACCGCATGCTCGCCGTTCACGCTGCGCCATGGTACCGCGGCTTCTCAGCTCATCCTACCATCAAGTCGTTCATCGAGCGTCTGACAGGGTGGGAAGATAGCACGCTTCTCGAGCGCTCGATCTTGCGTCCTAATGTGCCTGGTGGAGAAGCTACCCAGGTGCACTATGATCAGATCTTCTTGCGCGGAGGACCACCTACCACCGTCACAGCCTGGGTTCCGCTCGGTTCGTGCACCATTAGAGGTGGTGGACTCTTGTATCTCGAGGATTCGGTCGGTATTGGTGAGAAGCTGGAGAAGTACTTCGCGGAAGCAGCGAAGGACTTTAGTGAAGAGGAGAAGATCTCGGCGTTCAATGCTGCCATGATGGATACTGGATTTCTGGAACGTGATGCGGGGAAGTTTGGGAAGGAGTGGCAGAGGAAGTGGTTGGCGGCTGATTATGAGGCGGGCGATGTCGTGTTTCATCATCCGTTCATTGTACATGCGAGTGCGGTGAATGAGGATGAAGATGGCAGGATTCGACTAGCGACTGATTTGAGATATGTGGAGAAAGGGAAGCCTTTTGATGAGAGATGGATGAAGATTTATGAGGTAAGTCCTTTGGTGGTGGTGAGCTTTCTAACGTTTGTTGACAAATTTTGTGTAGCCAGATGATGGACTCTGAGTCGCTTTCACTGTGTGATGTGGAGCTGATACTTGGCGTGGGTGAAGATCTAGAAACACGACGGGTTGTCATAGCAGTTCGTATCGAATTGTTCTTCTGAGAATCAAAGCCTTCATAACCCCCAAACGCCCCTCAAAATATCTTCAAATCTGAGCGAGGGCCAAGCGACATGTGCTTGTGCTTCAATCAATATATCCAGTAAAACTTGCTGTTCAGTAGGGTCTGTGAAGCGCTCTCCGCCTAGTATCTCGTCGATTAGTCTAGATCCCAACAGAAACACAAGTGACCATCGCTATCACTCACACATGGCGATTGCAGCGCCAGCAGTGTGCATCGCACAAACGTGCTGGCGATTGGAAATAGCGATACCGCAGAGTAATCGAACTTGCTCTCTAATTTGTTCCTTCAATTACAGTCAATAAGTGTGAGAAACTTCCTTTCGCTTCTCTTACATCAACGAACTCAGTTCTCACTTTCCTATCGACGCCGATGGATGGGATAGTCGGGTCATGGGTCAAAAGGAGAATCCTGCAAAGTCCGAAGTAATGGTGTGCCGCCACTGCTAATGTTAATAGCGACCATCAAAGTGAAAAGAATTCTTACCATGACAATCGTTAAGAAACCAGATTTGTGGGAGGGTGTCGGTTCTTCCGTTTTTTGACTTTGAAGATCCGATCGGCCTGAATGTAGGAGGATACTGCCTTGCCCAACCAGCAACATATTCAGACAGTCTTCCATACTCCTCCACAGCATCTGCACGTTTCTCTCCATAACATAAGTTCAAGCAGTCCGCAAGACATGCAATGATTCTGTATGTCCAGGTCCAGTCATCGGCTGGCTCAAGGCTAGGGTCGATATCACAGAATTGGGCGATTGTTGCGATTGGTTTTCTGGTCATGAATGATATGATTACTTCTTGCCGTAGTTCGATGCGCAGACAGTTGATGCGAAGAGATGATTCATGGAGTGAGTCTTCCCGACCACGTATCAAGCTTTGTGTCGAAAGACCGTGCCCCTGAAATCGGATCGCGGGATCATCCTCTGTTGCTGGTCAGCTACCGAATTAATGGTGAAGTTTACATCCTGGGGCGAGGTGAACCTGTCATTTCATCTAACACTCGTAGAACTATAGTCCCAGCGAACAATAGATCGTTCGGGATCGTGTCTTGGTCATTGAACTCTGGAATGAGCTTTTCTAGACACTTCTGCTGATATCTGTCTGCTAGGTACGGATCTACTTTGCCTTGACGACTAAGATGTCTGGCGGAGACGGCGAGTACTGCGTTAAATAACGTTCGGTCCGTAGCACACGCTGGAATGACTAGATTTTGGAAATGTCTGTCTCTATCACAATAATCGAACTGCGAGAACGTCAAAATTCGGAAAACCGAATCACCAAACAAAACGTACCCATGGACATAAATCACTCATAAAGTGTTGCAGGATTGTTACTTCGTCTTGAGTCTGCAATGGCCATAGACATTCCGAACTTTCCAACGATGGAGGGATAAAGAGATAGCTCTTCGGCGAGTGCGTCCATGGTAGCGGGGACGAGCTCTCCTGACTCCGTGTTTGAGGTCCGAATGGAAGTCGGTTATAGGTTGATTCTGGACTTCTCTCTTCGTCATGATTGGCGACTAGTTCGCTAATTGACATAGGAGGTCTTTGCAATTGAGTCCCAAACTTTTCCTGGGCTCGCATGACGGGATCGTGCTGGGTCACTACATCTGTATACAAAGATTCCGAACCTTCGAGCGCAGTGACTGGCCAATCTGGAATGTATGGTGAGTAATTTTCATCTTCGTTGTCACTCTCGGATCCTTCCAAAAAGTCAAGATCATGACTTTTGTCTATGAACTTGACTTGAGATCGTAAGCATAAGCAGTAATGACATGAAAAGAGCGACCTTACGATTCGGTTGCACTTCTGCCCAGTCCTGGTCTTCGCTCCACTGCAGCTGGCTCTTCCGCTTTCGTTTCCCTTTCTTCTTACTCGTGGCAATACTTGGATTATGGTCATGGCGGAAAATGTATTGCTTAGAGCCCGCACGATCACACCGCCTAGCAGCCGACAAGCATTTCGTGCAAGAGGGTCGTAGCCCATCGCATTTCAGGTGGCGACTCTTGCACTCGTGGCTAGAACGTATTGTCAATTGATCACATTCAGCTAAGGTGACTCTTGTCAAAGATTACCATGCATGCCGATACGGACCATCTTTTGCCTTTCCCATATTCTGACAATTTGCCAATTCTGGGGATGGCAGGAGGTCGGGATCGATTTCTGCTTCGGGATGAGGGATAAATATATACTCAGGTAGGCACTGTTTGGCAAGCCGGAATGTTTGACCTTTATGGTAGACCATGGGTCAGATACGTATGACATAAGGGATGCGGCTTCGGGTCCTTTGCCAATGAGATGATGCAAAGCATAGTGCCTTCGGGATGTTTGGCCATGTTGAGAGCGATTCTTGCGCTTGCAGATCCGCAGTGGTAGCGGCCCAGCTTCTCGCATATTTCACTCACTCTGTTGTAACCTTTATGACAAGAAAGGCTTGTTATCATATTCAACGCAATGATGAGCAGAAAGGAGGAAGTTCTGATTAAGAACAGTGTCTCTAACCTATTTGGGAGTAGCGCACTCTTATTTGCCGAGGTAGTCTTACCTTCACCAACCTCTTGAGTGGCAACATCTAGCATAGGTACCTACCGTATCTCATATGTACCATTACGTTCTATACCTCTTGATATACAGTGCATATTGAAGGAGATGTTTGCTGCAATTATCTTCTTTGCTGCTTCGCGCTCTAGCATAACAGCATTGCACCCCACTCTGATGCGTGTCTTGACGACGTCTCGTCACGGGTATATTCTTCTATATTGATGAAGAAGCGCGCTCTCAGCTTGCGAAGGATTGTTTCCCGGTGACAAGCTGACTGGAAACGAAAGTTCGAGCAGCTGGACTTGTGCCATCGGCCTGTTAGATTTCGTTCAGTCGTCTTTTCCGCGTTTTCCTTGTCGGGTTGTACACCAAGCTCCGTGAGCCAGAGACCGAGTTCATGACCTTGAGAAGTCTCTCCATTGGATATCTGCATGTCTTCCATATCGTTATTGTCAAGTCTATCGCGACTTCATACACTGGTCACGTGCCTATGTTACGATGCTCTCCGACTTAGAAGCCCATGCAGTGACCGGGCCTAGTAAGGCTTAGCCTCCCTCATATAATAAGCACATGCACTTTGAAGCTGCTGTTTATGGAACCGGTAAAACATTTACCAGCATGAGTGCGAGCTACATGTAGCCGGTATTATGAACCCACCCGCCAGCTGCAGGCCTTGAATATACTATTGGCGAGTTGCGATAAGTCGAGACGCTTGCGTATGATGATGTATGGGAATTGTTCTATATTCTCTCGGCGTTGATCAAGCTGTTATTGTATTGATGAAGTCTTGGAGTTGGGATTTGGCATTTCAGACCAGGAGGCCACGAAGCTTCATCAAACGAGACGGCAAGTGTGCGCTTTTGAAGCCCGTTACTAAGTTATTGTCCTTGCTTGCATCTCAAATCGTTGTGAGAGGAGATACCACGAAGCTTCATGTAGCAGAGATATCGGCTTCCTAAACATACACTCTTTTGCTCGAGAAAACAAATCTGGTGAGGAAAGGAGGTGCAATACGCTCGCATCATCTCGCCACCTCAATGAGCCTGTGTCAGCAATACTGATGCAATTATAGTTGCTGAGTCTCTCTTCTCTTTCCTGAAATATTTGCAGTCCATTTTTGTTTTGGTGTCAAAGCTTCCTTCATACCCGATTGCCACAATCTCGTGCCCAAGGTGGGTATAGAAGCTTGGACATCGTATCTGCAATTTGCATGGGTTGCTCGTCGTGAAGAATCTCCTGATGGCCTCTTTTCTTGTCGTCAACAATTCATTGTCAGCGGCAACATCGGCCACTGGATCCGTGTCTCATGTTTCGCTCGTCAACTTACGAAGATTTGCTCTCATTTCGCAAACCATTCAACCAAGAATCTCGGCGCTGGAATTCTCATTCTATCTGACGATCTCTTCCAAATATCACAACGTTCTTGGCCGAAGATAACAATGTTTGAGCATTGAAGCAGTGTCGTCGCTGAGCCCCGTTCTTGGTTGTGGATCCGCGGATCCAAATCCGGCATGGCCTATGCACATTTCTGCCCCTGGACATGGCTACATGTGATCTTGGCCTTGGCACGATAAGTTTTCTCAAATGAGAAGATCGGCAGAATACGGAAGGCGCGCAGCCAAGTCAATCCAAGAGTCTGCCACGCACGCTACAGAGAAGTACCGACAGAATTAGGCCCCCACGAACTGGTGCCCAGCGCTCTTAAGCAACTTCCAAGCTTGTATCCACCGCTTTCGTACATTCAACAGTCTCATTTTGTGTTTCTCGACGAATTTGCGTGGTGGGTAAACGCCGCCCAGCCTCGAGCCGAGCCTTGCCCAGCCTTGCGTGCACGACCTTGCCAAGTCTTGAAGTGGATATACTCCTATTCTAGGAGACCATGCAACCTTACCGGGAGTAAACGAGAAACGTGCGTCCATGGATTTCGGCGAAATTCATGCCAATGGGGAGACTCCCTCGGCACTCATGCTCATCATCCGATGCCCTTATCTCTTGGCTGCCCGTTTGGGATTTCGAACTTGAGGCTCTTCCACGTTTGCGTCCAAACTTGGCTGTTATAAGATTGCCATGCTGCCCCACTGCGAAGTTGCTAGTATGACAGATTCTTCATCGAAGTCGTTTGAAGTTTGAAGTTTGAAGCAGTCGTTTAGCAGGAGACCGTGGGATGGACGAACGACCTATATTGACCCGCCGATCAAGTGATCACCACTTTTCCGAACCCACTTAGACCATGCCTCTCCCAGTATAATTTCACATCACGCTCTTTCATTCATTATGTCTCACCAGGCCGGCCCCATTGAAGAACTGGTACAATACAAGAAGGCTGTGCTCTTCGACGAACGACGTGACTCTCGCATTCGCAGCAGCATCGAAGCCACGCTTGAATTCTTCTCAATAAGAAGGTCCACATTCATTAATAAATTCGACAGCAGGACTGCGATTCGAGATCCAACAGCCACTCGTTCCAATACTACGATTTATCATTCAAAGATGTCTCAATCAGCTTCTCACCACAGCTTTGGCAAGCCTGGTCACATTCTGGGAAGAGAGGTCACATACGAAAAAGACATTGAGGTAGGGTCAATACCTCACGACCACCACAAACATGAAGAAATCGCCGGCCCTCTCTCGATTAAAGATCGCCTGAAGCATTTTACATTCGCATGGTACGCCAGCACGATGTCAACAGGAGGAGTGGCTTTCGTCCTATCCGTTGTCCCAAATCGATTCGAAGGTCTTACAGGCTTAGGCATAGGCATTTTTATCTTCAATCTATTCCTGTTCACGGCAGTTACAATCGCAATGATTTGTCGCTTCGTCATACACCCTGGAACGTTCACACATTCGCTCACAAACCCACACGAAGGTTTCTTTTTCGCTACATTCTGGTTGACAATCGCTACAATACTTTCGAATACCACCGCTTATGGAATTCCAAACTCCGGGCCATGGCTTATCACAGCTATACGCATCGCTTTCTGGGTATATACTGTCTGCGCGACATTACTCGCCATTTTTTACTATCACATTCTCTTCACAGTCAAGAAGCTCGTCCTTACCAACGTCCTTCCGGGATGGGTATTGCCCATCTTCCCAGCCATGCTAGTCGGGACACTCGCCTCAGCCATTGCAAAAACACAGCCTGCTGAGCATGCAATGACCATACTCGTTGCTGGCCTCTCATATCAAGGACTCGGCATGATGGTCGCCATTATGATGTATGGCCTTTACTTCGGCCGTCTTCTGACCTCTGGTCTTCCAGCCGATATGTCTCGTCCGGCCATGTTTATTGCTGTCGGCCCACCATCTTTCACGGCGCTCGCATTCATCGGCATGGCTCAAGATGTCACTGCTGCAAAGATCTTTGCTGGGTACACGACACTCAACGGTATCGTGAATCAAGACCTCATCCCAGATGTCTTGTCTTTGCTTGCCCTCATCGCAGCTATCTTCTTATGGACGCTTGCGTTCTGGTTCTTCGCAATCGCCGTCGTCGCCAGCCTCGAAGCTGTCCAAAGAAATGATTTCCATCTCAACTGGTACGCATACGTGTTCCCTAACGTTGGCTTCACGATCTCGGCTATCAAGATTGGAGAAAGATTGAGTAGCCCCGCGATCCAGATGGTTGGTACAGGAATGGCCGCTGTGTTATTTTTCTTGTGGATTCTGATTGTGATCTGCCACATCAGAGCCATAATCCAGAAGAAGATTTGTTGGCCCGGGAAAGATGAAGATGCGCATTGACAGATCGGGATTTCGAGGTGCTGAGGATTTTGAAGAGGTGGATTAAGAGAACGTCAGTGCTACCTCAGCCTGTCATTACCACGATTGAAAGTCCGCGCCGGCGCGGTCTCGAAGTTATAGTACGTCTCATCCTGTCGTTACCGCTGGGAAGACTTCGCGCCGGCGCTGGTTGGGAGTTTTGATTTAACGTAGAGATAGATGGGCATAGACTGAGAAATAGATATGGGAAATAGAGACGATTATAGACATAGATGAGATATACCAAGTAGATATAGATGACACACAGAGAGATACATATTGATACCACGATTAAAGTTCCTCTCTACAATTCCTAGTAGCCATCCGTTCGCAGTATCTCGAGCTTCTCCGCTTTTTGAATGAGATAGTGGCAAGTGCCATAAAAATACTTCTTGTCTCTTCAGTTTTGAAGACTTCTTTTGGCAGCTCTTCAAGCTCGCGATTTCCGACTCGAGATCTATTCCATTCACGTGCTTTCCACAGCCGCATTGTCTAGAAATGGCATCCCGATATTGTCCGTCACTCGCATAGATGTCGCCACCAGCATGACTCGACGACGAAACAAAGACGTACCGGAAGGTTTCCGTCCCGTTCCGGTCAAGCCACCCGCCTGCTTGGCACGAACTCTATTCCTGCGTCAATATCAACGTCTTTATCGCTTGCCCATTAAGTCTCGTATGGATTTATTTGGAGCTTCCGCTTTTTCAAAGTCGTATGTACTGTACAGAACAAAGCAACACCCCCGCACCTAAACTTGAAGCAATGAGCTATTTACTAATGAAAGCCGTTCTTCTATCCACGTTGATGTTGTTATTATTTGCTGTTACACTTCGCGGAAGCGGAGTTTGCGGTTCAATCTATTTTCATACTCACACTCACTCACTTATCTTTTCATATAGACGGCCCTCTATACCAATCTGTCAGCCTTGAAAACGCCACAAACCTTGTGATACGAGCTGTCAACATTATCCCACATCGTATGCCATATATAGTCGTTGGTTACTGGCTGCAAGGTTCGCTGTGCCACATGCGTCGTGGATGCGCAGTCGTCGACTGCATGAGGCACAGTACGTACGGATGCAAGGAACAAGGTACCATGATCCTACTTGGCTTAGACAAGTGCATCCGATACCTTCTCCATATTGCATAACTTTGCTATTGTTTGCTATGTGAGGGAGCTTCGCTCATGAATTGGCAGTTCCTAGCATTCGCTGCTGGATCAGAAAGACTTACCGTTGCCGATATGACTCTCGATTTCCCAGACACGTCTTCAAGTAAATCAACCTCCACTCAGACTGCCCATCAGATCTCTGGTTCTGATCTTTCAGTTTCCGATATTGAAAGTTCGATTTCGTTTCAATGTACGGAAGTCGGAGCCGAAAAGATCGAGTTTTCAAACTCTCCCCAAAATGCCTCCAGCGAAACTAGTTTCCGTACATCGTCCATTTTGAAATGGTGGCTTCCTGAAATTGTGGCTTCGACTCTTTCTGTTGCAACATTATTTTCTTTAGCTTTAATCCTCCGCCTATATGAGAAACGCAATATTACAGACTTAAGATTACTTTCTTCCTTGACACTGAATGGCTTGATCGCTGTAATATCAACCTTGAACAGGGTCCTTCTCATGGTCCCGGTTGGATCAATTCTCAGTCAAGAAGGCTGGCACTGGTTCGCTGAGAAAGACCAAAGAAAGCGTTGCAAAAGTAGTCTTGGAGATCTCGATGCTTTAGACCAGGCAGCTCGTGGTGCTTGGGGTAGTCTTATCTTTCTGTTTTGTTCCAGATTAAGGCAAGTCTCTGAAACTTCGGACACGATAGATGCTGATATTTGGGAAGTTGGGATTCCGTGGCCGCTGCTGTCATTAGTGTACTATCCCTAGGGTTTGGGGTCTTTATTCAGCAACTTGTGTCTCTCAAAGTCATGGTAATCGAAAGTCCAAACTCGTCCAAAGGTCCGGAAAACGTTCCACATATGAGCATGACGAATTTTGTGCGAAGCACCAATCCCTCCGAATTGACAGAGTGCAATTGGAAGACATTTCAACGAGGCATCAAGGTACATTGGGGCTGGTTTATCCCCCCTGTAACAATTGTTATCTCGTCTGTTGCTCTGCTGGGTATCATGATAGCAAGAACTGCAAGGAGCAAGGTGCGGGTATGGAAGGGCAATCCCTTGATCTTGTTGCTATTCAAGGTAGATGATGAGATCAGGCAGGATGGCATGCGGCACATTCAATCGTATATGGGCGTGGAGAAAGCCATTGGTAACAGGAAAGCTGTCTTGCATGAGAACTCAGATGGGTGTTGGATGTTCCGCGATCCAGAAGCTTGAAAACACGATTCGTTAATTGGACGAAGGCAGGATCTCTGCTGTAAAACAAGTTGGAGGAAATCGAATTTGGAGAAAACCCACACGAGTAGAATTCAAGTGCCTCTACAGGAGCTCCTTGATTCGGCAGAGCCCGCTCACAAGATAGCAACCCCATTTGGAGGAGATGCAACACCACCGGGGACGTTCAACGGCACACTACTAAAGAAGAACGACCACTTACTCAACCTCCGACATTCAGTCGCCAACCTCTGCAAATCAAACAATTCTCCTATCGGCATTCCCCACCCCGCCAACAACCATTCATGCATCCAATGAGTTTTACTCTGGAAGGGTATTGCTTCGAATGCCATCATATCTCCCACAACAGCAGAAAACTGATTATCCCAGATCCACTTGAGACTCTCTTCACAACTCTTGACCCCCATACCTGGCATGTCGGTGGTGGTCGCGTAAGTCTTAGCGCCACCACCCTCAGACTCGAGAGCTTCGAGAGCTTTTAAATATCCACTATGGACGAACAAGATGTCTCCAGGTTTGAACGTAACGCCTTGGGAATCTGCGACTGCTTGAAGATCGGCAACTGTAATCTCTGTAGTTTCCAAGGGTTTGGGCGTTCGGCCTTGGGTGCTGGCCCAGTGGTCGTAGTCGAGAAGAACTCCTCGACCTACGACTCCACCGTTCTCTACCCAAACTAAAACTCGTAAGCCAGACAATTTTGGCTTGTTGGTGGATGATGCTTACCATTAATACCATTCTTGCTCGTTGAATGAATGTCCTCTTGCGTACAGCCATTGAAATAAATCTTGTGATCTTGATATCCTGCCACTCGTATTAGTATCTAGCAATAATATACCAATCCGACCCGTGGCGCCAGAACGTGAATATTACCGAAATGTCTAAAGCCATCCCATTGAGTGCTCGACTGGGTGTTGAGTGTCAAGATATCGTCATTCACAGTCCTCGGCTCTTTGTGCTTGATATGTTGGTGGAATGCTTGCCGACTAAAGCACGGGGTTTTGAGCGCATTCAGGCTCCAATCTGTTGTTATTCGTATGCCATGAACAATTTCCTTTGTTGCTGCAAGAGTGGTTTCTGGGGTAAGGCGATTGAGCATGCCTAGCTCATCCTTCTCTCCATACAAACCCCAAGCATTCCCTCTAGGCCCGCCCCTTTTGAGCGGAAGAGATGAAAAACTGGGTGTTTCGGGCAGCATTTCGATGCGAGTGAATTGAAATCTTCTGGACAATTGGGTATACTTTAATATCGTGACGTCGAAATGAAAGGCATGATGTTGTGAGGCCGGATGCGGGGCAGGAGGGGTACGCTTTGCTCGCTTCGGTAAAGTCAGGGGCGAAAGTGGGATGCGCCAGCAGAACTAGCCCCGGACAAGTCTCCGAAGTTACTTTTCCGAGATTCCTTTTCCGAGAAATTTTAATTTTGACATTGGATCATAAAGAGTATCTTGAATAAGTTGTCGCCGTCTTTGATACGGCTTTCCGCGTCGCTTATATTCGTGTCCCTCAAGGTATAGCTTCCTTGTGCTGTTGCATGACCTGCGACTTGCATGATATCTTGACATGTGGAATGGAAGAGGTACAACGAGGCCTTGAGAGCCACGGTATGTTTGCGGAAGAGATTGAATTGTTCCATCTCTCCATTAGGGTGTTTTTAATGTTTCGTTTCCTCGATTCTTTCAGTTCAAAGGCAATCTCTTCAATTCAAGGCTTACAGTGTGCGATGGCAGGGATTCTCTGCACAGCGCCGCCGGTTGAATGAGAAGCGTTGATCTCCAAGTCCCTGACACTTCTGTTATCTACACCACCAATGGAAGGTGTATCGAACGTTTGGGGGCGCTGTTTAGGCAGCGTTGCAACTGCGTAACCACCCTTCGTAGGCTGAGAATATAAGGCTTTCCAGTAGTTGAAGGCAGAATACCCTCTGACTCTTAGCTCCGCCAGCTATTCATTCCACCTATTCCCTTCTGCACTCTTTTTATATATGAAAAGTAGAGATCTCTGACTTTGGAAACCCGTTATGAAGGTTAGGGGTGAATTCAAGTCTCCATGTTTTTGAGTTTGAAGATAAAGTATTGCACGGTGGCACAGCACAAATCGAGACCCCAGTAATTGTTAAAGTCGTGGGTTTAAAGCTCAAATCTCGCTCAACCTCCAGGGAGCCTACCCCCTACAAGCCAAGCTATCCCAAAAAGCTTGTCTTCTTTGGGGCCGATGTCCGTCTTGGGGGCGATCCAGGCGTACGTGCATAGAGCCTCACTACACTGATGCGCGTTGTCGGCACAGCTATACGCTGCGACGAATCCACAACGTTGAATTTCTATCTGCCGACATGGGTTGGAACTAGCACCCATGGGCCGCAATAACACTCGTTTGTGGAAAGAATATGATCCAACGAATCCAACGACTCAAAATGCCGGTTCCAACCAACGTTGGGTAGGTTACAAGAACACCATCAGCGCTCGCAAAAAACCCTACTTCGACTTTCATCATGCCAGAATCCAACCTATGTTTATGATGAGCGGGTCGCGGTGAATGTAAGGCGATCAAGGCCTCTCTGATATAGATGATTCACAATAATTCTCAGCTTTTCCTGACGCTTCATGCAAACCGTCGCATAGAATCTCTCTTTCCATCTCCACGATTTTCAAAATGGTTTCGTCACAAGTCATCAAAGCTTTGAAAGAGGCGCTACCGTCAGGCCAATTCATTCAGCGCGGAACTCACTCCTACGACAAACTGAACTCATGGTACCTCTCCGAGTTGGAATCCGATCTTCAACCTGCCTACATCTTCCAGCCCCGAACAAAGGAAGAGGTCGTTACTTTTGTACAGACCATCAAGCCCTTCATCGGTGATGAGAAGTTCGCGATCAGGGGTGCAGGATGTCAACCGCTTCCCGGTTGCGCCAATATTCAAGATGGCATTACTTTGAAACTGAGTCATCTGACTGGAATCAGTATCGAGGACGGTATCGTACGGATTGGAGCCGGTGAGCGCTGGGGTACGGTGTATGAGAGGTTGGATGTCGAAGGTCTCGGTGTATGTGGAAGCCGATCTGCAAATGGAGGTATTGGAGGGCTGGCATTAGAAGGTTTGCACTTCGTGACGATCTTTGAAAAGATCTTGCTAAGCGACAGTTCTTAGGCGGGTTGTCATTCTTCTCCAGCCGCGAGGGGTTTATCTGTGACAACGTCCTTAACTACGAAGTCGTTTTGGCCTCTGGTGATATTGTCAACGCAAACGCGCATGAGAACTCCGATCTATGGATTGCTCTTCGAGGCGGTGGAAACAATTTCGGAATCGTCACTAGATTCGACTTCAGGACTTTTAAAGAGGGAAACATATGGGGCGGCACTGTGTTCTATTTTGCTCCAAGCTTTCCAAGCCAAATCGAGGCTCTCGTTGGCGATAGCGTAGCGGATCGGAGCAGTGAGTTTGACTCGGAAGTCAGAGAAGAGCAGTCTGTTGGAGACTCCTGCTTCGGCTGCCAGGGTGTTGAACCTGGTTCTGAAGTCTCGTACGGTCTCACTTGGAAGCATGACCAAGTCTTGGTAAGCGTCTTGCTTTCTTTGCTTTTCGAATGGATCAACGTAAGCTCGAGCTAAGTATTGCAACATTTCCTCTAGCGTCTTAAAGGGGCGACGAGGAGGGTTAATTAGCTTAGAGAAGCGAGTTAAAAGCTGCGTACGAGCTTGGCCGGTAGTTTTGGACAACGTATAGTTTATACGCTGGAATTCGTCCGAAACAAAATCGTTGTAGTACTTAGACGCTTCGAGCTTGGCATGGAGGGCAATAGACTAATTTTCGAACGTTGGATCGATATTGTTATTAAACAAAGGTGGGTCCGGGAAGCGAGAGTTGTATTGAATGGATGATTTACGAGAGGTGGGCTTAAGTGTGAATCGCAAAGGGATGTTATCCCTGGGGTTTTGAGCAAGAGATTTCTTTGTGTGATACGATTTATTTTCTTTGTTTGAAGAAAAAGAATTGTTCGAATCGTTTGATAGAGGAGCTTTTGGGAGAACGCTGGACTGAAACTTAGGCAAGGGGTTAAAAATAGGGGTTCTTTTTTACTTAGTTCTGGGCACGGATTTCGTAATTTCTGGACGATTGGTTCGTGCTCTTTGAAAAACTTGTCGGAGGAGTGCGTATTCTCGTACGTATTTTAGGTCGTCGTTTGGAATGGGGAATGGTTCGCTTGGTGGGTTTAACTGTGTAACGCCAAATTTAATGTCACGTTAGTCTTTTGTTTCGATAAACGGGTAGATGGTTGTAGCACTATTCGAAGCGGTGCTGTGGAACGAAGACGTAAAGGGGTTCCGTTGGGTCGAGTGTTGGAGTATAGTATCGTGGCTTTTAGTAGGGCTTTGTGTGGGGAGTTAAACTTTTAGTTGGTTTTTATATAATATTAGATTAACTAAGGTATCGACGGTAACGGTTTAAGCGTTTTCGTTCGCGAAGGTGTTTTCGATAAGAGTTTTTTCTTTTCTTTTAGCTGACTTTTTGGCTTGAGAGCGCGAAGTGGTCTTAGTAAGTGGATTGGTATCTCTCGTTTGGTAAGAGGGAAAGTAAAGCTTGTCGAATAGTAAAGGGTGAAATATGAGGTTATACTTCTGGTATTATTCTCTGGCCGTAGGTGCTGTAGGTGCCTATTATTCTCACGGCTGTAGATGGCCGCTGCTGGTGGGATATTCTTTGGAGTGCTTTCCTAGGCTAGAGGGGTTTGGTGACTTTTAGATAATGTAATAGCACGGTGGGAAGCTTAATACGTAGACGAAGAATCGATTCGGCTATCTCTTAGAATCTAAAGGTAAGGAAGGAAGAAGGGAGTGGGAGAGCCAGAGTTTATATACGCCAGAGTGAAACATGCTTAAGCTCTAAGCCCGATCCGTTCCCAGGGAGGATCACGTGGAGGCTACCTAAGTGCTCACGTGATCTCTAACCAGGTGATCCAGATCAGGGTGATCCAGGTGATCCGTAACATTGTTAGAGAGCTTCATGACCCGAATGCCAGCACAGATACTCATCTTATGCTTAGCATCGGATATTCTGCAATGTTTAGCGAGGATATCATGTGCTTGAACCAGCCATATTACACCAAGGCAGTCGAAAATCCTGCAGTACTCGATCCCTTCACCAAGATTCAACCACAAGTTGATTCTCTGAATACGATGCGGTTACATAGCTTGAGAGAAGCTTCTCAGGAACAGGCAGCATCAGCCCAAAAGGGAGTGAGGTAGGACGTTCTCTTCAATAGAAAGGCTCGCGGAACTGAATTTGCTTGTAGATGCGCGTATATGAATATCACCGTCAAGGCTGATGCAAACACGCTTCAAGCCGGATCTGCCATCTATACAGCTGGGCTTGCGCCCATCAAGACCGTCGAAAATGGGCTATTCTCATTCACCTTGCAGCCATACCCAATCTCCTTACTAGAAAAGTCTGCATCCGCAGGAGGAAACTTCCTAGGCCTCAAATCTGCGGACGGTCCTCTCGTTTCGGTGCTCTTGATGTCGTACTGGAAGAACAAGGCCGATGATGAGGCCGTGCTGGGATTCATGAAGACTGCCCTAGAGAAGATTAAGCAAGAGGCTGCTTTGAGAGACAAACTTGTTTTTTACTTGTACATGAACTATGCTTTTAGCCACCAAGATCCGATTAGCTCTTACGGTGCTGTGAACAAGGCGAAATTGCAAGAGATAAGTAGTAAGTATGATCCAGAAGGCATGTTTCAGAGAGGTTGTCCAGGAGGATTCAAGCTTTTCCCTTGCATGGGTGTTCAAGACGAGCAAGACATGATGGCAAAAATTGTGTTGACAGTAGACAAACACTAGGTGGCTCAATAATAATCCGATCAAGAGAGATTGTTACGTAATTCAGTTTTGAGCTCAGCCGAATACTTTTGGCTCAGTGGCGGCGGGCATCCACACTCCTTTGATCTGTCCAAGCGATTAGTACCAACTCTTTCGTATTTCCACCGATGATGCTCCCATTACTTATCGGTCATTTCATCATTTTATTAAGAATGACTAAATGAAGTTAAGAAAACCCGTACACAAGGTTGCATTTTGCCTAGGAGCCTAGAGGTGGAGATACAATTATAGACATAACCCCTTTCAATCCTTAAGCGAAGCCCCTAAGTTTAGCGAGTGGGAGACGTGTATTTCGACTTTTTACCAGCTTGAACCCTGCTTCAATATATCTAATATCTATATAAAGACTACGAGTACGTGTAGATTTCTCCATAAGAAAAGTGCCTGATAGTTGCTCAACCTTGCAGTACAGGTCCATGTAACTTGCTGATACTTTTGCTTGTGCACGTGAAATTACACATTTATTCCGACCCGCATCATACTGACGAGACGAAGTACCGCTCCCTCAAGCAAATGCATTTATTGGCCCAGTCTTACGAATTATCTTGACATGCGACATGGTACCTTGGGATCATTGAAACATGTTTTCTTCATTTAAGGCGAAGGAGCGCGAGAAAGGCACGCACACTTACTGAAACCATAGCCGCCGAAAGCATTCATCATTACGGCCGGCTTTAGCATACATCCGCTTGAAGTATCATGTGCTGTTTGGATATTTTGATCTTTTCTCTTAATTTTCAATTGTCGAAACTCGTCTTCCTAACGAACTGAAAAAGTCTTTGATCTATTCTTCAACGGGTTGCACAGATATCGCAAGACCTGCTCGTGAGTAGTAGGCGAGAAACTCAATTTGCAACTATCACTTTTTGGGGCGCTGACAAGAACTGTGAATGCGGATCTACGAGCGGATTTGGAAAGGATTCATTCCACTTCCTTTCGTGGACTGTGCCCCAGACGTGATCTTGGCATCAGATGGCACTTCACATGCGCACGTAAGAGTGCGGCGTATCCTCAAGAAATAAGCCGGTGGATATAATAACAATAGCCAAGAAAGGATTCGCAGTGGGATGGGGCACATACTCACTGTAGATAAAGGCAATGTTTCGATCAGATCGAAACTAAATTGCTTTTGGTTTGTGAATCAGGATTGAGGAACCAGAATCAGGCTTCAAATGCCATTCTGAATCACCACGCTCGGCTTCTCGTTTCTTTTATATTTCCCAAACAACGCATCACTTCAACACAAACCCAGATACATATTCGGCGGTATCAAGAACACCTGCTGACCCCACGATCTCCCTTCCAGAGCCCAAAAACCTATCACGTGTGTACGTACAAGTACCGGTGCAAGGGGGATCTCAAAAATATCTTGTTCAGCCCTGGGCAATCTATTGGCAGTCGCAGCAATAAATCTTGGCCACCCCCAAAAAGCAGACACCGCACCCAATCAGGCACGAACGTCCCGCCACTTTGCAACAAGTTTTGTTGCAGCGCTTGGGGTATCCCAGGGCTTGGCTCGCATCGCGATTTGCACTGCCCCCTTACCTGAAACACTCGGGGGCGCTGCAGGTCCGCATAACACCCGCAACCTTATAACCTGGACTTATTTCCCGGCAGACCACGACGTGCCTTGATTCTAGATTCCGATTTCTTGCATTTCTCTCACGACAAAAAGGAGCCGATTGAAAATTTCGAACGGGACGCTGGATAACCTCGATTCGAAAAGCAGACGAGAAGGGATACAGAGCGGCGCGCATGTGGCGGTGTACTCGAAGACATGGTTAAGCGCTTTCATCAGAAAAGGGGCAGCGATGATGACACGGTAGCGTTGACGGCCATCGACACAGAACAACAATCGACAAATTCGGAACCAGAGTACGAGTACAAGCAGGTGAAATGGAAGGACTTCGTGACGAAGAAGAAGTATATACGTACGTGCAACCTGGTGGAGGGGTCTTGATGCGGGGTATTTGTACTGACGGAGCACAGCATGGTGGATTTTGTTCATTGTGATCAGTGTCCTGGTGGGGTTGATGTCATTGTATCACGATAAAATTGTCGATGTAAGTCCTCATGCTCTGGAATTGATAGAAGAAAGAATGATATACTAATTGCCAACAACAGGCATTAAAACCAGCATCGACGAAGATTAAAGATTTACCGGCGGGTTTCCTCATACCAGTAGCAATTCTTATCATCCTTTCCTTCCCGCCTTTATTCGGCCACGAAATTATTGCTCTCCTTTGCGGTGTTGTATGGGGATTGTGGATTGGATTTGCTATTGTTGCGGCAGGAACGTTCTTAGGAGAAGGTACGACGCCGAACCTCTCACCTTCCATGCATTATGACTAATTTACTTTTCAGTTGGAACGTGGTTTGCATTCAAATACGCATTCAGAAGAAAGGCCGAAAAGTTAGAGAAAACAAATCTCAATTACGCAGCTTTAGCACGCGTCACCCGCGATGGTGGCTTTTGGGTACGTACCCCCTTCCCCTATTCATATTCAGCCAACATCTAACCACTTCCTCAGATTGTCCTCGTAATCCGCTTCTCCATCATCCCCTCTCATTTCTCGACCGCAGTATTCTCCACCTGCGACGTCAACTTCTGGTTCTTCGCCATCGCCACCTTCCTCACCCTACCCAAGCAAATCATCCTCGTCTACGTTGGCGTCCTCCTAACAGAACAAAACACGAACAACACGCTCAATTATCTAGTTGCGGGCGGCGCTTTCATCATCACGGTCTTTGCCGGATGGTACATTTATTCGAAGATGCAGAAAGTGAAGAAAGTTTTGCTGGAAGAGCAGGATGAGAGGAAACGCGCGAAGTTGGAAGCTGCTGCGCCCGCCCCTGCGCCTATGCAACCGATGCAGCCTATGTATTCGCAGCAAACCGGTATTGCGTATTAAAAAGAAAATTGGGAGGTTAGATTTGGCGTTGGGTAGGGTCGGCCGCTCTGAGATGAGCTGGCATAAGTCCTGACGCGAAGAAGTCAGCGGTCAGGCAACGGCCGTTCCGGCTGCACTGTTTATAGACATTCACGAGTATAGCAGCATTGCTGGCGTTTGGGTTGGCATTTGGAGTGTACTGGTACTTGGGATGGGGTGGTTGTATCGTACGAGCGATTTTGGCTTTGGCATCGGAATCGGGCCTTCTGTACTAATAATGTACATGATTTGATGAGCATACGATTCAAGACCTTCAACTTGTTTACTTTCACATGCGTTCCATTTTAGTGTTCTGGTATGCTTTCTTAGTGCAATCTACGCCTTGACTTCTGCTTGCCAATCCATCACGAAACCAAACCAAACGTTACGTGAAACGTGATCACGTGCGGCGTTGCAGTTGCGAGTTTTCCAAGACGTCGAGGCGCCGAGTGGCAATCGTTCCGACTTTTGAGGCTCTGACAGGTTTCAGACGACCAAGAGCTGCAACTTTGAATTCTCAGGGCAAGACCTGGGACTTGTTTCCATCACGCCATTTGTTCTCTTGTCTTGAAATTCGGCGCCCGTGGCATATCGCGATTGGGTATTCAAAGATGAAGGAAGCGTTTTTCGTCAGGTCAGAGGGTCGTTCAAGAAGAATGCGATAGAGCGCTGCCTGAGTTTTCTTGTACTCAGTAGTCGTTAAGTTTGCAGCCGACTTAATGGAGTTACAGAGTGATATCAAGCAGGCATTTAAGCATTTCGTCAAAGTCTGCATTTTACTGGGCTAGCAAGCTCTGTAATGCTCACTTGCTTTTTTGGATGCGAGTCACGAGCACTTTTGCCATAGTAAAAGTGGATTCTACACGTACACATAAAATATTACTCTACTGCCAAATTACAGTAAACGCGGCACTCCAAGAAGTAAAACCAAGCACACGATGGAAACGTTTGCAGGCAGCCGATCCCATCCATCATCTCCCACCCATAACGCCTCGGAAAATCTCGTGGCCATCCTTCAACTTTCTAATGCGATCCTCCAAGAACTCTCTCTGGCGCTTGGACGAAAGTGGCTCCGAGGCAACAGCTTCGGCTTCAGCTTCGGTCATTGCATTGACCACGACTGGAGAGAAGATCTTTTCTAGACCACGAATGATGTGGCGTTCGACTATTTGCGTAGTGACGTTGGCAATGAATGTCTTTTGCTGGACCTATGAAAGTTAGTTAAAAGTGGCACTGAGCAATGCAGTGCGTAGGAAGTTGGGAGTGACGGGAAACGAGCCTTATAAATAGCAAGCAGGCAATCCAGTGCTTCTTCGGATTCAAAGCTTTGCATGTTCCTATCGCGCTCCGTCCAAGCCATGACCACCTTCTCAATATCAACTGTTGAAGTGGTCTCTTGTTGGGCCACTCCTGGTCGAAATTGTTGAGGGACCAACGTGGTCTTGGTGGCATCTCTGACAGTCTCTGCAAGTGCAGTTCGGTGCCTGGTCTGTCGTCTGGCCCTAATGGTATCAGTATAGTAGTGGTTGTAGTTTATTGGATAAGCATTGATCTCCTCCATGATAGTAAGAAGCTCTTGGCCTGCGGTCTCACGACGCTCACGGAGAACATCATTGATCTTGCTATCCCATAGTCGAGATTCGACGTCCATGGGACACTTCTCGTGAATGAGAGTCTTCAAGAACTGAGAGCAGTGGGAAGCAACCTCTTCAATGTGATCAGTAGCAATCGTCTTCCATTTGAATGATTGCTCCCAGAACAATTCACCGATCAGAAGCGGGTTGTAATTGCCAACCAACTCACGACCACGAGTTCGGGCCAGAACAGTGGTAATCCATTTCAAGGCAGACTTCTTCGACATCTCGACAGGAGGGGCAGCAAGATCAGCATATGCTGCCACATTTGGGTCCAGCGGTTGCATCCCGTCATATCCAAGGGTGAAGTGATACTTATGTGCGACTTTACAAAAGCCTTCTGCAAATTGCGTATTGCAACGTTGAACGACAGCCCGAATACGCGAGTTCGAAATTGGATTGTCGTCCGTAAGGAAGTCTACGAGGCCGGGAGTCTTGTGGAAGTATGCGCCTTCGTAATGTCCGTCAACAGCAGCCTTCGCAATCTCGTGAACATCGAGACTCAGTTGCATGAGATATGCCTTGCAGTCCGCAGCAGTAGAGCGGCGGTTCCCCATCATGCTGAGTTGTCCCTGCGCATCATCTAGTGCATCTTGGAGATCTCGACGAAGTTTTGGAAGCTCTGCCTTGATATGCTCGAAGAGGAGTACACTTAAGCGACTTCTGAGGGTAGCAATTCCAACACACTCTGCTGGCAATTGATTGAAGTTGGACTTCCTAAAGAATCTCGACTCGGAGGAATTTCGCTCATTCAAGGAATTGTCGCCGTCTTCGAAAGCACGATTCTTCAGTACATGCCAGCCTAACTTGAAGAAGACGTCTTCATTTTGTGCAAGAGAGATGAATGCTTTCTCGCTGCCGGAGCCGGCTGGGAGTCTATCGGGCTTGGTGATAATGCCAAGTGTCCGGCTTCCCTCGGGATCGTATCTTCTGACCTTGGTAAGGATTGGTTGATTAGCATGATCGTTAGTTGCTGAGATGACCGCAAGACATATGGTTCGGGGTTGGGAGATGTAGTGGTCAGTGATATCAGCTACCATCTTGACATCAGCAGCAGTCACGCCCTTGGTAACATTTGCGATGAGTCCAGGGATATCAACAAGAGTGAGTTGAGGTCGAGTCGGTCCTTCGATTTCAATGCTCAAGACGTCCCGTGCGAACGCTCCCAGAGAAGGATTCGCGGCTCTGTTCTCCTTCATACCTACAAAGGGTAAGTAAAGCGTAGGATGGAGAGTACCAGGAACAATGAGACTCACCCATGGCTCTCATAGCCATTTCCATGATTTCTGGCAACTCATCAAAGTCCGTAATTGTCTCCTCGAAGCTCTTGATCGTTTCTTGTTCATGAGCAGGTCGCTGAGTATCAGGAATGATCTTTACCGTGAGTGAGTTATTGACGGCACGACGAAGGATAATTTCCGTGGCAAATCTAGTGCAAAGGTTGTCATTGCGCGGGAACGGAATCTCCGTCAAAGCTTCGAGGACAGAACTCTTTCCAGCAGACTGGTCACCACATACGACAAGTTGTGGAAGTGAGAGAATGCTCTCAAGTCCGCATTTTCTGACCTGTGCGACAGTGTCGAGGATGCGTCTTTCCTCATCGGTTTGAAGATCTTGAAGAGAAGCAGTGACTTCAATATCTGCATTCTTGGAGCTTTTCTTGCGATGAGACATGATTGAACTGCCATCATCAGTTACAAGTTCTCATACTTCATGAACAGGACTTACTCACTGATAGATTCAAGACCGCTGATACTTGCTTTGTGAGTGAACTTGATTGCTTCAAGGTGAATGGGTGTGGTTTGGGATACTAGTGATTTGCAGGGTAATTATCTGACAAGTAGAACGTGGTATTGAAAAAACCGGATGGCTATGATTGATAAAGTACCTATTTCAAACCAAGTGCTTATACTCATTGAAGACAAAGATCTGCATGATATGTAGGTAGAGCGAGTTCCAGGCCTGACGAAGCCTCTAGAAGTCGCCCCCGTACATGGGCAATGAGTAGTGCCGAGATGACGATGACGATACGTAATATGAATATTTGACAAACCGAAAGTTCTCCACTATGAAGGTATGGAACATGCGATGCATTGAAGAATGCAGCTCGCCGGAGCCCGGAACTCGGAAACCACCCTTCACTCAATAAGATCGTAGTACTTCGTTTGTAAGTGAAAGGCAGACGACGGGATTCCACTTGAAATCAGGCACGTAGAGAATGATCTAGCTCGCGGATCGTGTCTTGAGACCCGATTGACTTAGATGATCTTTCTTGGATGGAGAAATGGGCCGTTTGTGTGGTTTGGTATACCAGAAATGTCTTGAAATTGAACAAGGAACCGCTAGAAATTTGTGATATCCATTTCCAGTCTGCTTTTAGGGGAGTTGAGTTTGATAGAGAAACTTCAGGCAATTATGGTAGCAGAGCTTAGACTACTCAATTCAGAGATTGTTGCTTGGATATGGTGTATCTGACAGTGAAGAATCAATTTAAAAGAAAAGGAAAGCTGAAAATTATTCTGACAGGAACAAGAGCCCTGAAGCGATATAGGGTGCGCTAGGCAGGCGAGCCAGGCTATCTCTTACCCCGCACCTGGGCGGTTACATACGAAACCTTTCTTAGTTCATGCTCAGTGTGGGGTTATTACCATGCAAGGTTGCTTTGCAATCCTCTTCGAAAGAATTGGAAGACGTGAAAGTAAAACTCGAGGACCAGATGTGTTTTGGCAAAGGAGAGTAAAAGTACCGGATTTTTTACTTACTCGTTACTGATAGCCCGCACTTGTGCGCCGTGTTCGCTGTGCGGTAGCGAAAGCATATTCTATTTTTCTTTAACCAATTCAACATTTACTCAAGGACGAAGACACTGCAAAAGAAAATCGGAAACCATGGACCATGGACCATGGTCAATGTTCTATGGTGTTCACACAGGGATAAGAGCTCCTAGTCCATCGTAATGACTGCCCTGAACCTCACAGTGCCTTTCAACATAGCTTCTGTGTTCTTGTTAGTCAGTGTAAAACTTAAATGGTAGACCTCCTTACGATAAGCTTCATTGGCCTTTTCAAGTGGGAATTTTTCAATCATGCAATTGATATCTTCCATCTCAGTGAACCGAATCGCATCCTCCGAGTCAAGCGCATGACCAGAGGGCCATACTTGGACCGAAAGTCCGTACTTAATCTACTCCCGAGTCAGCTTCTTACCAAGTCATAAATTTCAAGTGCTTGCTTACCATAACCAGAGTGTCAACAGATACCTCACCCGGTACTGTAGTAATTTTTAGCTCAAACCGAGTCAACTACAGCTTGACGAGAAACCTACCAGATAGAATGAGCAATTTCCCCAAGACACCTAATCCCTTAAGCAGAGGTTTGATTGCATCTGCACTAGGAGCCGTAGACACAATCAACGACGCTCCTCCCAGTTTCTGTAATGCTTTAGCAACATCAAGTTTGCTTCCATCAATGTACTCATGAGCGCCAAGCTGTCTTGCAAATTGCTCCTTGTTGGAGTCTCGAGAAAGAGCAACAACCCGATAACCAAACTTGTTTGCGTACTGGATTGCAAGATGGCCCAGTCCGCCGAGACCTTGGATTGCGACAGTAGAGCCTGCAGGGACATTCATGTTGCGCATTGCATTGAAGACAGTTACGCCGGCACAGAGAATGGGGGCATATTTGGCTGCATCGACGTGAGACGGAACTCTAACAGCAGCTTCAAAGCGCAAGGTGCAGTACTCTGCATCTATACGATGGCTGATTAGCATGGTATTGATGGTATTGGCAGCAAGGTGACTTTACATACATCCTCCATCTTTTGTGAATCCATTAACGGCAGGATTGTCACACATCTGGAAGTATCCTTTCTTACATGCATGACAAGTACCTGAAGCGCAAATATGTCAGCAATTTGTACAGTAAGTTTGCGTTTCAAGATCACTTGCCGTCGTGGCCTCCATGCCAAGGTCCTCCAGCTCGGTCGCCGGCCTTCCATCCAGTGACACCATCGCCTACAGCTACGACGTATCCAATAATCTCATGGCCTGGTACAATTGGGCTGTTTAAAATTGTGTTAGCGAGTGGACTTTTCCAAGCAGCATGCCTCTCGACCAAGAAACATGGAAGAGTGAACCTACTATCCAGCAGCACTGTTGTTCTGCGAAAGTCCATCTGTGTAGCAGACACCACAAGCTTCGACCTTGATCAAGATTTCGTTCTTACTGGGAAGAACCAGATTCGTCTCCTCAATCACTAAGGGACCGCCAGCCTCTCGGAATGCTGCTCGCTTGTAAGTTTTTGGGAGGGACATTGTGGCAGTTGAAAGTTGGTTGAGACTGGAAAGAGAACTAGAAATGGTGCGTTGTAGAAAATAAATGTTTGGGCTGTCGACTCAGTATATATATATTGTTATGTGCATGGACCTGAGAGTGTAATCCAGATGACTTCACGTGATGACCAAAAGGAGTTCCGGAGCTGTGCCCATAAGGAGTTACGGACACTCCACACAAAGCATTTGTAATGTCATTGAGAACATGCTTCGCTGTGTTGCTCGATAACTGCATGGTGAAGAATATTCGGCGATAATAAGAAGCCGAAAAAAGAATTATGCCCGATCGGTTTACTGTTGCGAGTGTTGTGAGTGGAATTCCACCTCTGAGCCCAGCCCCTGAGCTAAGCGAGGTCAGTAGCCTCGAGGATGTCGTCTAACTGCAATGCAGAACGTTCCATATCCGCGAATAAATTTTATTATTCCAGATCTAGAGAAACATAAAAGTGATTAAATGTGATGATATTTTATTCGAGGTCTTTGAGATACTCGTTGCATTGATTGCTCGAGCATGTCACCAAAGGCCCTTTGACATCTCGCTTAAGCATAGAGGTAGGACCACTTTAGGTAGACATAAACACGTACATCTGTATTTATCAGAAGTGAAACTGTCAAGTTTCCCTCTGAACGCTGTGCTCCTGTACCTGAGCAGCTTCGGAGTGTAAGCAGATTGTCTAAGTTCACGTGACACGTCCCTATTTAAAGTCCGACGGACAAGAGGGGGAACTGCGGGGATAAGATTTTGATAAGAATTCTTACGGTCGTAATCCTTCACCGCACTTCAACTCTGTATGCCAAACAGCACACTGAATGACCAATCCATCAATAGATTCAACGTGTCTGTTGCTGCCTATTACAGATTAAGGACGCTTCCCATACTATGTTTACCACGTTCATTGCCAAGTCCCCAGTCGAAGAACCTACAAGGGGCAGATTGCCCGCTAGAAAAAAGCGTGCTCAAGTTGCGAGAGCCTGCCATTGGTGCCGTGTCCATCGAGTGAGATGTGATAGTACATATCCCTGTACGAGCTGTCGAAACAGAGGAATCTCGTGCAGAAGTGAAGCAGTAACAGAGGCACGAACTCTTCCCCAGGCTATAATGTCCGTGTCGTCCCACCCATACTGATACGGCCATTCGCTGATTAATCCCAGAGAAATTGAGGAGTTGAAGCAGAAGGTCAAGGAGCTGGAAGGAAAGCTGGCGCATGAAAAGCAAGCTAAACTCCGAAGGATTCCTGCAGTCCCGCCTACTCCACGTTTGCACGATTGTTCGAAACCCCGTAGCGGAACAGAGGCCTTCAACCAGCATGAAATCGGGAAGAGATGCTGGGAAGGCATTCATGCTCGAACCGCACGTGGCCAGCAGACTCAATGGTATGGTCCATCATCCACTTTCTACTTCATTGGTCGCATGAGCACTTACCTCCGCTCGATCCTTCCATCACCTTTGCTGGACGAACAAATACAGCCAAACTCGGCAAGTAGATCTTTTGCCAGTCCCATCTACTCTAAGAAAGTAGTCTTAGAGGACAACACTTGGACAAGGGATGCTTCAGCTCGCGAGGAATACTTAACCGGGATCCAGGAAGAATATTTTCTGGGAATGTTCTGGCATTCTTATCATTGCACATATCAAATCCTCGATGAATCGGAATTCAAGGAGCATTACAAATCTCTGTGGACATCTGCTGGACACACTCGAAGACCCTCCGCTCTCGTAGACATTGTTCTGGCTATCTGCATGCAATACGGGGTTGCATTCCTCCCACAAAGCTGCGCCGGTATCGAAAAGAAGACTAATGTGGATGTCACTGATGCCACTATTGCCGGTCGTTGGTACTATCACCGATGTCAAACATTGTTGACCGCCGAGCTTGAGAGCCCATCCATCTCCACTCTTCAGTCTCACATCCTCTCTGCTATCTATCTCTGCAACGCCTCGTTCCAGAACATGGCTCATACCACTTTGGCTACAGCTATACGCATCGCGCACATTTTAGGGCTTCACCTTGAGCCTCCTGAAACCATGCCACGAGTCCAGCGAGAATTAAGGAAGCGTATATGGTGGACTCTATATACTATTGAGAGCAAGACAAGCATGAAATTGGGACGTCCTGCAATTGTGCAACCGATTGACTTCATGTGCTCCCTTCCAGCAGACAAGCATGCCGTAGCATCAATTTCAGGGTCAAATTTCGCACCCGTGGACGAACGCGTTTCATGGCTGACCTACGGGGTTCAGCTTGGGAAGTTAATCCTTGCTGCCAGAGAGACTTACCTGTCGTTCTACACCAAATGTGATGAAATCATGGCCGCCAATAACTTCAACACTATCTACAACGATCCTGAAGTACTGGAGAGTGCTGCTGACTTCATCAAGTCCAACATGCAACCATTAAGCCAATGGCGAGATGATGTTCCTGAGGCGTTGAAGACAAAAAGAAAAGATGCAGGAGAGCGATTCTCGACAGATCGGTCGCCGCTGGAGGTCCAAAAATTTGCGCCTCTCTGGCTTCAGCGACAACGAGTCTTCCTCGAACTCCTCTATCACAACCTAAGCATGAACCTCTACCGACCATCCATCTGCTTCACGCCAGCTGCTCACGATTCAACACCAGCAGCAGACGCGCACTCGGTAGCTTGTGTCAGCCACGCAATGAGCATAACTGCCATCATGCATCAATTGGTGACTGAGACTGAAATTATGAACGGTTGGCACGAAGCTTTTCAATGGCAGTGGAATGCGAGTCTCTCCACCATTGGATTTATCCTAGCGTATCCAACACATGATACTGCAATCGTTGCTCGCAAATTAATCGAAGATGCCATCAGTGTACTTGAGCTTCTTGGAAATCATTTTGCTATAGCTGCCAGTGCTGCCACTGTAGCTCGGGACCTTGTTGCTAAAGCTGACTTTCTCATGAATCGGCACAATGGCTTAGCATTAAAGGATGCAGACATGTTGATTGGCCCTGATCAGCTTGAAAGGAGTCATGTTGATGCTTTCACCAATCAGCAAGACAATATGTTCTTAGAGATGGACTCGAACAGCTTCGCAGGATCAATGGACTTCGCGTTTTCTCACAGCTTCGAATGGCTTACTGCGGACAGTAGTAGCATTGCTGATAACTGGAAGTTTACACAAGACTAATTCTAGTGGCTTCCATGGTAGGCTACTATCAATCTACAAATAGTTGAGAGTCCAGCGGGCAGGTGACCGTAGCAGTATGGATGCATTGTGACTCCACCTTCGAATTTACTCACTTCTACCTCTCAATGCCCTGAAAGCCGAATTTTCCCTCTTCAACAGATCCAGCGGCTCACCTACTTCTACGACCCTCCCACTATCCATAACAACAACTCTATCCGCGTCAAGAATAGTGTCCAGTCTGTGCGCAACCGTGAGGATCGTGTATTTCCCAAACTCCTCTCTGATCAGCTTCTGCATCAACCTATCAGTCTCTGCATCGACATTGCTAGTTGCCTCATCCAACACTAAGATCCTGTTGCCGGATTCATTGTCATTGCCACCTCTCAGCATCGCTCTTGCAAGACAGAAAATCTGCTGTTGGCCTTGAGAGAGAGGATTCGCGGACATGTCGGCATCGAGCCCTCCGCGAGACGACAGCAAAGGCCAAAGATTGACCTTCGTTAGAGCAGTAATGATATCAGCGTCCAAGGATGTGGATTTCGGGTCTGCGTTGAGCCGTACTGAGCCTGCTACGATGAATGGATCTTGAGGTATGGCCGTGATTCGTGTGCGTACGGTCTCTCTGGGTAGCCTGGAAAGGTCCAGATCATCGATTATTATGGTTCCTGCTGTCATGTCGACGAGGCGAAGAAGGACGGACAGAAGGGTGCTCTTGCCACTGCTAAAATTAGGATGAGTCAATGGAAACTGATGGGATAATTTACCTTCCAGTTCGACCGCAGATTCCAATCTTTTCTCCAGCCTTGATTGTCAAGGATATGCTTCGAAGAGCAGGGTTATCTCTGATAGGAGGTTAGCTTGAAAAACAAAGGATGAGTCGTAATTACCCATATGACGCAGACACGTTCTTGATGTGGATTTCGCCATGTGTAGGCCAATTCTCGGAGGGCTCGAAATTCTCTTGTTCTTTGTGCTCCGACTCCGTACTGTCCTGAAACCCTTTCACTCGTGCCACTGCCCCAAGCGAGGTTTCTAATTGGGTCCAGAACATCATCAACAGTGAAAGGGAGGAATTGAAATTGACAATTGAACTGAGCGAAACACCGAGACGTCCACCACTCGTCGTTTGTGTCAGGTTTGTGGCCAGCGCCATGACAACAGTTGCTGTAACACCGACAATCAGTAAGAGAACCAGATTGAGCCATCTCTGGATGCAATAAAGAAGATAATATGGCCTCTGAGATGTGTCGAGTCGTTTGATATTCTCGCGTATGAAATGATGCTGCCAGCCAAACGCACGGATCGTAGAGAGTCCTTCCAGGGTCTCAGTGAACTGTGTGAAGAGAGGACTCTTGCACTCTAGATCAAGAAATCTCATTTGTCGCGATGTTCGAAGGTAATACTTTTGAAGAAAATAAGCCGCCACGAGGAGAAGAGGACATGTGAGGGCCATGTAGCTCGACCCGATTGCGATCAATCCGAATTGTGCAAGGCATTGCCAGCTAGCTATAAGGAGAAAGAGAATTAGTGAAACAGCTAAGTTGAACAAGTGAGTTGATTGAAATACTTACCTGAAGACGCCATGACCGCAGCAGCAGGGAGACTTCCATCGATCAAAGTCATATCTTGACTGAAACGATTCAAAATGAGGCCCGAGTCTGTGTTATCAAAGAAAGCTTGTGGTGCGCGCATGACAGAGTTCAGGAGGATTCGATGCAGACTAGCTCCAGATCTCGGGGTAATTTGCATATATAAAGTGCTGATCAAATCAGATATTGCAATGACTAAGTACATTGTAGAACTTACTAAAGAACCATAGTTGCTGCTGAAAGAGCAATAACGGCGCAAGCAGCATATACCGAGGCAAACAGAGGAAGACTTTTGACTATTCCCTCGGCGTAAAAGTTGAGCCAAAGTGCTGCAGTTAGGGTTAGTGTCCTCTCTTGATACTACATCTCGGACTTACATGGAAATTGATTTCCTAGCATGTAGGTGAAAGACGACGTAAGATTCCACGCCACAACTTTCCAACCAATGGAGCAGAAATAGTACTTGTACACAGCAACGTCGCCTATTTGCCGACTCAAATCGCTCGTGTCTGGAAGCTGAACGGCGGCCTTGGACGCTTGGGCTTTCCCTTCCGCCGCTGGACCAGCATCAAGCCCTCCAAGAACGCCCGGATGAATGATGAGATTGCTTACGAATCCACCTTGAGATCTGAGCTGTTCGAACGCCCCTTGTTCGAGGACTGCACCGTCATGGCCAAGCACGATGATATTATCTGCCAATGGGAGGTGGTGAACTGTGGAGCGAGAGAATTGAATCAGCAGTGTTACTGACATGATCTGATTTACTTACTCGCATGTGTCGCCAAAACCACAGTGCTTCCTAGCTTCTTAAAGACTCCTTGACTGCCCAACAAACGTTCTACAACTTGGTGCTCCGTGGCAGCATCAATGGCACTGAGAACGTCGTCAAGAACAATGAGATCTCGTCGAGCATATACTGCTCTCGCGAGTGCCTACAAGAGTTAAATGATGAACATAGTTTCATTGGGTATACATACCAGTCTCTGTTTCTGGCCGCCGCTAAGCGTCACACCGCGGCTTCCGATGAGCGTATCATCTTGGTCTGGCAACTCCATAATATCCTGGTCGAATGCGCAGGCATGCACAGCTGTTCTATACCACTGCTCATCTCCCTCGGCATTCCCCGCGGGGCCACAGATGATATCTCTGACTGTAGCATTCTGAAGCCATGGGGTTTGACTGCAGTAAGCCGAGTCTTGTGAGTACGCCGAAATAGAACCACTGTCACAGCGAAGCTCTCCAATAATAGCCTTAAGCAGGGTGGACTTGCCAGATCCGACTACTCCAATGACCATCGTTATTGAGCCCTTGACAGCCTGAAAGCTTATGTCGTGAAGTGCTGGTGGTGCAGTCACGGCGGGGCGGATGGTTGCGTTTTGCACTGACAGAGCGAGGTCGTTGGACTCTTTACTGAGATCTTGCAGTTCGATGACGTTGTCCGTGTCAGATGACCTTTCAGGCATGTCGGAACGTCCCCTGCTAAGCAGTCTTTCGTCTTCACAGTCCTCGTTCAGGAGGAAGTTCTGGATTCTATCCAGACAACCAGTTGACATTCCAATCAACGGAAGCGACATAAGGAACTCGGATGCTGGTGAGGTCAAGAGAGTGATGATTGAAAGTGATGAAAACGTTTCGCTTGTTGATAACTGCGAAGTACCTTTTGCGGATGCTTGTATCGCATATATGACAAAAGTGGCTAAGGGTCCGAGAATTGGTGGCAGGAAAGCTGTTCAGTCAATATTTGCAGCTCCGGATTCGAAGAAGAGACTTACACAACATCATTCTCCAAAGTCCCATGACTCTGAAGTGCTTCGAAAGATCGAGCTCACGAATCCTCTGGTTTTGCAAGGTGTCGGTAAGAAAGTTGGATAATCCCATCATCTTGACGCTTTTCATAGATCCTAGCATCGAAGAAGTCATGGAGACTCTGCGCTGGATGGCAGTAACCCACTGACGTTGCCTACCGCCAACGAGTTTAGTTACCCTGCTTGAGGCAACCACAGAGACTGGAAAGTGTCAGCATAAGGGAGAAGAACAGATGGTGATCAACCTACTGATGGTCACGATAATCGGTGCCACACAGACCCATCCGAGTCGCGTAGCCAGCAGCCAAATGCCGATGCATAGCTCGATGAGTCTGGGTACTGCTTCACAAAGCGAATCGAGACTAACAACGAGGCGGTCGATGTCGGTACCCATCAGTGTGATAGAGCGGGACTCATCCGCGAGGTCAGCTTGCATCTTCAATGTCTTGTCATAGATGAGTGCAATCATTCCGCCTCTGAATTGCGTGCATGATCGATAGATTTGATGTTGATAATGAGTCGTACAAAACTACTGCGTGTGAGATCATAGACCATTTCATGGGAAAGCGTACTTACCGTGATGCCAAGATAGATCAAAGCGGTGGCGCCAATCAAACCGTATCCATTATTCTTGTCCTCAAGGGCTGCAGGCTTTGAGACGTAGATGATGGCGCTGCTGATGAGGAATGGTTGAGCATAATTGAATCCAATGAGACACAGGCGGGGAAATACGATTAGAGCCAATGAATATCTCAGAGAATGAAATACAGCATAAGCAAGAGCCCATCGTCCTGAAGAGCGATCTGTTCTTGTTAGCGATGTAAGCTTTTGAGCTGGGGCACATACATTTATTCCACGACTTCTTCATCTCTTCGCCCAGCGGCTCAGAAAGAAGAGCATTGTCTGTCACGAATAGATCATCAAGAGTCATAAGTCTCCGAAATCCTGTGGCAAGCATCGGATTCAGCCACCAAAAGAAGCTTCTGCCGAAGACCCCACTTGTGGATTCTGGCGGGTAGGTACTGTAGGGCGCCCGGAGATATTTGCGTTTATTCAAGCTCTCAAGTAACAGGAGGACAAGCTTGAGGCCGACGCTTGTAGTGAAGAGACCTAAGATGGCTGACTCATCATGCCTGAGGAACAGGGTGCGGACTTGAACAGCATCAAAGGCAACTGATACCAAGAGGTAAACAGACAATAACGATGAGGGCTTGATAGAACGATTATGCTCAAGACGCGATAATGGTAAGACCAGCACCGAAGCCAGAAACGAAAGCACCGCAGAAGGAACTGTGGCGCGCGTCACTCGATATGTGCTCCATAGTACCAATAGTCCCAATTGGATACCGAGAAGAAGTAAACATGTAATCTGAGTCTATTAGCATATTACTCGGTCCAGATGCCTCTACATACAGCCTTGAAAGTGCGGTATCGATTTGGAATCGTTTTTTTCTTGGATTTAAAGAGGCTGGTTAACCTTGGAGGCGCGGCCAGGAGGAACAATGCTGCAGGTCCAATTGAGAGGATGCTTTGTTCGAAGAGAAGCGTGAAGTCGAAATTTGAGCGACATCCTTGGACAATTGGTCCAAATGCATTGTCACTGCTCTGAAGACAACTCGATGCCATGTTCACAAGGATTTAGGCAGCAAGCAGGTCCTTGACGACCAGTCTTACGATATCTTCAATCGAAGCGAGAACCCAGAATCCAGTCGGAGAAGGCCAAGAATGAGGCTGAAAGAACTTGAACTTGTAAGAAAGGTGAGAGAAACCATGTCTAGGAGAACATTGAAGGAAGGCAGGAAGGAGTCAATCTCGCATGCATGTCACGTCGGGATAAATATGCTCCGATAAGCGTGTACGCACTAGGGCGGATCAGGGAACGAACTCGTTACATTAGCCGAGCCCCTGTCCGCGTTCCTTTATCCAATCACTCACTTCCCATCCATTTTCAAAAGAGCCAAGTAAGCTGACACAACCTCCTTCACCTGATCTTCATAGCTTTGGAACTTGAAACCATAAGCCTTCTCCGTCTTTGACGCATCGAGCTTGATTTTGACGCTTTGCGCAGCTTCGCCCTGTGTTTTGAAAACCTTCTCGCTCTCTTCAGGGAAATGCTTCTTCACAATAGCGAAAGCGTCAGTCCACTCCATGCCTTTTTCTCCCTCGGAAGCAGCGATATATCGACCTGGAGGCACCGATGACTTCAAACCGCCTACGTGGAGCTTTGCAACATCAGAGAGGCCCACGGAGGAACCAAGAGCGGCATTTTCTGCTCCTCCTTCAACAAGCAGGCCGATGATGCACTTGTTCGTCGTGTTGTTAATATAGTCTTCTGGCTTGGTGGCTCCATGATCGTTGCCGACAATCATGCTTGGCATGATGAATACAGTTTCGAACTTGGGCTTCTCCTTGTCTAGAAAATCCTGTGCGGCGTCAAGTTGCATGGCTTTGCTAGCAGCATATGCTAGAAGATCGTGGGGAAAAGTGGTCTTCATGTCGTAGTGGCAAGTTTCGTCGTCGGCTTTACGCTGTCAGCTTGATTCCCAGTCTCTCCATGCTTGGAGTCATGCATGGAATCTTACAGCGGAAGACGTTCGGAAGATTTCCAGATAAGTAATCCATGATGGGAATGTACACCCCAATTGTGGACGTGATGACGACTCGTTTCACATTGGGATTATCGCGAGCCGCCTTGAGGATGTTGAGAGTCATGTCAATGGGTGGACGATAGTAGTCCCGTTCATGGTTATCACTCTGAAGAAAGGGTCAACATATATCATCTCATGTACATTTTGAGACTGACGGGATGTGGAACGACAGAAGCAACGTGAATGATGTGGTCGACACCAATCATGTAATTGTGGAATGCATTTGGGACTGTCAAGTCTGGAATGACTACAAAGTCGATCTTGGAAAGGAGTTCTGGGTTGCTAGCGAAGGCTTGCTCGACTTTTTCGATGTTCTCCTTCTTCCGAATCACTGCTCGCACTTTGTATCCAGAGCTGAGAGCTTCACGTGAAACGGCATGGCCAACAAGACCGCTAATGCCAGTGATCTAATGCAGGTTAGCGAATTCCTAATTCCATTCAAATATTGGACTCACCAAAACAAGTTCTTCAGACATAACGAGGGAATCAAAGCTTACTACAGGCGGAGTGATTAGGTTGAAAGGTCAGCTATCTATGAGAGGAGTACTTCCATGTTTATATATTTTCTTGCGGCCCAGCAGATGTGCCAATGTTGAGCTGACATCCACCGAGGCGGTCGTAACCTGTTGGCCAATCGAACGATTGAGAAGGATTTCAAACCAGTCCCAAAACTACCTACTCTCGAGGTGGACAGGAAAACCCGGACTAATTAAGCGATGGGTCGAGCAACACACTCTTTTCGACTCTGAATTTCAACCTGTTAGAAAGACCGAAAAAACAAAAAAAAAATTGTACTCTTGGATAGCTGAGATCTGGGTCTCTTATGGAGTGTGATTTCCTAAATATGCGTCGAGTATTGACAATTGAGTATTATTCTAAAGCGAGGGAAGTTTTTCTTGAGGTATTTCGTCCGGGTTTTTTTGTCCACCGCGAGCTAGTCTGGCTTGTTTGTATTTGCGGGAGGAGTGAGATTCCGGAACTCCGGTCAGATGACCAGCAATCCTTTTGTTGAAGATGAACCGCTCGTCAAAACTGTCTACAAGCTCGCCAGTGAATATTTTAATAGACAGGCATTCGTTCTTCGGTAGAATGTACTCTCTCATATAGCAAGAAGCTATTCCAAAGACATGAGAGAATGTCCACAGAGTCACGTGTCATGGACTCGGCTCAACCCGGATTGCGGGATTGTAATCTGTCTCCACAAGACGCACTTAAAAGTTAATTACAAATTCGTCACTTCCAAAATGATTAGTTCTGATCATAATGTAATCCTGCACGGAAAGATAATTGTGCCAGACTCCGAATAGGAACCCACTCGATGCCCTAAAGTCCGATGGACTAGAAACCCTCTCAGGATTTCCTGATAACATCTCCAAAACTCTCAAAAACAACTCTCAAGGGATGTACAGAATCCCAAAATCTTTTGCTAGCTTTTCCATCACCCGCTATTTCAACACTAGCCTAAATCACGACTGCCAAGAAATCTACAGAAGAAATAAAGCGGCAAGCGCCACAACTGGAAGTCCTACAACGCTCTTCCCAGTCATCTTACCAGCACTACCTTTAAATGGCACTGGACTCTTACTCGTTGTTGGATTGCTTGTCATAGGACTCCTGCTCAGCGTAGCAGTTACGTTTCCTTCTGCACTGCCCACAGTGGAGGGCTTGAAGATAAAGATGGCCTCGGGATCTCAGAAGCTGGTGAAACTTCTTTGGCTGTCGTTCTGATAGGACAATCAGCAAGAACTCCCTGAAAAGGACAAGAAAATAGCTCACGTGGTAGCTAAGATAGGCGCTAAAGACGAGGAGAGCCTGGCGAAGAAATTAAAGGTGATTTGCTCGAGATCGACACCGAAGTGCTGACACCAGAAGAGGTCTGCCTGTGAAGAACTGTCAGATCGGTACTTTTCGTGCTCCAATTGAAAGCACTTACTGTCTTGTTGATAATGTTGATGTTGTCACGGCTGAGGTAGTATTGCTCAAAGATGGTGAACCCAAGATACTAGGGGCGCGGGCTGTCGTTGATCTGCGACTGGTCAGCATGAACCCCTCAGAGCGAAGGACGGAACGCATACGTCTTATCAGAAGCGCTGCTTGGTAGAGCAGATTTCGAGGTCGTTAAGGATGAGGTGAACATAGTTCTGAAGATGTGAGGACTTTCCCAACGGTATATTCCCCTTCGATGAGAATTACTCACGTGCTGCTACTTGACGGAGCAAATTTCAAGCTCGAAGAAGTGGTAGAAGTAGTTCTTACAAAGTCAGGTCTTGTAACGACGTATAACGACTTATCTCGTCGCGGCTAGAGTACTTACGAACTATAAAAAGTTGGTGATGTTGGGACGTCTTTGAAGGGTGAAGTGGTGCTGCTAGTCGAAAGCCCGCTGAGCAAATTTGTCTGCTTATAGACTTTCAAGCTGTTGACCCTCCAATACGCTTCAGCATATGCCTGTGGATTGGCACCAACATATGTTTCGCATGAAGCATATTTGGTTGGATTGTTCTTGTAACAGCTTGTCTGTTGCCAGAATGTTGACTGATTCCCCCAATCTCCACAAAAATCCGTGTTGAAGATAATTTGATGCTGCGAGAATGCTTTGTCAATGGCACACGTAGTGATGTCCGTGAATGTAACTGGAAGCCCCCAGGTGTCAGGTATCGGAACCCCCAATGTTATGTCTGCCGGAATGTTTCCACGCTCCCAATTCCACACTTTGATTGAAGTGTTTGTCCATTCCATGGCATATACCCCACCTCCTGCAGCATTGAAGGTCTTCCCGTACGAATTTGGGTCGGTATTGGTGGCTGAGCAACCCTGTCCACTGTATTGGCTACCGTAGTTACTGAAAGTTGCTTTGTCGTTGCAGTTATACGTAGTTTGAGTGCCGGTCTGCTGCTTGCCCTTTTGGTTTCCGACCACGCTGCAAGCTATTGCCCGGGAATCACTAGTATGGAAGGTCGACGTGCCTACTGTATTCTCATGAATGTTCTCGATGATGTCAATTTCACCAGAATTAGGCCAATTTGCCTTGTTGGTCGTCCAGAAGGCTGGCCACAATCCACAGATACTTCCAGGCATGTGAGCAATGTCGACAATGAAAAGCCCATGAGTATATACTGCGTTCGATTCCAATCTGACACTAGCTCGGCCTGTTCTCCCTGGTGTCACAGTATACGTATTTGTCGTATCAACGCCGATATAAACAGAGCCATCCGGATAATAGTCGACAAGTTTGCTTCCAAAATCTGTGGAGTTGGCTTGAGAACGACTGATGTATTGAACAAATCCATGTGATTGGTCCCTGTCCTGGATGATCGTTAGTAGTGGATGTCAAAATCAAGAGGAAAGCTTACTAGAGAGAAGGAAAACTTGTTGAAGAATGTATTTCCTTGATACAAATCTGCATCGTCAAGACTGTAGGGTATAGAAGCGATTGTTGCAGACGCGAAGGTCAAAGCTAAAGCACTGCTCTTCACAAACCATGAACGCATACTGATTAAAAGACAGAAATTAAAAGAGAGACTGTTGGTTGAACTTGAAAACGTGTACTCAATGAAAATTTTGATCTCAAAACCACGATCGAAGGTGGGAAACAAACCACTTTTGGATTGCTGAAATAAATTGGCCTAACCGCTGTGCTTTTGACGGCTATATGGAACTTTGATTAAAGAAGGGCTGAGCTTCTGAATTCCATTAAAGCCCCTTGAAGGGCGCGATAGTGGTGCCTAGATCAAAATGTTGGACATACTTAAGAAGATCGTGCTGGTAGGGCCAATGATCCATGACCATGTAAATCTTCCCGGGCTCTTGAGACACAATAAACAGCAAATCTAAATCTTGAATTCTGCCTGAACCTAAATCTCACCACCATACTTTATAGTAAGGCATCATTCAATGAGAATGATATAAGACCAAGATGGCTGATGTTAATTGCATAGCAGGCAGTGTTGAGTGCATGGATCAACAAACGTGGGAGAGTAATGTCGCTGGCAGGTGCTCAATCGCTTGTTGAAGTGCTGTGGTGACTGACAATTGATGCAAGCAGGCGCAGGTGTTTCGCGATGTCAAAACGCATGAAATATAAACCAGTTCCTTCGGACTTCGAAGAGGCACTAAAGATCACGACGACGAGAACTCATTTCTCACTGGACTGAAAACTTTTCATCTGATGTACAGCCTGAGCTGTGCCTCTGTCGAAATGAGTTTGTACGATAGATCTCATATCGTTGTTGTTCCTGAGTGCCTTGCAGCGTGCATAGGCTAATGTGGATTGACGGTGCGGTGCCTCTCAGGTACATCCGGTCAACACATAGAGTCCACTGCGGTCAATAAAAGGAGAGAAGGGCGTTCGTGATGATTTCTAGGTAATGCAGGTAAGGCACTGGAGCGGCTCCACGGCTTAGAATTGGGGCCGAAAACGGAAGAGCTGACTCGATGGAATATTTGTTGTTGAGATGAGTGTTTGATCCCGACGATGACGAGTCGGAGGCAGACGCTAGGAAAACCCACGTGAGAACTATAATATGTTCCATTTCAGTACATTCGATTTGATGAACATATCTTCGTGAGCAACAACTGACCCTCGAGAATTCGAAAACAGCCGATGGAGCAGTCAAGAGGTAACACCATCTGAGCTCACGTGCTCGGGAGCACGTGATGAATATTACAGCTGCCCGGGGAGTTGCTCTCCTTACTGAGCACCAGGCGACTTAGTGTACCATGTCTCAGGTGAATTTCATCTCATGCAAAGCGAGGTTGATCTCAAGATTCCTTTGTTCAACAACGATGAAAACAAAGTCTGAGACAAAGGTTTTAGAGACACTAAACTCTTGTGTGAAGCTTGTATATACTGTCGGTCACTTGACCATTTCAATACACTAGATCGTGGATACTTGAACAAGTACTTCAGCTTATGCCTTGTATTATGTTGTGAAATAGTTCTTGGCTAGGTTTTAGGCTACGCTGAGTAGGCGGTGCGTGTGGGGCCATCGGAAAGAACTCGTTTGCGCCATATGCAAGGTCCAGAACGACAACAGAGCAGTGGCTCCATTGAAACATGATCCACTGTACTACGAATCGAATCTGAACTATGAGAATTGTCGTACCTCTTTTCCACATCGCTTCACTGGACCCCCAGCCTAAGCTGAAACTCAGGGTACAAAGTGCTCCAAACACTTACTCAGAGCCCCCCCCTCCTTTTACAAGTAAGCTTGTACACCGAAGATACAACAAGTCAAGTCACCAACTAACATGGCCAGCACACCACCTCCTCGCGCTCTCCGAATCATCAACCCATCCCCGCCAAGTCCCAAAGAACCCTCAAAAGCTTTCGTCATAGCGACGAGCCGCATGCTTTCCCAACACGTGCGAGCACTCCTCCCTGCCGAAATTTCCAATCCAAGAAGAACCATCCAAACCTCCCTCCTGCGCTCGCAATGCTACCTCTCTGAAGGGAAAGCCCACCTCGCCCTCCAGCAGGCAGATCTCGCACTGTACATCGCATCTCAGCACAACCTCTACATGTTAGAAGCCAAAGCACAGTTTTATCGCGCAAAATGCTTCATAGACACGGCTAGGTGGAAGGAAGCCAGGTGGGCTTTGGTTAGAGCTGCTAGCGTGAGGGACTTTGAGAGAGAGATTGAGTACATGGGGAAGAGGTGCCAAGACGAGATAGAATGTGAGGCTTGGCTTGCTAAGGAGGAGAAGTATTGGTTGAAGATGATCGCGGATAGGGAGACTGAGGCGAGGGAGAAGGCCGAGAGGGGAATGTTGGGGTTATTAAGCGAGAAGACCGCAAGCGGTGATGCGATGGTTCTCAGTTTGTAGAACTGGGAACACAAAGAACTTTCTTTACTATCGAAGCTTTTGATCCAAGATCATTGTGTTCGTAAATATGTTCAAGCTGCCTTCGATTTTCCTTGATGTTCTTTGAGATGATCACCGCCGCAAGCAGCGTATTTGGCGACACAAAGGACTTTGATCATAGCCTAGAGTAAATAATTCATCCATAGTCAACGAATGCTTTCTTCAGGCCTTTCCAACTGCAATTCGATTGTTGAGCTGGGCATCAATATTCAGCAACTGGTGAATAGTTATCAACCTAGTGGTCTGGGATATGCACACGGGCCCAAAACCTGGACATAGAGTAAAGTTACCAGATATCGAGCAACTGCTCGTCCCAGCAACGTCATTTACACCAGAAATAAGTCGAACTCCTGCCTCCACAGAAACTTCGCCAACAAGTCCAATCATCCCCACATCGTCACCGAACCTTCTCCAGATTCAAGCTCCACCTTCCAGAAGGAAAACACCACAGTGGCTCCTTGACGAGATCGCTAGTAGTACACCATTCGAGGCATCTCCATACGCGGTCATCGCACCTTTATCGTTTTCTCGAAAGAATAGTCTAGCAACGGAAGAGGATACGATTGATCTCTACCCGGAAGCATTATCCTTCCCGACCAAGGATCTCAAAGCTACAACTGCGAAACAAAAGGCTACCCATCCGAGTGATATCGGAAACCAACCTGCTGGAATCAACACAGCAGACTTTGCAAAGGCCAAAAAAGTAGAGCAACAGACCTCAGAGACCAAACCCCACGAGATGTCTTTCTTTGCAGGAAAAAGCAGCGCTAAGCTAAAGATAGCTCCAGCCACACTTGTATGTATTACCACCTTGTGCTCGAGTTGACTAATAGCGATCACTAATTTCCCCTAGCAGCATAAGGACATTTTGGCCTTCAAACAACTGGCCCGAGCCATTGGTCCAAATGATGCATGTTCCCAAATCGCGGAGGCTGGCTTGAAGGCTCTGGACGAAGCCCAGCAGAGAAACATCGAGGAGCCTTTTTACGATGCTGCGGAATTTGTGAAACTGAAGCAAATGGCCACGAGACTAGAAACTCAAAAAAAGGGCAGCGGCGAGGGTGGTAGTAAAGACGACGAGGAGATCTCAAAGCTTACCAAGAAGAACGAAGAGTTAGAAAAAGAGAACAAGAAACTTAAGGAACAGATTGCCAAGCACGGAAAGACCAAGATTGGAAAGCTAGAGCAGGATCTGAAGGAGGCACAGGATATGTTCCAGGAGCAAAAGGATCTAACCAAGGAGAAAGAAGCTGAAATAGGCAGAATGGAGGAAGGATGGATCCGAAAGGAAGATTGCAAGGAACATGAGGATGCTGAAGTTGCTCGATTGGATGCCGAGATTGCCGCTTTGCAGAGAGAAATATCAGAAGACGGGAGCGGAAAAGGTAGCGACGACTCAGAGGGACATAAGACACTGCGGGCCCGAATCTTGGAACTCGATGCAGAGCTAGAGAAGTCCAAGGCGCAAATCAAGAAACAGTCAGACCAGCTAAAAGCTCGCGGTCTAATTCCAGGGGCTACAGGCGATCTCGCGGAATGCGAAGAAGAGAATGAAAGGCTCACTGGATTGCTCCTTCACTACAAAGCAGAGAATGCCAAACCAGGAAGGTCAGGCAGTGCTGATGCGAAGTCTGTCGAACTCGGACTCAAGAACTTAGACGTTATGCAAAGAATAAATACTAGGATGCAGACAGCGCTGAATGATGCTGTGACCAAAGAACGAGCATTGAAAACAGATCTGGAAGCATTAAGAGCTGAGGTCGACGTCTTTAAGACCAACAATACGGACGATATACTCAAGGACTGCTGGGAACGAAGAGACAGATTGGAGCAAGAAGTGGCTGGAAATAAGACACAAATAGATCAACTCAAAGAGCAATTGAGGGCAACGATAGCTGATGCGAAAAGCGCATCTGAACAAGCAGCAAGAGATGTCGCAACAGTCGAAGCCGATATCAACAAAATGAATGAGGGGGAAGCACAAGATTTGCTTGATGCCCAGGAGCAAGCCAGGGAGTTGACACAAGAGAATGAGACAATCTTTGGCTTAGTCGCAAAATACCGCGATGATATTGAGAAACTGAAGAAAGATCTGAAGAAGAAGAAACGCTCACGCGGCAAGGGTGACTCAAGTGACGAGGACCAGCGCAAGAAAAAGAAGGCTGATGCTGCCGAAATTGGTCGACTGAGGCTGGAGATCGCAAAGCTGAAGCGACTACTACGCGAGCTGACTAGTAGATATGAGGGCCAGAGAGACCAGTCTGGACGAATGGTTGCACTGAACAGAGAGTATATGACACTGCTCCAAAATGCCCGTATCGCCTACCCACTTGCAGATGGCTCAGGTAATAATTAATATTGTTGAGATATATGTTTCAAACTAACATTCCATAGGCGCACCTGATGCACTTGAAGATCCTCCTGAGCCGGTTGGAAGGGAGCCATCCGATATCCTAGCTTCTGTTATGGAAGTTGAGCTTGCGATCTTGCGTGCGCAAACCGAAATTCAATGGGTTATTGCCATCAGAGGACATACTGGCTTCGTAGCAGGCGATCTAACAAGAGCTACTGCCATGATTGACAGCGCACTCGAGATGGTGGCGCTCTTGCCTGGTCCCTTGACAAATCCGATCAGGACCCTCCTCGGAGAAGCAAACTGGTGGAGCTTCATGGTCCGCTACTACAGTGATGATCTACCTGGAGCACAGCTTGCTCTTACTATAGCACATAATTGTCTAGCTTATTTGAGACTCGAGGAATCTAGAATAGCGGTTTCAGCGTGGATGGCCCGGCCTGTGCTACCACCAATTCCAAGAACTCGAAGAGGCTACGCACGCAAAGATTCCATTAAGAAGTCGAAGAAGACTTCGAAGAAAGGAAAGGGCGGTGATGAAAATAAAAAAGACACGAAGGATAAGAAGGATGAGCAGGAAAAGAAGGACAAGAAGGACAAGGACAAGGACAAGAAGGAGAAGGATAAGAAAGGGAAGGGAAAGCAAGAAGGTAAGAGCCCATGATTTGCTGCACGCAAACAAGATAGACTGACTTGCTTGACGTAGAACCAGATGACAATAGCGACGAAATGGATAGCGACGATGTTGATGGCTTTCAAGGCGCTTGATTTGCCATCCAAGTAAAGTTTACAAGGATGAGCATAAGGATGATAGAACATAGGAGCCATTTGGCACAACTGGGGCGTTTTTGGTGTTTTGAATAGGTAGCTCGTACTTCGTATAATAGTATGCTTTTCTTCAAATGAGGTCTCCTGTGCTTTGAATCGTCATTAAGATCTATGCTGGGAAAATACTTCTAAATGGTACATCCCAGAACCAGCTCGCTACACCCATTGCCCCCAAGCTCATCGTCAATGCCATCAAAAAGTTGACTTCATTATTGTCGAGCAGGGCTAACGTGCCACTTTCGACAACACGACTCGGTTTCTCGTCTCCAAAACTTGGCTTCCGAAATTTCTTCTTTGGGTCGTACTTGTCTGATCCTCCCATTTTGTGATTCAGTGCTTCCTCGATTTGAGCTGAGATAGAGGATTCATCACTTGCAGGTTGAATCTCCAACGCATCCTTGCCATCACCATGAAGTAGCTTGGCCTTGAGCTCCGCCCTTTTCTTGTAATGCATGCTGTTGGGTCCTCCTTTAGAGACAAGAACCCTCTTTCCTCCCTCGCCCTCAACGACTCGACCTGATCGCGTGTCCACGACGCTCTGTTGTAGCCACCCGCCCAAGAAGCTATCCAAGACACTACCTAGAGCTCCCCAAATTGTCATCGCAAACGCGAAACGTTGTCTATCGAGAAATGACCAGCCCGCAGTACCACCAAAACCTAGAACTCCCGATTTCGGCGAGCAGAATGGGATCAACAACACAGAGGTTGTGACAATGACCAACGAGCCCAATAACCCTGCGGCCAGCCCATAAGCTGTAACCCCACCATTTGTTCCCGGAGGCACTTCTCGGAGCGTGGGAGATGTGATGAGTCTAGGCTTTGACTTTGATAATATGCCGAGCTCTGAAGAGAAAGTATCTGCCGCTACAGCAGCATAATTTGCAACTATTCCGACGACCAATATATCGCCAGGCCAAGAGTAACATGCGCTTGGGTTCTGCTCTCGCTGACGGAGTTGATATGCGTGGAGAAGGGTAAGGACAGAGGCAACGGCGGAATTGGCGAGGACTGTGGCTATCAGTGACTTCGAAGATAGGAAGAGAGTGAATACTGGCCTTGAATGTGTGTTCTTGCACCCTCACCTCCTGCGCTCCCAGAAGCTTGCACTGTCAACTTTGCCTTAACATCATGCTTGACCTGTGGCTATTAGCAATGAGTTCATGATGGCAGAAGCTGTACTCACCTTTGTGACTCTCGTCCCAGCCAAGAAGAACACGATTAGCAGTGCGAAAGGTAGACTCCAAGGGTGGACAGCATGCGCAGTTGCTGTTAATGCTGCGGCAACGATGCCAGCAGGCGTTAGTGACTGATGCGACCAAGCTCGATATACCATAGCCAGGGTAACTGGTACTGCTATGTAAGCCTTCATCTTGTGCTTCGAGATGAAATGTAAAGAGTGTTGTTGGTGTTGTCGAGTTCTCGTTGAGGTGCGAGGCTGACATCCCAAGAAATGTTCCTGTGGTTCGGAGTGAGGTCATCGGCCATTCGGTGTCAGAACGCGACACGCGACTGTTTTTCTGTGCAACAACATCAACTTGTGATGTGTTTGGATGGCTTCAATCTGCCTCGATGGTATATCCGTTTTTGGTTCTCTAAATCTCTTACATCTATTAAATATATTCTCTAACCTTCGTACTTCCATCATACTCTCCTTTTGAGGATCTGGTGATGGAAGGAAGGTGGACTCGATTTTGCTGAGCTTTCCTCTCTCTTCCATTCTCCTATTGTCCCTTCGCTGTCGAGTACTTCTCGGTACACAATGTTGGCGCGCAGATTAAGAATAGCTTCCTTGGTCTGTAGCATTCTGTGTCCCTCAATCGTCCGCAAACCGTTGTCCACGTCCCCTAATCCTTCTTTGGTCGACAACCAGTTGTTATTCTCCCCTCTGCACCACTTCCCCGTCCTTCCCGGTGACCAGAGCAAAGATGGGGCAGATTTTCCAATGCCTCTATGCAACGGCTTCAAACTCGAAGAAGCGTCCATTGACGAGCTGCAAGAAGTAATGTCGAGTGGCAGATTGACCGCCGTTCAAATAGTGTCCTGTTATGTACAGAGAATCCAACAGACAGATAAATATCTCAGGTACGTGCAATTACTCAGACATGAACCGCACTGATAGAGTCCAGAGCAATCATGGAGCTTAATCCCGACCTATTCGATATAGCAGCTTCTCTAGACTACGAACGAAAGCAAGGACATGTTCGCGGGCCACTTCATGGCATTCCCTTCCTTGTCAAAGACAATATAGCCACGAAGGACAAGATGGAAACCACTGCTGGTTCGTGGGCGTTACTTGGCTCAATCGTACCACGAGATGCGTTCGTGGTGCACAAGTTACGAGAAGCTGGGGCGATATTGATGGGGCATGCTACCATGAGTGAGTGGGCAGATATGAGATCGACTCTATACTCCGAAGGCTATTCTGCCAGAGGGGGGCAATGTCGGTCACCATATAACCTTACTGTGAACCCTGGTGGAAGCAAGTTCTGGCAGTGGAGTTGCTGTGACTGCAAATATGGTCCCATTTACTTTGGGTACAGAGACCGATGGTAGTATCACCAGTCCAGCAGATAGGAATGCATTAGTAGGTGTCAAGCCTACTATTGGCTTAACAAGTCGTGATGGGTAAGCGTTTGTGATACTTTAACGTCAAAGCTAATGACACCAGTACAATACCCGAGTCTCACAACCTCGATACAATTGGGTGCTTGGCTAAAACTGTTCGAGATGCTACCTATTGCTTAGATGCCATCTATGGTCCAGATATCCGCGACAACTACACTTTGGCCCAGGAAACCCCGATTAACGGCTACACTCCTTTCCTTAGTACAGCAGTAGCTCTCAAGAATGCCACATTTGGCATTCCATGGCTCTCGTTCTGGCAATACGCTTCTCCATTCCAGCAATCTCATCTCCTTAACTTCATCTCCTTGATTCAAGAAGCAGGTGCCACCATTGTGAACAACACCGAGCTGCCTTCTCGCTCCCGCATTGTTCCTTCTTACGGCTGGGACTGGGACTATGGTATCGTCCGGGGATATCCTAATGAATCTGAGTATACAGTCGTAAAAGTGGATTTCTACAACGACATTGCCCGATATCTGTCCGAGCTTAACAATACCGATACTCGCTCACTGGAAGATATCGTTCGATACAACATTGAAAATGTGGGCTCCGAAGGTGGTATCCCGACTTTGCATCCAGCATTTGAGTCTGGACAAGATAGCTTTCTAGCGTCACTGGCAACGAAAGGAATCATGGACGAAACATATTGGCAAGCACTTTCATTCGTCCGTCGTACGTCGAGGGAAGATGGGATAGATGCCGCTTTATACAATAAGGGCAACGTCCTCGATGCATTGCTTGTACCTTTTGATGTAAGTCAAGCTTGCAGTGTTGCTGCTCAGGCCGGGTATCCTATGATTACTATTCCAGCTGGGGTGGATCAAGCGAGTGGAATGCCATTCGGAATGGCATTGATGGGTACGGCGTGGAGCGAGGGAAGTTTGGTGAGGTGGGCGAGTTCCTCGGAGGATTTGGCGAAAGGAACGCAATTTGGAAGGGAAAGTGAGTGGATGAGACCAAAATGGTGGGGTTACAGGAGGAGGAACGTGCCGGTAGAGAATATTTAGATTCTGTCTCTATATCCAAGATCTTTATCCAAAGATCCAAAATACACTGTACACATCCAACATCATCGCCATGCATTACTCAATATCACAGGGGTATTCCCTTCCAATCAGCGACCTGGACATCCTCCAACATTTTTGCCTTCTCCACCCTCTCTTTACTGATCCTATGCACAGACGGTAAGTCAACCTGATCATCCTTTCTCCCCATCATCAACTCAACCACAGCCTTTGCAGACAAAAAGGCATTCGGCATTCCATGCCCCGTATACGCCGCACAGATCCACAACCCCTTATCTCCCCCAAGTCCAAGCTCCTCACTTACTTCCCCAACCCACGGCCTATCATCCCTGCTAAATCCCATAATCCCACTCCACTCATACGTAGCCTCCAAAGGCTTGCCTTCATTCCGTAAATCGAGCACCAAGCTGATTTCCCTCTTCAGATACTCAGCGGCTGGAGGATCGATATCCGAGTCATCAGAAACACCTAGCCCGGCATTCTTAGCATACGACCGTCCGCCTCCGAACATGAGCTCGCCGTTTCCACCAGAAGGGCTGTATGGGCGTTGGACTAGATAGTCGTCTCGATGTCCGTTCTGGTCTCCGTTCCCCATGAAACCGTACGAGTACTCCAACGGCGCATTCTCATTCCCAGGCCACATTGCCTTAGGTGGAACCAGACTACTCATCTCACCTCTAACGGGGACGATGATATCGCTGAACGAAGGGAGGAGGTAGGATGTATATGCATTAGTAGCGAGCAAGACCTGTTTGGCGGAGATCATACCGCGCGGTGTATGCACGATCCAAGACCCGTCTTCTGCTTTTTGAAGATGGGTTGCTGGTGTTTTAGTCTGTAGATTAAACGCCGGTTTAACAGGGTTGTTCAACGAAAGTAGATTCTCTAACATCCAACACACGAGTTTGTACGGCCACACGCTTGAGGCGTGTTTTTGTACAATAGCTCCATATGCATTCGAGACACGGAGATCTTGCAGTGAAGGATTTGAAGAATCTTTCGTCACGACAGTGACAAGTTTGGCGATCTCTGGATCCGCTCTTTGGTGAGATTGATATTCGGCGAGTGCTTCTTCGAAGATGGATTTTTGCATGTAGCCGTGCACGACGGAGAGATCTCTCCAGTCGCATGCGATGTTGTTTTTGGTGATGAGGTCTTTCAGTGCGAGGTAGTTTCGCATCTCGAATGATGAGAGTTCCGGAGATCGGTCGTAGATTCCGGGTTGGCAATGACCTCCATTCTATCTCATTCTCTCAGTGTGTTTTCAGTGCTTTCTACTTGTGAGACTCACGCGACCTGTTGCTCCCCAGCATGCTTCTCTTGCTTCAAGCATTACTACAGACAACTTCTTGCTTTCTTCATTTTGAGATAGGAAGTGAGCAGCGCTCGCTCCCGATATCCCACTCCCGATGATCACTATGTCTGCTTCTGCAGGTATAGTGGGTGTTGTCCTATGACCGAGGAGGATTTTCGAGGGTTGGCTGTGCCAAAAGGCTTTGGTTGAGTTGGGCGTTGGAAGACTGGATTGTCCAGGCTTCGTCGTCGCTCCTGTCATTTCAAATATGAGCTTTGCATATAATATATATAGTGGATAAGAATAAGGAGGCCCAGAAGACAAGGACAGGAGATTGATGTGGTTTGAATAGCTGCACGTGATATGGCGGGGCAGATTTTGCTTTTCCTGAATTGGAAAGTGGGGTACGATTTGGCCTCAAGAGCAATCGACTTAAAGACTAAGCCAGATGAAAGCATAATCTCATAGCTAGTCTTTGTATCCGGAACTCTGTCTAGCTTCTAATGTACTGGGATATAGAGACCAAAAAAGCTCTTGTCACTGCAGCTCCAATAGCTCCAGCAAGCCTCGTATTCCGCGCGATGTGCGCTACTTGCGCTGCCTGCGCTGGCAGCGCTGTTTTCGTAGTACGCGCAATATGCGCTATAAGTCGACCTTCCTCGACTTCTGCTTTAATGTCTCTACCAAATTTCCCGATTGTAGATTATTGCCGCGCGTTTAACATCCTAAGTTTGCTACAGAGCTTAGTCAAGGAGATTGATGGCCACAGGCAGGAGTGGCCAGTAGATCAGCGAGCCATTCATCTGGGGGCGGCGTCATCCCAAATTTCATATGTCTCCAATCCAGTTTTCCGAACGAAATACATACACCCACTTTCTCTTAACATTTCACGATATTTCTCCTCCAAATATTACCCACCTCCGGATCCTCAGCATAAATCTGATACTCCGTGGTAACTGCTATATCTGAAACTTCCGAATCTGATGGACCACTTAAGATACTCCAAGGGGCCGAAACAGCGGCAAATTCTCTGACCAGTTCATCTTTTGAATCGTCCGCTTTCTAGTTGGCTAACGATGTAACTGAGGAACACGATTGCTTCCGAAGCGGTGCAAATCATTGAGTGTGCAAAAACGAAGGATTGGAAGAGTCTGAACGAGATACCATTGTTTGCGAGTTATTTTGACCTATAATCTTTGTACACGGCAAATCAAGCAAACTCAGACTTTCATACTGCAGCGCTACTTTCAAGTTCGCATCATGGTAGAAGCTAGTGATTCTCAGCAAGGCCCATGAAATTCCGATGGAGCTATGTATTACCTCCAACTCCACGCCATCCTGATCGGCTCCTACTTCTTCCAGATATATCACATATACCAGACATTCGATGCTTTCCCTCAAGCGTGCGTCTGGCGGGGTAGATGGATTATGAAAAGCTGCATGAGGGCGCACTACACAATGTGATTAGCTTTGGTAGTTAGCTCAACATAATCATGCTCTTTTGCCTCTTGCCGTTCCTTTGGCCGTCTTTGAGTCAAAACTTTTGAAGACAAGTATCTCATGTGGCTGCAATTAGTCCAAGTAACACCACCGATGGGTTTCCCGGTGAAAAACATTGTACGTTTCCGTCACCAAGTGTGTGTAGATATTGTCGCTTGGAATAAGATCGGAAAGGGGATCCACAGACCCAAATACCAGCAGGCCGAGTGGCCAGTCTTCAAGAGGACCGAATAAAGGTCTTCAGACACTACTGTAGACAAGCGACTGTGCGTGGAACACGCTAGTTGATGGGATGTTAGCAGATTCTCAGAGCTAGATTTGCTTCCTTTTAGATAGACAATTCAACTACAAGAATTCCCCCTACGACTCTACGAACCTTGACTTTTCTACTGTCCTTCAGCCAACGATGATCACTTGGTATTCAGGTCGCCAGTTGGAGGGCAATCTTACTTGAGGACTTACCATCTGCACTTGAGGATGTTTGGCAAATCTTCAGCAGGGAGTATCATGCGAAGTCTCTGCTCGGCCGAGCGAGGAGTAAAATCTACAGCTTCAGCAAGCTAGAGGATGATCAGCTGGTGTTATACATACCAAGATGAACGCCTTGAACTGGTTGGGGGGCTTTGCCTGTTCCGCGGGGCAATGATGAAAAGGCTACCTCTCTGCGTCTGACCTACGAAAATTCGGATCAGTTCGTTTGTTACCCATCTTGAAAGCTTTTCACAAGAAGCACATACATCATGAGTGAAGGCCATAACCGTCATTCCCGCCATATCGTGTTCAAATCTTTGCAGTGCTTTCCCAAACTTACGTAAGTTGGATTTGGTGGTAATAGCCTTCAGAGCATCCAGAAGTTCGAAGTACTTTTCCTCTCGCTTTCTGTGGTTTGCTGCTTGCTTTAACTCGTGATCTGCCGCCAATTGGGACTGAATCATTGATTTGACCTGTATCAGTATCAATTCATCGCTTAAAGTATCTTGATCCAATTGCAGTAGGTCCAGTATATTATTGTATCGGACGTTGAATGGCTTCCATAGAAGCTGTCCAATGACAACAGGGGTACGTTATAATCTTGGTATCGCATGTTAGGTACATGAACTGGAAGGAGTAGGTCTAGCCAGTTTTCGAGCCTCCAAAAACACCTGTTGAGTAGTTTGATGCTCTTGTGCTGGGTCTGCAGCCTCGACCATTCTGGATGAAATTCAAAGGGTCTTGACCTCTGAGCCGACCGCTTGCAGTGATGACATGAACTGCGAGATCACAAAGGAAATCTAGTCCCGTTTCCGAGGGTAGATATCCAGATGAAATATCGCCAGAGATTGAAACTTGCGGAGATGTGCTTGTGCTGTGGTACGTGGCTGAGCACAATCCTTGCGCAAACGCCTGAAAAACAAAATATTGCCGCTCCCACAGCGTGACATCTTTGTAGACCAATCCTCACTGTCTCACTGTGCACCTTGTGAGAGGTGGGAAGCCTGATCGTCAGCCCAAGCGCTACTGGCTCATTGGGACAACAGGGATGAGTTTTAGATACAATACTGGGGTAAAGGAGGCTTCGATTGATAGCTACCAAGGTACAGTTCCGCCTCGCCAGAAGCCATGACATGAATGTCATTCTTCGCTCCATGGTATAAAATGTTAAACGCGCTATATACTTTGATCAAAGTAAATATCACTACTACCATAGAACCGAGACGAAAACTCTCCTTGAATCTTGAATCTTGCCACAACCGGGTTTGCCACACTGGTCACGTGTGGCTGACACGGATTCCAATTGTGCTTCACTCTGCTTCTAGAATTAAATGAAATAATGCATCTTCCGGATCTCCTGAACTACGTCTCGACCGCTCCTCTAAAGAGTTTATTCACCGTACCTGACGGGACTTGCAGAGCAAAGCACGTGACTATTTAGCGCCAAGCCGCTCGTCTATTCTTAGGTATGCATAATTTCAGGCGAAGTTCTTTCATCCCTCATTCCACCACACTCAACGAGCCTCCTCATTCCAGGACACTTCCGCTGTCTTACATCATTATGGTTCGCATAGTCTGCCCATAGCCCTCGAGGCGTCCAACCGGTGTTTGGTTGTTAGTCTTCGGACCCCGAATCTTCACAATGTGTTTCAGCCAATGCTATTTGCAATCGACATCAGTGTGTCAGCTCTGGAAATGTACCTAAGTATGTGAGCGAGGAGTCCTAGAATTCTCGAGCTGAGAAGGACTGATTTAGTTTTGGCACTTTAAAGTAGTCTGAAAGTAGGTGAGCCTCAACCTCGCCACCGCCCTGCTGATATGAGTTTCGATCGTGGCTGCCTTGCTTGTTGTCCTTTTGATATTAAATAAAGATCACCTAGTAATTTCGGAATCATGTAAAAGACACGATATCCTCAATTATCAATGCCCTTTGGAGATCACTTTCCATTGTTCGCATCTTTATGTACCTACTCTACAAGCCATTCCCCTCGAGCTAGATTTCGCAATGCAGCTCAACAAGCAGAAGACAATCTTAGTGGTCTCGGAAAAGGACAATACGGATGAGCCAAGCAGAAGAACTGGAGATATCTGGACACAACTTGTAGCACATCTGCGCTCAACAGCCCCGCCGCGATCCATCTTACACCCGTTCAAAGTTCTACAAGCGGATCCCTGGAAGAATTTTAAGATCGACATTCAACTCGAGAAAGCTGTGCACGGATACTTGACACCAGATCGACAGCAAAGAGCATCCCTTCTTGTTTTCGGTGTTCAACTTGTATCTCAACGACGAAAAACACCCTTCAAGCGCTTGACACTAGAAGCAAAGTTGATGGAAACACAAGGGTCTCCATCTTCGCGCCCCGAAGTTCTCGCTCATGCACCATTCGTATTCGAAGAAGCCTTAAAAAGATGCGAGATAGAAGTTCAGAACGCGAGACGAGTCAAAGATCACGCCGCTGCCAGCTTCAATGTTGGAGGTGCCAAAATTGGCATTGGACGAGAGGTGACGAGATCCAGAACCTCACGTTCGATCCATAAATACTTTGCCAAGGGCTCTTCTGCTACCACGGTCGACGATGATGGGAAATGTTCGGGGATATGGTGGAACGTCAAACAAAGCACTATTCCAGATGCTCAAGATGATGCTGGCATCGATCCGAATTATTGTTTTGCAATTCTCCTAACGCGAGAGAGGAACGACAAAGCCGTCTTCAAAGTCAAGATCAATCTGGAAGCCCATGCTGGTTTGAGCTACCTGCTTGAGAATAAGTTCTCGCATGTCATACATGTGAAGGATTTGAACGTCGACCCGCGAACGTGGCATGTAGGGCCTTGCAGATCCATCGATCGGGAGAGACTTGGCCATTTTCTCAAGCCAGAAAATCTAGTGGCATTAACGAAGTCATCCAGATGATAATTTCTACATCGCAGCGGATTCAAGAGATCCACGGGATTGGGGCGATTTGATTTAAGTTCTTGTATTTGAATTGTGGCATAAAGGAGTGTTGGTTTTCTTGTCCTTTCGTTTCTATTGCTCGTACTGCTAGTGCCATCATTTCGTTTCAATATGATGTTTTTATTTCTCCTCACTTCACTGAGCTTAATGCCAAGATTTGGAGGACTAGAGTCATCAGCTCCTAAGACAGTGGCGCTTGCAGAGCCCCAGAAGTTATGTAGTGTCACCTCCTCGAAAGCTTATCGGCATTCTCATTGGACGTAGGAAAGAAACCAACAACTCCCTCATCCTCTGTCTCTATAGCTTGCCAGCATTTCCTTTCTCTGGATTCATGCGATGCAGATATTGGTGTGGCAAGTGCTTGAAGAATGATGTATAGTAAGCCGTTTACATGACATGAGAAAAGTAGACAATGGCATGCGCGCTACAATTGCACGGATATATCTATGAACCCGCAGCTCACATCACACAAGGCTGGATGTGTGGCTAAGCCACATTACAAACGGGGAAATCGGTTCGGCGTGCATGATGCACAGCTCGTAAGCCAATCAGAGTTTACGAATGATCGCTAAACGGACGCCGGTCAGCATCGAGCTGTCTTAATTAGGAAACCTATTCGTTCGACGATAATCCTTTGCCTCAGCTCTTTTACGCCGCATGGGACGACGTTTTTGACGTCGCTGATCGGGATTGACTATGACCGATGGTCTAGCATATATATTTACAGTTCGATGTCTAAGCTGGAATTCCACATCTCATAGTTATTCTTCTTCTTAAACACGGCTATCCCTTGGGTCATTGATAAAATCGGAGACAATCATGACCGAACCGGTGCCAGGACCCAAAGGTCTCCCCTTTGTGGGAAACATGTTCGATCTAGTAGATGAAGAAGCACCACTTCGCGCGCTAGAACACCTGGCCGAGCTGTACGGTCCAATCTACAAGCTGCAGAGAAAAGGCACCAGGGTACTAGTTGTCAGCTCGATCGCCATGGCAGAAGAATTATTCGACGAGACCAGATTTCGGAAAATGCCACCATCTGCTCTGGCAAAGGATTCAGAGAAACCTGCAGGTCTGTTCACGGCCGCAAGTGATGATCCTGACTGGGGAGAAGCACATCGGATACTTGTTCCAGCATTTGGGTCAATGGCTATTGAAGCCATGTATCCTGGTTAGTGGAGCAAATTATCGTGTGTTGCTAGGACTGACGGGAACAGAAATGCAAGATATTGGAAATCAATTAGTTCTAAAATGGGCGCGAATGGGGCCAAACACCCCAATTTCAGTCACAGATGATTTTACTCGTCTTACATTAGACACAATAGCACTCTGTGCCATGGACTTCAGGTTCAACTCGTTCTATACAGAGCAGATGCACCCGTTTGTCAACGCGATGGTAGGAATGCTGACAGAGTCGGGCAATCGTATGGCAAGACCTGCAATTGTGACTAGCATGATGAGGAAGACGAATGCGAAGTTTAACGAAGATCAAGAATACATGTTCAATATCTCACAGGAGCTTGTCCGTCATCGAAGAGAAAATCCAACTAAGAAGAGGGATCTATTGAATGCTATGATCAATGGCACGGATCCAAATTCCGGGAGCACGATGAGGGATGATTTGATCATTGCGAATATCATTACGTTCCTGATTGCTGGTGAGTTTCCTCCATCTCTAAGACAAGTCCAGATCTAATTCCAAATGCAGGCCATGAAACAACATCAGGACTCCTCTCCTTCGCCTTCCTCAACATGCTCCAAAATCCACAAGCATACTACGCAGCTCAGCGAGAAGTCGACGAAGTAATTGGTCGAGATCCCGTAACTGTCGATAAACTAAGCAAGCTTGAGTACCTCAATGGTGTCCTCCGTGAAACACTTCGTCTCACACCCACAGCTCCAATAATCTCTAAGCAGTTGGTCGCCGGATGTACCGGTTCAAGAGCAACATTGGGGAATGGCAAATATGCTGTTGAGCCAACTGACAAGCTTATGGTCCTCATCGGGGCTATGCAACGAGATCCGAGTGTCTATGGTGAAGATGCCAATGAGTTTCGACCGGAGAGGATGATGGGCGAGAGTTTCAAGAATCTACCAAGCGCAGCTTGGAAGGTATGTAGCTGGTGGATTGCTCGATCGCTGCTGACTTCTCAACAGCCATTTGGAAATGGAGTGCGAGCATGTATCGGGCGAGCTTTTGCATGGCAGGAAGCATTGATGGTAACAGCGATGCTCCTACAGAACTTCGACTTCCAACTCGATGATCCTTCTTACAAGCTCCGCATCAAGCAGACACTGACGATAAAACCTGCCAATCTGAAAATGCGCGCTACTATTCGACACAAAATGGAAGCAGTCGATTTGGAGCGCTCTCTTCGAGGAGTTTTGAGCATGAGTCCACGGCCTTCGACCAGTACCCATAGATCGACAACACCAACATGTCCAGGAGGAGAGAAGCCAATGACGGTATTATATGGGTCTAATACCGGCACTTGTACCGATTTTGCTCAACGACTGGCTAGCAATGCTGCATCCCATGGTTTCAAAGCTACGGTCATGGAAATGGATGCTGGTGTTTGCCATATCCCTAAATCTCAACCTGTGATTGTCATCACGGCTTCGTATGAAGGTCAACCACCAGATAATGCCAAGAAGTTCATCAGCTGGCTTGAGCATGCGCCATCTGATTCCTTGAACGGTGTCCAATATGCTGTGTTTGGTTGTGGGCATCGTACGTCTTTCTTCAGGCATCTTCATAGTGTGTACACCAGCTGACGAACATATAGGCGACTGGACATCAACATTCCAACGAATTCCAACTTTAGTTGACACTTGTATGGAGAAATGTGGAGCTCAGAGACTCGTTCAAAGAGGCGTTTCAGATGCATCACAGGGCAACATGGCGACAGACTTCGACGAGTGGATGGATCAGCATCTATGGCCGGCCCTAGGCTCAACTGGCCTTGTTAGTACTTCCGATACAAAGACCACAGCAGACGCAGACTTCGACATATCCACTCAGTCAGGAATTACCAGCTTCAGACAAGACGTACAAAACGCCACCGTCCTCGAAGCCAGGGTTTTGACAGCGCCAGGCGAGCCCCAGAAACGACATTTGGAAGTCGAACTCCCTGAAAATATGAATTACGAGTGTGGAGATTATCTCGCTGTTCTGCCCGTCAATTCTGAAGAGAATGTTCGTCGAGTCATGTCGCGTTTCATACTCCCTTGGGATTCAACAATTGTTATCAAGGGCCACAACTTCGGATTTCTGCCTCCGAATACGCCATTGTCGATTCGAGATATTCTCGCCGGACATGTTGAGCTTTTCGAGCCAGCTAGTAAACAAGTACGATACCACCTCTCCTCCCATTTTGTATTTCTCACCCTAATGTCTCCTCCAGATTCTCCAAGTCTGCGCCAGCTCCACCCCAGACGCAGAGCTAAAATCCCAGCTCCGAACCCTAATCTCCGACCCCTCAACCTACACAACCGAAGTCCTCACAAAACGCCTCTCCCTGCTCTCCCTCCTCGAACAAAACCCCTCAATAACTCTCTCCTTCCCCGCTTACCTCCAATCCCTCACCCCCCTCAAAGTCCGTTACTACAGCATCTCCTCTTCCCCTCTCTCCTCGCCCCAAAAATGCACCCTAACATACAACATCCTCTCCTCGCCGTCCCTCTCCTCCCCAACTACAGTCTACAACGGCGTCACAGGGACTTATCTCTCTACCCTACGTCCTGGAGATCAAATCAAAGTGTCCGTCCGGCCGTCGACGAAAGCTTTGTTTCATCTCCCGCTGAATGTGGCGGAGACGCCACTCTTGATGTTTTGCGCTGGCACGGGGTTAGCGCCTTTTAGGGGGTTCGTGCAGCAGCGGGCTATGATGGCGCCGAGTCGGAAGTTGGCGAAGGCTGTGTTGTTCGTGGGGTGTCGGTCCGAGGAGAAGGATCGGTTGTATAAAGAGGAGTTTGATGAGTGGATGAAACAGGGAGTGGTGGATGTTAGGTATGCGTTTAGTAGGGAGGAAGAGAAGAGTGAGGGGTGTAGGTATGTGCAGGATCGGATGGTGAGGGATCGAGATGTGTTGGTGGGGTTGTGGGACGCGGGGGCGAGGGTTTATGTTTGTGGGGGGAGGGAGTTTGTTAAGGGGGTTGGGGAGGCGGCTAGGGGGATTGTGAGGGAGGAGTTGGGGGCGAGGGGGGTGTCGGTCAGTGGGGAGGAGCTGAAGAGGACGTTTAGAGAGAAGATTGCTGATAGGTGTGCTACGGATGTTTTTGGATAGATGATGGGAACGGGGGAAAGCATGGAGGTAATGTTGACAATTTCTTTGCAGATCTATGTTTAGCTCTTGATTGTATGCAGCAGCACAGGTCTAAGAACGCCAGTTATGCAGATGCCTTGCAATCTGTCCCCACATTTATATATCTTTCTGCCCATCTCCCAAATAACAAGCAAGTGCTCCTTCCTATCCCCTTCTCCACAATCCATCCTTCTTCCTCATTCTTTCCAGTCCACCTCAAATCCCAGCGACTCATTTTTTCAAGGCCCGACCCTTAATCAACTCCCTAATCTCCCCCAAAGTCGTCTCCCTCCCAACCTTAACCTCATTTCTCAACTCCTGCAGCACTCTCACATGCTCCTTCTTCAAACTCTCGAGATCCTCATCTAGTCTCTGATGCCAAGGGTACAGTACAAAGACCTGGAATGCGAGGGCCGAGGAGGCGATCACGAAGTTCGTGACGGAGAAGCGGCGGGCTATTAGCATCTTGGGTGCTTGGTTTGAGGTCCTGGGGAGAATTGGTAGTGTGTTGAAGGTGGACTTGAGGTCACGTGCAGTGATGCTTTTGTTTTTGGTGGAGGACCGGAAGTGGATGCGGCTCTGCTGCTGCAGATAAGTTATTCGGGGAATCAAGAGTGGGGGCGTAAAAACCTACGTTGATTATCCTTTTCTTTTCAGATTTCTTTTTCAATATCCACGAGGTATGTGTCCTCAACTAATCCAGTCCAAGAAGTACAATATGTCAAGTCGTCACCAGAACCTTCCTTTCTTTCACTTTCTGATTCTTCGTCTCATTGTTTGGATGCAGGAGAAGGAACAACAAAGAGAAAGAAATTTCTTGGTGTCGTGTCTTGTCTTGTATCGAAATAGTGGGACCGGGTGGGTTCGGGACGTGATAATCAGGTGATTGTTGCAGGAGGCTGAGCCGAGGCCCTGGGTGAGACAGGGGTGGATGGATCTTATCTTATCTATTATGATTTAAGGTTCGCGTTTTGGTTTACAGGGACTCTTTCCTTTCTCTGGTGGGATTTCACAGGTGTGTTTTTCAAAGTCGATTTCTAGCTGCATCTGTGACCTCCTTTTCCCCCTAACTGTAAGTTCCGGAGTACTTCCAAAAAAAGGAAAGAGTTTCTTCCTGAAAAGTCAATTTTCTTCTCTCCTTTTTCTCTTGCAATTCAACTGCCTTCTTGCGTCATTTTGGAATGCACAGTTATTTGCTCTCTTAATTGCATAACACTAGTCCAGGTGCAGGACATCCTTCAAAGGTGGTCCCCGCTGTCACACAGCCTCCTGTTTCTCCCACCAGCACAAGACTAGATCGATAGTTGGCTTCCATGCGCATCCTTGGTTCGGTTCTCGATACGTATCTGCATGCCCATCATCTTGAAAAGTGTAGCAATTGACACCAATTGCAGACACTCACAGCCCATCGTCAAATTCCTTAGCTGGAGCAAACCATCTTGCTAGCGTATAATCAGTCTCATTCACACACATCCCACCATCCGAGACCCAATAGACAAACCTATCCTCCGCATCAAGTAAACGTCAACAACCCATTGCCGCAGCGACGACTTTCCTACTTACCCCTATTCAAAGCGAGAAACTAAAGTTTGTTTACATGTCAACAACCATCGTCGCAGCGACCATCTTCCGCTTACCCCTATTCAAAGCGAGCAACCAAGTCAACAGGCGTCAAAAGCCCATGGTCGCATCGATCACCACTCTTCGACAGCCCTTACTCGAAGCGAGAACCCCCTTAAACGAATTTTTACGTTATATCTCCGATTCCCATGAACTAGCATTCAGATTGACGATGGATCGCTGGGGTATTGGTTTTCTGAATCCAACTGATATCTAAGCAAGTACTACAGGTTGTTGTACCTTGACAACCCCCCTTTGCCGTCTCTGGCGCCCCGCCTCACCATTCAAAGAGCTTTTCTCTACAAGCAAATCCTTGCAGTCTCATCCATTTTGATGAAACATCACAGCAACCCAACCTTATCTCCCTTTCAAACCATTCTTTTCAGCTTAACCATGAAACAGAGTATTCTACAGCCACAGACCTGCATCTACATATGCAACCTCTTTCTCAACCACTTCCCAATAATCAGAACACCAAACGCCACTAATCCCTCTTCCACCAGATCTGCAACCTCCTTCCCAACCAAGCTTCTTCAAGATAAACGCCATATTCCCTACGCCACCCGCATCTACCGCCCTCCTCTCAACTCGGCCCACTCCCTTCTCTCCACTTATCTATCCTCACAACAACCCACTACCGCCTCCCTCCCACTCAAACCTGCCATCTCGCCAAGATTACACGCCACCCGCCCACATCAGCGACCTCTATCCCAACCCATTCCCGTAACTTAAAACACCAACATGCATCTTCTAGAACATCGAATCGGCGGCAAACTAAGCTTGCCGCCAGCCAGCGCTTATCTCTGTGTTTCGGATTACTGACTGCATGTATCGTATGCAGGACCGGGAGCCAAGATGGTGGGTGGATGGGTGGATGGGTGGGTATCGAGGCGTTGGGGAATTAAGCGCTGGGTGTTGGATGATCGGCCGCATGGTGGAGGTTAGGAGTGGGTTTTGGAGGTGTTGGATGGGGAAGGGTGGGGGATGGATATGGAGATGGAGATTTGAATGATGAGGGGAGGTGTGAGTTGTGAGTGAGTGATGATTGAGTGAGTACTAGTAGTGAGTTAGTGAAAGTTCAAGTCATGTGGTGAAAAATCACGAGTGATGGAGAAAAAAAAGAGGATATATTACAAATTTCCATTTTGTGCTCTCGTTCTCAATAAAACAGCGAGTTCTCTAGCTATCATCAAGTCGTAAAAAGGAGTCATTCCCTTCGTTCTTTCGTTTCTTTCCGTTCCATCCATGGTATCATTCTCCCCCCATTTGCAACCCACTTAACGCCAGTGAAAAGCAAAAAATCAAATGCCATAAATCCACAAGATCCAAACAGCGACTCCCATCCATCCACTCACTCAATCTCACCCTCAGCATCAGCATCTTCTTCCTCGTCCCGCTTGCTACCAACAACCAACCGATAGCCACCACCAACACGCTCCTCAACGATGCGTTCCTTGACAGCCCAGTTAATAAGAAGCACATCTCGACCCTGATCAACACCCGTCTCGCCCGCTGCCGCCGCACGCTCCAAATGCTTCCCCACATGCTCCATCCTCTCATCCCAACAATTCGGGCCCTCGAACGTAACACTGCACTCCCGAACCGGACATCTCAACTGTCCCGGCGCCTGTCTCTTAACCTTCAAGCAGCTCACCTGCAGCTCCTTCAACTCCTTCTCCCAGTTCTCATCGACCTGCTTCTTGCGCTTGACCGAGTGGGGAGCATGCATGCGTCTCAGATGCTGGGTGAATAGGTCCTTGCGGTTGAACTCCGCGCCGCCGGGCTTCGAGGCGTTGACTTTGGCGCAGGAGCCAATCTCACAGATCCAAGCCGTTAGATTGAGGTGTTGGGAAGAGACGTGACGCTTCCATTCGTTCTTGGAGGCGAAGGTCGAGGCGCAGCCCGCGAAGGAGAAGACGCAGATGAAGGCACGGGTGTGGGTTGATGCCATGTGGCGGGCGAGCTGGGTGACATCTTTGAAGGGAGGTGCGTCGCAGGACTTGCAGGTTATCTTGGAGTTGGTGGTGGATGACTTGGGCTTGCTGACTCGGCTGCTGTTCTTCTTGGGGGTAGGCTTGGTGGTGGAGGTCGTTGAGGGACGCTTGCGGGTGCGGGTGCTGCGGGGTGTGTATTCGGTGTCGGAGGCTGGGTCGACTTCGATGGCGTCTTGGTCGTTGTCGATTTCTCCTTCGGCATCGATATCAGAGGTAGCGTCGTCGCCGGCTTGGATAGAAGTGTCCTCGGGTGAGTTGATGTCCTTGATGGATGAACCGACTGCGGAATCTGTGTGATAGTGGTAATCCTGAGCTTCTTGGTGACGATACTCGGTCTTGACTTGTTGCTTCTCGGCTTCCATGTTGTACTCAGACTTGAGATTCATCTCTTCGTAACCTTCGTCGGCATCGAACGTGACTTCTTGTGGATCGGCGAAACCTTGGACTTGGCTCATGTTGACGCACGAGTTGCCGGGTGCTTGAGCTGTAGGAAGGGAATAGTGCTGATAGTGACTTGGCGCAAGAGGGGGAGCGGACTCGAACGGTGGGGGTGAGTTGGCATAAGTAGGAGGAGAATTGGCGTAAAACTCCATACCACCATGCATCGCATACTCTTCTTGACCTGGGGAATAATAGCTCCAGTCTGGGTCCGTAACTGGGCTTTGAGCACTTGTAGCATTCGAAGACAATCCTTGTGACAGAGATGGAGAAGCGTGTCTCATGAATGCAGCTTGAGGAAGTGATTGAATGGGCGCGCCAGTTTGGCTGTAACCATGCGCAAACACTTGACCACCATTGATCGGAGCAGCGTTGAAGAGAGGCAGTTGCGACTCCTTGCGCGACTCGTTGAAAAATCTACTCATTGGGGCTTGGTGTTGATATTCTTGAGTTTGAAGCTGTAGATCTTGTTGGACTTGGAAGGCCATGTGAGCGGGGCGCTGGTTGTTGACTTGAAGGCCAAGCATGGAAGGATCCATTTGATTGACAGACGGATCGAACGAGGACCAGGCGCCTGTCATACTCAACTCATCTTGTCCGTGAAGTTCCTCCTGTGGCATATTATCGTGGAAGAAGGGCGGTCCTCCATATCCGTATTGATTGTGATTATACGCCATGGCGCGAAGGTGGATGGAGAATTATCTCGCAACGTAATATCTGAAAAGTAGAAGGTGAAAGGGATTGAAAGGATCCAAAGACACGTCGGAGGTTCCAATTTACAACGCGGTCGAGGTGGTGTTTGCTAGGAGAACAAATCTCTGAATGTCGTGTATCAGTAAAGTGTTGGTGGGTCGCTTGGGGAGGAGAATGGCGCTAAGCTTACGAGGTCGACCTCGAAACAAACAACAACAGCTTTCCAATCCTTGAAATTTATTCTTTGTACACCGAGAAGACCGAATCCCTTTTATCTATGCACAAAGCACACAATACATACAAAAAGTCGAATCCGTGGACGGCGTCACGGATCCACTCCACAAGTCAGATCAGGTGGGATGGTGAATGATTCCCCGAGGCGAAGCCAGAAGAATCAATATGGACGGTAATGGGCGTAGTTAACAATTAGTGACAGATGGGGGAGGAGAGGCAGAAGTCGAGAAAAGGAGAGAGACGACGACCATAATGTACAAGACAAGAGATCAACCAAGCAATACCAAGCCCCCCCAGCAGCAGCATCCTCCACCTCCACACACGTCGAAAAAATGCCCTTTTCTGTGCTGGCTGGAACGAACAATCCATGGCGTTGGCGTCCCGGTGTGCGGTCTGGTCTGACGGGTGAAAAGCGAGGAAGAAGACAGCAGAGCCTCAACTCTCTGTCCTATCCAGACCGAACAATGCACGCATTGCAGCACAAGTGCGAACAAGGGGCCGCCGCCGGCGAAGGGAGGTACAGGCCCAAACAGCTCACCATGCAACCATAACCCAAACCGCAAATTCTCCAGGAATGCCCGCATATGCATGCCCCTGGGCCTTGACCGGACCTGGCGTGTTCTAGTGGGCGGGCATCTGGTCCAATGTGCATGTGGTGGATGAGTGGAGGATTGATGGCTTTCTGGGGGACCTGGCTGCGCCTCATGAGGACTGCAGACAGAGAGGACGGACATGGATAGAGCGGCAGAAGCAGAGACTGGAACTTTGGGCAGGACAGCAGGAGAGAGGGCAATTGATTCGAGTCGACCCACGTTCCATTGCACAACACTTCCATGCCATGTCTCTCTGTCCGTCCGGAACCCGGTTTCGATCGACGGGGCATTTCAGAGGGCAGATGCGCAATTGCTCTCGAAGGAAGAAAAAAAGCAAAAGCAAACCACGCACTCACTCCAATCACCGTCCTCCTCGGGGCAGCTGGGCGAACGCCATAGGCAGACAAGGCAACCACCAGGCAGACTTTCCTCTCATTTCCCTCATGGAACCTCTTAAACATTACCCGCCAGAAGGAAAAAAGAGTCATCACAGCAAGCAAGTCATACCATCATGCCATCATTCCATCCATCCCAATAGTTCCCAGTCCCAGTTCTCCGTTCCGGCCGTCTTAAGTCTCGAAATGGGAAAATAACCTTAGGTGAGTGATCTTCATGAGACACAGGACCCGACCGACCACCCATCATCATCCAGCAGTATGAAATTCAGCCCCCAACAGCAAAACCCCCCTATGCGACCTCCTCTCAAAGCGGGTACGACACGAACTCTCCAATCACTCCCCATCCCAACTCTCCTTCTCCAGCGGCTATTTCTGTCCGACGTCTCTGCTGCTTCTGGAACCCGCCGGGTGGGAATAGTGGAGGCTCATTCATCATCAGGGCGTTCGTTTGTCTCTGCTGCGAGCCAAATGCCCTTCCTTTCCTGCACGCAGCACGACAGCCCCAGAACTTCGCCCTGACGCTGTCTCGACGCCCCGCTACAGTGAAGACTGTACATACAGTAGTGGGGTTATCCACTAACGAACCTCACCTTAGAGCCCGATAGCGTCTCCGTACCCTAAAACCGATTACGATCGCCCGCTAGAAACGCAACGCAACCCACTCAATCGCGGCAGCAGACTCGGTGAGCGGTTCTGTTCTGGGGCCGGTCTGCAGTGTGGTGGTACGCACCCCAGCCACCTGCGGGCTTTGGCGAATGGGACGGGTGCAGGGGTTTCGGTGTGGGTTTAGGGTAAGGCGTCCTACGTGCTGGGGTGCTGGTTTATTGGTGGTGCTGGTTAATGGGCATTCTCAGCCGCAGCTGACCCTCCATCTCAAGAAACCATGAGAGTCGTAATGAGTTTAGCCGCAAGAGGATGGATGGTTTGGGATGGTCGGGATGGATCTGTTTGTGCAGGAGTGCGAACAGTGCGATTCTGCGGTAAGATGGATGAAAGGAAGCATGGAAGGTTTCTAGAATTGATTGCATGAAGGGTATCATTGCATGTAGTACATGGATAATGATCTCGATGCTACCTAACCAAAGGACCCTTTACTCCAGCAAAATTGTCCTCCAATACCAATCTACCCAATGTCCCAACCAAAAGAGTTTTGGATACAAACGCCATCCGTCGTGAATTCATGGATTGATTAAAGAAGAAAACGTAGTTCAAGCAAGATCGGGAAGAATCTTCTCAACACCCGTCCTACAATTAGGACACCACCTATGCCGATTATCACAGGCAGAGCAACTAGAATGTAATCTAGGATTATGCGGCATAGCACATTCACACTATACCTTCCACCATCAGCACGATCCCTCTACCAAACTCTCCTATTTCAAGGTAAGGAGGAATGAAGACTTACACAGATAATCACATTCTCGTAAGCAGTTGTCTTGGAGCGTTTCGGGTTTCGGCTGCTGCTACTACATTCATCCTGATCCGAGGAGGAAGAAGTACCGATGCGTCTCTTGGACCCCAATCCACCTGCAACAACCGCAGGATTCGGTCCCCGCTGCTGAGGTTCAAGGTTAATTGCAGCTGTAGCTGAAGATTCTCCTGCAGCAGCGCCAACTGTTGGTCGACGATCATCGGACGAAACGCAGCTACTGCCAGGAACCTCGTTCTCGGATCCTGATCCAGATCCAGATCCAGACGCGGCGTCTTTATCCGACGACGATGAAGAACTCGGTTCTCCAAAAATAGGTTGGTCATGCGGACTACTGCTCGCGACGTCTCCCTTCGGTTTATCGGAATCAACTGGTATCCATTCCCGGATACTCTGTTTAGGTTGCTGGTTACGACCCATGAAATGGTCATCAATATGGTCGAACCGTTCGGTCCAGGCATCTAGACCTTTCTTCTTCAGATCTACTGACTTGCCGCAGAAGCCACACCAGAATCTGGCCTGGCAGTTGCGTCCGATGCGACACTTATCGGTCTTTAGCTTCACGAGACTTTCGTCGGAGATGTGGTGGTCCTTTCGGAGGTGTTCTTGGAAGGTCATCTTGCGGTAGCAGACTTTGGTGCAGGGTGGTTCGACGGGTTTGGTTTCGAAGCAGCGCCAGATTTCGAGGTGGAAGTGTTGGGAGTTTTCATGGCGTTTCCAGTCGTTTTTGCTGCCGAAGACTTTGTTGCATGTCAAGAACGTGCAGCCGTACGGCTTCTCGTGACGCTTCATGTGTTTTCTAGTAAGGTCAGTAATTAACCTCGGGTAGGGGATGTTGTAGTGGGAAATAAGACATACTTTAGCTCACAGGGTCTTCCTGTGAACTTCTTGCACGTTTTACAAGTGACTTGATTCTCACTCTTTTGACTGGCAGCGGATCCAATATTGTGTTGTCTTGGAGAATGGCTTGGGTCTTTGGAAACGACGAAACCCAATCTCGAGATGATCCGAAGAACTTCCAAAGCTTTCTTCTCGGCTTGAGAGTCCTTCGCCCCCTTAGGATTCGGTATCGAAGCATCAGCGTCATTGTCCTGGGTATGCATCGCCGGATTTGGATCAGTGGGCCACGCATCTGTTGGAGAATCTTCCTTGTTAGGCTGACTTCTCCGTTCCATGTTGCCGGTTGATGGTGGAGGATCATTGGACATATCAGATAAGTCCATTTTAGACAGGACAGTCTTCAGTGCCTCCGTAAGTTGGGCAGTCGCAGCTGAGGCATTATTCTGCCTCGGCACCTTACCTTGGGGGCTGGTCTTTGAAGCTGCATGGGACTTTGCTTGATCCGGCTTTGGTACGGAGGATTCATCATGGCCCGCTGGGACCAAAGACATTCTATCCAATGGAGCGGTATCGGGAATGTAATTACGCACCACATCGCCCGGCTTGACAATGGTCTGCGGAGGTGCCTCAGGAATTGGGGATCTCTCTTCTGCAGTGGCCGACCTGGATTCATACAATCCTGCTTGGGGGCCTCTGGGGGCAATTAGATCATGAGCTGGTTCTATAGCCGGTGGATAAGGTGTCCAGGATTGACCAATCCGTGGTTTGATTGAGCTATCTTGAAGGGCAAAAGTGGTAGGTGGTTGGGCAAGATCTGGAAGTGTGTGTTTCTCAACGGACATCTCCTCGACAGGACGGCCAGCTTGCTCCCAAATTTCTCCTCTACATATTGTCAATTTGATAGTAAGCTGCAAAGAACAAAGTACGCACCTCTTTACCATGCTCTCCATGTCGTCTTCGGACCAACTGAGGCTTTGGTGAACACGTTTAAGATGGCTCTTAAAGTTATCCAGACGTGGCCATAACTTGTCCTTGGATTTACATCCGTCCACGAGACATCGGAATCTCTTGATACCTGTCGAGCTGGTTAGGATCTCCGAATGTTTACTCTTCCTATGTCTTTCCAAATCGTTTGGTGTGCTGAATCCTTCGGTCCGGGTGCATCCTGGGGCATCACACTCAAATGGCTTTGTGTGTCGCAACTCATGCTTTCTACTCTTGATTAGCTAGCTCCTAAAAGTGTAACGAACATCATACTTCATTTCAGATTGAGTCTTGACAAGCTTGTGGCATATTGGGCATTCCATTCCACGTGACTCTGGATTGCTCGTTACAGGTGTACTCCACGGTTCAAATGATCTAGCATCACGTTGGTGCATCTCATCATTAGATCCCATGAAAGGTTGGAAGTTCTCGACATGGCCTGTAAGACTATGGCAGTCTTGATCCCGTTCTAGGACATCCCCACTGACGACGGAAGTATTCGCAACACTACGGCGAGTGCCATAACCAGAATCCGAATGCGGGACACCATAATGAAATGATCCTGACTCCGAAGGGTTATGTGGCCTATACTGACCTCCAGATGTGATATGATTGCGACTACCAGTCTGCTTGGACTGAAATCTACCATCTGTCATGACATTTGGTGGCATCACCTTGGGAATAGGTGTCCAAGGACCATCATTTGTGGAGTACCAATTATGGATGGGATCTTGAGCGGGACGCATGATCTGTCCATCCGTGGGGAACTGTTGATATATCTTTGCAATGTTAGGGTTTCCAAACGGCATTTCTCCATATCCATGAGTGGGAGGTAGATCAAGATTGCTGGATGCAGTGGCCGTGGGACTTGGCAGGGTTCTTGAAATGCTCAAATCTGCAATCTCCATGTGGTGAGGAGGGACAGGAGGTCTCATCTCTCTAGGGTGTCTATGGAATTGTCCTGGTTCTGTGGAGGTGATGGAAGGAAGAGATGACATGTACTACAAGGCAATTTCATTAGGACTGAAACCACGAAAAAGAACTCATCAGGAGAGCAAGCGTACTGTGCGAGGGCCATTGCGATGGTAATAATTTTGCTGGTTTGCCATGGCGTCTGAATAGAGATCAGCTAAGAGTATGAGTGTTGGTTGCCTGGGATGAATCAAACCGGTGCTCTGTCAATCACTACTCGGCGGATTTCCGACGGCCGAGATCCTCGTGAGTGCCTGCCAGCAGCAGCGTTTAAGAACGACTAGATATCGCCCATGAACATAACACAAAACAGTCGACTCTGCTACCGTCGACTCTGCTCTACACTCTCTCAGGGGGAGACTTGGTTCGTGAGATCGCAGGTTCCAAGGTGCAAGAATTGTTGGTCCGCAGGCCCAGGCAAGGCAGACTTGGGACTATATCTCGCATTGGTAGAGGAAATGGAGGGGCGGATGCTGACCAAGGATGTCGGTGACCAGATTAGGCCAGGATCGATTTCTGACTGAGACCTGCCCAAGAAGACTCACTCAACGGGCGACGACGCACGATTGGATGAGGCAGATAGTAGCAAAAGAGGAGTGAGAATATAACGACAACTAAGTCATCGAATCAAGGGGTGATCCAGTACCAAGAAGGATAAGATGAGGGAAACGCTGGCCGATGAGAGGGGAGAAGAAGAGGAAAAGAGAGTTGCAGTGTGCAGTGTGTGAGGTTGCGACCGGGCGAAGAAACGAGGCGTGCGCAGCCAAAATGAGGCGAGCTGCCGAGCACAATAGGCAGCACTCACTGTCACTCACCGATGAAGGGAAAGGAACTCTCCCACGTCAACAACATCATCGACCTTGCGATATGCATGACCACGCCCGATGATATACTTGGCAAGATATCGGCCATGCAGAGAAGAAGAGAAGAAGGAGAAGAAGAATTTGCTCCCACGTTGTCTTGGACTTGTTTGCGGCTCTGAACTTTTGGGGGCCAGTTGGCTCTCATGCATTGTTGCCTTGTTATACTTGAGGCCTCAGGCCATAAGGTTAGAGAGATATCCCAATCACATGATTCCAGTTCTTCACTCTGGGAAGTTTCCTGGCTGCTTATCTACCTACCTACGCATTTCATATCCATTTTCAATCCTCGCTGATCTTGAGACCTCACTATGCCGTACTGCTCGATTAGTGCTCACTGTGTTTGATGCTTGTATGATCTTGCAAGGCTTGGCGTTGTTGAAACTTGTCACACACCTGTAGTCCACGCTGTGGAATCTTTTCTTATATCTCTGTATTGGTCTTGCTGCAGCAGCGTAATCGGCATCGTATCAATTCGCGCAAGAGTGGTGCCGTGGATCAATTTTAGATGAGACAACTTACGAGTTTTCTGGTCTCATTCGTTCAGCTCTGCTGAACGCCAACGGGAAATACAAGGTTCGGAGGTGCCTCCGCTGTCACCTCGTCCAATGTATTTTCTGCCATGAGAACAAACAATGCGAAATACGTTGTTGGAAAGATGTCCTGATGTTTTTAGGTGCGCCTTCCTCTAGCCGGGGTCCGTGGTCTGGAGCCGATGTTCTAGACGACCAGACACTGCACCCTCCCGTGAAGCACCAGATCTTGTACAACGACCGTATCATCCCCTCTCGTGTCGGGATTATGTTGGCCACTCCATAATCTAAGCAAAAGATCTCCCTTTGGAGTCCTACGGACAAGCATCATGTTTCGCCTTTCAAGTTTTACGGTTTCTTGGGACCTCCATTCAGCTGTTCTTGATCGCTCCCAACCCTTGCCGCTCACAAGATTTACGCAACCTGGCGAGACACAGAAAACACCTTTGGATCGCCGTGACGGCTGCTGCCCTGAGCCTCAAATTCTCCGGCTGCAGTTGAACCATTGCAACACTATATCCGTTTGGTTTGGACCAATATTCCGGACGGCTAGTGGCTTCCTCCCAATCTCATCACAATATCGAATCTGCCGGCAGAAGCCATCTCGACCTATTCTTGTACTTAAAGATCCATCATTTCTTCTTTTCCCGGATTCCGCATTCTCAAAATGTGACAGCTTCAGGCCTACGGGATCCAGGCTCGGGCCGGGGCACGATTCGGGATGCGCCCACCTCTCGCGGAAGCTCGTACGGTCTTCCATTTGAGAAACTAACTCTTCCTGGATAGGCTTGCAGAAATCGTGGGCGGCAGAGCCACTGTCCCACCTCTGGTTTCCGAGTACCAGGTTAAATCCTCACCGTACGGCGCGCCAACGCCTGTCAACCAAGATACACCTGCATATCGCACTACTGTCTCACGCCTACTCCACATGTAATGTTGGTCACTTCTCAGAAAGTCAAGTCCTCTTCTGCAACAGCAGACCTTTCCTATCTGATGAAAATTTGAGTTGGCTTTAAACCGATAAGCCAATGCTTATCATTAAGACCCTTGCTCTCGTTCTCTTGTACTCCCGCTACAAAGCCATTGTCCGCTCTAAAGCTTCTTTGTTGCGATCTGGCGTTTTCGAATTATGTTCTCAATTCGTCAAATTCATGCCAAGCTATCTCCGTTTGTCTGCAGTTGACTTTCTTTCTTTACATGGCTTAAAGCTTACCAAGGAACCTGCATCATGTGGAAGGAAGTTTGTGTCCGGCAACACTGCTGCATCGCTGGTTTGAAAAGCTGCTGAAACTAAGACCTCATAGCATTCAAGAGTTGATGTGATTATGAAGCAATACGGGAATAAGCGGCTGCAAAATGGCATATGGATGGAGGGTCGGCTGGACTACTGGCAGCCACAGTGCTGCTTATTGCATCGCTCGAAAGTGCTATGATGGTATAAATTCTGATGGACCCGGACGTCGAGTCCTTTTCTCCTGCAGTTGGATGTTGTCTTTCTGTTTGCCGTTCTGTTTCCTATCTATATATACTGCTTTTCTATTGACGCTCATGCACCGCGTTCAACTCCCGTCCACAGCACCAAAAATAGAGCACGTATTCCACCACCTCTCCACACGTCCACTACTAACAAACTCTCAGACAAGACCAGAATCCAGACCCCAAGGCTCCTCAACAGCCTTCTCCATCCTCCAAACATCAGCCTCGTTCCCGCGGAGAATTACCAAACGCCTCACGCGCCCAATCAACCCCGACTCGCACAAAAAGACTCCTCTGCCGTACAACCCTCACGGGCACCCCGCATCCGAAACACAAGACGACCTGACTCGCGTCTTACGCCTCACTGACATCATCATGTGCGACTGGGAAGAGTTCCAATTCATCTGCGGGCACAACTCCAGCCGGCTGCTCTCGCACTGCCATTTCGCGCGCACGGATCCGTACCATCAGTGTTTTGGCGTCAAGGTCGTCCGACACGTGTGGCAGCAGGAGGTGGCTTGTCAGCCTTGCTTGGACGCTATACGGGCTGCGGCGGCGAAGAAGGCTGCGAAGAAGAGTAGGACGTAGGTGGCGGGCGGGTGTTGCATTGCCATGCGACGGTAGTGGGAAGCCACAGGTTCTCTGTCGGAAGGAGAGGCCTTTTCCGATCCCGAGTCGGGGTTTGTATCGTGGAAGAATGGAACAGGACGGCGAGGCTGCTGGGAGTAAAAGGATAGATCATCTTGAGATTCCAAATACTGGTCAAAGATATAGAAACATAATTATTAGTCAGATAAAAATATCCTTCCGCCGCTGAAAGACTACTTTTCCACAATGGCAAAGAAGTATCACCCAAAATAGAAGGAGGTACAACTACAATGACCATCGAATTCAACAATCCCATACCTAGATGTAGATCAGATTAATTCTTTTGCCGGCCTGGACCTAAAGATCGACTTAGCCTAGATATAGATCCAAACGCTGTACTCACCAAACTGCTTCTCGATGAGTGAACAAATGTGTACGCAAAGCGGTAGATAGGAAAGTTGTACAAGGCTTGCTGCCGTACGACGGATAGGGATCGATCGGCTACATGAGTTGTGTTACATGTTGAAATGTGACGTTTAAGCAAAGGACGACCGGAGAGAAGATCCGTCCAATGCTTGATTGAGAGAGAAATACGGGATTTGACTTGACACCAAGAAATAAGACTCCTTTAAATAGAGATAGTGTCTAACGCTAGCATTTTTCAAGGCAACCTTATGCAGAGAAAGACGGGGAAAAGATCGAGCAAGAAAAAGCATAACTCCAGTCCTTCATGCTCATGGTATCTATTATCCGTCTCTAATCATTAGGCCAAACCATGATCAATGTATCCTTTTCTCCCACTTGTCCACTCCATCACAGATTCGCAGCCCCCTCCACAACACCCACGATATTATACCGCTTCGAAAAGAACGTGTACCAATCATTCAAAACACCCTTCTCCTTGTCTCCTAGATCAGACCAATCTGCACGTACATCTTCTGCTTTCGTGCTCGTTAAGGCTAGGGCTCTCGATGCGTCGTGGCCTGCGAAGACTGCTCCTCGTTAGCATCTGCGAAGAAGAGGAATTAGAGAATAGAGGTACCATGGTAAGATCCGCCGGGGAGGTAGGCTTTGTTGCCTGTTACATCGAAGACTTGGCCCTGAGGTATGTGTTAATGGGTGGTTTTAGGGATGTGGGAGGGGAGGAGGTACCTTGATTGCGACGTAGCAAAGCTCACTGTCGGTTCCTGCGGCAGAGTGTTAGTGAGGTCTACGATATTTGAGATTAGAACGGACCATTGCATTGCTTGAGGAAACTGGAGGATATGATATCGGTCTTTGGTGGGGCAAGCTGGACGGGTGTCTTGGGCTCGAATTTGCCTGCCATTGTGAGGTGAAAGGTGCAGAGTCGGAGGGTAGGGTAGATGAGTTGGAGACGGCGGGTGAAAGGTTCGCGAGAGCTTTTTTTATTCCTAAAGAAAATGTCTTGCAAGATGGTAGATGTCAAGAATAAGTAGCAATTCCGTCCTCGGATGTGGGGTAATTCTGAATCGGGAGCTCCATTCATGGGCGCCTTGTGGCCTAAGGCGACTATCGGCCTGGAGCTTCAAATACCGATGTTGATGATTCCACAAGACAATTACCTGCATCCCAAGGTCTAATTCTGTCTTTTTCACATCTAGACGGTATAGCTGCCAAGATGTTTGCTCCACGCTTCAGAAGTGCGTTTCGTCCTAGATCTCAATGCTTGCGACAGCACCGAGAAGCTTTGCCACGAAATTTCATCTCACAGCAAATGAGACAGCGAAGATATCAATCCAACAAGTCTTTCACCAATAGCTTCAAGACTCTCTTCAGGACATATCCCTTCTCTGTCAGTGCTGCAGTCATCTTGTAAGTCTTGAAAGTATACCAAATTTCGGAACACAGCTAATTATTGTAGGATTGGTATTGGAGCTACTGCCCTTCTCTACGTCAATGATTTCTACCACAACTACATAATAGGAGCTTTCCACAAGTTTCCCCCACCAGTAGCCAAAGAACTACGAAAGGCATTATACTACACGAACATCTCCCTCGAACCAAAAAATGCTGTCAAGTATTACAAGGAGGCACTGCGTGTGGCAGATGAGATTGGAATGGATCCATTCTCAGATGAGATTATAGGGGTCAAGATCCAGCTAGCTGCTTTGATGGAGAAGTTACAGTTGTACAAGAAAGCAATTGACATCCTGGAGATTGTGAAGAGGGATAACTTGAGATGGGTGGACGAGCTTGGGAATTTACCCGGGAATGAAGGGAAGAGGACTAGAGTCTTGGGAAAGACTGTTGGAATTAGTGTGAAGTTAGGAGAGTTATATGCCAACGAATATGTGAAGGAAAAGGGAGCGGCTGAGGAGCGGCTGGTGTGGGCGGTAGAGACGGTGCTGAAAGAGCAACAGAGGCGAGAAAGTGAAGGAGTGAAGCCCGGTGAGGGTGAATGGCTCTCTCCAGAGGAAATTGGAGGGTCTTTAGAAGGTAAGTTTACGTCTTTGCGATTAATGCTTGTCGACTTACAGTCGTCTAGCTCTGGGCCACCATTATGAAGAGAAAGACCAGCATTATCTTGCAGCTCCATTATTCCTCCAAGCTCTAGCCCTATCACCTCCTGCAAGTTGCCACACTGCAGTCTTGAGTAAGTCTATTCTTTCAGATCATCGAAATTCAAGCTTATTACAGCAGTGAATAACCTCTCAATATCCCTTGCCCAACAAGACCCTCCCGTTACACCCAACCAAACTCCAATTTCCCGACCAGCCTTAATAAGCAATGCTCGAGCATGGGCCGAGAAAGCAATCACAACAGCATCTAAGATACAACCGCCCGAAAGAACGGAAGAGTGTGATATGGGTTGTGCAGTCGCTACACATAATTTGGGGGAGTTTGCGGAGATGGATGGCAACATTGCTGAGGCGAGGAAACGATTCGAAGAGGCGAAGAGCTTGGCTAAGGCGATCGGTTTCCAAGATGGAGTTATAAACTCGGAAAGAGGTCTCGGAAGGCTGGGTAAGACCTAGAAAATGGAAATTTTGAGCAAGATATCTGGTCCGAATCGTCTCTCTGAATGTGCATCTACTTGACGGACATCTTGATTACTTGACAATTATTATTCTGAAAAGTAATGAATTCTCTACGCACCAGTGTGCTCTATGCTAATTACTATTATTCTTTAGTTTCAACTTTTGTGGAAGCTGATACTAGACATCTTTGATCCCTTCGAAACCTCAGCGGACGAATGCAAATGTTCTGTTCATTAAACTATATATGTGCTGCAATAGTCTTGCTATCCTCGTGTATCAAGTATCTTTGCAAAATCAAACTTCCCTCCAAACATCCTCAACCCCTCGGATCCTCACTCGTAGATCTATGATTAATATGATCCAAATACGAAACAACCCTCCTCCCATCCACCTCCTTCCCAACAACCTCCCACCCCTCTGGCAACGGATCTCCCTCCACCGGAACCGGCGCAAAGCCCCCTGGACGCACATTGTCCTTTCTGGGATCATAATACGTTTTGAGCCTTTGCTCAGCATTGGTCCAGAAATCCTGTCCCAACGAATTCCTGCCAGCTTCCCAGCCCTCCGGAAGAGGAATAGGTCCCAGTCTTGGATCGACTGATGTGGAAGTGTGCGTGTTATGGTCGAGAAACACTTCATGCTTCCTGCCGTCCACGGTTCGAGAGATGATTTCCCAGCCGTCGGGTAGAGGTGCGCCTTCGACGGGAGTTGCCTCAAAACCATCTGGATGTGGGTTTGGTTTGCGAGGGTCGTAGTAGGTTTTGATTCTTGAGGTGGAGTTTGTCCAGAATGTTTTTCCGGTGGAGTATCTGCCCTGTTCCCAGCCATCAGGGAGAGGGCCAAGAGAGGCAGTTTCGCTTGACATGTTGATGTTGTTGTTGAAATGTTCTTGGATATTAACGAAATCACAATTCTGGAAGAAATAAAGATCTTGAAGCTTGGGAATTTAGCGAACAGAAGTAGGGGGGACGATGTAGGCAGCCACATTGCTCCGCCACAGGGTGGCGAATATTGCGGGGCAATTTTTTGGTAGATCCAAAACTAACCCAATATGTTTACTAGGTCATGTAGTTTAGAGTTTGCGTGCCAAATCACAGCGATTCTATGTCACTGAAGGGTCATATGACCTTAGTAAGTAAGGTATCCTAGTCCCCTGACTTCAGGTTACTTGGTTGTCCCTCGTTTTTGGGACATTTAAAAACAAGTTGAAGCTAGGCAGCTTGTCTTGTGGTGAGAACATTGCGATTATCCCTCTAATCTGGGACATTTAAGGAGGTGTCTGGATCTGATTTTTGTATTGCCGCAAGAATCGATTTTTCAGACTACTTCATTGTCTCTGTATTCGTGATGCATTCAAGTTAGCAGAAGACCTAAAGATCCGAACTAGCTTCCAAACGGTTGAATGTCTCAACTGCCATCTCGAGCATCTCTTCTAAATCCTCTTCCCAAAGCCACCGAAATCTAGTCTCTAAGCTCGCGTTGATATCTGCAATTTTGTCATCCTCAGAACCCATGAACGAATATAGGAGTCCAGCCGCGTGACTGGTCCTAACAAGAGTTTGGGAGCGGCTTACTCGTGTGATATCGAAGGCATTGAGAGCGTTGACGATGGAGGAGTAAAAGCAATCTGGGAGGCGACTGAGGAGTCCAGAAATTAACGAGGGCATCTTCGGCTTTTGATCCAGTTCAGCGCCATGATGTGGTGTAGAGGTATGATCTGCGTCTCCCAAGAGCAAAAGCTTGTCCTGCGTGTAAGAAATGACGGGTTGAGAGTGGTAAATTGCCCATGGATCGAGGTTGACGTTGTGAAAATCCATGAGCTAACTTTGTCAGTAAAGCTACCAGCCTTTCAGAGCTGCAGTAAACACCTTAATAATCTTGTTGACAACAAGTCCCCGGAACTTAAAGTCGCGCTCCATTGGTTCGGTTTGGCTGGCAGTACTCTATATGCTCTCCCATGGCTTGCTTCCTTGGACAACTAAGACGACGTTCATATACTTGCCGTGCTCCGTCGGGTATGTAGCAACGTAGGCGACTTTGTAGAGGTAGAGATTACTGTTGGAAGCTCGCCCTATACCAAGTTCCAAAATTCAGAGCTCCATAGGGAGGAGAGAACGAAATGCGTAAGCACACGAGTATACAGGTTGGTGGTGAGGGTCCATGATTTAGCGTACCTAAAAAAGACTATTATCAGTAACTATTCTTCCATAAGAACTACTAGACTCTTACACGAGAATGAAGCGCATGTGCTCCAAGGACAACATGCGCCTGCTCAACAGCATTTAAAAACTGTTATAATATTATAATATTTAAAAAAATAAAACACAGAAAAATAACTAACGCTGCGCGAGTATTAGAGATTAAAATACTGTTAACTCCGAAAATACTACGAAGCTATAATAGGCTATGGTCAAGGGTTTGGTTACATGGTGTTGTGGATACTGAACGGGCTTAGCTTTCCTTATGATTTACATTTTAGGCTAGTGTGCAAGCACGTAGCCTAAGAACCTCTTGATACTCTGGAGTAGAGAACTCAGCATGCACTTTCTTTACACCTTCATATGTACCGCGACAGAGCGTAGAACCAATCGCGAGACAACATTGCCAATGGCACTAGAACTTGTCCAAGATCACAGAGTAAATATTGTACAATGTTTGCTTGTGAAGACATGTATGACATATAATGTAGTAATCATATAGATCCTATTCAATGATTAGATGAACATGCATACAGCTGTGTCTATGGCTCATGCTTATGGCTCGTGTTTATTGCAATCTAAAAGTCCGAGTATCGAAGTAATTTTAATGAGCTCAGTAAAAAGACGGTTCAAAAAGCGGCCGTTCATGCAACCGGGACTCTCTCTGTTGAGGACATTTCACTTGTGAGAAAGTGATACAAATGACCCATTGATCTGAAGTCCACCCAGCAATTTTAGATCTTACCAAGCGGTCACAAACGACTTAAGTCGGGCACAGGACGCCTTGGAAACGTCTTCTCCCATGCGCTCATGAATCGCAGTAGTTTGTCTTCCCCGTGTGCTCTAGTCAATGCTACCAGACCGAATGGGCGTCCATTGAATTTCATCTGTCCCAAAGGAAAGACCGCTAGAGGGTAGCCTATATTTGTTAATTGGATATTTCGAAGCAACAAGTGCTGAAGAGGTGCTCACCAGCTGCCGCTGCTAGCGTGGACAGAAAGCTATCAGCAGGTCCAATGATAACATCAATGTCATATTGGGAGAGTGCCTTATCAATACCCTCCGCCCTGCTCATCCGTCTGATGTAGTTCAGCGATTGTTCGTATCTCACAGGATCCGAGTGAAATGCTTGAGCCCGGACGAGTCTGTTTTGCTGTGGATGGTCTAATTCAGAATTAGAAAAATGGTACATCAATTATGGCTGAGCAATTCTCACCCGGTGGGAGTTCCTTATCGGCGTGCGCCTCATTGAACTCAATCATGTCTTTCAACGAACGGATAGGAGACTCTTCAAGGCCCTCAAGATACTCATTCATCAGAGGTCGGAAGTCAGCGTCTAAAGGGTAGTTAGCTATGCGGGCCAGGCAGTAGGCTGCTCAATCAACAAACATGTGAGGTCCCCAAAATGATCAATCCCATCTGCATCTTCTCCCACAGACTTTGCTGAGACAAGATCGATGTTCTCGTGAAACGACGCACCCAACTTCTCTCCCAGAACTTTGTACGCGCGTTCGATGTCGTCAATCTAAATTTACCTCGGTTAGTGAGAGGTCCTGGCACCTGATGGGCGACGTACCTCTTGGCGTGTAGCACTCTCCACTGGTTTGATCAAGAAAGAAGATAGTAGCCATGGCTCTACGTCCACGGCACCAACCTTGAGACCTTCCAATTCCGAAGAGAGTTGAGAAACATAGCCGCCTTGCGGAATTGTGGTTGTAGACGGGTCAACAATTGCGTCAAGCATGATCGCAACGTCTCGGGGACTTTTGGCTAGAGGGCCAATGGCATCGGAAAGCTTTGATATTGGGATGACGCCGTCTTGAGATACGAGTCCAATGGTTGGCTTGAGGCGGAATAGTCCTGCTCGAGTTCCCAGAAAAACAATCGAGCCATCAGTCTCCGTCCCAATGGAAACTGTAACTAAACCGGCAGCAACAGAGACAGCAGACCCGGAAGAAGATCCACCAGGGTTCTATCGAACCGTCAGCCAGAAAACTTTGAAGTTGGTTGAGCATCCTGCATACGCTGTGTCCGGAAAATGTATCGTCTGGCCTAACGCCACCTTTCACATATGGTGACTGGGTCTGTCCACCGAGTGCAGACCACCCACTAGGGATGCCGTCGCCTCTAGGAACTGGGGGTTAGATCACCTCGTAAAATGTATTGTATATTGGAACATCAAATCACCCAACTTACTTAAACCAGCCAAGCTCCTGCGTACTATGAGCTATGCCGCTGGTTGACGACGCGAAATATTCTTACGGATAAATTGGCCTTCCCCAAGATGATTGCCCCTGCTTTCACGAGCTTCCCAGATGGTCAGCTTTTGCTTCGAGGCTTGAATCAAGATGAGGGCTGTTCTGCTTACTCGGTCTACCGCCGGTGCGCTGGAAGATACGCGTGAGCCTACAAGCCCGTAACATCCTCCCGTAGTTGAAGCGACTCCAAGATCCGGATGCGTTGCAATGTTATCCTGGGATAAATTGAGTCAGTCTTCCATTTCATGCGGGACGAGAACTTTACTTTGACAAGTATGGGAATGCCGTGGAGAGGACCTCTACTTCCGTGCGACGTCCTTTCCTCGTCGAGTTTTCGAGCCGTGTCCAGCAGTAGAGCTTCCGGCGCCAGCTGAATGACGGCGCGTAAGTACGGGTTATGAGTAGAGATCTGCTTCAGGTAGTACTGCACTGCTTCGACGGAAGTCAAAGTCTTGTTGGAGAAGCGGTCTTGGAGTCTGTCGCCGTCAACCCATCAAGATCAGCCATTTTTTCCGATTTTTGTGACAAGAAAGGCAGTCTAGGCACCCTGAAAACGGCCGAAAGAAGTTTGTGGGCACAGATAGCGAGCATCAAGTATATGAAGGTTCGGGCCAATCGATTATTGAGCACTGAATTCATTGACCGACTATGAGGGAACCTGAAGTAAGAGCAATGTAGAAAATCACAATCACAAGCTGCGACGGAAAGGTTTCGTTCACCACATACCCAGTATGCCATATCGATTCCGGATTCGAAAGAGCTTCCCGGCAATAGATATTGCTCATTGATAGCACTACTTGTTTATTCTTTCAACAAAAGCATCTTCTGTCACTCCACATCCACAGAGCACGCTCGCCACCAGCCAAGAGTCCTTCTATACCTATTGACACCAAAGCTTTGTCACCGCACTCCTCACACTTTGCAAACTTCTGACAGCCAGAGGCAGCGGTATGGATATTCAGACGTCAGTTTGGAATTCTGCCCTTGAGATTCGTAAAGCAAATCTGCGGAAGATCTCGAATAGATCTTGCGATGCCGCGGAAGGCGCACACACCTTTGAAACTGTCCGCAGGGAGACTCGGTCACGCCCAGAAGCGAAGGTAGAAGTCTGGCGATACCACGCGCAGAGGTAATTGCCCACTCTTATTTAGGACAAAGCGAGTCTTTTCTGGTCGATGTTGTGCTAACATACTCGTAGCAAGATAATGCTCATCCTGACCGCGCTGGAGGTGACGGCGGATCTTTTCAACCAGCACATGCGGCAAAATCTACCCAACCTCAAATTCTTTTTGGGCGTGCTATTAGAAGTCATAACAGCTAGTCTCCTGCTTTCTGATTTTGAATCCAAAAAGCTAAAGCTTAAGTAGAAGTGTCAAAAAACGCAAGAACACTGGGACGCGTTAGTGGAGACCTTCGATGACACATACCAAAACCTTCAGAAGCTTGAAGGTGGTGTGAAGATGTTGGGAGTAGAGGTGGCAGAAACGAGCGATCCAATTCTCTTGATCTTGAGCGAGACAATCGTGAAGGTGTTCACAAATTTACTGGATCTGTGGATAAATACTTGCAGTACCATCAGGAAAAACCCGAACTGTGAGTCCGCTCTACTCCGACCAAACACACTATTATCTAACATATTGCAAGCCCCTTTAGGGGAACCGTGGAAACAGCAAAGTGAGTCCTGCATGGATAAAATAAGATTTGCCGTGCTACATTTCTCCGATATGGCTACCTCACGCAATCCAGTGACACAACAGATCCCGAATACTCAGCACCCTTTCGGAATTTCCGTAAACACTACGGTAGTAGAAGACGGAGTCAGCTTTCCTCTAAAGGTTCTGCCATATCCGGCATACAATGGCTTCTTTGGACGAAAGGAGCTTTTGGCAAGGATGAACAAAGAGCTTGATCCAGGGCAAGCTTCCACTGGCAATGGGAATGATGTGAACTCCATATTACTGCATGGTACAGGTGGTGTTGGAAAGACACAGAGTGCTCTTGCTTACGCCCATCTAAACCCGGCTAGGTTTGACGCAATATTCTGGGTAAGGAGTGATCTTGATGCCGATATCCAGGCGAGCTTCTCCAACATCGCTCTAGCTCTAAACCTTCATGGCGCAAAGAGAGACGGCGATGCACAACAAGACGAAAATTTCCTCTATTTCACTCGATGGCTTGGACAGCAGGCGGCGACGAAAAATGGTAAGACAAGAGCTCATACTTGTGCGCATGTTCGTGGGCTGACGTCTCCAAGGAAAGCGCTGGCTTATGATATTCGACAATTGTGATAAGATTGGAGATATATGGCCTAAGTACATCCCAAAGACAAAAGGTTCGGTCTTGATAACCAGTCGTTCTCAATCGGTGAAGCTTCCAGACAGTGTCATTCTGCCGGTACAGCCATTTGGCGAAGATGAGGGTCTGAAATTGATGAAAAAACTGCTCTATTCGCGGGAAGAAAAACAACTATCACCAAGCGAAGAAAGTTCTCTTCTCAACTTACTGCGAAAATTCGATGGATTGCCTCTGGGCATCAAAGTCATAGTAGCGTTGATGCTCCCAAGGATCGACAGAAAATCGAAGCATCCAATCACATCATTTGCAAAGTTCTACGACCAGAACGCCCGGAAGATGCTTACCAGAGTGGAGAGAGCCACAGACTATGATCACGACGAGCATCGAGAAGTTGGTCAGGTGCATGTTCTCGACAACGTCTGGCAGCTGAGTTTCACTAGTCTTGACCCCGATGCCCTCTCTGTGTTAGGCATGATATCTTTCATGGCTCCTCAAGACATTTCCATTTCATGGTTGAACTTGGTGGACAAAGATGTTCCACCGTCTCAAACAGTATTATCGGTCTGCACTAAACCTTTTGAGTACGTGTAAGTTTCATTTCCTGAAAAGTCAACTCATGCTGATCAGAGTATAGGCTTGATTGGGCAATCGTTAATCTAGCAAAGGCTGCACTCATCAACAAACAGAATGTGGAAGGTGAGCCCGAAGATGATGATATAGACACAGATGCTATAGCAGAAATTCGCATCGCATCTGGGAGTGCCAGTCCCACTTCGAGTGCTTTCGAATCTACTTCTAGCCTCGATGCAGATGATGAGTTCGGGAAAGCAAAGATTTCCATTCATCGTTTGGTGCAGGAAGCTTTGATCTACAGCAGATCAACGCAGGAACGTCAAACTATTTTTGACGCTGCGATACGTGTTGTTTCCATGGCTTTTCCGAAACAGATCAATGGAGAGACATTGGAAGGAGAGACAGAGACTTGTTCACGATTGATCCCACATGTCATGTCTCTAGCTTCGAGGTATATTGAGTTCGAAAGTCATGCAACATCACCCCTCGAACCGACTAATGAGTTAGGGAGCTTGTTGAAATCCTGCATATGGTAAGTGGTATCTGTAATACATATCTTTGTTACTAACAGGACCGAGGTTCACATATGAGAAGGGAGAACGGAAGACAGCGTTGTATTTGTTACAGCTCGCATACAAAATCTGCCAAGATAAAGAGTCTGAAGTGTACGCAGACTTGCAATTCAAGGCCGGAGGAATATATCTTGATCAAAATGACCTCGCGCATTGCAGGCAAGCGTGGGACGAAGCTCGGGGTATCTATTCGAGATTGCAACGTCGAGGAAATATATCTGCTAAACACTCGTTGACATGGGTTCTTCATGCACTCGGAAACCTTGAATCTGCAGATGGCCATTTGGATGAAGCATTGTCGCTTTACGCAGAAGCCGATGAAGACAGACGCCAAGAACAACTAGCTCAACCGTGGAGAGAAGGCCTTGCAGCCATGACATTAGGGCGAGCGTACTTTCTAAAAGGGGAATTTGAGACTGCACTTGAGAAGTTTTCCGAAGCAGAGAGCATCTTCAACAAGGATTATCAAGGTTCTACTTGGATGGCATAGTAGGTTGTACCCTTGACCTTTTTGATCCATCTAACTTATGCAAGCCTCACATACGCACATGGCAATGTCGAGCTGGCACGGGATAACCTTACTGAAGCGAAGACAAAGTATATTCAGTCTCAAGACTGTTGGACGCGTTCTGCGCCGTCTCATCTTGGACTTTCGGCATGTTACTACAAATTGGGCTGCATTGAATTTAGGCAGCAGGAGTACCTACACGCTCTGCAAGTATCTTGGCCAGTTTACCTGATGGCATGCTAATGGAGCATAGGAAATACTTTCGCAAAGCTCTCAGGATCGCAAAGTTTCAGGCTCAGGGTGACCAGGCAAGAATTCTCAGAAAGCAGGCTGAAGTTCAGGATGCTGGAGGATTTGTCGATCAAGCCGCAGTATCCCGCAAGGAAGCCGAAGACACGCGATCCAAAATCACGGGACAAGCGGGAAAGTCGTTAGAGGACACTGATGCAGCCTGGGACTCGCTGGTCTGTATCTTTTGGCGGTAAATGCCAGCCCACGATCTTTTCAAACTGTTGGGTTTCTCACTAGCTCAGGCGTATTTAGTTGGAAGAAACACGGCTACAGAAATGGGGCATTATTTGTTTGCTCACAGCGCTGATGCCCTATAACCTTCCACATCGATTGTACATAGAGGGATCTCCTATCAATCAATCTACAATCGGTTTGTTCAATGAGGGCTACAATCCCCCAGAAATGCGTTATATGAAATAATGGAGATCCACAGGCCTCTAGGTACTGGCACATGCCTGCGGTGAATATTCATGACGTATGAATCCCGTAAACACATATACACGAAAGGAAACAGCTTGTTGTCCCTGCCGGACGGGATGTGCGGCCCGATTTTCCGGCATGGCTGTGATACAGTTCACTGGTTCCCAAGAGTTGCATGTAAGACACACTGTGCTAATGCTGCTTTAACCCCCTTTCCCAAATTGGCCATGTTGGATGCAAGAACAAGTAATAGTGTCCAACTGACCTTTGGGAGTGTCACTGACTGACCTGCAACACGTAGTGACTTGTAACAACGCTAAAATGCTTGCGGGTATTTGTTAGAATGTAAAATAGCTTGTATCTTTCGCTAATTTGTAGCGTTGTTGCAAGTTACTACGTGTTGTAGGTTAGTTAGTAATACGCTCGGAGGGAGTAAAGGCCAATCCCGGAGGTCAGGGGGACACTGTTAGTCTTCCCGTGCCCCAACTGTCAGCATTGGACGCCACGATGTGACTGGCTGCATGACTGCAAAATTGCTTCCGCCGACCTTGAACACGAACACAGCAGCCTGCGAACAGCGCATCAATTCAGTCCGGCTAGCTGGAATTGGGAGACATGAGGCTGACGCCGCCCGAATAGCCTATGATTTCCCAACGGAGTGCCATTCCCGTCATTCCCCAAGCGTATTCGTATTCGACCTGAGTATACGGGCGACTTTTCTTGTGCAGTTCGGTTACCCTGAACTCGGTAGGCTGCAGCCTTGCGTCGAAAAACATGATAGAAATATGAACATGGCAAGTGTGTACGGAGCCGTCGACGTGAGTACATAAAGTGATCGTTGAATGTTCTTTGTATGCATTGTGTATATATACCGCCGCGTTACCAGCATTCATTATGGCGACACAGGCCGGAGTGCGATCCAGTCTAGAAAGTGACTTGGAACTTCGTAGCTTGGGTGGAGTATGCTCAAATCAAACCAGTCCCGTCATTGATATTGCTAACTAAAAGTGTACAGTCAAGTCGAAGTTCTGTTGCAGACAATCCAAACAGCACAGGTATGTTTCCAGTAACAGCTTTAGACTTTGAAATCTGAGGATTCTATAGCCACGTCCATGCCACTGCCAGTGCTGAAGAGTTGCCAACACGAAATTCTGAACATAATCATGCACCCGTCGAAGTCCATAAAGAGAAGTTGTTACTCGGATTGGTTTGAGCATTACTTGGAGAGCAGAGTCAGGAATTTCTCCCGCACCCCACTTGGGCAATCTCTCATCCCATTCATTTCGGTGGAAGGAAGCCCTATCAATGGTCAGTCAGGCGTTGTAATCAGCATATATCAAATTTTGGTCATCATCGCGAGAGAGGTCGTCTCTGGGGGAACCTCCATCAATACCATAGCTCAAAGAGTGATGGACTTAAAGCCAGAGACCAGGTCAGCCTCTCCTTATCGAGTCTATAAATTCATCTTCAAATGCATTGCTATGATCACTCTATTGTTCGATGCTTCCGACGATATGGCTTCATCTAAGCTTCAACTTCAACTACCAAATGCATCTTCGCGGAAAAAGTCTCGGTTCAAGCAGAGCTCCATCTGGATCCGCATGGAATGTCCGATATCTGACACCAGTGGTGGAACTATGGACATGGATATTGACCATTTGATGTCGCACTTCGGAAACCTGGCACCTTCTCGCTCGTACCCATCTTTGGGCCATAACCAGGACCTTTACAAGAACACGATCATAGCATCAAATCTAAACTATCATACGCTCTCGAAAATCGGCAAGCTCACCATTGAATGGGTTGAATCTCTGAGTCTTCATCTGGAGCTTCACGAACGGACTTCTGTTGTTAGGGTCTTTCAGTTTCCTTCATTTTGCGCCCTTGTTTGTAGCCAGATGGATGGTCAAGAGACCCTGTTATCGAAGTATGTCCATCTTTAGCCCATATGTCTCAAGCTAATGGCTGACATCAATAGACTGATATCAAATGGAACTTCGGAGCTCCAGCCTGATGAATTGCTAAACAATGGACAACAGTATACCTATAGCAGAGATTTTCTAATTGAAGTGCTATGCTCGTACCGGCTTCTCTTTGGACAACACCACAAGTCATACACAGCGTTTCCTGGAATTTGCCCAGGTGGATTTCAAGACCCCCTTCTGCAACAGCTTTGTGGTACTTCTTGCAAAAGACACGACTTCTATGACGAGTTAGAAGTCGGCGACAGCAAAGCTATGTATTCTGCTGCATCCGACTTTCCTCTGATCGGCCAAAGAATCTTAACTCTACAAGACTACATGAATTCGCAGAACCCAAGCGATTTGAGAACCTTGTGGTATGACAAGAGGGATATACTACGTTGGTACACATTCTGGGCAGTCGTATCGGTTGGTGGGCTTGGGATATTGCTGAGTATTGTTTCAGTTGCATTGACTGCAGCCCAAGTCTCACAAGGGGCACAAAGTCTGAAGTCACAAAGTACAAATAGCTAAAAACGAAGGGACTCTGTTGCCAGTCTGAGTATGATTTCATTCAAGTAGACGTCAAGGGGAAGAAATAATCTCAAATGACCCTCGGAAAGGACAGTCTTACACAAAGCAATACATGGCACATTGAAAGCTCCTGACCTCCACATTCCTCATACATCCTCTCATTTGCTTCTCTTGATCCAATGAAAAATGAATACACACTAGATATGAAGCCACGCATCAGTAGCCTCCCAAGTTGCTCCCTTGCTTGTATCAGTAAGCGGACACATTTATATGTTTAGCTACTCACCGAAGTCGCACTTCTTTGGGCAGGCAACCAACAGCTCGCCATTGCTGTCAGGCTCCACGATACCATCCCAGATTTGAACCCATGGTTGAGCCTTTGGAGCCATGGTTTCCTTCTGGGGATACCCTCTGGTGTCGACTCCCGAGAAGAAATCGGCGACGTGCTTCGGAAGCTGAAGATTGGGGTCGTGGGTAGTATCCGAAGTATCAGAGCTGCAGTATGACTCGACACTGGCCTGGAAAGTATTAGTATACGTGCCAAAGCCTTTGCACATCAGGTGAATATACCTTGTCTTTCTTCACGAAGGACCAATCCGTGGTGACGATCTCGGAGTCAACGAAGTAACCCATGGTGACCGTGACAAACTCTCAATTTGAATACCAAGAATTGCTTAAATGAGGACAGAGGTATTGTTCTGGGAGATATGCGTCTGCAAAAACACTTCACAAGGTTATGAGGACAGCTTCGACAAGTACAGCGAGAAGTGCAGCGAAAAGTGGAAAGATAAGCAAAACTCAGTGGGGTTCAGCTGACAACCCGAAAGGACTCAGATCGCACACAAGCCTGTGGGGTCATAAAAACGAGGCCTGCTGCGCCGTCTAACGGTATGGGCGTGTTCCAGTCGCCTCACTTTATCCCGTGCAACTCGAAGCAAGACAACATTAGAACGCCGCCTTAAGATTGCATTGCAGAAAAACTAACACACGGATTCAGGTCAACCCTGTTCAAACTCTCCCACCACCAACCAGAAGACGAACAATGCACGCCCCAGTTTCCTATCACAGCCTGGTGACAACAATAGAGCGGGTCTCGACACTCTGCCGGAATAACGCCTTCGGTGAGGCTACAGGATTCTGGAAAGAGACATGAGGGCAGACTTAGAAGGGGTTAGTAGTTTACGGTCAATGTGGGACTTGTCTGGGCTCTTACAGCGTGCATTTTCGCCAGGTGCAGTGTCATACATAATGAAAAGGAACGGCTCATCAGGCGATTGCTTGGAAAGATAATACCTCGTCTCACGGTTAGTAGAGTTCTCGCACCACACAATAGGTTGATCCTTACCATCGGTGGTTGCTGTTGTGTAACAAGTAGTAGACTTCACCCACGCGGTCCGGGATGATGCGGTCGGCGGCCACGAAGTCTTCGGCAGTGACAGTGCGTGCATCGCAGAGTGCCAGAGGTCTATCCTCGAGATCCGGAACCAAACTTCTCCATGTGCTTCTGATATCAACAAACTTATCCAAAGCTACTGGGATCGATTACCTACTTGACAATTCGAAATCTGTAACCAGGCTTCAAATAATCAACCTTCTCTTCACCTGTGAGATATCGATTGATGATCACTGGTCCAGAATCGTATGTGACATCTATAATTTTATTAGCACGTGGTCCAGGATTGAAATTCAGACCGAGTTCAACCATTGTGAGCGCCTCGCGCAGGACCTTCGAAGAGTAAAGGGTCAACAATATTCATGACAGGCCGATCTATAGGCGTGTTTTTCCTCAAACGGAGTTCGTAGGTTTTCACAAAAACCGCATCTAACTCTTGGGTCAACATCTCCATGGTCTCCGCCTTGTATTTGTCAACATCATCTTTCGTGTTAAAAGACATCACCTTTGAAGTGTGAGACAGGACTTGGAAGCCACAATTGTCGATGATGAGCGCATTCGCTTGGGAGTTTCGAATATCAGTAATTGTCAGACCATCGTGGATTTCGAACTCCAGGTTGTCAAGGCGCTCCTCATCCGGATCAAATCCTTCGCGAGGAGTGAGCATGCACCAGTAAGGCTTCTCTTCCTTATAAAGAGGGAGGTTCTGTAGATATTCGATAGAGGCCACCACATTAGGCATGTTTAAGTCTCGAGTTTCAGTGAAATCAAGAATATATCAAATGATCAAAATAGGAAAGTACAGGTTGAGACTGTTCTTATAAAATATCTACGCTACACAAAGATAACAACGGGTCTCTTGCATATAAACCTCCTTGAGGAAACGAATCGCGTCTGCTCACCGCACTCAACTCTGTGAGTATTAAATTGCTAATTGGTGGCGTGATTACTGTAGTTGCGACTCGCATGCTCCTCTCTTGAATTGAGACTGGATAGTGCTGCTTTTACGGGACTGATGGTCTATCTTAAATTCGACGATCCTTGGTTTTAGTTCTCGGTATAGTAGAATTTGATTCTTGGTAGACGCCTGAGTGTCAGCAAAGCATTGCGGACGAATCGGATCGTGGACATCGACGAAATGTTGGCTTGACATGCGTCAAGACGTGCATGATGCACCTCGAGAAGTCCGTTGCATCTTTCCCAGCTGCATAAGGTTGGAACCGCAGCAGCTGATGGATGTGACTCACCTAATTGAGAGTCGCGGGCGTCGGTGTTGAAGAGCCGCAGCATTTCAGGTATCTGGCCACCGTCCGCTCTCGAGCTTCTCCAGCCTGTTTCGACAATCATGGGCCAGGATAAGCTCGATGATCAATTATCGAGAATATCAAAGACTCCTCAACCAGCACCAGTTCGGCGAGGCTATCGAGCTACAACTTCGCACTTTTGGACGCAATGGCTAGGTTACGGATCACCTGGATCACCCTGATCTGGATCACCTGGTTAGAGATCACGTGAGCACTTAGGTAGCCTCCACGTGATCCTCCCTGGGAACGGATCGGGCTTAGAGCTTAAGCATGTTTCACTCTGGCGTATATAAGCTCTGGCTCTCCCACTCCCTTCTTCCTTCCTTACCTTTAGATTCTAAGAGATAGCCGAATCGATTCTTCGTCTACGTACTGAGCTTCCCACCGTGCTGTCACAATTTTTCCCCGAACCCCGTTCTTATCGGTTTCTGCCCTTTGACCGCCTCGTTAACTTACCACTGCACTTCTAAAGCCCAGCATCAAATCATTAATCTGCAAATAACCTCAACGACTTCAAACGAAGCCTTAGTATTATAATTTCGAGGTTTCCCAGTGACCGAGAATAGACACGTGATACCCCTGAATCGATTTGGTGCAAGTATTCAGAATTGACTTCAAGAGATAACACCGACGAAAAGTTCGATAAGGGAGGGTACGTGAAGCAGATCAATTAGGGAGTAATCTACTACTCCTCACCTCTCTTTGTGAATTCTTGATGGCAGCCGGTTGAGGGGAAGTTCAGGTGCAGTTCAACGGAACAATTTGTTGGGGCTACACTTTCATGTCGAGACACTTCACAAAACGAAATGGAAAGATCACAGTTTTGGAAAGTACTGCATCAATGTGATTAGCTCCTCATTGCGTGGACTCAGATGACAAGTGATCTATCCTAATTGATAATATCCTTGCGCCATTAATGAAGAGAGAATCCCAGGCCCTCGAAGTTAGGTTGTTGACCTTGGAAAGGATCATCGTTGCCAGGCTCAGCCATGCTCGACTCCTCGACTTCGACGCTAGACTCAACCCAGAACTCAAATACCGCATCCTTATAAGCCTCCTTGCGTGTGATCTTGACCTCGATATCATGCTCTGGCTTCTTCGATGCCTCACCCACATATTGCTTCTTGTAGGGAGGTGGTTGAACCAACGAACCGTCCTTCATGCGAATATCGAAACCCACGACCAACATAGCCAAGAAACTGACAACCTCGACGAATGCCAGATTGCGACCAGGACAGAGATGCTTTCCGCCGCCGAAAGGAAGCAAGCCTTGAGACCGAGCCTTCTTTACTCCGCGACTTTGATCCTTGTTCTCGAGGAAGCGGTATGGATCGAAGGTAAGTGCATCCTGACCCCAGTATCTGGTGGACTCATGAATGGCTCCGCCGCAGATCTGAACGATACCACCTTTCTTCAACAGGTACTTGTCCTTGATCACAACATCTTCCATGACGACACGTACAGATGTAGCGTTAACTGTGAATCTGATGTTCTCCTGCCAGGTTGATACCAAGATCGGGCACTGCTTGACGATATCTGCGATGTTGAGACTGACTCGCACCGTGCCGTCGGCCTGATTGAAACGACCTATAATGGAATCTACCTCGTGGCAAATCTTGGCAGTAAGAGCGGGCTCGCGGAGAATTCTGCATAGCATGGAGAAGGCGTTCTGAGTTGAGACTTCAAGTTAGCATATTTCTTTGAATATCAAGGGAGTACTTCAGGAGTCTCTGCTTGTATAGGGTCATGGAGCGAGCAGAGCTGTCAGATAATCCACAAAGAGAATTCAAGGCGGAGAGGCCACATACCGGAACCGTGTTTACAATGGATGTATAGAGAACGGTCAATTCAAAACTTCCAAGATCCTTGTTCGTGAACCCATCCTGTCGACCAATCTGTGCTCGACTCTTGATCCATGAATTTGCATACTGATCCAATCCTCGATTGTAGTAGTCAATGAAAGCTGGTACAAGGGCCTTGCGGGCCTTCCACGCAGCCGGTGCAGTGAGCCTGGGGAAGAGGTTGAGAGACAATGTCATCACTCCACCTTCGAAGTCCCTGGATTTAATCAGTTTGATTCAGATATTTCAATATCGGAATTGCGTTTACCAGATGTTCTTGACGAGCTTCGGATCCTCTGAGATAGGGTTGACGTTACCGTAGAGGGCCTCCGCAGTCACGACAGTGTAGGCGTTTCTAATCCAATCGAATAGTTGTACAAATTGACCGGAAGTATCGACGCCATTGAGATACCTAGCCAAGCCATTTAAGACGCGTTGATTTGTCTCGAGGACCGCAGGAACGTGTGCGAAGGAGCGTTGGGTTACATGATGAATAGAATCGAACTAAGAAGTATATTGTCAGCTTGTGCCAATCTTCACGACGGCATTTATTTCGCATAGAAGAAAGTATAGCGGCACTGACATGATCGTTCTCCCCATCATTTACTGAGATCACGTTCATGACATGGTCGCGCGCCTTCATCACCCGTCTCGTAAATTCGATGACAAATGCTACAGAAAGGGTCAGCATACTCTTTTGATAATTATACTCTTGGCAGAGATTTGATCTAGCAGCCGGGTAGCTCATCGAGGGTCTTCAAGCACATCGCCTTCAATAAGCTCCCAGTGAAAGTCGCAAAGATCTCAATTTATAGATTATGTACAACACAAGAGCGGAAATCGGACGTACGGTTGAACGACAGAGCCTTTGTATCCCTGAATATGGCCTGTGCGAGCTCAGGAGAATTGACGACGTAGATTTCCGTGGAGAAGATTTGGATGGAGAACAGAGGCCAGCAACAACCATATTTGGAGCTGTCATCCTTCAGTTGGGGTCTTTTCTACTGGATTGAAAGGAGAACTTACCAGAGCAACTTGTAATAGCCTCCTCCGTGGCGAAACATTCCCCACAAGTGACCGATTAAGGGAACCTTGGGTGGCGCAAGGGGGGGTTCCATCTTGCTCCTGCTTCTTGATCCGAACAGGAGCCAGAGGGAAAGGAGCACAATGAAAGCCAGGATGCGGTAAAGCAACGGATTGACCTCCTCCATCTTGATTCAAGACGCGTTTGCGCAGTTGAGATTTCCAAGTTTGTGATGAAAAGATGGTGTTGAGGAAAAGAGTTCGGATGTTGTGGAAGGTTAAGCGAGATCGCTCGAGGACACGAACGTGAAGCTCTCCAGAGTGCCTAGACTGTACCTTCCGCAGTCGGATGCGCTGGTATGTCCTCAGTACCAAGAGAGGAGGGGGAGGAAGTTTACATTCAATACTGGTAGGCCAGAACAAATCTGTAAACTATGAAGGGCGCAAGCAACCAAAATTTGGAAAAGGAAGCACTCTGCTGTCCTTGTGTTGTTGATTTCATCACATATAGCGCTTCAACTACTTGTAAATCGAGTCACAAACTATAGTCAGATTCATTGAGTCATCTCACAGGCAACCAGAGATACGCGCTTAAAGTGTCTTGAGTCAAGAGTGCTACTTTACGCAGATGCAGCAGGATGGCTGTGACAGCAGCCTGTATATTTCAATACAATCACGCTTCGAGAATATAACGTATCTGATAGTGAGAAAAGGCTTGTAAGATTGCGTAGATACCCGAAAAATACTTGACTGGAAGCAAAAGTCGAAATGATATGAACATGTCATCTCCAATTCCGCATTCTACATGTAATATCTTGGTCCTTGCTACTCCTCACCACCATCTGCACCCTTCAATCGATGTTACAGATCCATATCGTCTGCTTCCCGAGGTGTACAGAGTTAGAAACTTTGTTGGCTTTCTCGATTGGCGATTTAGATGTCACGTTCTAGTTGAAAATTGTAAAAAGCATTAGAGCAGCTGTCGAATGATACCTGCATACCTGGTGGCAGCTTTCTTTCTGCAATTATATATGCATCAGGTACTCTTCTAATTCTGATTTCCAGCTTACGTGCACTAAAGAATGTATAATTATTAAATTGTATTGGACTATATGCGCTCGTATGTTCATATCAAAGTTGAAGATTAAACAGTACCGCGGAAGGGAATGAGCGTCTTTAGACTCTGGTTATTTTGTAAGACTCTCCAAATATATAAAACTTGCTTATACTCCGTGAGACAGTGCTTCCTATAACAGACGGCAGGCTCCCTAAGATTTCTGGGGCATTTTGTCTACTATGTAGCCTTTCTCTTAAGGCTGTGCGGCCCAAGAATCTTGACCTATCCCACAAGTCAATGAGCATGGCACTTTGAACCCGAGTCCAGCTTCTCCTTATGTCCATCAATCCTTCCTTGTTTGTGTTGATTATAACCCCCAGGTCAGGCTGCCTCACGGTGTCGAAGCATGATCCGTCAAATCCATGCTTGAGAGCCCCAATAGCATCGGTCTAGGCTTCTCTAAACTTCCCACTTATCGAGTGTTGCCCAACATAGTCATTCAACAAAGATATGCCATGAGCCCCGCCAGTCAGCCGCTTGAAATCAGGGGTTGGCTCCGAAAAGGGGTAAAGCGGGTGGTTGCCGCGGCGGTCGGATGTTGATGTTTTCGTTCGTATAGATATGGTGGCGGAGGGGAACATGTTCGAGGAAGGAGTGAAGGAGATCGTTGGCCTGTCAAGAGTTTTAGCTGAAAGAGTTAGAGGGGACTTACCTGTAGAAAGAAGATGAAGGATGGAACAATTATGTTTTCATTGAAAGTTCTGTTGCCTTTGTGGTAGAACGGAGCCCCGGAACAAACGAGACTTTGCATTATCTAGAATGCGATAAGAGATCGACTTTGGGCGGACAAAATACTGGTTAACCGTTGTGCAGGTACTAGACCACAGTTCGACTTGAAATCTCATGATCCTTTTTTGTAGTACCCGCTCCTCATTTGTCTGCTACTCGTTTTGGCTTTAGCATCATCACATGCAGACGCTTCATGTTAACATCATAATACACGGTAACAAACTGGTGTAGATACTAGAGAATCCCTGGTAGAGACTTGAGATTGAGAGTTTATTGAAGGAAGCTCAACGTTTTGCAAGAAAAAAAACCATCTTCAACCCTTTCTGCCCATTTCCTCCCTTCAAAGGCACCCACCGCACAAGTACACCCCAAGATAAACCCCCCTCCACAACTCCATGAACACCATCTAAAGAGCAAATAGCACGTTCCCAACCATCAACCTCCTTGCCGTCCTCGAAACACTCACACTCTTAACCACCACCTCCCCATCCACCTTTTCCAGAATCTCTACATCCGTCGTCATCTCTCCACTTCCATGCGCGATCGTCACCTGCTTCTTCATTTTCTTCACCAACATATCAACCTCTTCTCCACACCATGATTCTAGTGGAGTCTCTGGCGGTGTATCAATCAATTCTCTCTTCTTCGCAAGATCACTTGCCACTGTACCCGGAACTGCAATCGCGGCACTGAGACACACTGCCCCTGTGAGTTGGAAACTTGGATGAGGGAGACCCATGCTATAAGCTATGATCGAGACGTCAGCTGGATGTTTCAGCGCTTCGTTTGAGGATGTTGAAATTGCTGTTAGAGTTGGGGAAAGGATGGCGATTTTGGGACTTCCTCTGACGAGATGAGCTGATGAGATATCTTTTGCTAAGCCCATTGTCACGGCACCTGCGCAGCGGATGGATTCCACGAGATCAAAGGAGATGTCGCTGTTCCGGTCGATATCGTGCCAGATTTGAGGCATGGATGAGGATTCGACAAATACAAACGGGTTTGCGGCATCACACATGGTGACTTGAACGTAGAATGGCTCCATATCTGGAGCATTCGAAACGAGGAGTTGTTCTTGTCGCTTTCCTGTCGGGAAGAGTTTTCCTGTCATACTTCCTGCTGGGTCCACGAATGCGACTTTGATCTCTGACGCTGTGCCTTTGACTCCTCCCATACTGAAGTAGCCGTCTTCTTCGAATTTGCCATCTTCTCCGACTTGTATTGTCTCGACGATCGTGCGATTTGTATTCGTGTTGAAAATATGGATGTTAATCTATGTACATGTAAGCCAAGTGTTGAGAATATTGTGGGAAAACAAACCTCAGTCTGACCGACCTTTGCCTTCACCAGTCCCTCATCAAGAGCAAAAGGTCCTACACCAGCGAGAATATTCCCACAATTGCCAGAGAGATCTACGGCTTCAGAGCCAACTCCGACTTGTATGAACGTATAATCGACGTCGATTCCAGGGCGCGCTGAATTTGAGATGACGGCCACTTTGGATGTTGTAGAAGTTGCGCCTCCCATACCGTCAATTTGTCTCGGACAGGATCCCATAACTGCTAGGAGGATGGCACTCCAGTCTTCTTCTCGGTCTGGAAGATGGTGGCGATGGATGAAGAGTCCTTTGGAGGTCCCTGCTCTCATTATGACGGATGGGAGAACATGTCTTATCTTTGCTTGTCGAGCTTTGGGGTACGAAGGTTGCAATGCCATTTTCGGCACTTGTGATATTTTATCTCAGTGCCGTTGTTGGGGAGAAAAGGTTGTGCTCTTGGAGTCCAGAGCAAAACCTAAAAATATTAAACATCATTTTGAGAAGTACGGCAAAAGATTTAGTACACCGCAAAAAGTGAATTAAAACGAATTTAGAGAGTAAAGTGAGTGCTGGGTCATTCACTAGATGTAAGGACCCTTTTTACTTAACGTATATTTAGGAGCTGGCTGTGTTTGTGTCTCTGTACACAACAGCACAACGGCCATCATCACGCGATGGTAGCATCATCAAGATCCAATGAATCTGCAAACTTTGGGTTCGTGTTATTCGAGAACTTGAGGGCAATACTCGTGTACGTCCGGAAGCATAGTTCCCGCACCCTTTGACATGCCATGGAGAGATATACGCAAATCAATGTCTCAGCATTTCCGCAGTACTTGCTCCAATGTTCTTAAGTTTTGCTAGCATCGGTGATGGCATAGCTTGCTGTAGCGAACAGTATACAATTGCTTGAAGCACAATCTCAAGATACATATACTCAACTTCTTCGGAGGTTAAGGTGCATCATCCGTGTCGGGTAGCCACGTGATGACCCCTTGTTTTGTTGCACATCGCAGTTTCTAATCCTAACCCTAAGTCTAACCCTAACACCAAATGCACGTACTGTACGGACAAACAAAGCTGTCCAGACGCTGACCAATATGCAGAACCTATGGATTCTTTCGAGCTGGCGAGATACTCTCAGTCTGGCTAACTTACCTTGAATGTGCTGTATCGTAAAGTCCATGATCAGAAACAGATATTTGAACGAGTGTGAAGTTGGGCCAGACGGCTGGACAAACATGTCAAGCCCTAAGAGATTGTGAGAGTGCGGTGTTGCGATGAGAATTTGGATTACCCAAAACAAGAAAGATGGAAAAGGATCATCAGGAACTGAATCGTGGATGGCGCATATCGAGCCTTGAACTTCTGAAGTAATCCCTGGGGCATTTTTGATATCACAAATAGTGGACACGATGTCTTTTCTGGGAACTGGTAATTAGAGAAATGATTAGTCTGTCTATTGTCATTGAGGTGGGTCCAACTGTTTTACACTCCTCGTCTTCGAGGGAATACTCCAAACTCCTGTTCGCCGTCAGTAATAATGCTTCACATGCCATGCAATGTTCGTTATCGTGTCCAATCGCCCACAACCCAACTCCTTATGGCATCTTGAAATGCTCTAGATTGATGCAACGAGACAGCACATCCGCTCTCTTCTCGTGCTTCTTCGGCTTTTTGCAACCACTTCTCCATTTGAGTTATTCGGTGCGCATTCTAAACAGCGTTAGCCCTATATCAGCTAGGAAACGAAGCTATGCTTACTGAAGGGTGGGTAGAAAGCCATTCCGGAAAATTAGCATCTTCTTTGTTTGCGGCTTCCATCCGCTCCCACACCTTAACTGCTTCGCTTGGGTTATAACAACTCTTCGCCATTATCAATAATCCAATGTAGTCTGCCTCACTCTCTTGCTCTCTCGAAGCAGGCAGCATAATTCCATACTGAAGGAAGAGATCGCCAAAGAATCGACCTAGACCGAGAGTATATCCACTGGCATCTAACATGTAGAGTGTCCAGCGCAGTGGAAACATCCATATTGTGCTGCTCTGTCGTTCAGCTTGATGGCGGGCGACATTATGTGCTATTTCATGACCGAGGACTGCAGCTAATCCGTCGTCATTCTTCGTAATTGGCAAAATTCCAGTGTATACAAAGACTTTTCCGCCAGGTAATACGAATGCGTTGCGTTCTGCAGAGCATCAGTACCTAGGCATTCGTGGAGGAGAAAAGGGGCATACCCTCGGAGTCGATAACATGCACTTCCCACTTCAGCAGATCAGCAATGTCTTTTTCCAATCAGGATTTAATCCTCCTACAGCAACATCTGAAACTCCACTGCCAGGTATTAACCTCTCCATAATCCTCCTCACCTGCTTTGCCCTGCGATCCCAGTCCGGCAGCAGGCTCCCATCTTTCCGGCTTTCATTCATAATCATATTGTACATCATCTTCCCTTCCTCCTCAATATACTCCTCGCTTATGCAGTTGAACCTCCTTCTTCCAGAGACGGGAACATTTTCTAGGTGTGTATAATAGAAGATCGTGCTGCCGCCGACAAAGACAACAATACCCACTTTGAGCCCAGCACTCCGAAAGAAACGAGATGCTTGCTCGTTCGAGAAGAACGGTTTGGCATTTCGCACCTCATGTTCATATTCGTCTCTGCTAACATTGCCCCATCGTCGAGGTGGGCGTGGAAATTGTGCATATGTTCGTATGGAAGGGATTCGTCGGAGGGGTGAGGGTCGAGAAGCTCTGGGAATAAGTGGGACGGCTCGAGGGACATATTGAGGTGCGGACCGTATCAACGACCGAAATATGGTCCGTGAGAACATATTGATGTCCTTGTTTGCTCAGCGGACTGTGACACTGGCAGCGTTCTGTTGGTTTCCCAACTTCTGCAATGCTTCAGCCTTCAGAAGTAAATAAGATTCTGGTGCCACCCCTGTTAACGCTAAGTCGGAGCTTGAGCCACACACCGGAGCTACACCCCGGAACTACCCTGTCGAGTTGACGTCTTCCGCTGAGGGGTCAATGTTTAATCTCAGACCACCATTCTCATTAATTCATCAACACGAGCATACCGACAAAATAATCTCTTTCACATTATTTTGTTCTTTTTGAACTCTTTATTGGGTACTTGAGTTCATCAAGTGTTGAAATAAGAGACGGCCAAAACCAAACTGACCATCAAGGTGTGGGTTGACCCTCGGACCATAAGCTTCGTCCTCTCCCGACAATTCTACCAGCAGAATTCTTACTCTACAAGTCGTAGAAAATCTGCCAAGATGATGGAAACTGCAGCTACAGCAGCAGCGGCTGTCCGCGGTCTTTTCCAGTCCACTCATCCCATCAACGCGAAATGGGAACGTGTCAAAGCCCCTTCTCTTCCCCGCTCCTCTCACTCCATCTCTGTAATCGCAGGTCGAGCATACATATTCGGAGGAGAGATCAATCCTAGAGAGCCAGTTGATAACGATATGCATATCATCACTCTGCCGTACGGCGAATCCCTCGAATCAGACTACAAAGCCCTCCCTGCGAAGCCAGAAATCACTGGTGGTGAGGTGCCAGAGAAGAGAGTTGGACATACGGCAGCTGTGATTGGTGAACGTATATTTGTCTATGGTGGCAGAGGAGGGGTAGAGATGAAGCCTCTGGAGGAGAAGGGACGGGTGTGGATTTATGATACTAGATCTGATGCTTGGTCATACCTCGATCCTATGCCTAGCACACCAGTCCCAGAAACTCGATCATACCACTCTAGTGTAGCGATTGCGAAACCCGAGCCAAGCAATATGAAGAGCATGGCGGTGGATAATGCGACAGAGGAGCCAAAAGCTAGCACTATTGCTGAGGGAGCAAAGACAGATGAGGAGCTTGGCGGATATGGCACTTTCTTCGTACACGCAGGGTGTCCAGCGAGTGGAAGAACAAATGATCTTTGGGGTTTCGATGTTAGGAGTCGGACCTGGAAGGAGTTTCCCACTGCTCCAGGCAAGCCAAGAGGTGGGACTTCACTGGCGGTTTCGAAACAGAGGATATATCGCTATGGAGGCTTCAATGGGGAAGGCGAGGAAGGTGGCTATCTTGATTATCTGGAACTTGGACTAGATACCTTTAACGACAAGGGAGGAGCTGGAGAAATGAGTGTTTCCGCCAAGGGTACATGGGAGACGCTGAATTTCCAAGAAGAGAACATGCAATACCCTGGAAATAGAAGTGTCGCTGGTCTGCAAGCCATCACCACAGGCATGGGAAGAGAGTACTTGGTTTGCTTCTTAGGCGAGCGAGATCCAAGTAGCCAGGGCCATGCAGGTGCAGGCAAATTCTGGGGCGATGTCTGGGCTTTCCAGTGTCCGCCACAGGGTATGACGGCAGCATCTTTCAAGGACGCTACCTGGCAAGCTCTGGGAAGAGAGACTGGGGAAGGACTTTGGAGCCCTGTCATGGTGTCGGACGCTGAAGGTGTGGAGGGAGAAGATGTACACAAGCTGGTGCCATCTGAAAGAGGCTGGTTTCCCAGCACGACGTTGGGTGATTTGGATGCCAGCGGTATTCTGTTGTGGGGAGGTTTGAATGGAAAGAACGAGCGAGAGGATAATGGGTGGATTTTGAGAATTGAGTGAGAAGCTGCAAAACAAGATGAGTGATGGGTGAATGAAGAAAATGAATACAGGAGATACCACAAGGAGCAAAAACAGCGACCAGAGATTAATCATTGAAACCTTCACACTTATTGCTAGCATCAACTTGTCTTCGTGGTGATGAGTGGTTCCTGCCTGCCCAAGCACTTGCCCAGCGAGCACCTTCCTCACCACCCCCTCGTACCTTCCCACCCAACAGTATTCTCCCAACCCATTTAAACTCCTCTCTCATCCTCTCTCAGCCCCAACTCTTCTTCCTTTTTCAACTCCTCTACACTCTCACCACACACAGCCAGTCCTTCATCCAAACTCACCTCAATCCGCCATCATCCTTTGACAACGAAAGTTCTCCAGCCCTCTGACCTCAATTTCCACTCTGTGGCATTGTCGAGCGTCATGCAGTGAAACGACGCAGTCACGATGATGGGGTAGCAGCTCTGGACCTGATTTGTCGAAGATGCTACACTTTCACTGTTTGAGTCTTATGCTAGTGAGGTGGGGTGCGCGAGAGTGTGTTGATATCGACGACTTCGTGGAAGATTAAGGTGAGTGATGTGGATGTGATGGGGTATGATTGATGGATGCTAATGATTGCAATAGGATGTAAGAAGAAGAGGAAGAAGATAGAGGAAAGACAGACGCGATGATAGCATTGTATAGCCTTCTGCAAACGAGGTGTGAGTAACCCCAACAATAGATGGACGACTTCATGCTAACAGGAAAGACCGCAGATCTAAATCAAAGAAGACACATAAAGAGATTCGCGACGCGGACCACATTGAAGCATAGGCAAGTAAGTGCCAAGTCGACTACGACGAGGTACTATACTATGATAAAGATAGAGATTTTAAGAGAAAGAAAGAATCGTTGGCGTTGTGATCTGAAGTCGGCGCTCGCCTATTTCTTCGAGGTTATCTCCAACCATTCCCACTCTTGATGCTACCATCAACAACAGCTCAAAACACTCTTCGGCCATCCAGCCTGCGACCTTTCTCTTCTTCCTCTGTTAATTACAGAGATCTCGACTGAAAGATAGAAGCAGAACTGTCGCAGGTATGGTCAATTGCTATCCTTATCTGCGAATTCATTAACCCTTTAGGGTCAACCTCCCACTCTTTGACGACCATCTTTGGTCCGGGCCTCAAACAAACAAACCTCGAATCTGCGACCCTTCTATATATAAAACTCGCCATGGCCTCCACGAAGAATACAGGCGAAGCCTCCCTTACAGCATCCGCCGCTCAGGCAATTGCCCCTGAGCTGTTCCCTGCCCGCATCCCCATCACTCCCTCACAAATCGAAGCCGGGATCAATGTATGTCTAGGAATTCAACGGCGAGCTGTGACCTTTGGGAAACGACCTTTTGCAGCATGTCTGCTCGGTCCAGACAATGAGACAGTGTTGTTGATGCACCAGAGCGTGGATCAGGTAAATCATGCCGAGAGCTCACTGGCTCGATTGGCCTACTGTCACTATTCTAAGGAGTATCTCTGGAGGTGTACTTTGGTCAGTACATGGGAGCCATGCGCTATGTGTTCTGGTCAGTTTTTACCTTCTATCTTTCTCTTACTCGTCCACAAGACCGTCGGCTGATACCAATTTTGCTAGCAACGATCTACTGGGCACATATCGGGCGTGTCATTTATGCTGCTACGAACGAGCAATTGGCTACATTGACTGGACCTGGCAATAAAGAGAATTTCACGATGAAGTGGCATACAAGGGACATTCTTCTGGATCAGCAGAAGGATGTCGAGATTATCGGACCCGTAGACGGCATGGACAAAGTGGTTGTGGAGGAGAGTGACGTTTACTGGAGCAAGACGAGGCAGTAAGCCAAGTCATTATATGTACCTATATATATATCTTCACCAAAACTACGACGGACATATTCGTATCCCTGAACATAAACGTCATGCATACCCGGAGGTCTGGCACCCCACCATTGACCCGCAGCAGTGGCCGGTCTCGAGTCATCAGTGCATTTCGGAGATAAGCTTAATACCGCCACCTTCCTAATTAGGAATGACTCCAGATTCTGACAGTTCGACACCCAAGATGGTGGTGGCTTCTCGAATTTCGACTCATCTTGGCTCACCTTTTTGCAGGCGCGGTCTATGGCATTGTTTAGAACAATCCTCAGTCATCCTCAATCAGCCAATCATAACATGAATATCAAGAATTCAGTCATCTCAAGCATTTCCTTTGAGCGACCGAGAAAGAGATGCTCGGTTGATCCATTGTTGGTTGGTGTGCAGTAGTCTGCCACTCGAGTTCCATAAAGGTTTCGAGATACCCGTCATTAGAATACTTTACAGTTCAAGTTGCAAGAGCGTCTCTGTTTACGTTCCTTGTTTACATCATGTTTGATACCAATTCTCTTCTCCTGGAAGTCTCCTCGACTGTCAATATATTTCCCGAATCGCGCCTTGAGCAGCCAACTTCGGTTCCTTTGTCCATCATTGACAATACTGTTGCTGACTTTGCACGATGTGCAGCTGTCTGGTACTTTGATCCCCCTTCTAATCCAGAGCACGCTCTATCGGCTTCACATTTACAAGCCTCTCTCTCTAAGACTTTGAACTCTTATCGTCCATGGTGTGGCCGGCTTTCTTACACCACGCCAACACCCAGTGGCAAACACACGGAAAGATATCAACGAATATGGGTGACATATAACACTACTACTGATATCGGGATTCAATTCGTCACTGCCACAACACACCGACAGCTTTTGGATTTCATTCCAAGAGCTTCGCAGCGAATATTTACGATGAAAGCCTGGGATGCTTTGGATATTCCCTCCAAGCAACTCTTCCCTGAGACCCAACTTGCAATTTCAGAAGATAAAGATGCACCAAATGTCATCATCCAATTCACGACTTTCGCGTGCGGCAGTACGGCCATCGCAATAGAGATCACTCATTGCCTTTCAGATGCAGTCTGCCTTGCTCAATTTGCCAAATACTGGTCTCTGATCTCTCGGTCCATGTTCGAGGGGTCCCCCATTCCGACAATATCACCCATCTTCGATCCTCAACTCCTCGATTCATTCGCAGCAGGGGATATCGACAACTCAATACCGGATCCAGATATCCAGAACAGAGCGAGAGCCCTTCCACAACATCGATACGATTGGTACAAACAAACTTCAATGCCGACAGATGTCCCTGCGGATCTCGATCCCACATGGGAACTGAGTCCTAGCGACCCCATTCCGTGGGAACAATGGGATACTCAAGCTCCCTGCTCCCAGCGAGTTCTTCACTTCTCTGCTGCTGAAATCCAGCACATCTACGAGCTCGCCACAAAGGATTCAAAGGCCAAGATCTCAAAACACGATGTTTTGTTAGCTCACGTATGGACTCGCATCAACGTTGCTCGCCAACTCCCAGAAGGCACAAAGGCGTATCTAGACATGACATTCGGTCTTCGCGCTCGTGCCAACCCACCGCTTCCCGATACCTTCCTGGGTAGTCCAATCACCCATGCCGCTATCCTTTTGCCCTCAAAATTTTCCTCAGAAACTCCACTACTAGGTCAAGTAGCGACCACAATCCGAGAAACATTAGCCAAATTCGGAACCCAGGAAATCGCAGATCTGTTGCACGATAATGCTTTCGAAGTCGCGCCTCAAAGGTTATGGAGAGCTTGTTTGGGGAGAGAACATGTTTTGCTTACGACATGGGTGCATAGTGGGGTTCATGATGTTGATTTTGGCGGGGCAGAGTTGAGGTATGTGGAGGCGGCGATGCCGGCTTGCGATGGGTTGGTTGTTGTTATGGAAGCGCCTGGAAAGAGGGAGAGGAAACATTGGAGTGAGGGGGGTGTGGATGTCACTGTTTTTCTGGAGAGCGGTGCTATGGAGAGGTTGTTGGTAGATGGGAAGTTGTGGGGTTGAGATGATAGACCTTTGCGAAGTGATAAGTTGTTCATTGCTCTCGAGGCTTTGTATAGTATTGAAATACTGTCCCGAACATGTGTTCGTTTGTGTTCTAATCTATTGGTAGATCTTTGCACCCGCGGTTTTGTCTGGTCTGTCTTCCATTGATTCCTTTCTAACTCGTCCCAACACAACTCTCTGCTATTACCGATGGCGAAGGTGTAGCTGAGTACATATACTCCTTTACAACCATTTTTTTGACCAGGTATGAAGCCAGAGCTCAGAGTGAATGAAAACACATCACTCATTTTTTCAAGAGCAGGAATTCACCACTCTTGACCCAGTCCTGCGGCCGACGATCCCGCCTATAAACACTTCCAGCGGACACTGGCAAGTTCTGACAAAAACTTGCAAGACCTTAAGGACTTCATCGAGGACCTGGCACTCTGGACAGTTATCTGGAAACACGAGGACAAGTGAGCCTTGGATTTGTAGCTAGCATGGATAGTTCTACATTAACAAGAACGTTTGAAGTTCTTGGAGTATTGAAGATGTAATCAAGCATATGAATATAGAACTAGAATAAGAAAAACAGTTTACCAATAATTATTTTGCAGTTGCCTTGCTGAAAGTCTGATTAGTAAGTAGATTTTGTGATAACGTGTGGAATTTCCACAGCCTGTGGACAGCTCCACAATTCAGCAGGTCACGCTGCTAAGGTACATATCATCAATAGAATATTCAGTCGTGAGGGGTGGTCTTGATCCTATTTGTTCTGCTTAGTCCTACTAGCCCGAGGTGCACTACCTCACTAACCTATTTATGGATCTTCGACGTCCTCAACGCTCTCCGCGTCCTCTAGACCTAGACCTGCGTGTCTAGCAATGAGCCGAGTAGCCTCTTGAATATTCTTGATCTCATCCCGTGTCAACCCCACCCTCATACATGCCCGGATATGCCAGCGAGTCGGCTCTCTTAGGTTTTGCGCCATGATAGCTGGCAAAACAACCAGCTCTGTCTCAACAATATCAAGGATTCGATGCTCGGCGAGGAAGTATCCGTATGATAAATGAATCGAGATCCATGCTATATTGTTGAATCAGCTAACAACTTCCTGAAAAGCAGCCCATCAACCGTAGCATACATATTTCCTTGTGAGATCCAAGCGTTAAACCAATTATTATGCTGTCATCTCTAAACAAGGTATCTAGTACATCGACGCCGCGGCGATGAAGGACCTGGTCTGACTCGCCATGCTGCCTAGCAGTACATTAGCGAGCGTCGAACGACCCCAACGTGCGATGAGAATGCCTCTTCACCTGAGTATGCTATGATCTTGGTCTTGGTCTTGCTCTACTGCAGCAACTGAAGCAATTGCTTCCATCACGCTGGGGATTCCACTCAGGACGATGCATTTGATCATGGCCTCACGCAGCCGTCGTACCAGTTGTCATCTTTGGATTTCGTTACCTCTACTGCTTAACTAAAGGCAAATACTTCTAGAAGAGAGAAAAGGCCTACTGCATGTTCTCATCGTTTTCACCTCGTTGAAAATTCAAACCACGTCTACAGCTTTCATGTTCGATGTGCTGGACTCTTCCGCAATCGTAATCTCTGCCAAAATGTTCTGACTATGCTTTGTCCTTTTCCCGCTTTTTTTGATGGTACTTGTACGGATCGAGCCCGGCGATACTTCAAACTCAGGTACGTCTGAATTTTCGGCACCGTCGACCCAAAGTATGCTCTCGATCATGCGGGTCTCCTTGGCCGAAGAACTATCAGTCCTGCTCTCTGTAACACGCTCGCGAAATTCTTGCATGATCAGAGGGAAAAATTTGAACACCCAAGTACCACGCGTCCATTCCAATTAGTATGTTAGAGTAGCACGTTCAAACACAGTCTCGGCCTCTACCATCAGCGCTGTGGCGCGAGCCTGAGATATGACTTCCCCTAATGTTTCAAGATCGAAGTAAGCTATCAAAGTTGATAATTCTCCAAGAGCCTTTGCTGGAGGGGACAGTGTTGACTGCGTAATTCTTAAAACTTGGTGGTGGTAATCGGGTGCCTGGTTGAATTTACCCTGTTTTCTCAGTGCACGTGAATATACCCCCCCGAGCTCACAATCCACGAACGACAGGCTCTAATAACCACTCTCTACCTCCTTTACTTTATCAAATACCAGTTCCTCTATCAGATCCTGAGCCTCTTCGGGTCGCTCTCGTGAGATGCAACATAACGAGAGTAACTGGTGGCAGACAGACTATATAAAATGTCTCCGGGAGTTGACAGCAAACAATGTACAAGCAGAAAAATAAAATGCCCATACCATCCATCCCCTATTCCCCCAAACTCTGCTTACCTATCTCCACACTACTCACCGAAAATGCCCATCTTTACTTTCTACAGACTTAGAAGCTATCAGGAGTGCACAATTCGTAAATTGTTGAATCTCATTGCTGTGCATACGATAGTTTTAGGTTTGAGATAAATCTGACACAATATAAGTAGGCCCCTCGGTAACATGAAGAATTCTCGCTTATGATTCAGGGGCTGCAAGGATTGTTGTTACTGAAGAAGATTTCAAAGAAAAGAATAGTGGCACGCATTATTCGATATCTTAGAGCAAATCTCCCAATCCTTCAAAGCCAAGCGATACCCATGATGTAGGAATACAAATTCTTGTGCAAAGGGAATTATATTTACCATCTCGGATATGTCGACCAATCACAAGGTCAAAAAATAATTTAAGGTTGAGGCGCACTCTCGCGATTCGGCTGAAAGTTTGAAGCCGAAGGCAGGAGTCAAAATAACCTCAGACTCCAGATTATGTACAGCCAATGACAATGCAAGCCCTCGCACTTCGGATTTTCTACTATGAACCGACAGGCTGACATTCAGTGTCTTGCAATTTCGCTTCTGATAAGTCATGTCTCAGAGCGATCACCACGACATCATCTCAACATATAAAGGCATTGTATGCACGTCTTCATGAGCGAATATTCGATAACACTGCGCATTTACGACACCCTCCTCGAACTTTCGAGATGACTTCAGATCCCCGAAAGAACATCGTTGTCCTCGGAGGCTCATACGGGGGCGTATCTACTGCCCACTACCTCCTCAAGCATGCTCTCCCTCAGCTTCCTGAGAAGGATTCATACCAAGTCGTCATCGTCAGCACTTCATCGCAAGCTCTATGTCGACCCGCTTGCCCCCGCGCAATGATCTCAGATGCAATGTTCAATCAAGAGAAGCTTTTCATTAGCATCCCCAAGCAATTCGAACAATACCCAAAAGAGTCCTTCGGATTCGTACAAGGTACTGCCATCAAGCTGGATCATACCAATCGAAATGTCGAAATCACATTGGCGAGTGGCACTCCAGAAGCCATCGCCTTCCACGCTCTTGTCATTGCAACCGGTGCTTCTACACCGTCACCTCTGTTGAGTCTCAACCGAGACGAACAATTTCTAAAGTCCAGCTGGATCGAGTTTCGGAAAGCGCTTCCAACAGCAAAGAGCATCGTCATTGCTGGTGGGGGTCCGGCTGGAGTTGAAGCAGCAGGCGAACTTGGAGAGTATCTCAACGGTCGAGCAGGATGGTTCAACTCGACGCTTACAAACCCCAAAGTCTCGATCACAGTTGTAACTTCCGACTCGAAGATACTTCCAAGTCTACGACTTAGTATCGCTAACAAGGCTGAGAAGTATCTTGCTCAAGTTGGGGCGAAGGTCATCAAGAATATACGAGTGAAGAGCATTACACCCGAAGGAGCAGGAACTGAGAATACCGTCCTTACCAGCAAAGCGGTGGTGATGCTTGATGATGGAAAGACACTAGAGGCCGATCTCTACATTCCTGCTTTCGGTACAAGACCAAATACCAGTTTCATTGACAAGTCACTTTTGATGGTAGATGGTCGCATCGAAACCAATTCTTCGACCTTGAGAGTTGACAAAGCTGGCCCACGAATCTATGCCGTTGGAGATGTTGCATCTTATGCTCGGCCCGCTGTACATCTTATTCTCAACGCCATTCCAGTTCTTGGTGCCAATATCAAGCGTGATCTATTGTTAGCAGCTGGGAAGAAGGAGACCGAAGTAAGTGAGGATCGCAAGTTTGAGGACGACACTCGCGAGACACAGATGGTGCCGATTGGAAAAAGCAAGGGTGTTGGCGCTGCGATGGGGTATGCACTTCCTAGCTTTCTTGTGTGGTTGATTAAGGGGCGAGACTATTGGCTATGGACTACAGGAGGGCTTTGGAGTGGGAAGCAGTGGGCAAAGGAATCTTGATAGAGGATCTGGTCTACTCTTTTTCTTTCGAATCCCTAATTTGTGTATGTATATGACACTAGGTTTGCTTAGCGCGAGGATCTTTCATCATCCCTCAAGGATATCGAGTTCTCGTTTTCTAACTCTGTCCTTGCTTGGGCCCCACATGCATCCTCGACTCCCCCCGAGCTAACCCAGCTATATGAGATTCTACTTCCTAGTTCTCAGCTCACTAGAATGAACCATCATTGCTCAGTAGCAAGTCCTACTCAAATAATTCACTTTGTTATCTCTTGCCCTTTCGTAATCTATTTCCCAGTCTGAATGGAAACCTCAATTTCTTCTCGGATCCTTTCGCACTCATGCTAATTTCTTTCCCATCAATCCCAAATTCTGTTTCTCTGGAATACTGCGCCGCCGACATTTCATGCGCGAGCTCAACGCCCTCGAGTTCGTAAGGTTCACCTTCTGCTTTCGTGCTTGAGCGTACTGGCGATCCAACCTCGTGGATCACTCCCGCCACAGCTTTGTCATAGGACCACTCATCTGCCTTTTGTTTTTGCAGATTAACCAGCTTCTCTTCGAGTTCGTCAACATCATAACCTTCGTCAAGAATCCACATGTATTCATCTCTGAATAATGTATCCTCGTCTTGGTGTTCTAGTCTCCGTGGTCTATGCCTTCGCGCGTGGACCGATCGATGGTTGATTCTGGCTTCTAAGATCTCGTCCGTTCCTCTTTTTCTCCGCATGGCCATAATTGCTATAGCGAGATTATCGTGTATATCTTTACTAGTCTCATCTTCGTCGGCAGCTGCTCGAAGATATTTGAGGGCCAAATCCACGTTCGACTTTGCAAGGTGGAACATCCCTCTCTTGGAGTAGTAGGAGGCATTTTGTAAAGTCTGGCTGAATTTTGGACAAGCGCAGGATGAAATGAAGTCGAATGCAAAATTTGGTAATCCATTTCCCGTGGCCCACAATGATACCACTTCTTCTAGATCGTCTCGGAAGTCTTTGTGGAGACTTGCATGACAACGGCCGTCATTGAAAAGAAGGACATACTCGTCCGGATTCTGATGGTTGAGATAGATACGCTACGATTCATTAGAAATACTCATTATGGAAAATAAGTAGCACAGGCTCACATGAATGGAGTTATCCTTTGGGCGTAGGAAAGTCCCTTTCTTGGCCTCCTTAGCTTCTTTCAGTACTTCTTTAAGCCTATGCGGCAAGGCTCCCCCAAACGCAAACTTCTTTCCTTCGGCGTATAATATAACCCAGCCATCTTCCTTTTCACTGGAAGTAGCTGGATTTATCATGACCTCGTAAATATTTCCATATCCTTGGACACTCATATTCTTCTGGATTTCGTCTTCTAATCCCAATGGCAAATTCGATGATTTATATCTTTTCAGGGCCGGGGCAGTAACATCTGCAAAGAAGCTGGAGGCTCTTGGCCCAAAACTAATGATCATTTCTGATCCATCGTAGCCATTCTTCTCGTTGTCTATTCTCAGGGGCTCAAGTTGGGCCAGTTCTGAGATTGCAGTTGACGAGGTCTCGAGATAGCCAACTTTGCCGTTGGCGTTCGTCCATTGACCGCAATGAGAAAGAAAGTCATGCCCGCGAATATTGAATAGGAAGTACTTAGAGTATGACTTCTTCTTGTACTTTGAGTCGAATGACTTTGGAAGGCCGTATCTGTCTCACATGATCAGAATCAGAGCTTTCGTTCTTATGAAATGCAACTCTACTCACGTGGCTGGAACACATTCGCCTTCCTGTGGAAGTCCATTCTCACTGACTCTGATAACCCTGATGAAGTAGTTATGGCCGTTGCCGAGAAACGCAAACTGAATGTTAAGCGGCATTCTCGAGATGAATGGCCCACTTCATGGTTTCCCTTGTGTCCAGAGAGGGTCAAGAACCACTTCAAGTCTGAGAACTGGAGCATTTCAATGCAAGGCTGCCGCGTAATATGATAACGGTGAGCTGGATTGTTCGTGTGACCATGGCTGGGGCTGTGCTGCGTACCATCGGGCTTGTGGCGTTCGCTAGCGACTCGCCCAATTGAGGTACCAATAGAACACAAAGTGCTACAATTTTTGAGATCCATCCAATCAGTTGTGCATTTTATCATGCGCCAAGCCTTGAGTTCGCTCAAGTGAGGCTGTCGTGCCGGAAAATCTGATACATCCCATTTTGTCGCTGCATGATAAAAGCCATGGACGGCAAGGCAGATTCTGGTCTGCGCGCCTCGCCCGTTAAGACTGCCATACTTCTATGACTTCCAATTCCCATGTAGAACACAAGGACAATTCAAACTCAATCATGTTGTCGACTCGTGCCTATCTTCAGAATCGTTTAAAAACTCTTCAGCCAGCGAAGGACCCGATTGTTAACCCATTGAAACTGCTTGCTTTGCTCAACAAAAGACAATGGGCTTGTTGGCTTGTGAGTTGCAGATTATGACGCTTGCGAATATATCGCTAACGATCTGACCAAGCTCGGATTCTTTGCTTGGAGTTGGGATGCCTTCGATTTCCACTCCGTTACTCTCAGTTATCCTGACTTTCCGGCAACATTCAACAAAACAGAGCAACAAATGACCTACGCCGTAACTTTTGCTCTCATGACACGACCCATTGGAGGAATTATCTTTGGCGGTCTCGCTGATAGATATGGGCGCAAATGGCCATTCATTGCAGATTGCTGTCTGCTCATTGTCTTTGTCTTGGCTACAGGATTTACGCAGACCTTTGCTCAGTTTGTCACAGTCAGAGCTTTGTTTGGGGTTGCAATGGGTGGTATCTATGGTAACGCAGCAGCTACTGCTCTAGAAGATTGCCCAGAAGCAGCTAGAGGATTATTCAGTGGATTGTATCAGGCAGGATACCCATTTGGATATATATTGGCCTCGATCTTCTACAGAGCATTCAAAAACCATACCAAGTACGGTTGGCGTCCGTTGTTTTGGTTTGGAGCATGCCCGCCAATTCTACTCATCATCTTCCGTCTTTGTCTCTCTGAGACGGACGCGTTTCAATCAAGAAGGGCATTTCGGAGTCAACGACAAAACATCAAAGTTGCAGCATCCGAAGTCTCCTTGGCTATGAAGAATCACTGGTTTCTCTTACTTTATCTCTCATTCATGCTGGCTGGAATGGCTTATTGTGTAGGTGCTTCCTGTCTTCTGCAGCAAAGCAGCTTGAATCCTATCTGACAAATATCTATAGTCTCATAACACTCAGGATATTTACCCCACGGTCCTCAAGTTCACTTACGGGTATTCTGTATCTCATGCTACCCTTGTACAAGTTATCGGCAGTCTTGGAGGAATGATCGGGTCCTCCCTCACAGGTTACTGCAGCCAATTCTTCGGCCGCCGCCTCTCAATTATCGCAACATGCTTTCTGGGTGGAGCACTGATATACCCTTATGGCTTTACATCAGGACATGGAGTCTACGCGACTGCATTTTTCGAGCAATTCTGTGTTCAAGGAGTGTGGGGTATCGTTCCTATCCACCTCATCGAATTGTCGCCACCAGCGTTTCGTACATTCGTTGTTGGAACATCGTATCAGCTTGGAGTTCTAATCGCGTCACCTTGCAACACAATCATAGAAACTCTGGGACTCCGCTACCCGCTACCATCTGATGGAAGCGGCACACAGCATTATGATTACCGAATCCCGATTTGCGCTCTTACAGGGGCTATGTTTGCGTATGTTATCGTCATGGCAGCGATTGGGCCAGAGAAACGAGGAAGAGGTATGACAGAAGATGAGAGTGATGATAGCGATATTGAGCCCGGCGAGCTTCCAGTATCGAGAACCACTGGGATTACTCATCGAAGGTTCTAAACATGTGGGCTCGGCCTAGCCCTGGGAACAATTGTAAGTCTTCATAGTATAATGAGTACACGTATACATACTTGGATCGCACTGTCTGGAGTCTTAAAAATTACCTACGTAAGCCACAGCACACGTGATCCGACCCCCCCCTTTTATCTCGCTTGACTTCCTAAGTAGTAGCTCTTGTATGCCCGCCGAGCAACCTTTTGTTAAAGAGTCCAATGACCATCAAGAATAGGGAGAGCCAATCGGCACTTCTTACTTAAACAAAACTATACACAATAGTCGTAAATAAATTGTTTCTCATGCATCTACAATATGCCGAGTATGATGTGGGGCAAAGCTCCCCCTGTCCACTTCCCAGTCTGCTTGGCACCCATAAGCCTAAATTTATATCCAAGAAACCCATCTGCCATTTCAACAACCAGTCCAACCACATTCCTCTCAATAGGCAATTCAGGATTCAACAATGCATTTCCAATCACAATTATATGCATCAAGTCGATCGCTCTTGTCTTGTCGCATATGCTGACCTTCAGCCTCATTGATAAAACGCAGTGCTCGGCATTTGAAATTCCTCTGCTACTCTGAGTTTATGAATGCGAAACTGTATTATAGAAGGATTCCCATCCACAGGTATGATACCAGACATATTCCTGATTTGAATTGGCAGGAGCGCCTTCCTCAACATTCTGTGCTGAAAGTGTTGCCATTGCCAAGATGTTCATTCGCACCTATTTCCTGTTTCTTTCTGTCCTGAATATTGTAAGATCAGGTCCAGTTGAGAAGAAGTTCAGTCTTAACAGGTGAGACACTTTTTGTTGTAAGTCATGTAATGCACATCAACTAATGAGACTCCTGCCTAGGAGGTCCGATGGCCCGTATCCCCTGGATGAGGTAGACAAACTCCAGGATGCCAGCTTGGCCAAATTTGAAGCCTATCTTGCGAAACATCCTTCAAAGTCGGGGTGCACTCTCGAGACCGCTATCAAAAGACTGGAATGGTAAACATCTCATTTTCAATTCTGATAAGCTACGGGCAACTCCCTTTACAGAAGTCAAAACAAGTGTCAAACTAATCAGGCGTGAAGGAGTGATATGCCTGAAGCACAGAGAAAGGAATACACCAAAGCGGTACTCTGTCTCCAGTCCAAGCCCCCAAAGTCTCCCAGAGATAAATACCCAGGTGCTCTGAACCGCTACGATGATTTCGTTGCAACACACGAGACCTTGGCTTTTGAGCTTCATTCAACGGTAAGTTCAGTCTTCCTAAGATTATTAGATGTGTTTTTGCTAATCTAGAGATGCAAAGGAACATCTATTCCCGGCGCATCGATTATTCATCTGGGCATATGAGAAAGCTCTTCGTGAGGAGTGCGGATATACTGGCTACCAGCCTGTAAGTTTATCATTGCGGGAAAATTCTGGAGGTACACAGGATATGATCCCTGATATGAAGTTCAGTACTGGAACTGGGCTCGGACTGCAGATGACCCAATCAACTCACCGCTCTTCAACGGCAACGATTCTAGCATGGGTGGCAACGGTGCTCCGAGTGTCTATCCTGGCATACCCGCAATGGGCTTCTCAAAGCCCTACGACATGATTCCATCAGCTGGAGGCGGTGGTTGCGTGACGACGGGCCCATTCAAGAAGTAAGTGTGTTGGATAAATCCATTGCAAGTACACGAAATTGATCTTGTATAGCATGACTGTAAGCCTCGGCCCTCTCGGAAAGATCGTTTCGAATATCCCGGATAATCCTCAAGCCGATGGATTCGGCTCCAACCCTCGATGTCTGAGACGCGATGTGAATAAGTATGCTGCCGCTGTCACAACTGCCAACTATACCTATGCTCTTATCACGCAAGCCAAGACAGCAGATGACCTCGAGAACGTCATGTTGGGGACGCCTGCCAAGAATGATTGGGGTGTGCATATGGGAGGTCATTACACAATTGGTGGCGATCCAGGAGGGGTAATTCGTTCCATTTCCCGTTGTCTTTATTATACTTCTCTGACACTTGTTAGGACTTCTTTTCGTCTCCAGGTGATCCCGTCTTCTACTTGCACCATGGAATGATTGACCGCATTTGGTGGATTTGGCAAATGCAAGACCCTGACAATCGTATGAATGTGCTTCCTGGAAATGCTCCTCTCAACGACACTGTGGACCTTAAGTGGACAGCTAAACCAGTGATGACATGGGATATGTTGACTAACATTGGAGGCAATAATGGGAGCTTTTGCTACATCTATGTTTGAAGGGACAATTCCAAGATATGCATCTACTGAGAGGACTAGACATCGCGGGAATGAAGTCTCCCATCAGGTGAGTTGTGAGGTGATTTTAGTAACGAATCATCACTCTGGAAACAAGGAGCAATGCATATCAATTTACAAAATGGCATTCTCAAAATCGAAAGACTCGAGTGAAACATGAAGTTACGGTTCAGTTGGCGTTAGAAAGCCCTGAAAGACACCAGATCCCCAAGATCTCGAAGTCCAGGTCAACTTCCTATACTGCATTCTCTCACTCCTGAGAGGGGGGTGACATGCAGCCGCAACAGCAGCACTACAGTTCCCCACAGCCGGCGGACTCCCTTTCTTCAGTCTTCTGAACCCCAGACCCACTGTAATGATCATCATAACGCCCGCAACAATGATTGCACAAATAATAGAAACAGGTGAAAAGCCGCAATTCGAGATAGATGCAAAATCATTATCCAGGACTCCATACTCGTCGAAAACAGAAATTTGTACCACGAAAAATGATTGGGATACGAACCAATGGAGGAAAGTCTGCAGGACGAGCATTGGACCCGCCCAAAAGAATGGGAAGCCGAGGAACCAAGTTCCGCGCTGCTTCCCTCGCGGAGTGCTGACCATGAGACACTGAGGCGAGAAGGCAAAGAGGGCATAATCCTGAGCTGAAAACAATAGTCTAAACATGGCGTTGTAGACTAAGTATATGAAAGCGAGGATGAGCTGCGGAACATTGGCCAGGAGAGCCATGGTAGCTGGCGTCCCAGCATTGTCGGAGAAAGCTAGAAGTTCTGGGTTGACGGTACCAATTCCCAGACTCCAGAGAGAGCTGATTGAGGTACTGTAGCCTTTGATACTAGCCGATGACAGAGCGGCTGCGAGCACAATCACTACCACGACAATAGCCAAGATCATTATGAAAATTGTGGTACACCAACGGCCTCTGCTTGCTGCACCTCCCCATCGTCGTGGTGGGCTGCTGAGTTGTCCACTATACCAGCCGCGTTTGTTGAAGTCGCGCCTGCTCGCCATGGTCATGTTCCCGGTGTATTGATCCTCTTTACTCAGAAAAGATGCAATTGCGTCGCCGGTACAAGTTACGGTGCTTGAGATGTCGATGTTCCAAAGAATGAAGAACATTGCAGACACTTTAATGATGTTGCAGATGATGACTGCAATCGCGATGCCGGAACTGAACTTCACTGAACATGGTTCCGGCGCCTTTTCGCTCAAGCAGTACGAAATTGGATGGCCATAAACGGTCCACGATGATGGATCTTTGAGGAATGGACTCGGATCGCAGGAAGATCGATCCGTGTTTGGATTATTTGAACAAATCCAGTTGATTGGATCATCGCTACCCTCACTGCTGATTTCCGAAGAGTAGAAAGCCAGGATGGAGTTCGTGCTGTTTTGATCTGTAGTCACGAGGAGAAGATCGCGACGATCAACAAGGAGTCGGCTGGTATATGTCTGAAGGCACGCAGCTAAGTCAAGACGATCGTAGGTACTAGCATTCTGTTGCATACTGGTGTAGGCGTCAAGAACTTGCTGCGCAACGGGTCCGTCGTAAGTGATGTTGTCAGCTCCGTACAAAGGAAATTGAGAAACTGGTCCGCTCTCCTCCGCGGCAGTGAGGTTAAATGAATCGCCAGTGAGGAAGCCTTCCGTAACTACTGCCCAGTAGTAATCATTTGCCGACAGAGACGCGAATATGACCGAGTTGTATAGTAGATGGAATGGAAGTGAGCTCAGAGCAAGTATGATGCAAAGAATTGCTTTCTTTCTCGATACACCGAAGAAATTTCGAGGACTGAGAAGGCCGATACTAAGCCATTTTTGTTGTTGATGGGCGGTATCAATCTCGTTTCGTGAAGGAGAATTGACAAGTTGCATGAATGCTGTGCTACTAAGAAGTAGTCCTGTGGATAGAGCATTGATTGCCAAATGCAGCCATGTATTCAGCGATTTCGTCGCCGCACAATCGCCTTCTTGAATGGTTCCGTAGCCATTTTCAGCACCATACTTGCTCATCGCCCAAGCGAACCATCCAACATTGATGATGAGGATGCAAGTTGAGAGCGCAGCCAAAGTCCTTAGAGTGAACAGAAGTCCACCGAACCATCTCTGGCGAAAAGAAAGTTTTGTCAATTCCAAAGGGAGAGATTGTTCGACGTTGAATGGGGCAACCGGCTTTCGATATGGTGAATTGCTTCGCTGCTCAATGCTCGTTGTGGGAAGTTGCTCGTATCGTTGATATCCTGCCATCGTAGAGGATATCACTCTCGAATTCCAGCTGCTGCCTCCTCCAAAGGCCCTGCTGGCAAAAACAATAAATGAAAAAATGAAAACAGTGATTGACGATCTCGAGTAGAGGTAATATCGACATTTGAAATCAAGGCTCTCGGTGAAGGGTCAAGTGTGGCGCTGGGCTAAGACAATTTGAGCCACCAAGCTTTTCAGCTCGCTCGCGACTGCGTTACAATTGGCAATATAAGCGAAAAGGGGCGTTTCTGGGCCGGGCATCGGTCAGCCCCAGACGGAAAACTTGACGCATATATAATTTATTTTAAGAGCTTCTAGAAGAGACGGAGTTGGGAAATAACTTGCCCAAACGGGCCCAACAAGGAGACCAGCAGCAAACACGTGACTGCGTAGTATATCTACTTCGTGCTCGTAAAGGTAAGTTGCTTGGCTTCGATCGACAAGCACCAATCCATCAAATGTATTGTAGCCAGTTGGCAGTACAAGATAGTGTTGGTAAAGAGGTGCAGTCAGGTGCATCAATTCACTTGAGGAGAAATTCACGTGATCAGGCCTCCTCACCCGAAGAGTCGTCGATTAATTAGGTTTTCAACACATACTATACCTAGTCTAATACATGTATAGAAGATAACTTGGCACTAGTGGGCTCTAATCGAAATCCCTCATTCAATCCAATTTTCTATCAATATTCACGCCATGATCCAATTCACAAAGGTAAGGCGCACTTGATGCCTGAAACAAGAAGTACCTCCGTATAAACAAGGAGATGCATAAATAGATTTCAAGTTGCTAGAAGATTCCAAGTCAACACCTCAACTCCAGAGATATGTTGCCGACTAGTACAGCACCGGGAAGATCGTCGCAGAAGCAGACAACTTTCCAGAAAAGTCTGGCGACAGTCCTGTTCAATTATTCAAGCAATCTCGGCAGTGAAGGGGTGCTAAAGGAGTTGCTATCTTTAACAAGTCTTAAATAAGTCGCAATCATAGAAGCCTAAACGGAGAAAGAAAAAGATTGACAACAACTGCTTCAACTGTCGTCAATACAGAGTAGCAAACATGCACGCATCTTGCCCTGCTCAGAGGCTTGCATAAACTGGGCTTTAGGGAATAAAAATCCTGAATGCGCCCGGCGCACCCTGGATCGATATTTTGTGTGTAGTTTCGAGCAACACAGAAGAGAATATCTATTTCAAAATGTCCACTGGTATATATACCCTTGCAGCGGAAGCCTCGTCTTGGGAGCCTTTGTATAGCTTGCCGATTCTTAACAGTGAATCGACGGAGGTTGGAGAGTAATTTCTTTATTCACGCAAATAGCTTCCGCTCCCCCACCCCCCGCATAGTATAAAAAGCCACGCAATCAACCAACCCAAGAATGGTCGGCACACATAGTTCCTCCGTCCAACTTCGAGGCTACGGTAGAGAAAGTATGTGCCATCAGCATTAGAGGCACTTCTTAGTGATGTCCTAGCTCCGCCCAAGGATTGTGTACTTGGAGATTTGAGCTACAGCACCTAGAATTTATTCAAGCATTGGCGTTGAACGAGAACATGGGATGTCAATGACAGCAGGTAGATGATTTGACAAGAATTTGCAGGTGACCCACTTCACTTTGCCTCATGTCATGAGATCATTTGAGTCGTTTTCAAACTCTGAGACGATATAGTAACGCAGATTTTGAGACAAAATGCGAAAGTACCCGTCGGATTTAGCCAGTTGACAACAACAAAAGTCGCCGCGATAGCACATACAACGAACAAAGCTTGATTGAACTTTCTCCACAAAGGTCTTAACACATAGACGCCCGGCACACAACCACATGTCGGTCCTTGACTTCATCAGACAGTTCCCTAGAGAACAACTCCGACGACTAAAGCGAAGTATTTATAGGCGTCTCGAGCTCAGCAACTCTCCTTCTGCCTATGTTACGTATGACTAGCGTAGAAAATTCACCAGAGGAAGGAATTCCCACCCTTCTTCAGGCATTTGAAAATAGAGGAGTGAACTAGTAGAATTCACTAGAACAGCGAATCCATATTTTGATCAAGTATCGTAGAGAAGAGAAGAGTAGTTAGTGTAGAAACGTACTGGAGGAGTGGACTATAGAACTCAAAGCATAATAATCAACAAATTCACTTAGAAATAAAGAATGGAATGTTATTCGAGGAAGACAGTAGTACCCACGTGACTGCCGAGTTCAAGTCAGCCGCCGTCGCCAAGCCCAACTCCACCCGCATTCCTTCGGAAGTCTACTCCTTCCTCGAGTCTCCCGCTACTTTTCTTGCCTCGTCGCAAAACGGTAAATGACGACAGTGTCATCATGATGTACAAGTGTACATCCTTCAACCAACATGCAACTGCAACGAGACAACTTGTCCTCTCATCCATCGCACGAGATCTGTTCGTACTGATCAGTCGTCAGCACCAAGAGATCTAGGCTCGACAGATCACGAAATGGCTCCCCTTAATTCCGTCATCTGACATCATAACCTCAGTCTCTTCTCTGCAAAGTCGTGCAACACAGAATTCCCTCAATGAAGCTGTTGATCTTTGCCCTTCACAATCGGCTGTTTTGCAAAATTGCTCAAGCACCGCCACAATTGCCCCGGACATCCCTCCGATCAGCCACTCCCGGCGCATCGATCTACAGATATGGACACATGATTCGCTCGCCTTACAGCCACAGCTCTTCCCTGCTCATTCTCGAACGGACACTACTCAGTTAGTAAATTGGCGATGACGTTCAGCCACAGACCTATGACGATTTTCGGCGTTTGACAATGTGGATGTACTGTCCCTGCGGAATCGCCTGTGGCACAAAGATCCACCAATAATCATGTTAAAAGATATGAAAGGAAGTGGAGTCTCGTGCTTGGCAGTTATGGAAACCTGGCACAGAAACGGAAATGCAGCTCAGATCTGCGGAGTTGGAGAAAACTCAAAAAGTCAAGAGACGCGGTTATGACGAAAATGGAGACAGATGAGGCATGTTTGAGCCTCTGGAATAAGTTTGTGATTGAATCTCATGACGCTAGGGCAATTAACAGTAAAGTACAGTTTTATCTTGGAAGCATGAAAACAGGTTTCTGGATGTCGGTTTGACATGAAGTTACGAAGAGATTCGTATATAAGCTGTGGTTGAGAACTTGAGAAGTCTCTTTTATTTCTGCATCAGACTCAAATCTACATTGAATCAATACCACTCTTACAAACTTTCAAACTTTTCAAACACAATTTCTCAATATGTCTACCATGGACAAGGTCAAGAACGCTCTCCACCTTAACAAGGACCACTCAACCACCTCTACCACATACCACAACACCACTGGTACTTCTGGTGTTCCTGAAGGAACTGCTGGCCCACACAACTCCCGAGTTGCCAATGCCGCTGACCCAAGGTTAGTCTTCTAGACCTTGATTTCAAAATGAATTTGCTAACACTCTTCTCCAGAGTCGATTCCGATCTTGATTCCTCTCGCCGAACTGGTGCTGTAGGAACTGGAAACACCGGCTACACTGGAACAGGAACTGGAGTTACTGGTACTTCAGGTTCAACTACCACCGCTGGCCCTCACTCAGTAAGTATCCATGGCTTGAGAGCCATTTTCAGAATGAAACTAATCCATTCTCTTAACAGTCAAACCTCGCAAACAAGGTCGACCCCAGAGTAGACAGTGACAGTAAGTAAACTCGAATTTTATTTCCTCACAATTCAAAAGCTGACTTCTCTCTTAGTGGACGGATCTCGCAACATGGGCGCAGTTACAGGTAACACTGGAGCATCAGCCTACACCGGAAACACATCCAACACCGGCTACGGTACCACTGGTACAACTGGCGGTATTAGCCACTCGACCAACGCGGGTCCCCATAACTCCAACTTAGCCAACAAGGCCGGTAAGTCCTGCGCTTCGAATATCTTCAAGATCCAAGCTGACCAAAATAGATCCCCGAGTTGACAGCGACCTTGACGGTTCAGGAAACCGAACTGGTGCCCACACCGGAGGCCTAATGGGAGCTTCTGGTTCTCACGCCACCCCAGGCAGTGGAACTGCTCAGAACACTGCTGGCCCTCACAACTCTGATCTTGCCAACAAGCTCGACCCTCGTGTTGATGCAGACTTGGATGGTTCCAAGACCTATGGTGGCAACAAGACCCACGCATAAATGATTCTTGATGGGATGAATGAATGACTTCGGCGGATACCCGGGGAAGGGCAGCCATTGTAATCGGTTTCGGACTTCTTCTGCTTTTGTGTTTTTGATATAATCCTTAGATAGGAGTTGAATGTACGATATTGCATGACTATTTTTCTTCAAATTTCGTGCCTCACTGTGTTGTTGCTTCTGATGATTTCGAGTGTGGAGCCTTACTTTCATCGTTAGTCATGTTCTAGTCTCTTGTTTCAAGCCATTGTTTCACTCGATCATTCACACGAAAGTTGGTTTGGTTGTCAACTATAGTTGGTTGTTAAGTATAGTTTGGTTGTCAACAATATAATCTTACTTCAACAAAACCATCTTAGTGCATGGTCCAACCGAAATCACTGATAAGAAGTGCCCACCTGGCTTGACTTGCCAAACCTACCATTCTCCGAATGTTGGGCCTTCAACAACTTCTTCCGGGTTGCCGGACTGTGATAGTCCACGGTTTGTCGTCTGTTTTGATTTCTGGAGCGGAAAGGTTTATTTATAGTTTGGGAACTGAGCAAAGTCGGTCTCCAAGTCCGGGGTTCACTTTGCGGGCAGCCTTAAATCAGTGAATCACAGGTGGTGAATATAGTTTTGAGTCAGCAAGAATAGGCATTCAAGTTCGAGTTGCACATCCCTGGCAATGGTGAATATTGGTCTGCTCGGAGCAAAGTTTGCAGGCCAGAAGTCCTGATCAAACCAAAAAGTATTTAAACCCCGTCCCATCTCTTTCAAACAATAATAAACGAAAGAAATTAGCATTGACTACCGTTTGTGGTGGACGGTGGTTCTTGGCTTGGACATTTTCTGTTGCGAAGCCATTGACCTTTTGAAGTCTTTCAGCAAAGTGTTTTTACCATGATTTCTATATTCTAAACAAAGACTCTTAACAGGAAGCGAGACGTTTCCGATGGATGCTCGGCTATTGACAGTAACGGTCTTGAGTAGTGACGACAACAGTGTCTTGTTATATCTAAGCGGTTTTCTATGGATGTGTGTTACTTCTGAATAAGTCTTACTTTTAAGGCAAGCTCGCTCCTGATAGAAGGCAGCGGATAGCCTTTGCTGCTGTGATCTGGACGATTAATTCTCGCTGTTACTAAAACTAGTATCAATATCGTGATATTATTAATATGGGTAACATAGAACGCTTCGTATTGAAAGCGTCAGAGGGTCAAGGCCGTTGAAAGGACGATAAGTATTGCACGACTTCCAACAATATTCACAAGATGACCAGGCCCGAAGAACATAGGCAAAGTTCACCTTCAGCCCTCGCACAGATCCACAAGATGACATACAGTATTGTGAAGAAAACCGTGCACCAAGCTAGAAAGACACGGAACCAAGAGTTTGGCCGAGGGATCAAGACTCTTTATACAGCAAACTTGACAGGAATTGGAGGAAGTTGGGCCTTTCGCCCGTCCTTGTTCTATAAGTGAATTTAAAAACAACATCATACCTTCTGCAAGTAACAATGTTCGACAATTCGCCTGTTACTATTCCAAAAGGAAAATAGAAAACAGCATCATGCCCTCTGCAAGCAACAATATTCTCCATTTCGTCCGACATTTCTCCACAAGTGAATTTGGAAACGATGTTATACTTTCGGCAGACAACGATGTTGGACATTGTGTCTGTCACTATTCCAAAGGTGAACCAGAAAAAATAATCGTACTATAGAAGGCAAGGATGTTCGGCATTTCGTCCATTAGTATATCAGAAGTGAATTCCGGACGACATCACATTCATACCCTTATAACCAGTGAATACAACATTTTATCGCCATAATTGTAACAGTGAATTTGGAACGCCATTACTTTGATGCCCCATTAGCAAAGATTTGGATATCTAGACACCACCAGAAGCTATTCACTTCACCTAGCATACTCCTTGCCTGAGAATATGACTCAACAACTCGAGTAACTTACCTATATAAGCACAGCTTCCTCGCTTCGATTTCCTTCTTCAGAAAACCACAAGATACTGTGAGCAAATCTATTGGGAAAGCAGTCACGGTCTTGGGGCCACACACGTCGCCTGGTCCAGTTTCGCTACTTCAATTTCAAATCCACAACGAACATGAACTTCCACAATAATCTTGGACAGCAGGGTATTAATGGTGGAGTTTAGCTCACTGCATTGCTATCTTATGTTTTGCTGTCAACTTTGGATTGCTGTCAACAATACAGCGTAGATGATGGAACTTTGATGATTGAAGGGCAGGCTATCAGGGGCAACCACACCATTGTCTAAGTAATATCTAAAAGTTAGAACATATGAGACGACTCTTATTGATTTTCCTTGATTATTTGTTCATACTACCGTTTGTTGAAAGGAGAAATGGTCGGGCCGGTAGGGTCTATTAGCTCATTGCATTTCTATCTTATGTTTTGCTGTCAACTATATTTCGCTGTCAACTATGTTTTGATCTCAACTATGTTTTGCTATTAACCAGCACTCTCAACGGTTAGTTGGTTCTAGCGTAACCGACAAGAACTAATCGTCTAGACTAGTTATGGTTCTTGATTTTAGAGAACTATCATTTTATTGGTAATCACGGTCAGGCCTCCCAAAAATTGCTAATGACTGTCAGCTCGTTCACTATTAGGGGAGCCTAAAAAGGTGGAGATTAGGGGAGATTAAAGTGCTAAAATCCTAAAATCTAAAATACATTATTAATAGGTTTTATTTGTTTTAATAGTTATAATAGTTTAGAACTATTAGAATACTTTATAGTGATAGTTATCTGTTTTTCTTAAACTGAACTAGTACGGTTAGTTACGGTTTATAGTTAAAACTAAATTAAATTATTTATTGGGAGCGCTCTATATTTTGTTGCTAATTGTGGGTTTGCTGCCAACTGTGGGTTATTGTTAATAACAAAGCGCAGATAATGGAATTTTGATAACTAAAAGACATACAAGTAAAAACAACTATACTACTTTTCAGATATCTATGAGTTAGAGTACACGGGACGACTCTCATCAACTTCCCCTTGACTTTTTGGTTGTAATGTCGTTTTTGGTTGAACGGAGAAACGGAGAACTAGTCTGGCTAGTGGGGTGTATTAATTCACTCCATTTTTATCTTATATCTCGCTATTAATTATGTTTTGTTATTAATTATTTTATTGCTATCAATTGTAAATCGTTGTTAACAATAAAACGTAATCAATAGAACTTTAATAGCTAGAAGGCATGCTGTTATGTTTCTAAATAAAGTCAATGAATTAAAACATATGAAACGACTCCCATCAACTTTCCTTGATTCTTTTTTCATATTGTTGTTTTTTGTTGAACGGAGAAACGGAGAAAGGTCGGGCCGGTGGGTTGTATTTATAGATAATAGTGGACAGATGAAGAAGCGTTACTGGCAACTGAAGGACCGCAATGAGTCAGTCTAATCGCATTCAGGTCAAGTGAATTTGACTCAAAGACCGAAGATTAGCCAGTTATAAAAGTGAATTGCTCCCAGCCTTCCTCTCAAGCTCTTCAACATAGTCGGAGACGGCGTATATAAACCCCGATCCCTTCCTCTCAAGCTCCCTCTCTCTTCAAAACAGTCGGAGACGGAGTATATATCCCGTTCCGTCCGACTCAAGTAAAAACTCTGCTCCACAGAAATTGCCATAGGTACCACTTTATGACCCAATGTGAAACGAAGAAACTCACATGCAGAGAACTACGAAAGTAGTGGACGGCCTTCCTTCCAACACAGCAAGATTCCATTTTCTGTTACGCAACCTCTTGGGTACTGTTGTCAAGTATCCTCTTGCTGTCAACTTCAACATACGAAGCAAAAAGTCAAAGTGGTAACTTGGCAGGCCAACAGAGTTGGAAGACTTCGAGGCAGAGCAAGAGGTCAAAGTTATTCTTCGAAGCCGGGTACACTCTTCACTGGCTCAACGAGCGACACAGGCACTCAATCTCTCTTTCCATTGAACTCAAGTTGCGGTAGTTTTTGGGAAAGCTTTGGAAGGGTGCTTTATATCTCTCTCTCTTCCTCCGTCATTTAGTGTCTTGACTCAACACTTAATATTCACTTGCTCCTAGCAGAGTGCTTGAATCAACTTCCAGTTCTTTTTTTCGAGATAGAGGGAGGTCTCAGGTATAAATAACCCACTTGGAACGGAGATGATGAGTACAAACACTCTCAGGATCGACTGCCCAGAACCATATTGGAATGAGAGTAGAAGGCCGCATGGTTTGTTCGAGAGTAAAGGGCACCGTAGAGACAAATATTAGACTTCTCTTTCTAAAACTTTATACAGAAAGAGAAGTAATAGTTGACAACGGAAGTGTTGACAACAATAACAATTACTCTTTGTTCAGCTAAAGACCAAGGTTGTTTGAAACCGCTCAGGTCTATGCTTCCTACCACCGGCCGCAACCAAGCCCGGCATCCTCTTGATGCTCTTCATCGTCCTCTTCCAATATTGATAGAAGATCTTTGACGCGGAGCAAGAGACTCTTTTATAAGAAAGGTCAGTAGAGCAGCGGGGCAAAAAATTTGAGATTTTGCCTGCAATTCTGGTCTATAGGTGAATTTGAAAGGTGAATGAGATACAACAAAACACATTCTCTAGCCGAGAGCCACGAGACTCGGCAGTATGAATGAGAAAAGTGAATCGTTCCGGGTCCTGAAGTAAGTTGCCAAGTACTACTTGTATGATAGCCAGATGAAGGAGACGAGAATACGAAATAAATCCCAAGCCATCACAGATCAACTTGAGCTTGGCCAATAATGTTTCTGCATGTCGTATATTCATGTCGTGTATTCATATGAAAATTCATCTAAAGGGTATTCAAACAGTCGTGGCCTCAGAATGCCGTGCCGCTCCCTCGCCACCATCAAGGTTAGCAGTCTTATTCTCTCCATTTGCCTCATCTTCGTGTCCATGCAGTGTTGAGGACTCAGACGCCTTCTCCGCCAACGGACCTGGAGCATTAGCTGCGGGGGCATTCTCCTTCTCTTGCTCTGCCATGAGGACCGAGTCCTCTTCCCAGCCCCTTCTCTCCTTTCCCATTGTTGATCGTACCCATGGTACAGTAATGGCAGCCCAGATACCTGCCCATAAGAAAGGAACGCCCCATCCTAGTGCCAGTTAGTCGAGAACCGAACAAGTCATCAGGCAACTCACCAATACCATATGAAACAGGCTCCGGAACAGGATTGATGACAACAACAACTGTACATGCAACTGCAACGAACAGCCCAGGGATAGACCAAAACCACGACAGATCCCTGAGCATCTTTCGGAAGATCGGACTTGCATTATATCTTGCAGCCCAACCTTCCCGGAAGGGCCGGCCACCTCCAGCATTGACGGCCACGATGTCCTCAGCAATGTAGTAGATACCTGGCAACATCTTCTCGCCTTTGGCAGTGGAGCTGATCCGAAAAGGAGCCCTCCATCCACATGCACTGTAAAGACTCATTAGGAAGATGGGACCTGATAGACAATACAAAATAGCAGGCCCCGGCATTGAAAGTACTCTCAGAAACACGATATGAGGGGCAGCGCCAACGATCAGGAGTGACGTGACGACCGCAATCGTAAGCACCAACATCCAATTCGTGATATCGAAAGCCCATCTCTGGTCAGCCCCCAGCGGCTTAAAGAAATTTTCTTTCTTGATCAATCGCAGAGATCGGACTGCGAACTCAACATATGTAGGTCCACCCCAAATAGCTGTGATGACAGCGAATGTGATCCAGCCCTGAACATTGCCTCCAAACGTCAGAGCATAGTATAGCAAGATGGGCACGATGCAAGCATCGAAGATCATCAACGCGATATAGCCCGCGAGCTTCCATCTCTTGAAGCCATGTCTGAATGTGAAGGGCAATTGTGGCAGAAGCTCAGGATGTTGGGAATAGTAAGATTGAAGGGTGCTTCCGCGTCTCCGGTACTCCCGCTGCGTCGCTGCTCGACTATCATAATAGACATCGCGTTCTTCTTGGTCGAGGTCGCGACTTCGACGATAGTGCGAGGAATGCCGCCGGTTCGACTCTGATGCTCTTGGGGAGAATGTTCGTGCAGTGGGGAGGGAGTTCGATGTTTCTTCTCGATTCTGATCGAATGTTACTCGGCGGTCGTGGACGGGACTCGCTGGTGTTGTTGTTGTCGGGAGATTCGGTTCGGATTCAGCATGGCCGGGAGGATTGGAGATGGGAAATGAATCGGATCGAGCGCTCCCTCGAATAACAGCAGGCATGTCTGGATATCTGTATCATTGCTCAATCATGACAGAAAAGAGAGGCAGAGTCGATGCTGAAAGAAAAGAAATAGAGAGGATGATGATCAGTCGACTTGGTAGAGTCGCATTGGTACATGGGATGCGACTTGCTTACTGTAGGATTGAAAAAGGGCAGATGATGTCATGGCCGCGTCAAGACAAGACCCCAAGACCCGGAGGTTTCGCGTTCACCGATCTCACGTAGATAAACCTATGCAACGATCATGACTTTTAATGATGCAGAAATCCAAAAGAGCTGTCTGAAATTTGTTCAGACTTGTAGGGATCCTAGATGTCCAGTGATAGTCTCCAAATGTTGAGTATTCGTACAGAGTCACGTGTTGAGGTCCATCCTTGAATCCCTTTTCAAGCGAGCCGGGTACTGACAAGCCAGAAGGTCACACTGAAGGTTGTTCTTTTATATCAGGAGTTGAGGCGTTGAAGGAGATATCAAGAAGAAACACGTCTTTGGTGCCAGTGCTTGTCAAATCATGGAGAAGTCTCATTTGAGGATTCTGCTAAGATGCTCAGTATCTTATTGTCTACTTACAAAACACTTGACAATGAACAAATTTCTGGCAACAGAATTGAGACTTTCCTCCCATCTAGTTTCTGCTTTTACAAGATATAATTATCCAAACTAGAGCAAAAGTAACAAGCGACAATTTCGTTTTTAGCGTGTAACATTTTATCTATATTAACTACTAAGGAGTAGCAAGCCAAGGGTTGCTTAGTAGAGCTTGATTTCCCTTCTTTCAAGACAGCGAAGAATTTCTTCTTGCATAGGGCCGAGTTCCTGTTTCGGCACCGGACCGGCTTGAATCTTTGTTATTCTTTGGGCTTCGTCAAACCTAGTCCATTGCACAATTAACAGATGGACCACAACAAGAGGATAAGGGTCAGGCCATCTTCCTATCCCAAGTAATAAACATCCGAGTTTCCCATCTTGAAGGCCCTTGAGAAATTCTTACGGTCCTGACGGCATCTTGATTCCACTGCTGCTAGTTTGCTTGAGGGGTATGTTCATGAACGTCGCCCCAATCCAGCTCGTCCAGGTTTGGAAGCGGAATAAAGCATCAGAGATAAAGAGAGCGCGAAATAATAACCCTATTGGAGCCGACAAATCGGTTGAATCGACTATAGAGCTCGGTCGTTCATGCAATTGTGAGCCTCTAAGTAGCACTATGTGATTGCCAAGCAGCTACGGATTTGATGTCGTCTGCAACATGCCTAGCCACTGTTTCAAGGCTCACAATAGATCCTTCCTTGTACTCGAGAGAAACATTTGTCGGGAAAAGCTCCAGTCTACCATGATGGTAGTCGATTGGGCCTGTCCAGCCTGCCCATGTCCAGGAGGGAAAATCCGGTCTTCTCTCACTTTCTTCCCAATGAGGTCGGTCCCAACAAAGTGCTATGGCTAAGCCTTCCTCAAGCTGCATCGGCGATTGCTTTGCGAAAAGGATAGGGAGACCCTGTATATTGTATACCGGGAATTGGCCGTCTTCAAAATGGCTAAAGACACCTGAGAACGCAGAAAGTGCATCTGAATTACACGTTAACGTGCGGGGTGTGTAGTCCTTAAGAAGATGTCTGACTTGTTGAAGATATCCCCTTGCGATGGCTTCGGGTTTATTCTGAAGATTCTTAAGATCGTCACCTAGAAACGGTCCCCCTCGCTCTAAGAATTTAGATATTGCTTTGTAATTATCGTGGCTGCCAGAGGAAGATGACACTTGTGAGTAGCGTTGCACCTCGATATCGTCCTTGGTACGTTCTATACCCCTCAAAGCCTCGCGGCATTGCATGCTATGGCAAACGAAAAAAGTCTCGTAAAAACCAAAGCACAATCGCCGACTCGACAGAATATCTTCTTGAAATGTCCACCCCCTTGTCGCCCACTTAGATCTCTTGGAGCATAGGGAGATATCAGGTGGAACAAATATGACAGTGTGTAGACCATGTCCGAACAGAGTCTGTGGATATCGCAAGGTGGAGCGTACCCCAGGCAATCCTTCGTTTTCGTCGTCACCAGCGGCAGCAATAATGGTGAGCTCGGCTCTTTTATATATACGATCCATCATCTTTATTTGCGCCATTTTATGAGCATTATCGTGCTGCTTGATACAATACTTGTCGATCCAGAGATAAGTGAAGCCAAGCTGTTTTGTGACACATATGGAGTCCGTAATTGTTTGTGACATCGAGTGTAGAAGGGGGAGTGATTTCACCGGGTTACTCTCGAAAGATGCTACAGGCACCACATTGACCGCTGTTGTTTTTGCCCAAACATAGCTCAAGGCGACGTAGCTTGCATTTGATGGTGCCTCGCAAACTTGATTCGTGTAGCGATTAATGAGCAATAAGCCAGGCACGTCGATTTTAGCAGGAATTTGGCACCGGATCCCATGAGAGCTTTTGCATGCGTTCATCCATTTCTGAACAAGACTAGGGTCGAACTGCGGAGCAACACGCTGAGGCTGGAACATCCTGTGAGAAGTTTTTGGGGGAAGACATGCATAGCACCCAAACTTGAGAGCATGTCCTGCAAACGATCTAAAATCAGGAGACCCAGAATCAAAAAATCGATTCTTGGGCACAGCCAGCAGCCACCGGCCTTGGCAAGTCGCAGCTATATCTCGATACTCCTCTCCTTCTAAGTCTACAATGAGAGGACTTGGTGTTGCTCGCAGTTCCCAATCTTCGCTTTCGTCGGCCTCCCAAAGGGATGCCCCATGGCTAGGGTGTAATTCCGAGCTGCCACACAGCTCGCAGCTCCGGTCAAATGAATCCAGATTCGCAACGAAAATGCCATTGTAATCCACAAAGGATAAGATTTCCCTTAGGTTTGGAAGCGGGTCCTGAAGGCTTTTGCGAAATTGATCTTTTGGCAAGCTTCGCACAATCCTACAGCCTCGTCTCCGCTGCTGTCTTCGCTATTCAAGGACATTGATTGAGCTGGCTAAGACTTTAGTGGTTGTTTGGTTTGAAGGATTGCTGTAGGCTGCTTATTTGATGCTTTTTTTTATGGAGAAATTTTGTTCAGTGTAAAGAAATAAGGCTGAATTTCTACGTACAAACGCATGATTTGGCATCCATTCGAGTTGTTGCCTAAAACCAAAAGCAAGATTAAGTAAGTACACCCGAGCCTCAAAAGCGCCAAAACGAGCCCCTAGATACTAAAATTGGTCTCCTCATGCAAGCCTAGGCTAACTTTATTGGGTATTCAGGCCATACTCAGGAATGCTCACTCTCGGCTTAGAGCTGCTCACCCATAATTCAGGCTGAAGCAGCAATTGCTCAAGTCCAGAGATGGAAATGTAAAATGTTATGAGAATATTCCTATACTGAACTACCTGTTACGGATCCTCTAGAGTTCCTAGCAGTGAGGCAGGGTTTCGAATTCGGGCTAATCTTTCAAGTTGACATTCTTCAAGCTACAATTGATTGCATGATCGCCTTTTCCACTGTGGACAGCGAGTAGTCGGGCCTCGGTGGTGTCTTTGATTGGGATGTATTTGTAGATAGAGGGAAGAGTGGTCACTGTCCTTTTCGTGGCTGGTGCTTCCAACTTTGCGAATCCGATTTGTTGATGACTGGGGTGCATCGAGGCTGCTTCAATCTAAGCTCCCTAGATTTCCTTCAACTTTCCCAGACCACGGAAATGGGGAACTGCAATATAGGCGGATGGCTGCGTGCTTCATTCCCTGTGTTAGTAACACTGCAGGAAAGCTGAACTGGCAAATTGAAGCTCTGATCAAGACATAAAATCCTGTTGCAACTATGTACCTCAAAGTGGTGAAAGTTGTCTCATCCTAGAGTTACGTAGACAGTAAACTTACAGAGGGTACACTGCACTACTTGCTGACAATGTCAAAATCAGGTTGCGCTTTACTTCCACACTCTGCGTCAACACAAGCCACACAAAACGAACCAAAAAAGTATATCTAGAGATGACATTGCTAACAGCACACCACTATCTAGGTACACTGTCTATATATACAAGAAGTGGAGTCACCCCATCTCCTCTGTGTATACCATTCTTCCCCGTTCCTATCCATAATATATCTCCCCGAGACCAATCTATCCCTCCCCCATCCCTTTCCCATTCCCTTTCCCTCCACCCCAGAAAACGCCATGCTCGCTGGTATAAAAAAAAAAAAACGCCGCAAAAAACAGATAGATGGTATACGCAAAGAAACATCCCGTCGTTGAGACACACACTCGTATCATAATACAATCTTCCCTTCCTTCACGATAAGTCACTAAACCAACTCATCATCCCCATCTTCTTCCTCATCATCATCAACATGAATCCTAAACGCGCCATTTTCGCGTTGCTGCTGCGTACTAGGATACTCGGAAGGCACACTATCCACACTATCACTATCCTCAAAAACCTCCATCTCCACCTCCCCATCAACAACCACGCTCCCGATCGCCAACCCCGGCGACTCCTCTACACCCTCCCACTCCAGCTCATCAACCTGCCTCTCCTGCAACTCCTGATCGAGATCTATACTCCCTCCTTCCTCATCATCATAATACCGCATCCCCGCCTCGAACTCCGCTCTGACCTCATCCTCCTCCTCCTCCTCCTCTTCTTCCCCGCCAAAATTCTCATTCCCAGCCACACTCTCGTCCTCATAAACGCTGATCGGCGGCCCGCTGCCACTTCGCTCCACATACGGCGGCGCATTACTATGCGGCGTCGCATACGCAAAGGGCGTCATGCCGCGCTCTTTCCCTCCTGCGCCTTTCAGCCCTATGTCCTCGATAAAGGTATACGGACTCGGCGGACCAGCAGAGAAGCGGGGACTGCGGGTGCGTCTGCGTTTTAGCTGGAGGGAGGGCGAGGATGGGATTTGTGGTGGGAGGTCGTCGCGGTCGAAGGAGGTGATGCGGCGTTTGTTGGTGGGGGGAGGGGCTTTGATGGGGACGTGGGGTAGGGAGGTTGTTCGCGTGGGGCGGGCGCGGAAGGGGTCTCGTTCTTTTCTTTCTTTGAGGGGGGAGATTGCTACTGAGGTTGGGGTTGTGGAGGCATTTCTTGATACGGCGGCTGAGGAGAAGTGGTCTGAGGGCGAGGCTGGTTCTTCGTCTTCTGGCTGGAGGATGCTGAGTTGTGAGATATGAGATGAGATGGACATCGAGGATTCGGGAGAGGGCAACACGTCGAGTCTTTCGTCGTATTCCCAGCAGGGTTCGTGGGCGTCTGCTTCAGGCGTGTGAGGTTGGGAGAAGGAGGCTTGATCAGGGTATACGCGGGGTAGTTGACGCAGCTTTTGCCAGGTCCAGTCCGTAGGATCGCGGTTGAGATGTTGAATATAACTATCTCGGTGGGTGACATAGAGGCGGCGGACTTTGGTGTGTCGCATGGCGACGCTGGAGGAGAGGAAGGAGACGGTCCAGAGGGCCGGGGTGACCATTTCAGATGGGGTGAGAAAGCGGAGGCAGGAGTTCTTATGGACCTTTCGTAAGGGAATCCAGGGGCTTGAGAGGGAGAGATAAGCTTTGAGAGCTTTTGGTACCGAGCTGGAATTTTCGTCATGGGGTGTATATGGATCTTCTGCGAGAATGTCTGGCAGGTCACCAAATGCTTTCAGGAAGGCAGCTTGGACGTCCCGGGCTTCGTTACCGCAGACTTGGACGAGCTTGACAAGACCTCTGCTTCGGAGTCGTTCATCAACTCTGCTGCGAAGACCACAAGCTCGAGCCATAAGCCACTGATTCTCTTCCTCGGCACCAAAGTCCGTAGCTGATCTCTCCCAAGCAGAACTTTGGTCGTGAGCTGCAAGAACTTTTTGCGCTGCAGCCAGAGAATGCTGAGTCTGAGTCCATTCATCCGTCATGGTACTGCCTAATCTTGTTCTCTCACTCATGCCATGCTGTGATGACCAGACACCCATAAGTCGTGATCCGAAAGGCAAGAACACAACCTCCACTTCCCAAGGCCTGGAATGAGAAGGACCAGCTGATGCTTGCAACTCCGCAACTTGAGCTTCCAAAGCCTCGACACGAGAAGCATCGACTCTATCAATAGCAGAAGCAATCATAGCCGACGATGTGACTGACTCCTTACAGTCGAAAGACGAAACATGTTGTCGGCCACAAACACTCCCATCATTAATGGAAGCCATCTGACGGTCTAGATCATGAACCCTCTCTTCCAGGTCATCCACTCTCCCATCCACCTTCTCAACGTCATCTCGAAGATCATCAATATGGGCGTTCGAGAATGAAGCATTTTCCATTTGTTCGAGACGATGTTCATGGTTCTGGATCTTGTTTGGATAATCCATCAGTTGTCCCATCACATGTTTGATTCTGGGAAGTAGATTCTCGTCGTCAGGATTATGAGGGACAAGTGTTTCGACCCGAGGTCCGGAACCAGATTGCTTGATGTGGACGCTCTCTCCTTTCGAGACGGGACGTAAGGCGATGTCGGTTTGAGCTCTACCTTCCGCATACCTGTTGAGAGCCTCTTGAACACTGGCAATATTCTGACCAAGATCCTCAGCTGGATCTTGCGATGTCCTCGCGCTAGGAGTAGCGACATCTGTCAAACTCTGGTATCCATTGCCATGAGCATCTTCGTAAATCTGCACCGGCCTCTCAGCCTCGTTTAGTGGAACACCTGACCCAACAGGCTGTCCTCTCGCAACAGCAGATGGAGTAGGTATATGGCTGAGAGCCCTCAATCCCAGTCCACCAAAAGGTTTCAAGTATGAAGATCCACAACCAGAAGTGACGGACCCGGTCTCGGATGGTAGAAGACATTGCGACGGTATAGCCGGCAGACTTAAATTCGACCCTCCAGAATGTACGTATTGACCCCATTGGGCAGTATCGGGAATATTGCTTTCCTGGTACCTAGCCCTCTCCTCTCTTTCACACTCATCTCGTTCTCGAATCTGAGCTAGGATTCGTGGTTGTCGCAACGGTGTATTAAGCACGGTACTCGACCCGTCACTCATCACCACATCGCCTGAATTCTTCAGTGTTGGTGTCGAGGTGTGGCCCTCAGGAACATCATCATGGTAGCAGGCATGATGTTCGCACATGCAGAACCCGCTCTTCAGTCCCTCCCCTCCCTGCGTCCCCATTGCCACAGCCTTGTCCCAGAACCGCCTACAACCACATCTCGGCGCATTCCCACCCACGCTTAGGTTCGTGAAATTGCATCTGCCAGTAGGGAGCCTAGCCTCCTCACTAGCAGGAGCATTGAAACTCGCATGCTGGTGTCTGCTCGAGTTCAAGAGAGGGGTATTCGGTACCGTGGATCCTAGCCTGTGGGCAGCCATGGACGCTCACCTCCCATACCCTTCTTTATACACGACTGGAGAATAGAAAGAGGTCGGTCGCAGTGAGGGGAAGAACTTTCCCAGATCCGTGTCGCATTGAGACCCGATCGAGGACCGCGGTGCGCTGGCAGGTCTGGCGGGCGGCTGTCGCTCACTCAAGAACTGCTCAACCCCGCTGCATTGATTGATGAAGCTCGAAAAGATAGGAGGAAATTCGTAATTGAAATTGTTTGGGTGGGAGACGCGCTGGAATGTAGTTATCTCGGTCGCATTGGAAGCTTCCGTCTGCTGCCGCGATGGTCAGCTCCATCTCTCCTCCCATTCACGCTGCCTAACATACCTGCACAGCATTGAACAAACAGAAAGGCTGAAGGAAATTCGTAACAGATCGTAAGTCGTGGGAGAGGAAGGAAGACTGTATATTTATCTCATAGAAGCCCTCGCAGGCAAGACATACACGCCTCGTTCCGTGGGGAAGGAAAGACAAGAAGCAGAGTCGCAAAGATAAAAAGAAAGGTTGCAGCAATCCAGATCAGTTCGCAATTGTGTTTCTGAGTTCTGACTCCTCTTGACCCTTGCAAGCTGCACTAGTTATCGCTCCTTTCTGCTGGAACTGCAGCCGATTCGTGCTCACTGTCGCTCAGACTCGAAAAGGGCTGGTTTGGAACATGCAGAGATGCCTTGACCACCAGGCGACACGCCCGAAATGCGACGCGGTTCGGGTCGGCACCACTGCCTCACGCGATGATTGGACGAAAATCGAGACTTGGGGTAAGGCAAGGGGATGATGCGGTAAGACAACGAAGCAATTGTTGTCGTATTGACTGCCTGTGAGGCTGTGAGTATATATATACACTTCGCACTTTGAAATGTTGGGGTAAGAACAAGATCAAGAGGCCACGCAATTGCAAAATAGCTGAAGACGTGATCAGGCTAGGTATGAATTGGTGGGGCGTACGGGAAAGTGACTCTCAGCTGCGTTGCGTATCACAAGTTGCCTTGCCCTATACATCGAAACACTGGTTCGCGTGCTGAGGCTAGAGAGGAGGGGAGGCTTGGAGTGTATATAAAAGAAGGGCATGATCAACTAAGGACGAATCAATGACTCAAGCCTTACAAGTGTAGATGCCTCATGAAAGTGGTTCGCATTGGAGCGCCTGAGGATTCTCTCATGAGAAAGTAGCTTGACTGAAGGAAAGAGAGGTACGTGTGGTAAAGTATGAGCATGCAACTAGACACACTGGTGGGGCAGGTCAACAAGGCTGAACTCCAAATCATAGCTCATGCATGATAATAATGCCGAATTGCTCGTCAATCTGATATCAACTCGGTGAGCACTCGCCCCATTTTGGGCACATACATATATAAGAATACCGGAAGGAATTTCCATCTGATTGATCCGCCTCGCTCGGGTAGTATTAGGGTATATCTACCATAGAAACTCCAACCCAATGCTAATGCCAAAGCGCCCGAGGACTCCCAAACAACCACAGGGTATCGAATGTCGCCAGCCGTCTCAATGAAGCATAATTCAATCAAGCAGATGAACCACCAAACTCCATGTTCTCCAGCCCATATCCGCACGCCATTTCAGTGTCCCGTCGGCTGTCAATTGGTTTGACGAGCGGCCCGACGTTTGGCAAGAGCTTTGGAAACGCAGAGACCAAGAAGTCCAGAGGCGACGATGAAGACGATGCAGAAGACGAGGATAACACCTGGTTCGCGGGCCGCCCAGCTCTTTTCGCGTTTCGCGAGGAGGTTTGCGACGGCTTGTTGAGCCTCGATCTTGCTGATGGCAGCCATATTGAACTAGCAGAAATCAATATCTGAGCTAGTGAAGGAAGCAGCCTGTAAGCGGTGAGACATTGGCTTATGGCAGATCTGCTGGATGGTTGCAGTAAATGCAGGTATTTCCTCTGCTTCCGACGCTTGCCAGTGCTTGGATATCGCACCTGTTGGTCTTCTGAATTGATATGCCAATGTCCTAGTCCAGGCTGACGATCCAAATATATATGGTGCTTACTTCGTATGAGTATGCAGCCGGGGGTGAAAGAGGCAGACTGTCGAAGTAGTCTCGAGAATGTCTAAAGGCGTTGCAGTTAGCTTTGTGCAACTCAAGGTGAATCGAACACAAAGACCGATGCTTCAGCAAGTTAACATTGCAGCTTGCAGACGATGTATCACCCTCTTCCGAGTATGGAGATAACATTCCATGCCAGGCTGGAGGGACAATTGCTCAATGTGCCGTGAAGTATCAACAAGGATCACCCGATAACCATATGACCCCGCAGTGTATTCGTCCCTCCAAAGAAGGAGATAGTAGGAATCACGTTGTACTTACAGGTTGAATCTGAGGTAACGAACAGTGAGGTCAGTTTGAAAGAGGATGAGGGAGTGTGAGCAGAGTATCAATTGAAGGATTGAACATTCGTGGTTCTGGAAGAGAGGGAGAGGAAGGGACGCTAAATGCGGGGAGCTACTCCAGCTCCGGATTGGCTGCACTTTCAGTCCGTGCACACGTTCGAAGAGTCTGTGATTGGCTAGAGGTCGGCAGAATTGTGGAGTCTGAGGAAGAGACATTGAAGGTATTTCTTGGATTTATATTGAGCATGAAGAGATACAAATATTTGTTGAACCAGTTCTGATCCACTTTGTGGTAAGTGGAATGGTTCGGCTGCACTTTGGGTGTTTTCCAAGCCTTGAGTTTGTCAATCTTCATCGAAGTCGAGAAGGCCAAGCTCTTGTCCTTCCTCCTTGGTCACGGATTAGTGGGCAGCCAAGAACACTTTCTCTTCAAACCCATGAATAAGCAGACTATAAACCTCTGCACGGTTCCTATCAATCAAGCTTTAAGTTCTACATCGACTACGCAAGCATTTGGGATATTTTTTTCAGGCGAGGGTTTCCTCCTGGTTTGCCCACTTGTACTCATCTGGAGACGGCAGAGGTTTGAGGCTTGAGTTGAAGCTTTGTGCTTAGCTTGGCAGTAGCTGTGATTCATTACGGGTAGATCCGATTGATCAACGGTGATCTGCGAGGATCAGGTGCAGAGTATAACGTGACTGTCAATCCGAACGATGCAAGAAGAGACGAGGATATATGACAATTACCTTGATACTCCTCCACCATTGTCTGCCCTTCACTTACAAATTGCATCTCGAGTCTGCATCATTACCATTTTGTTCCATCAGACACAAGCCCCTATCCTTACGTGCTCACATAGCTTCCGAATATTTCTCTTCACCAGCCACAATCGCTTGAAGATCAAACAAATCTGAATCTCTTATCACCAAACAGATAAGCGGATCTCCCGAATTTATTTTCGGCATCGATTATGGAGTTCATCCTTTAATCATCTATCTCGCGCAATCGTGAGGCTGGGTTTGTGGGGTCTGGTTGTTTGGTGAAACGGATCATCCTCTGGGATACTTGGTGAAATTAGCAATAGAGGAAGGATGAACTCTGTCAGAAAGTGAGGGTATGGTCCGGTTGGACGGCCGTCATGTTAGACGAACTTCATATTGATTGAACTGGAGAGGAGGAGTTGGAGAACTTTCTGACAGACCAGTATAGGACAACAGTATCAAGAAATATGATCGAATGTGAGAATACGGCCTGGTCGATTGAGGTTGGTTACTTACCCGGCCTGCATTGGGATTTGATAGAAGCGATTACTCGCAAGATATAACGGCATGACGATTGATGATGATGCGAGAAAGGTACGAATATCTGATAGGACAATGTTCCTGATATTCCACTATCAAGCCAATTCCCTGGAAGTAGTGAATGCATGGCTTACCGAGGCTTTCTTGCTTACGCACTCTGCAATGTCTTGCTTCTTTTCCTTGCTGACAAGCAAGCACAACAGCAAGCCTACAGCTCCATAGCTTGTATATCATGTCCATATCAGCGCCAATAACTATGCACTCTCAAGATGTGTCAAGATCAGCTTCCTACACGTGCGTATTCATGGTCGCTTTACTCGTCTGGCGCCGTAGGGGACGTTTCCTCACCGCCTGCGTGGCCTCCCGGGATCTTTGAAGCTGCCAAGCCAGAGTGCAGCTCTCGAACTCCCGCACATCGACATCCATCATTGATCCCTCCGTCTTGGCCTTCCTCGCCCCTTCCGCGCCGCCGTTGTCGTATAGAGATCGAGGATGGCCTTGCACCTACAGATGGGGCCATCAAATGGGAGGTCCGACAGCACCACAATCACTCGCAGGACAAAGCTCACTGCAGGTTGACCTGCATCTATCGTCGCTGGACACTGCATCTCGCACCAGCTCGGAGGAGTGGTGAATCGTTGGATTTTTCTTTGCAATCATATTGAACTTGCTTGACACCATGACTCTTCCATCGGCTCCATCGGTTCTAGTGTTGTGCATGTGTGTGCCAATGAACGGTTGTGGGTGCTTCCATGGTAGAATGTCGCAATATCAAGTCCACCCGAGCGCTCGTTGCGTTCTGAAAATAGAGGAGTGAAGTGTGGAAAGTGTGGAAGCTACCAGGAGCCGGCACCGACCATCACCAAGAAACTTCCAGGCCACCAACCACCAAACATCACTCACCCCAGCATCAGCAAACATAATCCTCTACCAACACCACAAAATCAGGGCAGTTCGGCACCAACAATGCACCAGCCTCAACCGGGTTTAGCAGCATGATCTACAGGGATTCCCACCTTCGACGAGTCGACGACTTCCCTCCCACCACTCCCACTTGCCCTAACTTACCTACCCTGCAGATTTCTGGATCCCTTGAAGCCCCGACAGACCGAGATGCCGCCAGGAGACCCTGTGTCATCGTTCAACCCATACACCAAAAGTCCGGACCCATAGCTTGATAGCTCAACTTTCTTATCCTTCAAAAATAAACACTTTCCCCCTTCTTGTCTCCTCCGCCCAGTATATCCACCTCTCTGCTACATGACCCGGTCACCTCATGGCGTCCGCCAGCAACGAATTCAAAATGATCCGTAAACGCAGATTCACTCGCCGTTCCATTTGAGCTCGAAACCCGAAGATTACGTGGAGATCATCACGGTCCATATCCCCTTATCCGCCCTCTCGGCTCTCACTTGCAAGATTGCAAGGCTTAGCGCAAGGACTTTAGAAGATATAAACTCCTAAGGTCGGTCCAACTATCCAGTGTCTGACTCCTCAGAGGTTCTGGCTAACCTGTTCAGATCGAGTTCTTTCTAATCCTTCACTTCTCTTGTATCGGCTCTGTCCACCATATATCGGACTCTTTAGAAACATTGCTTCTCATTCTCATTTTCTTTCCTCGCACATAATCACGATATACGATATATATACAAGATGACGATGGAACACTATCCCGTCCAGAACAGTGAGGTTTTCCTCCTGGGCTCTTCTCACGCACCAAACGTACCGCCGCCCTCACCACCCTCTCCCGCCACACCATGTGAGCGAGCTCTATCACCGCCTCCCGAGGACCTCATGTCGATGACCCCTCCTGAGATACAAGATTCTTGTCCTTCTTTCTCTCAACGCCTCTCAAATGCCGTCCATGTCCTCGGTACCGAAGCGACAGCACTCTCATGTCTCACTCGTCTATATGAGACGGAACCAGTTGCTCGAGGAGGATTCAACTCAGCAGTTGAAGCTATCACTAGATTCAGATGTGACAAAGGCAAGCTTGTCATCTGTGGTATTGGAAAGAGCGGCCATATCGCCAAGAAGTTGGTCGCGACGATGAACAGTCTGAAGATTCACGCAATCTACCTTCACCCGACCGAAGCACTGCACGGCGATTTAGGAGGAATCGGCAAATACGACACTATCCTGCTCATCACCTTTTCTGGCAAGACACCAGAGCTGATCCAACTACTTCCTCATTTCGACACCTCGCTTCCCCTGATAGTCATGACATCACATACTCATCCATCAACATGCGCAATTATTAAGCAACGACCAGATGCTATTCTTCTACCTGCACCAATCCATAAGTCCGAGACTGACTCATTCGGCTTCAATGCACCTACGACATCTACCACCATGGCTCTTGCCCTTGGGGACGCCTTAGCCGTCGTCATCTCGAACGAGCTACACATCAACGTCCAAGCCGTATTCTCACAAAACCATCCTGGAGGAGCCATTGGACAAGCAGCCAAAGGACCGTCGAAGATCTCGGACCTTTATATCCGTCTTTCAGACCTTCCATCTATCGATCATGCAGCCATCACCGGCGCAAACGTTCTGATGTCCGCCTACCAATCACCCTCAGGCTGGGTACGACAAGGCGACGACACAGTCATGTCACCTCGCCGCATCCGCCGCCTCCAACAAGACGACTTCGAAGAACCGGCCATGTGCATTCAGGGGCTCATGGTGCCACGAAAAGAGTGGATCGAGATCCCATCTGAGACGAGCCTACCGCAAGCGCGGGAGTGGATCAAAAGCATGCGGTCGTCCACCTGTGACGGCGAGACCAAATACAGTGACGATGCTATTCTCGTCGTCATGGTCGACGGCGACGTTTCTGGCGTTATAGAAATTGGGGAGGTTATGTGATGCATTTCTTGAGATGGGCTTGGCGTTGCGAAAATTGGCGGAACATTTGTTTGAGATGAAAGTGCTAGAGCAGCCTTTAATCTTCGAGTTTTTATCTCTCTTCTCTTTGATTTTTAGAATTTTGGTGGGCGAGCGGGCATGCAGGTGGACAGGTTCTGCTTAGACTTGGGTAATTGGTCTGCGTTGATTTTACATGCCTACCGACCAAGTAGATTATTCATCGAATGAATTATGACTGCAATTGCTTGCCAGAAGTGCAGCATTTGGTATCCCAACTCCATTACTACTTTACGCTTGAATATTTTGTGATATAAATCTTGCATAGAAAACTCATTCCTAATACTCGTCTTCGTCCTGGCTTCCGCTCCTATGTGCTAAATCAACTCCAACAGACCACCATGTCTAAATTCCCACATATCCCCAATGGGGTGCATATAATCATGCTCTGAATTTTTCTCTAACTCCCTTCGACCAATGCCTCTCATCCTTCGGCACATCCAACCCCGCCTCTCTCGTCAAGTCCTTCCCGACCACCTCTCCCCTCTCCTAATAAAAACCACACTATAACTCAACAACGGATCTCACCAACACATCAAACCCCCTTCCCCACCCCGCTCCGCCCCTTGTCACCCATCCCTTACCAAGATCCCTCTCCATACCATCTCTCGCCTATAACCACAGACAGAAACAACCCGACGACGCTCCATAAAAGATACCTACCCAGCACATGCCAAGAGCCTCAACGCGTACGCTTGCCTCGATGCATGAATTTGTCCATCTGATATCTCACGACGGTTTGATGGGCGAGGCGGAGCAGGTTTACACGTAAAACATTGAATGTACTGTATGTAGGAACTGATCTCCTCGGCTGAGGATGCCGTCTGGGCATTCTACTTACCTATCATCTTATGTTTTGCAGGACGTTGGATTTTAAAACGAAAATTGGAGAATGTTTTTGGAGGTGTCTTTGTCTGAGGAACGGGATATCAAACTTTGCCAGAGATATCGAAATCTCCGAGGATGGGAGGGTTTTGATGTAGGTCTCCACCTTTCTACACGTCACGTACCTGCCGAACCATTTCCTCCCAAACTCGGACTCCTCTCTCTTTTCTCGCAACAGCAGCACTTACAACCCCATACTTCAAATCCTGCCTTCGAGAAAATCGAGTGCATAAAGACCCTCTCAGCACGGAAAGCATCTCGGAGATAAAGCTCAACAAGCAGAGTTTCCACCCGGGAAAGCTTCTCCACAAAACGGCGGTAAGTGGGGATGAGGTTCTTGCACGTGGGTGAGTTGGGAGGACGGCGGGCTTTGCTGAGGTTGGGAGACGTCTTGGAACGGATATTGAATTAAGATCGATAGTTCGAGGATGGAATGATAAGATGGAAGGAGAAGTTATTTTTTCCTTGAATTTGTGTTTCTGTTGTATATTTTTTACTATTGTTATTGATTAAGTTGTTTGCTTCACGTCGATTTTATCGAAGTATATCTTGTTTACAGTCATTAGAGAAGTGCTCTACTACAAAACTCTTTCCTCAAATATCGGTCACCAAGATGCATTGTTTCCAATTCCTTTTCCCAGCTCTCCTTGCAGCTACTGCGCTCGCTCACCCACGCGTCTCTCACCCTCACCAAGTCGTTATTCAAGACCAAGATTCCAGAGATATGGAAACAATCTTCCCAGACCGGAAACCCATCCATACAACCATCCTGATGGCACAAGCCACTGCAACGGCGGGAGTGAGGCTGTGAAAGCTGCTGAATGGACAGGAGTGTGACGTCATGATTCCAAAGCTTCATTCTTCATACATCTCTATGCCATATCTATATTCTCTCACGAACCACCATCATCACAAAACACCACACCCACGAACATACCAGAGAGACACAAACAATCAACATGGCATCAACAACAGAACCCACCGAACCACCACCCTCCTACACCGCCGCGACCTCTTCCTCCACAAGCACAACAACCGCCCCTAACACCACTCACCTCCAAATCCCCCACAAAACACGCAGCGGCATCCCCCCTCCCGCACGACGCTCCATGGAAGACGAATCCCGCGAACTGCCCCCCGGCTGGGTCCGCCAATATGACTCGAAATCCCACCACCAATTCTTCGTCGACACCGCATCCTCGCCTCCCCGCTCCATCTGGCACCACCCGTACGACGACGAGACCTACCTCTCCACCATCTCTGCCTCTGAGCGGGAACGCATCCGGAACTTGCATCCCGTGCCGACGCGCGCGGATATCGAGGCCGAGAGCTCGGGAGACGATGAACATCATCATTATGAGGGTGGTGGAGGGGAAGAGAGTTTAAGTGGCCCTAAGAAATTCGGGCGGAAGGTGAAGGATAAATTAACGGGGTCGACGCATCAAGAGCGGGAAGTGGCGAGGAGGAAGAGAGAGGAGGAGGAGCGGAGGATGTATGAGCAGCATCAGCATATCCGGCGCCAGATGAGCTTAGCTGCTGAAACTGGGCAGCCCCAATTGTTAGGTAAAGATAGGAATGGGAAGGATGTTTATATCGAGCCGCCCGCCGCGGATCCGTATGGAGGCGGCTTTGGAGGAGGGGGCTTTGGTGGGTATGGTGGGGGACTAGGGTATGGGTATAATCCGTATAGTCAGGGGATTTATGGGAATCCGAATGCGAGGTATATTAGGCCTCAGGGGCCGTATGGGAGACCTTATGGGGGAGGCTATGGAGGCGGGTATGGGTTGCCGATTGGGTTGGGGCTTGGTGGTGGGTTGTTGTTGGGTGGGTTGCTTTTCTAGATCTTTGGCAAGGAGGAATTATGCTGGGAATAGGTATGGCAAGGAGTTTCAGGTCTCGGAACAAATACCTAGCTAGAAATTCGTAGTAATTTTGCGCAGACGTTCTTCTATTCTGTATCTCTGTCCTGTATGCATATTCACAGCTCAATACAAAATCCCCACAACGCCACCCCTCCATCTACCTTCTCCCACCATCTATCCTATCCCCTCACCCACCGAACCATCAAAGCAAACCTACAACTTAGCCTTCTCCCCCACACTCCCAATCTTCAATTTCGGACTATACTTCTTCAACACACTCTCATTATGGTATTTCCAAAATTGCTTCGTGGCGTCCTTGCCCGCTACGCGTTTGAGGATCTTTGCGCCGCCGGGATGTTCGTCTACGAATCCTATTTGTTGACGTCCCATTAGCATTTACTTTACTATATAATTAGGAGAGAAGGGAGGAAGGATGGGAAGGATTGGAAGGGAATGGGGAGGGGAAGAGGATGGGGAAGTACCAGTAACATCATAAACATTCTCATCGATAATAATATACATCCCGCTCTCGGCATCCTTGTGCGACGCTACGTCTGCGGTGGAGAATTGTTTCGACATCTTGCTCTACCGTACTTCTTTCTCTATTGTGGTCGTGAATCGTCGTGTAGGTGGCGGGGTTCGTTCGCGGAGTTAAACAAAGGGAATCGGACGTCTAAGAGAATTGAGCGTCTAGAGGAATTGGCAGATTGTTTGTTGGAAGAGGATCGAGGAGTGAGAGAATGACAGTGGGGATGTGAGGTGAAGCAAGAAAGGTGAGGTGGATGCGGATTACATTTCATGATAGCAGGGATGCGGAATGAGATTTACCTCGGCTGCTTTTTGTCAGCTAGAAATGAGGAGCCGTGATTCGTCCTTCATCTCTTAGGAAGATTATCTTGTGCTCCGACTGAGTTTTGTATAAATCAAAATTTGAATTTGTCTCTTCGTTGCCCTAGGTTTCCAAACCGATTGAAAAGACCTCGGACTCCTGAGAGAGTCAAGACAACGAGCTCTCCTCGATCGAATCCTCTACTCCATCACTGACACCTCATTTACTGTTGAATCTTTACTTGCTTTCCTTCGCGTGTTCCTTTCTCGCAACTGGCTTTCCGAGCGTAGCAATCCAGTTTCAAGTGTTTGAAGCCCTGGAAAGCTCGTGGTTCATTCCCAGTCTATCCTTCTCAAGTTTTTACAAGATTGCGAAAATACTGTAGCGCGTTCTGCGCATTGCGCGCAAAACGCGCAGAATGCGAAAGATGTGCAAAGTAGAGGGATATCAAAGCATCCGTGTTCAGGTCTTGGAAGCTAGGACTACAAATACGGAAAGGCGCTATGATAATTTTGATCTTATTTGAATTTCGTTCACCTCCGCAGCTCGTTGGGGACCGTTTATGATGATTGTGCAATGCTCTAGACACAAACTCTCCTCGCACTACACTGCTATGCGTGCGGGGAAATTATCGACGCTGTCAATAGGTATGTGTTGACTAGTGTCCCTGCTGTGGAATGCCAGTGCTGAAACGGTGATCGTAGAGAATTGGAGTTTGTTGGCGAATTACAGATTGTGGTGGCCGTTGTGGACAGAGAAAGTCTCGTTGTAGCACTGATAATCTTATATGCACGGATTCTAGGAGTGGGAAGTGGTCCCCTTAATGCTATCGAAGCTCTAGTTGTACCAGATTGAAGCATTGAGAAGATGGGAAAACTGTTGCCCCCTCGCCAACTTGTATCTATTATACCCATGCGGACCGCCTCTGTTTGAATAATCTGTTCCGCTCAAAGTTGCCCAAAACGAAGAATACACAGAGTCAATACGATTTTGAATCTAGCTCTGAAGTCTCACTTGAAGATCAAGGTTAGCTTGAGCATCGGCCCAAGACCACACAACCGCGTCGAGGTGTTAGCCTTGCTGTCCCAAATCCAGAATTCAGTCCCACCGTCTGCGAATTTAAATCACTCTCTGCCAACAACGAATCACCTCTCTCGCAATACGCACAGATCTTCCATCTCCTCTCGGGACTAAATACCACCTATTCAGCTCTGCAGAACTGACTGTCATCCCAGTATCGTTCACAGCCTGTACCATCCAGCTCAACAAACCGTTCGGAACTTCTCCTCGCTCACTTGGCAACCTCCATGATCTGAGCTTGCGTACAGATCTCAACAAGAACAACCAATAGCCCAGCATCCCCGCAGTCCCCAAAATCACTACGATCAAGAGCAAAACAACTAGCCATGTTATCGAAGCTTTTGGTATCAGACATCCTTGTGTTGGGTCTTTGATAGGTGACGTTGTGATATTCGGTCCACTCTGTGAGGCGCCAGAGATCATAATAATCGCATCTAATGTCGACTCAAGAACAGCAGCAGGATTCGCCACGGGAGGCACGGTCAGAGTGTTCTCATACATCAATCCTTTGAGCTGGTCGCACCAATTCTTGAGTGTGGTAGCAGGATTCGTTCTGCCAAGGACCCATTCGACAGACGAAGCGTTCATGGAACACAAAAAACTCTTCATGTTGATCGGCTCTTTGTTGTTAGCCGTCGTGTCGATTGATGCTCGTACATCCCATGGGTCTGTGCTTTGGAAATCTTGTCTAGGGCTAGACCACGCGACTAGATGACCGTAGGTGTTATCCGGATAGTCGTCTGAGCAAGCCAGCTGTACATCAAACAGGATGTTCTTCGACCCCAGATCTTCGAGAACTGTAGTGATGTTGTCGTGTGCCGGATATTGTTGATCATCCCCCACATCGTGGCAATTCCACTGTCCCAGGATGTCTTCAGGATCAGCTCGGAAAGTAGGGTCGCCATTGACTTTTTCGTATATTCCTCCTAATCCACCATTCGCTTGGCTCGTTACTTGTGCTCGAGTTACCAAGTTGAAGAGGTTACCGACCGTATACGGTACGATATAGTTGCTGAAAGACTCATTGTACATTACTTCGTACAGCCCAGAAGTATTGAACGCACATCTATCGCGAACATCAATCGAAACGACAAGTCCGCTAACTGCAAGATCGGCTGCTGTCCACATCAGACCAGTAAGTATCATAACAACTCCCAACCAGCCAGCCGGTAGCCGCTTCATCTTGTGCATGGCCCACGCGGCATTGGATCCGTGCAGCCATCCGGTGTAGTGCGTCAAATCGAGAGGCTGTTTGAGAAGTATCTGAAGCTCGGTTCTTTCCTTGCAACATTGGTCTCCTATAAGTCCGAATGATAGCAACAGAAGATTGAACAGGATTCGTAGGCCAAGACGTGCATAGGCACTCGAAGTGTTCCAGACCAGTCCTCTCATATTGGCATTTGATCCCGCTTCTAAAAATGCACACCCTAAGAGAGCGAGGAGCCTTGATCTTATCTCGGCTACGGATGCTTTGAAATGTCTCAGTTCGGTCTGCAAGCCATCGGAAATCTCCATTTCAATATATGGACTTTGCCGAGTTTGTTGCCCGCTCTTCCAGTGGCTGATTTGGCTGAAGGATGACTTCGTGGCTCGTCAGCCACACGATAAACATAGTATCTTAATTCTCCCTCTTCTCGGAACATCGCTCTGAGAGCTCTCAAACTTCACAAAGAGTCTCGTTGGCGCATTCCATTTTCTGCGACCTCCAGCTTGAAAACACGCTCTCTTTCTCTGATTTCTCTCGTCAGCCACTTGAGCTAATCTTCATTAAACTACTAATTGTATAGTCCTAGTCTAGATAATGTTGGTACTGAGGCTGGCTTAGCAAAAATGGATCAAGGTAAAGCAAACATTTTGCGCAACATGAAAGATTGTTTCGAAAAGGATCTCACATCCAAGTTCTACAACATAGCGGCTGTTGATGCACGATCTTTTATGGACATCGAGAACAGTCTTTTACCGGCGAAAAGCTATTCACGGTGTAGATGGACAACAATGAATGCATTTTGGCACCTTCCCGTCACCAACACCTGCCTCTTTGAACATGAGCTAAAGCTAGTTCAATCTTATATCAGTGAATTGAGCTAGCTCTCCTTCTTCACTATAATACCAGCTCAGATTCTCCCACAAATGCTTTTCGGCTTCCTCGCTTCACTTCTCCTCCCGTCAACTTTGCCAACCATCACAGCTCCGGACGTCATTCCTCCCGGACTCGGATAAAAAGCACTTTCCCACGCCTTCCCTTTGGCCATCAACAAACGATCCAACCCCTCCGTCCCATTACAAACATACATAAACTTCGTGAACTCCGCCTCAGCCCAATACTTGAACGTCGTATTTCCTGGAACGAACAATACATCTCCATCAATAATCCTGTGTCTCTCTCCTCCCATCTCTACAGCAAGCATACCTTCTTCCATCTGGAACGCCACCGGCTCTTTGAAGTTGAGTTCCAGAGCAGTGACGTTTGCTGGCTTAGGCGACAACGTGACAGTCCCTTGAGTGAACCAGTTATTGGACGCTGCTGGTGTGACCAATGGAGCGACGAGTTGACAGTACCCAGCGTCGTCATTCAACCACTTCCCATTCCAATCTTTAGCGATAAAGTACGGTATACTCGAATTCGGTATTGTATTTGGACCATTATGCCAATTCCCTGACCCACCGATGCCATTCACGAGATCGGTGCGAGCAGTGAAGTTCGGTTGCGGATAGACGTCGAAAGATGCAAGACCGGTAGGGGAAGCGAGTAGTGCAGGGTTGGAATCCAAAGCAAAGAATAAGTTTTCGAAACCGCCGGGTACGAGAACGCCTGTCAAAGTGGTGTCGGGATCCAAAAGTGAGAATGTGTGGATTGTGTTCGGAGGGACGGAACCGATGTCTCCTTGATCCAGAATTCGTGATTGTTGTCCCATGCCATTAGCACTAGAGAGGAATTGGTTCAGTGATTGGGACCAGAGTTGTACACGGACTTTTGAGGAGTAGAAGTTCTCGTGAGTCCTTTTGTGGACGTGTGGGAAGACGCCGGCGCCTCCCGAGCCAGCTCCGTTGGTTATCATGAGACAGAAGGCACCAGAGGAATTCCCGGTCACGGCATAGATGTTCCCTTCTACGGCCGATCCTTGACGAAGGCCATAGCTTTTGGGGAGAATGTAAGGTCGGACATATTGAGGCGTATCGTAGACGATGACGCTGCTGTTTGCGGTCTTTCTGGAGCTGACCAAGCTAATAAAGAGAGTGACGAGAATATAAATGGTGACCATGGCTGTGATAGGGACTTCAGACTACAGCTTGGAACAGAAGAAGCATATGAGATTAGCTTTTATTTGAATGGATGGAAGTTGGCAAGTATATATTTGAACAAGACCGCCGATCCATCTCTGCTCCCTTCCGTGACTTCATTTCAAGAACAAAAGCAACAACAGCCTAATGAAATATGAAGAGGAGTTACAATACACTACTGTAAAGTGTTCACTTGAACTTCTCAACTTCGATATCCCCGCAGTAAGAGCGCGCACAGTGATCGACTTCGGCTTGACCAAACATCTGCTCGAGAACTCACGGTTACGGAGAATCCTTGTTTCTCCAGATTCAGCACTCCACTTCAAAAGTGGAGTGTTAACCTTTGCCTTCAGCCATCCCTCGTTCCTGAAGGTTAAATAACGATGTTCGTTTCATAAACGCAAAACACCGCTCCACCAGTTCCTGTGTCAAAAGCGCTTTAGGGTTCATCTACGCCTCATTTTCCGACCTCAAGATCTTTGTCGGCCCAAAATTACTTTCTTAGCTTCCTCAACATTCTCCCTGTATCCAAATAAACCGATTTCCTTGTCGGGCTGAAGCTTCCATTCTCTGCTGATAGTGATCTTGCAATTGGTCTGAGACTCAAACTCTCTCATCAAGGCGTGGTTCTTGCGTACGAGTGCTCTAACTTCATGGTGATGTAAATGAAGTACTTCGTACACCTTTCCTGGAGGAGCAGGTGGGGCGAGACTGATGAGTTTGAATGCCGGTGCATTGCCTCCAGCCCATTTCAGAAGATGCGCATACTCGGTGGCTTCTTGGAACCGGATCTTTTTCATCATAGACTGTCGAAGCTCGTTATTTCCCACTGAGGCTAGTTCAAAACCCGCGGGGCTTGCGCGGCGGTATTCGGAATAAGGATTCACCTCTCCAGGAATGACGGGCCATATGCTTGATAGCACAACGATGAAGACTTCCTTAAGGCCAAGACCTCCTAGTAGAATGGGTGGAGTCTCGATAGGACCAAGGGAGGTAAGGTAGGATTCGGCGTAGCCATGCAGGACTTTCAATATATCTGCCTGCACGATGCGGCCCGGCGGTCGAGTGAATCGCTTACAGCAAACTTCAATCTGCGGATTCGGCATGAAAGCTACACGAGGAGTGAGACTTTGTGTGATTATTGTGGCTAAGGTTTTCAGGCAAGTCTTCTGTCCGAAGAGCACGATGTCCACATCCGGATTGTAGTACGTGCTTCGACTTTTTGTACGGTCGCATCTATAGCCGAACATTCGAAGTACGAACAGTTTCATGGCTTCGTCTCTTGCCTCGCGGTTGACATGTAGAATAGCAGGAACTTTCTGAGACCGTGGACAAACGCGACAACAGTCGTGGCAGTCACCGACTCTCTCGATTTCTATGAATCGAGATGTCCTAGCAGCGATGAGGAATATCTGAAGCCTGAGCTCAATGGGAAGATGGGGGAAGGGCTTGAAGGTGTCGAATTGATCGAGACTACGCAAGTTAGTAAACAATCTCAGGATACACGATACGAAGAGACCTCCGCCTGAAAGTCTCATCTTCACACGTACCTAGGCCATTTCTCCATGCTCAGACCACTCAACTTGGCTGTCAAGTTATTGTTAGAAGCCATTGAAGAGACTGTCTCACGTCCAGAATCTGTCTTGGGGACCTATACACATGTTAGCCCGCTGTTTTGCAACAGTATCATGAGAGTCAAGAAGAACATGACGCTCCTTTCAACATACAATTCTGAAATTGCCAAAAGTGCCTTGCGCGCAACTTTGGTGTTGCACTTGAGCACCAACAGAAGATTTGGATACCGATCCTTGGGATTCGATGGTAGGGGCATCATGCTTGGACTTCGAATTGGACATCTTGAAGTCGTAATTTGTGATGTGTTTTTCTGAAGAGCAAAAACAGCGTTGAAATGAATATGACAATGATACTACTAGCCAGTTCTATGTTTAGGATTCTTCAAATCTCGCGTATATGTAGCGTCTCCAGACACGCTAAGAGTCACGCGCTTCTTTTGAATTTCCACAAACGTCATGAGCGAACAACCTGCTCTTCAAACAAATTAGTTTCTACTCCGTACCGCGGATCAGTTCGCAATTGGTTGGCTTTACTGCTCTTACCAACTCCCAAGGTCTCCCATCCTGACCGAGCACATGTCCAACTTCCCACCCTCTCTTGCTTCTAGCCACAAAACTTCGCGTCTCTCCGCCCTTCTTCGTACCTGCTGTATCGCAGAGGTACAAGGTAGGCAACTCAACCGGCCTGGGCATTAGCTCGGAGCACGATACCGCGCCTAAGAAATCCACCCACCGAAGCAAGAACGAGTAGTAGCATATTCATAACATCATACATAGCATACTCTCTTTTAAATTTGAGGGAATAATCAATCTTATTTCATATTCCCTTCCTCATGATATCGATTCTGACCTTTAGTGAGCGAGTCGGCTAGATTATCAAATCGACGGATTAGGCTTAGTCCAGGGGCTTACGTTTCATGCATTTGTCCTCGCGACCCTCATCCACATCTACCTTTAGCTCTATAGACTCACAATACGGTTTCAGTTGCACACTCCGTTCAATGACTACCGTACCTTGCCATTTGTTCCACAGTACTATCTCTTGATTTTTGTTCTCTGCGTTTTTGGCTTTTCGAAGTGCCTTGAGATTAGCTGCTGCAGCCCCCATCAGTACCCACGATACTTTCAATCATTTGAGTCTATCTGCAAAATGGCCTACAACACAACCCTTTACAACTGCTCAGTATCAGACGATGCCTTGCGTCCCGTGATAATTAACGCCTGTCGTTCTGGCTTTGACTTCACGCTCATGTTCGAGCAGACTATACTAAGCATATTGCCTTCTGCCTTGCTATTACTTCTCATGCCTTTCCGACTCTTCGTTCTATATGGCGAGAACATCAAAACAATTCGTGACGTCAGGTACGGAGCAAAAGCTGCGGCTGTCGCTGTCTTTGCGGCTGTGCAGATGAGTTTATTGATTTTATGGGCCACGTATGACAACATACGGACTCCTGCGTCTGTACCTGCTGCGGCACTGAGCTTCGTCAACGCTATTGCCCTTGGCCAGCTAAGTTATCTCGAGCACACTCGCTCTTTGCAGCCTAGCACCCTTATTACTACATATCTGTTGTTGTCACTGCTCTTCGACGCTGCACAGGCTCGAACGTTGTACCTGAGAACCGACTCAAACGTGTTGGCAGCAGTCCTCACGGCCACTATTGCGCTCAAGCTTACGGTGCTCGTTCTTGAAGCCCAAAATAAGCGCTCCTCTCTCAGACAACCATATCGCAGCTATGCTCGCGAGGCTCTCAGTGGCATTTTCAATCGTAGCATCTTCTGGTGGCTGAAGCCGCTCTTCGTTGGCGGATTCAGTAAGGTTCTCACCCTGGATGATTTGGGCTCCATCGATGAATCGCTTTCTTCGGAGCCATTGCGTGATCGCATCCAAACAATATGGGATAAACGAAAGCAGCCAGAAGGCGAACACTCTCTGACAATTGCCTGCATCAAGACCTTGAAATGGCCCATTCTCAGTACAGTCTTTCCACGGCTCTGCCTTATCGCCTTCAATTATAGCCAGACATTTCTCATCAGTCGTCTAATCAGCTTCGTTGGCGATCCCAGCACCGCGCAGAACAAAAATGACGGATACGGTCTCATCGCTGCTGGTGCGCTTATCTACACTGGCATCGCTCTCTCGACTGTCCATTTCAAGCACCGGCTCTACAGAACAATCACCATGTTTCGCGGCGCAGCCGTGGGTCTCATATACAACAAAACGATGAAGCTGCAGGACGGTGTATACAACGAGTCTGCAGCTGTCACGCTTATGAGCACCGATATCGATCGTGTAGCTTCCAGCATGGTCTCTGTGCACGAGATATGGGCCCAGCTGATTGAAGTTATAATTGGAATTTGGTTACTTGCCCGTCAAGTAGGCTGGGTCTCCGTCATTCCTGTGGTTCTCATCATCCTCTGCAGTATCGGTACCCAACGGGTGTCTCGCAATTTCGGCAGTGCACAGAGAATCTGGACTGCTGCGACGCAGAAACGCATCGCCATGACTTCTTCAATACTTGGATCTATGAAAAGTGCGAAGATCATGGGGCTTGCCGGAGCCATGACAGAAAGTATCCAAGGACAACGTGAGACCGAGGTTGGCCTTTCTCGAAGATACCGTTGGATCGCCGTCTTAATCTATACCATTGGATCTATACCCACCAACTGTGGCCCTGTGTTAACATTCATTGCGTTTGCCATACAAGCTCGAGTACGTCACCAAGATACCCTGTCGACGAATCAAGCCTTTACATCATTAGCGATCTTATCACTTGTGACAGCGCCGGTGGAAGCTCTGCTAATTGCGGCGCCTTTGGTTGCTGCGGGCAATGGGTGCATGCAGCGGATTCAGATATTTCTTCGTGCCGCCAGCTGGGACGATACTCGATTACTTTTTCAAGAGACTCCTTCGATGTCCTCCCAGACTCCTATGGACAACATCGAGATGGAAAATATAGGAGGCAAAGAGTCTAACTCTGTAGCTCTCTCCATCAAAAACCTCACATTGCGATACAGCCCTACTCTAGAGCCCGCACTAAAAGACATCAACACGGAACTGAAACGCGGTTCTCTTACCATGCTGGTAGGCCCCATTGGATCCGGAAAGTCTTCGTTCATGAAAGCCATCTTGGGAGAGCTTCCATACCAGAGCGGGACTATTAGTGTGAGTTCTAAAAACGTTGCCTATTGTGCTCAAACATCCTGGATGCTCAACATAAGCATTCGCCAAATCATTTGCGGTCTCATCGAAAACACCCCAATTGACGAAAACTGGTATCGTGCCGTACTTCATGCTTGTGCTCTCAACGAAGATCTGCAGCATTTCCCGGAGGGCGATGAGAGCGTTATCGGAAGCCGGGGTCTGGTACTCAGCGGAGGACAGAAGCAGCGTGTAGCGCTGGCGCGAGCAGTCTATGCGAAGCGGGCAATCGTACTGCTCGACGATGTACTTAGCGCGCTCGATGGAGTTACAGAAGACCGTGTTGTTACCCGACTGCTTGGTTCTGAAGGACTTCTCCGACAGAGCACCGTCCTCTTGTTTACACATGCCACTCGCCATTTACATCTGGCTGACAAAATCATTGTTCTCGACAAGATCGGACAAATCGCACAAGAAGGGACATACGAAGAGCTAAAAGCAACATCCGGGTATATCAAGGATTTGTTAATCCACCCGCCTCGTTATGCCGAGGCTATCGTAGAGCAAGAAATCGTGGCGAAAACAGCTGCCCCGAAACCTCCTTTGGCTGCAAATCTCAATAGCGTTCGAAAAACTGGCGATATTAGTGTCTACCTCTACTACCTTCAACATGTCGGCTGGCCAGCCGGATTGGTTTTCCTCCTGGGAGCGGCTGGATTGGCTTTTACAAGAACCTTTCCGCAAGTCTGGCTTAAATTTTGGACTGAAGCAAACGGCGCAGACATTTCTAAATATATCAGCGTATATGTTGTACTGGCAGTGGGAAGCACCGCTTTCTTGACATTAACGTACGCATGGATACTCGTATTGGTCATCCCAAGAGCAGGCTTGCGATTACACAAGGTTATGTTGAAGGTTATAATGGCAGCTCCCATATCTTTTTTCGCACGGACGGACACTGGTGTGACCATTAACCGATTTAGCCAGGATTTGGCTCTGATAGATCGGCAATTGCCCACTATGATGGCACTGGTCTTCATGTCATCATTCTTCTGTATTGCACAGGCAGCCTTGATTGCAACAGGCTCATCATATATGGGTATCACAATACCATTTGTGCTTGCGGTTGTTTACGTCGTCCAGAAAGTTTATCTTCGGACCTCACGTCAGCTACGACATATGGACCTCGAAGAAAGAAGTCCTCTCTATACACACTTCTTGGAAACATTGGATGGTCTGTCAACAATCAGGTCTTTCGGATGGCAGGAAGAGTCTCGATCTACCAATATTCAACGTCTAGATAGGTCTCAAAGGCCTTACTACCTTCTTTACTGTATTCAGAGATGGCTGAATCTTGTTCTCGATCTTATTGTCGCACTTATGGCCATTGTTGTCATTGCTCTCGCTACGCAGTTGCGTAGTACCACAAGCGCTGGAGCTATAGGTATCGCACTCAACAGTATTCTAGGTTTCAACACTTCCTTATCAAATCTCATCGACGTTTGGACACAAATGGAGACCTCGCTCGGGGCAATTGTCCGTATCAAAGACTTTGAGAAAAACACACCATCTGAGAACCTGCCTGGCGAAGACGGTGTACCGCCTCAAGAATGGCCATCAAGCGGTGCCGTGGAGCTGCGTAATGTGACTGCGCAGTACGGACCAGGCATGCTTGCCTTGCAGGACGTAAGCTTCAAGATCTCACCAGGCCAGAAGGTTGGCATTTGTGGCCGCACAGGCAGTGGCAAGAGCAGTCTCATTCTCACATTGCTACGCCTCTTGGATCTGAAGGACGGCAGCATCTTCGTTGATGGAATCGATCTCTCCACATTACCTCGCGAGCTGATCAGATCTCGCATAACCGCCATCCCTCAGGACTCATTCATACTCACTGGTACTGTACGACACAATGTCGATCCTTTCGGTGGCATTCCCGATGAACAGATCATTGAAGCGCTCCAGAAGTTGACTCTCTGGCCTATTCTTCTCGAACGTGGCGGACTTAATGCCGATATGCAGTCTCAGCCTCTAAGTCAGGGACAGCAACAACTTTTCACACTGGCACGTGCACTGCTACATCGCTCTTCTATTCTCCTGCTTGACGAAGCGACGAGTAATGTCGATGGAAATACAGATGCTCTCATGCAGAGAATCATCCGAGAGGAATTTGCCACTTGCACGATCATCACTGTGGCGCACCGCATGAACAGTATTACGGATGCAGATATTGTGGTGGTTCTGGAGAATGGAAGGGTTGCGGAAGTTGGAAACCCTCGGGAATTGCTCAAAAAGAGAAGCAAGTTTGCAGAATTGGATGGGAGATAAGAAATGTGATTTTGGCATTTCCAACAAATATACTCCGAGGTACGAATTGCCACCAGAGTCATATCGTCAGAAATATGCGGAGGTTGTTTTGGCAAGAGGAAGTTGGAAGCAAGGGAGAGGATGTGTATCAATTAATTTGACATTTTGGATAAAAGCAGCCTGCAATTAGAATCCTAGCTTGTGATGCAAGTAGCACATGTAATGGAAAAGAGTTGCTATGGTGTTGGTTGCACATTGAGTTAACCCCACGTCCCAGTACCATGGTTGTCTACGCTTTCCCCGCAGCGAATTTCTTCGTTACAACAAGTCATTGGAGACATTGCCAACATTTCCAAGTTCAGTCGTGAGACTACACGCGTGCCTAGGATTGCTGCTTTTCTTTTGTAGCCTGACTTTTTGCTGTATGTTGGCGGCGGCGTAGTTAGAACTCACAAGAAATGGAGATAATGTCTTGATAGAGAACAACTATTTAAGTCTGCCGGCATATGTTGGCTAACGGATATGTGTTCCGATAGATTAATCCGTGTGTTGAGAAGACGTCAAGTAGATGCGGCACCTGCTTACTCTCATGTGAGATACCTAATGAATGCTTTCCCACATGAGTTGGAAAACATGCAAATGGGAGCGCTTGCACTGACTTCGTCGAATACTCTTCCCAGAAAAATAAGTTTTCAAATTTTCATCCACATTCACGATCTCGCAGGCAAGAGAAAAGAAAACAGCCACTTAAGGAGCAACAACTGGTTTCCAAATCAAAATGCTCTCCCTCATCGCACTTTTTATGGTTATCATATCGACATTTCTCTTGTTCCTCAGATACTTGTTCTCGGGTGACTCCTCGTCACTGTTATCTGCTATACCAACATCCCATTTTCTGGCACCGTACACAAGATACTGGTTAGTCTGGCTCAAAGGAACAGGATGTGAGCATCGTGTCCGACATGCAGCCCATGCACGCCTTGGGCCCATTGTCCGTATCGGGCCCAATGAAATCAGTGTCACCTGTATTGAAAATGGCGTTCAAACCATCTACGGCGGGAGTTTTGAAAAAGCCGCTTGGTATCTCAATTTCCAAAATTATGGGTCAGTAATTGAGCTGCACTTGAATTATCTGACGTGCGTTCTGAGTAAAATCACAGCCAGCCTTCTATGTTTGCAATGGGCCACAATAAACCTCATTCTGAAAGGAAGTGTATGCTTACTCACGTCTGTTCCAAGTCCTATATCCAGAATTCGCCAGAGTTGAATGAGATTATTCATCATGTGCTTTCGGAAAGGCTACTTCCCAAAATGCGCACTTGGGCAAAGAATGGTGTCCCGATCAACGTACATGAGGAGAACAAAGCTTGTATCATGGATCTCACCACTGCATACTTCTTTGGACTTGGAAATGGGACCAATTTTGTCCAGGACCCTGCGCAGACGGCCTTGCTCAAAAACTTTGAGCTGGGAATGAGTGGACTCTTCTGGATTGCTGAAGTACCTGGGATAACAAAGTTGGCTGGCATTTTTGGAATAAAACTCATCGCTGATGGTGTATTCCAATCATATCAGCTGATGGAAGACCTATGTACGAACATGTGTAAGAGTGCTAAATCTAATCTTTCTAATGAGAGCACGAATAAGGCCCACCCAACAGTTTATGCCCAACTTCGGTCAAAGCTTGAGGAGGCGAAGATTCCGTCCGAACTATTGGATGTGACTATTGTAGCGGAGATGCTGGATCATATTCAGGCTGGACATGAAGGCACGGGCATTACTCTCACCTTTTTAATGTGTGAGCTTTCTCGCAACCCCACCTTGATGGTACAGCTCCGTGAGGAGCTTGCGACCCTCGGAACAAGTCCCTCGGCACAATCGATTGACAATCTTCCACTACTTGATGCTTTGCTTATGGAGACCATGCGATTGTATCCTGGAAGCTTTGGCCCGTTCCCTCGTTATGTTCCAGGGAGCAGTTCTCGCCAACTTTCATATTCCGCCTGGAACGACAGTCAGTGCTTCGGTCTATTCTTTGCATAGAAATCCCAAGGTGTTCCCCGACCCTGAAGAATGGCGTCCCGAAAGGTGGATTGAAGCTTCAGGAGAGAAAAAGAAAGAGATGATGAAGTGATTTTGGGTGTTTGGAAGTGGTGGCCGAATGTGTATTGGCAATCATTTAGCTATTTGTAGTGAGTCTTCCCTCTGACAAACGTCTACTTGCCATACTGATATTGCGAAGTGATGAAAGCTTTTGTTGTGGCTGTGTACAGAGAGTTTGAGACTTTGATGCTTCCCGGAACTAGAATCGAGCAGGTTGACGGATTGATGGGTGCCCCTGTAGGCTATAGAGTGATGTTGGGATTTCGAGAAACCCCTTCGCATGGGTTGTGAACAGAAGTGCATAACAAATATTGTTATCCTCTTAATTTCGATATACACTTTCTACCGTACTCAGAAATTTCTCGAATACCTATTTCGTCTATCAATGCAAGTGATGTAAAGTCATGGAAACGCCTCACACGTTAAGCTTGATGTTTTAATTCATTTAATACTTTTCACTTGCTTCACCTTCTATCTTTGACGTACCTAGTGGCGTGACTAATGCAACTTTTCATCGCCTAGGAGCCTTAAGCGCGCATAAAGACGCATAAAAGAACTTCTCACCACTCCTCAGGTCTAGAGAGATACACGTTCACTAGGTGCATCGTCCTATGGGCCCGCGACACTCGACTTCGATGGCTGCTCATATTTACACGTCATGGGGGCTTGCATCAGAGCTGTTAGTAGACAACATTTGTCATTCGTCTTAGAAACACTGTTAACAAATTGTTGTCGAAATACAGCGCTTAAGTTGACAGTAATGTTCTGCAAACACAAGACGAGTTTTTTTTGGACATATCCATGCTCGCTTAAGAAAAAATAATGCTCTACGCAAGGTTGGACTTCAGGCACGCGGAAGACGAGAGAACCAGAGCCTCTTGCTTGTCTGCCTAGCAGGACGGTCTGCAAGAGGGCTGCTGGAGAGCGTCCAATACATGGTCCAACGAGCAAGCACCTTGGGCCCACGTTTCAGGAGTCATACGTTACGTTATCAGATGAAATTTGAGGCGGGAGGGACAAACTTGAGAATGTGTGGAACTTTTCAAGACTTTGCTGCGATAACACCTGAAGAAAAGCTTTCTCCTAGATAACATGGGTGTTGTTCCTTGTTGTGCAACTTTTAGACATGCTGCACTCAATTCGAATTTGAATCAGTCCAGAAAATTAATGAGCGATATAGATATGAGAGCTGAATAGACATTGGGAATAGGATCTCTAGCAACTTTCCTTTCAAATACTGAAAGTTCCCAAAAGCCAGGGCAAAAAGTGGCTTACATCAGACAAATGAGAACTTGAAATCTCGTTAAATGTCAAATTGAAATATGCAACAATAGACAAAACACGTTTGTTGGTACTACTCAGGAAATCGAGGCGTTGCCCGAAAGAAATGCAAACAAACAATATGGAGAAGCAACCAATTCAGTACTACACAAACAGACCAAGTCAGACCTTGCCGCTTCACTACTCGACATATATGTACACTTTATCAATTCTCGAACTTCTGATCTACAAATCTTTGCGGAAAACTTCTGGTCCCCAGGGCTCGCTCGTCAAGTTCGTCAATCCAGCAATGTTTTCGCAAGTCTTTCTCCCACTCATCGGGCCAGGCGAAGGAACCTTGACACCATCCTTCTCGTATATTCTTCCGGAATCCTTTCCAACCTCTGCTCCACTCTTTACGTTCTTGTCGTCACCAGTCAGTGCACCCTTGCCACCCTCGACTTCCGAGCTAGATGCTGTGGTCTCGACAACGTTCGCGCTCTCTTGTAGTGCCTTCAGAAGTGCAACGGTGCTCTCGGGAGTCAAGTCTTCGTAGTAGTCGTCGTTGATCTGGACCATTGGTGCGTTGACGCAGGCGCCGAGACATTCGACCTCTACGAAAGTGAAGAGGCCATCTTTGGTCGTCTCTCCAGCCTTGATTCCGAGATGCTCTGAAATAGCCTTCACAATCGAATCGCTTCCACATCCGCCAAGTTGGCAAGGAGTCTGCAACCGCAAGTTAGATTCTTGCCCGGGTGTCCACGTTTCAAAGTTGTCTGCTTACCGTTGTGCATGCTTGCAAATGCCACTTCCCGACCGGTGATCGATTATACATAGTATAGAACGTAGCAACCTCATAGACTCGCATTGGCGGCATATCCAATAATCTCGCAACCTCATTCATCACACTCAAGCTCGTGAATCCGTGTTGTCGTTGCCCAAGATCCAGCAGAGGCATCACGGCGGCTTTCTTGTATTGAGGGGGATATCGTTTCAAGATCTCCTCGACGAGCTTGTTGTTCTGCTCAGTGAAATTGAAAGGGATGCTGGCATTGTTCTCGGGACTATCCCGATGCTAGAATCGGATTGTTAGTATCTGCAAGCTTCGTAATTGAGCTCCGCACGACAGAAGAAACTTACAACAGCAAGGGCATCGCTCGTAAGCCTCGAGCTGGCCATAAATGACCGGCATTGTGTCCGTGAAGCTATGCGGGCAGGTGGGAAGGCAGACCGGAACACGAATGGAGTAATTTTGGATGCCATTGTCGCGGTGATGAGGCGCAATGGCTGTATTGAGGTTGTGAGAATTGTCGTGATGCGTTCAAGTCACCCGTGGTTGGATTAGAAATGGGTGCTTCTAATTGGCCAAGCGACCCACTTATTCTTTCCAATCTGGAGCTTACTTCAATCCCTCTTCTGAGCTCCGAGATGTAAGAACATTGATCCGAATGTGCTCCAGATATTAGTTTTACGATTTCAAAGTTGATTTCTTATTCATTGTAACCTTTTAACAAAGTTCTTTTAATCAATTGCGGTTCCGTGGGAGGTAAGCGCCGCTGGCCTTGACGAGTGTTCAGTGTTCACGATTTTATATCCTAGCATAAGGAGGGTTGGCAGAATGTGCTTGTCATGATTGAGTCTCTATTTCAAAGCGCTACTTTGCTCCTCACTGCCATCAATGGTACCCATGTTGGAATGGATCCATCGCAAAAAAGACTCGTTCCATTGCAGGTTACACATTTCCCTGGGTCGTCCGCTGTTAGATCTCAGACATGATCACCGGAAATATCTTGAACAGAGCGCATGGGCAATTGTACTCTATAGTCTCTCCATACTATGGTTGCAAAATGTTGATATTGAAAGTCTGGTATCAGTTGAGAAAGTAGAAATTGCCTACATATGTTCCGAGTTCGGTCATGTTGACTTAGTTATCGATCTTGTTAGCTCACTTGCAATGTGCTTTCTTTCTGAATTGATTTATACTGAAAGTCGAAGTTTAGAATACAATGCTGCCAATGGTTCTGGATGAGTCACGAACTTGATCTTGATAGCCTACACGCCCCCCTCATGGCACCGTCAACTGCATGGCCAGTCGAGCTATTACCACACCCCCTAACCGTGACTACTAGGCTTATTGGCTTATCTCGGAGTGTGTTGTATATTATTGGACACAAAATTGCAGCAGCGTTGGCCAGCGGCCTTGGGAAGATTATCCCCGGGCGGTGAAACCTTATAGCTAAGTTATGGAAAAGTTTAAGATATCCTGGTTGTGCTTGTTGGTATCGCTGCTTCTCAGGGCCTGAGCGTCCGCTATGGGTTGGGCTCGCAAGATGTGGATTAGTACCAAATCAGATCACTGGCTCCGAAGTGATTGGACCAGCTTCTGTATAATTTCCTGGAAATTCAGATGTGGTAGCTCGCTCCTCTGTCATCCCAGACCCAGAGAACAGAAATAACGAACGAATACTCGTGCTTTCAAATGTCAGGAAGATAAATTTCTTGTACGGCAAACTTACCCGAGAAAATCTGCGACAGGAGATATGTTCTAGATCTGAGGCCATGAGGAGAACCTTGGTGATCAGCCACAGATCTGCACAGCCACATGTTCAGCCACATATCAAAAACTTGCAAATCTTGAACGACATACCAACATTTCCACTCCGGAACACTTTCTCCGCTATGCTTTTGGCCCTTCTAATCCCCCAGAGAGAAACTTGGTAGTACACGTCGCTTCCATGATTCAACCAAAAAGATCTACTACCCGGTTTCCGATCTCGGAATCATCGGCACTGGGAATTTTCTCGTCAGGTGGTACCCGAAACTCCATCCGATTGTTGGAAGACCATATCGTGGCAGCCAATCACTCACCTTCCTTTCATATACACATGATGGTCCACGTTTTTCATCAGATCACTACTTTTATGAGCTGTCCTTCCTGCAGCCTGCCTTCCGGCTCATCTATGATACGCCAGCGCGGTGTTTCAGGATCAGCAAACAGCCACAGTTGAGCCACAGAATCAGGGAACAGAGCTCTTATTCCTGGAACTTATGACTACAGTGACTGGCATGGCATGTCAATTTCCCCAGATTATCATGAGTTGGCGAGGGGTCTCGAATCACGATGTTTTTGGAAAGCCTTGGAATTGGACGGTCACGGCAGCCTGCATCACATACACATACGTAGCATCTGCTGTCACAATTCACTCATTTTGTTTACCGCTCTGTTCTTTGTTGTTGTGACGTAAGTTTGCTTGCTCATTCGTGATTTAGGAAGAAGTATATATTGACTCCTCTTCTCTTTTTCTTTTCTATTTCTCTTCCTAGCCCTCAACTACAAAAGCTTGCTAGAAGTACACACAACCACCAGAAACTCAACCAACCACAACCATGATCCTCGAAGACCTCCTTTCCCTTCTCTTGCGCATCGGCGAGGTAAGCCCTTTCCCTCTCCCCTTCCTAACACACAGCTAACAATTCCTTAGTTGGCCTTCACAGCCGTCGTAGCAGGTCTCACGGGCGAATACCTGCACAACACCCGCAGCGCTTCAGCATGGAGCCGAAAGCGCTTCATCTACACCGAAGTCATCGCCGCCATCGGCATCCTCTTCTCGCTCCTCTTCCTGCTCCCATTCATGGCTAGCTTCGTGCACTGGCCCATGGACTTCCTGCTCTTCGCTGGTCTCATGATCGCTTTTGGCCTTCTTGCTCACGTACGACTCCTCCTCCAAGCTTCAATGACACAGCTGATGTAAATATGAACAGTATATCTCCCCATCCTGCGGCAGCATCTGGAACTGGCACGGCATCGCAAACGGCGGCTCATGCGACAAGTTCAAGGCCGACCTTGCGTTCTTGTTCATGGGTTCTATCTTCTTCCTTGCTTCGGCGCTGCTCGGTCTTTATGTTATGCATAAGTATCGTGCGCGTGCGGATGCGGGTGCTAGACGTGGGTGGTATCGTAGAAGGGCTAGGGTTTAGAGGTCGTTTGTGAGGAAGCGATACGAGGGGAGCGGGTTGGAGGTGGTGTAATACCGAGGATGAGTGAGAGGGCGGATTCACTTTACTTGGACAATAGGCAGTAATGAAGGATAGGATTAGGTTCTAGGATGGTGATGAAGGACGGATGATACCAGATTGCCAGCGAGCGATGCGTTTCTGTTTCTTGGAAATACCCCTAGCGAGTCATAATGCGATTCCTCTTCAAACCCACTTCTATCACTGCTTGGTGAAATTACGGATCTTTGAACTCATAGTCTAGAATTTTCTCTAAGAAATGTTCATCTACTTAGTGTTACATATCTTCACAACTCATCCTTGTTGGAATGATTGACTGGTCCTTCAGGTCGTCCACTATCCTTGTGCAGATCGACTCCAGTCTTCTTCCTCCACTTCTCCCACATGGCCCAAAAATCTTTCTCCATGCCCTTCTCCATCTGGTCTGGGAGCACAACTGTGTATTCCACTAACAGGTCACCGAATTCTGTTGTATGATAGACGCTGTCGCCATCTTCGTGCCATTTTGGCATGCCTTCTCCTTTTACTCGCTCCACTTGCCCGGGTTGGATGACTTCTCCGCGATTTCGGCTTAAAGAGACAATGTGGCCATCGAGATGAGTGAGGTTTCGTGTCCAGGAACCCAACCAGGCCTCTCTGAGTGATAGCACCTCCTTCCAGTACAAATCGTCTCCCTTTCTTCGGAAGAAAGTTCCATCAACTCTCAGCTCATTATCGTCATTGAGGTTAGCTTCCTTCTCCACAAGAGTAACGTGAAGGTCCCCAGCAACGTAATCCGGGCTCTCGTCCGCATCGTTCTCGTACACGATCCTCTTTCCCTTGGGTGCACCCCTCTCAACATTGAGTTGGAACGTGCTGACTTTTCGAATAACTCGATTGCCCTGGCACACAGGGCACTTATTCTTGATCGTCTTTCCTCGTCCTCCGCAATGATCGCAGGCAGCTTGTACTTGTTGGAAGATACCTGGCGCGAGCATATGCTTCTTGATCTGAACTCCATGACCGTTACATGCGTGACATGTCTCGGTGTGCCCGTCTGCGCTTCCAGATCCCTCACACTCCTCGCAGATGTGCTGTTTCTCTAATTGAAACTCGGTCGTATGGCCATTATAGAAATTAGCCAAAGGCACACCAACTCTAACTTCCATATCTGGGCCTCGTCGTTGTCCTGGTTGGTGTCCAAAGTGTCCACCGCCGCCGAAGAAGCGGGAGAAAAGGTCGAAGGGGTCGTGGTGCTGTTGCCCACCTCCCTGCTGGCGTTGTTTCAACCCTTCATGACCGTACTGATCGTATATCTTGCGAGACTCGGGGTCCGAAAGAGCTTCGTATGCTTCTGCCACTTCTACAAATTTCTGCTTCGCTTTGTCATCCCCACTGCTTGCCGTGTTAGTACATATGGTGCTTCAATCCATAGCTGGCGGGGTCGTACGGGTTCTTATCGGGGTGGTATTTCTTGCTTAGAGTTCGATATGCGCGCTTGATGTCCTTCTCTGATGCATGCTTGTCTATACCAAGAAGCTAGGAGATGTTAGCAATGCAATTAAAGGGTAGTGAAGCTAGAAACAAAGAAATTAAAAATGAAATACCTTATAGAAATCCTCGGCGCAAATGGCAAGCTGTAGGAGACACAGGAGCACGAGGGCAAAGGAGGGGAGCCACATCTCTGCGGCTGCGGTGCGCCCGCCTTTTAATAATGAATGCAGAACCCAATGCTTCTCGACTTCGCAATTGATCAAACAAAGATACGCATGAGAATGAATAAATGAGAGACTAAGAAGAATTAAGTTGGGAGAAGGACGAGGTGGAATGGGCCAGATTTATTTGTGAGGGCGGAACAAGATACTGCCAGCTGGTCTCTTTCCTATCGGGAAAATTGGAGGCGAGCAGGGGTTCAGATGGCATTTTTACGGAGACCCGTTCGTTCCTTTGCCGACGCAAGGCTAGTCGAGCTTCAACCTAGAAAGGCAATGTCCCTGAACTTTTGATATTGTTTTTGTTTTCAACGTCACAGCCTTCTTTCCGCCAAGTTTGTTCCTCCCATCAATAGGACTCAGAGAGGTCTGCTAATCTTATTAATAGTCTTTTCAAGCCCTTCTTTCACTTCCTCTGTCCCACCATGGGTGCCGCAAAGAAGTATGCGCTTCTGCCTATGGAAGATGAAGAAGTCGGACCTGCAAAAGTGGTAGAAAAGAAGAAAGAGAAGAAGCGGCACGGCGAGAAGTCCTCCTCTAGAAGAGACAAGCATAGAGAGAGGAGTCGCGAAAGGAGTCGAGAACGTTCGCCCCGCCGCGAATCCGAACACCGTTCCAAGACGATTCGAAAACGAGAACACAACGAAGAAAACTTTGAAGATCGATGGGGTGATGAAGAATACATCTCAGAGGAAGAGCCAGAATTCCAAGAATCCGCGTCAAAGAGACAGAAAACGGATCATGACGAGGATGATGGATTGGATGAGGAGGAACGAGAGAGGAGGAGAGATCAAGCGGAGAAGGATGCTTTCGCGAAGAGATTAGCTGCAAAAGATTCGGACAGAACCAGGAAACTGGTAGAAGATAAGTCGTCGACCAAGGAGGGCAATGTCCTGGCCCAACGGAGAGCTCTAGCAGAAGATGCTGCTGCGAGAAGTGCTGCTTTACCGGATCTCAGAGAACGATCGCGACAGGATTACCTAAAGAAGCGCGAGACAGAACGTTTAGCACTTCTACGGAAACAAGTTGCAGAAGAGACCGAAGAATTGAGAAGTGGCGTGAGACTTTCCGAAAAGGAAAAGGCCGAGTTTGCAAAGAATAGAGAGGTCTTGCGGATTGCTGAAGAGCGACTGCGAATCGATGATCATCTCGATGGCTATGCTATGCCGGAGGACTACATCACGGAGAAGGGAAAGATTGACAGGAAGAAAAAGGAGGATGCTATGTACAAGCGTTATGTCGACAGGGACGAATACGGCCAAGAGAAGTTTGTCACAGAGCATGAGGAATGGGAAAGAGAACAAGCTTCCAAAGCCAAAGCTCAAATTCAGAGCAATGAGAGAGTCGAAGATGGCGAGTACGACTACGTATTGGATGAAGCGCAGGGTATCAAATGGATCATGGATTCTCGATTACCAGGAGAAGGCAAAGGTCTCAGTAAGGAGGAGCGATTTCTAGCCGAACAACTCAAAGCTGCTGAGAAAAGGGCATTGTCTATGGATGAAACTCGAAAGAGTCTGCCCATCTATGCTTACCGGGATCAATTTCTTGAAGCTCTGGAGAAGTATCAAATTTTGGTTATCGTGGGAGAAACTGGAAGTGGAAAGACCACTCAGCTACCTCAATATCTCCATGAAGCTGGTTATACTAAAGGCGGCTTGAAAGTTGGGTGCACGCAGCCCCGCCGAGTGGCTGCTATGAGTGTCGCAGCTCGTGTTGCCGATGAGATGGGGGTAAAGGTTGGAAACGAAGTTGGCTATTCTATCCGTTTCGAGGACTCTACCAGTGACAAAACTGTCTTGAAGTACATGACAGATGGTATGTTGCTACGAGAATTCATGACAGAACCTGATTTGGGTGGCTACTCTGCTATAATGATCGACGAAGCTCATGAGAGGACCGTTCACACTGATATCCTACTAGCACTCGTCAAGGATCTGGCGAGAGAACGACCTGAGATGAAATTGCTCATTTCTTCAGCTACCATGAACGCTGCGAAGTTCGCAAATTACTTCGATGATGCGCCCATTTTCAACATTCCTGGAAGAAGATATCCCGTCGACATCCATTATACCCCTCAGCCTGAAGCGAACTACCTCGCTGCCGCTATCACCACTGTCTTCCAGATCCATACCACTCAAGGCAAAGGAGACATCCTCGTTTTCCTGACTGGTCAAGAAGAGATTGAAGCAGCGGAACAGAATATCACGGAAATTTCCCGAAAACTTGGCAGTAGGGTACCAGAACTGGTCATCTGTCCCATTTACGCCAATTTACCGTCAGAGTTGCAGAGCAAGATTTTCGAGCCTACCCCTGATGGTGCACGCAAAGTAGTATTGGCGACGAATATTGCTGAGACGAGTTTGACCATTGACGGTATCGTGTATGTCATCGATCCAGGATTCGTTAAGGAGAACGTGTATAATCCAGCAACGGGTATGTCGAAGCTCGTTGCGGTACCGTGTTCACGTGCATCTGCCAATCAAAGGAGTGGTCGTGCTGGTCGTGTTGGACCAGGAAAGTGTTTCAGACTCTACACAAAGTGGGCATTCATGAACGAGATGGAAGAGAGTACCACTCCAGAAATCCAGAGGACCAATCTTAATGATATTGTCTTGTTGCTCAAGTCCCTGGGCATCAACGACTTGCTGGAGTTCGAATTTATGGATCCTCCCCCAACGGAAACGCTGATCGGTGCATTGAATCAACTGTTCGCACTGCAAGCTTTGAATCATCAGGGAGAGTTGACCAAGATTGGACGCCAGATGGCTGAGTTCCCCATGGATCCTATGCTCGCAAAAGCGGTCTTGGCAGCAGACAAACTCGGATGCGTGGAGGAAGTGCTATCGATCGTTTCAATGTTGAGCGAGTCGTCAGCGTTGTTCTTCCGACCCAAGGATAAGAAAATCCATGCCGATAGTGCACGAGCGCGCTTCACTATCAAAGAAGGTGGCGACCACCTCACTTATCTGAATATCTGGAATCAGTGGGTGGACAGTGACTTCAGCTTCGTGTGGGCAAAGGAAAACTTCTTGCAACAACGATCTTTGACCCGAGCCAGAGATGTGCGGGACCAACTTGCAAAACTTTGCGAGCGAGTCGAGGTCACGCTGTCAAGCTGTGGTGCAAATGATCTTGTCCCCATCCAAAAAGCGTTGACTGCTGGATTCTTCCCGAATGCGGCTCGACTGCAAAGGGGCGGCGATAGCTACCGCACTATCAAGAACAACACCACCGTGTGGGTGCACCCATCCTCGGTCCTGATGGGTGAAGATACTCCTGTCAAGACCTTGATATATCACGAACTTGTACAGACGACGAAAGAGTACATGCGAAGTTGCATGCCTATCAAACCTGAATGGTTGCATGAAGCTGCACCGCACTTCCATAAGAAAAAGGATCTGGAGGCGTTAGAAGAGAAGAAGATGCCGAAGGATCGAAGTAGGATATGAAGTGTATATAATGTGGGGCTGGGTATACCCAAATGAAAAGCATGACACGAGCGTGTATCTGACTGCATGTTGCAGTGATCCCTTGGAACATCAATATTTGCTTCGTTTGTTCGCCCTCCTCAAACGTACTATGTGATATTGGTGTGACGTGGAACCCCGTAAACTGCACCCAGGTGACACCGAGAAAAAAAACTATGAGCAAATTATCAAGCACTTCCTCGACAGTATGCGGGGCTGATATCAGATTATCCTATCTGGTCACTGGCGGCTTGATACACATCCGACTCACATATAAAAATCTCATCCCACCCCAAAACCTCGTCTTCTTCCCATTTTCTCGCTTCCCACCTTTCTCCCACAACCAACAACATACAACATGGCCTCCAAACTCCTCGAGATACTGATGCACATCATCCAACCTCTGTATTTCCTACTCGTCTCCGCATCCTATATCCCAACCACCATCTTCCATCTCCTCATCGCTGGCGACTTCAACACCCTGTTCTCGCTATCCCTCTTCAAAGATGCCTGGTTCGCCAACTTCTGGGGCCGCGTCGGGCCCGAGGCTCGAGAGATGTGTGCTCCTCGAGCAGGACCTCTGATTGAGTCAGCACACGGCATCGTGCTCGACATTGGTCCCGGGAGCGGAGAGTGGTTGAAGTTATTCGACAAGAGCAAGGTGACGCGGATTCTTGGCGTAGAACCAAACCGAGATCATCACGCTGCGTTGAAGAAGAGGATCCAGGAAGCGGGTCTGGAAGGGATCTACGAGATTGTTCCTGTCGGGGTGGAGGATTTGGGGAGTAAGTGGGTTGGGGAAGGGGAGGTTGATACTGTTGTCACGATTCAGTGTCTTTGTAGCGTTGATGAGCCGAGGAAGATGATTGATGAGTTGTATGGGTATCTGAAGGAAGGGGGTATTTGGGTGCTTTATGAGCATGTGGTGGCTTTTGAGCATCAGGGGATGATGATTAAGGGGTATCAATGTGAGTGTTCCTATGAGCATAGATGAGAATGTGTGCTGATGCGAGAGTAGCGGCCATCGATATCGTGTGGCCGCATTTTATAGGCGGTTGCTCGATCACGCGGGATACAGGGAAGTGGATGAGGGAAGCGGGAAACTGGTCGAAGGTTGATTTGTATCAGCCAGATGATGAGCCAAGTTATAATGTTCTTCCACATGTAATGGGGACTCTCACGAAATGAGCGCGCGATTTCGAGGTGGGGAAAGGCTTTGCGCTTTTTGGCTCTCAACGACTGATTAAAGGAGGTATTTTTTACTGTTTAGAGGATGTCCAAATGTATCAGATTGTCGGAGCAGACTTTCAGAATCATTCGTAAAATTTTATGTTCTGTAAATTCCAAGTTCATGTCGTCGCCATGAGAAGACGTTGAAATGAATTTCTATGCCTCAGGCAGCCACATTTATTTTCGATGAGATCGAAAATTGTAGATGTATTCTCTATCGCAAAGTTAAGCTCAGCAAAAATTATATCTTGCTAGTCTGAACTTCTTCCAGATGCCTCATATGCAAGATATACAACGATATCTTCATCCAAATTACCGCCCATGATGTCGCATTCCGCAACGCCTCTCGACGCCGAGTCTGCCCAAGATACTACCCCACCACAGAACAATTTCTTACCTCCATTTGTCTCAACGCGCATTGCAGAAGAAGATGACGACGACGAATGGGAATATGAATATTCTGCAACAGAGACAGAGGTAAATGTTTCTACCTGACAGCTTCTCCGGCATCAATTGCTGACTGCTGTAGACTTACTATGTGACTCTTGACCTCACTACCCCCGGTATTCCAACCAGACATAGACCTGTCGCTGAAGAGACGCGCACCAAACGAGCTCGATGGGTCGCTCCCACCGGTGGCAGAGGGGGCAGTAAAGGCACTGTAGGTCCACGTCTATCCAAGGTCGCGCCGCAATTTTCTGTTGGAGACAAGAAGGGCGACCCTGCGGAGGGAGCAGGACAGGACGACGAAGGAGACGACGAAGATCCTGTTCCAACAAAGGCTGCTACACCAGATACCTCAGCCGATGTGGTCACTATAGCCAATCGAAGGCCAACAGAGATTCAAATTCTGAGTCTTGATACCAACAATCCAATCGTGGCATACGGAGGACAGTTTTATTCATGTCAATGGGCATCAAACATTGGAACGGAGATGCTCTTCACTAAGCGCGGTGAATATCGTCTTGGTGAATATCCCCTTCCTGCCTTGCGCCAATTACCAGACAATGTCGACCTCCTGGCAGCTAGCTCTGCGCGCATCATAGCCAAACACATCCAACTCATTCCTAAACCTCATCATCAACAAGCCAACAAGAAACGAGCTCGCTTCGAGGACGAAGAAGAATATAAAGAAGCCAAACCCCTCATTCCAGTTTGGGGGAAATCTAGTGAGCAACGGAAGGAGCAAGCGAAGTTCTTGAGCCAGATGATCCAGATCAAGGAGGAAATGGGTGATGAGGACATGGTGACTGTTAATGTGAGGAAGAGATTGACGGCTCAGAAGTGGATGGTTGAGCTGAAGAAGAACCGAAGAGAAGAGAGGGCCAAGTTGAGGGAGGTCGTTGAGGAGGGTGACGAGGGCGATGAGGATGTTGAGAGAGCAGCAGCTAGGTTGGAGGAAATGGATCAAGAAGATGAAGAGGAGGGATGGGCTGATACCCCGGAGGACATTGAAGCGGAGAGGAAAGCTCATCCAGCAAAACGCCCCAGACACGGTCCTGGGAGTAGAGGCGGTAAAGGCAAAGTTCGAGGGGCAGGAAGATGTCGCGGTGGGCGAGGTAGAGGAAGAAGACGCGGAGGTAGTATCGGGCCTGGTGTCGAGCCAGCGCCACAACGAGGACGACCTCCTAAGGTGCCGCATAAAGGGTCAGATATCTTAGAAGGCTCACACCAAGGTTCGGTGGACGTGAGTACACCTGGTGGCTTTTCCGACCAGTACAACGCGGGTACACCTGCCGGCTTTGACAGCAACGTGGCGGAGACTCCCAGAGATTTCGAGAGTCCAACGGGTATTGGATATGAAGCGCCAACGCCAAACGGAGGGTTCTACGCAGAGCAGAGTCCAGTGGCTTCTGGGGATGTGCCAACACCCGATGGAGAGGTTTATGACGAGGACAGCCCTTCAAAGCAATTGTTCCACGATATGGATATGGCATGATGAGGATGCCCCGGTCGAGGAGGATGACTCCCAGATCCGATAGAGAGGCATGCTGAGGAGGTAATTTGGCGAATGGATAGAAATTATTGCTCTCGCGAGCTCTGTAGATGTATGAAAGATACCTGACCAAGCCTAATTGTCAAGAGATTATGTGACGCTTCCACCTGTATGCTTTTAAGTGGTACTTGTCATCATTTGGAGAAGTGTAAATAGCTCCGACCGTTGCAATATTTTCTGCAGCCACAACCGCCATCAATTCAATCGTAGACTCTCTATATATCATGAATGAGGTTAGACTGCAAAGTGGGTCTTGAGTGGCGGCACAGGGGATGCCAAGCTAGCGGTACTTCACCACACGTATACAGACAGCTTCATCTTCTCCAACCACTCATTTCCTCGATTTACATTCCGCCCCCAGAGTTTCAAGTCAAACACCTCCTCCTACAAGCTATCCTTGCCACGAAAAGAAGAGTGAAGCCATGGCCATTCCCCTCTATGGCGACGAGAATCCTCAGCACGACGAAGCTGCACAATTGGCTTTGATCGGCTTGGGCGTCATGTGCTTAACTACACTCATGATCCAAGCTGTCATAAACCTATGGCCCGAATCCCAGCCTCAATCTGCTCCCGCACCAGCTCTAGACTCCACATCATCATCATCATCATCCACCTCACCAGCTACGCCAGCACCGTCGACCCCTCCCAAGGCCAATCAACCAGATACTACTCTCTTTCTAGCTATGTTAGGCTATTTTGCATTATGCGGCTCGGTAGGCGGAATGACCGTCTGGATTTTACAGCTAGGGATTGTGGATGGGAAAAGGAGGAATTCGATACTGATGTATGCGATTGGAGGGATTAATGTCTTGCTTGCGTATTTGGTTTTGACGAAGGAGAAGAGGGGAACTGTTTACATGCTAGGAGCATTGTGGGCACCGTTGATTGGGATTGTGGGTGGGAGTTTGATTGTTTGAGCAGTTCATATTTGCTATTCGATGTAAGTTGAGGGGAATTTGATCGGAAAATCGATGATCTGATATCATGATAGACCATCGTCTTCACATATGCTCATCGAAAAAGGCCCTCACGATCCGATACCCCCTCAAATACTCCTCAAAATTATGCTGGTTCTCAAAATCGGCCCTATTTCACACATTAGCCTCTCATTTCCCAATCCCCTTCGTCACTACAACTCACCTAGAAGTCATCCACCCGTGCACCTGATCCGTAAAAGTCTCACTATAACTCTTCGGACTACTCTTCATCAATTCCTTCACCCACTCCTCCATGATCTCCGGCACCTCATCATTACTCGGCAATACCACATGCGGGATCACAATCTTCGTCGCATCCTCCGTATCCAACAAACTAGGATGAGCCTGCGCACTCGCTTTAAACAGACTCCCCTCCTGCGAGCTCAGCGCTGCGATTTTACCGCCCCAGCAGAAGCCGAGAATGGCCCAGGATTCGATCTCAGGGTTCTTCTCCTTGAGCTCGGCGACGAGGGAAGGTATCAAGGGCAGGGTTTTGGCAGGGTCAGCCGGTCCGGTCATGAAGGAGGTTATGTAGGAGAATTGGTTGGGGGTCTTCGGTGGGTAGTTGGCTATGTCAGCAGGGTGGGAGGAGAAGAAGTCCGGCATGAAGACGCGGTAGGTGCCGGAGTTGTCCAGAGGGAGAGGGGAGGGGTAGCCGGTGGAGAGGATGTCGGCTCCGCGAAGAGTTTGAATGTAGAGGCCGAAGATGTCGTAAATGAAGAGGATGCCGCGGGTGGAGGTTTTGGGTCCGGTTTCATCTAGAAGTGTTAGTATGGATCAATGGGAAAAGGAGAGGTTGAGGAGGGGATTTAATACAGGTTTTTAGTCCAGAGTATGTGGTGTATGTCCCTTTTGGCGTGTAGTTGTAACCTCCAGCAAGCACTACTGGTGGTCGTGAACAACATGCCTTGCTTTGGAACTGCATTTTGATTGAAGTCTCTTGGTGAAAAACTTTGTTGAATGTACTTGATGCTTCCTTCAAATTGCTTTGGAGGTAAAATATCTTAGAAAATCCAAGTCTTGTCACCCAAATATATCATTCTCAGTTCATCGTCACATGAAGTGAAGCGAAACTGCGCTTACTCCGCATCCACCCCGCGGTATATGGCTGAGCAATCCCGCATTGCATCAAACCCCGGGAAGCGGATATACCCCACCTCATTGCCGAAGTGGGACATTGAATGAGCGGGTGATGTTCAGTAATCGTACCGATGTTGCATGTTTTGTGGATGCGAGAGTAATCATTTTGGGCGGATTGCGTGATGTGGTCGTACAGAGTCGGCAATGTGGTCGGGATATTGTTTGTGATAGGCGTTTAAAGAAATTAAGTTCGACGAATGGCTCAATGAGAGTAAAAGAGATACCGGAATGGTGAAGAGAGAAGTCTTTTGGTTGGGTTGGGTTGTGCTGTGGTGGTTAGCTTGTTGATACTCCTTAGCTTCGGCCAATCAGATCGCAGCCTCGCTACCGAGAGAACAGGGTCTTATAATGTTAAATAAGCAAAACTTTGGCAAGAATTAGTACAGTTAATTAGAGGGATACAACGGACCTGTTTAGGACGCCTACGAAAGCAGCTCTACTAAGGATAAACAATGGCTCGCCCTTGTACTAGGCAGCTTCGGGCTGACGGATCCTGATAAGGCCCCCCGCTATTTAGGCACGACCTAAGAAATGAGGGTGTTACTGGAGCTGTCAATCGGCAAGCTTGTGAATGTTTTGTCTTTTGGTTCTATGGTATCGGTCTAGATACCTAGAACTGTCAATTAGTTTTTGGATTTTTTTAGAACTTATTTTAACCAACTCTTGTGGCGCGCTAGGCTTAACCGAGAATATCTCGATGTCAACAACAGGGAACACTTCACCCTCAACAAAGCATAAGTCAATGGTTCGAATGGAAAAGGAGCTGATTCTATTGATCAAGCGCGTGATATTCGTACACTATCCCCTCTTGGCATCTCTCAGCTCAGCCTTGGCCCTGAGACGGCGCTTCTTCACGCGTTGCTTTCTCTTGTCCTCTTCAACTTCACCTTCAACTTCTATCATACGTCATCGTCAGCGCCAATCCTTTTGGTGATGTACAATAATCAAAAGTGTGCAAAAGAGACTGTTCATCAGACTCACCTTCTCCTCTTCTCCCTCCTTTCCTCCCTCCTCTGCTTCCTCCATCTCCACATCTCCGGCCGCCGCGGCTTGCTTCTCCTCTTCCTAAATTAGGTATATCTGTCAATGTATACCCTAGCGATAAATGGCTTCTTGAATAGGCACATCGACAGATTCAAATGTCTGGTTTTGCGTACCTTCTTTCTCTTCTCCCCCTCATCTCCGTCCTTCCTCCCACCGCGAATTACCAGGGACATCATCGTTTTGACTGTTGTTTTTGCTGTTATTGTTGAGATTGCGATTGTGGTTGTGATGGTGTTGGTTGGGGGGAAAAAAAAGTTTGTAGTTTGAGCTTGGAGAAATGCTTTGATCTCAAATCTAGCGAGTGTCCAATATCTTTGGATGATGTCGATATATATAAATTTGGTGAATGTATCGAAAAAGTCGAGGCAGGCAGATAGATGACTGTGGGACTAGGAATGAGTATAGCTTTGATAGTCGGAGATAGTCGGAGGCGTATATCTGCCTCTGAAGCTTGCCCAAGCTAGCCAGTTATTACTCTCTTCTTCCTTTCCTCCACTTTTTTATCCCACGAGGCTTCTTTTCGGATTCCGCAACTCTCTCACGTCCTGCTTTCTCTTCCGCATTGGCCTTCTGTGCTGCCCCATGCGCTGCAAGAACAGCTTTCTTTTCGTCCTCGATCCTTTTTTCCCAAGCTGCTCTCTCTTCGGCTGCCTTCCTAGCTGCCTCTGCCCGCACCATAGCTTCGGCATCTTTTGCCTGTCTCTCTGCTAACTCTTTCTGTGCTCTCTCAGCTCTCTCTGCTAGAGCTCTTCGCGCACTTGCTTCCTCTTCCTCCATCTCTCTCATCTTTCTGTCAGTCTCTAACTTTTGAGTCCTCATCATATCATCGAGAACCATAAGTTTTTTCTCGACATCTGGATCTAGATGAGTTGGATCAAGCACAGATGGTTCGCTTGGTGGCCAATAAGGACCGTAATGTCCGTAACCTTGAGCGTATCCGGGATACTGGGGACCATACTGAGGACCGTATTGAAACGTGCTACTCATGCCAGGGTGCATTGTTGGCGGTATAAAGGGGAAAGCAGTTGACATACTATTGGCAGGAGATGTTGGATGACGGTAATCAGATTCTGAATGGGGGAAGATTGGCGGTGTCTGATAGGGAGAAAAGGTGTTGGGTGGACGAGCATATTGAGGTTCTGCGATCTTTGTCTCGAACTCAAACTGATCGCTCGTCGTGTCCGGCACAGTTGATCGCGAGTCTGATGGTGACAAGCTGACAATGCTGGGCGAGCTCTCAATGGATGGGCGGGATGCAATATCAGGAGTTGCTGATGCCTCTTGAAGGGTCACAGTTGGAGATTTTGTCATGGGTTGAGGGATCCGCGGACTCTTTTCTTGGTAGTCGTTGGTATTTTCTTCAATCGGATAGGACCCAAGCTTCCAGGAGTGTCCACCATGATTCGGATTAGTCTTGGCAAGAATTTCCTTACAAGTTTAGCATGGTCCTCTTGGTTTGGAATAAGAAGCATACCATGAGACTACCATGGATTAAATCCATGGCAACCAAAGATGCAGCTGCCGCATTTGCCCTTTCTGTCAGTCGCACTCTTTCCTTGGTTCCTTTTGCCTGACAAGTGGCTGTGATGAGATTCTTGATCTCGTCTGTGCGCTTGTCCATCTGTGCCTTCAGATTTGCCGCATCACACGCAGCTCGTTGAGCTATCTCTTGTCGGGTGACCCTATGTTCGCGTGACTGGAGCTCATTGATATCTTCGACGGTTGCGAGCAATGTTGACTTGACATCCTCATGCTGAAGAGCAGCGATGACGGCTTCCTTTTGAAGAATCTCCTTCAACTCGGCAGTTTGTGCATCAATGGTTGTCGTGAAGATACTCCGATTCTGAAGAAGGGAAAGGACAATGTCCTGACTGCCACTTTCAAGATGCTTAAAATTGTCAGAGTTGACGACTGATTGGAGATCAAGTTTCTGCCTGTAATGAGAAATGAGTTCAGTTGCCTTCGAGGCACGCTCTCATGCCTACCTTAAATCCACAAGAATGGTCAATTCAAGAGTCTCCCGGAATCCATTGAGCCTGTCGCATATTTTCGCAATAGTAGCCTTCCCCTTGATACTCTTTATCGCTTGCCGCATGCTCTTCCACGGCGACTTCTTCCCCTGTACTTTAAGACTTCCCAAAACCTCGAAGAGTTCTTTTGCCGTCTCATCACAACTTGTGCACAGTTCTTCCAATAAGTTTTCGGCCTTGTCATCGCCACTGACATGATGATCGTCTTGAATTCTCAACTTCATCTGAAGAATTCTTATTGTTCCCGCAACCTTCTCGACATCAAGGCTCTCCTGAAGAGAGCCCTCTGCAGACTTGTGAAGCTCATGCGCATCTCCCAAAAGCTTAATTGAGAAATCTACGAACTGGACAATGTTGCCAGCAATGCCGAGAGCTGTCATTGGATCTAACATAATGGCAACACTTTCAAAGAAGATATAGATATCTCTAATGAGATGTATAATCACCAATCATATAGGAATCGATTTCATTGCAAGAAGATTCTTAAACATGATACGGTATAGAATCACGTATAAGAACGTTTGTCTTTCTCTTTCTCCAGCGGGTGGGGTTTACGAAAATCCATCTGCGAGGCTGGAAATGCCACGTCGGTTGTCTGGTGGTCGAGATGCACCTTTTCTGTCAATGTGGAGGCTGATTACTGCTCGGCGTTCCCAGAGCGGATCTGTGCATATTCCCTGCTCTGTGTCACTCGATTACCGAATCAAAGAAATGCTTTCATATCACAGAGTTTCATTGTGTCCGACCTAAGCCTCATCTTGTGTGTAAGTCTGCTGGAGACTTGGTTTCAGCTGATACAGTGACCCATAAGATCGTCTGTGCAGAGCGCCTACCATGCAATCACGCCCCTTGTGTCGAGGCGCAATGACCAGGCTTTATCCTGCAGGTATAACGAGACAGGAAGCCACTCCTTCGTGGAATAGCAGCCTCTGGTTGCTGCAAGCATTGCTCCGGTTCCACCTTATCGATGATTTGCCTAAAGTGATCCATTTGATTCTTATTTAGCGATTCTGGGATACATTTCATAAGCATAGATTCCAGTCAGCCTACTGGGAGAGTAGCGTGATACCACGATAGAAGACGCCGCTTCAACAATGTTAAAAAGAAGAGTAATCTAAGGATTATAGCGTGAATGCTGCAGGATTAACGTTTCAAGGAATAAATAAAAGTGGTAAATGCGATGCTCGAAATGAAATCAGAAAAGATGCTACAAAAGAGAAGGAGCCGCAGGCTCCTATGGGTATAATACGGATTAGTGCGGCACATGCATCAGCACGTACTTTGTTACGCAAAGCTTTAGTATATAATTTACAGCTTCTCATGATATAATACAACATCCTTTTCTACATAAATTATTTTACCCTCGATTGTTTGAATACAAGGCAGCCTTGTAATACGTCATTATTAGTAGCGCGACTTGTATTCCTTCACAATCCACAGGATCAAGGAAAGAACTCGAACAAGAAAGATTATGGTTTGAAGATTGGACATCGTCAACCCCATCCACTAATCAGACCAAATCCTAGCTTTCTATTGATTGGCACTGTGTCATCTTCTCCAAACAACCCTCATCCATACCACCTTTGACAGTCCAAGCCCCAGCTTCTCAAAACTTAAACTTGCCATTATCACAATTTATACAGCAGGTCTCACCCTGGTAAAGGAATTTGTGTTAGTTGTAGGTTTATTCCCTTGACTATTTATACTGACAACACAGATAGATCCATCCTAAATAACATTAATAACTTATTTCAAAATTTCTTGAGGGACGAACCGGGCAAGGCAACCCAAGAGGACAGTCACCATTTTGGCAGTAGCCGTCTGGACAGTCTGCGAGGACTCTGCCAATAGCCAATGCTAGCAATGGGAGGAGGAAAGTGTTGAATTGCATAATGTTGATTTGGTTGAGATTGGTGTTTTCTTTTCGTGTGGTAGTGACTTGGTGATGTGAGCAGAAAAGAATGCAAGCAGAGAGAGACTTATATACTTGAACGGTTGCAGCAACGATACGTAATAAAAAGATCTACAGTGATCTTTTCCGATCAAATGACTGAAAAGATGAAGATCCTAATTTCTGTTTTGGTAACGAGAAGGTTTACTCGAGAAAATAGTGGTGATTGGTTGAGCCGCAAAGAATGCGAATCAGAGTTGATATTTCTCGCCGCATGAGTAAGCTGACCATTTGTTTGAAGCTTCAAGGCAAGTAGGCTAACCATGACCATATGTTACCATTCAACAACGCAGGTGAGAGAGGGCTACGGCACTGCGAGCAGTCACAAGAACAATGACTCGTATGGAGTAAGTCGGCGAAGCATCGAATCGGTCATCACTCAGAAGGATGAAAATCTCAAAAATGATGACCATATTATGTCAAAAATCTCCGAAGGATGAAAGAATCCATATGCCCCGGTCTTCGAGCTCTGAACCCCGATACCCAGCGTTCCTTCCTTGAATGAGCTTTGTCGATCTGAGCACGGGACGGAGAACTCAGAGTCTGCATGTGTTCTAGTCCATACGCGAACACCTGCTGTTTATGAACTTTACCCCTGCCATTCACGAATGGCGGGGTGTTTACGTGTGGCACCCCCTGTTTATGAACTAGACCTGCCATACGTGAACGGCTCCACTTAGTGCAAGAGTTCATGAATGGCGGGGTGCCAGTCGGGAACAGCACTCTAGACACCACAGCACACTCCAGGCACCTCAGCATCTCAGCACCTCTATCACACTACCTAGAATCTTATGCTCTAGCTTTGAGATGTATTGAAGCAATGGATATTAGTGCTATGCCCTATTGCTGTGCTGGGGGTGCTGGGGGTGCTAGAGGTGCTAGGGCTAAAGTCAGAGCCTTATTCCCGGCCTGTTTATCAGTGGCGCTGTTCCCGAATGGCGGGCCCTGCCATTCATGAATGGCAGGTGTAGTTGATAAACTAGGGGTGCCACACGTAAACACCCCGCCATTCGTGAATGGCGGGGGCCCCGTTCGTAAACAGCAATTGTTGGCGTATGGACTAGAACACATGCAATCATTGCTCACGCTCAGAAGCGCACTGCTAAGTAAGTTGATCGCGATATGAAACTATAACATCAAGCTCACAGACTTGCTGCAATCGCCACGATATAACAGAGCGTACCCGCTGATGACTTCGCCGCGAACGAGTCTGAATATCGATATTGAGCAACAAGCGAGAAAGAGGACTAGTACACGACTAGCGACTCCGACACTCCATCCAGGTAGATGTTGTTGCCTCCACGTCCTGTGCCGGTTGGGAGGGGGTCGTGGGATAGTTGAGCGATCGATAGCTCCCAGAAGTAGCCTTTGTTCAGATATTGGGAGACGTCAAAGTGTTGATTGACGAGATCTATATCACCGTTCCGATTTAGCATACACTCAAGCTGCACCATGATCATCTTGTTTTGTGGCTGTATCTCTATATTGTTATGGACAATGGAGCCAGGTCTACATATATCTGGTAATCTCCATATCTCAGCATTCAGGAAGTACAATGATGTCCCAACTGTCCAAGAGATCAACCATCACATCCAAAGCAGACTTTCCTCTCCATCATCCATACTACAAACGGTTTTCTGTTTCTAAAAAGCTACAGAAGGCTGACAAGGCATTGTATCCCAGAGGAGCATGTTGACGTGATAACTAGGGAAGTCACTCCTTTCATGGATCGACGAGCTCAATATCTCTGCAGGGAGCTGATCTTCTGACAACTCGCTCGTGGTATTAGCAGGAACTTCAGAGAAATTCTGATGAATGGTAGCGGGTAGCTCTTCGAGTTCTACAGTCCGGTCCGCTGCTTGAGAACGGAGTTGAGAGATCTCGTCTGTATGTAGCTCTTCGAAATCTACAGTCGGGTCTGCTGCTTGAGAACGGAGTTGAGAGATCTCGTCTGTATGTAGTTCTTCGAGATCTACAGTCCGGTCAGCTGCTTGAGAACCGAGTTGAGAGATCTCGCCCGTTAGGTAGCTCTGTCTTCAAGAATTGCTCTTGTTGATTTTCCTGCTGACGCTTCTTGAGGATTGCTGCACGGTAGCGTTTCCATAAAAGTGCCAAGAAAGCGACGAGAAATAGGGCAACTGCTCCCCCAACGGTCCCAGCTATGATGGGCGTATGGTCAATATGTGAGCTCCTTGTAGTTGTAGACATTCCTCCAAGACCCACTGGAGCTGTTTGGTTGTCCGTCCCAGTGAATAGATGGGCGATCAAAGTGCTGCTCCAACCCCCGTTTGGAAGCAGCTTTGTCGCATTTCCATTCAGGTTGCCTCCAATAGCAGCAGATATCACATCGTTCACTTGATACGGTGCGTCGTATGGTGAAAATACGCTTCCCCAACCATTCCGAGATCCGCCTCCATCCGTCATGTCATAAATAGCAACTGATTTGAATTCCCAGTCGCAGTAGTCCGCTGCATTGACGTTGTCAACACTACCGATTGTGATCATTTGGCGATTTCCGACGGCGTGGCAAGTATGCCCAAATCGAGGGGATGTTCCATTGTAGATCTACACATCTTCTTAGCAAATTGTACATTATAGACTTCGTTGAAGAACATCTCACCGCTATCCAAGTGAATGATGGAAGTGATAATACCCATATTTCATCGAAGTATTTGTTCTGTTGACTAGGATCCCAACCCAGAAGGCTTAGTAGCCCTTAAGCGGCTCTATGGGTGGTAAGACTCACCGACGTACATAAATATGTTGTGACTGGAATTGTCAGGTGCTGAAGCAAGGACCAGACAAAAGTCGACCCTTGGCTCCGGTGTGGTACCAATGATAGTCTGAGTGTACCATCCATTATCGCTCCCATTGTAGGTAGGCAGAGCTGTTGATACGTCAAAGATATTGGCTTGATCCATCGAAACTAGACTTGTTAGCAGATTTCAACGAAAGATACGAAAAGAAGTTACCTAAGTCTAGACTTCCAGAGCTTTGAATTGCGCCTCCAACGGTAACTAGGACCCCTTGAGGACCCAAGCCTGGGACATAAATAATTCCACCTCTCACCCTAGGATAGCCATTCGTGACAATGTCTGTGGATCTGTTCGTTGCCAGAGAAGATATCAGCGAAGCTCATAAGGTTGAGTTTTTTGAACGTACCGTCTTCGTGTTGAGGTCAAGGATGACCATCCCACTTAGGAACAATGACTGGTTTCCAAGATAACTTGTACTCGGTGAGGACCACTGCGTGATCATCCCGTTCATATAGAATTCAAGTCCCAAATCAGACGCTTCTGCTGCTGCACCTTGACTAGGTCGCTCGGGGACTTCAGAGAATAGGTCATACTGTGTCCATGTATGAGTTTCGGTGTTGAATCCCCATCTAGATGTATTAATAAAGGCTACAAGTTCGCAAAGCCGAGTGTTTTCCACAAGGAAGAATGACTCACAGTGTGTACTGATTGGTTGTTGGGTATTGCAAGTCCGGGAATGATTGATTGACTGAGGGTGTTATACCTCCGTACAAGTATACTTGCAAATCCTGAGATGGCCCTCTGAAGAGAGCAGCATTCTGTATATTGGGCGGAGGATTACCTGTTGGAGAGTCTAAGGTTTTGTTGATGACGGCTTCAGTAATGTTCGATTCCCAGTCCCATGACATATTCATGTCAATGGCAATGATATAGTTATCTGTAATAAAGAGGCATTAAGCGTCATTCAAGTCTTAAATGCAGTCACTTACTTGGTCCTGTAGTGATAGGCCCAGTCCAATTCGGCTGATTACCCTTTGGCAGAAAGAAGTTAACACACATGCGATCAAGCTTAACACAACGCCCAAAAGTGAAACATACATCTTGAATGATCGATCGGTCAGAAAAGGACTCGATGCCCCCATCGATGAACAGAACTTGATTCTTTATCTGGCTTTGATGGTACCATCGTCTAGAGACAATTGTTAGTTGCTTCGACTCGCCTGCCTGCCACGAAAGAGAAGGTAACTGATAGAAAGCAGCTCATAGACGAGGGTGTCCAATAGCCTAGACTTGTATACCTCGCCCTATGAAAATTAAGAAGTATTTTCTCGATTACTCACCTGCAGAAGTTGTTCAACGGATCCAGCCCGTTACCAGCCACAAGAGAAGACGATACAAAGCAAGGTAACAATGTTTGTAGGACGTTCTTCCACATATTCACAAACTTCCGATAGCCTGCAAATCGAATAACACACTGTCTCAAGTATGGTCGCCAAGATTCGTTTAAGTGTTGAACTAACTGAATGCCAAAATATGCAGACTTCCAGAGGCCCAAAATCACTAAATAATAGCAGCTACTCGTGCTACTATCCCCATGAAACAAGAGGACTGTTGTGAGCTAGGGATCAACATGCCTCGGGTTTTGGGGGTAATTTAATATGTGACTCGGCGAGTTCAGCCAGCCTTACAGATCAGGAGGAAAAGCAATATAGTAGTGGTGGCAAACCTCACTGATCAAGTGCCCAATAACATGCAAGGAGGTGCAAAACTTATACATGTGTGCAATCTAATTTCTGCAAGTGGGAACGAAAGCAGGAAAATGCTATCGATCACCTAAGGCAGCCTCGAAGACCGATTGACCGTAGAATAAGTTTGCAACCACACCATGACAGCACTATGATTCCATTCTTTGCTGATACATGGACCCCAAATGGCTCAATGAAGATCAATTCCAAATTTAACATTTTCTGGCCTCTAAACCAAAAATCATTGGATGATGGAGGCCGTGTGCCCACGCAATGTACAATTGCGGTGGAAAAAGGACCACTAACTCTTTCCTACATTTTGCTACCAAAATTAATAATTATAAAATAGCCATAACGTCTATCAAGAAAGTATTTTGCCATATGCATAAATGTACTACTTTCAATTGCAAACAAAATTCAAATGTTAAAAAGCTATAATATTAATATTCTAATATAATAATAATAAAATTCCGAAAAAGAATATTCGCATAGCCTTATCAGGGCTTGCAGTCAATGCACGTCATTGAAGCCACAGAGGCTGTCTAAGTACACCTTCTACTGCGTATTGAATTGCGTTGCCGTACTTCCCGCCTTGGGCGTGAATATCGGCGCGAGCGAGTAGAAGCTCAACCACAACCTCGCCACCATTTGCTGCTACTTGGAACGCGTTGCCGTACGGCCCGCTCCGCCTTGGGCGTGGACATGGGCTCCTCAATCGAGTAGACGTGCTTTTCGAACCGCAAAAAACTGCCTGCTTGTAAGGTTACGCCTAACCTAATGCTGTCTCAGCATAGCCACGATTTCAAATTTTGCACCGGCCGCTGTCACCTACTTTTGCATGTGGGCAAGGTTGAATTTAAAAGGGCCATCGCTGCAACTTTGGTGAAATGGAGACTGCGACAGGCTGGGTTTCAGCCACCGCATATTACCACCGAAGTTAGTATTTATCCACTGCCTACGAATGACCCAGTCGGAAGTTCCCCTTAGCGATCGACGGTATAAGATTTTAGTGTCTTGGTGAAAAGTTTTATTGGTGAAAAGCATGGAATGAGGAATATGAGCATCCCGTCCGCTCTGCCATACACAAGCCTCAGATAGATAGATTATCTTTTGCAATCTTCGAGGATTTTTTGTGGTGGGGTCGAGAAAATGCTTGGCGAAAATCAGGGGGCCTGGCTGGCTTAAGCGACCCCGCTTCCTTTCTTTCCACAAGTGGGCAATGGATACCAAGAACATAGACACATTTGTCGGGGAAGAGTGATTGCCCCCCGAGATGATTCTTGAATTAATCACATCTTTACGACTAAGAAATAATTTTCGCTTATCCTCTCGATCCATTTTCTCAGGCTAAGAACTTCAGTCTTTAGAAGTGAAGAAAAACTCCACGATCAGCTTCAAACATCAGCACCAAGTAACCAAGCATACAAGGTTTTCGTTCTTACTTGATCCGATCTGGGCCAGGTGCTGTGCCCCTAATAAGATCGTTAGTCTGTCCCCCACTCGAATACATGTAAGACGCGCGAATGTTCCACGCTTTCTCTAAGTTGATCGAGCCTCGGACTTTGAACGTGAGGTTGGCTTGCTATGTCTGCCTTCTTGCAGTTGACAATTTTCTGACAAGCTTCCAGGTACCTAGGTAATCAATGCTATCATGCAAGCGATGAAAGCATGAGTTTGCTAATTACGGATATGGCCTTGCACCTTATTCTTTGAACCTACTTCTTATTTTTTGTCTGCTTATAAATTATATTCATCCTAATGCTCTGATTCTTTTGGCACTCCCGCAATTTTTCCTTCATTGTCTCATCTTCTCGCCAGTGAGTTTTCAATTTTTAGGAGGAAGTGTATTTCGAAGTATCGCCTCAAAAAGTCTGTTCTTTACTTGCTGAAGCTGCCTTTTCTCAAGTCTTATTTATTCCAATTATGTCGAGATATCGCGTTCTCATAGAAACTGCGGGAACTCGTTCTTCAAGGATGTTTTGCTGAAATGCATCGCTAAACACTCTATTGTATCTTACAACTTCTAGATTTAGTCGGGAGGCTTCCTCTGTGACTAATAGCTAGAGTCTACGCCTTTATACATGTAATCATAGAACTCATTGGTGGCAACATAATGATATGCTGAATCTTAGACTTAGAAGTTAGATCGAGTTAGACCGACTACGGCCGACTTCTAACACTTGGGCGGTGTTTGAACTGTTCGCAAGACGGCAACATTTCGGTCTTCGTATCTCGTGCCCAATCAGTAAGTAATTATGTCTTGATCGCACGCAAGGATTCTTAATCTTGCCAGGTCCGTACGAGAGTTGAGTATAGAAATGCTTAGGTAATAAATCCTGGAGCGTAAGAGTACGCCAATGAGCATCGGTTCCAAGAGATCTGAAATTCTTTATCGGGTTTACAGTGCAAGGAATGCGGACGCAAGGACTGCAGCGACCCGCAATTCCGCCCTTGCATACTGTAAGCTTAAGGCTTAAATGTTCGACTCTTTTGGCGAATCGTGGCGATTCAGTTGCGGCGAAGCAAATGCGGTAGTATTGAAATACCTTTCAGAAAAAATACTTCATGGTCAATAAATCGCATTCTCGATATCATTTCGAGATTCATTCATCTATCAATATTCCTCAAAGAGTCGTGGTGCAGAGTTGTGACAGTCAAGCTCCTGTGCCTGAGGCCGCCATTCTATTTTAGCGAGGGCTGACTCCGAATTCATCTCGGCGTTGCCTCCTGAACCTCCAAGGTTCTTTTCATGTATGAAGCTTCCCACATTAGGCCTCATTCAGTATGTCGTGCAACACACTGATATTGAGGCCAGCAGCTAGCATGTTCCTACCAGGCTCACCACAGTCGTCGGTCGGCACCGATGACGCTCCAAGCTTCGGTCATCGTCATGCTCGTCCGAGGAGGAGCTTCAAGAAATCTCGGAGAGGATGTAGAACATGCAAAGCAAGAAAAGTCAAGGCAAGTAAGCCGAACGCCTTCAGTTGAGCTTCTCACTAATGATCTAGTGCGACGAAGTCCATCCCATCTGCTCGAACTGTTCAAAAAGATTCCCTGGCTTAAAGAGTTGCGACTTTGAACCTTTTGTAGAAGTCACGGGACAAGGCGGAGAAACCCTGAGGCCAAGGAAAAGAACCAGAAATACAGTCGAAGATTCATTACAGGCTTCGTTCGCACCTCATCCGACTGGTCTTACTCCGGAAGGGCGTTCTCGCCTCCTTGAGTTAAAACTAATGCACCATTACACGAATGTAACATGCACTCAACTTCCGGACGGAGAACTTGCGGAAGGCAGACGTGTTTGGTCTGTCGACATCCCTCGACTAGCTTTCCAGTCAGACCTGGTGCTCAATGCGCTGTTCGGTATATCCGCTCTCCACTACTCAGCACTCACACCTAAAGATCCAGTATTGCCGTACGCCGCTACATTTTACTTCGACAAAGTGGTGCGGAACCACCGAATTGCTTTGGCGAACGTTGATCGAGGCTCTGCCGAGGCAGTCTTGGCTACTGCGATCCTAATTTGCCACCATACTTGGATTTCGGCTCACAGCACAACTTCCGATGGACTGTACGAAGTTCCTCTTCAGACCTACTACATGGCACGTGGGATACAAGCGCTCTTCGACCAAATGTGGCCTTGGCTGAGAGGGTCTGCTTACTTGTGGTATATTGAGAGACAGCCGATCATGGCATCCGGGGAGATTGCCCATCAAACCGAATGGGCGACAAACGTGCAAGAGGATCTCGCCCGCGTGTCCGATACCTTTGAAGACGACGATGTCTCTACAGAAGATAAGATCATCTACGAAAAGACTGTCGCAGAACTCTCGTCCATGTGTTGTGCCATCAGCAACAGTGTATCACAGCAGCAATTACAGAGACGTGTTGCGACCATGCCAGTCAGATTGCCAGGGCGATTCCTGGAGCTGATCGAACTCAAAGATCCACGCGCGTTAGGTCTTTTGGCTAGAAACCTTGCTCTCCTCAAAGTTATAAACACTGTCTGGTGGTTACATGGCTTGGAGCCGTCTCAATTAGTGACGGAAACGTCATTTGCAGGTATTGCTGGAATGCTACCAAATGAATGGCTGTGGATTATGGCGTGGCCAGCGAAAGTCATCTCAGGCGAAATGCGACCCTGATGCAATTAATATTTTCTAGATCTAAGCCCGAAGACATATGGAGAACTTGTCCTGACATTCTTCACGCTTTCTTCATTGCTTCGATTAGGCCCTCCGTCTCCTTACCGATACTCCAAACCTTCACAACCTCGAGGCCAACACTCTCCAACAAGTTTCTCCAATGAGTTTCAGTCCTCTCCATACCACTAAACAAGGCCAACATATTGAGGTCTAGAAGCGCCGGATATAGAGGCGTTCCAACATCAGGCAATATCCATTCAAATATCAGCAGCTTCGAGTACCCAGGTTTCATGGCGTCAACGATCTGTCTCAAGATCTTGCGGTCATCGGCATCGTTGTAATCGTGCAAACAAGATCGGATGTAATATGCTCTTGCACCTACGCCAAGATGTTAGCTTGTATTCGACTAAGGTGCATTGCCTAAATCGCCTTTGATGGGCTGCTCCGTGAAGAAGTTATGCTCCATGCGCACAATCGAGCTGTCCAACGCTTCGATATCAGCAATCACCGGCGGCAAATCTTGCAACACCAGCTTTCCTTTCGCATTTGGAAATTTGTTTCTAAATGCCTCCAGATCATGTCCTCTCCCACCACCAATGTCAATCAATAACGTCGCGTCTGAATCCTTAGTATCCATTCCATCGAACAAAATGGAGTCCACATCAGAGAAATCGAACCATTCAGTTCTGTTCATCCTTTGACCGGTCATCAGATCGTTCAGGTGTCCCATCCGCTCTGGATTTGCCATGAGGTACGGGAACAGCTGCAGATCAGTGTTGAAGGCAGACTGGAAACAAGTTTCTGGCCCTTCGGGATTCTTGTAACCGGTCTTGCTGAGAAATGCGGGCACGTGGACAACCGATACAGCAGCTTCATCGAACATGAATTTGAAGCCGCCACCAACGGAGGGGACTGTCAAGATTTGTGTCGTTGGGTTCGAGGCATATGTTTCGTAATCTACTTCATCGACCATCTTCATGGCTGAGAGGCACCGGAGTATGCGCACTGTCAAAGATCATGAGTTAGTACCTGGAGCTGCAAATATATGTTGTGGAAGGAGGATCGTACCGATGAGCTGCTTATCACATTTCGTGATTGTCGCAAGCTCTGTCGCCGTTCTTGGAGAACTAGAAACGATAGGTTCTATCAAACCCATGCCCTGAGCACTTCTGAGAGCAGTGCTCTGATGAGGCTATGCCATTTTGACATCAGCATCAAATACGGAAGAAATTGTAGACAAAACATCTTACCTCCATCATCATCCTCCAAACTACTTCAAGTGGAGTTTCCAAAACAGCAACTTGAGCCCTCAACACAGCCAGCAATTTCTTCCTCTCATCCTCATTCTCGAGCGCAACTTTTGACAGAGAGGTCAGAGAGTTTTGGAGCTCGGTGATTCGATCGACATTTCTGGCAGAAGAAGGAGACATCTTGTTCAAGAAAGTCTGGAAAAATAAGACCGCAGACGTGCTGTGCAGCCAGAAAGAAACAGCGATATGTCTTTCATTTATACTTCCAGAACAGCCTTACTTCAAAGTAGTTGATCTAGCATTGGAACATCGCCCCTAAAATTGCAGGTCAACGGCGTGAAAACGGATCTAAAAGTCCTCTTGCGGCAATTAAGACGAATCCGAGATTGTTCCTGCGCGAGGTCCACCATCTTTCAAGCGATGAAGTCCACGACAGCGAACCAGCCTCTCTCATACATGAATGAAGAAGGGTCTAATGCGGCGGAGGCTGTTGCGAAAATGGAAGTCTGAGGGACTAGTGATGGAGGCGGCTTCTTATGGAGGAATTAGAGTTATTGTGGCGTTCGGGTTCGTGTTATTTTCCTAAACGGGTAGAGCGCAGTGGGCTGTCAGCCCTACAGCTATAGCAGGGTTCCGGGGGCTCATCCTTCCTCAATTTGTACGTTTATCTAATGATGAGGAATTGATGCTGGATTTTGATCCGAGAATTCTTGTTTGAACAACGGGTTCGTAATAATTTACTTGTGGTCCAAGGAAAGGACCCAGGATTTGGTCGTGCCGTACCGACGAGACAGGTTAACTCCTATCACTTTCCTTGAGAATCATTATAGTTCATTGTAGATGCATCTACTAACATACTTTATTAGTACGTAATTAACTATTCCGTATGTATCTAATCTCCCAGGGTTTCTCATTAGCTGTCAGGTGTCGGAAAGGAGGTATGTATCCGAGTTAAAAGATTCAGTGCAGTAATGGCGGATGAAAATATTTGAAGACTATTCCAATGAACTCTCGGTATAAGCAAGTTGATCGTTGGTCAACGTAATCTGGGTAGAAACTCGACTGGGAACTGGATATTTCGAAGAAGACACGTGACTGGATCTGATTTACTTCAACTTTCAAACAGTAGAACTTTGATAAACATTGTTTGCTATGAAAGCAGGTCAACATCTGCTAGGGGGATACTTAGGTAGTCGAGTCTTCTCCACAATTCTATATCTGGTTTTTTTGTCACATGGTCAGTGCCTGTGAAGGCATCCATGCAGGATCTCGCTACAAATCACAACGTCAATCATCGAAGCAACAGAAACATATCACGCCGCTCAACAACTGGATTCAATTAAACGATGATGTTGCTGCTTGACCTTCCCAACGAAGTACTGGACAGCATCTTCTCATACTCTCGTGTACGCGAATTACGGTCACTGATTCTATGCTCTCGACATGTCCATACACTAGCTCTGCCCCATCTGTACCACGATATCAATTTTACGGTTCGAGCGGTCGGTATCAACAAACAACGTTCGCTTTGGGCTACTCGCATAGTCGATCGGTTCATAGCTACATTGGAGAGTCATCCTGAACGCGCATCATGGGTCACTAGCGCGAGCCTCACCTGGGACAAATATCACTCAGATTTCGGACTGTCCAAGGTTTTGGGTCTCTTGACCTCTGCAAATACGATCACTCTGAAAGTGGAGCTCAATGCATATCCGGATATACCATCCCAGCCGGCAGCACCTCCCTGGGAGTCTGAGGGTAGTTCTTCTCGTGCCTCACATCTCTTGTCCCAATCACGTACGTCGAGAACCTTGAAGAGTTTAGTGCTTGATGATCCTCAGACAACAACCGCCGATGTAGCAAGAATCATGGCTCTACCGGCCTTGACCGAGCTGACAATTGTCCAATTCAATGAATGGAAATCTAGAGACGTCTTTGCACCACTTCAGAACACCATTACTCCTCCCTCGAGCAACGTTTGCAAACTTCACTTCCTGAATTTCCTTGCATCAAACTACAAAATATCTGAGAACTTGTTCAAAAATCAGACGCAACTTGAGACTCTCACTTGGGACGTCATGACCGAGTACAAACTTTCTCCTTCTGTAATCAGGGGTTGCCTACATCATCTACGAGACAACTTGCTTGAGCTGCACCTGACAAGAGCTTACAAACCGGATATGCCAATGCTTGGGCCTGATTCGACGGAGCTTGATGTGTTACAATTCTCCTGTCTGAAGGTTCTTGAGATTCATAGTCACTTTCTGTTCCCTGCTATCCCGTGGCACGATCGACCTAAGGGACAACGGGATTGGACCTCGTCACATACTGTCGATTTGCAGCTTTCGAATAGACTCCCTGCAACTTTGGAATTTTTAAAGGTAAGGATGCTCGATCCGTCTTGGAAACGCATACTGATGTGGGTGCAGATCTGGTTCGAATATAGAGAATATGCTTTCAAACCATGGAAGCTAGGAGACGAGAGTCACGAATGGATTATCAGTCTAGCACAGCAAAGCCAATCTCGAACTCCGAAGCTTTCCAACGTCATGATTATCGAGAAGAGGTGGGCATCTGAACGCGAGTGGCTTCCATGGGTTCCAATTGCCGAAGTTCACGAACCGTTTGACAAGGCTAAGATTGAGCTTGAGGTCTGGCTGAGGGGACTTGTAGATCCGTAGGTTTAGTCTGAAAGGACAGCTTCGTTGGTACTCTAAGAGTCTAAAACCACATGAGCGTCATCACTCGATAGAAAATGTCCAAGGGGTGGCAGGTTGAGTCCTTGATCCGCGGATGGCACGTCGTGCCCGCATCGATGCCCAATTCTAATCTGCCCTCGAAACTTCATAATCTACGCCCATTGAAGATCTCCTGGAATGTCCTCTATTGATCGCGCGACACAGATATTGAACACAGACCTGTGAATTTTCTACTTCACTGCTGTTCTTTGCAATACCTCCAGAGCCTGGAAACGAACGAAAGACGAATCACAAATCACGATGTCGCAAGCCTTTTCCAACTACCAAACTTACAGCATCCGAATATCAATCAATTCATAGAGAGGGATGGCGATAATCGGCAAGCCTGCATTGCAAACAAAAGCAATGTTAAGAGTCTTTCCATTACATTCGATAACCCTACTCAGGAATCTAAGCATCCCTCTACGGATAGAAATCAGAGAAGCAGCTGAATTTGATGACTCACCTGAGCATGAATTGACCTGGCTCGAGTCTAAGCACAAGGAAGCATTGCATTCGAGATACATGACACGCTGAGGAAGTCCAGCTTGCTTGTTCTGGTGATTTACTGAAGCAGTCTTCCCAGCAGGCTACCACTCTTGGATTCTCATCGATTTATCTCGTCGCAATCTGGCACAGAAATGATTGATCCGACCTGAAGAAGGTACCCAGCGTCAGCATCGTGTACATTCTACACATGCGATCCAAGATACTACAAAATTACGCAGATATAATAACAATCGGTTATCGGTAGAGATAGATACCTGCACGCGCAAGCCCCGTCAGATTCGCGAAACGAGTCAATGCAGCCAATTCTGCTTCAGGATATCTGAAACTGTTCACCAACCTTGCCTACCCCCGCCAACAATAAATGCATCACATTATGCTTGACTGAGTAGCTGAATGTGACTCATATTGGGTGGCTTTGGCACTCTTGTAGGCAGACTGCTCTTGATCCCAATGCCGAGGGTTTCCCTTATCCGACCCCTGTCATGTATCTTCTGCATGTTCCACCAATTATAGATTTGAGGTTTCACAAATCCTACTGTCGAACATTTAAGAACACAACGGAGCTCCGCACTCAAGTCCTCCAGCCGCTTTACCAGTACCAAGGCTGACCCAACGGATGAACGCAGCCTCGTCACGAGGCAATACAGCCTCGTCTCGAGATTCTCCAATTCATTATCCAGCATGTCGAGCTCGGTCCTTGCAAAAAGTCCTGACGGGATCTACGACGGACGAGGAGCCTGGATATACGACTTCGTGGCCGAAGGCCAAACCTGTCCATCTAATTCCGACATCGCCGGCATTGGAGTAGTCATCTCTTCTGTTCTGTGTTCATTATACACAGCCTTGGCATCGATCCTCCTCGCTGGTCTCGACGCCCGATATGGAAAATCAACAACGCGATATGCTCGTTGCAGACACCTCCTCGTTACTTCCGTCACCGTTCTGGCAGACGCACAAGCCTTTATGGGCCTCGCACTTCTCACGGCGGCATACCTCAATCTCACCCAATATCAGAACGCCAATGCCTCAGTCCTAGACTTCCAGGACGCTCATTTCACCCTCGCGGTGTATCTTGCTTGTCTCTCGTCTAGGTGAGCTTCTGGGACTGATCTAATTGAAGGGACGCGAGTTTGATGATGCTCTCTCTCCGACCAGTTCACACTTGGCCTCTCTTCTCGTCTTGAGCCTGGACAGGTACAAAATGACAACGCTCATCCGAGTCGGTGTCATTATATCCTTCGCCGTGTTCCTAACGATTACCATCGACGTATCAGAATATGCGTTCGAGCCAGCTTTTATCATGATGGAGCGTGTGTTGATCGATTATTTGCATTTCTCGAAGGGAAGCGAGAACATCCTCGAGTATTTTGCACCGCCAATGGCCATGGCCTGGATCTTCTGGATTTCCGTGGCCCAGCTGCTCGAACCCTGGAAAGATTGCTGGCTCCGGAAGCCAGCTCGGCTCAGACGCCAACGATACTGGCAACTTGCCAGGCTGGCCAAGGCAGTGATACGCTTCTTAGTGTTCGGCCACCCGCTCGCTGTGTTGTTACTACAAGTTTGCTTCGCTGGAGTTTCCGTTGCATGCGCTCTTCTCCAGAAGTTTACGCCCGCTCCGAGTCCAACGACCTCTGATATCGCGAAAGGAGTTGGACAATGGTGCAGCCTGAATAATGCCCAGGACAACGCTTGGGGATTCGGACAGACGAGTGCTCTGATTGTGTTAATTATCCCTGTTTACTCGACGGTTCATGAGTTCTTGGGTGAGTTGATACGTGTAAGAACTATTTTGGGGACGAACGGCTAACTAGTCATTTAGACTCGAACAGAGAACGGCATGCGCATCCAGAGCAAGAGCTGGAAGAGGCGAAGATTTGCAAATGTTTATGGCAGACAAGCACGACTAGTACTGCGTCTTCTCACGGGCAGAATAGTATAGTATGAGGTAATGCAGATAATTGGAACACTTTCCTTTACCGTTCCGAGGAATCTTGTTCATGGTAGATATATACGGCATAATAACATAGCTTGAGAAATCTCTAGGCTTTTTCTAATTGAAACTCTTTCTGCCACTTGGCAAACCACTTATTACAAAGAAATAGTATACGAATGCAAAGAAAAACGTAGCAAAAGTGGTATATTACTCTCAAAGGCATAACAGCCGTCCGTCCCATCATCTACGGACATCGGTATCATAACAGAAACAAACTCTCATCCCTTCTTATCTTAGACACATGTGTTTCATCTCGTCACCGCGTATCCATAATCATTACACCCACTCCCTCACGATTTCTCCTCCTGGATCTGCCTCTCAACCTCCCTCTGCACCTCCGGACTCTCCTCCAAAATATCGTCAATAGTCCTAACCGGACCCTTAAAGAACGTCTTCCCGCCATATTTCGGAAACCAATAATACACCACACAAAACACCAGCACAAAACCCAGCACCACGACCGCGTAGTTCATTTCCTGGGCAGTGGGATCCTGGTACGACGGGAACAGTAGGATGATGAAAATGAACGTCATCCACGCGACGGAGTAGACGGCTGAGATGAGCGATAGTGTGTCGCCCATGTAGAACACGCCCGGGGTGAAGTGGCGGAAGAGCAGGCGCGAGATGAGGGGCATGCAGTAGGCGAAGTAGAGTCCCATGATGGCGAGGTTGAAGATGCTGTTGATGGCGATGGTGTTTACGAGCATCAAGAGACCTTCGGCGAGGGTCATTAGGGCGACGAACCCAACTGCTCGGGCGGGAGTTTTGTTTGCGGAGAGGACGCGGAGGAAGGATGAGAATGGGAGGCCGTGATCTGGTGGTTTGCGTTAGCTAGAAGAAAAAATGAGGAGACGAAAGGACGAACCTCTGGCAAAAGCGAAAGTCTCTCGACTAGCAGCCACCATCAAGATACTGCAGTTACAAACGCTGGATCCCCACAAGAATACCAGTAACGCAATACTTCCCTTCTTCCCGAGACTGTTGAATGCGATCTGAGCCAACGGTTGACCGAGAGGCGTAGTCACTATGCCTACGACATCTGTTCCCATACAGAATGCAATCGTTATAATGACTCCCCATCCCGTAACCAAAGCCGTGAGCAGCGAAGAAACCATAGCGAATGGAACTGCTCTGGCGGCATTTGACGCTTCTTCCGCAATGGTGGCCGAGGATTCGAAACCAGAAACGACCCAGACGGGAGTCAGGAACGAAAGCATGAAAGCCCATCCGTTATTCGTCCAGAAACCCGTATTCTCGAAATCGCTGAATACGAAAGAAGCAGAGTTCTTGAACTCGGAAGGAGTTCCGGCTGCGAGAGCGATGATGAGGGCGAGGAGCATGCAGAATTGTACGATGATGTAGGAGAAGTTGAGCTTGCTCATCGTTGCGGAGGAGACACATGTCATGCCAAAAGTCAAGAAAGTGGTCGCTGCAAACATGCCGTAGTTCTGGTATTTGGTTGCAACGAAGGCGCTGTCCGAGCCGATGCTGCATATTGCGCCTAGAATTAGTGTTGCGGCGTAGATGGTGGAGGCGTAGATGGAGATGTAGCCCAAAACGTTCATGTATCCGCTGGGACTTTGTCAGTATTGATCATAGGTGAGTGAAGGAGGAAACGAACGCAAGCCAGCACATGAATGCTCGTTGGCGAGCTGGTGTTAGACGTGCTACCCACTGCAATACAATCAGTACAAATGTATATTTTGTAGGGAAATTGGACGCACATAATACAATCCTCCGGATGTAGGCATACTGCTCCCAAGCTCTCCCAAACTCAGCGCAACGGGTATCAACAAGATACAGCCCGTAAAATAAGTCCACACCATTCCTGGCGCACCTGCGCTGCCGAGCGAAAAGATGATTGATTCAGCAATCGCAGGCGCGATACCCATTGCACCGAAACTTTGTCCGAATACCGTCAGGTAGGAGAATTCTCTCTTCAATTCTGCTCTGTATCCTAGGGTGGCGAGCAATTGATCGTCGGCCGATATGATTGCCGTGCTCCCCTCTTCCATCCCTAACACCCTTTGCGCCTTCTTCACCTTCTCATCGTGTGTGATCGAGCCATCATTGCTCGGACTCGTCGAAGCTCCAGCTGGATAGCTCTCGTTGTGCTCCATCTCGAAAAATCAACCTCGGTTTCCAGGACTTCCAAAGCTTGGCTGAACACAATCCAGGTTTCCTGAATTGGATTGCGATGTGTAACGTGGCAAGTCAAGTCGAGAAGGGAATCTCCCGTGATGTGGTGGGAGTCTTGTTGTTCAAATGAGCTCAATCAGGTCTGGGTCGAGGGCCGGGGGAATCAAAGTTTCTTCTTTCAACGGAGAGACAGGTCGTTCATATGCTGTCCCACCAAAGCTGTGGCATATGCAGAGCAAAGCTAGGAATGCAGGCCTGCCGATAAGCTGGATCTCGACCGGGGTGCTTCGGTCTCAATGGAGCATGGCATCATAAATCTGACAGACGGCATGAGGAGTGTCTTACGGGAGTCTTAGCTGTGCTGCTTACAGCAGGTATCGACGCCCAGCAGCGAGCGATAGATGATAAAGCTGTTTGGAAGTCAAATATGCAGAGATAAGCAATTTTCGGGGAGAATAATTTCTTGAATCAGAGCTTGTCAGTGGTCGACGGGAGCGATAACGAAAGTCTTTCAGGGGTGCTCGCGGCCATGCGACAGGAAGCAGGTGCTGATAACGGGAGCTACCCTATTAGTGACACACAGCAAATGGCGAAACTATCGCATAAGAACGCTTCGTAAGAACTTCCATCTTAATTATGTATCCAAAACAGCCAAACAGATGTCTCCTTCCATGCAAGCATGCACTTCCCAGCAATATCCACGGCACTGGGAAGGAGCAAAAGCCCTGTAGAAGTGGGCCGCGGCAAGCACTTGCCATGCAGACGAGAAAAATAAATTTTCGAGTGGAGATTGGATCAAACTATGTGGTTCTGACAACTTGAATTTTGCCCGCATCAGGAGAGTTTGACGAGAAAGGATCCTGTAAAAAGCAACGATAGATGAAGATGTCCCACGCTCGCTGCAGGCGCATCCCAGAAGAGGCGGCACGCGAATGCAGGTCAAGACCATGGATCGCAACCGCGGCTGCGCCCGATGTTATGCTTTGCTTTGAGTGCGGGAGTCGAGACCTGGAAGGATTCCACTTTGAACCCGGTGGTCGGAGAGGAGGCTGGGTATTGACCGTTCGTTGTCGCAGAGCAGTAGCAATCGAACAAACTGTTCGGAGAAAGAGAATGTTGAGATGTGATTTGTTTCCTGCCGTGTCAATCCCGTCTCATTAAAAGAAGGAAGTTTCCTCCCGCATTCCTCTGCTTGAATAGTTCGTGGCTGCATTTCTGCAACGCCCCCAACTCTGGGGTGAAGAATCAAGAACACGTTGCTGATACACTCGATAGTGAAAACCAGGTGGTTGGAAAGGTGTTCGAAGACGAGAAAGAGGATATGACTTCTGCAGACGGGACGCTGTCTCTTATGAATCAATCTAAGACGTTTTTATGTGTCAAAGTGACAATTCGTCACCCACGTGGCAAACAGGTGGTTTTCATAGTGAGAAGCACCGGATTCTATCCTTATATATATTTGGAAGATGTCTTGAAGTTGGTTTAAGCTCATGCGCTTCGATTATTATGGCAAAATAAAGAATTACCTAATTGAGAAGGAGGTGTTGGTTTGAGTCACGTGCTGTCGTACCTATCAGATACCTAGGTAGATTCGAGGCCTGATGTCTGGAGAAAGCAGTTATTCACGGCTAAGCTTGAATTTGAGATATTAAACTGTGTCTCATAGTCGTCAGATATTCGCCGTTGTTGTCAGACTCTCAGAGAGACAATGTTTCCAAACACTTGATGCGCTCAGTACGGTCTCAGGAACGTGTGTTGTCGCTCCGAGGTCTTGGACCCCAGCGTATCTCGGCGTTCTTGATACCGGCCGTACGGATCGAAGTACTGGAATTGAATCCATAAAGCGGTAGTCTCGCACCCTTCGACTCCAAGAGTCTTTCACATCGTAAGTCACGTGAATACTTGAACCGGGGTCAGTGCAATTTTCATAGTAATCATATTCTGGAAAGCTTTTAGAGCTATAGCTCTCGCTTTGAAGAACTATGCAATAAAACTTAGGTCATATGCCGTTGTCTATCCAGTCCCATCCAACTAGTTTGGAATTGCTTTGCTGAAGTTCGAGCTAGCGCATCTAAAATCTAGAGACGAGTATTCGAAAGAAGATATCAGCGCCTCGGATATAGCTGGTACAAAATTTGTACATATAAACATATGTTGATTTGGATTATGAACTTTGATCCCATCACTAGCGCCACAAAGTCATCTCTGCCACATGTTCCCTCCAATCCACAACAGGGTCCCAGTCTGGCGTGCTCGCCAATCCACTCCTCCCAGTCACTCCATACAAATACGGCTTCTCATCCGCAAAACAAGCCGTCTCGGCCTCTTCCGGCAACTCCCCACGCAAAATAAAACCCCTCGCAATCGAGTCCGTACAATTCGATGAATCTCTCGACGAATGCCCATATCCGTGATGTGCAATCAGCCTCGCGTTCTTGCCCATCTCGTTTAGCAATCGCCGTCCGTTTCGTAGCGGAGTGGCGGGGTCGTATGTTTCGGCGATGAGGAGGACGGGGTTCTTTAAAGTGTTGTTTAGGTCGCCGCGGTAGACGTCGGCGGGACGGGGCCAGTAGTCGGAGAAGTGGCGGCAGGGGAAGACGCTGTGGAAGCGGGTGTTGCCTGCTATCCAGGATTTGGATGTCATGTTTGCCCATACTGTGTACCGAGAGAGTTAGCTAATGTGTTCAGAATGGAATACAAGGAAAGATAGGGTGTTTTGGGATCTTGAGAAGAAGGTTTGAAGGATCTGGGGATTCTCACGGTCGTCCCACCAATCTAGACCATCAGGCTGATGTGCATCATATGAATCGGAGCAGATGACCATGATTCCTAACTCGTCTGAGCCTGATGGCTTCTTCCGAGTGCTTGTGCATGGCAATGTAGGATCGTACTCCCATTCGTCGAGGAACTCTGTCGCGAGAGTCGAGTTCCCGTTTTCCAGATCGTATAGCATCTTTGCAAGAGCTGGCCAAGTTCGAGCATTGTACCTAAAAGTTTGATAAGCAGTTTTCCGTCAAAGGTATTCGTGAGTGAGAGCATGTGGCTACTTTAGGGAAGAATAAAAGGTATGACGAGAAAGTCAACAAAGTCGTGGAGGCACCAGACATCACTTACATGGCCGAATAAAGACTATCTACAAGTCTGGTATACGTGATGAGCGAAGGGCCGCTAGACTCGCGATAACCTGGAATGGGGCGTTCAATGAGTGACTGGAGTAAACTCTGGAGTCTAATTTCCAATTCCGCAACAGTCGCATTCTCTCCTTGTCTCGGCTTCGCAAGGGCGCAGTGTTCAGGGCCAGCATTGAGGCATTCACCGAGGAAGCCATCATGCCATGCATCGGTTCCGTTGTCAAGCGCGGTCCATCCAAAGCCTCCAACTAGACGATGATCCCGTACATACTCAGTGCCATCCAGAATCATGCGTCCCACACTATCAGGGAACATATTGGCATAAGTCTGACCGATTCCAGTACCATAGCTGACCAGATATCCCGTCAGCTCATCCTCACCTAGGGCCTTTCTAATCTCCTCCAAATCCCGCGCCACAAAAGCGGTACTGACGAAGCGGGACAGATCTCCCTGACGCTGCCAGCAAGCACGGAAAGTAGACTCGTAGAAGGCATCCACGAACTCTAGCTGAGCTCTAGGAGATGGCGAGACTTCGCGAGCTTGGCTTCGCAACAATGCCCATCGATCACGGTCTGCATCATAGGGAAAACACGAGATAGCAGGCAAAGATGTGTTGACACCGCGAGGATCCCATCCTAGAACGTCAAATGCACCTTCGCTGAGCCGCTCTGTCACATCCTCTGCCGCACGCCATGCCATTGATGTCCCGCTGCCTCCAGGTCCACCGGGTTCGATAACGATCGTTCGCTCACTCTTCTTGCCAGCAGAAGAGCATGATCCGGTAGGTGCCAGGCCAGAGACCTGAAACTTCGTCACGGCGAGTCTTGCAATGCGACTGTCGGATTTGTTGGTGTAATCCAATGGCACGTCAACGTAACCACAGAGGAATATGCCTCTGCCTGCGTAGGGATCCGTGAGACTCTCATGTGTTTCGTTCGATTTGGATTTGCCCCAATTCCAATGTGTGGGCTTCGGGTCAAAGAGTTTCGCCCATGAAGCCTCTGGGTGAGGGTCATCCAGTGGTGGGGGTAGACTTGTAGAAGTACACGGTATGAACCGGAACGGATCATTAGGGACAGGGAAACGGCCGTACGGAGACACGTTTGAGTCTAACGCGGTCTCAAACTTCCTATTGCCAGGAGTCCATGATCCTCTATGATAGAACCCAAGTGCTGCAATCAAGACGACCGCGAGACAGACCACTTTTCTGGATTGTGGTCGTGGTTTCTCGTTCGCTGATGATCGGAGCTCGTCCGCAAGTTTGTCCATCATGGCGGACTTGGGTTCTGTTCGTGGTCAAGCTGAATTTGTACACCTGGGCAGTGAAGCCTGATATAAAGAAGCTGTGCCTGCAAGGTACCCGTGGATGACGAAGTAGAGCGGGGAACATTTAGTCAGCAAGGCACGTGAGCAAATACATCCTCAAGAATGGAAGAAGTTATCAAAGCCCTTAGAAACCATTATGACTTTGAAGGGTGTAACAGAGTGGACTTTGGGAGGTTTTGGGAGAGATGGGACTAGCGAGAGAGTTCGGATTGAGCTGACTGAAAGCTCGTGATGCGTAGTGGTATCACGTGCTTATCAAGCAGGTCAGTACATCCAGCTTGACTACACTTCTTATTATCCAGATGCATCTCCGTAGACTATCGAAAAAGCCATAATCGCAATTTGACTGCCAATAAAAAATCTCTCTCAATTAATGCCTCAATTTAACAAGTTAAACCAACGGTACATATTCCATGATACCAATTTCAGGCAATTTGTTTCCACTTAGTACGTGTAAATGTCTGAAAATTTCATGCGTGAGGTATATAAACCGACGAGTAAGAGAGGTCCGGATCAAAATACTCTACAACATTTGATTTATTGAATATATTAATACAGCATCCCAGTGATGTTGTTGGTGGTCTTGTTGGTGTTAGTGTTAGTGTTGGACTCTGGGGGTTACACACCTCAGGTTGTTTTAGTGACGCAAAACTTCGATTGCAGGTAAGATTGATGCTGATCTGAGAAAATTCGACATTCAAACTCACTGAAGCCGGGTAGAAACTTGAGACTTTTGTTCTCTTCGTGATTTTCATTCCCAAAAATCTTGAATTCCCGACTAACTACAAGTGGGAGGTCTCGTCATCCAGTAGAGATGTTTATCAATCTTTTGCAACCTCTTCCATTCGTCGCTCGGCTCCTCAATAGTCATGTCAGGGTCCACCACACCTTTATCAACAAATCCAAAATGTTGATAGTAGGTCAGGCCAGCTGGCACGGCGTTGACCATGATCTCGAGTCCGAGCCTATCTGCTTGTTCCAGTCCCCACTGTAAAAGCATATTGGCAGCTCCGGAGTTTCGATGACTTGGATGAGTGGCGAGCTGATCAATCACTGTAAAGCTTTAGCGTAAGCTACAAAGTTGCGAAAGCTGCCCATTGAAACGTAAAATTACCTAAATGAGGTTTCTGGAGGGCATGTTGCTGCGAACCTACAATCGCCCCAAGCCATCTTGATGTGAATTCGCGAATGATAGAGCCTTCTGGCTGCCATTGGGCATCGATAGGTGCTTTTGAAGATTCAGGAGCTTCTTCATAGATGAGCCACGATGCTGCAGCGATAACTTCGTTGTTGTTCGATGAGTCGGTAATCTTCAACCAATGTCGTGCCGGATCATCTTTCCAAGCCTCTGCATGCCGGGCTGCTTTTGCTTGAATTTGCTCCTCGTACGTGCCTTGTGTGTTGTTCAGGAGCTCGTAGAAAGGATTGAACGGCTCGTGGAAGGCAGCGTAGAGGACATGCGCAATGGAGGTGAATTCGTGCTCGGAAATGACCTCGGATAGTTGGAGAGCCATACCACAGAGTGCACTCTGTATATGTATGTCAAATATGCCTTGTTTATTTGAATTTGTAAGATCTTAGAATTTGGGTCTTATTGAGACTTAATGTTTATACAATGACGACAACATTCATGATAACGGAGACGCGGCAGAGGCACAGCTTGCAACCGACACTGAGCTAGCTTTCGGACCCCAACATTTTACTGCACGTGCCATGTCCAAAATGTTGTATCATGTTCCATGCCTGGCTCTGGTGACGAATAAGTGTATTCATACACAGCGAATTGTGGCTAAAATCTGTCAGCTATGAAGTCGTCTAATACAGTCACTTTCATTAGATCATGTCAATCTCAATCTTTGGCAAGTATTCTGAGTCAAAAGGTTATACTATTCAAATTTCATGTGGTTGAAAATATGTATTCCATGAATGCAAGCACAACTTGAAGACTTTCCACGTTCTCCATTCCTCGCTAGCCTTAACATGCTAAACCCCTCTTCAGATTACCTGGCGGACATTCCGACAAATAACAGATATAGCTAACCATGTCGTCCGAGAATTCATAATTCGCAAAATTTGATAAATCTGGGTCACCACTAACAACGTCCACTACCGGCGACACATCTGCGCAACTCGGCTCACTAAACAAAGTGCAACTTCCCGCCAAATTGAACGCCATGGAAGCAGCTTCCGAAACAAAGTACGCAGGTGCATTGTAGCAGACACCAAAAGTCCCGCAAGCATCATAAGAACTGCCTCCGAAGTCAGTCGATGAGTAGAAGGTGGCGAAGTCGGTGCAGGAAGCAGCCGATGGACTCGGACTCGGTATCATCTGGAGAGTGGGAGATGGTGAAGGCTGTAGTCCGCATAGACCATATTCAGGCTGACAGCCTTCGCCGCAGTAGTCCGCAGTGTTTCCGCACGAGTTATACTCACTGCAACATTCTCCCGCACCCCAGCCTAGGCAAGTTGCTCCGTTGGTGGCGCAATAGCCATTATGAGTGTATAGCAACCCCGTTGGGTTTGGCGAAGAACCTGTTGTTGTAGTTTGATCCTCTTCAGTAATTATGAAGGCTGTCTGGCTCGCCGTAGGTAAGATAGCCGTAAAAGTCAAATCCAATGGTACAGCTGAGGATGAAGTAGATGGAATATTTTCAGGAAGGGTGGCTGTAGATCCGTTCACAGCTTGATAGGTCGTTGGTAAGGAGTAAGTGTTTCTAAACCTGGTCGTTAGCCGATGATAATACAAATAACATACTGATGTTTACTTACGAACCTGTCACGTAGATTCCTGGAGGACTTGCTCCTTCTTGTCCCCAGATCGTCACATAAATCCTCTCGCAGCTCCCGATGATGGATTGCTCGTTACTTGCGAGAGCGACGCCCAAACACGACAATAACAAGGCTTTGTGATGCATCTGAGAGTGTGATGACTTGATGCAACTCGAGTGGTGACGCATGAAGATATAACGATGTTTTGTAAGTGGTGCATTCCTATGTTGCCGAGGACAACCGGAGGAATGTCGATTAAAAAGAAAATTGTGAGGACTTCAGAGATGATGAAGACGGATTCTTACGGGCCCCACCTGCATAATCTATTTGGTCACCGAAAGACTTTCGGTCCCTCCGCACTGCTGCTCCTAGATGACCACCAGTACTGCGTGAGTGAAGTGGTCGCTCGCTAGGTTTGGAAAGTTATTGCTCCCGCATTGTGCTCGCTTAGCTACCCCGCCCCCTATTGTCATGAAAACTACCTTTCAAAATTTCCAAATTTCGTGAAAATACATCCAGTAACTGTAAAGATTATAATATCCATGACCGGAAAACCATCAATCGAGAGCTCGAGACTGGAAATAAATCACCCATTGGAATTAGGTGAATTTGATGGCCTGAAGTCTGATCGTGTTTTATGTTCATAAAATATCAAGATCCTTGCAATATACTGGGATCTGGGTCGAGCACCCAAGGATCTTCTGTTTGATACTGATCTGAGCATTGGCTGCTCACAACGTTTGAGTTCCTTCTGCCATTGCGAGTCTCAGCACGTGATGACTATCAAAGTCCTGTTTGGGGATTCCAATGTTTGAGAAACCAAGCACACGAAGACTTTGGTGATGGAGGGATTCCATGACTGGTAATAATAACACTATGACATTCTAGAACTTGAATTCCTCGATGATCTAAAGGCGATCAATTGCATTTAGAAATTTACATACTCCGTCAGGGGTCCTGCTTAGCAAGTGAAGTCCTTTTTGCCTAGTGAATCAAAAGGTTTACAATCACCACTATAGTTACACGGTGGGATATGTCCTTCGAACTACATACATTTGCAAAGAGTCCGTTCGGCTCGCATTTAGACGGCTACTCAGCTCAAATCAATCTGCAAGCCCAATGTGGCGTTCATGACGCTGTCCCCGTAGAAGAATTCGGTTCTGTCGAGCAGGTGTCAGGTTCAGCGTAGAAATTCAAGAGATATTGTCGAACTTACCCGGCATTTCCAACGTTGACATACGTCTCATTTGTAAATCTCCCCAAATTTACCAGAGCTTCTAGCCATTCTTTCAAATCTCCCTCAAAACTCCCATCAAATTGGACATCGGGAAGCATGCTGTGGACCGTGATCCCAGTATCTGTATTCTTGGCTTCATACAATTTCCAGCTTGTGCCGAACAAAGAATCAATGGTGGTCACAACGTCTCCCCATCCGATCGGTAGTTGACTACCCTCATATTGGAGCCATAGCATAAGTTCTTGAGCGGAAGTCGAAGTGGAGTCTCCTTTCGTGTCGCTGGTCATGAAATCGAAACAAATGTTGCCTTTGAAAGCGGTAGTATTCGTTCGCGACCAATTGTAACTGGCTGGAATGGAGGAGATTGCGGAGATTGTGGTTTCAAGATTTTGGGTGAGACCGACGAAGGAGTATCCTTTTGGGACGTTGTCACTGCCTGGAGATCAGACTCAATAGATGGGAGGTAAGATCCATGCTAACTCACGTGCTCTCAACATATTCAATATCAGTAACGCTGCTCCAAATCACTTCGGGGTTACCAGTTGCGGGCTTCTCGACACTCTCAAAGTTTGTACACTGTGTTCCGACCGTCACGTCTGCATTGTAAAGCATGTTGTAAACAATCCATGGAGTGCCACTAAGGATGACATAGTCCTCATCGCCACAATGCTCCGACGCAGCCAGTGCCGTAGTCGCACGAGAAAATACCGAATGAAAGGGGGTGCACGTCGAATAGTGAAGCAGAGCCAAGACGACAGAGAGATGTGATAAAGAGAGCATGCCGAAAAGGAAGAATAAAGCGTGAAATGAAGCAAAGACAACCGGAAAGAGGGACAATGGATGGGAAAGAATAAATTGAGGAGCTGAAGTAGAATAGTATCCTCTTAAAGACGGTTGCACAACAATTAAATGAACCTTCCCACCAGCATCATAGACCGGATTCCTGGGAGAGCACACTGATGGATTGTTTCAAGTATATTTTTGCAAGATTGTAAGTGGGTCCACTGGAAATTTCTCCGTACACTTGGCGAAACGATCGGCAAAAATAATTCCGCTCAAGCATCTAGCCGAGCTGAGGTCACAAATGATCATGTAAATTGAGTGAACGTCATGGGAGCACGAAATTGTGAAGCTATTGGACATTGAAATGCGCTCGCTTTAGGGATTGGGGAGATTGACGAACGCCTTTCTAGAATTTGATCCACGGAGGAGCTTGTATTGAATCTCGAGTTAACACATTCATTACTTCGTCAATTTTTAAGCGAGCCCCTTTTTCGTTATGTGCCTTAAATAAGTTCCTCCGACTTATCTTCGCTGATGCATATTATCAGAGCATGCAATCCCCTCTTTGAATTCTTATCTAGCTCTGCAAAAGTCCAGAAATTGAGGGCCAATTACAGTACTAGGGACAAAGTTCCCGTGATTCGGCTATTTTACACCAAAACTCACCCACTTTAATGTGATGCATCATCACGACCCTCTTTCAAAAATCTCTTATGGATAGCACTATGATAATTTAGAACACTATTAGTCAATCCTCTTTCAAAGATTGAAATTCCTTAAATATTTAATAGAGATATGTGAAGTTAAAATAAAGAGTTGTAAAAATTAAGCGAGTTTTGGTGTAAAATAAATATTATTACTTATCCTCTTTCTTTAGAGCTATAAAATTCGAGAGAGTCTACTCGTCACTTCAATTTAAATTAGTAGAAACACTAATAAGTATCCAATAAGAAGTTCTCCTTCCTTGGATTCCTAGTATTTTTGCTTAAATGTGGAAAATTCTTTAAGTAAACTATGCGAGTTTTGGTGCAAAATACCCGAATCACGGGAACTTAAGCGCGGTGACTTCGTCCGGAATCGATTCCGAGGGCAAACACAAAGCGTAATCCTCTCCCCTCAATTGCTTGAACACCGAACCGTATTCTCGCTAAAATATAGCAAGTCAGTCAATCAACCGCGAATAGCTGCCGAGAAGCATGGTAATTGAGCAGAATAGCAATTGCAAAGATGATACTCTTGAGTCAATCTCACCTGCAGAACGTAGACAAAGTCGTCATACAATCCATCCCTCTGCATCTTCTCGCGGACTATATGTCCAACTCCTCCAAGTATAGCGTTCACTGTTGTGAGTTTGCTATCCCATGAGACGAACGAAGAAGTCGCAGTGCCATCCACTCGAGTTGATTCACTACTGCCATATGGATCTTCGTTGAGCAATCAGCATTTTCCTTTCAAGTATGTTACCACAGTAAAAGCCATTGTCTTACTTTGCATCTTTTTCCCATCCACCATATTCTTCCACCAAGCCATGCCAATTGCCTTGTTGAATAGTATCAACGGGAAGACACTGTACGGAGTCATCACATCGAGCTCCTGGACTGTTTGATTGGAGATCGATGGAATGCCAGCATTCGAAATATAGCCTATGATCTGACCAGTCGTCGGATTAGTTGAATTGTTAACGGATGCAAACATTCCTGGCACTTTCGTGACAACCGAGTTACAAGTTCGCGCTCTTTCAGCATTATGATAAACACGCCTAGTAGTCAGTGAGTCATCACGAGGTTTTTGCCAGCTGAAGATACTCACTTGACGATCTCGACATCGTAATAAGGCATTTCCATTACCTTCCATTGCTCGTGGCTAGAGAACAAGAACCCTAGACTGCGTCAGCGGTGTCTCATCTCGCGAACGCATCCAATTCGAACTTGCCTTTTTGCACAGTAACCGGTCCAAATCCATCCATATCATAGTCCACACTCACAAGCTGAGGACGCTTAACTTCCCAAAGCAAATTTTTGTCTTTATCTGACAGTCCTCCAAAGAAGTATAACCACCACGTAAAGAATTCTCCTTCGTATGGATCATTTAGAGTATTGTTTCCTTCACAAGTATAATTTTGCTGTGGGTCGTTGACCTGGTAGGTCTGATTCGTAGGGTCCGTCACAGCACAAACAATTCCGTCGCCTTTATAGAATATCTAGGAGATTTAGCTTCTAGCTGGAGATAGACGTGAGATACTACCTTGGCAGCTGTTGTCTTAGTATAATCAAGCCAACTTTGCCACTTTTTTACCAAGTCGTTGTACTCTGGCATTGCACTCATCTCCAGGACTTGTACCGCGCTGTATACGGCCCAGATGAGTCCTCTAAATCTATCTTGAGCAACTCTAAATTTTCAGAGTGGATATGTCTAGCTTACCCATTGTCAAGCGCAGGCACACGATTGACCCAATCATACGTGGGTGTGATCTCAATTGAATCCCCTGTGTACCAAGGTAAGAAACCTCCAAACCCAGGGTATGTTTCGTTGAACTTTAGATAAGTTTGCAACTTCAACGACATGATCTCAAAAGCGATACTTCTTGCCTTCCTTGGCTCATCTGGAGAGAGGAACTGAGCTGCGCTGTGTGATCCAGCTAGAGCGTGAGTATAGAGCATTATTTGAAGCAACTCTTTGCTCGCTGCGCTAAATGGATGTTTGGCAGTTGGGAAACCAGTTGTTTCGTTGAGGAGAGTTCCGTCATAGCTCATGCCATTGTGAGCATTATAGCTGACATTATTTTGGTGATATTGCCCTTCCCAGTACAGTATGTCGGATATGAAAGATGCTGGGTCGTTTAAGATGTCTTGCTGTGTGTAGGTTGGGGAGAATCGACATTTCGGTGGTACGGATCTCGGGCGTGGCTGATTCGGAGCGTAATATGCTACGTTGAAGGTCGCAAGAGTGAAGAGAATAAGAAGAAGAGGAGTGAGAAAATTGAACATATCTTCTTAAACAATCTTGGAAGGCGAGTATGTGTATCATTGATCCGTGGTTATAAAGAATATTTCAAGAGAGAGTGCAAACAGAGTTGTGAATGTGGGGTAGGATCAGAACTATCAGACTTAGCTTCTGCCCTTGGCACTTATATGCTGTCATCAATTCATTCTAGTCTAAAGCCTTACGGAATATAGGATTACTGAAGGAACTAGAAACATCGAGTGATCAATTGACTTTTCGAGGCGGCATCAAGCGTGGCTGTTCAAATGCGGGGTCGTCAATCGGGGAAACCCTAATGTGTGACGTGAACCTTAAATTTTCGTACCAATATCGAGACAGAGAAGAAAGGATTCTAGGGTAAAAATTTTCAGCTCGGGAATACACCGGGACTTCGAATCAAAATTGTTGGCGTGGCGCTTCACTTCTCTGTTCGTGTGATGTGAATAATCGCAAAACATCAAAATTACTGCCTGCAGCCACCCGACGAAATTGATATTGATCTCCTCTCGAATTTTCCTATCCCGAACTTCACTGGCGCAGACCGCGGACTTTGCCATCTGCAGTGGTCTGATGCACTCAGAATACCGTAGACGAGAAAATCTACTGGCATTGCAAGATCTCAGCCACTGTATCCTCATTTAAGCCTTAGGAGAATCATCTCATAAGCTGATTTGTCTTGAGTTGAAGCTATTTCATCGTTTCGCCTGCGACAGCGTTTAACATCTCTTGGCATTGTTAGGTAAGATGATAATGCGAGATTAATGACAAGCAACAAGTCTTACTGGAAACGTTTAGTTGACTCATGATATACCGAAATTGTTAAGGGCCGCTGCGAAAGCTATGTATCTTTTCAATATGTTTCATTTTGGCTCGTATTTAACAATGTGATGTCTCACACGTAGGCCTAAATAAGCGACAACTACCCCTATTCTTATTCCAGGAAGTTTCTGTGCGGCATCACCACGCAGGGGCAACATGCGGCATCGCACCAAGAGAACTTGGACCAATCAGGTTGACTCTTGAAGGCACCACATGGTAACTTGGACTGCTCTCACAGAATCATCTCCCCACAGTCAGATCACGCCTCTTTCCAGATGGAGATCTGCTTGTCCGGGGCAAGGATTTGTTTTTTTCTGGACCTGCTTCAGCTGCAGAGATCAAGTCAATCGCCCGCATTCCAAGTAGATTTATAAAAGACTAAGTACTATATCAAAACTCCGATTCACCCGATACATCAACTCCCCTTTACTTATTTTTGTCATTCTCACACGTTCGTTTACGTTTACCTCGAGATAAACATGAAGTTATCTCATTTTGTCCGTTGTAGCGCTATTCCAGTGCTTGTCCACTCTCTTGCTCCAACTGACGAGCCCCGAGATGCCGTAAGTTTTATGTTTTTGATCACACTCCTAGATTCTAATAATATCATGACCAGGACCCTCCTCAATCAGGTTACCTTCCCAACCACAACATCTCTCCAGCACTTCTCTCAAGCTACACAAAGAAATGGACGATGAAATACAATACTGCAGAGGAGTTCTATGCCAATCCCTTGGTATATACGGCTCCCAATACTACGAAAGAACTTGTCATCTTGGCTTCCATCCAAAATATTGTACGGATACTTGATAGTACCACTGGTGCTCTGATCATCAGTCGCACTCTCGATGCTCCATATGTATCGTCTGATTCAAACTGCAATGATGGCGCTACAGTCGGGATCACCGGAACTCCGATTATTGATACAACTTCAAACATCATGTACCTTTTCACCAAGGGCTACTGCAATGGCTTACCTGGTCCTCAAGGTGTCATCAATGGTCTATTCTTCATACCATCTCCGTCATATTCAACCTTGCTGAGATATTACCAGGCGCATATAAATTCTGGGCACTGAACGTCCCAAGCTTGACGATTGTCCCAGGCTATCCAGTCTTAATCAAGGGACCAGCATCCAATGATCCTCAGCGCTACTTCATTGGAGGCACAATCTTGCAACGTCCTGGTTTGGCGATGAGTAAGTTTACTTCCTTATTAGTTTGACAACTTTGGACATAGAATTTTTCTCCGGTGTTTGTGGGCATGCCAACATCGTGTGTTTGTGAGCTTTTGAGAGATTACTAGTACTAATTTCCCAACCTATCTATTATGTTCTCGACCTTTTACAGTGCAAATTAAATGGCTAGTTGGTGACAGCGTCATTGCCGGGTTCGGTGGACACTGCGATTCAATGAACTACACTGATATCCTGATCGCAGTCAGCAAGACTCCTAGCAAAGGTGTCACGGACATGATGGAAATGGAAGTATCTCCAGGTGAGCAAAGGCCCCAACAACAAGAACCTTATTTGGGGTTATGCAGCGCTAACAGTCTTGTTCCCAGGTGAGCCAGCAGACCCTAATCTCCTTCTTGGAAAGGGCGGGAAAGCTGGCATATGGCAATCGGGCATGGGTATTGCTGCCGACACGGTCAACAATCGAGTTTTCTTCTCCACAGGGTAGGGTTATGAAATGAATCTCCCTACATTGGATAACTTCTTACACTCATCCTAGTAATGGAGATGGCCCCGGTGCCAACAAAGGTCCTACCGGTCCCCAGCGCCCGGCAAGGCAGGCACCAGCACTTTAGATCAAGCGATTGTGAACATTGGGGTTGATCCTGTAACAGGACTCCTCAAACAACAAGACTACTTCTCGCCAATCAATTACGAAAAGCTGAATGCTGGAGACAAAGACTTGTCCTCTTCTGGTGTCACCCTGTTGGACCCTATCACTTTCTCTGGAGGTGGTGTCAATCGTGTTGGGGTCGCCGGGAGCAAAGCTGGTGTGATATATGTTGTTAACGCGGATAATCTTGGCGGATTCAAGATGGGTGCGTCATTGAGTGTCTGACTTCGAAAAGAGGTCTTGCTAACCGGATACCAGGACCCAACAGTTCTGATGCAGGCAAGTTATCTGACTTCGAAAAAAAAGGTTTCAGGCTAACTTCATCAGTGCTACAAGAGCTCACTTTCGCTGGTTCGTTCTATAGTGGAATCGGCAGTTATCCATTGGAGGGAGGATTTATATAGTATGTTGCTTATCGTTTACTATCTTTTCCCAAATTCTATCGTCATGCTAATCTCTTCAAGGCTTCTGCACCACCTGTGGAGCCTTGCAAGCTTGGAAGAAAGTTCTCAATGCTCAAGGTCAACCGAACTTTGCCTTTGCAGCCGAAAGCAATATCCCCTTGGGCTGCCACAACACTCCAACAGTGACGAGTCTGAACGGAGTTGCTGGGACCGCTATTGTAAGCAACTCATTCTCTCCCTATACACGCTTATATACCAACTCTATAGGTCTGGTTAGCTGATACATCTAAAGGGCTGGTAGCGTTTCACGCTGTCCCTAATGGTAGCGTCTTGACCCAAATCACACTCCCGGGTAGTGGAGGGCTACAAAAGTTCCATCGTCCAATTTTTGGTAACAACCATGTCTACGTCACTTCAAGTAACAAGCTCATCGCTATTGGTGGTGTTGCTCAGTGATCGAAGATAGGGAGATTTGCGTTCAGTCGCACATGGAGTATGTGAATTTGAAGATTGACATGATATCATTAGATCAGAGAAATTATTCGCAGAGATCCCATTTCTCCATCGTCACATTTTCTGCCGACCCTCTCAATTGATTTCAATCGAGGAGGACAACTTTAGACTTTGAAATAGTCACGAAAAACATCCATAAACGTCCGTTTTTTCCTTCTTCAACATTCGTACATGTGCACAAACTCAAGTGGCTTCGGCTCAGACCTCCCAATTACCTCCTTTGCACCAGCTCTCAACCATCTTGAGAGCTTAATGTGAGCCATTAAACAATTGTCCACGACATTCCAGTTGTCAATGGAGATATGTGCCGCCGTCGTCTTGAGCGTACTCTTGAGAAAGCGACCATGAGCTGTGTCCTGGGCTGCTGGAAGCGCCGCTAGAATGACGAACAAAAATATGCCGGGTATTTGCTTCCAACGCGCCAATCTAATTTTCCACATATTCACCCAAAGATAGTCCAGGTCCCACAGTGTGCAGGCTTTCGAGAGAGAAACTTTCTCCACTATTGCTTTGCAGTATATCAGGGCAGCGATACGGCAGCTTTTGTAGATGTAGTCTCCTGCCAAAGGATCCGAGTCGCCTGTTCCACTTGGTAGAGCAAAAATGCGGTCTTTGATTGCGATTGATGCTGCTGTGAGATTGTTCTTTTCTGAAAGGGACATCTCACGATCGACATGATTCAAAACAACCAACAGGAGGGACCGCATATCGTCTAGAAGCGCAGCTGTTTCTCGGCGGATATCTAGTTGATCGATATGCTTCGAGAATTTATCCCGCGATCGGATGAACGGAGAGTTCATGTGAACTGGGTGTATGCCAGGTCTTTCAACATTGTGGGGAAATGTTGGCTCCTGCTTGTATGATATGGCCATTTGATAATCGGTCCTACATCATATATTAGTCCTTGGAGTAGCAATAAAAGGGATAGCGGAGTACTAACAGGAGGATCATCCTTCTCAGAAAACCGCTCATTCCTAGCTCTCCCAGCCCAACCCGCAGTCTTACAATCTCTTTGAGGCCATTCAGATGTCCTTGGACCACTTCATAGCCACTCCAATACCATTCATTGATAATCAGAATAATGATTGCGCCAATGACCTCGTTACTTGTTGAAGTATCCTTGTTGGAGAGCATCCCATTGAGCTGAGTCAGCGCATCACATTTGTATCTCAACACAACCGGTGACTCTTTCGGAGCTCTCCGGTATGCTTCTGCTTGATAGCATGAAGCGGTGAAGATTGCCAGATTCGCAAGCAATGGTGATTTCATGGACCATGGAACCCAAACATCATTGTAATAATTGGGCTGGCAGCGGCCGTCAATTGAGGTGACATATCTTGCGACTTGATTGACGACTATTGATATGAGCTTAGTTACAACTTAATTCTCTTAACACTTACACGCTTGGAGTAATTCTGAACTTTGGGCGACCGGTTTCACGCCAAGGTAGTGCAATGGATCGACTGAGGTGATGCTGAAACTGCTCGGTTTAGGGCATCGTGTAACCTTCTGTAGCATCTGCCGTGCCTCCATCCTTTGAGAACCATCTCTAATGAATGGATCTCTGTCCCAGGACCTCGAGGAATTTTCATTGGAATCTTCAAAAAATCCAAGGTCATTCTCATGGCTGCCCATCTTGCCTTCCACAATTCCAGACATCCGTGAGACCATAGTAGTCAGAAGCTGCTGGTAGGTAGATGGATCATGAAGATCAACGCTGTTGGAACAGAGATCATGTGATTGAGCAAAGTCTTGATATAGAGAGCCTAATTTCCGGTAGTACGAGATGATTGCTGGCTTGCCATTTTGCGAGTTCTTTGCTTCTTGTTCTGAAGCACAAGTGATCTTTGCGACCTCCCGACATGGCGATGATGATGCAGTTCTATCTTGCAGTAGGTATTCAATAGGACTCGTAATGCTGCTGTTACTTTGCAAGGTCAGCGGAGGAGATCCGATAGGTGTTTTTCCTAGACTTACTCAAGGGTGCGATAGATACATGCAACCTGCGGGAATCTTCTTGTGCAAGTTCGGCACGGACGTTTTCGATCGCACTTCTGCTTTCGTCTGTGGCACTCCGTGCATGATGTGCTCAACTTCAAGCGACCTTCTTTGGCCCTGGAGCTTCTGTACCGCTCGTGACATGCCTGCATGGTTTCGGACATCGCGAATCTGGGTTGCGGGTTGCTCGAGAGTTGAGACCATGTGGCATGAAGAGAAGCTTGCAAATGAAAAAGAGAGTTCTGGGCCTAGTATTATGCAGGTGTTCGGACTTAGTTAAGCGAGATATCCGAAAAAGAAAAGGGGGCTTGACCCGAGCTGAGTCTTGCTTTGAGGGTGAATTAGGCAATTTCACTTCTTAGACAACGAATTTGATAAACTAGCAACATATCAAAGGCACCGTTGAAGAGTTTTCAGATGTTTAATGCCTTATTGTATCAGAAGTTTTTTGAATTCTTTACGCATCACGTGATTATAATCCCCAACTTCCTTCCGTTCCCAATGGGGAACAGGAGGATCGCTTGCAAATGTATTGATATCACTCATTCTTTTGTATCACATCCTTCTAACTCAATCCTTAGTCTTCCACTTCTTGGAGGTTGTACAGCGGTGATCGCGATCAACCAGTCGGATTGCCTGGCAACTGTGGCAACCAGCCATCAATCGGCTCTTTGACAACATTTGCTAGGGAGCATTTGTTCTGCTCCTCCATAGTCTGAGTCTTCAATGTGGTACAATTGACGTAGCAATTCGAGTCCATGGCTCTCTGGAGAGCATCACCCTTCCATCCAAAGACATAATCGGCATGGGACCCATATCCCTCGCTGCGAAGCTATCAGTAACAGGTGTCATTTTGTTGCGCGTGATTTGTATCTTACCGATCTGTACCCATACCATTCTGACTCCATGTTAGAGGGCTTGTGCCATCGGCCGGCCAAAGATCTTTGAACTCTCTGGTGTCCCAGTTCGTCTCATAAAATAATTGAGGCACTCTGACGGGATGGCTATCTGGACATGGACCTCCACTCTCAAAGGTTCCACTGATTGGATATGCCATATGGCTTGCATGATTAGGACTGTCCAAATTCTTTCCGTCCCAGCATCTGTGTAATATCAGCAAGTGAATTTGAATATGCGACCCTCATATAATTACGTTGGGAACCGAACGTTCGCCAAAATTCCAGCCGGGCAATAAGAGGTTGGAAATTCCATCGTCTCTGGACCTCGAGTCGCCATATCTTGCAAACATGTATATGTAATCTGTCGGAACTTTCTCGCGTCTTCCTTTGTTGTGATGGTTGGATTTCCAACGATCATGCGGAATCCCTAGCTCAATCAGCATCGGCCGAATGAAGTGATATGGATATTCTCACTTTTTTGAAAGCCGTCACTTTCGAACTTTGATTCATGTTGTAGAGAGCATCTTGCATGTAGTAAATTGTCATGCCACCATTCGCATTATCAAAACCGAGATTTCCAATCTGCGGGACACGTTTATACGTGCCATTCTTATGCTTGAAGAACAGCACAGCTGTCCAATAGTTTGAGAAGTCTTCGCTGAATTGGCAGGTGGTACAAGTGGCCATGCTTGCGATGTCATTATTCGGGTCCATTGTGACATTGAAGGTATTCTATGGCGTATTAGCTACTTCCCAAGAGCTTTTGTGAAGGACTTACGCCACCAACGATCTGGTGAAGGTGTGCAGACGGCTCAACACCTGGCCTGGTAAGGTGAGCGCTGGATTTATGCTTCCTTTACGGGGACGTACTGTACCAATGGATCCAGGCGATCCACTACCAACTGTGAACAACCAAATCGAATGAGGGCATTCGTTGGGGCAACCAGCGCTAGAGCGCCTACTAGGGAACTCCACAGCATCTTGCTTCTTGGTGCAGAAACAATAGAAACAACAACGAGTGATACCACAAGCGAAAATCCTCAACAAGTATGATTATCTGAGAGTTCAGGGACATCATCGAGAAGTCTTCACTTTTAGATCAGCAAGTTACGATTGCCGCGCCGATAGCCATTGCATATTGCCTTTCAATATCAAAAACAAATTCTCCAAGGATTTGATATGAAGTCGTTTGAGCCGATGCAAAATATCCTCCCGAAAGGATATACTGTAACGTCCACGGACAAGGTACAAAGCTGTTACCTCAACCATGAATATCAACTGCCGTTTCATTAGGCTACTAAGGTGACGACCAAAAGCCCCACATCCATGTGGAAAATTCGGATTGGTGCCAGGAAAATGGTTCTTTATTGAAATACTTGAGGTCCAGGGGGTCTTATCAGCAATTAATGCATGCGGCTGTGGCTCGGATAATATGAATTCGCATTGTAAGATTGGGATCAAAGTTGTTTTTTGTTCGCCTCCCTGCCACTGACGTGGGGCTCACCATGTGTGGTTAGCAAAAGTATGTTCCAACACCTGAATATTGTTCCTGCTTCTGGGCAGAGGACGTCGTCAGGCGAGGGCATCAACCCGAACTTGAATTTGATGTAAGACTTTACAGAAAAACTCAGTGTTGGGAGATCTTGCGAACCCCATGTGGGAAAGATGCTAACCGAGTGCCAAAAATGGGGATGTGCAAGAGGCTAAATACCCGCGGCTAGGATAACTGCATCGAACGGAAAATTAGCGATTGTCAGCAACCTCGAACATTGTTTGAGACTTGACTTGGTACATTGGGCCTCTTATTACTTTAAAGAAACTTTCTTTCTCCTGAAAAGGGCAAGGCTAATGAAATCAACAAAAGCATCTGGTCACGTGAACACACAACTTCGACTTGCACGCTCAATAGTCGTTTTGGTAGATAGGTAAAAGCCGTACGACTACATCTACTAGTCGAGAGTTTGCCGGAAGTGAGTTCTCTCATGACGTTATAGCCCCAAATATAGATTCCAGGCAGTGAATTCATGCACTGAAAGTCCGAATACAGCGCCTCCACAATGACCTTTATCAAATGTTGAGGTAATTTCATGTTCAAGACCATATGATAAGCATTGATATGCTCCGATATTACCTCCAAGTCCTTAAGAGCATCTCAACAATTTCAGCTACCCTTGGAGCTTTGTTCGTCCTTGTACATTGAACTTTGAGCAATGGCATCTCAACTTGCAATGTCTGCCACTTCTTCCGACGTCTTCCCGCGCCATCTTTCTAGATTGAAAATACATTTGGATGCCCAGATTTTTGAAACATTTCAGATCTTGAATATGTGAAAGTTCTTGTCAAATAAGATGTTCCTCAAATTCGATTTTCCTTAAAGAACATTTTGATCGAGAAAGAGTTTCCTCAAAGTCTATTATCTGCATATCCTCTAATTTACAATATTGCTCGTGATTCGACTAGAAGCACACAAAAATTCCAAGCCAAATTATATAAAGAATCAGAAGCTCTCTCTCTTAGTTTCTCGATTAGTACCACTGCTTGCGAGCTCGTGTAGCCCCTTCAATTTGCAGCGCTGCTAAAGCTTGTCTGTCCTGAACACGAAACTCTCCATCTTGATCTTCCTCTGTTGTTCCTCGTCGAGACTCACATTGACGACGGCCACTACTGAGCTCTTCATATTCTCAGCAGCTTGCGTGCCAGTAAATTGAAAGCTGTGTGCCACCGTACCTGTCAGACCTTCAGGATCTCCGACCATAACAACGAATGATTCCGATACAAGTCTCCGGTCACTGATATCAGAACGGAGATTGGATGTAAACTCCTTCATTCCATTGAAGGTCAAGTGCGTGCCGTTGGCACTTTTCAGTATTAGCCTTCATTTCGTTGAAACATCTTCCAAGTCAAGTACTTACGTCTCGTTCAGATCATGACTGAAAGAGCGATCAAACACCAGTTCGAAAATATCCTCATCGTCCTGGATGACAATTGAAAATATCAAATTCGACAAAAAAGCCTCTGAAGATATGAAAGGTTTTGGTAAGGTAGCTTTCGAGTTCATCGCAGGGGAATGGCTAGTTTTCGTTGGATAAGGCGAGGTTCGCTGGCTCTTGCGGGATGTTCGTGGTGTAGGGCTCATAATGCTTGAGATAGAGGTTCAGTCAAGCTCGAGGAAAGTTTTTTTGTGGAGTTGTATCATTTAAGACAAGTAGCTATAGAGCTCATCTTATATATGTAACCTCAGAGTAGATAAATTCGTAGAAGCTCGGCTATCTGTAGCCTTTCATGCTGACGATGGTAAGCGCTGACCTGAGAAGGCACACAATTTTCTAATTCTACAATATGAGAATGATGTCAAACACTGTTCCTAGGATCAGATAGTTTCGTGCGGCCGCACCCTGTCCTTCTCAGCCTTTAAAGTCACAAGGTTCATCTCACATGAGTCGCTGACTTTGGAGGTAAGTGGCGCCTCGTCAGCTTACTGCGGAGCCGAATAATTTCTCCCTTGGCTCGCTTAATCCTAACCGAGAAAATGAGCTCCTCGACTTCGACTAAGAGAGTCCAAGGAATTCGAAAAAAAAGAAACATCAAAAGCGAGCGTTGCTCAGGAATGGGTACTTGATATTAGCATAGCGACTTCTGTAAGGAGCTTTTAGTTACCAAATGAAGACACGATCACAGCACAAGTCTTCAAGCAAGTACTATCTACAAGTATGGAACATCAGGCTAAAGGGGAAGCTCCTTCAAGGCATTCTTGCTCATGAATAGCAAGCCATCTATGTAATAGTACCAGTTTCTATCATGAAGAAATTCATTGCCTGGATGGTTTTCTATTAAATTTCACTTCGGAATTTCGGAAATTCTCAGAAGACCAAGTGGCCTCCCTTTTCCTTTGACTTCGAGAGTGTCGTACATGTCCTCCCTATTAGCCAAACATAGCCATAAACCATTAAACAAACTTGAAGCTCGTAACAAGAGCTGTATCAGAGGGCTTTGTGCTCTCATCAGCTTGAAGCGAGCCAACTCGCTCCCATACACCACCTACAGATTGAGAGTGTATGAGAGCTACTCAGCATACCAATTTCTTTCCCACACCTCCGTTAGAGACTCACACTTGCATCGTGAAAGACATGAGATGTTGGGACCTCCCTTACGATCAAGCAACAGAATTCGAGATCATCTTTCAAGAAAGCTCTAGACATTCTGAAGCAACAACAAGGCTGATAGACACTGTAACAATGTTAAAAGAAAGTCGTCCCGAGCATACTGAATAAGCTGAGGTGCGTCTTTCACTTGATCACAGCGCTATGTTGACAATATCGCGCAGATAGTGGCCCTCTTTAAGAGAAAAAATCATTTCTGGACAAGCGTTTGTAATATCATGCATGCTATTCTATTATACACGAAGCCACAATCACTCCTTCTCTCTCAAGACTTTGAGAGATTGAGCTGCTGAAGTGTTTTCGAAGTCTTCTCTACCGACATCAAAGTATCAAGGTCAAGTCCGTCCATATCCTTCTCCACCTTATTGGCCTTAAACGATGGAGTGAAATGCTTCTCGGTGCAAGGGGCGTTGAATTTCGCGTCTCGCACACGGGTTACAACCGTGTCGAAACTCAGCCCTTCATATGGCGCCTTTGGCAAAGGCCACAGATCCTGAGTAGCGAGGCCTTTGATCAAAGTCCCCAGTACCTTGCTGTCACAGGCGAACTTTATCTCGCGAATAGTCGGAGCGCCGGGATTGTGTCTGCATTGAAGAACTTTGCTACTGAGTTTGGTGTAGTTGAGATTCAAGTCTTGGATGATTTCATCTATGGCAGACTGGCGTTTGGCCTCGATACGATCTATATCCTGTGAGAATCTTTCTGGGTGGGTTCATGAACGATGGAGGCGAATGAACTTACCCAACACAATTTCCGGAAGAGGAAGATCAACAGCCTTTAATCTCGAGCTACTCCTTCGTTCCGCAACACGGCTGACCATCTTGAAGCTTTGTGGCATCTTGAATACCCAGCAGATACACAACCAAGAGACAATTCCTGACATGGGCGCATTTTTCCAATCAAATGCGTCGCCGAGCACCAAGCACCATCGTTGAGCGTATGGAAAAGTTGCTTCTGATTGATACTTATCTACCACCAATGCTAATGCAGTCAGAGTTTTTAAGTTGACCGTGATTGGCATCTTGCTCGAAAGTCCGTGGATGGCATTCATCAATAGGCCAAAAGCCTCTGGATCATCGTCGGGCATATCGATCTGCGCGCGAGCCTGAGACTGGAGAATTTGGCCTTCGAGAAATCCTGGCTGAAACATGGCTCTGAAGACTGGTGATGCTAACTTCAAGTGCTTCGAGGATACCAGCATGTGGAACTCCTCCATCGAAGTGGCTTCAGGAGCTGAAGGACCAACTTTGTCCTCGACTGCGCTGCCGGTTTTTGGTTCAAGGAGGCGGAGAAGGAGGTCCCCCTCTGGATCGAAGATGATATTTGTGACAGACATGATGGGTGATAGGATGATGGTTGAATGTCAGTTCTTGATTGAAGGAAGTTTTGTAGGTTCAAGAGAAAGATGCCACAATATATAGACATTCTACAATTTTACGTTGAATCATGTTCACCAGGTTGCTGTGATTCAAATCTCCATTTGTTACACATCTCACGGATTCACCACTGCAGGTGTGTCACAACCCAAAGTATCCAGGTACTCGTTCTGTATGTGTCAGTGACTTACAGTTTCGAGGTTCTGATAGCGATTCTCCAAAGTCACTCTGGCAGCTTTGAAACCCATCAACATCTCATCTCTGAAATCGACCTCATCTCCATTATCTCGGAATTCCCCCACCACATAAACAGCTCAACAAGCCACCACCACCATCACATTTTACTCATTCCAAGACACAATGGGAGACATCAGACAAGTACACACTAAAAGATTTCTTCATAATCCCTCGAATCGCAAACCACGTCCTAATTTTCAACATCTTCCTCACTGACTTCCACTTCCAGAGCCTTTCGCTAAATTTAGGGGCTCGCTTACAGCATCCACTCATCAATTACCCAACTCCCGCCTTACAAAGCAATCCCCAACCGAGAAAAGGAAACGGCATCCGTTCCTTGGCTAAACATCTTGTATAAAGCATACAACGCATGGAACAAAACCAATCGCTACTTCATTCCAATCCCGTGTCATCAAGTCGTCAATCGATAAACTCATCATGGAGGAGAAAAAAACAATCGCAATCCTCGGCATAACAGGAACCCAAGTCCGTCCTCCTCCCCTCTCCTCCCCGCCCCTTCTTTTCCTCCCCCTCCCCTCTCACACAAACTAACCCCCTCCCCTCAGGGCGGTTCCGTAGCCCGCAAATTCCTCTCCCTCTCCGACCCCCCCTGGACCGTCCGCGGCATAACCCGCTCCCTCACCTCCCCCGCAGCACTCTCCCTCTCCGCCTCGGGCGTCGACCTCGTCCAAGCCGACATCGACTCGCCCTCCTCCCTGATCGCCGCCTTTGCCGGTGCCCACGCGATATTCGCCGTGACCGATTTCTGGGCGCCGTACTTCTCCTCTTTCGGCGAGCTCTCTCAGATCTCCGACCGCGCGACGGGAGAGCATGCCTTTGCGATCGAGGTGCGGCGGGGGAAGAATATCGTTGATGCGGCTGCGGCTGCCGGGGGAAGGTTGGAGAGGTTCGTGTGGAGTACGTTGCCGAGTTTCAAGGAGTTGAGTAGGGGTAAGTATGGGTTTGCGTTCCATTTTGATAGTAAGGCGGTGGTGGCGGGGTATTTGAGGGGGAAGGAGGGTGGAGGGTTGTGGGAGAGGAGTAGTTTGTTGAATATGGGGTTTTATACGGATAATATGATTAAGTATGGGGGGTTTATGGGGGCTGCTAAGGTTTGTTTTCTCTTCTTTTTTTTCTTGGATTTTTGGGGGAGGAAGGCTAAGGGGAAACAGGACATGGAGGATGGAAAATATATTTTGAGGAAGCCAGGGAAGAATGATGCTATTCATCCGTTCGTTGTTACTGGGGATACGGGGGAATTTGTGGAGTTGCTGGTGAGAGCTCCGCCGAAGCAGAATTTGTTGGGGGTGAGTGAGATGTCGGATTATGTTACCTATATGAAGATTTGGACGGAGGTTACGGGTGTTCCGAGTGAGGTGAGGGAGATTACTGTCGAGGAGGCAGATAAGGCTGCTCCTGGTGGGATAGGGAGAGAGGCTGCTGAAAGTACGGCGACAAGTGCAGAGTTTGGGTGGGGGAAGGATCTTGTGATGCCGAAGGATGTGAGTTGCACTCAAGAACTTCGAAGAACCTGGAAACATACTGACGAGAGTAGCTTGATCCTAACATCAAGTTGACGAGCCTGAGGAGCTACATTGAGAATGAGGACTGGGAAATATTCTTGAGCAAGATTTGAGAGGTGGTCTCGCATGATTGGCCGCAAAGTCCGAAGACAGTGCTAGAAGATGAGACACCGAAGTAGTAACCGAAGCTTTTATCACCTTCACTTCCACCTCCCAAGCTGAGCCTTCCTACGTAGCCCAGCCTCGTCTCCGCAAACTCACAATATAGATCTAAATAAGCAATTCCCTACCATCCAATCCGGTTGGGCCGCGGGCCCCTAGCATGACCGGGTTGGTGTCCCCTCCCCCGTAAAATCGCCATATCGCCTCTTCTAACAAGCACGCCATTTCGAATTCAGACAATGCTTCGCGCTTGGGCGCCTAGGCACACAGAGAAATTCTGTGTGCCTAGGCGTTTTGCTGTTTATTCTTTTAAATTCTTTTTATTATTTTATTTTTTTTACAAATTTGGTGATATTTTTGACATTGACTAAGTTTCTAGCCTTTCTGCTCCTCTAAGAGTCTATTTAGATAGGTAACATTTACGTTGTGGGAAATCATAGTAGCAACTCAAAAGAGAGCCTATCAACCATTGGGACAGATTTGGCAACTGCAAAACTGAATCAAACCGGAATTCACGTGACAGTATATCCTCATTTATCCCTCCTAGACCTCTGGCACTGGCCAAGCGCATAGACTGAACTATATGATAGTTCACTCAATACGAATAAATGAGTGACGTGGGCTATCTTTTGTCTTTGAACCCACTGCTAAGGAATGAAGTGTGCTGGAAAGTGATAAATGTAAGCAGCATACAGTGTACATCGGACACAAGCTAAGAAAATCCCACCGAACGGCCGCCTGGATCACTGGCTGTGTGTAATGGGTAAGTCTTCCTCTTCTTCACAGTACTAGCAAGCCAGCTACTGCAACGAAAACGAAATTTGTAGCATCGCTTTGAGAGATCCCGATTGTTGAACGTAAATGAATGAGAGGATGCATTTCACCGGTATCGAGCTGATTCCGCAATTGTAAAAGGTACCCTGAAAAGACATTGCCGCCCACACCATTCTGAGCCGAGTTTCGGATTATCCTGTAGAAGATACATAGAAGAAAGCATTGCTTTCCACATGGCTGTATGAGAAGAAAGGGAGAAGAACAAGAAAGAAGATGGAAGGTTGTTATCAAGCGATGCGATAATCTGATGTGCAGAAAAAGCCTTTAGGAAGCCAAAACTTGAGACAATTGATAGATTAGCATCGCGCCTCTAGGAAACATGGGGGATAGATCTATACTTCACACTTTTGAACGAAAATGAAGGCTTCAACTGAAAACCTTGTAGCATGGCTGTGTCGCATCATGACATGTTCTGTAGCGGCATCTAGAATGCATTTGAGATGGCTATCACTTCAATCAGAGTGATTAATGTGATACGGGATCGAAATATAATGTAGTTCAATTAGGAGCAAAGAGGTTTTCGTCAGAGGATAGCAAATCTTCAAGGCTGTCGATGCAAAAACAGACTTCACAGAAGCTTGGAGGTTCCACAATTGCCTTCGAACTAGCTTCTCGATTGCCCAAAGACTCTCCACAAGTCACACATCTCAAGCTAATCATATCTCTGGTCTTAGAATAAAACCATGACAACGACTCGCCAAAGTCGCCACTGGCGGTGCTTGGGTGAACCTCTTCGAAATGCCTCTTCATCTTGTCTATCCGAGGCTGAGTGAAGGTGCAATGATGTTGGGGGTCTTGGCAAGGCGTTGGGCAGTCCAAGGAGCATGTACTGAACGGACAGTGGTATGTAAAAGTGCCACTATGTTTGAACTCGAAATGTCGACGGAGATCATCCTCTCTTGTGAATGATGCAGAACAACTTGGCTCGGTACACGGTAATTTGTTGGCAGATTCGACTGGCCCCCTTGACTGTTGTGACGACATTGTTCCTGAGATAGACCGTGCTGATTGAAAATTGATCTGACTGGGAGAGCATGCTGCAATATATTGAACGTATCGGTTGCTCCAGCCGTCGTGGTGATTAAAAGGAGTGCGTTTCTGAGAAATGCCATCAAATTGTTGCCAAGAGTTGTCTGGAAGCCCAGTATCGATGGGACTGCCTCCAGAGGGCCTAAAACTTGTATCGCTCAACGACGAAGCATCTGGGTCGAGGAGAGATTCTGTCTCCTCTAGAAATCGCCGTAATGGTAGATTGTATGATGCAACACTGAATCTGCAGACGGCCTCCGTGGAAGAAATGCTTTCTGCCTGCTCGACGTTCGCCTGGCGTTCTTGGACATCCCTGATTTGAGCAACCTCTTTTTGAATTTGTTCGAGGGCGGTATTTGTTTGATTACCTGTAACACTGGGATAGTCAGCATGGTATCGAGGAAGGACAAAATTCAATCTTACAAATTCAGAGCAGAAATAGCCATGTTGATAGTTAGCTTGCAGGTTGCGAGAGTCTGCTGGAGATTCACAAGATCATTCTTCTTGAACAATTCCCAGCTTATAGATTTCCAGATCCCGCCTTTGACTTCCCCACCTGCTGTTAACAGAGGATTGACCACTGTCATCACATCGATGCTAAGTTGTGTGCATGTATCTAGCAGAGCTTCTAGGTCTTGGACCATCTGCCGTGGCAGTTGTGCATTTTGTCCATTATCGTTTGTCAAGGCAGTCTGCAGAAGACCAAGCACTTGATATAGTCCTAAAATGTCCGTTGATAGTCGCTGAATGTGTTTTGGAGCATCTTTGATGCCTCTGACGAGGCTGTAGGCTTGTTGGCATGTTGTGAATGCTTTGACTGTGATGGAGAGAGTTGTGTTCGTGATTAGCAGAGCTTCGGGAATCGGCATCGTAAAGACATGTGGAGATGATGGACTGGGACTTCAGAGATCAATCGCAGATCATCTTTGACCCATAAAACGTAACCTCGTACTCGGAGAGCCTCGTGAACTGCCAAAAACCGTCTCAAAGCGGGTACCTGCAATCCGGCCCACCTTCTTCTGTCTGTTCCGCATCGTATCCTGGCTGTTGGCGATGCACAGCCCCTCGTCGCTCTGAAACTGCAACCCCTCTTGAGCTGAAGAACCCTGAAGGCCAATCAACGTCATTTCGAGCAAGGACCGAAAGTAAGTCGGGCACAACGAATCACTGAACGAGAGAACCATTCTTCGACCGCGCACTCCGAAGAATCGTGGGTGAGTAATAAGCTTGATCTGGGCGTGGAAGAGAGAATACGGATAATCGGGCGAAGAGTCTTGGAGGAGCAAAAGCTGCGTAACCTTAAGCGCCGCTCGGGTATTCGAGGTGTGTGTGCTATTCTTGAACACTGTTGTCGCCTTCGAGAAATCTTCGATCGCGATCTGTCAGACGGTGCAGATTACAGTATTGACTGAAGTGCAGGCAAGAGAGCAGTTCGCATGAATAACGCGGGGAGGAGTTTGTTGATCATCCGAAAATCTTGAATGTTGATGCCAGCAAAACCGCGAACATCATCATCAGCCACTGATCCCTGCCTCGTGGCACAGCCACAGCCTTGTCGGCGTCACTCAACTCAACCCAAACTCTCACTTCCAGCCAGCCCAGCCTAGCCCAGCCCAGGAAAATCCCATCAATCGACTGATAACCATCTTCTTCAACAGCTGATCCTCATTCACGCTGTTTCTCCACATCCTCAAGCCAACACAGTCATCTTTGCAGAACAGCGGTCACCACGGCGCGCCTGAAGTTTCTTTCTGCTCCAGGAGCAGAAACCTCGGGGTCGCAGCGGAGAAGAAGAAGTCAAGCCCTCCAACCCATACCTGAAGGCAACAACAGCGTCGCATTCTCACAATCTACGGCCATGGAAAGCAGCAGCAGCGCCTTACGGCGAAAAGATACGACGAAGGGTCCTCCCCTTCGTATTCTATCTCTAGGTAGGAAATGTCGCGATACCTCAACAACCCCTCACTAATTCGACACAGATGGAGGTGGAGTGCGGGGTTATGCAATCTTCATTATCATTCAGGAACTGATGCACCGACTCTATGTCGAGACGGAAGGAAAGGCACCTAAAAGAGACCAGATTCCGAAACCTGCAGACCATTTCGACCTCATTGTCGGGACCGGAACGGGTGGCTTGATTGCGATTATGCTGGGTCGGCTACGATTGGATTTGGAAACGTGCAAAGAAGTTTACGTGCGGATGACGAGGAAAGTCTTTGAGACGGACAAGACAATCGCAGGAATCCCATACCGGTCGACATTGTTCAAGGCGTCGAAGTTAGAAGAAGCGATAAGGGAATGCGTGAGGGAACATACTGTCTTCGAGGACGAAGGAAATGATGGCGACGAGCCTGAAGGAATCGGAAACATGATGAGCCCAGTCAGTCCTCTATCTAGGAATGTTCCAAAGAGGCATGCGAGCAATGCTAGTGTGGCGAGCTTCAGCAATAGAAGTCCTGCAGCCTACCAGACACGACCTATGATGGGTTTGAGATACGGTAACGGAGAGGCTTTGTTGTACGACAATCGGGAAAACAGAACAAAGACGTGAGTACCTCATAATGTGCTTAGATAATAATGCTAACGAATATCAGCGCTGTCACAGCTACCTACCAAGGAACACCACAAGGCGGCGCTGCAGCGGTTTTACGATCATATGATTCACGAAAAGAGCCTTCTCCAGAATTCGACTGCAAGATATGGCAAGCAGGGAGAGCGACATGCGCTACCGGATTAGCCTTCAAGCCGATTACAGTGGGACAGTCAGTGTTCCACGACGAAGGTGCCGGACAATATAATCCAGCTCCAATCGCCCTGGACGAAGCATGTGTCAATGAGTGGCCTGCCCGCGATGTTGGAGTATTTGTCAGCATTGGAACAGGAAAGCGACCTGGCGGATCCGAGCAGAATTCACATCTGTGGTATGAAGGATTTATGGGCGAATTTGCGGAGGCTAGAAGACGATTGATATCCAAAATTGAGGGCTGCGAGGAGACACATCAATACATGGTTCGAGAAGGTCTAGCCAAGAGAGGAGTTAATATCGAGAACTACTATCGCTTCAATGTCGAGATTGGTGTTGGAGAATTCGGCATGAACGAGTGGAATCGATTGGCAGACATCAGCACAGGCACAAAACGATACCTCAGCAAAAAGGAGGTTCAAGACAAGAACTGGGAAGCAGCAGCCAAGCTTGCCAAGATCCACCGAGCCAGGATGAGATTCGAGGCCGAAAGAACAGGCGGCGACTACAAAGGTCTCGTCCATCAAGGACACCTCCAAGACGTCCCAGAAGCATATCCCAACGCCGTCGAACTCCCAGCCGATATCCCGCTTTCCCAACCACCACGAAGTCCACCTCCCCGACCCTCCTACGAATCCGGCCATCACGACACCCTCGAAGTCCCCCGCAACCACAAAACCCCCTCACCTCGCACCTCCTCCGAAAACCAAACCTACACTTCACCCCGAAACTCTGGAACCAAAGTCTCGGACCCGAACGCAGACCGTTTCGTCATCCAAGCTCCTACACCGGCCGAATACCGTTCCAACAGCGGAGGCGACAAGATAGCTATCATGAGCTCAGATGAGTATCCACGGACACACGAACCGATCAAAAGACCAACGAACAGAGTTGAACCTCCTCCCTTGCCCCCAAAGACACCGATCAATGATCCTGGCTCCGGGCCAACGATGGGAAGAGCGAGACCGGTGTTGCCGTATCCTGATGATGGACCGCCGCCGGTGGTTAATATGGCTAGGAAGCCGGATTATAGGGGGAGGTGATTGATGTTGAAATGATGATGGCGTTTAAGGAACGGAATGAAATTGGGAGTTGGGATTTGGGTTTGATGATATGGATGGGTATACCTCTATTTGTTTCCCTCGCGAGGCTAGGGATGTTTTTTGAAAATGAAATGAAATGAGATGAACTAGGAAATAGGAAATATTTCATTCTTCCTAGACTTCGATTCAATTTTCAGAGAGGTCTTTGACGTAGTGTTATACATCCCCTATTCTTGTCCCAAATCTTTGATCAGATCACAGAGATAATCCGTCTCTCGATCGATGCTGCTATATGTATCCAACCATTTCGTCTCGGTGCCATCTGTGACTGTTGGCAAGGCATCATGCGAGTCAGTCACGGTACTCGCGAGAGACCTGTCTTGATCCTCCAGAAAATGTGACTGTGTATGACAAGTCCACAGCCTGCCTGTCTGTGCTATTGAAGTGCATCCTCACCATCGTGGTCTCTCAGACCCTTTCCAACGTGGAAGGGTGAGCAGAAAATATCGAGGAGAGGAAGCCTAAGTATCTATCGGTTCGAAGCGCACGCAGCGCACATTGCGCGGATTGCGGGCAACGCTCCAACGTGCAACGGTCAATAGTCTTACTAAGTTTGCATATCGTCCAAACCCATCTTCCGACTTCAGGAGCGTGAAGACAACTTTCTAGCAGCTGTATAGCTCTGTGAAGATGAGCTTCGTTCATTTGCCTTCCTTCAAGTGTATTACTCGACCCGTAATTCCCTTGCTTTGAGTCTGCGACCCTGACCGCCTCTTGCTTTAATCTTGGCTCCAAACTCTCACCATATGAGGAGAGCGAAGAGCGGTGAATTTCCCTGTAGCAGCCAGACTTTACAATCAAAAAATGAACAGAATTAAACACCATAGATTCTCAAATCCCAATGTCCTCAATCTCCTCCTCAACCTCCCAATGATAGCCCACGATCGATCGACGACGAGCCATGTACGCCGGTTTCTTTCCCGTCAAGATATCCTTCAGCACCTCCAACGCCTCCCATCCCTGAATCGCAACCAAAGTACAAACCTCCGCCCACGCCGGCTTACTCCCCCTATACTCCTCACCCAGCAACCCGATCTCATTCGCGCGCGTCACCGTCTCCTTCCACTTCGCAGCCTCGACCCCATCCCGTCCGATCGGGATCACGATCCCTAGATACTTGAGCAAGATCGTATTTATCACCAAGCGACTAAGTCAGCTATTCCCGTCGAGGAAAGGATGGATGTTTAGGATTGTGTGGTGGATTTTGGTGGCGAATGCGTAGATGTCTAACGTCCCTGATTGTTCTGCGGTGGCTAGGTCGTGGGTGAAGGATGAGATAGCGAGGGTTATGGCGCCGGCGATTTCTGAGGGGGGGAGGAAGGACACGAATGTGTGTCCGACGTTCGACGTGCGGTATATACCGCTGTACGTCTCGGATTTATCTCTCTCGTCGTTATCGGCGTCGATTTGGAAGGTTAGGATTTTATGTGTTTCCTTTAGGAGGTCTTCTGAGAGGTTTTCGTTGGATATTATCATGTGTTGGACGATGTATTTCATCGCGAGCGCGTGTTGGATGATTTGTTTTCGGGAGCGGAGGATTGCTTCGTGGTCTGCTTTGCGAGATTTGCTGAGTAGGTAGGAGCGGAAGGCTGAGTAGTCTGTGGAATGGATGGGGAATGAGGAGTCTTCGATGGGGGAGCTGGCAAAGATGAATTGGCCGAGTCCGAGGGTGAGTGGATGGCTCGATCCGGCGTTTTCGAGGAGGTTGCTGGTGTATATCATTTGGGCCATGGATTCGAGAAGATATGCTTCGTAGGAAGTGTCATTCAGGTTCGCTAGCAGTGGTTGTAGGTCGGATAAGTATTTGATGCTGTCTTGTAGGACGTCGTCGGGGTCGGGTGTGAAACGGTTGTAGTCGTAAGATGGTTGGTCCATTTTGAGACCCAATGTAGGCTTGGCTTGATATTTGCGTTGAATTGTCGTTCGTAGGGCGGTAAGTAGGTCCATGTTGTGGCAACTGATCGTCGAATGTTGCGTGGGTGGGGAAGTCATGTTGTGAAGTGAAATATGTGGCGGGAGAAGAGTATTTGAATGTTCGGAAAGACCGAGGACGGAGACAAATGAAAGGATCGACTTATTTATTTGTTCTGAGATGAAAAGCTTGTAGAAATTTGAGAAGTGATACTTGATTTCCATATCGACCAGTGTAGAGCACTAGAGAGGGCGGTAGCGAGGCGAGTCATCCGCTAGGCTGAGAAAAAGGGGGCTAGAGATTTTCACGTGACCAGGTTGAACGACCTGGAAGCTCACCTGGGTACGATACTAAATATTGACTGGCGATTTAGGTCTAGGGTTGAGTCAAGCGCTAGGCTGGAATCTAGAGCAGATTTTTATTAGTTAAATACTTACTTAGGCACTGCGTGTACTAAAGTGCTACTCTGTGACTTCGCGGCCTCGAATCGCGTTTGTAGCTGAAGCTAATGTATTAGGATCTAAGTTTTATAGCTTGAAAGCGAATTTTTCTGTTTTTATTAAGAGAATGAGCCGAGACGTCGGAGCTTAAGACTGTAGGAGTGTGAGAGGTAGAGGGTGTATGAGAACGAGGTCAAGAAAGAGATTGAGAGGTTAAGATGTGCTGCTCTACTTTAGTGGCGGTTTGAGATAGAATTATCATACGTTAGAAAGAAGTTTGATCCCGTGATTCTGTGCTTTCCAATATTGCCGCTACAGATTGGCTGCCGTACCTTGATTGCTAAAATCGGGATTCGTTAAATTTGATTATCCCAAGGTGGAGCTCAAAGGTTTGTTGCACATCGCGTTACTTTAGGAGATAAAACGCCGTTTTCTTGACCCAAGTCGGTTCGGGGGTGCGACGTGCAACAAAGTGCGATGTACAACAGATGTGAAGTGGAGTCCAAAGTAGGCAATCATCTGATCTCATTTTCAGCTGACATAGGCCGAGCTCAAATGATGATAGAACGCCCCTTCCCCCGTGGCCCCTACCGTCTCTGGTGTACACGGCATGACAAAGTCATGTTTGTGAGCCGCTATTTGGTAGCAACCTCTCAATAGATAGAATTGAATTGCGAGCCGTGAAACCTGTGCTTGGAAGTTTGAATTTATGGTTTGTAGGTGGTTGCGCAACTCGCAGTCAGATTTTGCGAGTCCTTCAAGCACCGATTCAACTGATTTATAAGGCCTGTGAACTTTGTTTCCACTTTTATTTCTGATTCAAGTAATTCCGAGTCCCAAGAACTCGATACTTAGTGTGTATAACTGTGCAAGGGCTGTCGACTGACACTCATGGACGATGCTTAAGTATCTCGCTCTTCGTATAAACATAGTATGCTTGCCCCAACTCGAACATGGCTTGTTAAACAGATCTCAGACTTTGTGTACAGCATGCCTCTAGACCTAAGCCGTTGTCTCTACTTGCAGTCTCCCTCAACGATTGAACTAAATGAAGGAGGGATCTTTCTAGAGGGGCATTGTGTCCGATTGCCCGAAACCTTATCAAAGACTGCTTTGACAGTTTAACCGGCTTTGAGAGCTTTAAACAATGGCTTTTTGTGTGTGTCATCACATGCCGTTAGTCTAGGAGGGACAGATTTGGTGGGAAACGAAACAGTACTGCAATAGCAGACTCTTCATCGTGTTCCCTCCCACTATCCTAGTTTCGGGCATGATGTTTGCTTGAATTAGATATTCTCAAAATAGAGACTATCATCAAGTCTCAGAACATCCGATAGAGCCCAAGGGAAAGGCGGCCGCTTGTAACATAGAGACTGCTGTCAAGCCTCAGAATATCTGATAACGACTAAGGGAAAGGCGGCCGCTTGTGATTTCGATTCACCGACGTCAATGGCGCGGTTCGTATAAGATCCTTATCGATTAGAGTTGAGACTAATTCTGGGTATAAAGAACACAACCGATCAATTTCTTTCTGTTTTTCGATTTCGGGAAAACAACCTTCCCCGCTCGCAAACAAATACTGTCACCAACCTCATTACCCCGCACTGCTCAAGCACAACAACAGTTACTGTAAGGCATTGCCGTCGCCATGGTCAAAGGAGACTCAGGCAAGAGACTCGAAGACAACTACGAGTACCAGAAGCCCACCCCACCGCAAAGGATGGCAAACCCAAAGAAAAACACCATGGTCAACACTCTCCCTGACTATGTGGTAAGAACCCTCATCTCTTCTCATCAACTACTTCATGTGTAACAGTATTAACTTGTAACAGATCTTCAACACGATGGTCTATCTTCTAGTTCGAAGCGCAACCCCACAAGAGCTCGAGATCACCTACGTTGCCATACCAGAGCGAGAGGTAGAGTTGACAGACGATTGCCCAGATAATGTGGTATGTGAAGACCCTCAAGTAAACAACGTGCTGTCTTCATTATGCTAACTCTTCATAGACCTTCGCTGGATGTCTTTACACCTACTCAATCCTACATGAGGTGAGCGACTACCTCATACGACAGCTTTAAAAACATTTGCTAATTGTATAAAGTCAACCCTTGCAGCGGACAAGATAGGACAACATGTAAAAGTCGCTCCGGTACGGACCATCGGTCAACCCATAACCGTCGAACCTCCTCGCCGCTCGACTAGGGTTAGTACCAACAAGGGTGGTCCGCGTATATCTCTACCTTCGAGTCTCGCTCGCCTACGACTACAAACCACTAGCTCGGATACTCCTCTTTCCACGGTAGCTCCACACATATCCCTACCTGAAAGCTCAACTCAGAATGGTACATCGCAAACTCCCCTCCTTCGTCCCACTCCCGGCTTTCCTTCCAGTAGCCATCCGCCAGCAAATCCTCCCGCCAAAAAAGCGCTAGCTGCACAGTCTTCAGAATCCGAGGCTGAAGATACCTCAGCCCCGAAGCGGCGCGGCCCGCTGCCCGGCCCGCGACCCAATTCAGGATATCCACGAATCCAGCATGACTATATCTTCGGCACTCTCCTTACACAATTCCTTCTCACCAAGAAGCGTCGACCCCGCTACCCAGACTTCCCTCAAATGCTGTCCGACCTCAACAGACACTTCGATGGTACCGTGATTCAGGAGGGAGAATTGTACCTGCCTGCAGCCAATGGTAAAAGACGCGCTCGCTCCACTTACACTTACGAACCCCATCAACTCCGCGACTTATACCACCATGTGTTTACAGCTATGCGCGAAGAATTGGATGAATTGTGTGAGAGAATCTTGGGTAAGGCTGGGGTCTCAAAGCCTCGCGCTGCGCCAACGAAGAAGTGGAAAGACGATGACGAGGATAAGGATGGTAACGGTGGGTTTGGGAAAGTTGGACCTGTGGTTGTTGATCCTACCGGACGACTGCCCAATATGTACTTCTGATAGACCTCAATCAAAGAACCAGGGATAGATTGCGAATAATGTAATTATATTGTACAATGGTCTTTGAGAGAATATGAGTGAAATAACTGCCAAGTGAGACTTTGGATTTGAAAGATAGAATAAAGTAAGAACGACTCGAATTATTTCTTGTTTCTTTTCCCCTTTATATTGTATCACAGAGTCTAGAACAATATTATCATATATTTCAAGCTCTATGGTTTCATTACTGGCGCAAGAGTAAGTCGTGCTAATAGAACGATCATTTTACTATAATCTTCAAATACAGATTTATTATTTCGAGTTGATTCACTAAGCGAGCCCCCTAATCTCTAGCGAGATATCCCAACTTTTAGGTCAAGAGTCACTAGGAGGACGAGAAAGATTGAGAAGATTTTGAATCTGGAAGATATAAAGGAATGTCCACCTGTAAACTGTAGAAGCAAGTAAAAACAAAGATTCCCCTGGCACCAAAACTTCCAACCTCTAACGTCACCCATACTCCATCATTCTCCCACCAAAATTTCCTATGCCGCACACTACCCCTCAATCCCCTCCAAAATCTTCACAACACTCTCACCCCTCGCCTGAATCATAATCTGAAACGGCAACGGACTCCTCCCACTCTTACCATCATACTCCTTTAGATCAATCTTCTGGCCTGGGACTTCTGACATCTGAAATGCCCACAGCATGCGCGAGATCGTCAGCCAGATTTCGCGCTCTGCTACTAAAATGCCGGGACAGATACGTCGTCTGGTAGTTCATTAGTAGGGTGGGTGAAAAGGGGGGAAGGGAGGAGGTGTACCCAGCGCCAAACATCCAGTGATCTCTCTGACTGGGATCTGAGAGGTTTGAGCTTTGAGATGATGTGAGACTGTCGTTAAGATATCGTTCTGGCTGTATAAGTCTATTAGTATTAGATGTTTAGCAGAGAGGTAGACTCACGTCGAAGATTTCAGGGTTCTTGAAGCGATTCTCGTCGTGGTGCATCGTCCAGGTATTTAGTACCATGACTGTATCTTTGGGGATGAATTTCCCTTGGTAAACGAAGTTACTGGTAACAGTGTGGGGTGTGCCAAGCCAGAATGGGTTGTAGCAACGTTCAACCTGTTAGTTACTTTAGCTCTTTATTTGCAGGAATTGACGAGTTGAAGGGATTTGATTGGGAAAACCACACCTCTTTTACAATCGCGTGGCAGTATGGAAGGTTCGGCTCATCTTCAATGGTAGGTAAGCGATCTCGGCCAACCACACGGTCAAGTTCTTCGTGTGATTTCTGTTGAATGTCCGGGTATGCGGGTATGAGTGCTGAGAACCATTGCATGACTGCTGCTGTCTGTTCCGAACTTTGTGAGTACTAAGTTCTAACAGAGCTTGTGTAGACAGCACCCACTGTCTCTACTCCACCGATCATGAATGCGGAAGCTAGGATGGCCATATCCAGATGATCAAGTTGTTCTTCATCTCTAATCTCCAGCATCGTCTTGGCTAAACAATCCTTGACATCGATTCCGGATGCCATGTCGCCCTCAACCATTTTGATGAGTCCGCCGTAAGTTTCGACGAGATCATTGTGGAGATTCTTGGCGCGATGGATAATGGGAAGCGGAAGGCGTTGTAATAAAGGAATAAAGTCTACTAAATTTGACATTGGTCCGGTGCAATTCCTGGTGAGAAGAGGAATTATTATGGAGCGACTTGTAGAATGTGTGGTTAAGAGACATACATGAAAGCGCGGCTTAATCGAAGGGCGGTCTGGACGAGTGAGTCGTGGATACTATCAGTTCGGGTGCCGAAAGTTATCGTGAGCATGTTATTCAAGGAACATCTTCCTGCATGTGGCTGTTTCGAAATTAGCAATCAAGTATCTAATACACTGAACATGAAAGTCCCAATACCTGAGGATTGATTGGAAGTCGTCCTTTCTTGCTCTCATCCCACAATGACTTGAGTAACACCGAGGCTTCTCGATCCAAGACATCGGTATAACTATCAACAGCATTTTGATTAAGCCACTTGAATGCAATGCGACGGTGTTTTCGCCTGGTATGTTAGCAACTATGAAACAGAATGGACGAGCAGAGCTTACCATGTGTCATTGTATGGTGTGGCTGTGATTCCTCTGCCAGCAAAAACAATCTGGCTCTTGATGAACATCTCTTTCCTGCCCGAGAATGTGGAGCCATTGTTAACAATGAGGTCTTTGGCGACGACAGGATCTGAGATAATCATGAAGAGCTGATTACCGAGGTAGATAGAGTAGAGACTTCCGAATGATTTCGCCCAACGATTGAGCGTCAGTTCAGGATATTTTGTCAAAAATGGAAAAGACCCTAAGCAAGTCAACACTTGGACGTGACTCATTTGCTGCTGCATTTACCAAGAATAGGGATGCCGCGAGGACCTGAAGAGATTTTGTTGCCATGTTCATCTTGAAGTGAGAGCGGATCGATGCTAATATATAGCAAATAGCAAATTATTGCAGGCAAGAGACTGATGAGGCTGATGATAATTGAGTTGAAGACTAGATGCATGTCATCAAAGCCTGATGATGTTGGTAAATACGAAAGCGAAGCATTACTCTCTGGAAGCGTAACAAATCCAGTCATGTTTAGATTCAAAGAATGCAAGAGAAAGGTCAGAACAATGGCGTAACTGAAGACCCGCAGACTCGACGTATTCGTTGTTCCCTATTTATCTCATTTCTCCTCGAATTTGACGATTTGAGGCAGGTGACCACCAGAGTTCCAACTATCACACATTGGGAAAGTCTATCTACATCTGCATCGGACTTGATGTCAGACATCATCTTCGCAGCACGAATAATTCCGTCCCAGTATTGCCTCAGGCCTTCGGGACAACCATTTTATTGATGGATGGCATTGAAGGCTTACCGCTGAAATTCTTCAACTTTGGAACCATGCAAGAATCCCAGAAAAGGTGATATCAAGCCAAGCGACCAAGCCATCCGACTATGCTTGAAGCTACTCGAAACGTGATAAGTGGATATAACAATGAGACATTCCCCGAGATGTGTTGGAGGTGTGGTGGAAGGTGATTACTAAAGTGCGCCATAAGCACATCCAGCCTCATCCTTGTACCTGTCAGCCATTCAGAAAATCAGGTTGTGACTGAGCCGCAACTGCAAGTCAAGCCAGTCGGCCGAACTTTACACTGGCGGTCAAATACCAGACAAAAAGATGGAATTTGTGTTTCATTTTCAGCTCCGAATGTTTTGCATTGAGCTCATATTGCTCCAATAGCATAGACAATAATCCCAGCAATCCCTTCAACGCCTGACAACTCAATAAATAGCTCTTGACAATGAGGCCTTTGATGATAATAGTGCAATGCAGAGCCAGATTTGTAATTCGTGTAATAGCAAAGGAAAGGATGTTCACTGAGCTTATTTTTGGTCAGCAGCGCGTGAATGAAGTTGCATGCTCTTGTGGAAGATGGCTTGACAATCGTTAGGGCACACGAGCTCTTGTCTGACTGATCTGCGGCTATACGGTACCATCTTGCTAAGCTGAATGTTTGGCACGATCCAGACAATTTTGACGCGGGACGAGCTTATACCTCACGACTTCCCTTCCAAAGTCCGCTCCACCTTTCATCGTCAAAACTCCACATCCACATTTCGACTTTGTTTTCTCTCTATCTCAAACTCTTTCGCGAGTATATCTCGACCTCATCTCCCACACTTTGTCACACTCGGTCACACCATTCACCTGTAGTTACCATGTCGACATCCCAAAATAAACGCGTCCTTGGCCTCTCTCGATTGCCCCTATGGCTCAGTCGATGGCTTGGATACCGCGCCTCTGCTCCAAAACCCGAGCCACAACTTGTTGTATACTTCTGGTCATTTATCGCGTCGTTCTGTACAATATCGATCCTTCAGGCGATTTTCAGTTATGCTTCGTACTTTCGAGCTCGCCATGTCCCTGCAGTCATTGGATCATATGTCAGTCCAGAACTGTTCTTCCTTTATCCCGTACTCTCTTACAATTATCTCAATGGTTGAGCAAAGCTGATGAAGCTTGCTTCTAGGGTGCTTCTGCCGTCCTCTGCTTCGATGTCATTGGAGTTCCGTTTGCCCAGCCTCGCGCTCTCGTTGGAGGTCACTTCATCAGTGCTCTGGTGGGTATCTGTGTCACTCGTCTGATCGAAGTTCGTCATGACGGTCAACTTCTCTGGCTTGCTGGGTCCCTCTCCACAGCTCTCGCCATCGTTGCCATGAGGTTCACCAAGACAACACATCCACCAGCAGGTGCTACCGCCCTACTTGCCGCTGTTGATCCGAATATCCACGCCCTCGGATGGTATTATCTTCCTGTCATATTACTCTCTTCTATCGTGATGCTTGTCATGGCGCTCTTCTTCAACAATATTCAAAGAAGATATCCATCCTTCTGGATCAGTCCACCAACACTTCCCACACCAACACCAGCACCCGAGTCGATGGACCAGATCTCGGATCGACCCATGCCGGTAGAGAAAGTCAACCACATCCTTGGAGTACACGCAATGGATGCAAATGGTGGAGTGACCGATATCGAGAAAGGTGAGTTATGTGGTGGTGTCCGTACGAAAAAGATCACTAAAGAATATTAGCAGGTCCAAGCACATACCAGATTTGATTTCATGATCTTGTTTGCGTGATAGAGAGAGTAGAGGAGTATGGTATGGGAAGAGTACTTACAGTTTAAAAGATGGGTAGCAACATGGACGAGATTGCTGAATAATTTGCGGACGCCTTTTCTGCCCAAGTACAGCGATAGCTACTATTGAAATAAAGATTGGTACACGAGACCCTCATATTCACTGTACCAAAGAGTCCTCATGCGTTCTTTCTATAGTGAAATCGGAGGAGAAAGGGTAAAAGACAATGTCTCGACCACGTTTAAATTTGAAACCTGCACGAAATTCAAGCCAACCACGCACAGTGCTTTCACATCTTCCTTTGTCGTTACCAAACTACTCCTAACTGATACGGACTCTGTCAAGGATTAATATTAGGGACTTGGCAAACCAATAAATTGTAGCAAATCGTAGCTACCAAGAGCAGTGTTTGTGGTGCTTCATGCAGTCCACAACCGAGAGAATCGCACCTTCCCTCCTCGACAACAAGTTGCAGAGAAAGAACGGATCATGGAGATAGATGTCGCAATTTTTCACCCTGACCTTTCCCATCTTTCAACATCTTCCAAAGTCTTGAGCAACATTGTTACTACACAGCAAATCCACGATTCTCGCGTTGTTCCACCTATCGGCTATCATTAAAACAAGACCACCATTGAATGATTGTCGACTCAAAGTCCCGAGGAAGGCGACATGAATTCGACGAATCCATCTGCTGGCCATGCAAGTGGCAGCCCTATTCCCTGCAGGATACACAGAGTGCCTGATTGTCTTGATTTCCGATGCTTCCAAGGGGCCAAATCTCGACAAGACGACACGACTCCCCCAGTCTTCAGCTGTAACAAGCACGAGAGATATGTATGTGGGATATGTCCGTGGTTTAACCAGCAACTGGATGGGAGTTTGGTGTGTAGCATGCATCATCTGAGGCTATGTAGCTGGTGTCCAGTCGAAACCAGCTTATGGATAAAAAGAATACCGAAGCCATATTTAGACAGCAGAATGCCGTTACACGCGGATCCTAGTTCTCTGTTCGAATCTACCGAACTCACAGAAATCGAGTCTCCTTTGGGTTCTATCAGCGATAACACAGGTATTGCTATACCTATCGATCGTCGTCGGCTACTGCGCATGGGTAATCGCAAGGAAATGCTGATCTTCGTTGCGAGTACGCCACCATTCCGCTGTGGGTTGATCTTTGACCACTTTGCAGGTGAGACAAGCCACGCTACTAATGGAGTTGCATTTCAACTCGAGGAGTGCGGACCTTACGGCGATGACCGTGTCAGTCAAAGTCGGAGGAATTGCCCGCAACGAGCTCTGCTGAGAGCTGTGATCGCCGCACTTCAATTTCATGACTGGGCCAAAGAAGGACGAAAAAGACTGGTTATTGCGACGGACTCACATTGGCTTTGTAATGAGTTGAAGCAAGTCCAGTTGTGGAAAATGGAAGGTCTAGGATAGTAGACGACAATCGCGATATGTGGCAACTGCTGTTATGGGAGTAGACCGTTTGTCAAAGGAGGAGGGGCTGGATGTTCGGTGGTGGGAGGTCAAGACTAAGCACCTTGAACATGCCCGCAAAGTTGCAAAGGATGGAAAGGTTTCGAAGGCTAGGAAGGATTTCATGGCTTATCGGGGATGGGTGAGTAAGGTTCTTTTGAAACAAGATGCTTCAAGGACCAAAGAATTGTCGTAGGGTGTCAGACAGGATTGAGTTTGGACTCTTGAGGCAAGCATTCATAGTTTCGGCGTGTAGTATTGATAGTGTACCAGTGAATGCTTGTTTAGCTTTGTGCACGCGGTAGCACCTGAAGACATATGTGATCTTAGCCGAAGTGTTAAATGAACATGAAGGGAGACTAGAGTAGGCTTATGATACGCATGTAGTGAGACACAGAAGAATGCTGGTACCAGAAGAACCATAACAAAGTCAAAGCTTGCAGAAGTGTAACACTTTTCTTGCAAAGAGTAAGTGCTTCGAAGCCAGTTCGGAGGTTCCACGACGCTTGAGATTTGAGCATCCTAGGTAGTTTTGCCTTACACGACGGGAAAGAGACTGAAAATAAGCAGTTGACTTATTATTTTCTTTCCAAACTAAGTACAATAGCCAAACTCACAACTCAACCTTGCTCTTCGAATCACCAGCAACCTTCCCCTGGACCTCCTCACCACCCGGCCTCTCTCTACCCCTCGTCTTCTTCGCCACGGTCGTCTCACCCCTACCAACAACCCCAACATCAGCACTCTTACAGATTTCAAAACTTCAAATATCCCTCCACACGCATCACATTCCCCACTTACTTAGTAGGATATTTCACCGTTTTCGGGCAATTAGTCGAAGTCCCCACATTACTCGTCGGGATGAACGTCCCATTCTGCAAATTACCATCTGTATTATACCCATAGTAAATCTCATATACAACATTAGTATCCTGACACAGCAAAATGACAGGTGCACCGAACGCGGATTCGAGCGCGGATTCCATGGCTGAGAGCGCGTAGGTGGTGTCGTCTGACGGCGTGATGCCTGCGTTTGCTAACCACTTTTTCCTCTTGTTACTAAAGGCAGATAAACAGAAAGGGAGGGGGAGAGGTACAGTATAAGTAGGCAAACCCTGAAACAGCTCCACAACCTTGACAAAGAAATCCACCGCCTCTTCACCAGTGGTGTAATCCGTATAACAACTCGGCTCAAGCGTCGAAATACACGTCCCATGCGTACTCCACTCATGCTCCCAGAACTTCTCATCACTCTCATCGTCGCTAAGCCAGTACGTCTGCATATAGCTCAACGTACTCGTCTCTCCCGCATTTTTCAGCAGGGTCGTAATGTCGGTGTAAGCGCGGGATGAGTCGCAGGATTCGGAGTAGGTGCCGTCGCAGTTATTGGGCCAGAGGCCGTGGATGGTCCAGGAATCGCTGGGACCGGTGGCGGGGTCGGTGTCCCAGAATTGTACTTGTTGGAAGAGGCCACCGGGGGAGTTGATGCAGCAGGTGTTGGTGGAGGACCCGGAGCAGGAGAGGTCGGCGGCATTTGCTGGGCAGGATTCTGGGGTGCCGGCTAGGGATAGGCGGAGGAGGAGGGAGAAGATTGTTGTTTTAGTTAGGGAGGACATGGTTGAATGATTTTCTAGGAGAGAATAAGGGTGATTGAGAAAGAACGAAGAGATACTGAATTGGAGGAATAGAGAAGATATAAGGTACGATCATCCTCTGTACGTAGATCAGCTGAAAGCAGAACCCCACTGCATATCCCACGATCCTCAAACCTAAAATAGGAAGGTACCACGATTATGCATGTCACTCCCCCCATCCCCGCCTCAACCACACCCACGTTCGGGCAATTGTTGGTCTATATTCCTCGACCCCAAGGATCGCAGATGCATCGTTGACGAATTGCCACCGCAGGTACGCACGAGAGAGGGGCGTGTTCCGTTGATTGGCTCGGCAGCGTAAGTGGATTCAGGGGCCGTGGCGTATCGGATCGGCCGCCACCCCTTTTCTAGAAGGTCGCTAAGAAAGCTTGATTTGTGAGGAGCCGAGATGGCCGGTACTTGGTGCTGAGAGGGTGGGACTAAGATTTGTAGGGAAGCTGCGAGGAGGGGTGCGGCTTGTTATCGCTGATCTTGAGTGAGCTTCCCAATAGATGACGGAGATGCTCCTTTGTGGGTAGTGTTTCCTTTGAGTTTCTGTAAGATGGGATCAGGCTCGCTTGAATTTTGAGGTCAATTCGGCTTGATTTGGTTCATGTCTGCTTACTCTGTTACATCAAAAAGCAACCAAATAAGCCACTATTATGTACTTATACCCATTTAAACAGCTATAGAGGTTTGAGGGGAGAAAAACGTCTACTTTTCCAGATACAGTAAATTTACCTTGAAAACAATAACTCAGATTTCAACATCGCATTTATTTTATTCGTTTGTTTTAGTAATATTGTCATACTTTGAACAGACTTTTGGGACGAGCCTAAGGTAGTCCACACACGACCATTGGATACAAAGTATCATCTGGATCACACACGACGGGTGCAGTATCCGAATCTGGAACACAAGACGAATCTGGTTTCCTAGGACAGGTCAATATTCCCGGACCCAAACTATCCGGTGTACGAACATCCCTCTCCTCCATCGTCAGATAATCCGAGAGAAAATGTTCCCAGTGGCCAAGGAATCGGTGATAGAAGCGGGTCCGTCATTTGAATCGATCCGTCGTCGAACAAAGCGATTTTTGCTACACAAAGCTGGAGTTTGGAAAAGCTTGTGGTGGGGTACAAGAACATCCACCATTCGTTTCCTGCAACTTCTCCGTTGGTGCCTACTGAATGCCAAAACATGAATTTGGCTTCCCAGGTTGGAGATGATACTGGTGGGGGGCGAGAAGTGGAACTTGCTTGGGGTACAGTGGATGACGAGGGTGAAGGGGTGGCTGATGCGATGGTACTGCTGCTTTCGGGAGTTGCAGACGGAATTATAGATGAAGTGATAGGTGCAAGTGTCGATGACAGAAGTGGTGGAATTTCTGAGGTCTGGGAAATGGATATGGTGAGTGGTGTCGAAGGAATCAGGGCGTTTGAGATAGAACTGTTGCTTTCAATAGCCGTAAGCGAGATATCTGACGATGAACTTGGCATGATGCTTGTAGTCGTGAGCGAACTATTCATGGATGACTGCGCTAGAAAAGTTGTTAAAGATGGCTGAGAAGTGGTGCTATTCATGTTGGTGCTCAAGGTAGATTCAAGTGTGGCACTACCTCCTGGTAAGAGAGCCCAGCCGGAGGGAAATACAGTCGGCTCGGTTAGTTGAGCTTGCGCGATACTGGATGCGAGAGCTGCGTCGTAATTTACGCTCGTGTATACTGCTATTTCTATGATAGCACTCAACTCTGTGGTGGCCTCAATAGACTCGCATAAATGCGACGTGTCCGTGAAAGAACATGCTTGAGACGAGCTAGAGCTGGAGCTGGAACTGGAACTAGAAGTCGAAGTAGTCGAAGATTGGCTCGTCTCTGAGGCAGAAGATGACTTCTCATCGTCTCCGTCCTCCAAGTCTTTGGCCATCTCTGCTAAAGTATCCGTCAGATTCTCTATCTCGTCGAGATCAAGGATATCCGCGTTCACGGAATCGACCAAGTTCTGAACCACATTCACAGCGCAGCTGACAAGTTTAGCCACATCTCCAACCGCACCTCCAATCACCCCTGCAATGCTCCCTATCACGCTTCTGTCGTGTATCAAAGTCCTCAATTGCTTCTCTGATATCGCATTCCTCTTTCTCTTTCTTGTGTTTGAACAATCTGGCTCGGGATCTTGACATCCAAGTCATTGAATAAAGCAAGAGCCTCGTCTTTTGTTTTCTCCACATCGTCAAGAAATTGAGACTTTAGCTTGGGATCTGTGAGCAAATGTCTGTTCGCCTGAAGAGCAAAGAATAAGTTTCCAAGCAGTGCCGCTTCGGACGTTGCTGTGGTGTCTGCAATTGTGGCTGTTGGGATATCAAACCAGACGAACGACGCAGCTGTAGTCGATAAATCGGTCCACGTACCACTGAACGTAAGCGGTGCTTGTGAAAGCGAAGATCCTGTCGTGGTTGGAAATGGCAGCATGCCTGTTCCAGGTATCCATATTGAGGATGACAACAATGATGATATAGGGCCAGTAGAACTCGAATTTCTCGACACTGTCACAGTAGAAAACGAGGTTGGTGTGGTCCATGCGACAGAAAAGGAGTTGCTAGAGGTTGTCATTCCTGTTTGAATAAAGCTAGCATCAGTCGCTGTGGTAGGTATGAAACTTGTGGAACTATTGGAGCTGTATGAGTTGATTTGACTAGAGCTTGAAGCGAGTTCTGTGATAGAATTGGATTCGCCAAAGGTGGTGGAGGTACTGGAATCGATATAGCTAGAGCCTGGGGTGAGTTCTGTAGCAGAAGTGACATTTTTCGAGCTAATGGGACTGGTTTGGCTTGAGCTAAATGTGAGCTCTGTAGCAGAAGCGATGTTGCTGTTCGAATCATTTGAACTTATTCGGCTGGAACTTGACTTTGTTATGGTAGCGTTCAACTTGGGTATTGCTGCAGTAGTAGGCGCAGAAGAACTTAGGTTGGCAGACATTCCAGATAGATTAGATAGCACCTTAGATTCTGCCTGGGAGGAGGAATTGGACTGCCTTTTTGAAACAGGTGTCGTCGATGTAGACAAAGTCAATACAGCTTGAGAAAGCGAGCTCGAATCGCCGCTTGACGGATTTATTAGAGCAGTCGTATATCCCGCGGTTGTGGAAGATGGAACCGTGATGCTCTGTACAGACGAGCTTGAAAGACTTGAATGACATTTCGAGTGGAACTAATTAGCTGAGGTATGTCCAAGAAGATTACCATCCCTTTCTCGCACAGCTAGTTTTCTTTCGCGCCAACGCTCTTCCGAGTCAAAAGCTGACTAAAGTTATATGAGAGAACAGAGTAAAAACTTCATAATTATACAAGCTATAGTGAAATAGACACTTGCAAATGAGTATTTTACGATTTATTATCTTATATTTCAAAAGATATGAGTTTCAGAAATCTAGTAGTGCTGCTGAATACTAGAGCATTGTTACGGGGATTAATAGGAAGACAAAAGATTGTATGAAGGATACAGAACTAATCTCTGTCCCTCTAAGGGCTAGAGAAGCCTCTTATTTATATAGATTTGATCCGCATGCCCACCCGGATCTCACTTCTCGTTCACTTGATGTACCTCCTTTTTTTCAATTCTTGCTCAACATGGCCAGGACAACAGCGCTTATCAGTTTATTGTTTTTGTTGTCTACTTTGATGCCTGTGCGCGGAGGTTCGATATCACTGGGATATTCCACAACCTCATCAAGTTTATCAAGTGAGTGAATTAATCGCACTTATTCGCTCCTTTTAATTTGTAGTGCGATATATTACTTTACACTCACAAATTAAGAATTTGACCTCATAGAAAGCAGTTTTCCGAAATATAACTCCAAAATACCGGCCATCTTGGGGTGTCCTCCAAGTCTCTCTGTTTTAATTTTAGAATGTGTTTCTTTCGAGCCAACATCCTAGAAACTCTGACTTGATAGCCATCTATTAATGAACTACAAACGCTTTTTCTGCAAGTTCCCCCTTTTCTGCAAGATCGATAGCTTCTCCAGTCATCCACCCATGAATATAAGCCTGCCCCACAAATTCAAAATGCCCCTCAATAGGCCGTAAGATGATCGGTAGAGCGCAACCGTACAATACCACAGCCACATCCCCTGGGCGAGCGTGGAGTGGTGCTAACCCCATATTGTCCTTCTCAGTTAGAAAGAAACGACGGTTTGTTGTGGCATGTTCACACGCACGAAGAAACGGAGCCATCCATGATGCGATATGATCAGAGACCTCTTTAGATGAAAGTCCTGGGCCAGGCTGTTGATCGGCTGGTAGCACTATTTCTGCAGCTTTATAAGCACCAACTTCGCGACTCTCTGGGACTTCAGATAGCTTATCATCGGAGGTAGCGAGCCTCATACATGTAATCCACGAATTAAATCTAGTACTAAACTCCGTGGGGGCACTTTTGAATGCAGGTTCGTTATACGGGTGGGTATAGGGACTCCACTCACGATTGCTGACCAGAGTCCGCCACAACGTCTCTCTTCGACTAGAATCATTTTCGGCTTTTGTTACTTCAATGATTCGCTCCATGTCCTCATGTGAGTATACACACTTCGCATCCTTCACTGCGCCACACGGACTATCAATGACATCTCGGAGAATATCAACAATAATTCCATAGACAGCTAATATCATCCCACAGTCTGAGAACTCGTGAAAGCATCCAATTTTGGAACTAGCGTCGTATTTATTGCTTCCCCAACAGTTCAAATTGTGCTCTGTAACAATGAATTCCGAATCATGTGCTTGATCTAGATACCGAGAGATTGGAAAGTCGCTCCAATCGGGGCACCAAGTCGGAAGTCCTTCCAGCCTGGTTTGCACTGGACGAGGGTATATTTCCGTTAATATATCCAGAGACTTCCAGAAAGATACCAACGACTGTACAGCTCTGGTATAGACTTGAGGGAGTGAGTGATTGTAATCAACTTCAAATTTGCCGCCATGCCAACCCTCGATCATGTCAAGAACCCCGTATATCCTATCCCTTGGGTCCGTCACTCCTCTGCCTAACTGGTCACAAAGTAGGCTAACAACATGGTGTTCAGACCTTAGCCTGTCATGGAACCGTCTTCTCATCGTACATGTTTTCATTGCGGAAGCTGCAACGCTGAGATATTTAGACGGTGGGCTGAGTCCCCCTATATAGTTATTCGATTCTTCAAGGCCATCATAAGCTTCATAGGCCCTAAGCCACCATTCAAGAGGGGCGGAGTTGTGACCACAATGGATGAACACCTCATGATTGTTGTGAAGTTCTTGTTGGATCCAAACTCGTCTCCAGTATGGCCGGTTCAGTAATTGTGTCATTGTCTCCCATGCTTTTCTACCAGACTCCTCAGCCCAACTTTGTTCCATATACGAAAACTAGACCCAAGTAAGAATCGGAACACGAAAGGACTTGCAACCCCGGTCTCACCATTTCAATTTTAGCACGCCCTTCCTTTAGCTTATGAGGCAACTTTTCATCCCAGCAGTCGAACTTCTGAGAGGTACCAAACACTCTCAGAACTTTCCATAGGTCCCATTTCTGCTCTTCAACAGGTTCCACAGATTCCGTCCCTTCGGCCAGACCAATCCATGCCCTAACACGCGTCGCGAACCGATATACATCCCCCATCATTTCAACCTGGTAGGCTTTCTCTCGGTCATCATTCTGATTGATGCATATAGCATCAACCCAAAGGGAAAGTTCTTTATTGGAAGGCCGAAGATGGAGAAGAGCTTGCTCTAAGTTGGCTGTAATCTCCCAAGCAATACCTTCGAGGGTGATGAATTTGGGTTCTCCTAGGCCACCCCAGGTATATGAAAGTGCATTATAGGACGGCTTTTCGTCGAGGGAGCAAACTATGAGGCTGCAGTTTAGTGGGTGATCGAAGGCTCCTGGGTGCACTAACAAGAGCCTGATTTGGCGCCTTTTGAGAGGCGTGTAAATTTGGCTTTGTAGTGAGCTTATATGTTCTGGCATAGCTTTTGGTCTTTGGGAGGTTCGTAGGAGGGTTTTAGAATGTAATAAGCCAAATGATGAAGAGTCAATTTAAAGCAAAAGACCCGTTCATATTGTTTAGAAATTGAGACTACAGCCCTGATAAAAATCTGGCTGCAGCCTTACTGTTTACCTACTCTGCCTTTATTGGCTAGTCTAAACCTAATGCTACGTGGTAGTGAGCACGTGATTTTTAGCGCTTACCTTACCTAGGTTCTAAACAAAGAGATTGGAAGGGGCGTGACCGCCAACCTTATCCCAAACCCCCTAGATCTCTACAGAGTTATCTATAGAATAAAATTTCTCAATAGCCCCTCCAACCCAGGCACTGACGCCGGCTTCGCCGGCTGTGCCCGGGTTGTCGGGGCCTGAGGCCTATACTTCTTTCATCATGTCCGAAGCTTGAAAATCGGACGCGTCTTGGTAAAAAGGGACTTCGAAACATACTGTCACCCACAGGCTTGTTTTCGGTGCAGCCACCAGCTTTGTGCAGTACCCGTCAACAAGTATGGTCACCTAAGACGTCGTTCAAAATGGACCTGGATTGTTTTACTATCTTGTAAATTGCGAGATCTTTCAAAGTAAAGCTACTACATTAAGTAGGCACATAATGAGGAACCACAGGATCTGTGCCATACACCTTGAACGCATTCACATACTCAAAGAAACTCGCCTTATAAGCCCTTTCCTGCGTAGTGAAATTGACATACCTATGCAAGATCAGCATTTCTCACTCACTCACCTCAAAAATACACCACTACACAAAAAAAAAAAAAAGACAAGAACTTACTGAACCCCAAACTTATCCTGATACCCATCCGCCCACTCCAAATTATCCCAAATACTCCACGCCAAACACCCCACCACATCCACCCCCTCACTAATCGCCAGCAAAATCGCCTGCATATAGTCCCTATAATAACTACTCCGGATCGGATCGAACAGGATATCCGCCTTAATCATCTTCTGCACCTCGAACGGCTCCGCGAAGCCGAATTCCGTGACCGCGACGCCGCCTCGGGGGTGCCACGTGTCTTGGATGTAGTGGAGGAAGATGGGGACCCAGTCTGTGGCTTTGTGGAGCCAGGGGGAGAGCGGGTCGGCCGCCGGGCCGATGTTCCAGCCGCCGTCGGCGGCGCTGTAGGTGTAGGTTGTGTTGGTGCAGGAGGGGTAGAGCGGGTGGCTGCTGTTGGAGACGCAGGCGTCGAATCCGGAATCGGGTGCTGTGGAGATGGTGGTTAGCACTGAATTCTATGTTTGTTGGACGTTCCTTACCCATGTAGAATTGAGAGGTGTAGGCATCGTGAGCGAAGATATCTGCTGTGCCGTTGATCATCTCCATTTCCTCTTGGGTGAACGCTGGTAAGAAACCGGAAACGTATTCTTTTAGATACTGGGGATAATCTCCGTTAATAAATACTGGATTCGCAAACCACCCTTCGTTAAAATCCCAGGCCCGCTGCACAGCGAGAGCATCCGCGCTAGAGTTTGTCAATGGGATTTTATATCCACCGTTGTTTTTGAACGAGATGGTGCCGTTGATGCCAAGCGATCGAGCGAGGTGGTAAGCTTTTGCGTGTGCAAGTAGAACGTGGTGGCCACACCAGTATGGCTGCTCTAATTTTGGGATCGAGGTGTTGGTGAAGTAGTTATCTGGCAGGGGATAATCGTCACTGATCTCTTTAGTATCTGATCCCTGAATAGAACGTTGAAATTTTACCAGAAGACAATGGGTTCATTAACTGTGAACCAGCGCGGGACTTTGTTTCCATATCGTTGGAAGACTACTTGCGCATAATTTGCAAAATCATCGACGATGTCACTACTCAGCCATCCACCGTATTGATTTTGTAAATTTAAAGGTAAATCCCAATGAAACAATGTCACACTGGGCTCAACTCCGTACTCAATGCAAGTGTCGATTACATCATCGTAATGTGCAAGAGCTAATTCGTTGACCGGACCGTTGCCGAAAGGGAAGACTCTTGACCAGCTGATGGAGAACGAGTACGTCTTGACTCCAAGGGCAGCAATTCGAGCAATATCTCGTTCCAAATCAGCATACAGTCTCAAATGAGGATATTTATTTACCTTGCTTATACAGATAATAATGATTATCAGCAATATCTCCCGTCTGATTTGCAACCGAGTACCCAGTCACTCGATGCAGTAAAACATCCCAAATCGACGGTCCTCTCCCTTCGGCTTTGACAGCGCCTTCTGCCTGATACGCCGCGCTGGCCACTCCCCACCAGAAACCCGCAGGAAATTTCCAGCTCTCGTTCTTCGATACCATTGGAATCTGTTGTCCTGAAGGAAAGGAGCTGTAGTACAGTCCTGGAGGAGGGATGAGTTCATTTGTGGGAATTGGGGTTGGTGAGACGGTGGTATTGACAGTTGCTGTTGAGACGGGGCCGACAAAGAGATCCCATAGGTCTTCCACGTTGACGGTGATTGCTGACGTGAAAGCTGTCGGATTTCCTATTGCTGAGCCACTAAGGGATGTCGAAGCTGGAAAAGTCTCCGTCACTGGTGAGCCAGTCGCGGTGGAATGCATGACTTGGGTGCTGCTTTGAGCAAGCACATGCTCAGAGAGCATTAGTAATAAAAGGACTGAAAATTCCATCATGATACATCAAAGATTGCTTCCCAACCTTCAGACAAGCAAAAAGAGAGCCAAGTGATTGTGACTTGGGGAGGTAAATGTTAAATACTTCATCGCTTCACCCCCGCTCCCGAACATCGGGACAAAACAATAGCGAGCCATACGACACTGGCTTACATGACAGTAGCATGGACGACATTAAGTTCGTCTGAAGACAAGATGTGCATGCAAGACGGCCCTTTTGGGGACTTCAGCCTTGCATGACGAGGAGGCTGTGGGGTTCCAGAAGGTCAAGGAGCAACTATGATTTGGCATTCGGGTGATCATGGGTTCAAATGCCTCTAAGAAGCACATCACATCAACGTCAAGGATCGCCCAGGAACTGGGAAGGCGCTCCTATGGCGTTGTTGCGGGGAAAATATAAAGCTTGGCATTACCCCTCCGGGTGATGATCCGGTATAAACTACCCCGCACTCCACTCTTGCTACGAGTACTTCAAGAGAGGTAATGGATCCGCTTGGGAGGGTTAAGCCAAAGAAAGGGGATTGTCTAGGCCAAACCAACAATCTGACAACTGGGACAGCCAAAGAAGACAGTCGAGATTGGTACCGAATGATCGCAAGGATCCAGCAAGATAACCTTACAGTATCGAGGAATTTCTAGCTTGGCGCGATCTTCAGGGTCTTCATATTTAAAATGAAAAAGAGAAACAACAAACAAATCTTTTTGGAGGGAGATGGAGTAGATAAGGAAATAGATTGATATACAGTACCTAGGTGAGTGTTGTCGGGCAGAGAGGACGGGGGAACTTAGCCGCGTTTTTAAGGTTAGCGCGTCTGCACCAACACGACCTCTTCTCAGAGGCCATGACAGCAACACTGAACAATTCCATGCGACGACATCAAATTCAACAGCAAAACATCCTCCTCGATCATGCGAGAAGATTCAATCCACCCGATATGTGCGAATAACCTGATCAAAGTACCAAGCGGAAGGAGAGAGGTGGAGGCGACGTGTGAAGTCCTTTCACAGGGTAAGATTAACTTCCACAAGAATGTGAAGCAGCTGTCGCTGATCAGCTTCAGAAGTCGCACGGATGCAGGCACACCCTACGAGCGCGATTCGAATTCAATGGGACGATACTCCGATGTGAGCAATTCAGAAATTCAAGCGCGAGGAAAGTATCGATGATCAAATCCGCAAGACGAAAGGCGGGAGCAGCATGAACGAGCGCATGACAGACTGTGCGGCACCAAGATCATACGGCTCAGTGGTCAAACTCGTCAATGACAATCTATGAGGCCGATATTGTTGACCATGTCCATCAACGTGACATGACGATTACATGACGGACGATGTGGAGGAGCCAACATTCGCACCTACAGAGGAAAGAGACTTTGGAGAGTGGAGGGTGTATATCGACAAGTTGTCGCAACACATACCAAAGAGTGGTAATTTCAGGGCGCGACGAGTCACCGAGAAAGCCAGTAGCAATCTGGAAGAAGGCATTCCTGCAAGGCAGGCTAGCTGGAGTGAAATTACAAGATTGCCTGCCCGGTCACTATGCTACGATCACACACAACTTGTGAAGCTGTGAAGCTGCCGAAAGCACACGATATCGAGAGGAGAAAACGTTTTATGGCATCAGCTGCTGTGTCCATTGCATCTTTCCGTGCCACCAATGGCAAAGCGTCAAGCATAATTTCCCTGATTGTCAAATCTTTCATCGTCTCCGAATGAAGTCATTTCTCCGTTCCCAAATCAATGTCACTCAAGGATTCATGCAGCACAATAACAATGATCCCGAGATCTGAGCAGGATCTGACTACAAGATACTGTTTCCGATTTTGCCTGTGTCCGCCGACTTGTTGTTGTTCGGCTGCATTCAAATATCAGCCACGTTCTACTTGCAATAGTCCTCGATGTATTCAAATCTTAAGCTCATCTGATACTTTCAAGTCGCCATTGCGGCATCTCATACCTGTCACCGTGCGGAGACGGTGTGGCTAAATACCTTCACGAAATTGGTCATCCTTTTCGGGACCACAGGCACTCGGGACCACCAAATCTCGCGTCTTCTTCTTCACTTCACAAAGTTGCCGACATTTTTAATTTTGAGATATGAAGATGAATCTGTGTGTATCCCGGTTTGTGGAGTCCCCGCATTCGTAAGTCAGCTTGGCGATAATATGGATGATGTTGAACCCATCCAAAGTTTGGTTATACGTTTGTTTGCTCATATCTTCTTATTCTTCATGCAAGCTCAGACTATCGAAATAGCTCTCACCTCGCACTGCCTATTGTCCTGTATCAGAACTTCGGAATCTATGCACGGGAAGTTCCTTTTGCGGACGACGTCCGACTGAGCAATTGACTCCGAAGCCACCAAGGAACTGTAGGGGAAAAGAACCAAGGGGTGAAAATCATCACGACGCCCTTGGTTGTAATTTCAATTAGCATGGATATGCGTCGACAGATCATGAAAACATGAGGGGATTTTGAGGAGGTCCTCTGGATAATGAACGAGAAGAAAGAGGGGCACGCTTGAGCACCAGTATAAATGCACGATCTTCTTCTCTCGAGTCGAGGCTTCTTTTGAAAAAGCGAAGTATCATTCAAGAATCTTTAGAACCGATCCAGCAAATATTTCCGTTTCATCGACCAAATTGGAGCACTACTGATAAGATGCTGTTCACCAAACTCTTTCTCTCTGGCCTGATGGCCGCCGGGTAACGAACTACATCATCCTGTACTGCTTTTGTTGTTCCCACTAACTAGCCTCCAGCTTTGTCTTTACCCTTCCTGTGGTAGAGATTTCTGATGTTCAGGTACGCGAGGCTCAAGGTGGACCAGGCGGTCCTGGGGGTGCTCCAAAGAATACTGGACCTCCTGTCCAAGGACCTGGGTAAGTCCCATATCTCTCTACATTCTGCATCTTACCCTTAGTTCCACAGCATCTACAAAAATTGATCAATCACGTCCTATGAACACTTAGCTAATTCGTATTCAGACCTCTTCAGACTGGCCCCCCTTCCAACCAAGGACCTGGGTAAGATCCATATATCTTGCTCTTTTACATGTCATCATTGGTTCCATAGCACCTCCAATGATAGACCCAGACATACCGTATGAAAATTCAGCTAATGTAGCATCCAGACCCGCTCAAACCGGTCCAGCTGGCGGTCCAGGCAAACCTCCTGTGACAGTACAACCTAAGTATGTCTCCAAACAGTTTGTCGATGTCAAGATTCTATCCTCGACCCCATTATGCCTTGTGAAGCGTCATACTTCTGTTACTGCAAAATGTCCTTCAGATCAAATCTCTTGACTTGAACCCATACTAATTCAAGAGACACAGACCAACGCAGAGTTTCAATCAAGGGCCTCCACCACCGCCTCCATCCACCACTGGAGTTCCACCGCCTGTATTTGCAACCCCACCTGCATTCACCCAAGTTGTCACCATTACGGTGTACTAGGCTTGCTTAGTGCAGGTACTCGAACTCGATTCGCAATGGAGGAAACGAAAGGAGGGGCACGGTTCTTGTCAATGAGGTGTGATTGATTTGGGGTGGTTGTATGATTCTTGTCTGTCGCTACTTTTCTGTGTGTTCTTCAATGAAATTATTTTCCAAGTTGGGTCAATAGCTCGTTGTTTGTGTACTGTACAGTGTACCCCCTTGATTATATGTTAATTTCTTGCCATTCGATTATCTTATGTTAGCTTGAAAAGCAAAGAACTTATGCTGCTTTGAAGTGCTTGATTGTTGACAGGCTCTAAATCTTGATATAATATCTGTCTATACACTCTGTTCAAATTCAAGCATTGCTGTCTCCAATGACAGCATCTGCCTCACCATGTGTCAAACAAAGAAGACGCACATCGGGAGCAAGAGTTTTAGAGCCTGAGTTTCAGAAAATATCCTCATAGCTGTCTGGGACGTTCCACGCTTAGAGGAGTCTCCAAGAGAATCCTTCCTGCTCGATATAGGTATACATCCGGGGTGTGTCCCGGCAGTGAAATGTGCCTCTCGACCTGTCATTAGTCACGATCTAATATCATATTATCTAAGTACAAAGCAAGTCGTCTTCAACCTCAAATCAAACTATAACCTCGACCCCACCTGCATTTATGTAAAGCGCGTAGTCACGTGCCATCATACACTTTCACATGAATCAAGTTGTCCCCTTTTCTAAAAAGTGGGGCCGTATTCAGCTTGAAAGCCACCTGGGAGAGACGGGAGCCCTAAAAATGTGAAAAACGCAGTCAGCAAGTATTCTCTACCAAAGCCATTCCAAACACGAATCGATAGAAAACGTCTAGGCAACTTACAAGAGTCAATATCCTCATCCACAATAGCCTTCTGCGTGCACTTATTCATATCATCCACCGCCTGAATCTTATCCCCCGCCTGCGTACAGTTAAAAATACACGGCGTATCCAAAATCTTCTGCAACGCATCCCCCTTCCACCCAAACACATAATCAGCATGATTCGCATACCCCGTCGCATCCCCAAACGACCAGACGAACGGGTTCTTGCCGCCCGTCGGCCACGTCAGGTTGTTGAACGGCTTCGTGTCCCAGACGACCTCGAACATGACCTGGCCCGTTCGCACCGGATGCGTGGACGGGCAGGGTCCGCCGCTCTCGAAGGTCCCGGTCTCGGGGTAGCTTATGTGCGCCATGTGGTCCGGGCTATCGAGGTTCTTGCCGTCCCAGCAGGTGGGGAAGCGGAGCGTGGTCATGATGCCTTCTTTGCAGACGTGGTCGGGGAAGGCCATCATTTCTGGTTGGCGGGTGATGAAGGTGTCGAGGCAGGTGTATGTTAGTTGGCGGAAGCGGGCGGCTTCTGCTAGGGTCCTGGCTGCGATGTCTCCGATGAACATGCGGAAGCCCTGATTTTTGTCAATATTTCGCTTTGAGGCACTTTGAGTTGAGTGGCTTACTGGCTGGAATGCTGTGACTTTTGATTTCTGTTGTTGGTCATAGATTGCGTCTTGCATGTAGTAGACCGTCAAACCACCATTGGCATTTGTAAATTGGTTGTTTCCGAGTTGAGGGACACGTTCTGTAGACGAATCAATATAAATTCTTAATAAAGATCCGAGAGACGAGGAGCTCATCCGAGTAGTTGAAATTCATTCTCTCTTATAAGTAGCTCCCCATGACGATGCTGAAGAGAATGAACATAAAATAAGGCTAGAAATTGACGTACTGTAGCTGCCATTTTGCGCACGGAAATACATAACCGCAGTCCAGTAGTTTGAGAAATCCTCAGCATATTGGCATGTCGTGCAAGTAGATTCCCCTGGCATATCTTTCTTCGTATCCATAGTAGCATTGAAGCTGTTCTGTCAACGAACATCAGTAAGATAAACACTACATGGAGTCATTTACGAACCCCGCCAACGATCTGATGGACATGACTGGATGGAACGAGACCGGGACTGATCAAAGGATCAAGTCTCTAGACTACTAGCTGCGAACAATGGAATCGGACAACAGCAATGCTAGGCACGGCTAGTGCCAGTGCGAGGATTTTAGTCCAATGCATCTTTTCTTGTCGACCAACGTTAGACTTCAGAGAAGGATTGAGAAGAATATTGCAAGACAACGACAATGTTTCGAAGACTGTCCGGGAGTGCGAAGCCGTGATGCTCTTCATTAGGCCCCACCCGAGGTGCCTCAACTTCCACGACAGTTCGTGGATGCTCCCACATTGATTGCTCTGCAGCCGAAAGCTAAAATACGCACGACATATAAATTCCCTATGGGAGGCGATACTTATATGAAATTTATCGAGTATAAATTGAAATTCTCAAGCGGCCCTATCAAAGCCTTCTTGGTTCAGACGAGTAAGAGCAGTTCACTATCAAACGAATTTCCAAAGCCAGTCGGAACACACCTTTCCAACTTGCCACAGAGTCATACTTTGGCTGATGGCAGAAGTCGCTGTTGCAGCTGCAGCCGCTGTCAAAGTGTAAAGATTGTTTACGGAGGGGCAATCATTACTCGCTAAAGCTGCGTCGCTTTCGTTTAGGGGATGGAATACGCAGGCTATACTCCTCGGTTAACCGGTATCCAAAGTGCCGGCCACAGGATACAGATAGCTCATCCCTGCATATCCATTCATCATGGATCAAAGGTGCCATCCGTATGCCGGCTATTCAGAATTACAAAATATTTCATCTACTCGGGTGGGGTCCCCGGTGCCCACGCACAGCGGGCCGAGTGAGCTGCAGCTATGTTAATATGAAGAGAACGGGTCTGACTTCCGAAAGTTGTCGAGATAGGGAAAATATACATAGCACATGCATCCTCGTCTGATGCTCGCCTTCGACTCTCGAAAAAGCCCCTTCGAAAATAAAAATTTAGGATCACCAAAATGCGTTTTCGGATCGACTTGTTCGCTTTGTATTTGACGCTTGCTGTCGTTCACGCCCAGAACCAGACTGTCGTTGATGGATGTCCCAAGGAGAATTATGCGTGCTTGGATGTGATAAATTCAAGTCAATGTATCGAGGAGTTGGTGATTGAGAAGGACGCGGCAATCACAAAAGATGCGCTGGAAAAGTGTGTGGATACTGAGGGTGCGGCGAGCAATTTGACTGGAGCAGCAAAGGTAGGTGCAGAGACTTCACATATCAAAGTGGGGCATGTCGAGAATACGAGGCTGATAAAAGTGTGGATGTAGTTGTGTCAATGTCCTGGTTGTCACTCTGCGCCGATAAACACTGTCATTGCGCAAATGTTCCCGCCGCCATGTGGTTCCTAGCGACGTCTACTTTGGTGTCGAAAACGTGGTATTGAGTAGACGAAGGACGGCAGTAGTGCCTGAAGAAGTTCATGAAACTTTCAAGAAGTTGGAATATTATTTGTTCTGTACGTATGAACAGATCTACAGTCGATGTGCTTGGTAGATGGTCTCGTTGGGCCAATTATATGTATTTATACTCCAGAAAGAGTTTATGTGATAGCATCATGCTCATCATACATACACGGAATGAGTGAATGTCCATCATCACACGATCAAATGCACACTCAACCTTTGATCAGGAATTTGTGTAATATTTCTTTATTCTATCTACACAGAATTTGACCTGCTACGTTTCGGGTTTCCGAAAGCTTCGCTATTGGAAGAACTCACGGGCGAGACATGAACGTCAAATAACCTTTTTTTCGAGTCCACAGAAGGGGACAGAACAGGCTGCTCTTTCGTCTCGTGCGTACTTTCTTCTAATCGGGAGAGCATCTGTTCCCATTCTCGGACGGAGCTCCACTCTCTGTTCGTCCTAGTGACTGGAACTCTGTCAAGTGCTGCGAATTTCCACTGCAATTTATTAGCGCCATAATCAACTCTAAATCAATGAACAACTTACGTCTGTGATTCCCATTCCAATGAAACCGTTCATCTGTTGCTGCAGGGTCTCTTCAGACCACCAAGCTATTTGTCTCCACTCTCCCCTTCCTCTCTTTGAACGTGCGAGTCCGGCTATGGTCTCTATCCAAAAAGCCGAAAATATGACTATCGTTCCGATTCCGAAGATAAGGGCCATGGCTAGGGTACTGAAATTGGTGAAGTCGTTGCGCTTTATGATTTGATTCGAACACAACCATGCCAAAATCGTATCATTCTTGGCCTGATTCAACGGGACGAACTGAGAGAATTGTGATGGCGGACCTGTCATATAGTCGACTAGGAGATGTTGTGTGTTTGCAAGACTAATGGAGAACCAATTCTGGGCCTCGAGCACCCATTGATTGCTGGCGGGAGGAAGAGATATTTGCTCGTGGGTCAACGCACCAGCTAGTAGAGGAGAACTAAGTTGATTCACCGAGGTGGCCATACCAGAAATCACAGCTGCGTTCATAATAGTTCGAGCTGTCTTAATCTGGTGTTTTGTGTTGAAGAGGGCGTCCAATTGTCCGCTTTGGGCCCAATCGGTCATACCAGCAAGCGAAAGGAATGGAGAGCATGCTCCGGTTTCTCCGGCTCCTACCGGTTTACAAAGCTGCAGATGCTCTACACAGCCTAAGACCGAGACCGGATTATCAAAGGAATATTGGTATATAATCTCGCCGACCTTTCCATCGTTATCTTGTTCAGTAGGTATCTTTCGATGCGCTGCAAGCCATAAGTCGTCGCTAGGATTTGTGAATATGCCATAGAACGATGCAAAAATGAGATTAAGAGTGCCGTTAGGTTTACGTAGTTGTTCAATAGCGTCAAACCCAGCATTGATGTCGGCAGTAAAACCACTTGAAGTGTCAGCCTTTCAAACCAAGAAGAAATTGCGATGCTTACTGAACTTCATAAGCCGAAACTTGCGCATTGTAAGTTTCGCTGGCGATATCACGGAAATTCGTATAGATATATGTAGCGTTTTGCAAAGTCAGGTCGGCAAGGCCAAAGTTGGTTTCGTTGATATTTGGACGCCCGTAAAATGCTGCTGTATAATTGAACGGGAGGTATTCAGGCCCAGAATTGTCGACCCCTTCAATGCTCTGTTCTGAGCTTATCGAGTATGAGCTGTACCCACTTGAGGTGTATCCATCAGTTGTAATCGGCACACAAGTCGTATTCCTTCTCCATTGTACCCGGTCTTGGTCTCGAGCATTTATTCCAAGATCAGTCCGAGAATCGACAAGACCAGTATCCATGTAGAGAGGAGTACTACTGTCACCCAAGCAAAGCCCGTCAAATGGACAGGCGGTACTTGACGAGCTCCAATTGAGTCGAGTCTGTGCATACATGTTGCATTCTGGAAGAGATTGTGATTGTGCCAGACAATTTTGGACGTACTGGCTACTGGCTTCGGTGGCTTGATTTTTGTAGGAATAATAAGCTACATCCCAAGGCAAATGAGCTTCGCTCATCAAGCCACTGGCCTCGGGAGGCTGCCAGGATCCACAACATGGGCTTCGCGCCAACAGAACCTCATCCCCAACTGTCGTGATATGAGAAGATAGGATACCAGTAGCTGCGAATGCGAGAAGGTGAAGTATGCCAGCTATGACTAAGGCCGCTGTTTTTCGAAAGCTCCTCACGGAGTGCCGCCTCCATGCCCACCCTATCTTGAAGAACTGCCATATAGCACTGACATCTGAGTTGTTGTTGCGTAGTGTTGCTTGCTGCTGGTGATACAATCCGTTCTTAGCTTGTTCGCTTGCCCTCACTTGATGAAGGATGAAGCATATAATTGTCCAAGACCTTCCTCCGGCAAGCTTTGAGAAATCATCAATTTGTTTTCGGACCTTGGTACGACGTGAAAGATCATTCCAAAGACATCTGAAAGGTCTTGAGACGTACTTGTATGAATATAGCAAGAGCTGCAATGAGAACAGCTCCGTTGCGATTGGATAATGTCAATGTTGACCCCGAGATGGCCCCTCGAGAGTAGTTCTAAATCGCGAAAAAAGATTATCAGTCGAGTCATCTGACATCTCTGATGTTGAAAGGTGTAGGGTGGCCAAGATTCCATGCAACATTCCAAGAAAATGGCTAGCTTGACAATATTGATACGAGATAGGGACTTACTGTCCAGAACCCAGTGTACACAGTCGTGTTTGTGGACATTTCAGAGTCTGGTAGAGGATTGAGGAGAAATGTCAGATGGCGTATGCGGTCAGCAGTCACCCGCTATGTTTTCAACGGCACGTTTGTCGCCGTTTGAGGCATTGTCTCTGAGAGGAGATAACAATGGATATGAAGACATTTTAAGTCTTTCAAGGGCACCGAACAACCCTCCAAAGCTTAATTAGAGTTTCTCAAGCCTTTTCCCGCCCGTGTCATGGTCGACTAAGCCAATATCTCTAATCGCCCAATGATCAAACAAGACTCCTAAAGTCGCCACAGTTAAGAACTTTAATTCGACTTCACAGGAACTGCGCCGCAATATCAGCACGCCTTGAAACCCCCAAACTGCTGATAAACGTTGATCCATATTAAATTTCTTCAGCACAATTTATCCAGGCTGCAGGGGAGAGGCAATTCAGACTACCGGAAGATCGCCAATGCTGGTACCGCGAATGCGGCGCAGCTTATGAACCATGCAAGCCATGCAAATCGTCCACCATAAGAACTATCGAACGCGGCTCGGGTATCACAATGCATATATAATATAGGTTATATCTCCGGGTTCGCGCATTGGTCCGTGATCTGAAACCGAGATGATGGAGTTGATTCGATCGTTCGGTAGCTGGATGAATGCAGATAGAGCAAACACATCGATGCCTATGCAGAAGAGGGTATACACCGTCGAAGATAACAAATATTAGAGACCAATTCATCGCAGATTTGAGTAGCCGAAAATGGACAGTGAAGCAGGCATCTGAAGCCCGCGTCTTCTGTCATGATCAGTAATTTATAAAATTTGGCAACTGAGTGCCTTCGAGCGTTGCAGACAAGCTAAACAGACACTACTTCTTGGTGCATATTATCACAATAATGAGAGTGGTATCTTCCAACGCATCAATCAAGATGAGATACAAAGCGTAAATTGAGACCCTTTCAAATTTAGCGAACAAAAGTGGACGCTCGAATAGGGGGTCAGCTCGGAAAATCTACAATGTCTACCGATTGCCATCATACATCGGACACTGTATAGGGCAAAATAGCATGAAAAATGACCTAGAATCTTCTCCGATTTTGAAATGCTTACACATATTCGAGAACCAGCAAATCATCATTGAAACTGTCGACGAGAGGCGTTGTTCTGATCATCGTTAATTGATCAATATACGGCAGAAAGCATTATATTGTAAGATTTATCTGCGCTGCGCCGCAAATTTGAAACTATCAGAAATGGATCTGGAAATACCTAGGGTTCGCTCCTTAATGCTTTGACCTCGGTACCATTGGATGGTTTTGATGGTGGCCCTTCACCCTGCCTCGCTTGCTTGGCTCCTTTTCAAGTTACTAGGAGAAAAGTGGACGAAGAACTTACACTGCAGTTCCCTACATATTTGAGCATTGAACAATGCTCCAAAATTTGGATGAAGCCACTTAAAAACATTTCCATTAGCTATAATCATTATAGCCAATGAGTTGCAAACTACCACCCTTGGGGCTTGGAAGGTGTTTAAATGATCGATAATTGAGGTTTAAGAGATCTTCTCCACCCATGCACCCATTAGTGTGAAATTGTGATAACAAACATCTTGACAGACATTTTGATAAACAACAATATATGGTATCTCAACCACAAAACGAGTGGACTGTGGATTGAACTACAAGACGCTTTCATCAACTTATATACATGATCTTCCAACCTCATTCCTATTCCCCTCTGCACTTCGGAAGGTTTCAGCTAACCAATACTCTTCACGTGATCGGTGACCAACGTCGTGAAATCACTCGACCCATAGTAAATCGTATACTGATCATCTGCAGTCTTTCCACTACTCAAGGTGTCGCCATACTGCCAATACATATCACCTCCCATACCTGAAGTATTCAGAGCTGTAGTCTGCCACGGACCTTCGATTGCGGGTTTATTGGATTCCATGCCGTACTCCTCGAAGACACAAGGCTTGCCAACGGAGGCACAAACAGCACCGTGAGCTTTGATCCATCCATTGCCGAAGCCAAGAGCATCTTTCTCACTCCCTAGATAGAAATATCAGTGCTTGTTTATGAAGGAGAGAGAAGAGGAAGAGACATACATGATGTTGGATAAAGGTGGAATGTGCCGAAGGAGATATCCTAAGATCAGAAAACAGATTAGTACCATGAAGCCTTCCAGACCGCGGTCAAAGACCCTACCGGAATCTTCAAGTTAGCTTCGAAGTCCATGCCTTCGCCAGTGGTGTAAGGGTAGCTCCCATCTCCACCACCATTCATGAACCCTTCGTCACCCAAAGTAATCATGTGATTTGGATCCAAGCTTCGAATGTACGCACTTGTCTTCGTAGCCCACGTTGTCACAATACTCGTTGCGCATCCATTACATCTTGGCTCATTCGCAAGTTCCCAAGCAAAGATGGCAGTGCTGTTGATGTGTCGACTTACTACAGCCTTGATGTAAGTCTGGTACTGGGCTTGGACTTTGGCATCTGTGTACCACGTAGTCTTGGTGGTGCCGTAAAAAGTATTGTAAGCAGGCATGCCACCATAGTCGCCCCAGTTATTGACGAAGTTGACGATGAGCTTGATGCCATGAGCCTCGGCGCTAGAGACGACATAGTCTAGACGCTGGAGACCATTGGCGCCAGTGTTGATCTGAGGAGTTTTTCCTGAGATGAAGCTTTGGTACCAGACTCCAGAGGTGCTTTGTGTCACATCGTTGAAACCTTAAACTGTTAGTAAAGTCCCGAACGAGGATGTGAGAGCGTAGATACCCCAGACACGAAGAACTTTCAAACCAGAAGCCTTGAGATGTGTCATTACCAGATCAACATCGGCATTGTTGGTCAGAAAGCCAATCCAGTAAGAGTTAGTTCCAGCGAAATATCCAGTTGTGCCATCGATGTTGAATTTCAAGCCGGAGACAGCAGGTATAGATGCTTTGGAGAGCAGATCTCCAGCCCCAACAGGAGTAGGTGTTGCTGCTGTTAAACCTGCAAAAAGTAGAAACAAGGCTTTGGAAAACCACATTATAGCAGTAGAACAGGGAATTCTTTTGGAGTCTCGTCAAGTACTGAGAAGTCTCCGATCTTGAACCAAATGATGCGAAGATGAAGAATGAAGATAAAGGAAGACAGTTGCATCTCTGGAGCAAGAAAAGCAGGCCGACCCTAACATGAAATAGACAGAAACCCCTCAATTGCGCTGGTGCTAATTCAAATGCTCATTTGAGGATATCACGCACCGGCGGCACTGCAACAGAAACTTCCGATGGAGTAATATGCATCTTGAATCGATCTCAGAATTTCAATACAATTGGCTTCCACAACAGGCTGGGCGTCTCCAATCATATGGCTAATACGACTAACCGACAGAAGCGGACAACGGAGGATGACTTACCGCGATAAAAACAGACAGAAAAGCACTTGTCAACATGAGCATCATCTAATTTTTGACAGACGAGGTTGTTTCATACAGATGATCCATAGCTCTTGTTGTATCCCTGCACTTCCAGAAGCACTATGCCAAGGTTTGAATGTTCATGTGATATAAGAAGATGAGAAGGTCACGTGCACTTAGCATATTGTGCTGTCTACCCTGGCTCTGAGAAGACGGAGAGGGAAAGCCGATTGACATACCTGATGTATTGGTAAGTAATGTATGGATTCGTTCTTAGTGACTTGAAAATAGGTAGAACGAGTTGGTTCTGCGATGCGAAAACACACGTGTAGCAGAAATGGAATTGATTTGGTGCAAAAGCAAATGATCCTGAGTAGAAGGATGAGGGATGCAGAAGAATTTCGTAATAGCTTTCAGAAAGAGTAGCGTAAATGGGTAGAGAAAGCCAAAGCAGTCTTGAATAAAAACAGCTTGGTCCCTCAAACCAGCCGGAGCCCGGCACGCAGCAGAGCAGTGCATCATATTGATCATCAATAAGAAGGAGGTCGAGAGTCCGGACGAACGGGATAAAGACGGACATAAAAGCAAATGGAGAGCTACACGAAACCGGAAATTGGTATGCTACGATCATGACATCCAACAATACCTACCTAGCCCATGTGTCCCGAATAGCTTCCTCAATGAGTCTGAATGGTGACCGAGGTATCAAAGCGGCTAAAAATAACAACATGCTTGTCCCCCAAGCTCCATGTACGACATCAGGGAGCCTCACTGATGGCCCGTATCTCAAACTTTGGAATCATCGGACCCTGTCGGATGGACTCATTTGGTGAGTTTGCAAAGATCAGATGGCTCAAAATGCACACCAGAAGGATTCATCGGCAGCAACCGAGCTCCGCTGTGGGTATTTTGTACAACGAAGTCGAGGATGAGGATATTAGATACTCGGTGTGACGAACGAAGGAAGGAGTCAAAGAAAAATGAGGCTTGCGATGTTTCCGAGCAAAATTAAGCGAAGGGGTTACACGTGACCAGGCTCCATAGAGCTAAACCGTTGTGAGTCTAGTCTAGGCTCTCAGGTCTGCCTCGGCGCCCCTTTCTGCCGACTTCAAGGCTCGCAATCTCAGCCTTTCCCTTTCGATATTTCCATCCAATACTGCGACTCTGCAGCAACGTCATATCAATTGGTTTCGCATCCAATATCGCATGCATTCAGCACGGTAAAAGTTACTTTTGGCGTAGCCGCCGGACTGCACTATCAAATCAACTTTGTGCTGTTGTCAGAGCTGTTGTCAGAAGTCTAATCACACCTCAGCCCAGAGGACTCACCTGAAAGCGCGAGACACAACTCTACCGCAGACACGAGGTTGCGATCACTAATTGTTGCGTTACCGCTCTGTTATTGGATCACTTGACCGTTTCTTTGTCAGTAACTTTCCGGTATCGCATCGATTCTGTGAGGCTGTACAATAAGCGCAAGGCCCCAGCAAAGAAGAATCTCACCCGCTCGTCTAGCCGAATGCAGCTGACAAGTCCACTTTGAGAGATAGTACCAGTTGCAAATTTTTGTGATTTTTTCTCACTAGGTCCGTCGGTGTGATACTTCTGGGATTCTGCCCAAGCTACTGCAGTTCGTCCCGTTATTTGTCGCTCCGAATATCACATCTCCTCAGCTGCAGTCTTAATGTTCTTGGCTGTGTGTTCCGAACACCATGTTGTAGTGATGTCAGAAAGTAGGGCTTTGGCAAATTCCTGGATCAGACTAACGTCTTGGGAGTACCATGAAGTGCAAGTGGACCAAGCGTTTCTGGTGCCTGACAGAGCTGCTGACGAAAACCACCTTCAATGGCGGCGGCTGAGACTTCCAACACATGTGGGCTATGGCTCGTATAGGCATCGAATTGAGGGTTGATGGTGCTCAAGCCATGAGCTTGAGCTGTAACAGCTGTTTGAAGTCTGACACGGTACACATCTCAATCTCGTGGTTGGGTATAAGGTCATTGGCGCCAAAATAGCCACACCAAGTTGGACAAACTACTTTGCCCTATCCTGCATGTTACTAAGAAGGAAACGCAATTATACAGAGTGTTTAGCTTGGCGTTGATGACGGTGGCGTTTCCAAGAAATTCTAAATGCACAGCATACTGGCATAGCATCGTTCAGCGATGCAGTCCGAACAGGAAGCTTGTTAACAAGACCAATGCTCTACGGGTGCACATCTTTTCGGTGAGTTTGTCGTAGGAAGTTCCTGACATGCAAGAAATGCATTGTAGGATGAAGCATCGACCGGAACCTTGATCTAGCGATGATCTCTACTGTCGACTACAAGGATTGTGCTGTTGGATTGAACGTCATTGCGGAGCAGCTCCACAGCCCGAACATATCGCATGTGAGCATCGTGACTCGTGGTAAGGAAGATCAACATCCTGTAGAAGTCAACCCCTCTAAAAATGTGTCCGCTTTTCTTCCCAACTACCCGTCCGCAGAGCCACCCACATCTTGAGTGGTATCAAACATGAAGCCTAGCTAGGCATCTTGTTGAGGAGACTCTGTACGGGCATGAGACAAAGATATCGATAAGTCGGATAGCACGGAGCATGCCAGAATAGAATTTACATCTGACTAGCAGTACACCGAAATTCCTCACGCGTTGACAACAAGTTCTGAAAATAGATCTGCACCATTTTTTGGAGCGTATGATGCATCAAGCATATCAATCCAAGTCCAAGAGACCGCACATTGATGCTGTCCGAGATTCCGCAGACCACCGGCTCCTTCGCTTCTGGAAACGAATGCAAGTAATAGAAAAGTCGTGCCAAGTCAGCGCTCTGTAATCAAGTGTATTTGGATATGGCTACCAGTCGATCCTCCTCCTGAACAACGATTAAAGTCTTTCCAACTCCGAGAAAGGAATGCTAATTACGTTCCCCTCAAGCCGCATTCCATGTTACAGACATCTCGGGCGATGATGTTCTTGACGTTTTTAGAATGACGTTTAAGTTTACTCGGGTTGACGCGACTTACAAAGAGATTTTACCCAATGCAACCGTGAAAGTGATCGACAGCCCTGTGGCCCGAAGGGAAGGGAGAAGCTTCTTTCTCGTTGCCTGGCCGAGTATAGTCAACACTGTGGCCCGTGGAGTTTCCTTATTGGGAAAGAAGTAGCCTTACCGACCATGTCGACTATCGAATCCGGTCAAGCGAGTTCGTCAGGATCAATTGAGGTTTGAAGGATTTCGGATATGCACATAATTCAGCTGGTCAGGGTCAATGGGAAAAAGTGATGGTTACTTTGTTGTCGAGATTGCAAAGATGTGGCGTTTGTGTTAGGCCGACTCGAGTCAAACTTCCAACTACATAAGTACAAGGATCCGAAAGCCATCCTCACACGGACACATACGCCTCAGCCTTGTGTCTCCCCACACTGTTCAGGGCCGCAATGAGTCAAGGGGACGGAATGCCGTTGCCTACCGTCCTGATGGGTGCAAACTCACAGCAGCTACCCTGGTGGGGGCGCATTGCCAAAGCTTGGACTCTGTTTACAAAAATACACCATGAGATCCGATAACATGATAAAACCCATCGTATGCTTCGAAAATAACGCCTTGGCTAAAGATTGTGGCTTCTTTGGCTTTTTCGACGCTCTTCGATTGGTCAGCCCTAGTACCAGCCATCAGCTTGAGGGCTCAGTTTCGAGAGCTATAAACCATGTGGAAAGCAACTAAAGGACGATGAAATGACATCGAAACAGGTTTCCATTGCTTGAGAAACTAACACAACGTTTCTGCCGCCCATTTATCGCCGAAAGAATGAGCGCCTCAAATTCTAGTCTGCGACCTCGTCAGAGGACTTTCACGTCTTGCACAGAATGCCGTAGGAGGAAACAGCGGGTATGCAATGGACCTGCGTCAACCCACATCATTCACTGACACAATATAGTGCAATCAAGCCAAAGACATGTGTAGCAACTGCCGTCGCCGGTGGCCTCCCGTCGTCTGCACGTACTCGGAGGGCTCAAGGTATGGCTTGCTTTACTTCATGATTAGATTTAGTATCTAACAAAGTAGTCCTCCTCCAAGCTTTGACAGTGTCATCGATCTACAAGATGACCATATGGCCCAGCCAGTCTTGGGATCATCCGGTGGCTCGCACCAATCTTACGTGCAGATATCCCAATCAAACTTCAACGGCTATCCTGCGACCACAATGGCGAGTAATTACTACTCTGCGCCACCATCTGGATACTACATCCCGACAGCAACAGCAAGACCAGATTACGGCGGCACATATCAAGGCGAAAGCTCGAACTCGAGCTCGAGAAATCAATATAGTTCAGTGACCAATACGGGCAGCTATGCAGTGGCCGATGCAGGGTACTACCAAAGCAGCCAACCGGACTACAGCTCCGCTGGAACACAAGGTGGGTATTACCCGACGTCGAATTATTATACATCGAATGGGGATCCGACGGCGTTCGTTGGTGCCAACCCGGCCGAATATTATTGCGTCGAACCGGATCACGATGATGTGCCAGTATCCAGAAGCTGAATTGAACCACAAATATCTGCTGAAAAGACAACGTCGGACGGAAGGAGAATTTCAGAAAGATATATTTGGCTTCTCATGGCTCGAACACGAATCAGAAACTGCGAATGAGGAGGAAATGATATGAAGTTGATGCAGCCGAAGGATTATTGACAGGATTTGTTCCCAGATGCGACGTTGAGGAAGCGATACGATGTTGAAAGCGGGACGGGCTTGCAGAAGGGAACTGAGGTGTAAGTAAGCTCATGGACATGGCCAATGGTGGGGCCAAACTTTACCCCGCGACTAGGGTACGAGATATATTTAGCATTTGCAGGTTACCAGGAACGTGGCGAGGTTGGGATTTCCTTTCCAGGGGATAGCTTTATTGTTTAGAGATAGAGGTTGCATTTGCCCACAGTTCGAATTTTTGTTTAGAAGGATATCGTGGTACTAGATTTGGACGTCTGTCGCTTGAGACTCTGTATTTCTTAATTTGTTAGATTATTATGACCGTAATGACATTTCACGATTTCTCACGAACATGGGTTTACTTTGCAAACATTCACGGGAATACAAAAATAGAAAACTCAATTCCAATCTCCACTTCCCGTCCACAACACCATCAGCTGAACAACTCTGCTCAAATTCGCAAAACTTTCCCCACCACGCCTCAAGCCCGCATTATCTTCTCGACCATATGCAACTCGGTGGTGTTTTCCACCAAACGTCCCAAACGGGGATATAGTCGCAAATCTCGCCAATCACGCGTAACTGCCCGTCTGATCACTGCCGGCACTGTCTTCCCCCACGGTACCATGGGCCTAGAATGGTCTCCATGCCACCATACCTCCTTCCGCAAACCCATCTTGTTGCAACGACTTATCTGATACCTGTTCCTTACGTTGGTAAGTGGAACATGCTGGCAAGCAACCTGGTCCTCGGTCTCTGCACATGTTCACACGGCCACAGTCTTCAGATCCATCGCGATGATGCCTAGCGGTGTCTAGTTTCATAAGTGAGTCCTGTACGACATTGCCGTAATAGCTTTTGAGGCCCCTTAGGCTGACTGAAATAGCAGAGCAGTGTTAGATCTGACGGAAATTAGATTTCCTATCGTGTGTGTGGATCTTGGCAACAGTGGTAAGAGGGCTTGCGTCATGGCAAGATAAAAGCCGACATTGAGATTAAGTAACTTCTTAGATTCGCGGATCGAGATATCCGACATAGGCAGGTGTTCACCAAGATGTTGAGCCAAAGCATGAAGCCGGCGCACATGGTGAATGTGGGATCGGATTTGACGTCTGGGTCATCTTCGAGAGACTTCGAGCGTGGCGCACAGATCTGACCAACTTCGTTGCGAGGGCGACGGATTCAAGGCTTCTGAGCAGAGGGTAATGAGATCCGTGGGCTTCGAAGTCAGCATTGTCCTTGGCTAGGGAAAAATAATCTTCTTGATAGGCATGACTGGACGCCACTGGCGACTTCATACCCGTGGCAGAGGTAAATCTCATACACGATACACAAACGAATAGCAGCTAAAGCCCATGTATAATCCTAGCTCCAGCACATTGCTCCCTGATAAGCGCATTGATTGAACGAATGGATGTTGCGTTACTCGTGTATGCCTCCAAAGCCGGTCTTTCGAGCATCAAAACAATAAATTATCGAACAGTCCCAGAAATATGGATTTGCTGCGGTGAAATGGTTTAATGCAACGCCAGATGTGTGATTGAGTCCAGAACTGCCCATTGAAGGACGGTGTGCGGAATAGTTGTTCGCAACCTCACAGTAAAATAATCCTGACGATCCACATTGCCTTCAGTCGTGAGAGGAAGAAACAACAATACTCCGGGATACAGACTCAATTCTTGCATGTCCAAGTGACATCCGCAGTTAACAAAGTTATTTGAAAATTATATAATATAGGATTGCACATCCCTCGCCTTTTGCGCCATTGGCGCATCTAGCGCGCATTGCGCTACTTGCGCTGAGAGCGGGCTATTCTCTACCTCAAACTCAGACTTCTAGGGCATGCTATTTTACAAACAAAATTGCACAAGAACAGGCAGAAATATGTACTTGAAATGTGAACTAGAAGACACTTTGTATCCAAATGACTCGACTTGAAGCTTCTTCCATTCAATACCTTACTTACACAACTCACTCTTTGACCCACCTTAGGATCCTCTCCCATATCTTTACTCCATCATGCTCCAAGCCCGCACTCGCAACCAACCCTGCCTTCTTCTCATCATCCAATCCCATATAAGCAGGTGTGGTTTCCACGAAGTTCTTCGCCAAAGCAGCATTCAATTCTGGATGGCCTTGAAACGTTATTATGGTATTGGCCTCGTTGATAAAACTCTGGCTCCCTTCCGCCAACGGCACGAATCCCTTTGCAGGACTCTTGATTTCCCTTCGATGGAACTCGTGTATGTTCAACTTCCCATCTTGTGCGAATGGAAACATCTTCTTTCCTTCGGGTGTGAGAGTAATTTGATGTACTCCAATTTCCGGCCCATCCATATTCCCAACCTTCCCGCCGAAGGAGACAGATGTCGTTTGATGTCCCCAGCATATTCCGACGATCTTCTGCTTCGGATGCTCGGCGACTGTTGTGTTTAGGTACGTCTGCAATTTCAATACCCATGGATCAGAGCCCATTGGATCTACGGTTCCTCCAGAGAGGACGATCAGGTCGTAGGCACTTAGATCAGGATGGATCTGTGCAACGATGGGGTCGTAGAAATCTATTGTCGGAGTTTCGAAGCTATCGATCGAAGATGCAGCAGCTTCGAGAGCAGATATGAAGGAGTCGCGTATCATCGGCGTGTTGGGTGATGTGAAGCCATTCATTAAAACGGCGACCTTGAGATTGCTCATGGCGGACGATCAATTGTTCTTCCACGATACTGTTGCAATTGCTCCTTGCGCATTGTTCGCAATTAGTCCTTACCTGTATCTCTTAAAGAATAGTCAAAGGTGGGACTATGAATAGTCATCTGTTGGTCCTCTTGAAGAGAAAGTGGGAATGTCGACCAAAAGTGGGAGATTTTCGGGCATTCCACCGAGTCACGTGGATACAACAATTTCACTTCGCCTCACTTCAGACAGAAACTCTTCCTCCTTTCAACCCAGCCCAGCGGCTCGGAAGTCTGGACCTGCACGAACTCCAAGCCATTGCATCCGCCGTATATCAAACCTGCAGTCAGGTTGATGTAAATGCTTCCATCAGATTTCATTGGTGTCCACTTCGGGCTTTCCCAAAACGGGCAACAGAATCCCTCGTTTTGCCAAGCATCTTATCAGCTTGGTATCAAGGTTCTGACAAACATTTGTTGCAACATTTCGGAGTTCTCCCATAAGAGCTTGCTTGAGTTTAAGCACTAGAACATGGAATCTCGTTGCCAAGTTGCTTGGCTTTACGAAAAGAGTATGGAAAGTGTCCACTACGATAAGAAATGTTCATTGAGCGCCGGCGAAAGGGTTCGAAGTGAGATCCACTGTGAAGGTGGGATGGGTACAAAAGGGTACCTCCCTTCGTCGCGCTTTGCGCGCCCTGCAGCTTGAGGTAAACAGGTAGCTTTTGTTGTCACGAGTCTGAGTACTTGAGTTTCCTAAGATGAGCACTTCGGTGAGTGGACGTCCTTCTCTGTTTAACAGCGAGCCAATGTTAACGGTCATAGCCCAGCTTCAATACGTCTGAGCCTAAGGGCGGAGATCCCCTTCTTGTCGATGTAAATGCTCAATATGCCGGATTTGAGTACCATTACACGTATCTCATTTTCTGCGGTTTCATCGTCTGGTTGATCATCCCTGGAATTGGTCTTCTCTATGGCGGACTTGCACGTCGCAAGTCTGCTCTAGCCTTGCTATTTCAGAGCTTGATGGTTGCTGCAGTCACCACATTCCAATGGATGTTCTGGGGGTATAGCTTGGCTTATTCTCGAACGGCTGGACCTTTCATTGGAGACCTGGCGAATTTCGGAATGAAAAATGTTATGGCTGCTCCAAGTCCTGGTAGCGCGGTCATTCCCGAGATCGTCTTCTGCTTATACCAATTGTTGTTCTGGTAAGCAATTTCGAAACATGTGTATACTCAGAGGCTAACAGACCAACCAGTGCTTGCACTGTACAGATCGTAATTGGTGGTGCCTTCGAACGAGGACGTATCATCCCATCGCTAGTGTTCGGTTTCTGGTGGGCTACAGTCGTCTATTGTCCCATTGCCTGCTGGACTTGGAATAGCAACGGATGGCTCTACCAGCTCCCATCTCTAGACTTTGCCGGAGGTGGACCAGTCCACATATCTTCAGGTTGGTCGGCATTAGCTTATGCGTTCGTCCTCGGCAAGCGCAAGCACCATGGCGACAAGGCTCATGGAAAACCTCACAACACGACCCTCGTCTTCCTCGGCACAATTCTGATCTGGTTCGGATGGTTTGGTTTCAACGGTGGCAGTACGCTCAATGCCACTGTCCGAGCTATGCTGGCCGCTTTCAACACAAATACCGCTGCTTCAACGGGAATGATTGGATGGGTTATGGTTGACTACATCAAGCACAGAAAATTCAGCGTTGTGGGAGCATGCGAAGGTGCCATTGCAGGACTCGTCGGTATTACTCCTGCGGCAGGTTTTGTTGGAGTCTGGCTTGCTGCAGTAATTGGATTTGTCACTGCAGTTGTTTGTGCTTTACTTCAGGACTTGAATGAGTGGCTTCATCTCGATGAGGGTCTTGAAGTTTTCAAACTTCACGGCATTGGTGGCATGGTGGGGAGTTTCTTGACTGGGATTTTTGCTTCCGAGACCAGTAAGTGATCAGAACCCAAAAGCATTCATGAAAATTTTTTAATTCTTCAAAAGTCAGCATGCTCGATGGCGCGTCTTCAGCACCGGGCGGTATCGACGGCAACGGAATCCAAGTCGGCAAGCAATTTGCCGAAATTACTGCCATCTCAGCCTACTCATTCATTGTCTCTTGCGCTCTTCTCTATATCTTGAAGTACATCCCCGGCATGCACTTGCGCGTTGACGAAGACGCCGAAATGAAGGGTTTAGATCTCGACCAGTTCTTCGATGAGCAGATTGGTGACTGGGGCATGTTCGATGAATTGGAAAGAAGGAAGGCGGAGCTTGAGATCAGCTCGCCCGGTACCCCTCAAGTACAGGAAATTCAGGAACCAGTTGGTGCTAAGGACGCTGAGAAGAAAGCGTAGGAAAGTGAATTGGTGAATCTGAGGTTAGCAACACAAACTGTAGAACAATATTGCCTTATGTCCCAATATATAATATACGGTCGATGTGACAAATGGGGAAGTTCAGAGATCACTCCTGCCCACTCTCATTAATTGCCTGTGATACGACGCGTACATAGCTTATCTTACAAGCCATATTTTTGTATCTCAAGCAACATGGATATGAGAGGAAAAAGCCTTGACTCGAGCAAAATGCATTTTTCGAAGCGGAGGTAATACCTAGTCACGTGGCTATAAAGGCGCCCTTGTTTAGGCGAGCATAATACGTAGCTATCTCAAGTGTCATTCGTTTCTATGTTATCCACCGATTGCACAGTGTTGCCGATTAGTTCAACATGTAGTTTGGCACCGATAAATCCCAGAAAAGATGAGGCTTTGCTGCTGCGTTGAGCGACGTCCTGCCTGCAAGGCTGCTTCTCGGAGGTCCCATTCCCAACCGCAACTTTCTTCTTGAATTTTCTTTTCTTTTTTTCACTCGCAGTCTAATTTCTCAAAAGTGCAATAGATGCGTCTACGATCTAAACTGTTTAACTAAATTGGTCTTTCTGTTAGGATCCATCACGTGAATGTACTGATCTTCTCGTCAAACCCCGAAAGCTCAAGGCCACTACGATCAATCATCTCTCACCTCAAGCACCAAGCCAAGTCGTCTACTGTCTCAAACCAATACAACCTTAAACGCCCAGCCGGTATCCGACATCAGATCCAGCACCTCAATCGAACGAGTCCCCACACAGGCTGTCTGCCAACCTCAAGTGCTCTCCCGAAGCCCCTCCTTGCTTCCCCCCTTCAACCATCAGATGATCAGACAACCTAAATCTCAAATCCCAACGACACCCAACGGGATCCCGAAACCACGCAACGCCAAGCAATCTCTGGATCAGACACCCGTCCCCAGTTTTCCGACGATGCTGAAACGCGACCCTGTCAAGCTTCCCCAGACTGAAGCAGGGGTCGACAATGATGTGACAGCGGCACAAGCGGTGCTTGGCACTCCCGAGCTGGTGGATCTGATACTAGCTTATTTGTCACCGGCGACGTTGTTGAGGTCTTGCGTGAAAGTGTGTAGGGTGTGGTGGTATGTGATCTCGAACCCGTCGCTGAGTTTGCAAGTTGCATTGTTCTTGCGACCAGCAGAGGGTGGGGAGTTGGTGTTCAATGACATATTGCCAAAATGGAGGGTTGAACGTCCAGTCGTAAATCATTGGCATTTTCCTTTCGAAAATGCTCTTATTCCTGTTCCCATCGACGAGTTGGGCTGGAGAAAGAACGAGGAGGCATGGGAGAGAAGCGAGGAGAGGTGGAGCGGCATGTTGATCTCTCAACCGCCTTGCCGTGATATCATTGTTGTCACTACATTCAGTGTGAATTGGGAGCTGAGGCCTCCTCTATTGCAGTATTTGAAGATGGAGAAAGGATTGACGATCGGCTTGTTGAGGAAAAAGGTTGAGGATTGGAATAGAAAAAAGAGGACACTTTTAGATAGCCAGGGGCGAGTGACACACGAAGAGAACAGTGTGATGGAAAGAAAGGTCTTCTCTATAGGGGATATGGAGAGAGCATCAGGACGGTTGCAGCCTAGATTTGGGCCATACTTCTTGAAGATCGTGACAGAGACGATGTCGGAAAATGCTGACGACGTTGATGTGTTTCATGGGCCTGACTTTAAAAAGAGAAGGAAGATAATGAAGAAAAAGAAAGCAATCTTAGGGCGGATGAAAGAGAGAATAAGTCGAGCTTTAGGAGCAGTATTGAGGAGAGCTCGAGGATAATCAGAGGTCAAGATTAATTACTAACTCACATCTCATCATGAACGATCCCTACTCTTTCCTGTCCAGGAACACTAGGCTGCACTTTCCCCTGCACAATATCCATCACAAACCCCTCCACGCTTTCAGCAGTAATCTTCTTTCCTTTCGCAAACGGAAATACCTGGCCATACATTGGATTAAACACCGATACAACAGGCGACGATCCTTTCGCATGACCCAATGCAGGTAGCATATGTCCATACTCCACCGCATCAACGGTCACGAAGCTCAAGTACTCTTTGTATTTCTTCGCTACTGGTTTTAAGGGAGCTTTGTATGCATCTCTCTCCGCTTCTGTTTTGGCGAAGAAATAGACGAGGGACTTTCCGGCCTTTATTCTGTCAGATACCATTAATGTATGCTAGGAAGAAAATGTTACCTTCATGTACTTCATCTCATTCCTTCTTGTGAATTCTCCAATTGTTGGTGCAGTGGCTGTCTCGATGAACTTCTCAATGGCGTCGATTCCAGCTTCGCCCGAGAGAACTTCCTGTTCCCCTTCTCCAGGTCTGAGGCACACAATACTGGGAAGTGTAATGCCAGCTGAGTTGGCTAGGTTTTTGTCTGTAGCAATGCCGAAGGCATATTTGTCGTGGTTCTTTGATGCCAAAGCTGCGAAAGTGGATTGCAGGTGGTGGTCTTCTGGTGTGGTGTATGCAATGAAGACGGTCTCGTCTGAGGATGTGAAGGTCGTGATGTTCTTTTGGTTTACGAGCGAGACGGTTGGTGCTACGGCTCGGTGTAGGAATGGAATGATTCTAGATCCGTTAGAAGACGAGATTTTGGCAATGAATATTTGCTGACTTACTCAGAAGATTTCCTCGGACCTTTATATCGCATGCTGCTCTCGCTACCTTTCAGAAGTCGAATGGCAGGGAATGATACAACATCATATTCTGCACATAGATCCGCTTCCGCTTTGCAATCAATACTGAGGAGATGTTGGTTCGTTTGCGAGGTTGCTGAAATCCATTCTGCTTCCAGTGCTTTACTGGCTTCTCTACATTCGGTTGTTAAAACAAGTTCAGTGTAGACTTTGAAAAGTACCTACGTCTCAGGCTAGATTGAGAAATATAAGATTACTACAACAGATAATTTCGAAACTTTCGGAGCTCAGAATGTGCTTACATTGACAACTATGCAAGCTATTAATTTTCCTGTTCACGAAGAGGAGAAGCTGTGAACTTACAAGCTACCAAAGTTATGCTTGTCTCCCTCGTCAATGATTGGAATTGTGATTTTGAGACATGATTCCATCCGAAAGCCGTTCTTGCTGCGATGAGATCAAGAATGCAAATGAGCAAGTTTCGTGGCAACATATTGCGCTATCTTCGATGATCGTCTGTGGGGTTTGACCAAAGTGTGGGGTAACTCTAATTTCGAGAATTTTGGATATTTTCCGCTGAGTGTGTGAACAAAACTTATGCCACTCGAAAGATAAAGAATTCAAAGCATTCGCAATAAATCAATAAAAAGACACAAACAAATTCAAGACTCTTTTGACTCAAGAAATCAAACTCTGGTCAAGACTCAACTTGTTGATGCGATGGAGTTCGGCATGCGAACCATCTGAACCGAGAACCCCTGTGGCTTAAGGAACAGGGGTTTCAGACGCCCAGGCGCTTGGATTACAGGGATTGATGGTCAGTCAAGCTCCTGTCATTCTACATCGTGGAACCATTTTGCTTCACAATGCTGCAACACACCTTTTGCCTCAATACATCCGAGTCTCACATTGGTGCCCTGACTCGGATCAGATGATCTGATTGTTGAGAGGATGGGGTTGCGGCATGATGTTTTCTCGTGCATGGCGCTTCAGATAATGATATGATTGATAGACCATGGTGAGGGGAGCTTCGGCTCGGTCATTTCATACGAGAATGTTGGATGATGAGTTTGCTTCGTCGTTTTGTTCTGTCTTTCTCGATTGTGATGCTGCAAAAGCATTCACAACATTGTCCTCTCAATTACTCGTTCATCATGAAGTGCAGCAGCTTCTCGGTAGTTTCGCTCCTGACAAGTATTGTCAGCTGCTCTCCAGGTCTTCAACAAGTCCCCTTGAAGGGCAAAGAATGTGTACATCCACCATACACAATCCACCTCTTCTCCAAAGCACCCTTGGTCATCTACATTTCGAACTTTCTTACAACAGACGAGAGGTCACATCTTCAAGATGTCACGTAAGAACACTCTTCTTGTGCAATAGGCAATGAATTGACACCAGTCAGGAAAGGCACTTTTGCCAGATCAGCAGTCGCCGACGAATCTGGGGAAGAAGGTCACAGACAGACACGCACATCCCAATCTACAACAGTCCCTCGGGATTCCATAGTTCGTTGTATCGAGTCGCGAGCCCTAGCTTTCCAAGGCTTCGAAATACCTCGTTCCCACCTCGAGCCGCTGCAACTCGTTCAGTACAGCAGTGGAGAAAAATATCATCTCCACACTGATTGGTTCGAATCTCCAGAAAGGATGACTTCCGAAGTTGGAGGCAATCGACTCTCATCGTTCTTCGTGTACATCGCAGCAGGGAACTTGACAGGAGGAGGTACAAATTTTCCCATCCTTAATGCGCCATATGACGAGAGATGGTGCGAATTCGTGGATTGTGATGAGCCATGGGACAATGGAGTTACTTTCAAGCCTGTGCCGGGGAATGCTGTGTTCTGGCAGAACTTGAACGAGGACGGGTCAGGAGATCCAGCTACGATTCATGCAGGACTACCTGTGACGAGCGGGTCAAAGCTTGGAATGAACATATGGACGAGACAAGGTCCGCTGAGTGAGAAGTTTAGAGGAAGGGATGAGGAGACTTGATGGATGAAGGAAGCTAGGAGATTATCAGGCCAACCCATCAAGCATGCCATATGAAACTTTAATTGATACAGAATGTACAGTAGCACGTATGCGCACTTCCTAACGAGGAAAAAATAAAGGACCCCAAGCCAAGAGGATATACTGGAGGAATATCATGTAAAACAAAAGTCCTTGAGATGCTAATGTGGTAAAGTCGAGATAATTGGATAGAGAGAAGCATAAATGCTAGTGATCGATCAAACGGACAGAGAAGATTGTTAGGTAGTAAAGGACCTCGGGAGGTGGTCTAAATAAGATACTTAACACGTGACCGCACTAAGTCCTCGCAGGTTTGAGCGAATTCTGGTCTCTTCCATTCGAAACACTTCCTCTTCAATTGTCTCCAAGTCGACGAAAAGGCAATACGTGACGCAGTTACTCTTTCTGCGTCTCTGCATCGGACTCATCGACGATCACGGTAAATATCACTCCCTTCTGTCCCTATTGGCTGCGGCATGTTGTGGCTCGGGGCAGCCTCGAGTGAGGCTTCATGGCTGGCAGACTACTACATCCGAGTTATTTCATGCTCGACAGCCTATCTTCCATATTGGTCCGATATCTTTCATATATTCATAAGTTTTTCTCTCTTCTACCCAACAAGTTCTCGTCTCGCCGCCTGATCCGTTCATTGCTCTCTTCTCCCAGCCTTACGATACTGTTCTGCGACATCGACAGCATGGCAGAAGTCCTGGGCGTAGTGGCTAGTGGAATAGCAGTTGGTCAAATCGCTGGCCAAATTACAGGGAGCATTATCAAACTTAAGGGATATTGGAGCCAGATCAAAGAGGCACCTGCCGAGATCAGCCACCTCTTTCGAGAAATCGAGTCCTTCACTGTCATGCTACAGCACATGCAAGACGACCGATCACAGCAATCAAATCTACCGTCTTCAATACATAACATCTGCATTCAAAGGAGTTTGGATTTGTGCCAAGAATGCGCGACGGAGTTGGCTGGCTTGGTCCATGATTTGGCTATAAAAGTACAAGGGAAGAATGGCTGGAGGAAAAAGGTGGGATCTACTAAAGTCGTGCTGAGAAAAGAGGACATCAAGATTCTGAAGCGAAGATTAAAGACTGCAATGGGAATGCTTTCACTGTCCTATCAATTTCATACCAGGTGAGTTGAATTACTTTATTAGACAAGAATAGTACTAATTTGCGTAGTGCAATGATACAACTCCAGCCAGACATCATCATGACGAGAATCGCAAATCACCTCACCACATCGCAAGTCCTCAAACCTTCAGTACGCGGAGAGCAGCCACAAGAGAATAGCACAGAGGAGACATGCTATTCAGGTTCGAGAAATCTGGTTGCAACACAGTATGACAGCTGGACAAACTCTGTCCCGTGGATGAATATCGTCTTGGGGCATTTTCAATATTATCACAGACAACACATGCGGCGAGGAAAATGGCAGGAGACTATTTACGCCACGTATAGATTACCCCAACTGCTTTCATACTATCAGTTTGCTCTCTGGGCAATTCATCCCTTGTCAGGGTGGTGGTTCAGGTTCGATGTCCATCGAAGCGTGCCACAGAATAATCCATTCTTCCTGGCTATCAAGGGCGGTGATCTAGCAGTTGTTTAGAAGCTCATAAGAGAAAGAAAAGCATTCGTCACAGACAGAGTACACGTTCGTTACGACTACAGCGGGGAGTATACTTCCTACGAAACTACAGGTCTTCATGTAAGCCCCTAAAGCGCTAAATCGCTTCCAATCCAGGTGTCTAATCTGAGTCAGATGGCAGCACAAGCTGGTAATGCAGATATATGCAGTTTTCTACTTGCAGTTGGTGCTAGTCCACTGGCTCTAGATACAGATCTTCGGTACGTCAAGACCAATACTTTCAACGGCATGTACCTAAGTTATCGATGTACCCCAACATTAATGACGATGTCGCTGTATTTTTCACAGTAGTCTCTATGGATTGCGTGAGTCGTGGTAATTGCTTTCTAATAACAGCATCCAGTACTCCGCTCCATCGAGCTATGACTAGGGGAGGTATTTCAAGTTTTCAGAATAGCGGAGACTTGTTTGAAACCTGCCGACTTCTTGTTGATGCTGGAGCTGATGAAGTTCTCATTGATAACATGGAATTTATCACCGAGTTCAACGGATCATTATTGGCATTCAAATATCTTCAACGGCAGACATACCCGCCGTTCCACAGCATGCCTGCGGCTTCCAGGTTAGCTTTGGCAACAGAATACCTCGTCAATATAGAGGGTGGCACAATAGCCCTTTGCTGATTGAGGCGATTCTAACATCCAACGACACCATCGATCCTGAATTGATCGAATTGGCAAGTCAAGATGGACAGGAACTATTGCGTGTTCTTGTTGAGTGGTGGGTCCAGGCTTACCGTAGCCAACTCGAATATCGAACTAGCCGGAGAGTAGAGGATCCTGAGGAGGCTTTAGAGTCTTTAGGCGAGTCATTGGGCTCTCGACATCTTGAGAAGCTAAGGAATTCGCAACCATCTAACTGGAAGCGCCTAAATTGCGAATACCTAGTTCGTGTCATACTTTCTGCTAACTTTCCTGTTCAAAGATTCCACGTCCACTAGCAAACATTATTGAGCAAGCTAGTTTCCACCTTTGGTGAATTTTACTCAATCACTTTTTTCCCGTTTAGTAGAGGAATCGAGTGCCTCCTTGTGATACTAGCCGATTGGTTGAAGATTCTCAATGAATGCGGAATTGACCTGGAAGAATATGGCAGATGGGAAAGTGAGAAGTGTCAAAAAACTTACCAGTTTACTTCAGCAACTGTGTTCGACCGTCATGGTAATATATTCAGTGAGACCGTACACTACTGCGAGCTTAGACTCATCGGCTTCACCTACGGACCCCGACCCAAGGATTGGAAATTCTGGTTCTCTGAACCAAGTGATCCTTTCGCTGGAGATTTCTGGGCTATGGTTGAGGAAGAAAAGCCATTGCGTGACGATAGGGAGGATTTTGAGACTGAGCAGCTGTCTATGCCGGGATCATGGAGCGAAGACTTTTGAGACTTGCTGTCTTTCGATTCTATCTCGTCCTAAAACTACCTATCCGATGAGGAGGATTTTTACCTATACAATCTTGCTCCACTCGAATTTCACCTAGTATACAATATCGATAAAGCAAGACAATTTCTGCAGTATACCTAATGGGCCAATGGTCAGATGATTGCACAGGCACAGGGGGTGTCCACTTGCATTGTATCAAGAAAGCCCTAAGCTCCGATTGCCATTATCTTCCTCTCACATGTGATAAAATATGCGTTCAAGTTTGGATGCCTAGTAGTTCAAGTATTGTCTGCCGGCACGATACACTGTTCCGCAGCACATATCCGTTCATCATCGAACCAAAATGCGCGTACCCGACCAATACGAGATTGTCGTTGCAGAGCTACACAACTTGACTCCCATCTATAACTTCACTGACTCTGCTCCTTGTTATACAATGGGATTGGGCATATAATTCGATGGCAGCAGTTGTTCATCGGAATCACAATTTCCCTGCAATTAAATCCTCGGCGAGGACCTCGCAATGCAATTATTATTCATTTCCGCTCTTCTTACTCTACTAGCCTGTCGATCGCCTCTGGATATGAACAAGTTCAGCTCAACGCTACCTACTAAGTGCTCCTATTCCAATGGCGCCCAATTCAACTGCGGCTTCACTTCCACCAACACTACGATCGGCAGCCCCGATTACCTCACATGCAATCAGCTTTTGGGAGGCCCAAACAACACCGAAGAAGTCGTTTCGCAGAGTATGAAGTTGCCTAATCAGGGTATCTCAAGTGATTAAGATGCCGTTCACGATCATTTTCTGCCCGTCATCTAAAGGATGAAGCCCGCCGAGTACATGCGTTGCTTTCGACAATCAGGGAGGGGCTGATGAATCTTCGAGACAACTTGATTCCGAAAGACAAAGCTGGGTTTCCAAATGAAGGGTCTTCAAATGCGTCTTATTGTTGGTATTTTTGCGCGAATATTTGGGAGGGTTATTCCTGGAATCATTCGATGTGGAGTTCTGGCGGTAATGAACCGTGGGATACCCGTTGCGAGCCCGCAGGTGTGAAGAGGGTGTCTGTATCTACTTGATTTTGTGGTTTGCAATTTTAAAGCCATATTGAGGCCAGCTTGAAAAGTCTACTTAACATAACACGCGACTCAACAAAGCAAATGGCATCTTTAAAAAAATTTCCCATGCTAAAATGGCGCGTTATTCCTAAAGCGCAAAATCATTATTTTCCCTCTTGTCCCCATAATTTCATTTGCTAAGGCGATGAAAAGATTTACTTCCAGACTCCAATTTTCACTCTCCATGCCAAATGTACGTAATCAATCTAAGCCATCTTTCACAAGTAATTCTACTTTAAACTGATTTTCCACCTCTCCACTCTTGACGCATGCTTCAACCAACAAGCCACAGCAAAGTGAGAATGAAACACGGTTCAAAGCTTCCCATGGCCAGTGACATCTACACCTATCAGCATTAAAGTTATGGGCTTTGCTATAGTGGTAATATTCCTCCATAACACTTTCGAAGGTTTCGTCTGTACCAATTTTTGTGATATCTAACCACAATTTCCACTTGTGAATATCTGCTATCATAACGAAGCGACCTCTGTTCTTCTCTACGTTGTTGAACAGGAGACCGCTGTACTCGCCACTGCAGTCCACCATGAGATCTATACATGTCTCAATCTCAAATAATCCAATATGGCCGTACTTTCGTCGAACCTTACCTGGGCTACAGTGCTTAAGGCGGAAGCCCAACCTCGAAGCAGCTTCGAAATTTACTTGAAATTGGAACCCGGTGCTTTGTACCGTCTGGCGATCTCGGCCGAACAGACGTGGAACAGCAGATTCGATGGATATCGTCCTTGGAAGAGGTATCGTTGCATTGCGGTCGAGCCTGCGAATCATTTCCGTGCTCCGAACTCGGCGATATACATCATCACGGACATTTTTGAGATATATAGCAAGTCGGAAGCCACCCAGACCATAACAGTTCAAGACTGCAGCCACGTTCCCATCTCCAAGGCTCATTAGGGGAAGACTAATACGTAGACCTCTGTTTGTCATCAAGAATTCCAGTGAAGGTTGCTTTCCAATAGAGACATAATTACAATCTTGAAACTCTGCAGGAGACCGTGCGAATGGCCCTCGTTCTACTCCATTTCCCTGCCAATTAAATAGAGAATGATCAGTCGATGTCTTTATGAACTCTTGCTGAAGTCGTTGGAATGCCCGCGCGCCTTCGCTGTACAATAGAGGCATGTTTACACCAAGCAGCCCGAGAAGACAGTATGCAATGTCTTCTTCTCGTGTGGTTTCTCGGCCAGCAGCCCATGACATGATCTGTGCCGCACTGTATTCCCCTACAATATCGCGGAAGAGTATCCTTTTAGGAATGCCAGTGATTCGAGAATTGGTCAAGGTTAAATTAGATCTGGATATGCGCTGCCATTCATGGTTGTAGAAAGTCAAATCCTTCGGCGCTAGAAGTTCTTGCAGTGTCCATCCTCGCTTGAACCATCTACTGTGCTCCAATTCCGAGTCGCTCTTAACATCCGACAAGTATACGTAGCAGATGACAGCATCCTGATACCATCTAAACATCGAATTTATTGCTTCTGATAACTCGGTGCTGTTTGCTTTGTCAATGCAACATGTATCCACCCAGAAATAGTGCAGATCATCGCGAGCTGCCTGTTTTCCAATCTTTCTGTACCCGATCTTCGTCTGGCCAGTACCTTGCAGCAAATCTTTGATACGTGACCTCTTCATCATCTGCTCCCCAAGTATGCGAGAGTATCGCATAAGGAGGGACCTCGTGGACAAAGTCCTTTGAGAGGCTGAACTGGCCGTTGTCCTTCAACTCCAGAAGACGCATGGTTGCGCGAAGTAACGAAAGTTGACGCTGTTGAAGATCTCAGCCACCAAGGTATGAAGATGACTAGTAGCTAATATCGATTGACCAGATTAACATCATTCGAATGTGTTCACAATTTGTGGGTTTCGTGGCTATTCTCAACATACAGGATGTGCTGTCAAGTGCTGTACGAGCATGCAGTATTACCTCAAAATCACGGAGGCGCTACAGTAGTGACCTAGGGGAGAAGGCCAGATGATTTACTTTTAGCAAAAGTAAAAGAGGCATGTAAATTGAAATATGCATTAATGGAGACTGTAATCAGAGCGCGTTAAATATATGTTGGGCCGACTGCAATGGAACAGATCAAGTGTCAAAATTTAAGTCAGAAAGTAAAGAATAAATTGGTGGAGACCTCAAATATGATCAAGAATATGTAATGAAAGAAATCGAAAACAACCATTTGGGCCTGATTGAAGAGCCATACTGATGCCACAAAGCATAGCCTCAAGAGCAAGCAGCAACACTCGGCACATTAGTGCAAGAACCATACTTCTTTCCACCAGTAACAGCCACGTCGGACCAAGTCCAGTCCGAGCAACCTGAACTACCACACGTGATGACCACATCGTAACCACTGCTGGAGACTGCACCGGTGCCGACGATATTCTTGATGGTAAGATCGGTGATAGGGACGCCACTAGTGGCAGTGCCTCCATCGAGATCGCCACCGTCGTAGTTCTGCTCGATGAGGATACCATATCTGTGGATTCAGGTTAGTCAACGAAACATGGATGGACGAGTTCGTCCTGGAGAGAGCATTGTGGAGAGGCGTACTTAGAGATAGAAGATAGGGTGATGTCGTCGTACTCGACGTTAGTGATGGTTCCAGTGTCGCCTTCAATGGCTTTGATGCGAATGCCTGTGTTGAATATTAGCCGTGAAGTACGTATTTGAGATACAATTCCAAAGTTTACCGTTGACCGAATCGGTCACTGTCGATGTAGTGAAGGACACCCCGTCCACAGTGTTGTCGTCACGGCCACCAACCGAGCCAATGGAAAGACCATGGCCACCTGAGCAGTAGCCATTTTTGAAAATGATGTTGGTGCCAGAATTGATTGCAACACAATCATCTTGGTTGTAGACAGTAGCGTATTCTGAAAGGAGGATTTCAATTAGTCGTGTCCTTAAGTGACGATTAGATTGAAAGGGCTTACCAATAGTAACAGTATCCGAAGAGCCAATATCAAATCCGTCCGTGTTCTTGCCCAACGAGTCTCCAGCCGAAGCATCAATAGTAATGTAAGCCAACTCGAGGTTGCTTGCACCATTGATGCTAAAGACTTGTACTGGTGGGTTGAGAATGGTAAGTGTTTCGATGAGTGAGTCGGTCAAGTCATGAGCTTGGAAGAACTTGGGCTTCGTCACGCCACCACTTCCACCCTCACCGTCCCAATAGGAAGCGCCATTGCCATTCAAAATTGAGCCCCCACTACTCTCACCAGCAACTTTGATATTTGTACCGCTGACAGCAAAAAGCGGACCCTCCCACTCGCTGTAAGCGAACGAAGTCTCCCCTTGGAAGATCACTGTAGTCTCGTCTGGGAGGTCCGTCACTGTAGCAAATTAGTACAATTACTGTGTTGAAGAGCAAGCGAGCAGGTGTGAATTTGTTCAGAAGGCGCTAGAATCGGCTTTGTAGCAAATGTTCAAAGAAGCACAAAGAACTCTATTGCTTACAGTCAAGTGTCTTTCCAGCCGGCACTGTTAGCGCGTCGAGAATAATTGTTGAACATGACGCCTTTGACTTGCTGGCTGAAGAATAGCCAAGTGATCCCGAGAAAGTACAGGTCGCAGCACGCTTCTCAATCGCGCGCTCTTGAAAGGCTTGTTCAATTTCACGTGGGGCGGGCGCTGCTGTAGGTCTTGGAGCGGGTGAAGCTACACATGTGGCAGCTAGTAGCAGCGTTCCTAAGACTTGGGCTATAATCTGCAACATAGCGTCCGGCTGAAAGCTTAACTGAAAGCTTGCCTTATCCAGGAGCCAAGACAGGGCCAATGTCTTGGTACTTATACTGCAAGCAGTCCAGACTTTATTGCAAAGGATACTGTTGCGGGGTAACAAGTCGCATCTACACTGTTACTCTGTGGTCCAAAATCCCATGCCTTTTCTTGAGCGGGGATAATATGACTTCAGGAGATAATATTTCGCGTCTTGGCACTTTTTGACAACCTTTTCAAGCATCGTGGGTAGATTGATTGGACGCATGATTTGAAGACCGTTCGGTACTATTCTCCGAACTTCCCTTTCCTCCACAAAGTTCGGATATTTGACCAGACTTTGGACAGAACAGTGGGAAATTTCAGGACGTATTGGATTTGAATTAAATGAGGCTCCAAGAACCCCTCTTTTACACTTTATGAACTCGGAAAACACACTCGGTTTAATTTCGTGCTTGAGATCCTTTCTCGTGTACAAATCCCAAAAATATACATACGAAACATAGATATGAGCAGCGGAGGAAGAATTGATTCCATCACTGATGTCTTACAGCGACATCTCTGTCACTAGAATATAACAATAACGCCATGGCGCACAGTGTCCCGTGATACATGTTGCCAAGTCCCCTTTGCATGCCAATGCGGGCATTTTATTCTACACCACTCGGCGGCGGCCTTGGCAGTACACCACCTTGCATATTAAGGGGAGGTGGGACAGTCTTCCTGAGATCCACTGTCACCAATTCAAGATTGGTGGTGGATACTGAAATCTCCGCTGAAGAAGATAAATTATCCGTGAGGAGATAAGGTTAGTCCGCAATCACACAGGACAAAAAGGGGTGCTGTCCCTGTCGCACGTGCTGAGAGCCAATTAACCGAGGCTCTTAGGGGCAGTACAACACAGCATAGAACCCCTAATACGGCCGAAAACCTCTGGGCTTCAGGGTCTCTCCACTATAAATTATAGCGCATATGGGCCTTGAAACCCGGACCCCAAGCGACCCATACTGGGCTCTACAGGTGGGCTTTTGAGGATATACTTCAATCTAACACTACTTCAAATCCCTGACCATGATCCTGACTAAATCTAGCCTTCTGATGAGCCGCCAATTGTCCCAGTTCTTACGGTGCATTCACAGGCTTCCATTCCTGAAAAAGGTGCCAATGCGCCCACCAGGCCCTTCAACAAACAGTCTATTTCTATCACTCCACTAGCTAACAGCAAGAACAGCACATACTTCGTACCTTCGTACTTACTGATAACTGACTCTGCTCCTTTCCAAACAAATGAAACCAACAAATAAATCCAAAGATCCCTCGAAGTACCGGTATGTAACGGTCTCGCCTGACTGTTGGGTTTGTTGGCTGTTGAGGTGATAAGGGATCAAAGGATGATGAATCGAAAACTATGCAATCTCGTTACTAATAGCTTGGTGTTAAGAAACTATATTTGAGTTGAGCACGAAGCTCCTATCTACTTGGAAAACTATCTGCTTATATAGAACCTTCCTGCTCAGGGCCGAGAGGGCCGCAGTCGGTCCTCTCGGTCTTCCCCCGAGGGGGCCGACCTCGTTCCTCTCGGTCCATCACGTGATCGCTGATCCCGTGCACCTGGAACCTTCCTGTTCCGAAGTATCTCCAACAAGCTCGCTTGTTGGGCCTATCGTGTTCCTTGCTTGTAACAGACGCACACGGTGCGAACGTGTGGTCAGCGACTATATTGGTTGTGTTTTCTACAGCAGCTCTAATTCTATCTAAGCTGCTGTAATATAGAGAGTGTGGCCAAGCACGTGCGCTATACCCGATTAGGTATAGTGCTAGGGAGACTAGCGCTCCCGGGCTGGTATTGCACGTGCCACCACAACGATCTCATCCAGTGCTAAGACCTGGTTATACCTCCATATCTACTCTATATTCCAACATAAATAAAATTTAATTAAAAAAATTTAAAAAATAATAAATATTAAACGATTATATATTAAAAAAGCGTGTTAAATAATTATTTATTATATAATTATTATAAATTATTATAATTAAACATATATTAAGAAATAAAAGAATTATCATTCTTAGTTAATGTAGTACTAGTTTAAAAGTATGATTTAATGCATAATACAACGACTTATTGACTAATAACACCTGTCATCAGCTAGTGGGTTCGAGCATTATATATAGCATGAGGTCAACCCTGTAGTTTTAGAAATCAAGTCAGTTATCACACGCGAATTCCAACAGCAGTGATGTTAACTTGGTCGTAGAGCACGGGAGCGGTTGAGAGAGAGAGGATCTGGGTGGCGAATTGTTGTTCAACTGCGCCGGAGAAATTATCGACTACGTATTGTGAGACTCCATCGAGAAGTGGGGTCTGGGAGATGGAGGAGTAGCTTCGAGTCCATTGTGTGTAGTTGGTTTGATTCACTGTCCCAGAAAGCATGTTGCGAAAAATGAAGCCCGCTGCATGATATCCCCTTTATTTGTGAGTTACTTCAAATCCGTATGTCGAGATTGTTAGTGTGGAACTTACATAAAGTCTCCGTAATTGTCGTCCAATGGATGTTGGGTAGCTCCCGCAGGTAGCAATGGAATCTGTTTAGAGACTCGGGATAAATCAATTTGCATCAAGCCGTTGATGAAGCTGATATTATACTCATAGGTTGAGTTCTGAAGAATGCATTGCAGAACATGTTGCTCGAGCTCATAGGGCCATGGTGAAGAGTTGTTGAAAGGCTCGATGGGATTAGTTGTGTTGATGATATATCCAATCCATAGCGATGGCTCCTGAGTGAAGATTCCGATCGTCGAGTCATTGTCAGCAGTCATGTATTGCCACTCAACTGGGGCACCCCACTGATCTTCTTCAACGTCCGTAAAAGAAGTGTAAACTGCCTGTCCGTTTGGGGCGAGTTGAGACTTGGCCAAGTTCGTATAGTTGCTAAGTGTGGAGGCATCTGCACAATCATACGATGGGCCCTTGAAAGAGATCTGGTATGAGCAATTAGCTCCTCCAAGACATGGATTGGTAGCTTGCAAAGGACCAAAATTCGAAAGAAGTGATCGTGTAGAAATGCGTCGAAGACCCATGGAAGGTTGATCATAGTAGGCGATAGAAGCATTAGACGGCATGTCATTGATGTAGGCCATACCTTCACGTCCATCGTTCACAGTGGCTGAGTCGGTTGGAGCTGAGATGCTGACTGAATCATCGTGAGTGAACTCTATGATCTGGATCCCATTACATATTGTGCTCGTGTTTTGGAGCCTGGTTATAGATGTCAAAGTCGCAGGAGATACGATGACCGAGAGGGGGAGTGCCCTATTGTGTTCAGTTAGCTGACTTGTACTGTATCAATCGGAGAAAGTAGAATAAATACCAGACCAAGCTAGCCAGGAGTGTTAAGATGGTGGCTTTGGTAATTAGATCAAAATTAAGAAAACCTGAAGGGTCGGTACATGCCTAAGCGAAGTAAGTTCACATCTTTGAGGTTTACTGGAAGCTTAACAAACCATGAAGATGCCATCAATGGTTGAAAGTCTGAACGGTCGCTTCTTCACAGTGACCTATCAAGATCTCAGCAGATTACCCGACATCTTCCAGACTATGAACTTACCCAGACTCTTTGTTTATAGGCAATTTCAACAGCGCCAGCCAAGCACATCTTTCCGAAGGTGCTGAGGGCTAGACCCCAGCGTTGTAGCCATTGTGGATCATGAACAAGATAGCCATGAAGTTTGGCATTGTATAAGTGGTGACCAACCATGACTCCGATTCCGACCAATGTCAGAACAACCATGCAGGTAGGAGAATACCAGTGAATGCCCCACTGAGTATGGTTATTCGTAGCTGCCGTGTTTCGATGTGCCCTTGACTTTGGCCATGATATGTTGAAAGAGGAAATGGACTTTGCCCACGTATGCGAGGATTGCTTCGTGGCATCAGCAGAAGCTTGCGATTTCTCATCCGCCAGAGACGATGGACTTATGCTTCCCACAGTTGTCTGGATCGTAAGTTTCTTTGGATTTCGCTCATCGTCTGCGTTATGAGGAAGTTGATGAATAGGGTCCTCGGGAATGTCAAGTTGAACATTCGTCTGAGACGTAGATGTTAACTCGATGGGAGTTGTAGCGGCTGTAACTGTGGATTCTTCGCTAATTTGTACGGGATAGACCTCCTCAGCGGTGTTCGAGTAGTTCATTCCACCGGTAGAGCTTGAAGGGGACGGTAGGCTAGACGTGATGCTAGCCATTCTTGGATACCTTTATCCAAGCTTGGGTCCTAAGAATTGAATGAATAGTGATTAGACTTCTGGCGCGGCGATTCTGTGAGGAAAAATGCGTTGATGAGACACTTCTTTTATGGCCTCTCTATTCATCATTAAAAGAGGCATTTCGAAACCAATCAAGGAAATCTTTCGGAGCCTCCATGCATCCCTTCACCGACTATGATAACCACCGCTTGCATTTGCACATCTGAACCGAATATGCTTCGAATAACTTCATAGTAAGTTGAGTAGGGCATTCTGATAGGACTGAAACTCAAAATATGCAGCCACAAGCTGACTGGCTGATGCAGAGGAGTCCGAGTATGGCAGCTGGTAGCTGGTAGCTACAGCTGAAGCCCAACATCTTGAATTTTGAGGCATCTCCAAGAAAGCTGCGACGAGGATGCCATCACATCATGCATCACATTCAGCGCCACTTGATAACGTGTAGATAAATGAAGCCAGGCATAAGTTAGGCAAACAAGCCATAGCCAGCCAACAGCACCTTTGCTGACTTATTAGTTACTATCCCAGCAGTAATTGAACAAGTTGCGTGGAAGCTACGCCTCAAAGCAAGAACGAAAATGAAAACATGCTGTGCAACAAGCCTCTTAGAATGTTGATTGACCAGTCTCGGGAAGTGGCAAATGGCTGGAATGTGCACTGAGCAGCCAAGGCCCCCAATCATGTGAAATGGGGCCAAAATGAAAGTCACAGGTTTTCTGGGCGCATGCGGGGGCGCAATCCTTCTCGAACATCCATCTAACCAATAGATGAAGATCTGAATGATATCGACGAGGTGCGGACTTCTATATCCCCGCAATTGCGTTATGCTGTGACCACGGTCCTAGGAATGAGGGCCACACCTAGGTGAAGGCAAGGAACAGGCCTCCCCAGTCCCGGCAAACGACTCATGCTGATTTGCTTACAATTGCATTATCCAAGCTCCTGGGAAGATTTTTCTATGCCCAAAGTAGGAGCACATGAAACTTATCACCACGGCTTAGGTTCACTTTACTGCCATGATGGAGGGCAGCAAACAATCTGCATTCTATGGCTTCTTATGAGTGTTGAGACAGGATGTGCCACTACAAAATGAAAAATTGAGTACTTTATCCGACTCAGAGAGTGTTGTGAGTGGAGGGAGCTGTAATGTATTCCAAATGCAACGCTACTTCATCAACAGTCAAACACCTCTAAACAGAGTGCGTTTGGCAAATCATCTTCCGTCATTTGACTTAGCTTCCAGCAGCAGTGTTTGAGATGGTCTCCTTAACAGTCTCCAGTGACTGCTGATACACGATGTAGAAATCGATGCTATTGGCGGGAGGACCATACTCGAACCAAGTGCAGCTGCAATAAAGTGGATAGTCTGCAAAACCACTCGCAGGATTGATGATGGCTTTCAACCAAGTTTCCTTTGCTTCCGTAGTAGGGCTAGTACCTGAGGAAGTCTGGGTACCAGTTTCGGCGATGGCAAATGGCAGGTCGTAGCCCTTAGCGTACGTATCGTAGAAAGCGCCATATGCTGACTTGAAAGTTGGGAGGTTGGTGGAGACGGGATAGAAGTCCATGCCTACAAGTTGAACGGTGTCCTTTCCTGGCCACCAAGGAGCAACTGGTTCGCTCGAGGTGTCGACATTGGGACACCAGTACATGAAGATTTTCTTGTCGCTCTTGACTGCATTGTACATATTCGTCCAAGCAGTTTTGTATTCGGCATAGTTGTCTTCAATAATTAGCATGGAAAAGAGCAATCATCGACAGAAGAAGACTACAGTATTAAAGAGCAATATTGGATAACTTACATCCTCCGGGATATTCTGGATTCCCGTTATTACCAGAACCCTTCACGACATACCAGTTCACTTCATGTGCAAATCTCAGCCAAACTGTAACCCCTTTACTTGTAAAGGTGTTCTTGAAGAACTCTGCCACAGACTCGCAAAGGCCCGGGGTAACGTCGGTCCAATTGATGGTGGGCATCAAACTGGCAATTAGAACTGCACCGGACTGAATGATATCACTAGTAGGGTACTGATCGTTCCCATTGTAGGAGCCAGAGTTAACATTCGCACTAGTGAGTTGCGAGTAGACGTTGTATCTACGAATGTTAGAATGTAAGTCTTACGGTAGATGAAGTGAAGGTCGGGACTCACGTGGCAGCTTTTTGGCCAGTGGATCCATTGAGAGAAGTCATGCTAACAGAAGGATCGTAATTAGGAGCGAATCCGAGGTAAATGTCCTTGTAGCTGATCATTGAATCTGCTTTGATACCCAACTTTTCTCCAACAGGGTTGGAAAGCTGTGAAATCTCAGTCGTTGCTCTTGAAGTTTCGAAAGGGATAAGACTAACCTTCTTAGCCAGAGCGTCTGTCGTTGTGTTCGACATGTTTTCTTTTGGATCTGCGGATTTTGAACAGAGAATAGAGAGGTTATTGAAGTTGTCTTGTAATGTCCAGCAATTGCCAAGGCATACCCAGCTATATATATATAGCAGCACGTAGACTTTGACTTTCACGTGTTGATTTGAGAGGGAAATTTGTTTGAAGTCGTCAGCCGAGGGGTGCATGTCGATCAGATTCGAATACCAACCCAGAAACGGTTTCGGCAGTATTGCGAGCAATAGGGCTGTAAAAGCGCAAACTACTTGCAGTAATGAGATGCAAGCACAGACTCAAAGATGATTCAAGAAGTATTGCGAGCGAATCGAAAGGCTAACAAGGCCATACAGTATTTGCAATAGTGAGATGTACATACCCGGTGGTACAGCATGTCAGCTTACTCAGCCGAAAACTCCTCGGCACAGTCTCCCATTGGCTGTTTAACATGACTTTCTCCGAGAAGAATTGAAGGTCAGAACAGAATGTAAGGCTACACACTTTCAGCGCCATATTTGTAACTTTTGCGAACAATTTTATTGTCAAGGGCCGTTGCCCTTGGGCACTCGACGCAGTAATTCGACCAACCTTGAACAGGGACGTTACCAGCTTTCAGCCTTCAAGGACTAGGAAAACTTTTCTGGTCATTAAGACAATTTCAATATGTCTACGTCACAAAGCATCCAGCAGGCCAACATTTGTTGCCTCTAGCCTCTCCATGCCCATTCATCCCCTTGCTTCTGCCCTCGTGACTTTGCTCATTTGCCCGGAGGGCGGAGATTGAGGCTGCCGTCACAGTCATGATGCAGCTGGTTTAGCAAAATAAATGAACGCAAAGGATAGACGACGATAAAAAGAATGAGAAATGCATAGTACAGCGAGACAAAAGTAGCTTTTATTGTATGTGAGCGCGTCCCTGCAAGCAGGCGGTGCAGGAGTCTGCAGTCGAGACTAACGGACGAGAAAATCGAGTCCCCCGCAAAGAATTCCATCATTCAAAAGCTCCGTACTCCGCTGCATGCCAAATCTCAGGCGAAAGCGAGAAGCCCCAAGTCCTTCAGTTCTTACCGCAACAGACTTTATATTTCTTTTTACTTCCGCACCGACAAGGATCATTTCGTCCAATTTTCGTGCCAGCGGTCGTACCATGGCCAGCTGTGGGCATACTAGGATGACCACTTGTAGGATTTATGACAAATCCAAGCTCAGGGACCATTCTCATAACCGATTTACCAATCGTCCTTGCGCTGACTCCGTCGCCATCCTTTATATCCAAATCACCACCCTTCTCCACAAAGAAAGTCAATGCATCAAAAGTCTTCATCTTGCCCTCAGTACTGAAGTCTCGAGCCATGACAATGTCATGCGCAGCTGTGCAACCATATCGATTTCTTTGGTTGACCTGAGCCCCGCCTTGCAGCATGATCTCGGCAAACTCTTTATCCCAATAAGGCTTTGTAGAAATCGAATACATGAATGTCGTCGTGCCGCTTAGATCTGTTATATCAACAGGAACCTCGGCCTCAAGGGCGAGATATCGAGCGATTTGTAAATAGCGTGGTCGTGATGGGGGATTTAGAATTGTGAGTTGGAGAATGAAGTTGAAGACGGGAATCTTGGTCTGCAATTTCTTGTCTAGCCTTTGCAATATCAGACTTCTTGACCCGATTTTCGAAGTTGTCGCGCACTTCCTCGATCTCTGCGTTCTGAAGGAGGATGGCGAAGTCGTCAAGATCGCTGGCAGAGAAGGTTTCGGACGAGCAGAATGCGCGGAGTCTTTGGGACTCTATCCCAGAGAGGACATGCGTTCCACTAGGTAGATTTGACATCTTGTTGTGAGGAGGCTGAGTTGACGCGTTGTAAAATAAAGAGAGACGCGTCGTTGTGATTACCCGTAATAAGCTGGATTGTAAAGAGAAGTTCTGCCTTAGGCTATAATCTCGAAGTTAATTAGTTCGAATTGCTGTAGTCGAATGATTGAATATTGGACATGAAAGAGTTTGTAATCACCTTGCGAAGCGGAAGTTTTAGGTAATCCAATATTCAGCAACGCCTTGATCGAATGTGGCGCTACAATGGCTTTTTGGTTCACTATTTAGGCAGCTGAGCGGCTTGTGGCTGCTGTGTGGCTTTAATTGAAGCAAGATTGGCTGTTGCCCGTAGCCACCGGAGAGTGCGGCTGAGCGCAGTTGCGCAACACGTAGGCAGGTCGAAACATCCGTCCTTTCAGCTTCTCGCTCTTTTATTGATGTCGTTCAATGATTGAAACCATTCAACATGGAATTGTGCAAAGCGCTAGCACTGACCGTTATCGTCTTCGTCCGTTTGGCAGGAGCCGAAGCCCAAAACTCAACAGCGCCGGTTTTAGGTAGCAGTGTTATGAAGAATGGGTGGCAGAATGGCCCGAATCAGCGTGGAACAATAACAATCATCTGGAGCTGCCTATCGACGATCTTGGCATGCAACTGGACTATTCTCCACCTCAACGTACCGGGCAACAAAGATAGCTTACTTATTAGGATAAGACGCAAGGCAAAATGGATGCTCATCACGATTCTGTTCCCGGAATTCATCTTTTCGAAGGCAATCTGTGAACTTCAAATGGCAGTCGATGACCTCTACGCTATGAAGCAGATGGGGAATACCGTATGCTGGGAGGTCGAGTTCGGCTGGAAACTGAAAACTCTTCATGCAATGCTTCATTTGATACGGAAACCCTTCATGCCCGAAGAAACAGCCTACAGCGAGTCTCTTTCTATTTCTCCAGCATCTCCATGTGCTCCCAAAGTCAAAACAGTAACTCATCCAAGCGCTCAAGCTTTCGATCCACGACTACTACGAGGCAAGAGGAGAACATGGACATTGACACATTCGTATTTTGCCAACATGGGTGGCTTCGAGCGATACAAAGACCTTCAAATCATGCCTCTCACAGCCAATGCTTTGGTACACTGCTGCATCGGGAAAGATCACGACCCGCTTCCCGCTTTGAGTCTGCAGAAGGAAGATATTGAGGACAAGTCGAAAGCCGACGGTTTTGTCAAAGCCGTGGCTGTGGCCCAAATATCATGGCTTATACTTTCTGTGATTGTTCGAGCTCATAAGAGGATGCCAATCAGCCAGGTCGAGATCTGTACTGTTGCATTTGCTGTCTTGTCAGTGCTGACGTATCTGGCAAATTGGTCGAAGCCAAAAGATATTGGGGCCCCAGTTCGATTCCGGGTTGCGCTCGACACATACAATTGCGAGGCCTCCAAGTTTACTGGCACACCCATCTTTCACCGACGCATGCTTGCACCATCCGAGAACTTCAATCCAGCAGGCGTTTCGCGGATCAAAAATGATTTTGTTCGTTTGGAAGGATACATTCCACCAATGGCAATCAATATGTCAATTGCCACTATCATCTTCGGTGGTCTTCACTGCCTGGCTTGGTACTTCCAGTTCCCTACAGACGCTGAATTAGGCATCTGGATGGGTACCGCGGTTGCGAGTGCCACTATTCCCACAGCCGCTTTGATGATCAATACTGTGGCCGCTTGGTCCATCGACCGATCAAATTCAAATTGCTGGAAAGCTTTCAACGGTCCCGAGGCGGTCTCGAGTAATGAGATGAGGTCTTATATCAAGGACACTCTCAGATTGACAAAAAATCAGGAGCTGTCAGACAGTCAGCAGCACGTCAAAGACCACTGGGTTTGTGACCCAATTTTGGATTCATCCTCTTCTAGAAACCTACTAATGCTTCTATATAGATCGACCTGATCAAGGACCTGGACTACTTGAAATCAGACCTAAGCAATAGCATTCGCTCGCGATTCCGCGATAAAGTGTTCTTTGCCACCTACAAAAATTTCATAAGTCGATGGGAGCATTATATTCCACTTCATTTAACTTCCGAAAGCTTCGAAAATTCGATAAAAATAAAACACGTCCCTCGAATCATGAGTGCAAGACTCCAGGATACTGAGGATCTTGAGCTTTTGTTCGCCCTGATTAACATTAAGAAATTTGTTCATGATCAAGAACACAAATTGAACAAAACAACAAGACTTTGGCAAAAAGTTTCGACTTTCTGCTTCATCATTGCTAGCATACTTTACGCCGCTGTCAGATTGACCCTACTGGCACTTGCTTTTGCGGCACTGCGATCTATGCCGGAAGGGGTGTTCACATCAACTTGGACGAGATACCTGCCAAATATTTCTTAATTCGTCTAGTTCTCTGCTCGGCATATCCTCCTTCCATTCCCTCTGATTAGTGTTACGCAAAGAGCGGTATGCTCGCATCAGCAGGCCCCAAATCGCCAAATGAGGTTACAGAATGTGCTTTCTTACGACTCACTTAGCTCAACCCAAAATCAGTGATGCCACGTGCAACACGAGGTGGGGAGAAGATAGATGCTGTAGCCGCGAAGGGAAAGGTGTGATCGAAGGCTGTTGCATTAGCGCTAGCCTGAATTAGTGACAACATTGCTAGGTTGTACACTAACTGGTGTCATTGCTAGAATAGTGGTATTGGTAGCTTCAAAGAGAGCCGCATTTCGATGAAGGTATTCGAGTGGCATAAAGGGGTATCGTCGAAAATCCACAAAGCCAAACTGTAGAATCTCAGTGGCGCCCAGTAGGTTCTGTCGAGCCACATGTGGATAGCTCATTGCGCGTCGTCGCTGTTCGTTCTTCAGCTCTTTGATACGAGCAGCAGAGGTTTCAAATTCGGCCGTGAAGATATTGTCGGCGGAGTACAAGGCCCTTGCTTCTATATATTGTTAGATCAAAACGGCATATTGAGAATGTTGAAATTACCTAAGCACATCTCTCGAAGGTTGACAAAAGCACCTGCCTCATTAAGTGCCCGAGCAAGAATTCCGAAGGCTTCGAGATGAAGTTCCTCCACACTTTTTCCAAAGTAGACAGGTCTTGGAAAAGATAGCAGGGTCCGACATGCTAGTATGGTCCGTGGTCTGTTTCGACTCCACGAACTCGGCTCTTGCTGCAATACCGACTCCTTCTCCGCTGAGCATAGCTGTGGAGAGCTTTTGAGACTTTCTCGCGTCTCCTGCGGCTAACTGAGAAGTGTACGATGTCAGCAGACGATCAACAAGTGTAAAGTTCCATATGAACGGTCATACCTCAGGATACCCGATTTCTAGAAGCAAAGATGCTCTCAAGCTCCAATGAACTGGATTGTAAGGCATTTCCGTGAGTTGTACTGTTATTTCGACTATGGCTTCGAAGATCTACCAATGAATCATCATCAGTGCTGCAATAAAGTTGATCTGTTGGGAGTAAACTTGCCGTCGTGAGCTGTGCGGTTGATTTGTTTTTGACTTCTGTGCCTGCATCTCTGGCAGAGAATTTGGGATCCAATTTCCCTACCATGACTTGGAAGATTTGGTCTGACGTGAGGATCTTTGCGTACTGCTTGTGCTGCAACAGTATTTCTTGGGAAAGCTTGGAGGTAAAGGACCTCGACGAGAGATATTTGGTGCAAACGGACGTGAGTGCTCTGTTTGCCGTGAGTCACAGGTGCATAACTAGGATATTGATTGGGAGGCATTGCTCCTCGTCGGGGTTACACAAAACGCCACGATTAGGTAGCTACCTACTCGGTCATCCAAAAGAATCATGCTTTAAGGGACTTTCGAAACGTACTAAGCATATTGATCTCGGGTGATCACAGTAATATCTTTAAGATTTCTTCTCGTTCGTTCTCATCCTTGTCTTCAAGGTTGGGCGATTCCAAGTGCGAGTCAAGTTTAAGCACTTTTCAACTGAGTTAGACTTGGACTCGGCAACCTTTGCTTAAGATATTATCGCTTCATTGGGCTAAGCTCACGAGCTAAACTTAGATAGACTTGGATTCAAGCCCTGCCAAGTATAGACTTGAATCTGATGCAAATTAGACTTGAACTCGCCCTACCTTGCCCGTCTTCATCCTCATCGTCTTCGAAGACTTGTGATGCTTGACCTAGGTACCTTCAGTCACAAGCACACTCAAGATCTGACGCAATCACGTACCGGAAAATTGGAATTTGCGATAACAGTTCCAGAATCCAAGGGACAGTCTACGTGGTGGGGGTCCAAGCCTCGAGAGACGAAGTGCCGTAAGATTGACGAGAATGCTCTTTGAGTTCTCTCATATCTCAAAGATATTACCTTTCTCACCTTTATTCTCTCCCCATGCTCTCTCGAAACTTAATATCTTGTATCGCAATTTTTAAAGTACTCGATTTCTATTCCGGCTGTTCGAGGACTTTCTTCGCATAATAACCTTTGAAAAGTGTGAGACATTCGGGTGCCCAAGCCCACCAAGCCAATTTCTTGCGCACTAGCTCTTGCGCCCAAAACCTCTAATCACTACGCACGTTCACTTTCACAAACAAAAAACAATCAAGCTAACAAATTGTAGATAATAATACATTCTCTATCCTACATCAACATCAACACTCCATACTTACCTCTCATCGCATCTCCGACTCCTCTCAGCAGCACTTCATTCAAAATCTCTGATTCCACCGCATGCACTACAGCCCAAGCGCCGATACTCACCGCAAACAGTGCACTTCTTCTTCTGCGTGTCCGCCAAAATCTTCTCTAGGACCTCCAGCGTCTTCTTCTTTTGCTCATCATCCAACCCCTGGGTTAAGTCATGGAATCTAGACTTTGGCTTCTCGTCCGTAGACGTGTCTGTTGGGTTTGTAGATAGTGCGTTGCGTAGCTCGGCGACGCTGAGGTGGAGGTGATGTTCGAAGTCGGGGTTGTTGAGGATGAAGTTGATTATGCTGTTGGAAGTCATTTTTGGGTTAGACGGTTTTGTTGAGGTTTGGTTGAGGTTTTTGGGTATGTTGATTTGTATGGTTTGGATTGAATTTCAAGGTGGGAGTTCGGTATTTTATGCTTGCTGGGTTGTGGTTGTCTTTAGTGCGATTCGATACATTGCTGTTATAATGCGTTGTTATCAAATGAATGGAGACTCTTAACAATGGTGACAATAGCCCTGTTCAATGTTACGATACATTATTAGTAGAACAAAGAAAGCTTCTGTCAATGGCAGAGTGGCCATTCAGTCAGCTAGCTGATCAGCGCTGAATGTGGTGAAAGGTCAGAGTCTTTCAGTATCCAATTGTCATGCGTCTTCCTTTGTTCGCGTAGAAACACCAATAAAAAATCTGCCCCTTTTTCGAAGCGGAATCTTCAAAAATTCAGAAAGAAAGAAAGAATCCTATGGTATCTCACTTGTTTGTATGCACAGAATCCTGATCGACGTCTTCTACCCTTATGAACCAGGACATAGCTACCTGGTACTTTCTCTGTAGCTTTTACTGCGCTATTCCAGTCTGTAAAAGTGAAGAGGAACTTATCTCGAGCCTCGGGAAATTAGCCCCTGAGCTTAGCGAGCCGAGGTAGCGAGCGTGCTCGTTTGCACGCCTCAAGACCACGAACTCCCTGCACTTTCAAAAACGAATCACTTCTCGTTGTAGCCCTTTACCTAGGCAAGTATAGCAAGCTATATTCCACACAGATAAATTAAAGAATGAGCCATTTTCGGAAATCTCTCAAAATGCCTCCTCCCCGTATCTCTCGTGCGGAAAACACGAAACATCCGGCAAGAGGCTAGGGAACTACTGCGAGGGATAGACTAGATGAGAATAATGTCAAGTTATCAAGGAAAGCGGGGTGTGGTGCATTAGATCGTACTGATCAACACAAATATCGGTGCTGTGGCACAAGGCGGGAGAATTGAGTAGTCACGTGCTCCGACACAAGCTTCCTATCAGGTAAAGGGAGGTGGAACTAGCATCTGGGTCTTGTGTAATGAGGCATTAGAAAAATGTCAATTTTATTCTTGTAACTAGCCGGATACACAGAACTCGCTACCAGAAATACAGAGATGAAATAAGCGAGTTCGTGAAAAGGGGCTGGGTGACGTTACCCACGAAACTCTCCTGTACCATATTTCATTGGCATAACGAATGATTGGAGACAAGCCGTAAGCATGCAATTCAGCCACTCTCTTGGAGCTGAACAACAGAGCATATGCTGACCTGTGCCCATGTCCGGAACTTCCGGCCGGAACGGAAACTTATTACAGCTTCGGCTCGGGAGACGTCAAACATGCGAACAGAATGGGGATGAGCACCATAATAGACCACGAGCATGGGTTAAGCTTGGTGTTTGCATAGCGAATGGCTATCAACGTCTCGGGTTACTTGGTCGTAGCTTGTGCTGCATACCCCGCAGTGGCTCAGCCCAGCCCTATGAAAGTGTACCATGGATAGGGGTTCAACGACTACACATTAGACTACAGTCTAGACAAACGCTGAAGAAACATTTGTCACATGTATCGACGGTCTCACCGTTGTGCAACCCAACCACTGAACGCCAAGAACTGAACCTTGAACCAACCTGGAAGTACTGTGAACGCACGTGATCATCTCACCGAGCACATCGAGTCAGATCTTCATGTGAAATCAAACAAGAAACCGTTTCGCTCCATAATACCTCTGTGCGCCAAGAAAAACAATTACTTTCATCTCATGGGTAATAGTTGCAAAAACAGGGGTCGATTATTTTGTGGACACTTTACTCAAGCAAGTAACGATTCACCAATTTTCTAAATATCATTGGATAATGTCCCCATGCAATCGAAGAAGCCTCTCGAAGGCTTGGCGCAACTATTACCACCGTGATGAAGTACCTGAGAGCTGAAGGAAGTTGTCGGACGCACAAGAGAGGAGAGAGCCAAGAGCCAAGTCCTCCATTACCAAGGCATTCCAGGTTGGCCCCTCACGCGCGACACAATCGGGTCCCACACCCGCCGCCACGAACGGTCTAGCTCCGCTGCTCAGCCTCGCAACCCCTCTACCCAATTCGACCAGCGAATTTCGCGCAGACGAGACGATCCCTTAACTATCATCATCACTCACTCGCATATTTGCTGCTACGTATAATATATCTCATCTCATGTCTAGATAAGACGACCTCTCTCATTTCCGTCGAGTGAGTGGGGAGCGGAGGTTGTTTATTCTACGTATTTGTCTCGTCTCACTTGCCAACAAACAACGCGCGCGACACAGTTCGAGATTCTGATAGCAAAGGGAAAGTAACCTTAACCGCCGTCCTCGCCACCCACCTCCCTCTCCATCCACGCGACCCCGCAATATCATGACCTTACCACTACAACCTCAAAACCTCTATCGCGAACGAAGGACGACGGCGCAACCATGAGTTCGCACCGCGAGAACACGCAGGCCTTTGACCCCGCGGGGAAACTGACCTTCGTGCTGCAAAGCCGGGTGCGGGAGAGAGAGCATCATCGTCGGGGCAGTATTCTGTACGTGCACGTGCCATTCCCTCCCTCCCTTCTTTCCCCCTTCAATAAGCCCCTATATATACCTATATCTAACAAGAGTAAAGATCCTACAAAAGCTACACCAAAAAAGAAGACCCCCAGCTCTATATGCGCGTCAACCACAAAATGGTCATGCAAGCGTCACCCGTCTTCAAAACTATGCTCAAACACACCTTCCTAGAAGGCAACACGCTCTACAATACGGGACGAGTCGAGGTCCCGCTGCCAGAAGACGATCCTATTCCATTCGGCGTGCTGATGGACATCATTCACGGACGAGACCGCTGGTCTCGCGTTCCCCGACAAGTCGACCTCGCGTTCCTCACTCGGTTATCTATCTTAGTCGACAAGTATGAACTTTTGCAAGCCGTGTCGCCCTTTGTGCGGGAATGGTTCGAGAATCTCCGGTTAGATATCCCGCAGGCGTTTGGGCCCGATATCACGCATTGGCTGTGCGTGTCCTGGGTCTTTCGACGGCCGGATGAGTTTAATCACGTGACGAGGATTGCGGAGCGGGAGAGCAATGGGATGGATCTTGATTCGTATTCGGGGGAATTGAAGGAGGATCTTCCGATTCCGCAGAGAGTATTAGGTATGTTGTTCTTTGTGTGATAAAGCGTAAAATGCTAACAACTACATAGAAGAAATTTCCCGGCGCCGCGAAACTGCTATCCGGCGCTCCTACGAAGTACTAGATCGCAATATCGACATGCTTCAATCCGGCTCACCACGCTGCACTTCCACGCGGCACGAGCCTCACCGCTTTACCTGCGACGCCGTCCTCCTTGGCTCACTCCTGGAATCCTCTTCCAAGTTAGGCATTTGGCCACCGCCGGAAGCACCGTATTTCGAAGTCACGTTTAAGAATCTGATGGCGGATATCAATCAGATTAATTTGACGAGCTTTTGTACGAAGATGGGGTATACGAATCAGAGCTCTAATTCGCATGGGATGAAGACGGAGATTAATGCTGCGTTGGGGAAGGTGAGGAATAGGTTGAGTGGATTGAATATGAGGGATTTTGAGTGAAGGATGGAATGGTGGAGGTTGTTTTTCGCTTCTGTTTGGATGTGAATAGGGATTGGATTCATTCTTCACACTGGATATGCATTTGCATTGGGGCGGTCGTTATTTTTGATTGATTCGCTTGCCATTGGTGGCAGCTAAGTTATGGAGTTTGGTGATTTGGATGACTCGTCCAATTGCTAAGGACGAAGGAAGCTATTGCAACGGGGGAGACATGAGTTCGTTCCAGCCAGTATGTCAATATTTGACCCAATTTCCTCTCCGAGAACAATATTCCATGCATTGAAGGATTTTCGCCGAACTTATACGTTGCAACATCTCAAGGCAGAAAATCCTCCAACGTGAAATCCTTCAAGTTTTGTACCACCCCTTTGACACGGAGGCGGATCGCTGACGCAGCATAATGGCCGTAACCAGATGTAGCCGGTGTAAGGTCGGGTCCTTGAACATTGATATAGTCGCACAAACTTCTCAATTTCAATGGCTCCATGTGCATCTGTAGGGAACGAATCGAATGTCCTTCATATGGAGGTTCGGGCGCTGGCCAAATGCTCGCCTCTGTACAGGCTTTGAGCAAGCATCCAAGAAGCATGGCATCGCAGTCTCTTTCGAATACTTGACCGCGTGCTGAAGCGCAAACCGATTTTGGACTCGACTTCTCCAAGAGGTTTATGAAATATTCCAACACCTTATATATGGCCTGGAGTGTCTCGACTCTGCGACATTGTATGGCATCTAACAGTCAATATCAAACCAAGATACCAAGGATAGAGGCTTTCTGAAAAGCTTACCAAGTACGGTATGGGGTATTGGAATACCTTCATCTAGATTCTTGAAGAAGGCGGGGGTGCTGTTTCGAAGCAAGATTCCCGTAACTTCCTCGAACTTTTCATCATGACGGAACACCCAGGCGATGCTGAGCCACATCATCAATTCATCTGGTCTCTTTGCGCTCATTTCTTCAGTGGCTTCTTTGATCCAACTATCGGAGAAGACCGCAACCGGCTCCTGGATCTGATACTTGTCGACAACCGCGGACAGCAGAGCAAGCAGCTTGAGAGGGACAACCTTCGGCACGCGTCGTCCACGATTATGGATGATATCCAGAATGATGGTAAAGACAACTGGATCATCATCAGGGAGCGGGATGTCAACTTTTCCAGCCTCACGCAACGCGTTGCCCTCTTGGAATGAGTTTGTGAGCATTGCTTTGAACACAGGTGACGCGAGCATCATGTGCTTGGAAGACACTTGCATATGGACGTGTTCTTCTTTCGTGGGAGCTTTGTGTTTTCTGGATTCGATTAGTCATCGGTTCTCAGGCGATGGAGAAACGTCTGGGTTTCCCCAAAGGGAACCTTACCTCGATGAGCCACGGGTCGTGGATGATGTTGTGTCTGGTGTTGTGGTTGATGACGAGCTCGGGAGGATAAATGTCAAGTCTCCATCTGGATCGAAGATTTGCTTTTCGGGGGCCATTTTGAGAACCTTAAGACAGTGGGAGATAATCTCGTTCGTTCCTCTGCTTTTAGTCGAGCGTTTTGGGAAGGAAGTCGGGGATCCAGACAGACAGTGTTTAATTCAACAATGCGTCAGTGATGGGGGCGACACTCCTGAGATTGAGGATTCACGAGATCAAGTGAATCATACAGAATGGTTGCATAAGTTCTCGGGCGTTGATGATTACTTGTGGTACATGAATGGTCGAGTTGTTTAATGGAGATGTGCAAACGAAGGGAAGTCGATGCCGCGCACACGCTAGTCTGCATTCGGCTGTAGTTCTTTTTAATGGAATTAGCAACGTCACGTAGTAACCTAGGAAGATAGTTCATCTCAAGAGAATGTTCATTTACTATTGTGACAAAGTGTAAAGTCTCTTAGTTCTCGCCCTTGGAATCCTGCTCAGCGCAATCCTTCGCGAAGACTCCAATGTCCAATCCACCCTGCAGGTAAAGCTCATTGCAAACCTCCAAGATATCGTTTGCGACCCAATGTCCTTTATTATTCGACCTCTCCGGATGCAAAATATCACATAGAGATATGACATTCAATTCCGCAATCCTTTCAAGCACACCCTGCACTGAATGCCCGGTATATGGGCGTTTGGGAGTGGGCCAGATGAAGCACACAGAACAAGCGCGGATGAGGCTTCCAAGGACCTGAGTATCGCAATTCCGTCGAGTCTCTGTGGTGCTGGTGCATGAAACGCTCGATGGAGTCTCGGTGGCGCCTGTGCATGAAACGTTCCATGGTTTTTCATGATAGTGGTCTACCCAGCCAGACACCTCTCTGAAGATTTCGGAAAGACACTTCATTCTACGGGCGTCGATTGCATCTAAAACTGGTGAGTAGGAGAAAATGATACTGCTTCATCGCATAGATGCAGTCAGGTAGAAGGTTGATATAATGCTGTCCATGCAGGAAAATATGGAGAGTTGTTGAAATATTGACTCACCAAATATCGATTGTGGTATTGGAACCTCATCGGGTACCGCAGGCAAAGGAAAGCGGGCTGCTTGAACCAAAGCTTTAGACACTTCCTCGAAAAGCACTGTGTGGCGAAAGACCCATGCGATGAGGAGCCAATGGGTCAGAACATCGATATTGCGATCATAAAAGACAGTGTCGTCATAAAAATAGGTGACGACCAAGGCCATCTCGCGGATCCAAATGTCCGAAAAGACAGCGGCAATTTCCTGAAGCTGATATTTGTCGACAAGCATACTGACAATTGCTAGAAGCTTCAATGACAGTACCGAAGGGACTTTTCGACCTTTGCTGTGGATGACGTCTACAGACAAATTAGTACATACTTTCCGCAGAGATCCGAGAACCAAATAGCTCAGCCGAGAAATTAAAAGACGTTTCCATTCATACACAGCTCCCCAGGATGATCCCAAGGTTTTGCGTTTAAGATGAATACAAATTAAGGGCAAGATTTGACGTACTCATGAGGATGGTAAATGCAACACAATCGTCCTCGGGAAGCTCTATGTCGACGTGTCCAGTCCGGGCGAGAGTTTGGCCTTCCGAGAATGGTGAAGTTAACATGGCCTTGAAGACTGGCGATGCAAGCATCAAGTGCTTAGAAGAGACTTGCATAAGCACATGAGGGCTGTCGGGTTGAGGTTGGTTTGTGCTAGACACGTATCAGCGAATTGCTTCAAGTTCAATTAAACAAGAGAAACTGCGCAACCATGAGCAATTCGAAGGAAGACGTTATAAAAAGTAGAATTGCGCTTACAGTCCAAGCTCCTCAAGAGTCAGCTTCGACGTGCTGGAAAGAATGAACAGGACGTCTCCATCAGGATCGAAGATCTGTCTTTCGGGAGCCATGTTCTTGAGACGCTTTCAAATGGTGTTTTGTGGAGAGATTGCGAAGTTGTGTGAGATCGAAGAAGAAAAAATGATGTAAATCCGTAATGGGGAATGAGTTGCAAAGCGAACAGAGCTAGCGGGTTTGAAACTAGGTGAATTGAACCCAAGCTGACTTTCGATGTTTTGGAATCGGACGAACAATGCGATTTAAGGTTAAAATGAGATTGTTTAGAGAATTCATTGCATCTTCGCCAGGAACGAAAGCGACGTCGTCCTCCTAGCGGAGACCAAGACATGTTCCTACTGGTCTCGGATATTTCAAGGCTGAATGGCACTATGTCCGAACGGACAATCTCAATTAGAAGATATCAAGCTGGCTTTGATGACGGCTTTCTGAGTCTGATCGGACCAACTACAGTCTCAAGATTATCTCCAAGCTCTCCATCAAGTACAATTCCTCTCTGCAGGACCTCTATTTCACGTCTCGACCTCATAGCGGCAGCGAGTCGTCGAATTTCGGTCATGGTGTCTCTCCAAGATCCCATGCCAGCTTCACGAAGATCGTTGGCTGTCAATGATCGTGCTACCTCAGAAGGACAAATTGTTTTCGGATATTCGCGAGACTGGAGAAGCCTGTCCAGATGCGATTGAAGGATGTTCTGAATTGTTGAACAATCTGCCATAGATAATTTAGTTTAGCAAGATCAGATAGGAACAATGATGATGTGATTTAAGAAACTACGAATTCGTCAACTGAGGTGTAGTGGACGACAAAGAAACTATTATCCCCAATCGAGACTAGCGTAGCCGCACAATGACCTACGGCCGAAACTTGCGTCACCCGCCTTCCTACAACAACATCAATGTCCTTTGGTAAGTCACCGAACGCCCCCGGCCACTACCTTTAACTAACCTATGTTCAGCAAGAGATTTACCAATATCTCAAAGAGTTTCTGCAATATCGCGGAGGCTGAGTGAGGACATTGTTCCTCGATTGCTGCGTGTCATACACCATTCTATGAGCATGACTACCTCACGCTTAACCTTCGATCCCGATGGAGATCTGCTCCTACGACTCACATATACAGTGGCTAAAGAGAAAGAGAGGGAAGATAATGCGACCGGCGACTCTCCCGTGCCTTCCAACATAAGTTCCCCACTGGGCTTGTTCACAAATCTGAAACTTGCGCCCATTAGAGATGGTCACTCCATGGATGAGGACGAGGAAGAAGAGGTCACATGGGAAGTAGAAATGCTGGTGTCTGCGAAGCATTTAATGCTAGCTTCGCCTGTATTCAGAGCCATGTTTAAGCATAGTTTCCTCGAGGGAGAAACCCTGCGCTCTACTGGCAAAGTCGAGGTATCTCTACCCGATGATGACACCACTGCCATGGAGATCGTTCTGAACATCATCCATGGCCGCGTTAGGCAAGTTCCCAAGGAAGTCACCATGGATGTTATGACCGCTCTGTCGATACTTGTTGATAAGTATCAAATGCACGAAGTGGTTGAGTTGTACGTCGAGATATGGATGGTTCGACTCAAGGCTTCAGTTCCTAAATTCTTCTCGCCAGAATTGTACAAGTGGTTGAGCGTGGCTTGGGTCTTTAAACTACCCCAAGAGTTCAAGCATTTGACATGGATCGCAGTCAGAGAATCTTGTGGTAGCAATTCGATCATGCAGTTACCTCCAGACCCAAGTCTTCCTATACCAGAAGTTGTTTTAGGTGCGACTACCTATCCCGTAATACGCTTATATACTGACTTCTATAGGTGAGATCGAAGAACAGAGACGGAAGTCAATATCTGACACTTTGTCAATCATCACAATACTCAAAGACAAATTGACAGCTCCCAGCCCTGGTACCATCTGGGCTCGACCGGAAGCTGCTCGTGTCTGTACATCAACATTCGGAAGCATCGACATCGACAACAAGCGATATTCTTGCGAAGGTATGATACTCGGCACGCTTCTCAAAGGTCTTTCTGATCAAAGACTGTGGCCGCCTCCCTCAAACCCGTACCGAGCGTTCTCATTCAAATCCATTGCCTTAGCAGTCCGGTCTCTCAAAATCACGTCGCTATGTGACACAATCCAAAATGCACCTGCTTTTAAGACACCTGCTGGCTTTACATTCGGCTCTTCTGTCAGCAGTATGCAGCATCAAGCTCATGGGCAACTGAAGTGGGTGCATGATCAAGTCGATCAGATAGAGTCACGTATCATGGGGCTAGATCTTGAGATCTTTACTGGGAAAGGGCAATCAGCACTGGCCCAATCAACGGAGGCGGAGTCTTGAGTTTTCGGTCTAGTCCTGCTTAAGCTTACGGCAAAGGAGTACCATTATCCACTGAGACGTTTTGATGCGTGAGGCGAAGTTCCGAGCAAGTGTTTTGAGAATTACAAGCCTTAGCCAAGAATGGACTTGCGTACACATCCGATGGTGATATAAGCTGGGAAGGCCAAAGTCCTGGACGCGGTCTTGTAATCTAGCTCATATCTTACCAGAGGTATACTTGTTGTAATGAGCTTTTACGGATACCCTTTCATCTGATCTTATGCTTCGGGGCTACAGATGGACTCTAGCGAGATGCCGTGCCAAAGTGCGCTAGTACGAGGTATGGACTAGCGCAGCCTCGACCCTACCTACATTCGTTGTTTGCTTCTTCCAAACAGTGCCTCCACGAAGAGCAAACATGGCAGCCGACACGTTCACGTTCGATCCAGAAGGCGATCTCTTCCTACGACTTCATTATTCCGACGAAGCCGGTGTTGTCAAAGTTGAAGGCTGTACAGCTTCATCTCGAGACGCGTCCTCGGAAGAAGATGTTGTATTGATACCTGTCAGCAACGACATGGACGTATCACCTCCAGAAGATGCCAGCAAGACAGTACACATGCTTGTTTCCTCGAAGCACCTTATTCTAGCTTCTTCGGTTTTCAAGGCCATGTTTCGACCAGGATTTCGAGAGAGTCTACCCCGCGTGTCCGAAGGTCAAATGGAGCTAGATCTTCCAGACGACGACCCTGCAGCCTTCGAAATCCTACTCAACATCATTCACGGCCATGTCCGCAAGGTTCCAGACAAAATCACTCTCGAGATGCTCATAAAGCTCTCTGTTCTTGTGGACAAATACCAGGTCTTGGAAGTCACTGAGCTTCATGTTCGATCGTGGATGCCGAAGCTTAGGTTGTCACTACCCACCGAGTTCTCGCCAAGCGTCATATGTTTGATGAGTATTTCTTGGGTATTCAAAATGAAGGAGAACTTCAAGGAGTTGACGAGCATTGCGGAAAGGGGCAGCAGCTTTGATTTAGGAGAAGACGACCAAACATCACTTCTCATTCCAAGATTTATTACAGGTATCGTCCACAGCATCCCTGTTATGTCAATCAGACTAATCCTCTCATAGATCGCATTGAAGCAACGCGCCAGAATGGAATATCCATTCTTATTAGTGATATCAACAACATGATCACCGCATACAACACTGGTTCGTTTTCATGCACTACAGTATTCTCGAATAATGAAGTTATGGATGGCAACTTGGCGTGCGATGGCATGGTACTAGGCAGTCTCATGAAAAGTCTTGCGAGCTATGGTCTTTGGCCTCTACCAACAGCTCCTTACGTCGGGATAAGCATGGAGAGCTTGGCAAACCAAATCAGGAGTCTCAAGATCCTAGCTCTATGCGATCAAGATAGGTTCCAGGCTTGTACGTGGCGCACTGATCACCGTCCTGGTCATGGCTGGAAAACGTGGTTGAGCGACAAAGCCGACTCTGCCCTGTTTACTGCAGACGGTCAAGATCTCTCAGACATGACGGCGCAGAGCAATCTCAACAGATTCGGCCCTACGGAAAAATTAGTTCCTGGCAGAAGCTCGACGACAGAGGATACATTGGATCCGTAAGGCCAGCATTCGAAAGAAATTTTCTTGGCTTTTCTCTGCACATGGGTTATGAAGCATCCTTTCATACGTTATGGTCTTCATTTGCGACCTTCGGCTTGACTAGATGGACGGTAGCATTGCGAAACAACGTCCCTCAATCCAAGAACCATACACTTCAATATTTTCGTCTCATTGAAATCGTTCTATCTCGTTTCGACCGTAAGTGACATCATTGTTCTACTAAGGTACACTACATAGAGATTCCAGATGCACGATGTGCAATAGGTGAAAGACGATGCGCAATATCCATACCTCTTCGTCTGGTAGACGAGTGTAAAGTGCTCGTCGAGTCAAACTTGCCTTGATTTCAAGTGAACATCGAGGCGCCAGAGATCTAGTTTATGTTTGAGATTCCTTCAATGCATCCTGGCGTTGGTGAGCTAGCTAAGAGAAAGAATGTGGGGTAGAATAATAGTCCTTGATGATCCAAGCCCTGTCGAATCAGGTAAGTCCATTCAGCCGTCTCTGTGCTGCTTAGCAATAATCAGCCGCAGGCGATTTATAATCACGACTCTCTGCAACTAATGAGTGCATAATCCTGCAAATTTGACATACTTGCTACTTGATAAATTTACAGGGACATAGATGTCAAGTTATCCCACGTCGCCTGTATAGTACACTTGTTCGTACAGCATGAAGTCTAAAGTCAAAATGCCCGAAAATAGTGTGGGGACGATGGATGGACAAGATGACACAACACGCTCAACAAATAAACCACGAGGTCGGCCTCGAAAAGATATAATAGATACAGGTATCGAGGTGAGGTGTTCTCCATGAGTCAAATTCTATGGAGTTGACATATTTCAGCTTCGACGTGCTAAGACACGGCGCGCACAAACGACTTTCCGAGCCCGTCAACGACAGCACCTCAACAAACTGGAGCAGAAATGCAGAAGGCTTGAAGATGTTGTTGAACAGATGACGACGGCCGTTTTGGACTTCAGTGATGACCTTGACCAGTCCAACAACTTGGATCCAAACGCGGGAGAAAACTTGAGGACTGCCATGACGAAATTCGTCGCACTTTCAAAGACCGGTTCAGGGGACCCAAATGAACTTCAGCAGGATCCCCGGATTTTTGCAAAGATCGATCGTAGAACTTTCAAGCAGCCGAGTACAGAGGCTAAGCGTGCCGCAATAACAGCAATGCCCACGCCACCTACAAACCGTCCATCAAAAGCGGATTTACGCATGAATCATAATATTTGGAATCGACATACTGAATCTTCAAATTCTGCGAGCAGTGCGATTCCATACATTCTCGCAGGGCGTGATAGCTTCGCTTCCAGACTGTATTACGAGACCATAGCTCTTGTTCTTCGGTCGATGTATGGAGAGTTACCAGGAGCCATTGCAGGTCGCATGTTCCGCTTCAAGTCACGCTATTGTACCTGTGCAAAGATTCGTGGCATACTTGGCAGCGTCTTCAACATGCTGCTTCATGGCACATTCCAATCAGAGGACGTAAACACTGATATCACGGACGACAAAGCTGTAAAGGCTTTGATAGTGCATCAAATCGAGAGCTCGGGCGGATCTGAGCATGACTATCTGTCAACGTGGGAGGTTGAACGATATTTAAAGAAGAAGTGGCGTCTCGGGATTGATTCGAATACTGTCAAAGTACAAGCCAGTGCCTTGCTGTCAATCAACAACAAAACTTCCCAACACGCCGCTGTATCAGATGGCAGTCCAAAGCTGGTCTTCCCAACAATGGTTCCTGGTTTCCCTGAGACTTCTCCATCAATGTGGAATGTTGAATCTTTGCTTGAGAGATTGAAGCTGACATCCGTTTCCATTGGAGAGGGCCCAAGATGGCATATAGCAGATATCGATGCAGCTGTGGAAGCGTTTTTGACTGAGAGCAAGGAGGACGATAAATAATATACAGCACGGGAGGTACTTGCAGCCATTGAAGCACAAACGTATATAAAGCCGGGAAAAAATGACCAAAAAGAACAAGATTTTAGCAAAATATTCTACTCGATGCTTTCATGCCAAATGTGATCATGCTTTTGAGATGAAAGAAATTAAGTCGAGGGAGTCTTAGTAAGATTACATTAATCTCTGACTTCCTGCAGGACTATGTCTGGACATCAATGAGCAGACTTTTCTCTTGATGATCGAACTTTAAGCATTGGAACAATGAGATTGCGGGGCGATGAACAAATAAAGACACCTGGAATAGAATGCAGTCATGTCTTGTTCTGTTGAGGAAAGTTTAAGTTGATCGCTTAACTCATTTGACGCTAGGAGGTCGGGAAAAATAGCCCGATGAAAGATTATCTTCAACTTTTTTTGTTCCTCAATTGGAGCTCGCGACAAACTCGAAATCTGCCAATGCACAACACAACATGGCAGCTCCTGTGACCAAGCTTCAGCAGGTGAAGCTTCCCAGTGGACCTTCGCCTTTGACTCCAGAGCAACAATACTGGAAAACCTTCAAGTCTTCGCAGAATGTCCCCACTCAATCGCCCGTGAACCATATTTCGTTTCCTCCGCCTCCGAGTAATGCGCTGCTTCCTTCGAACAACGATTACTTCGTCGTCACCGCGGGTACTCGAGTACAAATATTCTCGATACGAACTCGAAAGTTGTTGAAGACAATTACCCGATTCTCAGACATCGCGCATAGCGCAGAAATCCGAAGAGATGGACGGGTCATGGTGGCTGGTGACGAGAGCGGGAAGATTCAGGTGTTTGACGTGAACTCCAGGGCCATATTGAAGACTTGGGAAGAGCACAAGCAACCAGTATGGACAACGAAGTTCTCTCCGACAGAATTGACGACTCTCATGAGCGCGAGTGACGACAGAACGGTTCGGCTCTGGGATCTGCCGAGTCAACAGAGTACTACAACATTTGTCGGACACACAGATTATGTTAGAAGTGGAAGCTTCATGCCGGGAACAATGTCGAATATGATTGTGACGGGAAGTTATGATCAGACTGTCCGACTGTGGGATCCTAGGATACCTACAAGAGCTGCTATGACGTTCAAGCACGCAGCGGCAATCGAGTCGGTGTTACCCATGCCCTCTGGGACGACCCTGCTTGCATCTGCAGACAATCAAATCTCGGTGTTAGACCTTGTTGCTGGAAAGCCGCTACAGCTCTTGAAGAATCATCAAAAGACGGTCACCTCATTGTGTCTGGCATCAAATGGCACAAGGCTGGTCAGCGGAGGACTGGACGGGCATGTCAAGATATTCGAGACTTCGGGATGGAATGTTGTAGCTGGATCCAAGTACCCCTCGCCCGTGTTAGCAGTCAGTGTCATCAGTGCAGGTGCCAACAGAGAGGATAAGCATCTTGCAGTGGGAATGGTGTCTGGTATTCTGTCTATCAAGACACGACTTTCGGGACAGCAGAAAGCGAAGGAGAGAGAACGAGCGAAGGAAATGCAGGCTCTGATCGATGGTACAATTGATGCATACGACAAGAAGAACAAGAAGCGGACCAGGGGAATCGAAAAGAAGCTCCGAGGACTGGATTTCGTGGGTGAAGGAGCCGACATCATCATTGAAGGAAACGATCGACAGAAGAAAAAGCCGGAGACAGTGTGGGAGAGAGATCTTCGACAAGGCAGATATGCTCAAGCTTTGGATACAGTGCTAGCGCAGAATAGCTCTTCTGTCACTGTGTTGACGCTATTGACTGCCTTACGACATCGAAGTGCAATGAGAACAGCTTTTCAAGGTCGAGACGAGTCTACTGTTCAACCAATCTTCATGTGGGTTATCAAACATATCACCGATCCTCGATACGTCAGTATATGCGTGGACTCAGCATTACTCCTCTTGGATATCTACTCCGAGCACGTTGGTGATTCGAGAGAACTCGGCAACAGTGTTAGAAAGCTTAGTGTTCAGGTGCGAAGGGAGGTGGAGAGATCTCAACAAGCTTGTCAGACAAGCGGAATGTTGGAGATGTTGATGACAGGCATGCCTTGAGACTTAGTCTTGAAAGACGACCAAACGAAGGACAATCTTGTCTCTTACAGCTATTGAATCGGCTTGCGCAGGGACAAACACCAAGGCTTAAGGCTGTTATCAACTGAGGTGTAAGCGAGTGAGCAGAGGCCACTATATCCAGAAGACTCATAGCTTCTGGGTGCTGTATCTTGGTCAATGTAGAATTGGTCATCTGGCTGGAAGAATATGCAGGATGGCCAGAACGAGTGTCTAGGGTCGTGTTACAATAACCGGACCGTCTCGACTTTCAGATATATGACCAGCTTCGAAGAATCCTTCAGCCGTCCTCGAACGAAGAGACTAGAGAGCTTTGTAAGACGGAAGTTGGAGCAAGTAGTAGCAGTCCTACAACTTCTTGGTATATACAGACCTCACACAAGAGAGGCTAGCAGACAATGAATAATGATATACCCAACCCTGATTACTATCAATACCAAGCGATAATTACCTCCTCGAATGTCCAAGAAAGCTCTGGAGTATGCACCGAACTTTTCAAAGCGTCAATCCCAATAATGCCCCAGGATGCAACGCCTCTATTCCGCATAACCAAGTATCAGCGACGTCCCCAAGCAGCCTCAAAAAGTTCCATACCCTTCACTACATCTCCCACAAACCCGATCGTCATCTCTCACCACGTCCGGAAGATAGACTCTTGACCCCAAAACATTCAGCACCCTCCTCTCCCTCCCAACTTCCACTCCATCTCCAAACCCCCAAATTCTCCTCAATGTCCTACCCACTCTATTTCCCTTCCACCCACAATGGCCCCAAACTTTCTCAAACACCGCTGTCAATAACACCGAGACACCCAGCGCGATGATAATCAAGCATAACACAACAAGAGCGCTGAAGAAATTGGTGACGAACTCGGCGGTGTTTTCGCAGGAGTTTTTGTTGGAGAGGGAGTGCGTGCGAGTTGTGCAGTGTTTGCTGATGTTGAATGGATCGCTGGAAGACGCGAGGAGGAAAGCCAGGACGGGGATGCAGAGGATGAGGACGTTGAGGGGCAGGAAGGTTGAGAGCCAGAGGGATTTGAGGAAGGTTGGTGGGAGGAGGGATTTGCGTGGGCGGATGAAGATGTTGCGGTTGGTAGTTGTATACATGGTTGATGATGAAGTTGAGATGTTTCCTCATAAGAAGTTAGATTTAGAATGGTTGCGCCGTGAGAGAACTTACGTGCGATTATGTGTTACTAGTCGGGTGATGAAAGCATGCTCTTTTATTTTGATGTTGCGAAGTTCATCGAAAAGCAGTTATGCTAAAGTGTCTACTGACTGGAAGTCATCATTCCTTCCTTCTTGGGAGAATGCGAAAGTAAATTCACCATTTGGAAGAGTTTTCCGCAGTCCAAATCACGGATTACCAGGAGGTAAGTGCGAGATTTGTTGATAAACAAACTTTATTTCCACAATCTTGTATCTGCATGCTTAATCCTTGAAAACTCAAACCAGGGCAAGGAAACTCGTTGTTCGTGTCGCTGATATCGTTCAAATCATGCGAGAGAATTTCAATTAGAATTCAGCCTCCTCCGGCAGTTCGCTATTTGACATGCTCCTATTCGCAACTTTCGCGCCCCTGCTTCAAGAAGTATTATGCTGACTTGACGAATGTGAAGTCTGATGCAATGAGCCGGCGACATACCGTAGCACGATAGATTAGACAAAGCGCTCGAGACTTGCTACGGGTATGATGATTTGTATCGAAATATCCTAGGTATGGGATATAAGGAATAGAGTAACTCGCTAAATAAAAAGGGGTTGACAAGAAAGTACCGAACACATGTGAGCATTAGAAAACGGTTTAAATCCCGTGATAGAATGGCAAGGGACGGCTAAGATTCGAACATTTGTATATAGTAAGACTCCATATATTGAAATGTGAGCGAGCCTCTGTGTGATTGATTCAAATAGGCGGTGCGGGAAACCTGATCTAAGGCTGAAAGCTAGTCGACATTATAAGTGACGGTCCGACACCAACTTGATAGTCCCCGGATTCGACAGCTCCCACAAAAACGCCGTTGAAAGTAAGAAATTACAGCCACTATTCCCAAATCAATCCCCACTCTGAATTCTTGTCAGAGCGATCTTGGTGTAGAACAGCATAACGCCATAACATCCCAAAATCCCTCTGCCTCCTAAATTCCATGTTCGAGATTGCCAGGTAAACTGCTTAAACGGTGGATCTAGACCCCTCCACACCCATATCCTTTTCATTCTCGAGCAGCGGGGCGTTTTCCCCTTCATTCATCGCCACATTCGAATCCAGAACGCCGAAACTGTCAATCTTCTGGCACACCAAGATCGTAACAAAACAGGCCAAAACTCCCTGCGCGTCAAATGGTTTCACGGCAAGAAATCCCGCAGCAGTTGAAGATAGTATCGCGAGGTCCATATGCCATTTTCCAGTCGGGGAGAGCTTCTCAAGCTTCGATCTGGCGTAGTCGAGGACGTTGGAGCGTGTGAGAGACATCTTGCTGTTCGACTTGGCTGATTTTGATTATTTAACTGTCGATTTATTTGAAGGTCGATGTACTTGCTGAAAGATGTGATATCGTGTTTGTGAGAGTAAAATGTTCGGAATAAGATGAGTGTGAATGATTTTATAGAACTTGGGATGGGAACTAACTTAGTCCCCGTCACTTGATACTAGGACCAAAGTGGACAAGACAGCACCCATTGGACTAGAGCACTTGTTGAAACCTGTAGAGGTATTGGATTGTTGAATGAAACCTTCCATTGTGAAAAAAAATGTATAACATATAGCGGAATGGGAAGCAGGGGACGATATGAGCTTTAGCACTCATTGCAGTCGCAATTGTCTGCCATACACATTGTAACCTTGATGTCATCATTCGAAGGGGAAATCAGCTAACACGCATATCATACATCTATTCTGTACATAGCTTCATCCATATACTACAATCTACCAAGAGTAGTACTGTCTCTGGGCAGTAATTGGCCTATTTGGCAATTGAACCCAGACCTTCTTCTTCTGTTCTTTCTTCAAACGGTCCTCATGCAACCTAATGCGGGTCTTCTCCTCCTTCAAAACCACCGAAAGACCTAATTCCGTCAGCTTGAATAGTTAATTAATCGGAGTTGTACTCACTGGTAGTGCGATTCTTCATTAAAAAGATGTTTCCTCTCGCCCTGTGATCGGGGGTCTGTTGAAAAAGTCCTTTTCCACACCAAGCCTGGTCGACGTACAAAGTTGTTGGGTCCCGGACCTTGACACGTTTCCCATCCTTGGTTTGAATTTGGACAGGTGTAAAGTCCTGGTCCTTGATACCAAGCCCCATCCCTCTTCGGACAATGGCCTCGTTCTTTGCATGTTCAAGGTGTTCTCTGACATCCTTTGCGACCTTCTTCTTGGAGAATCGCATCTGGATGATGGCTTCCTCAACAGTCTTCCCAGCAATCTGTCGTGCTAATGGCATTAACTTCTTGACCGAAGTCTTGAAGTCGTGACTCTTCGACAAGACTACTCTCTCCTCTTTCTTCAGCTGTTGTACCCTCGTCAACCGTCCACGCTTGTGTATCTCTCTGATCACCATCTTTCGCTCCCATCTTTGTCGTCCTCGTGGATCCGGGTCTAAAGCTGCTGCCATTGCATCCGGATTCCGGACTAGCTGTTTCTGCTCAACACCTTTCTCATCTTTCGTAATGGCGGTTGGTTTCGGTCCGGCAATTTCTTCATCTTCGAAAATAGAAGATTCTGCAAGATCACCACGAGTGGGAGGTTGGACTTTTGGCTTTTTCTTGAGGTATTCTTCGGTCAAAGGGTTTTGTGGCCTTCTGGTTGCATCTGGAAGTTCATTTCTGCGTGACCAATCCCAGAAAGCAGTTCGTTTCTGTATGCATGGTGTGAGGAAGGAGAGAGGATTTTGAGGATTGATCAAGGCCGTGGCTTTTCATCAATTAGCTTCTTTCATAGCACAATGGATTGGTATAGTACTGACCAGATCGTACGACCCGCCTCGATGGCAGATGTAAGCTCATTCTTGCCAATGATACTCTTCTTCGTGATGCGTTAATGCCGTTGAAGGAAACGCGAAAATGATTCTACAGATCACGTGGGCGGTATAGACTGGCGAAAAGAACTTGAAGGTTACTAGCGCGACAGCTTCGAAATCTCAAGGTAGACATTTCATGACCGTTCATGTTCTGCATACCGTTCGTTCGTCCCGCCATTTGAAGTATTAGCTTTGAAATGGTAATCTGGTCCTCGAAAATTTTCCTTGGACAGTTATCCCTCAAGACTGTTCCGCCAGACTTCCTCCTTTCCCGAATTTCTTCCTTCCAGCAACATGTCTGATCCGGTCGGCGAAGACGGTTGGCTTGCTCTTGTCGACGAGGCAAGTAGGACTGCAGGCGATCTGGAGCAAAGAGTGGGCGTCGTGGAGTTATACAAGCGCGCGATTGCAGCTGAGCCTTGGTCAGTCAAGCTGTGGTTGGCGTATTGCGAATGGGTCTGGTCGCTTTATACAGATTGCCAAAATGGCGACGCAGGATGGCCTGAGGAGGAGCAGCTGCTTGGTCAGGAACTGTTTTCTTTGGAGACAGCATTAGATGTCTGGCAGCAAGGGGCCCAGGCTACTCAGTACAGGCTGAGCGACAGTCACGAACTCTGGAATCGGTGGATGTCGATAGAGCTAGACCAGCTTGCCAATCCTCCGAGCCCGCAGAGTCTCGAACGGATTCGAACTCTCTTCTTCGATCGATTACAAAATCCACATGCGAACTGGGAGGAGACGTCGCAGATGTTTTCCGCATTTATTTCGAAATACGATGAAGCTGCCTACGAATCAACTATGGTTCAGGTCACAAAAATGGCCAAAGGAGCGAAGGACATTTATGAAAACCACGAGGACCACGAGCTAAAATTGAGACAAGCAATCAATTCTGGCAATAATGAACTCGTCAAGCAAGAGATGAAGAATTACCTAGAGTGGGAACATGGACTGACCCTGAAGAAGACGAAGAAGGGCGCGCCTGTAAATTCACCTATATTCTGCGTTGCGCTATACGAAAGAGCACTATGCTCAACACCACTTGGCTCGGATGCAAGTGTCTGGGAGGACTACATTGTTTTTCTCTCGGACACCAAGGCCAATGTCCCTAACGCTCAGTTGCCAGCCGTCCTCCCTGTCATTCAACGAGCTACAAATCACTGCCCTTGGTCGGGATCACTTTGGGCGCGATATATTCTCTGTGCTGAGTCTGAAGGGCTTCCATTCTCTACGATGGAGCAAATCAAGCACGCTGCCACAAATACGCGCGAGCTGGACCGTGATGGCATGGCTAGTGTCGTGGATTTCTACATCGCGTGGAGCAGTTACCTAAAACGTCTAGCTATGGTCGCTGATGCAAGCGATGAAAATGTTGATGTCGCAGACATGGGACTACCTACCGCGTTGGAGGATGTTCAAACGTGGGGCAATAGACGACATGGCAAGGAGTGGAAGGGTGATCCAATGTTCCGTATCGAGCGACTCATCATTGAACATCTAACCCAGAAGAATCATGTTGAACAGGCGCGAGAATTTTGGAGGAATCTGATCAAGACTCACGATGGAAGTTATGAGTTCTGGGAACAATACTATCTGTGGGAGATGACGGTTCGACATCCAGCTGGTGGTCCAAAATTTGCTACCTCAGTTTTGTTCCAGGCAGTGAATAAGAGAGGTCTGGATTGGCCTGAAAAGATCATTGAAATATATGTTCGACACTGTCAATTGTACGAAGATGTCGATGTGCTTCTCAAAGCTATGAGTATTGTTCGCCGAGTCAGCAAAGGCGTCGCTAGAAGACGAGAGACGGAGGCAGCTGCACTTTACGCTCAACAACAGCAACAAATGGAAATCGACCAGGAAGTCCAACCAGAAGTGCCAATGGAGACTGCGACCGATTCCCCATCTAGTGCTACGAAAAGGAAACGAGAGTCGGAGGAAGTTGATGGTGCTGTCAACAAGAAGGTGAAGAGTGTAGACCAAGATGCCCTGCGGGAGCAGCATTTGAAACGAGACCGTGAGAATACCACCGTCCTAGTCACCAATTTACCCCCGGAAGTCGCTCAAACCAAAGTTAGGCAATATTTTAAGGAGTATGGACATATCAACAGTATTGCTGTGAAGTCCGAAACCGATAAGCTCTCTTCCTCCGCATTGATCGAATTCCGTACACCAGAAGAAGCACAGTCAGCTCTTCTACGAGACAACAAATACTTCGTCGACAAACAAATCCGAGTGATCCCTGGCACGGGCTTGACCCTGTTTGTCACGAATTTCCCACCCACAGCCGACGACGCCTATCTACACAAGCTCTTCAAAGATTGTGGCGAGATATTCAACATTCGCTGGCCAAGTCTTAAAGCAAACACTCATCGACGATTCTGTTATATCTCTTTCAAGACGCCAGAAGGGGCAGCAGCCGCGACGCAGCTCGATGGGCAGTCATTGGGGGGTGTTTACAAGTTGAGTGCGAAGTATTCAGATCCTGCTAACAAGAAAGACCGTGAAGGTGCTATGGCGGAAGGCCGCGAACTTCACATCACAGGCCTTGATTTCAGCATTACAGACGACCAAGTGAGAGAAGTATTCGGCAAGTACGGCAATGTGGTGAGAGTGAATATCTTGAAGAAGACGTCAGGAGAGAGCAAAGGTGCAGGCTTTGTTGCATTCGAGAAGAAAGAAGAGGCTACTGCAGCTCTTGAGCTGGATAAAACCAAGCTCAAGTCACGCATTCTCAACGTCGAAATGTCAGTGGGCAAGAATTTCAAGCCAACTGCAACAACGGTCGTTAAAGGTTCATCGGCTTCACCCGCACCAGATGGCGATTCAGCCATGTCACCATCTCCCGCTCCCGAAGGTCATCTCAACACGCATGCATTTCAAGGACCGTCGAAGACCGAGATCACGAATAGGACCATGACACTCATGAACATTCCTGACACAGTCAATGATGCTCGCATTCGCGCGATTGCTGAACCTTACGGCGAAATAGTCAAGCTCAGTTTACGACCAGATCACCAAGGGGCAATCATCGAGTATGCTGATGCGGCAGCAGCTGGTCGAGCAGCCTTGGCTCTAGAGAACCATGAGATTGCTCCTGGACGGAATCTTCGCACTGGAGGATTGAAAGACCTGTTTGCAGAGAAGGACGAGGTGAAGACAGATATGATTCAGACCGGACCAGGCAAGAAGGCTGGACCTGCTTTCATGCAACCCACCGCCCCTGTTAGACGACCTGGTCAAGGTGGTAAAAGTGGAGTTGGTCAAAAGAAAGGTCTTGGTTACTCCGTACCCAAGGCGGCACCATCGAGTGCTAGACCTTCGAACGATGGAGTCAATGATGCGAATGGAGAGAACAAGAAGCCGAAGAGCAACGCGGATTTCAAGGCCATGTTTCTCAAAGGAGGCACTGAATAGTCCTATGTATATTAGTACGAGGTTCGAGTCAAAGCATAATAATGAATTCGCTCTAGCAGACTCAAAGTTTGCCTCAAATCCTCTATCAACCCCGAATTCCCCACCGCCACCTCTTCCAGCGATATCAAATCTTGGTACAACATCCCCTTCCCGTGTGGCTGTGGCCGTTCTTTCTTATCCTAACCCCTGCCATTCCCGACGACGGCGTCATCATACAGGCGCCAATTCAGGGGTTCAAAAGCTGGCGGCTCCAATCACCGCTCGCTTTGCACCGCTTCACCTCAGCTTGAAACCCAGGAATGATTGGCCCTCACAAAACGATCAGCGACGACACAACACCACTCTGTTCTACACTCGGCAACATGCGCCGACCTCACGATTAATGAATCGATTTCATACATGGAAGATCAAGACCTGGAACCGGGGCAGCAACAGGTTTGGCGCTTGTGGTGGGGTGGGGCAGTTTGACAGCGGTTGAGGGAGGCTTGATTCATATATCTCTTTGATTGTTCCGCCTCCTGTGTGTTTGTGTTAATGTCTTCCTCACTCCTCATACAATAATAAAATCTTGCTTTTCAGAAAACCCCCCCCAACTACAAACTTTCTCAACTCATATCCACTATTTTGAATTCGGGAAACAAACTCAGCAATCATGCCTCGCTCCTCCACCCTCCCAATCTCACAACCGCACAGCCATTCCAACGGCAGCATAAAAACCATAGGCACGACCTCGATCCGGAAACCAGAGCGCTCGAAACCTTCACAAACCCATTCATTCCCTGTTCCTACACGACACTCCTCTTCTTCTCAACAGCCATATTACCTGCCTCCACCAGCCGAACGCTCAAGTTACCGGCCAAATGGTCCTAATCGCCAGAACTCGGTACAGACTAGATACATGTCCATGCTATTAGGACTTGATACCATTCCACGGCTACACAATATCTTAGCTTCATTCTTTACGTGGATATTGCTCGCTGGCTTCATCATTTTCGTAAATCCTCCCCTCTTTTCAACAGCTATCCTCAACAACTAACGTCTTTGTAGCCCGGAACATTCACCTCCCTCCAAACCAACCTCTCCACAAACCCCACCATCGACTCCTCCACCACGGCAACCGCCATCCTCCACTCCTTCAAACATCTCTCTTTGATAATCATCGGCAGCAGTAAGTAATTTTACCCTTATCTTCAATAGCATCCAACCTTCGAGCCCCTAAAATCATCATCGGGAATTGCTCATCAGCTCCCTCCTCGCTCCCCCATCCCCCTCAAACCCTATACTAACTGATCCCCAGTCTGCTGCGGCATCGGCGCCCTCGGCATGATCTGGCTCTGGCACGCGCATTCCAACAACTACGTCTGGCTCCTAAACCGGATCTTCCTCCCGGGCTGCCTGAACTCCTTCGCTGGTCTGATCAGCACGTTGATTAACGTGTACAGCCAGCAAGGCGGCGCGTGGAGCGTCACGGCGGAGGTGACGGCGATTGTGACGGGAGCCGCGATGGCGGTTACGGGGGTTTTGTTTGGGGTGTATAATTTCTGGGTGTTGGAACGGGTTAAGAAGAGTCATGGGAGGGAGATGGAGAGGGAGGGGTTGGGAGGTGGGCATGCGAAGGAGGGGTTGGTGGAGAAGATGGGGAGGAAGGCGCATGAGCCTGCGTTGGAGCCGGGGAGTGTTGTTTGATTTCCTTGCGTTGGTTTGGGGGTTTGGGTTTGAGCGTTATGAATTTATGAATGACTAGAATGTGTGGATAGACGACAATCATTTGTGTGTACCACAAATTGTTATTGCAGTGATTTATTCAATGCCCTATCTTGACTTCTATGCAAGTATAACTCCAAACACCATGTCCAAGCCTGAACTCCGACCATGCGCTACTTAATAGCTTACTCGAACTTCCCACCACCCAGTAGTCCTCCCACTGCTTTTGCTCGGACCTGAGCTCCTTTCACTAGCTTTTGCTCTCTTCTACCTTGTCTCTTCGCGACAGCTGCTCTCCTCTCGCTTTCTCTTGCGAAGTAATTGATTCCGCTTCCTTTTCCTCCACCTCTTCTCACACCCTCACTTCCTGTGCCTCCCGCCATTCGTTCCGTAGCCGACATTCCACCACTGGCGCCGGAACTGGTTGATGATGTGATGCTACTGTTCGTGGTAGCACGTCTCAACAAAGGCGGTACCTTGAATCCAGATGTGGCAGACGAGACTGTGAAGGCAAGTTTGGTGCTGTTGGATATTGTACTTGATGACTGTCGCTTCAGGGAGATGCGGTCGATAATAGAAACGTTTGTCCTTCGGAGAGCGAATGGATCTCGGTTCTCTTTCTCTTTCACCTTCCCAGAGCCCAGGTCGTTCTCATCCTCTATCTCCAAGGCATCGTCAGAGTCAGAGCCATAATCTGTAGGTGGAATCACAGCATTTGGCTCTTCAATGAGACTAGACAACGACTCTCTGATTTCGGAAAGATTCGTGGGCTTCTTTGCTGGTTTAGTTCTTCGGAGATGAGGTGGTGGCCTATTTTCAGCTTCTCCAGCATCGTCTGAGCGCTTTCGTTTTGGCGGCCCCATTTCAGTCGGCTGGCTGTCTGGCACAACTAGTTGTGAGCCCTCGGCTTGAGATTGTGACTGCGAATCGGTATTCTCCTCTTGCTCCGCAAAATCGTCTAAGAAGTCCATTTCGTCTTCACTGCCACGATCCTCGATAGCTCGCAGAAATGCTTGTCTCTTGGGGTTCTCGGCAATCTTGCCAATTCTCTCGTCAGCCAAAAGTGCTTTACGCATCTTGGCAAACTCCTTGCGCTTTCTTCTCTTCTTTGCTTCTCCTCCATCGTCGGAATCAGAGAGATCAAGGTCGGCTCCTCGTTTACGTCGGAGCATGCCATTAGTGATGTCTTTGAAAAGTTTCTCGACTTGCTTTTCATCATTCGCTCTCTCGCGGTCACTGCAGAGATATGTTAGATTTCGTCCGGAAGGTGATTTGTGAAACTTACGCATAGAACGCCGCCAACTTGCTCTCATCGGCATCCTTTCCAGCAGCATCGTCAATCATTTCTTTAACAAAGGCATCTTCTTCGCCTCCACTCTCATCATCGCTAGCACCACCCAAGCCAGCATACTCATCCTCAGATTCTTCAGCTTGATCGTGAACCATTTCCTTTGCTTTGCTTTGCTTCTTGTCAAACTCGTCAACCACGACCTTCTTCTTGGAAGCCTTGCGCATCACATCAAATGCATTCGCATCGAGACTGAATTCTTCCTCGTCAATATCCAATCCACCCGGCTCCCCAGCATCCTCTTCATCCGAAAATTCTGCTACTTGGGGAGCTCTTCGACGAAGTTTTCCTTTCTTCTTCACAATAGGAGTTTCTTCCAATGTCTCGGGGAGATCTGTCGGTTCAAGAATGACAGTTTCTACCGTCGAAGGCGGTACAGCATATCGTCCTTTAATTGGAGTTCTGTCCTGGAAGCCCATATCTTGAGTGGCATCGAACTGTGACATTTGAGTATCCTGTAGAGTGTCGAATCCTTGAATTTGTGATTGAGAAAAGTGCAAATCAATGGCTTGAGTTTGTGTTGGCTGTGATTCTGGTATGTGACTGGCTTGTGAAGGGCTGATGCCATCGACCTCCTGGGTATCTTCTGACATTGTCGGTATGAAAGGTGGTAGCTCGGGAGCCGCAAAACCTTTGAAGAAGGCCATTGAGTCCTGATTGGCGTTAAATTGAGGCGAAGTAGGTCTGGGAAGGTCTTGTGTCGAGTCATAAGAGTCCATTTGACTCTCATCCATGGTACCAGCAAAGATCTGTGTGAGGCCAAGACCAGCAGGTCCAGCTACTGTGAGTCCTGGAATGAAGGTCTTCGTAGCTGATCGAAGTACAGAATTTGGAGCCATGGGTGAGTCCGTCTTAGGAGGCAGAGGGAAGTCGAATTGAGTAAAGATGGAGGAGTTTTCCTCTTGCTCCTCATTCTCATCTTCATCATCAGAGATGATATTGAGCTTTCTTGTTCTGCGATTCGCAGGCAACTGCTCTTCTTCCTCCTCTTCATCAACAACATTAGTCTCTTCGTTCTCGGCCATCTCTTCGTCGGCAGATACATCAGCATCGGCTTCGTCGTCATCCGTATCTGATGCCTCGTTGTCGAACATCGGATTAGCAGCTGCAGTCTCTCTCTCCTCATCGTCAACCTCCATCGCGTCTTCATCTTCCTCATCAGCACCACTTTCCTCGCCAGCGTCCTCTCCCGATTCATTCTCGGCCTCGTCGTCTGAGCCAGACAGAGATAATTCTTCGTCCGGGACATTCTTGGTCTCCTCCCAATCCTCATCGTCACTGCTATCACCAAGAGGATCCACTTCGCCATTATCTTTGCGCTCCTTCTTAGCTGCAGCCTTTTCACGCTTGGCAAGCTCGTCTTGCTCACGTCTGGCAGCAGCGAGAATATCATCGACGTCGACCATTTCCTTCTCTCGTTCTTCGGCTGTCTGAATGATGATGCCTTTATCTCTTAATACCTGCAACCTCTCTTCTCGTTCTCGTGCTGCTTGCTGTCTTGCACGTTGGTGCAAGGTCATCTCTAGCTCTGTGGTGGTAATGGAGGGTTTCTTATTGCGTCCAGAACTCTGTTTCCCAGGCGATCCAAGGTGAGCAAGCATGAGCAAGGTATGGAGCGAGGCCGACTCTCTTGACTGCTTAGCTGGAACATTTTCGAACAAGGCATCAAGCTTCTTTTTGAGCTTGGGTGTCTTTGCAGCGACAATCTCAAGATCACTATCCGAATCATCCAACAGTGAGATTGTTCTGTCAGCAGCCTTTGGTGGTCGAATTCGAATTGGTCGTTGAGTAAACAAGGGCTTCTTTGGAACCTCAATCTCCTCGACAGGTTCTTCTGTTGCTTTTCCCTTTCCTTTGTCCAATCGCCGTGGAGGTGAGGAAGCTAAAGCTGCCTCTAACGACGGCATTTCAACGTCAACATCTTCGGCCACCTCAGGTAACGGTGTTTCGAATACATTTGTAGCTTCTTTCTCTGTAAGGCCAGGAGAAGCTGGTGAGGTTGGTGGTGTATCCTTGGTCTCCATATCTGAGTGAGGAGCTGCGGAACTTGAACTGGTGGGGCGCACAAGATCTTCCGCACCTTCCTCCTGCTTGCTACTTCTAAAATTGAACTTGGCAAATAAGCTGGCCTTGGTGATCTTCTTCTTAGTGACAGCTTGATGTGCCAATTGTTGGTTCCGAGCGAGACGCTGGGATTCTCGATTTATCTCCTCAATTGCTTTTTTGCTGGCCTTTCGTGTCGGTCGAGAGTGCTGTGTGAGTCGTCGTCCACCTTCAACATCACTATCGTCATCATCATCCTCCTGCAACATCTCTGTATATCTTTTGCGCTCTGCGGCTTTCTTGGCTTTTTCCTTTGCAGCTTCTGCATCTCGAGCTTCGCGTTCTTGTCTCTTCTTTACCACAAGAGCCATGAAACGATCATCCTGTACTGGATTCTCTGGCAGATCTTCCGAGTCTGATCCATCACGAGTAGGACTGGTGGATCCATGTTTCGAGGGCGAAACGAACAAGCCGGGCGACGAAGGGCCTTTCGCTGGGCTGGACTTGGGAGTCTCTCGACGACCTTGTCGAATCTTTCGTTTCCGTGGTACAACTGGAGCATCGTTCTCCTCATCCTCGTTGTCGTTCTCGGTGTTGGCATTTGGAGTAGGTGACTTGCTCTTAGCAAACAGTTTCCGTACTCTCTCACGCGCGTCTGCTGGCGCGATATCCTCCTCTGAACTATTTTGCTCGGCTTGCATTCGAGCTGCCATTCGCCCCTTTGGTCGTACAATCTCTTCATCCTCCGAGCTGGTCTCTGCACCTGCCGTAGCTTTTGCAGTTATATCCTCGAAGCTCTTGATAGCTTTGGTTGGCGTCAATGATTTCGAAGCAGACACCAAATTGCTTTCCGTAGCTCCAGAAATATTCTCCTCATCCGAATCATCTTCCAAGGAAGCCAACAAAGCTTTAACCTTAGAATTGGGTGTCAATTGAGCTGGAGAAGCCGAGCCAGCTTCACTCGGTACCAGCGAAGATTCTCGTGTGGAAGCCATTGTGACTTCGTAAAAAGTATGGATACTCGCAAGTCGATACAATATCCAATGGCAATATCAAAGAATCATATCGAAGAAATACTCATGGTTGTCGAAGTGTAAAGCTTCAAGAGGTTGGGGAAGTGGTTTCAATAGAACGCGTTATTTCGACGCGAAGCGCGTTTGTTTTAGAGCCCCACTTTTCCTTTTGCTGCATCCACCCCCACCTTCCTTCTCCCTACGCTAAGCGAGCGACGGGCAGGCTGACGACGTATCTCCGCTCAAGTGACCAAATCTTGTGAGACATTTGCAACCTTATGAAAGTCCCATTTGGGCATCCTCTGCTCCTTCATTCTTATACATATTCTTAATTCGAGATTGCATACAATAAGCAAATTGGATCCGGTCATAGCTTGCTTACGCATTTGCTTCGAACCATTCAGTACCTCAGGTCCGCCGCGGAACCTCGTCCCGTCCCGCTCACATCCTCTTGGCTCCCGCAGATATCAAAATGGCTTTCACTCAAATCCGACGCTTACACGCAAACAATGTTGCTGTCCTTCGAAGTTCTCCTCTGTCCGAGATCTCCGGATCATTAGGAGATTTAGGAACACTCCTTCCACTCATGATAGCTCTAGCAGTCAACAACTCAATATCTCTCTCCACAACCCTAGTCTTCTCGGGACTCTGGAATATCTTCACAGGAGTAGCTTTTGGCATACCATTACCAGTGCAACCCATGAAGGTAAGTGAGAGCAGGTCGAGCCTATAAGAAGTCACGTGTATTAACCTGTCAACCAGGCCGTTGCAGCGGTAGCCATAGCCCGTAAATTCACAATCGAAGAGACCATTTCAGCAGGCTTCACTACATCCGGCTTCGTCTTCATATTCAGCATAACCGGCCTCCTTCGCTGGTTCACCCACGTCATCCCAACTCCAGTAGTAAAAGGGATACAAGTAGGAGCCGGCCTCTCCCTCGTCCTCTCAGCCGGAATCTCACTCCTCCAGCCCCTAGGCTGGACGACCCCCAACCCATTCGACAACCTCCTCTGGGCCCTCTCGGCCTTCATCTTCCTCCTCCTCACCCAAAAACTGCCCAAGATCCCCTACGCCCTAATAATTTTCCTCCTCGGCCTCATCCTCTCCCTCGTCATCGCCGGCCCTCACTCATTACCCTCCTTCCGATTCTGGCATCCACGCACCTATCTCCCCACGTGGCCCGCCTTCCAATCCGGCGCCCTAAACGCAGGACTTGGCCAAATTCCCCTCACGACCTTAAACTCCATCATAGCCGTCTCCTACCTATCCTCTGATCTGCTGCCCCACCTCCCCACCCCGTCCGTAACACGCATCGGCATCTCCGTCGCGCTCATGAACCTCGTTGGCGGTTGGTTTGGCGCCATGCCCGTATGCCACGGCTCCGGCGGCCTCGCAGCACAATACCGCTTCGGCGCCCGCAGCGGCGCATCGATCATCATTCTCGGAGCCTTCAAAATCCTCTTAGGCTTATTCTTCGGAGAATCGCTGGTCTCGCTGCTAAAAGCGTACCCGAAAGGGCTCCTCGGCATCATGGTCCTCGCCGCTGGGCTGGAACTCGCGAAAGTGGGCGAGAGTCTGAATAACGGGGCAAGGGACCTGTGGGAGGTTTCCGAGGGCAACGGGAAGCGGCAGAGGGAGGTGGGGGAGGAGGAGCGGATGGAGCGGTGGACGGTGATGTTTATGACGATTGGCGGATTGCTGGCTTTCAAGAATGATGGGGTGGGGTTTTTGGCGGGCATGTTGAGTTGGGCGTTTTATCGGGGTGCGGATTTGCGGGGGTGGGTTAGAGGGGTGTGGGAGAGTTGGAGGGGGCAGAGGAACGAGACGGAGGAGTGGAGGGCGGTGAGGATGGATGGGAGTGGGAGGGGAAGTAGTAGGGATGGGGCTAGGAGGACGAGGCAGGCGACGACGGTAGAGGAGGAAGAGGCGCTTTTGTCTGAGAGTTAGGTTTGGACGGAGAATGAATAATGAATGAATGACAATGTTCCATCTGAAATCCCAGGTTGAACGAATGTGCCACAACGACATATTTTTTTGCTAGTCCATAGGACGGCAATGGAAATTATGTTGCATGTCACTCCAATGTCTGTCTAGCAGAGAGTAGATAGTGCGGCAATAGCTTCCAAATCTGGCTCGGACATTGAGAACTATCCAAAATGTCCTTCTCTTACTAGGCAGTGATTTTACTCTACTTATAATGCTCAAACTCACTATGGCCATTCCCAACATTGACACAAATTGGGTAAACATCGAATTAACAGGCATTTATTTCACTGCTCGCTTAGCGACTCAAAAAGGGGGCGACATCTGTATACTAGCAAACCCCGCAACAACCAATCTCCAAACTCATAATGCATGCAAATTTCTGTTGCCTGATCTCAACGCCTCAATTCAACCCTCCACCCACAACATCCTTAACGCACGGAATAACCCTCCAACACCACCCACACCAACTCCTCGCCAACCCCTCCTGCTCCCGAACCAAAAACTTCCCCGCATCCTTCTCAATCTCAAACTCCGGCACACAACAACCCACCTTCACCATCCTCACCAACTTCGTCTTCACCCTGCCCCCAATACCCTCGATCTCATGTCTCGCATACCCAGGCCCCATCTGGCTCGGCGTCCCATTCCTCACAATGCCACTACTCCGCGGACTCGACGACGGAGAGGCATTATTGCTATCCCTAGCATCTTCCGCGTCACAATCGACCTCTGACTCGACTTCCTTGGCCGCAACGCACTCTCGGCCTCGACCGCAGGGCACACCACGATTCCCTTCGCCGATGCCGACGCCGAGGCCGCCGAGCGAGGGCAGGTAGCGCGTTCGCCATTTCCAGATGCTTTCGTACTCGACGTCTGAGCTGCGGAGACTGCGGCCGCAGGGTTGGCAGAGCCAGACGCTGTCAGGACAGGTGCAGATTTCGCGGTTTAAGGTCTCTGCGCTTAGTGGTGTGGGGTCATGGGTCGAGGAAGTAGGGTGGACGAGTGAGGAGAGGGGTTTGCGGGAACAGGCCGTGCAGATTCGACGGTGGCGGTGGCGGAGGAGGATAGGTGCTGGAGGTTTGATTGTGCAGTTCTGGTCGTGTTAGTCTTGGTCTTGATGGAAAGATGAACTACTCACTCTGCAAACAACACGATTGCATCTCCTGCACTGTCCGACTAGATCACGAGCGCAGTCCCCGAATTTGCCGGCGCCGGTTCCCAAAGCTTCTCTGCCGCCCTCGACAAAGTACCAGTCTGCGGCGCGGGCTCGATACCTGAAAGTATGTTCTGGGTCTGGCTCGATGTCTTCGTTCTCGCAGTGGAGCGTGGAAATGATGAGTTGGTTGCGGAATTGGAGTAGGTTCGCGCGGACTTGGCGGCATGTGAGAGACAGGGCATCGATGGTGTTCAAGTCGATGTGGGAGGCAATTGAGGCGATGATTCTAATTAAGCATCATGTCAGCACTCTACTATTCGAATGGAAGACAGTGAGAGTAGGCAGAGCTATCTGCCTAGCTGGAAGGTATTGATATAGGTAAGATGAATGAAACGTACGGGTAGCATCCCATGGCCTGGGTGACCGCCTTCGTCTTATTGGGATTCTCCCTCCCGTCATCCTCCCCATCCTGCCCCCGCAGACTCAACCCTCTCAACAAAGCCGCATTGCCATGTTGCTGCTGCATAAACCAGTGATTCCTGACCTGTTCTGGCGGTTCATTCTCATCCTCAAGGTCCAGAAACACGACCATGATGGCTCGCGGAACAATTCGAACTCAACGCCAGAGAAGAAGAAGAAACTGGAAGAGAAAATAAACGAGAGGAGGAAATATAGCGGCCCATTGAAGCTGCTTTGCAGCGAGCGTAATTAATGGGAGTGAGTGAATATAAAAGAAAGAGGAGGAGAGAGTGAGAGAGCTGAGTTGTTGCACGCCCTAGCCATGCAATGGTATCGCGAGACCCCACTTTTGCGGGGTGCGCTTACTGGGGATTGGTTGGATGGTGGGGCTTGGTGAGAGGAGCATTCTTGTGGGCCATTAGGTGATAATTCCCTCATGATCATGGAAATAGACTCATTGTACTCGATTGTAAGGTATTGCAACTAATTTTGAGGATACTTTTGAGTAAGTTGCGGTGGGGAAATTCCCCACGCAGAGCCTAATAAGACCAAGACCCGCCTGTGCTCAGTCTTAGAACCATAACCACTAAAGTATATGACACTAAAATAAGCTTCTCCGTAACACCTTGCCTTGTGATCAAAGAATAGTTGTCGTCACTTTGATTTCCCAATTTCCATCAACTCTTTGCGATAGCTCGGTCTGATTTTCTTAGTAAATTCTCTAATGTCTTGCACGAGGACATCGGGATTTTCCCAGGAAGCAAAATGGCCTCCTTTCTCGTGCTCCTGCCAGTACACAAAGTTACTCGCAACATCAACTTCTGCCCACCAGCGTGGAATTATCATGACATCTACGACGTTGTTAGTCTGGTTCAACTCTGGTGTTTCTTTCTCTTTTCCTGCTCACCTTTCGGAAACACCGATGCTCCGAAATCAACCTTAGATGAGATAGGAGTAGACAGTGTTTCTTTCTGCGCTTCCATTTTCTTCCCTTTGGTATTCTTGTAGATTTGCGCATGTCCTGAATGGCCTGGGATGAGGTACATCTGCTAAGGTGAGTTTTAAGCTCTTTACTAGTTGGACGAACGATTCTTACCATGGCCCAGGTGATGGTGTCCTCCTCACTCCATTCAAAGCCGTCATCGATCAAGCATTCCATCTTATCTCTCAACCACGCAGCCATTGCTATTGGCGAGTCAATCAATCCATAGGATAGAGTCTGTGGCTTTGTGCCTTGGATCTCCAAATACCCTGTTGTAAAACATTAGCCAAATCCCAGCTCAAAACAATACTACCTACCAGATTCTTCACTCGTCCACCACTTAATCCTCCCCAAACCACTCGCATCTTTATTCGACGTATCCTGCCTCGCAGCCCAGAACATGAAGTAGGTGAACGTCAACGGATTCTTCCAAAAACTCGGCATACCAGCAAACAGCAAATTCACATGAATAGCCAAACAACTCTCGGGATACATCAGCCCAATATGCCGAGCCACGATAGACCCCCAATCGCCCCCTTGCGCCATATACTTCGTATACCCCAGCGCCAACATGAGTTTCTGATCTACCGCCGCCATGTTCTTAATACTAAACTCATTCCCCCTCGGACAGCTCGAGAACGTAAACCCCGGCAACGAAGGCGCAACAACATGATACGCCTGCTGCTCGTGATCCTTCGGCTCGGTCAAGAGATCAATAATCTTACTAACCTCCAGAAAGCTTCCGGGCCAGCCATGCTGGAACAGAAGCGGGATAGCATCTTCTCGCGACGAACGGTGGTGCACGAAGTGGATGGTGAGATCTTCGCCGCCTTCGCTAATGGGGAGGGTGAACATTTTCAGGTGCCCGTTAATCCGGGCTTCTACGGCTCGCCAGTCGTATTTTTTCTCCCAGTACTCGCGGATCTGTTCGACGACGGCGGGTGGGATGCCGTCGGACCAGGCTTCTGAGGCGGGGAGGGAGAGGCCTGGTGGGATGCGGGCTGTTGATACGCGTTGGTGGATGAAGGAGAGGAGGTCGTCTGAGACGGCGATTTTGAAGGGTGTTGGTTTCGACATTTTTGATTCTAGAATTCAATTGAGTGGAATTTGAGATTTATAATTGAGAAGAAAATATAAAATGAAGAGGTCAAAAGTCGAGCTTTAAGACATGCATGTCGTCCCTTACTGTGGGTACGAGTACTGTAAGACCCACAAGTCGTCGGAAACGATTGGTCGAATCAGCGATCAGAAAAGGGGCAGGGATATAACCTTATCCTTACCTATGTATGTCAGCACTTGTGCAGCCACATACTACGAACTTTCCAATTTATGATCGTTTTCCAGACTTTTATCGTATCTGACTCTTTATTGATCATACCTGCGCTGTGTTCAATCAATGGCTCGCGTTCGTATCGTTCCTGTGTCTCCAGAATCACGAAGCTCGAGCGAGGCCTTAGATTGGCGCTTCCCTCGTGACATCGAGTCTGAAATAGCTACCTTAGCCGCATGGCGGCATGTCAAGCAGCAGCAGAGGGAACCTCTTTCTTCTGACAAGCACGATGAAGATGACCTGAGTGAGGATGAGGATCAGGGAGGGCATGAGGGTGAGGATAACGAGTCTATCGACTCACTCGCTCCACTATCTTCGACGACCATGCCAGTTGGAAGAAAGGTTTTCTTGACAGACTTGCCGAGATACTTTGCTACTCAAAAGAGCCTTCTTTGATTACAAGCGCAGCCTTAATCTACAGTGATGGAGGGGCGACCATTGTGGCGACCCGCAACTCTTCTTTGAAGAACAATACTTGGTCAGATAAGGATATCAAGATGCTCGAGGGCTTGGCCGAGCTTCTCGAGCGAGTTTCGTCTAATGGTTTGTGTCTATTTCGGAAACTTGCCTGCCGAAGAAGTGACTTTTGGTACAGACAAATTTGAGGCTCACCTTCTGCCGGCACTGCAAAAGGCCTTAGTAATATACTATAGGCAAAGAATCCAACACCACGCCAAAGCAGTCATGTCTCTCGAAAAAGATACTGGAATCAAGTTCTTGGAAGAAGACAAGTGGAGTGCGGTTACTTCCGGACAATTTAATGTCGACGAGTTTGCTGAGCATGTCGAGTATTTATCCTATAGTACTGAGTTTTACAGCAGGTTAGAGACCAATCTGGAACCCAAAAAGCTTACTCGCGTCGTGGAAGAATTAGCCCATATCAGAAGGCCATGCAATATGCAATTGCTTTCTTGCGTGTCGCTCAGCAATGTTCTGGTTTTCGCAACGTCAAGATCGTCCTGCTAGAAAGTCTCCCGCCGAGGAAGGTCGATATATGGCAGTTGCCCGCGGGACAGTTCCCAGTCACACCAAAACAAGACTACAGATTCAAGGAGGAAGTCAAGAAGTCCAAGAACGTCCATGCTGAAATGATGTTGATGACTTATCTTCTTAGTTCTAGAGCCCCGGGCTCGGATGCTTTCCCATATCTTGGGATCAGCAAAAAGACCTGTCTTCTCTGTGGCCACATACTTCAGGAGATGGACTATTTCGAAACTCGGGGCAATCACGGGAAAGTCTATTCTCAATGGACGCTTCCATCTACACTACGAACTAGCATCGAAGTTGCTAATAATTTGGACAAGGCTGTTCAACGTTTGAGGGATATTCTTCTTACGAGGGACGATGTACCTTATAGGAGTGCAGAGAAAGAATCAGTGATGGCGGCTCCACTTCAGCCTAACTATGGAAAGACAGCCACACTATTCAATAGAGTGGTTCACGACCCTCGATTTCTAGCGAGGGAGGCAGAGTGGTTGTCTTTGCGTTTCAAGAAGGAAGCTGAGTATGTTGCCGAGTCTTCGCTATCAGCGCGTCGCAATGTATTTGCTACGCTAACATGAAGTAGAAACGCCTCTAGCAGTAACGAAGATTTAGTCCCCACCGATGCTCCATGGGACAATGCTAGCATGCCCATGATAAATACTGAATATCCTGAAGACGCGAAAGGCGAGAACGCTCATCCAACGGCTTGTGCTTTCTGCAATGACACTTGCAGACTTACACATTTTTGTGAAAAGTGTAGATTGACAGCCTACTGCGACCTTGATTGCTACCGTTCCGACTGGTATCGACACAAATTTTCCTGCAATTCGGGAAGGCCAATAGACGCTACAGACTACTTAGTGCTCGCTTGTCACTTGAACGAATTCCCTAAGGAAGATGATGTAGCCAAACAATATGGATTCATGTACTTTGCCTCTGGAAAAGACCGGTCGAGGCTCTTCAATCTCTACCACCGGCTCGTGATCGATTGGGGAATTGATGGAGACGAGTTGCGAAGTTCGGTAGAGGGAAACAACCTTAAGGAGATGCTCGTGTCTCGATGTTCTCAAGATCCCGTCATGCATACCGACATGCTGTGGTTAGAAAAAGAGGAAGGCTTTGGCGCTAATAGCGAAGGACCGGGACTCATCGTGCTCTTTGAAAAGGCTCGAGACGAGCTATTAAGTCCTAACGACAGAACATTGCCGCTCTTCGAACTTCAACCCCGGGAGAAGCGGGACGCTCTTATCTTTTACGCCCAGCTTCGTAATGGATTCAAGCCGGTTTTGGATGAAGACAACTGGATCTCTTTCGGCTTTTGTACGGCAGCGGACCCAGCATTAGAACAACAACTCGCTTCCGCATATGTACCACTTGTGGAGCAGTGCCCGTTTGACGATTTTTGGAAGGCCATGGTGGAGTCTAGGATCGTGGACATGTTCAGCAAGTATGGGCTTTCGGACCAAATCTCGCACATGCGCAATTTCAAGGACTTTATGGCAAGTGTGAAAGAATGTTACGCGAGCGTGTAGGAGCTTAAACGGTTTACACTCATGGACGCCTTGTCTGATCCCTTCCGAGCCGTCATGGTTGACTATGGGTTCACGAACTGCGACAACGTAGGACAGCGAATGCAACTTCAGGAGATGTACAAGGACTACTTCAGGCGAGGAGAGGACGAAATGAAACTTCACGAGGCATGCATTAATGGGAACTTGGCGACCTTCCTTACGTCGGTCTTCGGCAGCCTCGAAGTGTCCCCACATCTTCTTCGGAATCCTTATCCGTTAAAAAACTGCCCTCTAGCTGGCATGGTGGCAGAATATGTCATCGCATGCCCCGAGTCTGCACTGGACCAAATTAAGGCTCTGAAGGGTGATGACTGGCAAGACGCAATGATTTTCACCATTCCTGACTGTGAAGATGATCCTATGGTGAGACAGATTTACAACAGAGCTGCGTTCCTAGGGACGGGACTAGGCAAGCGTTCATATCCTGGAACCGATGGAAATATCATCGCCGAATTGACGATCGAGTAAAGATCTCTCGGTGACCGGACAGCTAGAAAATCAGGAGTAGTTGGAGAGTGGACTTCCCTCGCTTTTCTGCACTCCTCATTCCGAGAAGCATAACAGCAGAGAAAGTTTCGAGAGAGACAGAACATCATATCAGATTGACAGCGGTACCTAGCTTCAGAAAAACCAATAGTTCTCAGTACGTACAGAATTCCCACCTCCTTAGCCCCCACAAAGCATCGCAGCCTGCCTCCCCATCTCTCCACCACCAAGACCCCCCTCATCCCCCAAAACCTGAAACCCCATCACCATCCCACTTCCCGCATGCCACATCACATGACAATGCAACGCCCAAATGCCCTCATGATCCGCCAAGAACCGAATCACAACGTACCCCCACGGCGGCACATACACCGTATCCTTCCTCACCGGATTCATCGTATTGAACGCCCCGCCGCGCGGAGGTTTGCTTTCGAATGGGTTGTAGTAGTCCCAGCCTCCTTTGCCTTCGTATGAGGATATGAGGTGGAAATCGAAGCCGTGCTAAGGAGAATGTTAGTTGGGAAGTTTGGGGGAAAGAGGGGAGGGGAAGAGGTACCAAATGAAAAGGATGCCCCGAGTTATCGATGTTGTTTATTGTTAATTCGACCCAGACGGGCTCGGGACCAGTCCAGGGGATGAGTTGGTGTTCGTTCCAGGTTTCGCGCGGAGAAGCGAGAAGGGGGACGGCTTGGGGTTCCCAGGTGGTGTGGTTTATGAAGCCGTGGGGGCGGCTGCCAAGGCGGTTTAGGATCTCGATTGTGGTGTAGATCATGAAGAGCTTGTCGGGATCGGGTAATGGTGTGAAGAGTGGAGGACCTTTTGCTTCGCGGAGGTTGAATCGATGGGTTCCTGTTGTGTTGTTTGGGGGTTGGGGAGTTAGGGAGGCTGGGGAGACAAGGAAAGATTGCGTGGGTGTGAGGGCGAAGTTGGGTCGGAGGAAGTATCTGTTAGGGTTAGACTTCAATACACATACTAGACGTACAAATGTACTTACTCCTTGTCTAACTCAACGATAATCTTAGTATCAGTATCAACAACCGTCTCTGGCCACGACACAACCAAATCAACTCTTTCGGCAGGATACAACACTCCTACTGAGTTGACAAGTTCCGAGCTTTCCACTTGCCCACCACCATCGACTTGAATGACCTTCATTTCTACATCCGGTATGGTGAACGAGAAGCCGGTCAGAGAGCTGGAAGTACTTAGTAAGTCTGCCTATCATATGATTCGAATAGAACACTTACCCAACATTCACAAGTCGAACTCTATACCGAAGTACCTTATCCAGCAATATCCACGGCTTTTCAACCTCACTACAATCCACAGGAGAACCATGCGTAGCCATTCCACACTCAAAATAGCCGAGTCCATTAACGAGGAGAGAATCTGGACACGGCTATCCCACATAAAGTCAGTTCTCATGTTCTCCTGAGAGTGCTTAAGATCAAGGACGACAAACCTCTGTTCCCATACTCGTTCGATCCATGAAATTAGCCAAGACCTTGTCAGATGGCCAATGATACCAATCGCCCACCAAGAACAATAGTTCTTTGTCGTACTGATAAGAGACATTTTCTAGTGGCGTGGTATGGTTGTGGACTACTAGCCCTCCATACAGGCCATCTGCTCTTTGAAGTTCTGAATGCGCGTGATACCTGAACCAAGTTAGAGTTCAAAATACAAATTTAACTATCACAGTGACTTGCCAGAAAGTTCCCGCTTGCTCGTCGATCGGGACTCGGTAAGTGAAGGTTTGCCCATGCTGAATAGCACATTGCGTGATTCCAACAGGTCCATCCATATGGTTTGCGCCTGTCACCTGAGTCAGCCGCAATTCACTTATGAACGTATGATAAGTACCTCTCATATGTAAGCCATGCCAGTGAAGCGATATCCCCTCTTCCGCAAAGTTGAAGACCTCAATCTCAAGGACATCCCCAGACCGAGCCTCAATCGTAGGTCCCGGGAATTGACCTATTGATATCAGCATCTTCCTTTCCCCCAACTCGGTGAATAGGAATACCATTTATGAGAAACACATCCTTTTGAACACCATTCGGAGCTATTTTTCCTTTAGTGATATTCCACGAAAAATATTGAATAGTCGGATCACGCGACACATGATCTTCTGGACGAAGCAAGAGCCTGAGATCCCTCGTCGGCCCTACCACTGAGACAGTTTCAGGAGTAGTTGTCAAGTCTGGCGCCGGCGCTTTCGAAGCAGAAGTCCACGGAAGGTACAAGACAAACAATATCGTCACCGGTATCAACAGAAGCGTCGCTATAAAGACCAGAGAGCAAGATCTGGTTCTATGCTTGCGACTTTCTTCCTTCCAGCGCGGCGGTTCCAGTTCGCTCTCGTGTCCAAGGAGGGAGTTGGATGGAGATTCATCTGTTAGCGACATCGCAATAGAAGAGGATAATGGAAGCACGAGAGGTTCGAAATCGAATCCTGTTTCGGAATGAACTAGGTGCTGTTGGATTCTTGAATCATGTAGTTCGCTTCCATGCCGAAAGGGGGGACCACTTTAGCGAGCGACTATGAATCCCATCCCGTTCTGACCTTTACCAGTATCGCGTGCAAAAGTCGAAGATGATGTGATTGTAGAGCTCGTGTGGAACTATAGCAATAACTGCTACCATGCTATCGATTAGGGCAAATTGTTGAGCTCAAGCAAGCCTCCCGCGCAAGGTGACACCCCACTTACACACTCACAACTCAAACGGGCGTGGTACCGAGAACTCCATAATTCGTGCATCGGAGTGATATGCAACCTTTATACAAGATCCTGCACGTGTGACAGCCACCCCAAACAATTTGCTACTCATTCTTAAACCGCGATTTGAAGGTGGGGTATACGGATGCGTAGATCCGGGGTCGGATTTCTCACCTGCTTGCAAATACATAGCTCTTACTTGGACAATTTCCTTAAAAGCACACCCTATCGTAAAAAGTCCATTCATTGCAGAACCTTTAAATGTACATAAGAGGCACGTGTGACAATTGCCGCCGATAATTTGCTGCAAGACGTGCATCTAAAGAGGGGATGATCCTTCGTCCGATGCTGTGTGATAGCGTCGTCGTTGCTGACAGGGCCATTAAGCGAGTATTCAGGGGCACGCAGAGGGAGCCGAACAAGCTTTTCGGCGGGGGACCCTGTGCCTTGCAGGACTGTGAGATGCGAGGAGCTTGGAGAGCCGGTGCAATGTGGCTGCTTTAGGCACGTGTACCGAGGATTGGCGGCTTGCGGGATTGAGGAACGTTACCTTATATCGTGTACTCTGTTTAGGCTGCTTTTCTGGAAGAGGTGTAGAATGCAAAAAGGGAGTTGAGGGGACGCAGGAGTGGGGTGAGGTTGGAGGAGCGAAGCGCCACATGTTGAGATTCGGGCGATCTAGTGGCTGTAGTTGGTATATCCAAGATGATCGTATCTGAGAAGAATGGAAAGGATACGATATTCGAGGTCAAATTGTTAGAATCAGTCTGTTCAAGGTGAAAATCAGAAAAGCTTTCTCGTTATACTTTGCATGTGCCTATCTTGAGCTCTCTACTCTTTCTTTACAAGTGAAAGTATACTATAATCATTCAATTTTGAGGTACCATCTGAAGTTCGTGCTTCCTACCTTCCAGAAGCAATGCAGAAGGCGACTTGCAGACATAGTGGGGTAAACATCAATAGACCGTATGCAAGACACAAGGTTCGGCTTGCCGCATGCAGCCCACATAGCCCATCAGAGATATCTCTCGTCTTCTCGAAGCTCATCCGAATTCCGTTCCTAGGGCTCATCAATAACAAGCACGTGGAGTACCTTGGTGAATATCCTCGTTATTCCTTCCGATTGAATAATCTCGTCCACGTGTGCAACCTACATAACAGCCAACAATCATCTTTCTTTATTCGGACTCGACTCCTGCTTGCTGGGACATACATAAAGAGATCATCCTTGGTGTTAATCTTTTTTTGCACATACCAAGATTTACAGTGTCGCGCAGTGCCAAGCATAGTCCCTAGAAACTCTGTTTGGAAACTTCAGGTTCACTCTCGATGATGGCGAGATACGCTCCGTTATTGCTGGCGCTTGCCACTGCCGTGAACGGTGTTGGGCTTGGAGACGTTAATCATGTCGTTATGCTCATGATGGAGAATCGATCGTTTCAACACGTGAGCACAAAGTTCCTCTACCAACCACACCTCAAACTCTGACTATGATAGTACTTTGGTACACTGGCCGGTGTTCGAGGTTTCGCAGACCCCAATGTCCAAATCAACCCCGATGGTCGCTCTGTCTGGTACCAGTAAGTCCAACATCCCTGTCTCACCACTCCTCTCACTAACAAAATGCCCAGGAACCTCAGCGGAGTAACAACCGAAGCAGAATGGCTCCTCCCATATTGGCTCAACTACCAAGGCGGCGAGGAGAACTTCAACAAAAGCATGTGTCTCTGTGCCGGAGCAAACAACTGGATTCCCACCCAACAAGCCATGAACGGCGGATTGATGAACGCGTGGGCACAAATCGATACTCCTCAGGCTTGGGGATACTTTAAACGACAAGACCTCCCGTATCATTATGCTCTTGCTGATGCATATACTGTTGGAGATGCGTATCATGTTTGTGATTCCGTTGTTGGTGTGGGGTAGAAGTGACTGATAACGTGCACTGGCAGGCTGCGATTACTTCGAATACCGATCCGAATAGATGGTTTTGGCAGGTTCGTACTTCCGATTCCCATGTTGTGCTAAATTACCATTATCGACCAGGTCTTAACCATTTCGAAGTATCTATAGTAATGCTTACCTCTGCATATAGTCCGGAACAATCAACGTCCCAGGAGGTAAACAACCCCTCGGTTCCGGCGGTGTAATCCTCGACGACAACCAAGCCAACGGTAAGCTACCTCTTCCACCCTCAATCTCACCCAAAACTAAACCCACCAGGCTGCGTAGCAACAAACGTAGACTGCCTCCCGCTCCACTGGCCCGCCTACGCGCAATACCTTGACGAAGCAGGCGTCGACTGGCGCTCCTTCCAAAACTCGTACAACTGGGCTACCAACAGCGGTCTCTTCTATTTCGCCGCTTTCCAAGAAGCGTCTGTGAATTCTAGCTTGTATCAACGAGGCCTGGCTTTTGATGGCGATAATGCGTTGGATGCTTTTAAGGCTGCGGCTGCGAATGGGACATTGCCTACTGTTTCTTGGGTGTTTCCTCCTGGAGCGTTGCAGGAGCATCCGCCGAATACTCCGAAGGATGCTTCGTGGTTTATTAATCAGGTTGTGGGTGCGGCTATTAATGGGGCGAATTATAAGGAGACTGTTGTTTTGGTTAATTATGATGGTAAGTCGGACCTCATTATTGTCTGGAGAATGTGATGTCTGACTGTTTTGATAGAGGCTGGTGGATGGGGTGATGCTGTTTACCCTTTGGTTTCTCCAGAAGGAACCGCGGGCGAATGGTTCGAGGATCCATATGGAGAATTGGGTTATACATTCTCTGGTCCTGGTAAGTCCTCGAATCATGTTGACAAGTAAAAGCTAAGAACGTACCTAGGAATCCGTGTCCCTCTGTTCATCATCTCTCCATTTACGCGTGGTGGCAAGGTCTTCACGGAGCGTGCTGATCACTCTTCGATTCTTCAATTCCTCGGTGAGTTCCAGACATCGAAGTAGAGATCCCAAACTAATTCAAGGTATCAGAACAATTCCTTACTGCAAAGGGATACCACAACATTACCACTGAGCAGATGTCGGACTGGAGACGAGAACACATGTCTGACCTCGTCAACGCCTTTGACTTCGAAAACGTATGTCATGATTCTCCTGGCCTGAAGAACGAAAATCTAACACGAAGATTTAGCCAGACTACAGCATCCCAGACCTACCACAGCCCGACTACCCCATCACCAACTCAGAAGGTGAAATCATCGGCATGTACTCCGGCTTCTGCGACGTAGAATGGACCGGCAGCTGTTCCGGCAGCGAATACGTAACCGGGATCCCCTACGGCAACCAAACCGAGGAGAACTCCCTCGTCTACGAGAACGGCTTCCGAGGCGTGCGAGGATACCTCGCCGAAGGCCACTACCTCGTCTTCGAATCCAACGGCTACGCACTTTCCAACCCAAACACTACCGCGAAACAATTCTCAACGAGTGCTACGACAGCTACTCATGATGCTATTGCGCAGCGTTGGGTGCTGCATCCTACGACTGTGGAGGGCTCGACTTTCAATATTACGAGTGCGCTTGATGGATCGTACATCTCGCAACATTCGAGCTTGTCTGTGTCTGTTACTGGTGCGGAGGTTTACAATATTACTTATATTGGAAGTAGCCAGTACATTGTGCAGAAGGAGAATGGGGATTTTTTGAATATCCAGGCTGGAGGAGCTCTTTCTTTTGATACGACGCCTGTTCCGTACAGCGTTTATAGTGTTACTTACAACTATTGATGGGTTGTGTTGGGAGAAAAGCAAGGAGTTGAGCAGCAAGCTGTGAATGGGGTAGAGATGACCTTCCTGGGTCTTTTTTAGACCACTTCGAAGTTTTGGCTCCCGAACTAGTAAGCACGAAAGCTAATTGATAATGCTTTGCTCTTGGATGGGTGGAGATCCTCAAGTTTGGAGTGAAGCAATTGCGTAGACGTGCCACATGGTTCGAAGCCTCTGTTCGTTTGATAGGATGTTGGAGAATGCAATCAAGAAGAACGATTTAGGAAGAACTTTGAATAAGATCATACAGCAAAAAAGACCAAATATAAAAAATTACAGCAAGGTGCAATAATAGAAAAACTTGGAAGTTGTCCATCTGGATTTCCACGTGATCTACACCCTTCAATCCTCACCTAGGCAACCTGGAGGTCTTTTAAAGTTTGAACAGGCCCAAGGATTAAGTCTGCACTAGCTTGACGAAATCTTGTTAATAAATCTATACAGTTCATCTTGATAAGACAGTCACTACAATCAGGATGAACTCAAGGAGAGCAAACGGAAGAAACGGGTGAAGTAGCAAGCCACTCCATAACGAGACTAGCTTAGCCTCACGTGGCGTTCCTTATCTGATACCCCTCATTTAGCGAAGCAGGCTGACACTCTTCTTGGCTCCACGACAGACATCGTCATGAACTATTTCTGACTCGCGATGAACGGGGACCAAACTGCGAGAACAGGACACGCACCATGACTGGTTTCATGTTCGAAGATTATTTCTATTCATTCTTTTAACATTTCCCTCTGGTCAGAGTAAACTTTTTTCTTTCTGTTCGACGAGGACCCCGGCAAACCCCCCACGTTTAAGCAATACAATACCAAGAAAGTATCAAGATATAAAGTATCAGAATCCAACAAAATCCCCCTTCTACAATCATGGGATCTCTCTGCTGGATTGGTCCTCGTCCCGCAACCGAGTCCTTCGAATTTGATCCATTAGGTGACGTCCTCCTGAAGCTTACCCGACGCTTCGAAAAGGACGATTTCGTCGAGTCCGACTCGGAGACCTCGAGCATCGCAGACGAAGAGGAAGAAGACCCGGACACATTTCCCGGCAGCGATAATGTATCCGCACACGACGAGGATCCCACGATAGATGTCGACAGACTGACAATCTCTGACGGAGGAGAACCTGAGATTCTTCACTTGAAGCAACCAGTGCATATGCGAGTCTCTTCCCGACATCTCATGCTCGCTTCCCCGGTATTCGCTGTCATGCTAGACAGGTACAAGTTCAAGGAAGGCACAACTCTACATGCTGAAGGCAGCGTCGACATCGAACTCCCAGACGACGACCCCGATGCCTGGGAGGTCCTGCTCAACGTCATCCACGGCCGCACCAGAAAAGTTCCACGAAAAGTCGGCTTACTCCTCCTCACCCAGATCGCGATCCTCGTCAACAAATACGAAATGCTAGACGTAGTCGAGATATTCTCCGACACCTGGATCCGCAGATGCCTGAAGAAAGGCCTACCAGAACAATACGAACGCTGCGAAGACGTCGTCATGTCCTGGCTCTTCATCGCCTGGGTCTTCGAGAAACCCAAGATCTTCAAGCCTATCACCAGAACCATGATCCACTGCGCCCCGAATGTCTTCCACCACGACCTCGATCTCGACCCTCCTATCCCCAACACTCTTCTCGGTACCCCCTCCCTCCTTCCACTCCTCACCATTTCGTTTTTTATTTTTTCCCAAGCTAACGAATATCTCACCAAACAGACGTCCTCCAAGAACGCCGCCTCGAAGCAATCGACAGCCTCCTCACAATCATCACCACCCTAACAACAACCTACACCCTCCCCACCCCCCAATGCAACCCCAGCGCACCCGACACTCTTTCCGACCCCGTCGAGCTCTCCTTCAGCTACGCCTGCGACTCGATGCTGCTCGGCTCGCTAATCAAATCCTCCGCCAAACTCGGCATCTTCCCGATCCCCGACCGCCCCTTTGCCGGCATCGCGTTCGATCGGCTGGCGGAGGGGATCCGGGATATGGATCTGAAGAGCAAGTGTGATGGGAACCTGAAGGGGTATGTGGTGCGGCATGCGTGTCACGGGGTGCGGGCGCGGATGGTGGACGAGGTGCGGTTTCTGGAGACGGGGATTTGTGGGTTGGATTTGAGGGATTTTAAGAAATTGGGGTCTGGATGAAGAATTTGGTCGAGAACATGTCTCACCTATTTAAACACGGCTATTTTGGTGGGGCCAGGTTTGAGATGCCAGCTTGGAGAACCGTTTCATATGTCCCTCAGCACAAAATACAAAGTGCAGAGAGGAACTCAAGGGTCGAGTACTAAGCAAGCTGGCCAGACACCAGAGAGTTGGGGCAATTCCACCATGGACCTGAAGCTTCTACGGAAGGGGTATATTTGTGGCGTTCCCAAACGCCAGGGACTCAGATCTACGCTTCGCTCTTCCATTGCGATGTTGATTCATGAACATTTTTTTATTTACTGCATGGAGTTAAAGCATGGTGTCCTTGGGTCGGTTAGCATCTTCGGTCAAACATTTCTCAGTAGCAGTATAGCACTAAGCAACATATAGTAATTCGCATCTCATCACATCAAACGCAAGCAAGCAACGATTGAAGTGATTACGTATTCACATTAGACCTATGTATGTATGTATATATGTACTCATCCGTCCATCTATCTATCAACCATCATCAATTCATAAAGTGACCAGTTCCCGCCGATCTAAAAACCAGCCTCAATCCCCCAACCCCCAAAAAACGCCAACCCTCTAATCCAGCCCCAAACACCCTTTACCCAACCATTTAATCTCAGCACAACATCTACCAAGTAAACATCATCAACGCCGGATTCAACGCCACCGGCAAAAAGAAATGACTAACGACCACCGTACACAACGGATAAATGGCCACGAAATCCGTGATCCGCCACTCCCACGGCAGCACCGTCGCGCCCACAATCATGATCGCCGCACTGGCGATACAGAAGACGAAGGTGAACTTGAAGCGTTTGAGCAGACGCGGGACTTCTTCGAAGAACGTTACGTTTTCGACTTCCTTGGCGGTGGCGCCCCAGGTCATGTCGATTTCGAAGAAGTGGCAGAGTAGGGCTTGAGAGACGTGCAGGGAGATGCCGCCCAGGAAGACGGTGAGGAGGAGGAGCCATTTGAAGTTTTCCCATACTAGAGAGGGGGGTTAGATTGGGTTGGGTGGGGGAAGGGGAGCGTGGACTTACGGGCTCCGAAGAGGGAGGCTTGGGAGAGGCGGTAGCGGAGGACGGCGAGGGAGATGTTGCCTAGGGCGCTGAAGACGATGACGAGCGAGAAGTAGACTTTGAAAGAGTCGAGGTAGTAGTGGTCAAGGTAGCCGTTGAACCAGCCGATTAGGAAGTAGTTTAGCAGGGTAAGAATCCATGCTGCACCGATGGCGTAGTAGGTTCCGATGTAGGCGAGGATGGTGAGCTTAGATGTGAAGCGGATGTTTGATGTGAGGAATTTTCGGAAGAGAGGGGTGAAAGGCCCGCGTGTTACCCAGAAACGGAACGGGTGGAAGAGGAGTTCGTTGCAGCCGTAAGCGTACTTTTCCCATCTGTTTAATTCGTCGTAGACGGTGAGGGAGACTCCTTCTTTGAAGCCATCACCGGTGTATGAACCAAGACGGATGATGTATCCTGCTACTTGCAATCGCAGGGACATATCGAAGTCTTCAGAAACGTGAGACTCGGACCAGAATTTCTCGTAGCCATCTTCATCGTCATAAGAAACCTGCTGCAGAGCCGACCATCGCAGAATAGCATTGTGGCCCACGAACGGAGACACGTCACCATTTGCGACTGTGTAGCAGATAGCCGTGTAAATGAGGTTGGTGAAGAAGGTGATACTGCCAACGGTTAGATGTTGTGCCAAGCAACGTCGTTCGATGTACTTACCCGTTCTCGAAAAAACTGTCGGTCACCTGCATGACACCAGAGGAGTATTGCAGGATGCCGACTTCAGGAGACTGCTCCATCTCGCTTGCCGCGTCCAATAAGCAGTCGACTGGTACTCGAGTATCCGAATCGATTAGCAAGATGTAGTCTCCCACACGGATGTTACCTTCTGCCCAAGCACGGCCTTCCTCTTCGGTCAAGACTGCTGCCAAGCATTGATCGTAAGCAGCATACTCGTCTTCCTGTGTCCATTTGTCATGGCGCTGGACCGACAAGAGCTTGTCTTCAACCTTGTTACTGACCATCAGAGCGTAGTTCATGTTGGAAGCCTTCTTGAACTTTCCACGACGCAAGAACACATTCTCTCCATCAGCTGGCTTAGGGTTGTGCTTCGGTCTCGCTACCCATCCGATGTTGTGCTCCTCATAAAAGTCTCGGCGAGCCTGGGCCTCATCTTCTGGAACCAATTGCATACCATCGTCATTAACGAAGATGTTTGCGGAACCTCCTTGTAATTCATAGGTAGAAATAGCAGCTTTTAGCGAGATAATGGTTGGCTGGATGACCGCATTCAAACCTTCCTTGTAGACTGGCATTTGAATCGTGACGTGTGGGAGAAATCCATTGCGATTGAGACGTTTAGGAGCCTTTCCAGAGTAGAATTTCGAGTTTAAGTTCAATTGACTGATAGGCCCGAAAATCTGGGCGATGTTGACAACAATGATCTGCATGAAGAATAGCGACACGAAGATCTGGCAAGGCGTAACGGCAAGTAGCGCGAGACGGATAAACTTCCCGTCGATAGCAACTTCTTGTGCGAGTTTCCCCCATCCAAGCCCTAGCGCAGCAATCAACAACGTCAATGTCAAACCAACAATGATGGGGTTGATCAACAATGTAGGTCGTTTCTCAGCAATGAGAGCGTCCTCCAAGTCTCTCGGAGAGATTGTACCATCTGGCAACTCGACCACTGAGACATTGGCGCTCTTCTTTTCGTCCACTGGTTCGAGCGAGTCTGAATCTCCCCAGATCATGTGCATAAGCGAAGTCTCGATTTGCGTGGCACGTCGAAGCAAGTTTTGCGGCTCGTCATCCCACACGACAAGGATACTCTGATCTCGGATGAATGCACCGAAATGATGCTTTTGGCAATTGTATAGGTGCGCAAGAGAAGGTAGGACTTGTAATCGCAGGCCATCACTGAGAGGGACATAATCAGCCGCATGTTTGCTCAAGAATATCCGGATGAAGCGTGTGTTGACTGTCATGGCACACTAGAGAGTTGAAGTCAGCACCGTTTTCTGTAGATGACTTGAGGATCATGACTTACTCGGACGTTCATTGCAATAACTTGTTCGAAGAACACATTGTTCCTCAGACCCGCAGGAGAACATGCGAATTCGCCTTTTGCCTTCTTCAAAATCACTCCCTCACTATTATTTTCCATAGCCCATAGCTTTTCCAACTGTTGCTGATGCAGCCAGTTAACCATAACATCGGATTTGATATCGAGGATACTTTCTCTTGGAGCATTTCGGAAGTCGCCAGATGGGTATATGGATGCTGGCCGGGAGGAGAAACGACTGCCAGCAGGCGTTTGGAAGGTAGGTGAGCCTTGAGGCGGAGTGACATTAAGTTCAATGGGGGCTGTGAGTGAAGTCTTGTTTTCTTCGACGGCAGCGGTCTTTGAGCCTTTCTTTCCCTTCTTGGCTCCTGGCTGGAGGTAGCCTTTGAGGACATTCATCTTGACGTGACCTTTCAGCAACCAGACACAGAAGGCTGTGTAGTTTTGTGGAGGAAGGAGCGAACGAAAGTGTATCAAAGTACAGAACGAGTGAAGGTGTGTGTGGAAGGTGAACCTTTGCTTAACGAATGGAAGAGTACATAGATATGGGGGACAAGAGAGAGGAAGTACCCAAAACTGTTGTCGACAGAAAAGAGGTAGTAGCTTGGCGTCCGCAGTGGGGGTACTTCTCGAAGCCGGCCACACACTTGTTTGAAAAAGTGCTCCCAAGTATCAGGAACATGGAAGCCAAGAATGCTCGAACCCAAACACTAGATAGGCAAGCTTTTCATGCATGGCCGAGTCACCGCGGCTGGAATCAGTGATGTGTGGCTCCCCTGCGAAGCTGAATCGGTGAGGACAGTAGCACACAGCGGCCAAAGGGTAGGCAGTTACCGTCATCAACAGACTTGGATGCATACGGTGAAGAAGCTCTGCGGGCTCGGAAGACGGGATACGGAGGGGACTTGGGACGGGGCCCAAGATGAAGGTCTGCTCCGTTCTGCCAGCCAGCGCTTTCGGTATCAGGTTTAGGCAAGAGGGACCAACCATTTCGTCCACACTGGGATACTTTCAGTCTGCTGGACTAAGAATGTGCTACGTCTTGCGTCCGAGCCTACCATAGGTACTAAGAAAGAGCTTTCCTTGCCATATCCATCCGCTCTTCCGCAAGAGGGCTGTTTTGGACAGAGTCTGCCTGTTTCTCTGGTGTGGTAAGCCAGGAGATACCGAAGAGCATCTGAGAGCATGGGGCTCAACATGGTAAGAAACAAGGCCCCTTGTCAAAGAGCCGGACGAACCATGACGTTTGGAGCAGGCTGCAGCTGCTGCGCCAGTACATAAATTGCTTGCAGCAGCATACCTAGTAAGACTCCCGTTCTGGGTACTGTACCTGGTTCTAGCAAGGGTCGAGTGCATACGGCGACGTCGACTAGATGTGCGTGAGACCCGTTGCTTTCAAGGTCTGATGGTTGCTCAACATACTTCTCATGCAGGTGAGTAGACCTCCTCAATGAAGCTATTGAAACTCTGTCCGTCCACACTAGCTGCGTCGTCCTCCAGACAGCGTTCTAGAAAGATACGATGTCTGCTGTGTACACTCGAGGTTTGTGGAAGAAGTTGCCGGCAATTCAGAGCGATGATCGACATGTTTCTTGTACCTGATGGGGAATCTGAGCGAACAGGGGTGATTCAGGAACAGCGTAGCATCCCGTTAGCGCATTCGGCGCTTTCGGAACGAACACTTTATTTCGACGAGCTTCTCTACTGTAGGTACTCTACTAACATAGCGTGAGGCGTATCTACCGATTCCGAAGTGAGAAATTTCTGTATTTTCTCCATACGATTAATAAAATCCCTTCTCCGTTCTGTCGATTATTCTCCGGAAAACGCTCGAAGATTTGAGTTACTTGATCTGAGTGATGTTTCCGCACAATCCGGATCCGATCTGATACAGTACTTCGATTGGGCCTCTCTTCTCAGATGGACGGTACGGGTACAGCCAGCCGCACTGCGGTCTGTGCTGCAGCAGGAACGGGGGCACAACCTGGTCATGAGGAGAGCGCTTGTGCGGAAATATATTCGTCGATTGCGAGTGCGAGAAGGACGCGGCAGCGGCGTACGTGTTCCTGACGCCAAGACGCTTCGTTTGCGCTCACGCAGACGCCCACAGCGGGTGGTGAGGCTGAAAGGCTGAGGGGTGGGAGAGACTGTCATCCGTCTGGTATGTAACGGTTATATTTGGATCAGCATATGCAAGCCAAGGTTGCACAACAGCAAGTATTGGGAAGCTCTCTCCCCAATCCCATGCTTGCAGTATGATCTTCAATACTTGATATGTCCTATCTGTAATATCAGGTTTCCAATATGATGGCGATACTTGATGAGTGGCTACCGAGAATCGACAATTCGAGATCGTATTCGAATGGTGTTTTGCCTGCCTCTTCTCTAGCCTTGCAGTAGCTGGGCGGAAATTTGTTCGCGCCATAGAGGACCGTAGTTTGCCGCTTTCCCTATCTTGGGCATTCTCAACGAAACCTTTTGAGATTTCGGGACCTAGTATATTCGGGCGATTTGAAGTAGACTGGATATGGTATAGAAAGGGACTTGTGTCGGCCAAATGGGGAAGCCAACAACGGGGGATTTCCTGTTTCTGTTCGATTACTGATACATGGCTGCAATGCACGACTTCCACGATGTGTCTGAGCCGTTTGCGGGTTCTGTATATCTCACTCTAAGAAACTTGTCGAGATACACGACAGCATCAGAATGTCTCTCTACGCCCTCCGGTGGTTTCACGGGACGGGACACGCCATGAGGTTGCTGGAGCGTTAAGACCCACCTGGCGTTTCTCGCCTTCATAATTGTGCATTAAGTTATTGGGAGGCAATGAGTCGTCGAGCCTGCGGTTGGTTGAGAAAAGCTGGAATGTAGAAGTTTGGGTGCAGAATATCCAGGAAGTATTTTCCGTGTATCAGCGATTGGACTCGGCAGTGCGGGCCGTGTCCTATTCTGGTTATCGGGTGCTTGCGGTGCGGCGATGAGATAAGAAGTCGTCGCCAGCTCCCGAGTGAACGAATTAATTAATTGAAGTTGGGACGTCTACAGTAGTCTCTCGCAATTATCGATTGCAGGCACGTCTGCAATAGCAAGGATCATATCAACCCTAATCCACCCCAAGCCCGGATGTGGCTTGAATCCAGGGGTTAAACGAGTTGAACAAAACAAAAGGCCGCTCTGGATTTGGAAGCAGGCTGCGAGTAAGAAGAGCATTTTGACGAGGTGGCTTGCCAAGGTATACATTTTTGGTGTATCTCGTATTATTACTTATCGTATTCACCTAGCACATGCAAACTCTGTCAGATGAAACCATGCCATCTGTACGCCGTACGCGTCTTTGGCGTTGTCTGAACCCCATCTGTGCATTGTTTCCACGAGTAAGTTCATCCTGAAACCTGGAACCGTTGTCAAAGCTGTCATGTTGCACATCTCTGTATATTGTAATTGTGATTGTCGCTGTCACCCTCAGCACTGGGACATCGGCTTCCCAAGTCTTTGGTTGTGATCCTTGCTCGAGATAGACGGGTAGAATTTGTCAGGACTGACGTGCTCGTGGAAGACTAGGATTCGGCATTCAACATTTTGAGCGATTATTCGAAGAGCGACGATTTTTTCCTTCAAGAACTCGCTCGAGCGTCTATCGATTGGCGTTCTTGGCGAAAGGAAAACACTCCTAGGAAGGTCGGCTTTTTCGAAAGTTCCTGGATCGTAGACGGCGTGCGGGTAGCGCTGAGCTAGGATCGTGATCTAATGAAGCCAACTCTCTCAAAAGGCTCTTGATAATGTCTGCAGCACATGCCAAGATCCGATTTCGATCTAATCCGCAGAATAAGATGCAAAGCGTGCATTGGTTGCTTTGGCAGCAAGTTTCGTGAAGCGGCTGCATTCAGCCTGCACACGTGAAGTGTTGTTGAGAATTCGACCTAATAAACCAGGGGATGCACCCAACTGTTTCCAATGCAGCAGGCAGCATACAGGCCATGGGAATGTGTATGGGATTGCCAATCGTGCTTCCGCTTCAGCATCCTGCTCGAACGCTGAACCATGCAGCTGCGCCTCGACCTCGCCACGTCGTATATGCAATTGGCCGCTCTGCCGCATTCGAAGTATAAAAAGATCAAAAGCAAGAAAGAGTATTAATGTGCAGTAGTGCAACTTGCGATCCAGATCGTAAACATCTCGCACGTCTGAAAGATGACGGGAGTGTGTTCCCAGAGTGCATCCAAGTTTCGTTGGCGAGAACAAGAGAAACTAACAATTGTTCTATTGATTGTGAAGAACAGGAAGGGAACGACTCCAGCCTCCTCTATCCCGAACAGCCCCAAGATCCCAACTCGGAAAAGAAAAAAACCGGACGAAAAATCGGACCTTCTCATTTTGGGCATTGCAAAAGGTACAAGTTTAGTGCCGGTCGAGAGAGGAAGCCGACCAGGGCACTAGTCCTCGGGGCCGACAAAATCAGTAGGTGGAGTAGCCTCAACCAGTCCACCCCTCCGGACTCATCCACCAAAATTTCTAGATCTCGGCCTTCATTCATTAACACCACTGATAGGATCGTCGACATGGAAACATCCATTTTGGTACCGAGGAGTTCAAGCTTTTTCTTCGAGATCCCACTCAGCTAGGTTCGCAGTACCGAGGAAGAGGAACCGCCGCATTATTTGCAGACCATCGAGATCTGGAACTGATCTGCCATATGAACACACCCTAGAAATCACCTCGACGCTGCAGAGAAGGCCATCACTTCGATTGAGCCTTTTCCATCTTTTCGGTGAGCTCTAAAGGAAGCTTTTGTCAATATATCAACATCGTCGAAGGCATCTTCGTCGTCTACTGCACGGCGAAAAATCTCGTCACATATGCATCTTGTGTCTTTCGAAAGGAATTTTTAAGCTCCTGGGCGTCTCTAGAGAAGCTTTCTGCGACGGTTGGAGGACTTGGTTTGGCGTCCTCAAAAACACCGTGGAGAACTTTCTCCTCCCCGCAAAATAGACCTCAGTCCAACATAGGCTCATGCAGGCTTTAGACTCCATACCCCTCTGCAACTCACCTTCAGAACTGATGGCTAACTTCAGCTTGTGAGCAGGTACCCTACCGTTCACTCCTCGTAATCAGGCATCTAAGTGCCAAGTTTCGTGACACCATTCCCGACAACAACAAGAAGCAGAACAACACTCGTCCACCTTCAAAAACGGCCATACTTGGTAAAATACAATGGACTTCTGCTGCTGGCAAGACTTTATCTGGGTCAACTTCTCTGCCATCGGAGGTCGATCACCACGAGGAGCTACATCTCCATCCTGAAGAACGCCTCGCTTGAGACTTGAGAATCTGATTCGAGTGGGACAAACGCAATGCAAGCAGCCCCGATCTAGCCAAGACATCCCTACATAGCCCATTCACCAATCTGACATTCGGATCCAGTAGCCCAGGATGGAAAAGCGACCAGATTATACCAACTCGCTGCAGACATCGTCAAGTCCCTCCAATCTCTCAAGGATCATATGTAGGTCCACTGAAGCTGAATAACCACTGCGTATCTTGCCTCAATCGCGCCTGAAATACCTTGTACACTACGAAGTATCGGAGTCTCTTTTTGATCCAGTCCTTGCAAGTAGAGCCAAATAGCAAACGCTGGCAACTCCTGGAATTTTGATCGATGGGTCTCGATTGTTGTCTCTGAAACTCTTACGTCGGAAGATATTGTCCAATTGCGCAGTTCGAGTTTTTTTTTGTGTATTTCCATCTATTCTTGAGGAATACAAAGACGGTATGAAGTACATATATACTCCTGAGAGAAGGGTTTCTTCAATACTACGCTGCGTCATAGATGCCAAAGTAGCACGTATGTGGCTTGCTGAATGGCCGAAGAGCTCCACCGAAAGCATTGACTCAAGAAACTTGCAGTTGAAATAAACTCATAATGTAACATCGAATTCTTGACCTTTCGGTTCGGTTTGTTAGGGCTGAGACACTACTCAATTGCGAGGTTCGATTGGACGAGACTTTTTCTCGCGAAGCCGTCATCTGATGCTCATACCCTTGCTATCCCATGTGGGATGGAATTGTCCCAACTAATAGTATCTCCAACATCCACTAAACATACCCGTCTCATGTCCCCCCGTATCTTGGAAGCCGAATCTGGGTCAGATGCTCAATATCAGTAAGATTGCTGAAACGTGTCCCAACTTTGAGTTCATCCAAGTTTCCATGCTTTTTTGGCCTCGCTCGAGACCCTGACAACCTTTGACAAAGAATTCCTTCGTACAGAGACTTTCCTCGGGGGGAAGATGGAGATATATGATCTCAACAAACAATCTGCTGTGTGTCTTGTACATCCATGCATGACTGCATCCGCCAGCCTGCTCGTAATAATGAGACGTAACCCCCAATCGAAATGTGGCGTCGAAAGCCTGCAGCTGATCAATAACAAAACGAAGCAGCCGCCCAAGATGTTCCAATGTGTGAAGCCTCTCGGGCCGGACTATCCCCAATTGTCCTCCATCTTCTCCGGAACATCCGCCGAGTTGTCGTTCGCGCTGGACGTTGATTTGCTCTCTGTGATTCCACGCTCCTGTAATCGGACATCAATATATACATTCTGTGACCGCACGAATTGAGGTCCGTTGGAAGGAGATAGGAGATAACATGCGAGACGAGAGTCAGTGGAGAGCGGCGGTGAAGCCAGACTTACGGAGCCGGTTATGCATGCGCTGCTCCGTCTCAGGAAAAGGACGAGCCGGTTTCCTATTCATCTCGTTAGAAACATTGAAGATCGTGTGACCTTTCTGGAGATCCTGGAGGTACTGGCAGAGTCTGACTCGGTGATTTTCGGTGGGATTGCGCTCTCTGCTATCCTACTCGCTGGACTGACTGAGTGTTACTGGACTCGGGCCCGCGACCGAAGATCAGGACCCTCGACGACCCCCAACTTCGCCAGACGGGGGTTTGATGCATGAGATTGATCAATTGCATGCGCGTCCCCACTGTGACCTGCGCCATTTATTGGATGGTTGATGGCGGCCCTGACGGCGGAACAGTGTCATGAATGAAAAGGCTTATGTCGAAGCGGTCAGAGAAAATCAGCAAGCAACAAAACTCTGTCGAAGATCGTGAGGGGAACTTCTCGAACACATTGGACAATTCTGCTGACAACGGGATCGTTCCAGTTTGAGTTTTCATCGAAGATTTCGTCTTGTTCTCGAAGAAGTTTTTTTTTTATAAGGCGAAGGCGAATAATTATCGAGAGTTACTAATTATTATCGAAGTTTCTACGTTCCTGCCTTTGAAGCTACCCCACTGTTCCCAAGCAAAAACCCCTTATCGAATTGCCTGCACCCGCCTGAGCAGAGCCTAGCGCGCCGATAAGATTCAATAATTGGGAAGCTATCAAACAGCTCCTTCGTCTTCACCGTCACCATTTTGCAACATCCTAAGGAAAGAGTGAATATCGACAGCAACTTCACTCGAGGGCAACAGCACTCTTTCTTCCCTGCTGATTTTCTCTTTAATTTTCTGCGCCTCTCGATTACACATCACTGCCACCGACATTTGAGGTCGAGAGTGCAGGAGTCATCCCGTTTGATTACATTTGGTGGCGGCCTTGTAGTGACCAAAACGGAACGCAAATCTGTCCATTGGCAACAATACACCCTTTCTGGAGCCTACATTCCTATCGTTCACGATGTCCTCTCCTCTGCGAGCCAGAACTTCCAACGAGGTTGATCCGTACAGTGCATCACATATCTATTATGGCCCAGATGCTCACACTGGCCTCAAGGGCCACAACCACTTCAGAACGCGGACCTACTCTACTGTGAGCCTCGCGCAATGTTCAATCATACCTTGCTGACCCCCTCCATAGAATCAAAGTGCTACAAAATCCATTGATCGCTCACAGCTGAAAATGCCCATTCGGCGTGGCAGTCATGGTATGTATCGTGTACCTTCCTGTTTCAGCTTACACCGATCCTAATAAGATGTCTGTGACAGATGATTACACCACGGTCCCAAACCAGTTTCTTATTCATGTCGAACGCACGATCCAGGAGTTAGAGGCACAAGAGGACACCGATGGTAATTACCAAATCACCGTCGAGGATCTGGGTCCAAAGGTAAGCTGGATCTCTGAGGTACACGAGACTCCCTTGCTAATACATACACGTGTAGGTCTTCAATCTAGGCACGGCTTCTTCAAATGGCTTCAAGAAGAGAGAACTTCGCGGAACCTACGTCCTCTCGAATCTGCTACAGGAGCTGTATCTTGCTCGAGAGTACGGCAAATCCCACATTTTCCTGGACGAAAGCCGATTGAACGAAAATCCTGTCAACAGACTTTCGCGGTTGATTAGAGAGGAGTTCTGGAAGAATCTTACAAGAGTCATTGATGGTTCCGTCATCGAAATTGCAGGCAGGGATCCCAAAGATTGGACTGAGGATCCACGCCCGCGTATCTACATCCCACATCGTTGTCCAGAGCAACTTGCCTACTATACCCAGGTCGCCATAGACAGGCCAGAGATTCGTTTGGATGTATGTTTGCTGCCAGAGAAAATCACTCCTGAATACGTTCAGGGTCTCAATGCTAAGCCTGGTCTCTTGGCTGTCGATATGGAAGAAGTCGAAGATCCAAGGACTGGCAAGAAGGTGTTGAAGGGTCGTCCGTTCGTCGTTCCAGGTGGCCGATTCAATGAGCTGTACGGTTGGGATTCATACATGGAGTCTTTGGGTCTCATTGCTAACAAGAAGGGACACCTTGCAAAATCGATGGTCCAGAACTTCGTCTTCTGCATCAAACACTATGGCAAAATACTCAATGCCACCAGATCGTACTATTTGTCACGATCTCAACCGCCATTTCTCACTGATATGATTCTGCGAGTCTACGAGGTCATCAAACATGAAGCTGGTGCGGAAGAGTTCTTGCGACAAGGTGCCTTAGCTGCCATCAAGGAGTATAATAGCGTTTGGACTGCCCACCCACGGTTGGATCCAACAACCGGTCTTAGCAGATACCGTCCAGAAGGTCTTGGCGTTCCTCCAGAGACGGAATCTTCTCATTTCGAGCATATTTTGGAACCATATGCAAGAAAGAATGGTATTACATTCCAGGACTTTGTTAAGGCTTACAACGACGGTTCAATCAAAGAGCCAGAGCTCGACGAGTATTTCCTGCATGATCGAGCTGTCCGCGAATCAGGGCATGATACTTCATACCGTTTAGAGAAGGTCTGTGCGAATCTAGCAACCATCGATCTGAATTCTCTGTTGTACAAATACGAGAAGGATCTGTCCACCATCATCCGAACTTATTTCAAGGATGGCTTAAAAATCCCAGATGATTGGCTTTCCGGAAATATGAAATCGGGCCATCTTGAGACTTCGTCAATCTGGGATAGACGCTCGAAGCACCGCAAGGCAGCCATTGACAAGTACCTTTGGAATCAAGAGAAGGGTATGTACTTCGATTACGATACTGTCAAAAAGGAGCAGTGCACATATGAGAGTTGCACTACATTCTGGGCTCTCTGGTCTGGAGTTGCATCACCAGGTCAAGCTGCTCGCCTTGTCGATACCGCCCTCCCACTTTTCGAAGAGAAGGGTGGTTTGTCATCGGGTACCGAGAAATCTCGCGGTGTTGTTGGTCTTGATCGGCCAAATAGACAATGGGACTATCCTTATGGATGGGCTCCTCAGCAGATGATGGCCTGGGGTGGTCTTCAACGATACGGATATCTTGAGGAGGTTGAACGTATCGCCTACAAGTGGCTTTTCATGATGACAAAAGCTTTTGTTGATTTCAATGGCGTTGTCGTTGAGAAGTACGACGTTACTCGCAGTGTCGACCCCCATCGAGTTGATGCCGAGTATGGAAATCAAGGTCTTGATTTTAAGGGCGTTGCCAAAGAGGGGTAAGTACTATTCTGTTCTTGCAAATTGACAAACTAACTTTGATTAGATTTGGATGGGTTAACGCCTCTTATGTTTACGGTCTCCAAATGCTGGAAGCTGGACCCACACGAGCTCTTGGCTTGCTTACTCCTTGGGAGGAGTATGCGAAATCTCGTGGCCTGCACGGCCATCCCCTGATGACTGTCCGTGAGAACTAAAGCCGTAACTCTGGATTCGATCATGAGCCACTGCCTGTCGTGATGATGGCTCCACGATTCATATTCACTTCCGATATGGTCTTGTCCTGGCTTATCACCTTCCGACAAGATATCAGCTGATATCTATCGACATAATCGCTTTCTAGGTTTGGCTATTGTGTTCCTTTCATTGTACTTATTTTGACCTCGTGGACTCCAGTACATTGTTCTGTTTGCTTTCACACCCTACATTCATGACTCACGACTGGCGAGATGAGATACCCCGATAGATTCGGAATTGGTCTTTTCTTCAATTACTGTTGCCTGTTCCACATTTACATGTTGGCATCACTGCATAGCATGGCGTGGCTATCTTTTCTACCGATCTTCGTGTACCTTGGTTTTCGTCCTTCTTGTACTTGTGGTGCGAGAATTGCTTTGCCGCTGATTTTCCTCCTTCAACACAGGAAGGGGCGGTAACAGATTTGAAATTGTTGGAGCATGGAGTTGTTTTGTTGGGTGGCGTTCTGGTTGTGTGTGCTGTAAATTACTGGCAGAGTCATGGAGGAAGAAAGATGTCGAAGTCAGAGATGAAAAACTGGTCGTACAGTGTACTTAGCACCTTAATAGACTGGTCGATACATCATCTCATTTGTTGGTGATTAGTCTTCTTATTTTCATTGCATCATCTCATTTGCTTCCTACTCTATGTACAATTCTCATATCGTCCTCTTACACGCCATGCCTTCAACCTCTCGTCCCTTCCCCATCCATCCATCCCTATCTATCCATCCCTATCTATCCATCCCTGCCTCATTCCAGCTCAGACCTAATCAATCAAGCCCGCTCGATCTATCTATCTACGCCTTAAACATCTGCTCCCGTCTAGCAGTCTTCCCAGCCTTCGCCGCCTTGGCATTGGCTTGCGTGGCAGTGGTAGCAGCAGCAGTGGTATTGGAGCTGGTACTCGCGCCGGCAACCTGGAATGCAATGCTGCCGCCGAAAGGACCGGCGTTGTTGTTGTTCGCGATCTTCATCAGGCAGAAGTTCGTGGCTCCCGATGTGGCGTCGGTGCCGGTGCAGGTCGTGCCGGCGGGGATCTTGACTGTGAAGGGCTGTGGAGGTGTTTAGTCCTTGCTCACTCGGGATGGAAAGGGGGAAAAGTAGGGAATGGGAAAGAGGGGACATACAGCATCAGCACCAACATTCGTAGCGCGCTTTCCAAGAGCACGAAGAGCCCTTGTCACAGTCCGCTGAACGACGTTCCCCTGTCCATTCCCAACCATATCCGACGTAGCAGTAAGCTGCGTGCCCGTCGAGTACGCGCCCGTGCCCGTGGAATCAATAACAGCAAACAGATCCCCATTCTTGTTATTGGCCGTCCCGTCACTGGTGACGATTCTCCACGTCCCGGTAATGGTGCCCGTGCCGTCGGCGGAGACTTGAGGTAAAGTGCTGCCGGACGCGGCCATGGTGTCGGCGAGGTCGGCGACCTTGAGGGTTCCCGATGCGGTGGTCTTGCCGAGGCCGTTGGTTGTGGGGTCGTTGGCGTTGCCGCCGAAGACGGTGGTGTCTTTTTCGGTGGCGGAGTTGGGGCCGAATGTTGCGATGGAGGCGCCTTTGATGCCGAGGGCGGTGCCGTTTCCGCCTGCGTTGCCGCTGGATGGAGTTAGTGAGGATGAAAAGCGGAGGGGAGGGAGGAGGGGAGAGAGGGGGCTTACACTACGGAGAGGACTTTGCCGTGGGCGCTGACCATGGTGGCGGCCGAGAGGGCTAGGACGAGGATGGATCCGGTGTACATGTTGATATTTTTCCTTTTTTTTATGTCTTAAAGAAGAAAGTGGATATAAAGAGGGGCTCAAGTTAAATTGGAGAAGAAAGATGGGATATATCAACTAGTGATTGGAGTGAACAGAGACAGAACGGATCAACCGACTGGGATATTACTTGTAAAGAAGCGAAGAAGAGAAGCTGCTGATGATGAGGGAATATGAGAACAAAGGCGCCGGCGACCAGAGAATATATACTCATTCGCTGAAGTCAATGATCATGGCCTGCCTACCTGCCAGCCAGCCCTCTCTCCACCGCATGTCCGGCCAAGTCAATTGTAACAGAGTCTCACATCTCATGCACCCTTTCTTCTTGGCAATCAAGACCTCCTTCTTGGCGATTCAGGATCTGACTCCATCTCGGCCGTCCACCGCACTGTTTGCCTTGGGCGAGGGCGGAGAGAGAAAACGCCCAGCGGTACCAGTTGGCGGTCCACGTTTCAAGCTTCGCTGGATGGTCTTGGTATTGAAGCTTAAACGCAAGAGAGAGAAAATTGAGGACTTGAGTGTGTACTGTACTACAGCGGTGTTGAAAACAATTGCTCGCATACAAGACTGATGAGAGAGAGAGGTAGGAGACGCGTAACCATCCATTCAGAGTTACGGAGTCGGTATGAGGCAAGTGGAACATCGTAACATCCCATCACGCATCCTGTAACCGCAACAGGCGGCTCTGCGGCCAGTGATGTGGGGACAAACGATGGACTGGAAACTGCCATCTCAATCTCGGTTGCCCTGACCCTCCAGCCGCTGATCCACCACATCGTCAGCCAGCATCGTCGCGGCTATGGCTGCCGTCTAAGCCACCAGAGATCGATTGAAACATGGGGTTTGGGCCGCTGGACCAGCCGTGCGGGCTGTTTTGACTGAAAATCGAAACACTCGTCGGAACAATTAACAGCTTTCGTGACAGCGTCGAGTTTCGGAAATGTCCGAACTTGGGTTGGTTAGCGATCCGACGAACTCACTTTTGTAAACGGGGTGGGTTGGTTTTGTTGTTTGCATTATCATCCCCCGCTCCCCCTTCGCAAAAGTTTGCAAAAATTGTTGAAGGGGAAATAATGCGATGATGGTTGTCAAACTGAAGAAACGGGCAGGTGATCCTTGATTTGTCAAATCAGAAAGGTTATGCCGTGGTTTTCGAAGGAGCACTGTTTGTTCCCCGCTTGTGATGGATGGCCGCAGGTTCTGATGAAATGGAATGAAACACGTCTGAATATCCGATTTGACCTTTGACGCGTCCGAATTTCTAAACGGTGAGACTCGGCGTAAACCATAAGTTCAAGTGATACAGCTGCGCCGCCTTCTGCTGTCTCGAGGAAATCTTGTGAGGAGCATTCGAATGGAATGGAATCATTCTGCTTCTTTTGGCCCAGGGAAGGTTGGAAACAATGGTATAGGCCTCCTATCTTAATGTTGTCTCAAGGAGTAATGCATCGGGAACTTTAATCATGTAAGTAACTATGTGACTTTACGTCGTGTGTATGTATATATCTCAATGAAGTCTGAAAGTCTTGGTGAAGGACGGTGAAGGAGAGATGAATCTCGTGCGGATAACCGTTCCTGGTCTGTCCAGTGCAAACACTCGATGACTCAGCAAGGTTCAACTTGCCTCACCTCTCTTCACCTGCGGGTGCCGCCACGAGAAGATCTCGGGTAAATCGGCAGATCTCGGAAGCGAACGCGACTCGCATGCTCATGCCGAGGTACTCGTTTCGGGACTGGTGGGGTGCCTTGCATGAGGCGGATGGGCATGGCATGATGGGATGAGGATTCACATGCTAACCGTCTTTTCTGGGGATGAGATTTCACATGTCTTTTTTCACCACATATGAGCATCAAGATTCTTTAAGAGAAAAAGAGAAAAGAAAACTGTAATTGGGATGCAGCTGTGGTATGAAGCTATGATGATAGACGGAAAGAATGAGTTTTGAAACAACAGGTGATGGAAAAGTGAATCTGGAGAAAGGCATGACGAAATGATTCCCAGCGATCGTGGGGAAATGGAGGGTTTCGGCAAGGAACCAATCACGGCACTGCATCCTGCTCCCTTGAACCGCTGAGCCGAAGCCCGCTATACTTTTACGAGTCTGGACGGAAGATGACCGAGGTGCAAAGTGACTGTATTGATCTTCTGCCAATGAGGAACACTGACAGGAACCGCTAGCCCGAGGTGCTTTTTGCTTATGATGGAGCTTCTTCCCCGGTTGGCTTGTGATACTTTTTTTTTGGGTTTGTATATTCTTGGCTGAAATAGATTCGAGTTCCTTTCGTCAATTAAGAGAAGATTAAAGAAGATTTTATATTCCAGCTACAAACATGGCAGTTAACAGAATGGCGAATCCGGCTGTGGATCCAGCGAAGGAGGAACAACAGTATCTGGATGAAGTAGCGGCAGTTAAGAAATGGTGGACGGACGAGAGGTGGAGATATACCAAGAGACCGTTCACGGCGGAGCAGATTGTTGCTAAGAGGGGGAATCTGAAGATTGAATATCCGAGCAATGTGCAAAGTAAGAAATTGTGGAGGATCTTAGAGGGGAGATTCAAGGTATGTTTTCTTACCCTGAAAAAGAGCAAAGGAGACTAATTGAGAATCTCTAGAATCAAGATGCGAGTTATACTTACGGATGTCTGGAACCCACGATGTTGACCCAGATGGCGAAATACCTCGACACGGTCTACGTTTCTGGTTGGCAGTCATCGAGCACAGCTTCAGCGTCCGATGAGCCTGGTCCAGATTTGGCAGATTACCCATACGTGAGCAGTTTCCTCTCTGCTTCTTCGTACCAGCAATACTAATTCTACAGACCACCGTCCCAAACAAAGTCAATCACCTCTTCATGGCCCAACTCTTCCACGACCGCAAACAACGTGAGGAACGTGTAACCACAAAATCGAAAGCAGACCGCAGCAAGCTCGCCAATATCGACTATCTCCGTCCCATCATCGCAGATGCTGATACAGGTCACGGAGGCCTGACAGCAGTGATGAAGCTGACGAAGCTATTCATCGAAAAGGGTGCTGCCGGTATACACATCGAGGACCAAGCTCCAGGAACTAAGAAGTGTGGACACATGGCAGGAAAAGTGCTGGTTCCCATCAGCGAGCACATAAATCGACTCGTAGCCATCCGAGCACAAGCTGATATCATGGGTATACTTCTCTCCCTCCATACAAAGAAAAGTAGAAAACTGACAACAAAAAAACAGGCACGGATCTCCTAGCAATCGCACGAACAGACGCCGAAGCAGCAACACTAATCACCACCACCATCGACCCCCGCGACCACGCCTACATCCTCGGCAGCACGAACCCGAACCTGCAACCACTCAACGACCTCATGATCGCCGCCGAGCGCGCCGGCAAAAACGGCGTCGAGCTACAAGCCATCGAAGATGCCTGGACGGCCCAAGCAGGCCTCAAGCTCTTCAACGACGCCGTCGTCGATACGATCCATTCGGGCGTGCACGTCAATAAGAAGGACCTCGCAGCCCAGTTCCTGAAGGATGTCAAGGGGAAGAGTAATACGGAAGCGAGAGCTCTCGCCAAGGGGATCACCGGGGTCGATATTTCGTGGGATTGGGATAGTCCGCGGACGCGAGAGGGGTTTTATCGTTTGCAGGGCGGATGCGAGTGTGCTATCAACCGCGCGATTGCTTATGCGCCGTACGCGGACGCGATCTGGATGGAGAGTAAGTTGCCGGATTTCGCGCAGGCGGAGCAATTCGCCAAGGGCGTGCATGCCGTGTGGCCGGATCAGAAGTGAGTCTTGTTTCCTCTATCTCTTTTTTCCTTTTTTTTTTTTTTGGATGTAAGTGTTAACGGGAGAACCACAGATTAGCATACAACCTCTCGCCGTCCTTCAACTGGAAATCCGCGATGCCGCGCAACGAGCAGGAGACGTACATCGCGCGCCTGAGCAAGCTGGGCTACTGCTGGCAGTTCATCACGCTGGCGGGCCTGCACACGACGGCGCTGATCAGCGATCAGTTCGCCAAGGCGTACAGTCGGCAGGGGATGCGGGCGTATGGGGAGTTGGTGCAGGAGCCGGAGATGGATGGCGGGGTGGATGTCGTGAAGCATCAGAAGTGGAGTGGGGCGAATTATGTGGATGAGTTGTTGAAGATGGTGCAGGGGGGCGTGAGCTCGACCAGTGCGATGGGGAAGGGGGTTACCGAGGATCAGTTCCATTAGATGTGTAAAGTATGAAGACTGCTAGTAGTGTTGACTGGTGCACACTTGATGAGTTTGGAAAAGAACATGTCGACGTTGGTTTTATAATCTTTGATATATGCTGGAATTTGTGCATCATGATTACGTAGCTGCATTTCGTGTTTCGTCGTCCTATGTTGTCTTTGAGATTGTATCGACTTTTGTGGCGGACGTATTTGAGAGGATTATTTTCCAAAGAAATTACTATAAGAAATGTTAGCTTGATACTGGGCTTCATCCACCCAACTAGCTGGGCTCTGACAAAAGTCGAAGAGCTATTATTGAGAGAAAAACCAAAGCTTCAACGGATACATGCAGATGAACACGGTGAGAAACTGACTCATAATATCCGTTTACCAATTGCAAAGGGATGCTCATTTTCATCTGAATGGATGATGTTGGAACTTTCTTTTTATTCTCGAAGAACTGATTGGATAGCTGGATGCACGCTTGATACTTCAAGCATGGGTCTGAGTTTCGTTAGGAACAACCGAGGAATAGATGTGTAGAAAAAGAGGCTTTGAGACGTAGATGTATGCTTCTCTACTCAACTAATAATCACTGCGTTGAATAATGTCTTGAAAATAATTAAGGTTGCGTCACGCGAGGTTGACGACAGCAACTGCCGCGACAAGATCCGGCAGAAAGCTGAAAGCGCGCATTCCTGAACTTGCCATCGAGCCATCTCCCACCAAAAGCTCCAACATCTCGTTGGTTTGCGAATCAATGTTTTTTAGTGAAACATCGTGCAACGACGTAGCACGTATCTGCACGATTCTCTGGACGCCTCAAATTCAGTCCTTTCCGATAGGTCCACTTGGCCGGCAGATCGCTTTTATATCACTTTTGCTTGCTGCGGTACCGCGCGAAGGGAGCAGGGTCTCGTCGTCAGGCATGCACACATTTCCGCCATAAATACATTGCGGCACCGCTCGTTGCGGGGTTTGAAACCGTCTAAGTAGCAACCTCTAATCCTTGAGATGCCGAGCATGCGTCAATGCTGATGCTGACACCAATGCTCCTTTCGCCAGAGACCGCTTTCGAACATTATCCTCCGATTCCATTCCATTCCCAAATCCTTGGAGCTCCGTCTATCATGTCAAAACCGCAATGTCAAAGCAGATGCAAACGCAGCCAACGCCATGCTCGATATTAATTACTAATCATGAAACATCCCGCATTTTGCAGCCGTTCGCCTGATGTTGTACAGTACGAGTAGCAGAATATATCTGTTGCCTCCCTGTGGAGAACTAGATTCAAACGATCGTTAGCATTTGTCCGGGCCCACAACCAAGGAGATGGGATGAGCTTAGCGTCCAAGCTTAAACTCACTTCACAGGTACTTGACCCCTCTATCTCACGTCGTCGAGATCTTTCTCATGTCTTCGACCCTTTGGGGTCGACATCGGGAGACTCTAGGGCCGAAGTACTCGTCTGCGACGAGCCTGCGAGATGCTCGTCCGTCGTCGACGCTGCGGTCGGATCCGAGGTGGATGCAGCTGTGGACACCAATGCCTCTGCCTGTTCAAACTCGTCCTCAGCTTGCTGCATCACTTTTCTGTGTTCTTCTAACTCTTCTGTTGAAAATTGCGTCAGCACATGATTTCTATCTTGGGATGATTCATACTTACCAGCATTTGGTTTGCGCCTCGTTGTCACATAGATGTCTCGTTGTCCCGGGGTGAGGACAACTGTGTGCTTGTTCATGAAAATACGACCAGCGAGTAGTCCAATGCCATCAAGGTGTGGCGTGACATTCATTCTCAGAGTATCGAACTCCCTCATCCCACGTCCGCTGTCCTTAAGCTCAACATCGACATAGTGTGTGGCAGTGACATCCCCCTTCACTGTGCTGTACACCCAGACGTCTTTCTCTAGGAGTGGTCGTTTTGTTAAACCGCAGTCTTTCAAGAACTTCTCCGAAACCCAGCTGTCTACGGACATCGGGTCATACCACAGCTTCTCGGCTCGCTTTTCGCCTGATGGTTCTTTGACCATCACTGCGGAGGAGGTAAACTCTAAGCTATTCGCGGAAGCATCAGGTACTACCCAACTCGGCAACTCAACACTTTTCTCAATGCTTGGGCCACCCATGGTACCATAGGTGCTGCTATGAGCCGACTCAGCCTGGGCTTTGAGATCATGCTGCCCTGTGCCAGTGTTTTCCCTAGCCATTGACCAGGGCTTGATTGATCCGCTGGAGTCTATGGACCAGCGTTCTTGGGCCGGACCTTGTCCATGTTGCGAAAGTCGTTCGATTATCAAAGCGGGCAATGTTCCTCTGCTACTAGAACTCGTCTCTGAATCCTCGCTAGTCCGAGAGGACACTGTGTCGAGGTAACCTTGAGAACCCGCGCCAGATGGGTATGTGGAGGGTCCCGTGGTTGAGGGTTCAGTAGCTGACGCAGCTAAGCCTTTTTCCAATTTGTATGCTGCATTCACTTCTTTCAACGCCTTCTCGAAGAATCGTCTCTGAGTCTCTTTCGTAGCTTTTCACGTTGAATTAGTGGCCAAGTCAGCTTGAGAGTGGATTATATCTTACCAGCATCTGCTTCACGGCTTGTTGTGACATGCCTGTCACGATAAAGAGGATTGCTGATAGCAATTCTATACTTATGCATAGAGGCGCTCCCAATGATGAGTCCAATTCCGTCCAATGAGGGTGTAACATTAAAAGATAATTTCTCGAACGCTTCCATTCCTCGAGACCTATCCTGCAACTCTAACATAACATAATGTCGCGGTGTATACTCGCCCTTGATCGTAGCGTACGTTGCTAAGTCATCTGGTAGTATTGGTCGCTTTTGAAAGCCGAAAGTTTGCACAAAGCGCTCAGAAGCCCAATTGCTTGTAGACCCTGTGTCATAGAAAAGCTTTACTGCCTTCAATTCTCCTGATGGTGTCTTGATCATGACTGCTGATGAAGTGAACATCATAATGTCAAAGCCTTGTTCCGTGTTGATATCGAAATCATAATCGTTGATTGCAAGACTTGTAAAGCTATCAGCCTGAGATGTGTTTTCCGCCAATGAGCGAGGTGCCTTGGGGATGTCTAGACGACTCGGTCGACCAAGAGTAAGCGAGGTGTCGTCTCGTTCGCTGGTGAATGTCGTCAAAGGTGGGTTTTCCCGGCTGAATGTCAGAGCTATCCTGCGACTTCTTGTTCGTATCTTGCGTATGAAACGGCGTAAGAAGGAGCCCCGTTTTATTTTCTGATGTGCTTCTGGCATTGCATCCATATTGTCTGTCGCGAGTGAACCTTCATCACTGTGAGATGCATCTTCGTCTTTGGCTTCAAGCCATAGAAGCGACAATAGGGCAAGAATCTCCATGTGGCGTGAAATGTGCATTTCTAGTACAGTAAATTTCGTTATAGGATCATTGCTTGCTTGAATAACTTCCTCAAGGACTTTACTGCAGAATGGGCATGTTTCGACTATTTCAGTACTGGGGCGAAGGCTCATGTCTGCTATCACTGACAACTGTGACGGTGGGAAAGTTCCAGCGTGTTTGTCTTTCATATGATTTAGGAACATCGATTCAGTGGCAAATTTTTGAGGGCCGTGAGCGGGGGCCATGCATATCCAATGTGGATTAGTGTGCTCTGTCCGGATGTGTTCAATCCAATCGAATCTAGTCTCGAATATTGCATCGGCCTCTTTGCAATGTCTAGAAACGCAGATGTATGGAGCCAAGTCTTTCAGCACATGTTCTCTAGTTGTTGATTAGTGTAATATGAACAACAGTTATTCGCGATACGTACGTCCAATGTTCGCCAGATGCAGTCTTCGAATGGCAGATAATGAAGCAATATGGACATTCGAAATAGTCGTCATCTCTGTCAACCGTGGGCTCGGCAGGAAATCTGAGTTTATCTTCAGAAAGATACTCTTCTGATGCCCGAAGCCACTTCTCGTGCAAGCCTTCCAGGTCCGGTGCATCCGCACTACTGTCCCCTCTCGGCGTCCTCAAATGGAGTCGGTTGGATTGCGGCACACTTTCCACATTTTTTTGGGATCCTGCTTTTAGCATCCCTTTCCCTTTTTTGTCTTTTTCGACAGCATCTTCGACAACGCTTTCTTTTGACTCGCTGATATGTCCTTCCTTTGCATTGATGTTCTTTCCCCTCCCAACGATATCGTTCAAGCGAATGCCCTTCTTCCCTAATTTTTTCGCTCTACTTTCTTCTACGATAATTGAACTAGTCGATGAGCTGGCTGAATATGGCCTAAGTATGATATGAGTACTTCCCTCATTCCTGGTAGACCTCATACTCGATCTGCGATAAGCAAGTATATTCCTACGATGTGCAAGTGAACGGGCAACTCGGTCTTGGAACCAGATCTCTGCAGATGGATAATGTAACTTGACGACTGCCGTTGACAGCTTCATAAATACCAATTCATTGTCATCTCCGTCGTCGAAGCCAACTTCCTTGAGACATACAAGTCGACGGCCGGAATGTCGCAGAGTCTCTTCGAGTCTCTGGAGCCGAGAAATGGATTGCTCAACTTCGTCACGAGCCTCTGAAACTGACTTGAATGTAGTTGACTTCGAACTCTCTGAGATAGAGTTTGCCAGAGAGGAAAGTGTGATGGATATTGACGATGTGGTGCTAGAAATGTCTTCCCCCGTGCTAATATCGTCTTGGACATCGCTGTTATTGCTTGCAACTGCGGGAACTCAGTAAATATCTCGTTGTTCTCATATTACTGGACGTGCGCCGTACTATGATAGAGATTGATACCGATTATATTCAATAGATTCAGTATATCCTCTCGGCGCTCCCCGCAATCACGCAGTCGATATTCGGCGGAATCATCTCCAATCGCCAGGGCTCCAAGATTTGAGTACCATACCCGAAATCGAGCAAATTCATGATCCGTCCAGTTCTCTTTGCGAAAGAGAGCTCTCTCAATTGAGGAGCAACGCTCGAAGGCCACGATACAACGAGCTGTAGATGCAGAGATGCTGTTTATTGCGCCGCCCGCTAGTGTGTTATCTGCATCCATGATCCATGGGACAGACGACCGACAACGACGTTCGTGGAGGTTTTAATCGAGATAGATTTCCCTTCACTTGACAAGCCAGGTGGGTGATCACGCGCTTGTCAAGCGCGATGCATTTTGAGGCTGGGGCTGCGTGAGGCTGAATCTTGCTGGGCGTCCTCTGAGGGGATCGACCCAAGGACGATTCTCGAGTCTACTCGGTCCTGCTCTGCCATGAACGCACTCGAAGAGCAATTGCAACTCTTGCGCGATGCCCTGCCAATTCTTCTCGACCTCGCAGCATATCATGTGCAGGAAGCCGCTGTCTACAGACTGGCGGACCCATCGCAACTTGTTGCTCACGAAGTCTTCTACACAAATCTGCGGTTCGAGCTCCGAGAACTAAGTTCAAAGATAAATGCTGCCAATGTAGATGTTTCTACAGAAGTAGCGCTTAGAGAGCCGTTAAGAAAGGTACTCGATGTTCTCGAGAGCCGTGTTAAAGTATGTGGCTACCTATCTACCATACTATGATTTGTACTTTCAAGAGGCTGACTATTGTAGCCACATCGAGACTTCCGATTTCTCATCGAGCAACAACGTGCAAATTCATTACCCTACGAGAGTCTGGAAAATATTATAAATCTTCGCTCGCGGAGGAAGAGACATCGAGACTGTTTGATCGACCGCCTGAAACAGCTCAATCGTGCGCTGGTATCGGCATCAGCGGAGATACGAAGACGGCCTCCAGGATCTCCAATTTCAGTTATATCAGCCATCAAGTCGCGGCATATATGTCGAGTTAGAAGCGACGCGCGAAGTCTATACGAAGTCTTGAATGGACGATGGAGATGTGATATTCAGGAGGATCATACGGCAATGGTCCGTTTAGACGCACACTTTCGGGAAACTGGTGGGACACGATTCAACTTGTTTCTTGAGACACATAATCCCCATCCAGCTTGGCAGGAAAGTGAGGTCTATCTCAGATCCGTAACGACCCCATCGCATCGACGACTCGTCGACGACGTTTGTTCCCTTGTCCAAAAGCTGGTCTCATCCCACCCGTGCCAACTGAAGCTTCACATCCAACAGGGTTGCCTTTGGAATGATTTGAACCTTGGCGACTCCAATCTTGGTAGAGGAAATCAGAGCCCAGAACGTTTGAAAGATCTCATAGAAAACAGAAGTCTTCCTCTTGTGAAGAGACCTACACCTAGAGACAAACGTCGGCTCCAAGTGTTACTTGCCAACTCGTTTCTATATTTCTACCGAAGCGTCTGGGCAGGAAGCAATTGGGCCAAGGAGCATATATACTTCTGTCGTACCGAACAATCGGGACTTCTTGATATTAACAGACCATATTTATCTGCAAGCTGTGGAAATATTGGTAATGACCAAAATGTTACCCTACCGACTTTGGAGATGCGAGTGCATCCATATCCTGGTATCTTGGCCCTGGGTATCTCACTTTTGGAAATCGAGCTGGATCATCCAATTGAACACTATCGTCCGCTTGACAGCCCAAACAATGGCGGGGGCGGTTTCTGCATCGACGCAGATCGTTCTGTTGCTCGCAAAATGCTGGAACTTTGCAACGGCCACAGTCCATATGACTTTATGGATGCTGTTGATGCATGCATCACCGCTGATACCTTTTCCGATATGGTATTCGAAGAAGGAATCTCCTTTGAGAATGAACAGTTTCTTTACAAGATCTATGAGTTGATTGTTGCAAGGCTCGAAGCTGCCCTTAGAAAAGTGTTCAATGAACCTATCAGCAGGCTGGATGAGCTAATAGCCAACGAGGAAGTTGTGGAAACTTCTCAACTCTTATACGCCGTGCAAGTTCATCCTCATGTGCATGCAACTGCATTATCACCAAGTGAACAACAAAACACCATACAGGGTTTGGCCAATGAAGGCTCAGGGGCTGATGAATGGTTACGAGAATTGCACGATCGTGTCACAACCCCGCTCGTATCAAGCATGGCCTCCCAAGCACGCATAGCGTCAAAGCAGATCTTCCCAGATCTAGAAGATGGTCCTCTCAAAATAGCAATACTTGACACGGGGATTGCACTACCCGAGGATGGCGAGGCTGCCTACGGGTCCAGAGTCAAGGATCGCAAGAGCTGGTTGAATTACCCCGCTGCATCTACTTTCCATGCAGATGACACTGATGGCCATGGTACTCATGCCGCTGGCGTACTGCTCAAAGTGGCTCCAACGTCACAGATCTTTGTCGCCCAAGTGTTCAGAAATCGGGCGGAGGCTGAGGTGACACGCACGGATTCTGTGGTTCACAAACGTATAGCAGAGGTGAGTACAGAGCTTGGTAGCTATTGGAAGAGTCGACTAACATCACTGAGGCAATCACATACGCAGTTAAAATTTGGAAGGTAAATATAATCTCCATGTCCTTTGGTTTTGATGTGTCTGTGGAGATCATTGAAGAAGCAATTGAGCTGGCGGCCAGGCACAAAATCATCATGATTGCTGCAGCGTCGAACTGTGGGGGTAATGGGACTGTATCATGGCCAGCTCGCCACAAAGATGTCCTCTGTATATATGCTACAGACCATCGAGGAAACCCCTGTAGCTTCACGCCAACGGCTACACCTGATAGATACAGCTTTTCTTTCCTTGGCGAAGCCGTAAGATCATACTGGCCAGCTCATTTGGAGCCCAAGGACGTTGGTACAACTACAAAGTCGGGAACCTCGACCGCAACTGCAATTGCTGCTGGCGTTGCAGCCCTCTTCCTAGAATACATCAGATACGCACTTGACAAATGGGACCACAAGTTGTCAGAGGAGCAGGTGCGCGTGTTCAATAAGATAAGGACAACGGATGGAATGAAGAAAGCATTTAAGAGAATGGCGCTAAGGAAGAGACTTGGATACGACTACGTAGCACCATGGGAATTCTTCTGTAGAAGATATGCGAACCCAGAGATGACTATTTGTAACACAGTACTTGATGATATGTTTGAGCTATAGACTTTTGGGATATAGCATACCTTCCCACCTGGATTTATCTTACCTATGCAGTTCCTCCATGTGAACAACATCATCTTTTTCAACAAAATTATCTAGACTATCGTGTCAGCCCAATGATTCTGCTATTCGGCCAAGGCTTGCCTAAATTGCGCCTCGTCATGTGATTGGGAAGTTAGGCGTCATTCAGCTGAAGCTTGGAACTCAAACCACAATACGCTCTTGAGTTCTTCGACGCTCACCTCGATCAAAATGAGCAATACAAAGAAGACTTACTTCTTGGCTCCAAATTTCCATATCCTTCCTCCTCCAACAGGACCGCTCCTTCTTGGCAGCATCATCTCTTCAGTGTCGAAACCAGAACATATCCTCAATCGCCAGCCCAACTATGTTCCCATTCCTCCCTCTAGTCCATCGTTCACCCACCATCAAGCAGGTTTCTCCAGCACACATTCGAACTCGCTATCCGGCAGCTTCGGTGGCTTTACCGCCCTAAACGCTTTCCTCTCATCCATTCTCTCTCTTCGAGTTGACGCAGATCTCGACGGCGCGTCTTCAGGCTCCACAATATACAAGTGCAAAGACCTGGAAACAACCTACTTCTATCCAGATGACGAATACATAGCGAAGAATATTGAGATCAAGAGAGTAAAAGATTGGATGACGGATACTTATTGGAAGAAACCGGTGTATATGATTACAGGATTGAAGATTGCGAGGGGGATGAAGGCGGAGAGCAAGCAGGGCAAAAGCTTGAAAGGAAAGGTTGAAGTCGGCGTTGATGCCACTATGCTTACAGGTGTGCCTGTCTCCGGGGGTCCCAAGGTTGGTGGTGGTGTCGAAGCGAAAAATGGGGTAAGCTGGGATGGGAGCGATGATTTCATATTTGCTTACAGAGTGGTGAGAATTAAGTTAAAGGGGAAAGAGGGTGGGTTCGAGGCTGGTGAGCATATCAGTGGTGCGTTGTACAGTGAGGGTGATGAGGGGGCAAAAGGCAATCTGCGAGACGAATGGGATGTCTCGGAAATCGAAGATATGGAGGGAGAGGAGATCGTGGCACCCCACATTATATGCGAAGAAGAGCCTGTAGAGGGGTAAATCTACTACGAGAATGTTCATCGCCTGGCGTTCTGGGCGTGCAAGTGCCATACAGTGGACATTTGACACGGTAGTTGAATGTCAATCTTCTAAGTAGCTGTCGCTTGGACATGAAAACTCTTGGATATAGGAAGAACCTTGGAATTCGTACTTGTCTGCTTCCATTTGACTCGCTTAACGTGGCGCGACGTCGGGTACTTCAGGAGAACCTTGACGCCAAGTTAGGCGCCACAGATTTGGGAGAGGTCTCGGGATTTGAACTGTTGTGCTCATATTTTCTTATGACCTATCACTTCCACGACTTTCAGTCAGGCATCGACGATTTCTTCTGGTGCATACTCCAAACAGCGCATGATTGGGAAACTCAGTCGACCAACAAATTGATTGGTCGTTGTGAACAATCAGAAGTAATATGGAGCTGCATCAGAATCGAAGATGAGTGGTCTCGGTTTACATTCCATGCATGAGACCCAATAACATATCTTCTTCTGCTATCCGGTAGATCGTTTTGAGAGGAATCATGCATATAAATACATGCCATCTTCCCCTCATCTTGAATATTTGTTGGAAACTCAAACGTCTGTGCGGACGGTGGCATTTGCGATGTACTGCAGTACAACAAAGACAATCCAAACTCACCAATCGCCGCATACGCGGAACCGAATCCACCCATGGACGCAACGTGGCTCACGATATCTGTTTGCATGAAGTCCATTTCGCCTCGCTAAGGTCGGGCTGTCAGATTAAAGTCGCTCGTCATATTCCCTTCTCGCCCAAGTTGGGAAATTCAAAAAACAAAACAAAAGCCAAAAGTCGAGACTCATGATCGTCTTGATATTAATAGAGTTTCCTTACGCCTCTTCCCTTTTTCCCATTCCAGGGCCATTCCAAGGCGAGGAATCCTTTCATGCTTATGCATATGCTCCTCATTAAAAGTACAAGGTATCCTGACACACGAGCGGATGCCTGCAGGAGCCTTCCCGGATCTCGCTTCCATCGCTAACAACCCAAAACGCCTCTGCGATGCTGATAATTCCAAATATAAAAGAGATACGTGCCACCCAGTGGATTAATGTTAGATTTCCAAGAATTTGAAGAAGTCCTCCTATGGACATTTGGACTTGATGAGATGATTGCGGATATGAGGAGAAGCCTTCGTATGTGTCGATGGAGATATGTTCGGAGATGAGGGCGGGGAGTGAGAAGAAGTCTTCTTGTGTCGTGGTGAAGGCGTGGTAGTAGATGTCCAGATGGAGGTGATCGAAGAAAGAGATCTGAGAACGTATGATGCAGAAGAAGTCTTTTCTGCGCAAACAGCGGGATAATCCTATCCAGTGAACGCAAGAAGGAAAGGGGTATCGTTTTGTGTAGTGTACTGGTAGCAGAAGGAAGCCAGCCTTGTCTTATTGTGACGTTCGGCACGGCGGAGCGGATTGGGTTTGAGTGGAAGAAGGCGGATCCTGGTGGAGATCAAGACGGCGGGGCGGAAGGTTTGTGAGAGGATACCAGATGCCATCGCCAAGAGACTCGACTTCCAAGCCTCGTTAGCTCCTTCCGCAAACACAACCGACCAGTTTTAGCGGAAACTTTATTTGACCTCATGTCCACCTTCCACCACGACGGAAGTTGATTATCCTTTCGACTCACTCTGCTTGATGTCCGACGACGACGCGTGTGTACTCGTCCTAGATGAAGGGGCCAATGGCTCATGAGTTGAAGCTGCAGATTGCTGCGTGGAAGGTCCCGCAGTTGAAGCTGATAATTCCTTGGCTTTCTCGTACTCTTTCTTCGACTGCTCAAGATGTTGTTTGCGAGCCTCACATTGCGCTGTTGGTTTGAAGTCAGCCACTTCCCGCTCACATATGTGCGTTGAGTCTTACCAGCATTTGCTTTACTGCTTGTCGTGACAAAGATGTCTCGACGAGCATTAGCATCAACTATAACACGATACTCTTTCATGAACTGTCGGCCGGCCATCAAACCAATTCCATCCATCGATGGCGTAACATTACACCTTAATGTTGTGAAGCCTTCCATCCCGAGAGACTCGTTCTGCAGTTGCAATTCCACGTAATGTCTGGGGATGAATGTTGCATTGATAGTCTTGTATACTTTGAGATCCTCGCGGAGAATTGGACGCAGCTCCAATCCGAAGGTGCTCGCGAAACATTCCGAGACCCAGTTGACAGCAGTCATGGTGTCGTAGAACATTTTGACTGCTTTCGAATTGCCTGTTCTGTCTTTCACCATGACCGCGGAGGAAACAAACTCGTCGTCGTCGTGGTCATCGTGTCGAACATGAGGCGGAGCATAACCTCCTGATGGATGCTCTGTTTCCGAATACCTTCTTGACAAAGTTGTCTCATCCCCACCATCAACTTGATTTGGCTCGATGTATACATAAGGACTAGTGCCGATACCGATATCATTGTCTGCAATTGGTTTTGAAGAACTTGGTTGAAATAATTCGGGATGGCCAAGAGACAACCGTCTGACTTCTACACCTGCTCGTTCTCGCGCCTCATCCTCCGTCATAAAAACAGCGGATAGTCTACTGACAGAGACCTCGTTGCTGGGATCACCACCTTGCGCCTGGACCGGTATTGGTCTTTCTATGATATCCGCCGAATCATTGGTAGAATGGCGCTCGTAGGACTGGTCGTGAATTTGAGATTCTCGCCCCCTTCGTCTGAGCCTGCGCGGGCTGTTTGCTTCTGGAGTGGAAGTGGTGACGGTTATGCCTTGTTTCGTTCCTCCTAACCATCTGGGCCTTCGGGGTCTGCGTGGCTTTCCGCGCGAGAAGCGGAGACCAATGCGCTCTGCTCTCTCCCGAATGACATTCAAGAAAGTACGAAGATCGTACCAAGGCCTTTCGGTTCCACTTGGTATTGTCGTGAACGGTTGAGCATCAACAGCCGTCTCCAGCGGTCCCAGCGCTCCCGACACAACTTCTTCGTTTGCGATGAACTGATTTACTGGCATGGGCGGAAGTTTCGCCGTTAACGATGGACCAGATGGTCGATCCATCATGTATATATGCTCCAAGGACCTCGACCGCGTCCGCTTCGTGGCCGACGCCCAGGACCGACGTTGCTCGTTGGGATTGGTACCGAACAAGCGCTCGCTGTAGACCCCGGACGATGAAGTCGTTGATTCGGAGGAAATTCTATCGATATTGTTTTATTGATTCGATGTTATTCGATTTTGGGGTAGATTGAGTGCGTCTTCTTTCTGAAGTTGTTTGCGGTCGATTTTTTTGAAAGGCGGCGCGGTAGGGTTGAAGCGAAAGGATTATACGTTTGATTCGAGAAGTTTGCCCCTCCAAATGTGACCTTGCTGGAATTTGCAGACGTATGTTCACCGTACGAGCGAACTTTCTGGAGGTTATCCACCTCCAGAATGGCTGTTGAATGAATGTATGGTGTATCACCTGGTATGAAGCCAACCTTGTTTGTGGTTTCCCTCGCGACGCGTCGATAACTTTGGATCTGGATGGCCGGGGCGTTACAAATATTGCAGACTTTGGCTCACCCTTTTCCCCTTGCTTCTATCGTTCGTGAGTCTTTGCTATCTGTATGTAACGTGTTGGCAGCCTCGGTTTTCGTCTTCTAGATGAACTGCGTGATATGATAATACCTCTGAGGGTTCTGAATCGAATGTAAAGTAGGAGTTGTTTGTAGGCGGTCCGAATTGTGGAAGGAGTGTTATTGCGGCTCAAACTTCGAGCCGTAGCTAAATCGAGTGGTTATAGACGAAGTATTCTTCAGCTCAGGGTCATAATGGGGGCCGTGATAGAATATATGACATTGGTTGAGGCCTAGACAAGCTCGCAGGATAGTACACGGTCTACTTCGAGTTCTTTTTTGTTTGGACGACGAGAGGCGATATGGGTTTGCTCCTTCTGAACGGTGTGGCTTAGCGCCAAAGGGCACCTAGCAGTCAGCCTGGGTGGGAGGTGTGGTATCTCGACTCTGGCGAGTCAACATGGGGCTGATGCTCAACTCGGCGTGCTGCTTCTCCTCAAATGCGCTGAAGGAAGGAACAGGTTCAATGCAAGCTGCAATTGTTTTTGTTAATGCAGTACAGTCCACATATTGTTCAATTCGGAGCCATTTTCCTTGACTAATTCATTATTATATTGAGCTTGAGCTATTTGTACTACCTACGAAGACTACTTGGACGCTGGCAAAACTTCGTAGTGTCAGTCCGATTCAAAGTCAAGTTACAGTTTCTGCGCTTGATAACTTACGCGGCAGTGCATGCAAAAATCTCAATTCTTCGAGCTTTTGTCACCAGCGCCAAGCCGGTAGAGAACAGTAGAGTGAAGGCACAGACGACTCCTAGTCGAGCTCCTAGATTTCGAATGAAGTACAGGATCACAATGGAGACCAATGGGATCATAGAGGCGATCACTGTGCCCATAACGTCAATAGTCCCAATTATATGAGAATCAGAGTAGTGGTACAAGTTGCTCGCCGGTACTTGCTCTTCGGTATTTGACGTTTCTGGTTTCTGGATTTCAGTGAGTTAAGCTTCGCCTGCCTCCCGTCTCCATCCCGTGTCTGCTATCCTTCACTGACCTTGAAACGGCGCCAGAACCTTTCCAGCAGATGGAAGACAGGTCCGGCCAGGAATCGAGTGAACGTGTCATTTTCTCCAGTTCGACTTTTCACTATCATCAAATCATCGTTATGCGTTTCGTCATACACAGATTTTCCCCAGGGGCTCAGATCTTCACCCGAGAATAAGATACCCCCGCCGAGATCTGGGCTCAGGATCCACTCCTTCAGCATGGCAACATCACGTCGCCTGGCCTTGGGCATGTTGATGATGGTCGCATATCGCGAGGCGCACTCATCTGGCAGCCGATCAGCAAGCCCGAACGTGTTGCAAGCGCATGACACACGAACAGTATTCTTGAAGTTTCGTTCTTATCTCCAGCGCCTTTCTCAATTGTTCACTGCTATGGCCACGGTCCTTGGACGAATTGACCAAGGGCCAATTCCGATCATAAAACTCCTGCTCGCCTCCAGAAACTCGGTCTTGCGCTTGGATGGCTGCGAACTGGTCTTCTAGTGCTGCCAGCTCAGCCTGCAAGTACAGCAAGTCACGATTTGCAAGTACTTTGAAACGCCGGAAGATTGTGTAGTTCTTGTCAACCATGAAGCTCGAAAGCTTATGATAGCCCGTCGAAGATGACATGCTGGTTAATTGATTGCAAAGAAATTGTTTGGATTTTCTGGCAGCTTAAGCACACCCGAACGAGAGCCATTCTACAAACAACACGATAGCCCTCCTGAACCGCCCTTCGATCATCATGAATGCATGAAGCCTTGTTTCTGATGTTGAATCAGGATGCGGCACGATGCCAGCGAGTCTGCCACGATGGCTTTACACAGCCTAGCTTCGTTAGAAATCCAACCTGCGCCCCTGTCATCATCGGTGATCCGAGTGCTGAGAATGCACGAGTCCAGCCTTACATCTGCCTCAAATGCAGGACTCTCACCACTTCTCCAGTCAACAACATCTTCATCTTAAAGCGTCTGTCACTACGCCCGAGAGAATTGAAATCGAAAGCGCTACAACGCCCGAATCATACCGCTGTTTCCTCTCTGCGGCTCTGCATAGACGAGCAGCAGCAGCAGTTTTCGAGTGTGAATGCTTCCGCTCAGCCGCAATGCGCCCACGCAACCACACCAATGGAGAGACTCTGAAATTGTTGCTCAAGAAGAGAAGGCATGTTATCCTTGGACAACTACAAATATCTGCAGGATCCCGAAGGAATCTAATATCTGCTAGATCATATATGTGTGTATTGTCGAGATTGAGCAGGTCGCTGGGCTCATTATCTCACGACAACGACCAACGGTAGCGCTGTGCGACGTTGCAAGCAGAACGAGCTGGGTTTCCTCGCAATTTGTGGACGAACTTGAAACGATTTCTCGGGCAGGCATCGGTCTTGCGAATTCTACGAGTTTTCGGAAAGAGGGCGAGCCACCCCGCATACATATACGTTGGAGTTGTGGTCTATTGGGACAAGCTCACGAGGAAGGGACATTCTTCATCGAGCCGAAAGCCCGGTTCAAGATACTATTTGGCTGTGCATATAGTACCAACCACTTGCCCACTAAACATTTTCGATCTCGCCGTTCTACTCGCACGAAGGGGAAACGGATTGAGCCACAACCACATATTCGAGACCAAGCTGTGGAAAGTTTTCGAGCGGGAGTTGAGACTGGGATTTTGGTTCCTCTTGAGAGGATGAACCTAAAACAAGACAATCGACCGACTCTCATGCCCATTGCGGACGTTGAAGTTGACTTGGACTATACGTGGCAGCTCTACTCAGGCACCGATCAGGCGTTGAATGATGGGCCCAACCAGAGTGATAGCTCCAATTTCATGCCCTCATTTTATGGAAATGTTTTTAGCCCTAAGGATATTACATCTGCGAACAGCTCTGTAAATACAGACGAAAGGGACCACATGCTAGAGTCGACAGATGCATCTTTCTCCGAAAGCTCCTACCAAAGTACTGATTGGATTGGCGGACCAAGTGGAGCGCAGCACCACACTGAGCCAGGATACATGATCGGTTCGTGGGCAAATCAATCGGTGTACGAAGAACCTCAGTACTGGGCGGTACCTCGTATGATGTACTCCGAGCCAAGACCTTGGTCCATTCAGCGATGTCGAGACCTCACTCCAGAGCACCGAACAAAGCTCGCTGCCGCACAAGAATCCGCAGGGAAAGAAGCAGAAAAATATTGGCAATGGGACGAGGAAGAAAAAAAGTATAAGCACTACGATGAAGGCTGCGCGGACCCTGTCTGGTACAATCCACCTTAAGATACATACTCGAGTCGCACTCCTCTCTGCCCCACTCTCATTCAACTTAGAGGGAAAAAAGAAATCGATGCTCTGCGTTTGTCTATTTGAAGTCGCTTTATTGAGATCCATTGCATTTTGTACAGTCGAATTGATCATTTCTTTTCCTACAAGTCTGATGGGACTAGGCTAGCCGGATCACAGTACCGTTGTCCTATTGTCTTTGCTTTGCACGCTTGCAGGTATATAAGGAGAGGTAATCTTGGTTTCACAGCATAATTCAAGTTTCACCATATGTTTGCATTCCACGAACGTTGCACGTGCTTCTTTGATGCTTTATTATCCCCCCTCCCTTTGCGCTTCCCTGCCAATTCATCGCACTGTTTGCAAGTACCAGTAGTTACGTCAGCAGGTTCACTGGTGCACCAGTAATTGCCCGAATTCGTGGCGCACAGGCCATCCCCACCAAAATTATAAGGGGGCCAGAAATCAGTTAATTGAGACTATATACACCTGAATTACCATAATGCAGTCTTAATAGGCTTTCCACCATTATTAATAAGGCGCGCGCATCGCCTAGGCATCT